CATCCGAAAACCTGGTTCTAAAAGAATCGGCACAGGTTACAATCACCAGCGAAAGCCAGAAGTCCTCACTAGATGACCCCCCTCGATCAGAACAAGGTCTTTCTCCCTCCCCAGAGCCACAAGACCGACCAATTTCTCTTATAAATCGGCACTATCTCTTCTGTGTCTTTGAGCCGAACTACTAATATTATTTCGCAATAACACGGAAAGCTAGAGAGCACTTCGAGAAGTATCTCCGTCACTTCAAGAGAGACGAGTTTATCTTATGCCCCGATAAATTTTGCGGACTTGCTTTTCGTGGACATCGAGCATTCAAAAACTATGTAGAGAAAGTTTATTTAATACGTTACTTCACCGATGCGTAATGTATCAAGGCTGGCTTATAATTTCCATTGGTCGTAGACTATAGAAGCTGGTCATACGCTAAATTAGTTGTGTAGAGCACTCCTATATTCTTTGAGCAAAATCAAAGCCAGTGCCAGTTTCATTATAGATAGAATAGAGCTACATATTAGATTTGGCGATATTTGTTACCGATGAGGCTCTTAGGAAACCGTATCAAGGAATATTAAGGATGGCTGGTTCGTCAGCGATTACACAGGCTCTTTTGTCGAGTGTATAAAGAAAGCGATTCACATCATAGATGCGTATAAAGACTTTTGTGTGGAGAAGAGCTACCCATCTATCCGTTTGGTGCTAATTTGCACCCTGATGTTACTATCCTCAGTCGGCACTATAACGGATAGCTTGAAAGTATACAGCGTTACACTTATTGTCCCCAAGTTCGACTACTTGAGGTTGGCTTATAATTAAACAGTCGGGGTTATCACTATAGAGTCCGACACAAGCTCAAGATTTAATAAACATTGATTTGGGGCGTCCTGGAGAACCACGCCTAGCCTGTAGGGTAGAGGTTGTTTGACTTGATACTTACACTTACACGAGCCTTACAATACAATACACTTTGCACCGCCACAGTCTGCTTGTGAAGCTATATACTGTGTAAGTAATAAAATGTCTGGGAATTGTCATGTATCGTAACGCCCGGTTGGTTCAAACCTCGGATCAAGCGGAAGGCTTTCTCCTGGTCCAAACCTGCATATTTTAAAAACGTTGAAAACAAACACGTATGTGGAGCATAAAGCCACAAGCGATGATAGTAAACGTCCAAAATAACGTTCAAGAGATTCACCGTTATCTTTCAGACCTTTCTAATTCCATAATTCTCGAGCGTTCTCTTTACTCAAATGAGGGGCCCTGCCGTAGAGCGAACGGCGATCTGCCCGAACGTTACTTTTCAAACACTCCGTAATTCATCAAATCGTGTTGTTTATATTTATTGGGCGGCTCTTCGGGAAAGCACTGAAATAATAAGGCATACTCAGCGTGCTGTCTTTGCAAAGGGAGGGGTGGCTCGCACTGTTGTTTGATAGATACGTGCCAGATAAACGCATAATATGCTTCGAATGAGGCAAAGCGTCGCGCGCCAAGACTAAAATCAGCCTCAATGAGAATTTTTCGCTCTAATTGCGGCATCTGCCACTCATCACTCCTTAATCACGTCTGTTATTGTTGACCATTATTTTTAACCCGTTTGTTGTTAACCGTTTGTTGTTGACCATTATTTTTAACCCGTTTGTTATTATCCGTTTGTTGTTAACCGTTTGTTGTTAACCGTGTCTTTGTTGGCTAGGTCTCTTGCTGACCGCTTTCTACTGTTAACAGGCGTTTCCGTTAAACACCTTCACCTTTCACCACCATTTTTAACTACACTCTTGTACTACCTTAATCGACCGTGCACATTTAAACTACCAAGACCATAAGCATTTCTATTTCAAATAGAGTTCTGGATTTAACTATCAGTCACACTGAGTATCCATGTTGGGTTCAAGTCTGCGTGCGGCTTCACTCTACGCACTCCAAAATGCCGGTCTAGTCTGCAAATAGTGGGCTCTGTGAAAACGGAAGGGTGGAGCAGTCGCGAGTTTCAGGGGAAGGGGAGTAAGAGATAAAGTACAAACGAAAACAAACAACAGCAGGAATTCCCTGGTGGTCATCCATCCAACTAGCAACCTGCCGAGGTGTGGCTTATGTGCGGTAAATCTAGATGTCCCCTCTCGTGTTTCACTCCGTCCGAGCGCTTGGCCCCCGATATTCGTCCCTCGAAGTGATTCGTTCGCTTCTTTGTAACTTTTCGGATGTTTTGCATTTACTCGCATTTTCAACCGTGTCCGTGGGCCCATTTCGCTTCCCCACATAGTGGACATTGCATAAACGCCTCATCACATTGCGGACTTTATGCCCGGATATTCGGAAGGAGCGAACCATTCAGACCCCTGGCAAGATGTGCACACGCTTCTTGATATCATGCACATATGAGGTAGCAGCGTGAGGTGACAATTGAGATGAGGGGCATCAATAAGCCCGCACATTCATACCAAGGCACGTTAGTGCTATTCGTATTGACTTGGATCACCAGGGATCTTGATGGTTGATGGCAACCGAGCACTCAGTTATCCGCAAATAAGCACCTTAAGACATACAGTTTCCCAGCACATGTTTTGTCCCCCCCACTTTGCCACAATGTGATCGTCTAGACCACCGCTTTCCTTTCATGGCCACAATATCTACCACTTCTCAATCTTATTGAATGAAGGGGGTGATCATATGGTATAAACGGCAGAATTTAGGTAGAGATTCAGATGTGAGGGGGAACAAAACACGTATGTACCGACTATATGCCAAGCATCCTGGGTTGTAACAGCTACTCGCGCGCCATCGTTTGGGCGCATTGGTAACCTGTCACTAGTCAAAATTGACCCTGCCTACTGTCTGTTACTTAGTAGTTATGGAGGGAGATGTTATTGTTGCACTTGTATAGGTGGGAATTGGCCCGCATAAGCGTAGTATTCTCGGTTGGCAGTGCTCCCGTACGGAAGGTACCATCAGGTGGGTGAGCTGCGTTCTGCCCCCAAGGGGACCGTGTCGCTAACCAGTTCCAGAAACGAAGACAATGGTGTAATCCCGAGGTCTACGACGCAATGATGCGCTGGCTAAGATTACAGATCTCTACCGCATGTTTCCCGTGCCCACTTGATTATCCACTTCATTTTCTGCCGTCTATATCACATTAGCACCCATTAATAGTCCGTTGCATATTCTTGCCTCTCTATCATCTTAACACACCGGCGATTCATTGATTCAGCTAGGCTTTTTAGAAAGCTTTCGGGCACTGTGTACTGTGTCCTATGCTTCTTAAATGACAATACGTTGCTTTTCTGTCTTTATATGCTTAGGGCTATAGTGTTTCGATATCCATTGCTTTATACACGCCGATACATTCTCAATAGGGTTAAGATCAAGTAAATACGGAGGCCATTGCATATATATAAGATTATATTGATTATGCATACCGCATATCTCACGATACTAATGGCAGCCTGTACCGTCTTGTATCAGTATACGTTGCAAGCTACGAAGTACACCAAAGTTATTAATTTATCCGAGTAGGCACGATATATAGAACAAATCGACTACCATTTATAGTCTCTTAATGCTTCTCCCAAAAAACACTAGGCGCTTTTGTATACCCACGAAAGCAGCCCAGAACATCCAGCCTTTACGTTGCTTTAACTGAAGCAATACCGCGGTAGGATAATACTTTTCGAACCGATTACGTGTAACCAAAGGCCTACGATAGAAGCCTACTTATATCTAACTTCTATCGGTCCAAACGACCTTTCTCTAGTCCTTAAGCGTCCAATGTAAATAGACATAAGCCTATTCAAGATGCTTTGCTCGATTTTATGGCTGATCATCTAAGCTGTGGCTTTGACTACGCTCTTTTCTTAGTATAGCTACGGCGTTCAAGCGCTCGCTTTATGTAATATATAGTAAGTTTAGATCTAGCACAAGCTCATCAAATCCTTAAATTTGATCATTAAAAACTAATACAGTAATATAGTCGACGTCTCCATCTGTAAGGATTAGATTGCTCCCCTTCGTATGCTTTGATTTAGCGTGCTTGCTGACGGTACAAATATATCGGACCTAACCGTACAAGAGGAAATGCCCTCCGCATTGTAGTCGGAACCCTGGACCAAGTTGCATTGTTTATCATGTTATTTTCGTTAGTAAGTATTGCGCAATCCATTGCCCCCACTCATGCCGGTCAAACAATTCGAAGGATGAAATCCCAGTCTAGCAAGGCTCACACGCGCTGTAAGGAGTATATAGTGCGTACATATGCATGTGCAATCTTCGGCGTTAGCATTTCCGAGGCCTCCCGGCTCTCCGACTTTCCAAATTTCCGTGGAGAAAAGCCCAATGATTAGACGGATGAGGTCCCGGTCTAGCGCAATAGGTTCGGGTTACACTGCATTAGTGCGCAGCTGCAGTCAAGCCTTCCCGGGGCCTCAAGTGTCTCGATCCTCATCCAATCCTCGTGGGCCATACCTAAATAGGCTTTCGTGCCGCTGCGGATTGTCCGGAAGCGAGGTGGATCTTCCCATACGTACCCGCTTCGCGCGGCCCCAGACCCGAACTTGAGGAGATAAGCACCTAGCCAATCACACGATAGCCTTTGGGGTAGTGAGAGCTTAATTGGGCATGGCGTAGGACGATCGTCTAACAAAGCGGGGTGAGAGAATTTGGGGCTGTGGCTAGAGTATAGCCAATGGATCAGATTCTTGATTGGGAAGCGGCCGCGAGAAACTGCGGGGTAGCGGATTGAGGAATCTACCCAACCCGCCCATTCGTCTTTGCCAATTTGAGATTTCTTTCGCTCGGCGTTGCCTTTTCTCCGCCATCAGTTCGACTTCCAATACGGGGCTGTAAGCCCGGCCTCTGATTCGAAAAGCAGTAATCGGCTTTTGCCGCAAACTATAAAGAATCTGATCCGCTTTTATCGCTGGAATCGCGTTTTGTTTTCTTGGCAATATCTGAACAAGAGCGTTGTCGTTGAAAAAATGCCGGAGCCTGGAGGGACCAATACAGCAGCAATGGCCCCCGTTGACTCTGCTGACTTGTTCAAAGCGAAGATCCAGTATCTTGCCAGAGACGACCAGCACCAGCTGGTGAAACCATATTATTTGTATTTCAAGTATGACTCCGAGATTGCTCCAACAAACACATCCCCCGATGATCGGTTTGTTCACATCTGTAATGCTCGGAATCTGGGCATTCCGTCGAGAGAGATGTTCTCCGAGTGGGGGTTTGCTCAGCTGCGTCTTGATTGTCCTTTGACACCTAAGGAGTATTGCTATGACAAGAAAGTGGAAGAAGTCCTATACCCTAAATATAAATCGATTGCCCGGTTTTTGTTCCCAAATGCTGCGCGGGTTGAAGTCCTAGAGCACGCAGTAAGCTAAAGACCCAAAGATAGAAGGCTTCAAAAGGCTGATCGACCGGAACTAGGTTCGCAAACGTCACCCTCTTTGGCTATCTGAGGGCATAGAGCGACACAAGCTTACGACAAACCAACCGAGTGATTATGTGCACATTGGTACGCGCTCTTCATCGTGCATATAACCTTTCGAACTTTGTATACTGATCGGTTTGATTGTTTTCAGATATGACGGCCTCCTCGGCGGCAAAATGCAGTATGAAGCAATTCAACATCCCCCCGAAGAGTTATTCAAGATTCGTCGTTGTAAAGTATATCTGTCCGATTCCCAGAAAAACTGCATCTATAAACTTACCCTTCATTTCACCAGCCTCTGGAAGCCAATAAGAGGGCCAGTATACGACTTTCCGCTCACGCTTTGCGACCGCCGTACAGTAGACTACGTATCTCAGGCCACTGCAATGGATATCGTTACTAGTGATTACGTTAACGAAAATACTCGGATATACTTTGACGAGAAGCACAAATGGTACTACTGGCACGGCTTGCAGGTCGACGAGGTAATCGCCTTTATACAGGCAGATTCCCAAGCAGAAAACCGAGCAGGTATGATGGACTTTACCCCTATCGTCTAGAGGATTTGTCTCTTCAAATGTTGACACTGGAATTCAGGAGTTCCTCATACGGCTTTTCGAGATACTCGAAATAGTGACAACAAGCAGTTACGAGAGAGTATTGAAGCTAGAGTGTTTGTTTATTTTGACTGAATGTCCCGACTCTCAAGCATCCTGATCACACACTAGTAATGTAGAATGAATAAAATTTACTGTGGATGGCAATCAACTTATCTTCCAGACTTTCCAAAGCGTTCTTTACTGTGAAACCAGTCTCCGTATCTCATCAGCAAGCCCAAGGGGGGAATAAAAGCGGCTGCAATCAAGGCTAGAACAGTGTTACCCCAGCCTTGTCCAATGCTTTTATATAAAGGAGGGCCAATTAATGGCAGAAAAGCCCCAGCAATCGCTCGGAATATTACACCAGCAGCTATAGCAGATGCCCCATGGATCTCGTAAACATCCACCACGTAAGTTTCGGCCGGTATGGCGGAAAGCGTCATGCTGAACCCCGCAGCACACGTTCCGATGAGCGGCAAGATGTATTGAACATGAAAATTTAATGTCCATCCGTAGATCAGGAAGCCCACAGGAAGAACGATAGCGGCAAGAAGCAGATGCACCAGCCGAGACTCCGGCTTGAATGCGTCGCCCTTCGTTTCCCGCTGGTGGATCATGTAGCGGTCGGAAGTGAAACTGTAGAAGATCAAAGCGATAGTATTGCCGATGGCGAGACTTAAAAACGTCAAGCCAATGGAGCCGCTAGAAAAGACGGTGGGGTACGTCGACTCTATGTTTTCCGTGAGTGTGGCAAGAATCAATGAGACTAAGGCGTATGTTATGGCCATGTAGCTCGTCGTCAGAATGAGGATGGGAGACTGGGCCAGGATCTGCATTGGTTTTATGGCGCTTTCGAGCATGGTGGATGCATCGACACGGGCCTGGTGCTTGGAATGATACTTCTTGTCGTCCGCACGCTCATCTTGTAACCGCTCCGCCTTCCGCCTCAGAATGACGACTGTGTATGTCTCCCGGAGCACAGCCAGTAACAGAAAGCTGAAGAATCCGAGTACGATGGCCGCCAGCCAAATCGACCATCGCCAACCCAGGCCCTGTGCGATATACGCTCCTGCGATAGGTGAGATGAAATCTGCTATCATCTGAGTTCCTATGACTACTGCCATGGACCGGCCGGTTTGTTCCATTTGGAACAAATCCCCGACGATGGCGGGCCCAAGGGTGAGAATGGACAGGAAGCAACCCGTTAAGAATCGGAGCGCAATCAGCATGGGAATGTTTACGCTCAGGGCGCTGGCGATCAAGCAACAGAGAGCGAGGAGATTTCCAATATGGAAGACGGGAAGCCGGCCGAATCTTTCGGAGAGCGGTGCAATGAAAAACGGGCCAATCCCTTCCCCGAGCTCCCAAATCGTGACGAGCAAGGTCTGGTCGAGCTTATTGAACGAATGGAACTCTTGCAAGATCTGCGGCGTCGTGGGCACGATCGTCATTGTCGAAAAGACACTAATTCGGTTAGTCGACGACGGCAGATATACAGAGACTGGCGAGACAAGAAAAGACGCCCACCTGACGAAACCCATCCACGAGACAACGAACACAATCATCCATTTATGCATTGACGACCAATTCAAAGGGTTTTCCGGGTCGTTCTCCTCGAAGTCCACGAGGACGACATCTGGATCGCCGTCTCCGATGGCATTTTCCAATGGCTGTTCGGCGGTCCTTTCATTCTCGCTTCCCGCCGCAGCCACGGGCTCTTTGACTGGCACTTTCTGCAGCTCAAGTGAAGATAAAATGGGGACTGGGTGGGTGACAGCCTCGTCGATGAAAGACATCAGTGTCAAGCGGGTGACATACGCCAACAGTGTCTATTCAACTGCTGAGAGAGCAGGCAGGAAGGGGAAAATGCGAAACAAAGTGACAGTTTAAGGGCCGACATGGTTCATCACGTGAATAGTCTAACGCGCAATCCGTATCCGGAAAGAGGCGTAGGTACGTTGAGAAAGGTTGGGCAGGTAGTCCCCTGAACTTTTACATAATATTAGGATACATTTTGTTGGATCCCCTGCACTGATGGTATTGTCCTGTCACCCTGATACGCACTACTCATGCATTATGGTTAGACTTGTATCTATAACACTGGGTCGTGACCCACACAACTCCATAACAATACAACCAATATACACATGCTACAAGACATTTTCTTTTAAATTAGAACCGGCCGAATTCACCAATCAATCGGTGGCGAATTTGCACATACACCTTCAACCTATCAGGATCTATTCCTAGTTCTTATCAATAAGACACGTGATTTGTTCAATTTACCCCATCCTTCCGTCCACGCTTCATCCGTCCAAACGGCACACTCCAGTCTGAGACCATGGCGCAATCAGTACCCATACATAGCGAAGTAAATGAGCCACAAGGCACAGCGAGCCAGCACGCGAGTCCGGGAATGATCCAATATATCAAGCAACCCCATCCAGAACCTCTGGAAAAGACAAGCCGGGGAAGGAACTGGGTACTGTTGTGATATGAGGCTGGTGCAGATCAGGAACCAAGCGGAACCATCGGAATTAATCCCGAAGTATGTATACGAAGAACCAACTTCATTGGAAATCAACTTGACCTTCTCGCTGTATATATACAGCCTCATGTTTCCTTTTGAATAAATAACAATCAATTCATACCTCTCAAATACAACACGTACTACAACTTAGAAGAAGGTCTTGGTGCCGAAGAGCAAAGCCAACGACATCACAAGCATGTTGAACAACGCCAATTGAAGCAGGACAGGCCGCTGAGGAAAGCTGATCAATATGTGGCATGCCCAGATGGGAGATGGAGCAGGCGCTTGGGGATGACTGTGTTCCTTTATTTCCTTCCGTACTTCGTAGGTCTGGCCCGGGTGGCATATTGCGGGCGGTAGCTTTTGATTTTTAATACTTGTTTGGTGATTGCTTACTTGTAAGGGAAGTCGCCTTTTTGTTCGTTCAGTGGCCAACTGGCGTCATGATGTTTTTCGTTCCGTTGGAGGAACGAAAAACACGGTGGGAGGGGGTCATATGAAATAATGATAGGGAGTTGGTAAGGCCCAGATTGATTGATTCCGATGGAAGTTGGTGGAGAATAACGACCTGCAGCTATCTACCTAGGTAGAGAGAGTCGAAGGGAAACCAACTACATCCTATCTACCCACCTAGGTAGTAACCCACGTGCATCGTTCTCAGGGTCGGAATCATATTGATACTCCTACCAAGTGTGGCAAACAGGCGCATCCGTCGTTCTATACAACCCCATGATTCTGTATCACTGACCAAAGCTGCCGCCGGCGAAAGAGAAGATGACAATCAGAAAATTACAAACTAAATTGAACCCTTATTTCCACTTGACTTTTACTCTGCCGCTCGACCACCTCGCCCGGTCGGCACAGACCTGCGTGGTCGTATCACCGAAAGGAGCGGGGAGGTAACGCGAAGGTAGAAAGGCTTAAGGACAGAGGCATTAAAGCTATAGTCTTTCCGAAAAAATCGTTGAAGATCTCCGAGCCCTACAGTCCTGGAACCAGCACCCAGGAACCAGCATGTGGGTGCCAGGGCAAATCTTTCCATGGTAAAAATGCAATATAAAATGACTTATGCCCAACGGAGTACCATGATTCATCTTTTTTCTGCTTCATTCCAGACCCTACACTACAGGCTCTCACTCTGCCTAAAAAGTCACACGATTCTTCATCTCTTTTGTACCCGGAAATTTACTGAAACATGATGACCTCTTCGAGGCCTTACAAACGTAAGAGGTCACCCAAAGTGTCCACCGAGACCATAGCAAAGTGTTTCTGTGATCGTGCATCTCCGGAGAGCTCGATCGGAGGAATTCCTGAAGACGACATCTCACAAGTCCTCTTGTATGAAGAGTTCCAACACCTCGAACTTTATACTCAGAAACAATACTTCGATGGTATATGCAAAGCTTTACACGACCAAAAATATTTCAGCAAATGGTGTCCTCGCATTGATATGATGATTCTTCAGCATTACGATAAAGATAATCGATTGAGCAAGGAGGAGGTGGAAGAAGCCTATGCCCTACAAGAGGACTTAAAAGAAAAATGGAGATTGTCCAAGCCACCTGTAGTGATTCCAAACCCAAGATATGCACGTCCAAGGATGAGCGAGCACACTTACTGGTACGACAACAATCTTCACTGGAGCTCAGATAAGTCGGAATTTGAGCTCGAATATGCTCAAGACCGCGAACGACGACTTCAATATAAACCAGATGCTACCGAGAATCTATCACGCGAATATGGCTTCCTCTATCACATATCTTCCTCACTCCTGTGGTATCGCTTCGCCATTTTCATGGGAGAAATTGAGAATTCTCCGACCGATAATTACAAGTCTTCTTTGGATATAAGACTCTGGCATGTGGATGGCGTTAGCACCCTCAGACTCTGGGATAGTAAAGGAGGGGTCAGGGGAAGGTTTGATGGCTTGAAGGAGTCCCAGACTGATGCCCTGCAATTTCTCAATTTCGTGGCCGGGTTCAAGTTTCCTCATCCTTATGACGGGGTGATAGCTGAGACAGTAGGTTGAATTTCAGTCGGCAGCTTCCTTTCACCTTGTATATCTCAAGCAAAACATAAACGAAATGTAATTTTTTTCATCATGGTTTCCTTTGTCACAACCTCTGAAACAGCTTTCTCTATATTGACGCCATACCAGTTGAAATTCTATCTTCGTGTATTGATCGCTCCTCTGGCCCAAGGGATGAGACTATTGCTAAGTTTGTCTTTCTCACAATTGAACTCTGGCACAATTGAATTTAAACTAAAAACAGAAATCAAGCAAGTCAATATAAAATAGCTTCTATATAGCCGATGTCGCCAGCAATATGGACCTGTGACATCCATATACATCACTGAAGCTAATGTTAAAAGCCTTTGTAGATGGCAAGCGCCGACTGTCCAACTTAGGCCCTTCTCTTCACGAATAGTCTGCAGCGCAAATATATTCATTAATGGCATCCGTCAGGCTGACTGTCCCACCCCTTTCATCTCTATCCATTTTTGACCTATTGGGAAGACCATGGTGATGAGAGCTCCAAAGGCATTGGGTCAATCTGCAGTGAAGAGCTTCCATGGTTTGGCGGTAGCATATAAGGCTTGGAGTCTCTTAAAAGACAGGGATCCCATGGCTGTTTCTAACCTCTACTGCGTTGTTCGCAAGCATTACCTTCCGGTGGACCAACCAGAGGGCGTCAGCGATAGTCTTTTGGACGGCCAATTGGTCCCTACTCAAATTATCCCAGTTCTCTTCTTCGGCCTTTCGAGAGAAAAATTCTGTTTTGCTGAATGTGATGGGATCACTGCCCACTTGCGGGGTCTCTGCACTCACCGGTTTCTCGGCAGGCGGATTTGAAAGGACTTTTGGACGTTGCTCAGGCACGACGGAGAGACTCGGGTAGTCATCATCCTCTTCCTTGACTTCTGCCGCACCATCGTATGGAGGGTGTGCCTGGGCGGCTGGTTCTGAGAAGTCGATGATCGTAGAGGCTCCTGGACTCTTTTTAAGCTTCGATTGGGGGAGCACGGCTTCGATGGATGACTTGGGAGTGGTCGAGCGTGTACGAGATCTTTTCTCGCGAACAAAAACGTTCAGCGGACAAACAGAAGGGAGGCGATCGGGACTGCCGCGTCCAGCACCGTTTTCGTACGAGTGATACCGCTCTTCTTGTTTATCCCAAGCTTCGCTAATCGCGTCCAAGATCATCTCGGCCTCAAATAAGCCGTCAAGGTCGGATTTGGGAACCCAGGCGTAGCCGTCTGAGAGATAATTCTTTTCATCGTCTTTGGCGATATCAATAAACTTGACTTTGAGGTATGTCCGAGGTGCTGTTTTGTACACGTGATCTGAATCCCGCCCCTCCTGGACCACAACGCCCACAATACCCTCGATATTTTCTACTGTATAGCGACGATGCCTTTTTCCATTTTCGTCTCTATCCCAGATCTGCGTGATGCGAGAATTTCTGTCCGAGACCTCGCGGAGCTTTTTCAGGTTGTACCCCTTTGCGGATTGGAGCATGTACTTGGCCGCTTTCAGAGGACCGTGTCGGACGATCGCTTTTCTTGAGAAGCCAGAGGAGCACCAGGCTTCTGGTACACCGCCGTAGAGGCTGTTTCCCAGGGACATTTTCCGAAAGCTGACGAGCATGCCGTCGTCTTCTCTCGCAGTTTCATCTACCGCTCTCGGCCCCGCGCTGTTCGCGGATGGCTCCGATCCAAACTCATCGGTAGCCTCTGCCATAGGCGTGTCATTAGGCTCGACAGCATCATTCTCAATGGGCTGGTTGGGTACGCGCTGGTCTTCCTGTGAATCGAAGAGGGGTTTCGAATGTGGATCTACCGTTTGTTCACCATTGGTAGCTCCCGAGTGATTGATTTGTGCTTGCGCACTCTTAACTTTTGCACTAGATAGCTTCCCGCTTTCAGCGTCTTGGTCGATTTTTTGTAGCTTGTCCGCAAGCTGGGGCTTCTTCGACCTGGTGTCGTGGGCCCTGGGAGGATTCCCATTGCTTTTAGAAGTGGTTCCTTGTCCGGCCATGATGCACAAAGACTTTGATGCACTTTGACGATAGACAGTACGGCACCAAAAGACCGAGCGTTAAGCTTCAATTTATACCTGTAGGCGCCCAGTGGTCATGTCTCGGTTTCTTTCAAGGGATTCATCGCATCTTTCATGAAACGAAGGCCGCTTTTCCAATTCAACGTTGAACGTGTTGAATATGCGTTTACCTAAGCCTCAGGATTGAGCTTATTCGCGAATCTCAACAGTGTCACGCACCGCATCAATACAACTGCCTGCAGCTTTACGAAACAAAATGCACATTGATGGTGTAAATGTTTCAGCAAGTTGACCGCTTGTGGAGCGCCGTCTTTTGAAAAGGAAGATATGTGGTACGGATGGATATTCTTCTGACCTGTTTCTGATGACTCGGGCTGATGTTGCTGGATCTTTCGCCTTACACTAAATTTCGCGCGCGCCAAGCTACATTCTCGCGAAAGCGCAGTTTACCCGTTACGAATCTTGCCCGTTGAACAACCGCGTCTGTAGCAAAAGTGGTTGGAGTACCGCAGACTTGCTAGACGCTCGGATCATCAACAGGTTAGTCTTCGTTGAAACAACCCGTTGAAGCAGCCCGTAGAAGCAGCCTGTTGACCAAACCAATGCGGCAATAGCATCCTCCCATGCGTCAGGGCTCTAGAACGCTCTCACTTGCTGTTTCGTGACCTCGTTCAGCTTGTTCTGACTCTAGGCTTCCGGCTATGATAAATTTGATGGCTGAAGATAAGGACTCCGAGAGAGGCTTATGTCCTGAGAGAGCTCTTCAAATTGCGAACAACTGGAACTATCCATTTTCTGCTTGCTGTCAGATATTTAGTGTCTATGGTCTTATATAGCTACGATGGACAAGACGTGCCAAACTATGGCTTGATTGCATATACCGGATTAAAAAGCGAGTTTTTACATTAGTCCGATATCGTAGATGCTTACGATTAGTTTGGTGATGGTCGGATCACACCATACTTTGTGGAGCGAGTAATCGAGCCCGTTACTGTAAATTCTTCCAAGAAGACAATCTCCAGCACAGTCTCCGTCAAACCAACCAGGGAGGACATCCATGATCAACCAGCCGTGACAATCCCCTCTGACACCTCAAAATGGTTTACTCAATGCCGCTGCTGCCGTTCGTAAGTGTTTAGCCCTCACAGAGGCCCAGTGGCAATAACCTGAAATTCATCGGCGGTGAGGCTTGGGTCGTAGTCGACGTATCCAATCTTGTCGATTAGACCATCTATCGACGGGTTGGATCCCCATAACGTCACCTGGAGATCTGTGGTGCCTCTGCTTCTCGGCGGTTTTATAGCGAGTTTCCGGGCCAACATATGCGCGTTGAACTCGAAGCGCAGTCTGCGGTTGCCCACGTGGGGATTTCTGCGGAAGCTTTTGAAGCTCAGTTACTCTTTCCAGGCATGGTGTAGGGTATTCCGCCCTGTGCTTCTGCGGCGGTCGCTTGGTTGGTGTAAGGTCGAGTAGATAAAGGGTATCGGCACCCTTGTGTGCAGATGAACGAGAAACACGAGCCATGAATAACCGGAATGATCGAGAAGGTAATTACCCCAGATTGTTCGAGAATTATCAATCTATATATCTTCCAGGTTTTGCGGTGGGGACGGTTAGCGGGAGGATGTATACAATCAGTGAACCTACACTCACTTCTGCCAATGTATAGTATCATTGATCCTTTTTCTAAGCGCCAATTTTCCCTGCGAGGTTAGAGAGACTGATTCAATTAGCGTGGAGAATCCTCGTGGGTCCCTCTAAGATGCCGCCTTCAAGCTAACTCAACACCGCCGAAGGTTTGCAGGAGGCATTCTTAGCGGTTTGTGGCTTCAAACGTTTGTATGAAGTGAAAATTACATTCTGGGCTTCCGTTGTTACCTCACATTTGTTGCATATAATGTTTTGTCTGCCTTGCATCTTTGCTCCGCGAGGACGAATGTTAAACGTCCCGATCAGGAGCAGCCGAGTCAGCGTTGACTCAACGGTCCATTACTTCCCATGCGTGGGTCCATTCATGGACCTGTTCCGGCAAACAATGGGCAGAGTCTCTGACGGTCTCTTAGGTCTCTTAATTCTCAAGTAAAACAGCGCCCCCAAGAGGGCTATGTCATTTAGACACATCTATAAATACTTGATCACAGCCGGAAGCGAATGGCAAGGCGCGCGGTCCGTTAAAAGGGTGTTTGAAATTTTGAGGTTCACCACGATGGAGCAGCCTGTCAGTGAGCCCTTGTCCGGGGAAAACGGGCGTCCTTTAGCCGAAGTGCAGAGACAAGTGAGCGACCAGCTGGATCGTGAGTTGCGCCAAGACAAAATCAATGAACACGACCAGAGCTTGTACCGTCAGCAGACCGTCTCGCTCAGTATCTCGCCGAACTACGTGAAGCAGTGGGACACCACTGCCGCATTTCGAGAACTGTATCAGAACTGGTAGGCTCCCTCCATTGAGACTGGCAAACGCCTAACCTAAAACAGGAAAGACGCGATCCTGGAAAGGTTTCAGGTCGAGCGTCGGGATTTCCAGCCATGTTACGAAAACAAACGCGACTGTATATCCATCATTGTACCGGACGCTTCCGGACCGCATGGACGCGGCCAAGCTTTGGGGTTTATTAAGTATGAGAAGAAAGCAGAACGTGTGATTCTGGCAAATTCCTGCGCTTCGCTTCGGCCTGACGACCTTCAGTTTAGACAAACATCCAAGGAGGGGAGCCACTATCTCGCCGGATGCCGTGGAGAAGGACTCAAGTTAGCTGCCATGGTGATGTCTCGGAACGGCTATAAAGTGCACATAGCTGCCGGTGGCTGCGACTGGAGCTTCCGAGCACCAGGGCCCTCGCGGTCCCAATTTTCCTGTGTGATTCGCCCATCTAGAAACGCTACCTCCAGCCTCCACACGGACCCAACCAGCGACATAGCGCAATTACGCTCGCATATCGAGAGGGACGTCACGATCACGATTGGTCCAGAACGCAACAGGAAGCGGGACAAAATCTCCTTGGAGCTGTTCAAGAAGTGGCTGGGGGCGACTCTTGATATTCGCGGGTTCTCTTACCCTTCACACATCATTGAAACTAAAGCGGGAGACATCATTCTCGACGCATCTTTCCACGGTAAAGTGTTCTACAAAGGAATGCTTCTATCAGGGCCGGTCTCCGAGACCGAGTCGTTTAGGCTTGGATATAATTTCTTAGCCGGTACGGTCAATCGCGACCGGCAGAGATTGGTTGACAAGCAGGAAGAAGCCAATATAGTCCGGCGGATATAGGAGACGGCCATCGATCAGCACAAAGAGTCGATGCTGCCCATCTATATCAATTTGCTTCGAAATTTCCCTCGGGCGCCAGACGTGGCATTAGCCGAACGTCTGCTAGAAGCTCCCACGAAGTCTCTGATCTAGAAATATCTCCTGCAAGAGGCAAATGGAGAGCGGTTCTACTACAACGAAGCATCTCATACCAAGGTTAGTCGTATTAATAGCCCTATCCGTGACTCCAATAATTGACAATCACTAGGATATAGAAATAATCCGCTATGTCTTGAGAAAGGAGCCCGTCAAACTTCCAAAATCATTATGGGACTTACTCCGACCAAGCTCTGCAATCAGAACAGCAGAGGAAGAGTAGATCAGCACGTTTCAAAATGCCCTGGGGTGTTCAACTCCTAATTCCACTTTCGTAAGGACAGTCCAAAGGGTCCTAAAAGTATATATGGCGCTATCCGATAACACGAAGCATATCGAGGTTTTCTTTATCTATATTCATGACAACACTATCAACGCCTTTTTCGACCTCGAACATTAAGCACTCAAGGTCCACTAGAGGTGGTTGGATTTTGATGCTATACACCGTAAATACCCTTATCGGGATCTATTGCCGAGTAATATAGCCGGGGCCGACGCGCTATTCTTCTGCGATCATATCATCGAGGAGCTCTTGCGAAAGGCGCTCCCTATAATCTTCCGGACTGCTCCTATATCAAGGACTACTAAGAATGGAATCTTGCGACAGATTAGACACCGTCTGAGGCATATGCCCTATAGCATTATATCGAAACCAATACCTCAGAATAAGGGGTTGGTGGTTACTTAGGAGGACAACGAGATAGAGTTATTTCGGAAATCGTGTCGGTCCCGAGTGGCATACTATGTCGTGCTGCATAAAGAGCGATGTGCTAGTGCATGGTTAGAATTACTGCATAGGGATGTAGGTAAGTCTCTCTCCAGCGAAATGCTAGAGTCGTGCTCTTTCAGAACGGGCGACAACTTATATTTCTTCACTAGTTACGTGTGCGGAAGGGCGTGCTTCGTGCGGTTGTCCAGCGTAGTTAACTTCGCAGTGCAAGAAAGGGGTGGTGTTTGCCGACTTAAACTACTCGAAAAAGTACTTTCCTATAATTGCCTTAAACCAGAGATCGGCGTTCTATAGGTATCCGCCAGAAGCGGCGTTCCCCAGCGGATAGATTGAAGCCCGGGATCTCGCGGATGCATTGTCTATTCGCAAGCAACAGGATGCACGTATGCAGTCTTTCCTGTCTTGGACAGAGTCTGGGCCTCCAAGGCCAGCGGCATCTCCGCATCAGCCGCAGCAACTGCTTCCCTGTTCTCAGCAAGCAAAAAGCTCGGATATAGCACAGGAACTCTTCATTCGACAAACCAAGTGGCAAAAGAAAAATTAAAGAGCAATTAAAGTAAATTGTCCTTAGTTTGATGCCCTTAGTTTAATATCCTCAAAAATAGAGAGGAACCAGGTGATCGCAAGTGGGCACTTAGGTCGCTGCAAGGGTCACGTGGCTTTTTTGGCAGTTTTGGTCCGTGCTCATCGCAATTATATAGTCACATCCAAATTCGCATTCTTGCCTCAGTGCCTCAGGCCCTCAGGCTTCGGAACAAGCATGTTCCGAAATTACCTAGGCTGGTAGTTCGCTTAATTTCGGAACATACTTGTTCCGACGCCTGAAGGCCTGAGGCACTAAGGCAAGCAATAATCGGGTATGATCTATGTCACGTGACCGGAACACCTGCTATGGAGCTGAACACGCTGTCGACACCCCTTCCGTCCCGCGCTGCAGTTGTTGATATATCTTGTTTGGGGTTTGCTTCTTAAGCTCCTGACTGACAACGAGTCTCTATCATATTTATAGACTCATTTGCCTAAAGTCCCGCGAAATTTCGGAAGTCAGCAACTACAAGTGCAATGGCAACCGTTCGAAAGACAGGCGAATCGACATATGTGTTCCTCGAGATCAAGGATAATACACTGGATGATATTGATAAACTCTGTTATTTGGGTGATCAGTGTCAAGTTAGCACCCCACGTTTCGGACTTGGATCTCTCGATAAACTCCCTCTTGAAATCATCCACTTGACACTCGTCCGACTTGACATACAGTCGCTGATTGAATTTCGACGCGTCAACAAAGCAGCGACACTGGCTACAGACTCGGTCCCGCAGTTCAAACTTATTCTTGCTCATGCGCCGGCCTCAATCCGTGGGAGCCACAACATAGGAACTGCAAAGTTCTTCTCATGTCAAGACTTATACGAGAAAATATCTACAGCGGAATGTGACAGCTGTGGTGACTTCGGCGGATACTTGTATTTGGTGACCTGTCGTCGCGTTTGCTTCCTATGTTTTACCGAAAAATCCGACTATCTTCCTCTGCCACGGAAAGACGCTATTCTGAAATTTGGCCTTTGCTCTGAACAACTTACAAGTCTACCTTGTTTGAAAAGCTTCCCTGGTCACTATTCGCCTCGGGGAATTAAATGTCGGCGCCGAGAGCTTTTACTCGATCATTCTGTTGCACGTCAAACTGGGATCTCCGTGCACAGGTCTATTAGCTCCATGGAAAAATACGCCTCGGAATCCGCTTCTAAAAAGCTAGAGGCCTACAATACGAAACTGTCTCTTTGCAGAACAAATGGGACGAATGTACGGCGACCCAGGTCTGAAGATCTCTTTGATGGGCGCTGTTCTAATCCTAGGCGTTTTATGGGCATCATTCGCGCTCCGTTCTTGAATTTTCGAACTGCATCCCCAGAGTGGGGCTTCCACTGCGTCGCTTGCAAATCGCATCACTATTGTCGACCACTTCATTGGCGACGAGAGTATACGCTGGTTACCTTCAAGGATCACATCAGAGAATGTGGGGAAATAAAAGAGGGGAAACACATTCCCTGGGCGAATTGAGAAAATGCCTCATCGCTACGAATTTGCTTGATAACAATTGCTTTGTTTCCTAAGATACAAACAATATATATATCACAAGTGCGGAAATTAACAATAGACTCACTTCCCATCCATCCACAAGCTTCGTCCAACATTCTTCTCTCTGCGCATTTCATCCTTCCCAGGCTTCACCATATGCCGTGCACACATATGAACAGAAGGGTCCAATGCCTCCCAGTTCACTGGAGAGCATTTGACATTCGTGCCTTGACGGTCATCGCATTGTTTGAACTCTTCGGTCTTCCTACAACCACATGTGTACATTCGGTAAAACTGGGTACACATATTGGCCTAACCAACCTTAGTTATTAAGCCACGATTATTCATAAATGCTGACGACTTACTGATCCGGCGTTTGAGCAGCGATGTTCAGATTGGTGTCCTAGTTGCTGTCGACCTTTGGACTGGGGTAATCAGTACAATATAATCATGTGATGGATATCAAGATCGGGTCATACAGCCAAACTCGATTTTGTCTTCTCCTAGTAAAGTTTTGATTAATCGTAAATCGAAAATCAAAGGTGAGAGTGCTGATTCAATTTATGTCTTTGATTTCGCAATATTAGATAAGACTCTGCGTTCGCGCCATGGCCTAGAAAGACACCACAAGGGCGCTTCAAATTCCTGATAGAAATTATTGAGGTAGTCTCTTGTCCAACAAATTTGAATTTGACGCATCGCTCAGGTTGGTCTTGTGTACTACAACCAATCTGAGATTTTCTGGACGCGCTGATTCTCTGACGATTGCAACCACACATCGCTTAGCGCCGTCTCGTTCCAGCTCTGACATTTGCAGGCCAATCATAGATCGACCTGCCTGGGCCAGAAATAGGCCATTTGTCGCCTTACAAGAAAATATGCGCCCGCACGGCCCACACCACTTGTTTCAGCAGACGCCGCCCCACCCGACCGCCTTGGACCTTCACCAAGCACAGAAACAATCGCGATATGAACCTGATGCTTCCAACTTGACGGCAGTCGATACACTTCTTGACTACAAAAGCTCGCTACAGGCCTGAAAGAGCCTATTGAACATTCTTCTCTTCATCATTGCACGAAAATAATCATGGCTGAACCATTTGGCCTAGCATCCGGAACCCTTGCTCTGGCGACGCTCGCATTTCAAAGCAGCGTCTCACTTTATGAGACAGTGAACAGCTTCCATCCGCATCCGAAACGTGTGCGCGCTCTTCTCGGTGAGCTTGAAGCTTTAAGCACCGCGCTAGCTTCCCTCGTTGACCGGGTGAAATCGACCTCTGATGTCGGTCACTCAGTCCTGGATCTGCCGCTATTGCGATGCGATAATGCCTGCAAAAAGTTCCGGCAGGAGGTAACCCAATGTACGTCGCGATTGAACAGTAACCGGGCAAGCTTCCGTGACTGGGCGACGCTGACGTACATGGGTGATAAAATTGACGATTTCTGCGATTTGCTGGCAGGATATAAGGCCACGATCAATACTGCCTTGACCGATGCAACTCTGTAAGCTTCCCTCAGCCAATTCTCCGATTGCGGTTCTTACTAATCGTGCGCAAGACGCCAATCTACAGTCACCGTTGAAAGCACCGGAAAATACGAGGATCTCATCCACGATGCGAAGGATGACCTGGGAGCTCAAATTTCTGCAGCCCGGATGGGTAATCAACCAGTAATCGAACTGCTCCAAGCTGAAGTTGACGAAAATGACCAAAGCTTTTTCCGCGTTCTAGTTGATGGGCTGTCTATTAAATACATCACCGTGGAACCGGACATTTACAGCACTGAGGATATGTGCTTTGGCCCTTCTCTGGTGTCGGTCTTGCCGACATTCCCCATTGGTGACTGGAATGATGGATTGGTGGCTAAAAACCCGAACGACGGCAAACCATTCTTTGCGCGTGTCTGTCTGGCCCCATTCCCCGGCGTTCAGAACACCTGGCATGAAATCTATGTCGATTACTTGGATCTTTCGATCGGTCGGAAATTACGAACAGGTATTTATGAAGCCAAATCATCGTTATCTGATGATATTATTGTCGTCAAATTCGCTCGTTTTCCGTGGGAGGTTCAATACATCGAGAATGAAACCACAGCATATCAATGGATATCCGGCCATAATATCGGGCCGCAATTTCTTGGTCACTTAACAGAAAACGGTCGAGTGATCGGGTTTTTAATGGAACGCATTACCGATGCACGGCATGCTAGTGCTGAGGACATTGAGGTCTGCAGGGAGGTATTGTCTCGACTGCATAACCTAGGGGTTCGACACGGAGATACCAATCGATTTAATTTTCTCATCCGTGATTCGAAGGCTACTTTGATTGATTTTGACACGGCCCAGAAATGCGACGATCGTGACTCCCTTCTACAGGAGTCTGAAGAATTAAGTGCATGTCTCAAAGACATGTCAGGTAGAGGAGGTGGAGGTCTCCTTTGAAATGTGCAAGGCTGGCACCATGGCCTGGCTCTGGCAGAAAATAACGGGCCGTACCCTCCGTCTCGTATCGGCCTTCTATCATCTATTGCAGGTTTCGTTGCTATGCCTCCTCACGAGCCAAAGTGCTAGTCACTTTGACCGTTAAGAGGTTGAGCAAAATGTGTCATATGTGGGATAAAAAATGATCGGAGTAATATGATGGCCATCACAGTATCATAGGAAATCTTAGGGTGTTATGAGAGCCACGTTCATCGAATAAAGGAGTCGATGTTCGCCTATTCTACAGTAGTGCATTTTTGGTAAGACAGTCGAATATAATATGCCACGGTAGGCTTATCGAATCATTTGTCTAACTTGAGTCTAATAGCTCAATATGTTAGGTCTCTGGGAGGTGTTGAAACCACTCTTAAGGATTTTCTTTTGGCAGCAATTGACGCGACCACCGTCGCCGCCGCCGACGAAGCGACAGTCAAGATATCGAAGTCCGCCCACTAGGCTAGCTAGCCACTTTGGACAACATTTGGCAGTTTGAGAATTGAAACATTTTATTCAACTTGTGACCGTGCTACAAAGCTATATAGATAACTTGGGCCTTGTCACGAACATGCATGGAGCGGAGGGCATATGCTGGGAGTGGGCCCATATTGGGCCACCGAGGGTAATAGCTGGCTCCAGCTCACGTGTATACTATTTGTCGGTGGTCATGACCTCATGGGTATTACAGCCTGCAATATTGTATTCCAAATACACTGACAGGATAGAATCGAAGTCGGAATGGTGTCTCACCACTTCAGACCGTTGGCAGCTTCGATCGCCACATTCAGTTATCGACGACTTAGGCTTGGTGTGGCTCTGCCAGCCCCGCAGACTTGTTCTAGATCCCCGAGGGACATATTGGCTTTTGGGGAAGCTGGGGAAGATCAATAATCATTATCGACAGAAATTAGTCCTCAGGTCTCTGACAAATATTACCATATGTAGTTGACTATACAAAATAAACACAGTAAGGATAAACAGATCATGCTTTGATAACCGGCTCTCCTATTTGTCCATTTCAGCAACATTCTCGAATGCAATACAGCTTGAGGATGAGCGGGTCCCAGGATCTGTTGCTGCTTGGCCACGCAGGTTTTCAACAAATCTATTGCTATCGCATGTCGACCTGTGGATTTCAAGGTGAAGGCCAGATTGGCCACGTTCGTCAGAGTAGAGGTATGGTCAGCGCCGAGCTTCGTCTTGCACGTCCCGATGACCTGCAGCTCAAGTCGCTCGGCCCTTTCCCATTGGCCCTGTTTCCAAAAATGTCGACGCCAGAAGGGCGATACTCGTCAGCGTAGAGGGATGGCCGCTGCCAAGATTCGTCTTGCTTGTCTCTATAGCCTGCACAAGGAGCTGCTCCGCCTCTTCTAACTGGCTCTGGGCCCAAAATGTCGACGCCAGATTGGTCGTAATTGTCAGCGTGTCCGAATGGTCGGCGCAGAGCCTCATCTTGTGAGTCTCCAGCACCTGCACGAAGAGCTGCTCGGCCTCCCGTGCCCTTCAAGCAGCCATGCTGTGGCCAGTATTGCGGTGCTATCGAGGATATCTTCATGTTTCTCACCTAATAGATATACGGGATCTTATTTTGTTAATGCTATGACGAAATTATCGCAGGGTTTTCCTGCCTAGCAATCACCTTTTTTGAGGTCCGCAGCTTTGAGATGCTTCTCAAGCTCCCAGGAACTGCGAGATCGCCAAGTCAAGTGCATTTCCTAATACCCAGCATCCCCCAGACTTTCCAGCCAACATCACTTTACTGTTATATATGTCGAGCTGCTCGAGTATGTGTATGTACCATAACAGTTCGTCTGATGCTCTATCGAGTTCGAAGGCAGTCTCGATGAGACTTGGCCACTTCAAAGTAGCAATAGTGCCATCCCGAAAATCCTTGAGAACCGTACTCATACCGGCGCGCCTTATAACGGAATATTGGGTCACAAGGTCGCGAAGTTCGTTTTCAACAGGGCTAAGCTGATGGCAACATGCTAACGGGAGGCAAATCGAATGAATAATGTACAGGTAAAAGCGGTGTACAGGCATCTTCTTAAATTTATCTTGCCGTGATTGAGACAGGGACAGTGTTTTGGAATATAAAACACATTCTCCAACACATGGACGACTCTTATAGGTCCCGAAGTGACCGATGAATATAGGCTCGCACGCCTCAGCGCGTGCATCATAGGTCTTTTGTGCTTGGGGGGGGACGATATGATGAAACTGGTTTCCTTAATGTAGAGGTTCGTTGAAATACCATCTGGGTGACAACCGGTGATGATGAGTGAGTGGCTGGGTACGCCTGAGTTGGACTCAATTCAATCGGGACAACCATTTGGTATTGATTTGAAACATACTCGTTTTAGTGATACCAGAGTGGTAATCTATCGACACAAATATCTGTGGCTGTGCCTAATATCTGTGGCTGTGTAAGAATCACGTATGATATGACAAACGAATACCAGTTTCAAATTCTAAGTTAATTACAATACTATGATTCCCCGTCCCCTATCCACTACACTCTCTTTCTGTTGCACGGTCTCGTTTGCGAATGCTTCAAGTCCATGTACAATGGCCACTCTCAATCAATACTTATTTCTGGCTCATATATTTGAGCCAAGAAGAGGAATAGGTGTAAACGGGAAAGCTGCCGCTTACGCATGTATCTGTTCTATTTCACTACTAATACTAATGTATCAAATCACTTTTCAAGGAGTTTGCACTCTGCTCATAGCCCAGTGACCATGCAAGTAGAGTAGCGATTCTACTAGGAAGAATGTAGGGGAAGACGAAGCTAGGCTTAGAAAAATATACGTGATATCTGGAATTGGTACTGTGCTACATACGTCTCAATGTAGGTTCCCCACTTTTCTCAGAAGAGCTTGCTATAACGTCTATTGTACAAGGGGACTGTGCACAACATGCTAAAACAGATGACGTTGTCCCAAGGCACTGAGGGAAACATTTGTTTTACTGCATATACGTTCGATTACAACGAGGTCAGAAGCGAGAAAAAGGAAAACGAATTACCCTCACTTTCTAGACTACTGTTTATGAGCCAGGCCCTTTACACAGGACCAAATTTTGACCAACTCGAGGGGAATCGAAGGTCCACCAGAGGCTCGCTGGACCTTTCAATATGGTTTTCCTAAATAACAATTGATGATCCCCATAAAGCGAAAGTATCAGCTCATGAAAGACTGCTTCCTATGTTAACCTCAGAATCAGGCAAGAAGACTATCAATGGAGGGTTCTCCGTCAGCAAAACCCGGATCACCAGCACCGACCGTTCAGCACGCCTTGAAAACGAGTCACGCGAGAAGGGTTTATCAAAAAGTACAGCGGAGAAAAGAAACTCTCTTTAAAAAAGCTTTCGAGTACTCCGTTCAATGCGATGCTGATATTCAGCTTATTGTGCGGATAAGGAAGACCGGTCAGATTTTTACTTTGACTTCCAACTCGGAAGGGTGGCCGCTCTCCGCAAAACAGCTGGTATGTTAAACCTCATGCACATTTTCAATGCTTACTTATTGATCACTAAACGAGAAAGGCCATAAATCACCCACTTCCAATACAAAAAACGACGGAGGACCTTTCTAGGCAATATGAGGAACAGGGTATCTCCCTTAATGAAACCAAGGTCGGCGTCCAAAGCGTCACAGAGAACAGCAATACAGATGGCCTGGTGTTATGATTTCTAATGCGAAAATCTAAAGTAGAAAATGCGTGAATGACTTATCCCGGGAGAATCCAGATCTTGGCAGATCGTGACGTGAAACATCCTCACGGCCGTAGTAGCTACGCCAGATCCAAGGTAGATCACTATCCACAGTTCCTTAGCGAATTTGCAGAGTTGTCTACATAGCGTAGGTCATATGTGCCAGAGCCCTTTAGTCAATTGCATCGGGAGAGGGCGTAGTCTTATGGCCACTACTGTAAAGCCAGGTAAACATGCACAAGCCTTGAGGGTCTCTAGGAGATCAATGGCTTCCCAGCACCGCTATCAGGTCTCCCAGGAACATGTTAGTCAGTCCACAGGGATACAGGTTGCCTTCCTAGGAGCGACAAGTCCCCCAGGAGCGGGTAAACCTTTTCCTGGGATCTGCTAACTCCCCATAATATGCTCAGAGTGATGAAGGCCTCTCGGGTCACTCGGCGGATTCTCCCTACTATGCACGCCACACTCTCAGCATCTATATTTAGGTGCTTTTCAAATGGTTTGTTTCAACAGTTACGGTGAAGATCCACAGAACATTGTCTTCCATTCATAGTCAGTGAATGAAATTATCAGTTATTTGTGATTATTGACCCACTTCCTAGATTCGTCCTTGATCTCAAACTCGATGATACGCTAAGCTTGCGACACTTATTGGAGAAAAAGTGGCTGGAAGTTCTCCGGTGTCCCCGGGCCTTTTCTTAACATTCACGTCAAAAAGCCAGAGCGTGTAACAAAAGCAATAAAGTCTGCTCGTTAAACATCATTCTGGTATTTGAATCAGCTCTAAACATGCATAACCCCCTGACCCATAAGGGGTGTAGCGATGGCCGCATTCACAGTGTAATTCTTGCCACTCAGATCACAGAGTCCACGTAGTGAGCTTGTTACCGGCATAATTCAATGAATGGATTTTAGAATTTGCTAATGCTTCGTAGCTGGGGATCGATGCAATCCAGCCTTGGTCCATTTGACACACCGGAATGTTTCACAGCTCGCGAGGTGTACCTTCGATGGCGCCCGGCATCGCTCCTTGTATTCTTGAGTTGATGATGCCGACCCAGCCTTTGGCTTCTTCGGACATTCTGGGTGCAGTTTTCACGTCGACCGGAGAAGCTTGAGTGATTTTCTTCGCTGGAGGGGCTCTTGGGTTGCTTTAAGAGCCCGGAATGACGTTGTTTGACTGCGTTCAGAGTTCTTTCGGGAAAAGTATCATGGATACGGTCCCATGGCCATTTTTGGCTGTCTCTCAGATCGAGCAAACGACGATCATCCTCAGGAGTCCACTTTTCACGCGTGGTAACTTGCCGTGCCTGTACGGTCGTAGCTTTTCGAATAGGATTCGCTATTGATAGGGTGCTTGTTGCAATGATACCATATGCGTGCTGCAATGTTTTAGTTGCAAGTTGGATTACCGCAAGATTTTCTTTGAGAATATCGGCATTGGCAAGATCATCAGAGAACTTGGCCTCGACAGTACTTAGGCTGTAAAAACGTTTTAGATACCTGATCGCATTCCCGAGCCCGACTAGATGATTGTCTGCATAGTCCTCTCCGCTATGAAATGACGAACTTTCGGCTTCTGATTGACTCGTTCGTCTTCCTCGTGACTTAGTCGCATTGATGGTAGTTGAAGTCGGGTACCGGCGTCGTTTCGGGGAAGGGATACCTGGGTCCCCCAAAGCACGTTTCCTTCGACTTGCAGTAAACTGCATGTGATCATCTTCAAAAACATCGAAGACTCTCGTTGTTCCAGGTCCATCTAGGCCAGTCACAGATGCCGTACTACTGACTCGGGAGGAAGGATAAAGCGCAACCTCTTCGGGATAATTGGGGTACTTATCGGCGGCTGGTGCATCATCGGGATAGGCGTCAGGCGAAACAGGTCGAGAGAGCCGGTCAGTTTCCGATGCTGGGAATAACATATCAATCCAAACGTCTTGGAGCAAATCTTTGAAGATTTAACTTACCGAAGTTCATTACTCTGCCTTCTTCTTCTGGCACATTGTTCTTCTGGCTGTAGCCGCCTGCTTCGCAGCTTTCTCTTGACGTGTTCAGTTGCTCTGTTATAACGATGGTCTGAGTTTCCGAACCAACCGAAGAGCACCTTCGCGGGGAATTCGGTGTTGGCTGCCAGAAATTTTGATGATTCAGCGTTACCATGGTGAACGCAAGGATCTTTAGAGGAGAGTTGAAGTGGGAGATAGCGAAGTTGGAGTTAACAGGATGTAGGGGGAAAAAGCCGCACGAAAGTGATCCTTGGGCTTTTTATATTCCAGGCATCATTGTCTCTTCACCCCCGTTGCACTATGAAGCGAAATGTAAGAAGATCGGCAAAGTTTTCGGCCCAATAACTAATGCAGCATGGTAATGAGACTACATGTGTTATCGGCGCAGCTTCTCGACCCTTTGCGGCGGCCAATTGAAACCCTTTCTATCTCGTAGTGGATCGACTGGAGGAAGCGTTCCCAGGAACACTAACATGATATGGACTGTCTGGGGGACTTCTTTTCTGAATTTATACTCGGACAGATGGTTGATGTCTCCGCTTTTCGTAGCACGGCGTATCGATGCAGTCGAGGCCCATGACAGGGAACCTGGGAATATTTGCCCAATGGAGGCAGTGTTTGATGTTCCTGGGATCGAGTCAGCCTCGGAGATAGCACCGCGAAAATACGTCATTTCCTAGCTCCGCTCCCAGGAGCACGAGTAGGCAGCAGTGCGGTTACTGTCGGAGCATGTGAAAGAACGGAGAGGTAGAATGAGGTCGAATGGGCCGGTCGGCCTGAACATTGGGGTGAGCGATCAGGCTGCTCAGGGAGTAAATCAGGGTCGCTCAGGGAGCAGCTCAGGGTTGCTCAGTGAGCAGCTCAGGGCGGCGGGGTGACTAACTCACCCTGTGCTCCGGGAGCCGATCACTTCCCGAGGCGGCAGTTTTACCGTCACCATTATTACGCCCGAAATACCGACAAACAACATTCAGATAGCTATCACCTTGCTGAAATGACTGGATTTCTTGGGCCACCACCGCGCGTTATGCTTGAGCAAAGTCAATATGCGAACAAGTTTTTTGATGATTGCGGTAAGTTTTCAGTTTTCCCTTTTGGTCTCATTGAAGTTCTTTTGCTAATCAGTGGAAGATAGGCAAATGGAAAGGCCTTAATGAAATTCCTTCTACGTCTTTAGAGGACCTGGAGGGCAACGTCCAAGGAACGCAGCAAAAGCTTCTTCTTGGTTTTATGCGCAAAATGCTGCGGTGGCGACCAGAGGAACGAGTTTCGGCGAAAGAGTTGCTATTGGATCCTTGGTTAAGATCACCATAGTTTTGAAATGGCTTCCCGCCTAAAATACTATATGGTAGTTAGATTAATTAAAAAGAAAGAGAATATAAAAAGAAGAATCTCCTAAGAGGACTTTTCGGAAAGGTAGGGGAGGTTTGCATCATCCGTGAATCGAACACGGGCCTCGTCGATGGCAACGACGAATTCTACCACTAGACCAATGATGCTAGTTGTTGAAGAACTATGGCAAAATTTGCACTACAAATCAATTGCACATCGAATGTGTAAGGTTTGAGGCTACCTTTGGAACTAAACGTATTTTTCATTCGTCGAGTTGATTGGATCACTGTTTTGGAGATGTGAAAATGCCAATTGAGTCAATCGATACTCCCCAGGCTTGCGAAGGCATGAACGTGTCCGTAAGTGTGAAAATATATCCGGAGCAAATCGGTCTGCTTCTTTTAGGCCAAGACATGACACATTCCAGTGGTTAGGACCGAATCGCGTAGACATATCTGAAGGGACCAACACATGTACGTGAGTGTGTTGCCATGGATGTGCGTTCTCTATAACCTTGGAAGCTTAAACCAACAATTTGTATTTATGTACCCAAATAATTCTATAGTGAGACGTTCCCTCGACGGACAGACGGTATCTTTCTCGGACGAGGTATTATTTAAAAAAAGAGAGCATCTATCTAATCATCCCATTCCTCATCGAGTTGATCAATCAACCGATTTTCCGCATCCACATCCCTTCGTCCACCATGCCCTCCGCCTCGGCCACCGATAGCACCGATGAACCCACCGCGGCTATCACTACCCGCGCGAGTATATCCGCTGTTCGACGGTCGGTTGGATCGGAAACATTTCCCGACAGACGAGAACATAATGACGAACATGTCCTGTGGGGAAGAAGTCAGCACACTGCTTTGTGCGAAACCATTGTAAAATAAAGGAATCTCCCAGAGTCGGTGACAAGGACCAAGAGGTGCAATGTAGAGAATACGGGTCCTTGGAGCTGTGTTTATCTAGCAACATCCAAAACCAAACAACTCAAGTATGAGAGGAAGTAAGACCACCGGATATTGCCAGATAAACCGTCGAAGTGATGCATGAAAATCGTGGAATCTCGCTCCGGAGTCATGACAAAGTACACGCCGTGGTCAACACAGACGAAAATCGAGCATATAACTAGCAAATGGAAAGAACGCAGCAAGGACAACGCAAGGGCGAGCGCGTTTAACGATGCAAATCAGGCCCCAGACCAGCTAAAGCCAATTCAATCCAATCGTGAAACCGGTAGCCCAGCAACACTTGAGTTCTGGTGGGAGTGCGAAGCCACGGTTGTATACCTGGCCCTTCGAGACCGACAGGGAACTAGAAACAGGATACTCACTTTAATGAAATCGAACATCCCAGCCCAGAGGCTGAAGTTCGGGCACTGGCGCCAACCGCGCTGGTGCATGACCGTTCGTTGATAAGCACAACCACCAATCAGATAAGCGGCCACGGCGATGAGCATTCTGAAATCAAGGACGTTAGCATCGACTCCCACACCTGTACGAGGGGGAGAACCCACATCACACCAAAGACCCCACCTGGTCCCATCCCACCGGCGTTCGGATCGACCGCAATTCCGCCACAGGCAGCAGAGCTGCGCACCTCGAAGTAGTAGGTGCAAGAGTCCATGGTACCGACGAAGGAGGGGGTGGCCTGGTTCGGTAGAGCATCGCGATCGCAGAGGAAGGACATGATGGTGGATTTCCTTCGAACGGAGCTGTTCGAGCTGGCGGTGTTAAAGTCGTCGGGGCATGGGGACCCATTCGTATAATTGAGGACGAGCTTACGGCCCCGGAAGAAAGGATCCGAAGCTTGCTGTCTGTTAAGGCAAGAGGCGTTAGCATGGGAGACTCCAGGATATCAGATCCACCATACCCAATTGAATATATCTTCCCATCGCGCTCGTAGAATGCGCTGACGTTCTTCCAGAGCGATGATTCCACTCCCACTACATCTTCCACCTTCTCAATGACCGGCGCGCAGATGTTGAGCGTGAAGTTGGCCATGTAGTCATGGCCCTTCGCGTGCCAGCTCTCGCCACGGTCATCCTTATTCACTTGCTTGCCGTTCTTCAATTCAGGTGGCGCTAGCGAGATCGCCCTCAGGTCGAAGTACATGCCGCTGGTTGGCGAGCGAGCCACACAAGGGGCATCATCTTTCAGGTGAGAATTGTCGGCGCTGGCCAGGCCCAGGATGGATGATAAGAGGAACAGCGAATAATGAGCAGAGCCTGTCAGCTTCATGATGAATGGTCAACAAGTCAGAGACTTGCAGACAGAGCAAAGTGTCGAAAACAGCGGAGTCCAGCTCTTGGTGAAATGGGAAGAGCTTACGTTGCATCACCGGTGATTGGCGATGGTTGGCGATGCGGAGAAAGGGCCGGAGCCGCGGGCGCTTGGCTTCCGGTGTCGTACGCGATCGGAGCTTGTTGCCTTTATTTAATCCTCTCCCCTGGACTCTCCCCTGGACTCTCCCTCTCCAGGCAACGATCTCTTTCACAATGGCACCGAAAGTCTCCAATTCTAAGAAATCCGTCCCAATCCAGCCAGTCCCTGAAAAGCGCGGCTACGAGTTCGGTGGACCGTATGTCTGCTCCAATCCAACTTGAAGCTCTGTACTGACCTTCGCTGAAGCCTAGGAGCTGCAGGAATTGTGTTCGGTCTCCCCGTCCTGGTCTACGTCTTCGCTTTCGTCTGCAACGATGTTTCAGGCTGCCCCGCGCCCGGGCTGTTGCACCCCTCGACCCTGACAATCGATCAGCTAAAGAGCGAAGTGGGGTGGCCCGAGGAGGGAGTTGTTGGGCTTTTCAATGCTGAAGTAACTCTCTGGATATTGAGTTACTATGCATTCAGCTTGTTCTTGCAGGTCTTCCTGCCCGGCCAGGTAGCCGAAGGTGTTCCTCTCGCATGCGGAGGCAGACACAAGTACAAGTTCAATGGTATGACGAGAGACCTGATCGAATTGCTCACATAAAAGCAAGCATGCAGAGCGTTGCTAACAGATCCTCGTCTCACAGCTTTCCCCTCTGCTCTCGTCATTCTCGGAAGCTTGGCCGCCGGAACCTACATGCACGGAGCTGATTTCGTCGTTTGGACCTTCTTGTGGGACAACCACATTCAGGTTATTACGGCGAACCTGCTGATTTCCTCGGTGGTTTCGCTTTTCGTATACATCCGCAGCTTCTCCATCCCAGAACCCGGCAAGCCTAACCCGGATCTGCGAGAGTTGGCGCCTGGAGGCCACACCGGAAATCCGCTATACGACTTCTTCATCGGCCGCGAACTGAACCCCCGTATTCGCCTGCCGATTCCGTTCGTCGACGAGGTATCGCGCACAATCGACATCAAGGTGTTTATGGAAATGAGACCGGGCCTGCTGGGATGGACCATTTTGAACCTGTCAAATGTGGCGCATCAGTACCGAGCCTACGGCCATGTGACCGATTCGATCGTTCTGGTTACCATCTTCCAAGCATTCTACATTCTGGACGCATTGTACATGGAGCCCGCTATCATGACTACCATGGACATCATCATGGACGGATTCGGCTTCATGTTGTCATTTGGCGACGTGGTCTGGGTTCCCCACATTTACAATATCCAGACCCGCTATCTCTCTGTCTTCCCTCTTCAACTGGGCTGGACTGGAATGGCACTCGTCCTGGGCGTCACCGCTGTCGGATACTCTATCTTCCGCGGTGCCAACAATCAGAAGAACCGATTCCGTACCAACCCCAACGACCCCCGCGTGAAGCACATCAAGTACATCGAGACTGCCAGCGGTTCGAGATTGATGACCTCTGGATGGTGGGGTCTGGCCCGTCACATCAACTACCTCGGCGACTGGATCATGTCGTGGGCTTACTGCCTGCCCACTGGCATTGCAGGTTATGCTATCATCGAAAGCATCAGCCCGGTCACTGGCAACCTGGAGAAGCAGGCTGTTCAGACTCCCGAGGCTCGTGGCTGGGGCATGATCCTCACCTACTTCTACATGCTCTACTTTGGGATCCTGTTGGTTCACCGTGAAATGCGCGACGAGGAGAAGTGCAAGAAGAAGTACGGAGCTGACTGGGACCGTTATACCTCGATGGTCCGCAGCCGGATCATTCCTGGTATCTACTAAGGTGATCTAGGATAGATCACCTGTGTATAATTTCCTTCTCTGCGATATTCTCAAGAGCTCTGTATTCCAACATTACTGTGTTTAATACTGACACCCGAGGAACTGGCCAACGGCCATGAAAAGTGCGCTTTGTACAACATCGTTGGTTTCCATTTGAAAAAAAAAAGCCGGAAATCGCAACTGCATTCAATTCTACATACTATGTATTGTTATTGCGACGACTGCCTGATGCAGGCTTACTTCTAGTATTTAATTAAAACTTAATGATTCATTTAAAGGGTATATCAACGCTTTCGCTTCTTAGGGTCACTCAGCACATCTAACCCCCAGCTCTCGTCACCTGTGTTGGGTATCCAGCCCTTGAGTACTTCCTTAGCGCCTCGAATGGCTTCTTCACGGACTCGAACCGGATCTTCCAAGTGACCTCCGGCCCGTTTCAGGTCTTCATACGTGTTGGCGTATTGAATTGTTCGCAAAGGTGTGCCAAAATACTGCTCAGCCGTAACAGCCTTTGAAGTCTGCTTCTGGTCCGCAAGGGAATCTGGGCTAGTATGGCATGTTCTCAAGGTGATAATATCAATGAGTAGAGCCCACAACTTGGCTCTAGATAGTGATGACGCACCCCGCGGGCCAGGCGCAGATGCTTTGTTCCCTTGCTTGACACCATTTATTATGGTTTCGTAGATCCCAGTTCTGGAGCGGCGCAATACAGGCAAAGTCTTGCTCCCAGTATCCGGTGTTATCGCGCACGAATGTAAATATGACGGCGCTGCTGTCCACACTGCACTTGCGTTCCCCGGCTTGCTCTTCTTAGGCATGAACTCAGAATCTGTAGGCTTGGGCTTTGCAAACGGCCATAGCACCTGGAACTCCTCGGCCGGCACGGGAAGAATATCGAACGGTCGAAACCGAAATCCAATTTCACTCTCTTTGCAATCATTGATGTCAGGCCACGACCGTCCCGCCAAAGCCGCCATTCGGCCGTTCTTTCCAAACGCTCGATCGCACGCAACGCGACTGATCTCATCCTCGGGAAGAATAAATCCAGCCAAGTATGCATTCGCCGTGGGGGCAACGAGACGAGCGGTTTCACACGAGAGGAGAGAAGACACCTGCCGCAGGGCAATTTTATCGGAGCAGGACTTGCTTCGTGTAGATTCTGCATCCGTGCGAGCTGGCTTTCGACGAACGATACCGAGAAGAGAGAAATGGGCGCGTCCGTCGAGAAGATTCTCCTCGACGGCGCTTTCTGCATCTGGGCCAACGTTGATTTGGCGTCTCACCTCCCATGGAGTGGCGTCTTCTTGAGATGCCATGCAGAGCTCCATGCTTGCATCACCACAGGGAGCACATGTGCAGTACATGTAAATCTTGACATCGGGCTGAATCTCGAAAGGCGGCCAGTCTATTGACGAGGTTGATGCATGATTTTGATGTTCTGACCTTCTTTTTCTGCGGATGAATGGAGATGTTGAATTGCTTCTATTTTCTGACCTGGAGCTTTCGGGGGACTTGGATTTGTGCTCCAGCTCTTCAACCAGAAAGCTATGGCATTCGGTGAGAAGCCAGTAATTGAAGGCGCGGAAGGCCAATATCTCTGCGTGGCAGTCATGGAGCACCAGACCTCGACAGCGGGGGACTTGAGAAGCGGACAAGCATTTTGCGCCGGTCCTACAGAGAAATTAGCATTTGGATAACAGAAGAAATTTGTGAAATCCCAGAAAAGATGACAACTCACAACCGTGGTCTGAGAGGAACTTACGTGATCGCTATGCAATGCAGGCTCTCTGAAGCTGTATTTTCTCCTACAATAGAACCGGCACGGTTATTATGGCAGCTTTCCAAGCATAAGGTACAACATACCTTTGACAGCAACAATCCCGGTCATTGGAATCCACTCCCTCGAGCCATCTGGAAAGATGCTTGGCTTACTGCGATTGGGCAGAGCATCGAAATGTGAATGGACCAGCGATGCTATCCGGGACGGCAAAGGGGCCGTCGAAGTAACTTCGGGCATCAGTCCATAGAACTCGATGTGAGTAGCCCTCTTCTCAACTTTATTTGAAGCCGGGATCAAGTCCAAAGTTGTGAACGAGGTTGGTCAAAATGTGGCATTGATATCCAATTCAGTCACGTGATCGCAATTTCCATCTCGGCCCAGACTTTCACTGCTTCACTTCACTCCTTCACCTAACTACACACGACCTATCACCCAAAATGGCCGACAAGCTGCGCACCCTTCAAAACCTCGAGGCTCTCCAGGCCCGATACATCGGTACTGGCCATGCCGACACCACCAAGCACGAGTGGACCTCCAACATCCTTCGCGACAGCTATGCCTCCTACGTCGGCCACAACCCGCTGCTTTCCTACATGGCTGTCGGTATGGGCGAACCCAAGGAGAAGGTTCGAGTTATGATGTTAGAGAAAATGGTACGCGGTGCCGGTAATCCTCCAGAGGTATGCGATCACCCCAATTTCCTTCAAGGCGCGAATCGTTCACTAACCTTACGTCTGTTTTAGACCCAAGAGTAATTTAGTCAAAAATGACTTGCCATCACACCACACTCACCAACCTCCCCTCGACCCTGTCAATCAGTGTGTGGGATCCGTCTACATCTTTGCTGCACCAGACGCGCCGAGACCACAATGATACCCGCCTCCAAGAAGGCAACCGAAATCCGTCGCGAATTTCATAACCATAACTACCTGGATATCCGGTCTGCGATTCATGTACCTACAGCCATAGCTCTCTCAAACGAGGGTGTCTCGTCTCGCTTTGAAGGAATTGCGCAGACATTCTCGTTCCCACAATCCGCTCTTCGGCCGAATCGTTTCGACATGTCCATTCGTGCATGGAGGCTCCCCCCCCCCCCAAAATTTCGGCCCCGTATCGATAATGTTCCTCTGAACCCAATTTATGGTGTTGAAAAGTGGTACAACCAGTGGCCATTGCCTGTTACAGTCACCCTATGGTCTTGCATTTCATGGGAGGATTGAATTGCATATTTATCGACGCGCGAGATACTTGCTGCAGATACATGGCTGTTGGATCCACCATTCTACATGTCGTTGAACAATAAAAATTAATGAAATCATTCTCAATTTCTAAAGAGCTGTACAGACGCGGCGACTCTACACCGAACAAGATACTATAGACAGGAAAGCTAAAAGCAATAGCAAGACAACACCCGGTAATCATCACGAGCCGCAGAACGAGCACTAAAAAGCATCCACACGTCGAGAAGAACCCACTGTCTCACGAGCTTTTCGCCGTTCCACTGTCCTCGTCCTTCGCAACCAACCTCGTATTCTCCGCCTGCAACGCAGTAACAAGATCCACCCACTTCTGCCGCTCCGTACGCAACTTGCTAACTTCCTTCTTCAAGTCTTTGACTTCACTCCTTAGGGTCTCAAGCTCTGATTTAGATTTCGTCTTTTCCGAGCGCTCAGCTTCCTTCTTCTGCCTCGCTTCAATCTTCGACGCGACCTTGATCTGACTGGTCTCGATCTTGCGGAGCTGTTTCAGAAGCTTAGACTCCTCATGGAAAAGCTGCGACGTAACCTTGTGGATATGCGCAGGGGGCTCGGGACTCAGTGTCTGCGATGACGGGCCCTCGCTACCATTTCCACCGTTCTGGCTATGTTGTGTGCCAAAGCTGGCTGGTGTCGAAGATCGATTCTCAGCTGCGCGTTTGAGCATTCCGCTCGTGTCGCTGTCGATCTCGTGGGGGGCCTTTGATGGGGTTCCGGGTTGGCTTTGGGGCGGGACTTGGAGCTTGTCGAGTTCGGTACGGAGCGTCTCGAGCTTGGAGTCGATTTCGCGTTTGCGGAGAGCTAACTTTGCGAGTTCTTTCTCGTGCGAGCTTAGTTTGCCGTCTTTTGTCATTTCCATCAGCGCTTTCGGGGGTAGGTTATTTGGCCCCAATTCCACCGCTGGAATGGTGCCCTCCGAGCGGGTTGAAGAGATCGAGGCATGGTCTGGATCTTGGGTTGTAAAGTAGTCGGCACCCCGGCCATTTTTTGTACTGGGACTTCTGGTGCTTTGTGATGCGGAATCTGCCGTGTTATCATCTCCCTGCGGGAAAGAGCCTGGCAGCTCGTGGTGCTGTGGCATATAGTCGAGGACTGCTTGAGGTGCATATCGCTCAAAACCAGTGTTGAGTAAGCTGGTCACGCTGGCTATCAAACCATGGTGGGACTGGACACTTGTATCGGTCAAGTCGGAGTCGGAACCGTCTTCATCAGAACCCTCGTCGTCGGCCGGTTCTCCCGACTTGGCCTCGGTGCTCTTGGATGAATTGGTGCTACCACCCGGGGAGTCGTCCTTCTTTGGGCTGTTCTCAGCCTGTACAGCCCAATTAATGAACTTGGCGGCGTCTGCCCCGACACTTCCCGGGGTGCCCTTGTTGACCATCCATTTGGGGATGTTGCCTCCTGGGTCGCTTCGGGTTACCATGATCCACTCGACAGGGTTCATTTCCTCGCCTTCATCCAAAGCGCCATCAGCTTCAGCATCTGCACTCTGAGACTTGGACTCATCGGAGCTATTCTCTTTCTGCTTCGTGTCTGACTTCTTTCCAGAGCTGACCGAGCTAGATGAGCTCCCATTGCCTTGCTTGGGGATTTCCCGAATAAGCTCGACAGACTCATAGACTCCTCGGGTATAGCCAGGCCTCTGCGGCACATCGGGATGTTCACAAGGCTTGGACACCATCATCCAGCTCCGGCCAGGCAGATTCGTCCCGCCTATCCGCAGCCCATGCTCAGATGTAATGATCAGAGCCACGAAGTCCCGAGGAGCAGTCGGCTTAGGAAACTGCGCAGAGACATGGTAAAGCGTAACGCGGCCTATCGCTGACCCATCCTCATCGAAGACCTCCACATCCTCGACCTTCTCTTCGGCGCCAATACCACGGATACTTTTGTCAGGTACTTGTCCCTTCTCAATCTTCTTCCGATTAACCTTCAACGTCTCATCATACTCCGACGAAAGCTTCCTTTGCCATAGCGCAAAGGGAAGACCCTCGTGTACACTGCGTCTTCCGAACCACTGGCCGCCGTTGTCGTTTGGGTTCAGCTTCCACACGTGGATACCGAGTGGATTGTCCTTCACGCCACCCATTTTAATAGGCTTCCCCCACTGCTTCTGCATCGACGTAATCTCCGGGTCTGTTTCCCCTACACGTGCTGACGAAGGAACGACTCGCCGCCAGGAGCCTGAAGCCTCCGATTCTCCACCGTATGGCACTTCGTGCTCGTACTCCGGAGGGTCCGGAAGGGATTCCGCTACTAGGCGGCTTTGTTTGAAGATGCCACGCACGTATTCTCGTAGCTCTTCGGGGGTTTGAGGAATTGCCTCCCATGATGTTGGCTTGAGGCATTCGAGAGCCTCGTGTAAAGTGGACATTTTGATGCGATGGGGTATCAGAGGGCTGATGACTGGGATGCAAGGGAAAATAGGCAGGGGGGTTCGGTTGTAGGTTGTCTATGACTGGAGAGGCTGTCAGCAATGGTCGGAGAAGCTACAGGGAGTGAGGGGTACAGTGAGGACACAGTTGTCTGTAATAGTGCTGACTTGGCAAGAACAGGGGACCCGGAAGTTAGCGGTGTTTCAAGCCAGGTTGTCAACCCCGGCAAATTGAACCGCAAAGAAGACTGAGGGGTGGGATGGTCAGGAGTCACAGATAAATGAGCGGAACGACGGAAAGAGCTATGGCCCAAGGAAGAGCCGGTTTAAATGCGCGAGATAGCTGATTACCTCGTATATAAGAGGAAGTATGATTATTTCGTTAATTAAAGAATGCAAAAGTACAAGGCATTGAAGGCTGAGGCGGAACCTGGCTGGGCGTCGGGGGACTGACGTCATACGGGGGTAGATCGTGCAGTGTTTCCCCAGTTTTGTCCGAGTGGAGCCGGTGCTGTACCTGATTTCCTGCATATTAGTGATGCTTGATTTACTATGATTGCACTGTGACATTCATCTTGACTACTGCGGTGTTTAACATTTCTAGATGCCGAAAAAGCCGAGCCGGAATGGGCGGAATCGCCGATGTCATTGTATGAAAGCCATGTGTTTGCTTAGCAACAGATAAATGAAATCAACGTCCTTATCTAGATGTCACTTCTTTCTCGCTCTCGCCTAATATAACCTACTAGCTATGCAGTATAGCCTACAGGAGCAGAATTGGTTTGTATGCAACTCATAAAGGAAACCTAAGAGCTACATACAGATTGGGACTAAGCTGATAGATCAACGTAAAGGCAGAGAATGACAGCCAGCGCAAGAGGGGCTAGCCCCCAGAACGCAGACAACGAAACTGAGAAACCAGCATCTGATTCTCGGTGTTGGGAATAAAATGGTTAGTGCTCTGCCATCCAGTGAACGAGCCCCAACAAACCGAGCGTGTCCAGGAAACAATCCAGCCTGAACACTCGTAGGGGATGAACCTATATACCATCCGTGATTGTGTGGTGGTGAGGTTCGCAGCGCATCAAGGGGATTAACTTGCCAGTCGAGCCGTTCGTCGCTTGGGGCGGAATAAACCTCCAGTCACAGACTTCAGGTTTCAGTCCGAGCCCTTCGCGCCCGGTGATCGCCACAGGCGGATATCCGAGTCTGAACATGGCGATGGCACGCATCCCCTCTCCGACGCTTGAGCTTCACCGTCACAAACCACAGATGGCAGAGAAAGGCGTGACATACTGCATCACAGATAACAGTAAGCCACGCAGTCGCGTGGACGTCTCCAAACAGCCATATCAAGGGGGTTACCAGTCAGGTATCCTGTACCCAAAAGACAGTCCTCGACAGAGACCGACAGAAGGAACAGCAAGCACCGAATCCGGTCAGTGATGAAGTCCAATGCCGGTCCCCGTCGAACCGCGATGACGAATCGAAAAACATAACGATGGACATTCCACATCCAAATTCATATCCCGTGCCGCGAGGCAGACCTGGTCTTCATGACATATATGGGGGAAATGAAGCAAAAAGAAAATAACAAGAGCCGACCCGCCGCTTCTCGATGCAAAAAGAAAGGAAAAAGAAAAAAAAAACAAAAAACGCTGACGCTGGCTGAGTAGAACAAACAAAGGTCACAAAACACGCATGCCGAAGGATTATCTTGAAGTATGATGCAAAATAAGACGAAGGGGAGTATCACGAATGCACACAGAGTCGATCGAAGAACGCCGTCGAGAATGCCAATTATCGGAGGTGACTGGACAAGATGCTGTTGTTGCTTGCATCGCCAAATGAGAGCGATGGGAATACCGATCCTGATCCGGACGATCTACGTCGGGTTATCAGGGTAGGCATCGGGCAGCGAATGCGCCGCGGGCTGGCTGGAGGAGTCGACACCATCGGGTCTACTCCGGTCCGGGAGTTATATCGTCGTGCCGTAAGGCAACGGGGCGAACCCATCCCAGCCGAAGCCCATGCCCATTCCCATACCCATGCCCATGCCCATGCCCATGCCAACGCCCATGCCCATGTTAGCTGTCGTGCTGCAGAGCATACTGGGAAGCGGGAGCGTCGAGATAGCCGCCGAGGTCGCCGCCATTTCGTACGTCTGATATGGCGCGGTGGTGTAGGCTTGGCTGTAAGAGGGAGTCGGCGATGGCAGCTGGGCGTCACTGAAACCAATACTGGCCCAAAGATTCGAATTAGAATCACCCGTGCTAGCCGGGGATGGGCTGGGCGGCAGTACCTTCCACGATTCGAGAGGCGCGGAGGGTGGAATGGGGTTGTGCCACCAGATTTCAGGACCGGTCGAGCTGGGCAGGAGAGGCACCGGACGTAGAACGTCCACCACGCGTGGTGGCGGAGGCAGAAGCGGCACGAACAAGCCGGTGATGGCGGCCTTGGCCTCCTCGCTACGTCCGCAGAGCAACTCTCCCGCGCCGTCCTCCTCCAGTCCCTCCAAAGCCTCGGCGTTGGCCCGGTATACAAACTTGTTAGCGGCCTGGACGAACTCCTCCTGAAGCTTCTTCAGCTGAGCCTGCTTCCCGGACCAGTCCCACGTGTTGGCCGCAGCGTCGACTGAATAGATGTCTTTATGGAAATCTACCAGGGCTTCGATCGTTTCCGGGGTCAACTTGAAGGCCACCTCGTTCCGTGAGACCATGTCGACGTGCACGACGTAGGCCTCGATGTGAACCATCTGGAAATTGAATAGGCCTTCCATGAGGGGGTTCTCGTCCTTGCGCAGCTCCGCTTCGGGTGCTTTGGTGAACATCATCGAGCATAAGGTCCAGATCGCATTCGTTGACGATAGCGTCTCTGTCAAACACCGGGTATGTTGGGTGACGTTGTTCAGAGGGCGCTTCACCCGGTTGACCCGTTTCAAAGTGGCCGTCAACCAGGGTGCGACCTTGGTATTCAGGACGACATTCGGTGAGGACCGCGGCGCAAAGGCAGCGGCCGACGATGGGAGTAAGACTGTTGGCATTATGACTCTGTGCGAATAAGGATACGTCCGGCGTGTTGTTTCGTATTAAGAGCCTTTGTTGTTAAAGAATGTAAAGAGTGGAAAGCAAAATCATAAAAGGCGACATTCGCCCACACAGTTCCAAGGGAGATAGGCCTGGGGTTTCGATGTTTGGACGTTTCTCCGGAGCAGTGTGGGGGCTTGGTGGTTGTCTAATTAAAAGGTGCGGGCGAATGCGCGGGGTTCAAGAAAGGAAAATTATACAAAAGGAGAGGACATCGGTCACGATGGGGTTAAGAAGGAAAGAAGGAACCTTGGAAAAGGCAGAGAATATGAAGGGCGGGAAGAACGAAAGAGGCAAGGCAGTGGGGATTAGAATTCTCTATAGAACATAGGGCTCGTATCTGGGTGTATGCACCCCGATGGGGCCGGGTGTACCGTACAAGCGCAGCAGCGTTTTGGCCACCTTCTCGGACTCCCCGATCTGCCGGCATTTTCGACTCAACGCTCGACTTGCTCCGTACTCGGGTGGCAAAGGGAAAAAAAGGCAGGGAAAGTGCAGGGCGGGAGTTGAAACTGCTCCAATGTCCAACCGGGGTGTTTCATCGAACGATACAAATCTCTGGTATGTCCAGTCTCACGTCGACTTTGCGCGTTGCACGTCCATTTGGCCAGAGCGTATATGCAGGATGCCCCAAACTGCAAAAGCTAAGCCCCGATGATCCGCGTTGCGAAATGAAAATCCTCCGAACCAGCGACACACAATAAACCGTGACTGCATGGATTCTTCTTACCGCAAGACGTAGCGTAGAGCCACGTTGTAGTTCAGCTGGGCTTGACAATGCGATATGCATGTCTATTCTCTATTCTCGTGCATTTTGACATGGAAACGAGGGAAACTCGACTGCCTGCATGCAACTAGACTACTCCATAAACCCTATACCTAAAATACCAGTCGGCCCACCCTATCGCACAACATCCCACTCGCACTCCCACGTTTTCCAAATCCGACATCTCACATTCCACATCTCACATCACACATGGAATAAAGGGGGGGGAATAAAAAGGGGAGGGTTGCAGTAAATATTACATGAAACCAGAGTCCAGACTTGGGGAAAGCACTTCGGATGTATCGAGCTCAGCTGAGAGACGAGCGGACGTGGGGCAAAAGCAGGTCTTGGACCGCTTCAGCCCGCGGATTCGCTGAGGGGAACCGAGACCGGCCGTCGCACTTCAGGCGGAGATCCCTGCTACGATCTACTATTGGGCTGATCCTCGACGACCATCATTGACTGACTTTATGGAGGCGCCCACTCGGGATTACAGGCGGTAATGTGCTGATACCTGTACTGTTTTTTTTGACCCTCCCACCCAGGACCACCTGATTTCCCAAGTGATCTCATCTCACGTCTGACGATTCCTGTATCGTGCATTCATGCACCACAGGGCTTGCTCTCGTGCACTCGTATTCGCTGACTCGCTAAACCCTGGAGCATGGCGGCATATGAGTTCGGTCATGTGGTCTGCGCAAGGGGTTTGAAGGTTGGAGTCGGTTGTAGAAGCAGGATATCGCGGTCTTCCAAATATCGGACTACGTCAGAGTTGGGAACACTTTGACCGTGGAGTCTCGGGCCAGAGGATGATGGTTTCTGATCTTCCTAAAATAGGAACTTTGTTGAATGCACTGCGCCTCACTCGGGACCACGCCACTCGCCACCGTGGGGCTGTGGCGGTGCTGCCGCATCCATCCCACTATTCAGCATTGATCGATGCTTTCCAGCGCCTAATAGACTTTTCTGTTTGTCGGTTGACCTCGGTATCCAATCGACAGATCTTCTATACTTGGTTTTAAAACAATAATGGAAGATGGTAACCTGTTTGAACCCAACCGAGTTCCACCCGATCGCAGTGCGATGCCGGAGCTGCCCAAAGATGCGCACGGGAACATTGGACATCAGTGGCGTGGTTAAAAAGATCTTCACAGGAGCAACATTCTACTAGACTGAAGACACTCTTTATGAGTCAGTTGTGTGCCGATGGCGCTAAGTTTGAAACCGAGCTGCCCGGATCTACACCAACAATATCAAACTGAAGAACTAAAGCGATGCCCAACTGTTGCATCGGTGTTTTTAATAACGTTTCAGTTATCTTGGAAATGAGGCATAAGTCACTATTTCCGAAGTTGGAGCCTGTTCATTCATTCTGGGATGTGAAGGTGATGCATCCCTAGGATCCTGTCCATATCGGAGGCCATACACAGAATTTTGGCGCTAGTTGGAAGGTCATAGTCACTATCTCACTTCAAAAATCACGGTCCGTCTCCTTCAACAAGAGCCGGTAGTCAGGCTCAAATTGCATATATATCGCCTCGGGAGTTTCAGTTCCACTCTCGGTATACAACGCAGTCTCGTCATCAACTGTGGGTCTTGCTCAGATTTCACACTGTGTCACTGACAGACCCCGACGCAATCTACGACTCGACCAGAATCTGTGCCAGACAGGCTCTTTCGAGTGCAATAACGAAAACTGCAGCCTCGACAACCATTCCGCGTGCAGTGAGAAGGCTGTGGGTTTGCATGATCAGATTTTTGTTCTGCGGACCGAGATAATCGGCGATGCGCTCGCCCTCTTCTTGTGCAAACACCACTGAGCAACACCACTGAGCAACGCAAAAACGTACCTTGATTCGGCATGTCGATTTCCTTTCCGAAGGGTCCATACCCTTCCATACAGACTATGCATGTGACAAGATGCATGGATATCGGTCATCTCTGATGAATAGCTGAATGGATGAGAATTCCCGCCGCGTTGACAGGTTTGCCTGCACCATCCACTCGATTCCCATTCCCGTCTATACGAACCATATCTGAGATCTTCAGAAGAGCAAAATTTATTCCATATGGGTTCGTCCGGGACGTCTCGGGCTCGATGGAGTCTATAAGAGGCAGCATTTGCGGAATGTGCAAACAAATACGGACCAAAGCTGAGATATCAAGTGAACGTACCGCGGAGACTAATTTGTCTTCTATTCCCATCGGCAAAGCCAAGCTTGGTAAATATATGAAAGGCGCGGACCCTTCGTTGAAAGAGCCATGTTCTTTCGGCTTCTTTTCTTGCAGGCCGTGGAATGTGATGCAGACCTTTTTACCTGGCCGTCACTGGATTCTACTGTATTTAAGGTAGGTGACACTGTTGGTGCATTATTTCAAGTTTAATACTGGATGATACGATTCAAAAATACGCTAAGCGATCAAAAGGAAAGAGAGACTAATGTTGTGGGTGGGGTAATCTAATTGTGGATATACACTTACGCGCCGACGCCATTATCCCGATCTTGAAGCTGAGTGTCACCAACTCAGGGTTACTCTGATGCACACAGTGGACTAAGTACCACATCCCTTTATTTTCGTTTAATCCAGAATTTCTTTAAACGGGCTGGATTCCACTTTTGTGGTGTTTATCGACCTCCATCTAAGATTGACGGCTACCGCTATCTATTACTTCCACATCGACGGCCGATACACAAACCCCACCTTTTCCCAGTGCGAGCGCTGTGGATTTTAATATCACAAAGATCCTCCACTTTCAGCAGAAGAGTTTGGAACTCGGCAGGCATTTCAGATTGATTGAAGAGATAAGCTTTGACGATTTGCTAGACCTACCAAGTTAGGACAAGCTTGACCCATTAAAGCCTGAGGCACAAAAGCATATCTTTGAGCATCAGCGAGGAACCAGGTGATCGCAAGTGGGCACCAAAATTACGAAGGATTTACGTTTTCCCGGAAAGTGGGGGCCAAAGTCATGTGACACTTGCACTCACCTAGATGCTCCCTTGCGGTCACCTATAGTCACGCATCAGCTCAGGTGCGGGTGAGAGTGGAAAAGATGACTATAAATCTTTCCGCGGAAAATAGATGACGAGAGGGGCAAGTGGCAACACGGAAAGTGAGGGGTAAAAACGTTTTCTATGTAGTGAACCTAAAAGAAAAGATTCCATAAGGCCCTTCATCGATCAAATGATACAGCGCACATTCCCGATGATATCTTTCCTCGATCTGCCGGGCGAGATCCGGCTCATTATTTATGCTTATTCGCTGAACCCAAACGAGTACGTCGGTGGCTACCGAAAGATAGAAGATCTACTCGCGGCAGAGACGGATCGTACTCGCGGTCCCATGTGCACATATCCACGACCTCATGTGAAGTGTTACACCCCGTCGATTCTTCTATTAAACAGGCAAATCACCATGGAGGCTCTTCATGTTTTGTATAGAATACCACTCAACCTCTATGGCACGCCCAGCACATACTTCACGATGCGCCAAATGGATATCACGGAGTTCATCAGCGAGCATCTACTTCAGCAGATTCATCACGGTGTTTTGAGACTGGATTGTGCCAGCAAGAACTTTGTATTACCACTTCTCGACATCTGGTGCGAAAATAACTGCTTGGAGTCGCTGGTTGTGTACCGCCCCAAGGGGACTCCAATGCCCCGTCATCATTGGCATATTGTAAAAAGCAGGGTATGTCTTTCTCCATCAACTCGAAAGAAACGTGACAGTTCTGAACGGTTTTATTAGCTCCGGACATTTTCAACGATTGTCCCAGTTGTGTTTCACAAGGTGGATTCTCCGCTCAGGGCAAATGCTATCAAGAGCATGGGATAGTCGTCCGAGGGCAAAAGTTTACGCCAATTGATACCCGTGTCAAGACTTGATATTGTATTAGATTGATCCAAATTATGTTGATCAAACGCAGCCAATGAAGATGGACATTGATGAAGAGCGAAAAGACACCACTTCTATCCAAGACCGTGGTTTGGCTAAGTTCCTAGTAGATCTCCATGCGTACACGGAGCCTGGAGCCAAGATTGCGTGCTAGTAAGAACTAAAGGAGGTCCTTCAAAGAGCCTATCCACTCTTTCGGAGTCTGGATTGGGGTGCAATGATTCCTAGAATAACGAGGGCAGTTATATCTGATGCCAATCCAACTTCTACAGCTACATAGGCAAGATCTTGGTGGCCATATGTCGTAACGTAGCATCGGGACCGGCATTACGCAAGTGAGCTGTGTGGGGTTTGCGGGATGGACGTTAAGCGAGTTCGCAAGAGTTGGACACGTACGTGCTCGGCCACGTTCCTGCCGGTCCTTCGTTGGACTAGCGTGATAAGAGCAAATGATATGCCTTCATTGGTACGTCGCTTCTGCAGGGACTCGACTACTTCAGGATCGACTTGATGTGGTGAACTCAGTCTACGATGTTTCCATAAAAAGAACGATGGTACTTTATCGGCGGTGGAAACGATGTGGGAGACATTGCTAATGTCCCGTTGGTGGATCCTATAGGCATTTACCCCTGACTTCTACTACTCTGCCGAATTTGCTATCATGGGGTCATTGATTGCATTCAGGGACTACAAGTCAGAAACGAGATCAGGGGCGTTCGGGCTATAAGCGAACCGTTACTATTTGCGATTGCGGCAACGATCGGCTAGATGATCAAGATCCACCAAAAAATGCCTCACCTGTCCGGGGTAAGTGCTTGGCAGGTTTTTCATCATATACTTCGAATCGGAGCCGATTAAATGCCGACATTCCCGGTAAGAAGGCTGGGACCCGATGCTGTCTCATAGATGAGGAGTCCTTTTGTGAAGTGATAAGGAATGATCATCCAGTTCGAGCATATCGACTGTCTTAGGGGCCTAGGGACCCAGATGGAGGCCCAAGGAACTATTTTAACAAATGATATGTCTGGAGTAATGGAACGTCCACTGAATATTTGATTTTCACCGTTGATTGTTGTGCTTATCAATTTCCCCGGTGTCGTTGAAACGAACCCCCAAACCCCCAATGGCGAACCCCGCGCCGATCAGTGCGCTAGCAAAAAGACCCGCCGGCAAATATGGCACCTCAAGCCGCGTAGGAGAACCACAGTATACGAGAATGGGATCCACAATAACTGGCTGCCTTCCCAAAGTAGCTTGGCAGATTCTGCAGGGACTCTCGACGGAAAACAGGGTCCGGTTTATGTATGGAGTCAGGGGTGTTATGCAGCTACCCGAGGCATGAACTACAAGAACGGGGCATTTGGCAGAATACTCCCATAATGGAAATGCTTGAACATTCTCACCTAGTAGATGCTTGGTGATTTTGCGATCAGGGACGTATTTAAAACCAAAACACTGGCAAAGAGTTCCGTGAGGAGAGGCGCAAAATCGGCCCGGGGGAGAGGGAAATCAGAAGCGAGATAGAATGATGCTACCAGTGGAACTGCTGCGCCTCAGACAAAATGACAGAGGATTCGGTCCTTCCTGGGACTATACCTATTAAGGTTTTGGTAAACTCCTTCAAACTAAGCGTCCCCTTAGAATGCTGGCGATCAAGATCATCTGTTCAAGAAACCTTCATCCAGGTCGCCTGAAAATAAGCGAGCAGAGATCTTCAGGTACCCGTCCCTTTTTAACCCGGTATATTATCTGCCAAGGGTGATCTGCAAGCTCGGCCTACCCCAGTCTCTGGGCACTGGACCTAGCGAACTGCCGACGGTACAAGCACCCACTTTTCCGGATCTCTGGTTTGACTTGCGCGCACGTCTAAGCCGCTCGCTTTAGCAATTCCCATTCTCATTGGCGATCATGGATCCATAGCTCAGATGGTGTCTGCTTCCCGTCCCGCCCAAGGCTCTGCGACTGTCCACGAACCGGTCTATGGATGAACATGAGTCGAAAAAGGCAATTTGTCCGCGAGAAAATGCCAAAACTCACCCTGGCCCCTGAAATCAGAGAATGAAAAGACCGGATAGTGGTCATTCCTTGTGGATGGGATCGACAGGTCCTCGTATGGCTCTATCAAACGAAGCTGTGGAGACAAATGGCCGGGGCATAAAGACAACAGGACCTCCGCGTAGGATGGCTTCGACTCTTCCAGACATCAACTGCCGGTAAAGGTCTCGTGCCACCCAGTCCCTCTCGTTGTGTGCAGACCTCACGGACCAATATGCGTTTCACCACGGCGTTCCTCTCAACCCTTGTGTTTTCCAGCACCGCGCTGGCTGGCTCAGCCACCCAAGGATCCTCGTCCTTGGGTGCATCCGATACATCATCGGACGCTACGTCAGTTTTCCACACACAGGAGAATGTCGCCAATACTGCAGCCACTACATCGGAGACCCCGGCTGTAGTTCAGGGTGCTGCTGAGACGGGCGAGACCCGCAGCAACCAGAACGATGACAATGCTGCCCCCGGCACATCTAAAGCTCCCGTCGACACTTCCGTCGATATTTCTGCTCCTACGGACACCCCCAGCATAGGCCCCTCATCGCAAGGCGCCCCGACTGCCACCCAGATTGGAGGTACAGAGCCTTCTGGGTCTAAGAATGACTCCACAAAGAACGCCGAGAGTGACATGCCTTCCGTCACTGGCGCTGTCTCGCAGACCGCGGATGGCACCAAGGCACCCTCGATGCACTTCACTGGGAGCCCCGTCGCTAGCGGGAGTGTTACTGTGACCAAGTCCGCACCGCCAGTCACCAGCAGCAGCTATAGTGACTCTCCCCAGGGTGAGAGTGAAGGTGACACTCTGCTGAGCTCTTGGAAAGACTTTGGAGATTTCTTTGATGGCCTCAAGGGTCTCCTCTCGCCCACCCTACTTGAGGACATCGAGTCCTTCTTCCACCACGTCGCCTACCTCCTGGATGACAAGACCACGGACCAGACCAAGTCGCTGATCAGCACTGCCTCCAGCCTGCTCACCCAGAGCTTGATTGATAAGCTCACTGGCCTGCTCGACAACGCAAGTGCTTTGTTGACCGCGGATTTTGTCCGTGAGACTCAGGGTCTTATCAAGTCTGTCGCTCCTATCCTGACTCCTCAGCTGTTCAAGGAGATCAGCGGCCTGCTAGATAGTGCTGGAAGCCTCCTGACCAAGGACTTCATCCGTGAAACCAAGGGTCTCATTGGAACGGTGGCTCCTGTCATCACTCCCGATCTGTTCAAGGAGATCAATGGCTTACTCACCAATGCCAACTCGCTGTTAACTCCTCAGTCAGTGAAGATGATCAACGGATTGTTGAGCAACGCGAATACCCTATTGACCCCCGAGTCTGTTAAGGAGATCAATGGCTTGCTGAGCAATGCCAACACTCTGTTGACCCCCGAGTCTGTTAAGGAAATCAACGGATTATTGAGTAATGCCAACACTCTATTGACTCCGGAGACAATCAAGGAGATCGGTGGATTGTTGAACAATGCCAATGCCTTATTGACCCCCGAATCAGTGAAGGAGATTGGCGGACTTCTGAACGGGGCGAATACCCTGCTTACGCCCGAGTTCATCCGTGAAACCAAGGGGCTGATCGGCAGTGTGGCTCCTGTCCTGACACCCGAAGTTCTGAAGGAAGTAAGCAGCCTGCTGTCCAACGCCAACTCGCTTTTGACCGCCGACTCGGTCAAGGAGATCAACGATCTGCTGTCAAATGCCAACGCCCTCCTGACTCCCGAGTTTGTCAAGGGTACCAGTGGCCTGATTGAGGGCATCTCGCCTGTCATCACACCTGCCCTGCTTGCCAAGGTCGGCGGTCTGCTCCACACAGCCAGCAGTCTCCTGACCGACAAGTTCGTGGAAGATGCTGCATATTTGATAGGCAATGGGACGATGCTGCTCAACCCCGGCTTCGTCAACGATACTCGTGGGCTCATCAAGGAGGTGTCGCCCATCGTCACTCCTGGCCTTCTGGCCCAGGTTGGCGGCTTGCTCGATAATGCCGACGAGCTCCTCTCGAAGAAATTCGTTAATGAAACCCAAACTTTGATCGAAGATGCTGCCGATGTGAGCCCAAATCCCTGAATGTTTTATGGAAATTTGCTGACTCGTATTGAAGCTGCTCCCGCTGGTTATGAAGGTGATTGGATCCTTGTAAGGCGTTTTTTTCTTGGTTTGGTACGAATAATTCAGGCGACTCATGGTTAATGTCTGAGTACGTTTAATACGACCTAATTGAATAATCCTTGGCTAAAATAGCATGTACATCATTGTAACCGTAGTGACACCAATACATCGATGATGTGATGATAGTATTGAGGGAAAACATGAATCTGAGAAGGGCGAACCCGAAGATAGATGACGGTCTCGGAATGTCTCTGCATAATCGGTTTATTCCACACTGAGTCCGAGATTTGGTGGATGCCTGACTTATGATGTGTTACTGTTATATCCAGGGTCACAAAATGGGGTCGTTCCAGACAAACGATGCACGACGTGCCGAGGCATATGTTCCTTGCGGCTTCTGGCCAAGCACACAGTTCGCAGGTCGCTCGCTAGACTTTGCGAGCGATGTGGCGTGAGAGGAGCCTAATAAAATCGATTGAGTAGCAGCAAGGCCTGTCGACTGTTTCAGTTTGATCAGGGCCGAGAGAACGATGTAGCGCATTGTTCTGTGACAGGGTTTTGATCACCCATTGCAAAGACGACGGCTCCGGCTGCCTGTTGGGAAAGTATTGGTGAAAGTCTCGGGTCGAAGCCCTCCATGTAACACCGATTGTTCAAAGCTTCTTGTGAGGGTTGTGTTCCCTTCCTTCAAGACGGGATATCCGACGCTTTGACTTCCTGGTACTTGGACAAGACCTTCATCTCGGTGTCGCGTTCCTTAGTCTTCTTATCCATAGCCCTTTGAATCTGTTCTTTCTTTTTCTCGGCTTCGTCAAGTGTCCTTTTGACTTCTTTAGCGGCCTGCTCCTGCGCCCTCAGAGCGGTCTCTTTCGAGGGAAACTCCTGGCGCAGCTTGTGGAGCTCGGCACGGACATCTTGCTCCTCAATCGGCTGACAGGTAATCGGGTGGTACCGGTAAACCGGCAGAGGCTCCCCTGGAACTTGGATCTCTGTAAGGTCGGGGTGAATGGGGGTGGTGCGGATTGAAGAATCGAGAGAGACTGCCGAGGCCGACTCGGACGGAGGGGAGGGTAGGGATGCTTCAGTGCTCGCCATGGTCATATGGCTAAGGTTGTTGGAGAGGAGAGGGTAAATGAAGCTCCTGGCTTTCTCGGACTTGATGTTGCAGGAGTAAAGTAGAAGAGGAAGAGAGGAAGGAATTCGACTCCGCGGGCTTTGGGGATTCTGCCGCGATCAGCTCTCACCGCCAAAAGGGCCCCGTATGCGGGGAGGTTGACTTAAGACTTCCTATTCACATCACGATTTCATGCTCTCATTGAAGTTAAAGCTCAGAAATAAAAGGAATCCTTGGGCAGGTCTTAGGTAGACCATTTATTGCGCAGTTGATGCTTGACAGCCAGTATACAAATTCCTCACTGTGACAATTTGCCGCATCTCTTTAGCGACCTCGTGCCATACACCTGAGCCGCCATGCAGGCTTTCGGTAAGTCACGGCTCTTCTTGATCTTATCCGCTTCATTGTTTATCTGTGTTCAATTGGGTGATCTAACTATACGCTCTCACTCCAGTCCCCAAGAATAGAAGGGTAAGCTTTGAAATCCCCGAGGGAGACATCGGCAGCAACTGACCTAGGCATCTAGCCCAGATTTGAGCTAGTCTTGAGGGTAAGTTTAAGGCCTGAACCCATAGAACTGGAAGTTTTGCTGATTTGTTTGAAGATCAATGATATCATCAACGTTCCTTTGAACAACGGTACTGCGTGGGTGCGATGGCGCATACCATCGTCAAACGCTACATCAGAGCACCAAGGTCACACTGAAAAAGCACCTCTGTCAGACCATCGCGCATACTGGAATTACGAAAAGACTCTCCAAGTGAGGCTTACCATCGATAAATCATCGATGCTCCAAGAATGCGAAATCAACTTTGAAGTCTTCCAGGAGTTCCACTCCTCCCTAGCCAATGAAAAGAACGTCCTGGGGAAAATTAAGCTCAATCTTGCTGAGTATGTGGACAAGGTCGAGGAGGATGAGGGTGTTGTCAGGCGATACCTGATGTTCGACAGCAAAGTCAACAGCACTGTAAAAATTGGCATTGCGATACGCCAGTTGGAAGGAGATCGCAATTTCATAACGTACGTCTTGTTGCACGGGTATTGAAGGCTTTCCGCAGCCCAAAACTAACCATTTATAGGCCATCCCTGAAATCCGCTACTGTGTTTGGTGGAATCGCAAGGGTCGTGCACTCCGCCGACCCCAGCGACTCTGAAGAGCTGGGACATATGCCAGCAATCAACACAAAAAGCAGAGAAATTGCCGACATGCAAGATATCTATCGGCGTACCCTGGCGGCTTCCTGGACGTCCCGAGCGGGCGACCTGCCAGCAGACAAACTAGTCGAGGATCTATTTGCCGGCAGTTCTTGCTGGACCAACGATGTTCATAATAGCCCCGACCTTTCGGGGAGTGAGCACGGATCCCCTTTTCTCAGTGCAGATGCGGCAGTAAAGCAAACTCGCTCAGGAAAGAGATTGTCGCCCGGCTTCGAAAAACGTCCCAAGAGCTCCTCTAGTAACCATTCTCGTGGTAGCGGCAAAGCACCGGGCACGGTCTCTTCACTTGGCCATCCTCAGAAGGGTAGTAGCCTTGAGCAGCAATTATATGACGGGGCAAAAGGGCGCGGGTGGAAGAGTCGAAACGCAGATAACGAAAAGTGCGAGTTTGATGTTCGGGAGGATCTGCGAAGCTGGGAAATCACCGCGAAAGAATAATAAATGGACCCCGGTGTAACACTTTTAATATTTATGTTTAAGAACACCTGATTTCCTTCCAGTGTCATTGCTCACACGTACACCCACTTTCTGTCTATAACCCTTGGGATGATAATTGAAGGGATTTAGTAAAGTCACCTCATTGAATGCCCACGTGGGTTAGTTGGTAAGTAAATATGAGTATCATGTTTTAATAGCAACGTCTGAACTGTCGAGCGAAGTTTGGAATTTGTATATGTGTCTAGGTGGACCAATATATATATTGGAATTAAACGTTGTTGTTAACTAGTACTACTAGCCTTGTAGAGCGGGTTTGAACGGGCGCCTATGACCAAAATACAAAAATCAAACATATTTCACACCTTGAAAGCGACAATAATCGATCAGAACATACAAGTACAAAACCAGTGTTATCTTCTTCAGTTTCTCGCCAGTAGAACTGTCGAGTGTAGTGGCAGGAGAATAACCATTGAGAGGAAAAAAATAAATTGCTCGCACTCGGATTTGAACCGAGGATCTCGTGATTACTAGTCACGCGCTTTACCAACTAAGCCATGCGAGCTGGTTAATGACGGAAGGGGCTTTTTATGTAATAGAAATCCTGACCAAAAGGTACCAAGGCATCACAACACAAAGTTTACATAGGAGACAACAGGTCAATTACACTTTAGCTTAGCCTTAGGACCTTGATATCAAAAATGATAGGTCATATTAGAGGCTGCCATCATTACAAGGGTAGCAGCAAACAAAACACTAGGTAAAAAAAAACAGGACGCAAAAAGAAATGCTCGCACTCGGATTTGAACCGAGGATCTCGTGATTACTAGTCACGCGCTTTACCAACTAAGCCATGCGAGCAATTGTTGATGACAGAACCCCAATTATAGATCATGAGGCCCACATGTAGCCACAGCCAAAATCACTTCGCGACATCATCTATACGGCGTTCACCTTCGGTCACCATGGATATGCCACCCCTACCTATGGTTCTGGAGATATTTGATCCACATGGATAGATTGTGGAGAGACCCAATGCGTGCTTCAATAAGAACTCACCTAGTTTGGTTTGAAGTAACCATCTAATAATAGTTCACCAGTCACAGTCTTCACCAGAACAAGAAACATCCAACACTAGTATTCTTCGGCAGTACCAGTCTAGGGCTAAGCTAGCTCCAGGAAACTATTCATTGCTGAGCGTAATGAGAAAATTATATATACTACATATTAGACAGATCACCCAGGATACCTTTGGTTCCATTTCATTCCTCTGTTTTCTTGGAAGTCTGCTTGCTATAAGACTAAGAGGCGGTTTTGAATGGCATGGAGTGGAAGTCCATCCAAAACACTTATGGTTAAACCATCCCACCAATCAGCTCGCATGGCTTAGTTGGTAAAGCGCGTGACTAGTAATCACGAGATCCTCGGTTCAAATCCGAGTGCGAGCAATATGTTTTTGAGTTTTTCCCTCTTGGAATCACTCTATTTACCATGAATCCACTCTAAAGTGGACACAACATCAACCAGCTCGCATGGCTTAGTTGGTAAAGCGCGTGACTAGTAATCACGAGATCCTCGGTTCAAATCCGAGTGCGAGCAATTTTCTTTTTTTGTCCTATCTATCTCTTTATTTATTGATTTCTTCTTGGTCTCTAATCGAAGACGTGTGTGTCTGTCGCATCTGACATGATATTTTCTTCTTACCAATGCATAGTCTGTGACGGTGCAGTAGCTCTAGGCCTGGTTCGATCGCTCCAATTCGGAGTCCATACAGTGGCCAACAGCCAAAGTCCTTCGAGTATAGCGATGTTTTGCTTGTTAACTGTGACTTGGGTCTTCGCTTCTGTGCCAGTTGTCTCACCACTAGCTCGTATCTTTCACTGGATATTTGGTGGAAGCGGATAGTAGAATCCACCACGCGTTATACCACGATTCTCTGCATCCAGGAGTGGCTCCACCTCGTCGGTTCTTGTCTCTAGCTCGCCCTATCCGACCACCGTTCCGGCTGGAACAAAAACATGAAGTACATTAAGTATATTGCACTCGAAACTATCACTATCTAGAATGGATTGGAATGTGCTTCTATTTTGCGAGGTGCTAGACTGACTTCTAAGAGTCTACCTGTTTGAGGCTTCGACAAGCAGTGAGCTGTCCGTTGGTGATCCAAAAAATGGGATTGGAAACCAAACAGCAATTGAACAGGGGTGAAACCGTGGGAAGATAGTTCTTGAAGTGATTGCTTGGACAGGCACCAGAATACACGCATCATTCCGCAACAGTTTCAACGGTCCTCTGCAGAGATAAAACTAGATACGGAAAAGCCATTGAACCACCCATTCCACAAAACCCACCGGCCGCGGCGCTTGCGATGAAGTGATATTCGTTGGTATCTTTCACTGAAGATGCGCATGCCCCAAGCATCAGCCTACCATACATGTTTCTTCAGGCCTGGTACACCGCCGCGCTACACCGCCGCGCTACACCGCCGCGCTCTCTCTCTTTCCCTTTTCCAATGTTTGTATTCTAGCTCATGATACAACAATGTGGCACACCTATGTTGTAGTTCTGGTCTCTGTAGCTGAGCTCGTGCGTGACAGCACCCGTCTCTTAGATACAGAGCCCCCGTCGTCGAAGAAGCTTTTCTCGAAAAAAAATTTAAAAAATTCATACTCTGCCTGCCAGCAAACTGCGGCTGGAGTGCGGAGACTTCATTCATGATCTATGGTAATTATCTAGATCAGAACCTTTGGAGAAATAGTTGAGGGGAGGTGAGTTATGGAGGCTTGTAGAACAGGTTCTTCACACAGGGTGAGACAGCTTCATAAAGGAGAAGGATTTAGGGCTCAATATACAATAGAATAATAATATGAAATAAGGCACATACCTCCACCAATCAGCTCGCATGGCTTAGTTGGTAAAGCGCGTGACTAGTAATCACGAGATCCTCGGTTCAAATCCGAGTGCGAGCATTTCTTTTTTGCTCTTCTTTGTCTTACTCCCTTCAAATGTTTTTGTCTTTTTTGGTTCGGTAAGACAACACAATAGAAGATTTAATTAATCAATTATTATGACCTCTCCGATCTGACTAAAGCACCATTTTAGTGATTGGCGCCATAACTTGCTTTTCATATTCTGAGGTCGAAACGAGCGTGTAGGGCTTTTCTTTTTGCGTTATGACTTGAGACAATCGTCGAATTATTTGCTATTTATGATCTGTGGTTGCTCTTGTAGACTCTGCTAGGAAATTTGGCTAGCAACTTCCGAAAAGCTATTTGGTTCCTGTTGAACCTTCAAACGTTACTTGTTTGCTGTATTCTGAGGTAGCGGGCGATATAATATTCCGCGAATAAAATCTACGTATACATTCACAAAGATGGCATACAGGGTAATTATGTACTTCAATGCCCAATCGTTCATAAAGAGGGTGTGCGAATACAGCTGGCGTCAATTGCAGGCGCCTATGTATGAAGGTTCGCACGTGCCCGCCAGGACATACACATAACTCATAAGGCTTATGACTTATATAGCTCTAGTATATAGGTGTCTAATGCGTTAAGTATCAACTAAATTGCCGGATGAATCGATAGAGTTAGTGAGTAGTTTGTTTCGACATGACGTTAAGGCGGTCGATTTGGTGTCTTTAAACTGCTATAGGCTTTTTAAATTTAGCTCTTTAATAATCTCCGGGTTTCATTTAGGTCTAAAGATCCCCTCACATCAAATGACATACCCATCTAGGTTGGCATACATTAGTGTTGTGGCAGATCGAGTTATGACGATGCATCGGGCCTTGGGAATGCCCGGGGAGTCAGCCCCACAAAGGGACGGATCGGACGCCTTGACGTGTAACTCCTCGCCCAACTTCCCATCTACACTCCGCGCTCCTGGCCCGAGGGGACAATACGTTCAATCCGATCCAGAATACCTTTCCTCTGTCATTTCGCACCTTCGAAATCCGCCCACGGCGAGACCGGCAAACACACTCGGACTTCTTCCCCTCACATGAACATCATGCGCGCACAGTAATCAACGGTACACGGTATGGAGAGAACACGGGTGGCTAAGGTTCGTTTCTCCAGGAATAATCAGTGATATGGCTGCGATAATTATACTCATCGCCGCAGGTTGACAATGTGACCTTGGCTCGCCGTGGTGAGCAGGTCGATGGCACGCTCCACCTCACCCCTCACCACTTGATCTTTTCCCACGTTCCCCCAATCTCCAGCGAGGATCAAGCGAAAGGTGTTACAGTAAGACCGAAAGAACTCTGGATTACCTACCCGATTATCGCATTCTGCACTTTACGCCCGGCTCCTGGGGCCTCCCGCCAGCTCTCCTCCATCCGCCTCCGCTGCCGAGACTTTACCTTTGTCTGTTTTTATTTCATCAACGAGCAGAAAGCTCGCGAGGTTTATGATGCTATAAGGCAATGGACCTGCAAATCCGGTCGGCTAGATAAGCTGTATGCCTTTTCCTATCAGCCGCCGCCGCCGGAGAAGGAAATAAATGGGTGGGAGTTGTATGACCCGCGCAAAGAGTGGGAGCGCCAGGGCCTACTTAAAGAGAACTCAGGGTGGCGCGTCTCTGAGATAAACACTGATTATGGAGTAGGTGCTCAGGACCGCCTCTAGGCGGTCTTAGCAGTGGAGTCGCATGCTAACGGCGATCTACAGTTTTCTCCAACATACCCTGCACTTATTCCCGTGCCGTCTGCTATCTCTGACAATACCATTAACTATGCAGGGAGATACCGCTCCCGAGCGAGAATCCCAGCCCTTACATACCTGCATCCTGTGAACAACTGCAGCATCACCAGAAGTTCACAACCACTGGTCGGAGTGCGCCAAAATCGCAGCATTCAAGACGAGAAGCTGCTGGCTGCCATATTCTCTACATCACGATCCGACCGACCGTTGGCTAGCTTTGTCCCATCCCAGTTAGACAGAGAGGCATCCGACTCGAGCCAAAGCTACGAGAGCCCAGAGGCCAGCCAAATAGACCCGGATCTGTCAAATGCGGAAGAGATAGAGGATGACATGCTGGCCGCTGCTCGTGGTGTTCCCGAGGAGCAACGGGCAATTTATGGTGCTCAGCAGCAGAATCTGATTGTCGATGCCCGGCCTACAGTCAACGCTTTTGCTATGCAAGCCGTTGGACTTGGCTCTGAGAACATGGACAATTACAAGTTCGCAACCAAGGCCTATCTTGGCATTGACAATATCCATGTCATGCGTGATTCGCTGAACAAAGTTATTGACGCCCTGAAAGAGACGGATGTCACTCCGTTAGGGCCTAACCGCGACCTTCTGGCACGCAGTGGCTGGTTGAAGCATATTGCGGGTATATTGGACGGGGCTGGTCTAATTGCCCGTCAGGTTGGCGTGCAGCACTCTCACGTGTTAATTCACTGCTCCGACGGCTGGGACCGAACGAGTCAGCTCAGTGCCTTGAGTCAACTTTGCCTGGATCCATACTTCCGAACTATGGAAGGGTTCATGGTCCTCGTGGAGAAAGATTGGCTTTCATTTGGTCATATGTTCCGACATAGATCGGGCCATTTGAACAGTGAGAAATGGTTCCAGATCGAGAATGAGCGCATCGGTGGAGAGGTCAACCGTGGCTTTGGCGATGGTGGTGGTGCCGGAAAGGCCATTGAAAATGCATTCCTTAGTGCTAAGGGATTCTTTGGTCGCGACAACAACAGCCGTGACTCCTTGCCGGACTCGGATGGAGAGCTCAAGAGCTACGACTCTGATACCCCGGTTAAGAAGCCTTCCCCCACCCCTCGCTCTGCTGTCTCTGAGAGAGAGATCACCAAAGTGAAGGAGACGAGTCCTGTTTTCCACCAGTTCCTCGACGCAACATATCAGCTACTGTACCAGCATCCGACACGCTTCGAGTTCAACGAGCGCTTCTTGCGGCGGCTGCTCTATCATCTTTACTCTTGTCAGTTTGGAACTTTCCTCTTCAACAACGAAAAGGAACGTGTCGAGATGAACGCGCGAGAACGAAGTCGAAGTGTATGGGACTATTTCCTTGCCCGACGGGAACAATTCACCAACCCGCAATACGATCCCGAGATTGATGATCATCAGCGTGGCAAGGAACGGCTGATCTTCCCACGTCCCAAAGAGACTCGTTGGTGGAACGAAGTCTTTGGTCGAACAGACGCGGAGATGAACGGGCCTGTTCCAGCAGGAGCGCCAGTAGCTGCTGGAAGCGACAGTCCAGGAGGAAACCGGGAATCCGTCTTGACTGGTATCGAGACAGCTCATAGCTATCCAAGCTCCGAGGACTCTGGGCACAATACCCAAAGTGCTGCGCCATCCGAAATGGCTGCTGTGCAGGCAGGATTCTCCAGCCTGTCTTTCCTGAAAGGTCAGGGCCCTGAATCAAAGACAGACAAGCCGAAAGAGATGGAAGCGGAGATGCAGTGAGTGAGAACGTGGTCAGAGACTCGCGATTCGATGAATGCTGCGAAGGCAACTAGGGTGCATCTTGGGAAATACGGTGATCTAGAGAGAACATGGGAACGAAAATAGTTCTGCATGGGCCGCTGGACATAGTGAGGTCCTGTTTAGTTCAATTCATCAGCGTGGTATTTAGCAGAAAGACCAAAGAAACAGTCCCGACTATGTCATTGGTGCCTTGGTGCCCTGTTGCCTTACAGCCTGACCCAGTGCGCGCTAGTCCACAATGAGACTAGCTCCCGCGCAGTGCAAGCGAGGGTTGAGCCCTAGCCCAAACGGGCAAGAGAAGCCCTACGCCCGAAAAATCCCCACTAAATCAAACCTGTGCACAACGAACTCTCGACCTCGACCTCGCCTTCCCCCGTCGACAACCCCCAATTCCAACAACCAGGAACGCAAAAATGGCCGCTGTCCAGGGTGCTATCTCCAAGCGCAGGAAGTTCGTCGCCGACGGTGTCTTCTACGCCGAGCTGAACGAGTTCTTCCAGCGCGAGCTCGCTGAGGAGGGCTACTCCGGTGTCGAAGTCCGTGTCACTCCCACCGTCACCGACATCAGTACGTTCGCCCCCGAAATCTGAGTTGAACCGTGCCGCCAGGGATTGGAACGCAGTGCTACAAGGGCCAGGGAAATTTTTGAATGGCGGCGACGGATTGGAGATGCAGAAACTCTAGTCGGGATTGTCGATGCTAACGGATGCTTTCTTTCTAGTCATCCGTGCCACCCACACCCAGGAGGTTCTCGGCGAGCAGGGCCGCCGCATCCGTGAGCTCACCTCGCTCATCCAGAAGCGTTTCAAGTTCCCCGAGAACTCGGTCTCCCTCTATGCCGCCAAGGTCCAGAACCGCGGTCTGTCCGCCGTCGCTCAGTGCGAGTCCCTCCGCTACAAGCTCCTGAACGGTCTCGCCGTCCGCCGTGCCTGCTACGGTGTCCTCCGCTTCATCATGGAGTCCGGTGCCAAGGGTTGCGAGGTTGTTGTTTCCGGCAAGCTCCGTGCCGCCCGTGCTAAGTCCATGAAGTTCACTGTACGTCTACACCGTGGGATGGGTTCTGGAGCAAGCGTAGAGATACTCGGAATGGGCCTGAACCCAAGTTCCGATTATCCATGCGCCATCTTTCGACCCTGCGCCAAACAATAAATGATACAGGAGAATAGTTGCTAACAATTACACCAGGACGGCTTCATGATCCACTCCGGTCAGCCCGCCAAGGAGTTCATTGACTCCGCCACCCGCCACGTTCTCCTCCGCCAGGGTGTCCTTGGTATCAAGGTCAAGATCATGCGCGGCTCCGACCCCGAGGGCAAGTCCGGCCCCCAGAAGACCCTCCCCGACTCGGTCACCATCATCGAGCCCAAGGAGGAGCAGCCCGTTCTCCAGCCCATGAGCCAGGACTACGGTGCCAAGGCCATTGCCGCCCAGCAGCTCGCTGAGCAGCAGCGTCTGGCTGAGCAGCAGGCCGGTGAGGCTGAGGGTGGTGCCGAGGGTTACGCTCAGGAGTAAACTTGTTTTTTTCCATTAAGCCCTTTTCTCTCTCCTGTCCTAACCTCTTATACTCTCTACCTCACGCAATCAAAATTACATGAAGATTCCAAAACCTTGTTGCCTGCATTAATGATTGTGATGTCTCTAGCTAGCAAGGTCTTTGCTAGATTAGTATTGCTTGATGTCTGAAACATGAATGGGATATGTACATGATGCTGGTCAACAGCTTGACCCAAGGTTCTGACACAGTGCACATAGTAACCTAAGCAATTGTAGATCTGGCACATGCCCAGGCGTCGATCGATCCGATCCATCAAGGCCAAGCATCCCTTCAAATACCGCCTTTCATTTCCCAAGCCCTGGAGTGTGGGCATTCTCCACGTGCCCAGGTACTTCCTGCGCGAGACTACGTATACCACAGTCAACTGCATCTTAAAAGAATTGGGTATTCGAGACTAATCCTTTCAGTTAAAGCTTTAAGGGATATAAATGAACATTGTATTTTTATTGCTTTTTGGCATCAGCATAGCTCTAATCGAAACATACTGGCGTATCGCAAAAAGAGCCCTCCACGTCATGTCATCATCTATCTGCGTCACAAAGCATGGGAAAAGTGTACGTGCGCAAGCAACCCCGCCTACAGGAAGGGCTCGATGTTGAGCTCCAGGGTGCTGACAGGGTACTTGAGTTCGTACTTCTCGAGGACCTCGGGGTGCAGGATACCGAAGTTGCCAATGACATGGTCCTTGCCGCCGATGCGGAGGTGGACGGAGGCGGCGTGGCCAGGGAGGAAAGTGCGGTCTATAGAAACGTGTCAATTAGCATCTTTGATGAAATCCCTGGGTAGTATCGATGAACATACCATTCAGCTCCTTGATGTAGTAGTGCGAGTGGCTGGCAGCGGGATTGATCAAACCCTCTTCGGCAGTGATGAAAGCGCTCTTCAGCATCGCCATCACGCGGTCCATAAGACCGTGCACAATCTCGAAACCACTGCTCTTGCCGTAGAAGGCAGCGGCGTAGTGACGCTCGTTGCGGCTCTTGCGCTCAAGAGACAGGTCCTTGAAGGCGACGTCGCTGACCTCGAAGATCTTCATGGGCACGCTGTGGGCCTTGTTCTCACGGATAGTCTTCAACAGACCGGGAAGCAGACTGGTACGGACAACCTGGAACTCGGAGGTCTTGGGATTGGCCAGCTTGACGGCGGTGTTGCCGTCGTCCTTGCGGTTCAACCAGCCGAAGTTCTCGTCGTGCGAGCACAGGATCAGAGGCAGCACTTCGGACCAGCCGGCCATGGCAGTTTCCACACGGATAATGTCGGAGAGCTTGTTGATTGGTAGGGGCTGGGCGATGGTACCTGATTTGCTGGGGAACGAGCGGGGGAGATTGTTGAAACCGTAGGCGATAGCGACGTCCTCCATGATGTCGCACTGGTGGAGAACATCGGCGCGGGTTGGAGGGATCTCAACGTCAACAACATCGGGCTTGTTAATCGAGGGCTTGGCGCGGAAAGCCATCTTCCTCAAGTAGTTGCTGATATCAACGGCAGTGAGGTTCAAGCCACAGCATTGGTTGATGTAGGACACTTCCGCCTCGGCGGTGCGGGGAGAGAGGTCGGGGGTGATGCGGGTCTCGTTGTTGTGCTCTGACACAATCTTGACTGGCTCAATACTGTAGTTGAGGTTAGTTTGCGTGCCTTTCTGTAATTGGTAAATAGTACGTACGTGAACGGTTCCGAGGTGTACTGAGAGAACATGGTGACCATCATCCGGTTCACAATCTCGAGCTTCGTCCGGTCGAGAGCGGTGATCTCAATGAAGATATTGGTAGTATCCATAGTGATCTTCGAGTGGTCGCCGTTAATGATAGGGGGGAGAGAGCAAACAGTTCGGCTCGAGTCGTAGATAACCGGGTACACTGGGGAGTCACGAATGATGTGCAGGTACTTGCCCAATTGCTGGTGTTTCTATTGCATAGTGTGAGAACTGTCATAAGTGATAGCGCACGTCAGGTTTGCCATACCTCGTAGAAGTTCATCAACTCCTCGCCATTCATCTCCTGGGTCTGGTTCAACGGGATAAATTTGATGTCCTTGGGGGGCAGAGCCTCGTAGGTGAAGGGGCCCTTGACGGTGTCCAAATCGTGGGTACCAATTGAAACCAGGGTCCGTTGGCGCGCCAGGTTCTGGTGCAGCTTATCTTGAAGGGCAATGAAGGACTCATAGCGAGCCTTGTCGAACTTGACACCCCGGAGGATGGCACCGGACACGTAAGGTCTGATCTTGGAGGTCTAAAGGGTCTTTTAGTACTTAAGCATCATTAGCAGTCTCGGCGAGCACCTACGTCTTCCTTGACAATAATCTCTTGGAGTTGAGCGGGCTGGGTCAACTTGTACTCGGGCAGAGGCTTGCGGCCGAGGAAGATGTTGAGCATCAGCGCAATTCCCTCGAAGCACAGTAAATCATATCTGCAGTTGGTTTCAGTCCACTATCCTTTCATACCCGAAGGGCGTTCGAGCATACCGGTTGGCTGGGATCTCGATCTTGAGCTGCGGCGGCTCTTGCACTCCGTCGACGATCGGGCGGTTCTGGTCTGTGGTCTGTGAGGACTTAGCGGCGAGTCACACATGTCAGTGGGGTTCGCGAGAGCGTACATCTTCGTCGAGCTCAATGCCTGTATAATTTCAGTCAGCCTATGCCCCGCTAAGTGTCGCAGCAGCCCGACGCACCAAATTCAAAGCACAACTCATCGAATTCCTCCGTGGTATACCTATAGAGATGCGCAACAACCGATTAGACATATGAAGTATAGACGGGGCCATAGAAGCACGTACTCCCGGCCCAGCTCCTTGAAGAGAGCGGCCTTGTCGACCGAGATAGTGGGCATGGCGGGGGATCACAATGCGATTCAATTCTGCGAAGACGGAGGAAAAGGTCGGTTAGCGAGGTGAAAATGGCAATGCGAGGATAGCGGCAATACGGATCATGGATCAGAGCCGGGAAGGGGAACGTACCAAATCCACAGAGAGTGCGACTCGAGAGTACTAATCTGGAAGTTATGACTCCAATCTCCGATGAAATTCTGCCCACAAGCCACCACCGCCACGCTGCTCCCCTCTTTTGTAACCGCGGTATCTGTATTGTCACTGCCTTCCATCGTCCTCGGAAACCGCGGGTGTATCGTTGTATGTAACATACACAACCCGCCAGCTTGTTTGTGAAAGCTCAGAGCCAGACTTCCCCGTCACGGCCATCGATCATCCTGTCCAAATAGCAACCGCTTTATCCCTTTCCTATCCCACGACCTTTGTATTCCTGCCAAATCGTGGATTGTGGATTTCCCAATTGTCCGAGGTATGCTTTACTGCGCTCCTAGCCCTGCGGCCCAAAAACCCCACGAAACCTCCCTCCTCCCCTTCCCCATTGAACCCCCCCTCCGCAGTCGCTAACCTGCCACCGCTCCAGCTCCTATAATCGTCACTGATTTCATGACCGCTCACTCCTCCACTTTCCAATAATCTTTTTCAACTGGGTGCTTCATCCGAACTCGGCCTGATACCAACCCTTCCCTCCAGGACTGGGACCTGCCACACTCACCCTCCCACGCCTCCTTCTGACCTAATACACATACCACATTCAGCGATGGAAGGTCAAAACGAAAACGACGAGCTCTATCCGATCGCCGTACTCATCGATGAGCTGAAGGTGCGCCGATGCTCCGCACCCCCCTCCACCTATTCCCTGGTCCAAGCTCACATTTCAATGTCATAGCACGATGACGTCCTCCTCAGACTCAATGCCATCCACCGCCTTTCGACTATCGCACTGGCTCTAGGCCCCGAGAGAACCCGAGAAGAGCTCATCCCATTTCTCGATGGTTGGTTCCCTTAACCCCACCTCCCTGCGGCTTGGACGCATCTAACACAGACCGCTGCTAGACTCGGTCGAGGATGAAGACGAGGTCTTGACTGCCCTCAGCGAAGAATTGGGTAACTTCACAGAGTATGTTGGAGGACCGGAACATGCGCACGTGCTTCTATCTCCGCTGGAGAACCTGGCGGCGATCGAGGAGCCTTTGGTTCGGGAGAAAGTGGGTTTTAATACCGATTCATCCGTCCAGGAGCTGTGCTGATTATGTGACCCCAGGCCGTCGAGTCCCTCAACAAGGTCTGCGAGCAGTTGAACGAGAGCCAAGTTGAAGAGCACTTTGTCCCCCTGGTCCTCCACCTCTCCAAAGCCGACTGGTTCACTTCCAAGGTCTCCGCCACGGGCCTGTACTCTACACCATACAAAAAAGCCGCGCCGGCAATGCAACAGAGCCTCCGACAGCACTTCGGGGCCTTGGTACACGATGAGACCCCCATGGTTCGGCGGCAAGCCGCCAACAACCTGGCCAAGTTTGCCAAGGAGATGGACACGCCAGTGATTATCGACGAAATGATACCCCTCTTCCAATACCTTGCCAGCGATGACCAGGACAGCGTGCGTCTGTTGACGGTGGACATTCTTATCTCGATCGCGGAGGAAATCCCCAAGGAGCAGCAGCCCAGCCACGGTGTATTGCTTACGTCGCTGCGCGCTCTCTTCGAGGACAAGAGCTGGAGAGTTCGATACATGGTTGCCGATAGATACGAGAAGGTTCGTTGCTTAGCCTTGGGTCGAAGTTTGGATGCTGGAACTGTACTAAATCCTGTCATAGATTGCCAAGGCCGTGCACGAGGAAGTGGTCACCCGCGATATGGTGCCCGCTTTCGTGAAACTTTTGAAGGATACAGAGGCTGAAGTCCGCACTGCAATTGCTGGCCAGATTCCAGGTATGTCCCGTCGGGTTCATTCCTGAAGCGTAAACTAATTCTATGGCCAGGCTTTTGCACTTTGATTGACCGTGATACACTGCTAAATGAGATCATGACTAGCGTTGAGGACCTTGTCTCTGATCAATCGCAGCACGTTCGGGCGGCTCTGGGCACCCAGATTAGTGGTCTGGCGCCTATTCTTGGAAAGGAGGAGTAAGAAACCGGTGTCCACGCTCCCAGAGTATCAATCACTGACCATTGTGCAGGACTATTGCTCACCTGCTTCCTATGTTCCTTCAAATGCTGAAGGATGACTTCCCCGATGTTCGTCTTCACATCATTTCCAAGCTTGAGCAGGTCAACAAAGGTGAGACTTCAATTCATCAGCGATTATCGACATGGATTCGTCTAATTCTCTTTCAGTCATTGGCATCGATCTTCTCTCTCAGTCTCTTCTCCCTGCCATTGTCCAGCTGGCCGAGGACAAGCAGTGGCGCGTGCGCCTTGCTATTATCGAATACATTCCTCTTCTCGCCAGTCAGTTGGGTGTCAAGTTCTTCGACGAGCAATTGAGCGACCTCTGCATGGGCTGGCTCGGCGACACTGTTTTCTCGATCCGAGAGGCTGCTACTCAGAACTTGAAGAAGCTCACTGAAGTATTCGGTGTGAATTGGTCGAAGGAGTCTATTATCCCCAAGGTGATCGCCATGGGACAACATCCCAACTATCTTTACCGTATGACAACATGCTTTGCTGTTTCTGTGAGTATACTTGTCTTTCCTTTGCGATCGAAGCATTCTAATGATACCAGACCCTCGCCCCCGTTGTTACACTCGACATCATCGAAAGCTCCATTATTCCCATTCTGGACCGCCTGGTGACGGATGAAATCCCCAACATTCGTTTCAATGTCGCCAAGTCCTACGCCGTTCTGATCGACACCCTGCGCCGCCTGCCGGAGGACAAGACTCTGGTCGAGGTCGAGAAGTCCGGAGAGACGGTCACCCCCTCGCCCAAGAGCCAGGACCTGATCCAACAAAAGATCCTGCCTAGTCTGGAGAAATTGCAGGAGGATGACGACGTCGATGTCCGCTACTTTGCTACGACTGCGTGCGGCAACCAGGACGAGGCCATGCAGACTTCGCCGTGAATGAGATAGCGCAGGACCGGCGAACTACTCTTCGGAAAATTTCCCGGAAAGGATTGACCGCAGACACACTCCACATATTGCACTCGATCTGGGCTTCCTGTCATTTTAGAAGAATAGCCAGCTTTGGGATAAGATATCTTGAAGGCGTTTTTTAATGTAGAGGTTTTTGTTCCATACATAACTCGTCTATCCAGCCAAGGTAGTCACAAAAGCAATTACGCCATGAATATTTGCCGGTCGATCGATGTTCGTAGAAATCTCATCTTATCAACGGCCTGTGCGAGAGATGAAGGTGGCTCAACCTCGGGTCCCCCGTGGGCGAGTCAAATCACTTCATTTGTCAGCGGGGCCATGGATCTGACACCTTGCAATTCTTCTGCGCAGCTGGCTTACCTTGAATCCAGTCTGGACTCTTGACGGTCAAGCTCTCCATCTGATATCCTGAGAACTGCTGCCGTCATGGTTGCTGCCAACTAGATTCGCGCCGCTCCGATATTGACGCACTCCTTATATACACAGCATCTTTGACTACCTCCTGCCCTTTGCACAGACCAGAGACAGCGAGTCTCGATTCAGCACTTCATCAATTGGGGAATCGAGTTTGCAATATGTCATCCTCTTGGCTTTGGCATTTCATTACCGTCTCCGAAGAGGAGAAGCTTCGGCGCCGGGAGCTGCTCGACTTGCGCGGCGCTCTGGCGCAAGTATCAATCGTTGTAGTAATTATCGCACTCCGCGTTTACCAAGCCTGGGCTACAGCCCGGATCCCTGGCGACGTGCCAAAGACGCGCCGTGGACCAAGCTCGTGGTGGGATCGCCCGCTGATTGCTGGATGGATCGAAACCCGGAGACAGTATCTTGTCTGCAGCGTGTGGCTAGCGTGGTTATTGAGCCTCGCTGTATGGAATAGCGGTGATGGTCAGTTTAATATCTCCGTGTACAATCGCAGGAACCAATACAATGATCAAACCAAACTCACACTCGCAGACTACCTCCACCTAACCAAAGCCTTGGGCCACATCGCCCTTTCCCAAGTCCCTCTCCAAGTCCTGATGTCCCCGGCGGCATACATCTCAACCACGAAACCATCAGCAGCATCAGCATTCTCATTCGTAACATCCATCCCGCAAGCAACCGTGACTCCATACCACCGGCTGTTTGGTCGCGTGGTCATCGCTCCTCTCCTCTTCGGGCACGCCTCTCTCTATCTACTATTCTTCGTGCAATCGAGCCACCCGGAGTTTAGCTCGCTTCTCGCCAAGCGAGTCCGTGATTTTGACGTGCAGTGCGGCCTCCTTGCGCTATCTACGGTGGTGCTGCTTCTGATTTTCGTCCGGCCTCGCGGTGTTGCGCGAAAGAGCGGGGCCCAACCGGCTACGTCTATGCAGGAGCGGAGACGGACATTTTACTTCGGACATGTGTTGCTGGTGATCGTTTTGTGTGCTTTGGCCTACTCGCATGTTGGATACGCGCAGAAGTATATGCTTCAGGCGCTGGGGGCTTCGGTGGTCAATGGAGGTTGTTCTGTGGCTTTGGTTCGATGGGGAAGTAAAGCGTAATATACCTTCAAGCTTGTTCGGGATTCTGTACACAGTACTATTTTGATTTATTGGCACCCGTGGGCATCGAGAATATGTAGATGCAAACTAAGCAACACTCGGCCTATGAACGACAGCAAAGAACAATGCTATTGTCACACCAGATTTGTGTTTTCCAGAGTTTGCGAATCGCACTGGTAACTCATTCAATAGAGTGGTTTTAATCGCGGTGACTTCCGGTTTGGGACCATCGGATGCCAGCCGCAAAACGCATAGACGCCACCGTGGTCATGCCGAAAACAAAATTCGCCTGAGCATTTGGAAACCACCACCCTCCGACCCGAAAACACCTCTACTTTGATCAAAGGACATTTGAGCGCGTTTTTTTCTCGTGGACGATATTCCTAGGTCGAGGCTCGAGGCTTGGCACCTCCGAAACTAATGATAGTCTAGACGCCCTACAGACTTTCCACTTTGCCTTATGGAGCATTCTCCGTAGGACCCTTTTCCGCGCCCTCGTGCTGAACCTTCTAAGGTTTCCCTCTCCTTCCCTCTCATGTCCACACCAAATGGCAGGATGAGGACTCAACGATTGACCATCCTGCTCGCGGTCGTCCTTCTCGCCTGCTTCTCCCTCGTCTACCTTCGCCCCTCACACCCTCCCGAACAACCTGCCGTGATCCCTCCTCTCGAGCGGATCAAGCACCCTCAACTCCATGCAGGCCAGAGCTCCTACCCTCCCGAGAAGGTGCACCCCATCGCCACCCTGATCCAGAACGCGCAACAGCAGTTCGATCATGTGCAGACTCGCCAATCCAAGACCTTGGCCGAGGCCGTGCAGGAGTACAAGCGTCGCTACAAAATGCACCCGCCACCGCATTTCGACAAGTGGTTCCAGTTCGCCCAGTCTAAGAATGTCCAGCTCGTTGATGAGTTCGACTCTATCTACCACTCGCTGCTACCCTTCTGGGCGCTGAAGCCGGAGGTCATTCGTGCGCGCGCTCGCGAGACACTGGGATTCGACAACGCTGTGATTGGGCTTCTGATTCGCGATGGCAAGGTGACTCTCACCGAAGGTGGCGGTGATGATCGCAAGTGGCAGCGTGACGCCACGGTCGGCATGATGAAGGACTTTGTCCGATACCTGCCGGACATGGATTTGGTCTTCAACACGCACGACGAGCCCCGCGTGGTCATCCCCGGTGACGATCTCCAGCGATTGGTGCAGACCGCTACGGACCAAGTAATCCCGGCCTCTTTCAACAGGAAGAGCCCGACGAATGCGTGGTCGCCTCGCGCCTCTGATTTGAACAAGGGAGATCGGATCGACGAGGTGCGCACGACTCGCTTCAACCGGTTTGCGCACCAGCCTACCTGGACCAACTCGCGCCAGTCCTGCCCCGTCGATAGCCCTGCACGGTCCATTGAGGAGGACGCATCGGATAACGTCGACCCGTACGCGTACGGCGAGTTGGGCTTTATCTACAACACCACCGCCTTCTCCGATATATGCCATACCCCGTCTCTTCGCTACACCTATGGATTTTTCGATCGACCGAATGCCTTCGATGTCGTCCATGACCTATTCCCCATTTTCTCGCAGAGCAAGGTCTCTAGCTTCCAGGACATTCTCTACCCCAGCCCGTGGTATTGGGTCGACAAGGTGCCTTACGACCGACACAAAGATTACTCCTGGGAAGCCAAGTCCGATCATATGTACTGGCGTGGATCCACCACCGGTGGTTTCTCGCGTGCGGGCGGCTGGCGCCGACAACACCGGCAGCAGTTTGTCGACAACGTGAACTCCCTCGGCCAGACTAAAATTCTCGTGAAGCAGCCGGATAACTCGTGGGCCTCACAGGAGGTCAACCAAGAGCAGTATCAAGATAAATTCGACGTCAAGTTCACCTTCATTGGACAGTGTGATCCCGACGACTGCCACGCACAGGAAGAGTACTTTGAAGTAGTCAAGCCTGCTGGACAGCAGGATGCGTGGGCTCACAAGTTCCTGGTCGACGTGGACGGCAATGCCTTCAGTGGGCGATTCTATGCGTTCCTGCTGAGCAACAGCTTCGTCTACAAGTTGGCCCTCTTCCGTGAGTGGCATGACGAGTGGCTCAAGCCCTGGGTGCACTATGTGCCCCTCAGTCTGAAGGGCAATGAATACGTCGAGAGCATGCGGTACTTCGTGTCCGAGGACGAGGGCAAGAAGGCGGCCCCTCAAATTGCCGCCCAGGGTCAAGATTGGGCACAGAAGGTGCTGCGCAATGGAGACCTGGAGGTCTGGTTCTTCCGGTTACTCTTGGAGTGAGTTTTGACCTATCGTTTTCGTATGCTCTGCTAATCGTTATCTCTAGGTATGGACGTCTTGTGGACGACAATAGAGACGAACTCGGCTTCTTTGTTTGATCAAACTCCTCATCTCTTGCTTCCTAGTTGCCCTTTGTATATACCCTAATTTCCTACTGTTCTGCCAACTGAACCCGACTCAGCCTCGTGTGGGAACTCGACGAGATCACGGCCATTTTCCTCGTGCTTGGAATTTTCCTTTTCCTTTTACTCTTACCGCTGCATATTCCCATCATGTCTTAATACCCATCTTCCTTTATGATCCTGCGGGACTTATCTCGGCGTGACACATTGATCTAATCGGCATATGAAGATGAGACTCGGCGTTTTCAAGGTGAAAGCCATTTAAGGCTGAGCATCGCTAAATTCACTATTAAAAAGCAATCATACACTGCCGCTAGCATAGCACCCTACTTGAAACTAGCCAAGCCATGCAGGATGAAGTTTGCCTCTAGAGAGGGGGTGCAGCTGACTAATGAGGCGACGCGCCACCAGCTCCGAGGTTCTCCACCAACCAGCTGTAGAGCTAGCTAGCTCCTCGGATAAGGTTACGCCCTGTTCCCCTATAGCTTCTTTCTCTCCCCACTTCCGGCCCTATTTCTCTCAAGGACCTACTTTTGTCGACGCATGATCGATTCAAAGTGGCTCGTTCCAACATGGGCTTCATCAAGAGTGCCGTCATCTTGACGCTTTCCTTTTCTTATGGCATTTTCACAGTAGTCCTCTACGCTTGCATCTCCATCAAAAATGGCACCTACTTCACTCGCAGGACTGAAAAGGAAACCCTGGAGCTGCAAATTGGTAAGTGATCTGCCATAATGTCTATCTTCACCCTCGATGCACCCAAAAATGCTGTGTGGAAGTAAGAACATTTTTATTAACTGTGCACCCAAAGCTCGTGATCGCCTGTGGGACCTGTCAAAGGATTTTGCCGGTCTCTCCCACCATATAATTACTCTAGCCAGTGGTTTTAAATTCCACTTTGTCAGCAATGAAGCACCCGGCTCACCAGCTGCCTTGAAATCTGATAAGCCGCTGGTTGTCTTCGTTCATGGATTCCCTGACAGTTGGGCCGTATGGCGCCACATCGTCAGCTCATCTTCCCTCCAGGATGCCGCGTGCTTGGTCGCAATTGATCTGCCCGGTTACGGAGGCAGCGAAGGCCTGGAGAAATACTCCGCTACCGGAGTGCTGGAGAAGATGACAGAACTCATCATCACGCTGCGGACCCAATACGGAGTGGACGACGGATTCGAGACGCGCAAGAAGAAGACCATCATCGTTGGCCATGACTGGGGCTGCATCATCTCCATGCGACTTGCGGCCGAGGCCCCATCGCTTGCGGATCGGTTCATTCTGAGTAATGGGCCATTGGTACGGCATCCAATTCTACGTTGGTTATGCCGAAAGCTTACCTTTCATAGCCGGATCTGGTCAAATCCAACTTGATGCGCACGATTGACTCGGCGCGCAAGATGCACAAGGATGCACAGAATGCTCCACGCTCATCACGCCCGCCGCTGCTCCAGGCTATTCGAACCCTCAAGCCCCTATTCCGCCAACTCACGCTATCAGGCTATATCTTCGCGATGCAGCTGCCCGTTCCTCTGGTTGAATACTTACTGATAGGCGGCAACCAGTCGCTCATGAGAGCCGTACACAGGGGTGCCCATGGAAAGGCCGAATTCAACCCCCGCGACGCGGCCGAGTCCATGGCCAGCAGTATGGGTCCGTCTCTCGCGGAGTCCAAGACACAGACCTCCAACGGAGAAACATACCCGAGCACCATCAAATACTCGCGCGAGTTCGCCAACGTGATGAACATGGCCGGCTACTACCGCGACGGTGCATCGACTAGAATCTGGCAGAAGTCGCTTGAGACCATCGCCGGCCTCCACGGGCTCGCGGGCGGCAACGACCTCCGTCGGACCAGTAGCGGAGCAGGACTATTCGACGAAGGAGCTCCCGGGGTGCTGAAAACAAGCTCGACCGTGTTCTGGGGCGAGAAGGACATCGCGCTGGACCCGACGATTTGTCTAGACGGTATGGCCGATTACCTCGTCGGCGGTAGTCAGGTCGTGCTGCTTCCGCGATCAGGCCATTTCACTCCGGTCGAGGTGGAGAGCCGCGCGGCGTTGGAGGCGGCCGTGCAATGGGCCGTGCAGGGTGAGAAGGAGGACGTTGGAGTTGCTGTACAGAGAACGTACAAGGGTGCGAAAGTTATCGTTCGCAGATGAAGGAGCTTGCGGATGGATGGTTATTGCTATGGGCTCGTGCCACCTTATCTGTTTCCCACGGACCCTTGTAAAACCATAGCACCTTGCCGCCACAGCTAACGCTTCGGCCCCTCAGGGGCGGGAGCTGATTTCCTCTTTGATTTCCCGTTGCAATAGTTTCAGAGAGATTTGAGCAATGCATTTATTACCTAGCATCGATCTCTATCAAGCAGAAAAATAGAGCCATCGATAATACCTAAGCTACAAACCGTATCTATTCTTAACAGGGAAAGCTAGGTAGGAAGGAAGCTCGGGGCCGCGGAGACTGGTTCCACCCGATGAGGGGAAAACATGGAAGCATCCGCCTCCACTTTCCCCTCGATGTCTTCATCCGGCGACAGCTCCTGTCTCAGGTACTTCCTTGAAAGCTTGCCACTTCCAAGCTCCGCTCTTCTCATCCTTTCCTCGTATTCACTTTTCTACTTCCCTCTCTACAGTCTCAATTCACCGCCCTGATTGCCACGACGACTGAGAGTCATCTCGCACGACATGATGCACCAGTGAAAAGGCTAGTTTTTCGTCCGCGTCCGCGTCCGGTCCTGGTATCACAGTCCTCTTTTCCTGTGTCTCCGCCGCTCCGTGCCTGGCGTCTACCGGACCTGTCCAAACCGCAAAGCGTTTACAGCGGGTCGTCGCTTCAAGGGTTAAATATAGCTTCGGGCCAACCGTTCCGTTTTAACTCTGTTCACTTTTTGGCCTGCGCTGCTTCTCTTGGAGAGTGATACCTCTCTTTTTTTTTTGCCTTGCGAACGTGGGACTTGACGCATGATGGAGTCCGAGCGGAGGGCAGTTTACTGCACGGTGCGTTTGGACCCCCTTTGTTCCCTTGCCGAGAATGAATGATGTTAATGGGATTGATAGCTCTTGTTGAGCGACAACTACTTGCCGGGTAAGCAATTGGTCTTTCGAGGATGTGTCCGCTCTTCTAACTCGCTCCTCCAGGTGCTATGATCCTCGCGCATTCCTTGCGCGACAATGGCACGAAAGCAAGACTGGTTGCCCTCTTTACGCCAGATACATTGCAAACAGCTACGGTCAATGAATTACGGGTATGTTCAATTCTGCATCCGCAAGGAATGGTCTCGTCACGGTCCATACTAACCTCGATCGAAGACCGTCTATGATGAACTGATCCCCGTGCGCGAACTTGTCAACGGCACTCCTGCAAATTTATGGCTCATGAACCGGCCCGACCTGATCGCCACATTCACCAAAATCGAGCTTTGGCGCCTGACCCAATTCGACCGGATCGTCTACATCGATTGCGATGTCTTGGCCTCAAGGGCTCCGGACGAGCTGCTATCGTTGGAAGTAGACTTTGCGGCCGTGCCGGACGTGGGCTGGCCGGATATTTTCAACAGTGGACTCATGGTTCTTCGACCTAATATGCAGGACTATTATGCACTGAAGGCGCTCGCAGAGCGGGGCATTAGCTTTGATGGAGCCGACCAGGGTCTGCTCAATATGCATTTCCGTGACTGGCACAGGCTAAGCTTCACGTACAATTGCACGCCCAGCGCCAACTACCAGTACATTCCAGCGTACAGGCATTTCCAGAGTACTATCAGTCTGATCCATTTCATCGGTTCGCAGAAACCGTGGAATTTGCCCAGGCAGGTGGTTCCGCAGGAGTCGCCTTACAATCAATTGCTTGGGCAATGGTGGGCTGTGTATGATCGACATTACCGTCCTCCTTTTGTGAGTGCTTACGCCTTGTAAATGATCGGTGGTTCTAATTGTCAACCAGGTTTCTATTCGGCCACCACCGCAAAGTGTTCAGCAGGAGACGTATTCCGCGAAGGCCCCGACTCACGAGCAGTGGCCAGAACCTTATCATGTTCATCACGTCAAGGAGCATGCACCTGTAAGCTTCCACCGCGGAGTTCAGCGGGATGAAGATGTGGCTCAATTGGTGTCGATGACGCATGAGCAGACCCAACCATGGCAGCCATCTCACAATCCGGACCAGGGCCCAGCTACTTCAAGGACAATGCCGGTCCTCAGTGCAGTTCCGCAGTATGTGCGTGGAGAAGAGCATGTCTCAACCTTCATTCCACCATTGCCGCACATACCTGCCTCTGTGTTCCACGCTCTCCAGCAGAGCCATGAAGGATGGCAAGAACCTCCCAAGGAACAAGAACACCCTCAGGAACAGGAACATCACCAACAGGAGCATCATGACCAGACTCATGATGCAGGCCACATCTATCAACCGCAGCCTAGCGCGCCCACTCCACCGCTCACCCAGCTGTACCAGCCCCCTCGTTCTCCTTCTCCACAGCCGCCGACCTTCGAGGCACCAAAGGCAGAATGGGATGCTTCACGGTGCGTAACTGAGATTGTGAAGTTTCTAGACTAAACTGCTAATATTGCACAGAGAGCCACCGCCGTTGAATACAAAGCCTGAAGGAATCAGCTTACAAGAAAGGACATACTCCATGTCCGAAGACACGAACCTATTCCGACCTCCCCCATCCTACCCTGAAGCCCCGAAGAACATGTACTATCAGGTCCCTGAGACCAAACCAGAGCCGCAGAAAGTCACAAAATTGTTCCCATGGGAGAGCCACGCTCCCAAACCTACTCGCGTCTTTGCACAGGAGTTACCCGTTCCCACCGTCTCATCCGAAGACCAATCTACACCAACCCAAATCAAGGAATCCGATGCACCACCGGAAACACCAACACTGCGATCACAGTATGGGTCACCCACGGAATCCTGGGACACATACACGCGCTCAAATGTATGGGACGAGGACCCGCATATTCAAAAATACATTGAATCAATGCAACAAGTCCGCCACGGACGCACCCAAGTGATCTCAGGCTCCAGCCAATCCAGCACGAGCCAGGGCTCAGCATCCAGCAGCTTCAGCGGGCGCCGACCCAGCATCAAGCTAACCGACTTCCCAACCGCAGTTGAGCGGCCCAGCCTCCCCGTAACGCCCGCACCGGTCCAGCCCGGCGCCCATGAAGAAGCATCCGCGGAGATAACCCTTCCTACCGCCGAAGGTGTTCCGGACCAGGAGGACTGGGTGGGTGTCACAGTTGATGCGTTTTCCCAAATCCTCCGAGCAACATACTTATTGTGGCAATATACAGAATCCTCTGGCCCGGTTGGAAGAGCTGCGCCGTCGGCAGTCGGCAGTTTTGGAGAGTTCCGACTATTTGCATAGGAGGCCTTCTCAGGACCCGGCCTCTACCGAGCGGGAAGGTGCGCCCGATGCTGGAGATGGGTCTGGACAGCGTTGAGATTGTGTGGCTTTTGGGAAATTCTCGATACTTGTGTTCATGATCTAGCGAACAGAAATTTTCATTGGATTTTGTTTCATTCGTTTTATGAGCGACCTAGTCACGCTTTGTATATCGCATTTGCATCTGGTCGATAATTGAGCTGGATTTTGAGTCTGCTTATGAGGGACTTGCCTCGTGTGTGTCTTACGCCCTCGCCGAACCCGCTTGTACATACTGCATATATCTTTCGTCGCAGCATAGTAATGATCACAAGCGCGGGGTCGTAGGAGATTACGTTGCCTTCCTATGTCTCACTGGCGTCTAACTTTGTAGTTGCGATCAGTCTTACGCGGGGCCCTGAGGATCAGTACCATAAATGGAAAGGTGCAATATTCACAGGGATATACGAGCTGCATCACAAGATACTCCAATGGATACTGGTTAAAAGTATATTTCTGGAATAGCTCAAGCTTCAGCCTTGGACTGGTAATAAAGCGTGGAATTGCAAAGAGCCCAAAACGTCGATCAGTGTGGCTTTGAAGCTGCTGCTTCCATCCTCACAGAGTCCATTCCGTTCAACCATTACGTTGAGGTCGAGCGCTACCATCAGCTCAGGGCAGTGACTAACAATGCTTGGCGGATGCAGAATCGTGGTGCAACGAAGCGAGCCGCTGCAAGTCTTGGGCGGAAAGGCGGTCATTTTCCGCATCAATTACGCAGGCCGTCATATTCTATACGTAATCCTTGGAGATAACTCAGATCAACGCTACCGAGAGCTCGGGCTTACCTCAATCTCAAATCCCGCACACCTCTACCGATCTCCGTTTCAGTAAAGATGCGCTGATGGGGGCTCAGCCGCAGAGCATTATTTACCTGCCTTTTAGGGTAAACTTAACGGGCGCAATCGACCAATAAAAGAGCAGCAAATGGCGTTTAAGGTCGTGCTGATTTTCGTCCTAGAGCAAGCTAAAGTCGGGGCCGAGCCGGTGAGAAAACAGGTCGGGGCCCGAGGCCCCGTTCTACGCGAAATCGAACAGTCCTAGTGGATCGGGGCTTGCAATGCATTTTCTCTCATCTTCTCTCGTCGGCTAGGCAGGCCAATCGAGTTGATTCTTGGGATCATCACTGCCGGGAGCGATGTTTGGGGTAAGGACGCCTGGACAACACTACGAAAGTCAAAATGTCAGCCCAAAGTCAAAGCTAAACGTTAAAAACAAAACCTTATGTAAATCCCGAATCCTTGTACGTAGTCGTCTGAGTCAACAACCGGAGGATCAGTAAATAGTCTTTGGCCGATTTGGTGGTTGACAGAATCCACCGAAGGCCGATGGAAGAAATTTCAAACTCTAAAGCACATGGGGGGATGCACCGTTTCGGTAATCGGACAACTCTACGTTCTGGGCAAATGGGGTTCACAGGGACCGGAGTACGACTGCGCTCCCCGAATTGCCCCAGACAGAGCACCCGACACAGGTCTAGTCACGTCCGTTTGCCGGGCTGCGGCCAGACCCAAGATCATACGACGCTGGTTGGGCGCACAAGGCTTGGAGGGGCCACACGGTCGATTCGACGAAGAATGAGAATCTGGATAATTAGTCACGGTAGACACAGCCCGAGGTCATTATTGGACAACCGTCCGACGCTCGGCCCGGTTGGCATCCACGCAAGCCAATACGAAGGCGCAACGGAATGTTCGGCGGGTCTTCCATGGAACCCGTTCCTGAGCTTTTGCCTCCCACGGGGCAAAATCGGCGCGGCGGAGCATGCAGTGGACCCGGAACTCAAAAACCGAGATTCTTCTTATTAAGAGAAACTACCTACCCCAGTTCCTCCCCTCTTTCTATTCTTTCCCCAGGCAGATCGTCGCATTGACTCGTGTTGACTCTTGTTTATATCCTCTGCTTCCCCAGTTCCCCGGCTTTTTTCTTTTGTTTCTTTTGCCATTGAGAAACTGGTCATGGAGTCGGTCACCCCCCAGCCTCCGGCTTATACCAACGACAAGATTGAGGCTCGTGAGGAGCAGAAGTGGGAGCCTGCCTTTGATGACGAGAATGCTCTCAAGCAAGGCGAGGTTCAAGATGCCTTTGGTAACGAGGAGTATGCGGAGATCAAGTACAAGACTCTGAAGTGGTGGTATGTATCTGTTTCCTTTTCCTTGATACATGGGATGAAATGATTCTAACCCGACCCAGGCAATGTGGTCTGTTGATGATTTGCGAGTCCGTTTCCCTGGGTGTTTTGTCGCTGCCTGCGGCCGTGGCTACCCTGGGTCTGGCCCCCGGTATCATTTTGATCGTCGGTCTCGGTCTCCTCGCGACCTATACCGGATACAACATCGGCCTGATGCGTGAACGGTACCCTCACATCCAGAACCTGGGTGACGCCGGTGAGATCCTGTTGGGATCCTTCGGTCGTGAGCTGTTCGGCACTGGTCAGTTCCTGTTCTGTATCTTCGTCATGGGCAGTCACATCTTGACCTTCCGCGTCATGATGAACACCATCACCGACCACGGCACCTGCTCCATTGTCTTTGCTCTCGTCGGCATGCTCATCTCGCTGGTGCTGTCCATTCCCCGTACTATGCGCGGCATGACCTGGATCTCTTTCTTCTCTTTCCTCAGCATCTTCAGTGCCGTCTTGATCACCATGATCTCCGTCTCCGTGGAGGAGCACCCCGGCCGTGTGATCGAGGCCACCGTCGAGACAGACCTGTACACTGCCTTCCAGGCCGTCTCCAACATTGTCTTCGCCTACTGCGCCCACGTCGCTTTCTTCGGTCTCATCGCCGAGATGGAGTCCCCCAAGGACTTCAAGAAGTCCCTCTTCATGCTCCAGGGCTTCGAGATCTGCCTGTACCTCACCGCCGGTGTCGTCATCTACTACTACGTCGGTAATACCGTCGAGTCCCCTGCCCTCATCTCCGCCGGCCCTCTCATGAAGAAGGTCGCCTTCGGCATTGCCATCCCCACCATCATCGGCGCCGGTGTCGTGAACGGTCACATCGGTCTGAAGTACATCTACTTCCGTCTGACCGCAAAGTCCGACCTGATCCACTCGCGCGGCTGGAAGTCCGTCGGCCTGTGGCTCGGTCTGGGCGTTTCCTGCTGGGTCGTGGCCTGGATCATCGCCGAGGCCATTCCCGTCTTCAGCGACCTGAACAGTCTGATCAGTGCCCTCTTCGCCAGTTGGTTCAGCTACGGTCTGTCTGGTATCTACTGGCTGCACCTGAACGCCGGCCAGTGGTTCGCCTCGCCGCGCAAGATCGCGCTCACCATTCTCAACGTCGCTATTGCCCTCTTCGGTCTTGCGTTGTGTGTTCTTGGTCTGTATGCCTCTGGCACTGCCATCCACAATGATACAAGCACGTCCAGCTTTAGCTGCAAGAACGATGCTTAAAGTATCTTCTCTACGCTTTCGGATGTTTTTACGTATATTTGCATTGGCATTTGCATCATGAGCATTGCGTGATTCTGGTCTATAGAATAGAACCATATATTTAGATTACTGGTTAATCATATTATTTCACTGCTACCTTCCTTCCAAATATCTCTGTAAATTGTAGTCAGTTGTGCGGCTCTGAAGCAAGAGGCCTAAGCTCTGTGGGGAGAGGCCTGAGCGGACTCCATATAAATCTGGAGCTGCTCTACGTCAATCAAGGCAGTTTGCCATGGTTCTTGGACTCGCTCGGCCTCGAACATTCATATTGAACTTGTATTTTCCTACTTTACTCCCCACAGAAGCCACCATCACCGATCCTTCTTACAGACCTGCCATCACAATGTCCGAATATCCCACTTGAATATCCCTATCCAAACAAAGGACCTCCACGAAGTATGCACGATCACCGACAGACGATTCAGCCGATGGAAGGCACCTAACAATGGACACTACCCTTGATGACTCTAACAATATACTACCGATTACAACCTCCCCTATTCTACCTCTCCCTCATTCACGAAGCCCAAGGCTCTAATGAACCCGGAGCAGGCGAGCTTTGTGCAACGGGTTGCGCAAAGCGAACCTCCATCTAGAGCGCTGAATAAAAACGAGGTGACGTGAATTGCCGGGGTGGGCGGTACTTATTGAGAGTCTTGTCGAGGGAGATGTTGCGGATGTGGGAAGCTTGGGACGGTGAGGGATATAGTCTAGCCTGATTGAGCTAATTTGAATGAAGAGAGAAGGAAAATATGGAGGAGTGCCAGTTTCCTGCAGCATTGTTTTCTGTTTACAAGGACCGAACAAACACCGATATGAAATACTGTAGACAGGTGAATCGGGGATTGATATTTTCATTCAGTCGTTAATGGTAATGATGGTAATGATAACAAGGCGCTGTGCTAAAAATGGCATGCCGCTGTCTAATCTCTGGGAATGCGATGTGAAATCAAAACCAGTGGTGACTGAACTTTTGAAAAGCCTCACGACTCAAGGTTGAAAGAAACGGCAAAGACGCTATTCTGCCCAAAAAAGAGCATTGAAATACAGACATTCGCGAATGAGTACCTCTCCATATCGTCAAAGGCCATCGTGAAGCCGCTTCCCACGGACCGAAAAGAAGTTGTTCTGTTTGATGTGCTTTGCTTTGCCAGTCTTTTCATCGTAGAGGCAGAAGCCGTGGATTGCAGCGTTAGGGGGGGGTATAGACTACATATAAATGAGCCACGAGCCATAACGTAAACCATATGACCCGGAAGGGGCGGATAGACAAAAGAGGGGAAGGCTAAACTTACGATGGAGTGAGATCGCAAAGTCGTCAGGGTCTGGGTTGGAGATTCTGTGGAGACCAAGCTGATCATATTGCTTTAGCACATTCTTAGGTTTCAATAGACAAAGTGCGAAGACGAACCTTGTCGGACATGTAAGTAACTTGGTTCTCGCCGTAGACGGTCTGCCGAGTGACCTGTGGTGGAGAAGTCTGCCCTTCTCTGATCTTTTCTTGGTCCGGCCAAGAGTAGAGTGTTTCTTGGAGCTTTCCTTTAAGGATCTGCTCGGTAGTTAGCCGAAATGTTCGAATTTCAAATCGAGGTGCTGAAGGTTGTTTACCTTCATAACGCAGTGTGCGTTGGCGTGGTCATGAATGGCGCTTCCCTTCTGGGGAGACCATACAAGAATTAGCTAGCAAAGCGGGAATTAGTACAGGCATTTTCCAAGTTGGCTTGATGTCCTGCGGACTGAGCGTCAGCGATTCGGAAGATCAATTGACTCACCAGGTTGCTCTTGCCATTTCCCTCGTCAATCAAGTTCCTTGTGTAAGCCCTGCTGGTATCGCCCAGGGCGTAGGATTCCCACTCTGATGAATTGGAAATGTACTTCTCCATCAGTTGCTGGATGTTCATAGGGTCGACATCATCGGAGTCGAGACCGGAGCTTGAGCCCAGGGCAGTCCTGAGGTCCTCCACAAGTTTTTCGAATGCATCAAAGTCTCTCTCGGAGTTTGAAGGTGAACCAGATCCGTCCTTGAGAAACGGCATGATACCTGATGCCCTGAAATGGAGCAGAAAGAAGTGAAAGATGGTTCCTGTCAACACGGGATCGGGACCTAAGAGCGTTATCGGAGGTAAGTTCGGATACAAGAGTAAAATGATCGAAAGGAATGACGCTGTCCTTGAAGCGCTCTTCGGCTCTCAGGTATTTATACTCAAATAGGGCCGGAATATCGGGTCACATGAGACCAGTCCGATCCCAATTGATGATCATCGAAAGCCGGAATGGCGAAAGATCGAGACATGCTCCGTTCGTGCCCTCGATAAGCGATAAGGAAGTTGATGCCTTGCAGCCTGCGAAAAAACCGAACGCTATGACATAGTTTCCTGCCTGAGGCCAGCACCCCGCCGCCCTGCCTTAGTAAGAGGAGTGCCACAATTCAAAGATTGTGTCTCCGCCAACTCACGTCTTTGTTCTGCACTTGCATTGCGAAGGGAAACGCACCGAGGCGTTTCCTGTATTCTATCGACTGACCTTACCTGTTCTTTCTTCTCTGACCGTCAGAGTCCCCCAACCGCAAAAATGGCGACTACCATGGACAAGGTTAGTGCGCTCAGGATCGCGCATGCAATTACCTTCATGAAAATCGCTAACAACGTCATGCCTGCTTATAGATCAAGGACATTGAGTCCGAGATGGCCAAGACCCAGAAGAACAAGAACACCTCCTTCCATTTGGGTACGAATGCCCCCGAACGAACATTTCAACGAACATTTCAACGAAGATTTCTTCGACCGTGAACAGACAGAGCTGACAATCGGTGAAGGACAATTGAAGGCAAAGCTTGCTAAGCTCAAGCGCGAGCTGTTGACGCCTACCGGAGGTGGTGGTGGCGGTGCTGGTGGTGAGTGCTTCGAATCCGTGATACTGCGCATGGTCCGCTCAGTCGCTAATGACGTCTCAGCTGGTTTCGATGTTGCTCGTACTGGTGTTGCCAGTGTGTAAGTCAAATCCAGGTGGCACTATATATACAGTGTGAAATATACTCATGCTGATCCCTACAGTGGTTTCATTGGTTTCCCCTCCGTCGGAAAGAGTACTCTGATGAGCAAATTGACAGGCCAGCATTCCGAAGGTCCGTTTGAAGCAATATACACTGTGCTATCACCCGCTGACATGGTTTTACAGCGGCGGCTTATGAGTTCACAACCCTCACGACTGTTCCCGGACAGGTCATGTACAACGGTGCCAAAATTCAGATTCTCGATCTTCCTGGAATTATTCAAGGTGCCAAGGATGGTAAGGGTCGTGGTCGTCAGGTCATTGCTGTGGCCAAGACCTGCCATCTCATCTTCATTGTTCTCGACGTGAACAAGCCCCTGGTCGACAAGCGCGTCATCGAGAACGAATTGGAGGGCTTTGGTATTCGCATCAACAAGTCCCCGCCCAACATCAACTTCAAGAAGAAGGACAAGGGTGGTATTGCCATCACGAGCACCGTCCCCTTGACCAACATTAGTCACGAGGTGAGTTTTGCCGTCGAGGATGTTACAAACGGTTGCTGACTCCAGGAAAGGAAATCAAAGCCGTGATGAACGAGTACAAGATCTCGTCTGCCGATATTGCCATCCGTTGCGATGCGACGATCGACGACCTGATTGATGTTCTGGAAGCCAAGAGCCGCAGTTACATTCCCGTCGTCTATGCGCTCAACAAGATTGACGCTATCTCCATCGAGGAGTTGGATCTTCTTTACCGTATTCCCAACGCCGTCCCCATCAGTTCCGAGCATGGCTGGAATATCGATGAGCTGCTGGAGATGATGTGGGAGAAGCTCAACCTTCGACGAATCTATACCAAGCCCAAGGGCAAGGCTCCTGACTACTCGGCACCTGTTGTGCTTCGTTCCCACGGATGCACGGTGGAAGACTTCGTAAGGACCTGTGTCGCCCTAATATGGTGAATCTTGCTAACTGTTTGCAGTGTAACGCCATTCACCGTACGATCAAGGATCAGTTTAAACACGCCATCGTGTATGGCCGCTCTGTCAAGCATCAGCCCCAACGAGTTGGTCTTTCGCACGAGCTTGCCGATGAGGATATTGGTACGTGCCCTTCCCCATCTATACCCGGGTGATATCAAAGCAATACCGAATCTGACCTTTCCATAGTGTCCATTGTGAAGCGGTAAAGGACCGAACACCAATCCTTGACCGTCACAGCCCGCGTTGGAAGCTACAAGCTGATCCAGACCACGCTGGGAGGTGGCGGGTGGCCTGTGCCCGGATGTTTCTACCCCTGTCTTGCTGACAGGTACGGCTTCTGGGATACAGTCCCCGGGAAACGCCACGGGAACCGAGTGTGAGTGGACCATGAGGATCATTTCCGCTCATGAATGGGGGCATCAAAAGTCCCACGGCTTAGGGAGAGCTCGTTTACTGGGGCTCCGAGAACCCTGTCCGGGCCGTGTGTACGTTGCTTGCTGATTGTGATTTTCGCTCGTATCCCACGGTGCCTTGGCCGGTCCAGCATGGGCTGAATTGGCGAGGGTCTCGTCGAGTTGGAGATATCCATGTCCACTCAGAGGCAGCACGGGGTGTGAGGATGTCATGACATGTTTTCGATGGCCTTGGCAGGCGCCAGGTTTGTTTTTTCTTGCTACTCCTTTGAAGCGATCGGTCCATATTGTCATTATGATTACCCATTCCTCCTTGGGAATTCCTTCGTTTCTCCTGTTGATAAGCCAAAGAATAAGAATCAAAAAGTTCTAGATCGAGGTCTTCATCTGGGCATGGCAAACCAGCCCGCCGCTGCATACAACCTCGGGTGGTTGCAAAAAGAATTAGGCCATAGTTCTTATTTGCTTTTGTTGCCCGAACCAGTCTCTTTATCCCACGCAATATCGACCTGCAGCAGGAACAAAGAAACAAGCACGCCACACTGCCCCTCAACAACCCCAAGATGCAACCTGCATGGATATGCCGGTGTAGCACCAATGAACCTCCTGGTATATAGCTGGCAATTCACCATGGACACTAGGCGTAGCCGACATCGTTATCGGTCCCAAATACCTTCGGAACACCCATGGCATGACATGCACGCATCTCGTGTGAGGGTCGCTTCCGAATTGGCGCTGGCGACTTCCGTGCCGTCCTGTGCGGACATCCTTGCTAGTAGAATTGTAATTGATTTTGTCCCCCCGATTGACCGTCATCTAAATCAGCAATAGATTTCCTGACGAGGCTGGGTCGGGGAGTCAGGGCCCCGCGCATATCCCTCCTCCACCCCCCTGTCAAGCCCAAAGCCTAGTCTAGAACAGGGGCCTCCGATTTCCCTTTTTGCTGATCGGATGACGCCCACGGCCCAAGAGGGCCGATAGACACTTTCTTGTCTCAGGTCAAAGCTTGACACTCGATAACTCCAACGGGTCTGGAAAGGCAATTATGGTGTGCATGGTGTGCAGAGAAGGGCCGCGACCCGGTGCACTGACCCGGTGCCAATAACAGCTCCCCCTACTATACGGTAGCCTCTTCGTCCCCGTGCTGATTCGGCAACGGTGATCATGATGCGAATCCATTTCGGGGGGATGCGTTTACCCGCAAGCTCCGCATGGAGGACTCACGGGCTACTGGCGGCAACCACTTCCGATAGGGTGTCAATGGTCGGGGGCGAAGCAAATATGATATGTCAACCGAGGAGCACGTTTTCTCAATGTCCGTGTCCATTGCGCTCGGTGCCAAAGTTTGGATCGGCCGCTAAAAAGCACTGTTGCAGCTCCGTGCTCGAGCTCGGATCTGCAGGATTAACATGCTGGGAGAGGAAGGCCATGAGATCCTTGAAAGGCGAGCTAGTGTACGGTACACGAGAGACGGACGACGATGCCAACAAGCGGTGAATTTCGGCTCGGTTAACGATTTGTATCTGATCAACTTGCTCCCCACCAAACCCCGACGTTTGGTGTACTGGGTACTAGGATCCGGGTGTCACAGCAGGTGTGACGGACAGGTCTCAAGTACTGGATCCAATAGGCGGCATTCATGAGGGGCTTGAGAATCCAAATCATTCGGAGTCTACGGGCAAGTGGAGAATCGCCCGCAAATCGCCGACCTCGATAGCCCAGACCTCACAGGGCCTGTTCACGATCTGATCCGTCCGCAGATGCTAGATCGGCAGGTTTGGGTCCCCTGTACCGTGTAGCCTCTCATCCATGGAGCGAGAATTAAATCATCCAGTGACTGCGACGGCACCGATTCTCTCTCGTGGGATCCGTCGGGGCTCCCCCGTCGCATTGCCTTGCATTGGGCGGGGATGCGATGCTCTTCCCCGGAGTCATGGGCACGGTTCGTTACTTACCCGGATTTTAGTTACGTGGAACGACCTTGCTGTGAACACGATGACATGGGAAAATACTGATTCGGGCTGGTTCATGCTCCTCCCCACCCCATGGTATCCTTTTTCGATCGACATGGCCGTAGGAATCCGGCCGAGATTGCAAGGAAACCTCGTCTGGTGCACGGTTTGAATATTCACGTCGATCGGTACCTGACTCGCTCCAACCATCAACCCTGCTGCTAGCCTTGCATACGCACACTCGCACTACCTCAAAATCCCGTTCCTGAATCCAACGAGGATTGCTTCCGGGTCTTGTCGCCAGACGCGGTCAGATAATTCTCATATGACACGAAAGTGGATATGATAACAAGCAGGAAGAAGCAACTATGGAAGCGTCGCGCGCCCATAGGATACCAGCGATTTTGATTCTGACCGGTCTAGACTTCTTTCTATCTCTGCCCCGAATTCCATGGAGGGGAGGCGGTCACAATCCAAAAGTTGAAAAACACGAAAGCGAAATAGAGTCATGTCCAAAAACATCGTAGTTTTTAAAGATCGACCGAGAAATCTTCTTACCAAACAAAAAGATGGCCGCAACCCACATTTGGGCTGATCTGAAGGGATTTGACAAACCTCTCCCGGAAGGGAAAAAGATGGGCGAACTTCCTTTTCCCGTCATGCGCAATCTGACTGGTGCAAAGTAACAAAAAAACCGACGGCAGCGAGCAGAGTGATTGGCTCCACCCTCGAATCAGCAGCTTCAGCCAAGTGCGCGACGGTTGATTCGCGTCCCTGACGGGCCTGACCGTCAAACACTTCCAAGTAGCCTTCGATAATTTGTCAGCCTTGGCTGCTTTCCCTAGTCGACCAAACGCCTTCGATTTCTGATTCGGCTTTCGAGAAATGAGGCTTGTCCGGTCCAATTTTACATCGGATGCCTCGTGGTTCTGGTCGAACAAGCGGGGGGTCTTTTTTCCCTTCTCTTTTTGGCGTATGGTGGTATTCCATGCAGACCGCATGCAAATGCCTCGCGTTCGATAATGAGCCACGTTATGGAATGTCAAGTCGGTGTGTACCGGGTATCCTACCTGGGCTACACCTAGGTAGGTATTGTATGGATCCATGATCCCCCAGTTTTCTATGTATTCTCTCTACTCCACCGCACAGTCAGGCTACATTCCTTACTGAAGGTTTCCGGCTCGGCGAGGACCGCAGTGGGTCGGGTGAGGACTGAGTTAGCGCCGAAGAAGCACGATCGCATCATTGGGAGTTCCCCTCTTCGCCGAATCTCCGCCTCCGCCCTGTGATAGGGCCGGCCTCGGACACCATGTTCGGCCCTTGTATTCCTGGTATCATTCAAGGACGGGGGATTCGTCCAGATGAACTGGAGCCATGCTGCTCCTCATTTGCCTATTATCCGAGTCATGTCGACTCAACGAGGGAGATCGGCACGTCCTTCAGAGATCCTTCTGCATCATTTTGGCAATAGTCCCTCGGCCCCTCGCCCCCGTTGGGGTTGAGGACTGCCATCTCGTTTTGCCTTCCAAGTTATCCAGTCATGATGAAGACCTGGCCCTCGGTCTTCTCATTCGCAACTATCTTCACGAGGCGCACCGTGCCCGCTGGTCCAGTGGCCCCTTTGAGACATCACATGGAGATGGGCCAGAACACGGATGCCATGCTCTCCTTGGCCGCTTTGGTAAATTGACCGTTGGAGCGTCCGAAGATGGCTGGGGGGCGATGAAACGATAGCCAGCACCGCCGCAATCGCCGGCGGTCCAGTTGATCGGCTTGCAGGCCTACACAACGGATGTCATGCGGCCTTTAGGTTCAGCGGTTTATCGATCCGCTATTTGGCCCCCAGCAAATCATCTATCTTGGGGGGGGGATTCCTTGTTTTGCCTAACGAAGAAAAGCCCCTGCCATTTCTGCTCCGCTGATGATCTGCTCTTGCCTACTCGTTCTGGGATCAAATTTCATGGGATTTAGCGCTCACCGACAACGGCCAGTTACGTTGAAGAGTCTGACAGGCGTCAAAACGGACTCGAGGGCCGTCTACTTGAAAAGTACAGAAGCTAAACACGCCTGACCCATGGTACGCGGAAGGACCGGTCCATAGCAGCTACCAAGGATCGCTGGTGGATTGTTTGGGTACCCGTGCTCGCAAAATCATACCCTATCCAAGGCATGGTGTCGAGTAACTACCCAGGTTCCCGGCCGAGCAAGCGATAAATTGATGCGACGAATTAAAAAAAGAAAAGAAAAGCAAAAGAAAAAAACGGATGTCTACTCTAATATCATACTACACACACCATGGCAACGGAAATCCCGCGTTTGCCCACAGAAAGAGCGGTTTCCATACAGTACAAACAGTACATCGTCCGTGTAATACAATGACACGTTCTACTAATTGGGCCTGACGAGATGCAACCTCTGCCGCAATATATCGCACTCTGGGCCAACCATACGCCGTCTCCCCCTCCATTCGCAGGGGTGTTTTTCGAATTATCGCTCTGCGTAAATGGGTTTTTTATTATTTATTATTATTATTTTTTATTTTTTCGAATTTAATTACTTCTAGTCGGATGGCTTTTTGGCCATAGTGGCCAATCAAGGACCGGATTCCACTCGGGACAGGAAGGTTATCATGGATTTCTCCGGACTGTGCTCTTCTCGTGCCAGTTGGAATCGAGATTCAAGTCGTTCTGTCAATCCACGAGGTTTTGATCGCCGTGCAGTCTCGGTGGCCCTGATTTCCTTTTAACTCCGTTCCCTTACCCGCATGCGCGCTCCCTATCTTTCTATCACTTTTTGCATATTGTATACTCTTCCCTACCCTGGTACCTAACCTGCTACCCAGGCAGGCCGCTTGTCACTTCGTCACCCGAGCCACCGTTTTAAAACCCTCTGGACTTTTTCTATACTCGTGGTCTCGGTGCGGTGGAACATGCATAACCCCCCATTGTCTCACCTCTAAAACCCGTCGCATTGTTCTCCCGAACTGTTGATTTCTAGACCTCTTTATCTGCCATCTTTGTCCCGCTTGGGCCTATCACCGAGCCCACAGGTACCTCATTGTCCATGGAGGATTCATCCGCCATGGAAACAGAATCTCATCATGCGCCGGAAGGCGAATTCCCACATTCGCCTTGGGTAGAGCTGGGCGCATTCACCTCACCGCAGCATTCGCCGCCGATGCCCGAATATAGCGCATTCGACTACGGTCCTTCGTCGCTCATGGCGGTGGATGGACCTTACATGTCGATCCCGCCACCTTACGCCTCGATGTCGCTACCCATGCCCTCGCATTCGTGGCCCAGCATGCTTACCACTCAATCCCCGTTCCACGAAAACGGTCTCCCGCCCGCGCCCGTTCCGACTTCGATTTCTCCATCAGCCCCGAAACCGGTTCGAAAATCGTCCACCGGCGGTTCCACCCCCCGCAGAACGCTTACCGATGAGGATCGCCGAAATATGTGTTTATACCACGAAGAGAACAAGACTGCCAAGCAGACTGATATTGGAGGTAAGAGTGTTTCCTCGAAAGAAATATGAATTTTATATTGATTCTTTTACTGCAGCGCTATTTGGTGTGGAGCGAAGGTAACTATAAAGCTTTGTCCACTGGACCGCGACTTGCCCTAACAGAACCATCTAGTACGGTTTCCAAGGTCCTACGCCAAAAGGACAAATACCTCAACCCCGACGATGGGACTCGGTCGCCTATCAAGCGCGCAAAGGGCAAGGTGCCTGATATTGAAAAGGCCTTGGTCAACTGGGCAAGAAACTACCAGCGCCACGGACACCCATTAAATGACGAGATGATCAAGGAGAAAGCTCTTTTCTTTGCCAGCACCTGCGGCTGCCCCGAAGGCAAGGAAAAGGTGTTGACGTCCAGTTGGCTCGAGAAGTTCAAGCAGAAGAACAACTTCCTCGGCGCAAAGGTTCGAAAGGGCTCTATCGGCATTAAAAGCGGTTCAAATAGCCCGACCCCCATCAACACCGACTTTGCTTCATCTTCCAGCCACTCGCCCTGTTCTCCTCCTGGTGGTATTGGTTCGCCTCTGTATCCTCAGAGTCACGGCATCAAGAAGGAGGTAGATGGACTTCCCGAGCTGGCGGGCGGCTACCAACATGCCCATTCCCAAAGCACGACCTCGCTGGATACTTCATCTTCGGTGGGAATGATCAGCCCGACTTCTACACTCGTCTCCGACAGCCCCTTTACCCCGACCAGTCAATCACGCCTCCCGTGCGGTCACAATATGAGCCGACCGCGCAGCCAGACATTTCCATGCGTGCCTATTGACCCAAACCTGATGACGGCAGGCGAGTCGATGGACTCGCAATGTATCAAGACCGAGGGCGAGTCCCAACTTGGACTCACCATCTTGGAGTCACCGCTAGAAATGGAAGACCACCAATCTCGCACCATCAAGGGTGCTCAGCTTCCGACCGTGATCAAACGCAACCGCAGCAACCCTGAGATCAAGACTACGTCCATGCAGCCGCCTCCATCTGTCTCCAGGTCCTCTGCTACCGCCTCGCCCATCAGCGCAGGTAGCGCCCCAAGGTCCCCGACCCAGGATGAGGCTCGGAATGCCCTCGAGCTCGTGCTAAACTACTTCCAGCACCAGCCGGCCGGCCTCGCAGTCCAGGAATTCGTGACCATCGGCAAACTGATGGAGCGCCTCGAGCTGGCCAGGAGCCACCAGAGCACGCTGCTGGGAGGCTTGACTCGGATTGACGAACACGACGTTCCACACATAAGCAAGAAAAACAGCATCCCCAATCTGGGTTGAAGCAATCCCGCCTTGCAAATCCGACAGAGACTATTCCTTGCATTTCCTCCTATCTCCTCCACTTCCCTCTGCACCATCTCCTGCACTCAACACTTTCCTTAACATCATCTTACCTTGCAATTTTGTGATTCCCCCCTTCATCATTATGTCTTGTTTCTCACATGGACGGTATTGTATTTCTGCTATTTCCTTAATCATTTTCTTTCCCATTGTATCTGTACGACCAGTCACCAATTCCCAACGCAATCGGCGACACCCCAAAACCAATACTAACATACACCAAATCAGAGGGCGACCTCGAATCTTGCTTTCAACCGGAAATTTGGGAATTCGGCGCTGGTACACGCCTAAAAATAGGCCGACGACGCCGTCGAGTGTCCGGGCGACATTCACGGAATATGGGATACGGCACATGGACTTCGGGGATATGGGATATCATCGGCCTTGGATTTGGCCTTCTCGGGGAGTTTTGATTGTGCTGTTCAGGGTTTGGAAATTTTTTTTTCTTTTGGACCTTGGTTTATGATAACTTCTGCTATTTTCAACCCCATACCCATACTATTTTTGTTATTTTCTCCCCTCCCCCTGTCCCGTTGCTTTTGCGCTGGATTTCATGGCTCTTCTTTCTCACACTCTTTTAATTCCTTCTCTTGGCACGTTTGTCTAAACTGGGCCGCTCGCGCGGAAAGAACATGGTTTGCTGAGACCTGAAGATATACGAGCTCTGCTGGTCACTTTCATAATCTGTTCGTCTTTCTATTTTATTTCCTTTTCTACTCAATCTGTACAGCCATAGAAACATTGACTACGGCTATCGCGATTGATGGTTTGACACATTACAGTATATACCCCTGCCCCAATGCGCAAACATCTCCTTCAAACCTAAAATAAAAATTGAGTCAAAGAATTTGTCATTAAAGTTATCGCCATGGAAATTTACAGATCTCACGCAGAAACGCCCTAAATCTAGCTTCTCTAGAACCCACCAGGCACGGGGGCCACTCCACGATCCTCCATCAAATCTGCGACGCCGCGCTCTGCCATCTCGGGAAGGACCTTGGCCAGGACAGTTTCGATAATGGAGTAGACGAGGTGCTTGTTACAGTACTCGTCTGAAAGCAGATCTAGCAGATCATTCTCGATAGCCTCGAGGAGGTACTCCTCTTCCGGATCAACTTCGGCATCGACCTCGTCCGTGCGCTCAGCCCCATCGCCACCCTTAGCTGCCGAGTCAGAAGCTGAAGGCTGTGACGTCGACAATGGCACGGCTCTCTCTGCCTGAAACGTAGTTTCCGATTGGACCACAACCTTTTCATCAATCGATGGGGGTGGTGGCGAAGTGGTGCTGAGGGAGGGCGAACTCCCAGTGGCGGCGCTGCAGGTACGGTCACTGCTACAGCTGGGCTCCAAGCCGAAGAAGGTTCGTGCGACACTGGGAGGGATCACGCTGAGAAGGCTAGCTGCACATCGCCGCTTGATCGCGGCGATCTCCGAACTAGATCGCAAGCTTTTCTCCGAGCCAGCTGGGGTAGGATTGAAGGTGATTGTATCGAGGGCCGATGGATCAGGTGATGGAGGCGGATAATCACCGCCACTTCCAATGGCAATGCTATTACATGCGGTACTACTTTTACCACCGGCATCGCCGGCACCCACGGGGGCCTTGACCCCTTCCAAAATGGGCTCGGTGGGAGCGATGGTGAGAGCTATTCCACTGGGCGGAGGCTGGACAGACACCTGCGGAGTCGACGCCGGGGCTCCAGTATTTACGGGCGCTCCCGGCGACGATGGGCGGGCATTGGCCGGGAAGATGACTGACCGTGTCGCAAGAAGAAGGTTGGGCAACAAAGTGGGGGGCAGGACGTACTCCTCAATGGTTTCCCGAAGGTATCTGTGGAGTCAGCAAGATCTCAAATCATTGACATCGGATGACCCGAACGAATAGGGAATTGAAAAAAGTGAAGCGAAAATCCCTCTCGACTGTGGAGCTTCCCGAAATCGTTATGCCTTTCCCTTTCTCTCCACCTCGACACTGGAGCTCCAGCTCACCAATTTAGGGCCGGAAGTGGAGAGAGAGGAGGGGCGCGATCGGCCCAGGTGTGGATAGCGAGGAGCTTGGGCCAGCTATTGGTGTAACGGAGATGTTACTTCTTCACAGAGCGAAACGAAATCATGAGGCGGGCCCTGGCCATATGCATTTTCCCCTCTCGGGGCGGGTAACATCCCGGCGGTTCCTGGCGCACAAAAGCGGGATTCATGCGCCAACCTCGGTCGCATTGCGAATGCAAATTCGAAATCTCGCTACCAGGAATTTCGCTGATAGGGTGTCCGTGGTAAATCACTAGGCTCGGCGAGAGCGCTCTTTCTTCATACGGTTGCCCAAAAGGGCATGGTCGTCGTGGATCGGCATCAAACGATTTTCCGTTCGTGCGCAATTTGCCTTTGCCTCTAGAGTTTGATCGCTGAGACTTCGGTAGGCTTGCATGTGTTTTGCTCTTCTTTTTTTTTTTGGCATCTTTGTTTCCCCCTTTGGCAAGGGCTGTCAAAAAAATGAGCAGACAAAGAAAAATACGGCACGGAAAGGGCCGGGCCCCGGCGCTATCACGCAGCCAGAAAAAATGAGACAGAGGACCCCTGCTTCGTTGACTTCCCTGCTCCTCGCTCGGACCAAGTCAGGGCAGCCAATCTGATGCCAGAATCGCCCCGTCATCAAAACGGTAATGACCGTATGTATGGTTGACCCGTAAGAGGACCGTACAGGTAATCATCCCATGATCCATGACATGTATATCGCGCGTATCGCGACGGCGATCAAGTGATCAATGCGGTATGCGAGCAAGACGTCGCCGTCCCACCACGACTTGCGCAAGTGACACTTGACCCTAGATTGCAGTTCGGAAATCGCACCGTTTCTCCACAGTCGAGAGTTCATGCGGTCCCGGAGGCCCGAGCCCGTAGGTAATAATGCTCCAGAGAATATGAAATAAGACTCACCTGTCAAGGACTCCGTCCGTGTCACCAACTCTGCCTGGTCCTGCCAGGATGAGGTGCTGGGAGAGAGAAACCAGCCCGAAAAGCCACGGCATCCTCTTCGAAAGGTCAAGTAGCGTCGACGTCATTGAGAACACCCGGTAGTCGAGAACCGGGCGCTTACCTGTGATGCCGCCTGATGTCGAGTCGATGCACTCCTTCTGGGAGCCTGGCGTTGCAGCGGGAACTGAAACACCGGCTCCGTGCGAGAGTCCTCGCCCTGGATTCGATGCGACCCGGAACAGGCCCGTCCCAATGAAACGCAAGGCAACGTAACCAAGATAAAGTCCCTGGAGAACGTTCCATATCCAGACCGTGAGTTGCGATTGGGTCGGTTGATGGTGTGCCGAGTCGTCTTGCCCTGAGAGGAGGCCAAATTGCTCTAATCGGCTGGGGGGAGTATCATTCAGGGAGTCTGCTTTGTCCAGCCCCTCTTTACGCTGTCTCACTACAGTAGCAAGTTTAGTGATGACTTCCCAGAAGAACCGACCCTCGCATATCCTGCCGGCGACTTCCTTGCCCAATATCAAATCTGACAGAACGTCGCCTACCAGAGCGCGCAGACTGCTGTTCTCCAGATCCTCCGTAGGTAAGAGAACCGCTAGAGTACCGTTGGCAAGTAACTTGCGGTAAACAGCTTCATTCTCACTCTGCGCGGTGATCGTATCCGGATCTTGAGAATCCGGGACAGGCGATAGGCCAGGGTGAGGGTTCAATTCATGGTAGATTGCACGATGCGACGTCGAGAGTCCTGATAGATGTGAATTCTGCTTGGCCAACCTGTATGCTAGATAGGTTCCCCTCTTGGTTAGCGGTGCTTCCCATACCACACCCCCAGCGCTAACAGCCAGATTGTGAATATAAAACATCGGGTCTTACAGAGTATATGTGCTTCCACCAAAGCTGGGATTTCATCCAGGGCCAGCTGTACAACATCGATTTGGCGCAACCGCTGTTCCAGAGCACGAGTGCAGTGTGCAACGACCTGTAGAACCTCGTTGACGAGGGCCTGGTCCGGGGTAATCTTCGAGTACCACGAGTAAACAAACTCCTTGATAATTATAGCGAGTAGGGCGTAAAGTTGACGGTCAACGTCATTAGAGCTCGTAAGAGGGGGTAACAGCTCTTCCAGAGGCTGCGGAGAGGATGCGCCGTGGCTGCTGTTCGGGAGACAAAGCACGCGTCGAATTAGCGCTAGAGTGGCCTTTTCGCTCGTTGCGTCGAGTGACTCATCTCGTGCTGAAGGCTTTTGCATGCGCAATCGCGAAGAAGGTCGTGAGATGATTGGGTTGGTCGGTGAATGCAGCGCGGTTGACCTGGAGCTTGACGTGGTCGGCCCTGCCTTGAGGTGAGACAACGGCTGCAAGCCGGGGCGGAGAGAGTCGGTCATGGCATCGCAGAAGCACAGAATCTCCCCAGGGCCAGTTTCAGTAGTGGTCGCACAGTTCAAGGGTTCAGCCTCTCTGGTTCGCTCAACGAGGAAGCTGTCGCGCTCACCGCGAAGTTGATGACATGGGATGTCCCGATCAGGAATGTAGGGCTTAGGGCTGTGATACGGGGCTTATCGCGATGCGGGGATACTCGAGACTCCGAGACCCCATTGTTGGTTGCCCGGACTCTCCGGCTCTCTTGTTTCTTGTTTCTTATACATTACTCTCTGACCATAATGTTAGCCATGAATACAACACCGACTCCACTATGGCTGGACTGTGATCCTGGTATGCTGTTTCGAATTTCTCTTTGGTATACTTCTCTTCTAACTCGGATGTAGGTCATGATGTACGTCTTGACTGCTCTTATCAAGATCAGAAACATTGACTCTTTTATACAGGATGCCTTTGCTATCCTAATTGCCGCTCATCATCCATCCCTGAATCTTCTTGGAATCTCCACCATCCATGGAAATGCTTCCTTGGAAAAGACGACCAACAATGCTGGCAGTATATTGGAAGCAATCGGCAGACCGGAGATTCCTGTCTATCCCGGAAGTCGGAAGCCTTTTTCTCGACCTGCCCTTCACGCCCCGGATATCCACGGTAAGGAAAAGTCACCAAATACGCGACAGGAAGGAAGCAGTGATATTCTAAGCAGAATTCTAAAGGTGAATCTGGTCTTGACGGCACCGACCTCCTCCCCAAGGCCTCGAGGCCTCCAATCAAAGACGAGAACTCCATTCTAGCAATGCGGAATGCGCTTCTAGCGCAACCCAAAGGCACCCCTTGGCTGGTTGCAACAGGAACCTTGACCAACGTCGCCCTGCTGTTCGCAACATTCCCCGAGGTTGCGGGTCATATCCAAGGTCTAAGCATTATGGGTGGTGCTATCGGTGGCGGCTTTACAGATGCCCCGATGAGCAAACTGCCAGGTGAAAATGCCCGCATCGGAAACGTGACGCCGTGGGCTGAGTTCAACATTTATGTGCGTGTTGCCTTTAAGCTTCCACAATGACCAGATCTGACCGGCTTTGCTTGCAGTGCGATCCCGAAGCTGCGGAGTCAATTTTCAGCAACCCCATCGTTGCGCCCAAGACCACCATTGCTTCTTTGGATCTTACACACCAGGTACTCGCATCGAAGGAGGTGCAGAACCGTATCCTACATGGCGCCAGCGGCCCATCGAAGGGACCTACCGTCATTCGCCAGATCTTGCATGCGCTGCTTATCTTCTTTGCGGGCACTTACGAAAAGGTCTTTGGACTGGTATCTGGGCCTCCGCTCCACGACCCGCTCGCAGTTGCTGTCATCCTGTCCAATTTGAATCCTGATTTTGCAAAGGCCCACCCCGACCAAGTCATCCAATTTGATGATAAAGGAGGGGAGCGATTCGCTCTCCGCATTGTCACTGATGGCCAGCATGGCACGGATGTGTCGGTTACCGGTCAGCTTGGACGGTCGATTGCTGCACCGGTTGACGGACCTGGCGTAGCTATTCCCAGGGGTGTCGATCTGGAAGCATTCTGGAACATGATTAGCGATTGTGTTCAGTTGGCTGATGACTGCAATGCTACTCGTGGTAAATGAGGACACTTGGAGAGGTTTATTGATAGAGTAGATCTAGTGAAATTTCCTGATGTACAGCGTTTAAATGGGGATGTTGGATCTTGGAAAGCACATACGTTGCGATCGTGACTTTTGGACATACTAAATTTCTTTAAGTGATCTATCTCGCACAATCCCTGTGCTTTTCATGTTTCATAACAGGCTATGCAAATTGAAATACAGGCTCATCGGTGTTCCATCTACCACTCCCGAATCGAACCATCGGGGCCAAAGAACTCCTTGGGCTGCCAGGGCGGGGTATTCTGAGCCACCCGTCGGACCACCTCCTCATCCACCTCAATCCCAAGACCGGGCTTGCTCAGAGCCTCAACAAACCCATCTTTCACATCAAACACCGAGGGGTCCTTGACGTAGCTGTTGATGTCGTACTCGCCGGCCTCAGTATTGTAGTGAATACCAACGCTCATCTCCTGGATGACAAAATTGGGAGTGGTGAGATCCACCTGCATGCAGGCGGCCAGAGCAATGGGGCCCAACGGGCAGTGTGGCGCAATAGCAACGTCGTAGGTCTCTGCCATAGAGGCAATACGGCGCAGCTCGGAGATACCACCGCAGTGACTGATATCGGGCTGGAGAACATCGACGCTACCATCTTCTAAGAAACGCTTCACGTCCCAACGACTGAAAAGACGCTCGCCCAGCGCAATAGGACAGGAAACCATATCAGAGAGCTGCTTGATACCCTCGGGGTGCTCGGAAAGGAGAGGCTCCTCCAGGAAAAGTGGACGATGCGGCTCGAGAGCCTTAGCCAGCTGCTTGGCCATCGGCTTGTGTAGACGGCCGTGGAAATCAAGAGCGGCGTCCAGGCCGAGAGCTTTAACTGCTTTCAAGCGCTCGACGCTGGAGTCCACGATGTTAGGCGAGTCAAGCCAGTTGACATCTTCGGTGGCGTTCATCTTGATGGCCTTGAAACCTTGTGCCAAGCGGGCCTTGCCAGCGGCCTCGACATCACCAGGACGGTCACCACCGATCCAGGCATAGACGGAAAGCTTGTTGCGGACCTTTCCGCCAAGCAGCTGGTAGACGGGAACACCGAGACGGCGGCCCTTCAGATCCCAGAGGGCAATATCGATACCGGAGATGGCAGACATGAAGACCGCGCCGCCGCGGTAGAAGCCCAGACGCCATGCCATTTGCCAAACATGCTCAATGTCGCTGAAACAGTCATTAGCTTGATTCAATTATTGATACATGGAGATTGCGCAGTACTCACTCTGCCTCGTAGCCGATGAAACGCTTGCACAGGGCATTGAGAGTACCCTCCACGGCCTCAGTGTGACCTTCTAGGGTGCTTTCACCCCAACCATATTGCCCCTCTTCATCGGTAACCTTGACAAAAAGCCAGCGGGGCAGGACGCGGAAATACTCGATGCTCTTGATCTTGACCATTGTAACCGCTCTTTAAGATTCAGGACTATGCAGAAACTATGCTGGAGGACAATTGAAGGAAAGCGAAAACTCGGCAGGCCTAGACGAGGGGCACGAGAGCCGGAGTCGAGGAAGTCGGAGTTGTTCCGTCGGAATTCGTGATAAACAAGCGGATTGCCGACACGGCGGGGACCACAGGGTCATCTGTCGCCGATCCACAGGGCCCCGGGGTAGAGTCCCGGGGCCCGATGGAGTCGGCTCCGGTCCATCGGTACTCGCCGAGATGCCATGAAGTGTTCATTAGTGGGAAGGGGCGGAGTACCACTCTGTTTATATAGATACCGGGAAAGTTCTGGATGTGCCTGAAGCCGTTGACACGGAATAGAAAGCCATTGTCCTCATTGGTGGGGCCCCGGAGCCGAAGCCGTCTGGGGATGTTTGTCGTCTGCAAAGAGTGTGGACGAGGTTCACACCTTTTCATTACCATAGAGTGTATACCTACAGTATCTTAAGCAGTAAACACCCAGGACCAGGTAGCAGTGAAAGTTCCGTTAGCCCGTAGATGTGGGCTGAAAGAAAAAGGAACGTCATGTTGTGCTTCTCCACATTAACAGCGCCGCAACCCCGTTCCCCGTCAAACATTCGCCTCGGCTGCCGGTTTTCTCACCCGCGCACTCCTCATTTCTGGGACTATCCTGGCACGTTGGCTTCGCGGCTTTTGCACCCGCATGTCCACTGTGTCGATCTTAGTCCCTCCCTGTTGTTTCCGAACCTTCGAGCATGCCGCCTCCAAACTCGGCTTCTGTACGTCTTGGCTTGTCCCCTGATCTTTCGCGCCCGATCCAACTAATGCGCTTTGTTCTAGCACGGAACTCCTACCTTATCGCCCACTTCGCCTGTACCTGATCGGTCATCGTGGAGATCGTCGTTTCCCGATTCCCCGGGCCCTGCGGAGAACGATAACGCCCACGACGAGAATGTGAACTTTCTCCGCTCTCGCTCCCTCTACAACCCCCTGCTACCCTTACTCAGTCGATATCGCCGTCGTCACTATCAGACATCACATCCTAGGTCGATGGAAGAGGAGGATCCGTGGGATCGCATGGACCTGGGCGACCCCAGTGACCTCCGCTTGTCCGTCGAAATCAACCGTCGCATCCCTATCGTACGTCGCCAGCGTGACGGACCCCAATCCCACAATATGCCCAACTACGAAGGCCGCCGATCAAATTCACGGACACTGTATGGCTGGGCGCCCGGCTCCGATGACGATGACGATGACCTCCGCCGCCCCGAAGAGTCGGAAGATGAACACCTTCGACTCCCTCCGTTCCCTCACGCTTACACAACACATAATATACCGGCAACTCGACCACGCGAACCCCTGCCCACCGGTCGTACACCACCAATAATAGCCGGAGATGAGCCGACAGAAGGAGGTGGACGATTTCGGAGTTCGCCGATCTCGACCATGGAAGCCTTGTTGCAGTCAGCGAGGCGGCAGCCCAGATTACCGCGGAATCGCACACTGGAGAGTTATCTGCTAGATCGATATACTCGTTCAAGCGACGACGCAGAGGAGACCGAGCGAACTGGTGCTTCGTCATCGTCCAGAGCGTACCGATACCGCCCATCCAGCCGAGGCGATTCTCATCGCGTTCTCACCCACAGCGACTTACGGGTCCGGGCTGCTGCACATCGTCAGCTACACTCCGACAGTTCTGCTGACTCGATGCTGAAAACTACCATCAACTATCTCGATCGTCTCCGCTACTCGAACTCCTTCGAGGAGAGCATCAGCTCCGCCGCCGCGACAGGATTTATATCACTAGACAACTTTTCGTGGAAGGACAGTGACTTCATCCTCGATACCAATAGCATCGCACCGCCGGCGACTTGCTCCTGGCTCCGACCCGGGGCGGTGTTCTCGGGGTGCCAAAGGGCGGCGAATGCAAGCTGCTCAGTGATGTCCCAGCGAGTTTCAAGCCCGCATGGCCCCAGTGACCCCATGATTGTCAACGGAAGCGACAGTGCGCGGATTAGCGTACAGACCAGCTCCGGACGACGGTACCTAGCCAATACCCGAGACGAGAATTGGCCGGTCAAGGTCACCATTCACAACATCAACTATGAGGACATGACTCTGTCGGGTACAATGGAGGCATACAACATTCCAGACAAGACATCACCCACGCACGATGCGCACATTGTGACATTTTTGGAAGGTGAAATCATCGATTTCAACAAACACACATTGGAGACGAAGAACTTCAAAGCGGACGCAGATATCGACAGCACGTATTGGCGCGAATTGCAGCCGTTCAAAGACCTCACGGACACCGAGATTTCGAAGAACCTTGTCAGCAGGAAATGGATCACCCAGGAACTGGCCAAGGGTTGGATCCTGATGCGCTGGAAGGGTAAGTCCACGCTCAGAGAAGCACCTTATCTCTCTCCGGCTTTTAATTAACACTATTCCAGAACGGTGTTTCATCACCCCCACCGACTCGCGCCAGGGTCTCACTATCTCCGGGTTCTACTACATTTCTCTTCGTCGCGAGGACGGTCACGTCGAGGGTCTGTATTACGATCCCGGCAGCTCGCCTTATCAACAACTGTCTTTAAAACCCGAGACCGTGAAGATGGTTCGCCCATCATATACTTTCCGATAGGCGCAAGCGATCTGTACAGAACGACATTTTTGATTTTCATCTTTACCGGCGCCAAAGTTGCTTCCGATGCTCGTCCCGTGTGGGCCTTTGGAAGCGCTAGGCTAGCGCCTCATCTCGGCGTTTGGGATATCTTCGGCATGACATTTCATATGATCCATTGGCTTATCTTGCATAGCTCGGCGGGGTTCTCTATCTATTCAGCTCACACTTGTACATTTTTGGAAAGCAGCTCCTAGTTCATTTGGTTTAGTTACTTCTACCTAGGTATCCATGAAAAGCATTGTCTTTCATCCTTCAATCCCATTTAAGCTCGCCTTGTCCGAGACAATGGATTTCCCTAGCTGAGAAACTCTTGGCACGCGTGCATCTGCACTCGCTTCCACTTTCTGCGATCGAATCCAAATCTATACGTAATGAGAACCACAATCAACGATCAACAATCCGGGGATGCGGGGTGAGCGACCAGCATCTCCACAGAAAACACCCTCGTCGCGAACATGCACACTCGTCATTGTGGACACTCGCAATTCCAAGGTATCTAGCGATAAGCAGTGAAGCTTCACGCCGCATGTACCTACCCGATCGCGCAACGCTCGTAAGTTCGGATGTTGCAGAGGTTACATGCTGCTGTCGATCCCCTCGTTGTTGCGTCTTGGCTTTTTTCGGTTATCGATAATGGCTGCACGAGGTCATGATCGCGACTGAGTATGCACGTCTTGCAGTATTTATTTAGGATCGTAGCTCCCCCATTCCTGGCGTTCCCCCTTGCCAGAGTTTCCAATTCTTTCAACGTAATGCATATACACCACATCTCTTTCTTGGCGGCCTTGGCTGGCGCCATTCAGCCTGCCGTGGCTGTGCCTCACTCGCCGAGGGCCCAGGAGGGCCAATGCAAGAAGACTACGGTTGCCATTCTGTAAGCATTGAGTCGGAGCCTGTCCTATAGTCCGGGAACTAACGCCATGAAGTGGAGGTGGAATGGCTGGTATTTCCGCCGCTGTAAATATCCCTCCGTAGCAGGTGTTTGTCGCGTTTTAACAATTTCTAGCAAGCCTTGCACAATGCCTCGGTACACGACTTTGCCATCCTCGAGTATCGGGATACCATTGGTGGCCGCGCGTGGCATGTCCCCTTCGGCGAGGACAAAGATGGCAAGCCCTACACCATTGAGATGGGTGCCAACTGGGTCCAAGGTCTTGGAAACCCGGGTGGGCCTCAGAATCCCATCTGGACCTTGGTATGTTGACCGTGTTCGTGATCACATGCAATTGGTCCTAATCGATTTATTGCACAGGCCCAGAAGTATCATTTGAAGACCCATTACTCCAATTATAATAACATCTCGACCTACAACGAGCACGGTTACAAGGACTACAGTCATCTTCTGGATAAGTACGACGATGCCTATGCTATTGCCAGTGCAAAGGCCGGCGAGATTCTGTCGCAGAATCTCCAGGACCAGACGGCTCAGACTGGTCTTGCTTTGGCTGGTTGGAACCCAAAGAAGCATGACATGGAGGCTCAGGCTGTTGACTGGTGGAAATGGGGTAAGTTCTGTCTTTTACCGGACACTCTTTCCCGTTTGCTCACAGGCCTATGATAGACTTTGAAGACAACTTTACCCCACTGGAGAGCTCTCTCGTCTTCGGCTGTGCAGGCGACAACCTGACTGAAAACACCTTCAGCGACCACGACAACTTCGTCACCGACCAGCGTGGCTTCAACATCCTCATTAAGGAAATGGCAGCCACTTTCCTGAAGAAGGATGACCCTCGCCTGCATCTGAACACCCAGATCGAGGAAATCGAGTACTCCAAGAACGGAGTCACCATCCACAACAAGGACGGCAGCTGTGTAAGCGCAGCTTACGCCATCTGCACCTTCTCCCTCGGTGTCCTGCAGAACGACGCCGTGAAATTCACCCCCAAGCTCCCGGACTGGAAGCAAGTAGCCATCCAGAAGTTCACAATGGGCACATATACCAAGATCTTCATGCAATTCAACGAAACCTTCTGGCCCGAAAACACCCAATACTTCCTCTACGCCGACCCAACCACTCGAGGCTGGTACCCGATCTTCCAATCCCTCTCAATGCCTGAGTTCCTCCCCGGCTCGAATATCATGTTCGTAACAGTAACCAACGAATTCTCCTGGCGCGCCGAACGCCAAGGCGACGAAAAAACCAAGGCAGAGATTATGGAAGTTCTCCGCAAGATGTGGCCCGAAAAGAACATCCCCGAACCAACCTCCTTCCTCTTCCCGCGCTGGAGCACCGAGCCCTGGGCGTACGGCAGCTACTCCAACTGGCCACCGTCGACTACCCTGGAAATGCACGAGAACCTGCGCGCGAACAATGACCGTCTCTGGTACGCAGGCGAGGCTACTAGCCCGACGTATTTCGGTTTCTTGCACGGGGCATGGTTTGAAGGCCAGGACGCCGGTCGCAATATTGCGGCTATTATGCAGAAGCGTTGTGTGAATGGTAACTCGACTAAGTTGAGGGAGTGTGGTCCTCGCAGACATTACGAGACGCTGAAGGGCACTTCGCCGTTGGCGGATTATACTGCAGTTAACGGCTGGACTGCTAATAGTTTCTATGATAGTAATACTGATTAATTAGAATAGGGTGGTCATTTACGCGTCAGGGGCTGTCTTAGTTAGATCCAAGTTGATTATCAAATAGAAATACTTTTGTTTATGCAAATGAACACTGAGCGTCATATGTATCATCCTCGCACACCTAATGACATCGGAGAACGGGGCGGTCTACACGGGGCCAATGCATTTGTAGCCACCAAGGGAGCACACAGTGACGGCATTGTAAGAAAGCCATGGGCCGAGCTGTATAGAATATGGAGTCGGATTTTCGGAGCGGATACAGGGCCTACCGAATCGCCCCATGTCCTATAGACACTCTCTTCGAATAGGCTTCAACGCCGTGGTCAATGCAGGGCAAAAACGGCTGGAGCCGACCCAATGACACAAGAGCTCGGCCTTAGACTCGGACTTGGTATCTCGGTCCCCGAGCCTTATCAGATCTTGCAACAATAAAATGAAGCTCTTCGCCCTTCAAGGTTCCATCATCCTATCTTTTCTATTTCGAAATAAAAAATGGCCTCCCTCCCCATTGAAGCCAACCCCGACGCTATCACGGACGTGGAACTAGCACCTGTCACCAATACCTGCAAACAAGATGACCCATTCCTAGTTACATTCGCAGAACCCTTCGATCCAGACAACCCCAAAGACTGGCGAACAGGTCGGAAATGGGCCGTGACCGATGTTCTCTCCGCGACGGGCTTCAATCGCATCATGGTATCGACCATTATGGCACCGGCACTTTCGACGATCGCAAAGGAGTTTGACATGAACTCCGCCGAGTCGGCTATGGCTCTGTCTATCTATCTCCTCGCGACCGCATTTGGACCGTTGGTGATCGGGCCATTGTCGGAGGTGTATGGCAGGAAACCGATCCTGCATGCCTCGAACGTCTGGTTCCTGATCTGGAATATTGCTTGTGGTTTTGCAAATAGCAAAGCAACCTTGATAGCTTCTCGTTTCTTTGCGGGCTTTGGTGCTAGTGCCATCTATGCACTTGCTTATGGAGTTCTCGGTGATGTGTGGCGACCGGAGCAGCGAGGTCGCTCGCTCGGTATTTATCTGTTGATTCCTTTGCTGGGTGCCGCTGTTGGTGAGTATTATGCGATTATAATTGATTTCTCGGAGACGCGGGTGCTAATACCAATATTTCTTAGGACCCATTATCGGTGGATTCATGGCAGACCGAACCACCTGGCGATGGATGTTCTGGTCGACTTCGATCTTCCAAGCGGTGATGATACTGGTCTCCTTCCTCTCCTTTTGGGAGACGCACGAACCGTCGATCCTGCGAAAACGCGCAGAGAAGATTCGGAAGGAAACTGGGGACTCGCGATACTATACGGCAGATGAGCGCATTAATGCTAACAAGTCAGCGGCGAGGATCTTGGGCAGAGCTTTGATCAGACCAGTTCGCCTCCTTGCTTTCCACCCGATAATCCAAATCGCCTCATTGATCTCTGCATTCTATTACGGTATCCTCTACATCGTTCTGTCCACCTTTTCCGACCTATGGGTCCAACAATACAATCAATCCATTGAGATCAGCGGTCTACACTATATCGCTATTGCTCTGGGCGAGATAGCCGGCAGTCAAATCTGCGCCAAGATGATGGACAGCCTATACCACCGTCTCAAAGCGCGCGCCAATGGTGAACACAGTCCCGAGCTACGGACACCGTCCATTTTCCCGGGTGCTCTTATCGGGCCCCTCGGTCTATTCCTCTACGGCTGGGCCGCGGCATATCGCTGGCACTGGATCATCGTCGACATAGGTGTCTTTATCGCCTTGCTGGGGATGCAGATGACGGGTATGCCATTGCAGGCATATGTTATGGAGGCTTACCCTGAGCACACGAGCAGTGCGAGTGGTGCGTCGCAGTTCCTGCGCAGTTTGACCGCGTTTTTGTTCCCGCTGTTTGCGCCTCGGATGTACCAGGCTCTTGGGTACGGGTTCGGAAATACTACTATAGGGCTCATTGGGCTGGCCATTGGTCTTCCTGCTCCGTTGGTGATTTGGTACTATGGTGCGAAGCTTAGGGCAAAGGCGTCCTCAAGTTATTGAACACCTCTCCAAGGTTCTGAAGATTGAACCGATCTCGCTATGGATTGACTGGCTTCTCGAATGGGCCATCAGATAAACTATAAATGGTAGCTAAATTCTATTTTTGCAGCTATTTACTCTTGGTTTGAGAGATCTCCATTTCTCTCTATTGAAATAGCTTACTCTTACTTCTCAACCACGGCCCGTAAGCTCTGAATGCAAGAGGGATGGGGATCATAATTGCAGCCAGACATCCGAGCAGAGTCCCAGCCCATTGGACACCCATATTTTTGAACATCTGCTTGGAAAAGAGAGGAAACCCTGATGCAACTACCGACCGGAGGATGATGTTTGCTGCGACCGTTGATGCAGCTCTGTTGGGATCGAGTCAGTCATTTTCCATCATTTAAATCGACCTAACGCAATCTTTGAGAACTCACAGTGGTAGATAAGCGTCAACGAGATAGTTGAAGCACGGCAGGAAGACGCACAAAACCCCGAATCCGATGAAAATTCCAGCCACCGTAGGTGCAGCCCAGTGGATTTTGTCAGTGAAACCCGTCCAGCCAAACCTGTAGAAATGGAAAAATGTTAGATAAGGTGTCTCGACGACCTTTTTATCGTAGACTTACCAGAAGATACCGATCGTAAAGACCGGAGCTCCAAGAATAGTCGGACGCAGACGCCATTCGGGCACTGGCACATCCTTATTCTCCGCCAGCCTTTTCCCGTAGGTCGAATGCTGCAAAAGAATGAAAGTGCAGGCCAGGACCTGGCCAACGATAAGGCCGATAAACGGAAGGCCACTGACCCCGGGCTTCATACCATGAATATCCTCAAAAACATAGGGATACGCCTCGAGCAGTGCATAGACTATCCCATAGATGAATGACATATACATCGACACGAACAGGATAATAGGCTCAGTGACGAGCATCCTCAACGGCCGAGTAAAATACTTCTCAGCCATTTCCTTGAAGTCAACTTCAATCTTCTCCTGTTTGGCGTGAATGCCCCAGTTCCCCGTCTGGCGACGTAGGGCAGCGGCCTTTTCCATGAGGATACATGGCGCGTAAGTTTCCCGCAAAAAGACCAGTGAAACGGCGCCATTGGCAAAGCTCACAATGGCAGGAATATAAAGAGTCCACCGCCATCCAAGGGTACTCGATGCAATGAATCCACCTGTAAAAGGAGCACTGAACGGACCAACAAAGACCGTCAACGCGTACAGTGAGATCGCCACGCCACGGTATCTATTATCAAAAGTATCTGATAACACGCCAGGTACAACAGTAAGCTGGCTTGCCCCGCACATCCCAGCAAAGAAGCGACATATAATGAGCGTCTGGATATCTTTCGCAACCGCGCTGCCGATGGTGAAGATTCCTCCACCGAGCATGGCGATTGTGAGTGGCCACTTGCGGCCTCTGAGCTCTGAGGCTGGGGCCCAGATCAATGGACCGAAGCTAAAGCCAAGCACGTAAAAAGTGGTTCCCAGCTGTCCAACTTCTGAGCCGACCCCGAATTCTTTACTTGCGTAGTCGATTCCTGGGGCGAAGACGGCGCTGGTGAATGAGACGATGAATGTTCCGGAACACGCGAGGATAGATGCGAACAGCCTAAGGAGAGATGTCAGTATTTGATGTTAAAGTGTTTGTATGATCGTCACAGCAACATACTTGGCAGAGAGTTTCCAGTTGAAGGGATGCTTGGGGTCGCCAGGTCCGTCAAACTCAACAACATAGTCCGCAGGATGAGGTAGCGGAGGTGGAATGGGCCGACCATTTCCAATCGACAGCTTTACCTCCATAGTACTTATGACTTAGTTCCTGTGGCACAAGCTTCTCTGATGTTAAAAGTTTCTTGAAGCAGGGTTGTTGTGGTGAGGTAGGTAAACAACTGCGCATTCAGTGCGACCGTTGATATTTGTAACTCGACAAGAGCAGGGACTAACTGGAGAGATTATAGGTACAAATAGGCTTGTCTATTGAGTCACATACTGATATGTTTTTCCTGATATTTGTCAGGATGTGGATGTTCCAATGCTAAGCGGTTGTTGCGGCATTAGCGGGGCGAGTCGGTCGTGATGCTTTCGTGCACTCAGTGGCGAGACCATCGCAAAACGTCATTCAACGAAAGCAAACAGTATAATTAATGTCGATTTGGTATCACGAGCAAATTTACAAATCTCTCCGGCCTTCGCTAGGAAAGTTTTCGCCAGCGCCACCCATAAACGAACCATCAATCATATCCGCATTTAAAAACTGATCGAGATCGACTCTTTGCAATCCGGGTAGGTCAGCAACCAGCGCCCCAAGCCAAGAGTATTCTTCCGCACTAGGGCTTAATTCCTGAGAAATATCCATCGGTCGTTCTCGCTGATGATTGTTAAGTGCTTCGCCGAAGATGGCCACGTCGTCCTTCCTGCGTTGCTGGTGCAGTAGAACAAGTAGATAGGCTGCGCTGCAAGCCTCTCTCATGGTTTCCGTGTCGTAGGTGGAAGCCACCAGGTTGAGTGTCTGTATAGCTTCAGGCAGCATTGCAAGTGATGATCTTGTATCCATCACAAGCAGGACGCAAACGATCTGAAAAGGCACATTGGCAACTTGGTGCCAGGGCGAACAATCCATGACCATGCTCCTTGCACAGCCAAGTGCCTTCTTCAGCAGAACCAGAACCTTTTCCGCAAGCTTAGGAGATATGTCAAGGTTCTGAGTGTGGATGCGCCGAAGAATACAAAGCACCAGATTGCACTGCGCCATGACAGATGGAGGTTCAGTGTGGCTCCCGTCTAGAAGCTTCAAGAGCGTAGGCTCAAGGTCGGTTTCATCTTTTACTTTTCCAGGGTCCATGCGGACTGATACAGGTAGAAGGCCTAGGACCTCACCTGTATAATCGCCCAGCTTGGGTGAAGGAGGCAATGGCAAATCGTCTGTCCGAAAAGATACTCGAGAAAGACCGAGATCGTAGGAGCTCCACACATTTAAGTGATGTGCCACACCGACAAGTCTTCTCTGAATGTCAGGCCGCGCATATTGATCGCACTCGACCGGGGGCGGAAGAACGGAATCATGGTGTTTCTCTGGGTGAAGGCCCGATGCTTCAATGAGGTGCATCAAGGTAGAGCTGGCCATCCATGTAGAATATGGGGAGTCTGTCATTCGAAGGTACGTTGATCTGAGTGTCCATCCAGTAAGAAGATCTAGACATGGAGGGCCGGTAAGATGATGCATTTCTAAGCGTGCTCGTGCCGTGTGAACGAGATGCAGCTCCGTGGCAGTGGCACTCCGTTGTGAGAACAGGCATCCAAGGGCAGCGACACCACATATTACACCATCGTACATTTGAGGTGCCGGAGATGATCGCCAGCGTTCATTGAGCCGCTCGAAAAAGAACGACTGCTCGATGAAGCCGTAGCATGGATCCACCTTGTCGAAATACACCACGGCCAAGCCCTTGAAGTGCTCCCACGAGGTGATCTCAAATATCGACAATGCCGGTCCTGTATCGAGTGGAGACGAGAGCTTTCTTGCTCCAATATTCCACCCGAACAGATTGAGCTTCGGGGCCTTAGCTGGGTCGATCTTCAGGCCGAGCTTCCTTACGAATGCCGCTCCGGAGTTGGCTTCCATGCGTCGGACGAGTTGACAGTGATCTGACTCAACAGGGCTGGGTCCAGATCCAGTTTGCCCTGGAGACTGCTTGGTTGTTTGAAACTCCGGTGAGGGTTGTCTAGTTGCTCGGGACTTTCTTCGGGTTCGATCCTCATAGTAGCAATCGTACTCCCATTCCGTGCAGGTGGTACAGGGTTCGTCCCCATCACACTTTCGCTTACGCTCACGACATGGCTGACAGGCCTTCCGAGCTCTTTTGCGCTTGGATGATTCCATTTCGTTGGGTTTGATGGGAAATGGCTGATGCGGGAGAGTGTGGAACGCGCGGAGGTGAGTCCGGGTTGTACGGGTGTTGCGGGAATGGCGGTGATGTCAACAGCAACGTCAAAACACCGGGCCCCCGACATTTGGCAACGTTAGACTCGATCGTTTGATTCCAAAGCCTCGGCTCTTCATTAGTAGTTAATTCCACATGCTCAGGCAGATACATCCCATTGTTCTCTCTTCAACCATCGAATTTCCCCCTTAGATACCACCAATCATGGCTGCCAAGCTACTGTCGCGCTATCCATGGGCTTCTCACCCCTTCATCGTGGGTGCTCCCATGCGCGTCATGTCAGGCCCCTCACTGGCCGTCGCCATCTCTCGAGCTGGTGGCCTGGGCTTTATTGGTCCCGGTGTCAAAACACAAGACATGGAGGTTGATCTTGTTGAAGCGTCGACCCTGATCAATAAAGCGCGCGCTTCATCTGCGTTTACCGCATTGTCCTCAACAAACCCAATTCTCCCGGTCGGTGTGGGCTTTCAGCTATGGGGAGACGATATCGAGATAGCTGTTGCTACCGTCGAAAAGTTCAAGCCTTGTGCCGCGTGGCTGTATGCCCCGCGCGAGAGCCTCAGTGAATTCGATGATTGGTCACGCAGAATCCGCCAGGTGTCTCCACAAACACAAATATGGATTCAGATAGGTACCTTGGGCGAGTCAAAGCAGCTTCTGCAAAGCCTCGAAAAACCAGATGTTGTAGTCGTGCAGGGATCGGAATCGGGCGGCCACGGGCGGGCGACGGATGGGATGGGTCTCATGACACTGTTTCCTGAAGTCGCAGACGTAATGGCAAGCAGCAACATTCCCCTGCTGGCAGCGGGTGGTATTGCCGATGGGCGTGGAGTCGCAGCAGCGTTGTGTCTCGGAGCTTCAGGGGTCGCAATGGGGACACGGTTCCTAGCTGCCAGCGAAGCACGGATTAGCAAGGGGTATCAAGATGAGGTTGTGCGAGCATCCGACGGTGCAGTTAGCACGACTCGCACACTGCTTTACAATCACCTCAGGGGCACGTTTGGGTGGCCTGCTGAATATAGCCCGAGGACGATTATCAACAGATCCTTCCTGGAGCAGCAAGAAGGCCGCTCGTTTGAAGAGCTCAAGGAGCTTCATGATGAGGCCTCGAAGATGGGAGACAGTGGCTGGGGCCCGGAGGGCAGACTGGCTACCTATGCCGGAGCCTCCGTGGGACTCATCCATCAAGTGGCTGAGGCAGAGACTATCGTTCGAGATGTGCAAAAAGATACACTCAAACGGATTCGGTCTGTCGGGGCCGACAAATAGGCTTGTGCTATCTTACACCTGAACTAAAGATATGGTGATCAATTTAAATCTCAAGTGGAGTTAGACTGGTTTAAGAATGGAGGATGAACTCAAGTTGCCGGTGCCTGATCATGGACCTCCACCGAGTTCGGGGAATCAATTCGTCCAAGAAATTGCAGAGAAAGCCTACGATAGGTCGATCTATGTTCATTAGACGCGATAATCCGAGACATTTTACCATCGATGTTCCGAAGAATGAGTCTTCCCAAGACTCAATAGTTGAGATTAGGTTACAGACATTCAGTAGACTAAGATCCGCTAGGGAAACGGGACGGGCCGAGTTAAGACCTAGCTCACTGGCACAGGCTCTACACAATTGGAATATACCGTATAACAAGATAAAGGGGTAATTAGGCGGGCCTCTTGCGAGAAACATACCTTGCAGTTGAGTGACTCAAATACTAGATTTGAAAGGGTTAATATTAGGAATCGCTAAAATACAAAGAGTGACAATATCCTGTTCTTGTCACATCTGAACCCAACCGTTTATACGAACGCCAAAGCACGAAGCGCCATTGATCCTCATTTCATATTGAGCCAAAAACCTCCAACATCCACGCATCATCAAACCCAGTCATCGGCATAACCTCAGGCAGAGGGGGGCCAGTCTGGACATATTGGTTGTTGATTTCATCGGATGGCAAATTGGGGTACCAAACCTCCATGAGCTTTGGCTCCCACATTTGTTTAATGGATTGTACCATCTTGACACCCTTCTCATAGACGTTGTATTCAGGATTATCAAGATCCGGCATGATGCGAGAGCTCCTTTTCAGGTTATAGAGAATACGGTCGAGGATTTCGAGGACGTTGGCGGTGCTTCGTACCATGTTCCTGTCCCAAGCTGGATCTTCCAAGGTGGAAAGCTTGTATAAGGTGACCAGAGCCCTCGAGAATTGAAAGAAAACTGTAAACGAGATTCCAATATGGTGGTCTGGAGATATTGCGAGGAAGTGGTCTAGCCAGGCTTTGGATGCCTGGAGGCATGTGCATAGACTTTCAAGACGTTGCGTCTCAGGGGAGTTGGGCATAGAGGTAGTTTTGATCGCGATCTCGTGAATCACGATCTCCGCATATGCAAGATACAAAAGAACGGCCTCTGTCCATATTGTCAGCAACTGTGCAGAAGAAAAGATCGGCATTACTGGACTTACTGTCTTGTTGTAAGCGCTGAGGGATCTGACTTTTCACTGATTCCAGCTGCGATTGGAATGCCTTGGTATATAAGAGCGAGTATTTGTTGTTGTCGCCATCCCGCCGCATGTGATAAATTTTGTCCATGATCAACTGAATTTTGACAAGTGTGACTAAAAGTTCATCTTCCGGACATTCTTTGGCTTCCAATAGAACGGATAGACTCTCCTCCATATGAGGGTTCCATCTCAGAGCGTCAATTTTGCACATTGTCAAGGCAATGCTGAGGGGTCATTAGTTCGTTTAGTTTGACAAAGCACAATGAGCGAATACATACCTCGAAGTGAGCAGGAAGCATCCTAGGACCGCCCGGCGCTCTTCCAGGGTTCTGACGGTGGGGATATGCTGTTTCCACCCGACTATGCACTTGAATGCTTGCATCGCGGAGAGCTCCTGAGTAACCGCCTGGTTGATACCAAGGTCACACACAAGCCCCATCAGCACATGAGCGTAAAAGTTGAGGAATGGCTTCCGGGAGTAAGTCGTCCTGTCTCATAAGTTAGGTTAACTTTTTATGGTACTTTCAAAGTCTGATCACGAAACTAACCATGATATAAATGTCATGATGCCGAGGAGCAAGTCCATACTCGGCGAAACCTCAATGAGAAGCTTTTGATGAATGAACATCGTGATTTTACGAAATAAAAGCTCTCTGTGTATGTTCACCGTGGTCGCTACCGCCATAATGCAAAGCCAGAAGAACGGCTTGTCTTCACGTAGTTGATCAGCAGTAACATGTGGAGGAATATAGACGAATGGAAGGAATTTCAGGTTCTGGACACGCATCAGACCAAGTGTCTTCTCGGCTTCCTCTGGCGATATGGGAAGCGCAGAGCAGATATCATGAATCGAATCTATTGATGAGAGCGAGCACGCTGCTGATGATGGCGATGAAATTCCAGGCGAAGCATAAGCACCGATAGGTCCACCGACCGGAGCACCAGTCGGACCTGGTAGGCCATTTGATTGCGGTTTTGCAGTTGCAGATTCCCAATCTGCAGGAACACTAGAAGCACCAGTTGTCTGGAGCAACGATACAATATTATCAAGCTTTGCTTCAAGTTGAGCATTTCTTGAAGCAGAAGAGCGAACACTTCGCTTTCGAACCGTCGGCGATGGCCGACAGTCCTTTTTTAGTCTCTGGCATCTACGAGCTATTAGTCCATGCGATATACACGATCTTCCACAACCCATACCTTTCACAGCCATTTCCAACGCTAAGTAAGATGCACTTGCTTTTTGCGCGAGAACAGTTGATGCAAGCCCGCCCGTAAGGTGCAGGGGTTCCACTTTGGAGTTGGCTGGGCTCCATTCCGATGTCCGACCACAATAGGAATTCGGGAATGAAGATGCGCCACGCAGTGAGTCAAGACTTAGTTTGATCCTGCAAAGGCGACCGCCAGTAGGATTTCGGTTGCGTATATGCTGAAGCAGAAAGATGAATAGGAAATTTCTCAACGCCCAACTGGTCTTCGAAGACTCGGGCGGAGTTGGAACCGTCGAAATCCGTTTGAGGCAGAAAAGTTAAGTCTATGACTAAGACAACTACGGGGGAGAAACCATGTTGATTGCTGCCTACGCAATGCCTCCATTGAAGTATTTCCGATTGGAAAGAAAATCCTAACAATAATTTTTGACTAGCGCATAGTTGTGGCTTCGTATTTGAGATCGATCATGACTTCTCATACAAGGATTAGGCTGCTACGTCGGTCTCACCGGCCGAGCCCCGGACTTAGCCAATACGGATTTAGGATTTCCGGATTGGCCCGAATCCCGGTCTATGAGACGGGAGGAGTACTACACCCCAAACATCCTTAAGTCCACGCGCCGCGCCGCGAAGGATCGTAGTGCCGCGCGAAGGATGAGGCTTGGGCGACCGATTATCTGATTATGTCCTAGTGTGGTGGGGCTTTTCGTTGCCCTTAGCATCTAAGGCTTTCTTATAAACCAGCTTTTATTCCCCGGGTTAAATAAAATTGTGTACTTCTGTCACTACCCGACTTAAAATGGAGCGAAAGGCCTCCGAAGGCCTCAAGGCCGTTGATTCAACCGATCTAAAGCGAGAGATTACATCTGAAGTCCCGTCGAAAGAGATCGACTCTGGTTCATCCTCGCATACTGTGGCAGATGATCCAGATGGTAATCTCGAAGTGGTGACGGAGTCCCCCAAAGATGAGGAAAGGAAATATCTCACCGGGATCAAGCTATTTATGGTCATCTCTGGAGTGACATTGGTTTTCTTCTTAGTGCTGCTTGACATTTCTATTATTGTGACAGTGAGCTTATCTGTGTCATTTGCCATAAACACTTCTGACCCATTACAGGCTATTCCGGTGATTACTACCCATTTTCACTCTCTTGAGGATTTGGGATGGTACGGTAGCTCGTATCAAATTGCCAGGTATTCACTGAACCTTCTTGATCAAATGATTCTGACTAACTCAACAATCAGTGCTTGCTTGCAACCTCTCTCCGGAAGAGTCTATACCAATTTCAAAACAAAGGTATTCCTTCCCCAAACCTTGCTAAGGAGGATCGGTATCTAACCAATTCGTAGTGGACGTTTTTAACCTTCTTTTTTATATTTGAGCTGGGATCGCTTCTCTGTGGCCTAGCAACATCTTCAAAGATGTTGATTGTTGCTCGAGCAGTTGCAGGACTGGGATCGTCTGGTTTGATGAACGGGTCGTTGACCATCGTTTCGTCGTCTGTCCCGTTGCACAAGTCTCCAGGTTTTTGTGAACACGTCTTTTATACTTAGGATCCATACTAACATGCTCTACAGCTCTTATCGGCATCATGATGGGCTGTGAGTTCTCTACAAAAGCTGACTAGTCTGCGATTCACTAACAAAGATGCTAGTCTCTCAACTTGGTGTTGTATTTGGTCCATTGATTGGAGGTGCATTCACTGAATACACCAGCTGGAGATGGTGTAAGTACCACATTCACTACAAGTCTCCCATTGTCTGCGTCTAAACTTTCCTCAGGTTTCTACATCAATCTTCCGATTGGTGCCCTGGTCGCGGTACTTCTCATCTTTGTGGAAATCCCAGACCAAGGAAAAAAGCCCTCGATTAAGTCCGCTATGGACACGATCCTTCACAAACTCGATCTCGTTGGGTTTGTTCTTTTTGCCCCGGCCGCAATCCAGCTTCTGTTGGCCCTTGAATACGGTGGCAGTAAACATCCGTGGGGAAGCGCGACCGTCATTGGACTCTTTTGCGGCGCTGCGGGAACATTTGCATTATTCCTGTACTGGGAGTATCGTCACGGAGATCGAGCGATGATTCCCTTGTCGATGGTTGCGAAGAGAACCGTATGGTCAAGCTGCCTGGTCATGGTCAGCCTTTTCGCCATGGTGCTTTCCGCAGCCTATTATCTACCCGTCTACTTCCAGGCTATCAAGAATGAGACTCCGCTGATGAGCGGAGTCTACATGCTTCCCAGTATTTTGTCACAATTGGCATTTGCGGTGATTTCTGGTGCCCTGAGTAAGTTTCCCCCGCATGGAAGCCAAGCAATCCGATCTAACTTTATCTTTAGTTGGAAAGTTTGGATACTATCTTCCATGGGCTGTTTTTTGTGGAATTGCCACTGCCATCGCAAGTGGTCTTGTTTCCACATTCACGCCATTTACCCCAGTGGGTAAATGGGTGGGATATCAGATCCTTTTGGGAGCTGGTCGAGGGGCTGGGTTTCAAACAGTGAATTCTATCCTGCAGCCAAAATGTCGTGGTAACTAACGATTATTGTCAACAGCCCTTCATCGCAATTCAAAACTCACTTCCACCAAGTGAGATCTCCATTGGCATGTCCATCCTCATGTTCACACAAACGCTGTCTGGCGCGGTGTTTTTGACCTTTGCGGATGTGATTTTCTCGACGGGCCTCAAGACTCTAATTCCAAAGTATGCACCCAACGTGAATCCAGAGGTCATTGTCGCTGCGGGTGCCACCGGCATCCGAAATGTCGTATCGAGCGAGAATCTTCCCGGAGTGTTGAAGGCCTATGCGGATAGTGTAGACCACGTCTTCTACATGTCTGCAGGGCTTGGCGTTTTCTGCATGGTATTTGCATTCGGCATGGGATGGAAGGATGTTCGGAAAAAGAAACCTACGGGGCAAGTTTGAAGCGGGATATCGACGTTTGGACCCTCTCCTATCAAATTGCGGGCATTTATAGCGATGGCTACTTAGAGTTAATCTTAATCTAATGAAAAATCCCACGGCACAGATCTCACTCATTTGCTCGGCTTTTTTACCTAGTTTTCGGGTAAATTTACTTTGCCTCGACCTGCCGTCCTTGGGTTGCCTCCCTGGTGCCAAGTTAGGGGCAACTTCCCCGTTCGTTCGAGCCACGCTTGCCCGTGCCTGTGCCTGCCAATAAGAGGCCAAGAAAGAGCGGCCCGGAGGTCAAAGCAGACGTATGGGCCCAGAACTCACGGAATGGCCGATTAGCGATAGCACTACGGCACTAGTCTACCTTGGGGTACGCTGTCTGGCATCGTCGTATCCATAGGTTGTGAGAATCGCGATATCCTTAATTATCACGTCATCTTAGTCTACGTAAAATGTCATATACCGGGCACGTTGGTCAGCGCTAGATAATAAATAAGACATGAACAAACGCCCTTCCACGCGCTACCTCTCTCTCCTGTTTTCTCAAAAGCTGCAGGGTCCGCAGATCCTTTTTTTTTTTCATTGAACTTCATATACGCTCCAATCTTTCCAACTCGATTGTCGAAATTTACCATGTCGAAGAAGGATGACGAGAAACATCAGTCAGGCTACGTCCTCGGGACCGAACTCGACGGATCGGGCTCCTTCGATACCATCACAGCCCTGGTAGCTGAAGGTGGGACGCTTCGGGGGGTTTGCGCGATCTGCGTGTCTTGACTAACATGGACTTGAATTGTCCTCTCGACAGACCACGAGCATCAAATCAAGCTCCGGACGATGTCTTGGCAGAAGACCGCCTGTTTACTCGCCGGCGACCAGGTGTGTTTGGCAATCATGGCCCAGTCATGGTCTCTCTCGTGAGTTGGACTTCCAGTTCCCTTCGTGAACCCTACTCAGACGCATACAGGGTTCTGGGATGGGTTCCAGGCATCATCACCATGGTTCTCTCGGGAATCATTTTCTGGATCACCTCTATTACCATGCACAAGTACATCATGAAGAACCCCCAGATCAAGAATATCTGTCGGTCGTCCGCGCCTTCCGCTGGCTCCATCTTATACTGACCATTTGATCACGGATAGGTGATTTTGGTTATTATATCTTCGGCAAGAACCGAGTCGCCTACATCTTCTCTGCATTCATGCTACTTGCCAATAACATCCTGCTTATCGGTTTCCACATCCTCACCGGTGCGAAAGTCCTGAATACCCTGTCAGGCCACACGTTGTGCACGGCAGTCTTCGCAATCATCGTGACACTTATGGGAATCCTGGTGTCTGCTCCACGAACTCTCCAGCACGTCAGCTTCATGTCTATGTTTTCTTGTGAGTGACCGTTCTCTCTTTGCCCTCTGTCATCCGCGCACGGGTACTCACCGTGTTCTTTCCTTGCCTTCAGCTGCTTGCATGGGAATTGCAATCCTTCTCTTCCTCGTTTTTGCCGGCATCGAGAAGGCTCCTCTCTACGGGTACAACGGCGACTACCCAACCGATGGAGCGGTCAAGACCTACGCATTCCCTCTTCCAGGAACCACCTGGGTCGCATGCATGAACGCCGTCTTGAACATCACATTCCTCTGGGTTCCCCAGATTCTGTTCCCCACGTTCATCGCCGAGATGGAGCGACCGCAAGACTTCCCCAAGTCATTGGCTGTGCTTGCTACAATTTCAGCCATCCTGTTCATCATTCCTCCGGCGATCGGTTTCCGATACCTGGGTCAGTACGCCACAGCCCCTGCCTTTGGCAGTCTGGGAGTCGTATCGTACAAAAAGGCGTCCTTCGGATTCGTCATCGTGCCTACTCTCATTATCGGTGTCATTTACGCAAACGTGACTGCCAAGCTGCTCTATACTCTCACGATGGGCAAGTCTCGACACGCACATAGCAATACCTTCATTGGATGGGGAGTCTGGGGTCTGATCATGATCGGAATCTGGATGCTCGCTTTCGTTTTCTCCGAAGTTGTTCCCAGCATGGGAGATTTCCTATCTCTCCTCAGTGCCGCCTTCGACTCCTTCTTCGGTTTCATCTTCTTTGCGATTGCTTACTGGAAGCTTTACCGCGGGAACCTCTTCAATGGTATGGGGAGGGCAGCCATGACCGTCACCCATGCTTTCATCATGGTCGTCGGCCTGTTCATTCTTGGCCCTGGCCTATATGCGGCTGTGAAAGCCATCATTGCCGATTATTCGGGGTCTATCACGCCTGCTTTTACGTGCGCGAATGCTGCTCTATGAGCTACGAGGTCATGAGAAAATTGGGTTCAATTTTTTACGATTTTGCCAAGATCAAAGGTAGGAACTACGGGACCGTTAACTGGAAGAATATACATGTTTTCCTAGCTCTGTATTGGCCTATTGGATGTGCTCGAATGCCACTCGGTAAATCCCATGCTCTCATTGAGCAGGTTGTTCCAAGTGGCTAGCCGTGGACATGGCTATACCGTTCTCATATATGGTGGGGGTCCATTCTACCTATTCGGATCTTAAATGACACAATTGACATCTGAGCCGTCCAAACTTGGCTGGGACCTAGACCTTTTCAAGAATTGCACTTCTGAACATCCACCCGCATTCACTTCTCCCGATGTATGATAAATCCGGAAGTCAGGGCTAAGGATCCCCGTCTGGGGGATCAGGTATTCCCAAATCTTTTGCATTCATCCCAAGGATGTCAGATCCACGTCGGGTCACTGAATTTATGAGAGGCCTGGAATGCCACTCTGATTGTTTGATGATGACGAGACCGAGAAGTTTCCAGTGTACCTCTGGACTTGTAAGCGAATTTCCTGATCGATGGCTGGAATCGGTGAATCAAAAGATACAGCTTCACAACCACATAACTTAGGCTGAAGGCTTGACGGCCGTGGCAACGTCTATCATGTTCTCTTATAATACACCTACGGGTATCTCTACAAAGGAAGCAAAAGTGACATCACATCATCGTGTAATTTTGTCCTGGTAAATAGATGTCCAGGTACCACAGCACCACGAACCCGAGCGAACGGGACACAGCACTTGATAGAATTTGAGGGCCACAGATCAAACCAGACGTAGTCATCCATCCCACCGAAATAAACCAGCAAGTCGAAACAGCATAACCCGATCCAACCAAATCAGCCCAGAATATCCATCACGCAGCGACCCAGACATCCATCATTCCTAGACCATCAGCACGACCAGCCGAATGGGCTAATCTACTGCTCAGTCTGGAAGTAGTTAAGGAGGACGGAGCGCTCCTGGGACTCCTCACCCCAGTCCTTAACAACAACGCAAGAGCAGTTAACGACCTTGCGGGCGTTGCCCTCACGGTCAAGGGTGCCTGAACGATAAATATTAACGCAAGTCAAACCACACCGGAATTCAGGGTTCCTTACAGAGACCGACCCACTCGCCGAGCATCTTGCCATCGGGGACCTTGATCAGGGGGATCTTGTGCTCGGAGCACAGGGCGACAACGAGCTTCTTGTAGGCCTCCTCCTCGCAGCCCTCGTTGAGGACACACATGTGGGCCTCGCGGCGGTCGAGGGCCTTGGCAGCCTCGCGCAGACCACGGGCAAGACCGTCGTGGATCAGGGAGATGCGCAGGACACCCTTCAGAGCGTCGAGGACGGACATCTGGCCGGAGCCAGCGTCAGCGGAAACCTCGACCTCGTCGGCAGCGACGGGGGGTTGGACATGGTCTCTTCTCCGTCCGACTGTTGGAAGAGATTGTTAGTTTTCCGAGGTATTCATTGTGGGCTTCGTATGCGACAGCTGCAACAGGCAAAGGACTGAACATGGACGTTTCCCGGGAGGTTTCAGAGCTTCAACTTGCACAGCTCCGGTCGTCGAGATGTTGAGGCGGCGACATGCGCGGGGCAATGAGAACTTCTCAACAGGTATATCCAGCCCGGTCCTTCACGTTGTCTGCGGCATTGAAGATCGCTGAAGATGTAGAACGTACCATTTTGGTTGTAATTGTTATGTTCAAGAATGTCGAATGATCCTCGAAGAGTATTTTTGGTGATGGAGATTAGATGGGTTAGAGCACGGGCAAATTTTGGTGGATTTCGATTTTCGGCTGTGTGTGCCCTACGCTTAGTCACCGCCTTTTGTTTCGTTGTCACGTGACCATACACCCCCGATGTAGAGGAATCTCTACTATGCCAATTTTACGGGGACTTCAGGATTTTTGGGGATTTCAAGTTCAGAGACTGCGAAGAGAAGTGAATTCGTTACGTGAACGCAAGAGGTATCATAATCATACAATCAAAATCAGCCCTATACACCGCAAACTGCTGAAATTCTGCCGATCGCGCCATAAAAATAGCGAGGACGCTGCAATCAAAGAGAACTAGAAGTATGTACCGGTCCGGGGATAGCCGTGACCATTAAGAACGGCGGAACCGTTCGTTTCAGCAAAAGCACTAGGATCGTGACCGTTCGTCTGAAGGTTTGCTCCAGTGGAGGGCTCTGGGTCGATGTGCATGCTCAGAAATTCGAGCTCGAGTCCATTAAGATGAGGGATGTGCGGGACGAGATCCATGAAATCAGATAGCTAGAAGTTTTGTTAGTGATACTGTCAGAGATGAAATGAAAGAGGGGCAACGCTTACTCTGATCCAGAAGACATGCTCCATGTCTTCGTACTTGGGTCGCGTTTCATGATCCAGTTTCATAATATCTCCGAACGATGCGTTGTGGTGTTTAGGGTCATCCGTATATACGAGCATCCGGCGAGTGCACCGCCAGAGATTGTTGCGCTGAGTTGGGGTCGCTTTGCGTTTCTCCCAGCTGGCATACTGAGACAATTGGAGGTCATTGGTAGCCAGCAAGGGAGCAACCAAGTAGTTGGGAATCCATTTCTCGTCCGCAACATCTTCAGCACAAGTAGGGTCGAACTGGCGAGTGACCGCAGTGACGAGAGGCATGAAGTTCTTGAGCCAGGTGTAGCTCCGAGCACGAGGATCGTTGGTGCTCACGAACTTGGCGGAGACACGAAGGCGGCCGGGGAGAGCATCACGGCGTCGTTTTTCTTGGGCCTCTTGATCGCGACGCATCTTCATGACGCGCGCACGCTCCTGCTCAATTCGCCTCATTTTCTCCTCCTCGGCTTGTTTGGCCTTTCGTTGTTCGGCTTCTTGGCGCTTGCGCTCGTCCTCTTCAGCCTTTTCACGGGCAGCTCGGGCAGCTCGGGCAGCTCGTTCTTCTTCTTCCTTCGCGAGACGAACACGCTCGGCTTCCTCTGCGATTCGCTTCTCTTCCGCAACGCGTTCTTCCTCGATCTTCTTCACTTCTGCCTGGCGACGTTTCTCAGCCTCAATCTCAGCTCGCTTCTCTTCAGTTGGGGCTTCAGGAACACAGCTGGTATTGGCCTCGCGAGGTTCCGATTTGACGTCTTCATTCTTCTTGGTAGGATCATGATCGGGTGACGGTTGGGAAGGAGTTGATTTCTTAAAGTTCTCAATAGGCTTGCGTGTCGTGCTTTCCGCATTTCGCGAGCTTGCGTCTTGAGGTCGACGATGAGATTTTTCACCATCCACTGCATCATCGGTCTTGCGAGGACCGCCGTTCATAATAATTGATGGCTTCTCGTCGGGGAGGACTCGCCGCTTCTTCTTCCGTGACTCAGGTGATAGTCGATCGCTATCCCCATCCCGCGAGCGAGACCTTTCGGGGGAGGTGTCGGCACGAATGCGTTTCAAGGATGACACGGGGTCGGGTGCGGAATCGTTGCGGGACTTGGATCCTTCCTCGCGGCCAGAATCGGATGAGAAAAGGCTAGATCTTCCTTCGCCCTCACGCTCGTGCTCCTGGTCTTGAGGGCGGCGCCCAGCGATGAGCCGTCGCTTTCGATTCTCGTCAGGCCGAGCCACACCACTGGACTCACTACCTCTTCTTGCAGATGGTATTTTAGGCTTCACGGATTCGGGGCGGCCTGAATCGTGATCGGAACTAGCAAGAGCGTTGTCGTTAATCTCTCGAGGCACCTTTGGACGACTCATAGCCTTGGCCTTTTCCTTCTCGCGCCGCTTCTCTTTCAATGTGTCGATATCCTTCAGTGCGCGCTGACGGTTGGGGCTGTCGCTCGCTTTATTCGGGCGAGGAACAGGAGAAGAGGATTCCCTGCGTGTAGATTGTTTGTCGTCCTTGTCTTTGCGAGCACGGCGGGGGGAGGATAGGTCTTTGTTGGCTTTGCGAGACCCTCCATACCTCTCGAAAGCAGATTTCAAAATCTCGTGTTCTTCCTCCCAATTCTCGCCTTGTCGGGCCTTAGAGAGCTCGAAATAGGTGGCGCCATCAAACAGGCGACGGGTAGGATCGAATCCAGGCTGATTAAGGATAAGTTGAATGATGGCGGGTTTACCACGTCCAATGGCAGCGAGCATGGGCGTGTTGTATCCTGATTTCTGACCATGTCCCTTCATCGGATTCGGGTCCGCATCGGCATCGCCCATTGCGTACATTAGAGATAGCACGTCTTCATGGCCACCTTTGGCAGCAGCAATCAAGGATGCGTTGTCTGCTTTCTGCAAGATATTTAAAACGCTAACAACACCTTGCTCGTCGCCCTTGGCCGCGTATTCGCGCAGTTTCTCCGGTGTCGCTTGTGTCCACAAGAACTCGTTTCTTGTTGCTTCGCTTCGGCCAGTCTTGCGGCGACTCGCTGCGCCGCTTAGGGGTGGGGGACTCCGTGAAGGGCTGGCCACCGATGCCCGTCGCGACAAAGAAGTCTTACCGTCAAACCTGGTATGCTCCTCTGAACGTCGGCTGGGTCGGGAGCTGGCTTTGGCATCAGCGATGGCTTTCCGGATCTCGTCGTATTCTTCGTCCTTCAAATCAGACGGGACTAATTCATAGGGTTCATCTCCAGAGGCATTCAAGGTTCGAGGATTGGCGCCTGCGTCGAGCAGAAGCTTGATCACTTCTATATGCCCATTCTCCACCGCATCAATGAGGGGTGTATCTTTGTCGATGTTGTGGGTGTCAATTTCGCAACCAGCCTTCAACAGAAACTCGACAATAGGTGCTTCGCCATTAAGAGACGCGATCTGCAACGGGGTATTGCCGGCATTATCGGGGACATTTAAATCTTCAGGTCGTTCTTCATGACGCTGGACCACTTGATCATATTTTCCATCCGCACAAGCTCTGGCCAGAAGGGTGCGGCCGCTCTTGTCCTTGAGCTTTTTGGGTCCAATCTGTTTCGCGGGCGATGCCGAAGCGCCTACCCCGGACCCAAGCCTCCTCAAATGAGCACTAGGGAGTGGGGAGCCGCTGGCAGACGAAGAGGTGGACTGCCGGTCTTCCGAGGCTTGCCGTTGAAAACCAGAGAGAAGGGGTGTAGGGGCTTTCTTCTTGGCTGGGAGGTGAGAACCGGACACGGATCGTTGGTGAGAATGGCGAGTAGGAGAAACCGAGCGAGCACTGGGAGACGGTCGTGAGAAACGGTGGTTGTTGACATGTTTAAGGTTCGCGTAGGTGGCCGAGTCGCGTCGTCGCTCCCGCTTTTCCTCGACGCTGTCGCTAAAACTCCTCTTTCGGTAGGGCCGCGGCCTGTCTGTGCCACTGCGACGACTTTCCTCCAATACGTCGGGCGCGACAGAGGGCACATCGTCGACCTTCTCGACTTTGACGACCGACGGCGGCGAGACGGCTCTCTCAGACGGACGGGGCGACCGAGAAGGTCGGTCTCGATTATCTCGATTGTCTCGATCTACTCGGTCTCCATTGATTCGAGGTTTCTTTGGTTGATTGCCATCAACGCCGTCGAACGGTCGGCGTTGCGGATCGTGTCGAATGTGTTTCCTCTTCTTCTCCGGTGACAATGACTCACGGCCCGACTGAATGATGGTTTCGGCCTCCGAGTCGGCCCTTGGGCTCGGGGGCCCTTCCTCCTCCGATTCCACCGGTTTATCATCGCTGGGTCGTTGTTGTTGAACAGGCTTCCCAGGCGATGAAGGTCCCGAGTCCACCTTCACCGGGGCGAGGGCATTGGGACTGACATCCAGGGCAACTGGTAGGGAAACTGCCTCGACATCACTCATAGCGATAGCACTCGATGTGTCAGGATTCCGCTCGTCATTTTGGGAGTACGCGACAGGCAAGACGACCGTGGTCGGCAACGCCAGCGACGGTGCGCGTTGATCACGGCGAGAAAAGCACTACCCGAGGGCGGGAAGACGATTAGGATTGGAGGCGGGGATTATCCTTCCAGATAGGCAATTATAGGATGAATGTAGAAGATAGAAGGTATATGGAATGAGAAGAAAAGATGAGTGGTGAGGAAAAGCGACCGGGGGGGGAGAAAGAAGGGAAAGGGAAAGACGGGAGAGGAGAGAGAACTTGGAATGGGGGCAGTGGCCAGTGGCTAAGGAGAGAGAGATCGCTGGTTCGAGCTTCAGGGTGTGGCCACTGTGAATCATCCACTCCTCCCACCTCGAAAAACCCACCCCCGACATTCTTTTCGCTTGCAACTAGTTCTCTATCTCTCCCAGTCTCCTTTTTCGCACTCGGCTGCCGCCTGCGTGCACGGCACGGGCCCTTCACACGCAGTGCCATTCCGAACGCAGCAAAACCAGCCTGACTCCACTTGTGTGGCGATCTGCTCGATGCGGCCACTCAGCTCCTCGAGGGTACGGAGTGCCGGTACCTCCGATAGTACTGTCGACTACTGTAGATAAACTTTAGTGCTTCTATTCCTCATAGTCCTAGCTCCCCTAGTGGGCTGATAGTGGACATTATGTCCCGGCGGTTCTGCGTAAACGAGGATCGGCCTCACCAGCCCTCCAAATCTCCATTTCTCCACCTTCAGTGGGGACCTCGCACTGCATGTTTGCCATGACACAACCTGTCTCTCACACCTGTCACCATGTATCGCCTCTACGGCATTGATAATGCCCTCGATGCCGCTGGCATGGACGCCGTCGACCTCCTACGTGCCTTTTTCCTCCTCGCCGCTGCCTCGGTACGCTAGTTTCCAGGGGATTGTCTCCAAATCCACATTCACCACGTTTCGCCAGTTCAGGGAGCTAACACACCTCGCAGAGCCTGTCGGTCAGCATCCCGTCCTCCCTGCGCTCTCGCTTCCTCATCTATGGCCCGCGTGCGACCTCGACGGGCTCGGGGTCCCGGCCTCCTGCTGGGAATACCTCCGGCCTGCTCGACTACCTCGCGACCTGGCAGGTGCCACACGTCTATTTCACCCATTTCTACATCGCGTCCGTACTGTCATCCGCCTTCTGGGGGTTCCAGTTGTTCTTTCGCGGGGCCGTCTTTCAGGCGGTCGCGTCGCGGGTGAGCGAGGAGCACCGACTGCAGTCGATGTCCTTGACACAGGTCATGATCTGTTGGCTACTACTTGCCATGCAAGGATCCCGGCGGTTATGGGAGTCCTTTGCTTTTGCGAAGCCTTCTACGTCGAAGATGTGGTTCATGCATTGGTTGTTGGGCCTTGGGTTCTACCTGGCTGCGGGTGTGGCCATCTGGATTGAGGGATCGGGTATGAGTACATTGCGCACGTGTGGTATTTTATTGCTGACAAGCGGGTCTGTAGGAACCATTCTGACTCGGTCTGTCACCATCGACCACATCAAGATCACAAATGCCCCGACCATGCGCACCTTCTTCTGCGTTCCATTGTTCCTTATAGCCTCTGGCATGCAGCACGATTGCCACCACTTCCTCTTCTCATTGAAGAAATATACCCTCCCAGACCACCCCATCTTTCGTGGCATCGTATGCCCGCATTACGGAGCTGAGTGCGTCATCTATCTGTCTCTCGCAGTACTGGCTGCTCCGCCAGGTCAGGTGGTAAACAAGACCATGCTTTCCTGTCTGGCTTTTGTGGCAGTGAACCTCGGTCTGACTGCCCAGACGACCAAGCAGTGGTACATGCAGAAATTCGATAAAGAGGCGGTGCAAAATCGGTGGCTTATGATTCCGTACGTTTATTAAACGCAGACGGATCAATATCGAGGAAAAGAAATAATAAACCGTTCAATCGAGCCCGATGCTTAGATTGGTCGCTCATCGTCCACCGAGAAACTTGAGGGAATTTCCCATCTTCGCGACTTTCAGAACATCTCTATACGTGAGACTTGTCCGCGTTTCCCGCTGGTACCAGCCAGCACGGTACGGATTCTTCTCGCGCAGAAGATCCCAGTTGCAGATCGTGTCTGCAGTCAAGTCTTCGTCCTTGGTCGTCTCGGCAATGCCGTGGAGATAATCCGTATATAGATCAGCCCTTGTAATCAGCAGACTTCGTCTCTCTTGTAGAATCCGGTATTGTGGCTTCCGATTGTGATCGGCCATGTTTGAAGCACTCCCGCCGGCTTTCCCCTCGTCATTTGCATCTTGACTATTCTTCTTGTAAATATCCAGCACGATGGGAGCACCGAGGCTCACAGTTGCCACCAGTGGGTAATATGCAGCCCCGTCTTCATGCGGCATGATTCCCTGGCCAGGATTATACTCATTCACCAGGACATGATTGGGTGCACCGTGTGGCGCATCATTGAAGATTCCAAGCTCTTTCAACCGCGGCTCAGTGACCGGGGATACCAGCCAGGATGGCAATGGAGATGCAAGTAACGTGTTAGACTTGGTGAGCGATGACGGCCATGTCTGGAGCCTGCGATGTGACAGATGAGTCCAGCGTGGCAGAGGCGCCGATGATACCTGAGAAGATGTTAGCGCACGTAGGGCCGAACAGTCAATGTAAGTGATATCAAAGTATCGGGAACATCAGACCCGGTATAGCAAGAGACATGAACTATACGCCCAAATACCAATTCCACCAATCAATCAATGAAAATGTATCACAGATATTACTCACCTTCTGCAATAGCCAGGTCTCCTCGTCCTCGGAAACGAAGTCAGATATGTAGAATGCGTCTGAGGGCAACGAGGTGATGCGCGCTGCCTCGAGATCACAGGCCATCTCCCTCCACTTTTAGCTCTTATTCTAAGCACAGGGTCCCATTATTTATGGAAAAGAGAAGCAATAACAAAGTCCAGAGAAGAGGAGGCTGAATCGATAACCAGATCCCACGTCACTTTATGCCTCAGGCCACCAGCCCCACATCCAACCGAGCAAACATTCACCGTTCACTTCTCGATCTACAGGTCCGGATCAGTGAACTGTAACTTCAGACCTTTCTCCATACCATAGCCATGGCCCCCAAGAACAACGCCAAGGGTGCCGCCAAGGGCAAGGGCAAGGACGCCGGCGATGACAAGGGCAAAGGCAAGGGCGCCGTGAAGGGCGCGCAATCAATCCAAGTGCGGCACATTCTTGTATGTTCACTGTTCTTTTTCTGTCTCAGCACTGGACTTGAATTTCCTTCAGTGTGCATGGACTCAACTGGTGCAGTACCGTGGACAAAAATTTAATGCATATCTAGTGCGAGAAACACGCGAAGAAAGAAGAGGCGCTGGAGAAGCTGCGCAATGGGACCAAGTTTGACGAGGTTGCGCGCGAGTTCTCGGAGGATAAGGCGAGGCAAGGTAAATCGCATTCTTGGTTGATATATGCAGAGCTGGGATTGAGTGCTGATTCTTTGTAGGAGGCGCCCTTGGCTGGAAGACTCGGGGAAGTCTCGATCCCGCGTTCGAGAACGTGGCTTTCGAGCTGGAGGCCAGTACTACCGGGAACCCCAAGTATGGAGAGGCAAAGACCGGCTTTGGTTACCATATCATCATGGTCGAGGGGCGGAAATGAGGAGAGACGTGATGTTTCATGAATTGATGTAGATACTTCGCATTGATACTCCATTTGATGAATCCTACAGGATCTTGTTTTCATGAATGATGCTTATAATTGATTTTTTTAACTCTAACTTTGGCGATGTCAGTTAATTCTGTACATGAGACCAACTTCAAAAGAAAACTCGTAAATCTACTGCGCTTTCTTTGCGCTTTCAAGCTTGGCCTTCTCCTTCGCTCTCTTCTCCGATCTTTGAACCACTGCCTCGGCGCCAATGCCGCCAAACACTAGGCCAATTCCCAGCCACTGTCCAGCGGACAGGGAGTGGCCAAACCAGAACACGCTGAGAAGCATCGTCAACATCTTGCGTGTCACGGTCACGGTTACAAGCAGCAGCGACGAGAAGTGCGACAGGGTGTAGAAGATAAACAGTTGGCCGACAGCACCGCACGCCGCAAACCCGAGCACGTGTTTCAATGCTTCGGGGTGGCGTGTGAGGAAGGAGACGGCCGAGTACAGCTCCGTCTCGGTGGACGGGGGGATGGGGATTGGGAGCAGACTGTGCAAGATACCGCTCTGGGATAGATGAGGCATGATCAAAAGATACGCAGTGGTCAGAAGTGTGGAGAGCACGTTCTGCGCAACCATCATCTGCGGTCCAGAAAAGCGGGTGTACCGCTGTGGAGAGGTAAAGACATGATCTTGTGTGGTGTTTGTGAGGCCGTCAAGCAGCAGGTTGATAGACAGCAGAAAAATACCCCACATAGAAGATCCGGACTGCTTCGCCGCCGACGCAGCAACCTTTTTACTGGTTCCTGGATGATGCAGCGTGAACGTGGCCACGCCCAGAGTAACCAGGAGCACGACACCGTACTTGTACAGAGGGTACTTCTTGCGGAAGATAGTCAGGTGAAGGAGCATTACAGGGAGCAGCTTGCATGATTTCGCGAGGATAAAAGTGAGGTAGTCGATGTGTGCGAGACTGGCGTAACCAAACGGGGATGCGAGCGACGAGGAAATGCTGACCAGGAGCAACGGGAAAATAATGTCACGCGTAGGGAATATGGAGGGCATGCTCTGGCCCTTGGGCGTGGAGAAGAAGAGGTATAGGAAGCCAGTGATGGCGGCGAAGGACGACTGGATCGTGTTCAGGACCAGGGAGTATGTGAAGCGCTCTGTCGCGGGATCGGGATTGGCAGCGGATGCGGCGTAAACGGGATAGCTGGTTGTAGTGATTGCTTCCTGGAGGACACCCCATGAGAGGCTTCGGTCTGTAAGCGTCTGATCTCATGATCTTCAAGGAATCTACTTACAATGCCGCGTAGATACCGAGAACGCAGATGAGAAGCTGCATCAACCCGGGAGTGTCTGTGACTACCTCCAGGGCCGCCGCTGCCTTTGCAGGAGCGCTTTCGTTGGCATTCAGCGGGTCCGTAGCGCGTCCAGTGAAGTGCTTCTCAGCAACTTCGGTTTCATTGCGCATTGAGTGCGAGGGAGTTCGCTGGAGGGGGTTTGTTTGCTTTTGCCGACCCATTGCGACGGAGTTGAACTCGAGGGCTGGGACTCGAGATGAAACGAGATCGGACCAAAGGAGAGGATATAAAAGTGGCGATCTTGCAGGCCCGGGTTGTATGAATGGGAGTTCTCCTTTGGGCCCGGAATTTATAAAAAAAAGATGATGCCATGTGTTCTTAGGTCGCGAAGCTTATCAACAATCAGTAATCGCCCGGGCCCCACCCATGCCTTGAAGAACGCAACTCAAAGCTCAGGATGACCTACATGGGGAAAGAGTAGCTATTGAATTTGGAATATTTATGTTATTTCAAGAAACCTTGGAACAGAATTGACTCTACGGTTCATCATATTCACCCTCTGGAAAGCGGTATAGGCTTTCTTTCAATGTGCAGGCGGTGAACTAATAAACTGCCCAATTTATGCACCATTTTTGACTAAACGCCCCAATCAGACTCAAATCACAGCAAGCTTCCACCTCAACCCACCAAACATGTCTACCAAACGATTTGAACAGCCTTGCCCTGAGTCCTCTGCACTCAGCAAGCTCATCGAATCTGCATCTGCATCTGGCAACCCTTTCTCAGCAACCACCCTCCAAATCCTGCACAATCTCCAACACCAACACCTCTGGACCTCGCTGCAAATCCACGACATTTCTGCTCCATCAGATGCTACAGACACTACTCCCAAATTCCCAATTGCCACTTCGCCAGATGACACAGCACCAACTCTGATCTCCGGCATCCCTCCGCACCGCGTGTACACTCATCCGGACGAGCAACTTTACATGCTAGAACAGGGACTCCGCGAAGATGACCTCAAGCCGGAACGATTTTTCGTGATCCCCACGGCACAGGGTCAGCAATGGAGTCTGCGTCGCATGGCTGCCGTCTTTGACGCCATGTCGGAGGTCCAGCCAGTTGAGACGCCAATGGTTGAGAAGGATAATGGCAAGGCGAAGCAATTGGCGAAGTACTATGAGAGGAGAGAGAAGGCCCACGAGACAAAGGAATGGGGTGGAAAGAGGGTTCTACTGGCGATGGTGGATAAGGGTATGGGCGGAGAGGGCACGGTGGTGTACTACGTTGTGCAAGAGGGCGAGGTGAAGCCGCGCCAGAACTGATTGTGTGGTTTTTTCTTTCTGGAATTATGACTTGGTCTATGCGAGTTACGACAGTGGAGAAACTTTGAAAAAGCGACGATTTCATTCAGTTCGAAATCATCGAGAAGCGAGAGTCGGCTTTCATATATACGCCGGAAATATCCACGAAACATTATATATGCAGCCATCGGGTATAATTTGTGCGAAAGCACAAAAGAGCAAGGGGCAAACATTTGGTTGGGGGTACAGAAGTGGTGCAATGGTACAAGAATGAGGATGATTCGAAGGGAAGACTCAGAGCAGCACGTTTTCCCGGTCGTTTTTCAGCATCAGCTCTTGCTCCTGGAGACAGCTTGTGCAGTATCGGTCATACCACTGCCTCACGCCCTCTGCGTTATCTGCGAAGATACGTTCCGCCTGGGCTGTTTCGGCAGCTTGCGTGTCTGCATTCTTTCCAGCAGCATTACCGCCAAGGAGGGTCTCAACCTGGCGACACCGTCGAAGCTCTTCGCGGAGCCAGCGTTCCCATTCGTTCTGAATGACCTCTTTCTCAATGCTGTTCACAACGCGCAGCGCAACCAAGAGGTTGTGCCGGTAAGTTCCAAGACGTTCGCGCGTCTGCTGGAATCGTTTCGCTGCGCTCTTGGTCACTGCGTCTCGGGGTCCGGAGGTGCTGAGAGAAAGCGGTAGCTCTGCGTACCGCATTGTATTCTCGTGGAACGCACTGAAGCAGTTGCTGGCGTTTCCAGTGTTGTTCCAGATGGTCGTGTTTGCGACGGCCTCGTCAATGTCTCTAAAATAGATTGCCTTGCTCATGACCAGGTTCGGCTGGACTCCCAGTCTAGCCATGAAATTGCTTGCATGTCTCTCCTGCCACCAGTCCCAGGTGTCCCGGGTAGAGTAAAAGCTATTCAAAAGCCCACTGATGACCAACAAGACCAGCATGACCTTGTGCGCGCTCACGGTCTTCAAAGACCAGCTGATAATGCCAATGGCCCACTGCATCACCATGGAAACGGTGGTTTCCAGGAGAGACAAGAATGTCTCGAGGAGGAGCTGAGGCATAGTCCGCTGGGTGCGAGGCTTACGAGGCTCGAGCTTCAAGTTGACGCCTGCGCCGGTGAATTGAGAAACATTGCTCTGGCGTCCAACGTGGCCAAAGATTGTGATGGCCTTTTTGGTGCGGCTATGTGCTCCCAGGCGACGCACCTGGTCGCTCACAAGGTCGATCAGGTCCAAGGCGTCTTCTTGCAGGTCGTCACTTGCTTTCGAGTTAATGATGCCTAGAATAGAGAATATCAATTTCCGAAATAATCTTTGTCTTTCGCTTGTGATATTGACTTACTCTGCAGGCCGTAAGGAGTCTTTAGCCATTCGACTTTAGTGTAGACGGCGAGCTTGCTCTTCGACTTGGCCACGAAAGTAATAACAACCTTGCTGACCAGCCGGAAGGATCGTCGGAAGGGGAGATGCCACGGAGTCCGCTTGTCGGTAACCACGTAACAGAGGTGGTCATTGAGTACATCAATGATCTGATAATCAGAGATTGCATTGTCGTGAGTCCCTGTCGTTCGTTAATTCAACAATAGGACAACGTATTCACCAATAGGGAAGCTTACCCAACATGTCATTCGTTGCAATTTTGTACGAGAAGTCTCGTCTGAGATGTCTTGATTCAGTGGCGGCCCAGGGTCCTTGCTTGATTTCTGTATGATTGGTCAGGACGGAGAGGTAAATAAATGAGGATCGCGGAATCACTCACCCTTGGCTTGTCGTTCATGCAGCAAAAGCTGCCAAACAGCACTCTTATCTCCAAATAGAATGTGGAAGAGTGCCTTGGGACTGATATCCAACACTTTCTCGGTCGCCAGGACAAGGTCACCCTGAGGAACATATGTCACTGGCTGCGTGGGGAGCCTGAACTTCGCAATATCTCGCCCACGGCCATTCCTGCCTCCGTCCAGATCGAGATCTTTGTCAATGTATATAGGAGCACGAATATCTTTGCCACGGCCATGGGCCACAAGACTTCCTTGATCTGCATTATCAACTCCTGATGAGAGATCCTCCCAGCTATCGGCACTGATAGATCTCTTTGGAGAACCAGTGTCCATCTTGATCAACTCTTTGAGGACGGTCTCGAGAGACATGGGTTCAACGGCAATTGATCCCTGAATCAAGAAGTTCAGGCGTTTTTGAAGGAGTTTGAGCGGCTCAAGGAATGTCTTGATGGTGATTCGACCGGGCGTGTCACTTCCAAGGGGAGGAATAGTATGAAGGAAGAGGAAATCGGCATCTCTGCCAGGGGCAGCCGTCACCTCTTTGATACTTTCCAAGGAGACGCTTGTCGTCAACACTAATCCAAAGTGATGACTGTAGAAGTAGATATTCTGAGTGGTGATATAGGCTCTGCCGGGGAACTCTTGGTGGTCATTGGGACTCCAGGTTGCCCTAAACACCAAGACCAAAGCTTCCTCTTTCTTGACGTCGGGAAAGAGAAGTCGGAACTGAGCGTCCTGAATCCGCAATTGTTGCGGGTACACATATGGATACTCGGTTTCTGCAACACCAAGTACGGCTCGCTGAATCTTGGATGCATCCCCGTCAAGACTCACGGTTTGTCGATGGCGTGGCCCTGATGGCTGCCGGGATGACACTTCCGGTAAATCTGTCTGGGCCGCAATTGCCTGTTTCTCGGAATCGCTCATGACAGAGGACGGTCGGCCTTCAGATCCATACTCTTGGTCTCCATTGGCATAATGGGGCTCTTCCCGCTGAAGCTTGTTGATGAAACCCCAGTTGGTAGTGCCCCAGAGGTTCGCCATCATACCACTGGGCATACCGCCTGTGCTATCGACAAGACCTAATCCAATGCCCCTTTCATTATTCACAACAACCGCAGCTTTACTCATGCTCGTTGGGGCAGGCGGGTTAGCTAGTGTGGCAGGTGCAAGGTTCGCTCCAGGTTCGTCAAAATTGCTCAGGCTGCGACCCCGGCTTCCTTCTGCTTCGCCCACATTGACAGGGGTATTGCCACTGTATGGGAGGATATTATGACTGGCAGAGATGAGACTAGCTATGCCACCGACCGGCCCCGGAATAGCAGGAGATGCCGGGGCCGCATTGTTTGACTTGCGATGTAGATCCAACTTATGCTTAAGACGAGATGCGTGCTCTCTGGCAGAAATTTCACTCTCCAAGGAAGTTAACCTTCGACTGCCCGCATCGGTACTAGCCCTATATGCAAGACCATCGCGGTCTGGCACCGGCAATGTTGAGCTCCGATGCTCTGTCGGAGTCGTCTCATCATTGTGGTGCGGGGTGAATGAATCACTTGGGTCCGCGGTAAACTCTGGAGCTGGAGGTTGAGAGATTGCGAAAGCAGGATCCTGGACAGTCACTTTTCCAGATATCGACAGATCAGTGCTGGTAGGGTTCTCCAACGCTTTTTGTTTGGCAGATTCGAAAGCTCCAATCCACTCCATCAGTTCTTTCTGAGACTCCGCCTGCAGCATGATGGTGTTGTTAGTGGTTTTGACTTGGAAACAGAATCGTCGCTCTTCTTGGAAAGCGGGGCGAACACTGCAAAGAAGAACGCCAATACGCTCGCTTTCCTCGACACCACCAGTACGGGCACCTTGTACAAGACAGCCAAAGATGCCGTGCTTTAAGAAGGCCCAGCGGCGGACCCAGGTCGTGCGAGTCGGCTTTCCATAAAGCGTTCGGAGGTAAACCCATCCTTGCTTTTCCGGCCTGACATCCTTGCCCATGTTCATTGTTGAGAGAGGACGAGAACCGAGGTAGGGAACGGTGGAAATGGAATAATCCTCCAACTCCCGAGAAGGTCTAGCCACGATTTCAGCAGCCTCCTCGATTTGCTTTCGAGTCGCGAAAAGCTCTCGCTTAGAAGACCTGTCGCTTCCTTCCATCTCATGAACCCAACCTTTGATCCGATCCATCTCGCCCGACCATTTCGAGAACGTGCCGCTATTATTGTTGTGGAAATTGCGGAACTCTCGCCATTGATCAAAAGAGACTCGGACCAAGAGTCGGTCGAGCGCATTGCGAACTTGGGGAGATTGCACAGAAAGGTCCATGGACGCTCGCAGATAGGCCTTGCGGGCTTCATGAAGCTGGAACGCTTCCTCCCTCAGAGCGGATGCTTCTTTGGATTTCGACTGCGAGGCATAACGGGATTGCAAGTAATCATACTGCTTTTGGGCTTGTTCGAAAGCGCGGCGGGTATCCTACACGGGGATCAATGTCAAACACGAAAATGTAAACAATGGGGTCCATTCGATACCTTGAACTGCCGCAGATCCTCATGGATGAAGACTCGGATGGGTTCGGCAATCATATTCTCCATCTTCTTGGTCGATGCAACTAATCCATTCCACAGGTCTTTCGAACCCTCCCCGCACCTCCTCATCGCCAATAGTGTATAGTCATGATCAACAACAGCTTCGGAGACGACCAGGGGACGGGTCGAGTAGGAAAGAAAGCTGCTGACTACACTCTCCAGAGCCGCCAGCTCAGAGGTGAGTTTTGTTGCGGCTTTGGCGTAGCCGTCGAGCCATTTCTCGATGAACTCGATCTGGTCACAGAAGTGATGGGTCGTGGCGCGAAAGGTCGGTGAGTCGAGGGCGGCTTCTTTGAGGCCAACAGGTCTGCAGAATCCGAAGAGTATTAGTATTAGTAGTGGGAAGAGCACGCGGCCGGACTTACACCACGCTCACCAGCTTCCCGACCTGGGGTAACGGGGTGTGCGCTTGGGTCGACATCTAGCGCATGCCTACAGACTTGACGCGCGCAGGAAAAGAGACACAGGGGAAGAGAGGAGTCAATGAGGTCCCCTTGAAAAACAAAAACACAAATGCAACGGTCGAGATGACGCTGACGGAGCCTTGAGAAAGCCCACGTGCTAGTAACCGGCTTGAGGTCGCACTCGAGGCTCGATGATTTAATTGGCTACGTCAGGGAGTTGTTCCTTGGACTTATCTGCCTGAGGTGTCGAGGTGTCGAGCCGGGGCGGTTTCCACGGTGAAAGGCGGTGTGTGAATTTTTTTTCTTTCTGCCACCAAGTCGGCGCCGCAGCTTGTGGTGATCTTCTGAGTACAGTTTGTACAACCAGCGCAACAATGGAGCCTCCTTCCAAGAAGATGCGCACCCTGATGGATGATGACAGCTCTAGTGACTCTGGGGACGACGCTGGTGGTGTTCCCGTCGGCAAGTCTGCCGAGTCGAGCTTCAAGATCAACGAGGACTTTGCTCGGCGATTCGAGTACAATAAGAAGAGAGAAGAGGTGGCGAGATGTAAGTGCTTCTGACTACTGATCCTAAGTGGATTTTTCGTTGGTAAAAATATACTAACTGTTGGTCTTTTACAGTGGAAGCAAAGTACGGCAAGACCGATATGGGAAAAGGCCACGCCAACGAGCCCGAGGATGACGAGTCTTCCTCTGATGAAGACGAGGACGAAGATGGAGAGCTGGCGACTGAAGCCCTCGATGCAGAGATCATGGCCACTCTCAAGGCCATTCGCTCCAAGGACCCCGCTGTGTACGACAATAACGTTACTTTCTACACCGAGTTTGACGACGACACCAACGCCGCCCCTAAGGAAAAGCAAGAGAAGGCTATGACTCTGCGCGACTACCACCGCCAGAATCTCCTGAGTGGTGTCGATCCCGCAGAGGAAGAAGACGCCCCCAAAACTTTTGCCCAAGAACAAGCGGACCTGAAGGACGCAGTCGTCAAGGCGATGCACGGTGCCGACTCCGATGACGAGATGGAAGACGCGGAAGATAACTTCCTCATCCGCAAGTCTGGACCAGCAGAGGATTCCGCCCCGAAGGGGGAGGTCAAGCTGGACATTGAAAATGCGGACAAGGATCCCGAAACCTTCCTTTCCAATTTCATGTCATCGCGAGCATGGATCCCCGAAGGCCGTGCTGAACTTCACCCCTTCGATTCGGATGATGACGAGGAGGTGGAGCGGGCAGATGCTTTTGAGGAGGCATACAACTTCCGCTTCGAAGACCCTAACAAGCTTAATGAGAAGCTGATGACCCATGCCCGTGATATGACCAACGACCAATCCGTGCGCCGAGAGGAGAAGAGTTCGCGCAAGAAGATCCGTGATGCCGAGCGCCAGCGCAAAGAGGAGGAGAAGAAGCTGCGCGAAACCGAAAAGAACCGGTTGCGCAAGCTCAAGACGGAGGAGCTCCAGAACAAGGTCAACCAGATCAAGGAAGTGGCTGGTTTGCGGGCAGCGGAGTTTACAGACGAAGATTGGTCCCGTTTCCTCGACGACGCTTGGGACGACAAGGAGTGGTCAAAAGAGATGGCGAAGCGATTCGGCGAGGACTACTATGAGGAGGAGGATACTCAGGGCAAGAAGCATCCTAAGAAGCCCGAGTGGGACGACGATATCGATATCAAAGACCTCATTCCGGACTACGAGGATGAAGGACCCACCAAGCCATCATTCGGCTCCGATGACGAAGAAGAGGAAGATGACGAGGCTGCCGGGTCCAATAAGAAGAGCAAGGCCCAGGAGAAGCGTGACCAGAAACGCGAGGCCCGCAAGGACCGCATGCGCATCGATGAGGCGGTCGAGCGAAACCTCGATCTTGATATCACTCTCCTGCCCGGTGCCACCAAGAAGAACGCGACACGCTTCCGCTACCGTGAGACCTCGCCACAGAGCTTCGGTCTGACGGCACGTGATATTCTTATGGCGGACGACACTCAGCTCAACCAGTTCGCTGGCCTGAAGAAGCTTGCCTCGTTCCGCGAGGCTGAGAAGAAGGAGAAGGACCAGAAGAAGCTGGGCAAGAAGGCCCGACTCCGCCAGTGGCGCAAGGATACCTTTGGTAATGAGGATGGACCTGAGTTCAAGTTCGGTGGGGATGCGCCTGTTGAGAAGGAGGATGAGAATGAAACCAAGCTTGATATCCGCGAGGGTGATGGACAGAGGAAGAAGAGAAAGCGGACCAAGAAGCACTAAGCGCAGGTGCAAAAGAGTCTTTATTGTGTATAGTTTATTCAAACCATGGATGTGAACCAAGTCCTGGGGCATGGAGTTAGAATCTATTGCATTGTTTAATCCCATGCTGTGTGGCTTCTGGATATCGAAAGTAGAAATTGGATACCTAGGTGTTTCAAAGTATTACCTATTGAACAGTTTCTGGTCCAGAGGTATATACGGGCACCCAAGGACTGTCCTGGTGGGCATATATATCTGAGGCAGATGCATTCTCAGCCCCAATCGGTACATTTTTCCATCTCCTTCGTGAGGAACATCAAGCTAAAATCGCCGACCCGGCTAATATTGCATGCTCCTTACGTTATTTATCAGCCGCCACTCAATGCATGCAGGTCTGATCTGCTCAGTATATCATATTCCCTCGCAGGATCTAAAAAGGCCGAGGGTGTGCACGCAAGTGGACCCGCAAGCGGTCCGCGATTGGCCTGTGCCTAGTTTTGTCCAGGTACATTGCACATGCGGCTACCTCCACATCAAACTTTGTACCCGTTACATCGATAGCACCGAGTGAAAATCTCTCATAGCAGCCGGCTTCTTCCCGAACGGGCATTTCGTCGTCTGAGCTGATTTCTACTATGTAGTACACTAGGGTTGCATATCGCAGTACTGCATAAGATAGGGATAATGGTATACAAATTGATTTGTAGCAGGTCTAAGTATAGTCCGAGAGCATGAATATGTAGCCCGAGATAAATCGACTTCACTGATCCTTGCGCAGCACGAGGCCAATCTACTGTAAACGCGCGACCCACGCATAGGAAGTTATTCTATTCATGTTATTGAAAGTAATGGACCAGCGGATATCAAAATTTTGTTTGCCACAGGGTTTGATCGGATACTCGGGCAGGGAAAAGGAGTTGCCCCGGTGGAGGCCCGGCATTGGACGGGGTTAGATACGCCGTACGGGTTGGGTACGGTGTCCACCCGGCGCTTGGACTCTGGTTGCTCCGACTACGATTTCGGCGAGTTTCTAACATAGACAGATATTGAAGATGGCTGAATGGGAATGACGTGGGTGGTATACTAAACTAGACATGGAAAAAACAATTATAGAAGATTCAAAATCAAATAATAGCTCTATCGCCGCGTAAAGGCAGATGACCACGGATGCAGAAATTTTCGGGTTCGGGAGATATCGGCAAGGCCAGGAGGCAATACGCAATTATTTCAGTAATTACAGCCCCTGGGCTGCCTGATTGGGTGTTAATGTCCTGCGTTCGCTTCCACCCGCGTACGGCAGTATTTTTCTCCCCCTTCCGCCCCTTCTCTCTTCTTTTTCTTCTCATCCCCGGTGTTCCTTCTTGACACTTCTCCATCTCCTCTCTTTTTTTTGTTGTCGCATTTATCTCTTGCACAACCTTCATCATGTCTAAGGGTGATGTTAACCAGGGCGACAAGTCCGTCTTCGGCATGCCCGTAAGTTTCTTCCCTGGCTGAGCTGCCATCTCGACTCTGCGCGACAATGAGCCTGGATGCATCGGGAACAGACTCTTGTCTATCTCGAAGCATTCAGGAGCTATTCCTGCGCCGAACAGAGATTGGCGAGCTTGATTTTGATGATGAATTGGCTGGAACTACCGTGCTAACAAAAATTTTCATAGGGCTTCGTCGTCGACTTCCTGAGTATGTGCCACGTCTCAACTATCCAGTCTTTGGCTGGAGCTACCAACCCATAACCTCTCGATTGAATACTAACGGATTTACAGTGGGTGGTGTTTCCGCCGCTGTCTCCAAGACCGCTGCTGCCCCCATTGAGCGTATCAAGCTCCTGATCCAGAACCAGGTTGGTCATCCTTTCCCATCAATTTACCGACCGGAATGGGCCAAGGGAGAGAAGAATTTTAGGAGATTGGCAATCATGAACTCGGATTAGACATCTGGTGTTCTTGACATGGCCAGTGCTCGCCTGAAAATTTTTTTCCCTTTGCTCCGTGCCGGTTAGGCAAGGGGTGTTGATTTTTTTCCGACCTGGACCGAAGGCTGACCCGGATTTTTCCCCTAATAGGATGAGATGCTCAAGGCCGGTCGTCTCGACCGCAAGTACAACGGCATCGGTGACTGCTTCAAGCGTACCGCCGCCGCTGAGGGTGTCGTCTCCCTGTGGCGTGGTAACACCGCCAACGTCATCCGTTACTTCCCTACCCAGGCTCTTAACTTCGCTTTCCGTGACACCTACAAGTCCATGTTCGCCTACAAGAAGGAGCGTGATGGATACGCCAAGTGGATGATGGGTAACCTGGCCTCCGGTGGTGCTGCCGGTGCCACTTCCCTCCTCTTCGTCTACTCCCTGGACTACGCCCGTACCCGTCTGGCCAACGACGCCAAGTCCGCCAAGGGTACCGGTGAGCGCCAGTTCAACGGTCTCGTTGACGTCTACCGCAAGACCATCGCCTCCGACGGTATTGCCGGTCTCTACCGTGGTTTCGGTCCCTCCGTCTTCGGTATTGTTGTCTACCGTGGTCTGTACTTCGGCATGTACGACTCCCTTAAGCCCGTTCTCCTCACTGGTGCCCTTGAGGGTAACTTCCTTGCTTCCTTCCTGCTCGGCTGGACCGTCACCACCGCTGCCGGTGTCGCCTCCTACCCTCTGGACACCATCCGTCGCCGCATGATGATGACCTCTGGTGAGGCCGTCAAGTACAAGTCCTCCATGGATGCTGCCCGCCAGATTGTCGCCGCCGAGGGTGTCAAGTCCCTGTTCAAGGGTGCTGGTGCCAACATCCTCCGTGGTGTCGCCGGTGCTGGTGTCCTGTCCATCTACGACCAGGTCCAGCTCATCCTCTTCGGCAAGAAGTTCAAATAGATGATTCGCTCTTAGGCGATCATCTGCCACCTGTAGTTATACTGGAGTCGGGGATGGTTCCCTGCCTGGTGTAACCGCTAGGCGATGGGAAGCAGAGGTTGTGGGACCTGCAAAAGATAGATGCGTCAAGAAATGGGTTCGGGGGGATCTTGAAGCATAGAATGGTGTGATTCTTCCCTTTTTGTACCCGATGTACTTTACTGCCTGCAAACTCTTTTTCTTTTCTTCGAATATTGTATTTTCTTCAACGTATCATTCCTTTCGAACTCTTATTTCCCGCGTAGATGTAGAGTCGCTTCGTGCTCACATTCTAACTGAAATGATTTCAAGTAGAGTACTTGGATCTATTGAAGCTGGTGATGGTCTCTCAGATTTCATCCTGGATGCCGGACATTATAAGACGTGGCTATTTCCGCACGGTCTGATACCAGCTGCTTCAGGTTAGGCCACCTTGCCTTGTTGGCTGGCATGTTGATACGTGGCGACAAGATTTGGTGGCTTCAGCAAGGGAACAGGTACCAAGAAAGTTATCAGGAGAACCAGTGAACACCCATTTTCTGCGCTATAAGTCACTATTACCCGCTGGAACCATCTTATACCGGTAAAGCACAGCTCGAAGCTCTCCATAACGCCTCTCAAAGCGGTCGCCCCACAGCGGAAGGCGCATGACGTCTGGGGCTGGAGCTCCTTTACCTCCCCTAGCTCGAACCTCTCTTTAACACTACCTGCTCATCCTTCAATCATGTCTACCTCCGGTGGTATACAGACGTACACCTCCGCGCCTGTTAATTCCAACAAGGAAGAAGGCACTCATGCGTCCACTTCACAACCAGAGCCCGCCACCACAATCGAGTCCTCGATTACGGCGACATCGCAGCCCGCAAACACCTCTGCGACAGCCACAGCACCCTCCTATTCCCCCATCTATGCAACTGCACAGCCAGAAGGCTCTGCAGCACAGGCCGGCGCAGCACCAAGCCTGCCCGTTCCAACAGCAGGCACTCAGCCAGGCAACATCTCAGCGACACCAACAACCACATTCCCAACGGCCACATCTGCACTATCACCGCCTCCTCCACAACCAGGCGCTGTGCCACAGACTAGTCCTCCAGCGGCGCACTCGCCAGTGCCACCTCCACCTAAGGCAGGCGAGGCCGTAACGCCCTCAGCACTCGCACCCCAACCTTCAGCCTCATTCACCCAGTCCTACTCCTACCAGCCTTCGCAACATTCAATCCCGAACTCAACATCCACTCCGTACTCCTCAGTGTACCAGACCCACGCCGGCGCCAGCTCGTCCCGCCACCAGGGCCTACCTCTGCACTCCAACAGTGGCAGAGGCGGCGGCGCAAACGATATCTTCCAAGATGATGAGCCCTCGCTCATGAACACGGCTAAGTCGTGGATGCAGAGTGCGGGTACGAAGCTAGCGGAGGTTGAGGCGGAAGTTTGGAAGAAGATTAACAATGCGCATGATGAGTGAGGCTGGAGGAGTATATTTTACCTGGGTGCATCGGTATCATGGATTTTATCTAAATTGGGTTGTTATCGTGTTTAGTTTAGGATTATAGGTAGGCTGGTTTGATGCGTTTCGGGGAGGATTCTGGAAAGGATCTTTACTTTGTACGATTCATATGGAATACAAGCATTCATTCTGGATAGAGTTTTGAGGGTGTCTTGAAGCATCGAAGCTAGGCATCCGCCACCTGTACGACTAGTTGAATGGCTTTCCATAATTCCCAAGGTTAAAGGAACATATGAAACGCCAGAACTCTGTTCTTCGTCGTTGGGTCACTGTATCGTTAATCGTGCCGCAGCGAGCCAAATAGTAAAGTAGGCGGAATCCTCCACTGGTTTTGCGTCCCCAAAAAATCAGTGAGATCGTAAAGGGCCTGGATTTAGAGAGCATGTTGTTCCCTTAGCCAGCATCCACGCCAACGAGATGATTTCCATTCTCACATGGCTCAGACTTCGGGACATTTCATCCATCGACCGATTCACCGTGCTACCAGTCATATCCCAAGATTCCAAGGTTGGGTATTACACGTAGTACTACAAAGAAACAGTGTAGATCTTGACTTGAGAAGATGAATATCTCCATAGTTGATTGGGAAGAGTATCAGTAGAACCCAACGTTAACGCGAAGGAGTTCATACTACATAAGGAACACTATGTACTTCTAACGCAACTCACATCCATCCACTGGTCGTGAACAGGATGGACACAAAGACACAACCGGAATCAAAGCCCGGAACCAATAACGAAGCTCTCAGTGGAATCAATGAAGATGACCGAGAGCACAACCACGCTAGCAGCCAAAGCAAGGAAGCATGCAAGTCAGTGCAGTGCAGCAAAGACGACCGACACTCCATGTTTCCAGTTGCAAAGCAAATCTGATCGTGATTGCGGTTGCCAGAGCAGACCCAAAAAAAACACCGGATATTAAGAAAAAAGTAAAAAAAAAAGTAAAACTTGCGAGTCCGGGTTATGGTTGAAGCCCGAGACTCGATGCGAAGAGAATGCAAGAGAGGAGGTTGTAAAACCGAGACGACACGCCTGGAGCAGTTCGGTGATTATCGCAGTGTAATTCCGGAAAATGAACACTGCATTTCAGGGCCGTCTCGATGAAAACCACGGATTGAAACGCCTTGGGACTCCAACGTATCAGAAATCAATAAAAAACGCCATTAATCCACATCAACGTGATCATGTTGCAAAGCAATTCCCAGAGGAACTGCTCATTCTTTTCTTGGTGAATCGTGACAAAATCGGGGAAGCACGTCAAGAGCGGTCCGGACCAGCCTTGACGACCTTATTATGGTGTAAACATGTGTTTCAGGAAAAACAGAAAAGCAAAAAAAAACGCCGATCATGACGAGAGCTTTACATCGAGCCCAAACGGAGAAGCGCCTCTACCGCAGCCCGTTCCTGATTGTCAAAGGTGCGGGGCGCCGATTTGGCTACAGTGGGTCCGTTGCCGACACCAAACAAAGGCTGAGCGCGAGCCGCAACGTTGCTACTGCGCATAATACCACCGGTGTTGTTGAGTGAGCGCGCGCGCAGGGCATCGGCACCGATCTGCGCCCAGTCTTCTTCGTCGGTCACGTCGCCTTCGTCCCACTCGTCGTCCTGGAGGTCGTCCGGCGCCTCGGAGGAAGAGCAGTACTCGCGGTCGTCGTCGCCGTCGAGCGACATCTTATCGGCCTCGTGTTCGAGCATGTCCAGGTCCTCGTGAGCGCCGAATTCCTCAGCGGTGTACGAGAAAGCGATCGAGTCGCGCACGCTGCTCGCGTACGGATCGCGACCCCTGGCCCAACCCGAGTGGCCGTCGATCTGCAGACCGCGCTGCTGGAAGGAGCCCGTCAGGCTAGAGGGAGGCGACGACGCGTTGAATGAGTGCTCGCGCGCCGAGTCTCCGTGTCGTCGCGCATCCCATCGTCCCCAGCCGATCTTCTCGAAAACCACGTCGCCGTCCACACCTCCTGCTCCTCCGTTCCCTCGGCCCTCCAGCGCGGCCACGACGAGCCGACGCGCCTTAGCGGGTGGGATGCGCGAGAAGCCCGGCACCGAGGTCGTCAGGAAGCCCATGACGTGGCGGATAGCCAGCGGGCCCTGCTGAAGAAGGATATCAGGCAGGTGGTGCTTTGCTAGCATGGCAGGAGTGATAGCGCCGGCGCTGTCGCTGTCAAGCTCAAGCGCGTGCGCGGAGGACTGAGGCTGGTTCAGGCTGTGTGCGTCGACATCGTCCGCCAGGTCGATATCGGAGTCCAGCTGCGGCACCGTGGACAGCGGCGAGCCGGGCGACAGGATCTGACGCTGTTTGAAGGCTTGAGGCGGGAGAGTAGGCGAAATGGAGTTGGGTGGCGTCGGCAGCATGGCAGGTTGGCCAGGACGACCAGCGGGCTTGCCGGCGTTCATACGGGGCTGAGGGATATCGACAGAGGCGGTCTTGCCAGCAAGTGCCAGTGCGATGCTGGAGTTGGTTTGAGAAGCCATGATGGAAGAGTGAAGAAGTTCCCAGATGTCTGGTGCGCGCAAAGCATATGATATATGAGTCAGACGGGCGTTCCATACAATGCGACGCAGCCGCGCCACGCGATTGGGGGAGAGATCGGTGGCGACACCGGCTGCGTTCAGGGCGGCAACAAAGGACAAGTGACACTCACCTCTTTTAAAAACAAAGAGACAAAGGACGTGGAAGTGGAAGGGGAAGTGTTGGATGTGATGTGAGAGTAGGGGAGTTACGCGGTGGAGTCCACGTATAGTTGGATTGCGACGCGGCAAGGGGGAACGCGACTAGAAGACCGATCGGCGATATGTCTTGCTAGGGGTGTTTGGGGAGGAGAAAGCAGAGAGTAGATAGTCGATAGTAGAAGTAGAAGTAGAAAGAAAGTAGCAGGTCGAGGATCAAGGAATATTAAGAGGGGCAATTGTGCGACGGGGTATAAGATGGGACTATACTCAGCCTTGGAAGGGGAAAGTATGGAACTCCGCAGGCGCAGTCCAGCAGGTGCGCGTGGGCGGGTTGATTGGCGCCTCGTGGATCGCCGGGTCCTTCCGGCCTTAACTCTCGACGGTCATCATGGCTTCATCCTATACTGTCCAAGAGTAGTTGCCTACACGCCCTACGCGCTCTAACACCCCACACCCCCTTCTATACCGACTCTATGATCCCTGAAGTGATCCCCAGGGGATCCCGGTTTCCTTCCTAGCACACTAGTGAGATAGTAGTTCCGACTTCCCCTCAAAAGAACCAGAACCAGGGGCCCCGTGCTGAGAGTCCGAGATCGCTGGCCCCTCCTTATCGGCCACTCAGGACGAATGCGGGTGCTCGTGCCCTGCAACCTGCAAGCGTTGTCCGCAGGGCCCAACCCTAAGGTCGTGGACCGTAGTAGCAAGTACATTGGATGTATTCGGTACATTCATCGCATTCCCGAGCACTGATAAGCCACTCCTCCGGGCACGTGGTGCACCGACCCGATGAAAATCACTTTCCCCAACCTTCAAACTTTGCAGTCTTACGTTGATGTGACACTTTCGCACGGTTATGATGTTCACGATATGCCCCTCCGTGCCCCTCTAATGCCCCCATCGCCGGCACTCCAGCGGGTCCTCCCGTGGGAATCTGGACTCGATGCGGGCGCGCATTGACGTCACCCGTGTGTATCGGGTACGGCCACTTGGCATTCTCTTTGCGGCAATTGCTGTACACCCCCAGTGAGCACGGAGGCTGACGCGTATCTACTGCTGAGTATTCGTGACTAAGTGGTGCCTGAAAATAGTGTCTTTTTCTGCATTGACCTCTCCAGTCACTTGTGGGAATGATATGCTGCATTTTCGAACTGGTGTTTATCCCTCATTGGTTGCCCCGTGGACCGAGGCCTCCGAGGGAATGCCGTGCGATAGCAGGTTTGGTCCACTGCCTGGGATTAGTACACTATATCCGTATACCCCTCCTACTCCATCCTGGCAATGGGGGTACAATGTTTGGCCTAGATATCAACATTGGGAATTAGCATGACGCGATTATCCGAGCGATAACCCCGCTGCGGGGGGTAAGGGTTTACCTGATATCGGGTATAGAAACCCATCATGCCCCATGCCGAGGTGTTTATCTTGACTATGAGGCTTTATTACGGCGAGTGGACATTTCATCTCATCGATGCCCGAATGTGGATGACCATTCTACGTGCTTTGACTCGTGATTCCAATTGAACGGCTCCAATGCCACGAGGCCACTACAACATAGATCTACATGGAACTGGTTTTGTACTGTAGTTGGAACAGGGCACATGAGATTCCATTCCTATACATCGTCAGTGGCTGAAGTTACCTTTCCCTGATTTTCGAGCATCCAGCTTGTCCAAAGCCTCCTGCCTTCCCACTCGTTTCAGCCACACCCTCAAATCAAATGTACCTTCACTCAAGTCTGTGGGATTCCCATCAAACACGAAAACGTGCCCCGCCTGTTGTGTGGGGAACCTTCCATCCGAATAGCGGATATCGCGGGCCACCGGTGTATAATTCCGGGTTTCATAGTCGGCCAGTTTCTGCGCATCCACCACCGTCTGTACATTATACACAGCACCTTCCACCACGCTGTCTGGGGACTCCACCAGGGCCGGGTACTGACCCCACAGCTTGCTTGCAAACCCCTCCAGGTACGCGGGCCGAAGCTCCGGTTCCGTATCCAGTCCCAGGATTTCGACGAGGATGCACGGGTCCAGAAGTGAACCGTAAAAGAAGTAGGGCCCCGTTGGAGCCGGACCACGGGCTTTTGGCGTCTGTGTGAAAAAATGCTGGGAGAGAGGGGTACTCCGTAACTTCACCTCGGTGCGCCGGTATTGCGGCGGAGGTGGTGGTGGTGGGGGTGGTACAGGTATCGACTTGCTGTCTGATGTAGAAGACATCATTGGTAACATGGATTAAGGTTATGGGTATTTAAATGGTGTCCTTCTGGGTGGGTAAAGTGCTTCTAATTGAGGCTGTTGGGTTATGGCGGGGAAACGCCTGTGTCAGGTACCTGGCGCACTGTTCATCTCGTTGCCTCGTCAGCGAGCGCGATTTGACGACAAAAAATATCTGGAAAGACACTATCAAGTTGATGATGAAACCTCCAGTGCAGAAACTAGATGTAACTGTGGCCGAATGTACTTTCTTCACTCAAGAACAGTGAGAGTTATATCCAAAGGTAAGCTCAGCGACCTTGGGATAATGGCCTTGGGGGCCTCATGCATCATATTAACCGTTCACATTGCTTCGTTTTTGAAAAAGACTACTCAAGAGTCAACTTCCCTTCGACCGTAGTATATTCGCGAATCAATGTCCAGGGTCTTGCTTTCCATCATACCGGATGAATGGAATCGCTGGCTGATCGTAGGTGGAAGCTATTTTCCCGGCGCGGGGTTCACAGTAGATGGCTAAATGATCAAGTAGTGCGTTTGCCAGGCACGTCTCATAAATGAGACAAAAGACATGGAAGGCATGGTGAAGCCCGTATCTTTTGTTGAAGGGCCTCAGAATGTTCACCAGGACCCTCGGCGTTGTTGTCTTAGCGGCCACGGTGAGTGCCGTGGTGAGCCCAGCAACATTGAACTCTGACCTTTTAATACTCATTCATAATGACTTACAAGGTGAGAAAAGGGAATGTTCCCCACTATTAATGCCACAAACTAAAGCCAGACCACACAGAGAGTTCAAGTCCCTGGTCTAAATCAGGTATAATACTTCTGGATGCAATGCCCCTGCTGAAAGCCACCGAAGCCTGCCAAAGTCTCGGCGAGAGTCTGTGGGCAGATCAGTCTGGATCCCTGACCAATCAACCTGACTTGGAGTATCTCGTCTTCCAGCAAAAATTCAGTCGCAGGCAGCAGTATTGGATTGCTCCTAACCACGGTGTGCCGTCTACTATCGATGCAACTGGCAAGATCAGGCATTCCTCCCCAAGCAAGCACCTACCAGTGCTCTGCACACAAAGTGCACCCTACTCTACTGCCGATACTCAAGACACAAACTCGACATGGCAAGTCACTATCCAGTCAAACAATGAGCACATCACTGGGTAAGTCGATTCGCCATTCGTCTTGCGCCTTTGTACTAACGAGACAGATTTCGAGATCGGCTCAGCTTCCGCTTTCTTGGAATCCGATATGCTCAACCGGCAAAAAGATGGACCTATTCGCAAGTGCATGAAGGAGCAGGTAACAAAGCGTCGGCTCTAGACTACGGCTCGTCGTGCGCTCAAGGTTCAAGTGGCTCGGAAGACTGCTTCTTTCTCAACGTCTGGACACCGTATCTACCGAATCCCGAATCAAGTCGGAAACACTTGAAGCCAGTGATGTTTTGGATCCACGGTGGCGCTTTCACCAGCGGGATGGGCAGCGATCCCACATTCGATGGAGGTAACTTAGCCTCAAGAGGCGATGTAGTGGTCGTCACCATCAATTATCGTTTGGGAACACTGGGTTTCCTGGCTCTCGAGGACGGGGAGACAAATGGAAACTACGGGCTGGCAGACCAAATCTCTGCCCTGGAATGGGTTCGCCGAAACATTCAGGACTTTGGAGGAGACCCTGATCGCATTACTATCTTTGGGCAATCAGCCGGTGCTGGATCCGTGCGAGCTCTACTTGCGTCTCCTAAGTCTCGAGGGGAATTTGCTGGTGCAATAATGGAAAGCAACCTAGGAGGCCTTGCCTATGGAACGACGTACTCAAAGTACTACAGTATCTCGCAAGAAGTGGAAGTGGTAGGCAATGCAATTGTGGAGGAGGCAAATTGCACAAATGCTAGCTCACAAATCGAGTGTCTCCGCTCTCTTCCTGCGATGACTATCACTGGCCTTAGCGACACGGCACGCTATCTCGTGGTGGACGGAGAGTATCTTCAGACCTCCGAGTTGGATTTGATTAGCCCGGCATCTACCGCCCATGTCCCTTTAATGATTGGTACCATGCGGGATGATGGAGCGGCCATTATTGGATATCCTTCAGAGGGTGAAACTATTCAGACATTCATGAACGAGTCCGGCCTTCCAGCATCGATAGCCCCGAGCCAACTATTCCCAGAACCTTCAGGAGCCAACCACACACTCGACATCTTCAATACAACGGCCCGAGTCGCTACCGATGGCATGTTCCGCTGCATTGACCAGGCAACCGCATACGCCGGGATCAACAACCGGATTTTCCCAGACATATTCTTCTACGAGTTCAACCGCTCGTACCAATTGGTGAACTGGTCGCCGAATCCTCCGCTCTGCAACGCACCCATAACGCCCGACTTTCCGAACGGTGATCCGAGCCTGGAGTACTTCAAATGCCATTCCGGTGAACTGTACTATGTCTTCGGCAATATCATCCGTCAGGGCCTTCCGTTCCGAGATGAGTTTGACCTGCCATTTGAGCAGTATGTGCTCGATTCCTGGGCCAGCTTCGCTCGGACGGCCAACCCAACACCAAACTTGGAATATTTGAAGGCGAGGAATTATATCAATACAACTCGACAGGTTGAGTTGATGGGGCCATGGACACCCTTTAAATGTGGTGACTATCGGCTTCAACGATTGCAGTGGCCTTCGGCGATGGTTGACCTGGATGAGGTGGAGCAGTGTCGTGCTCTGGACTTGCCGCTTAGCTACTATGATTTCTAGCTGCAACAGACGTTGGGATCGTAGGATATGGCAATGAACTCACTGTCATAATGAGGCAGTAAATTATAGTAGAGATAATCGCCCAAGTCCATGGCTCGTCGAAAGTTCTCTCCACAGCTTCATCTCCCATCTCCGTTCCGAATTATTTCGAGGTTTCTTTATTATTCCTTGATTTACCACTTCGCTTGCCGTTATCTTTGGTGGTAAATTCGTCCTTTTTTGTACCCTGCGAAAGTGTTCAGTTTTGACTACCCAAATATTTACGAGTTGAATCGGGGGCCGAAGTTGTTCGTGATCTCCCCTCAAATCCATGCCCATGTATCTCGTCTTCAAATAGTTTACTGACTGGATTTACGCCATTTCATGCAAGTGAGTCCTTGCATCTTGAATTCCTGGCTCAAGCCAAAAACGTATCGAAGTGTGTGCACAGTGGCATATAGATCTGTATTACGTGTCACGTGACCGTCATTTCCGATCTTATCGCTTCCGAAAGGCCTAGCCGGTCCGGACTGGGCCTCTTTCGGATCAGCATTGCGGGGTCTTAGTTCCAGCATTTACCATAGAGAAAGTCCATATCCGCTTGACATGAGCCGACGGCCGAAGAGCGGCCTTCCACCCGACGGAGAGTCCGGTCTGCCCCCGACGTATTATATAGGCTAACGGGAATCCATCTAATTGTTCTCTCTCTTTTATCTCGGTTCTTGGAGAGTTCCCGTGGCTGCCGACCAAGCCCGTCAACCAACAAACCTTACCTACGCAGCAAGTTCACTGGCAACGACCCGTCTAATACCAAATCCTTTTTTTTCTGCGGAAACGCGCAAAATCTTGCGGCTGCACATACCTGGACGCACGCCTCAATTCAACTACATCAAGAAAAGAGTAGAAAAGAAGACATCATGGCAAGCAACGAGGAAGCCAGTGGTACACGCTACTCACCGGTCCTTGAGACCAGTCGCATTTTCTCCGATCTCTGCGAACAATCGGAACGCCTCAACCTGCCGTCCGAGGTTCTGGCCAACAAAGACCGGGTATCCTTTTCCACCAGCCATAATGAAATTTACTTCCCGATCCCCTTCAAAGAGACCGAGACTTTGGCAGCGCTGAAGGGTATAGAGGGCTCTGTGGCTGCTGCCATTGCGGATCTGCGTTTCGGACAGAATGCGCAGCCGCGCGGCGTGCAGGTCAGCCTGGAGGGCGCGACGGCTTTTGGATGCCAGGCCTACATAGCAAAGCTGGATGGGCTGTCAAAACTGGATCCCAACGTCAAGTCTAGATTGAAGAGTATGTGGAGTCCATATGTCGTTTCAGCGGGAGGTGCTAAAACTTTGGATAGATACGGATCTGTTGGCTGCTCAATCGAATGGATACCGACGCATGTCGGCCAACTTGTACAAGACAAAGAACCCTGGCGAGTTCTACCACATCCACGGCTCTCTGGAAGCCACGACAACGTTGAATATGATTGGCTTGGAGGGCCACCGCCCTGATTTGACGGATTACGAGGAGATCATCAAGGTCATTGAGGGTCAGGTGCAGAAGTACTCCGTTTCCGAGCTGGAAGAAATGAACAAGGAGAGACGCCAAGCTGGTGTCCCAGCACTGAAGCACGAAGAATTTATCAAAACTCCTCACGTAAGTTTATATTACCCCCACGCGATAGCAACAAATCACTCACGTATACTCTAGGGCAAACTCAATGTGCAAGAACCTCCATGGAAAGTCACTCAACTCCCAGGCAACCTGCCCCCAACCCCATTCCCATCAATCCGCAACGGCAGCAAGAAGATCCTCGAAGGTGTCAAGGTCCTTGAGATGTGCCGCATCATCGCAGGCCCCACCGTCACCCGCATCCTGGCCGAGTACGGCGCCGACGTGCTGAAGATCACCAGCCCGAACCTATCAGACGTGCCCTTCTTCCAGGTCGACGGCAACATGGGAAAACACGCCGCAGACCTCGACTTGAAGACTGAGGCCGGACGAGCTGAGTTCGAGAAGCTGCTGGCCGACGCGGACGTCATCGTGGATGGATATCGTCCTGGAGCATTGGAGAAGCTCGGATACGGCCCGCAGGCCATGGCTGCTCTGGCCGAGAAGCGCGGAAAGGGCATTGTCTACGTGAACGAGAATTGTTTCGGCTACGAGGGTGAATGGGCCGGCCGTGCTGGCTGGCAGCAGATTGCAGACTGCGTAAGTTAACCCCGACCTACAACTCCTCGAACCGAGGCGTTCCATTGCTAACATGGGAAACCAGGTAACTGGCATCGCTTGGGCCCAAGGTCAATTCATGGGCCTCTCTACCCCAGTCGTACCCCCATTCCCAATCTCCGACTACGGCACAGGCTGCATGGGCGCCATCGCCGCACTCTCTGGCCTCTACCACCGAGCCAAGACCGGTGGCTCATACCATGGCAAGGCATCGTTGATGCACTATGATCTGCTTCTCTTCGCCGTGGGTCAGTACTCCGCCGAGGTGCAGGAACAACTGCGTGCTTCACAGCCGCCCGAGTTCTTCAAGCTGCGGCACTGCGACAGCGTCGACCGGATCGGGTCGACGGTGCTCAAGGGCATGAAGGAGCGGTTCCCGCATCTGTATGCGTCTGCTGGTGAGGGGCCTGAGGGTCGTAAGCCGTTGGTGGAGAAGTGGTTCTCGCGTGCTTATAATGCGGATATTGAGGTTGTAAGCCCGGTTGCTGCTGTTGAGGGTGTGGAGAATCGGTTCGTCAGGGCCAGTCGGCCCAATGGCGCAGATCGGGCTTCCTGGGAGGATTTCAAGGTTGACGGAGAGGGCAAGGGTGATGTGAAGAAATGTTGATTGTCTTGTCAGTATGCGGAACTTTTGCATTGTACATCGTTAGCATCTTCCGGGAGGTTTGGAAACACATAGTCAACGAGTTCATGAAACACGAGCATAAACGTAGCTCAGACAGAGTCCGCCTTAAGAGTCAATTTGCCGAAGATACCTCGGCAAGCTTCATCATATCATGATCTCGATGACATCTTTGGAAGAGTCGGCATCTGCATCCGTCGGAAGCCGCGGACATGATTGTTCTCCGATTTGGAGAATCAATCGGAGACAGCACTTCAACGTCCTAATGCTGATCAAAGACACCATAGAGAAATATAGAGTATACATGAAAAGACCAGCCAAAATCAAGGACGGAGCATTGAATCAGATGCCCCCACGAATTTCCAGTTCGATAAGATCGGATGCGGCCCAAACCCATCGGACCGACGGTTCCCCTCAAATGATGAAATAGACGTTGATCGCAGATCAACAATTCTCCAATTCTTAATCTACTACTTACAACCTCTCATTCAATCATTCCTGCAGACATTTGCAAGCACACAATGTCCTACAAAATTGCCTACGACGCAGCCCGCGCGCCACCCCACGGCACCGCCATCGTCGAGTTTATGGAGGATTTCTACCGCACCAGCGACACCGAGTCCCTGCACGAGAAATACGTCCAGAGCTTCACCGATGATGCGACGCTGATCATGGGGCCTAAGGAGGCTAAGGGTTCCAGTGGTATGTTCTGCTTTTCAAATATGTGCTAGGCATAGCTCGTCTACCCGCTGCTATCTTCACCGTGCTAGAACTCTCCCGACATGATGCTTATGACTTATGCAGAGATCCTCCCCCTCCGCCACGGCCTCTGGGCACACGTCGCATCGCGGAAACACTCTCCGCAGCGCATCTTTTTCAGCGGCGACAACGAGATCATGCTCTACGGCGGCGTTAATTACCGGCTCAAGGCGGATCCGGAGAGGGATGTTTATGTGCCTTGGGCTGGCCGGGCGGTGTTTGCGCCGGCGAAGGAGGGGGAAGCTGTGAAGATGGAGTTCTATCAGGTCTATCTGGTACGTATTCTTTTTAACTTTGGGGTCTGAGTTGGGTGGATGAGAGGGTTGTGCTAACTTGATGTAGGATCCTTCGGCGCAGTCGGGTAAGAAATAAACGTGAGATCTAGGTATATATGTAGGTCAATGAAGGTCAACTGGTTGGGTGTACATAGACTTGAATGCATACAAAATGACCGCCGTGAGGTTACATTCCGCGACTTGACACAGAGCTGATTCGCTCAATTGCAATGAGTCACCGCTAACGAACTCGAAGTCCTTCTATAAATTCACATGAATCAGCCAAAATATACAAAAAAAGTCCCTCTTGTTTGTTGGTAGTGGAAGTTCTCGCTTATTAAAAATAAAGTATTGAAATTCTCATGCCATAATGTCCTCTCTATCTGATCCGACCTTTTCTACTTACGATCAACACAAAGCTCAGCGATATGCCGAGTCTCGTCTATCCTACTCAGCCCGACTTTACAACACCATCATCGACTACCATATCAAGTCCCACGGCCAGACGATCACCTTAGTGGATGTCGGCTGTGGGCCGGGCAATGCTACTCGTGATTTGGCTAGACGGTTCGATCATGCTGTCGGTCTAGATCCGAGCGTGGAAATGATCAACAGGGCCATTCAGCTCGGTGGCCGTACAAAGAGTGACCGGCAGCTAAGATATGTGGTGTCTACTGCTGATGAAATATCACATGGCATCACGGAGGCATTGCCGGTCGTCAAGGATTTTGGAGGCGTGGATTTGTTGACCGCGGCGATGGCAGTGAGTGTTGACCAGCACGTACCACTTCCTGATTGAATGGTGCTTTACTGAACTCTTCTGACGAGATTGAAAGGCTCATTGGTTCGACATGCCTAAGTTCTGGGCGGAAGCTTCCCGGGTAATGAGGTCTGGAGGAACCGTGGCCTTGTGGACTTGTTCATCATTATATTGTCGTAAATACACCCCAAGTATATTCTATCCGAGTCGGAAGCCAACTGACATTCAAATTCAGACCCGTCAACTGTCAATGCAGATGCCGTCCAAAGAGCTCTTTTTGAACTCGAGCGCGAGATCCTATCACCATACGAGCTACCCCCAAATCGGCTGTCTCGAGACCTGTATGAAAATTTAACACTTCCCTGGGACCTGCACGAAGATTTGGCCTGCAATTTTCCCGTTTCGGAGTTCCAGCGCTTCGAGTGGGATCGAGATGGCATTCTCACGGATGGCGACCAATTCTTCAACTTCTCCAATGAGACGACCCTGGATGAACTGGAAAAGGGGCTAGGGACAGCGAGCATGGTTACTCGATGGAGGGAGGCTCATCTAGACCTAGCGGAAACAGAAAATGACTGCGTCAAACAGACCATGGCGAAAGTTCGCTCGGCATTGGGAGTGGGAGGTACGGAGAATCCGATGATAACGGTTGGAAGTGCAACTGTGATCTTGCTTTTCAAACGAAAATGAGTAGAATACGATGGTTTGATAGAGATACATGCATGGCGTTATACATGGCTGGTGTTACCGTTGTAGCATCAAAATGATCGACATCTCTCGAGGTCATCAGGGTATACAAACAACCTTGAAAACATTTCTACACGACCCTCATCCAAAGTCTACGAGCCTCGCTGTTGCTCAGCTATAAACTACAACAGAGTGAACGGTTTTAACGTGTTTAGTCAGACATGCTCTTTATTTCCAGGAGACCGCGAGAGAAAACAGGAACAAAGACGCCGTGGGGTTGGTCGGGTCAAAGAGGAGATCAAAATGTTAAGGAAATAAGAAACATCCCCCGGATTCCAGCAAACCCAGACTCAGAACAAGGGGAAAGCTGGGATGCCTGTCTCGTCCTCTTTCTCTCGCTCTTGATCTCGGGAATGCCTCTCATGCACACTTCCGCGTCTCTCCGCTAGCCCCGTCTGGTCGTCAGGATAAAGGGAAAAATAATAAGATGAACAAACGTAAAAAATCGCCGGGACCGAGCTCCGATTTTTTTTTTAGGTATCAATCATTCCACTTGCCCAGCATCTCTCGAAACCGAGCAAACCAAAACGACCTTCGAATTTTGCCCTAGGCGATACATTTACTCGTCATCCGACTCCTCCTCCTCGTCGACGGTGGTCTTGGCGATACGGTCCAAGTCACGCTGGCCGCTCTGGGTAATACGGCGGCCACCCTTGTCCTCATCGGTCTCGAGGACACCGATCTTCTCAAGGGCCTGCATGGCCTTGCGGTCGACGGAGCCGGAGGCGTCAACGTGGTGGGCGGGGCGGGCACCACGGTTCTTGGTCGAACCGTGGACCTTGCGGAGGCGGCCAACACCGACGGTCTTGCGCATGTAAACGTGGCGGGCGACGGCGGCAGCGCGGACGTAGAACCTTGAAAAAAAATGTCAACTTTGCTTGAAAACCGAGATTCAAATTTCAAGGCGTTCGTACCAGTCCTGGTCCTGGGGAGGGAGCTCGTTGGAGGCGGAGGTCTTGACGGTGTCGACCCAGCCGGGGATGGGGAGCTTGCCCTGACGCTTCAGGAAAGCAGAGTAGGCAGCAATGAACTTCTGCGCCTGTAGAAAAGAAGAAGATCTTGTTAGCGTTGTGGTTCGAGAAGAAATTGCAAGGTCCGGTAGTGCGCAAATTTGCAGATTGTGTCGGGTTCGTTTCTGAGGCAGTTCCATCATTCGTCGCAGAGCAGCGTTCTGGTAATATGGCATTTGAATTCAGTGCTTCATCACAGGGCCCCGAATGACAGACAAATGTCCATCAAATTCGGACCAAGCAGATCACACATGCTCCCCTCGTCAATCCTCCCAGAGACCAGTATCACTCTTGCAACCCGAATTCCCAGAGCGTGTCACTGCTCCACTGCCAGGAGCACTGCAGAAGTGTATCTGCTGATGCAAAGCCCAGAAACGAACCCATTCACGATATCCACATGAAGCCACACACCGCGACCAGGCGGCCTGGCTCAGCCGGCGAGAATCGAAGGACACTTACGTCCACATCGCGAACGGTAACACCACCCATATTGGCGACTGAGGGCTCGAAGAGGGCGTAGGGGATGAGAGAGTCGGAAGTCGGAGTGGAGGGTCGAAGTCGAAGTCCAAAATTTCGAGACACACAAACTCGCCCCGTTTGGTTGCGTTGGGCCTGTGTGTGGTTCGCTTAGCCTGTTCGGGTTAGCCGTACCCTAAGGGTGCCTGAGGCATGATCACGTGAGAAACACTGGCTGTGGTTAGTGGCCTGACATTTTAGGGTATTAAGGCACCAAGGCATAAATCTCCCTTTTCTCACACCGTAGTTCTCTCCTATGGTAATTTCCCAGGGCTTTCTATATGTTTTTAATATTCTGGCTTCCTCCGAAACTCTTGACTCTTCATCAGGCGCACATTAACCTAGCAAAATGGTAAAAGTGGTAGAATGAGCTGAACAGACCGAGAGAATTGAATCACATTCTGATTACTTCAAGCGGATAATAATGAAGCAGCTCAAAATAACAATGCAAATTGAGATATCTATGGGTATTTATACCTTCCTTGATATGAAGATTGGTTATTCTCGAGCTTGTGTCAAACATTTTAATTAGATCAAAGTACCCCGAAACAATCACTTGCTATATTTTCCAATTTTCCTTTCGTGACCGAAGCCAAATCAGTCTTAAGAACCCATGGATCTGAACAAATGAGAGGGACTCGGGCAAAGATAACCAAAGAGGAGGGCTATATGACAAAAGTTTCAACCTTGCAAGTTAAAAAGATCATTCCAAGTTTCATATGAGGACGACAGTCCTGGTAACATTCGTGATAATTCAGGATCCTATTAACACATATCTATCGCTGAAAGTAAAATCAAGTATTCGTTTCTCATGACCCGAAAAATAATAATAACCCCATGGTCAGATGCCTCAAACCCCTTCATTCTAGCCAAAAACGCCAGTAAAAAAAAACCTAAAAAAGAATTACAGAGTGGGTGCTCTCTTCAACCCGACGCAATAGCGCACAAAGAGTGTATCGATGAAGTGCTCATGTCGGATGCCGGGTGCTCGGCACCGGTTGAATTCGTCAATGGCATCTTGAACACCGAAACCCCGTCGCTCGATCAGGTAGCAAACGATGAGGAACCCGGTGCGGTTGTAGCCATAGTGGCAGTGGACGCCGACCAGCGGACGCGGCTGCGAGGGGTCCTCGCGCTTCTCCATCTTCTCATCGATCTCACCCTGGAGACGGTCGACCAGATCGATGAAGTCGCGGGTCTCATCTGGTGTCGGGGGAATCTTGGATACCGTTGGGTGCTTGCAGTAGCGAATGCCTCCGGCTTCCATCGTGGCTGGGTTATACACCGGGCTTTCGTGACTGATATCGATGACGGCGTAGATACGATCACGGTACTTCTGTGAGAAGAGCACCGGGTTGTGCAGTTCGTCCACCTCGCGCAGCATCTTGAGCGCGGCAAAGGTGTTGGCAATCGGCTCTGAAACAGGGGCGACCTTCTGCCACTTGGCAAGGTTCTTCACGTCCCATTTGCCAGAGGTGTTTATGTATTGCAATTGCCAGCCCAGGGCCAATCGCTTGTCAATGTGATGCGAGAGGAAATCTTGAATGATTCCAGCAAGGGTACGGTAGGTCGCCCGGTCGTAGAGAAGAGCATGAGATGCAGGTGCCGGCAGGATGGCTGACTTGACCAGTCGCTTCCGCTCCTTGCCAAGTAGATTGGCCTCATTGATCTGCTTCTCTTCTTTGCTGGGCTTGATGCCGTATTTCTCCTCATGGGCCAACATGTTGGATGGCGTTGTCACCTGATCATGGACTCGCGAGGCATCAGGGACGATGCTGCTGCCATCGGTATCGATGGTAGTAGCAATCGAAGAGTCACCGAAGAACTTCAACAGCTTTTGGATTTCCACCGGTTTCGTGACTGCGTCTGCCTCACCTGCTACCAACAAGATCGGCATATGGATACCAGCCCAGACGTTCTCACCGGGCATACCACCAACAGGGTCAGTTCCATTTTTGTAGGTCGGAAGCGTACCCCATGCCATGCGACGCCAAACCGGAGTCTGACTCTGTTTGTTGAAGCGAACCTGAAGGTCTCGAGTCTCGGCATCAGCATTGCTGCCAACCATTCTCATCACACTGGCGCTCTCGATGCCGCCGCGTCGGTCCCATAGACGCCACAAGTCGAAGATCGGACCAGGTATGTGGAGCAGTCTGCGGAAGGTCGTAACCTCATCTGCAGACGGCGGAGTAGATCGCGGACATATCGCGATCAGCCCGCGAATATATTGTTTCAGGCTCTTTCCAATCGGCGAGGTCGAGGAGGCGAGCAGAGCAGACAGAGAGCATCCCAAGCTGTGACCAACCAAGATCACTTCTTGCCCATTCTCCCGATCTCGGTGTCGCTCAATGGCAACAGCCAGGAGTTCAGCCAGCGCCTCCACAGTGTATGCGTCCCAATCGGTCGGTGCAAATTTGGACAAGCCGCAACCTGGGAGATCGATCCCGAAGCAAGATCCAATATTGGAAAGACTTTTGAGCAAGTGGTGGAATTGTGCAAGCGATCCCCCTAAGCCGTGCACGACGACCAGTAGTGGGAGGGGGGTTGGTTTGGTCGGAAGGCGGCTCTGGTTTGGGTGTGGACAGAAGAAAGTTCGAATCGCCGGATAAGTTGCCACGGAGGTGGTGTACAAGTCATAAGAGGTGAACTTTTTCAGCAAACCTGGATCGGTTTTGAATGCTGAAAGCTGGTTAGTGTATTGCTCGCCGCGCGGTGGAGGGTAAATTTCTTACCGTCTGTACCTTGCTGGTGGTGCGCCGACCACTCCGGGGGCTTTTGCTGAGGGTCGGTGCCGTGTCGCAGAGAGCCGTTGCTATCGTAGTCATCGTCTTCGTAGTCGTCGTCCGATGAGGATGTGAGGGTTTTGGTGGAGGATTTGCTAGATGTCTTGCGAATGGAGAAACGCGATGACCGAGTCTTCTCGGAATTCTCGGAAGAACGTCTGCGCCTGATGAGGCGAGAAAGAAGGCCACAGCCAGCCATTGCGATCACGAGAGTTGTCAAAAACACAATCTGACCGCGGTTCACAGAATCATTGCGATAGAAGGAGTGCAGGTAGTTTGCGACGTCTCGTAAAGTCGACCGTTGGACGGTCAGACGCGCCTCGTTGCAGAGCTGCCAGACCGCCGCAAGACCGGAACGGTCAAAGGATTGGGATGACAGGGTACGGTGGAGTGTAGCAAACAAATCGGGGGAGCCATCCTGTCCCATGGTCGGAGGGAGGTGTTTAAGTACCCTGAGCGAGGCTCAAGGTCTTCTCCGTTCCCTCCGGGACCTAGACTTCCGTCAGGGAACTCGTCAAGGACCACGCAAGGGCGTCAAGGACTCTGTTTGGATGAGATTAGACCGCAGAAAGGGCGCGACGCCAATGAGAGGTGTACGATCGACAACGTTGGGGGAAAGATGAGGGTGAAGGAATGGAAAATGGGAAAAAGCAATAGACTCGGCCAGTCAGAATCTCGGGAGGCTCAGCGTGGGGGAACAACGTGACTCACGGGTGGATCCACCTGGCTGCGCATGACGCACTTCTTGTACTTATTTACTTCGTGGTTGCTTCTTTGCTCCTTCTATCGGGTTACTATTTTTGTGCCTTTTGTATATACGGTAGTAAGGGGTAACGTTCTAAAACAGATCCGTCATCGCTCCATGCGATGCATCACCCACCAGCCGCGCGTACTTGGCCAACACACCTCTGGTGATCTGGGGCGTCGGCGGCCTCCATTGGCGTCGTCGCTCCTGGAGCTCCTCATCCGACACATCCATCGACAATTCGTTAGTTTCCGCGCTGATGGTGATCATGTCTCCGTCGCGGACCAGACCAATGGGCCCCCCCACCGCCGCCTCAGGGGTGATGTGACCCACAATGAATCCGTGACTGGCCCCGGAGTAGCGGCCATCCGTTATCAGGGCAATGTTGTTCAACTTAGCACCCATCAGCGCGGCGCTAGCCTTGAGCTGTTCCGGCATGCCGGGCCCACCCTTTGGACCTTCGTACCGTACGATCAGGACCAGATTCTCCCCACGTGGGATCCGGCCCTCAGTCAGCGCGTCGTTGAGTTGGGTCTCCTTTTCGAAACAGCGGGCCTTGCCGGTGAATCGGAGGCCTTCCTTGCCGGTGATCTTGGCGACTGCGCCGCCAGGAGCGAGATTGCCACGCAGGATCTGTATATGACCCGTCTCCTTGATCGGGTTATCCAATGAGCGAATCAGGTCCTGATCCTGCGGCAGCGAAGGGTGCGTTGCCACATTTTCCGCCAAAGTCTTGCCCGTCACCGTCGGGATGTCACCGTCGAGCAGGCCGGCGGCGATCAAGAGCTTCTGAACGGACGGGATACCTCCAATCTCGTAGAGATCGGCCATGTAGTACTTGCCGCTGGGAGACAGGTTTGCAATGAAGGGGATCTTGTTGCTAACCCGTTGGAAGTCATCGAGTGTCAAGTCTACACCCGCGGTCCGCGCCATAGCCAGGAAATGCAGAACGCCGTTGGTGCTACCGCCCAGTGCCATGGTCATCACCAGCGCATTCTCGAATGACCGCTTGGTGAGCAGATCCCGCGGCCGGATGTTCTTCTCCATGCAGACTTTGATGGCCTCGGCAGCACGCACGCACTCACGCATCTTGGACGGCGATGCAGCAGGGGTCGATGAGGACCCGGGCAGGGACAGACCCATAGACTCAATGGCCGTGGCCATCGTGTTCGCGGTGAACATTCCACCGCAGGCACCGGCGCCGGGGCAGGCATGTTTCTCGAGATCATCCATAATCTCATCCTTGGTCTTGCTGGTATCACCGCCATCATCGGGCTGGCGCAGCGAATCATACGCATAAGCCCCGGCAGCCTCAAAACAAGTCGAGATGTTGACGGGTTTCCGGAGATACTCCGAATACCCGATCGCAATTGTACCACCGTAGATCATGATGGACGGGCGGTTATGGCGGGCCATGCCCATAACGACTCCGGGCATGTTCTTGTCACAACCCGGGATGGCAATGCAGGCATCGTGGTACTGGGCACAGGTCACAGTCTCCACACTGTCGGCAATGATCTCGCGGGTCTGCAGCGAGAAACGCATGCCATCGCTACCCATTGTGATAGCATCGGACACGCCAATGGTATTGTACTGCCACCCGATCATGCCCCGCTCACCGATAGACTTCTTGACCGTTTTGGCCAAATCCATCAAGTGCATGTTGCACGGGTTTCCCTCCCACCAGACGGACGCAATACCGACATGGGGACTTTTGGCCATAGCATCTTTGTCCGGAACGCCAGCGGCGAAGAGCATGGCCTATCGAATGATTAGCGACAGTCCAATGGCTAATGATCCAATTGGTAACGTACCCGAGCACCGGGAAAGTCATGACCTCTGGTGATCGTCGAAGAATATCGATTGAGTGCGAGGGATCCATCGGGATGTTTGGCATCGGCGGGCAGACTGGGGAAGTTGATGTACTTGGCTTCACCCAGAGTGCTGGACGTCATCGGCTGAGCGGGATCCATGATGGAGTGTGCGAGGTGTCGAGAAACACGAAAACACAGAGACACAGAATAATTATCTCGCGGGGAAACCAAGCTCGCAGTTGTGACCGATCCCGGTGGACCCCGCGTTGCTCAGTCGGCACTTCGGGACCAGTCATTGCGCGTTCATTGCTCAGATCGGAGTTGCGCCTATTCCTCCGGCTCGGCATTGCGGGGCGTTGAACTATGATTGTTTTTACTGTGCACTCAACTATAGTAGATAGATTCACGATGCTAAAATCCAACTATCCGAACGAAAGACCCACAATTATCTCCGCGATACAAGACCCGAGTGCAGGTGATGCGCGTGTCGCATTCATGGGACGGGACGTCATCGAACGCTCGGGCTTTTGTGATGCTTCGACTTTGTTTTTTTGCCTTTCCCTTCTTCTTATCTTTGTAATGCCTTTGTCCCTCCTATCTCAGAGTTGATCTCAGACATTAGTGTCCCCCGCTCATAGTCATCTCCTATACGTAACAACCTTATCTATTTCATCACCTGTATTTACACGATGACCGATATCGTGGTCGCGCAGATGATCGGAACGCTCGGCTGCGGCTACGTAGCTGGTAAGCACTTTACTTAGTTGCTTATGCGTCACAAACAGGAGCTAATAAGACATAGGCGGGATGATGGGCCTTTCCCTGGTTACCATCCCTGTCCTCGTTATCCCTGCACGTCATCCATCGACGGGTGCGCGCAAGACTTCGGGGACTTCCGCTGCACACCTCTCCCATCAATGGCTCAATGCCTACAATCGCGGATTGTCAATCTACCCCCCGACCGCAGCGGTCTCGTCCCTGGCAAATGCCTATCTTGCCTGGGTGCTGCGTGATGCTCCCGCCCCGACTGCCGTCAACTATAGTTGGGGCAGTATCTATGCCACGGCCGCAGTCATCACGATGGGAATTATGCCCTGGACGTTTCTTGTAATGTGGCCCACCAATACGAAGCTCATGGCACATGCTGCCCGTGATGATGCGGCGTTGGCTGAGGGGACCAAGGGGATGGTGGTTAACGAGCAGGAGAAGGCGAAGCGAGCTCGGGATGACCAAGATGTGCCTGCGCTTGTAGAGAAGTGGGGAGAGCTGAACTTCTATCGGTCCTTGTTTGTTGTGGCTGGGGCGGTGATTGGGTTCTGTGGTGTTGTTTGGATGGAATGAAGGACGAAATTGGGAACTTTCAACATTTGTAATGATATATGCGGCTATGTACAAGATGACTCCAGTTAGGGTGGGTATCGTGATAATTCTAAAAGTCCGAACTGCGGTGAGAGCTAAAGTGACACCGGTAATGAACGCGTATTGACAATATGGGAAAGCAAAGGCCCTTGAGCAATTGTTAGGTTCAAGTCTGCTCGGACTGGTTCTCGGAGTGGTAGCCTGAATCCTCTTCCGTTGTGGCTTCATCCTCTGCCGATTGCTTCTCCTCGTCGAACCATTGGTTTGAATGCTGTAAAGCTTCGTCGGCGGATATTCCCTCCAGCGGACTCGACTTTTCTGTGCTTCCTTCTGTCCGATCTGGATGATGGGCATCGTCCGGGCGTTCCTCGTCCATGGCGAAACCGACAATCTTGCCGGTTCCGGGCTGCGACCGAGCTTCTTCCAGCACGTCGCCGTTCCAAGGTTGACATTTCTTGACAATCTCGCCACATCGGAGACAGACCCAGCCCTGACCTTCTTCCGCCTCCACCTTCTGCACAATGCAGACAAAGCAATAGACACAGCCACAGGGAATCGTCTCGTAGGGGTTCGTGATGTCTGTTTGTGCAGAGCCTGAGATACCGCCCGATGCCGATGCCGCGAGGACATCACTTTCCGTTGCTGCAGAGGGGTTCTGATCTCGGTAGCAGATAGCGCAAGTCCGTTCCGGGAGGTAGGCCAGCTCTCCTTGCTTCTCGGCAGCCTCTTCTTCGTCCCCGCTTGACTTGAGGGCATTGACGGTCTTCCGCCACGCGCGAGATATCCACCGTCGCCAGCGACTGATTCCGACGAGGGGAAGTAGGAAGAGAAGAAATTCGGTAAAGGCGTGCCAGACCAGCTGCCGATTCAGGTACTCAAAGGAGACCTCTCGACTGGCCTGGGCAGATGGCGGCGTGAGACGAATACGGAGAAGTCGGTCAACCAATGTTCGGTAGCGACCGTTGACCAAGAATACGAGGAACGAAACGAAGGCAGCGATCGAGTGCGACGTAGAGATTAGGTCTGTGAGGCGGGACAACATCCGAACATCCTGCGATGGCTTTGTACGGTTGTCAGTATCAAATCAAGCACAATAGTAGGAAGTGACCAACCTCTTCGTAGCCACCTTCCTGCCCAATCAACCAGCTCTCCCATTTATCCCACGCATATCGACCACCGACGGTCAGCAGGCCGTACATGGTCTTCTGCCATTTCGTTGGAGATGAATGCACGGGTCCCTTGCTTCGGCTATCGGTATACTGAAGGCCCTGCAGTGCAGCTCCGTATGATGCATTATGGTCCCATATCGAGAGCTTGAAGAGGATCGCTCGCAGCGCGAATAGAATTTCATGTGACCAGTCTTCCCGCATTTGAGGCTGTTCGATTTATTAGCACATGTGGCCACATAATGGAATATTCCAAGAAGAACTGCATACTCCAAAGTATTTGAGAGCATCCCCAACCTGGCCCTTCATCAGGCCCAGTAGCTCCTCATCCAGCAGTTCTGCATCCACCTGGCCAACCCGAAACGCCGGGCGCGTACCATCTCGGCCCTTGATAGAATTCCATGTCATCCAGCCCGCTCCAGGTAGTCGGTTTAACGGATAGGGAAGGCGCTGGACGGTAGCAGAGTTGATCGGCGATGCCCGTTGCTGTTCAGCCAGCCGAGCACGCGCTTCTGCCTGACGGAGGCGACGGCGCTCGAGCACCCGCTCTTGTGCAGCGGCGAAATTTGTCGAGCTCATCGTATAATCATCGTGCGATGGTCGGGTAAGAAAGGAAACGATGGAGGAGGTCGGCGGAAACCATCAGGGCGTCGGTTCCCCATACGCGGAGCCGAGGTTAGTACCACGTGACTCCCCCATCCGGAGAAATCAACGTAGAGGAAGTATGGGAGGGTTCTGAACTTCATGGTCTTCATGGTCTTCATGGTTGAACATGTATACAAAAAGCTCGCCATCAAGCATACCAAACAAGCAACGGCCTCCACTAGTGCAAGAATCTGCGAAACAAGTAGGCGCACTTCCTAGGTTCTCACCGATCCATGGAGGTCTCCTAGTGAAGGAACGTGAGTTAATTTGCTTGTCCTGCCGTGACATCAGGCCTGGCCATAACATCGACCGCAGTATATAGTGGTGGCAAGGTATCACAATATCTCCTAGTGCCGGACCACAAGATATCTCCGTGGTGTAAAGCTTGTTCAAGGATAGAGCGGCCCAATGGCACGACCGAAAATGTTCCTGGCCACTCACTTCGCCAGTCACGAGCACTAAAGCAAGCCTACCCTTGCACTGGTTGTGCAATTGAAAAGTGAATATTCGGCGGTAGGGCTCGAGAGGTTTGAACTATACTCAAAAAGGTGATTGATATCGGCCAATTCCGCGGTCCTCAATGTCTCAGATATCTGACCCGAACGAACCTTTGTCGACCCTGAAACGAATTTAATATCATAAACTAGATATTCCAAACCCTGCAACTCAGCCATAAGAAATCAGGGTCCACACACGTGCCCGGTGCCTCCAAGCGGCCCCACGGTGCATTGGTCCCTGTCTTGGCATCCACAGGGACAGGGGCACGATGGCCAATCAAAGCGTGCGCTTTTACATCGTGGGCGCAGCCGTGACGATCATTCAGTGCCAGTATAAGCTTCGGACCGGGGCCGGGGTGTACAATCGACGGTGCCTAAGTAGGTAGCAAGCACTGGAAGGCGCGATGTCACCGTGAGGTGCTTCCATGCGAAATCTACTACATGTGCCCAGTTGAGAAGTTGAGAGATTCCTCGTACATAAACATCTTCCCCCTTCCAATCACTTCCTCTTTCCTTGTCCTTGTCCTCGTCCTCGTTCACAGTACCCACCATCGAGCTCTCATCAATCGCGTGACCACTTTCTCGCTTCAGTCAATACGATGAAGGCTACTATCGCGACCCTGCTGGCCGCTGCCGTTATGGCGCGTGCCCAGGTGGCTACCACCTCGGAACCTGCCCTCACTCAGATCGCTGCGGCGGCTGCTACTACCAAGCCTGAGTCCCCCATCTCCGACGTCAAGGGCCTGGCCTTCGACCGCTTCTACCAGGTCTGGCTGGAGAACATTGTAAGCGACGACTTCCCTTGTTTTTGGGCTGCTTTTGTTAACATTCAATTAGGACTACGAGGTTGCCGCAGCCGACTCCAACCTGCAGTGGCTGGCATCCCAGGGTATTCTGCTGTAAGTTCTCAATTGAGTCTTATAACATACGTGAATGCATTCTAATTCTGTTGTAGGACCAACTACTACGCTGTCACCCACCCGTCTGAGCCCAACTACTGTGCCGCCGCTGGTGGTGACACTTTCGGCATGGACAATGACCACTACCACCAGGTGCCTGCCAACGTTTCCACCGTTGCTGATCTGTTGGACACCAAGGATATCTCGTGGGGCGAGTACCAGGAGGACATCCCGTACGCCGGCTTCCAGGGCTTCAACTACTCCAACCAGGAGACCCATGCCAAGGACTACGTGCGCAAGCACAACCCCCTCATGTTGTATGATTCCGTCGTCAAGAATGATACTCGCGCTCGTCAGGTCAAGGGCTTTGATGCTTTCTTTGCCGATCTCGATGACAAGAAGCTTCCTCAGTGGGCGTTCATCACCCCCAACATGACCAATGACGCCCACGACACCAACATCACCTTCGCCGCCAAGTGGGAGCGTAGCTGGATGTCCACTCTGTTGAAGAATGACTACTTCATGGACAACACTGTCGTTCTCCTGACCTTTGATGAGGATGACACCTACCACAAGACCAACCGGATCTTCAGCATCCTCGTTGGTGGTGCCATTCCTGACCACCTGAAGGGTACCAAGGACGACACCTTCTACACCCACTACTCCACCATTGCCTCGGTTTCTGCCAACTGGGGTCTCCCCTCTCTCGGTCGCTGGGTAAGTCAAATTGAAATGCTTATACTCAAAGTTCAACTTCTGACCTTGATATTTAGGACTGCGGTGCCAACATCCTCGAGTTGGTCGCCAACAAGACCGGCTACGTCAACTACGAGGTTGACATGACCAACCTGCGTCTCAACGAGACCTACCCCGGGCCGATGGCTGATGGTCATTACGCAAAGTTCTCCCCCGTCTGGCCCATCCCGGCTACTGAGGCCAACTGCTCTGCTGGTCACGGTATCCTTGATATTGTCAAGAAGACCTACGCGGGTCTCCAGGCCTCCCACAACTACACCACCCCCTTCCCCGTTGACTCCAAGAATGACTACAACACCAATGTCACTATTACTCGCAAGCCATCGAACTCCACCACCACCACTTCGGCTGCCCCGAGCGTCCACACTACCAAGTCTGGTGCTGCCGTTGCTGCCACGGCCCCCAACATGGCCATGACTGGTGCTATGGTGGCTCTTTTTGCCTATCTCATCTAATTTGATCCAGGGGTTTTCTCTGGGCGATAAAAAATGATCGGGGGTTTTCGATTTCATAGCACTATTCTTTAATGTATTAGCAACGATTTTCAATGCAGGTCACGAGCGTTCTTGCATATATGCTCCCATAATTTAAAAGTCATTGACACAATTGCCATAGCGAACGCGAATGACTATACCTTTTCAAGACATCCTCAGCCCTAAAGCCCACCAATCTGCCCAGTCTAGATCAAGATGGGCTTTGTCTGGACGAACATGTGCTCGGCGAGTCGGGTGCCGAAAGGGTTGCCGTGGCCGGAGAGGACGATGATTATGCCTTGTGGGAAGCATGCTTGCGAATAGTTTGACTGTGTAGATGAACTGTATCCTTAATCAGCGAATTGATCCTAGGTGGTGATTTGGAAAATGACAACCATTGGCGGCTTCTCGCTATTATTCGGAACAGTTGCGTTCAGAGTTCCTAAAGCCGGAGCCACCTTCATAGAGAACATGACCAGTGGGATATTCTACGGAATGATAAAGACGCCTCCTACATGTATTAACCTCCAAAAGCCAATCTTAGTTTCGAAAACGGTTGAATAGTAGTTGCAATACTCTTATGTAGTATCACATTGGTCGTATAGATCGTTAAGACTTCGCTCTATAATACAATTTATTTCGCAATACCCCGGCGTTTCATATCCTGCAGGTTGGGTACTTCCTGGTCACCGCCGCGCTGCTCAGAATCGATCTTGATGTTGTCCTCCGGACCGCCGGGACCCTTGAAGTCGCCTGCCTTGGGGAGTCTAATTGAATATGGTCATGTCAGTAACCGAACAACCGATGTCCAAGTGTAGGGAGTATGAATCTTACCGGCCACGGTCATCCCGGGTACCTCCCTCATCCTCAGGAACTTTACGGTGGTCACTGCCTGAAGCAGTGGAGCCGGGCCCGTACTTCACGCCAGTGGACTCGGAGAACTTCTTGTCGACCATCTCGTTAACGCCGGACTCGAGAGCTATCATGTTGTTAGAACTGTATGGAGAGAAAGTACTCTGCACAACGTACTGGAGTCACTCTTCTTGCCGAGGCCCTGCTTGGCCTGGTAAGAGTTCAAGTCCTTCTCGGCGTTGAATGCAGCCTGGCGCAAATCTTCGAAGTGAGGAGGCATGGTGTCTGGGTGTAATATAAAAGATACTGGTCGATACAGGTATTTCAATAGACAAAGAACGAGGTAGTGTTTTGAGAGCCTCGAGAGGAAAAATATGATGAGAAAGGTGAATTGATTCTGACTATATCTCGACTAAATACTCCTCTAGCATTATCTCAGATCCAAAGACTGACTGAATTTGCATCATGGAACATCATAGCTATGTCACTGATATTGAGAATGTCCGGACAAGGAAGGTAGGGGCGTGGTTGAAGGACCACTTGGGCCCGGAAATCTTGGAAACAAGACTGAGAGCTATGATATTATAATGTACTGGACCATGAACAGGTCTAATGATGGCAGTGACTTCATTGGTCTCCACCGTGCAAAGCCCTAAGTCGAGTTCCGTATCGGGTCACATGTCAGGGTCAGGCCCTAGGGCTTGGGCTGATCCGGATCAATGATACCCCGAACCAAATGAGGGGAGCAACGAGGTCAATTGCAGACCGTCCGGGGTTTTGTTGACATACGTTGCATGTCTCCCCTTCGATTCGGCCGCCATTTCGATGGAAGATCTGTGACCGTCTGAGCATTCCTTTTCTCTTCGACGGCCTGCCTCCGCTGCCACACGTCCCTTTACCCCTGCCGCGACGATAATCGTTCACCATGCCCGACATGATCGAAGTGCCGGGCGAGGCCAGCCCGATGAACCAGTCGAATGTCCTCAATGCCCTGGTTCTTGCGGCAAGCTCTACCCAACAGCAGGTGCAAACGGGCACCAAGCAGCTTCAGTACTGGGAGAAACAGAAGCTTTACTACCCTACCCTTCAGGTACTTTCAGGCATTTCACCACGCGACAGTGCGCAGTATAGCTGACGTTTTTGATCTGCAGAACATCTTCGTTGACTACTCCCTTCCGACCGAAGTCCGATACCTTGCTATTATCCAGCTGAAACACGGAATCGATAGATTTTGGCGCAAGACTGCAGCCCAGTACGTTTTCGAGACTATTTTGGGATGTTGCTCTGCAAGGGAGTATACACTGACAGGCATGAAGTGCAATCACCAAGGAAGAAAAGGAACAGATCAAGATGAGGGCTTTGGAAGCAGGGATTTGTGAGCCGGAGCGCCAGCTTGCTCTTCAGAATGCGCTGATGGTTGCCAAAATCCTGCGCTACGAGTTTCCTCATGATTGGTATGTTTCCCAGGACACTGTAACGCATACATTGCTCTAATGCTGACTTCTTAAGGCCCGATGCGATCACTTCTCTGCTTTCTTTCCTCCGTTCTGCTACCCGCCCCGACGCGAACCCCCAGGAGCTCCCTCGAACCCTCCTTATGCTCCTTCAGATCATCAAAGAGTTGTCAACGGCACGAATCCAAAGAACTCGAGTACACCTCCAATCGGTCTCACCCGAGCTCTTCCATGTTTTGGGAAATATTTATGTGGAGAATATTAATCAATGGATCGCTATACTCGACCAGGGCAGCGGAAACGAATCATCCCTCGAGGCAATGGAGCAGAGTTTGATGTGTCTCAAGGTTCTTCGGCGCCTCATTATATCTGGCTATGAGCACCCAGGTCGCCATTCGGAGGTGAAGGATTTCTGGCAGATGAGCTTTGAGCAGTTTGCCAGACTGTCTTCCTTTGGAGAGGCGGCTGCCCAATTACCGGAGCCTGTGACCAAAGTCATCGAAAAACACACCCTGCAACTGTCCAAGCTCCATGTGGAGATGGCGAAAACACATCCAGCCTCTTTTGCGCTGTTTCCAAACAGCATCTCGCTCGTTAATTCTTATTGGTCATTGGTCGTCCGGCTCAGTGAAAGCTATGTCAGCCTCGGAGCTGATCCCGATGCTGAAGGGCAATCATTAGCCGAGAAGACTGGTCTGCGGGCCTTGCTCCTGGTTCGAGCTTGTGCGAGAATGGCCTTTAACCCCGTCCAAACATTTAAATACCAGACTCCGCAAGACAAAGAGGAAAGAAAGCTGGCTGTCGAACGGATCAAGACAGAATTGTTCACTCACGACCTGGTGCTGAATGTCATGGAGACTCTCGTCACTCAATTTTTTAAGTTCCGAAATGTGGACTTCCAGGAATGGGAAGCCGAGCCTGAATCTTGGGTTCAGCGAGAGGAAGTGAGTAGCGAAGCATGGGAATTTTCCATTCGCTCCTGTTCTGAGAAGCTGTTCTTGGACCTTGTCATCCATTTCAAAGACTTGCTTATCCCGCGCTTGTTGAGCGTGTTCCAGAACTTTGCGAGTGAGTATCAAACCCTGGTGTCCCGTGGGAGAGTCTGAAGGTACTAATCGTTGCTACGCAGATACCGAAAACCGTGATGTAGTGTTGAAGGACTCCCTATACTCTGCTATTGGATTAGCTGCAGCCAGTCTTGAGCAGCACCTGAACTTCAACGAGTTCTTGCAAGGAACAATGGTCACCGAGGTTCAGATCCAAGATCCGCAGTACAGACTCCTGCGCAGACGGATTGCGCTCGTGCTGGGCCAATGGGTCCCAGTCAAGTACGGCGAATTAAATACCGATGCCATCTTCCAGATTTTCCAGCATCTGCTCAACAAGGATGATCCGCTCAATGACCTCGTTGTTCGCATCACCGCTGGACGCCAACTGAGCCAGGTCCTTGACCCCTACGAGTTTACGGCGGCCCACTTTATGCCATTTGCACAGTCGATCCTCGGCAACCTTATGTCTCTTGTTCAAGAAGTCGAGTTATCTGAAACGAAAATGGGGCTGTTGGAGACTGTCCGTATTGCAGTTGTCAAGATGGAGCACCATGTAAGTCCAATGCGAACTCTCTTTGATTCTGATGCTAATTAAAATTCCAGATCGCTCCATTCGCCGATCAGATTCTCTCGCTGCTTCCACCCCTGTGGGAGGAATCTGGAGATGAACATCTCATGAAGCAGGCCATCCTCACGCTTCTTTCATCCTTGATCAACTCATTGAAGCAGGAGTCTATTCGGTATCACTCGCTTATTCTCCCACTGATTCAAAGCTCAGTTCACCCCGAATCCGTGAGTCTTCATATCGCAATTTCCCTTGGCGCACGCTTCGATTTCATGAAACTAATTTTTTTTTAGGAAACCTTGGTGTACCTCTTGGATGAAGCATTGGAACTCTGGACGGCCATAATCCAGCAGTCACCCACTCCCTCCCCCGATATTTTGGCTCTTCTCCCCTCTGTATTCCCGATCCTTCAGTCGGGAACCGACAGTGCACCCCAGGCACTCCAAATTGTCGAGTCCTATATCCTGCTGGCACCACAGGAGGTATTCAAACACGAATACCGTACCCCTCTCCTCATTGCCTTGCAGGACCTTCTCTCTCATACAACAAGACAACGCATTGGCGTTGTCCCCCGTTTGGTTGAAATGTTAATCCGCAGCGGCGAAGCCGTGGATGGTGGAAGCGATGAAACCTACAACGCCATTTCTCAAAGCCTAATCCAAAGCTCATTCCTCCGCTCCATCCTTGAGGGTCTCCACTCCGCCTACGAGGCCAGTGAAACCACCGGACCCAACCGCAAGACCTCCAACGTCGTTGGCGTCGTTGAAACCGACTACTTCTCCGTCATTGCACGACTAGCCCTCGCTAGTCCTACAATCTTTGCCTCCGCTATCGTAGCCGCCATCCAAGGAGACCACGCCCAATCCCCATATAAAGATCTCTCCTGGCTGCTCAAGGAGTGGTTCGCCCATTATGATAACATCAGCAGCGCCAACCAGAAGAAGCTGCACGTCCTCGCCCTCACCCAACTCCTTGGTCTCAAGCAAAACCCGCCCAACACCGCCGCACCCGACCTCCCAGCCGACTTCCTCCGCCAATTCCTGCAGTCCTACCTAACCGTCTGGACAGACCTCATCCTCGAGCTGGCAGAAGGCGGCCAAGACTCAAACGCCGATTACCTAGTCTTCTGGGATGCACCCGCCGGCTCTGTAACCGCCGTACCTGAGGCGTCGGACGAAGTCGAGCCTCCGGAGAACCACCGCCGCCGTGATTGGGAGAACTCGGATATTATTCATCGCTTCCCGATCCGCGACTTTGTGCGCGAGCGTCTGCAGCAGCTGATTGTTTCCTGTGGTGGCCCGGAGACATTCCAGGCGGAGTGGCTGGCGAATATTGATGCCGACGTGGTGGCGGCATTTGGTGCTTTGGGACTGATCTGATGGATCGGAATGTGTGATTCAGTACGATTGCATCTTCTATACTCATTGCATTTTCTAAGTCCATTGGAACTTCGCTAAATCCCCATTGAGGACGCTATGTTATGTTTACGTTAGAGTTTTCTAGCTACATACCCCAATTGATTGAAAATTACAAAGTAATATTGAGATCTATCATTACACATCACGTCAAAATCTAGACGACTCGAGCCACCATCAAGGTTGCGTATCTTCTGGGAAGTCGGGGTTGTAAAATAACTGATCATTACTCCTGTTGCGGCAATTAGCATGAAACTCTATGGAAGGTTAAGTAGAGTGTACACACCATAACTGTTCCTCAAAGTAGGCTTCCGGAGCCTCCAACCATCCAGTAAAATTCGACGAAAACATATGAGCCAGAGGAACCTGATCAGGATCTGCCAGCCCAGGAATATCAGGCATACCCATGCCCGATGCAAAGTCATCCGACTCATTGTAGCAGTTTCGAAGGCTTTCAAGCGTTTCAAAGCACCGACCCGCAAACGGACTCAGTTCCACCATGCTCTTGATAATTTCAATGGCAGTTTTGATATCCTCCTGCCAGCTGTCTGCGAATGGAGATTGAGGTTCGTTTCGAAGGAGGACGACCGGTACCAGAGTGGCGGAAAACAGGAAATACAGTGCATACCAGCATGCCATGCGCGTGTGTACGTTGCTTTTCCAGAATCGGTCGATGCTCGTGATTGTCTCGTGCGACTCTTTCAGGCAGCGTTCACATGCTAAGTCTCGGTACCTGCATGAGTCTGAGGTCTCTGGTGGTCGATTGCCTTCCATAGATGTGGGGATAATTGATGTTTGGAATCGAGTTGTCAGTAGGGCCTTTTGAATCAAGAAGTGGCGGTAGATGATCATTCGGAAGTGTTTGTATCGCCAGGTCATGATTGAGTGTGCTAGCGCGTGGCGCTCTGGCACTTGGGCGCTTTCTTTGTAGTACCAAGGTACCATGTTCAACCATTTGGTAATGTAGGTATCGTCCCACTCGAGAACCTGTCTAGCCGATGGGGCAGGTCTGGAGATGACGCGGTTATAGATATGGTTGGTGAGCAGATGGAACTGAGACTGGACTCGCACATTCGTGTAAATCGTGGGAGCATTGATATTCTCTGGTGACGTCGTCGCAGATATAGTCAGGTCACTCTCTGATATGTTGAGAGGCAGCTTCGCGTCGATACCAGCCGACGGAATGGCCAACGGACGGCTGAAGGTGATTGTTGAGCCGACGTCATAAATGAAGAGACACCACCAGGTCCGGCGACGGATCTCGCGATAGAGGAGATTTCCCTCTGTGCTGGGATAGTCTTTATGCAGACCCAGGCCATAGGCCATACGGACAGCCAGTCCAAGGTAGTTATGACTCGAGTTCGGGCGATCTCGCTTTTGCAGGTAGTTGGAGATGAGACTCAGGCTTTGTACTAGGGTCAGACTGCCTACTTCGAGAATTTCGAGCGAGAGATGAGATCGAGCACGTTGGTAAAGGATCAGATCGTCGTCGTTCGGTGCCGTTGCAGACATAAATGCGCCAAGGGCGGCAACAATGTACATCAGCACTGTCCAGCCGTATTTGGGCCGTGGAACAATTTCGTGATACTGTGCCATGAAAAGCCCTTGGTGTACCAACGGATATGAAATGTGGTATTCACTGAAGTAGTTTGCAACATAGGCCTCGATCTTTTGTGGAGGGATCTCTCGTTGCAAGTTGACTGATAATGAATGTGGAGATTGTGCTTTGGGAGTCGGTGGCTTCTGTAACACGGAAGTCGAAGACAATGGACCGCTAGAGCAGTTCTGGATCAAATGCAAAAGGGAGGCACCAGACGCGAGGCCCAAATATCCCGGTCGTTCTTCTTGGATCGACAAGGCTGCCATTCCGTCTAGGCAGCTCTGTGCTTCTGTATTTCGCTCATCCCAGTCATAGTCTGCTCCGCTCGCTACCGGATCGTCTGGTGTGGTCGATGGCAATATATCAGTGGATGGAGATTCTTCAACGCTACCATCCGACACCAGCATCTCCAAGCAAGGCTCGAAGATCCCTAGCTCAACTCCATGAACCCTGCCGGGAGATGAGCCTGAAGAATCGGCTCGTTGCCTCTTCATACCCTCGCGAGGAATTTCGTCCTCCATCTTCTCCGGCTGCGACGGGAGGTAACTCGTACTGACGCCATTTCTGGCACGCGATAATTCTGCATCAAGGTCGACATCGAGGCCATGGTCGCGGATGATTTGGGTGGCGATGCGGAGGGATTCTTCGACTTCGGTAAGATGTCTGTACCGAGTCAGTCCGGAAAGTCTGTGCAAGAAAGAAAAGCAGAGTTCAAGCGCACTTTCTAGTAAGTGGGCTTCGCATCGGCTTTTCGTACAGACAATGCCGACGCCATTGGAGACATTGCGCACATACGGGCAGCTCGCGGGAACACTAGCAGCTGTGTCAGTTTCCGTTTCGCTCTGAGATCGGATCTTACATACCCGAGCCTTGCGTCTTCGACACTCGTTACATGCGTGCGCCTTACTGGTCTCGGCCATAGTATGATGGTTCGGGCATTGATACCCGCCAGAAGATGTTTTACGCGGGGTGCGGGGGATCGCACTTGCTCCGATGTGGGTTTTACCACGCACCGAGAAAGGAGATCAGGCGAGGTGTGGGGACAGTAGGTAGTTCTGTAGAAATCTTGATCTTAGGAACTGCCCGAAGAATTGCCGAAAGAGACCTTTGGAAATTTTCTTCGAAGTCCGGACTCATTGCGTTTTTCTAGGGGCCCATGGATGCTTAGTATACTATGAATCTATTCAACAATTAACTCGGAAGAGTGGTGTAACTAACTATAAGACAAGCACCACAGACATCGTCAGTTCTACAATCACGAGACATCTCATTTGAACCGATATTTTATGAAATAAAGTATAGTTGGATTGCTTTAATTAACTCCTGTTTAACAAAGCATAAACGAAAAACTCCGGGGCCGAAAAGCCTGCATTGCATGCAAGGCACGAAACTCCAGCAGCCAAGTCAAAAAGAAAGAAGGAACTCCAAACAGCAAGCACTAAGAGAATATAACCAGTATGCGTGTATAGAAAGCAATGGAATGCATCATAGCGATATCATCTAGCATTGGCCGGGGAACTGGCGGCTGGTGACAGGGTTGGGGAAGACACCAGCGGCAAGCTGCTGCTTCATGTCCCACTCAGGGGCGCCCTCGGTCGTCCAGGTCCAGTAGAGCCAGCCGTTGCCCTTCTCATAAGCATCCAGCTGACCCTCAATGAAGCGGCGGATGTCGGCACGGTCCTCCTCGGAAAGATCGGAGACGTTGCCTTCGGACTTGCCGTCGCAGGTACCAATGGCGCCCTCGCTGCCAGCGAAGGTGCCGTCGTAGCGGGCGCCGATACCCTTCCCGTTCAGGTACTTGGCACAATCAGTCATGGCACCGGTCCACTCGCCAACAACGGTCCACTTGTCGGAGTGCAGAACGTGGTCGTTGACGAAGCCGCAAGCCGTGCTAACGTGGGAGGCGGTGTCCAAGGCGAGCAAGCCGTAGTCGAAGACTTCGTAGTGGTGAGTGTCCATCATCACGTACCAGACACCGGTTGACTCGCTCATGAATCCGTTCCAAGACTCAGTGGGCATGAAACCATCGTGAAGAACAACGGTGGTATCCTGGCTGGCCTCACGGACGACACCCCAGGAGTCATAGTAGTACTGCTTCAAGCCGTCCTCGTTCACTCCACCGGGAATGCTAGGCTCGTTCAGAGCCTCAACCGCGGTAACAACATCGGCATCACCACCGTAGCGGGCAGCCAGAGTCTCGAGAGCAGTGCGGGTGAGCTCAACGGTGTTTCCCGTCTGCCACTCAATAGCACCACGCTTCCCGCTGTTGTCAAAGCCGTTCTGGGAGCCGGGGGCTATAAGGCAATGTGTCAAAAGGGTCTACCATTGACAAGGATTGGAAATTCAATTACTTACCACCGTGCAAGTCAACGAGGACCTTGAGGCCAGCACCACGAGCCCAGTCGACAGCTTGGTCCAGGTATTGTAGCTGACCATCGACATATGGGTCGCCCTCCAGGGGCGTAATAGCCCAGTAGCCGATGGGAATACGAACATGGTTCATGCCCGCGGCGGCGATCTGGTTGAAGTCATCCTGGGTAATGAAACTGCTCCAGTGCTGATTTAACATATCCCGGCACATATCAGCGCCAGCGGTGGCACACAGGGACCACTCGTCAACAGCCGCATCGCCAACAGCATCAAAAATCGATGGGGTGATCCAAGGCTCCAGCACAAGCCAACCACCGAGGTTGACACCACGGACCTTGTCAGCTCCGTAGTTGAAGGTAAGGCCCCTGTTCGGAAGTTAGTTCTCTTCTGCAATTGATACTGGGCCGGGCCAGTAAGGATCATGTTGACTCACACTTGAGGAGATTCCATCTCCTGGGCCAGGGTGGCCGAGCCCATCATGAGGAGGCCGAGAAGGGCCTTTTGCGACATCTTGAACGACATGCTGAAATTCCTAAGATCAAAAGTCAATCCTAAAGTGGCTGTGCTTCAGGAATGGAATGAATGAAGAATTGTGTCAAATGGCATGGCGATCGGCCACTATAAGTAAACTTTATGTCGATGCATGTGCTTGAAGATGGCCGGATGCAGGTTATAGGCAGGCGAAGTGAATGGAAACGGAAATCTCGAGGCCTCTGGGAGGCACATTCCACACACCTTGGGTAATATTGCCGCAGATCTGCTCTTCTGACAACGCCGATCAACAGTTGACGGCTCCGGGAAAGGCAATCAATTTGGCCGAAAGCAGTGGAGTGGCACTCTGGGGTCCGGGGTTGATAAATGGAACAAAGGCCCTTGTCACTACGCCAAGGGTGACAATGAGTCGCGGAATTGCTCCCTCCGGACCGCACAGCAGTAAGGATTTGGATCTGAGGCGGTTGATATCACCAAACTGGGCCACTATGGGTCTGAAGCCCAGTCGGCGTCGAAATGGGAGGTAAACACGACAGTTGGATGGGGATAGATGGAGAAAGATGGAGATTTCATGAATGTGGATGAGTGGAGGAGCCAAATTGCAAATTACTTTGGCATGAGAACAGCGTTGGACTGTGGGCAAGAGCGTTGCTACTCCGGGCTCCTGCTCTGCGGACTCCGTCAAGGCTGGAACCGCTCCCACAACCATTTCCCATACTCCCTTTCAACCGGCCGTGGCCATTTGGGCCAGTATTTGGATTTTCATTCTGGCCACTTTGCTTATTTGGAGCCGTATGATGAACCTGTACGCCATGATGACCGGATGACCGGGCGAGATCGGGTGAGATGCGAGTTACTGTTTGCGAACATTCCTCACCCAGAACGAGATCGGCCACGTGTGAGGCTTGCCCCATGCGGAATGTGAAAGATCTTGAATCAGCATTCTGATCGAGTTTGTCGGTGAATTGAATCTCATGAATCAAGCGGCTGTACAATTAAGTGAGTCGTGTTGATGTGATGTACAGAGGTCATTTTGTTATTGCTGTTGTACAGATTGCCCAACCAGGTCATGTCAACCAGGGTCTTCCCAATGGGACCTCCACCACCTCTGCTGTATCCGACCAGGAACAAACTCCGTTCCATCAGGTCATCCCGTCAGAATGCCCATTGTCCACTGGATCCATGGATAGCTCGGGTACTTCCGAACGGGATTTGTATTTCCGTTCTCGGCGACAACCACATTGTTGCCGGCCGCAATAACAAGTCACCCGTGAGCTTGAGACTCTTCAGGTCACCGTCACGGTTCTATGAACCATGGATGAAGCAGGTTTGGAACCCACTGTCGTTGGGTCGCTTTGCCATTCTTCAAGGCTTCCATGATCTAGACCAGGGTAGCGTAGGAATCGTGACGCGCCTCGTAACGCTAAGAGCACGAGGAATGTGGTGAGGAATGCACGTGTCCTACCCAGCTCCACTCTCGATGGAAATTGAACTTTGCTGAAGATTCAGGCCATGAGCCTTCATCCAGGACACAACTGTTCAGCAACACTCGCGTCCGGCCGCCTTCCATTCGCCGGCCTGAACGAAATTGAATTCCGGAGCAGAAGAGGCCGAATATGCGGCATAAAGGGCATAAATTCAAACTTGAACTTGGACTATACTCTCGATGTCGGGTGGTTTGGAGAGTAGCGCGGACAGTAGCCCTTCGCTTAGAGTGGCCGGCACCGCTTACTGGGTCACTGTCATTATGTGCGCCCGCAAGGCGTCTCGATAAGATTATCAGCCATGCAAATGGTAAACTGGACGGTGATGATTGAAGCTCGACGCATCTTTCATCTCCGTATTCTTCAACGTCCGATCGGATCTCAAAGAGAGTACTGCTCGGCCGAAGAAGCTTGCTGGAAACTACAACTGGACCGTCACGGACACATTCCATGCCCAGACTTTCTGTCCCCACGAGACTATCAGTCTCGGCCACAGCGACTTCTGTAACCTGTTCACCTATGAAGACTGGGAGAATTACGAGTATCTCCAGGACACCGAATTCGCCGGTTACTCTGGCCTCCTCAGTCCAACCGGCCGAGCCCAGGGTATTGCGTGGGTGGAAGAGTTCCTGGCTCGTGTTGAGGGGCACTACGTAGACGTACCGGCGAACATGACAGGTGCCAACATGACCTTGGATACGAACCCGGTCACTTTCCATCTTGACCAAAAGCTGTACCTCAAGTTCACCCACGACGCGAACATCATCTCGGTCCTGACGGTATTTGGCCTGACCCAATTTTCCGGCTTCCTGCCTGCCACTGGCCCCCCGGCAGATCAAAAGTTCCATACCAGCAGACTGGTGCCTTTTGCTGGGCGACTCAATATCGAGATTATCAAGGCGCCGCATAAGGTCTCTGTGAAGCGCTCCTCTAAGGCTACCAAGGGTGGTGATTATATCGCCGGTACCGGTGAAACGCGATATGTTCACTTCGTCCAGAACCAACACACGGTTCCTCTGCATGCTAGATTTGACGCTTGCGAGTATCGTGGAGATGGCTGGTGTGAGTTATCGACATTCTTGAAGGTGCAAAAGGAAAGTCTGGCCAAGGCTGAGTACCAGTATGCCTGCTTTGGTAACTGGACCGTGAAGAACTGGGGCACAGTGCGGGACGGCGTTCCTGCTTAGGGTGCTTTTAGATGTAGAAGAAATTACGGGGATGCGAAAGTTTGCATGTACAGTATCACATCAGAGCTGTAGATCGATTGCTCACTGAATCATTATTTTCACATGTCTATTGCCCCACGTATCTCGCGAACGATTGGAGGTTATCACAGGTGGAACTCTTTCCATACCCCAAGAAGCAGGCAATCCCATTATTGCTCATATTACCTCCCTGAACATCGCAATCTCAGCCCCAACTCGGAGCCTTCAACCCCACCAACCCCCGCAACCCCCACATTGAGCACGGGGCACACCGCCAGATACCATGGCTTACACCGTTCAGCCGGTCCAATAACGCGCGGGGACAGAGACCGAGCACCGAACCTAAAGGGAATTTACCCACGCTGCATTGCGGAGATAACCAAGAATCAATCTACTGCGGGCCCAATCACGCCAGATCGATCGTCGCGCCACAGTGGGAGGTTGAGGGGAAGGCGTCGGCTTTTTTCGTATTCTTATTTTCCTTTTGATGGAATCAACAGTACTAGGCGAGCCGTTTGGCTTCACGGACTTGAGATGAGATTTTTGGGTTGGCTAGTGTAGTCATCTTGTCTTTGGAAGGTGGAGAGTCTGATGTGTGCGGATTCAAGGGATTTCGGCGTGGAAGAAATGTATGCCCAATAATCAGCCTTGGCCATAGAGTATGCATAGTTTAGCAATACAGAGATTCAGGCGGAGCCCGTTATGCCTGGGCTCGAGAATACCCCGCCATTCAATTCATGGCATCAGACTGCCGGTGCCCTTGTGATGCGATCGCCGATGATTCTCCGCTAGACTTAGCCCGGAAACTCTGGAACGCGGAAACCCCCTTTTGATAGCCTCAAATAACGGCACTCGCATTCGTTTCTGATTTGCTGGATGAAACTTTCTGCTGCATACTCGAGGTACTTTCTATTCGTCGTCTCCTGGTTCCGAAATGTGATTGCAAAGGCTATTGAGTCAGTACTCCATTATCACAAGAAATCTCGACTGGTCATCCATTCATGCAGGCAAGACGAGACAACACATTCGCTTGTTGCCCGTAAGTAGAAATGGAAAAGCGAGTCTACTGCACCTCCACTGGAACGGTGGGCTGTGACGTGTAGGTGTAAGCAGGAAAATGATTGAGCACGACCCCAAGTATCTCGGCATCGACTCCACTATCAACACGTCAAGGAGTATCCTGCCTTGGCCAAGGCTCCATTAATTAGCTCCACCAGCCGTGGTCTCACTTTCCCACTGGATCAGGGTTTCATTTGTTGTATTTCGCCGGCGTGCCGTTCGTTGTGGGGACATGTTTTGAGGCAGGGCGGTTGCCACGACTCGATGCCCCCCAGATTCCCCCTTGCAGTATGGAGGGGTCTTAGAGTCCTTAGGTTGCCTTTGGCTCCTGCTAGAGCCCATCAATGATGGCACAACGGCTCGGTCATGTCGGCTCGCTTTAGCCGATGCAAGGTGTACATAAAACTAGTAATGCCCTTCTTGGGACGATGTGATTTCTCCGATAGTTCTCGAGGATCGTCTGTATTTCACTTCCTCACGAGGCTTGGTGCACCTTCGGCTTCGTCAAAATCATGCAGCTGTTGCGGAGCGTCGTATTGTCGCTCCTAGCGGCCACAGCTGTGGCTCGTTCGGGTAAAGATGGTAGAGAAAGACCAGTTATCCAGGCTCGCGGCGCCCAGTACGCTCTCAAAGAGCCGCCGTTGACCACCCCCTGGACGGATAAAGTGGGAACTAATCCCTGGCCTGAGTATCCGCGGCCGCAGATGCAGCGATCTCAGTGGCAGAACCTGAATGGTGTTTGGCAGTATCGCAATGCCTCGAGTCTGAGCGCTGTACAGAACCCACCGTTTGGGCAGGTTCTTGGACAAGAGGTGCTCGTTCCATCATGTTTGGAGAGTGGACTGTCTGGTAGGTTTAAGTGAAACAAAAATAAAGATTGATTCTAGGTCAGTATTGACACTTTTGTTGCAGGAATCCAAGGGAATTATAGTCTGTACTCGTGGTTCTCCACTTCGTTCAAGGTTCCTTCGGGGTGGAAGGGCCAGAACGTGCTGCTGAACTTTGGAGCCATCGATTATGAAGCCACGGTATTTGTCAATGGCAGGCAGGCTGGTTTTCACCGTGGAGGATACTTCCGTTTCACCTTGGACGTGACACGGTATCTGAAAGAGGGCCAGGAAAATGAACTGTGAGTTGAACATCCAGAAACCCGAGACAGGAGGCTGACCATTTAGGCTGGTGTTTGTGCACGATCCGACTGATAGTGGTAATTATGTTATTCCCATTGGCAAGCAGACTCTTCACCCGAGCCATATCTTCTATACACCTTGCAGTGGAATCTGGCAGAGTGTCTTCATTGAGCCTGTCCAAGCAAACCACATCACCAGAGTTGACCTTGCTGGTAACATGGACGGTCAAGGTATGTGATATCTCCTAAAATTTGCCGTCCGTGATATTTGATATTAACTGCTGTCAGTCAACGTGACGGTTCACACCGCCAATACCAACGTCACCACCAATGTCCAGATTGCCGTACACGACAACGGAAATGTCGTGGCAACGCACAGTGGGCCTTCAAACCGGCCTTTCCAGTTCAACGTCGACTCGCCCAAGCTCTGGTCACCCAACTCCCCCAATCTGTACAATCTTACTGTCAAAATGGGCAAAGACATAGTCCAGACCTATACTGGATTCCGCACCATTTCCCAGGGAACCGTGGACGGTGTGGTTCGGCCGCTGTTAAACGGCGAGTTCATCTTCATGTTCGGCACCCTCGACCAGGGCTTCTGGCCCGACGGTATTTACACACCTCCCACAAAGGAAGCAATGTTGTACGACCTGCAGGTTCTGAAGAGCCTCGGATTCAACACGCTCCGCAAGCATGTAAGTGAATGGTAGCAAAATTCGATGGCAGTGGCTAACAGTTTCTGCAGATGAAAGTCGAGAATGAGTTATTCTACCAAGCATGCGATGAGATTGGTCTTATGGTGATCCAGGATATGCCTGCAATGCGCCCACTGCAGAGCAGGACCCTGCCAAACTGTACCTCCGAGACCATCCTCCCAGATCCGGCGCAGCAGCAGGAATTTACACGCCAGCTGGAGTTGTTGGTCAACCAACACAAGAGCTTCCCTAGCATCGCGATCTGGGTAAGTAGCTCCTCACGTAGTTAAAAGGCTTCCTCTGCTCACCGATCTACTAGATTATCTATAACGAAGGATGGGGTCAGATTTTGACATACTACCCCGAGTTTGGGCTTACCGATCTCGTCAGACAGCTGGATCCCACCCGGCTGGTCGATGCGACCACTGGCTGGTTCGATCACGGCGCCGGCGATTTTAGTGTGAGTGCTCTCTTCGTGGAGGGAAATGATCATCTTGCTTATTAGTTCCAGGATAATCACCACTACGCCAATCCTCAATGTGGCACCCCCTTTTACTCTATCAACTCGAGCCCCTACGACGACACTCGGATTGGGTTCCAGGGTGAATTCGGTGGGCTTGGAAACAATGTTTCCATCGAGCAGTGAGTCGTCTTTTCTCTGCATACATTTCTAAACGTATTTTACTGATCAAACGGTAGCCTGTGGAACAACCAGAATGCAATCAACGGCATCAACCAGACCTACGAAATCGATCAGACTATCGATGTTTGGAACTACCGTAGCCACATGCTGCTCGGTGAGCTCGAGGACCAGGTGAAGCGATTCGCATGCAGTGGTGGCATCTGGACTCAGACTACCGACGTCGAGGGTGAGGTCAACGGCCTGATGACCTACGACCGTCGTCTCAAGCGTGTTGATGAGGGTCAGTGGAAGGCAGACATTCAGGCGTTATATAATGCGGCATCTGCGCGCAGCAATGCGACCATGTCGAGCCCCTGAGAAGTAGGGGGTAAACAGATAATTCATTCTTTTATCAAAGATTTCTTCCGATCTGCTTAGCATCAAATTTTTTAACTTTCTCCCGTATCTTCATCGCCTCTCTCATTCTTCCGATGATAAGAAAGTGTTTGGATTAAATGATATAGCAATGTGATGAAATGTGACCGGTCTGTCACATTTCAACCATTGACAGGTCCATTCCACATCTAAAAGATGAAACTCGTCCCCAACAATTGATGACCAATGGGTAAGAGGGTACAAACAGGTATGGCTGCAGCTGTCACTTTCTTCTCGCAAACTCAATTAGATTAGCTCGGCACGGCAGTTCCATTAATCGCGATGTCCCAGGTGGACAAAACGCGGGGCATCGCAACGCTCAGACAGGCCAGGCACCCGAAAGACCGCTCAGAAGTAGAGCCTAGACCTTCTCGCTCGGAAGTGATCAGCACAGGCATTGCTGATCGTCTAGTGCGGCTGTTTGAGAAAGGCCATATCGCATCCTCTGATGATGCAGTGTATGAAATTCACGAGGGATCACCGAGCCTTTGGAGCTGTCAACCAGGCAAAAGGACATGTGAAATTTCAATTCACACCGACTTTTTTCCTTGGCCCCCTTTTTCAACCTCTTCGGTGAGCTGGTCGCGCCCAACCGGAAGATTCCCGGGTCATCAGCCCATCGGGCGAAAGAATCGGATCTCGATCAGGCCACGGCATCACGCGATGATTTCAGGCAGCGCTGATTGGCGCGATGCGAGGTAAAAGCTCACTCAACCTGCTTTCGTTCCAGCTGCATGTCTTTTTTACCGGACCCACTCGGCGTCGAACGGTTCGGTGTTTTCTGGAAGTCCTTTGTTAATTTCTCCGCCCCATACTTACGGTCCGTGGGATGCTGTAACGTACAATCGCAATTGATGCTCTCCTGACATGACGGATGTTTATTCCATTGTCCGACTCAGGATAGAAAGTGTACCTTGAGGTAATCAGTGAGGCAAAAGTTTCGCGCCGGGTTGTCGGCTCCGATAGAAGTGGACTTGACGCGAGACCGTTGGGACCACAGCGGAGTCTAGTGTACGTCAACGGCCGGTCCCGTCTTTGAAACATGGTCGGCGTGCATTGGCGTGTCGGCTTGAGATCCGCTCGTACGTCTCGAGAATCGAGCATGCAGAAGACAGACAGGGCGCCCAAAGCGCAACGGCGCAGCAAGTAAATTAACAAAGCCAGGTTACGGTTCCCATCTCCACGTTTTCCACGTTGTCGCCTGTTTCAAAATTTTCCGTGACAGGTGCCTTTGCGTCTACGGATTCGATATCTGGCGTTTTCTGGCGTCCTTCTGGTGGAGGTGCAGGTGGAGGAGATTGCAGGGACCAGCCCACACCTGCCGATGCCCTATTCCCCCTGTTCTTCGGGAATAGGCTCCCTCTATTAATGGTGTGGCGTGATTCGTCGAGGCGGTGTTTTGATATCCCCCGGAAGACTCTTCTCCTGGGGTGAGCTCTCGTTAGAAATCGGGATCTCTCTCTGTTCTCGGAAGGAGGTCCACCCAATCGTTGCTGTGCGATTTCCTTAATCCGGTCTAATATCCTTCTCTGCCGGGATCTCGTTCGTGTTGAAAAATCAATGAGCGGATGATTCGGTCCGAGCTAGGAGTATATAAGTAAATGGCTTGTTTGGCCATGTGGAGGCCACGAGGTACCTCAGTTTTCTTCTCTCACGCCGAACTCGCTGTTATTTTCTTGCTACGACTCGCTATAATGTCTCACGATTACGGCTTGGGTGTTGGCTTCGAGCCAATGCACGTCGACCGCAAGTCTCTATACACAAGCCTCGAGGAGAGAATCAAGTATTTGCATCATTTCCTCGACTTCAATGCCGGTATGTATTGGGTGACTCATTGCTTTGTGCCTGTACAAGCTGACAGTAATCAAATCAGACGACGTTGAAGCTCTCGCAAGTGGAGGCAAATATCTCAAGCAACTCATTCCCGCCGTGGTCAACCTGGTGTATAAGAAGCTCCTGCAGTACGACATCACCTCGCGCGCCTTTCACACGCAATCGACGGCGGATGAGACCGAGCCAGAACAAGAATACTTGGACGAGGACACCCCTCAGATCAAACGACGCAAGATGTTCCTCCGCTGGTACCTCATTCGCCTGTGCCAGGACCCTACGTCCATGGATTTCTGGAGATATCTGAACAAAGTCGGGTATGTCTACGCACCAACACGGAAATCTACATGACGTGTCGCTAACTAAAATCACAGAATGATGCACAGCGGCCAGGAACGCCTGCACTCCCTCAACATCGAATTCATTCACATCAACGCCTGCATCGGGTACATCCAAGACATCTTCATCGAAGCGTTGATGTCTCATCCCCAGCTCTCCCTCCGCCGGAAGATCGCTCTCGTCCGCGCAGTCAACAAGATCATCATGATTCAAAACGACCTCTTCGCCAGACACCGTGTCCGTGACGGTGAAGAGTACGCCGACGAGATGTCCGAGTACAGCTTCTCCAGGGAGGGATGGGTGAACGGCAAGAAAATTCTGGGCAGCAGCGACGCCAGCTCGGTCGACGACGATTCGGCCAGCATTGTGAGCACCACGACGCCTTCAACACACAGTGCGGCCCCCTCGGCGCAGACAGATCACACGACGAACACGAATCAGTCTGCGTACAGTGTGGATCCTCAGGGGTCGATTTGTCCCTTTGCAGACTTGGCCAAGAACGTCGGAACTTCAACGAAGATCTGGGCCAATTGATAGCGAGAACGGATAGCATTCTAAGGCGCAGGGACGGGATCTATATACGAATTTATGAGCGTTGAATTTAAGGCATTGGCGGTATTCCCATTCATACTTCCTCCTCTCTCCTCTCTCTTTATTTTTTGTAAGAACAAGGGGAGGGCGGAAATCCCCCGGGCAGTTTGTCAGCGAGTTCCATGGGTTCCGAAGGCCCAGATAGCTTAACGGTGATGCTTCGAGGGGCGTGGAGACTTCGGAGCGTTCCCCCCCCCCCCACATTCGGCTCGCAGTTGAGGCAGTTGAGGTAGCTGAAGCTCTCGTAACTCCGTCTCTAATCCGTCTCTGGCAGGACTTAATAGAGCAGCCGGAGATAAAAATTTGCGGTTCCCAATCGATGAATGAGCTATCGCCTCCCGTTCCCCACATCCCCTGTTCACATTCGGCAAGGTTTCATTTGCACTCATCTGATACCTAACCCCTCCTCCTTTGTTTTTGATCTGTCCATATTCCCCCTCGGTGGCTTTCTGCGTCTCTTTTCGTGTTCTTTTTTTGCACATATTCTCTTCAAATTTGCACATTTTCATTTCACAATGGCCCAGAACGGCGACAAAGCGGTGACCCCGCTCATCATCAACGGCGAGTCCGTCGTGACGGACATCAAGTTCGAGGTCCACGCCCCGGCCACTGGTGAGCTGTCCGGCCATTGCGCCGGAGCTTCGGTGGATGATGCCGTGCGCGCTGCGGATGCTGCGAAAGCCGCGTTCCCGGCCTGGAGCAAGACCAAGGCCTATGACCGCCGCGACATCTTGCTGAAGGCGGCCGATATCATGGCCTCGCGTAAGGAGGAGCTTATTCAGTACCAGCTCGAGGAGACCGGCGCCGGTCGGCCGTTCGTGGAACACACTTTTAACATGGGAGTCAACTTTATCAAGGACTTCGCGGCCCGCATCCCCACTATCGAGGGTATCGTGCCCAACGTCACTTTGGACGGCGAGGGCGCGATGGTCTTCAAGGAGCCGTACGGTGTGATCTTGGGAATTGCACCTTGGTAGGATTCTCCATATCGAAATACCTAGAATATCTATCTACCTAGATAGTTGTCGAGCGAATGCCGTGCAGAGTAACTAACGGTGCCATGCAGGAACGCCCCCTTCATCCTGGGCACACGAGCGATTGCACTCCCGCTTGCTGCGGGTAACACAGTCGTGCTTAAGGGCTCGGAACTCTCGCCCAAGTGCTTCTGGGCTCTCGGTGATATTTTCCGACAGGCTGGTCTTCCCGCCGGATGCTTGAACGTCGTTTTCCACCAGCCTTCCGATGCCCCGGCTGTCACTACCGCGCTGATTGCCCACCCGGCTGTTCGCAAGATTAACTTCACCGGTAGCACACACGTCGGTGCAATCATTGCTTCGACTGCCGGCAAGTACATTAAGCCCGTGCTCCTCGAGCTGGGCGGTAAGGCGTCTGCGATTGTCCTGGACGATGCGAACCTGGATAAGGCCGCGATGAACTGCGCGATCGGCTCATTCATGCACGTAAGTATCCCACCGACACAAACCCCCCCTATTATCGTCGTTAACATCATCCCCAGTCCGGCCAAATCTGCATGTCTACCGAGCGCATCGTGGTGCAGCGCGGTATCGCCGACCAATTCCGCCAGAAGCTGGCCGAAACCGCTGAAAAGCTCTTCGGCAAGGATGCCCCGGCTCTGGTGTGCGTCAACTCGGCCGCCGTATATAAGAACAAGAAACTCGTCTCCGACGCCGTCTCGCGCGGTGCTAATGTCCTGTTTGGCGATGCCAGCGCCAACGAAGCGAGCAGCACCAGCATGCGACCCATCGTTGTCGAGGGTGTTACCAAGGAGATGGACCTGTACGCCACCGAGTCCTTCGGCCCGACCGTGTCTCTGATGGTCGTCGAGTCCGAGGAGGAGGCCGTGGCTCTGGCCAACGACACCGAGTACGGTCTGACCTCGGCCGTGTTCACGAACAACCTGTTCCGCGGTCTGCGCGTGGCCAAGCAGATTGAGGCTGGGTGAGTATCTTCCAGTCTTTTCGAATTCCCGAATTCCCGAATCCCCCGTACTGACGTTGTGACAGTGCCGTCCACATCAACGCCCTGACCGTCCACGACGAGCCCGTCCTGCCCCACGGTGGCTGGAAGAGCAGTGGATTTGGCCGCTTCGGAGGCATCGGCGGCTACGACGAGTTCCTGCAGACCAAGACCGTCACCTGGATGGAGTAAAAAGTATATATTGGAACATTTGGGAAAACATTTAAGGGAGGAAGATTGGCATATGACTCATTTTGGGCTGTCTTTTGGCACTTGATACGATGGATGTTTTGGACGGAAAAGGCTTGGAATACCAGATTGTAGATTGACGAATGCAAATATTGTCTACATTTTAAGTGTGGATGTGCAATATTAACGGAAATTGCATGTGTTGGCTAACGCCTTTGGTACTAGGGCATCGATCTGGGTGTCTGGGATTAATGAGTCGTTGGTAATATGGGATCTTGGCATATACAAGGCGAAATTGAATAATCTATCAAGGAGAGTGATATGTGGTCTAGGCCTTTGTCTTTTGCTTCCCTGCGTGCAAATGCAAGGACCCGAGTTATCCGACTCGGTGTAGCGTGCACTGTTGATTGCTCCACGGGATACCGACGGGCTCCACATCTCCTGCTGAGTGCTAGATAATCTTGGCAAACCCTGCTCTCATCTAGTGGTTCACGGCGATCAAGGGTGGGTGATCTGTACGGAGTATGGCTCGGGTGTTCCTGCATGCCCGTAAGAGCCTAGAACTGCCCAAGGGAGCCACAATAATTCTCGATCGCTTTCCAATTGCATTCCAGCAGACTCGTATCGTGGGTGAGAGAATAGGCAAGTCTGGCAGGGGGTTCGGATGTTGAGATGTGTCCGACAGAGTTGACTTGCTCTCGGATTCTTTTCTTCTTTTCCGATCCGGGTTTCGCGAGCGATCAGATTGACTTGGGAATTTAGTTCAGTCCCTGGAGGACAGGACCCAATCTGGATCCACGGGCAACGCCACGGTAAGCCGGGCGCCTAAAGGGTCACATTTCCGTGGAACGACTCTAGAAGATTGTGGGATTCATTCCGGACCCCAAGAAGTGGCGTCGACACGCGAAATGACAATTTCTGTTTGGGACGGGTCGCTGACCAATGACTTGGAAGTCAGTCTCACGCAGCCTCGGATTCTCCGAGACTAGCGAGCCCTTGCTCTCGGGCGTTGCAAATACTCCAAAAATACACGAAAGACAAAAGGGCGAAGCACCGGACAACCGAAAGCGGACTTTCAAAATAAACAGACCCACGTGCCAAACGGTTGAAACCCAACTGCAAGGGGCGTGTCTTTTTTTTTGTTCGGGATCCGATGATGTAGACCTACTCCTTCAGTCGCGTCCGAGGCACACAACGGCCGTTGGAAGCTCTTTCCAGCCAAGTTCCGAGAGCCATGGGTCGAAAGACCAATAGTGCGGAGGGGGAAGCAGCGAGTGGATGGCTTTCGCCTCGGGCGCCTCCACTCGTCAGGAACAGGAAATCCACTCCAAATTACCGTGCACGCAGTGAGACATTTCAATTTCCCATCTTTGCCCAATTCCCGTACCTGTCGATACTACCGCGGGACCTGCCTGTCTAAGCAACCCGCATGCAATTGGCTCCCCCCTGACCGTTGATCCTTTCCCATGAACACTGCAACCCCGACGAACCGTCACCGTGAGATCAACGGGACGGGTTTTCATAAGGCACTGTGATGGGTGCACCGGCTGTGGAGAAGGCCGCGATCGTCAGGGCCTGGTAGGATTCGGCTTACGATACGGAGTACTCCAGGAACGGACTTGTAAAGGCGTTTTTCTTTTCTTTTGTTTTTTGTTTTTTTTCGGAGTCCGGAGGATGCGAGGGCGTCGGGGGCACGCGCTGTATGGAGGAAAAAGAACACGAGGGAAATGAGAGATCGCGATTTGTGGCGGAGACAGGGGTTTCATTGGTGCTTGGCAAGGAGTCACCAAGGGACATTTCCGGATATGCCCCGGGGCAGCCGCACCTCCACCGGGCTTTGCCTGACCTGTTATGATCCGTAGCATCGACGAGTCTTGCTTTTTTTTTTTGGCTTGTCTCCGGACCGAGAACTCAGATATTTTTAACCCATTCTCAGCCCTGGGGGGAGGGATTATTTCCCTCCTTGTTGACTGTTGACTTGTTGATCGGGGGTCGCGACGGGGTTGAGTTCGCCCCGGCATTTTTAATTTCGTAGAACATTCTCCTTTCGCCCCGGGTCTCACTTGTTTCTGGAAATTGGAAATGGAAATTGGCACCCCCGGTCATGAACCTCGTCACCGTAGTCATAGCCTATGCAGGCCCCAGGAACACTAACACCGCCTCAATATGCCCTGTTATTTACACTTCCCTAGGCGGTACTAGCACCTAGCACCACGAGCCACAGCCCCACGAGCGGCATGGCACCGTCGCATTTCCCAACTTAAGCCTTGATCACCTGGGGACACCACGTTTACTCGGAGGCCACCGTTGGTTTTTTTTTTTTTAGTGGCGTTTGTATCTGGTGAAATGTGATTACCTCTGTACGCTGCGCTGCGCCTCGGGGAACAGGAACGAAAGTAGAACTCGCTTGGAAAGTAGCCTGTTGCATGCCCCACCATGACCGCAGCGATGGAAAGTGGTTGGCCCTGGACATGCTTGGCCGGGTCCCCTGATGGGGCTCTGAAATGTACACTCCACCGCAGACATCTCAGGGCCAGTGCGGGAGTAGAAATGTAGTTCATATCCCCCTCTCTCCTTTCCTTCCCTTCCTTTCAACATTCGTTCCTTCCACCCCAAGTCATTCGCTCTCTAGCTCCTTGCTTTTTCAAGTTTACCAACTTCAGTCACTCTTTATCCAAAACTGTCAATATGCGCTTCACTACCGCTGCTGTCTTCTCCACCCTCGCGGCCTTCGCTGCCGCCTACACCGAGCCCAACTACAAGCTGCCTCCTTCGGGCAACCCCATCTCGAGCCCCGGCCTGAACGAGCAGGTCCCGGAGGGTGCTCCCTTCACCATCAAGTGGGACCCCACCCTCGGCAAGACGGTCTCTCTGGTTCTGCTCCGCGGTCCCAGCACCAACGTCGTGCCTCTGGAGACCATCGTTGAGGATATCCCCAACTCCGGCTCCTACACGTGGACCCCCGGCACCAACCTCCAGGTGGACAACACCCACTACGGTCTTCTCCTCGTCGTGGAGGGCACCGGCGCCTACCAATGGTCCACTCAGTTCGGTATCGCTGCCCCTGCCGGTGGTCACGTCTCCGCTTCCCGTACCGATGACAAGACCACCGCCGCTCCCACTTCCACCCCGTCGGGCACCGTCATCGTCACCGACGATATCACCACCACCTACTGCCCCGAGGAGGAGAGCTCGTCCGCCTCCAAGGCCGCTGCCACCACCCCGGCCTCCGTCCCCGTTTCCTCCTCCTCCACCGTCTGGGCCACCTACGAGGTGACCACCACCATCTGCCCCGAGACCGAGTCCACTGCCGCTCCCACCACCGGCGTGCCCGTTCCCCCCCGTCTCTACTCGCGTCCCCGCTCGCCCCACCACCATGCGCAGCTCCCCCGTCTCCAGCGGCGTCGTTCCCACCGGCACTGCTTCCGCCACCCCCTCCAGCACCCCCGTCTTCAACGGTGCTGGCCGCAACGCCATGTCCCTGGGCGCCATCGCTGCCGGTGTCTTCGCCGTCCTGGCCCTCTAGATGGACCGTTGATGAGCAAAGGGGAGGCAGGGCCCATTGGGCCCAACTTCTTTTTCATCTTACCTTCTGTATGAACCTCCGATCTGGTTGTTGACCAGCATTTCACGAGGAATTTGATCTATCGATACTTGATATGGAAATTCTTTTACCTTTCTCATCTGAGCTGGTCTTGCGTGCATTTCGGATATGTTATGTTTTCTTTCTGTGTACGTTCAAGGGATTCCCAAGTCAGCCATGTATTTTTGTAATGCCATGCCTTAATGCTTGACTTCCCGATGATTCTGTAGTGCTTCCCGTAGACCGGTCCGTGTACATTCCCGATGTCGTCATTGTCAACAACCATTCCAAACTCTGATACCATGCAACCTCCCCGCAGATCACACGATTGTATGTAACACTGCGGCAATCCAGTCCGAACTACAATGCCATGACTTCAACCGGAACCCCAACTCTGGCTACGTCAATGATATGCGTTATCGGACTCTTCAGGGTTCGGTGTTTATTGATATTGACTCCGAGCCAGAATCCATGATACGCCGAGACCTATGGGTAGTACGCTGGGCGTAAAGTTGTAATCAGCTACTAGTACGTGCTCATAGGCTATGGGTTGAAGGACATAACTGGGAATACATACGAAATGTCACGGACTTATGAATGCCATCTACCTTGGAAAATAAACAAGCCCGAATCGGAGCCGACCAATTTTACCTCTATTCAAAAGTCATCAAAAGCGCGACCTTTCAACGAAGCCCTTCAAATCGTAATGTCCATCATCACCATCAGCATAGCCCAATGCAATACCATCTCGGCACTCTGGCCTCCCAACTCTACGAAATCCCATCCAAACAAAGACCCGCTTCAATTGGCGGGCACCGAAGTATAACCGCACCCACCACGTGACCGCGATAAGTCGATAAGGATTTTTCCCCGAACGAGACTTCCGCCTGCAACAAAACTCGTCCCGTGCTGCTGGCAGTACTCTATCCCTCTCCCACGAATCTACACATCCCCCCACCCATCACAATGGCCCAAGGTTCCCTCAAGAAGAGCAAGAAGGCCACCGCCACCGCCCAGCGGTAGGTTCCTCGCTGCCCTCCCTCGGATTCGAAACCTGAACTAACCCGTCGTTAGGGAATCCAGAGCCAACGCCCGCACGAGGCCCGGTCCCCGGCAGATTGCCCCCAAGAAGGCGGCTTTGGTTAGACAGGCCAAGTTGAACAAGGTACGTTGGCTGAGTTTCGAGTCGGAACTGTTGTGCTTCACCCACCCCCGATTCCTACAGTTTTGTTAACCAACACCCCGCCCTTTACAGAAACTTACCTCGGGCCTCGTTACAATGACCGAGCGCAGTCTGGCGCAGAAGGCGGGCCACTTGGAGCTGCTGGCCGGAGGCAAGAAAGACAAGAACAAGCAGAAGAAATAAACGGGACGGACACTGGACTTTTTCAATGGATCCTGAAATACTTTGGGGATTTCTTGGCTCGGCGTCCAGTCCCTTATCGCATTAATGGCGATATGATTCATGAATTCGATACCCCGTTTTTTTGTTGTCTAGGCAAATCTATTGGTTTCTACTTCTAGAAGCGAAAGGTGTATTCACAGGAAGGCCATGTACAAAACCGCCCGAAAATGTTGCGGCAATCGTCAATCATAAACAGATGTAAGTATGGTGTAGAGGTCGTAATCGTCCAGCACAAACAAGAATGAAAGCGAATAGGAAACAAGGGGAAATGAAAAAAAAAAAAAAGAAAGAAACAGAAACAAAAAAAAAGGGTATCAATAGTTCCTCCAACTCCAGTCCCGTCCCACGTTCCATGCCATATGAGTGTTGCTCCTACATCTTCGAGACCCGCCCCGGTACACCGGATTGCTCGATCAGGTCCCGACCGTGGTTCATCCAGGTCTGGAAGCCTGCGTCTGATGCGTCGGAGGGGAAGTCGTCCCAGATTGGGTTCTCCGAGTCCGCATAGGACGACCACGTGCCCTTGGGGACATCATTGGTCGACCAGGATGGTAGTTTGGCCAGGACGCAGGTGTAGTAGACGTATAGGATGCGGCAGAGCAGCTCGACCCGTTCGACGTAGTGCTGCTGAGATGGGTCGGGGTTGTGTCCACCGTCGCCGAGCATCTTCCACCACGAGACGCGCCATCGCAGCGAGAGCAGGATGTGGCCCAGCTCGTCCAGGAAGCGAATGTGCGCCTCGTGAGAGATCTGCTTCCATTTGATGTTGTAGAAGTCACGCTCCAGTTTGCGGAAGCCTTCGACCTCCATCATGCGGCAGACGATGCGCGAGAGTTGAGCTGCAAGCAGGATGTCACGTCGATCTTCGGGGTCGTTGATGTCCATGGAGCGCTCTTCCCCGTTGGAGTCGAGCGGGACGATGGTGTACTTTGCGCGACTGGGCATGTTGTTCCACCGTGATAGGAGGGACTGGATGGAAAGGTTAGACCGTTATACAAGATTTGGGTGGGTGATGTGCGAAACTCACGTATGCTTGGTTCATCGGATCGCAGTCCTTGACACAAGTCAACCAGTTCTTCGACTTGTCCTTGGATTCGACGATGCGACGGTCAATGAAATCCAGGAAGGTCGATTTGGAATTTCCGTTGTACTCGCTCAAACTCTTCAAGAACTTGTACGTTTCACCAAGGTCAAGCACATATAGAGAACCCCAGGCCTGGCTGGCGCGGATGTTGAACCGGCCTTGGCGCTCGCCGAGGAACGACAATAGTTGATTGAGGTCAAATTCAGAGGGGATTGCCATCCGAACTCTGCCCCTGCCGTCCACTGTTGGGTGGTTTACAGCTCGTTGAGAGATGTAGTTGCATGTGCCGAATTCGACAATGCTGGAGAAACAGGCCCGAGCACACGGTTGCTCGTGAAGAGTAGGGCGACAAGCATCGCAAGGCGAGCTTCCATCGCACTTGCGCTTGTTGAGTCGGCATTGAACACAGGTGTCCTTGTTCTTTCGGCGCATGCCGGCGTTGGCTCTTCCAACCATGCTGAGTGGGCCCTTGCGACGAGCACCGCGTGGGGGCGATACAAAGTCTGCAGACGCGATTGAGCCACCCTGTCCATCTTCCTGGACAATCTGCAAAGGCTTGGGTTGACCCTGGTCCATGGAACCTTGGGCACTCCGATTCTTGCGCTTCCGCACCGTAGCTGCAGACTGCATGGCAAGAGGCGTGGGCCGGCCCGAGTTGCGCTGGCCAGCAGAGGAAGAAGCTCTTGATCGAGAGGGAACCGTGCTAATCAGAGACTCCGACGGGGTTTCGCTGACCATGAACGCAGTGGTCTTGGGGCCGCACGTCTCCTTCGGAGAACCACCTTCAGGCGTAGAGATTTTCCAATGAGAATCATCATCCAGCTGGTGCTCCACAAAGGTTGGCACCTCTTCGCTCGTGGCAGAGTACGAGCACTCATAGATTCCAGACAAATCGCCCGAGACAGACGAGCTTTCTGATTTGAAGTGGAACCCGTCATGTCCATTTTGGCCATTCTTCTGAGCCACCTGAGCCGCGATTGCAGATGCGGAAGGCATCTGTGAGACATGAAGCGGCGACTGCAGGTTGTTGAGCCATCGAGACTCGACTGGCCGTGCCCGAGGCTGAAAATCGCGCACGGAGGAATCATTCGCCTCGTTCTGCGGGTGCATGGCCATCGGGACAGATCCACGCCCTGACATCTCCTCCATGGGAAGGCCGTTTGGAAATTCAAGCCACTGGTTCATCATCGGGAATTGCGGGGGGGCCTGTTGGAACGTGACGGCCTCTCCCGGAGCATCCGGGAATCCCTGGCCCTGGGGCATTTCTCCAGCATCCTCCACTATAACAGCACCGGTCGAGTTGGTCGATGCTTTGCCGTAAGGGTAGAGCATAGGCGCCGCTTCCAGAGACATACCGGCCGCGATAGAGTTGTACAACTGGAAGTGCGGCCAAGTTTGATTGCCATGGAAATTATCGTCGGCGGAAGATGGCAGCGTACGAGGGCTAATTGTACCGCTACCGGTGCCCTCGACGGCCCCATCGGCGTAGTTGAAATTCTCAAAGGTCACATCGCGATTCCTAGAAAAGCTGACTGTCAGCGGTCTTGACTTCGAGACTTGACCGGATGACGCCCACCTGTTCTGCCGATCACCAGAACGATCCAGCAACGATCCCGTTAGAGGGTCGTGGAAAGCGCCCAGGTCCGCAACATCGGCACACTGGCTCGAGTCCTGGCTGGTGTCCCACTCGGGCGATTGATCGTATGGAATATGTTCCCACGATTCGACGGAGAAAGCGCCGTCCGTTTGCCAATTATCTAGTATTTTGGGGTCGATACCCGCAGCTGTTCCCGCGCTTCCACAGTCCATACAGGGTATGTAGGAATGGAAGTTGGCGACGGAGTCGACCAGGCCGAGCAAAGGTCCCAAAAAGACGGAGCTTTTTGCGACTTTGCGAAACTTCGGGGATAACGGTCGCAAGTTACGACCGTAAGAGATTCCGATATCGAGAGTTGGAGAGATGTAGATTGATGAAAGCCGATGGGAAGAAGATGATTGTGACGGGATTCCCCACCACTAAAGTTTTGCGACCTGCGATAGTCTCTAGCGTGTCTTAGGTTCCGCACAGACCACCGTTGGGACTATGGAATTATTTTTTCCTTGAGTGCTGCAGACTATAGAATAGACCTAGTTGCTATTCGAATACTGTTTTTGATAGTTATCCGGCTACAGTTTCCAAAAAGTCCAAGAATGCCGCCCTACACAATACACAGGAGGGTATGGGTAGTGAGCTGGCACCGGATTAGAGATACCGAGCACGAGGTTGATCTTACGCGAGTCAATCAGCTAATGCCCCTGATAAAACAGGTCCGTGCCTTCCACGGTACGTACTCACTGTCAAACACAAGAAAAAAAAGAGTGCAGACCAGGTTGTACCGTGTAGTCCGTAGCACCGAGCACACCGGGTTTTACCTTTCTTGCCTCAGGCATGAGGTGGTGGATGATTCAGCAGCCGGGGTCTGCGACTGAAGTACATGCATGTGCATGTACAGGAAGTATAAAAGTATAAGGCTGGTGTCCTACAGACTATATCAATGAAACTAGCCTCCAAGGCACTCTATATACCTCGGTAGATATCGGAAACCATAGTCTAGACCAAGTACACAGGGCTTAGCATACTTCCCCCTGTCAATCTGATTTCAGTCACCAGACTTACCATTCCTGACGGATCGGTTCACCGCAGACTCCATTTCGGGCCTGCGATTGCCGCTCCCCGCAGCTTTCACAACTTCACCGCGAGCCCGAGTTCCTCATTCGGCCTGCCGGTCATTCAAATGGCTCAATCCTTTCGCGGTTTCTATTACCACATATAAGTCAGGGCTGGCCCCGGCGCCGTGCGGCCTGCGATACTCGATCTTTTTCTCTTTTCTTTTTCCTTTTTTTTTTTTGATACCTAGGTACATCATAATATTCAGGCCAGAGCCCGGTTTGTACTCCGGAGAAAAAAGAAAAAGAAAGCAAATCCCGAGGTCGCCCTTGGTGAAGAGAATTGGCAATGCACATTCTGGTAAGTAGCGGATCGTCGAGTTCACGCGCACCATCTTCTCTTTTGTTCAGCGCGCTTTGCCTCGGGAAATCCTGGTACTGCCAAGGTGGTTCCGCAACGAAACAACATTTGAAGCTATCGCATTCCTGTTCTAGCCCTGGATAGCCTTGAAATGTCATTTGCTACATCGTCTTCAAATCTTACAATGGGAAATGAAAAGATTATTCCAAGGTTAACACTTCCAAATAGGTAGTCAACGACGACGGGCCGCCGAACAAGCGGCTCTCGCCCTACGTGCGCCCGCTCGTCGACGAACTCCAAAGCGCGGGCCACCTAGTCAGCGTCGCTATCCCAGCCGCCTCGCGCTCATGGATCGGCAAAGCACACCTGATCGAAGCCTCGCTGACCGCTCACTCTGTACACCCGGACTCTTTCCGCGACGACGGCACCTGGGACGAAAGCTACAAATCAACGGCCGAGAACGAGTGGGTAGTTATTGAGAATGGCACACCGGCCAGCTGCGCCCAGCTGGGTCTCTACAACCTCTTCACGGATCGTCCGCCTGTTGACCTCGTGATTTCGGGCCCCAATCACGGCCGCAATGCCTCCACGATCTATAACCTGTCCTCGGGTACCGTGGGTGGTGCTCTTGAGGCTGTGTTCTGCGGAAAGCGCGGTATTGCTATCTCCTTTGGTAGCAAGGATCCGCAGCCGGCGGACATTATTGAAGCTGCGGCGCGTCTTGCTGTGCGGACGGTTGAACATTTGTGGCGCAATTGGGATGAGCGCGTTGAGCTGTATAATGTCAATGTTCCCATGCGCATTGATGTTGAGACTCAGCCTGTGCTATATACTCGCACTCTGCCTTACTACTGGTCTCGTGGGTGTTTGTATGCCGAGGCTGGGGCGGAGGCTAAGAGCAAGATTGTGAACGGGGTGACGAATGGTGTCAACGGTGTCAATGGGGTCAATGGTGCTGAGGTGAAGCATTGCAATGGCACCCATGTCAACGGTGTCAATGGGGTCAACGGCGTTAACGGCCATGCTGAGCAACCAAAGCGCAAAGAGCGCCATTTCAAGTGGTCTGCTGATCTGTCGGATATGAAAAAGAGGCTGCAGGAGAGCGAGGAGGGTACAGATGCGCATACAGTATTGAATGGGTCAACGAGGTAAGATACTCCGCCATTGTTTCCGATATACTCTGCTGACCCGAGCCAGTGTGACTGCTCTTCGCGCCAATTTCTGGCATGTGCCCGATCTGGAAGGACCACTGGACCTGAATCAATAAGACCGTCCCGAACGTGACGTTTGACACGCATATAATGTTTCTCTTTTCTGTCATCTTGGGTTTCTCTAGGCGCCGGGCCTTTTGATCTTGCATTTGGAGCAGCGTATAGAGGAGCGATGTCTAAGGCACTTTGTACATATTGCGGATCGCATTTACCATGGACATCATTTACGATTTGACTATCGCTGGACAGCCCGGTAGAGACGGGCGCAATGTAACATATGGCATATAAAAGCTTCGAAAGTGGGTGTATCTCATGAACTCAAATCCGCTCTGGACTATCACATCGCGCGTGCGGCCTCTCCGGCGCCGCTATCAACTGTAGTCGCCTGCTCGGCGCGCATCTTGCCCTTGCCAACTCCACCTTCGCCAACGCCCATGCGGCGAGCCACATAGCGCTGTGCGACGACACCGGCCGCCAACGACAGCGTCTCCTCGATCCATTCTGCAACCCACTCGCGCGGGTCCACACCTCCACTCTCGATGATTTCGGCGATGGACTCGGGCAGCACTGAGCGCGGCATTTGTGCGTCCTCGGACTCTGGGTCCTCGGCGGCCGGTGCAGATGCATCGAGCCACTCGATCCACTTCTGAGGGATTGGTTGGGAGATGGTGTGGAAGGCAATGCCGTGGATAGGATCGTGGAGATACAGAGCGAATGTAATCTCCTCGTCTTGCTCTTTAGGCTCAATCGCACCGGAAGAAGAATCCTTTTCGCCTGATGCGCCGGCCTGGAACATATCCGCCGAGACGGACTGGCTGATAGCCTGGATGGCGAGGAAGATATCACTGCTGCGAACCGGGTTTGACTCGCTCAGCTCTTCCGTCGCCTGCTTCGCCGCTTCTTCGATTCCACCCTTCGCCGAGAAGTACTCGGTCGCGTACCCCTCGGCGCTGGCGCGGGCCAACTTGGATGCCTCGACGGCACCGCGCACCGCATTGATGGTCCGCGGGGTACCAGGAGTGACTGTCCGCCACCAGGGCCCGTCGCTCCAGCCGGCGCTGGAAATGTAGCCGCCGACATCGAGACCGCGCTTCGGGGCTGACTCCTGACCCCGTTGGATCACTAGCAAGTCTCCGCCCTCGACTTGGGACATTACGCGCGAGAAAACGGCATATACCAGCGGGTCGACGCCGGGGTAGCCTGAGAGATCGTGGGTCACATGGATTTGAAGACGTTCGTGCGACGAGATCGGAGGTGCAAGGGTGTGGATGAGGTTGGTGAATGTCGGTATCGCCATGTTGCGGAGCTCGCCGCCTGCGCAGAATATGTCAGCATGGTAGACCATAGATATGATACAGATAGCAACGTACCAAAGTCCTTGAGGGCTCCAACGTTGCCCTTCATTTGCTGAGCCCATCGTTGAGCTTCCTCGTTGTTCTGGATTTCTTTGACGGCAGCTTCAGCTTGCTTCATAGCTGCGCTGGCCGTCGCAAAGATTCCTCCCCACCATCCACCCCCCTGAGCCTCCTGTGGTGCTGTGTTCTCCGGCTCTGCCTTTGGCTGCTCCTGCTTAGCGCCCGTGCGAGAAGTGCGACCTGTCTCCTCCGACTGACGAGCGGACGTCTTCTCCTCGCTTGGTCGGTCAATAGTCGCACTAGGTCGAGGAGAACGCGTGGAGGGGCGGGCCCTGTCAGCAGACAGACGTGGAGTACCAGGTCCGCTGCTGGGTCGCTGTGTAGCCAGGTGGTCCAGCTCGGCGAGAATGTCTTCATGGCCCGCCTTTGCATTGTCGGGGGTGGTTGCGGGTTTGGGCTTGTCGCCGGACTGCTTGACATCGAGGTTATCGAACTGAGCGAGTAGCTCATCGCTTGTAGGTTTGGCTGCCTTGGGCGGCATTGTATTTGCTTGAGGATCAACTGGGTTGTTCAGGGGAGGTGACGACACCGGCACCGTTTGTTTGGAGCTCCCGAAGCGGCTGCTGTGGAGACCTGCCAAGACCGCCGCAGGCTACATTCTCTGCACTATACTTGGACGCACTTGGAAAGAGTATTCTGATGGACTCGGGGGAGCGCTAACAAATTGGCTTGTTGCTTTTGAATCTGCTTTGGCTATTGCAGACCTGCCAAGATGAAGGTTGCGTTAATGTATGGTATTTCAGGGTTGCAGCACGAACAATACCAACAATCCTTCCTCATGGTGATTGTAGCAACGTCTTCCACCTGGGTATGGAGAATGAATGACGGTATAGTACCTACTAGCGACTTGGCTCTTTCTGCTTGGTCATTAGACGCCTAGCTAGTAATATAATATGGATCCATGGATACTACCTGTATCTCAATTATTCTTTTTCCTGTCTATCTATTCAAGCAAATATATCTTGCAATCACACAACCGCCGGGGGTGAACATTAGAACCTTGGAATTGTAAGCGAGTGACTCCTGGCAAATTGCGACCAAGCGAGCCTTATTTTTGACAGAAACATCCAGCCAAGCCAAGCGGAACTCGTGTATGGAATAGGAAGATTCGACTTCCGCGGCTTTATTACCGGCCCCATTCCGGCAGCGGGGCCACGCGGGGTTTGTCGATAAAGGAGTGGCATAAATAAAGCTCATTTTTCCTTCCGCACCTAAAAGAGGATAATCAATCTTGCGAAAAAGTGCTTCGTACCGACACCATTCCCATTGTTTCTCAAATATTCACCGTTACAGGAGTACGCGCCATTGAGGCGGTCCATCGAGTCATTCCGCTCTACCCTTCGATCTCAGATCTACCCGAGGTCGAGTCCTGAAAAATAGCGACACCATGCGTCTCCCTTACGTGCCAGACCCTCCGCCTACAGCCACAGAAGACGAGGCAAAGATTCTGGCGAGTGTACAGGCCCGTCGAGCTCCAAACCCGCTCCTGCCGCTCGACCTCGCACTCTTACACTCTTTCCCGGTCGCCGAGGGATGGAACTCGTTCATTGGAGCCATCCGCACTCGCACAAGCTTATCAACCGTGGTTCGTGAGCTTGCCATCTGCCGCGTTGCAGTGGTAAACGGTGCATTGTTTGAGTGGGAACAGCATGCGCCATTGCTCCAGGAAGGTGGGCTGAGTGAGGAAGCGTTGCAGGTTGTTGGGGATGCCAAGACAGATTTCTCCGACGAGGCTGCGGAGAAGGCGTTGACTCGAGAGCAGAGGGCGGTGCTGAAGTATACGGATGCAATGACCAAGACCGTGACGGTTCCAGACGAGGTCTTCCAAGAATTGAAGGGCTGTTTCAATGAGAAGGAGGTTGTCGAGATCACAGCCACCGTGGCTGCATACAATTGTGTGAGCAGGTTTTTGGTGGCGCTGGATGTCGGGGAGAAGAACCATTGATTACTTTGGATCCTAGGAGGATGTATCGTTAATGTCGGAATCAAGTATCTATGACGTTGTTCGTAAGGTACAACAGGTGACTACCTTATCTTACGCCCCAAGGATACAAGGATACTCCGAATGGGCAGAAATTAACTTGGACATGTCCCCAGTACTTATAAAGCCTAGAGCCTTGGAAGAAGGTACTAAGTAGCATCGTCATTGATGCAGAGTGTAGGTGATGAGAATAAATCCCTTGTGTGATCAATCTACCGTCGGACGCTAGCGATGACGAAAACAAAACAGTTATCAAGAAAAACAGTGAACAGGAAGTGCACCACAACATATGAATTTGCAATCCATGCCGGCTGAATAGTTCACGGAGCGACCTACAGAGGCGCCGAGAGGTCGGAAAAATGTGAAGCAAATATGTGAGGTCTGTGCTTCGTGGCTTGAGACATGCGACAATCGGAACTAAGGGGCGAACGAAGGAGCCCGGGGAAAAAACAATACAAGCTTCCAGATTGATTTGTACGTTCTGCTTGATGTCAGTTTGTCTGTCCATAGAGAAATGGCAGAGGCATTTTTCTTGAATTGAGGGCAGGTCGTGGCTCTAGCGGTGCCCGGACAGACGTGAGGGATACCCTCCAGGGCGTAACCCTGAATGCGCATGCCCATCGAATGTATAGTCCTGCTGGTCTGGCGATTGAGAGGGAATGGTTTGTGTGAAACTGACGTCCTAGGCATCAGGCAGCGAAGCCCATTGATGATCCGCCGGTAGCGATAAAAGTCTGATTGTCCAGGATACAGCAATACAGGCTCGGGGGAGACAGAGGTGAACGAGGCATCATGCAGGGACAATAGCGTGAGTTCCATAGGGTAGTGACGGTACGGAGTACTTCACTGACAACGGTCCAACACGCAATAGGAAGAACAACCTCCCTACGTATCCGGGGCCAGCCAAAGTGGCTAGTAGATGAAGGGCCGTTGATTGGCGGAACCGGGCCAGAAGTGGGGCCAGCTGTAATGGTCACTAAGTTCACTACAAACTAAACTACTCCCTCTCAATCTCTTTTCTGTCGCGCTCAACTTCTTCCCATCATCCTTATCTCTTTCTCCCCTGTTCTTTCTTCCCTGTTCTTGTCAGAGTCTGATTCCTCGGTGGTGGTTTCATCCATCCCCCTGTTTTTTTTTTTCATTCTCCCCTTTCCCGCTGCCCTGCTGTAAGATCCTTTTTTTTTCTACATACTCCCGGTTCGCGACCACGCTGGTTCTACCAATCCCCAGCATTGTCGCCTTCCAGCAGATGTCCTTTGATACGTTTCTTCTCATCCTGTGATTTTCTCTCTCATCTCTTCACTCTTCGGGGGTTGTTGCCGCAGGCGCGGAGACGCTTCGCCATCCGCCCCAGCCTTCCAGTACACATCCCTGGCAGCCGCTCGCGACCTGGCGCCTCCAGTCTCCGTAATTGGCACGATCGGGTCTCAACTCGAGCTTGAACTCGAATTTGGTAATTTCCTGGGTTCTCAGTTCATGGTATGTGCGCGATTTTGATTTTCCCTACTCTATTCCCTACACTTCGGGTCAGATCCTGATCCACACAATTTGCCGCGACCGTGTCTGCATCTCTGCTTTCCCTCGTCTGTACCCCTACATCATGTTCGAACCATTTAGACTTGCGCATGATTGTGGCTCGCATTTTCGCGCTTCGATCTATTCGCGTTTTTCATTCTCTCACTCCCCCGTTACTCCCCTGAGGCCGGGGGTCAACTGTCTGCGCTGCGATTACTTCCTGGCGTCTTGGCACCGCAAGCGAACCGCCCGAAACTAACGAACTATACAGAACCTCCTCGCCTTCCACTTCTCGATCTGACACGTCAGGTCTTTCTTTTTGCCTTGCCCTCTCTATCTAGGGGGGCACTTTCTCTTATCATCTAATCATGGCCCCCATCCCGAGGCCTGATTTAGATATGGACAATCCGTCCTCGGATGTGGGCGACAGTCAGGATTCGCCGCTGCGCCGACAGTTCTCCGAACCTTTCCGGCCGCAGTCAACTTCCACCCAAATTTCTCAGTCGCCTGAACCATTCTCGCGCAAATTAAAATGCGACTGGTGTGGAAAGCTTCTCGAGCGTCCAGATGATCAGACCATCTCTGAAGAAGATGTGCTCAATTCTCACGTCGCCCAAGAGCATCCTTCCCATGATCAATACGGCTATGATGACGCCGAGGATGAGAATGCAGAAATCGATGAAGACGAAATCGATGAAGATGCCGAAGAAATCGACGAAGGTGATGACGTTGACGAAGAAGCCGAGGCCGAAGGCGAGGGTGAAGAACATGAACAGCTCGACGTCAACGGAGAAGATGTCGTGAATGGCACGACTCAACCTGAAGAAGGCTTTCACGGCGAAGACGAGCCCGTGACTGCTGCTCCATCCGTCAACGGCGAGCACAGCGACGCCGAGAACGAAGTCGGCAAGATCTCTTTTATTCCCATAAAGATTGCCCAACGTGCTTCCGGGAAACGCGACCTTGTTGAATGGCTCTCAAATCCTAGAACTGCCTATGCAGAGGATTTCAAAAAGCGCGTGGCTGAATGGCAAGGCCCGCAAATGACCGATCGCCTTTCCAAACTCTGGACGGTGAACGATGTCAACCAATTTTGTCCTACATACGAACAGAACTTGGCCAAGGTAGATAACACCTGGCAAAATGTCTTTCAAGATGCAAAGCCAAAGAAGCGCGATGCGTCTGAGCCCCTGATCCGTCCTGATCCGTACAAGAAGACCAAGACTGACAAGGGCCAATTCCTCGATCTCAATTCACTGGACGACTTGTTAGAAATGCTTCGCAAGCCCGAGACTCTTTCACCTGAAGAATTGTATGCCGTCACCGAGGCTGCAGAGTTCGCGATGAGAGTCTGGCAAGATGAATATCTCGCCCTCGACCAGCTCTACCTCTCGGCACATCGCCATCACCGCAGTGCACTTCCCCCGGATGCGAAGCGAGACTTCATGATGGGCATCAAGAAGAAGACGAGTCACCCTCTCGCTCGAGTACCGGAAGATCCTCGCAACTTCGAGGACCGGAAGGAGGCCATGCTGTATGGCTACAAGCACGTTTTCCACAACCAGAACACAAGCACCGCTGTCATGTGGAACCCGCAGAACCCGTTCACTCAGGGTGGCTTTGTTCCGACACCTGCTCAGGCCAGAAAGATGGCCACCAAGGTCGCACCCGACGACCGAAACCCCGACGGCTGGGCTCCTGTCATCAAGCATGGCACGGAGTTTATCCCCAAGCTGTGGGAGCAACGAAAGGAACCTCTGGCGCCCAAGTACACCCGCAAGCGCAAGGCTGTGGAAGTTGATACATCCAAGACGGACACCGAGACACAAAACGACTCTGCAGATGAGACCGAAGAGGAGGAAATCCACCCCGCGAAGCGACGCACTCGAGGCCGTGGTGGCCGACGTCCTGCATTTGAGGCATACCAGCCAGTTGAGCCCCCCGTGAGTACTCCTCGCGGCCGTGGACGAGGCCGTGGTCGTGGTCGTGGCCGAGGAGTTGGCCGACCCCCAATGACCCGGGCTTCCTTGGATTCCAACCAGGCTACTATCTACACTCCTACTTCTGGCCGAGGCCGAGGCCGACGTGGTGCAAGCACTGTGGTTGCCGCTACACCTCACGTCTCCCGCTCGACAGAGGAAACTGCCTCATTGCCCACAGATTCTCCAGCACCCGAACCAAACTCCTCGACCAAGGTCACACCTTCTCTGAGAAGGGATGCCACCCAAGAAGAAATTGAGGAAGCTCGCCGCCTGAAGATCATGAATTCGAAGAACCCCAAGCGAACCAAGGCCATGCTTGACCACTGGGAGCGTTTCAACCGCGAAGGACGCATCCGCAACCCCAAGCGATCCAAGGCACAGATCGAACAGGATCGTGTGCATGACGATGTTCGAAAGATCAAGGAAGTCTCCCGGCCTCCTGGACGTCGCCGTCGATCTCCTTCCCTTGCTCCCATTCCCACTGGAAACCTTGCACCAAAGGCACCCAACACCATTCCGCCCATGGCCGGGCAACCCCCGCACATGGGCCCTGGCCCTACTCTGCCGTCGATTGGCATGACTCACTACGCACCTAATCCTTTCAGCGCGCCTCCTCCCCCTCCCCCTCATGCCCAGCTTGGCCAACCTATGCCTGCTCAATATGCACCATTCCCCTATGTTCCCTACCAGCTGGGTCTACCACCACCACCTCCCCCCGATCACCACCATCACCGATGAGTCGGATCACCACCTCCAATGAGTTTGATCAAAACCATCAATGAGTCTGATATTTACAGCGACTGTGTATTCTACTTCTGAGTCTGTACGATAGCATTACCCGCGGGAAGCCTATCGATGCTACTTTGGCTTTCTGGTGGGCCTCTGCAAAACGCAAATTATTTTACTAGTGCAAAGCTTTTCGCTATACAAGCTGTCTACTTCATATTCCCTTGTAAACCCACCTAGAGCAAGCTATGCCGGGTATAGTAGAGTATCGCACTAGGATTATGCAGAAAAAGATGAAAGGACTTCAACGGGGCTGGTAGAGAGAGTCTAGAAAGGAGGACTGCACACCGATTTTTCGATTCGCTTCGCATCTGATTAAAAGACCAGCCGCCATAATTGGCCGGCTCCAACCACAATGTAGATGAGTCGAGAACGTTTCTTTCGCTGATAGAGGTGTATAGTACAAAATCACGTGGTGAAGACCATCACGTGCGCTTGGACTTGGCCGTGCCCGCTCTCGTCTTGAGGTAACCTGCGTCACTTCCTAATTTCGATTCGTCTTCATTGCGTCTCTGCATTCGCCATTCTGTCAAGTTTTCTAGACGGCTTGTCTGCTCAGCTGTCGTTAGGTCTATACCCACAGTCGCAATGGGCAAAAAGAGACGCGGTCCATCCCTGGACGAGCTCATGGCTCGTCCATGGTGCTACTACTGCGAGCGCGATTTCGACGACTTGAAGATTCTCACGCTGCATCAAAAAGCAAAGCATTTCAAGTGCGACAAGTGTGGTCGCAGACTGAATACTGCAGGAGGTAAGAGTCCCCGGCGCATGCTTGCGACAATTGTCCCCCGGAAACGCCAGACCTAATCGATCGCACGCTTCTAGGATTGTCGGTACACATGAGCCAAGTCCACAAGGAACAGCTCACGGAGATTGAAAATGCTTTGCCCAACCGGGCAGGTCTTGATGTTGAGATCTTCGGCATGGAGGGTGTGCCTGAAGATGTGCTGCTCGCTCATCAGCAGCGCGTCGCCGCACAGTTCCACCAGGCTGAGGCTGAGCGCCAGGCAGCAACTGGTAACCCGCCTGCAGGCAGTGGAATGGGTGGGCAGCCTGCGAAGAAGCCGAAGCTGGAGGATATGTCGGAAATGAAGAGGCGATTGGCAGAACATCGAGCAAAGAAAGCGGAAGCAGGTACTGGTGGCAGTAGCAGAGAAGCAACCCCCGCGAGCTCAGGACCAACTGCACCGCCTGCACCGCAGTTCGTGCCAAAGGCTGATAATGCATATGTGAGTTCCACCCTAATTCAGCGCGAGTTTGAGCCCTAAAACTGATATATCTCCACTAGGGACAAACCCCCGCTGCGTCTGCACCTGTTCCACCGCAACAGTATTCCTACCCCCAACCCTACGGAGGCGCCCCTGCCGCTCCCTACCAACAGGTCGCTAGTCCGGTCTATCAGACATTCTCTCCTGCCAGCGGGCAGCAATTCCCTGGTGCTGCGCCTTACCCTCCCGCCGGGTACCCTCCTCAGATGCCCGCATACCCTCCCACTCCCGGCTACGGGGCTTCTCCATTCCCTCAGCAACCTACATCCACCGAATCTACCCCTCCCCCACGGCCTGGTAGCATCCCAGCGCCCAGTGGCCTCCCACAACGCCCACACTTCGGCGCACCTGCAGTCAATGCGCAGCAGATGCAGCAAATGCACATGGGCCACGCAGTCCCACCAGCACAAGGTCACGGAAACGGAGACGCGAACCAAACGACCGGCCAAGTTATCTCATCGGTTAACGATCTAATTTCGGGCGCGGCAAAGGATGCCGCAGAGAAGCCGACCAAGAAGGAGAAGTCCAAGGCTACGAGAATGATTTACCTGCATGATACGATCAGCCCCGAAGAGAAGATGTCTCAGCTCCCGCGGTACGCCGTCGCACGCCCACAATTCCCGGAGCATACAGTGCTCGGCAACGGCCCCGACGCCGCGGTGGTGGGAACGATCCGTGATTCAGATACGGTGTTAGACCCGGCACACTAAGAGAAAAGAAAGACAACATGGTATCGGTCTCTCCATCCTCTGATATGGCGAATCAGATTCAAAGGGTGTCTACAGTGACGGACAACAGACTCCAGCTAAGTTCGACGTATACTCTGGCAACATATGAACATTCTATCTGGCTGGCTGGCTTTGTACCTGCCCTGATTGCAATCAGTAGTTCCGGCGAAAGACAAGCCTGCCTCCCGAATGATCCTGGAAATAGAGTTGGTTCTCGATGCGCTTGAGCCTCGGTGAGTCTGGGTCGACGGTTCTCTCCCTTTCACTAATCGGGATTCACTGGCGCCCTGAAGGATACCACCGTACGTGTCTCTCTCTTTCTCGGCTCTCGTGTGTTTCATCTTTTCTTCCCGTCTCACGGCCTGGATGTGAGTCAATTGAGCCTTTTGTCCAGGCTCGACGATATATCTACCCTAATGTGAGTTTACCATTAGCGTTCTCGAGGTAGGGAATCAATCATTTCATGATGTCCAATTGTATGATCCCCAACTTATCGTGTAGGCTTGTGCTATACTCGACGGATAGTAGTTCCAACGGTTGTCATACGTATCGTACGATCCCAACACCCACCGAAATAAACGTCACCAGGACCCCAACTCTTTGAAACTCGAACTCAATTCAACTGACGGAGTATCTTCGCTAGAAACACAGAAAAGAAGATAAAAGTAAAAGGGCACAGGCCCATCTCCGGTCCACCTACATCTCCCAACCACATCCAATAAGCACCTACAAGACCAATCAATCAAGACCCTATAAGCTTAAGCTTGAGCTTAAGCCCTCTTCTCCCGGAATGCAAGCCCAAACACAACAACACCATAAGTAGCAAGAACCGAAAGCCCAAGAGGCACGGGCTTACCCCCGGTCTTAATAACGCGGGGAATCGAGCTCCCGCCTAGCACAGCCGAAGCCAGAAGACCAAGCTCCTCGCCGAAAGTCTCGCCGGAGCGTAGGCGCGCAAAGCTCAGGAGGTAGAGGGCTCCCACGGAAAGACCAGCGGCAATTGAGGGGATCGAGCCGGTACGCGCGTATCCGATCGCTCCACCGAGGGAGGTGAGGACCGAGAGGGCGAGGGCGGAGTTGGTAGGGAGGGGGTTTTGGTTGGCCTTGTTGGATTGTTAGTTTTTGGTTCTTGGAGACATGAGGGTGTGTGGAGGAGATGTAACGTACCATTTTGGTAGTGTGGTTGTTTGTTTGGATCGGGGTTGAATGAGGTGGAGTGATGATGGTGAAGCTGGGGGAGCTGTGGACCCGGGGATTACTAAGGTGGTCGGGACCTCGGGATTGTCTATGCAGGTGTGAGACGGAGACGACTAGGTAGTACAAACCCTAGAGGGGTAGAAGGGTGGTCCGAATTACAATATCCTCTGAGAAGAGGTCTTTGTCCAGTCCTCGCGGGCTATTTTGTGATCTGGGCTGTAAATTGCAAGATAATGTCGCTCACGGATAACCCTGACCTGTTCTACTCTATCCGTTCAAGAGCTTTCATGTCAATTAACAGGATCTAGAAAAGCATGTCTTTGTATTGATAATCAGCAGAACGTCAATGTCATTTCTCATTCTAATATGCAATGCTATTTTCTAAGATAGCCCCCAGTATCTGTGTACATAATTTTAAAGGGAGCTCACTCATTACTACCCCAAGTCATCAAGTCAGTCTCCTGCACGGGCATCTGCCATGAAAATTCCACTGTCACTTTGCAACTTTGGTTGTACAAGTGGAGGAATCGGCAGCACCATACCCTCGGGACCCTCCATCCTGATCCTGATCCTGGTCTCGGTCCTCTCCCTCATCTCCTTCCTCATCTTTCCGAGAAGGTCCCTCCTGCTCAACAATCCAGTACGCGGGAAGGATGGCGAAGGATCCCAAGATACCCAGAAGCCACCACGGAATCACGACGGACCCCTTCTTGATCCCCCAGGAAAAGGCGGCTCCAATCAGAGCAGGGCCAGCGGCACGTCCCAGAGCACTTACACTTGTCCCAACGCCGTTTAACGTACCCAGAACGGTCATGCTCGCAGCGGAGTTGGTGAGAAGGATGGTGCAGCAGGGTATCCCGAAGACCGACGCACCGAGTTTGGCAAGCATAATCAGCAAAACCGCCGCAAGTTGCAGTGACTCCGGCACAAGAGCCGTGAAGGGAGTAAGGAAGAAGATGATGGGTATGGCAATGGCGGCGCATTTGAAGCAATTCAGTACGCCATAACGCTGCACTATCGGCGGGAAAAACAGGAATTGAATCATCATGCCTGCAATTCCAATGACCGTGTAGTAAAGACCGATGGTTTGCGCGTCTGGTTGGGTGTTAGTTTAGCGTTGAGAACTGACTAAAGAGGGAACTCACCAATTCCAAACCCACTGGCAAACTTGAAGGGCAGCTCAACGTCTGGGTTGTCGTAGAGCTCTTGAACCGGATAGTGCAAGAAGACAGGAAACACCGAATCAAAAGCCATGCTGAGGCCGGACATCAGAGTGTAGGCCAAAAGGACAAGATTGGACTGCGGAGTGAAGACCTGGGCCCAACTCGGCCGCTTAACAAGCTTCGTCTTCTTGTTCTTTCCAGGAAGCAAAGCCGTCCGCTCCTCGTCCGACTCCTTCAACCCTGCCTGGCGCTTCCGCGACACGCACGAGCCGGTCAGTGCGTGTCCAAGCGCAAGACCGGGATCATAGCGATCCTTCTCGGTCTCCAACGTCTCCTGTAGAAACAGGAATCCCGTGGTAATACCGACGATGAAGAAAACAGCAGACACCAAATTCGGCAAGGCAAATGGAAAGCGTTTCAGAAAGGCCGAGTTTCCAAAGAGCGCGGGGTGCTTCTCTGCCGGTCGCGCCAGCGCTCCTCCAAACGCCGGACCGAAGATGCTTCCAATCGTCCAGACCATGGGCATGATGCTAAACGCGCGCGGCTGCAATTCCCGCTCAGGGACGATCTCTGCAACCATCGTGCGGATAATGCCGACGTTGCCGTTCATGAGGCCGATCATGGCTCGGGATGCGAGTACCATTCCCAGCGTCCGCGACATGCCCAGCATGATCGACAATAGCATGGTACATGTCAGGCCTGAGATGATGATCGGCTTGCGGCCGATATGGTCGGATAATGTGCCCCAGGGCACGGCCATGATGGCTTGACTCACGGATGCGACCGCGGAGGCGATGCCAGCCCATTTGGCGACTTCGGGTTTGGGAACACCCACATATTCAATGAGCTCAGGCTGTTCACATTGTTAGTATCCTATGTCCTGGATATTCGATCTCGTAAAGGGGTTGAGGTTCGGCGTGAAGACCGAAAACTCGGGGATTTTGGCGACCAACTTACAAGATACGGTAGAATAGAAGTGAACACAACTGGTTAGTAACAAATAATCTTAGCTGATGTTTTTGATCCACGCGCATTTCAAGTCCATGATCATCGACAGGGATGAGGCGGTAACCTACGGGGTTCTGCGAATCGGCATATCGCTGCGTAATCAAATTAGTATTCCCCGGTTTGCGAAGCGAGGAAAGCGACGTACACAATATTAAAAGCTGCCTAACGGGCAGCTGGGGCTTCTGCATCATATTCGTGCCCAGGCGGGCAGGCACAGATCTATGAATCTTTAGAGAAAGAAAAAAGAAGATGAAATGAATAAGCCGAGTTACAGTGGAGGTGACTCCACTCTTATGGGCCCGAGCTGTTGAGTTGCTACGTCCAACTAGTGCTAAATACTGGATTTGCTGCCGCCCGTGCCGAATGCAGTCAGCGCCTGGAGATCCATTTGTATCACGCGCATTTTCCAATTTTTGATTATCCGCTTATGTGCAGGTAAAAACGCGGATATTAATCCAGGTCTACTGGAGCAGCTGGGTGGCTGCGTCAATCCGCTCCTCGATAATCCTGCTCCATTTCTGGAGAAACGGTCAGCAAACGTGAACGAAAAAATAAACTTGGTGACATACCTTGGCGTTCTCCATATCCTCAGCCTCAAGGCTCTCCACTAGTCCGGGGTAGGTTGCACCCGAATAACCCGTCCAGATACCCGGTGCAAACACAACGTGCTTGAACCAGTTCCGACCGTCCAGGCCCGGCTCGTACAGGAATACACGCTCGATGCCCTTGTACTTGTCGTTGGCCCTCCGAATTTGGAAGAGGAGTCGGACCTTCTTCCACCAGTGGTACCAAGGTACGTGCTCACCCAGTTGCGCCTTCAGGCCATCGGTGTACTTGTCGAACAAGATCGCGGCCGTGCCGAACTTGTCGATGGCCAGGTCCAGACCGCTGAAGTCAAAGTGCTCCTTGGGCATCTTGTCCGCAGCTGGCTTCGCATGTGCCAGATAGTCTCCGAGACCCCGAGCGTAATCAGAAGCACTGAAAGCGATCACGGGTGATTCAACAAGCTGCGCGGCGGCGAGTGCCCAAAGCTTGGTGCACGCAATATGATATGACCAGGTTGGATCGCCGTATTTCTCCATCCATGCCAAGCTGTCGTAGTTGGAGTGGTAGTGGTAGACTGGATCGTTGCTCCCGCGCCCAAATCCAAAGTCGAGACTGGCGACACCGGCAAAGTCCTGGAAGGCAGTGAAGTCACTGCCGCTTCCCATAGTGGCAATGTTGCCATCCCAAACGTCCCGAACTGTCTGTCCGGGAACAGTCTGGTTAGGAGATTGCACCAGGCCAGTCACATCATAGATGACCTGGTTGAGCAGAGGTGCAGCTCGAGGACCGAACTCTGTGCCAGTGGCAGCCACGTCGACGTTCAAATAGGCCACGTTGGCCTTGGAGAGCCAGGGCAGGTTCTCCTCGACCCACTCGGTCGAACCGAGAAGACCATATTCTTCGCCATCCCAGCTGGCAAAGACGATGGTACGCAGAGGCTTCCACCCAGCTTTCAAAGCTTCGCCAAAGCTGCGTATGACTTCGTTCATTGCGGCAGATCCACTGTTGGGGTCACCGGCACCACCAGCAACCCACGCGTCGCGGTGGTTACCCAGGATGATGACCTCGTCGGCGATATGTCCCTTGATGACACCGATGACGTTCCACACAGGGGTGGTCACATACTCTTGCTGGTTGTCCAGGTTGATGACTACATCTTCTGGCGAAGGTCCGATGTTGTACTCAACGCCTTTGTGGCCAAGGCGACCACCCTGCCACCACCGATTGAAGTCCGAAGCCTTCGGACCATGGCCATTCAGAGCCTTGAGGAAAGGAATCACCTCCTGATAGGAGATGGGAAGGGAGGGAATGGAGGGGATTGAATTGTCCGGATCTTGCCGCTCGCAGCCAGGCTTGGACGGATACCCAGGCGTTGTGGGATCACCAGGAAGAATACCTAATTAACCAGTTAGTTTGAAATCCAGGATAGCTTTTCAGGAAAACATCATACTCAAGAACTGCGTGCTACCTCTTTGGACGGCACTGGGGTTACGGGCCGGTCCATCAGGGTAGGCCTTGTAACCATTCTCCTCGGTGATCTCGCCATCCTCCTGAGGATCGCTGTAGATGAGAACACCAACCATACCAAGCTCCTGTGCACGCTTAACCTTCAAGCCACGGAAGTTTCTGCCATACTTGACAATGGCGATTTTGCCCTCCAAGTCCACACCGGCATCCACCAGGTCCTGGAAGTCCATGTAGGTACCAAAGTTGACATACACGAACTGAGCGGTGACATTGCCGGTGGCCGAGTACCCGTGGAAAACAGGAACTCGGTCAGGCAATCCAGAAGTAGGATCCTCTTCCAGAACGTCCTCCTCCAAAGTTGCCTCGAAGGTGACCTCGGCCTTATCGCCTGATTTCTTGAGAAGAACAAGACGGTGCTCCAAAGGATAATTGAGGTAAATATCATAGGTAGCGATAGTAGTATCCTCAACTCCAAACTCCTTCCACTTGTCCATAGTCCACAGGGCCTGGCTTAGATTCTTGCCAGCCAGGTGGGGTCCGGCTGTATAGTACTCGCTCCACTCGCGGGCCTTGGCGGCCGATGGGGTATTGAGGAGGACCTGCTGAAGCTGGTCGTAGGGCAGACCGTCCGCATGGGGCCAGTCCTTATGGGGGAATGGCTGAGCCCAAGGGAGATAGGACCAGATTGAGCCGTGTTCCCGAGGTAGGACGGCAAATGGGGTCAGGAAGAGGATGACGGCAATTACAAGTAGGATGCCGAGAAAGTATGTACAAGCTCGACGGACGGCGTGGTGAGGGTACCGATGCCGCGGAGGTGCGACATGGACCTCTAAAAGAGGTGTAGTCTCAGAAAACGGCATGGTTTTCTCCCTCATCTTTGCCGTATGGGAGGAGGGGGATGAGAGGGAACTGATTGTTGCTCTAAGGTCTCCGCACTTTATCGCCTTATCGGATGACTAACCGATTGGGGCGGAGGTGATTCCTGAGGTGTCACCTTCCTCTTCGAGCAAGTATAGTTCGGATTAGTTCCGCTGTTTGGCTGATAGAACCAGCTGTATCACAAAACAAAGCTAGTCAATTACCTGACTACATTCCCAGGTAGTGTAGTGTACGATCCCAGGAGAATGTTTGGAGATGCTCCAATGTCAGTTAACACCATTTTAGGCTATGATGGTGTCAACCCAGCTGTTCTAAGAGACCATTTATTGATCCATCTATCTGGGTAGGACGTAGGACGAAAGCGCTTGGTGGGAAAGGCTGATACGCGCGCCCTGTTGTCTTGCTTAGAAGAGAATATCAATCTACGTGGTGGACCATGACCATCGTATTGGTTCGCGCAGCCCTACCTACCTGTTAAGGATCACCAGAGAGTGAGATAACGTTTGATTTCACATTTCCCCCGTAAACATACCAAGTAAAAGAACAGTAGATAAGTATAAAACAGAGAGGTATCATGGTATCATATATATCATATACAGTGGCTAAGTCCGACGAAAACCACCCAAGATCAGCCCGAAGAAGAACCCGGAGACTGTGAGTCAAGATAGAGAATTGAAGAATGAAACAGCAGACCTAAGTTTCTTCTTCGGATTCAGCAGGAACCGGAACAACATCGTCCGCCGCAGGATTGAGCTTTTGACCAAGCTGCATACTTTCCCGCAGGATCTGGCGGGCAGCATGATCATTGACGTCCATATCTTCCTTGACCAGGCGGACCGCGAGCTCGGGGACGAGAACAGATTGTGCGTATCCTGCTACGCCTGCTGTTTTGACGATGTGGTCGGATGAGGATAGTCGACGCAGTTTCAAAGAGAAGCGATCGACAATTCCTTGTAACCTGCGGATCGAAGTTAGTGCTTGTTCAAACGGAAAATCAAAAGGGATGCTTGCTTACATTTTTGCGGCTCCTTTGGTCCCATAATACCCACAAGAGATCGTCTCAATTCCATCACCAGCAAGTGTGAGGCGGAAATTCTTCGCCTGGCCGGATTTCAAGGTTGTGTCCAGGATATTTCGGTAGTAAGAAGTGCAATCCGGGACTAACAGCTTTTCAAGATCCTGGAGGTGTTTCTGCACGCGCTCATCAAATGTGTCCCAGTTGATTTCCGGGTACCCTTTCGTCTCCCAATCCTTTTCAGCGGTGCTTTGCTGGTGCGAGGCACAGAATTGCTGTTGTTCACGGATACGCTGCTTTGGCTGAGCTTCGAACAGCATGAGAAGCTCTGGGTCGACCTCTTCCTTGCACATCGGACAGAGTGACTTGAGAGGCCCCTGAGAGCTGGGTGGGGAGCTGAGGGGCGAATCCGACGCATTGTCCTCAAAAGACATGAACTGAGGGTCATTTGAGAACGAAGTACCCATTGAAGAGTTCGAATTAGAAGCTTGTGGAACGGGATCGTTTGATCCCTTGGCGTCCCCGGCGCGAGGCTTCTGCGGACTGAGAACATCGATTTGCATAGGAACTTTGAATGCTGGAAAAGTTTGCTTTCCCGGTGTGTCTTCCTTTTTCTTTTTGAAATCCAATTTGGACTGCTGGGAGCGTTTATCCGGCGTGGCAGCAGCTGAGCGCGTGCTCGAACTGGGATATGATTTAGGCCTTGAATAGCTCGTGTTCTTGTTCTTCTTCGACCGCTTCTCCTCCTGCGTCCAAGAGGTGATTCGATCATCTTGAGACTCATCATCGCCCTTCATCTCATCATATGTCCTCCTTGTACCTCCCTGGACTTCTTCATCGAGCTTCTGCTCCTCGAGTTTCTCCTGCAATGTTTTCTTTGTTTTCACTCGCGCGTCGTCGTCCGATTCATCCTCACTAGAGCTCACTGGTTCATCGTCGGTCCCAGGCTCCTTCAGCTTTCCTGTCGAGTGGGACATGGGCTGAACATCCATGAAATCCTCATCGTCAAAGTCAAAGTCGTTCTCGATAGAAGGGAGCTCAACGTCCGTCGCAGGCGCGCTTTCCTCGCCTTTCGATGCATATTCTGAGTCTATATCGAGTTCCTCAATCGCATTGGAGCTCATGGTACTAAGAACATCGTCGGAATCGCTTTGTGGCTCGTCATCGGTGGCAGGGTGCTCTGGCTTTGAATCGGACTCGGTCGGTGGAGCACTGCTCTCGTCGAGCGACTTGTTGAATGTAGACAGCAAATGCTTGCGCCCCTGAAGGTCGCGTGTCGTAAGGTGGTTCGAAGCATAGCTTGAATCAGGCTTCGCCTGGGCTCGCATTATAAGGTGAGTGTCGAGGGTTCGAGGTGGAGGTTGGGGAAAGAGCCGAGGTTCGCGCGATAAGTCGCGTCTACGGCCACAAACTTAGATCCGGCGCGATGGAGCGCGGCTGAGAATAGAAGAGAAGACCGGGACAACCCCGATTGCTATTGCGTGGGATTGCGAAGCGGGCGGATAAAGGCAATGTGTGAGGGCAAACGCGTGACGCGACAAAAGGCCCCACCGGGTTTGAGCTACGATGCTGATACTGCCATGCTGCACCGTCATACTTCGATCTGTGTCTTCTATACATTCGTATACACTATTTTCACTTAGTCCCGTGCGTCTATGCAAAGCAATGCACTCATAGAAGCCTTGGGCTACCAGAGTAGTAAAAATGTAACTGGAAAAAGCAAACCCCGTCATTATTCAAAAGTCATGGAAATCTCCCCATCGCCGTGTCCATGCTCATCATCAGCCCAGGCATTAGGCTCCAGGGCCATGGCTCCGACCGCAGTAGAGCCGATGTTCGTGGGCATCGTAGTGGAAGACCGCAATTCCGGCCGAACGGGGTGCTCAGACTGGGCTTGAAGGGGTTCGTGGAAGGAGGTATCAAAGGTCATTTCGACCGGTTCCTCTTTCGGTAATATAGAAGATTCCTTGGGGTCGCGAGGGGATATACCACCGGTATTGAGTTTCGGCTCGGATGCAGTTCGAGGCATAGAAGACGGCTCGGGCTCGAGCTCGAGCTCGGAAGCGTTCGAAGCCTTCTCAATTGGAGTCGCGGGAGTCGACTCCGTCGATGGGTTCAGATTGAGCTTCATCGGAGGAAGAGTTGACTCAAGCTGCTTGACTTCGATCGCTTCCGATGCCAGTTCGGCTCGAATAGCTTCAATATCGAACAGTACAGAGCCCGGCGCACTTGTTGCTTCGCTGGAGTCACGAGACCCCGAGTTTCGGTCGACGGCGTATGTCTCCCAGGATTTCTTTTCGGCCATCCTGCCACGCTTGAAAAGACCGAATCGCTTCTTCTCCGGTTTCAACTCTGCCTCTCGGCGAGCTTCATCGATTTCACGAATCAGTTCGCGCTGGCGCTCGGCGTGGTTATCTGGGTCCGGATCCTCGATCTCGGCGAATTCATCCTCGAGTACTTCCCAGCCGACCTCTCTCAGAATACGAGGCATAGCAGCGCGATAGTCCATGTGGCCGTTGACCAAACTTGTCAGGTCATAATTCTCCAGGCCCGGGATACCCTCGATTGGCCCCAGGCCAGACACCCGCATGATACCGCCACTCGTAGCCCGGAAGAGGTATCCCAGGATCCAATCGTTCTTGGAGTACCCATTCACGAATCGCCCAGCCACCACGCTGCGGATCTTGAGGTAGTCGTCCTTGTTAGCCACGACGGGTGACCCAAACAGATACACATTCTGAATAAGGCCAAGAGCACCCTTTTCAGCCAACTCTTTCAGAGCCGAGAAGATGACCCGTGCACCCAGGGAGAAACCGAGCAATGTGACGGGCCGGTTTCCGAGGTTTCGATCTATCAAGGAATCGGCCAAAACTAGACCTGCGGAGTGGGCACGGGCTAGCGAAACGTTCCATGGGTTGTCGATCAGATAGGCGAGTTTAGTAAGGACTAGAGGTAGCTGTAAAGAAGCCACCAAAGCCATCAAGATGGTACTACCCAACACTTGTTGCAGGCCCTGAGTCAATGCCTAAAGGAACAGTCAGTCTTGAAGAAAACAATCATAGCATGGACAAAACCCACCTCAGTTGCAAGAATGTTGATCGTATCACCCATGCTGAGAAGCATCTCGGGCTCCCACAAAACAGAGTAGATATCGCCCATGATTGGATCCACGGTACTGTATGGCAGCCGGACATCATCAACCTTGCCAGTCATCCAGCCTGATACCGTAACGATCAGATTGAGCTTCTTGTTATTGTGTAAAGGACGGTATTCGAATGTTTGGACTGCGCCAGTTCGCCGCTTCGAAGCCCTCATGCCGATAACGCTACCGCTCAATGAAGCGGTGGATGCGATCACAGCCGTACCGCCAGCACCACCCAGGAACGCACTGGTTCCGGAGATTCCCACTGTGGTCAAACCGGCAGCGAGACCAGCGCCGATGACGGGGGCTAGCAGACCGGCGGATAGACCGATAACGAGTCCACCGCCCACTGTCGCCAATCCCATAACCATGTATCTCCGCTTGAGAGCCATCTTCCGGCGGTTCTCCATATGATCAGACTCGTCCCAGGATTCCTTCTCTGACTGTTCTTGCATTTCGAGGGCATCTGTAACACGCTTTTCAAATCGTGATATCTGAAGCCACGTTACATCCATGGCTGCTCCGACTCTTTCCAGAAGTGCTCTTGACCGAGCATCGTACGCGGAGTCTGCAATGAGCACAAGGAACAAGTCGCAAAGAACAGTCCATCGAAGATCAATATCGATTCGATCTGATGTAGGCATTTGAGAGGGTGTCCGGACCTCTGGGAGTTCCTCGCCTTCGTGGACCTCATATGGCGGAGGAGACCCGAGTTCAGATACCTCGGTCTCTGTTGAAAATCTCGACCGAGGTTCATTCTTCGTTGTGGGGGATGCAACAGAAGATGTAGATGTCTTCGGTTCATCCTCCGCCATTGGATTCTTGACGCGAGCGTTTTGCATCAACGGCCGGATCAGATCTCCAGGGTGCACGCCGTGATCAGCAAGCTGTTCAATCATGATTTGCTCGGCAGAACTGATATCCATATGCATATATAAGCGTCCCATCATGGCCTGGCCCCATTTTCGCATGCCATCCACGGCTTTGTGGATAGTTTTCTTCGTGGACTTTGACTTTGTCGTGGGAATCTTTGCCACCTCACTGTTCATCTCGTGGATCGCAAGTCGGACTACGCCTACATAGGCGATCTTTTGTGTCTCGTTGAGAAAGTCCTTGGTGGCTTGGAGTTGGCTGACGGAATCCCGAAGTTCCTCGCCTTCCAGACCAGCCTGGTTACCACCCGTTTCTCGGAAAAGATAGCTTGTGTCTTCATCCAGACTAGTGGCAGACTGGGCATCTTCATCAAGCTGCACTCGAGTGTAGCCCCGCCCTGCGCCACCTAGTCCCTGGTATACGGCCTCGTTGTCCTCCGCTTCGGCACCACGGGCAATTAGTCGTCCATAGTCGTCATAGTAGTCGAATTCCCCGAGGGCGGGCATTGCCTTCCAATCTCCGTGGTTGTCCTCTTCCTCTTCGCTCTCCTCGTGTGCGTCATTGGACTGGGCCAATCGCATGTGTGACCATTCGGAGATCTCGGCATTCCGTGGCTTTGATGTCGAGGTTCGATAAGGAGGCGGAGGATCAGACGGCTCAGAAGGGTTCTCGGCAGACGTAGATTGATCATCTTGAGGTTCCGGCTTTTTGGCCGGCTGTGTTTCTTGTTGCTCGAATTTTTCTGTCTTTCCAGTGTCCGACTTCTCCGACATCTCCTGAGATGCTTCTATCACCGTCTCCACATCATTTGTGGGTTGCTGCTCAGCTTCGGCGCCGGCAGGTGCATTTTCAGCTCTGGAATGGGTGCCTCTGTCGGGGGAATCATTGGAGGATCCCACGGGTCTCGAGCGTGGTCGAATGGGCAGGCCGAAGTCATCGAGTTCCTCAGGTGTCTCCTTCGATCCTTGTGCACTTGCATTTTGTGGCGAGGTTGTTCCCATGCCCATCGGCTTTATGCTTGCCTTTTCATTCTCGGAGCTTTCTTCGGAGGCGCTCGCAGACGACGGCTGTGGCGTGTTCGACGGGGAGCTAGGGGGCTGGTCGGAGGTGCCGCCGACGGTGACACCTGCAGCGGTCATTATTTCACATGGACAGGAGGCCCTTGCGAGCTGGAGATTTCAATGGTATTCGGAGAGTCCACACGATTCCTGTTCGACAAACTCGAACGCTCACCCATCCGGACCAGAAATCCCCACAAAGGTTATCTCGATCGCTTGTGTGCCGGTGGTGGAACCTGTTGTTGTCATCGGACTTGAGGGGGAATCTCCGCAGGTGACGATCGGGGCCGCGAAAAGGAGGTCGCGCGGGGCGGACAATGCGGCGGGGAGTCACCAAAGAGCAACCAGTCACAAACGTACTCTAGAAAGCGATTCTAACGAAAGAGTAGTAAATTGAGAGTAATTGACATGAACTTGGAGCTCCCACTCTCCCAAAAGACCAAAATCACGAAACGCCTACGGATTTTGCCGAAAGCGGAAATGTGTCGGTGTCGGGAATGCGCGTTTCTACTAACACACAGCCAACGCTATTCAGCCCGAGTGAAAACAGCAAGACAACTCTGGATAAGGAGTTCATAATTCATACTCCCGGGACTTTCTTTGTCCGTGCCTTTCGGCCAACCGGACATCGGCACGTGCTCAAGCAGAGCGAGACCAGGACCGCCACGACTTCAAGTCCGATAAGGATGAGGATGCGACTGCGACTGCGACTGCACACGAGCCGAGCCGCAGTCTCTCCCTATCCAGTCCCATCCACCGAATGTTGCACACTGGGGCGATGCAGCTCTGATAAAGGGGCAGACAAATACGAGGGTGCAAGGGGAAACGTCATGCAGATCATAGTTCCCTGCTTCGCGAGGCTGTGCGTCCCGGCGGTACATGACTTTGCCCGGGTTTCAAGTCGACGGGGAAGTTGATGATTGTGCCCGCACTAGCATAGAATAAGCTGGTGATCGGCTCTTTTCACCGTATTCAGGCCAAAGAGAGAGACCGGTGCCTCGCCATGGCGTCATGAATGCAGCCTCGGGGCGCGCTGACGGGTTGAGTCACTTGATAGGTAGTTATTGACGTCCTAAGCTGAGGCTCTATTCCCCGCGCCTCAGGCCGAAGTTGCACACTTCATGCCTGTGGCGACTGTGTGATCTATTATTTCCCAGTCATCTTCTGTCCTCTTCTCAACCGAGACATCGTTTGTGCTGCACTTCCTGTCTATCTAGTCGGCATGATGAAAGAACAAGGTATGCTTTCTCTCGTTTCCAATAGCTTTGTTGACCATCCCTCTGATGGAGGGCATCCCTGCAGGATCCGATGCTTCGATAGTTCGAATCGCAGGCGCCGGCTTCCGCCTGTCCCTGCTTCTCAACGCCGCGGCCTGTCAACTCGCACAGTCCAGGATCGAGATACACAGCATTGCCAAGGGCATTTCACTCTTTGCATTGACACTCAAACATGTGGGACAAGCTTTGGAAACCACGGACTTCGAGCGTTCCCATGAGGCCACGGAAAAGGCTTGGGAGATCGCCGGCCAGGGACAAATGGTCTTCGTCGAGATTGAACGCATGTTGGATAAACTACAAAACACAGATGCAAACGAAGACCTCAAGAATATCCCCATGCAGGAGCGGTTAAAGTGGTGTTTCCGGAAGCAGTACGTCACGTATCTGCTGGCACAGCTGGACTCCCTCAAGCTCAGCCTGATTGTGATGTTGCAAGTCTTGCAATTGGGCAACTTGGCTGGATCGAGTACTGATTATGTCGACTCTCCCACGCTGAGCACAGACGATCTCATTGCTCAAGAGAAAGCCGAGACCCAAAATATGATTATCGTTCGGTACTGGTCAGTGAAGCGTCTCGATCGCTTGTGGGATGCCGTGGAACAAGAGGCTCGAGATGCAGCCAGCAACCCGACAAGTCAGAGGATCAATTCGAGCTATACTTCGGGCACGGCCTCGGCGCTAAGGCCGCTGGTCGTCGCGACCAAAGGTTCCGATCTCACCAAGCTGCACGTTGTGACCTTTGGGGAGAGTGATGCAGATTTGGGTGATATTGAACGGTCTCCAAAGGATATGGTACACCTGTCAGAAAAGGCCATGAACCGCCTCCTGCCGGTTTGGGTACCGTCGTTCGATCCTACAAAACTGCGTAATGCTGGCAAGCAAAGTCGCCTTCGACCCTATGTATCCTCCGACAGTGAAGATGACAATGAGAGTCTGGACTTTGACAATCCAAACTCTCGCGGTTACTACCTAGAGGGAAAGACCGTGGACTGGCGCAAACCTCAGTCCCAAGAAGCCCGACGAGAAGCAGCCGAGCTACGTCAAAAATACTCTGGGTTTCAAGCCCATGTGGAAAGCGACTCCGAGCTTGAAGGGCCTCGTCACCGTCAAGAATTCTATCCAGCAAAGGCCCGATCAACAGTATCGAACGACGAAGGCGAGCAAAGATCCAATGCACGCCAACCATCCATCAACGTCTCCATGCACGGGCATGCCCACTCCAACAGCTTTTCCTCCAAATATCCGCCGACGTCAAACCCAGACAGCAGATCAGCTGCATACCCCAGCAACAGTTTTTCAGCAAACCAGCCGGCACCTCGGGCTCCAGCACCACCGAACCTGCAAACTGCACCAACTCACGCCCCAGGACCTCCCCAGCAGTCATACAAGTACTACCCACCACAAGACTACAGCGGCACGGCTCCACGGTCGATCCCGAAGACCCAGCCTAACCCAACCACAATGCCCAACCCATCACCACGAGGCACGCCTCCAGGCCAATTCGACCCTCTCTGGGGCCGACCACAAGGCTACAACCCCTACAACACCAGCATGCTCCAGCCACGACACCACCCCTCGGCATATCAACTCTCAACCTCTTCCCCGGAGACCAGCTTCCGGCCATCACGGTCTCGCTCGGCGCAACGATCTCCATCTCGTCATCGTCGATCCTCACGTGAAGAAGCCAAGGAAAGACACAAGGCACTGGGACGCAACGCAACGAGGGGGTTGGTCGGCATTGGGGCGATAGCTGGGTTTATGGATGCGCTAGAGGCATTCTCGATTATTTGATTTTCTCAATTCCTTGTTTTACATTAAACATAACAATTGGATCTCTTTTTTTGGGCCTTGTATTATTGCCATGATTGACGGGAGCCTTGAGCGTTCCTGACGAATAACGGACCGCATGAATTCTACTGCAATTCTCCGAGCATCCCCAATGATTCTCCGGTCCCACTCAGTAATCCATGACTGATGCTTACGTGACAGGGTCCGTCACTTCATCAAAACCTTCTTTTTCAGTGCTACTTCAACCATACATTAGTCAATATGATCCACAACCCGGCATACAACCTCAACATTCACTGCAGAAATCAACCAAAATGGATACCACTCTTCTCAAAATCCATCGCGTGCCCAAGTAAAGCCCGTCTCTAACCGCCAAGAAAGAAGAACCCCCACCGTTCTGTCATCACCAGAGTTTAGGCTGATTTCTTTTTCCGTGTCGGAGTCGATGATAAGCCCGATCGACCGCCTCCAAACCGGAACTTTCGTGTCTCCCGACGCTCCGACTCACCACCGGCACGCAATTCTCTACAACCTGGTTGAACGGGGTAAATGGTGGAATGCAGATGGACTTTTGAATCTCCGGTACCCTTTTTCTTTAGAAAGGGGATCTAATCCTCCGTCTTACGCTGTGGGGACCATTTTTTTTTCCTTTGCTTTTCCTGCTTTTTAACTTCCTTTTTGTTGGCCCCCAACAGGTTCAGCTTCTTTGCTATACTTTGACGATATCTTCATTCCTCGACTACTTGTGTCTTCTCTATTCGGTTCTGAGATCCTTGCGTTATGGTCGGTAAGTACTGATTGTGTTCATGATATTCATTTTTTTAAATATTTTTTGGGGCTACACTATGTGCTCGTGCTGATGCAATATGTATATGAGCAGATGCTTTTCAGTCGGACAGAACGGCCACTTCCACCATGAAAGCTTTTCAACTCTTTTATGAGCGCATTCGCAAGCTAGCAAGCTCTTGAAGCCACCAACCGACCGATCAAAACTCAGGCAGAGGAGGCATACCGAAAATGCTCCCATCCGGAAGCCACCCGTCCAACTCCATCCCTGCCGCCGTCTGTCCTCCCTGCGGAGGCATTCTCTGCGATTCATACGCAAATTGAGGGGGGAGGGTAGTCTGTGGGTGGGAAGCCTGATAGGCACCGGCCATGGACTGGAAGAATTGGGTTTGTCCGTGACTGCCATCCATGGACCACATCCCAGCGCCGCTCATGGCGACGTATCCATCCCGCATGCCATCCATACCACCTGACATATGCGATACACCCGGTGGAACGGAGAACGTCTCCACCGGTGCGTTGACCGTGTTCATAGGTACAGGCGGTTCCTGAGAGCCGAGCTGTGAAGACGGGATCGGCTCGGCGGCCGTCGACGGAGTCTCGGACATCATGGCAAGTCCGGCATCCTCGGTTCCTGAAGAACGTTTTTCTAGACGATCAAACCAATCGCGTCCTTTCACAGCTATCACGTGGTACCACCGAGCTGGAATCTTATATTTGCCGCCGCCGCTCGCCTCGCCCAGCTTGTTGGCCATCATGTCGAGATAATACCCAACGTTGACCGTCTCGGCTGTGACTACTTGGCCCAGAGCACCGGTGCGGACGGAGAAATGGAGCTTCAACAGTGAGGTCACTGCAGACCCGAACCGGGTGTACATCAGGTTCGGCAGCCTCCGCATCGTTTCCGTGCTGCAGGCAAAAATTGCATCCAACAGCTCCTGTGCTGCGCTCATCCATTTCACGTTGATATCAATGCGGATTGCACTAAGGTGGGGTTCCGCAGGCTTCGTGTTGCCCTCTTCGTCTAGTGTTGGGAGCGTGAAATATCGGCGGGTGATGGCATCGGGGTCTCGGTACCCTTCTCCCACGCCCAGTTCATACATGGCGAGAACGGCGGATCGGTATTCGAGGATCATTGGCACTAAGCATCGAAAATGTGAGCGACGTACGAAACAATTTCGACAACAATCCTTACCATTGAGCATGTCGGTTGGGGTGTTCTTCTTCCAAGTCTCCATTCGCTTGTCAAACCACCGCAGCACAGCCTGGACGCGGGATTCAGTCAACGGCGAGGAAGTACTGGTATCGTCCAAACCAAACGAAGACATCGCTTCATCGGTGATTCGCTGGAGCTCAAACCAAACGGCCAAATGCTGATCGGTCCGGTGCGGCGACCGTTCCAACTGACTCACACATTCGGTCATCCAGTCGTTGAACTGAAGCAAATTCGGCCGGCGTGTTTTCATTGCCACACTATTGTTACCAGTTAGTCGGGGATCTTTCGCACCGGGAGGCTTCAAATCACTTACGTTGATCCTAGATGGTAGCATCCCAGAACCGCCCTCGCCTGCTCCGCCAACTGTTCGTCGTATGGTTCATTCTTATTCTTCCGATCAGACTTCTTCGAGACCCGTCGTTTAGTGGCCAGTCCGATTTCCAAAGCCATCGTCGAAGCGATATGCGTGTACTGATAAAACTGCAACTTCAAAGGCGAGCCCGGCGGGAAATAAAATATGATCATGAGCAATAACGCCTGCACCAATTCCAACGATTTCTCACCCTCGATAAAGAATCGCTCGGCATAGAGACGGACCATCTCGCGGTTCAAAAGACCCGCCAACCCCGCGTCGATGGATATGGAGGCTGCGGCGAGCACTGACATAAAGAGAACGGGTTTCGACTGTCGCATTTGTGCCGCCGTGGTGCTGGTGGGCAAAACAACAAGAGGGAAAACAGAGGCGAGCTCATGGATGTAGAAGGCTACCAGCTGCTCTGCATCTTCGAGCGTGATGATGCCTCGGTCAATGACATCCTCGACAGGAGGCCTACTTGAATCGAGCGAGAAATTCGTGTGCAAGCCTGAGAAGGATGGCGGAGCCGAAAGAGTCCCACTACCCTGCACCCCCGCATGAGAAGTGTTGATGAAATCAGGGGAATAATCCATGTATCGGGCAGAGTCGGCCGTGCTGGTTGGTGCCTCTGAGATGGAGCCGAGATGGTCCGGAAATTCCGTGTCGCCCGAATCCTCGCGCGAACCCTCGCTACCCCCGGGCGATTCGGGCTCACTCTCCTCACGGATGCGATCCTTGAGCAGGGATCGCATCATCCGCATTTCCTTCTCGAGCTGGGCCACGCGCGAATCGGTTCGCTTGCGAGGCCGCCGCCTCTGCGGGGCCACGAAGACGCATGGCTTTTTTCCTTTTGCACATCGCTGGCACTGGTTGGGTGTGGACGGGCTGGGCAGACAGCGCACCTTCAAACTCCTGCAGGACTCGCAGGATCTGTTCAGCTGCGGCGGTGTCGGCTGGCCTGTGCTTGGATTACCATGGGAAGTGGAGGAGGCCTCTGACATGATCACACGCCGGGTGGAACGATGTCAGGAAGAGAAAGAAAAGAAACGAGATCCAGAACGAGTCGCTAGGCCGGGGGATTGAGTCTCATCCTATCGAATGCGGAAAGGCACATGGAGAATGACATGAAAAGCCACGTCCACTCGAATCAGTCACGAAGCGATCGACGCCAAATATTTGCAATCATAGATGGGTGCAGATCGATTGTTACGGCCTCGCCCGAAAATCCAGGGTTGGCTTGGCCTGCAATCATGTGCCATAAAAATACAACTGCCAACCGAAGCCTAAAGCGCGGAATAGAGCAAAAAGTGTAAATTTGTTAGGTAAAGTGCGATGAGGTCGACAGCCATGGAGATGGCGCCTAGGCTACATCCACTCACTCCACTGTGACTTCGGTTAGATCATTCAATATGGGGTAGGAAGGTAACGGTACCAGTAGGAAGCGTTCAACTTACTAAAACAACAGGGTCCAACGGGCCGGTGGCCGGTGGCTGGATTAGGGAGGAACAGGCACCGACCGACGAAACGTCCATTGTCTACTCAAGGCACGAATGAGACGAGCTCGAATGATGACTACGCCGATGATGAACCCTAAACTTAAACCTGGCGAATCATCTCATACTTTCTCCACCGTCACGGCCGGGGCTATTCGGCCAATCTGAGCTCGGGGATCGTAGCCCGAACGGAATTGACCGTTTGCCTAAATCGGGTTCCTTTGCGATCTTAGTCATGGTCTCGCTGTTGGCTGCCTGTCGGATTCCCCGAATTTCCCGGCTGGACCTTGCATTTTTGTCCGGGATTTCATCGACTGTTCATGGGAGGTTAGCGAATGGTGGCAATGGCTTCATGCTGTCTACGGATGCCGGCACTCGGGGTATTCGTTCGGGAAATTCGTAGAATTCGTTCGTTCTATTCGTTCTATTCGGCTTCATGTTGATATAAAAGCCGTCTAGGGAAATGGGGATTCCATATTCCTCAATTCATTCCATCCATATGCCAAGGTTTCGATTGTCTGATATTTTGCAATCATGAGTGTAGCCGATCTGATCCAACGGTTGGACGTCGACTGGGTCTCGGTCCTCGACGACCACGACCGACGCCGAGTGCTGCAGGCATGTGATCGACTCAAGGCCAAGCTGGAGACACCCATGGACACAACGGCCCGTCTCGCCTTCTCGGTATGCCGTGTGAGGAATGATGGTAGCAATGGAACTGACGTCCCTAGGCTCATCAAGCCATGGCAGTGAGATTGGGTATCGATATGAAGCTCTTTGATGCGATGGCCAAAGTAGGCCAGTCGACCGGATCCTTCAAAGTACAGGATTTATGCGAAGAAACCGGTTCGGATCCATTGCTAGTTAGTAAGTTATGCTGCATTAGCATTTCATAATTGCTTGTGTTCACAATGTCAGGGCGCATAATTCGATTCCTTGCCGCCATGGGGGTGATCAAGGAAACAGACGACTCATATATTCCGACGCCACTGGCCGCGGCCTATGTGTCAACCTCCCCTCTTTCGGCTGGGGTAATCCACAGGTAACTGGGGCTCGGCTCTTCTTCGACTCTTCGGTCAGCTAATTGAACACCCCGAATAGCACGCATTTCCTAACGGTCCTGTCGAGACTCCCCGAGTACTTTCATGCCAATGGATGGAAGAGTCCCGATGACGGCCTCAACGGTCCCTTTCAGTTCGCATTGGGCACCGATTCCCACTACTTCGACTTCCTAGGCACTCACCCCTACTATCAGCAGGCATTCAACACCGTCATGACCCTGTCGTTCCGCCGACGTGGGAAGGACTGGTTCGAGTTCTTCCCCGCCGAAGAACGGCTGCGCGCGTCAAGTAATACTGATCCACTGATCGTCGATGTCGGCGGGGGTCTTGGCGAGGATCTCAAAAAGTTCAAGGAACGGTTTTCTGCTTTGCCTGGCAAACTCATTCTCCAGGATCTGCCCGCAGTGATTGAGGGCGCCAAGGATCTACCGGTGGGGATCGAAGCTCAGAGCCATGATTTCTTCCAGAAGCAGCCCGTGCGGGATGCGAAGGCGTACTTCATGCGGACCGTCTTGCATGACTGGCCGGACAGGCAAGCAGTGCAAATTCTGGGGAAACTCCGCGATGCGATGAATAACGACTCGATTTTGCTTATCAGCGAGACCATGCTACCGGAGTCCGGAGTGCTTCTGCCCTCGGTTATATCCGATATGCAAATGATGGGCTCGTTCGCCTCGTTGGAGCGGACGCAAGAGCAATGGCAAACACTGCTGGAGACAGCTGGCTTCGAGCTCGTCCATGTCTGGCTACCGGATGACTGCGATCGAAGCCCGGCCTCTTTGGCAGAACAGCCTGCTCTGCTTGAGGCTCGAGTGAGAAGGTCTCCATAATTTAAAACGTGGTTTGTTCAAACGGGGTAAGGGAGGCGAAGCTTGGTTGATGGCGCACACGACGGCTCGGGATATGAACGGAGGCCGCGTGGACGCTCGCTAAATTCGGACAACTCGGGTTTATACCGCCCAGACCACTCTTCGACTTCAGCATACAATACCAGTGTAATAAAACACCAGGCTTTTTCCCTTGACACTAGGAGTACGTAATGAAGAGAATTGATGAAAGGTCTATGCCAAGACACTCGTACACAATGCCCGATTAGCATCGAGCCTCATGGAAAGTGGGTCAGGAATGTGGCGGAACAAGACTTTTTGATCGATCCGCTGACGACTCGTTTGCGAATACGAGGGAGACGCGGTGGGATCTTCTATATGGGGCAACTGGCCACACGAGGCCCTGTGGCTGATTTTATTTCCCTGATTACCGACCGTGGACCTCTCTCCTTCATCTCTTCTCTCTTTCTTCTCCTCCCCTTTCCGCATATTTGCTCGGTGTATCTACCCCCCTCCGGCGTCGTACTCGTTATCTTCCGCTCGAACCCGCCCCCTTTCCTACCGCGATCCCCACAGAACGGTCCGCTACTTGTCCGATTACGACCGTCTTGTATATATACGACCCACGCAACATCAAAGCAACATGCGCTTGTTGTTTTGAGATCCTAGTCCGGCCTAGCGATGCGATTTTCTACACCGAGCCTGGTGGGGCTCTACGGGCTTCTCTCGGCCAGTGCCTTCACTCTGGTCCGTGGAGAGAGCAGCACCACCTTTATGAACGTGCGAGAGGATATGGTCAAGGACTACAAAAATGAAGATATTATCCCCACGGTGAAATACTTCAGTAAGTGCTCGATTCCGTGAGATCTACCATGATCTGCAATCTCGGCCCCGAACTTGAAAGAACTTTATCTAACTTGCGGGACTTTAGCGGAATCCTCGTATGTCACACGCGGTGGATGAATGCACATTAGAATATGACACTAACCTTAATCTTCAAGCTTCCACTATCACTATGATGGCCGGTATGCGCGACCATGTCGATCCGGTCTCTCCGCTTGTGCTAAATGTGTCGCAGATTCGCGGACAACATCTTGCCGGACAATGAAATCACTCCCCACCTGTCCGCCTTGATACAAACGTACCTCACGACGATGGACTCGATCGGCGCCGAGACATGGATCATGCACGGATCACTTCTGTCATGGTGGTGGAACCAGAAGGTGGGAATACCTCGCGTACGCTGCAAATAGGGCTTTTGCTGACGACCGTTGCAGCTTTTCCCCTGGGACAATGACCTCGACATGCAGATTTCGGAACCGACGATACGCTTCCTGGCCGAATACTATAACATGACGGAGCACCACTTCGACATTCCCGGCACCAAGGACGGCCGCAATTACCTCCTCGAGATCAACCCCTACTACGTCGTCCGCAGCACGGAAGATAGTCTGAACGTGATCGACGCTCGATGGATCGACATGTCTTCTGGACTTTTTATCGATATTACCGCCGTGCGCAAGGATGACGATAAGCGGGCCAAAGGCGACAAGGGCGCGCTGATGTGTAAGGACCGACATCACTACGAGGAGAATCAGATCTTCCCGTTGCGCCAAAGCTACTTCGAAGATGTGCCCGTCAAGGTCCCCTATGCTTATACCGAGCTGCTTGTCGAGGAATACGGCTCCAGGTCGTTGTCCAACAAGAGATTCCAAGGGTAAGTACCTCCGTGCTTCCGACACTGATGTTGGCGCTGATTATCTCCAGGCACAAATTCAACGAAGAGACCAAGATCTGGGAGCGTGCTCAGTAAGTTTCCGTGGTACTATAATCCTGTGACCCCTGGGCTGACTTGCGTCTAAAGAAGAAACGCGAAACGCTTCCTTCGACGAGGCTGGCGCGCTAATGACCTGCCCACCCGATCGGCTGGTAGCGAGCCTTACATCCGTATGGACGCGGCTTGAACGGAGTCGTGCATTTATTTGGCATTTACGAGGCATCTTGAGCTTTTTACTCTGAGCGCGAGGAGCTTGTGTATCCTCGATTTCTTTTTTTTCCCCATCTTGCATTTAGACGGCGTTGGTTTTGTTTGGACATACTTTCGGGTCTTCTTTATTAATAGTATTGCATGCTATGTATATATTCATGAGAATTTGCATACTTGGAACTCTCGGAGTCTATACTTTGTTCCAAAATTGATCGCGAGCCAGCGGCAAACTTACGGATATCTTTTCCGGACATCGCACAAGATAAGGGTGCCTGCCAGGATGTCATAAGCTTGCACATCTTGACCTACGTCAAGTCCGACGGCAGGCTGTTGGCTTACAAGGATACTTCAAAGTCGGTGACGGACTCGGGGATAAGAAAAAGGCAGATTCCCCGGAGATGCATCAGTTCCAGACCGAGCTGACTCACAAAGTCACATGTGGTTTTGGCCCCAATGAAACCTTGACAAACTCGGTAAACGAGTTCATTTTGCTTCTTTGACCAGGTTTCATGAAAGAATGAGGCGATCCCCGCGCCATGTCGTTTCACTCAGCGTCTCCGGATGGGGCGAATGCGTCCCCCTCTGCCAGTGATAATTCTCCGAATGCCCTCCCCCTCCCCGCCACCGTCCCCCGCCCTGCTCCAGATGCCAGCTCCCGGAGCTGTGTCACTTGTCGCCGTCGCAAAGTCCGCTGTAACAAGCGATCGCCTTGCTCCAACTGCCTAAAGGCAGGCACCGACTGCATCTTTCCCCCACCGGGCCGTGCCCCTCGCAAGTCCAAACGCCCGCCCGATGCGGAGCTCCTTAACCGCCTTCGTCGCCTGGAGGGCGTCATCGAGCATTTGAGTGGGAAGAACGCTGAGGCAGGCTCGACTACTGTCTCGCCGACTCAGCCTACATCTTCGGGTGCAACGTCTGCTTTCTCCGGCACGGCGACTGCGACCGCGACCGCGACCGCGGCCACGACCACGATAACTACACCGCCAGCTCCAGGCCCTGCGCAGGTCAAACATCCGAACGGCGGTTGCCCGTTCGAGAATGACCCCAAGAAGCTGGATACTGGAAAGTTTGGAAATGAGTTCGGAAGACTGGTCATTGATGAAGGGAGGAGTCGATATGTTAGCAATCGGCTCTGGGCCAGTCTGGGAGATGAGGTACGAGTTGAGATACACTTTTTGACTGGCGAGGTATACTAACACCTTTTAGATCGAAGAACTCCAGGATATACTAGATCATTCTTCATCCGAGGAGGAGGATTATCCATCTCCAGAGTCCTCTCATTCTGGCTCTCACGATGGATTTCTCTTCGGCTTTTACTCCTTGTCGCACTCTCTTCGAGAATACCATCCGCCGTTTCCCAAGGTTTCCATCTTCTGGGACATTTATAAGGAAAACGTTGCTCCCTTGATCACAATTATCCATAAGCCAAGCGCAAGGAAACTGCTGGTCGAAGCGGCGCAAAATCCAGATTCCCTGGATAAGAATTCAGAGGCCCTCGTATTTTCGATCTATTTGTCTGCTATCGTCACCCTGAGTCCAAGCGAATGCATCGCACGACTCGGAGAAGAGCGCAACCTTGCCGTCAGACGGTATCGATTTGCCGTGGAGCAAGCATTGGCAAAAGCCAACCTCCTAAACACCCAAAGTTTGACACTCCTGCAAGCGGCGGTACTCTTCCTGATCTGCGTGCGCAGGGAGGATGATTCCAAGTTCGTTTGGTCTATGAACTCCATCATCCTTCGCCTCGCTCAGGGTTTGGGCTTGCACCGCGATGGCACGAACTTCGCTCTCAAGCCGTTCGAGACGGAAATGCGCCGACGGCTATGGTGGCATATTTGCCTCATGGATATTCGCTCATCAGAAGACCACGGGACCGATCCGCTCATCCACGACAGCATGTATGATACTCGTCTCCCACTAAATGTCAACGACGACGACATTTATCCAGAGATGACGGAGACTCCCACGGAGCGAGAGGGATGCACAGACGTGACGTTCTGTCTCGTTCGCTGCGAGATCACCTGCGCCTTGCGTCGAGTTGACTACTCCTGCCCGGGCAGCCGAGCGTTTAAAATGGGTGGCGCCGGGCCGTCTATTGAGCTGTGTGAGAAAATGATACAGATCATCAGCAGCCGCGTCGAGGAACGATACATCAAGCACTGCGACATGAATATACCCATTCACTGGGCATCTGCGACAGTGGCTCGGCTCATTCTCGCAAAGCTCTGGCTGATTGTTCACCACCCGATGACTAGGAAAGACCGTGTCACCAATGTGTCCCAGGCAACTCGCGAGAGCTTATTCCTCACCGCAATTGAAGTCCTCGAGTTTGGTCGTCTACTCGAAGCCGACCCCAAGACGGCCAAATGGGGATGGTTGTTCCGGACCAATATGCAGTGGCATGGAGTCGCGTTTGTTCTGTCGGAAGTTTGCGTCCGTCCAATCTGTCCTGTCACCGATCGGGCATGGAACGCCATCAACTCGCTTTATTCGGACTGGACGCGTCAGGTCACTCACAAGAAAGGCATGCTCTGGCGACCACTGGCCGCATTGATGAAACGAGCTGCGGCGACGCGAGCCAAGCAACAGGAAGAACTGCGATCGAAGTTCGGACCGAAATCCATACCATACAAGTCTACCGCCGCGGACTTTGCCGTTAACCATCTTCCCACACTTCCCCAAATCCATATGCCGATTACATCGCCCTCTTCATCTAATCTTCAAAACGGCCAGACCGCCCCCTTGGATCCGATGAGCATCGACCTGACCAGTGGACCATGGGATACCTTGCAGAACATCTTCCCTGACACGAACTTCCTAGCTCCAGTCACTCTGGACAATCCTCCGCCCCAAGACGCAGTCTCTGCAGTCAGCCTCCCGACTGGACTATTTAACCCCCCAATGACCAACCCCTTCATGACGCAGGAAAATCTCTCCGAAGCACCCCCTCTTAGCTGGGAAGAATGGGACCAAGTCATGCGGGATTTCCAAATGGATGTTGAAAGAGAAGATGAGACCGTTCCCGCGAAGGGGACCCACGTTACAGAATGGTTTGCTTGATCTTCTCCCGACTGGAGACTTTGCGGAGGTTCACTTTTGGCGTTCAGGCATAGACGCCTCGGCTCGGCCTTTGCTTCGGCGACTTTCTTTTACGATTTGATGATCGATGGTGCTTATGTGATTGTCTCTAATTCCTCCTCCACTCTATGTACTCCTAATCCCTTCTCTCTGCAAAATCATGAAGATACCGTTCGCTGCTTTTGCGGCGCTATATGATCATTTTCATTCGTCAATACAAGTTCTTTCTTTCTAATTTTTATTTTTTTTCATTATGAACCATGAATTGGCACGATAATCATCATTCACCCGTAGCCTCGATTAGTGAATCGGTATACTCCGCGGGTGGACCATATCAACCACGTGACCCGCGATAACGAAGCTCCAAGCTGGCATCAATTGATCTTCCCTTTCCCCACGCCATTGTATCCGCCAGCGACGTCGAATTCCCGGGAGAGCCCAGCGCCCAATATCACAGTCCCGAGGCTTATATCCAAAGATTTCCCTTCCCGCCCATCTCCGCACCTTCAATTCCAGCAACCATGCCTGCCAAACGACACGCGGCCTCAACCACCTCCGCATCAACAGCGTCGACGCCCGCAACCCTTTCCTCGGGTCCAGCAACCCTAAAAACCAACGCGTCAGCCGCTGAAATTGCCCAGCATGTGTGGCAGCAGTACCTCGCGACGACGTCGCAGCGCACAATGCTCCTCGACGCTTTCATGGCTTTCCTAGTTCTCGTCGGCGGCTTGCAGTTCTTGTACTGTGTGCTAGCAGGAAACTATGTACGTCTTCCTCCTGAGCTTCCAGTGTGATTTATACCTCTGGATCATAGTTACATCTCCGTGGAGTCGAATGAACCATAAGCTGACCAGGCCCATCCTATCTACAGCCCTTCAACGCCTTCCTGAGCGGTTTCTGCGCCGCTGTCGGCCAATTCGTGCTTACGGCTAGTCTCCGTATGCAGACAAGTGATAAATCGGGGCCGGTTGTGAGCAAGCCTAGTTCGAAGGGCAAGAACGCTCGGTTTGTGGATGACGATGACGAGGAGCAAGTGTCTGGCTATTCGCACGAAAGGTGAGTGCCTGTTGATGACGAACTTAACTCGACGTCCTCGTTTCCTTTCCTTAAATTATCTTGCATTGTGTTTCCACGCTCTGAATCAAGATCTTGTTCGCTAACCCATCACTCTTGACAGGGCTTTCGCCGATTACATCTTCGGAAGTCTAATCCTACACTTCTTCTGCATCAACTTTATCAACTAAGCCGTTGACATTTCAATTACCTCGAAGCATCAAGATGCTCTTTCGCTTTCTCTGGCGCTGGTCCGTTGATGGAGAGCTGGACAATCCTGATTCCTGGTGTTGGGCTTGGTTCTACTGCTCGCGAATACGGGAACTGGAAATGGAAAGTATAGCAACGGCCAAGACCTGCTGTGACGCTGTGGATCCATGTTAGTGTCTCGGGCAGAAATGTTGATATAGTCCAAAATACACTCCGGGGAGTGAATGGAGTGGTTTCCACATTATGTGAACGTGTTTCTAAAGAATCAAAATATGCATAAACATGACTCCTGGGTTTAAACTCATGGCCTGTACGTTGGCTTTTTGGTGTACGCACAATTGGCTTCAGCTGTTGTGTACTCTCCGTGTACATTTGATATTCGTGATGAACTTCGGTATAAACTTGGCGAGTGGTTTCACCACCCACAACAGGCATAATATCGCCTTCCAATAGTACTGCGAACAACATTCAGCTTAGTGTATTACTAGAGACTTAGGAAGAATAGTTGGAAAAAGAAGATAGTGGCCCAAGCGACCAGCCCTGATTTGTAACGAATCCCTCATGACCACCCCAGCTTGCTGCTATTTTGTACACTCTTCATGCGAATCGTGTTTTCTCTACAAACGTCTGGCAATCCAACTTTCACCTGAGACTGATGTTTATGTTATTCGTTTAATGGTTCGTCGTAGTATTCGGAGACAAAGTCGGGTATCTTGTTCCATATTCATACAGTCCCTGAATCTATCTGCCTTCGAGACTGTATTTAGATGTGCTTCGGTACTGTACAAGAGAAAGAATATATCCACAATGCAAGAAGTTGCCAATCCCAAGCATTAGAACGTCCGTCCTGGCCGGCGGGGAATTGTAGGCTTCTTGACCACGCTGCCACCTCCGGCACCAGGCCGAGACGAAGACGAAGCTGTTAGACCACCAACTTTCCCTGGCCGCTTAACGACGGGACGCCGCACAGCTGATTTACCTCCAACTTCAACTTCAGTCTTGCGGCGGGTGGGATCATTGCGTTCCTCCTCGCGCGCTTTTTGAGCCGCGGCGCGCTCACGATCCGCTGCCATCTGCGCCTCAATGTCCATGCGCTTGTTGAATTCTAGTTCCGTGACACGTCGATCGCGCTGCGAATATCCCTTTTCTTTGACGGAGTAGAAGACACCACCGAGTTCGGCGAGCCACTGGAGATGGGTTAGTTGGTGTGTATAAATGCACAGATGAAGTGGAGACTTACATGTGGGTCAACGGCCGTCACGGTCGACATGTACTCCTTAGCAGTCAGAATCAACTCATGGTAGACAACGTACTCCGGTACGTAGCCAAGACCGTACAGTGCGCTGGTAGGGTGCAAGGCCATGGTCACGCTGGTGCGGAGGTTGATGAACTCGCCAATTCCCTTGACGCGCGCGGCTTGGTGGTAGAAGCCGGAACAGATACATTTGCGGATGACGTCCCAGTCTGTGCCACAGCTGGTGAGAGGCATCTTCTGGACGGTCATGATATCTTGGAGCTGGTCGCGGACTTCCTTGGCGCGTCGGAGGGATTTACCATGTAGGAAATGTCTGGTACACCAAGCGTCGGAGTAGCCGTTCGACTTCCACTGCGTATAAACATGGAGCAGAGTCAAGTGGTCGGATTCGGGCACGAAGAATTTCTCGCGGGCCGAGTCGGACTCCTCCTGCCGTTCCTTGGGCCGGTAAAAGACGCTCGGGACTGAGAGCATGGAGACGATGGTGAGCATCTCCTCGCTGCACTCGTATTCCTCCGAAGCAGTGATGAGGAGCTTGGCGAGAGAGGGGGATCCATAGGGAATGGCGTCATGCGACGACCTAAGTGAGTGAGTTCACCCAGGTTGTCCAGAGCCCCAAGTGCCCAGAGTTCGAAAAGAGATGTGCTAATCGTCTCTTGAGGTGGAGGGTCCATGAAGTCGAAGTCCAAAAGATCCTTGACACCCAAAGACTTCAGCAGAAGCACAGTGTTGGCAAGACTCGTGCGCTGAATTTCGGGGATCGTCTGTATGTAGAGCTCATTCTTATAGGCAGTCTCTGTGTACAGGCGATAAGCCTTTCCGGGACCAGTTCGACCGGCTCGTCCAGATCGCTGATTGGCATTGGCCTGGGAAATCGGCGTGATCTGGAGAGTGTCCATACCCATGCGGGGGTTGTACACCTTGAGCTTCGAGTACCCTGAATCCACAACGTACATAATACCATCAACAGTCAAACTCGTCTCAGCAATGTTCGTGGCCACGATCACTTTGCGCACGCCTGCATCTGCCCGCTCGAAGATCCTTGCCTGTTGCTCGGCCGGCATTTGACTGTAAATAGGTAATATGCTGAGTTTCGGTGGATCATTGAGCAATTTCAATCGATCGTCAACTAGCTCACAGGTCGATTCAATATCCTCTTGTCCCGTCATGAACACGAGAATATCGCCCGGGCCTTGAGAAACGTGGATGGCCAAGACCTGCTTGACTGCACTGTCGACATAATCCTCACAAGGCGTACGCGAGAAGTGAAGATCGACCGGGAACGTTCTGCCAGGAATGATAAATTCCGGTGCACCACCATAGAAGCGGGAAAAGCGCTCCGAATTCATCGTTGCCGATGTAACAATCAGCTTGAGGTCTCTGCGCCGAGCCAACACCTTTTTGAGAAGTCCCATCAAGACATCGGTATTCAACGCTCTTTCGTGCGCCTCGTCCATGATGATACACGAATATTTATCGAGATCCTGCTGGACCAAAGATTCTCGCAGAAGTACACCGTCGGTCATATCTATCCAAAAGCATGTCAGTGGCTCGCTCGTATCTTATAACTTTGTGTCTGAGAACTCACATTTGATCACGGTCTTGTCACTGGTGCAATCCTCGAAACGGATAGCATACCCCACCTCTCCGCCAAGGTCCACCTCCATCTCCTCACTGACACGCTTTGCGACACTCATGGCCGCAACGCGACGAGGCTGTGTGCACCCAATCATGCCAAGCTTCGAGTAACCATCTTCATGGAGGAATTGGGTTAACTGGGTAGTCTTTCCAGAGCCCGTTTCGCCTACAACCACCACGACCTGGTTATCCCGGATGACTCGTAGGAGATCCTCGCGCACTGCAAAAGCAGGCAGATACTCCCGCTGTTCGCGCAAAGTCTTGCTTTTACTGAACGAACTGGCACCACCCTCCTTTTTCAAATGCTGAGCAAATTTGTTTCCACCACCCTTGTAGACCTCCTCGACTGGTACGGCAACAGCACTGTCGCCCTCATCCTCGTTGACGCCCGTCAAATTGCCCAAGGCCGTGCCGGCCATAGATGTCGCCTGCTGGGCTTGCTTCTGCCGTTCGCGCTGTTGCCGGCGTTCTCGAACGACTTTGCTCCCCTTTCGGCTGAAGACAGCCATGTCGCTCTGGGGGTCCCGAATGGCCGAGATCGGCTCGAGTTGCTTGGTGAAGATCGTGCGGCCATCGAGAAAAGGTGGTCGGAGGTCGTGGACCAACAAATGGACTCGAGTCGCCTCTTCATCCTCGGGCATGAAATCGCCATCGAAATCCCGTCGCTGTGCAACACCCGACGTGAGCATGCGATTCGTTTCCCAGTTGTCAATGTCCTTGCGTTTCGCGTCTCGCAGCTGGGGTGGAAGGTTCCCGGAGCTCTTCTGCCTTTTGGCTGGCGGTCCCATTTCGTCGCGCGCCATTATGGGATTAAAGGCCTAGTCCGCAGGCCAGATTCACCGTATTCGAAGTGAGTTGACGTCTCGAGGAAGTTAAGCTCTCATGGCGAATGCGCAGCGGTTGGAATTACATGAGCAAACAGTGCAAACCGTTATCAATCACGTGATGATTATTTTTCCTCGACAGCTGCTGGGAAGCTGTCTTTTGCCGTTTATTCTGAGTGGGAAAGTAATCGAGAGCTGTAGGTGAGACTTTAGGATTATAGCTTCTGAACATCGTTTATCTAAAAGTACTTGTGGGATTCACGGTTACGAGTAGCCGTAGGCGGGCATTCCATAGTGGCGGCCGAGCCCGCGAAATCAAGCAAGCGCCCCGCATCGTCATCTCAACTTTTGAGCTCTCACGCTGCATTGCCTCGAACCCTCAAACAGTTACCATGGCTAGCCAGCAGCAAGTGGACCCCAAGAAGCAGCAGGGTAAGCCATTTCCAAACCGTTGTACGGCAGAACAGCGCTAATTTCTTACCCCTGCGACAGAGTTGCAGCTTCAATACTCAAACTTCAAGAACACCCTCCAACAACTCGCGCAGAAGATCGGTGATATCGAGCAAGAGGCCGAGGAACACAAGTGAGCCCAGGGACCAATGCGCCAATGATTTCATGTCCTCAGGAGGGGTTCACATTCCACGCGGGACCCTCTCATGAGGACACTTTCGACTCGGTGCTTTTGGATAGCCATGGATGCTAATCTTCCATATTTATAGGCTTGTCATTGAGACATTGGACCCCCTCTCCGAAGACCGGAAATGCTTCCGCATGGTGAACGGAGTTTTAGTCGAACGCACCGTGAAAGACGTTCTCCCGACCCTCAAGACGAACTCGGACGGATTGAAGCAAGTGTTGGAGGAGATGCTGAAGCAGTACAAGTCAAAGCAGGCTGAACTGGATACCTGGAAGGTGAGCGCATTCCCAATCGCGAGGGCCTATATCCAATAACTGGAGCGAGGCTCTCGTGTATTTCATGAAGATATCATGACCAGATATTGACCGCTTTGGGTGTGCTATAGAAGAAGAACAATATCCAGGTTGTGCAGCCCTGAGCAGAGTCAATCACCCTTGTACATCTTGATTCCCGGCTTTTTCTGGGGACTGTCTGAGCGCGTGAGCAAGATACCTTTGGCGTTTGTGGGAATGGTACAAAACTAGACAGAATCTAGCATGGTTTCTTTTCATCATAGCCGGCTAAAAAATTCCAAAAATAATACATGACATGGCAATGCAATGCCGAGTATGCATTCAATCTGGGGCTACCGTCGTATTGGCATCATTACTTAGGCTGTCGTGTTCTTAGCATCAAGTCACAAGGGTTACATCCAAGGCCAGGGAGATTCAATGCCTAAACCTCGGGCTTCTTCGTTGCTTTTAATGATTACGAGTTTCGCCCGCATGCTGCTTGATGCAAGCCCGAGTGCCTGACTCTGCAGACCAGTTTCGTCAGACCCTAAGCAACCCAACCCGCTGGACACAACCGGTGAGAGTAAATCGTCGTCTCAACATGTTATCATCTTCATAATCATTATTCAAATGCATCGAAGGATATGATCTCCGCGGAATTCATGATGGTATTCAAAATACAATTTATTACAGAAACTGTGATGTAGATGAGAAGTATGTAATGTAAGATAAGTACCGGGAATACTGCCTGAGGCCTTCCGCGATCGGACACGACTTCTCCCTCTTCTTCGCCTTTGCCCTCTTCCTTTTGGAACCTATTGCTTCTATCGTTCATCGGAGTTGATTTCCAAGCCCACCGAGTCTTTGTATCAGCTCTTTGCTGTGGTGATCATTGTTTCTCGAGCTGTTCACATCTACTTGGTAAGGAGCCAACCGAAAGTCTCCAGCGGTCAAGGAGTTCTGGTTCGCCAATTGACCTCAGCCTGGATGAAGGCGGACCCTCCAACCACTTGCAACTCACAGCGCTCTGACCATTTCCTCTCAGAACGAATCGGAGCAATCTGAGATCTACTCCCTCTGTCCTTATTTATCCCAGTGAACGTAAGTACATATTTCCCCCGGCTTTTTTACCCTGCGCGACTGTTCGTTGGGCTTCCCCCTCACTCCCCAAATCCCCGACCCACCCGCGTTCCTTGCCGCGTCACTACAGCTCACGAGATTCATTCGACCCAACTCGTGAGGCGCGCATTGCTATTCGCACTGCAGCGGTGCGACGCGATCGCGTTTTAATTCCCCCATCGAGTCCTATTCGATCTATTCCAAAACCGGAACTCCAAACTAATCGAGGCATTGCGCGCGTCGCAAAGTACAGCTCACGCCCGCATTATTGCCAAATTCCCCCACTCGGCTGACGCTGCAACTGTCTGAGGCTACTGTGAAGCGGTTCGTACCCAGCCACTGCAACCCCACCTTTGACCCCGGCGAATCTTGGGCTTCTGCATTGGAACCGATCGCGCGCCAGTTCAGAGATCTGACGTGGTCTTGCCCAGCAGAGCGAACCTGCGTTGTCGCCCGAAGGACCTGCGCGAAATCCGAACCACTCATAATCATGTCGTCGACCTCACCCTCGAAGGAGCCGGAGGTTGAACCCGAGGTGCAATCGGGTGAAGAACAGGAGCAAATGGAAAAAGACCAGCAAGACCTTGCACATGGACAGGGCGAGTTCGAGGTGAAGGAACAAGATCGGTGGCTTCCGATTGCAAATGGTTAGTTGCGTCTCCTTGCAGGCTTTCTATTGATCTGATTTGCGCGTACCTGGCTGCTGGCTGGCCACTACTGTTTACTCTTTGTCGCCGGCCCCGCCTTCCTTGTCACCTTTCCAGAAGCTTTTTCTGCTCGCGTGTCTTCTCATATCGTTCATCTTCTTTCCACTCGGCCCTTCTCTCTTTTTTTTCCTTTTTTTTTCAAAGGAAACGTTGCGCAAACGAGGGAGCTTTTGGTGGTGAAAGTTTTCCGCCCTGCTATCATGCCTGTCGCATCGCTTCCCTTATCACTGCTCTTTACTTTGCGAATGGTGACTTAGGGCCGACCATGCTAATATCAGCCTTATACAGTTGCGCGTATCATGAAATTGGCTTTGCCCGATAATGCGAAGATAGCAAAGGAGGCCAAGGAGTGCATGCAAGAATGCGTGAGCGAGTTCATCTCGTTCATCACCAGTGAGGGTGTGTTTCCCGTTTCGTTTAATACATGTGTGGACGACCGACTAATAGCCTGGGCAGCTTCGGAGAAATGCCAGCAAGAGAAGCGTAAGACCGTCAACGGCGAGGATATTCTGTTTGCGATGACCTCTCTCGGGTTTGAGAACTACGCCGAGGCTCTTAAGATTTACCTTTCCAAGTATCGCGAGGTGAGCCCCGTCCTGCTCTGACATTCTACATCCCCATACTGACTGCATTCGAGACACAATCTGCACGAGGAGAGAACCAGAACCGACCCCCAAGCAGCGGCTATGGCGCTGGTGGTCCCGTCGGAGGCGCTCAAGGCCGTTTCCCCGAAGGCGCCGAGGGTGCGAACAGCATTATGAACACGGGCATGGACCCCTCTGAGCAAGATCCCTCTGCATATGGCTATCCCGCTATGGTTGGCCAGCCTCACAATGGCGCCGGGGGCGATTCTTACTAAATCAATTGACATCGGTTGCCTTTGGGTCCAAGAATGGAAGCGTGAGGCGTGCAGGCGTCCTTGGTTTCTTTCTTCAGTGTCTATCGGCGTCGTATGCTGATATCTCAGCGACTTGATGGAAACAATGGGCTCTCTTCCTGGGCGAATTATTTATACTCTCTGGGGAGGAGGGACTCTCAGCTGTTTGCGTTTTTATCAGATCTGGAGTTTTGGGTAATTATGGGCGGATAAGTGATCTAGGCAAATTTGTACTCCGGGCCAAAGCCTCTTCCAGCCGATAGAAAGGGCTACACTGGTCCATTCGTACGTTTTATAACTAAGGTTGGGTTTCCGCTCAGATGGACGATAAGCCCGTTATCAAGGCCACCGTGATTGGCCACGGGTTGCAGATGTCCACCTAGATAGGATATAAAATTCCTGCTCTACTTTCATCTAAGTATACCTAGAATAAATAGACGACTCCATACCAACGTTCCAGGGTTCGAGGAGTTTTCGCCCCTTTACATAATCCGCTTCTCCGCACCACGTGAGGCTCCACCGGACCCGATCCCGCAGTCCTCGACTTCCCGAACTTTTTCGCTTTCCCCAGTCGCGTTGAGTGTCCCTTACCCTCGGCAATCGTTTGACACGATGCCCTGATCTTGACGTGAGCGAACCCGAGAATAATGCAGAGCCGTGGCCAAATCGCACATGGAATGATGTCGATGGTCCTCCTGCCATGTCCTTCCTCAACGATAACGCCTCCTCGCCGCTCCCGGGCGATGGTGTGAGCAAGCGCAAGCAGGGTAAGTGCCTTTTGATGCCCTATCCTACGATCAATTCACAGTGTTAGGGGCTCGGAGGACCCTTTGCCTCACGTTCGGACCTTCCAACGGTGTAGATCTCAAAATTGTTGACCGGTGACTCAAAAAATAGGCTCCGCCGCCTGCGTCCACTGCCACCGGCGCAAGGTTCGTTGCGATGCCCGTATGGTCGGAACACCCTGCACAAACTGTCGCACTTCTGGAAAAACCGACTGCCGCATCCACGAAAAGAAGAAGCGACTTGCAGTACGCTCGATCCTGGACCCCGTTCCGATCCGATCTCGGCCCCTCCCGACCTCTGATCACGCCGCCAACGCGTCAACGTCGGCCGGCACGCCGCAGCCGCCAAGCTTTCCCACTGCTTTCCCGGGTGGCTCCGCGGCAACACCTCTTGCAAGCAACCTTTCGCAGCAAACCTTCCTATCCAATGCCGGGCCGGACAATTTCGGGCGCCAAGGCCCGGATCTGTCGCATGCCCACGAGGCACACACGGAGATGGAACAGCACCTTGTCAAACTCATTGACGAGGAAGAATCCGGCAGAAGAGAAATCCAAAGAGGCGTGCGCGCATTCTATGTTGGGCATGAGCATTCAAATATGTCCTTCCTGATTCGCCAACAACGAGATCAGGACGACAATGTATACCACTTTGCAAGCAATGAGATCCCGCGGCGACAGACGAAGACCGTTCAGGATCAGCTTCTGATGGATGCATTGACTCTACCCGAGCCGGCTCTGGCAGATGAACTGGTGCAGGCATACTTTACCTACGTCAATCCCGGATACCCCATTATCGACGAAGATCTGTTCATGACACAATACCGAAATCGAAACCCCTCAGATCCCCCGCCAATTCTGCTGCTTCAAGCCATTTTACTTGTTGGAGCACACGTCACCCGCCCAAAAGTTGAGCGTGACGCACTCAAAGAAATATTTTTCCGTCGCACCAAATACCTGTTTGACAACCGTATCGAGCGCAATCGGGATATTCTCGTTCAAGCAGCGCTGCTGTTGACTTGGCATTCGGATAGCGCCGACGACGACGTGGCAGCAGACGCCCACTTTTGGGTTGGCGTGGCTGCACGAATCGCCACCGGGCTTGGAATGCACCGCAATCCCGTGTCCAGTAGCTTTGTTACACGGGACAGGCGGATGTGGAGACGAGTCTGGTTCATCATGGTGCAATTCGATGTGATGGTCTCACTTTCATATGGTCGTCCACAAGCTATCAACTTGGATGACTCTGATGTGTCCCCTCTGACCCTAGCCGATTTTGAGAACTGTGGGCCTCATGTGCAATCCGAGTTTGTAATTCATTTTACAGAACTTTGCACCATGATCTCGTATCTCATTCGGGATCGGTTCGGACTGCGTTCTTCTGATGAACGACGAAAGGCCGTTCTTTCAGAAGCCGATGAGTCTTTGGCAAACTGGTCATTGAAGCTTCCGGACAACCTGCGCCTTCGAGCATCTGACATGGATCCTTGGTCTGCTATGCTCCATCTGACCTACAACAACTTCCTGATTTTGCTGCATCGACCTCACCCGAGAGCCTCCGCGTACTCGGACGATTACGGTCCCCACGACGCGGAAATTTGCAGTGCTGCTGCTGGAGTCATCGCCTCTATCTTCGAAGAGCTCAGACTCAACGACCGTCTGAAGTTCCTCTGGTACACCGGTGTCCATACTCTATTCACAGCCATGATCCAGGTCCGGGTCGAGCTGCGGTTCTCCAATCCCGTTCTGGCGATCAATGCTCTGCGTCGTTTCGATTCAGCATCCTATTCTCTCCGGGAACTGGCTCAGTATTGGGTCCACGCAGGCACAATTTTGCGACTGTTCGAAGACTCCAAGCGTCTTCAGAAAGACTTGCGCACGGCTACGGGCGATCGATCCAAGTCATATAATGCCACTGCCAATAAGATGCCAGTCACTACTCCCGACCCGACAGCGGCCATGCAGGCTGTACAGACACCGCGGCCGCTTTCCTTCGGTGTTCCAACCCCTGAATCCAGCCATACACCGATGCAAGGAGCTACATTATCGCCACAACCACCCCAACCACAGTTCGACAACTGGATCACCGCACCGCTCAGGCTCAATGTTGGTCCACTGGAGCGAAACGACCCATATGCCAATACCATGCAGGTGGATCCTCTGGAGCAAACCCGCGACTATCCAGATTGGAAGCAGCTCTTCTCCTTTGCAGATTCCGAATTGCCTCCGCCCATGCCCATGGAAGGACTCATGGAATTAGAAGACGAATGGCGACAGATTTATTGGCAAGATACCCCAATGGCAGATCTCATGCAGGATGGAGGCTGGCTTCCCGGCTAGCCTCTCCGTTGTATATACCCGATGCTCTCTTATGTGTTACTCGGGAAACCTGGCTTTCATACCCCCTTCCACACCACACACCCCTAAGCTGTCAAGAGTTCAAATCTCTTCCAACATTATATCCTCCCCCCATCACGCTTCTGTGACCCCACGACGAGACGAAATACGCAGAGCACGGACTTGCTCGAGGCTTTACATCACAGGCTTCGTACATGATACCATGTCGTCAACGACTACATACACCCCTTCGATAGAGATATACATTGTTACATAATTGCAAGAATATTTACAGGGCTTACTTCCGTTATCAGTAGTCTATATGTACAGAATCAAGCCTTCCATATAAATGCATCATCGCCAGACCGTATACATGACCGCTCACATCAGCCAAAGACAAAACGCTTCCAATTATCAGCAAGCTGCTGTACGCCATGCCGTAATTCCCACCCTCGTAAATCACAGATCTGCCGCGTCACTTCCTCCAGCAATTGATCCATCTGCGGCCCCGCAACATGCAAGTCACTCTCGACCAGAATCCGATCATCCGGCAACGCCTTGATCACATCACAGGCCTTCTTCGCCTGCGCCCCGCTGAAGTTGATCGCCACGGAAAACGAGAAATAGACATCGGACGGATTCGACTTGTTCAGGAACTGGCGAATCGGCTCCACGGGCCCGGAGTAGGAATGCATACAGATGCGTGGGGGAAATGGGCTCGAGGCTTTACTAGGTTTACGCTCCTTCGCACCCTTCACTTTTTCGTCGTCGGAAAGAGCTCCCTCTGCATCCTGCTGTCTTTCTCTTTCCCGTCGTGACATGACGACCCGTTCATGCCCCGCCCACAGCTCCTTCAATGAATCTAGGACTGCTCCGTGCGCTTGTACGCTGTGCACGGAAACCGCCCGTCCCATTTCCCCAGCTAGTCGGAGCTGCGCACTTAATACGGCCCGCTGGTGCTCCATCTTCACCTTGTACGGTGAGAGACGTCGCCCTTCACGCGATCCCGGCGTGAGCTGGTCATCTCGGCTCTCCAGGTCTTGCGGTGTCCAGACGCCGGGCAGTCGGAATGACTTGTCCAGGCCGATTTCACCTACGAGGGCATTGGGAAACATTCGCAGACGGTCTCTAGTTTCTGATATTAGAGATGAAAGTGGTTTTGGTGTTGGAAGGAGGTTCATGAACTCCGGATCCTCGGGTGATGGCGTGAGAACGGAAGCGTAATGGGCTTCCTTTTGCTGCGGGCCTGGTTGTGTGTCGTCCACGATCTGGTGAGAGAACCACGGATGCCACCCGAAGCAGGGCAATACCCGTTGAGCTTCGTTGCTTCCATTAAGTGACTGCGCTGTCTGTTGCACGAGCTCTTGGTCTTCCCCACGCGTCGCCATGACGGTCAACGTCGTGGTTTTCATGGCGGGGATGCTAGCCACGACGGCCATGGTGTCGGTGGGGTGACAATGGGCATCGTAGACGCCGAGATCCCAGGGGAAAGCATCATGAGACATGATGGCTGACAATTTGTATCGAACATCACACGCAAATGAACCTAGGCCCCGGATGATGTAAGTGGGGATGTCACATGCATCTCCGCATTTAACGGAGTAAATAAACCTTGAACTACGATGATTTCTCCTTCACCGTCTCTATGAGGCTCGTTCCTCGATGTGCGCCCTCATGAAGACCGTATTGGCGCTGCCGGTTCTGGGCCTCGTCTCGATCCCGCTGCTTCTCTCCGCCTGGGTGACCATCTCCTTTGCCCTGCTCACCCTATGTATTCGCCTGAGCATCGTGTACGTCGAGCTGGTCTTAGCACTGCTAGTCAATTTCTTCACGCTCCCGGTATCATCCACCTCTTTTTTAACCTTTGCACCATCCGAGCCCCCATCGCCAATCGCCTCGAGAAGGAACTCGGGTTATGGCCCTCTCCAGGCTTACAGAAGCAATGACTCTGTCTTCACGTTGGGGCTAAGCACCCACGATGAGCATTCAAAGCCCAGGCAGAAGAAATACGCACGCAGCATGGTCGAGGCACATGTGCCTACGACCCCGTTTATCGACGACAGTCGAGATTTCGAAGGCGTCGGCGGCTGGCGCTCATATCACGACTCCAAGCGGCGTGGATCTCATACCAACGAGAAACCACTGAGTTCACACTCATCCTCAGCGCCGAGTATCGTAGGTGAAGTCGACATCGACGACGACATCGACGACGACGAGCGCGCATGGCTATCACTGAACTATCTACTCGAACTACCATCGCAAGTCATCTCTCTGGGGTCTACTACGGGGTCGACTGCGCATAGTCCTGTCCTCAGTCCGCGCAGCGTGAACAATTTCCATGCCTTCATGCCTGCTTCGTCGAGATCCTACCATGAAGAGCATCCTGAACAGAGACATCATCACCGTTCACATACGACCTCTTCCTTGACTACATCTCATCGCCGCACTGGAAACGGCCTTTCTCTCGCCTTTTCAACACGACAAGATCAGCCTCGAGATTCTGGACACTCCGTATCACCGTCTGCGTCACGCGTTGCTCCTTTCATGACACCGCAGCCTTACTCGCAGCAGATGCGGCCATTTACTCGACCGCCGGGCAGTAGTAGCCATGGACATGGATCCTCATCTAGAGATGGGCATATGTCTGGCTCCGCAGATAACATATTAGGAATCGGTGGTGGATACTTCGCCATCCCGCGCCCTGGATCATGGTACATGCCCTCATTTTCAAGCAGGGGAAGCCCCAATGCGAGTGGGTACACGACCCCGGGCACTGGATTACCAAGTGAAGACCGTGATGCGTCGATGCATTTGACTCGCCTGATGGCGCACTATCCTACCAGCGTGAGACACAGGAGGCGAAGCATCTCAGGGCCTCATTCGAGGGCGGGACTTGGAGAACGAGGATGAATTTGCACATAATCTTGACAATGGAAATGCCGTTATGATTGGAATGAATTGCATGATAACTACAGAATCTTTTTCGAATCTTTCTTTAACATCTATGTCTAGCGAATATGAACCAGGGAAAATTGAATGCACAGAAGAGCCCGCAATCGCGGGTCAGGAACAATCCACAAAACTCCAGAGAAGAAAATATACACGGCTCCAAGCGCTCCGATATCTCATAGACCATTACTCATGGGTAAACACCATGACTCGCTGTAGGGCTCACGACGACCTCTCGCGTCGATTCACTTCTTCCATTTCGGATAGAACGACCTTGTTAAATTCTTCCCACCCGTCGAGGTAGAGGTGGTGACCGGCTCGGTTGATGACGACTACCTTGGCGGACCCTTGGTCGTTGCGGCGCTCTTCTGGCGTGGCATTGGCCAAAGCACGCTGTTTCTCTTCTTCGAGGCGCGCTGAAGCGGCGTGGCCGCCCGAGACGTCCATCCAGTCATGGTCACCATACATGAACACGATCGGTAGGCCCTGTTCGCGCCAAGGCTGTTGTTTGGGAACCGGAGCGTCAGATGAGGGGATTGGTGGGGTACCCGGCGCATCGGCTGGTGTAGATGCGGCAGCTGCGGACTTTGAGATGATCGAGCATGAAGACTTGGCCGAGTTGGTGGGATGAGGGGGGGAGTATGAGGACTCTGGCTGGATCATCTGCCGGCCAACGCCGTGGATACGGCGGATGAGGGGACTGCGGGCGAATGCACCGGGGGCAAGGATGTATGCTAGGGCGTACTCGCCACTGCCGCGCTGACTGAAGATCGAATATGAGTAGTCGTGGAGTGCCTTGGCCTCTTCGGCTGGGAGATGGGAGAAGCGGCGCGAGGTCCATCCAGACACGATCCGTGGACCCAGGGGACCCGTCCATCGCACCAGGCTGAAGGGAGAGATGTTTGCATCCCACAGATAGGCGAACCATTTAGGCATGTTCCGGCGTGGCGGCAGGTTCTGGGCCTCGGGTTTGGGATTGCGGCCCGTGATGAAGCTGCCATCGCTGGTCTTGGGTGCGGTTCCCGGGACAGCAGCAGAGGAGGTGATTTCATTTTGGTCCTGGGTGAACTCGTTGGCCAGCGTGGACTCGGACGGCTCGGGGACATCCGCTGTCACCGCGTATGGGTCTTCGGGGATACCCACCGGGGACGCCAGGATAAGCTTGTTGAGGTGGCCGGGATATTTAAGGGCATAAGCGACGGCCATGTAACCACCCAGGCTGTGACCGAGCAGAGTGAAGCGGTCGATCTTGCGCTTGATACGCCATTCTTCTAGTGCATCAATGAACCAGGCCTCGGCCTCCCGAATTGCCTCTTCTCTGTCTTTGGCCTTGATCTTGAAGGGTGGCCGCGTGCTGCGACCCATGCCCAGCATGTCCAAAGCATGCAATTGCCAGCCCTTCAATCGACTGAGCGGCTCAAAGTTCTTGTAGAAGAAACCAAGACCGGCGCCGTAACCATGAAGCATAACCAAATGTTGATCTGCATCCTCGCCAAGGCGCTCTACAGAGAACTCGTTGAGAGCCCGGTCTTTGCCACTCAGCTCCACCATGCTAGAGCTCCACCGACGAGGGCCATAGGGATCATTGAGGGAGTTGGTGGAGATCTCGCCTTGCTGGTTGTGGTCCGCAGACTTCAGACTGCTCGGCGTCGAACCGTTGGGGAAGTCCGCCGTGTTACCGGTCTGAAGATGGGTTGGGGGATGCTGATGCAGATACGGAAGATAGGAAAGGACTTTGTGCTCTGCAGCTGCAGCAGGGAGACGAGCCCACTGGGCTTTCGATTAGCAGGATATCCGATGGGCGCATGTTCAGGACGGCTTACCCATTGGCTAAAGCCTTCGCGGTATCCTAAGGGGAAGAAAGAACTGGCGGCTGCAGCGCCAGCTGCAGCGCGCGCAGCATACGGGGTCCCTTCTCGACCCCCCGTGCTATTTCTGTGCTGTCTGTGTTCGCGAGCGTCCGATTCGGACGAATTCAGCGATTCGGACGCCATTGTTGAGGATTGGCGACGCCGAGAAGTGTCGGTGGCAAAGAGGACGGGGCGCGGAGTATGCGCCCGGAGTCGCGATACTAGGGGAGAAACGAGTCGAGAAATGTTGCCTGTACGATAAACAGATGGGCCGATGGATCTTGTTAAAAGCAGAGTTTGGGAGGCGAGGTTCATGGATTGCGTTTTAAGGCACGGAGACAAGCGGCGTGGCTTAACTCCGACAGGCAGCCAGATGCATACGCAAATTTCGTGGAAGACAGGAGAAGTTCGAAGACGACCAAATGGGATGATATGCGCAATTCAAATACAGCCGTAAAGGCGCAACAGCCCTAAGAAAGGGAGAGGTGAAGCCGAGGCAGAAGGCGTATACAAGAAAAGTGGGCAAAGGCGGAAGAGGATGATGTCGCCGATCTGCACATCAGCAACTCCCCCTTCCGATTTCCTCCTTCTTCACCATGACGACCACACCGGGCCGCATCGGCCGTTGATAACTGTGTGACTATTTACACCATGGCTACCCCCTTAGATCAGCTTGTCAAGGGCGCACCAGTGCCCGAAGCCCGGGCACCTACGTTGGAGCCATTGCATGCTTCATCTGCCTCCCCGCCTCGGCCCTCAACGCCTGATCCGCTAGCCACGCTACCATCGTCTCCTCCCCAGATCTACCTGAACCTTTTGATCCTCGAAGCATCACTCCGAGCACAGTATTTAGCTCTACGCGAACGTCGCCGCCAAAACACATTCTTCCTGCTCCTCCTGGTTGCTTGGCTTGCCTACTTTGCATACGCCCTGTTCCTCCGCCCGCGTGAAGATGGCCGCGGCGTCGGCGGCTCCGTTTATTGGGTGGTTGAGATGGGAGAGAAAGTCGCCCTGCTCGGTGGAGTGGTGACAGCTCTGTTGGTCTGGGGTACCGGGCAATGGGAGCGTGGAATCCGCTGGCCCCGGCGCTGGCTCGCCGTCTCCAATCGTGGCCTCCGCGTCATGAACACCAAGATCATCGTGATCCGTGGTCCTTGGTGGCAGGAGTTATTGTCTTACATCTCATTCCTATTCCCCTTCTCTGCACCCTTCTTCCCCTCCCCCGCGGGTAATTTCCACTTCGTCGAGCGCCACCCCTCCGAGAAGCGCGGTAGTCGGCAGCACTACCAGCAGTACTATAACGGCGGCGATACCGAGTCCGGCCTGATAGAGGAAGACCTGAGTCCTGGCGGCGACTACATTCGTCTGCTCTTACTACCCAAGTCGTTTTCACCGGAGTTCCGCGAGAACTGGGACGACTATCGTACCGAGTTCTGGGAGAAGGAGAATGAGCGCCGAACTCAGCTGCGTCATAGAATGCGCGAGCGCGAGCGCCAGCTCGCTCAAGCCGAAGGCGGTTGGCTCTGGTGGATCGGATTGGGCTGGCGCGCTTCTCAGCGCCGTCGTTTGGTGGCAGCTACTCTCAATCGGTCTCTCGAGCCAGAAACCAAGCACAGGCTTCATCCTCTTCATCCTCATCACCAACATCAGCCATCAAATACCTCTAAGCTCAGCCAAGAGCAGCGCGCATCTTCCGTCCGCCGCGGTACTCGCTCCGAGTCGACTCATTCTCGCACCTCGTCTCGCAGCAGTACCCCGGTGGATGCCGAGGACCGACCACCCTCCCGCTCCTCGACGTCTAACCGCCCGCGGCGCGGAAGTACCACCCCCTCGGTATCCGGCCTAGAGGCCAGCCCACAGCAACGGAAACGAAAGGGCTCCAAGAGTCTGCGCCGAGGTCTGTCACCTCTGACACAGGCCCAAATTCGCGAAGGTGTACGGACACCGTCATTCTCGTCCGATGATTCTGGCATCTTGCCCATGAGCGAGAAGGATAGAGAGCTTATTCCAACCTCGGTGCCCGATTCGAATCACGCTACCTAGATCACTGAAGTCTTTGTATACTGTTCATTTTTCAAATCTCTCTACATTACCCTACATCGCATGGTGTTGTTACAAAACTTCATTCTGCATCTTGGCTTCGCACAGCATCCTATCCTATCTATAGATACCACAGCCTGTGTTTTCCTGCTAAGAAGACCACTAGTGGATGGCCTTTAGTCCTATGACAATTGCACTGATATGTCAGCTTTCCATTAACATCCCACGTATTTCTGATCTGCTCATGTCCCGTGATTGATTCTGTAACATGTCAATTGCTTTTTAGAAGTACCTTTAGAAGTACGATGATGGCTACCATTTTTTCCAAGGTTTGGTTTGAAACATGCATATATTCCTGACGAATCGAGCCTGATTCAAATCCTCCAGTCGTCAACTCCATACTCCATACACAGAAGAGAAACATGATATCGTCCCAATGCAACAACCTAGAAGCATGCTCGTAAAGAGGACCCCAGTCCCTCGCAGTATCTCCGATCTTTCCAAAGATGAAGGCCAAGGCGAAACGTAACCTTAAATCCGGTAGACGTGTTCGTCGTCTCCTCCAAGGTACCTAGTAAGAAAGTCAATAATAATCCAAAAGAAAGCTTGGGAAAGAAGTGGGTTACTCACATCAGCAGGTTTTCCTCGTTCATCACACCCAGAGCCTGGGTGGCCTCGGCGCGCGAGAAGACGTGCGAAGCACCTAGGGTAGGGGACGCGCGAATGGCCGTGTTGACAGCCTCGATCAGCTCGTCGACGGGGGTCATGTCAGAGTCGGCGAAGACCGTAGTACCCATGAGAGGACCCAGGGTCTGGCGGAAGACAGTCATACGGGCTGGGGTGATGGGGTGGGCAGATGCAGCAGTAGACTGCGAGTCATCCGTCTGGGACTGCACAAGTTGGGAGGCCGGTTGGGAGGATGCCACCGACATCTGGGACTCAGTCTGTGTCTGAGTGCGAGTGTTCTGGCTGGAGCGTGTACGCTGGGCGCGCGGGCTAGCTGTGTACAGACTGTCCGGGTCATCGTCTGGAACTGTAGAGCTGGCGGCACCACGGGATCGGGTTGGTCGGCCTGGGGTGGCGGTTGATGTACCCCGGAAGGTTGTATTTTCATCTTCATCATCGTCAAGCTCGGGATCACTCTCGTCGTCCGAGTCCTCATCGAAGGTAGCCACCTTGCGTCTCTTGCGGCGGCCAACCTCCACAACTTCCTTGAACATGGCGAAGCGCAAAATGGCTTCGGCGTGCTTCGCATCCTTCTCCTCCACCCGGTTCGACAGACGGGCCTTAGCATGGGCAGTAGACAGACGGATCAGCGTCTCGAGGGTACGCGGTGTGATGGGAGAAGTCCGGCGCTGGTTACCCGAGAGGTCGTCATTCCGCAGAGCCGAGTAAGTAGCAATGATGTGGTCGGCAGCTCCCTTGGTCAGAACGGGCTTGACTCGTGACTTGGCGTACTGGATGTATTTCTTGATGAAGGGGATGCTGATGATCTCCAAGTTCTTGTTGCGGTTGTTGCCGCGGCTAGCGGGCACCATGCCACCGTGGAGCATGACGTTGAATTTTTCAAAAACCTCTGTAGGCTGATTGGCATCCTGGCGATCCTCAATGCCCACACCCAGAGTCTGGTTAAGCTGCTCTCGTACAGGGGCACCTTCTTCAGTTCCAGGCTGGCGGTAACGGTGCATACGCAGGACGTGCTCCGAAATAGTACGATCCTTGGCATCCTCGATATCATCAGTGACAACGAAGAGCAGATCGAAACGGGAAAGAAGAGAATCGGGAAGAGCAATGTTCTTATGGGGGTCTTTGTGAGGATCGTATTGTCCGTAGACAGGGTTGGCGGCAGCTAGGACACTGCATCGTGCGTTCAGACTGGTGTGAATACCAGCCTTTGCAATAGTGACGGTCTGTTGTTCCATAACTTCGTGGATTGCAACACGGTCCACGTCACTCATCTTGTCAAACTCGTCAATACACACCACGCCACGGTCACCCAGAACCATGGCACCAGCCTCTAAACGACGTTCACCCGTCTCTTTGTCAGAGGTCACGGCAGCAGTCAAACCAACACCGGAGGAGCCTCGACCGGTCGTGGCAATGGCCAGCGGAGCAGTGTTCAACACAAAGCGAAGCAATTGAGACTTGGCAGTCGACGGATCGCCAACCATGAGAATGTTGATGTCACCGCGAAGGTGAGTACCGTTATCCAAATTCTTCTCCATACCACTAAGCAGCATGAGCAGAATGGCCTTCTTGATGTAGTCATGTCCGTGGATACTGGGTGCCAGCGACTGGGACAGCAACTCGAAGACGTTCTTCTTTTTGGCGACCTTGTTAATGTTTCGGATATCGGTGTCGGTAATGGTGGCCTGCGCGATACCACCGCCGGACTTTGAGGAGAGTTGAATGATGTTGTTGGCCATCACGATAGTACGGAAGGTAGACGACCCCGAGCCAGCATTGCGGTTACCAAGGGTGCGGTAGATACCGACGAGCTGGATTCTATCACCGGGCTTGGCTTTGTCGACCAGATCGTCATCAAGAATAACGTCGACGCTTCGAGGCAGCTGACCGGCCGGAGCACGCTCAGGCATTTCTTGAATCGAGATGCTTTGGTGGTCCATGTAGGTCGAGTAACCGTACTCGGTGATAAGCTTGATGGCAAGTTAGAGAGCCAATTTATAATTTCTTTTCTGAGATTTGTACCCACGGGATTCTTTTCATCGTCTTCCTGGGGGTAGACATTCAAGCTTGTGGCACCGCTCGCAGTCATAGTCTGATCGCGGTATTTTCTCGCCAGGAAACGGTCCTTCTTCTCGCTGTAGTGCACACTCTGGATGATCTTTGGGCGAACCAAAGAGCATTTTGTCACAATACCTTCGAGGGACACCATGCGGTTCAAGTGTTGAGATCCCAGTGTACGGGGGTTGCAAGAAAATTCGCCGAATGCTCCGACATAGGCACAGTAGTAGCCCTATTGCAGTGGCTGTTAGTTTCCATCGCGAGCATCAAATGGGACCAAGCAGCTGAATGACATACCACTTCGTCCGCTGTCTCCTTGCTCGGCCTGTTCGGTAGAGACTTGACAACATCTTTAAGGGCCCGGTCGAAGGCCTGCGAGTAATCGAAAGGGGAGGTGAGAAGCCTGTACGATTAAAAACATAAGTAATGGGCCTTCCACCTCTGGGAGTGTTGTCTGCATACCCTTCAGCAAGCTCGCGGTTGTGTGCTCGGATTTCATCGATGCTGACCTGCGAGTTCATCAGCAATTTCTCCGGCCATTCCAGGAAGAAGATAACGCACAGTGAGGCGGCGCAATCCCCGATTCAACATAACCACAATCTCGGCTCGATAGCTGTTTTATCCGGTCAGAGCTATAACGGTAAAAGAAAAGTCGAATGGACGAACCTGCGTGCCCGTGCATCGCCTAAGAAAAAATGCCATGTTAGCCAGCGTCTGTTGACCGCAACGATCGCAATACTTACCGGGATCAAGGAACTCAGTGGCGGCTCGCACGCGATCCTGTGCGGCCTCATCGCGCAACTGAACGTCCATGCTTGCGGGATTGAGGGTGGTTCGGTGTTGAGATGGCAAGTCGAGGGGGAGGAAGAAGCGGTGCAAAGACGGGAGGTGCACGCTCGCCCGATCAGGCAAAATTGAAACGCGTCGACGCGTGCGCGTGTATGGTTATGTAAGCGCTACCCACGCCGACTTCATACTGCGGACATAGAACTTCCGATGTTTGGACACATTCAGAGATGGAGATATAATACATTGGTTTATATATAGACAGGATATTCGCAACAGGCTAAAATAACAAATCACTGTACATGGGAGACGCTCAGTACGTCTCTTTTGGCCTTTCAGACGTCTCGGTGTCCACGCGCTCAACACCAAGCTCGCTTGGCTCGTCAACCTCACTGCTGGGCTGATCACTCTCATTCGGGTTTTCATGCTCAGATAGTTCATCCATATCCCTCAACTCTTCTTCCTCATCAAACATTTCATCGAGGCCTTCATCAACGTCAACCGCTCGAACCGGCTTCCTGGCCTTCCGAGTCCCATGCGAAGCCTTCTGGAGTTTGATATTCTCCTCCCTGCGGCGCTTGCTCTCGTGAGCATGCGCTATGCGGCGATGGTACCGAATATCACCCTCAATGTCGAGCAAATCTTCGCTGGATAGGGGGCTCTCCTGTGGGTCTTCAAGATCATCGGACCCGAAGATTTCGGTAAACGCATCGGGGGCTTCATTTGTGGCTGAAATGTCCATGTAAGGACCTTCCTCCTCCTCGGGTTGATCACCGCGGGGCACTTTTCTGGATCTAGCTTTAACGCCAACACCGAGAACTCCACCTGGAGCAACATATTCGTCGGTGGGGGCCTTTTCCATGTCGGGTCCAACTTCACGGCCGCGTATCAGCACTCCCTGGAATTTTTCACGCCAATAGGGCATCTTGCCAAGGGCCTGAATCGTCATTGGTGCAGTATCGTGGAGAACCTGTAGTTCGTCACTGCCATTCAAGATACTATCGTCCCGAACGCGGTTCAGCGCCGCAGCAAGATACACCATGGTGACATAGGTCGGTGAGAGCAGATCAGGCCGGAGTGCACTGAAGTGGTCCCGTGCAGCTTTCCCGAGGAACTTCTGGCTTTGCCGTTGGATGGAGCGCGGATCGACTCGAGGGTCTTCAAGCTTATGTGCGAATTTTGGAGATTTCTTGGTCTTCAACACGTATCCTCGCCGTATCGGGCCCCATCCAGGGAACCTCGGCATGAACATGCGTTCAGTGGTTTTGAAAGCCTCGACCAGATCGGACATTCGATCTGAAGCCGCCATCATCTGTACGTACGTCGACCAATTGTAATTGGTCATCTTGAAGCCAGCGGCTTTGAGCTCTGCCACGGCTTGGAAGATCTTCTCGGTCTCATTCTGATATGCCAAGGCCCGTATGTAGAGAGAAAATGGTCTAGACAGAATGAAACGTTTCGAAGGAAGGATCTTAGGCTGGACTTGTCGTTCAGAGCGGTCACATGTCGCGCCATCTGAGCTTGTTTCGGCTTTCGCGGAAGGTTCCAGAGCTGATGATTCCAAAGGAGGGGTTGACGCAAAGGTTTCAGTGGAACTCTTTGGCCCCGATTCGAAATATTCACTAACGTTGATGTGGCTGGCCATTTTGATGGCGCGCGGAAACAGGATTTGCCAGCACTTCTCCACGCTCTCGTATTCATCGGCCTTCAAATACGCAATCATCATCGCATTGACAGTGCCGAATGGGGCAGTTTCAAGTCCGTTTTCTAGCGAGCTTGAAGACGGCTTGGTGGCAGTGTACTTCTGGAACAAGTCGCGGGCCCGTTCAACTGCACCTCCTTTTCCGTATTCCTTGATGAGATATTGATAGTGCAAAGTAGAGAAGGCTTCGGCGGAAGACCCTCCCGAAATCCCGAGCAGCGAGAGTTTGGATACCCAGGAATTGGTGCCCATTTGAGATATTGCTGAAATCAAGAACCTTTCCGCGGTTTCCAGTCGTAGGCTCTCGCCATGAGGTCTAAGACCCTCGTCTTTCATGATCTGCAAGTCACGCTCAACGTCCGACTTGAGTTTCAAAAGACTCGACTGGATCCCAGCTCGGCCGAATCTCTGGCCGATCTCATTGAAGATGATGTGAACCATATCGCGATTCTGAACCCGGAGATACCCGTACAGAATGATGGCATAGTGGTACTCCGTGGCATGGATGATACGTTTCTTGTGCAAGTTTCGAAGAAGCTTTCGTGCTTGGTCCGGCCTGTTCATCAGCACCAAGCTAAGCATGCTAGCAGCGTATGTTGTAGCATCCGGTGACAAATTGGCCCTGTCCATAGTTCGTCTGACTCGACTGAAAGCCTCCACGTCCAACCTAAACGCGTACTGCAGCAGGAGCGTATTCCACATTCTCATGGGAGATCCCTTGACTTTCAAGCGCAAAGCCGCCTTGGCAAACTTCTCGGCGAGATCCAATCGTCCGTTATGGCAGTGGACTTGAACAACAGTATCAAGCATTGGCATGGTGATCTGGACCTGATGTTTTTGCGCCTCTCTAAGCAACCAACGCGTACTGTCAATGTCACCGCGATTTGCAAAAATTCCCATCAGCGTACCAAACGTATGGGAGTCAAGCGACACGTCGTTCTTCAGCATTTCAGAGAATACAGAAAGAGCGCCTGCTGGATCATCCGCGGTAGCATAAGCCTTGAGAAGAATGTTCCAACACACTGTGTTCGGGGTGAGATTAAAATCCTCCGCAATTCTTCGGAACTGATCATGCGTTTCCTGCACATTGCCAATCTGCGCGTGGACGTACAGGAGCGGAGTCACCTGATGACGACTGCGAGGTGGCCCATAGTCCGCGACGAGTCTCTCGAAAACAGCATCCACCTGTGCCACGTCTCCAGCACGTGAATATACCATCATGGCCTGCCTGTATGCTTCCATGGAAGGTTTCTGGTGAAACTGGGACAGTTCATCCAGGAATAGTCGGATGCCATTGGTAATATCGAGGGATGCCAAGGCGTGGATCTGACCGCTAAGAAGTTTTGCGGGCGGCTTCTCTGAAGGCATTTGCCAACGCAGGTGTCGGTAAAAAACAACTGCGCGAACAACATTTGATCTTGTGCTTGAGGATTGAAGAGCTCGGATCATGTCAAAATAATGAGCCCCCTTCAGCAAACCCAAATGGTGGTAAGTTCGCAACATCCGAAGAAGTATGTCGATTGAGATGCTTTCAAGCAATTCGAGAGACTTTGATATATGGCCAATGAGGAACTGCGCGAGGCCAAGTGCGGCCTTGTTGTTGGGTTGGGTTGTTAGGAAATCTCCAAGTCGAATGGTGATTTCCGGCAGCATCAGGTGATCAAGTTGAGAAAGCATTTGCGTGTACCTTCGAAATGTTTTTTTCCCTTGTACTCCCAACTGGCAAATGTCCAGAGCGTTGGTCCAGTCGTTCTTCTTCACGTAGAATGCGGAAGCCAGTGCGCAACAAGAGTCCGCAAAGCCTCTGGAGACAGCTTCTTCACATATTGATCTGATCTTCAAAGGTTCCTCGGCACGAAGCTGTGATTGAGTAATGTGGAGGAAATCGTCGGCGGAACGGCTCTCCGGTGGTATTCCTTCAAACAATTGCCAGGCACGATCTTGGTCAACAAGATGCGATGATCTGCTGAGATAGGCGCAAAGCGAGGAACGAAGGAGCTGCGGTTGTCTAGCGGCAAGGTAAAACACCCAAGCTCTGTCAAAATCATCCCCTTGGTTTTCCAACAGCCTTGTGAGCTCCTCCGTAGCCTCCTTCGGGACATCGGTGCCATATTCTTCTGGCGAGGGCGCGTGCTCATGAGAGTCATGAAGCAGAATTTGGTGCAGGTTTGAGGCTTCTGTGGTATATAATCTCGAGAAGCCGGCAAGTGACTTTCTCCTCCGTCGTAGACCCAGCCTCTTTGAGGAGCGTGAAAGCCGCAATGCTGCAAAGTCTTGCGTTTTCCGTGGACAGAGGAAGTCGAGAACGGGCGGGCTTCGATCATAGGCAGGAAGGCTTTCGGACGGGCTAGAAACGGCGGACGGGCGTTGGCCTGATGGCTGCACCAAAGCGAGAAACCAGCCGGGGACATCTCCTCCGGTGACATTGTGCTTCCAGAAGTGACGAGATAGCGACCTCCGACTCCGAATAGCGCCATTGGGATCTCGAAGGAAACGCCGTCCCGCGCTTTCGAAGCAACCGGCCGCCCGTTCGAGCATTACCCCCGATCGTCGCGGCGTCGAACACTTAAATCACCGATAACGATCTCCTATCTGCATTATAACGAGTCTCAAGGACCTATGTCATGCAGAAAGATGTTAGAAAACAATGTTTTTTGGTGCTTAAACAAGCTGTTTGGGGAGGATGGTGCCAGCCGTACCGAGAAGAAAAAAGTAATGCACGCGATCTGGAGACAGTGAAACTCGAGCGACTGAGCTTGATAAAGATTTCAGGTGCACGGCAGGTCTAGACAACCGTCGGTTTTCCCACCGTCTGCAGGTAAAAGAACCGTAAGCTTGGAAGAAAGCAACACGCAAAAGATTCGGAGGTTGGAAATTGCCGGGCACATCGGGCCACTCGTTTGGCCGAAACGGGGCACCGCCTTTACGTCGCAACCCACCAACTCAAGTCAACCCCGTCCACTCGCCCCTCTTATTTCCCCGGTTCAGCACGGTATGGAGATCACCGATTATGTCTTCAAGGAGCGGGAGGAGGTGCTCCTGGTCGGTGACTACAATGCCTACCGGGCGCATGCCACTCGCAGACTGCACAAACTTCGCAAGAAGCTGGGCCAGACAACCCCCAAAGGCCGCAAGTACACTGCGAAGGCGCCGGTGACTTCTGAAAATGTGGCAACAAGCGTATCGTATGTTTCTCTGCTTTCGCTTTATCATGACCAAAAGCTGACTCGTGTTTATCAGGTTCGTCCACCTATTGCTACTCGCTTCCGAACGAGCGTGGGCGCAAGCCATGCACATGAAATCGACACATTCCGCCGATCCATCCGCCAAAGGTATCTCCGGGGCTGCTCGCCGCCATATCATTTCTCGCTTGAACAAAGCGACCGGATACGCACACCATCTGGTTTCGCTGCTGCATGAACAGTCGACCTCTGGAGCGAGCGATATCGATATCCTCGAAGCACGGGCCTATCTGGCTACAATCTCGGGCGCGCTCTGGCTGGAAAAGCGCAAGTGGGAGCAATGTCTCCATGACTATGCCATCGCACGAGTGATCTATACGGCTCTGGGCCAGAGGGTTAAGAAAGATGCCTTCCGAGACCTTCTTACTGGAACTGTCGACCCCAGCATGCGCTATGCCGCCTATCAGATGAAGCTTCCTCGCTCCAAGCCGACTTCATCTTTGGCAATTGAATATTTCCCATCGGATTCGGAAATCCGATCGGAAGTGGAGAAGATTGACCCATCCTGTCTCGCGGAGGAGGCGGCGGGCACGCGGAGAACTGCGGAGGGCGAAGTGCAAAAGTTGCCGGAGTCAGTGACATGGAGATCTCGGACTGTTGCGCTGGAGGATGCTTCTATTTCTCAGGCTTTGGCTGCAGCCTCGGCCGCAGAGACTGGTCTCGCTGCTTGGCTGGCTGGTGAAGGAAAATCGGCCGCCGCAAAGGTTCAGGCTGCTGCGTACGACAATGTCATCATTTCCAGTCAAGATGCTGTCGATGCTACTAAGACTGCCATCGATGACCTGGCCAACGAGGGGGTGGATGCCGGTGACAAGAGGATGCAGGCGTTGCAGATCACCCGGACTGCTGTAAACTACAGTCTAGTTGGATGGCGTGTTGGCCGCAACCGTGTGTTGTGCGGTGAGCAGGACGGGCTGGCCTTTGAGGACGAACAGGGCAAGAACGGCAAGGAGACAAAGCGCCGCGGAGGCAACGGGAAGAAACTAAACCAACTCCGCGAGCGCATGGTGCTGTACGACTCCACGTTACAAAGTCTCGACTTTATTCTCGAGCTGCCGGGTGTGGCGGCCGACTCGGCCTTTGTTCAGGATCTCGAGGCGAAGCGGCGTTATTTTCGGGCTCTTAGGTATGGCTCACTTCGTCATTAGATCTTTCCACCTCGACATGTAACTGACTTTCTATGATTAGATGTCTGGCCCTGGGACGGTCGCATGGCCTTTTGAGCAAGCCCAAAGAGGCCCTCGCCCTCTTTGCTCAGGCCTTTGATCTTGCCGACTCCGCAAACTCTCAGGCCTCCGCCATTGTGGAGGGCCCTCCCCAACTGGATGTTTCCCGTGCCCAGGTGAATGCCTTGGCTTCTACACTCCGCGGACTGGTTGCTCAGTATCGCGGCCTGGTCACTCTGGAACGATTGGAGTCCGACTCCGGCTCCACCCAGCAGCGACCCGTCGTTGAACGTCTGCAACAATACCAAGCGGGAACAAATCTCAGCAACCTGGTGCCATACCCGCCGCAGATGCAGCCGGTCCCCGTGAAGCCGCTCTTCCTGGATGTGGCTTGGAACTACATCGACTACCCACATCTTGCAGGAGAGCAGGCTTCGGCTGCGGGTGCGGCTGCGGCGCCCGAGGAGAGGAAGGGTCGTGGCTGGTTCGGCTTTGGACGGTCATAGTCCATTGTCCGTCGCTGCATTAGCTTGTCTATGCATATGGAATGTACATTTATGCACATCCCGTGAAGAGGCCAATGGGAACACTCACAGCGGCACTTAGTCAGAGCCCCTGCTTACCTCACCCGCACGTGCCTCGAAGAAACCCTCGTTGGCCGTGAAAAAGCCAATCAGTGGCTCCGGAAAGTCCGTAGCCGAGTCACGCTATTTCTGATTACAAGTATGAAACCACCTGAAAAACAATGCCTCCTTGCGTCAGTAGTGTCCGTAGTGGAAGAAAGCGGTACACCCCGTCGTATTGTGGAGTTATTGGCTATGCGCGGAGTATAGCATGCACATCTCCTATACCGACAAATACTGCGTAGCGCCTGGTACATTTCTCATCATGAAACTGCTCAAACATCCTGATCTCTCTACCAGGGATATACTTTTTTTTACTCAATATTGAGTGTATATGGAGCTAGGAGTGAAGTAAATTAAAAATACGCAATGCAGTACCATCCGAACAAATTCCAGTCATGCAATGCGAGATTTGACTCCCGCGCGCCGAGCGTCCCGCGCGCCGGGTAGGAATTGGCGTTCCCGCCCCTGACCAATTTCATTTCCTTTTCTTTTTCCCTCCACCTCTCTCCCCTTTGTGAGTTCGGGTCCTTGGTTGTCGGACTTTTTTCTCTCGTTTTTCTCGGGTTGCCTCCTTGGTTGATTCACCATGGCCAACATCACTGGGAGTTTCGTCTCGCCGTCGGCGGATGCGACGGTCACTCCTCAACTTTTCGCGCCGGCGGGAATTTTAGCCTCCGTGCTCGATGGATTCAATGTCTGGAAGCTGATCCTGACGCTGTTTGTCGCGGCCATCGTTTACGATCAGTGTAAGTCCGAATGCTCTCGGAACGCCTCCAGGGGTGTTTGCGAACGTGTCTTGAAAACATTTACTTACCCAGGGTCCCCCTTTTCACAGTCAAGTACCACTACTACAAGGGTTCGATCGTCGGCCCCGCCTACAAGATTCCCTTTATGGGCCCATTTCTGCAATCCGTCAACCCCAAATTCACCGAGTACAAGGCGAAATGGGACAGCGGAGAGCTGAGCTGTGTTTCCGTCTTCCACAAGTGAGATCTCCGAGATCTTTGTGATTTACTATTCGCGGATTACTGACATCCCATAAGATTCGTTGTTATTGCCTCGACCCGTGACATGTCCCGGAAGATCTTCAACTCCCCCGGCTACGTGAAGCCTTGTGTCGTGGATGCTGCGCACAAGCTTCTTGGTAAGACCAACTGGGTCTTCCTGGATGGCAAGGAGCACGTTGAGTACCGCAAGGGTCTGAATGGCCTCTTCACCCGCCAGGCTCTGGCCTGCTACCTGCCCCGTGCCGAGGAAGTCTTCAACGATTACTACAAGAAATTCCTGGAGAAGTCCGAGGAGACCAAGCACACCCCGACCCCCTGGATGTCCGACTTCCGTGAGCTGATGTGTGCTCTCTCCTGCCGTACTTTCGTTGGCTACTACATGTCCGACGAGGCCGTCCAGAAGGTTGCCGACGACTACTACTTGATCACCGCTGCTCTGGAGCTTGTCAACTTCCCTATCATCCTGCCCTACACCAAGACCTGGTATGGCAAGAAGGCCGCCGACATGGTGTTGGATGAGTTTACCAAGTGTGCCGCCAAGAGCAAGGCTCGCATGGCGGCCGGTGGTGAGGTTTCGTGTATCATGGACGCCTGGGTCAAGGCGCAGCAGGACTCCGCCAAGTACCGTGCGAAGATTGCGAAGGGTATCCAGGTTGATTCGTCGGAGAAGCCTCCCCAGGTTCTGCGTGACTTCAGCGACTTTGAGATTGCCCAGACCATCTTCACTTTCCTGTTTGCCTCGCAAGATGCCACTAGCGCAGCTTCGACTTGGCTCTTCCAGCTGATGGCCGACCGCCCCGAGATCCTGGACAAGGTCCGCGAAGAGAACCTCAAGGTCCGCAACGGCGACCGCTCCGTCCCGATCTCCATGGATCTGCTCGACAATCTGCCCTACACCCGCGCCGTTGTCAAGGAGACTCTGCGCTACCGTCCCCCGGTCATCATGGTTCCCTACCTCGTCAAGAAGGACTTCCCCATCACCGACAAGATCACCGTTTCCAAGGGCTCGATGATCATCCCCTCAGTCTGGCCGGCTACTCACGACGAGGAGGCGTACCCCAACGCCGACTCGTTCGAGCCCGAGCGCTGGATCACCGGTGACGCTGAGGCGCAGGTCAAGAACTGGCTGGTCTTTGGCACGGGTCCCCACTACTGTCTGGGTCAGACCTACGCTCAGCTGTCGCTGATGGCCATGATTGGCAAGGCCAGTATGGAGATGGACTGGGAGCACACTCCCACTCCTCTGTCGGAGGATATCAAGGTGTTTGCCACCATCTTCCCTCAGGTATGTTGATCTCTTTTGCTTGTGCTTTCATGTTCGATAACTAACAGTATTCCAGGACGACTGCCTGCTCACTTTCCGCCCTCGCGCTTAAATTCTTCATTTCTCACGAACCAAAAGCAATGAAACTGGAGTCCGACCCCACGCCCTCCGGATAGACGGGCTTGGTTTCATGAACTTGCACGGCCTTTCTGTCCTGGAGATGGAGGGGCCGGTTTCTTTTTTTCCCTTTCTTCTTCTTTATGTGTCAGGACATTGGATGAACCAGTTGGATCAAAGTCCCTCGTTGTTAGCCGGGAGGATACCCAAAGCCCTTAGCCCTTTACTTTGTACAGAAGGGCAGTTCATATGTATGCGATCCGTGTGGGGTCGCGAGCAGTCTTTAGGTTTTTGTTCTTTTTCTCAAGATCGAGCGTCCTAGGAGCCGCGCACCTTTAAATAATATTAATGCTCTTTTTCCATTTTTCCAAAGTCAGATTGGTATCTTATTGGCCTCTTGTGTAAATAGATCCAAAAAAAGACTTCCGTCAATGCACAAGGTTGAATATCAATTCCGATCATTAATGGGTCTGAAGCTTCGGTATAGTTTGAAAATATATTTCCTCCTCTGTAGCGGCAGTATCGGCACAACATCATCTTTTTGACCAGAAATAATGTAATTGGAGTTAAATTACCAGTTGTTAGAAATTGGAGCCCTCATCCTAAGGCGCCAATATCGGTCGGCATCTCTCTGCCCCGATGGCTGCTGATTGGTCAGCTAGGCCCATGAGGTTATTGGAAATGGGCGCCCGTATATGCAGGTTCCTCATCTATATCGCCTTCTTTGCTTCTTTTCAGGGGGTTTCCCCATGGACACCGGGCAGCGGTGTAGGAGAACATTTTTGTATGCATTTTCTCTTAGAAAACAGTTCTCAGGGTAGGATATAAATATCCCCCTGAGAACGAGTAGAAAAGACAAAATCAGAATTTACCATCAATTACCTGTCTATCTTCTTTTCGTCTGATTATCTACCTCCTAATTCTCAACACCAGTAATAGTTTAAATAAGATACCTTTAAATGACCATTTGGCTCATGTTCTTTCCATCCTAACCGGCAAACCCAAACTTCCAATCCGGCAATCCCCAACCCAGCAGGCGGTCATACTCGGCATTGACATCACGCATCGCCAACGCCGAAGCCGAGAGCTTCGCCTCCCGCTCCCAAGCATCCTCTCTACACAAGGACCACAGATACCATGGCTTCGCAATTGCCATTCACGATGCGGCGCACTGCCGCCAGTATCTCCTCAGCCGCCATCAAGTCCCCTGCCCGGCAAACCATCTCGGCTACCCAGGTCTTCCAACGCCGATGCCTCTCCGCAACCACCCGCGGACTCGGGTCCGTCTTGCAGCGACGTGGTACGCTCGCAGCAGGATCGCACAGCTACAAGCCCCAATCACAGTACGCATCGCAGCTCCAGAACCAGGTGCGCCGGTTCACCGATGAGTCGACGCCGAGTCTGCGTGAATGGGGATTCGAGGACGTACGTCCACGATGGAAGACATTGGGAAGCGGAGCACAACTAACACCGGCCAGATAAAAACCTCACTCCCCTCCGACTCCGTCTCTCCGTCCCATAAGCCCGTCATCCTAATCGACGTCCGCGAACCCGCCGAGCTGAAAGGAACGGGCATCATCCCTTCCGCCATTAACATCCCGCTCGCTTCCCAGCCCGATGCTATGTACTTGACTGCTGACGAGTTCGAGGATCGCTTTGGATTCCCCAAGCCGCAGGCTGATGCGGATGGTACCCTCGTGTTCTACTGTAAGGCGGGCGTGCGGGCTCATACTGCGGCGCAGTTGGCTGTGCAGGCGGGGTATAATCCGGACAAGATTGGAGTTTATGACGGGAGTTGGTTGGACTGGGAAGCAAAGGGGGGAAAGGTTGAGAAGTGGGAGGGGGATGATTTCTAGCTTCCGTTTACTTCTGTTCGAATGGTGGAACGAGGCTATTTGTGAACTTTGTAAATATTGCAGCTTCCCTGACAGTACGTGTAGGATATGAATCCAGATCTAACCAACGTTCATTAAAAAGCAAGTATAACAAAATAATCTGGTATAAGCCAGGTCCCCTTTCCGGGCATGTACAGGTGAGAGGTTCCTTTTTGTCCTGTCCATTCCATTCAAGTCGTAGTCGTTCATGGTATGTCCATATTGCACTCAAAACAGTAACTTTTATTTTCGCTTGATGGCAATCGTCATATCCATTCCCATGTACATGGGATATGTCAATGTCAACCTCGGCACTTCACAACGCATCGTGACGCAATCAGGGAGAAAGCAGGACCTGGCCAGATGGATGGAATGATATTCCATCCATCCCGTGTGAGGAGCTCAAAAGCACCCCAATCGATGACAGTGTTCCACTCAAGGAATATCGAAGACGGGCTTGAGCTTCTTGACCAGACCCCACTCCTCCATCGTCACCTCGGAGCGATAGAACTTCTTGAGGGTGTCGATACTGGCACGCGAGATGTGCGAGTACAGAGTGTCCTTCTCTTCCAAATGGCGGCCGTACATGGGCTGGTTGGGACCCTCGACCTTGATGGCGACGGAGGGCTGGCCCTTCTTGCAAACCGGAATGGCCTTGTGATCACGCTCGATGGATGTCCTGTAGTAAGAATGTTAGACGTAGGTCAATCGATAACAAAGTCCGGGGGAACTTACACTCTGCCAATGTCGACAACCTCCCGGACACCGGCGGCATTGGTACGGACAGCCGCCAGCGGGGTGTGCATCCGCAAGCTTCCCTCGAGCACATCGATACCAATGACGATGGGATCCTTCTTGTTGAAGATGGCGACGGGCTGGATCACACAGGGGAAGATGGCAAGCAACTTGCTATCCTCCTTGCGCTGCTCATTCAGCTCCTCCATGTGCTTGGTGAAGTCGTCGAACAGGTGGTAGATGATGTCTGCGGTAAAGATCTTGACGCCAACGTCAGCAGCGTACGCGGCAGCTTCCTTGTCAACCTTGACATCGAAGCAAAGCATAACGGCGTATTCCTTGGCCTTCTCCAACATGGCTCCAGCCATCATGACATCGCGCTTGTAGACGGGACCAATGGAAATGTTGGCCACGGGGATCTTGGAGACCCTCAGGAACTCCAGAAGGGCCTCCAGGGAACCCAGAGTCGAAGCCTGAACACTGACACCACGTGCGTCAGTAGAGACCTTGCTCAGCAAGTTCTCCAGATCAGACATGACTTCCTCCTCCAGGTCCTCCTCATCGTCGTCAGGACCGACAACCATCAAACGAGAACCAGCAATGGCGTGCTCAAGATCGTTGGCAGCGATCTTGACACCGAGCGCGGCCTTGACCTCCTTGTTGTGGACGTATGCTGACTTCAGACGCAACTCCTTGAGCGGGGCGGGTGTCAAGAGTGCTCGAATGTTGGTTGTGATAGGGCCGTTGAGACCGCACATAACAATGCGATCACCCTCGCGCAGAATACCGTTGGACAGAATCACGTCAATGGTGGTACCAAGACCTTCGATAACCTTCACTTCCAGGACAGTGCACTCAACCTCAGACAGGTACATCAGAGAGTTTGTCATACGCTCCTGACTCAAAGAGGTGAGAAGCTTCAGCATGTCAGGAACACCCTCACCGGTGTGGGCGGAAGTGGGCACCAGGGACACATAGCGGGCCATGGACTTGTTCTCGAAGAAGAGCTCCGAGTTGAAACCCTGGTTGGCGAAAGCCAGTTTGGTATCCTCCAGACGAGTGCGGAACTCGTTCTGGACACCCTTGCTCTGCATATTCAGACTATCCTCGAAACCGTTGTTGTCAATCTTCTTCCAGCCGTACAGACGATCGATCTTGTTCAGCGCCACAATGAAAGGAGTCTTGCGGTCACGCAGCAAGCGCATAGACTCGAGGGTCTGGGGCTCGAGACCGTGCATGATATCAACAACAAGGATGGCAATGTTGCAAAGAGAGGAACCTCTGGAACGCAGGTTGGAGAAAGACTCGTGACCAGGGGTATCAATGATCAACAGACCGGGAACCTTGAACTCGAACTTGCCGTCCTTGTTGACAACGGCGGTCTTCTGCTGCAGAGCCTCGACGGGGAAGTAAGTAGCACCGATCTGCTGAGTAATACCACCAGCTTCACCTTCCTGAACGTTGGTCTGACGAATCTTGTCCAAAAGCTTGGTCTTTCCGGTATCGACGTGACCGAGAATACAGCAAATGGGCGAGCGCAGGTTGTCCTTGGAACGAGCAGCGAGGGCCTCCTCGTGCTGCCTCTTCCTCCGCTCGGCAGCCTCGGCCTTTCTCAGTGCAATGGCTCTCTTGTTGGCTGACTGCTCCTCGTCCTCCGAGTCTTCCTCGGAAGAGGAGTCGTCTTCAGAATCTTCATCTGAATCCTCGTCCTCCTTCGAATCGCCCTCTTCCTTAGCGGCGCCATTGGCAGCAGGCTTCTCCTCATCATCGGAAGGAGCGTCCCAACTATCCTTAACGTCCTCATCAGCAGCCGCTTCCCAGTCATCCACGGCATCGTCGTCCTTCTCGACAGGAGGAGCAGCCTTAGCGGCAGCCTCGGCCTCAGCCTCAGCCTTGGCCTTCTCCTCGGCCTCCTTGCGGCGGCGTTCGTCTTCAGCCTCACGCTGGAGGCGGGCACGTTCAGCGGCAGCCTCAAGATCCTCTTCTTGCTTCTTGCCGCCCTTCTTCTTGCGGTTCTCGTAGACGGGGCGCTTCTTCTCAGCAGCACCCTCTTCCAGACCGGCAACCTTACCCACGCCAGCCTCAAGCATCTGCTTCATACGCATCTCATTGCGCAGCTGAGCCTCACGCTGAGCCTTGGTGAGAAGCTTGCCCTCCTTGCGGAGCTGCTCTCTCTTCTCACGCTCCCTCTCACGCTTCTTTTGACGGACCTCTTCGCGCTTAGCCTCTTCCTCTTCCTCCAGGCGTTGCTGCTCGGCAAGGGCGGCTTTCTCCTCGGCAGCCAACCGCTCCTCCTCCTCACGCTGCTGGCGGAGCAGCTCCTGCTGTTTCTGAAGAGCTGCCAGATGGGGTGGGAGCTTCTTCTTCTTGCCTCCCGCAGGCTCTGCAGCAGCGGCCGGGGCGGGCTCGTCCTTCTTGATCTCGGCAGCGGGCTCAGCCTTCGTTGGGGGAGCAGACTTCTTCTTTGCGAGGGCCTAGATAACAAAATGTGAGGTCAGCATCGACTCTAGACTCGACAATAGAAAACAGTTCAGACAAAATTCCAAACGTACCTGTTCTCTCTTTCGCGCCTTCTCACGCTCCTTCTTCTCCTTCTCCTTCTCCTTCTTGGACTTCACGCGGAACTCGCCCTCTTCGGGCTCATCGGCCTTGGGAGCAGGAGTATCCTTGATGGGCTTCTTCGTCGCCTTGCCGGCAAAGACATCGTCATCATCGAAGGTGCCCACCTCGGGTGCCTTGCTGGCGAGGTCGGCGGCAGGGTCTTCACCTTCAACGAAGTCGTTGGCCTTGCCCTTCTTCTTCTTCTTTTCCTTGTTCTTCCTCAAAGCAGCCATGAGGCCACCACCGCCCGTCGATTCCTCATCTTCCCCGTCCTGGGGCTGGTCGTCGACGGGAGCATCGGTGGCGGGGGCGGACTCGCCGAGATCGGCTTCCCAGTCCTCCTCTTGCCGCTTGTTTCCCTTCTTCTTAGGAGGCATTTTGTCGGCCTTGTATCTTTTGTAAAATTTCTGGGGCGTTTGGGATCCGAATCGAGGAGCGTTCGGAGAATCGTAGTGAGCGCACAAACGGAGCTAACCGTTCACGGGCTGGGGGTCGCGGATTGAAAATTTGCGGTTACGCAAATTTCAAGTGAAAGAAAGAGATCGAACGAGTCGAACTCAGGTCCCCGGAAAAGAAAGGCTGGTTAGGTGGACCGAGGGGGGAGGGGTGGGAGCGAAAAAGAATTTCGGGAAGAATCAATGGGTGGGGAATAATGCAGTCTGACTTCACCTGAGGGTTTGCAGGGTTGCCACTGCCACGCTGTCTTCCCCGGGATTGTTTTATACAAAGCTCTCATTTACAGAGATGTTAGGGGTTCATTTGAAAGATAAAGCTACATTTGGAGAATAGTAAAGAAATGTAGAATCTCAAGAGTCTGATCTATTAGGCATCATGGAGATGCCACTATCCGCTCCGGGCTTGTGTGAGGCTTTCAACAGAAATACATCCAATTGAAATTAAATCGGCAGAAGCTTGAAATGACCACCCGGATATCAAATCTGCACCTGTAGCAGTGTACGAAGCCAATGAATAATGTATCGGACATAATTCCACGACTCTCCCAGCACCTCAGTGGCCAGTTCACGGATATGAGGGCCGAAGAATTCAGTCTCACGGCCAGCATCAAGCTTCATAATCATCTGCTCAAGGTATTCAGGGTCACGCTGAGCAAGACGGGCAAGAATGTCGCCATCTATGTGGCAGTTGTCGCCTCGAGGCTCTCTCCACAGAGGATTCAAGCGCCTCTCGCGTCCAAGTGCAGAGGGGCAGATGACTGGGTCCTTGAGGCACATGTTCTGCAACAGCCAGAGAAGCTGTAGCTCATTCTTCCTCAGCAGGGAGAATCTGTACACTGCGCCATTGAGGGCAAAGCCGAACATTGAGGATCCTCGCTGCCAGGGTGTCGTTGGCGTGAGCTCGTTCATGGAGTCGAGAACGAAGCGGATGATCGTGTCCGAGAGGCGGATCTCTGCGGGATGCGAAACAGGGCCCCAGGTATCAGGATCTCTCCCGAGTTTGGAGACGCGGACACTTCCGCCACGGCTGCCCATGAACGCCAGAGGAGTACTACCTGGGCAAATATAATGGCACACGCCATCACGCTGCACTCGGTCCCATTCGCGGGTTTTCAGTGTGCCATCAACCGCTTCGAAGATCATGAATCCATGCCGTGCAGTGGTCACGAAGATAAATGGCCCATAGACTGTGATCGCTACCGCTACCGAGGGAAGCTTCTTTGCGGTGTCGCGAGTCCATCTGGTCTCCGCACTGCGGGATGTCACCGGGAATAGCATGTTCCCTGCACCGATAATCAGACTGTCACGGAAAGGCGCAATTGCACGTACAGGACCGGACACGGTTTGCACATGTCTAGTCGTGAAATTCACACGGGAGGGATCGGATGGATCACGATTCGCATGCAAGATGATGACCCGACCCATGAGAGGACCCCGTGGATCCAACGCTGGGAGGGAGGTGCCCAGCACGATGAGATGATATTTTTGACCATTTTTCTCGAATACCCAGTCCAAAATGGAACTAATGGTCTCGCCTTGGGAGCTCTGCGGATTTTTGGGAAGCATTGAATCCGATTCTCCTCGATGAACGACAGCATGCTGTGAGTCAGGGTCGACGCATTCAAGATACGACCGTGTTGTGATATGGTTTGGGGCCAAAGGATCCTCGATTTCACTTATGCTGTAGGATACAAGGAGATTTTGAAGATGTTCTGAATAAGTCAGCCTGGTGGCAGTTCCAGGCAAACCAATGCGTCGAGGAACCATTTTAGGGTCCTTGTCCAAAGCACAAACCAGAAGCTGTCGGTCTGCGAAGCAGAAAAGAGGTCCCGAGGGGCTCCCTGACGCTGTAGTTTGCGGGTTGAGGAGCCCGCAGCCATGGAGCTTAATGGGGAAGTACGCGGGCTAGTATCAAGTTAGATTCCAGCCGCTTGAAAAGGGAGTATCGTCCAACTTACATTGTTTTGATCAGTGATCCATACTCGTTGTAAAATGCAGCCCCATGGAAGTCCGTCGAGGGGATATGAAACCCGCCACAGATCGTCTCCACACACGAGCAGCGCAAACGCATCCTTGCTCTGGACCCACACAGACGTGGTTCCAATGCGTTTTGGTTCTTGTTGGACTAGATCTGTAGTAGTTATAGAATAAGCACAGGTGGCCAGAACAAAGAAACCATCTTGACTTACTGATCAAGGAAGAACCCTCAAAGTCAACTTCGAATGGAACAAGAATTCCACTTCGCAGACCACAGAGCAGGAAAGCATGCAGGGTGCCGTTCAAGGTGACGCGAATGGCGGCAAGGCTGTCGATAGCCCGCGAGATTTCATCACTGTCGCCCACGTTGACCGTCGCCTTGCAAAAGTAGGTGATAACTCCATTTTCAACGCGGAAGACTCTTAATGTACCACTTCCACAGCCCACAAAGACAAAAGTCATATCCCCAAACCTTTCAAGAGATACGCAAATGGGTTCAAAGTCGATCTTTAACGGCGGACCAACATTTAGACGGACTCCATCATCTTTCACAATGACATTGGAAAAATAAAGGCTCAGCCCGACATCCTGTCGTACCGCAGTGACCAGGGACGAATTCGGACCGTCGACATCGACCGCAAGGATAGAAGTGCCAGGTTCGTGCGGGAACCGGGTATTCAATGATAGATTTCGAGGCACAAACAGATGTGTCGCATTCTCAGTGACTTGGACAAGTACACCTTCAGAAGTGGAACCAGCCGCCAGCGTCTGCGCAGTATCCAGGCCCGTCTCATTCTCGTCAAGGGCATCGATGCCTTCTGCCGGATCCAAATAGAGAAGTAAAGTGAACATAGGATCGGTAATGAGAACGTAGACGCCGCCATTGATGTCGTCGCTAATTGCCCACAGGTTTCGAATGCCCGCCAAGTGTTCAAGAGGAACCGCAAATCCAATTTGAGCCTCAATGCCATATCGAAGTTCGTGGAGTGCACCATGGGAGGAAGAAGATGCAGAGCAGACGAATAAACGATCTCGAGAGACCTGCTGGTGCGGCGCACGTTTGGCATCCGATCGTATCATGACCGCATCGGTGATTGGAGCCCAGTTTAGGAATCGTTGTTCGCATTTGGGTTGGTCCCTTGCCTCCAATTTGTAGAGCCCACCGTCACCCATACTGCCTGCCGCCAGGATGAAGTCGCCACCTTCATGGCCCATATCAAGAGCATCGAATGCCAAGTCGACATTGCAATGAAGCTGGCCCAGGCTGGTTGTGAGTTCGAGTTCGCCCTCGTTGCTAAACTCGAGAAGGTAGATCCAGCCGTCCTCGCGACAAAGGTAAAGCCCATCGTATTTCTGGCTATAAAGCCAGTTGCGCGCAGGCCTCGCCCAGCGAGTCCATAGAGGTGCCTCCGACACTTCGGTGTTGGGGGCAATCAGGGGATATCGCGTGGGCCGAACATAATTTTTCAAAGAATACACAGCCATGCCCGTCGTGGTAGTGACCAAGAAGGATGATTCCTTGGTCAGTGGTACAATCATGGTTGGCATTCTGTCTGGTCTGAGGAGCTTGAACTCGGAGTGTTGTGGGGGACTTGTAGTAGGGTCCTGGTCCTCCTGCCATTCGTAGACCGAGCCATATGTAGCCCCCTTCTTGGCCAGAATGATGAGCAGGATAATTTTCTTGTCTTCCACGCTTTTAGGATAGAGGAACTCCATGAACATGATGATTCCTTCACATCGATAGAAAGTTTCCTGTGAAATAACATAGGGGTAAGCATATTTCGCCAAATGAACGGATTTCACGTACTTTTTGGATCGGATCCAAACGGCCCTGAGCCAGCTGGAGTTGGATTTCTCGAGACTTTTTGAGCCGCAAAAGCCCAAAATAGTTGTTCGAGGCACTGATTGCGATAGCGCGAGACCTGGATGTGGATTAGTCTAGATGTCTGCAAAGCCCAGATACAGGTGACACTTACTTTGGATCAACAGCAATGTGCTTTCCAAATTTCTCGGGTAGATTGACATCAACAGGCAACGGTCGACGGAACGTGATAAACTCGTTCGGCGAAGAAGGCGAACAGCATAGGAAGACAAGCTGCTTCATGTCCAGTGAGAGAACAAGAATTTGAGAAGGCAGCGTGTCGAGGACTTCTGGAGTGATATAATGCCTCGCAGAAGGATCTTGAGTTTGCAGCTGAGAGCCCCAGGATAGATGGGTACTGACATTGAGGACTTTAGCTCCAACGATGGAGCCGGTGAAGTCGGGTTTTTCGAGCACATCTTCAAGATAGCCACCCACAGAAGCCTCTTTGATTTGGATTCGTCTTTGACCCACAAAGACAACATCATTGTGATTCTTATTCCGGAGTCTTGCCGGAAGTATCCACTGTATCACGGGACTGGGGAGGAGGGTTTGAGTGAAAACGCCGAGGAGCCCAGTGATCTCCTCTGGGCGTTGACTCTCAGGCGACGTGCCTGGACGGCCCTCTGGGATTTGCCGATTCATCGTGTGCAGACGAGCCGGTGGAGAGGCAACATGGATGGGAAAGAAGGAATCTCGTGGACGTAAGAGGGAGGATGGAAGTGTCCGGGAGATGCACAAGACCCGATAGTATCACCTTGGGACCGAAAATACTCGGATATCAGGACAGAATTCGTATGGAGTCACACCGTATTCACAGGCTCGTGTATAGAGGGGAAAGGCTTAAAATCCTCCAGGCCAGAATATCATCGTCTCTGTAGGTAATCAATATCAAAGTCTCACGCCCAGGGCTTGAAAATGCGATAGAAGAAACGTTATAATATAGCCAGGCTCGCTATACCATGCTCAGCAGATATGAAGCACTTTCAGTTGAACATTTGCTGTGGTGTGGGCATGCATGGATGAGAATGCCGTGTTGACTTATCCTGGACCTCTCTGATCCGGACGAATCAAGAATAATGTAGGCCAAAATGCAGCTTTTACTTAAGAAGGGTTTCACTTATCCCTAGCTTTGCCACGTCAATACGTGCAATCTTCAAGATGAATGTGAGAGTTGTGAAAGTCGGCTGGAGGCACAAACAGGTTTGAGAGCCGGCAATTGAAAAATAAGCTCCTAAAGACTTCTTTACAAGCCTTATAGGATCCCTGATCAGAAGGTATCACCACCTGATGGGACTAGGGATAAAGTCCAGCCAGATTGGTGTATAGAGTAGCTCTGCCTTGAGGTACGTGTACCACCTGCGGGGTGAATTCTCCGACCGCTGTAGACTCCTGGGATGGAAGTCAACTTAACAGACAAATCCCGAAAAGAGGCAGTCTGCCTTTGGTTTCCTGTACTGTGATTTCAAGCCAGGTCAACGGTAGATGCACGAGCGAGTGGGACGTGAAGCTGCCGTGTTTTTGCAGGTGGAGGGAATCACGTTGTCGTTGCCTCAGGCCGCGCAACGGGACCACGCAACACGGTATCGTCTGCTCTCCAATATGGACTTCTCATCAGCAAGACGTGCATGAAAAACATTTTCAATCAATATTCGAGGCAATTAGCCATATTGAACGGCATAGGCTTGCCCCTGGAGCTTTTGCACTCACAAAGCCGCTGCTATCGCCGCTGTAGCCCCTTTCGGAAACTGTGGTCAATCAGCGTGAGATATTTGGCTGAGCACCGGCGGAGAGAACACCCAACTAAGATTTAGGCAAATAGCCTGGAATTGGATTCTGGATCATTGTTACACATGCGTCTCTCTGAATAATTACGGTCTTATTTTTCGAGAACACCCTGAAACCCACGTTGGGTGAATCCCGGCAATGGAATCACCAAGCATGAAGCAGCGCAGTGGCAGCTCTTCAGGGGCATCGGTCTCTACGGCCGATGAAAAAAACACTGATATGTCGACAAATCAGCCGGCAGAGTCACTGGAGTCAAAGCAGAAAGCCAAAGCCAGAGCGGAAAAGGCCGAAGCCATCCGCCGAGCATGCGACACGCGTGACATAGTGACATTGATATCATGTGCCACCGCCGAAGGCGGGCTCCTTGATGATGAGCTGCGTCGACGAGCCTGTATGTTCAATTCAAGAGTCCCTGCAGGGTATGACTGACACTGTGTGACAGGGCCAATCCTATTACAATGCGATGAAGGCACACGACTTGATAATCCAAAGCCGCTGATTGACCTGTCACGACATGCCGATGAGGACCAGGTGCAGTTGGACGTCGACCGTTCCTTTGTCTACTATCCAAGTGGTGCGTCAAGAAGGAAACTTGGATGATCTTCGAACCCGACTGATCGATATTGTCTAGCCCCCGCAGATGAGCTTTCTGAAAAAAAGGAGCAATTATCAGATCTAATCACCCAGATCCTCAGAAATCACCCCATGCTATGCTACTTTCAGGGCTACCATGATATTGTGCAAGTGCTTCTCTTGGTCCTGGGCAAGCAGAAAGCTTTGCCAGCTATGACACAACTATCTCTCTTCCGCATCAGGGACTATATGCTCCCCTCCCTTTCCCCAGCCGTGAAGCACCTGCAACTCATTCCAGCCATTATCGAAACTGTCGACCCGGAGTTGCGGCGTCACCTCTCCACCATCCAGCCATTCTTTGCCCTTGCAGCCACACTCACACTCTATGCCCACGACATCCAGGAGTACAGTGACATCGCCCGACTCTTTGACTACCTCTTGGCCCGTGAACCGGTCGTTGCCATCTACCTGTTCGCGGCAATCATTTTATCCCGAAAGAAAGAGCTTCTTGAAATTCCCTTGGAAGAACCAGAAATGCTTCACTTCAAACTTTCGAAATTACCCTGTCCGCTTGACTTGGATGGTCATATCTTGAGCGCGGAGCAGCTCTTCAAGGATCATCCGCCCGAGTCTCTACCTTTCGGGGCATGGAAGCGTATCCCTAGCTGCAGCGTTCTCAAGACATCACGAGATGTGTACCACAAATATACTGTGGAAGAGGCTGAACGACTGTTTGAGCAGCAGACCCGACAACTGCGGAACGAGGAGCGCCGTAAGCAAGCGCTTGAATTCGCGTGGAAACACCGTCGGGCTGTTGCTTCTGTGACAATGGCCATTATGATCGGTGCTGCATCAATCTACATTCGCAAAAAAGGTCTCGATACGTCCATTTGGTCTTATGTTGGTTGGCTCCAGGGTGTGTTCAAAAGTTAGATGGGCCTCGATCAGCGTATTAAGCAGCGCTTAATTCGTGTTGCAAAATGCATAATGTTGATTTAAATGGCTGGAAACTGATGAGTTCGAAATCAATATGTAATGTTCAGGAGTCAACACTCGAGTCAATTGAAAACGTAGTTTCACGTAGATTGGAGCTATGGGATGCGGGACGGGGAGTGGCTAGAGTGTGGCGCCCGCCCGCTCGGGGAAAGCTGATGTGTACACTTCCCAACTCCCCGATAACAACTCCCGTACTCAATCCATCACCATGGCGAACCGGGGCTACGACGTAGTTGTTGACGTGGACGCCGAGGTAAGCAATTCCGGCTTCTATTCTTTTACCGTCCATTTCTCAAACAGCAGCAGGGCGACCTCGGACATACCGACTTGCAAGAGGACCTTGAATTCCACCCGTCCAGTGAGTCTCCTCCAACGCCAGCAAAGTCCCCTCCTCAATACAAATAACTAACTATCGTCCTTTTACCGTGTCTCAGACTTCGAAAATGACCAACGCGCCGCCAAAGCACAAGCCGATTCCACCCCGTTCCTGGGCGGCAGCTCCTCACGCGGCGGCCGTGACCGATCCCCTGGCGGCACGCCGACAAAGCATACCTGGTGGTCGCTGCACTACTACGAGCGATTCTTCGATGTCGATACGAACGAAGTGATGCGCCGCTGCGTCGCAGTGGTTTACCCGCGATCGAATTTCTTAGACGTGCTAGAGGGCAACGCCGACCTGTACGGGCCTGTCTGGATCGCGACTACCGTCGTGGTGATTTTGTTCTTAACGGGCACCATCTCGCAGTGGCTGTCGAATAACGACGATCAGCACTTCGAGTACGACTTCACTCTGTTGTCTGGGGCGGCGGGCTTGATTTATGGCTACACGGGTATTTTGCCTATTGCGTTGTGGGGGGCTCTGCGCTGGTTCGGGAGCTCGACGGCTGATTTGATCGAGTGTTGGGCTCTCTATGGATACTCGAACTTGATCTGGATTGCCGTGGCGCTTGTTAGCTGGAGCCCGTTGACTGCGCTTAACTGGGCGCTTGTCGGTGTTGGCTTTGCTTGGACCGTGTTCTTCCTACTGCGCAACCTCTATCCGGTTCTGAATGCTACGGATGCTAAGGCTAGCAAGATTCTCTTGATCTTGGTTGTTGCGCTACATGCGGGCCTGGCTATTGCCATTAAGATCCTTTTCTTTGCGTGAGTCGTTCCCCTATCCTTTGGTTTGGACTTGGAGCTAATTCTTTCATAGGCACGGAAGCCCGGTCTCGAAGAAGAACAAGGGCAAGGATAACGATGATGACAAGCGGCGGATGATGTTTTAAAGCAAAGACTCAGAGGGCGAGACAACGTGCCCGCGGGGTTGAGATTCTGGACACTTCAGCGGCTTTGCTCAGGTAGCATGTGGTTCCTCGTCTTCCTTTAGCCGTGATCTTTGAGATTAGATCATGCATCTGTATTGTAACGTGTACCTACGAGCTGTCGACGGCTCGTATATTTTCAATGAGTATTGCACTTGTATTCAGACATGGCCTCTAGTCAATACGTGGATTAGTAGCCCACGAAACATCTCGACGAGACTCGTTTGAAAGAACCAATCTAGATACTTCCTCGTAGCCGCCCCGCAGTAGTACAACCAGAGCTATCAGCTCCCGATAGCCTTGGGTGCTTGAGACCCCAAAATACGTAGAGCCCTCAACAGCTTTCATACAGAACAAAGGGATAGCCCGTGCAATGTTGGAATGTTTTGAACTTTTACTTCAATTCATGGACACCGGGCTTGGAAGCCGAGAGGAGCCAACTAACAAAAGTATGACTGTGGCTGTGATTGTTTCATCATTTCTAACGCCATGTGTAAACCTCTCCATGTCGCGTTCCAGCCATACCCCAGACCTGGATTCTGCACCACAGCACACCGAGCACAACACCGAAAAGCGAGTCATCTATTTGAGCTTCTTCTTGGGGCGGAGCTGGTTGGTGTGACCGCACTTCTTCTTACGGCAGTTGGTGGCACGAGGGGGGAGACGAGCCTGTTCAACATAAGTATTAGTTCACCGTTGTGGCAGAGAAATGTGATATGCCGCGTTGGTCTCAATTGGGTCCATTGTTGTAGGATGGCTTTCGATGAATTCAACCGACATATCCCAGGGGCGGTAGACGTACGTAGCACTTGCGGCAGATGGACTTGTCGCAGTTGTACTTAGAGGCAAGGGCCTTCAGGGAAGGCTCGATGATACCACCACGCAGGCGCAGGACGAGGTGAAGGGTGGACTCCTGTAGTTGGTTCCATGTCAGTCACAATTCCACCCAAGTGCAGTCGCGATCACGGCGAAGACCAGGCTTGTTCCATCTCTTTCGTATCACAGTGAGTGCCGCAACGATCGGCGGACGTCGAAATCCCAATCCACCCTGGATACACGTCATACCCACACCCAAGCCCGGTCCCACCATGAAAGAATATCGGATCCAAAGTCTCGTACCTTCTGGATGTTGTAGTCGCTCAGAGTGCGGCCATCCTCGAGCTGCTTGCCAGCGAAGATAAGACGCTGCTGATCCGGGGGAATGCCCTCCTTGTCCTGGATCTTGGTCTTGACGTTGTCGATGGTGTCGCTCGACTCGACGTCGAGGGTAATGGTCTTACCCGTCAGGGTCTTGACGAAACTGTTGAGCCGTATTAGTCCATATTCTTTGATTCCTCCATGTGCGTGTTGGGAACAATCGGAGGGCGGTTCGTGGGCAACGAAGCGATCGGAGATTCAGGATGACCTACATCTGCACTAAAGGCGTGGAAAGAAGAAAATGTTAGCTCGTCATGATCACACGGGTCTCGGGAATGCGTTGGCATGATTTGCAGGGCACGTACTGGTTGCGAGTTTTCGTTGGTGTCGGCAGTCGGTCGCTGAGTTCGAGGCGGAGGAGGCGATGCACATTTGAGCGTTTCTCGCTTAGCAAAGGTGGGCCGAACGGGGAATACCCTAAGCCCTAACCGATTTCCCGGTTAGGTGTTTATCACGTGACATGATCCAGCTTCCTTTTTTGGACCGACGTCATCTCCCGGTCTATAAACTATTTTTGTGAAGACAGGAGATTCATTGCAGCTTGCCTTCAGAAATTTCGGTAATTTATCTGCATTGTAATGGTAACGCCTATCAACCTAGAGGCTGCTACACTTTCAGTCGTTCCTCTGAAACGAATCTATTCCGTGAATCTCATACCTAACTCCCAAGCAATGAAAAACAATACCCAAAGTCCCGCTATGCCTGAATCATAACCCCTCTTCCACCCTCATTTCGTACATTTCCTCGTCTAGCTCATCCATTTCAGCGCCAATGTCATCATCCATCTCCGCCACCCCCCATTTCTCCATATACGCCTCGCGTCGCTGATCTTCTAGCCACTTTGAAATCCTCCATTCAGTCACCGACACAGCTCGTACAAGCGTCGGCAGCGAGATAGCTGCCAAGTCCGCCGCAATTTCGTAGAACCTGCGAGCCGTTTCAGGAAGCTGAGATTCCCATCTATACCGGCGGTACCAGGATCCCGGCCGCATGTGATCTGCATCTTCGCTCGGGTTGACTGGTGCAGGCCCAAGTGCAACCATGACAGATCTGAGCACCCTCTGGAGAGCTACACTGGGGTCGGCAGTCTCTCCCCCTGGCTGTGTTTGTGGCCCTGGCCGACTGGTCGAGAAAAGATCGGCGACGGGATTCTTTCCCCTGTAGCTATCCAACCAGCTGCTCTCGTACCAATCCATATACTGGTCCAGCTGATCCGGGTCCATCTGGAAGACATCGTGATCGTTCAATTGAATGAGCGTCTCTTTGTCCAGCTTATGATCTTGTGCCAGAGAGAGGTTTTCAAACCATTTCTGGCCTTCTGCCCATTTGGACCAATCCATGGTCTGAGTGGCAGGCTCTCTATAGGAGACGGCATACCGGTTCAGGTCGTCGAATGGGAAAATTAGCTTAGTGGAAATGACAAGGAGCACCACCAGCCGCACTTCTGGCAGTTTGAGTGATTCCCTTCGTCTGTTACTTTCAAGCGCGCTCGGGTACTCGAATTCAAAATCAACGAGCTTTTGGAGCGTCTTGACTGTGTCGTATACATCAACTGGGTACCGTTAGTGTTATTCCCATAAAGATGAGTGGGTGATTTGAATTGTCATACTTGGAATGGCCAGCCTCTTAATGTGCCGATAAAGTAGAAGAGGCGAGTTCAAGGGAGGAAGCGCAATTCCAAAGCGGCGTTGATAGTACATCACCAAGTCCAAACATCCAGAATGGATTTGTTCCGGCTTGGGAAGATGCTTTTATAAGAGTCAGCAAAGCTTTTTGATTATCTCAAGCTATGCAGGGTGAAACACTCACGACGATATCGAGGATTGCGATAAATTCTGGAGGAAGTTTATCTCGCATGTCTCGAGGTACACTTCTGACAGCTCGGATATAAGGAATATCCTGACGTATAATCAGGCTGCAAATAGGAAGCAGTGAGTCAGATAATTGTTCATAGAACAGAAGGCCACAATACTCAAGACGTCAAATAAGATAGCTGTGACAGGAACATACTGATAAAAGTCGCTGACACAAACCGGAAGTCGCATCAACAGGGCCGCCAGGTAGCAGAGAGCGACGGAATCAAGCAGACGAGGCCATTGAAGATACCTCTGTCCTACTTTGAATCCCAGATCGTCGGAATCGTCGGTGTCAGCGGCTTGAGAGCTGAAAACTTCGCGCTCGCTCTCATCATCTTCGTCTTCTGCGGACTCGTTGATCCGCAGCGAGAAGCCCTGAAGCCGCAAAGCCCAGAGATCACGAACAAGGGCCTGCACAGTGTTAGTATCTCTCATTTGCCGTTCATTCCAAGAATCTGGTGGTCACTCCTCGAACTCACTTCGAATTGCTCTGGGAATCCATGATCGTGCACTAGCGCATAGCACTGCTTCCACAGAATCAACTGATGTGTCTGCAGGAATAAAGTCGCAGCCTGCCGACCGCGATAGGCTATTTCCAATGGCGTTAGCAATTGAATTTACCAAACGCACAGGATTCGACATACTTCTTCGAGACCTCTCCTCCTTCTCCTTCCTCACCCGGTGCCTTTGACCTTGAGTCCCGAAATCATCTGGGTCCTCTTCGACTTGTCGACCCTGCAAACAGGCTCAAACATTAACTTCAAGATCTTACAGGGTTCCCCGCTTTATGGCTTGTCATGATGCGGGGATGGAGGGGTGGGCGCAGAGTAGAAAAGAGACTTGCATACCTCCTGCAGGTGACCTCGCCGACAGAACCAAAGGCCGTTATCAAGATAATATCGTCGTTCACGGCATCCCTCTTGGCCGCAGACGCCGCGGGTGACATAGTCCATGCCGAGGCAATGTGATCATGCTGGTTGGGTGGGAATGTTCGCCCGTTCGTGAGTGTTGGACGTTCCGAAGCGTATTTTTTTTTTCTGCCCAGCGACCGCCGCTCTCATCCTTACCACCCGGGTATCTGTTTTGGCATCCACGAGAGGTTCTAGAAAATGCGTAGAATGCCAAAATTATAGATCTGGTCGTATTTAATTTCCAAAGTTTCAGGTAAACTGCAATTTACGGTCGTTTTACGGGGGCTGTACAAAGTGACCGGAATACACTTGTAAGGTATGAGAAAACGAATATTAAGATCAAGCAAGGTTTACGTATTTATTCGTTCGTCACACTATCATGAGATGCTGGGACTCAGAACTGGTCTTCGGACAACACGTATAATGCCAACCAAAGCAATCCTTCTCGTCGGTACAGCAGCCTACATCCAAGGCTAGATGATGGATGCATCTTTGAAGCAACAGACTATTTCGTCAATCGACCAAGGATTCGCATCCTCCATGGAACCATTGAAGATGAATTTTTTGGGGGGACAGAAGCCCCATTTGAAACATAAAGGTTGACATAACATGTGGGAGACTCAGGATTATTGCACTTATTTGCCCTGAGGAGCCTCCTTGGCATCAATGGCAGCCTCCTCACCCATGGCGGTCTGGATGATGACGTCTAAAGATGGAAGGTTAGAAAACGCTTTCACAAACCCGGGGGAAGATCGCAGGTCTACTTACTGACGTCCTTCTCCTCTTCACGGAAAAGCTTGACGATACGCTGGCCAATCTCGCCCTCGGGGAGCTTGACATCGTCCTTGGTGTCACCGTCATCCTTCATCAGGGAAAGGAAGTCATCGTCGGTGATGTCAAGCTAGAGAGAAACGGCGATTAGTATGTTTGTGTACGGGATGAGCGCAAGTGCTGCAGGGAATCTCACAAGCTGGTACTCCTTGCGGAGGACGACGGGGACGTCCATGTTGTGGGTGGAGGGGGAGAGATCCTCGAGCTTCTTGCCGGTGAAGATGTCGACGGCGACCATGTGGACCTTGGCGTGACCGTGCTTGCCGGTCTTGGAGGTGGACATCTCCCAGATCTTGCAGGGGCGGCCCTTGATAACGACGTGACCGTTCTTGCGCAGAGCAGAGCACTGCATGGGGTAGGTGGTCGAGGCGCCGGCATCGGCGGACTCGAAGGTGACATCGTGCTAATTCCGCGTTAGTTTCGAAGGCTCGTCCTGGGAGGGGCGAGAGGGGTTGCGTGGTGTAGAAAGAGGGGAGTCGCAAAAGATGCGGGGCTGAGTGAGAGCCCAGCGAGTCGAATGGGACTGGGGAAGAAGGGTGTAGACAGAGGATGATAGGGAAAATAGCGTACCTGCTCGTCAGACATGGTGAAGGTGGTTTTGAGGGTGGATGGGGGTTTCGTTAAGGGAGTAAAAGGCGAGATGGAGAAAGGGAAGAGGAGTTTTCTCGACAGAAAAAGCCTTTGTGGTGGGGGTCTGGTCGCTACGTCCGAGTTGGGTTTAGTGTCCCCGGGGCCGTTTTGGCTCCCATCGAGCTGTGTATTGTACGCGTATTGCGGGCTTGCATCTCCCCTTCCCATGCCATCTTATACCTGCTCTGCCTGCGACTATGTGGCGCGACCGCATTTCAGGCCAGTCTACCCCTTCGGGTGCTAATTGCAATCCCTCGTTACCTCGCCGATCCTCCTCTCAGCTCTCCCGGGACCCCTACAGCAACCGCCCCAGAGCCGCCTCTAGAAACTCGTCCACTTCCCTGCTTTTAACTCCGAGCGACTCGACTACATCTCTTCCGGGAACGGGAAGACCTTCCAATGGCTTGGGGCTGAGACAAACAAGTGCGCAGCAGTCGCGCCCGGCTGTTGTCCCTGATCCATTGGAGGTATTGAACGGGATCATCGGCAAGGAGAAACAGGCGAAAGACATTCCACAGTTATCAACCCTACCGGATAGGCCGACCGAGCTAGTACAGGCCATCAATTTCGACGGATTGAGCCTGGAGGAGTTTGTGGCCAAAGCTGACCCGACACCGGCTCGAAAGGCACGTGGCAGTGATATCAACGCGCAAACGATCCAGCAGTTCGAGCAGGAGCGAGACAAGTTCGAGGAGTTGCACACGTCGATCGCCGGCTGTGATGATGTGTCCGAGTCCGTTGAGCTGTACCTGAATGACTTCCAGACCGAACTGGGGGCCGTATCTGCGGAGATTGAAACGTTGCAGACCCGCTCCACCCAGTTGAACGCGATGCTGGAGAACAGGCGCAATGTGGAAAAGCTGCTTGGTCCGGCCGTGGAAGAGATCAGTATTTCGCCGAAAGCCGTGCGCACGATCGCCGAGGGGCCCATGGATGAGAACTGGGTGCGCGCCTTAAATGAAATTGATGGTCGGACCACAAGTATCGAAGCTAAGGCGTCTTCATCCAATGGATTCAAGGCCATTGAGGATGTGCGCCCACTTTTGATTGACGTGAAGAATAAGGTTAGCAACAGCCAGGAAAAGCCATTGGGCTGCAGTTAGTTAACCGTGAGACAGGCGATCGAACGAATTCGGGATTACTTGGTGTCGCAGATTCGAGCAATGCGATCACCGAATGTCAATTCGCAAATCATTCAGCAGCAGCGACTAGTGAGGTTCAAGGACCTGTACAGCTATCTTGCAAAAGCCCATCCCAAACTTGCTGAAGAGATTTCCCAGGCGTACATCAACACAATGCGCTGGTACTATAATTCCAATTTTACTCGTTATCTCCAGGCACTCGAGAAGATCAAGGTCTATCCCAGTGATCGAAATGAAGTTCTCGGAGGCGACCCCTCATCACATCGAACCGGTAAGTTTCCCGATCCCAACTACCCTTGCACCAGTGCTGATGATCGACAGGAAATATTCTCCCTGGTGGCCGAGCTGGCTCTGCCGCACATGATCCTTTCTCACTGGGTCGACGTATCGATATGCTCCGAACTGGAAACCAACAGGCGTTGTCCTCTTATCTGGCGGAGGAAGATAACACATGGCACGGCATCGAAGCGCCCTTCCGAAACTTCAACGTTGCCCTGGTGGACAATGTATCTGCAGAGTACTCTTTCATGACCGAGTTCTTTTCTCCCCTGACATTCCATCGCATCTCCCGCAAGGCCGTGGAGATATTCGAGCCTGTATTTACGCTCGGCCAGAACCTGACGAAGAAACTGATCGAGCACAACACGGATTCTCTGGGTGTTTTGATGTGTGTCCGCCTGAACCAACACTCTGCATTCGAGCTCCAGCGACGCAAGGTGCCTGTCGCCGACTCATACGTCAACGGGATTAACATGCAGCTGTGGCCTCGCTTCCAGGTCATCATGGACCTACACGCCGAGTCGCTCAAGCGGGTTGGGTCGAATACTGGTCGCAGCGCGGTCTCTGCCTTGTCAATAGCAGGTGGAGATGACCTGAAGAACTCATCGGCGCCGCATTTCCTGACCCAACGGTTCGGTCAACTCATGCATGGGATCTTGGTTCTGAGTAGCGATGCCGGAGACGACGAGCCCGTGTCTAACAGCTTGGCCCGGCTACGCACCGAGTTCGATGCTATGCTGGCGAAACTGAGTCGAAACGGGACGGACGCGAAGCGCAGAGAACGATTCCTCTTCAACAATTATTCATTGATCTTAACCATCATTAGCGTATGCCTTGTCTCCCCTTCCTAGGACTATTTTGGCAAATGCTCATCGGAAACAGGATACCCAAGGCAAATTAGCAGTCGAGCAGAGACAGGTCAGTCTTTCAAAGATCGCCGAAAATATTCCATACTAACTGACATGCAGCACATGGACGAGATGCTTAAGAATTGTAGCAAGCGTTAGCGACCGCATAGCGTTTCGGGACGTGTACATTCTAGTAAAGGGCGTTGACGGGCATTACATAGCATTCTGAATTCATTCTGAATATAAGAATTTAATAACACTTTGTCGTCTCCGAAAATAGTAGTTGTAGTCGTACGATGGTATGTAGACAGTGACAGGGATCCCAGCTGTAGTCACCACAAGCTCCGCTGTGTCAGCGGAACCGATTAGTTAGTTAACTATCGCGGAATCGCGGGGCCCCGTTATCTCAACAGCTGCTCAATTGCCGTGATCCTCCGCAAAAATGCTCGCGCGAGGGATTGTGAAGGGGAATCCGGCTCTGCGCCGCTACTTCTCCTGCGCGAGGGTTTCGCGTGCCGACTTCACGCATGCGGTGAGTCCTCCTCGCGCAGGTTGCTCCTACGGAGATAGCTCGAGCTGTAAAGACAGCGCCGATCTACGCAAGAGCCCACAATTGACGCGAAATAGGTCATTGGCGCAGGCGTTGTCGGACTAGCAGTCGCGCGACAGCTTGCAGCACGCGAAGGCACCTCGACCATCCTCTTTGAAAGGCACGATGCCCCCGGCACCGAGACCAGCAGTCGCAACTCCGAGGTGAGAACCAGAGATCTAGCTCTGCAGTGCGAACACCCAGTGGGAATAGAATGGAGCACCTAACTAACATAAATTATCGTGGGACAGGTCATTCATGCAGGCCTTTATTACCCGGCGGACTCGCTGAAAACACAGCTCTGCATCCGCGGCCGCAACATGCTCTACGACCTCTGTGCCAAGCACGACATCCCCCACCGCAACACGAAGAAATGGATAGTCGCCCAGACACCAGAGCAATGGGAAGCCTGTCTTAAAGTACACAAACACGCGCAAGGGCTTGGCGACGCCCCGACCCGACTCGTCGGCCACGACGAAGCAGCCCGTCGCGAACCCGATGTGAAAGCCGACGCGGGGATAGTCGAGAGCGAGACAACCGGGATAGTCGATAGCCACTCGCTAATGACATATCTCCTCGGAGACTTCGAAAACCTCGGCGGCGACACCGTGTTCAAGACGCGCGTGACGAATGTCGAAGCTGCCAACGGCGAGTTCAGGATTACCGCCGTTTCGGACGAAGACGGTTCGGAGACCACCATCACCACCGAGACACTGATTAACAGTGCCGGACACGGCGCCTGCGCTATCAATAACCTCATTCTCCCGCCCGAGCGCCACCGCGTACCGTACTATGCCAAGGGAACGTATTTCTCCTATGGCGCGTCGCGGCCTCGAACTTCAGTGCTCGTGTACCCTGCCACGTTACCCGGCCACGGCGGACTGGGAACACATTTGACGCTCGATATGGGCGGGCGCATTCGCTTCGGGCCTGACGTCGAGTGGGTCAATGATCCGACGGATTTGAAGCCCAGTCCTGCGCGTCTGGAGCAGGCCATCCCGGAGATCTTGGCGTATATGCCCGGCGTGGACCCCGCGGCTATTTCGCTGGATTACTGTGGGATCCGGCCCAAGCTGGGCAGGGGCGCGGGTGTCAATGTTGGGAAGACGTTCCAGGATTTTGTGATTCAGGAAGAGGAGGGGTTCCCCGGGTTTGTGAATCTGTTGGGCATTGAGAGTCCCGGGTTGACGAGCTCATTGGCTATTGGGGAAATGGTAGATGGTATTCTTTACCAGTAGGTAGTTTGGGGAATCCTTGCATAGGTCCACTGTGTGGATGTTTTTGTACCCTACCCTTTGTATATAGATGGGACGTTGCATGCATCATAGAGAAAATTGAGGTGCTCTTTTAAGATTTGAATGCTACATTATATGTCGTTTCTCATATCCATCGCAATTCCAGCGCCGAGAGCCCAATTTCACCAGCCTATGAAGATAGTAATACACGAGTAACATAAGCCAGAGCTCGGAACCAAAGTCCCAGTGGTTCAAGTGGAGATAGGATGAGTCTTTATTCCACGTCCATCAGCACATCACTCATAATATGTAGCACATAGGAGAACTTTTTGACACTCCACTTCCCAGAATCCTTGAGCAAGTTCGCATAGTCCAGTAGGATCCTTCTCGCGGATTGGTAACCACCCTGGAAAGGCACACCGCGGAGGTAGATAGTAGCGCCATTGCGAATGAAGTTCGCAGCCGGGTCATCAGTAGGCGAAAATGTCTGGCTACCCCTTGGCTCCATAAAGCTTGTAAAGCCCTCGGTGCCAACCTGCTGCCAATCGATCTCATCCAGGAGCTCGATCGACCCCACGCTGGAAGGCGTGCCGGCGGAGTTGGGCACCATAAATGTATAAAGGCCCAGTACAAGGGCTGCAGAGAAGAGTGAGAAGACGGAGTGGAATGTGGGGTGATCGGAGGCTTTGCGATTGGTCATGGCTTTGTAGATGTGCGCTGCATGGAGACAGGCCCGCCGGGCTGCGGGTGTCTGCGACCATTCGGTGATGTCGTCGAGTGCTTTGCGAGCTGGAGCTGGCCCGGCGCGCCCGGCGGCGAAGTCGAAGATCTGGATATCGGCTGTAAGCATCATACACATGTGGTGCCACATGATGAGGGTGTTAGGGTTGAGCCGGTCCATTGTTTCGCCGTAGTTGCTCGCGACCTGGGATTGGAGTGATGGGAGACATCTGGCGCGGCCATCCATTGCATATGTATGGCAGGGTGCGAAGGGATAACCGGCACGATTTGAGAGGAGGCGGTGGTAGGCCTCCGACTGACGAAGTTGAATCATTGCCAGTACGGCTTGGATGCAGAATTCATCCATAGGCCCTTCAAGGGTGGGGATGTTAATGTTTTCGGACGGTGCCAGCACCGTTGGCATCAAAATCCGTTTGCCACTGCGGATAAGCTGTGTCCATCGCATGGGTGAATGGGCGCGGAAGAGTGCTTCACTGCAGGGCATAATAATTTGGACCGACTCTGGGACAATGATCGGGCTTGTTGAAAGAAGAGACGAGTACCATGAGTCCACAAGGAGGAGGCCGATGATGACTCTTTTTGTAGATTCAACTTTGCTCCATGCCTTCCACCTCATGTCGATGTCGGGTACTGCCTCGAATAGACTCATATCAAGGATTTGGCCTTCAGTCGCTGCAAATAGCCCATGTCGTTGAGTGATCTTCAGAAAACGATTAGCACGGTTGCTGTTACTGTAGGGTGTTCACGATGCTTGACTCACCGACATGAGGTTGACGTATAGCATCTGACACTGTTCCAAATGGGCTTTCTCCTGTCAAACGATTAGATATTTATTTTGCACAAAACAGAAGCAAGGTGCATACCCCTGTCAGCACAGCTAGATTCAGAAACAAGAAAGCCGTAGCAAATATTGACATGGCACTTGCGGGTGTTTCAACCCCCATAGTACATCTTGCCAGATCAGCTGTAACTTTCTCTAGAACGTACTGCTAACCGTCAGCACTTGATCATTCCACAGTCGATAGTAAACCCACCGTAAAATTCCTTGAGACAAAGGTTGCAGTGCCCTTGGTCCCCAGCAGCATCATGCCAATTAGAGACATCACATAGAGGAGTGGTAGACGAGTCTTCTTTGCGGAGAAGGTCGGAAGGTGGACGAATGGGACGAGAGGGTGGAAAGTCCGGAAGTAAAGATCAAGCGCCATATCTAAGATCTCTGCGGGAGGAAAGTTTGGAAAAGGAGCCGAAGTCGAGCCAGTGGTGGCAGGAGAGGCGTCATCATTTCTCGGTGATTGCATTTGCGGATACGCGAATGTCTGCCCAAACGCTGCTTGAAGACGTCGTCTACAGTCTTCATCCACACCACATCGCGACCCTTGGAGAAGACCGCTATCGCTCGGGGTATGCAGAAAACGGAGAGAGAAAATGTTGTCAACGTCGGCGTAGACGATGTCCCGCCACAAGCTGTTCATAAGACGGCCCGTATGATTTGGCGGAGCCAGCCAGTACCGCTGGACTTTGGTAAACCGTTCAATGGGAATGTTATCACCGCCAGATTTGCCATCAACAGAATGCCGATTTTGTTGATCCGGTGTAACCACCATATTACTTTCACTCATTAGCGGGAAATGGGTATCTCGCATCAAATCGAGCGAGCCGTGATTAGATCCCGTGTCTGTGCGAGGCTCGAGCCATAACTGCAGCATATCATTTGGAACATTTTCAAAACCCATGCTATTTCGTTGCGCATTTTGCTCGGTGGGAGTCGGTTCATTCCAGCCGAAATAGTGCTGCTGTTCGTCTATGAGCATCGAATTGATATCTGGTTCGGTGCGGCCATGATGCGCAGAGATATCGGCAAGGAAATCCAAACTCGAGGGAGGAATTCCGGTCGCCGAGAGCGTCATATCGCGCGGTGTTGGAAGACTAGAAATTTGATGCGGATCTGGAATAGTGGACTGAAGCTGTATCCCATTTTCGGGGCCGGCCACCATCGGCGGCGCGCCGGCTACGGCAGAAGGGCGTCGACTTTGAGCTTGCCCTGCAATCGAATCATTTCTAGCTGCTGTAGTCGCGCCGGCGCTTTGATTGTGGCCTTTGGCATGTCGGCTCAGGACATCACTGCGGCCGAGTTAGATTTCTGCGATACTGCGATTGCAAACTCCATCACGATGCACTTGCACGATATCACGCAATTTGAACGATCTTACCTCCTTGAAAAGCGCTTATGACAGACATTGCATTCGTACGGACGCTCTTTGGTGTCTATATGAAGGTCAGCACCCAAACAATGGAATTATGCGCGATGCCGGAAACTGACGAGACCGCTCGTGGCGCTTGAAATGCTCCGTCTTCTTGAACTTGCGATCACAGATGGTACACTTTCGAAGGACCATGACGAAGCGCACGGAGATGCATTACAGAGAACGTATCATCGTTTCAAAGGTGGTTGCCGGAAAGAGAAGCTTGGACGGAGGTGGTGGAGAGGGGGGACCGCTGACTAATTCCGGGGTTAAGCCGACTGTTAGTGACGCCGCTTCTTGCGCCTTTGGACATTACTTTCGTCGATTATTCTACCGAAAATACGCCATCCAGTAGAGCTAGCGTGGAGTTACTTCCATGTCTTCTACGAATCATGAGCGAAGGAGGAGAAGCGGGCTGACTATCCTGTCGCATTGGCCCCTAGCGCAAGCCACTGGAAATTCCCCGTGGGGATGGAAGGGAAGCTGCGCCGAGCCCTACAGTAAGCGGCCCAGCTGTCCCGCAGATCAACTTGAGCCAGTGGCACCGAGTCCCTAAAGTCGGAGGAACTAGTGCAACGAACGTGCTTAAAAGTAACAATTCAGAGCAGAAAAGAAGCTATCGTTGACAGAGGGGTCAACATAGGCTAATTCAGCCGGCTTGCCGATCCTTCTATTGGCCAAGCTTTCATGTCGGCAATTGGTGATGGCATCAAATACCGATGAACAATTGTATATTTCCACTGGATATAATAAAGGAGCATCCTTATTGACGAACAAGCTCTGCCAGACGTTCGTCGTCGTAGAAGGTCTCTAGCCGCTGCTTGCGAGCTTCCTTATCCGCCTTGACCTGCTTAAGAATCCCCTGGATGTTAGGATGGGCGGAAAATTTGTCCTGAAACGATCAGCCTCGGGCCATGTCAATCCGATATGATGAAACTCACCGGCAGCGCATCCCACACCTTCGGGTCTGTGCCTTGGTCCTTGAACGTCCCGCAGCCGGAGCGTGCATACTCCGTGAACAAGAACGATCGGCTGCTCTCAACCATGATGGTCATTTGGTCTTCGGTTGTCAGCAGTGGTATTTTTGAGTAGAAGACATGAACTCACCTTCGAGAATTTTGCGAGGCTCGTTCACCTGGTTTCGCATCTCCCAAACGTAGGGGTCGCTGAAATTTCCGTGTGGGGTGTGGCTAATCTCGACACTGCCTCCTCCGGGCAGGAAATCGTCAGAGCGACCGAGTCCATTTCCGTACAGACTGGCCAGGAACTCCGTGGCCGAATTGCGGTGGAAGTAGGGCAGACGGAAGGTGTTGGATGCGACGTCCCACCGCGGTCCAAACCACAGGAAATCAGCCAACGGAGTGACAGGGTCCCGGGATGCAGCTGTCAGCACACAGTTGACTGACGGGTCAGTGTGATCGATCGAGGTGGAATTTTGAGACGAAAACTTGGTCAAATCGTACTGGAAACCCGTTTAGCAAAAATCGTCTTTCGGCGCAAGATAAGGCATGGGGTGTTTACCTTATAAGGAACGACATTGCCATGCCACGCCACCAGATCAAATGGGGTATGATCCTGCTCAATGGCCTTGTACACACCGTTTGCCTTGTTCACAATCGACCAGTCCTCATGAAGGTGCTCGTCGATATACGCAACGGGATGTAAAAAGTCCCGAGGGTTAGCCAGTCCGTGTCCTCCCAGGGGACCCAAGTCTGGCAATTCCCAACGAGACCCCCAAATTTCAGTGATATAACCACGGGCAACATTGTGACCGGGGCCAAGTCGAACAGCAAAACGAATTCCTCGAGGGATGACACAAATCTCACCGGGCTGCAGGAACAATTTGCCCAACTCTGTTTGGATATCCAGATTGCCCAGCTGGGCGACGATGAGGAAGTCGCCATCTGTATTGCAGAATGCCCGGTGGTCCATGTCTGCGTTGATCATGAAGACGTAGAGTGCAATGCCCTCGCGCAGATTGGGGTCTCCACTACCACCAAGTGTGTGTAGTCCGTCGACAAAATCGATCTTCTCATCTTCCTTGGGCAGTGGAAACGGTGCCCATTCGCCCTGCTCTACCAATGTGGCCACCTTGGGGTTGAGTGTCAAGAAGCAGTTCTCGATGTCTGCTTTGTGCGGGATGTCTGCCTTGTAGCCATCTTTAGGATGTTAGCCAAAGCCCTTCCACGTGTTTCTAGTGTCGGTAAAACATACTGTGAGCTGCAGCTGGTCGCACCCGATACATATAGGTACTGAAGTTGGCATGTCGCGGGGCCGCAAAGGCCGAGTATGTAATGCCCTCGGTATACAAGCCAAATCGAACTTCTTGGGGGTTGTTCTGTCCCGCCGGTAGAGTACCGGGAATGACTTCGGATTGGTGACGATTACCAAAGCCCGCCTGGTATTCGTAGGGATCGTTGTCTCTTGTCGGCTTGCGAGACATGGTATCCGTATAGTGGAAGACCTTTTGCAGGTCCTTGACCGGCTTTCTCTCCTGCATTGGTGGAGCGGACATTTTCGTGACTGTTTAGTTGGAAGGTGTCTAGGGGTATGCAGTCAAGGGTGTAATGGAATGATGAAAAAGGTTGCCACGAAACTTGTCTCATTTTAGACCTCGGTCATCTGTTCCATTCAACCTCTGTGAGACCCATATGGAGAATTGCCAGACCTCCCACATAGAGTTGGACCCACATCGACCTCATCTACGTATCGAGATTGCGGGTCGGACCCGAACAAGGGGTTCTTGCGGGGCCAAATGGATGTGGAGCAACTTTATGATGTGGAACAGTGAAAAGTTATGATTGCCTGTGAGTTCTAGAACATTGTTGCGAATTGAGAAATGCCGAGTTGCTATCTAGGTATGTATTGATGATGCTATATACACTATAGTAATCGGGAGTTGATTTTCTCATAGAGACCGCATCAGTCAATTGCTAGCACGTCGTCCACCATTCGCGAGGAAGCACCCAGGTAGTTGACTGGATCACACAACTCGGCCAGTCGCTGCTGGCTCATCTTTGATGTAACCTCTTCCTTCTCCAGCAGACACTCAAGTAGGGTCCGCTTCTTTTCAATACTCTCTTTACAAGCCTCGTAGACGATATCATGAGCCCTTTGACGGCCCACGTGCGGCGCCATGCCCATCATCACAGCTTCACCGACAATCAATCCCTTCGTAGAGTGGAGGTTCTCCAGCATTTGCCCGGTGTTGACCGAGAGGCCGGACAGCGCGAAGTGAGTCTGTGAGAGCGCCCCGACAGCAATGACAAAGCTTTCTGGGACAGCAACCCACTCCAAGTGCCAGGGACCGGATGCACGTTCAAAGTCAGCCACCATTCCGTCAAGGACAAGCCCTGCATTCGACCGCAGGATTTTGGACGCGGCCAGAATAACCTCACTGGAAATTGGGTTCCGCTTTTGTGGCATGGTTGAAGAGGCACCGCGGTGAGGCACAAAGGGCTCGGAAACTTCACTCAGCTCATTGGATGACATGATCATAACATCCAGAGCCAGCTTGCCCATCGAGCCACCCATGAGGGCCAGGAAGTTCGCAATCTCAGCCACTCCATCTCGCGCAACGTGCCAGGTGATTGAAGGATCATTCAGACCAAGCTCCTTTGCAAGAGCCTTCCGCACACGTAGGCCATCATCACCCGAGCCCAAAGAAGCAAGCGAACCCGCTGCGCCACCAAACTGCACCAACAAAGTGCGGTCCCGGAGCTGCCCCAGGCGCTCCAGATGTCGCTGAAACCCAGAAAGCCAAACTGCACACTTGTACCCAAACGTGACCGGCAGCGCATGTTGCAAATGCGTCCGTCCAGCCATGGGGGTATCCTTATACTTCTCCGACAGCTCGCGCAAGGTCTTGATGACATCCTTGAGGAGTCTCTCAACGATATCCAAACCCTCCTTCATCTGCAACACGCTCGCAAGGTCCATGATATCCTGGGTTGTCGCACCCCAGTGCACATATCTGCCGGCCTCTTCACCACAGATGGCCGAAAGCTGGCGTACTAAAGGAAGGATTGGATAGCCGACGATTTCAGTCTCATGTCGAAGCCGCTCGAGATCCAGCTTGGATTCTTGCACTTTTTGCGTCACCATGGCACCGATCTCGGAGGGAATCACATTGCATTGAGACTGTGCTCTCGCCAGGGCAGCTTCCGCATCGACGCAGCGCCGGATGTATGCTTCGTCGTCGAACACCTATGTGGTTTAGCATTGATCCACCAATGGAGATGATGAGATTTAGTTGTAATGCTGGAATCTGATAGTGAACATACCTTGCGAATCTCTTCTGTCCCGAACAAAGTACGGAAAATGCTGGAATCGATGGCACTGACGGAGCCAATCAACCTCCGCCCGGTGACGGTGACAGACACGACGGGCTGGGCAACTGCCCGCGACAGAGGGCGTACGGCACGTATGAACACCGACATTGCTCTGGAGTAAGGTGATTCGAGAGGGAAGTACAAGAGCAAAGAAATGAGAGCCCTTTGAAACTATTCTCTCACAATTGGACCGACTTGGTCGAAATAGCAGCCCAAGACGGAGGAAATGGGGCGATTGTTTTGCCGTGTGCATAAGCTGCAGCCCCACATACTCCGATGTGGGGCAGGTGAAGCTATTGACGCACGGATCAGGAAGTATGAAGACGTGGGGAGTGAGAATATGACGAGATAGTTAACGTGTACGAGGTGTGTACGCTTTTGTAGAGACTTTACTCTTGTGTTTCTGCAGTGCATTTAAGTATAGCGTCCTATTTACAATCGCTATGGATTCAAGGTAGTTTACAGATATCTACTCTCGAATGAACAGCGATGCAACTCCCATGCCAGTGCTAGATATGAATATTAGCAAAATCCTAAGTCTAGTGGATGAGGGACCTTACCTGGCACACATGCTCACAATGCCCATCTCCTTATCCTGTCTCTGCAGTTCAGCCAGCAGAGTAGCAACTTGCCTAGCTCCAGTGGCTCCAACGGGGTGGCCAAGGGCGATAGCACCGCCATTGGGGTTGACTCTGTCCATATCCAGACCGAGCTCCCGAAGACAGTAGATCGACTGGCTGGCGAAAGCCTCGTTCATTTCGACAATGTCGACGTCTTTGTTTTCAATACCCAGGTACTTGTACAGGTTTTGGATAGCGAAAATGGGCCCAATGCCCATTTCATCTGGCGCACAACCAGCAACCTGGGTGCCGGCAAACCGGGCGATGGGCTTCAGACCATGCGCTTCAGCCCAGGATCGACGAGCGAGGATGGTGCTCGATGCACCGTCCGAGATTTGAGACCTGTCAAGTAAAACACTGGGTTAACAAGTGTTGGCCCAATGGAGACAAACATCGGAGACTTACGAGTTTCCAGCAGTACTGAAGCCATTCTCTAGCACAGGCTTGAGACTTGACAACTTGTCAACGGTCACGCCGTGGCGAACACCCTCGTCACGGTCAATCACTTGGAAACTTTCCTCATCAATTCCCGCGCTGATATACCTCACTCGAACGGGCACAACCTCCTTAGAAAACCTGCCCGACTTTTGCGCCTCACTCGCCCGCCGCTGGCTCTCTGCGGCAAACTCATCCTGTTCACGCCGACTAATCCCATATCGCGACGCAACATTTTCTGACGTCTTCAGCATAGGAAGAATACAATCGCGCGCATCCTTGACATCGGATTCCCTCAAATCAGGAGAAATATCGACCGGAATTCCCTTGGTGGCGTAATTCCGTGACATGCTCTCAACTCCTCCACCGAGCCCAACATCGATTTGTCCTGCCAAAATCGAATGCGAAATATGCGTAATAGCCTGCAGACTACTCGAACATTGTCGATTGACTGTGTGGAAAGTCGTAGAGTTGGGAAACCCGGCCGCATTGAGCGCCATGCGCCCGGTCTTTGCGAAACCCAGCTCCGCAAGAACGTTGCCGATGAGGGCGTCGTTGACTTGGCCCGGCTCGATTTTGGCGCGTTGTACGGCGGCTTGCATAATCTAGAACTCGTCAGAAATCATTCACCAAGCGATAAATGCAAAATAGCTTACCGGCATCAAAATCTCCTCTGGATAGGAATCTTTGAACCCGCCCTTGAACGCTCGTGTGATGGGACTCCGCACGGCGGAGAGCACGACCACATCGTTCGGGCTCTTCTTGAGCACTTCGCCAGCTGTTCTTCTCAACATTTTCTTATTTGTATGATCTTTTTCCGCGTGGTGACAGGGTCAGGGAGTAGTCCACATTTATCAGAATGTGGGTGTGGCTCCGGTTGCATCATGGAGCTCCGACCCTGTTCCCCATGGTGGGGCGCTCCGACCGCTTGACGATCATTGTTATTTTGGTTTCGCGGGCCGTACAGGGATTTTGCCAATGAAACATTACAGGGGAGCCGTGTGGTTGGTTTGCCTCTTGTCGGAACCAAATTCCTATCGGTCTGGCCCCGTAATGTGGTCGACACCGAGTTTATACATCCTTGCAACTGAGCAATGTGCTTAGTATGTTACATCAGAATAAAATAGTGTTGTTAAGCTAAATAGTCCGAATAAAAAGCGTATAGCACTATTCGTTCTTCTCGTTCGCTACCAAGACTACGGTATGCTTTCAAATGTTCCGTTCTCACGATACATTACAACTTAGTCGAGTCCGGACTCGGACTCACTCCTTGTCCCTCGGGAGCCTCATCCTTCACCGACATCTCCCATCCACGTCCACGATACCGCGCAGGCCAGACGCCAGACTTACCAGGAGCCATGATTCCACGTGGATCCAAACAATCCTTGATCTTCTCGTTGAACTTCATGAGCGCACCATCATTCCAGTTATAAGTCCCAGCAATCTGATCCATAAAGGCCAGGTGAGTGCGATATTCGCCATAGCCCAGCTTTGCAGCATCATCAATCATAGCCCGAAGACAGGCTCGCACGTTGTTGCGCATGGTGGGTTCATCTCGATTGAACACAATCTCAACGATCAGATGCATCTCGCGGAGACCCACGACGAACGTAGGGAACAGGTCTAGGTCGAACTCGTCGCAGCGTTTCCGTGCAATGTCCCAGAGAGCCGTGGCATCGTGTCCTCGCACCGGCGATACAGGACTAAAGGCAACGTGTCCGCCGTTCGGGTGCCAATTTACCCAGCGCAGTTCCTCGATATCGGGAACGCCAGATGCAACTCGGTCGCGCACCCAGTAATAGTCGTCGGCTGGGAGAGTTGCTGGATCGATGCGCCGCGCTCCAGGGATCTTCATGAACTCTTTGTGGATAATTTCCAACTTGTATTTGCGGATCTCTTGAGGCCCGTACGCCATGCCGTAGTACAGCCAAGAGCAATCGCCGGACGATAACTTCTTGGCTGCTTCGTGAATGATGTTATCGGGCACTCTTCCTTTTCCGTTATAGTAGGTACTTCGAGGTTTCCCTTCGAGGCCAACATGCATAGTGATGTGACGTAGCTGGGCGACATTTTCGAGGATCATGGCGATTCGCAATGGACGAATGATTTCAATCTGGGATACGGGTCAGTAACGGCTCTCAAAGTCAGGATACATTGTGTGTTCTACCAGCTGGCTCAGATCCTCATCTTTCGGGAACACATAGAGCTGTGATAGAGTCAGTGATTGTTCCGCAATTCAAGTAAACAAACACGTACATAACTTTCGTATCCACCAGGATTTGGCATCAGCCCGAATCCCATCTTCGTGACGATGCCCAGGTTAGACTGGGAAAACAGTCCGCTAAATTTTCCAGAATTAGCTTGTAAACGACTTATCCGCCGAAGAGGACCATACTCAGGGGTCGGTCCAAATCCATAGGGAAATAGCTGCCAGCTATTGTTCCCCGGCAGCGCTCCCATTCCTGTCCTGATGACTTCCCCAGTCGGAAGCACAACTTCCATCCCGGAATGCATCATCCAGTGATCTCCATATGGTGTATACCCAACACCCCTGTCGACTGCATTTCCCAAAACGGAGCCGCCTCCAATATCTGGCACATCGACCCACAGGTGCTTGAAGCCTCGAGCCTGGATCTCTTCGTAAAGGGCGAAATAAGTGACACCTGGTTCGACCAGACATGTGCAATCGTCGGGGTTGATATCGAGAATGCGATTCATTCGCCTTCCGAGGTCAATAACGACAGCGCCGCGGACTCGAGGAGCGGCGCCTCCGTAGCCATCTAAAATGTGACACTGTGAGCTTGTTGAATCAACACTATGTGTCTGAACATACAGTTTCGGCCAATCGATATCGGCGAAATAGGAATCCGGTACTTGTTAGCCCATTGCACAATCTTTTGCACTTCCTCTGTAGTGCTCGGATAGACTACGGCTGAAGCAACGAGGGCGTCAGCCTCCGCCACGTGCATTCCATCGTGCGTATTGGGGTCTATGGGAGAGAAGCTGCTTTAGTCATTTTCCATCGGGCGTAGGGGGTGTTGACTGACTTTCCATATACCTGGTACAATAGTCGGTCAACTTGCGTTCCAGCATAGGGTTTCCATCCTTACCATCCATCATCAAGTTTTGTCACTAGTTCGACATGCTTTTCACCCAAATGTCCCCGGAGCTCGTCAATCGCCTTGTTGAATGTACCCTCTCCGACTCCCTGGGGAAGCGCAATCTGCGTTCGATTGCTCTGGGATTTTGTAGCGATGCCGAAGATGGCGGATTTGGCGTCTTGGGCCTTTGCGAAGAGGCTCGCGGGGATGCCGTTATGCTTTTCTGATAGCAAAGGCGTTGGGGGTACGGACGGCTTGGTACTCATTATGATGGCCGAATTTACAACTTGAAACGTGATATTATGGCTGGGATATCATAAAATAGGTCCTCGTCAATTTTGATCTAAAGTCACCACAGTCCCGGGCATTTCGATCTTATGTACTTGATACGCGGGGTTATTCCGCCGGCCTACTCGGAATGAAGGAATGCTCTACATAGCATCAACTCTCTATTGGATCCCGTTGAATGACTTGCAGGGCAGGGATGAGTTTCAATCAATATGAGAGGTCATCGTCCTTTTGCCAACATGCGAGCAAAGCGGGATAACCCCAAAGTGCAAGGAAGCTTCAGCTAAAACGCGTCGAGATGCATGAAGAGCGGAGAAGTGAGGGGACGGCCCCGCCCGATGATCCGAACGAGCAGAAGCCGCACTGGCAGTGTCATGGTGTTGGAAGAATGACAGAATGCCAGACCCCGAGAGGGTAAGAATGCACGATCCGAAGCAGCGCGCGCTCTGCCGACGCCAGTCCCGACTGTAAATTACACGTCACGATACCAGTCCGTTACAGCGGCGAACCTTTCAGCCGAGCTTCATTCGACAGTCAATTACATTTCACCACCGGTTTCCAGTCCTAAGTAATCTTCTCCGGCCAAGATCACCCTCCGCATAACCCTATCCCACTCCTGATGCACCCCGCATGACATGGAGGGCCCCCGAAGCCCCCCAAAACTAACCCTGATGCAAATCGGATAAAGTTGTGGGGTCGGCTTCCGACGCCGGCAAAAACTTTTGGGGCTCGCCGCGCTCCCTCTCCGACGTGTGGGGAACACCGCGGTGACCACTGCCGGATAAGTGTTTTCTCGGCTTCTCTGGCTGAGTCCCTAGCCGAAAGCTGCGATATGGGGAACTTCGTGATCATGTTTCTGTTTCTCTTCTTCTTCTTTCTGCTGGCTCAGAAAATACCATAGTAATTCAAAGGTCGACCATGTCGCGACCTTTCCCTATGGTGTCGGTGTTCCGCCCGATATGGCGGCGGAACTTCTCTGCTTCCACCACCAAGAGAGCTATTGACAAGCGATGCGCCTCCGCCAACGAGGCCGTCAAGTCCATGAAGGGCCCGGCCACCGTTTTGGTCGGTGGCTTTGGCTTCTCCGGTGTCCCCAACACCCTGATTGACGCCGTCCGCGACCGTCCCGACATCAAGGACCTGACCGTGGTCTCCAACAACGCCGGCATGCCCGGCGCTGGTCTCGGTATGGAATTGCCAATGCGATTCCGCAATTGCTACAGATTGGACATGCGCTGACTTTTCTACTTCTATCACAGGTCAATTGCTCGAGTCGAAGCAGATCACCAAGATGATCGCTTCTTTCATCGGCGAGAACAAGGTCTTTGAGAAGATGTATCTTAGCGGTGACCTGGCCCTGGAGCTTACTCCCCAGGGTACCATTGCTGAGAAGTGCGCTGCTGGAGCGGCTGGCGTTCCGGCTTTCTACACCCCCGCTGCTTTTGGTACTATCAGTAAGTTGCTCGGATACCACGCACAAACGGGCACAGCTAACGGATGGGACTCGTAGTTCAAACTGGTGAACTCCCCGTTCGGTACAACAAGGATGGCTCCGTGGCTGAAAAGTCCAAGCCTAAGGAAACCCGCACTTTCAACGGCAAGGAATTCCTTCTGGAAGAATCGATCTACGGTGACTACGCTCTGGTCAAGGTTCACAAGGCCGATCGACTTGGCAACTGCCAGTTCCGCAAGGCCATGAACAACTTCAACGAGGCCATGGCCAAGAACGCCAAGGTTACTCTCGTTGAGGCTGATCACATTGTGGAGGTTGGCGAGATTGCCCCCGAGGACATCCACCTGCAGGGCATCTACGTCGACGCTGTCATCCAGAGCACCGGCGAGAAGCAAATCGAGAAGGTTACCTACGCCAAGGACCCCAAAGAGATGCTTGCTGCTGGTTCCGGGGAAGCCACCATGCGCCGTGAGCGTATCGTCAAGCGTGCCGCCAAGGAATTCAAGGACGGCATGTACGTTAACCTTGGTATTGGAATCCCCCTGATCGCTCCCTCCTACCTGCCCGAGGGTGTCGAGGTCGTTCTGCAGGCTGAGAATGGTATCCTGGGTCTGGGTGGCTACCCCCAGCCCGGTGAGGAGGACCCTGATCTCATCAACCCCGGCAAGGAGACCGTTACTCTCGGCCGTGGTGCTTCCCTGTTCGGCTCTCACGAGAGCTTCGGTATGATCCGCGCTGGTAAGATCGATCTCACTATGCTGGGTGCTCTCCAGGTCAGCCAGTACGGCGGTATGTCTATCCCCCGATATAGAACTGTGTAAGTTGGTACTAATTCTCTACAGACCTGGCCAACTTCATGCTTCCCGGTAAGGTCAAGGGCGTCGGCGGTGCCATGGATCTGGTCGCCAACCCCGAGAAGACCAAGGTCGTTGTGACCATGGAGCACACCGACAAGAAGGGCAACCCTAAGATTCTGCCCTCTTGCTCCTTCCCCCTGACCGGCCCCAAGTGTGTCTCTACCATCATCACCGACTTGGCCGTTTTCGACGTCAGCCCCACCGAGGGTCTGACTCTGATGGAGCACGCCGAGGGCGTCACCGTGGAGGAAATCCGCAATAAGACTGCCGCTCCCTTCAAGGTCGCCGAGGACCTGAAGCCCATGCAGCTGTAAATGCATATATACCAAGTAGAGTTGGGATCGGATACGGTGTCATTTTTTCTTTGCAACGGTCAAGACTTTATAGACTGAAAAATTAAATCTCTTTCAACTTATCCACTGTTACCATCGTAGATCTTCATAGTGCACGCGAACTCACTATCTTAATGTCGTTACCTGTCCCTAGAGCCTCTTCCACATCACGCCGCATTGCAAATTGAACTCATGTGGGGTCGAACCCACCTGCAGATCGAGCAGTGGGGCTCTCCACCCGTGCGAATTTAGCAAAAGCCCAAGTCATTCGGCACGAAAGAGCTTGGGAATTTCTCAAATCAAGGGGTTTGATCTGAATCCAATTCTCGATGAACAGTCCCTGGTTATCACGGGCAGCCTTGGTGGCCCGAGCCGCTCCTATCCTGACACGTCCAGTCAAATTAGGGCTCGCCCGAGGACTGGCGACAACCCCAAATGCGAAGAAATTGCCGCTGGCAGGAGTTCGCGTGTTGGACATGAGTCGGGTATTGGCCGGGGTATGTAAATGATACGCCAATGGCTTGTGAAACGATTGTGAGAGGCACACTGACACCCTTGGCAGCCATACTGCACGCAAATTCTGGGCGATTTAGGGTGTGTACCGAGATATTGAATCACCACGAAACTGAACTGAACATTGCTGATACTTCTTGTAGAGCAGAGATCATCAAGGTCGAGCACCCAGTCCGAGGCGACGACACGCGCGCGTGGGGCCCGCCCTTTGCAGCCTACAATGACGGCCGGGCCGGCAATGGCGAAAGCGCATACTACCTTTCTGTATGGAATTCCCTGCTTCTATGGTAAGGGCAAAACTGATGATCTCAAGGTAAATCGTAACAAAAAGTCCCTCGGTCTCTCCTTCGCCCACCCGGAAGGTGTGCAAATCCTCCACCAGCTCGCCCGTGACTGCGACGTCTTGGTCGAAAACTACCTCCCGGGCTCACTTAAGAAATACAACTTGGACTACGAAACACTCCGCAAAATCAACCCCCGCCTCATATATACAAGTATCACGGGCTATGGCCAGACAGGTCCGTACAGCGACCGACCCGGCTTCGACGTGATGGTTGAGGCTGAATTTGGACTTATGCATTTGACCGGCACGCGTGATGGGCCGCCCGTCAAGGTTGGGGTTGCGGTGACTGATTTGACGACGGGGTTGTATGCGTGCAATTCCGTAATGGCGGCGTTGTTGGCACGCGCGAATACGGGAGAGGGGCAGCATCTTGACGTTTGTCTGAGTGATTGTCAGGTTGCAACGCTGGCGAATATGGGGGAGTCCGTATTGATTAGTGGGAAGAAGGATTCTGGAAGATGGGGGACTGCGCATCGTGAGTGATCTGAAGAATCCTCGGTATTATGGAGACTAAGGCTGTTTTCTAGCATCCGTTGTCCCGTATCAGGGATTCAAGACTGCCGATGGGGATATCTTTGTCGGTGGCGCAAATGATCGTCTATTCGGGGTTCTTTGTGACAAGATTGGCAAGTCGGAGTGGAAGACTGACCCCCGGTTCGTCAGTAACAATGAACGAGTCAATAACCGAGCTGTGTTGGAGCCTTTAATTGAAGGTGAACTGGTCAAGCGCAGCACGCAACGATGGCAGGAGATCTTCGAAGGCAGCGGATTGCCATACGCCGCTGTGAATGATATCCAGGGGACAATGAACCATGAGCATGTGCAGGCTCGCGGTATGGTGCAGACTATTGATCATCCGGCTTGTGGTCCGATCAAGGTCATCAGTCCGCCGGTGAAGTATTCCAATGCGGAGCCTAGCATTCGCAGCCCCCCTCCTTTGCTTGGAGAACATACCGATGAGTTACTTCGGGATGTGGTTGGATTGAGTGTTGAGCAAGTAGAGGAGTTGAAGGGCAAGGGCGTTGTTGCATAAGCGTAAATATGTACCATTTCTCAAGTTATAGACTTTCGTAATCTTGCTTGTCTTGTTCTATTCACTCGAAAGTCAATTGCAAATTTTTAGATTGAGACCAGAGAAAGTATCTTGTCGTCTTTCATCGAAACAAGAACCACTACGGGATTCTTCTGCGGAGCCTTCCACAACTCCTCCACAAAAATATTTCGATCCACAAAAGGCATTTACTGTTGAAGACGTGGGCCAAATGCTTGAAATTCAAAGTGAATTTCAGCCACACGAAGGACACGGGCACCAACGAATCAAAAAAAGAAAAAGAAACGAAAGGCAAAACATGCACCAGTCTTACCACGGCCGTGGGCCCGGTAGCTCTGGCGCAGTCTACCCTTAACTAGGTGCAGTGTTGCAGGGTCCGTAACAATACTAAGCCCAAAATAGAAAATGTGCTATCATAACAGCCACTTATAATGTCATTTAGAGATCCCTAAAAGAAAAACTTTTCCGTTTCCAGCGAACAATCCACATATTATATACAAATCAATAGAAAAGAAATGAGATAACCGCTACTCCAAGACAGGTAGCACCTAGAGTATATATCAACACGCGCACATTGAGAAACAGAATCGTGTCATCACCTACCGAGAAGAATATTCATGTAACAATACCCAATGTTGCCAAACAGCCAACCAATGATAGCTGGGCCCAGCGTCAGGCCAGTATTAAACGACACTGAAATCAGCGCAAAGCACCTCGCGCGCCCACCGTTAGGGCCAAAGATATTGGGGGTTTCTTTTTCCAGCGTCCTTACGACGTCTATTCACGGTGCCGACCCACTGTTAGCATTCGCCCCCTTATTAAGCAACAGACGTCTGACTTACTCCGCATGTTCAAAGCTCCGGCACCTTGAGTGAAGGGCATAACTAATCCAATGCCACATATGCATGCAATAAAGGCGGCTTCTTCAATTCTCTGGCTGTCACTGGCCCAAAATATTCCGCTCCCGGGAATACCCAAGCAGCATAGTAAGGGGCAAAGAAGAACCCAACCGATCGTTGTTGGGTATCGGACACCAACGCGATCTCGGACCCAGCCAAGAACAGGGGAGAGAAAGACTATAGGGACTTGGAGAGCAAAAAAAGTTGCTCCGACAGATGACGGGCCCCAATTGAAGGTGTCCCGGAGATAAACGGGTAAAGTTGCGTTGAAGCCTGCTCGAACCGCAGCTTGGACAATCGTGTTCAGAATGCTTGTCCATATACCAATGTCTCGAAGAACTACTGCGTAGAAATTGCGATTTTCCGCAACCGAAGCGGTATCGATTCCTACTTCCGTGTCTGAATCTGAACCGACCCCTATTGTCGAAACTGTTGTCGAAGCTGATGATGACAGAAGGGGCGATGTTTCAGTGTCAACTCCTTCCACATCATGGGATGAGTCGCTTGGGGTGACATGGCATGATTTGCTGTGCTTGGCCTTATCAGACGAAGCGTGCGAGTCCAGTGAATGGCGCTCTGGCTGGATCATAACCAACCGCGCAATCATGTCAAGAAACAGCAGGCCCATTGGCACAGACCAAGCCGCCCAGTATCCAACCAAGCCTAGCAAAACACCCCCGAGCATTGGCCCACTCACTGTTCCGATCATTATAAAAGACGTACTCAGCCCCATCACTCTCCCAATCCTACCATCACCTGCAGTCTCGGTTATCATAGCTGTACAGACAAGCCATGCTGCCGAGCCGGCAACTGCCTGCAGGACCCTGCCCAGGTATAGTGCCCATACTGGATCAAACACTGTCAGCATTCGTAGAGCACAAAGGAGCGTGGCCGGGGTGACAAATACATGTGGGAGTGTACGCGACCAGCACAGTCCCTGCAAGACAAAGCCCAAGCGACAGAAAAAGCGGGCCTTTTTGATTGGAGGTTTTATCGAAGAACCTCGCGAAAACAGGGGAGCAGATCATTGTCACGAAACCGTGTAGACTCAGGAGGCTGTTGGTGGTATCAATTGTTCGGGATGGGTCGTTGCGAAGGCGCTCTTCTAGCATATAAGGAAGCATCGGTACGGGGAACCCGGATAGAAGAGTTTCTGTTCACTGACATTAGAGGCATGAATCGTCATCGGCAATAAGCATTCGTGTTCCTACCAGTAAACAAGGCAACGCAAGCGGTGGCGGTGACCAATTTTCTGGAAGACCGCCATCCCGGGTGCTCTGCGGAGGTAGACATCGCGCTTTGCGTGAGTCGACAGCTGCCGGGTCAAGACATCAAGTTCCTTTGTAGAAGATGGACGATGTCTGGAAGATACTCGTTGCTCTAAATGCCTAGGGGTGCTGTAACAGGTGCCTTGCATCCCCCTGGGTAAGATCGTGGCGCGCAGCCCCCTGCAATGATCGACAAACACGATTGATAAGCCACATGAACACCCACCGCGTCGGATCGCCGAGCAGCGCGAGGCAATACTTCGTTTTCGGAGCATCCCTACCGGGATCTCGGGAGTATCCACAGATCGTTCGTGGTACACGATTCGGCATAGCCCAAACTTAATTTGCGATACGGTGGGTTGTTTTAGGGGGTATATGCTTTAGGATTGGCTCGATTCAAACCCCCTATTTTAGAGCGCTCTCCCGAGTACCGCTACTGTTCGTTTGGAATGCCGCTGAACTGTGTACCTGGTAGTTGATTCCAATGCCTGCATGAGATAGATAAGTTTGCTGACCCTCAGCATAGTCCGGATATACATGTTACCTTGCATAGGAATAAATCGGGCTATAATCACAATTCCGCAGCCATGAGTTACCCTGTGACCATTGTCTGCTGATATAGGGATTGCCACCGATACAGTACCAGGTGGATCACTTCCAATTGTATCGAAAATATTATCAATGAAAAGGGGCTTGCCGCTATATGAAAGGCTAGCTGAACAAGTGCGTTCGTAATCATGTGACCAAGTTCGACACCCAGGCCTCACCTTTACCTCTTCCATAGCTTCCATAGCTTTACATACTCGTACATATACACCACTCAACACAGTGTATTACCACGCACCTCCTCTCATTCCTCTCGTACAAAATAGAGCTTGAAATGCGGCCCATACACTGTCGAGCGTCGGTCGAGGCGCTAAACGGTGCAATGAGCGGCCAATTGAGACACTAGCACCGGAAGAGTCCTGTCCCCGATGTCATTCTGGCGCTAATGCATGCATCTGGAGTCTGCGCCGTGGCCGGGGCTTTTTCAAGCTACCAGGTTCGAATATGTGGCCAAGTGGTTGGCGGAATGGAGATTCTGGTGCAATACGTTCCCCGCCCTTTTAGGGTCGTCTATTTAAGTCTGTCTTTCCTGACGCCCTTCGCCTCGTTTCCTTGAACCTCACCATCCACCAAGCCCTTTACCTCTCACAACGTCAATTCTTGCCGCTCTCTGACCATGGGCTCCAACATCGACAACGAGCTGGTGACAAACCGCGCTGCTAGTACCGAAGCCGCCCTCCTGGCTGAAAAGAGCTATTCGGCCAAAAACTACCAATCGCTCCCCATCGTCTTTGCCCGTGCCCAGGGTGCCTCTGTTTGGGATCCCGAGGGAAAGCACTACCTTGACTTTCACTCTGCTTCAACTGCACTTAACCATGGCCATTGCCACCCGAAACTCGTCGCAGCGCTTGTTGACCAAGCATCCCGTCTGACCTTGACCTCTCGCGCCTTCCACAACGATGTTTATCCCCAATTCGCGGAATTTATGACCAAGCTCTTTGGCTATGACAGGGTCCTGCCGTCAAGCACTGGCGCGGAGGCTTCTGAAACTGCCATCAAGGTTGCGCGAAAATGGGCCTATAAAGTCAAAGGTGTTCCGCAGGAGGAAGCTATTGTTCTTGGTGCTGCAGGTAATCACCATGGACGGACAGTGAGTCTCTGGCCTGCCTTAATGAAATACGATTGTGGGCGGACATTATTGACCTCGACGTTTCTGTCTTATAGTTGGCCTCAATCTCCCTAGCCTCTGATGAAATGTCTCGCGAAAACTATGGTCCATTGGTTCCCAATGTCAGCTGTTCGATTCCTGGAACCGACAAATTGATTACCTACAATGATAAGGCAGCGCTCCGAGATGCGTTTGAGGCAGCGGGCTTCAACCTGGCCGCCTTCATGATCGAACCTATCCAAGGAGATGCAGGCGTCATTGTAGCCGATGATGACTATCTTCGCGAGGCAAGAGCTCTCTGTGATAAATATAATGTCCTATTAGTCTGTGACGAAATCCAGACTGGAATTGCGCGGACTGGAAAGCTACTTGGCCACTACTGGAGTGGAATAAGACCTGATATGGTGCTATTAGGCAAGACCATGACAGGCGGCATGTACCCCGTCTCCTGCGTTCTAGGAAGCAACGAAGTGATGCTTACTGTCGAGCCCGGAACTCATGGCTCAACTTACGGCGGTAATCCGCTCGGGGCCGCAGTTGCTATGCGTGCTCTCCAAGTCGTTGAGGAGGAAAGTCTGGTTGAACGGGCAGAAAATCTTGGGCATGTACTTCGTAACGGTCTGACCGTTATCCAGGCTCAAACTCCGGGTCCAGTTATTCAAACAGTTCGCGGCAGGGGGTTGCTCAACGCGTTCGTCATTGATCAGTCCAAGACGAATGGACATACGGGCATAACACTGTGCGAGCTAATGAAACGGAAGGGTCTTTTGGTAAGCAGCCACTCTCATGTCCTCAGGGACTGTTCATTTGATCAACTTGGCTAACGTATTTTGTTCATAGCTTAAATCGAGCCGGACAGGCGTCATTCGCATCGCACCTCCGCTTGTCGTTTCTGACTCTCAAATTGACCAGGCGCTCGGTATTATCAAAGAATCCATAAAGGAATTGCTAGCTCTCCCCGCAATTGGGTAGGACATGTTCACTCGTTGAAGGTGAGATTCGCGGATAGTGATATCGGATGCACGGTGCAATGATAGAGAGCTATCAGTCAGTATAAAACTATCTTATGGTGCTATAACAACCGCGAATAATGCTATGAGAACAATGAATTCAATCACTGGAATGTTAAGAACTTTCAAGGAAATAGAAAATAGAACTGAAGCTATTGAGAAGTTTTCCGCAGATAGACATACTCGAAAAATCATTAATGCCTCAACTCACTCCTTTAGACTCAGATTACTTCATCAACTACTCATCGCGCCCGTCTTCATCCATGTTCCAGTCACCTCATATATTCGGTTCTATGAAAAGCTCCCTACCGCATCCCCGACAGCTCCCACAACTTTGTAGCCTGCATCTTCATGAAACCGCTAACATCAAGAACCTCCGTCTCCTCCCCACAAATCCTGCCCTCGTTATCCAGCGGGAAAAACATATGAACCGCCTTCATCATGGAAGTCTTATCCGACCATGTCCGGGGAACAGATTCGTGCTCTCTCAAAATCCTCAACACAGTTGGCAATTGGTACGCAGGGAGGCCCATTTTGGCGGCAAGGTCATTTCGAATTGCCTGCAAATCCACTTTGTTGTGACCGGTATCATTGCCATTCTTGTGAAACCGCACGAGAGCGGCTGTCCGCGTGTCACACTGCGGATCTGCGACTGGCATGATATAGCCCTCTGTGATGTATGGAAGTGCGATTAGGGCAGCCTCGACCTGTCCTCGAGGAACTTTGTAGGTGTAGAATTTGAATACTGTCACGGGAAAGTGATCTTTAGCTGAGGCAGAAAAGCGAGAAAGAAGTGAGAGAACTGACGGTCCATGTTTGCCCTTCCTTTGAAGATGTACCGTCCATCCTGAAGGATGGCTAGATCTCCAGTCTTGAAGAATCCTTCGGAGTCGAACCGTTTTGCCGTGGCATCAGGGGAGTTCAAGTACCTACGGTACAAAATTCGTCAGTGGATTTTCTAACGTCGAGAAATGATACTTGTACCCACCCGAGGAATAGGGACGGCGCCTTAACAAGGACTTCCCCTGCATCACCTTCGGATAGCTTCATAGTGACATTCGGAAGCGGTGCTCCCAAGTCATCCTGGTCACGGCTATTAGCAATATTCAAAATTTCTCAGAGACAACAGCCACCGGCAACGTGTATTTCGATGTCTCACCTCTACACTTCCCGACTCCATATCGCAAACAGCTATCTCCTGCGTCTCCGTTGTTCCATATAGCTGTTTAAGGAGTCGACCTCCACGCATCTCTCCCCAGAACTCCTTAATCGGGCGTGAGAGCATAGCACCCGTCGCGCACGCATCGCGCAGGTGCTGCGTTCCCTTCACATACTCGTCAACAACATCCTGCGGCAACTCGACGGAAATATGACGCTGGAAGTATATCATCATTCCATACCAAAAGGTCGGAGACAACACGATCTTGGTAGCCGTTCGCTCGCGCAGCTTCTCCCATATCAGGTTATAGTTTCTCCCAAAGTTGTGGATCTCGACGCGGATGCCTGTAAGCAGCATTTGGAATAGCTTGGTGAAGTAGAGCGACCAGAATGCGCCCCGTGGGATGATGCAGAGCTCGTCGTTTGGTTCGGGTGCTTCGACTTGTCGGGCATACTTGTTAATTGTTTTGCGGGCGTGTAAAACACCTTTCGGGGGCCCGGTTGTTCCTGATGTGAAGAATAATATACTTGGGGTTTCCTCGGACACTGCCAGGGTCGAATCGAGAGTATAGCTTTCGACTAGAAGGAGGTTATTATCGGCCGCAGCGACTACGTCTTCATTGCTATCAATGATAAGAGAAGGAATGTCAAATTCCTGTTTGATCTGTGCAGCGAGACTGGCCAGCTCCGAGGTAGCAAGGAGATACCGTGCATCACATTGCTGAAGAATGTGTGATGCTTCGGCGGGAAGTGCGCCAGTTGCTGTTGTTTTTATAATTTTCACGTTAGCTATCTACCCTTCCTCTCAAGACGTGTTTCATAACGGGGACCTTACGCATTGGTACGACTACTCCGCCGATTGCCAGAACAGCAAGGACACCGATGATAAACTCATATCCGTTCGGAGCCAACAGAGCAATGTAGAAACCACCGCGGTTCTTTAGTGTAGACCTGTCAAGGGATGCTTGGAGTTTCTGTTTTAGTTTCACCGTGCCGTCGAGGATTTGACGGTAGCTGAACTGGGTTCCGCGGCTGCAGTCATTGACGATGATCTCTGAATCTCGTTGTCTGGCTATTTTCAAGAGCCTTGAGAAGAGAACATCGTCGGGGAGGATAGGTTGGTGTGAAATCGCCATGATTCCAATGGTACGCAAGTGTAATGATTGAGGGGTAAGAGCTCAGCCCAGGGGACAGGTGGGTGGAGCTGGGGATTATTGCTATTTATAAGAATGAGGGGGCGTGGTCCAGTTGTGCAGTCAAGTGAGGTACCTTAAATAGTACATAGAATCGTAGATATCGGAACAGAGTCAGTGCGCAGCTCAATGCTTGCTCCAAAATCACTATGGCAAGTCCATACTACAGCAATGTACACCTACAGCAAAAACAGCAGCTGACAGATTCAATTGGAGGTAGCTACCTAGGTGATAACTTGGTGGGTTCCATAAGCAGTACTTTAAATTGCGTACCACCATAGCTTTGTTCCAATGTAGTCAATGACATCTCGAGCTTGAATTCACAGTCTTACGTTAGCCATCAAAAAAGGTAACGGGGCCATCGATCGCATACTCGTGGTAAATTCCTCCATATCCTTATCCGTGATGTATATATCAAATTTCTAGGCTCGATGTCAGCAACACCACTCAGAAGGTATCTAATCATCCAGGGCTATGGACCTCTTGAAGAGCAGTCAAGATCTGGAACCTTCTCATTTTGCTTGTCGCCAGGCCATCGTTGAGGTCGGCGTCGATTTTCACCTAGAGGGAGATCATGTTCAATACCGCTCTATGGGTAATACATTCGACATAAACAAGACTCTATACCTCATCAATGGGCACTTCGAGCTGTTGTGCAATGATGGCTTTCACGTTGCTCTCAAGATTCGCCATTTGGGGCTCTTGAACAGATTGCTTCGTGTTGAAGATCAAACAACCGAGTTGATGATAATGGAGTGTCGGAGGGACAAAAGAAGAGAACCTTGGTGCACTGGACAGAGCGAGTCTACTGGAGCAAAGAGTAAAGGTAATAGACACTATATGAACACATTCGAGATGTTCGTGTAAGGTCTTACTATATATCTCGAATGCCACTAGTCGAATGTTCCTGTAGATTAAGGTACTTGCGACCTCTTTCTTGCTTCACCACTAGCCACGAAAAGTGAACAGTAAAGTAATGACTAACACGTCATTACACTTGCTAAATACTGGATTTGCATTGCAGCTGCAGTTGCCTACCGGATGGGCGACTCATCATTCTTCTTCCGCGCATGATCGACACCCATTGGATCCAGCTCCACTGGTTGCATCAGTGTACGTCTGCAGAGACTGGACAGCTGATGTACAGATAGCATCAATGTCCCCATGGATAATGAACGCATTCCAGCCCATCTCCCGCCTAAACTCCACCCCGGCAGGCGAGATGCCGAATCCCATGATGGGAAGGTTGTTGGCCTTTGCCGCATCTCGGATCTTGCAAAGCGCGGAGAGGAACACAGGCTCATTGCCATCGACCGACCCGTGCGCTAAGTTCAGACACATACGTAGATCACCTGTACCGATGAACAGACCGTCAACTGCAATGGGCCAAGTGGATTGTTAGTAGTGCAACAAGTTAGAGACCCATTTAATAGATCGTTAAGCAATTGGAAAGAGTTACGCACCACCTGGGACTCGACAAATCTCTTCAACATTTTCCAGCCCCTCTAAATCCTCAATTTGGCAAATCACCGCGGCATGCTCATCCCACACGTCGTACGTCGTCTTGCCCTCTGGCGTTCGGTTCTGCTGCTCGCCGACCAGAGCTGCAGGGGGAAAGCTACGGTCCCCCAGTGGTGGAAACCGGCACAGTCGAACCAGCTCCTCAGCCTGTTTTGCATTCTGGACGTGAGGCATAACTACCCCGCCTGCACCAGCGCCCAGAGCATAATTGAATAGCTCGGGTGAGCATCCTGGGATCCTGACAAATGGTACCATTGAGCCATTGGAGTGGTATTGGATCGTTCGAATTAGACTGACGAGGAGTGTTGCGTTGAGAGGTGCGTGTTCCTATAGAATAATCAGAATTATCGTAGAAGTTAATATATCGCAGTAGACACTAGTGTACTTACTGCGTCTAAGAAACAGAAATGATACGGAGTCGCAGCAACAACGCGCGCCGCTTCTGGATGGGGGATTCGACATCCAGTTCCCCAGAGTAGCTCGCCGGAGTTTAGCATAGCCTTGAAATTCGTGGGCTGAGCTAGGCTCAAAGCATTGTAATCCTTTGTGTTAAGCATTTTGGCTTTCTGTTTCACAGTGTTTAGTGAGAATGGGGTCGATTCGTGGATTTCATGGAAGTAGATGTAACTAAATGTAATCTCTCCATTTATGTGTGTATCAACTGGCACGGCATGGGCGATCCTATTAGCCGTTTCCAACGAAGCTTGGTTATGCGTATCCCGATGTGGCTCTCGGTTACCGGGCTTCTCTAACCAGCTGCGTAAGAATCCCAGCATATCACACCGCTAGGGAGGGCAGTGGATACGATGCCCGGGTAATACGTTCTGGTGGGGCGATACAGGGGTATGGCCCGTTGGCCTCCCCCGTGCAGACATCAGTCGAGTAATGGCAGGTGTGGTTGGCGAGAGCAGTTGAAATAACCCACTGTTGTATCAAATAAAACATTAGGAAGAGGTGATAATTTAAAGGCTCAAACTCTTCCTGAAGCCTGCAATTCAAAAATCTACCGTATATCTACCCCCGTTCAAAGTATTGTCAATCTTCAAAGAATGGCGACTTCCACGACCAGACAAGCAGAGCTAAACTCGATCTCGCTCGCCGGGCTTCTGGAGGGCAATATCGATGCAGTGAATGAACTGGTGTCTGCGTGCAAGGTCAACGGATTTTTTTACCTTGATTTCCGTGATGTTTCCACATCCAAGACGTTGAAGGAAGTCGATGAGCTCATCGATATTGGAAACTCCGTTTTCAAGCTACCGCTCGAAGAAAAGGAAGAGTACAGCACCGAGAAACATCTGCCATCCAGGCTTCAAGGGTATGCTTAGCTTCCTTATGTTACAAGTTGGCTGTACTGACATCGTGTGCTAGATATAAACGAGCCGGCTGTTCTGTTGGGCCTTTTGCTGAGAAGAAGGACGGGTATGAGAGCTTCTCGGTATGTCCCTCTCATTCCAGCCTCGAAACATTCGCTAACTCAACATGTAGATTCACAACAATGGCGTCTTTGGGCAGGATTCTCTGCAGCTCCCTCAGAGCTTCCAAGAAAACCTACCCTTGGTGAAGGCCTTCATGAGTGAAGTCCACGACTACACCGACTGCATTCTGTCCATCCTCTCCAAGGCCCTTGGGCTTCCCGATGACCTGAAAGACTGTCACCGCAAGGACAAGCCATCTTCTGCCAACATGGCCCTGCTCAAATACCTGCCTTGGAGCAGCGACAGCGAGAAAGTTGGCAACATGGCACACACCGACATGGGGACGTTGACTGTGGTTTTCACCAAATCCGAGGGGCTGCAGGCATTATTGCCTGGGCCTTCCGGAACAGACGAATGGTCGTACATCCCACCGCGGCCCGGACATGCCATTGTGAATGTGGGCGACTCGCTGCGTTTCTTGTCCAAGGGAACTCTAGCGTCGTCCCTGCACCGCGTCGTGCCACCACCTCTGCCCCATTCACCCGGGCAGGACAAGTTCTCATGCATCTATTTCCTGCGGCCGGAATTTGATGCCAAGTTTACGGACAATGCTGGGAGACAAATCAATAGCGTCGAGTGGCATAATCAGAAGTATTCTCTGTTCCGCGAGGCGAGTCTTGATCCGAAGCAGCATGGCGCCATGTTGACTGGGCGCAGAGGGTATCTTGGGGCGACTGGTCAAATTGTTTAGGAGAGACCTGTGTGTCTGCAATTGCATTGACTGTTAGTTTTCGTAACAATTGATGTTCATGGGGTAAAGTCCTGCAGTATTTTGAGAAATAGCCATTAACTGGTAGATGAGTCGTCGTGATTTACATGCGGGCAAGATTCCGAACAAGAATAAAAATTGTATTATTTCCCGCAATTGGAAGGGCTTCCTATGCTGCAGATGAATGTGAGGAGTGGTTCTAGTTCCGACATGTCCTCGGTATAACTCGCATCCCGATACAACTCATCAAAGGACTCCAGCGCGGCATTATAGTCAGGACTGTGAAGTAGCCCTGAATAGGCGGATGGGCTCAGATCCACTGTTTTCCGGTTGGCATGCAGAATTGAGGACACAGGAGGATCATACGTACCGATGTTAAATGGACTATTATATGGAACCGCATAGGTCTCTGCTATAGAGCGACAGACGTTAAGACTCGTCGGCTGACCAAAATGGTGGGGGTCAACTGAGTATTCAATTCCCAGCGCAGAGTTATTATTCCCGTCCCAGCTGGCAGCTAGCGACTCAGGGGGCGTAGGGTTTTGGCCAGGCTGGACAGCTAAGGCATGACTCGGTGATGGGCTGGAGATCGCCGTTAACCGCGGTAACTTGCGAGAACCCTCGGTCACGTCTTCTGAATTAAATATCAGCATCGCGATCGCATACTCGGGCAATTAAAGGCTTACCATCAAAGTCCTTGCGCTTTCTGGTTGTCAGATCCCGCAGTGTCGCGGCAATGTGGTTGCCCAATTCTGAAAGCTCAAGGTCCCTCACGAGGTCGTCAATTCCAAGACTTTTCAGTTTGAAGGCTGTTGCGTGCATTCGCTCTTGGGTGCATCTTGATGTATATCTGGAAGGTCTTGTTGAGACTGATTTGCGTGGAAGGGGGATAAGGGGAGAAGCATACGCTGAGTGGGGCACATCTAAAGGTAATGCAATAAGATAACCCAATGCAGTTCCTTCACTTCGGAATTGGCCGGCCCATTCATGATACTTGCAACCCTGGTCAACCCAGTTCAAACTCTTTTTCACAGACTTTTGGTCGGGAAACCGCTGGGGGAAGTCTTGGCAAAGCTTGTTCGCTAGTGAAGTGCGCATGTCCCGGATCCAGTGGGTGCCGGTATGATAGCCGGCCTCGACAACGTGCTTGTAGATGTTGTAGCATTCAAATCGATGGTAAATCTTCATACGGTCACGCAAGTCAGCATTGTCTTCTTTTGTGGCTATCGCGGCCTCCCAGCCCTGCCCCGTTGGGAGGGCCGTCCTTGCTTCTTCGATCTCACGCAAGAACCTTCCGCGGTCTGTCTTGCAGCCCTCCAAAAGCAGTCTCGTACTTGGCGAGAATTCAAGTGTGCCAAAGGTGTCATCGTCCTCGGTCGCAACGTGTAGAGGCGTTGTTTCTCCCGTAGCCGGCGACGCAGTGGTTGTGTTTGTATCGAAATGCGAACAAGGAGTATTTGGGCTACTAGTATTGAATTCCACTGATCTGGGGCTGCCAATGGGCAGTTGATCGTCATCCCTTTCGGAAACGGAAGAGAACACTTCCTGATGCTGGGATGACCTTCGCCGGCGACCACAGCCAGAAGGCGAAATAGCAGACAATGAGTGCTGTCGGGCACGGCCTCTCGCAGTTCTTGCAGACGTCGCCCTCGCGGCCGTGACTGAAGGCCCGCAGTCTAGTCTTGCAATTGAAGAAGGGCAAGATGTATCAGTACTCAGGTTCTGTAGGTTCGATTCAGAGTGAGCGTCATGAGTGCCTGGTGAATGCCATCCAATCCACCAACTGGATTGAAGGGATACCGACCTGCTTAGTATAGCACAGAAACAAGTTAAAAAAGCGATCCAGGGCCGAGATATCGCTCTCAGACAGCTGTCCCTTGCATTGGAATACCCGAGAAGCCGAAATGCTGGTCTCATTTGCTCTGTAGAATCGGGCGAGCTGGACAAGCAAATCTTGCAGCTCTGACTCTGGCATCATCCTGAGGGACTGCAATTTCCCTGTACCACGGTTCGCAGCTCTACCTTTTTACCCCATACCATAGTTAAATTCGTCGGCAGATATCCTAGGACCCTGATAAATCGGGGACATTCCTCGGATCGTCCCGTCCCAGCCAGCCACCCCACCTCTCCACCATTGGCGGCCGAAGATGGTCTGGCGGATGCGACTCCCTGCCAAACTTGGCTTTTCACAGACGAATCATCTCTGGGTAGACGCACAGGTGGCGGCTGGTCAACGCCATGCATCCCCCACTTAGGCACGAACCGTGTCAAAATTTCACTAACATGTGGGTCTCTCAGCTCCAGATCTCTGCAGACCAACGATCGGTAATGGAATCGACGAAAAGGGGCAAGGCAAGCAGGGTCAGTTTCCCGCTCCCCGGATCGATCTGCAGCGTTGTCGATTTCCAAAGATGAATCGCCCCAGGGCTTTGCTCCTGTTCAAAATGTCGGCAGTCCAGGCTTATATGTGGTTTTCGGCCGGGCGATGTCTCCCGACTCTGTCAGGGGAACTCCGCCGTGCCTTGCCCATAAATAAGAACGAACTGACGAACTTACTTCGTATCCTCTGACGGATTGGTTGAGGATGTACAAGTATCTTTACCTCTTTGCTTCGATTTATTCCTACTATTCCAACAATGACTGTCAGCAATGGCCAGCACGGCTTTGATATCGAGGCTGTTCGCAAGCAATTCCCTGGACTTGGCTCAGGCGCCGTCTGTCTAAACAATGGCTCCGGTGCTCTTGTGTACAGGGGCGCCATTGAGAGGTTAGCTCTGGTCGCGTATACAATCATATTGAAGGATGCATCAAGGCTGACAAGGACAAATCCATAGTATCGTTCGCACGATGTCTGCGCCCCATATGAATCTCCGCGGGTTGGACTCGAAAAGCATGGTCGACGTCAAAGAGCGTACTGCGCAATACGCAAAGCTTGCTTCATTTATGAATGCCGACCCTGATGAGATCGGTAAGCAATCCTCACATTGGAAAGAATACACATTCTCCGTCATGGCCGGTCTGACTCCCATCCCGCTAGCCTTTGGACCCTCTACGACGGGTCTTTTGCGGAATCTGGCCACATCACTTCTCCCAAATCTTAATGCAGACTCGGAGATTATCGTATCTGTGCTCTGCCACGAGGCTGGAGCGACCGCGTGGGTTGCCTTGGCCAAAGCTCTGGGCATCTCCATCAAGTGGTGGGTCCCAGCCGGGGGGATGGGGAACAACGCAGATCCCAAGCTGAGCCTCGACACCCTTCGCCCTCTTCTTTCACCGAAAACCCGTCTTGTATGCTGTGGGCATGTGTCGAACATCACTGGAACCATTGAGAACGTTAAAGAGGTGGCAGACCTCGTCCACACAATTCCCAGCGCGTTGATATTAGTAGACGGGGTGGCGTGGGCTCCTCATCGCCCTATCGACGTGAAACAACTCGGCGTTGACTTTTACGTGTTTAGCTGGTACAAGGTGTTTGGTCCTCATATTGCGCAGATCTACGCGCGACGCGACGTTCAGAAACGGTACCTCACGAGCCTCAACCACTACTTCTTTGACGCTACATCTTTACACGTGCGCCTGGGACTGGGCAACAGCTGCATTGAGCTCGAACACGCTGTCACCCCGATCATCAATTACCTCACTGACGACATTGGTTGGGATGCTCTCATTGCCCACGAGGAAGTTATTACAGCAGAGATTATAGGGTACCTAACAGCGCATCCGGATCTGTACACCTTGTATGGATCTCAGTTGGCAGACCCGAAAGCTCGGGTATCATTGATCAGCTTTACGGTGAATGGGATCGCGTCTGACAAAGTGGCCGAAAGGATTCACGAAACCTCAAATTTTCGACTCATCACTGGTGACTGTTGGTCACCTCGGACTGTTCATGATGTTTTGGGGCTGCCGGAGTACGGCATCATCCGGACAAGTTTGGTCCATTATAACACGGTGGATGAGATGAAGGCGTTCATACAAAAGTTGGATCAGGTAGTGCGTGACCTGAAGCAGTAACTGTATGATTGTGGAGGGTCAATAAAGAGATCGATCTAATCAACTAGATAGCCGTTACTAGACGATTTGGGCGACTGCAACCTCATCCTACATACGCCTTGTTAGAATTCTATAAAAAAGACAATCGAAATCATAGAACCTGCCTTGCCCAAACTGGTCGCAAATTCAGTCAAGACCGTCTTATACCGGATGTAATGGAGGAGGTCGACCTCGCGACCATGCTATCTTTGTTAACATGAAGGTTGCACAGAGGAGTTCAATCGTAAATTACTACCACTTACCGAGGCAATTGCTCTGTTTCTAGGAGCGTGCAGCCTGAAAGGCCAAATATTGTGCAGTCAGGATTATAGCTTTTACTACAGGGGAGTTTTGAATTTTAGACGAGAAAGAATGGAAAGGTTATTCACCATAGTTTCAGACCATGTGTTGACGAATCGGGAATGCGAACGACAAAGTCCAGTGGGCGCACGCCACATCGCACCGCTTCCACCTGGGCATAAATAGGGCTCAAAAGGAAGAGGGGCTCGAAGGTCTCTCTGGAAACCATATTATTTCGTCTCCTTTTGGTCCGCTGAATCTATCTTGTTCCACCATGACCGTCTCCCAGGATGAGCCTCTGATGCGAAATGACCACGGCCAGAAACAACTCATTAGGGAGCCACTGAAGCTGAAGGGTCTTCTGGATAAATACAAGTCATTTAACGTCACTCCCGCAATTGGCAAGGAGTTCCCTGATGCCAACGTGGTAGAATGGCTGAAAGCTCCCAATAGTGACGACCTCCTGCGCGACTTGGCTATCACAAGTACGTATCCAAATCTGCCATTCGATAGCCAACAGAGTATAGCTAATTGATAGCAGTATCTCGTCGAGGTGTTGTTTTCTTCCGCGCCCAAAATGACCTGACTGATGAGCTTCAGAAGGAATTGGCGCATCGTCTCGGTGTTTTGTCGGGCAAGCCAACCGACTCGAAACTGCACATCCACCCTTTAACCAAACACAACCTTGATAAGGACCCGGAACTTAACGTTATCACCACTGATAAGGCCGCGAATCCGGCGGAGGACCTGTGGAAAAATAGACCCGCCGATATCAGAAACGCCTGGCATACGGATACAGGCTACGAGCCGAATCCCGCCGACTACTCAATTTTGAAGCTCGTCAAGCTGCCCGAGACCGGCGGAGGTGCTTACCCCTGTCGCAAACTCTAGTCTCATACGATACTGACTGTTAGCACATAGACACAATCTGGGGCTCTTCCTGCGAAATCTACGACAAAATCTCACCCGCCTACCGCAGCTTCCTCGAAGGCCTAACTGCCACCTTCTGCCAGTCGAGACTCCCAATAGCCGCTGCTGAAAAGGGATTTGAGCTGTATGCAGAGCCCCGCGGGTCCCCAAACAACGTTGGCACTTTCCTCAGGGCCGTCCACCCCGTAGTGCGCACCAACCCCGTCACCGGGTGGAAGAGTTTGTTTGCCGTGGGCAATCACGTCGAACGGATCAACGACCTGACGCCCGACGAAAGTAGACGGCTGCACGATTGGTTCCTTCAAATGATTGTGGAAGAGCATGACATTCAACTGCGACATCGGTGGGAGAATCAGTATGATGTCGGTCAGTATACCCCACCATCCGCCCATCTCGTCAGTACGATTTGGTTTATATTTGCACGCATCTGATAATAATATTCCCAATCACAGCTATCTGGGATAATCGTACTGTTTACCACTCGGCCATTTTCGACTATGCCGGATTGGGCGCTCGTACAGGCCATCGGGCAGTGAGCATCGGCGAGCGACCTTACTTCGACCCGAACAGTAAAACCCGCCGCGAGGCTCTCGCTGAGGAAGGGGTGATGTTCTAAATATACCGAGCTGGCAATTTTTCAGTCTTGAATGATAGTTGTCGTGCTTTTGAATTGGAAGATATCAGAGAAAAGGACGTGTCTCTCAACTCATAAACTGCTCGTACACTATGATGTGGCAAGGCTGCACCGAGTGTCAGCACTGTACCTAGTTTCTTACAATTCCTGCCAGCTTGCCACTGCCATGGTGAGTGAGTGTGTAGCACTAGGTGACTTACTAGGTAAGCTGTGTGCCGCATTCGTTAGTTAGTGTGAGGATTCACGCTTTATAAATGACTGATTACTTCTTACCACTCATTGAGATTCAATCATCTTATGAGAGCTGACTGTCAAAACTTCAGCATAGAGTCCTCGTATGCTAGCTATTACAACAGTCTCCCGTGGCTTGAGCAATTTTCACAGCATCACTGAGAAAATTGGCCAAGCCGCACGACATGGACTGAAGGCACTTCAGGGGTTTTAGAGTGAGTGGTATAGAGTCTGATGCAAAATATATAAGTTTCTGCCTACCGGAACTTTTTGTCCCTCTCAAAGTCCTGCTTTACTTGTTCATACAACGCATCGTTGGTGAGAATGTCCCAGCCAGTCATGGCCATTGCCTTCCCGGACACTATTGTCCTCTCATGTGCCACAGGGGTTCCTGCTGCCTTAGCAAACCCGGCGGTGTGGTTCTTAGATCCATCATCCACCGGAATACCGATAACTGCATGCAAGGCGGGTATCGCGTAGGAAACGTTACCCTGGTCTGTTGCTGCGGCAATAGGCCCCTCTGATTTGAGAACTTTTATACCGTTTGCTGACATGTGCTGCTGGAACGAGCTGCACAGGGGTTCATTGACGCGCAAATCTGCGTACCCAGACATTTCTTCAATATCCAACTTACAACCGGTAGCAAGCGCTCCAGCCTCCATGCACCGACGGATTCTGTCTCCAAGGTTTCTTGCACCTCTAATAGTGGGGCTTCTGGTCGTATACTGAATTTTTGTAAGCGCCGGGATAGCATTGCTGGTGACCTTTGGGGCTTCGACGATAGCACCATGGACTCTCTCCGTGGGCTGAATCTGCTGTCGCAGCATAGAAACGTTGATATAGGTTGAAACTAGGGCATCTAGTGCATTGACACCCTCCCATGGTGTGGCACCAGCATGGGAACTAATGCCACGGTAGGTGCATTCCAAGTTGTAAGATGCGACGGATGAGAACCCTGCTGACCCCAGGACGTCTTCGTCTATGTATTCAGCATCCGACATCGGGTGCCTGTATCGCAGTCAGCTCATTCTACTCTCCAGCAACAGTCTAGTGAGGCGAATGCAGGAAACCATACATCATCAGCGACACATCCACCTTCTCATATGCTCCTGCATTGAGTAGATCAATTTTTCCACCTCCATCTTCTTCAGCCGGTGTACCAAGAAGTTGCACCCGCCCATCGATTCCGAACTGCTTTAGGGCATAAGAGAGAGCAATGAATCCGGTCACACTGGCAGTGGCAATGAGGTTATGGCCGCAGGCGTGTCCCATTTCCGGGAGTGCATCGTACTCTGCGTTGAAATTGACAGTCCTGCTACCTTTCCCGCTAATGACCTCGAACGACGTTTTCAAGCCGTACGCATGTCGCGTCACCTGGTAGCCGAGTCCTTCCAGAAAGTCACAGATGGCATTATGGGCATTATGCTCCTTGTAGGCGAGCTCCGGATTCTCGTGGATCTATGCTCACAGTACGGTTTAGTAACTGAGCACAGTGGGTATTATGACACAGTCGTGGGCTACTTACATATTTATTAAGAGCTCTAAGCTCCGTTTCAAGGCTTAGAATATATTCGTGTATGGCATTTTGCACTTTTGCATTTGGTGGCAGTGTTCGATGGCTGTTAATTGCGGTCTTGGTCAGGTCAACAGGATCCGCCATTGGAACACTGATCATGGCAGCTAGTGATAAAGAGTGTTTTATGCCCAATGTGCTTCTTGAAGGGGGTTGGCCAGTTTAATAATAAGGGACCCGGGGCGCTGTCGGGTAGCCTGACACTCCTGCGAGAAAAAAGGCCCACCATTGTTACTAGGCCTCGAGATGGGGTGGGGCGATTATAACCCCTACCCGCTCAGCTAACTACTGGAGGACTCGGCGCTTTCATTCCAATGATATGAGCCGTCCACTATGTATGATTATGTGCGCTATATGTCCTGATGCCAGTTTCGGTTAATCACTGTACACACGGCACATCACCGCATATCGCACATAGGTGGACCCCCACTTAGGCATGAAAACAAGTTGAAATTCAGTATCATGTGGAGCTCCAATTTTTGATAGGCCTATTCCTTATTAATTCCTGACATGAACGCGCCTGCATACAGATTGACAACAAGTGCATATCTCAGTCGCTGGCTAATTGATAATGACACCTAACGCGGAAGATGGTCAAATCATCGGAATCTGTGAGCCGTATATATGATGCCCTCCGATCTGGAGAGTTTCATGGATACGTCGCAGAAATACCTGGCGGCAGCTGAAATTGACGAGGACTCGTAGCACCAGCAACTCAACAAATACGCCGATCCTGGTCAATTCAAATGGTGACTAGGTAACGTATGTCACCGGAGAAATATTTGTTCCATCCTTGGTGGCGGCCCACTTTGGGATTTGAGTAAATTTTGTTGGTCCAGAAATGGAGCACGAGGGAGCGAGAGAGACCATTGAGCTAAGAACATTGATTCTCCAACCTGAGAATTGTGATTAAAGGCTAATTAAGGCACTGAAACCTGTATGTGAAAACTGAAATTAGCTAGGGTAAATACCAAGTGTTGTATTCCAAATTGTGTCTGCCGCAGCTTCGTTACGTATCATAAATTGCAGTCTGGCGGTCCTGGTCCTTATGGGTTATGTGTTCCGTGACGATAAGCCTGGAAGCTTAACACCATGTCCCCGCTTCGGTTCCCACAAAAATGAAGTATTGAAGTTCCGGCGTGCCGCTAGCGCAAACCATCGGTATGGGAAATGTCGGATCAGCCGTCGTCAGGCTGTGTCTAGTACTTCCAGTTTTCCGAGAGGGAATACTTGCAAGCCGATGTCTCATGAAGTCACCAAGATGGCGGTGACTGTCCTTGGGCTCCTATAAATGCATTTGACATCATCACCTTCTATTCACACCCAGCCAGGTCCTAAATTACCTGCAGCCAGTTTTCAATCTTTTTTTATTTGCCAGTCAGTGGCCGTGCATTATGGCTATCACAGCGGACAACAGAGATGAGAGCAACGGCAATCTTGCCAAGCATGTCCCTGTTCGGGATGTCTTTTTCTTTGCCCACACCCGAACCGCTTCCCATGTCCTCTGTCGCCTCCTCTCCAACCAACCAGGATGGGTTCAATCGGATTACCACTTCAAGCGTGCTTTTGACTTCGCCAGAGAATCCTTTGGTTGGGGTCCGCTAGCTGATGTATCTGACCAAAAACGGGAGGATTTTGAGAAACTTCTTCAGGAGGGTTTCGATGAAATCCAGCTTGATCGGAAATCTGCTGCCATCGAGGTAAGTCATTGTTTCAGAGTCAGTGGTATTGCCTGCTGGTTGTTAACAGAAACAGGGCAAGTCCCTTTTCCTTAAAGAACACACGTTTTATGTATGGGAGCCGTCCAAGCTGTCGCAGAGCATGTGGGGCGGCCCTAGCAGCCCGCCTTTCACCGTAGTTGAAGACGATTCTCCTTTGTCCTCAGATTCTGGAAAAACGAACCCAACTATATTTCCTGACAGCTTTCTCAAGTCATGGAGGCCGATATTCTTGATCCGGCACCCAGCGCTTTCGTTTGAATCTTGGTACAGAGCTGAAAGTGGCGCTCGGCATGTCGATATTTGTGACAAGTCATGGGCATTCTATACCAGCTTTCAGTACTCTCGGCAACTGTACGACTGGTTTATGTCAAACAGCACTGAGCCGACTTCCATGCCAATTGTTGTTGATGCGGATGATCTCATGGATAAAAGTCCAACGATCAATACGTTGTGCTCTTTACTTGGCATGGACACGCAATATATCCTCTACCAATGGGATGTCATCAAGGCGCCAGATGGTGCCGGCTGTCGCGAGCTAAAATTCATGAGTGATTATTGGAACTCGACCTCCATTAATAGCTCAAAAAGTTCACGGGGCCTTGATATGACAGCCAAATATACTCAATGGGAGGACGAGTTTGGACCTGACGTTGCGAATGAACTTTTGAAACTGGTGGAAAAGTCTATGCCAGACTACAACTACCTAAAGAGCAAGAAGATTTGAGGATGTCATCTGGTGACGGACTCGACTGTGTGATCAGCTCAACCCTTCTACCTCTTTCTTCTACCACCATGTCCACCTCAACATACATAGGATGACTCAGTACAAGTCCCAATTCGTATATGAATCATTTTAAGTTTTGATAGTAGAGACCTAACGGGGATATCTAAATCTAAACTAAGTTTTAAGTTAATTGCTTTCATCTGATATGTTCTACAAACTATTGTATCTGTTACCCATTGCATCATTCATGATAACCCTGATATGTTTTCTAACCCGGAGATATTTAACTAGAGAGATGGCTGGGGGACCAAGGAAAGGCATTAGATCAGTAGAAAGTTGCCTTTAGTAAGGGTTCACGGCAGTGTGTGGGTAGAATGTAAGTGAGACCTAACCTACCACTCTTGTCTCCATCCAAAGAAAGATTGACAGAACTTAGGCTGACGTACCAAGAGCTTGCCCTGACACAGTCTCATGTTTTCGGTAGATTCGACCTACAGCTACCCGAAACGGATGAATCGAGTATGGAATGGGTGCACCCGTGCTGGGCTGATGACCAAAAAGCCCGTGAAAGTGGGTTTATCAATTGGCCTCCAGATTCTTGCCGATATTGGAGTGGGAATCGCATTTCAAGTCCCCATGATAGTCAATTAAGCTATTGTTGAGCCGTCCAATTTGTCTTCAGCTACATCGCTGACTCTTTTTTCAACTTACTGGAGGGTCAATCTTTCTTCAACTGGCGCAGTCGTTGCTCAGAAACATGCCATCCTCCTACCTCAAGAGTTCAGAATACCATGTGGATCGAATATTAGTCTTGCAATCAGGGGCTTCGGGAGCATCACAAAGATTCGATTCTGATACATTGGTGGTAGTCTTGGAAGCGTACATATCAGGCTTGAAAAGCACGTTCATTCTGGCGACTGCGTTGGCTAGCATGACCACCATATTCGCATGCTTTGCTGGGCTTAGGAGTATCAAAGAGGCTGGCAAGCCTCTGCCATAGTCTCAAAATAGGATCTATTGTTATGCATTAGACGTGCTGATTGAAATTCCAGTAGTCGACCAGTAAGAGGCCACTTGGTCTCTATATAATCAGTGGTTGAGTAAAATAATGGCCAGATGCATTATTATCGCTGGACTCCTAATATTTGGCCCCAGTAGCGTAGCGCTAAGTTTGCGCATCTCAGGTAGATCATATAATGATCTCGCGTACACAGGAATACGAGTGCGTGCTGCCGGGCGCAAAGTAAGGAATTTAACAAGTTGTCCATGCAATGCCTCTTCTCTGTTTGCAAGTCTTGCATTACATCTGGTCATAAAAACCCTACAGTCTTGTCACTATTTTGTATAAAACAGGTATTTATAGATCACAAATCTGGCAATTTGTAGGTCTGATTATATAAGAAATAAGACGATCGGATCATCTATAAATCCGGTCGTCATGGCTGTTTGTTACAAAAAGCAATGGGACTCGGGGTTTTTTACACGTCGTCTTCTATAACAATCATCTTCTCACTAATACATAGCTCATGTATCGAGAGGAAAATAAGTCTTTAGACGTCCCACGGCATGCCACCTACTGTACATACAGGCTTTTTGCCGCAACAGGAATCTTCAACAGAGCGAACTTGTGTATTGCCCATACAACCTCACCGCTCTGCGGACCGATATACGTGATTCCCTCAAGTCCAGTCAATTATCCGGCAGGGTCGGTTAAGGGTCGAGACCGACGTTTCAAAAGAGGAGGGGCCCACTTACGTCATGGGTGGAACGTGGAGATCCATGCCTTGATCCGCCGACCTCGCAATCGGCGGTCCGATATTTTCTGTCAATCAACACGTTTTCACTCGCTTCTCCCATTACAGAATCACAGGACGAACGAACAGACGTGACCCTATCGAAGATTTCCGAGTTCGAGGGCTTCTCGCCATTGGAAGGAGCTTTGCTCGCAAGAGGGAAATCGAGATAAAGAGGTACGAGCGAGTGTTGCAGGATGGAAAGTTCTGTGCGAGAACTTCGTGATGGTGACCGTCGCGCTCGGGAACTGTACCATTATTTTCAACCCGATAATCCGGCGCTTCTTCCGACTGGAAAACTTCTCCCGACTGGGAACCCGATTGGGCAATGCACCGATTCGTCGACGACGCTTTCAGCCAAAACCAGTCCAAATCTTGTGTTGACGGCCCTTGCGCAACTGGCGGCGATGAAGCTAGGAGTTCAGCGGGCGATAATTAGGTATATCCCATCCACCACTGCAATTGTTTAGAGGTGTCCTACGGGAAGCCTTGTTTGCTTTCATCTACTGGAGAAGTCTCTTGAGTACGACTTTTGGGGTTCGAGCATAGAAACCATTGCTAAGTAATTAATAAAAATCTAGTTTGATCGACCGGGAAACGCTTTACGTTGTAGCGGAAGCATCAAAGTCGCTAAATTTGGACAAAAATGATATCTACGACGATGATGGCGACGGTCTCTGGATGGGCTGCGCACGCGGCCCTGTCTCCGGGACTTTGTGCGAGGTAATTTACGAGCTCCATGGAAGGCCTTCAGTTTGCGTCTTATTTACACAATTCTCCGCATTTTTCATTACACTGCGAAGGACTGGGCTAACTGGATTTCTAACACGCAGAAAACGATTACCTTGAAACCCACCACCGAACAAAAATACCCATTCTTCATTGTGAACGATTTAAGACAACATCCGGCCTTTTGCAACATACCCTGTGTCGCGGAAGCTCCTCACTTCCGCTACTATGCAGGAACACCATTGATCACGACCAATGGAATCAATATTGGCAGTTTATACGTGATCGATCCTCGACCCAACCTGTCTTTGACCGAGTCCCAGAAAGAAGCACTCGGTACTATAGCGGATGCAGTTATGGATTATATGGAAACGTCACGTCAATCACTAGAAGCCAATCGCTTGGCCAAGGTGCTTTCGGGTCTCAATTCATTTGTACAAGCTGAAGCCAACTCCGACACCTCCAAGAAACCGGCATATCAGAGTACCGACCTATCGGGTAAAGATCCACCCCACGCACAACAGCCCTTGGAGGGCGAAAAAGAACACTTCTCTATCAAAGATACGAACAAAGGCCCTCCAGTGCGCTCCAGAAGTCAAACGAATAGTGCGGAAGATTCCGACGACTTATCCACCGATACCGCCCCTTCTCCTCCTCTTCTAGATCGCGAAACCCGAAGCCAAAAGGTCCCGACCTTGCCATCCAAGCACACCAGTAGCAGGATACATCGGACGTTTCAACATGCCGCCAATAGCATCCGGCAAAGTCTAGATCTGGGTACAAACGGTGGCGTCGTCATCTTTGGCACTAATGCACGTGCGGAGCCTGATTCTCACAATGACGCGGAGCCAAAGTCGAGACTCGCCAATATTTGGGCCATTTCGGATACGCAGTCCCACGATGAAAATGGCGGCGTGTCACATCCACACCCGGCAGCTCAGATGGATCTACATTTTGTTCGCCGAATCTTGCGGCGTTACCGGGGCGGGGGGCTCTGGAATTTTCACCAAGACGGAACAGCCTTCTCATCTGACGAGGATGAAGTCAGCACCGGTGAACGGGATGTGGGCGGTCTCTCTCCACCTCAGCTGTCGCTCCACCCACACTCATTTGGTGCATTGCGTGAGAAGGACCTACAGGCCTTGAAGAAATATTTTCCTAATGCGAAGAGGATTATGTTTGTTCCTCTCTGGGACTCATTCAATTCTCGATGGTTTGGAGGCTGCTTCAGTTGGAGCTGCCTCGAGACCCGCGTTTTCAGTGCCCATGTCGAGCTGGGTGGGTTTTTTGGATTCGGTTCTTCCTTGATGGTCGAGTACAGTCGCATCCAAAGTCAGGAGTCGGACAAGAAGAAGGACGACTTCATCAGTACCATCTCGTATGTGGCACTTCTTCATTTCTTGTCCCTTTTGCATAGTACCTTGGGAATATCTAACGATAATTGCTACCACAGACACGAATTGCGCAGTCCGCTGCATGGGATCCTAGCAGCCAATGAATTCCTAGCCGAGTATGTGGAGTCAGAATTCGCAAGGAGGCTGCTTGATACGATCAGTGCTTGTGGTCAAACTCTGCTTGACACGTTTGAGCAGATTTTGGATTTTGCCAAAATCAACTCTTTCGAAAGCAAGCGACAGCGGTCTGGTTCCAGTTCCCCGTCTCCTAGAACTCGACAAAGGATCAGCAGCGGTGACATTTCTCAGCAGCCTTTCCGGCTTCTCAAGAAGGTCGATGTCGTCGCAGTCATTGAAGATGTCATCGAGAGTGTCTATTCGGGACAGATCTTGTCGGGTGCAATGACTAGTGGCAGTAACGCATTCGGGAGATGGTCCTTGGATACAACAGGGGATCATAATGGTACAGCAAAAGTTACCAAGCTTGAACGACTCGATGTTTTCATCGATGCTGCACCTCGGAATTGGGAGTTTGTACTGGAACCAGGGGCATTGCGACGTGTTGTCATGAATGTCTTTGGAAATGCGCTGAAGTACACTGAGGCCGGAACTGTTTCTGTTCGCCTTGAGATCCTGAAAGCCGACGTGAACACCGGCTCAAAACTGTCCGAGGGTGTTGGCTCCCCGGAACTTCTCTTAACAATCTCTGATACGGGGAAGGGCATCTCAAGTCAATATCTTCGCTCCGATATATTCACACCCTTTTCACAAGAGGATGTTTTATCCCCAGGAACCGGACTCGGCCTGTCACTCGTCCGCAAGATTCTTCGACCGCTGAATGGCAATATCTCCATCGAAAGTCAACTCGGGGTGGGCACCACCGTAAAAATGACTTTCCCTCTTACACAGCCTCACCAGCACAAGATCCTTGAACCCAGCTCCTCGATTTCTGATTCTTCCCTCGAGGCGACCAATTTAATCCAGCAAGTAAGGACTGGGCTTGAAGGGAAGTTCCTGCGTTTCATCACAGCTCAAGATCCAGCATTTGTCACTCCTCCCTCAAACCTTACGATCACAAACTATTTGACGGAATGGTTTGGAATGAAGATTTGGACTGAAGAGTCCACCGCGCCCATCGATTTCTTGCTCGTCAATGAGCGTGAATTGGATCTTGTCGTCAATACACAACATGAATCTTTAATTATTGTTCTATGTCATCGAAGCCCTAGGACGTGGTCAACCATTACTGGGCCGAACAAGCTACCTTCAAATGCCATATGCCTCTCTCTCCCCTGTGGCCCTCATCAACTAGCTCGAACATTGCTTGGTTCTATCAATTGCATGACACCGAACCGGCCATTGGGACTCGCTGAGCCCTCGCCGGTCGGATTCACAGAACATGTCTCTGAGATCAACCATCTCTTGAAGCATCACAGCCTGTCCAATACGCAGGTGATGGGGCCCACTTCGACGCCTGATACCTTGCACTCCGAGGCAACTTCAAATAAGAGGCCCTTGATAACGCATGATCGGGACGTTCCGAAATCCAACCCCCGCTTAAATTTCTCAACTACACAAAATGGTTCGCTAGTGGAGAGCGTTATTTCCCACACGCATGTCCCCTTGACAACTAATGCAACCTCTGGCATTCGAATTCTTTTGGTGGAGGATAACGCAATCAACCTCGCTCTCCTCGAAAAATATCTTGCCCGAACGAAACCTCACACCCTACACACGGCCATCAATGGACAAAAAGCTGTCGATGCAGTCCAGGCAACGTCTTCGGGTTATCATTACATATTCATGGGTAAGTTGACTATTCTTATTTGTTTCTATGACCCCACGCGTTGCTAATGTGAGTATCGGCAGATTTGTCCATGCCGGTCATGGACGGGTTCGAAGCAACCCGGCAAATTCGTTTGATAGAACGCGCGGGACGAGCGGAACACCCTGCCAAGATCATTGCACTCACTGGACTGGGATCCGACGAACATATCAGGAAAGCCTATGCAGCTGGCGTCGACGTCTTTCTCACGAAACCGATCTCTTTCAAAGATATTTTGAGGTTGTTAGATGGACGGAAAGATCAATCATGAGTAGCTTCTAAGGGTTCTGACAACCCATGTGGATGAGAAATAGCACGGTGGGCCGATGAGTCAAGGACCGAGCTATCGGTCAGTTTTGGGAAGCAGTCGAAGGAAAGAAACATATATTTGGGCGTACGGAGTCTCAAGTTTTGATACTTCGGTTGGTGTTGAAAATCGGAAGTTTCAACCGTCCTATCTGATAGCTTAGCGTTTATACCCCATATTAGTTCATATATACAAGGCGAAAAAAACGAGATTCTCTTGCAAGTCAAAGTATGCGCTCCGCAACCCAAGCTTGGTCTCTAATAGTTTTATGGGAGGTCCTTTTAGGGGGGTAGCTCATTAGATCATTAGGTCCGGGCGCGACCTGATGACCTGATGAGCTAATTTCTTGTAATTACTAGGAGATCAGGGTGTATACTGGTATCTCGAAGGAATTATAGAAAAAAATAAAATACCATTTTTAGGTCACGTAGAGATAAGAAGCTCATTAGGTCGGAATTTGTCCCACTTTTTTGACCTAATGAGCTTTTCTAGGTAATTACTGGTAATTACTAGAGATTCTACTCTTTCCAAGAAAAAAATAAAAATAGGTGACCTAATGACCTAATAAGATATCAGTTGTTCATGTTGTGCGCTCAGTGGAAATCCTCATTGTCTCCGATCCATTGTCTATGCAGCGCCTCAGAAAGGTCGGCTTGCATTGTTACTGCTGCAACTTGCACGCGCCCGCTTATGGGTCTGCGAGATCCTCTTCAGTCAATTGATATAATTCCTTCCCGATCTCCCCATTGACTCGATACTTCTCATCAAGCGTCGTATACTCCAGCAATTCATACGTCGTCATCCGTAAACTAATGATACTGCCGAAATCATCCCTTTCAGGGTCTATGCGACCCTCGCGAACAATTCGTCGAAGTCCGTCGAGATAAATCACTCGTGGACGCCCGCTTTCAAAAGCTTCTTTATCCGCGATGAAGATATATGTGGTTGTAGCGCTGCTCTGCATCGTCATGCCCACCGACTCGATCACTGAATCCCGGTCGTCGCGCCACGCTTGAGGATCGCTTTCCTTCCGAGCCGCAAGATCTCTTTTGAAAAACGGACGCATCTCACTATATTCATATAGTTCGATGTACCGTGCAAAATACTGATGATCGTCCTTTATAATACACCTAAATTCAATAGGGTAAGAGACCTCAGGTAAAATGTCATAGATGCGGCGCCAGTTAGACCCAAAATTGAATATATCCGCATCGTCGAGAACGGCCCACCAAGCCTCGTCGCCAAATATCTCTCCGTTTGTCCATTTCTCCATCATCTCGTCGTATCTTTTCTTCTCGTCCTCGTCGTTGCTATAGTGCGTGCGTAGAAGCATAGGACATAGTTCACCGGTGTAGATATTATCGGCGTGCCACCGGAGTTTCTCACAACGATAAGGTCGAAGGATCGTCTTAATTTCTTCTATACTGGGCTCCCGCGGTGGAATAAGTAAGGGATCCCCTTCACAGTTTGTCATCCACTCAGCGGGGATAAGCTTTAGGTCTAGAAATTCAGCCACAAGTCTTTTCCGCTGCTGGTCTGGAGTTTCAGCGGAAGAGTGGTCCCAGTTTGTCTGTAGGTGCCGAGTTAATATTTTAATGTCCTAAGTGCAAAGTAAAGGAATGAAACAAGGTGACAAGAGGATCTTACAAGAAAGTACTGTTCAACAGCTAGGTCGCCCCATAGGGGGCCAGTCTTGTCACACTCGTCAGACATGATCAGGATGGGGGTAGGTGAGAAGGAATGATGCCAGGTGGAAGAGGGAAGTCAGCGATGTTCCCTTAATTTAGGTCGCTGCAGCCTGCGATGATCTCAGCAGGTTTCACTTTCAATTTTCAGCAGTTGGGAATTCTTGGCACTTGGCACTTGCCCACATACAGAAATAATCAGCAGTGGGGCAGGAAGCACTACATCCATATTGTACGAGGATTACGGACTATCATACTCTCTCCGAGCATCGAGCTACACTACTGCGTTTCGACATTTTACTAGGCCCGAGAACATGGTTTCAGCGCCTTGCTGTTTGTTAGCCAATGCTGGATTTCGGGAATAATCCTAAGGTTCATATCGTATTTTCTACCGCTGGATTGAAAAAGAATGAATACATGAAGAAGAGCAAGTATCTCTGTCAAGTTCGAGCTCTTTTGGCCAGTCGCTCCGATCGTCTGATTTCAGATAGTATCCCATCGTGTGATGGTTTGCGTTTCACGGATCTCGCATAGAAGCTGCGCGGTAGGTTCTTCCCAACAGAAGTACTAGCTTGATCTACTGTCTCCTGAGAAATAGTGTCGCTATTCATCGAAGGTTCGCGTACGCCGTTACCAAGTTCCAGCGAATGAGGTTTGCGATCGGCTAAAGACACCCCGGAAGAGAAGCTGAGGAAGCATTTTGGGTCTACCCCACCCGAGTGGATGCTTAGAACAATACTTCCAAAGTGGTCTCCTCGTTCCTCATAATCTGAGGCTAAAGGAGGCCATCTTTTATAAAGTTCAATAGAAATTCGGCCGGTGAAGTCGTGTCGCCAATTGGCTCCCTTTTTCCATTCTGGCAAAACCGATTCAAATATCACAATCCCATCTGACCGTTTTCGAGATGCACGGACATTAGTACCGTGATCATCCTGGAGAACCTTAGGGGAGAAGGTGAGGAAGAATTTTGGGTCTTCTCTTTCCGAAAGGACGACCATAGCACCTCGTCCGAAGAGGATATCGTCTTGCTTGCCAATCTCTAGGCTGCAAGGTATATCAGACGAAAACAAGGCTTTTCGGATGACCACTCGGTTGACTAAAAATTCTGTTGGCCATGTATCCCCCTTTTGGAATTCTGGGACATGGTATCGCATGGTCGCACGGCCTTCCTCGCTTCGTCCTTGTAGCTGTTTGGACCTATTCGAGTTGCTTGGCAGCGTGTTTTCTGTAAAACCAAGCTCTCAGCAACTGGATTGAATTGTATAGCACGGAATCACTCACGAGGGGACTGAACTCCATCAAAAAATGCTTTAGCTAGTAGACAATCGGCATTGCGACGATGATCTATATGATCATGGATCGCCGCTAGTTCATCGCCGATGGCAGTAGATACGGAAGAACCCCAAGTCGAGGCTGTTTTTCCTGAGCACTCGATTCGGTAGATATGATCCGCCGTTTCAGGGGAGAATCTGCGTTTTGTAGATTCCATATCATAGGAGCCCCATGCGAGGTCTTTCCTAAAGGAAGTATCGGTTTGAATTGATGTTTCTTGTGGAACAACGCTGCGGGTCATCGAAGAAGTATCTGGCAAGATGCGAGCCTTCTCGGGTTCCTCGGTCTTGGGAGGTTTGCCTTTCTCCGTGCTTTGCTCGCTTCCTAGTAAGATTTAGCATAATGGTCTCAAAATAGTCGTCAGCTAAGCTTACCTTCGTGGTCACTCGCAACGCTCTCCCTCCTTACAGCCCCAGAACAGGGGTATTTTCGCGACGTGTCGACTGAATTCTTGGTGACTTTCAATGCTTTGAGGTTTGACTGAAAACCGTTGGGAGTTGACTGCTCGAATCGCTGACGGCCTTCTGGATCCTCACAGACTAGCGATCTGATTGGCACACGGACAGAGGAATCGATAGCTGCATCACCCTTCACCGGAACTGCAACGTGTGCACCGGTCAACGTCCCCCAAAATTCCGGTGTAGCCACGATCTCGGTGTCGGCATCGGAACCAAGTTGGTCTGGCTCATTGCGGCACCAACCCTCGTCAACCTGGATCACGATAGGATTGGAAGCCTAGCCCAACGGAGAAGGATCATCACAGATTACTATAGGATTGACCTGCGTGCCTAACTCCGCGGCAACGATGGAGTCGCGTACGACCACTTCAGGCCATTCACAGGGCCAAGTGTAAATTGAAGCTTCACCATATCAAATTAGTGAAATCAATCATGCTTCTAGAAGATCTCCTACCGAAAGTTTCGTGTTCATTTTCTGTAAAAGAGGTCATATTGACTCTGACGAGTAGAAGAGACGGAATCAAAAATGTATTGGATAATGTAGAGAAAACTGAGCACTTAGATGAACAGAAAGGCGAAGTTGGTTTCTTGACTAATTTTTACAAAGACGGCGTGCGAGATATATGGCTTGTATACCTCTCGTCAGAACGACTACGCCTTGCTCAGCAGGCACGAAGTTTCAAAGGGCAAAAGCTCAGCTAGGGTGGCATCCAGACGAGACCTACCTGCCAATCGACTCTGGGACTGATGCATCATGCAGGGTACTACCGCACGAATGACTCGCCTGCTCATCCGTTCGATCCAATAGCCATAGACTGGCTGAGTGGATCGGGGGGCTGTTCTAAATCAACAGCCGAGGATGAGGGCTCCTCGGGGCGGTCTGATGACCAGCTGGCGCCCATGACGGCGACTTAGTCAATAAAATATATCTTGCATCCAGGGGGGAAGACTGTGTCGGGTGCGCGCCGCTTTAGCGTCGCGCGACCGGGGGTGAGCAGGGTGAGTGCGCAATAGACAGGGCGAGAACAAAGCCAACACGTGACATAAGCCCTGATCGTCTCTCTTACATGTGTCCCTTGTTAGCCTCATCTCTCCTAATATCCCACGTTGACATTTTCAGGTTGCATGATAAAGGGGCAAGTCCCGTCCAACGCCATAAAAGTTGGGAACTGGGTGATCAGTCTGTCACACTTCTGTATCTGAGCTGCTTGTGCAGCCTACAATGCCCCTCCCACAAGCCGCCCAGGGTGGGGCACCGCAACCCGTCGAAGCGTGCCCTCCAATCGGTCGAAATGGATTTACCACACTATACGGCGAGAGTAATAGTAAAATCGAGTAAGACCATTTCTTATTAAATATGAATTAAAATAGCTAACAAAGGTCGGATCTATTAGTATTATTTTCGTCCATGGGTTGAACGGCCATCCAGAATCTACATGGAAACATAAGTCAACCAAATTTTTTTGGCCATGGGAGTTACGCAGGCACATCTCCGATGCCCGTGTCATGTCCTACGGATATGATGCCGATGTTTCGCCGCAATTTGGAACGAACTTGATGCGGATCAAGAGTTTGGCGGCAACGTTTTTGAGCAACCTGGTTAATATGAGGCAGGAGGAGGACGTAAGTCGTTGACACTCCCCCCTCATCATCCGGGCTGTCGCCATGTGGGATTGACGGGAGTTTTCATAATGATACAGGAATTGGATCGACCGTTGCTATTCATCGGCCACAGCCTTGGCGGACTTGTGATTAAAAAAGTTGCTCTCCTTCTTGTAATCTGTGTTGATTCGCTCGAGTTGCGTTGCTGATCAAGCGAAACCTAGGCACTCATTCTAGCCTCTCAGACGGTTGTTACTGAACTTGATAATGCTCATCGTATCTACCGGGCGACGAAAGGTCTCATTTTCTTTGGGACTCCTCATGCAGGCAGTGCAGTCGCAAAGATTCGTCGAGTTCAAATTCTCAAGCAGATTGCCAAAGTGGCCTTCACAGAAGTTCCCCCCAAGCTTGATTCTGCCTTGGAAATGCACTCGGACGAGCTACTGGATTTAGCGGATGACTTCCGCATGATGAGCTTGTATACATTGAGACAGATCGCGATATACTCGTATGCCGAGAGTCGGACGACCCCGAAGCTCAACGCATTAGTAAGATTTTCCCTCTTCTTTTCCCTGGGGACCCCACACAAAAGTTAATATGAATATAGGTAATAGATGAGTTTTCTGCCTTCATAGGCTATGATAAGGAGGTTAAAGGGTACATCCAAGCGGACCACGAGGCAATTGTGAAGTTTGACGGCGAAACGAATGCCGATTATAGAAATGTGTGGGGGAAGATCAACAAGCTCAAGAGATTGGCTGCTAGTGCTGCTGCTGGTGCGTGATCACTATCGTTCTTTTTCTCTCGCTTTTTGTTCACCACCTTTGCTGTATCCTAAATACCTGTCTTTCCTTTTCCGGAATCAAGTATTTGCCATTTCCCCGGATTTCCTGAATAATATAGTAACTTTCCAGGATTAGTCGATGCCAAGAAAGTTGAAATGACGATGGAAGAGACCACCATCCTAAGATGCCTTGACAATTCCGTATCAGATTATGAGGACATCAAAGACAGTCACTCAGGCCGTCGGGTTGGGGAGACTTGCTTGTGGTTTCTGAATGATGAAACTTACAAAACATGGTTCAATCAAGGTACACAAAGTGTTCTGTTATTTTCCGCCGGACCAGGTAGCGGAAAATCCGTATTGGCAGCTTTTTTGGTCGATGAGCTGAAGAGGCATTCTCGGTCCGGTGCGGACTACACAGTCTGCTACTTCTTCTTCCAAGACAGCAACTACAAATCGAAGACTGTGACGTCCGCTCTTTGTGCGCTACTCCTCCAGCTTTTTGATGAAGAGCCTGGTCTTCTTGCTCATGCCGTGAAGCAATACCAAATCAAAGGTCAGAAGTTTGTGGAAGAATTTAATGCCTTGCGCAAAATATTTGCCCTAGCGGTACAATATCATCCCCGTAACAAGGTCATTTGTGTCATCGACGGCCTGGACGAGTGTGAAGAGACGGACAGAGACTTGCTGATTGATTACTTGGTGGGCGGCATTGAGTCAGGACTCTTCCAATACATGGACACGCACTGTCGGAACAAGTTGAAATTCTTTGTCACCAGCCGTTCGTATGGCTAGATTGAAAGACGATTTCCGACTTCTTCAATTCTCAGGTCAGATACTGCTGCAGTCGACAAAGAAATAGCCCTCGTTGTCGAATCTGAAGTTAGCGAACTGGGTTCGCGAATGAACCTTAGCGTTAACCTTCAAAACACATTGAAAGAGCGCTTTATATCCAACGCTGGTCACACTTTTCTTTGGGTGTCTCTCACCCTGGATCAGTTCAGAATAAGGAAGGACTTCACGGGCTCAGAGAGACAATGCTGGGCTATTCTCGATGACCTTCCCGCGGATTTGGACGCAGCTTACGAAATGATATTGCAGCGAAGCACCAACCGCAGATTAGCGCGGATAATCCTTCATATCGTTATTGCCGCTGCTAGACCCCTCGCACTCGCTGAGATAGGCATTGCGCTGGCAATTGATAAACAGTCCAAATCAACCGAGGACCTGCTATCTAGCCGCCTTCCTTCTATCGAAAGCTCCATTCAGGACATTTGTGGTGGATTTGTCAAGATTGTAGGCAGCCAGCCAAACCAGAAGATTGACCTTGTTCATCAAACAGCAAGAGAATTCTTAATTGCACCCCCCTCCAATTCTATGCCTCGTGGCAAGGGACTTTTGGCACTCACCATCTGGGCGATATGCTCTGTTTGTTTCCCAACCATATATAGCCTCCTTGCTAAATTCCTGGGGCTTTGGAAGCACTCACTCGATCCCGTCGAAGCAAATCGGGTGCTTGCAGAAATCTGTGTCATATATCTCTTTTTTGAGGAGTTCGGCAGCTGCCCCTTGGTAATGGACCGCCAGGCCAAGGCGCTCGATGTCCGGGGAACTGTTGATCGGTATGTACAGGAATATGAATTTCTTGACTACGCCGCAACACACTGGGCTGAGCACTTCCGGGAGGCTCAAAATGGCGCTGGAACGGCGCTGATGGAGTCAGCACTCGAGCTTTGTGATACCAAGTCCAAGAGATTCCAGACATGGTTCATGGTATACTGGGCTGTACTGGACTCGCTGTGGCCATATCCCGAGAACCTTACCAATTTGATGGTGGGGTCGTTTTGTGGACACAAGACATTAGTCCAGATGATTTTGGAAAACGAGGGAGCAGACGTCGCCGCGAAAGACGGAAGTGGAAAAACTGCGCTGATTTGGGCCGTCGAAAAGGGACACAAAGACGTGGCGCAGGTGTTGATAACGAATGGGGCAGATGTCAATGCAAAAGACATGAATGAATGGACTGCTCTACACACAGCGGTTGCAAATGGATATGGAGAATTGGCTGAGCTGCTGCGAGCGAATCATGCCAATGTCACTGCTGTCACACAACGCGGACATTCTGCGCTCCACTTCGCAGCGCGGGACGGACATCATGATATAGTGGGGCTTCTGCTGGGATACGGAATTGGTGTTGATATGAGGTCCGCAGTTGGGGAGATCGGGAGATATACGGCGTTGCATTTAGCAGCTATGAATGGGCACAAGGAAGTGGCCCGTCTTTTACTGGAGAAGGGGGCTGATGCCAATGCGAAAACTGGGCTCATTGGAGAAAACTTGGCGGAATATGCCCCTCTACACTTTGCAGTCATAGAGGGACACACAGAAGTGACCAAGCTGCTGCTGGACAACAGGGCCCAGCTCGCCGCAAGGGATACACTGGGCGAGACTCCACTGCACAAGCTGGCTAGCACTGGCCATGAGCAAGTCGTCGACCTACTACTACGAAAAGCGAACCGTACCGATATCGAAGCAAAGACTAAGAACGGAGAGACGCCTCTGCACAAGGCAGTGAGGAACAAGAAGCATGAGGCCGTTGTGTGCCTATTGCTAAACGAAAATGCCAGTATTGCAGCAAAGGATAAGAATGGGGCTCTACCATTACACTACGCAGCAGCCAGTGGCCACGAAGTTGCAGTACGGCAACTGATCAACCTAGGGGCTGAACTTACGGCGCAGGATGATGAGGGAAAGAGTGCCCTGCACTATGCGGCCCGATGTCATAACGACATGGGTGCACGGTTGCTAATAGAGAAGAATGTCGATATTGCGGCACAGGATGCTGAGGGAAGGACAGTGTTGCACGATGCAGCCATTAATGGTAATGAGGATCTAGTAGCTTTGCTACTTTCAGAGGGGGCCAATCCTTGCGTACAGGATAAGAACGGCAAGACGGCACTCCACTACGCGGTCGCCAATGGACGTGAGGCTGTCGTCAAGCTACTCCTCGCGAACCATAATGTCGACCCGAACTCCAGAGACAAAGACGGTCGTACACCGCTTTCATGGGCATTCCCGAATCACCATCGGACTGAGAATGTTGTTAAACTGATGCTGGGCGATGAGCGTATCAGTCCAGACTCCAGAGATAAGAATGGTCGAACACCGCTGTCATGGGCAATCCAACACTGGTATGCGGATGATTCTGGGGTTGACCTACTACTTAAAAGCAGTCGTGTCGACCCAGACTCCAGAGATAAGGATGGCCGAACGCCGCTCTCATGGGCAACTGGGAATGATAAATACAAGGTTGTGGATGTTCTGCTCGACACCTACCGGGTTCAACCAGACTCGCCAGATAATAACGGACGAACGCCACTCTCATGGGCCGCTGGGAATGATAATGCCAACGTTGTGGAGCTTCTGCTTCGCACCCGCCGGGTTCAACCAGACTCGCCAGATAAGAACGGACGAACGCCACTCTCATGGGCAGCTGGGAATGAGAATCTCGGTGTTGTGGATCTTCTGCTCGGCACCCGCCGGGTTCAACCAGCCTCGCCAGATAAGAACGGTCGAACACCACTCTCATGGGCAGCTGGAAATGGCTGCTACTATGTTACCAAGGCTTTGCTAGCCATCAGTCACGTCACACCGGACGCCGCTGATAAAGACGGTCGAACGCCGATTTCATGGGCAACGGAGAAAGGTCATGACGAAGTTGTGAATCTTCTTATTGGCACAATTTTGGAGGCAAGAATATTGCTTGGATCGATCTAGATCTCGAGCTGAGCCCAAAAAGTCCATTTGGCAGCCAAGATTGAGATTTTGGAAAAGATGACACATGCTAGAAGAGAAAAATTGGCTGAGCTCTAAGTTTCGAGACCTCGGGTTGCTCCTCTCGAACCTGTATTTCATGTGATTCGGATAGTAGGATTGAATATCTGCCATGTCCGACTATCCCAGCTGAAGAGAGCTGGGCATGAAGTTTATAACCAGCATCTATACCAAGGGAACGGATACAAGTTGTCAGAGCTGGTGGGAATGGAGGCTTAGGTGTGGGAGATGGTGTATCCATCAAGTACCAGCCAACGGTGCATTTATCCACTTTTCAGCGTTTATCACATTCAATCCCAAACTGGACTATAGGGTTGGGATGTAACGCAGTCTCGCCCCGGGCTATCTCAAAATCGGGCAGATACGATCTATATGGAGTCCAAATGTAAGCTGTTAGTTCTCAATTTCGTTCTTTCACTCTGCTCTAATGTCACCTTATCCACTGGAATAGTATGGTCTATTGACAGTATGGTCTAATTGAGCTCTTCTTATTCCGGGGAACACTTGTCGGGCCACTGGTCGGTAAGTTTCATGTGACCAAGTATCGCTACATCAAACAATAGCTGACTCGTAGAGATTAACTTTTCATTGGGTACATTGACCTCGTTTCTCGGTAAGAAAAGACCGTTCCCTGGTCACTTGGCCTTTTTCGAACAGCGAATCATTACGCCGACGCTATTTTTAGGCATTATGAAACACCCGGAAGCCAGAATGGGAATCAAAAGCCGATAGGAATCAATTTCAGACTTCACGAACCCTGAAATGGTTCCAACCATGGATCCTACGTAGCACTAACGGTCCAGGGGTTTGAAATCAATCCACCCCCGTATTTGGGCTTGGTGCGATTTGTTTACTCGAGCAATGACCATCCCGGCGAATACATGTTTCATGTTGGGGCTAAGGACGCAAGGAATGAAAAGAAAGCTATCTCTCATGTGTTTCAAAAGAGCTAAAGCAACTTGCATCGCGCAAATTTGTGATCTAAAAGCAAACGTGGCCTGGAAAAGGGTAGAGAGCCCTGCCTTGGTTGAGAGGCAATCGCACTGGAGATCATTCAGGGCACGTCCGCAAAGTGGCGCTGGAGACCTGCTCCACGCAGCGCAGAATTTGCATCGGACCCGTCAGATTGTGGGGTCGCAACAGAACTGGAGAACCCAAATAATGATCTCAAACATAGTCTCCAAGGGGTCCCAGGGTCGATGTATCAGAGGAATGAACTTTCTGAGTAGGGTCATGCCGTAGATCCGGCCGACTCCGTGACAGAGCAGACAAAGGGCCAAAGCAGAGAAGCAAAAATACCAAATCATACTGGGAATTGGATCGATCGAATGGAGATTCGGAGATTCTAGCGCTGGACCCATGTCGCAACGTTCGTGACCGGTCGCGTCCTCGGACCACGTTGGTGCCCGGCTCATAAGGTGTCCGTCGCGTGCCCGATTCTCTTCTCAAGATCGTGTAGTTCCGACGGTATCTAGATGTTAAAATATCAGCTCGTTTCTCCGGTAGATCGCACCTTCGAGTCTCCCCTAAATTTTGAAAACCCGAAACGGACTCGGTCATGTCCTCAACCGTGAGCATCTTTGGGACCTCGCCGAGGCACACGTGATCAAATGCGCCTTACCCCTTGGTCCGAGCTCTACTCCACGGGACTCATGTGCCTCATTTCGGTCTGCCTTTACCGGTGGAGCAGGGATACACTCCTTGGCACGGTATGATCCGTCTACTCCCACCAAAAATAGAGCGGTCTCGACCGACGTATCAATCTGAAGGCGTGCATGCAGTTGCTCGTTTGCAAAGAACGAGCCACATACGCAGGGCACGGCGTCATGTTCACGCCAGCAGATCCGGAACGGAACCGAAGGTCACTCGCAGAGGGAACCTCGCGACGCAAGGGTCGGTCCTTTTTTCTCACTTGACATGTGGAAGCTGACTCTGTAGGCCACGGGCAAGATCAAAATGGGATCTGTCTGTACCTTGTACTTGGCCGAGAAAACCGAGGTCCACAAGTTCGCATCCGCCCCACTGGCGGCCAGCCACCCTGCCTAGAAATTGGGTCTTGCTCAATTATTTTGTGACTCCGCACCATCATGCGACTCGTACAGATACGACATGGCGTTTTGTCGGAATCGGTATCCCCGGTTCCTTGAAATTGAAAAGGGGAAATGACTAGCGGGCTTGCATTAGTCTGCGAGTGCTTCGTGGCGGATCGGATGTATCTTTGTGAGACTGCAGTTCCCCTGAGTGCTCCGCCCAAGGGAAACCAAACACCGTCCATAAAACGGGCGCGAAAGAATTACGCGAGTATAAGTGGCCCCAAAGACAGAGTCGTCTACGGAATACGGTATACGGAAAGCGGGGGGTATGGAGAGCGGAAGCGAGAGAAAACCTGGCTCGGCTACCCCTGAGATACCACGAGCGCAAAAATAAAAAATGGGGCAGGCTGAATGCACTAGTTGAAACTACTGCAACCAAGGGCCCGATGTGGGGCTGACAGTACACATAGAGTTTGATGATCAGAATTAGACCCTTTTGAGGCCGAAACAGACCGAACTTGTCAACGCTTCCAATGAACGACAGGGGCACGCCAATCAAAGGATTCTCGAGGTGCGAATGAACCGGTTTGGTCTAATTCAGGTACCCTTATCCTGCTTGGCGGTCACTTAGTCCTGCAGATCGACGCATTCTCCCCCTTTTCCGAGATTACACGAGTGGAGGTGGCGGCCAGGGTTCTATGGCGGTTTCGGACGTATAAGGCTCTTCACCTCCACCGTGATCTTGCTTTCACCTTCTCTATCTGCTTCATTCTCTCGTTAGATCTTGTCGTCTGTCACTCTTTCTGCTGTAATCAGCGTCCATTCGTTCTTCACTTTTGATAATTTTACGTCAAGATGAAGCAGTCTATCATCACTTCCCTCGCTGCCCTCGCGGCTTCCGCCTCCGGTGTCCAGGCCACCTTCGGCTCGATCAGCGTCCCCGTTGGTCTTTGCGCGGCTATTCTTGGAGAGGCCGACTGCAAGCAGCAGGCCGCCCCCGCCGGCGGCTTGATCAATGTGCCCATCAACGGCTGCATTGCTGCCCTCGGCAAGGCCAAGTGTGACCAGGCCTCTGCTTCCTCCAACAATGGCGGCTCCCTGATCAACGTCCCGATCAACATCTGCCTGGCTGTTCTCGGCGACGTCCACTGCAAGGAACACGCCTCGTCCGGTGGTCTCGTCGACATCCCCATCAACCTGTGCCTGGCTGTTCTGGGTGAGGCTGATTGCCAGGATCATGGTTCCGGCTCGACTCCCTCCGCTACCACTACCCCCTGCGACACCGAGACTTCCAGCATGGTTTCTTCCACTGTCATCGGTGGTTCCACTCCCGCGGCGCCTACCACCACTCCCGCGGAGGCTACCACCACCCCGTGCGACACCGAGACTTCCAGCATGGTTTCTTCCACTGTCATCGGTGGTTCCACCCCCGCGGCGGCTACCACCACCCCCTGTGACACCGAGACTTCCAGCATGGTTTCTTCCACTGTCATCGGTGGTTCCACCCCGACCGGCACCGCGCCCGCTGTGACTGGCTCGCCTTCCGGTTCTTCCCCCGCTGGCTCTTCTTCCGCCCCCAGCGTGCCCGGACAGTCCAGTGTTCCCGGTGTCCCCGCCGGCCAGTCCAGTGCCCCCGGTGTTCCCGCCGGCCAGTCCTCCAAGTCCACCGTCACCGTTACGAGCACCACCACTATCTGCAATGCGTCCTGCGGCAAGACCTCCATGCGTCTGATCCCCACTGCTCCCACTGCTCCCGCTGGTGTCTCCGCCGGCGGAGCCGGTCCCACCGGTGCCAGCGGCACCACGCCCACTTCCAGCCCCATTGCCTTCAACGCGGCTGGCCGCACCACCTTCTCCGGTGTTGCCGTGGTCTTCGGCGCTATCTTCGCTGCTGCCATGCAGTTCTAAGTAGCTCATACTTAGTCGCGGAACACAGCAGGCTCTGGCGACAGTTGGCATCATTTCACTAGTCTTCCGTTACTGTTGATATTCACGTTTCCCTTCGTGCTAGACATTGAGTCTATGTTTTTATTTATTTCCATTCTGGATGGGTCCAGCCGTCCTGAATTCAGCAACCGTTAATACTACGATATACGTCTCCCAATTTGGTCCATTCTTATCGCTATTCGCGTTTTCATGAGTTACGAGGAATACATTGGCCGTCTCATATTAAACGAGGGTTGCACTTGGCCGGTCGTCTTCTTTCTCGACATAATGGCACTGCAAAGATGCAGGTTTTGTTTTTTCGTAGAATGAAGCCTTGTACCGCTTTGTATAGATCTGCGACCCACTTCGGAATGAAGCCTGGTGCCAGCTGGAACGTGATTGGTCTGTCCCATCCAGATGGTCATGTGACCATGTGCTTGCAGTGTTCAGTTTGCTCTTTCATTTCTCTCCAGCACCCCGTCTTTCCCCTGGTTCGTTGTTCCTGGTGTTTTTCGACAAAAGGCCTGCCCATTATTACTAAAAACTTCACTCGTATAGAATTGTGAGGTTCTTCATCAGCACGGGGTATAAGCTTTTGTGGGCCTTTTAGAGGATGACAGCGACCGCTTATTCGCCGCCCGTCAAATCGTGGCTTGCAGCCCACCTCCATTCCTGAATAAGGGTCCAAGAAATGACGTGCTGAATTGTCTTTGATCCTCATTCGAAATTCACATACTTTCTTCTCTGTCGGGACCATGGCCACTTCATGCAATTCAACCGACTCGATAAGAACCGTTGCAATCGAACTACTGTCAAGGGTGTTCCTAGAGACCGGAATCCATCACGTCTGATCTGCAGCAAGAAAAAAGAAGAAAAAGAGGAGACATTTGAAAAAGACCGAAGGTTCCCACCGACGTCGGCACAGCAGCCGAATGGCTGAAGCCATAAAATCCTCCGAAACAAGCAAGATTCGGAAATATTCACGTTGGCGCATAACTCGGACAGGGCTATCCGAAGTTTCCGGGATCGCCACCTTTCGATGATACAACAAAAGGGCCTTGCGGCGAGATCCTGCCGTCATCGACGCGTTGTAACCCTCGATGCGGGCGCACACGAGCGCCCCGCACTTAGGGGTCCAATGACGGTCGGACCCATGAAAGCTAAGCTCGCCCACGAAATGTTTGGAACGTTATTTGATTGTTCAGTGGTGGCACCGGGCGATTTGGGCATTCGGTCTCGTGTATTCTGACATCTGTCAGGTCCTCTCATTTGTTTGGACATGAAGCCCCGCTGATACCGTCCATTTGTTGGACCGACCCTCCATGATTATATAGCCACTATACGCCCCGCCCCCAAAAGTGTTTTGCCCTCCCTAAGCTGCTACTTTTGTCACTATCTATCAACTCAATAATGGCTCAGGTTGCGAATCTGGCTCTCGAGGGCGATCCCCGGCTCCATGAGAAGGAGCGTGAAGCCCAGGATACATACGTTTCGGAACAGGTGTCCGCTGTCGGGCTTCGCCCACAGCATCGCAAACTGCACGATCGTACCGTGACGTTTGAAGAGTACCACTACTATGCTCAACAAACCCGTGCTGAGGAGGACTTGCTCACTGAAAAGGAAACTGGAGTCCTGTCGATCATCTTCCCTTCCAAGAACGATCAAGGTGTCCAACCGGAAACCAAGAATGTGACGCGAGATGCCTCGGCCATGAACACCAGCAGCGTGGAGAACCGAAGGCTTATCACCGACGAGGAGTGGATCAACGCATCTCGCGCCCTTCGCACTGCCAGCCGAGGCGCCATCTTCTATCTCATCACAACTGATATCTTGGGTCCCTTTGGCTTGCCTTATGCGTTCGCATCTATGGGTTGGGGGTAAGTGTGGCTTTGCCAATTTTCACCTTCGCAATTAAAGCTAATCGAAACTTTAGCCCTGGCATTGGCTTGTACACCGTCTTTGCCGGCCTTGCGGGCTATTCCGGATACCTGTTATGGGAGACTTTCCTCGGGTTGGACTCTTACCAGTTCCCAATTCGCAGTTACGGAGACATCGGCTTTCGTTTGTACGGGCCCTGGTTGCAGCACCTGTTCAACATCCTGCAAAGCATTCAACTTGTGCTCAATGTCGGTCTGATCATCATTTCCAACGGGGAAGCCTTGTCCCAGGCCGCCCAGTTCAAGCTCTGCTTCATTATCTGCTGTGTTATTTGGGCCCTCGTGGGATTTGTCCTTGGTCAAGTCCGTACCTTGCAGAAGTTTGGATGGCTGGCTAATGCTGCGGTCTGGTTCAACTTGATGTGCATGTTCATCACCATGGGTGGTGCTGCCCACACCCCTCCCAACTACGCCGGTGCATCCCAGGCAGCTGGACACAACATCGGCAACGGCTCATCCGTTGCGCAACTGCCGGACGGTTCTTATCCACCTGTCATGACCTCGGGCGGTATCCCCGACCCTTCTGACTTCGTCGCTACTGTCAGTGGTGCCATGCAAGCTGTGTTTGCCTACGGTGGTGCCATGATCTTCCCAGAGTTCATGGCCGAGATGAAGCGTCCTAAGGACTTCTTGACTGGCATGTGGGCAGCTCAAACTTTTATCTACCTCTGCTATATGTTCTACGGTCTGTTCATGTACGGGTACCAGGGACAGTACTCCATCAACCCGACATATCTTGGCATCAGTAAATACAGCATCCAGACTGCTGGTAATGTCTTCGCGATGCTAAGTGGAGTCATCGCGGCTGGTTTGTACGGCAATATCGGTCTCAAAGGTAAGAGCGGAGACCCCAGCACATTATTCTTCGATTGGTCTAACCTTTTCTCTAGTCCTTTATAACAACATTTTAGTCGGACTGTTCGGCGCTCCTCCTCTAACCAACAACGCCGGAAAATGGCTGTGGGCACTCCTGATCCCGATCTACTGGGGCATCGCCTTTGTCTTGGGTGCCGGTATCCCCAACTTCTCCGGTTTGACATCTGTCGTTGCCGCCTTCTGTATCCTACACTTCACCTACACATTCCCGCCCTTGCTTGTCACTCTCTTCTGGATCCACAGAGCGGCCTTGGGTGATGGGGAAGGGTTTGACCCTGCGACTGGTAACACGGTGCGATATGACCGCGGGATCAAGAGACTTGCTCGTGGATTTGCTTCTCTGGGACGCAAAAGGATGGCCCTCAGCATTTTCAACATTTTCTACTTCTTAGGCGCATTGGCCCTAAGTGCTCTTGGCGCCTATTCTGCTATCACCATCCTGAGTGCCTCTTTTGCGGAGAGTGTGACCAATTCATTTGTGTGCCAGAGCCCGTTGGATGGTTAAGTGGTGAGATTTTAGTATATTCAGTCTTTCCATTGTATGATTTTTGACCTTTGAACTCTCTAAAATCAATTATTTACATCAAGAAAAGCCACCATTGCCCAACAAAATAGCGTATGTCTTTATATATTCAGGTCACACATCTTATGAGTAGACTTAGACTGAAATGGGCACGCTGTGCTAGCCAGTAAGGCACGTATATTAACGCGAGATTGCTGCTGGGAGTCTAACATTTTAACTGTACAACTGGAACTGGAACTAATCCTCAAGGAAGTCCCTAGATACAGGGAGCTTTGAATGGATATGTGCCATTACGTAGCGCTCGCTTTCATGCAGGCTCTCGGGATATCATCATGAGGTTCCGCCATATCCGGATTGGAATCCTGATTTGCTCTATCTTGCTAGGGGCCGTAACCGTAACAGTTGCATACGAATGGGAGTGGGGCAAGGCACAATCCACCCTAGCGGTCAATTAGCGTCTAATGGAGGTCTCGATAGGCCAAGCTTTAAGGCGCTGTGTGAATTCACCAAAAAGGACATGATTTACGTTTTATGGAAAATGTCACTTTTTTTGACCGACATTTCTGTCTTGGGAAATAGTCATAGTGTACTTGTTGTGTGTGTGTTTCTTTAAAATCAAGCCCTTTTGCCGATTACTACCTTTACTTTATTGTGGTTGGCTAGATAGCTAAGCGAATGTTAGCTTAGTCTGAACATGGATAAGAGAACCAACCACTGTAGCAAGAAGGGCGGCCGCGTGGTGCGGTCCCACTTCCCGCCAGACCCCAGCCCCGCCCTAAGTACAGTAGCCCCGGGATTGCCTACTATTTGGAAATTTTCCCCACTCAAACCTGATCTGGATCCACTCTTTTACTTTTCATTTTGTTTCTACTCGCTAATTTTATTAACATTTTGTTCTCTGGGAATTTGCTTTGTTTCCCAACTTTAAAATCCTCGCAACTCTTACCTATTCTTCTCCCCTTTTCTCTTTCCTAATTCAGAATTTTTGGCCTCGCTGCTCCCTCGCCCCCTCGCCCCCTTTTGTGCTACCAAGGTCCTCCGGGGCTTCCGGCCAGAATTCTAGCTTTCCATTGCTCCAGGCCTTTTTTATGCTACCGGATATAGCTACAGAAAACACAAAGGCTTAACTGTGACGCGCGATCCTACCAACGTGTTAAGTGTCAGGTGCACGAAAGGTTCAGGCCAGTTATTAGATTTATTGCCCAATTATGTCACTGGACATAGCTAAGGGCGGGTTTTCTTATGATTACCAGAGCCAGTCAGCACCGGCTTTGAATGTGCCCCTTTTACTGATTCTGGCTGGGGCGTTGGTTGGGCTTCTTCTAGTATGTCATCATTCGACGAGAATGTAACGGATTGCACCTATACTGAGTGATGAGGCTAATCATTCACAGGCCATCTATAGTCACGGGTGTGTCTTCGCAATACTGACTGCGACTCAAAGACCCAGTACCGAGGTCCAATCATCACTCTCGAGACAGCATTTTCGAGGTCTTCCAATCTACATTTTTCATCGGCTGGTCAAGATTTTTCTTATATCCAGGTTCCCGACGAAGGTGCCCAATGTACCGAAATATGCGTTTCTCAATATAATAGCCGAATTACTACTTTCAAATCTGAAAGTAGCTAACGTACACGCCATTCTCAACCAAACCTCGGAGCTTCCGTACTACCGACACATTCTTAGCTGGTCAAAGTGGTCTAAGACCTTCCCAGCGATGCTACTATATACCATAGCCTCAAGTCTATGCTTCTACCTCCCTGTCTACTTAATTAAGTTGGCACATTCTTTGCGTGGAGAACTAGAGATCTCGGAAGATATGCAATTAGGCTCTGTCCTTGCCATTATGCTGATCTTCTACTTTGGGGCAGTTGTCCCTACATATGCTATTTTCATTCGAGTTGCTGCGTCTGCACAAGGGAATGGGTCTATGAACATCAAGAGTGCCTGGAAAGGCTTTCCGTGGTCAGCTCGGGTGCATTTCTTCAAGTTACTTGCAGAAGTCCTTGTCATGGAGACAGTTGTCTCTACAATCCTCTTTGTGCTTGTGCTCGGGCACTTCCATCTTGAGCTGCATGATGATGTTTTGAAGTTCTTTGTCAAATATTTCGGATAGTCGAGAAATGTGAGGGGTGGAATGTATCTTCTAATAACCCACGACACATCGCCGAATCATCAAGCGCAGTGTGTAGAAAGTCTTGATTCTGACCTAGTTATTAAGCGCATGGAAAGTTTTGGCTTTGGTAATCCGATCTGCTGTCACACTTGGCTTCAACATAAAAAATAATACGAAAGAAATGTCATAGTATCGAGGGATTGGAGCTTACTCTGAATCCGTCTTCCACTACTGCTCCATGATTTGAGCCAGACCTTTCCAAATAATACAGCGATCACTCTGGCTCCCTGGAACAGATTCCATACTCGTGGCGTTAAGCTGGAATCTGAGTCTCTGGCCACCACTATCACCCCAAGGCTTCCACTCAGGCGCTGCGGATTCTTAAAGATGTTAAGGTCCAGTGACAAGATGAAACTAATCCAGTAATTCATGACAATTGAGACCATGGGTTTGTTGTAGGTCATACAGGAACAGTTGTTGCAAGCCCCTGAATTCCCTGGACCGAAGATCGCCGGTTTCTCAGCCACATGTGGCACACCCAGACCAGCGGCCTCGTTCTGGGCATCCCACACATTGTAGCGGTAGTTCCAAGTTTTGAGAGGAGACAGATGTGTTGCAAGTGAGGAGGCTATCTCGATTCCAGGACAAGTGAAGGTTGATTCTCCATATGCCTCCTGGGCTGCCCCCGAAATACTGGGCATGAAGGGGGAACTGTTCATTTGGGGGGTAAGTGCGATCGATGACCTGGAGATCGGCCGATGTCAACCGAGGGTAGTTTGCTTGTATGAAGTTCAAGAATCCGGATGATGTGCTGATGTTGGGAGTGAATGCGGTTCCTTCATCACTGTCGTCGCCGACAATGACAGGCAGTCTTGCTACTCTCCCTTGTTCAAATAGGGGTTATAGATCAGCGGGGGAGAATGTCCCATCGATAACAGGCAGGAAATACCACAGTGGCGTTTCCGCCGTTCTAGGAAAGCGCGAAATTACATCTGCAGCTTGAAGTGTCGCAGTATCTTTCGATCGGAGACAGGCGAGGGCGTCTGCATCTTGACCACACTGGGCATTCTCCACAAAGCGACCGAACTGGGACTCGGACTCGGCAACCGTGCGATGCGTGGGAAGAAAAGGTGATTCTGCTATGGCGCCGACAAATAGCCCTTCGCTCTTTCCGCCATACGCAGTCAAGTGGTAAGCAATTGACCCACCCCCAGCCAAGTCGCCATGGATTACAACGTGTTCTGGATCTCCGCCAAACTGGATGAACATATCAGCTGGCGTGAATGCACAACGAGGGAGGAATATACCAAGTGAACGTATTTCTGAACCCAATACGAAGCCCTCTGCTGATCAAGGAGCCCGACGTTCAGTTCGCCGTCTTTACGGATTTCTTTACTGGCCAAGAATCCAAAAGCGCCGACGCGATAGTTAATTTGAACAAAGACCATGCTGTGGTTTGACCTTGCGATGACTTCCGAACCATTAAAGTTTTGATCCGAATTTGCCGCGTATCCACCACCATGCTGGATAAAAAACCAGACCGGTAGCTTGCTATCTGGTTGAGCATTGCTGGGCGTGAATATATCAAGAAAGAGGCAGTCCTCGCTGAAATTGCTGCTAAGCTGCTCCGATGTCCCCTAACAAGTCGCTCCAAACTTGAACCAGAGTTGAAATGTCAGATATTTCTGGGAGATGAGAGCTCCCAGTGATATGTTGAATGCGTGTGCAACTTACTGCTTGGGCCGCTTGAACTCCATATTCGTGAAGTGGATCTTCCGGTGCTCTAAACGTCAGGTTACCTACAGATGGGGCGGCATATCGCATTCCGAGAAACTGATTGACTCCAGTCCCCAGAGCCGTCCCTTCATATCTGGCGTATCCGAGATCTACTTGAGGAAGGTTGCTTGACTGACAACTCTCACGAGGTCTGCCTTCAATGAACTCCACGAGGCTTGTAGCCCCGAGGCAAGCAAGATGTTGGAATTTCATGACTCTAGACTTGGAAATATGTGCAAAAAAGGGACTGAAAGATAATTTCAAGTTCTTTGCAGGTAACTTTGTCACGTTATATAACTATGTCGATCGTACCCTGTCATGATGAGGGGTAAGATCATTTACTAGACCTACACGCAGTGGGCATTCGGAGTTTTGCCAATCAAATATGCGGGGTTGACGCATTAGCCCTATGCACAAAGAAGTTTCCACCAAGGAATCTTGTGGTGATGTATTCCACGGCCCTGGCACCGGTCTTTTGCCGAAACGGGCTTAACCGTTGGGCCGAAATCTTAGCAGCTTGCGGGTATCAATGCTACTGTCGACGCAAGATAGTTGGAGCAGGTAGAACAGCGTTCTGAGCAGCAAAAAGGAAATAATTATAGCAGAAATGGGAAAACGAGTGTAAAAGAATGTCCTCCTTAAAAAGTCGAGTATCCATGGATTTATAGATGAAGATTCTGTAACCTTAGTATAAAATGCTTGCATTAATAAACGGAATGTACCAGGAACTAAGGAAGTTGGGAGATCATACTGGCCTTACCGGAATCTGGGAACATTTCCCCATACATGAACTGAGAAAAGTGGTCGATCCATAAAGGTATATATGTAGATCTCGAGCCTTTACAAGGGGTTTGCCGTGATCGCGGAACAAGGAAGGGGACGGCACAGTCAGTACGGGAAATTAACCAAGCAGGTCCTCTTCACAATAGTTATTAGATATTGATTTGCTAATCGTTCTCGATTAATTAGATCCACCTCACCACGCCTCTCTCGACAATTCAATAAACCAAACTAGGCTTTGTAGATACAATTTCCTAGTGACGCCAGCAGCTAGCCACCAGGTGTTCGAAGTCACAGACGCTGGTCCTTTCCTGGAACGCGGTGCCGGGGCCGCAGGTCTTGTGAACCGGTGATCCGCCAGCGGGACATTCAAAGAATCTATGGCAATCCCAAGGGTCGGCCCATATGGCGGCGCCCCCATCAGCCTCGGGGGTCGGGGCGGCGGTGGCTGAGTTGAAAAGCACGAAGGCCATAATGGCGGTAATCGATTGATAGATGAGATGCATGGTTTCGGCTATAGATGAGTTAGCCAGGGTGCTAATAGATAGTTTAAATGTATTTCAAGTATACCTGACTTATCTTCAGAGTAATGAAGATAGATTTTCAGGGGAAGGAATGGAGTCAAAGGATTGGAAGTGCAAACGACTGGTAGTGGTTAGAAAAATCTCAACGATGAAGCCTGCCCCTAGCTTATATACGTGGACTTTTGCATAGAATGCTGTCTTCAGAGCCTCGCGGATTGTTGCCTCAAATTCTTTGTTTCTCAAAGGAACCAATATTACTGGACCCTAGTGCTGTTACATGTGCTCAGAATGGCCATAAAGGCGTTGTGTGAATACTTCACGTGGTTGAGGTCTTCGCGTAGCATATTTGCTCGGTTTGCTCCACGGAAAAATTCAAACGTAAGGGGACGATACACCTTGTGGCTGGTTCCTTTCTCTCCTGTAGAACACCTGTCATGTGGTCTGTAACTCTGATAGATATCACCGATTGGTCGGATGTTTTAACCGTGTCATTTCATAATCAAATTCGGATTTATATGCAATTTTGTTGGCTGTTGAATGCGACGCTCAACTTTGTGGATACTTTGGCTTAACGGGGATGAAACATTGGGCGTTCTTAATAATGTATGGGAAATATTTCCGCCCCCGGCGTCGGGTTAAAATTCATAACCCTAGCCGGCGCATTCAAGGGGTCGGATGTCCTTGCCGGGTGACCGGCTGCAATCTGCCACATTCCAATCCGCTAACAGTAAACAGTAATGCTGATTACTAATGGAATGGAAGACTAGTTAAAAAGGAAAACAGTCGGACGCGCTCGTTATGTGTTGAAGGCAGGGCCCAGAGGCTAAAGGAAAGACATGTTTCTGTGGACGGACCTACCTACATAGCAGGTCACTAGGAAAATGTGAAACGGCAGCTTACTGATGATCGGTATAGCCTACCGTAGAGCCTTCACTAAAGAGTAATAATGTCTGGCCAACCTTAGAAGAGAGGCTACAACTAGACGACTAAGAAACAATTTAACTCCCTTTATGCTGGTCGCCTCCAATTTACCTACCATCCACAATGGCCCTATTCTGGAGGTTGTAACAAACACTGTATTCAAATATTTTTCATTTGACCAAATCTCTTACTAGATATAAGCAGTGCCTTATTGTAGATTATGTCTGAATATATTTCCAAAGGCTTGATACACCCGGAAAAGAAGAGGCTCTGAGCCGCATAGCCGGACTCCTGAATAAAGTGCCACGGGGGAAATTGGCAGATACCAAAGGAGTACTGTGAAGATCATAACCGCTCTGGGAAATTGGGACTGAGCCCCCTTGCAGATATCTCTATATGGAATCCACCCCGAAGACTCGATCATCAATAGGTTATGCCAGAACGGATTGAACTCTCAAAGTAAGGTTAAGTGTGGGAAAATTAGGATCCTTTCTCATCACTGTAATGCCTGTGCGCGTTTTCAACATGTGACAAACCATGGATCGACGGCTGCTAGTTGAGACAAGGCTTTTCACTACGTGAAGTCGCATTGAATATCGCGAAAGGCACATGATGCACTTCCCACCGTCGCTAACAGCCAAAAAAATGAACTCGCTTAATTGCTTACGATCAATAGCTTATTGGTGTAGCGGTCACGTTTTCCATGGCTTGCGAAGTGTGGCCGCTTTTTGTAATCATGGTGAACTCTACAAAGTAGCCACACTGGTGTACTACAGATCGATGTCTGACTAATTCAACCTAAAGGGTCGTGACTCTCAGCTGGGACCCGAAAGACGATGTGCCTACTAAGTAATCGCGAAATGAGGCATATCAGTCATCTTCAGATGGAACGCTCGTCTGCCCACTTATTACGTGACCTATTCAAGATGGATATGATCGCGTCGCATTTTACATCTGATGCATGGGGTGTCCGAAACTTTCTTTACTTGGTTTTGTTCCTTTCCCCGGGTCCTACCCCATGTTTCTTCGATAGCTCAGATGGACTGCAACCTTCAGATGGATTCCAGACAAACTGAACTTTAGAACACGGGCGTCTCTGCATTTCTTTCTATGATGGGCTGGAAAATCCTGGCTTCGAATTCGCAGCTGATGCGACATTTCACAACCCCTTTTCACAACAAATAGTATCTCTGTTAGTGGGCACTTTCTGGTACCCTGGTAGGTTTTACCTTATTGAAAAGCGGCAATTTGGTCGAGTGTATAGATTGCTTCCTGAATGGGAACGGACTTTTCAATTGGAATATGCCCGATCGCCTTCGCACCCAAAAGTCATCGCCAGAACCCCTCATAGATCATCATTTTCTGTCATTTTCTGTGGACTTAGGACATTTGATTGACAAATTTAGTTCCAGGAAGCCCGTTAATGACGTGGTAGTAGTTGAGGTGGGGATGATTCGCAGTATATAAATCGAGCTGCCCCGGGAAGATGGCATCTCAATGTCTGTTAGCCCTTCATCGTCCAAGTCAACCAGCCAAAATGAGTCTCAAAGATATACTATCATCACTCCTTCTACTTCCAGCACTTGCTGCGGCAGTAAATTCAACTGTATCATCCTCGGGAGACAGCTCCTCCAAGGTGCCTCGCATAACAAAGCAATCCACGGATGGCGACCGTCACTACGTGGCACCGTACTTCCCTCTTCTAGGATTTGAGCAATATGCAGGGAATCCAATCCTTTCACCCAATCCAAAGCATAATTGGGAATCAGCCTATCTTTACAACCCGACCGCAATCGTCATTGATGATATGGTGATGATGCTCTACCGCGCCCAGAACAAAACCAAAACATCGTCTGTCGGCCTCGCATGGTCTAGTAACGGAGTCAATTTTACCCGTTATGACAAGCCAGTTTTGGAGCCTACTGAACCATATGAGACGCCGGGTGGCTGCGAAGATCCTCGGGTGGTTCGCGTGAACGGCACGTTCTACATGACCTATACCGGTTACGACGACACCACGGCACGTCTCTGCCTAGCTACATCCACCGACATGGTCCATTGGACGAAACATGGTCCCATCCTACCAAACGTCACAGATGTAGTATATGACTGGCAAAACCCGCTAAATACGTACAAACCACGCGCAGGGTGGAGTAAATCCGGATCCATCCTGGACGAACCTCAGCCCGACGGGACCTACCGCATGCTCTTCGGTGACTCATTCCTCTACCAAGTAAACTCCACCGACCTGGTCCACTGGAACTACGACCAATACGTCCTTCCGTACGCATCTCACCTCAATCCTTGGGAAATGGCAATCATGGAGTCCGGACCCCCGGCAATCAAAACCCGAGATGGAAAATGGCTGCAGGTTTACAACGGCGTGGCGACGGGCCTGGGAGGTTTTACCCCGAGCCAGTATAGCACTGGGCAAATGCTCATTGACCCCGTGCGCTTCCCACACGGACCCCCGGTGGCTCGGGTGGAGACTCCACTGTTGCAGCCGACCAGCGTGGACGAAATTACGGGACAAGTGGATCATGTTGTATTCACCGAGGGGTTGGTGCAGTTTCATGGGAAATGGTTTATGTATTTTGGTCAGGGGGACGAGTTTCTTGGGGTTGCTACTGCGCCGGTGCAGCCCTGAGTGGGGAAAAGTTATCGGATTAGTAAATAGTTTGATGCTTTCAAGTGTTTGGAATCTGATTTCGAGGTATGAATTATGTTGAGGTGTCGCTATAGTCCAACGGAGTCAAAAAGAAAAGCAAGGGGTATATTGGCGAGCTAATTAAGCAAATGGCCTGTAGTGTTGCGGTAGAAACTGGTCATCCAGATATGATAGACCGCTGTAGTCAAACTGGGCGAGTGCATCGTTTTCGCTAAAGTAATCCCAATTATTCTCCAAAAGCCCCATTATCGTATCCATGTGAGGTTGTGGAATCGTAGAGATCGGGTATTGGGAGATTGCAGACGAAGCATTGGTGACTGCGAGAAGCAGTCGTTCAAGAAAAGCCTTCGTCTTGGGCCCAACGGGGCTCAGTTGTGCCATGTCCTCGCAGGCCGAGATTCCGATTTGGACTTGATTACACCAGCTTTGGTATTCGCAGTGATCGGTAGGCTCTACCATCAGAGCCATCAAAGGAATCAAGCATGCTTGGAACAAGAACCATACTGCATTCCAGCAGCAAATCTTGGTTGGGCGCCATTCGGCTTGAATGCTGAATATCGAATCTGCCGCAATGTCTCGGCATTTCGAAACAATGATCTGGTCGGTTGTAGAGAGAGATTCAAGTGGCGCCCGCCTGATGACCGTGTCGAGGAGGATTGGACGGTGTAGAAGGAATCGAGTGTTTTGGTATCTCCATTTGAGAACCAGACGCGCATCTTGTAGTTCGGGTGCGCTGGAGTCGCCGGATCGCAGGAACGGTGGTAAACGTTGGAACCAAGAAACAAGCATTTCATCGAAGGACTGTAGTTCATCATACCCGAGGATAGGATTTACGATGAGTCGATCTTGAATGCGGTTGATAATTCCGCATAGATGGATGTTGTGGATCAAAGGGGCGTGGATCGTTGGTTCTGTCGGTGGAACTTCGCCACGCTAAAAAGGAAAAGATCACAATTCTGTCATTCCGCTTTGAAAGCAATAAAATCAGAGAGAGGATCCTACCTGTTCATCCAGCACATTTTTCGGGGTGTCGATCAATGTCCCAAGTGCGGCCGAGGGCCTTCCGAGTGTCATAGAACCCCACGTGTCAAGAACGTAAATAGTCCACCAATTCCTTCGCTTGACCTCTTCTTGAAGACTGATTCGTCCTTGATAGTCTTCGGATCCTTTGAGATGCAGTCCGAGCCCACTCGCAATGCGATAGCAAGCACCAATAATAGCAGATGCCATGTTCGGTTGATTCCGGAAATGCAAGTACTGCCCGCCCATGAGCACCAGCGCCTGCAATGTTTCCAGTCGTCCACTACCAAAACTATCCAGTGAGAGATACTGCTTGGCCAGGTTATAGTATTGGAGGTCTTCTGTTGAGTCTCCTGCGGAGGAGGTGACGCTCCCTAAGGCGAGGACCATGTTGAGAAGTGCAAGCCAGGATCGCTCGAGGCTGCTCTGACTTGTCAGGTATTTGTTGCGAAAGCTGGGCTCGTGAATGATCGGAGCAAATACATGGATCCCAGCAAAGTAGGCATCGATCAGTCGTTGCTCTTCGCGATACGAAGATATCCGGTTTGGGGTCGATGATGAGATGATGGGTGGTTGGTTGGGCAGTTCATGCATTGAAGGCATCTTGGGTATTATGGGCTTTTCCTCCATGATCGGGGCTGGCAATACGATATTAAGCGCTCTGACAGCAGCAGCAACGGATGATATTCCGACAAAGGAAGACTTTCGCTCCTGCGATAATGAAAGCGCATTCACGTCGTCCTCTACTGCGTGGCGGGTCTCTGTTGAAGTCTCGTCCCACTCAAAAACGGTCGAATCCTGGCATTGAAGCTTGTAGAGACGCTCATTTGCTTCCAAGTCCGGGACTGATCGTGGGTTGTTCGGGGTTGTCATATCGGGAGACGTAGCGGATGAGCTTTGGTGGCTTGTCTCGGGAGAATAGTCGGCTTCCGTCCTGGCTCGTTCCAGTAGAGTTGCGCGAGAAAGACCTCTCAGGGACTCAATCGGACTATGCGGAAACAACGTCTTGACCAGTGCCTCACAGTCATCTTTGGTGGCGTTGTTTGCTAATGTCTTTTGGCTTCTGAATCCCCCATAGCTGTCAGTCGAGAAGCAACTTTCACCAGAGACAGGCAGTGCTTACTTTCTGCCCCGCCGGCGAGCTTCAGGAAAAACACATTCGGCATTGCAAGCCAGACATCCGGTGCACGGTTTCGTTCCAATACATTTTGTCTTTCGTCTGCGGCATTCCACACAGGCTTTCGCAGCAATAGCCCTTCGACGCTCGGGGGCGTCCTTTGTTGGCTGGTTGTGATTAATGCCAACAAAGGTGTTGAACATTCTGTCGAGGCCCAAGGAGAGAAATTTCACAATGATCTCGCTTAGAAACCGATCCCTTCCCATATAACTGACAATATAGACAATCCGGGGCCCCGCATGCAATACCTAGCGGCGAATGGAATGGCGTTCCCCAAATGACGCTGGATAGATGGTGGGCGCTGTGCATTGACCACAAACCGCTTAGAGCCTTAGATCCGGGTCCGCGCGCCGACTTTCGATTGGTCTGTCCTCCGTGATAATGTGGTTCAGCGCGAGGCATATTCTTAGTGCTTTGCAGAGTGAAGGATCCAGAACCCTCGATGCAACCCTCGCTGATGTGGGCGTTAATAGCGCGGGACATGAAGTCAGATATGAATCGCAGTTCCTGGATTTTGAGTTAGCGTACAGGACCGTGCGCGCGGAGCAGAACTAGTTCCATGCTAGACTCGTTTCTACGCAGGTCTGGATACAGGCTTTTGAGGTGAAAAAAAGTGCAAAGGCTTTCAAGGGGTTGAACTGGGCTGCCGATGGGAAAGTTGTCTCTGGCGGGGCTTAGTGTGCCTCCTGAGGTCCCACCGATCGGCGTAAGATGTTGGGTGAACGGATCGCTTGGATTGCGTTTTCCCCGCCACAGTACTCTTATACCAAGTCAGGTTTACGGTAATAACGGAACAAGCCGCCCTGACGCTATTTGCTGGTCTGACTTGCTTATAGGACCGCACGAAGGGTCTTTGCCGAAATCATTGGTGAAAGTCGCAGCCGAACACCCGTCTCCGCATTTCCGAAGATTGATTGGAATAAGCATGCGATCATTTGTCCTCAAGGCTTACTAAATTTGAACGCTCGGTGAGAATGTCGAACATTTTGTAGTTCAGAAGGCGTTTAAGCGACAACGGCTCTGTTACTAGAACGGTTCGGTAGTATATCCAACCCCGCTGTGCTCGGGGTCTTTTACCCCGATAGCAACAGACAATTGGCACTTCGGCTTCAATACATATTGTAGCTGATCCTGGCTCTGTGGCGAACGGCTCTGTTCCAATGGTTGCCCACTCCGGGCAGGGAGAAGCCTGTCGCAGCGCGCCTACTTCACCTTTAGATAACCACGAGGGAACATAATCAAAGTCCGATCACCCTAGGCAAGGGACAGGCTTATTGTACAAACTTCAATACTATTGATATCCGGCGATTTTCCTCTTCTTATGGCTCTATGAAGTCGAAGCGGGCATGTGTGAAGTATATCGGTTCCAATTCAAATATTGGTCGTGAGGCTAGTTTCTCGCTTGGTCCCACGTGCACATGCATATGAAAAGGTTTCAACCTATGTCGCAGGTGGCGAAAGCCCCTTGTAATGACAGCCAATATGATGTGGTCCCACAGGTCTTCACGGCTTGGTGAACTTGAACTACGGCGGGGTCCGAGAGCGAAGCCGATAGCCGACCCCCCTGGCCATTTCAGTGCCGGTTTCAGAAATCTGGGGATGTCGGAGAATTTGATCCAAACTGCCCAAAGAGAAATATGCGGGCACGGCATAAGTACGAAGGACTGGCAGCTAACATGGAATCTTTGCGAACAGCGACCAAAAGCTTCACTTCCGTTTCTGCGGTGTCTAGTTGTCTTTTCCACCATGCTCGTTGTTTCTCTGATTACCCTTTTGGCCCACATGGCCATCGCCGCGCCAGGTGCGAAGAAACGTGGCGCGAGCAACCCCGCCGTCAAGGGAACACCGCAAGTCATTGGTCTTCTGGCCGACCCGACGCTGAACCGGGATTCCTGTGGCTCTTCTCTCTTCGGAGGCCGCGCACTGTGGGTCTGCCGAGACTCCCAGCACTACAACTCCAGTGGCATTCCCAACCTGCCGCTATTCACCAGCTCCGCCTCATGGACGGATCTCATCCCTGGAGGTGGCAGCCAGCTGACCATGTATGGTGACAACCATGATGACTCGTTTTATCCCCTCGTGCCTGGCAACTGTGATGACAACCAGGCCGGGACATGCTCCGATGGCACTCGGTACCCGCTGTGGGCCAACGCTCCGCCACTGGTGACGAGTTCCGATGGTACCAGGACCACGGGTTATACCTGGATCAGCAACTCGCATATCTCCGGTCTGACCAATCTTATTGAAAACCCATCGGTGACACTATACAAAGTAACCTACACCTCTGGAGCCGACGGTCTCCCCACGGTTGAGATCATCAACTCGGCATTCTGGGCGGAGGGTGATATTCCCTATGGAACCTACGGCGGCGTTGTGCGTGACGGCACTGTCTACCTCTGGGGACAGGGAACCAACAGGGATGTTAACCTGGCGCGCGTGCCTGTTGACAGCGTCGAGGATACGTCACAGTACGAGTACTACGTGAGCGGTGCCTGGTCCAGTTCCCAGCCAGTCCTCGGCGACACTGCTGCCACCATTGACAACGCCAGTGCAGGCGGTCAGGGCACGTATTATTATTCCAACCCCTGGCACTCCTATGTCTGGATCGGCCAGGCGACTGACTCGGTCTCGGCTGATTTCTACATCACCACCGCCTCCGCACCGGAGGGCCCTTGGATTGAGCCTTTCAAGTTCTATTCTGGTGTCAACGGCAACTACTCTCTCGGTGCTTATACTCTCCAGGCTAATCCAGATCTTTCACCAGCGGACAGCAATGAAATCTACCTAACATACACCAAGACCGACGCTGTCGGAGATAACGTTGCGCTGTATACTACTCCTCTGATCCTTGTTGAGTGGGATGACTAGGTGCCACTGGCGGCCCAATCTGATTCGGAGTGAATATTCCGGGCTCGGAAAAGCCTGAACTTCGGTGTTTACTTGTTCGGCTCAACTTGATTCATGGCGAGGCTTTGCTGCAAGATTGTGTTGGGCTGGTGTTGTGTCCCGGATCCGAGCCCGGATCCGGCTGGATGTACATGTTCAACCCTTTCAACCCTCAATTATATAAGAACGAGTGCTGGCTACTCTTTTTTGTAAATTCTCTCTCCGTATCTCTATTCTATATTCTTATCATCTCCGATAAAGCCCTGGCTCATTGCCAATAAATTGTCAGAATGCATGTTCTGGTCATCGGAGGCAGTGGTCGCACCGGAAAGCTCGTCATTGATGACCTACTTCAAAAAGGTATGGTTAACTAGCTACACAGCTAGATAAAATTTACTAACAGTTGATAGAGCACCATGTCATTGCTCTCGTCCGGAACCCTGGAGCGATGGAAGCACGAAACGGCTTGAATATCGTCGAAGGTTAGCTTCTCCCGTTCCTCGCCGTTCAAGCCAAAATGTAACTCATTCTCGACAGGAACCCCCACAAATCTATCCGATATCCGAGAAGCCTTTCATTCCCACACCCCAGACGTGGTGATCGTGACCCTCAGCGCTCCCCGGGCCAGTGACAGCCCATTTGCCGCACCCATTTCCCCACCACGGTTGATGGCCGACTGCAACGCCAACGTGGTAGCCGTGATGAAGGAATTTGGGGTGAAAAAGGTCGTTATTTTACAAGCGCTCGGGGTTGGTGCTTCATGGCCGAACATGTCGTGCGTGCTCCGTCTCTTGATGAGCAAGTCCAATATGAGCTATCAGTATGATGATCACAATCACACGGACAAGGAGGTCCGGGGCAGTGGTGTCACCTATGTCATGGTACGCCCTGCTCGGTTGGTGGAGACTGATGTGACGGCGGTGCGAGAATGGCCCCACGATGGTAAGGGAATTCCCCTGATGGCCACTGCTAGCCGGAAGAGCGTGGCTGGTTTTTTGGTGGATGCGGCGACCGAAAAGTCTTGGGATAATAGTGCGCCTGTTATTTCGAACTGAGTTGAGAATTTATATGTTACGTCGGTCGTCAATAACGCACTGCACTGGCCATGGCACGAGAATTAATAGCGGCCATTTGGAAAATCAACGACCTATGTTATTTGATTTTGTTTCTTGAAGGGCAAATATGTGACTGGTGGTTAAATATTTGCAAGACAAATCTATCATAGTGTATATCGAAAGGCATTGCCACGCGAAATTCTAATTGTCCTTCCACCTCTATACCTTCAACTTCTCGATTTCGCTGCATACGGCATCAACGACTCCCTGGGTATCCGACGTGCCACCCAAATCAGGCGTCAATACGCCCGCAGCACAAACCCTTTCGACACAACCCATGAGCTTATCAGCCGCTGCTTTCTCACCAATCCAAGTTAACATCTCAGCCGCCGACCAGAAGGTAGCAACGGGATTCGCCACACCCTTCCCAGTGATATCAAACGCACTGCCATGAACAGGCTCAAACAGGGACGGATTCTTACGCGTCGGGTCCAGATTCGCCGAAGGAGCCACGCCAATTGAACCGGCCAACGCAGCTGCAAGATCCGACAAGATATCCATGTGTAGGTTCGTACCGACAATGGTATCAATCGACTGCGGCTTGGCCACCATGCGCACCGTCATCGCATCCACGAGCATCTTATCCCACCTCACGTCGGGGAAATCCTTCGCGACCAACGCCGCGACTTCGTCCCAAAGGACCAGCCCATTGCGCATGGAATTACTCTTCGTTACCACGGTGAGAAGCTTCCGGGGTCGAGACTGGGCCGTCTCAAACGCGAACCGCATGATCCGCTCGATACCCACCCGCGTGAATATGGCGACTTCAGTTGCGGCTTCCCATGGTTGACCGACGTGTGAACGTCCTCCTTGACCGGCGTATTCGCCTTCGGAGTTCTCACGGACGAGCATCCAGTCGATTCCCTCGGTGGCGGTGTTGAGAGGGCATTTTGTGCCCGGGAATGTCCGCACTGGTCTCACGTTGGCGTAGAGTTGAAGCGGGCCTCTTATGGCGAGGAGGAGGCCCCACAATGATATATGATCCGGCACATCTGATGGGTGTTAGGTATTGTTTAAGCGGAACTATTCATTGATTGAACGTACCTGGCGCGCCGACTGCCCCAAATAGTCCCGCGTCGAACTTGCGCAGTGTGTCAAGACAGTCGTCCGAGACATATTTGCCATGTTCCTTATAGTATTCCGTTCCCCATGGGATATGAGTGAAGTCAATATCGAATGTTCCCAGAGTTTTGGCGAGCTTTTCCACCACTTGAATGGTGGCGCTGACCACTTCGGGGCCGATACCGTCGCCCGGAATGGATGCAATACGATATGAGCGTACCATTTTGATAGGAAATAAAGTTCAACCCAAAATGATTTGCTAGGGCATCTAAAGGGGAAGAAAGTACCTGTCTTTAATAATCGTTACATCTCGCGTATCCCAAGGTTGTTTAACTGGCAGAATGTTCACCCCGCGGTCGGCAAAACTTTCAGGCGATTTCCTCTCCCGCTTTCTCTCTTTTCAACATCCTCAATCAACTCACCACCGCCAAATAATGAGGCGTCAAATGATCAAGATGAAGGTTAATAAGCCCTCCAGAATTACCACCGCGTGTAATGCCTGTCGTTCGCGCAAGCAGAAAGTGAGTTTCTATCCTACGAGCCTACTGATCACACATTAACCAGACCCGAATTCAGTGCAGTGGCAAGAAGTAAGGAACTTCCGGTCTAATATGAAGCGATGTATATAGACTAACTAAGTTTAGACCTGTTTGCCAACAGTGTCATGACTACAATCGGCCGTGTGACTGGCCCGAACAGTTGAGGAGGTAGGTGAGATATCTGTGCATCAAGGAACTCGCTAATACAGATACTAGGGGGCCCGCAAAGGGATATGTGGAAGCATTGGAGCATCGGCTACAAGTTACAGAGAGTGTTCTTCTGAGACTGCTCTCCCAGGTCTCTGATCCCGAGCTGTCCCATATCTTCCCCGAAGACTCGCTCCTCGGCGATACCGGAACGGGCTACGCACCATTGGCAAGACTCGAGAAGAAAGGCGTGGAAGAGTGGTCCCAGTTTCCTCTTGATTCGGCAGAAAACATCCGGAAGTGGCAGCGAGTCTGTACAGGTCAAGGAAGCAATGGATCCGGCAGTCCAACCGTTGAGCCTGAAAATTCTCCCACAGCTCATAGGGGAGTGAAACGGAATAGGCTGGAGAGTCATGAGCAAGAACATCCATCTTCGCCAATTTCATTTCGGCTAACCCCTCGACAATTACTTTCTGGACCTGGTCATCGAGCGACCTTTGAAACAATAGGATCAGAAACACAGGGCCACTCTGATGATGGAGTAAGTGGGTCCAACGAACAAGATGTCAATACAAAGCAGAGCCGCAGCTCTTGGGACGGAGCACCGTCTATCAGCTTCCAGCAACAGTTTCTTTGGTAAAAAGAAACCAATCACGATTCAGATTGGTCCACATTAGGCTGGGGGAAGAGTTGTGCAAGGTCGGAATTACCCCGGGAGCCGCCCCGCATCTTGATCGCCTGCTTCCCCACAAACATTTTGCATGACATGTCCGATTATGGAACTAGCTCAAGGGGTCCGGTTACAAGTGTCTCTGGCCCCACGGCGGGGGAGGGGCTCTTAACTCGGAGAGCTGCTGGGCTATGCGATTTAATTGCGTCAACCTACCGGACATTTTCTCAACCATTGACTCAGCCCTGAACTATGGCAATCAAGAAGGTAACACTATCAACACTCCAACATGATACCACCACTGACAATCATCGCAGGTAATTGTCGTAGGAGCCGGCCCATCAGGCCTAATCCTCGGTCTACTACTCGCAAAACAAGGCATTGAAGTCGAGCTTCTCGACGCTGGCGCGGAGCTAGATGACCAGCCCCGCGCAGCACACTATGCCTCTCCAGCAGCCTACGAACTAGAACGAGCCGGCGTCCTCGACGATGTCAAGGCGAGCGGCATAATGCCCAAGGGATTTGCCTGGAGGCAGATGGACACCACTTTCATCGCAGGATTGAACCTCGACGTGTTGCCTGACGACTACCCGTACAAAATGCAGGTTCTCCCACTTGATCGCCTGGGGAAACTCTTGTACGAACATATCCAACGTCAGCCGACCGCGCACGTGAAGTGGTCTCATCGTGTTATTAAGATTGGTCAGGATGAAGGGAAGGCGTGGGTTGATATTGAGACTCCAAATGGCACAGTGCGATCCGAAGGTGACTACGTGATTGGCTGTGACGGGGCGAGCAGTACCGTACGGCGAGAACTATTCGGTGCCGAATATCCCGGTGAGACGTTGAATGCACAGATTATCGCGACGAATGTGGGATCCTCTATCTCTTCATTTGGAGAACACTGCTGATGATTACTAGGTGTACTACGACTTCGAGCGCTACGGCTACTGGGATAGCAACTTTATCGTCCATCCTACAAACTGGTACATGGCGGCGCGCATCACCCAGGACGGACTTTACCGTGTCTCTTATGGTGATATTCCTGGCCTCGCCAAGGAGGAATATACTGCCCGTCAGCCTCGGCGCTGGGAGGAGATCTTGCCCGGGAACCCGAAGCCGGATCAATACAAGATTGTCAACATGAATCCGTATAAACTGCAGCAACGGTGTGCACCGAGCTTCCGGGTGGGAAGAATTGCTCTTGCGGCAGATGCGGCTCATCTCTGCAATCCATTGTGAGTGTAGCTGTAGCTTCCATTCTCTCCGGGTTGACAGGATAGAGACTAACAATTGATTACAGTGGTGGTCTCGGACTTACAGGCGGCATCGTCGACGTAGGCAACCTCTTTGACGCTCTGATGGGTATCCACAAGGGACTGGCCGATGATGATATCTTGGAAAAGTACGCCGAAGTTCGCAAGCGCATGTGGGAGGAGGTCATCGACCCCATGTCTCGCGAGAACTTCCGACGGCTACATGATCAGGATCCTGAGAAAGCGCGAGAGAATGATGACTTTTTCCAGGCGCTGATCAAATCGGAGACGGATGGAGAGCTGGCGAAGGAGTTTGCTCTGGTGAGTACTACTCGTTACTGAATTTTGAATAGTAAGATACTGATGCTTGTGATAGGGGTTGAATGTGCTGCAGCATGATATGACACAGTACTATACCAAGGGTGTATAGTCACTCTGGGTCATTGAATGTATGAATTGGGCGGATAGATTGAGAAGTAGATATTATGAACATTCAAATATTCCCATATATTCACAGCTTCCAGGTATTGCCATTGGACATCGATGGTTGTCACTCTTATCCAGCTTACGCACCGGTGCTGCTCCATCGCTCGTGCTCTCTTCCCAGCGGATTGTGCCTCAACCCGTACGTCATGTCGATAGTCCATTCACATGGTCCACGTAAACGACTCATCATCAAAGGAGAACACATCCATCTCGAAGTTGTTGAACTCATTCGCAAGTAAAGATGATTGTGACAGGTCTGGCATCTGAGAAGTGGGAGGTAATTGTGGCTGACTGCCAGGTGGGATGATAGACTCGTTGGACTGAATCTGTTGACGTGTCAGCAAGGTCCTACATACTGAGGCAAGATTATGAATTGATACCAATTGAACAAAGTCCGCCAGCTGGAGTCCAATCGACTGTTCCGCAGCCGAGGTTAGTAGATGTTGTCGACATGCCGACAGTGCCTTCTTCGCTCCTTGGGAGATGGTCCGAACTCGTTGTTCAGCTGTGCCCCGGGCACGTACTGAGTGGAGGACAACTGCCAGGAAGAGAATGTCTTTCATGTTGCTGTTTTTCTCACCGATACGACGCGTCAGCGTGGCGAGCGCGTTCTCAACAACACGGATCAGACTTGCTTTGGTGTGTGTCTCATAGTGGGAAGGGGTTTCCGATGACACATCGTTGGATGGAGAGTGGATGGTGGAACGTTGATTGGAGAGTCTCATGTGTTCGCAAATGCTGAGAGCAGACAAGAGGATGTCATTTTGAAAGAGTATGCCGAACGCGTTCCAGTACGTGTTCAAATTGGAGACCTCAATATCGGAGATGTTGGGATCAAAATAATCTTGATAGGATAAAATTTCCAATGAGGAGTCAAGGCATACGCGTTGGACTTCGTAGAATGAAGTGTCACTGCTATTATTCGGGGCATTGGTGATCACAGGTCGGTAAAGGCAGAGAAGAGGACGGCGAAGAGAAATATCAAGGAGGACGCGTTGGAAAACAAGTGAGGGATCCTGGCTCCCCAATTCAGGTTTTAACCTCAGATGGGGTGACACACTAAGTAAATACTCCTCGAGTTCACGTCCCTGCTTGACGCGCTCTTCAATGTTTTCACGCGCGTTTGTGTTCTGTGCCATGTTCATGGCTCTGATCCGTTGAGACAGGCAAGTAGCCAGGATTATTTGAGCGGAGGAATCGGTTTCTTCGTCCAAGGTCTTGCATAATGGCCGGTTGGGTGTGGACTCGTCAAAGTCTTCATCATTGAGATTGTTGGGAGTCAGGGGGCCAAAGTCAAGAGCTGGGGTCATGACAGGCATGCCCGACGCGATGGATGCTTGGAGGTCCAACTCAACGATGGTTATCCACAGCCTGCGTCGGATCTCTGCCTGGAAGAATGACAGATTCGTGGCTTGGGACAGATTGACATGAAGACCCATCGTCATGGCAGATCGGACGAGTACACCACTGGCTTTCCATTGTTCTTCGACCGGCACGAGGCGCAGTTGACAAGAGAGAAGGTGGATTGTTTGAACCTGAAGTGAGCACAACTCGACAGTTTGCTTCCGCGGGAGATTTTTCAGCCAGTCTGAGATAAGATCTGGTGCATCTTGCATCAAATACTCCCATGATGATGAATATTCCGGTAAAGGTGGTGATGTTTCGAAAGAAACAGCCACAGTCAGTATTGAGGTGAGGAGGGGAACAAAGAAAGATATTGAGGAGGAGTGGGTTTCTTTGTTATCCCAAAAGTCGTTGTATTGGCGTAGAAGTGAAGGGATGTGGAGGATTCTGAGAGTCTTCTCGAAGATCTTGGTGTAAACCTCTAGCAGTTGGTCACAAACGGGTTTTGGAGGAAGAGAATTCAGCAAGTGCTGCATCTCGGGGAATGTGTCTAAGCCAGAGAGTGACTCTGGCGAAGCCATCACCAGTTGAGACTTGGACTGGAGAAATTGGACTTCTTTGGCCAACCCCACGAGAGCCGAATCACTGGAACATTGGTTGATGAATGTTTTCGCGTCGGCGAACTGAAGACGCGTTGGTTACTGAATTCTATGGACAGAGAAGTAGACAAAGGTGTAGAAAGAGAAGACATACCTGGTTGAGTAGCGTGGTTCTGTTGTTCTGCCCATGGTAGCGGGAACGAGATCCCTTGACCACCAGAGTCCCGAGGAAGTGAGAAGTTGACTGAGTTGTATCAGTCTGGGGCCTGCCTTATCGATCAGCTTGGGCGAACCGATGGGAGAAGTTATTTCCTACCATGAACTCTGAACGGGGGCATCTCTGATCGGCCCCCAGTTCCCATTGGGCCCGGCAAGGCGCTCCTCGAGCTTGATAACCCGCATCTGCAGATCTTCGATGATGCCGACGCCCGCTATCGCCGGAATAGTGCGCTGATAATGCTCACCCTCTGTCAATTGGACTCGTTTTGGCGGGGATTGTGACTCGGCTCCGGGTTGTTGGTTGTAGGTGCAGTCGGCGCGGCAGGCCGACTTGACACAGTTCTGACACGGCATGAGTCGATCACATTTTAGTTTCTTTTCCCTGCATCGAAGACAGGAGACAATAGGCCGAGGCCGTTTACGTGACTGCGGGGTTTGCATTGATGCGGTTGCATTCACGTCACCGATGTTGAAGATGAGATTGCCAAGCATCGCCGACGCCCCAAAAGCGTCCCCCAAAGCGGCGCGATCCCGGCCCATCACATAAGCACCACCATGCCAAGTTCACTCTATTCTCAGGGAGTTTACCAATAGATCTACGGCCGCAGATAGGCCCCCTAATTCAAAATTATTTAGAGTCTTGGAAAGTCATCAAGGACGCGCTCTTAGTAGATTATCTTCTTCGCCACCCATGATAGTTGTTCTTGAAAAAGTCCACATAAGTCACATATTTACTGTTCCAAAGACCACAACCCATAATCTCATGGTATAATTCGTACATTCGTTCCAAGGCTTCTTCTAAAAGCTGGGGTATTGCTGTCCGACAATATCAAACAGCGAGTTGAAATCCGCCCCTTGAAGCAAATCAACCATATTCAAGTCGAAGCTCGAACCAGCAAACTGACCCGAGTCCGCATTCTGGAAGTTCAGCTCCGAAGACTGATTTGCATTATCAGCCAATAATGACTCCTCGTTGAAGTTGTTTGGCTGGAACGGTCCCAGGGGCGCTCCGTCGAGGCCAGGTCGTGACTCATGAAGACGTGAGTCTTCAAGGGATGCATCGGCTTGCCTCTGTTGCTCGTCGGCAATTTGGTTGAATCGTCCTTGTGGACCATCATTTTGAGCATTCATAAAATCTTGGCTGCGCGTTTCAATAGTGTCCATCGAGTGTGTTTCTCCCGGGTGCCGCATGGTATAAGCATGAGAGTTTGGGCCGTGGGGATGCCGCTCCATCTGTTTTATTTTTGCAGACATCAAGGACAGCGCCATATGGCAATGCTTGGCGGTCTGCCACTGAGGGGACATCTGCTTCAGAAACTCTGAGCACGCGTCAATTTCCCTGTCGACAGTTAATAACCGCTCCATCCTGTCAGCAGTGGTCTCGAATCCTAACTTACTGTAGACCCTTTGTTAACACGTATTGCTTGAGCTGACAAGCAAAAGCCAAGACCAAGCCTGACATCCAAGCTGCCGACACGAAGCCTGGCCAGAACAGAGCTTGGCGGCTATCAACTTGCAGTTTCAATGCCGCAAGGATTGACCTTGCAGCGCCAATGCAGGTCTGCAGCCCAGAACAAAACTCCGCAGTTGAAGGGTCAAATGATAAGGAGGGACGATGGATAATCAAGATAAGATGCTGGTAGAGAACGTTGAAGAATGGACCAAAGTCAAACGGACTATCGGAGTCTGCAGCCGCCACTCGCTTGTCGACTTCGGGCGCCATCCCTTGAAGTTCAAGGGGAAGGCTATTCCACCACTTGTGAACATCCGTCACTAAGAAAAGCACAGAGCTGCGGCGCACCGAGCGAACCAAGATAGACTTGTGCAAAAGTTCCAGTGCCCGGCCGGTAAGTGTTCCGGAATCAACGTAGCTGGCAAGCACACTCTCCTTTTTGCGGTGATCCGCCCCTGTATTCCCCGGTGATTGCTCGTCAGTTTTATCGTTTTCATCAGGTACCGAGTACCTCGATGAGACACTCGACTGCAAATCCCTCAAACGTCGCGGAGAATGCATCTCCGGCGCAGCAGGCAGACACACATCGATATCCGAATCCTGGATACCAAGAGGCAGTCCCAATGCCTGACTCAGATACCGATCAATAGCATACGCACACCAGAAAATGCGCTTCCGCAACTGTCGATCATGCGACGAGAGCTGCGCATACCGGAACGGGCATCGGTGCAGGCCGGCATGCATCATGGATCGCAGAACGCACCCGCCAAAGGTAGATGCAAGGCGCAAAGACATTGTTGCAACGAGATATACCTGGACAGCTAATAGAGCCTGTAGTGACGCGATGTCATGCCGCGTTGCCAGGCTTCCGAGTAAAGAGATCACGCAGCCGGGCGATTGAATCCGAGAGGCGGGTGGAAGCTCCAGATCTGGGCGAAGAAGACTTCCTAGGTTGAAGATGCATTGCAATATTACCGTCCAACATGTATCCCGGCGATCTGGATGGTTTTCGGCGGTAGAAGTGTCTTCGCCGGAGCTGGAATATAACTTCTCCATAGCGTGCAGGAAAGTGGGACCATGCAAGAACGGGAAGAGAGGATGCCAGACTCTGAAGTACATCATCATGAGCACTTTCGAGAGCTCCAGAGGTGGTGCATTGCCCATCAAAGCGGCGATTGCTGGATCGTACTTCCATGGTGCTGGAGACTCGCCGGCGGCGGGTGAGGCCGAGTCGGGCTGCGAAGACGCCGTGCGTAGTCGCTTCCGTGGCGAGTCTTCTGCACCCACAAGGGTGTCTTCTGCATTTGGAAATTCTGTCTCCGGAGATCCTGATGCATCTAATCCAGCAGAGAATGCACGCTTGACAGTATTGATGAAGTAGACGCCACTGGAGCTGCCGACGAACTGGCTGTCCTCATTTGAATGCGCTGTCAAAGAACCAATCTCGGAAGTCCCAGGAGTATACCCTGGCGGATCCATGATCTAATGCACATTGCTTGACCTTTAGACATTCCGAGCAACGAAATGTGCTAGAAGTCTTGCTCTCGGACGAAAATCGATGGTCATCGTGATTAGTAATCAGTCTATCCCGGAAATTGACAACGGCCTTGTTACATCTACAACGGACGTAAAGTGAAAGAAAGTTGAAGGAGAAAAATAAGCAACTCGGGCTCGTAGCCATCCCATTAACTTGAACTATCTGCGCCTTCGAAACTGAGCACACTCAACGGGAATGACACGCGAGACCTTCCGCGAGGAGGCTATAACTCTATGTTACACTCGTAGTGGATGAAAGGGGAGAGATACGAGAGGGAGAAAGGTAGAGACAAAGATTGGGGGACAGGAAGAGAAAGACGTCACAAATCCCTCCCGGCAAACAATAAAGAAAGGAAAGTAGATCATAAGAAACCCACATTCAGCGCCCAAAGAGAAGAACTTTTACCGACCCGGAGAGACAGTGTCGTCCCCCATTGCAAGCTTGGCATTTGACCCTCTTCGCGAATCCAGGGGGTAAGGAGACGAGAGAAAAGTCCAGTGTACTAGAGGCGAGGAGAAATTGAAAATAATGTCGTGCCGCGTTCACTAAGCACCAAAAAATAGGTGACACTAACACAAGAACTTTTCAAACCGAGGGATATCGAGATTGGAGGGAAGAGGGGAACACCGAGAAAGGGTCAACAGGTAGTAGAGAAAAAGAAAAGGAAAAAGGAAATGGTCATCAAAAAACGTGCGTTCCAAGATTTCCGAGCGGAGGCAGACAAGCGCAATCTGAGCATTCAAGTTCACGACTGCCTGCACGGAGCTTGACAGGACAAGTCATCTAAGACTTGTTCTCCTCCGAAGAAGCCTCCTTGGCGGCCTCCTCGGGCTTGGCCTCGCCAGCCGCCTCACCCTCGGTACCCTTGTTCTTCATATACTCGTCATAAACGCTGAGGGCCTCATCGACCTTGGCGCGCAGAGCCTCCTCATCATCAAGCCTGGAAAAATAAAGTTAGCATCGTGGTTCTCAATGAGATCGAAAGATCGAAGGGGAACTTACAGGCCAAGCAGCTCAGAGTTGTCCATCTCCAGAAGCATACCAGTAATCTTGCCAGCAAGCTCAGGCTGCTGAGCCTGGATCTTGGGGTAGAGAGCCTCGCCGAGCATCTGCTTCTGCTGGGCAGGGGGAGCGGAGACGAGAGCAGGGTTGCTAGAGGCAGGCTCGGCTTGGCCGGGCTGGCCGGCAGGGGCCTGACCACGGCCCTGGCCGCGGCCCATCTGAGGACCACCACGACCGTAGCCAGGGCCACCACGCATACCCTGGCCCATAGGCATACCAGGAACCTGACCACGGCCACCGGCACCACGGCCGAAGGAGGGGACCTGCATGGGGTAGCCCATACCGTTAGGCATACCGGGGCCCTGCATGCCCATGGGCATACCCTGGAAGTTGGGGGGCATCTGCTGGTTGGGACCCATGCCGCGACCACCCTGCTGACCAGGGAAGGGACCGGGGAACTGACCGGGGCGTCCACCGGGCATGCCGGGCATGACCATACCACCCTGGGGAGGGAAAGCCATACCACGCTGGGCACCGGGGATGAAGCCCTGCTGGCCGGGGCCGTAGAAGACGGCGGGCTGCATGTAAGGCTGGGGCATACCGGCGGCGGCGGCGGCCTGCTGCTGACGGATGGTGTTACGGGCCTGGATGCTGGCCTCGAGCTGGCTGCGGCGGACATCCTTGCGCTGAGCAAGAGCGACGTAGAGAGGCTTGCCGTTGACCATGCGCTGGTTCATTTCGGTCACAGCCTTGGAGGCCTCATCGGGGCTGCTGAAGCAGACAAAGCCGAAGCCCTTGCTCTTGCCAAGACCCTTCTTGTCAGACTTCTCGCCCTCCTCCTCATCACCCTCCTCCTCCTCCTCCTTCTCCTCCTCGGTCTTCTCCTCGGTCTTCTCCTCGGCCTTCTCGGCCTTCTCGCCCTCCTCCTTGGACTCGGTCTCCTTGTTCTCCTCACCCTCGGGGGTGGGGCTGCCCTCGCTCACGGAGTCACGCATAACCTTGGCGGAGGTGATGGTGCCGTAGGGGGTGAAGAGGTCACGGAGCTTCTCGTCATCAACGTCATCAGTCAGGTTCTTGACGTAGAGGTTGACACCCTGGTACTTGGAGGCCTTCTCCATACGAGCAGCCTCGTACTGCTTGCGCAGCTCCTCCTCACGCTCGTGCTTTTTCTGAGCACGGCCGACATAGAGCTTTTGGCCCTTGATGTCCTTCTCGTTCATCTCCTCCACGGCGGCCTGCGCGCTCTCGTGGGTGGAGTAGTTGACGAAACCGAAGCCACGGCTCTTGCCGTCCTGGTCGTGACTGAGAGTGGCGGAGGTGATCTCACCGAACTTCTCGAACATGACGCGGAACTCATCGTCGGAGATCTCGAGCTCGAGGTTCTTGACGTAGATGTTGGTGTAGTTGGCCTTCATCTCCTCGAACTTGCTCTGGCGGTCCTTCTTGGAGATGTGGTGGCCGACGAAGACCTTCTTGTCGTTAAGAAGCATGCCATTAACGTGCTTGATAGCCTGGTTGGCAGCCTCGGCAGTCTCGTAGTGGACGAAACCGTAACCCTTGGAGTTGGCGAACTCATCCTGGGCAACCTTGCAGGAGAGAATGTTACCGAAGGCAGCAAAGGTGTCGTGCAGAGCCTTGTTGTCGATGGCATTGTCAAGGTTCTTGATGAAGACGTTGCCCTGGCCAGTCTTGCGCAGAGCGGGGTCACGCTGGGACCACATGATACGGCAGGGCTTGCCCTTGATCAGGGTGTAGTTCAGGTCCTCGAGGGCGCGCTCACCGTCGGCGGTGTTGTTGTAGTTGACATAGGCATAGCCGAGGGAGCGGCGGGTGACGGCGTCACGGCAGACACGGATGGAAGCAACCTGGCCGATGGACGAGAAGAGCTCGTACAGCATGGCCTCGGTCACGGAGGGGTCGAGCTCGCCGACATAGAGGGAAGCCGAGTGGGGCTGGTTGTTGGCAGCAGCACCCTCGCCGGAGGTCTCGGGGGCGGCAGCAGGGGCCGGGGAACCGTTCGCCTCGGGGGAGCCGCTGGCGACGGCCTCAGCGGCCGGGGGGTTGGTGGCGGTTTCAGCAGACATTTTGGATAGCTGTCGTTACTGAGAATGTTTTAGCAAAGACTGGCCCTGAACGTCTGTGTGGAGTGGGGAGAAAAAGCGGTTGAGTGGACTGCAATGCAGAGCATGCCGTCTCTTCGGCAACAGTGAGGGATGGACAACAGTGAATGAGGGCGAGGGGTAGACAATCACAAAGGGGAATATTATATTCCACGAAACAAAGGGCTTTGAGGAAAATCGCACGGCGATGACCCAGGAGCAGGCCGGAATGACGAGGATCTCAAACAGACGAGGAGCGAGGCAAAGCGAGGGGAAATCGGAGACGCGACCAACCTGGAACGTGGAAAGAGGCGGTTGAAGGAAAATCTTCCACACACCGCACAATGGAGGGGATTAGGAGATAAGATAAATGGGATTTTTTGCAGGGGGTTTTTCGGGTTTTTTTGAGGGTTTTTTTTTAGGCTTTCGAGAAAGATTCGAAAGGAAAAAAAGAGTTCCCTTGGAAAGAGAGAGGGGTGGATAGACGAGGGATGAAGAAGGAAAAAAAAGTTGACCCGCGAAATGCCTTCTCGAAAACTCAGAGAGAAGTGAGTGGTACACTAGTCCTGTTTTATCGAATGCTGTTGCCGCTTTAGCCCTCGTCCTGATTAGGTCAGTGATGGTGCCGCTTTAAGGGTTTCGTGACAGTCACGAGATTCAATGTTATTTTCATTTGTGAAAATAGATGACGATAAAAACCAGTACACTATGAGAGAAGCAAAAAATTTTGGTAGATATGAGCAGCCATGTGAATGTTGCATCGCTGTGACTAGTGTGGGAGATGGACAATTATCGCTTAGGTATACGCCACTATGATTGTTCGCCCTCGGCCCAACGAGCGGCCCCTGATTTGCTCGATGCCGATGCTATGCATACACGAATCACACAGTATCAACGGTAGGCCTTCATGCACACAGAAAAGGAGAGGGGAAAGGAGATCAAGGAGGTGAAAAATGAGGCAACACCCTCAGCTCAGGTCAAACCCAGCTCCTGAGCTCACTGCGTACAGCAGCTTGCTCCGCAGGACCTCCGCACTAGAGTATCGCGGCAGCTTCAGTAGATTGACGCAAGTACTCGTGCTCGGCAGACGCTCTTGGTCATCGCTCGAGTCCCGGATGCTGAATCGCGGGTTAAGATGGCTGAATCCAAGTAACGGGGCCCGGGGCGTCGAGGTCACGAAGCGGATGACCTTCTGGCGTTCCTCGTTGTTCATGTCGTGCATCACCTGCCAAAACAGCTGCACCGTCGGGTGTTCCTGGTTGTCATCGCCAATGGTGTATACGCCGCCGTACTGTGTGTTCCGCCGGAGATCTTCCACGTCGATATCCGCGTTCTCTCCACTCACCAAGGTCTGCAACTCAGCCTGGTTAAACATGGATAACCACGCGGGCTGAATCATTTGACCGAGGCCTTGCAGGAAAGCGTTGGTCTGGTATTGTGGCTGCAGCTGTAGACGGTATCGGGCAATGTAGGAAATGTACACCAGTCGGTTCTGGTTGGTGACCGGAATCAACGAGCCACCAGGTCTCAGCTCTTTCGTTACCGTCCGGTGCCTGGAGCCAGGCAAGGAAATGGTATCGGTCACGGTGAAGTCAAGAGCGAAGTCCTCAACATCTCCGGAATAATTCTTGAGTTGCAGCTAGATGGGCGCGGTTAGCTGTATTCATGGTAAAACCATACCGTTGCTACTCACAAGACCTTGGTATAGACCAGCGTCCAGATCCTTCAGATCATTTAGGTTGGCCCGATAGGAGGACTCCTTCATGGCCGATCCCGTTCCTCCAGTCAGTGCCCATTTCAGCAGGAAGAAGGGCGCAAAGTTCACATCGACCAGAATGCCCTCGTAAAGACACTTCCCAATCACCCGTCCAAGGAACTCGTAGCGACGGAGAAGATCGCGGACACCCCCTTGCCAGTCAGGACTGGACTCACTCACCCCACTCTCCCGTAGCTGTTCCTTGCACTGTTCAAGGGCTGTGGGGTTCGGGTAAAGTAGGTGCTGGTCATTCTCAACGAACATGCTAAAGTTACTTTCGGTCTTGAAAGCTTCGGAGGTGATGCTAGTCAAAAATTCCTTAGTCACTCCACCACCGTCGATGCCCGCCTCCATGGTTCCGAATCGGTCAATGAAACTGATCTGAATCGGTTCTTTGAGGCCATCACCCAGCTGGTAAAACTGAGAGAGGGCATCATCAAAGATATGTTCCCGGCGGATCTCAGCTTGATGCCGCGCAAGGACGGCCTGTGCAGCAGGATGACCATCAATCATCTGCCCCATCGCAGCTTGGGCAACAGATGCGCGCCAAAGGTCGGGGTCAACAAACCCACGTCGGCGTCGGTGTTGATCATGGAAGATAAATTCGCGAAAGATTTGCACTCGGGTGGCGAATGGAATGAAGAACGGCATGTTTCGTAGGATCTCGAGTCTCGGTGCAATGGCCGCTAAGATCCTTCCGCGAGCAACTCGCTGCTGTTGGCGACGCATGGCCTCGATTCTGATGGTCTGCTGCGCATGCCCAGCCCCAGCTAGCCCAAGAGGCATGTTTGTTCCTTCCTCTTCAATAGGATCGGCTTCTTCATTGTCCTCAGCCCGAGCTTGAAATTCGTGTCTCTTTTCTTCTTCCCCGACGACAGATGGTATGAATCCTTCCATGTCAAATCGGCTGGTCATGAGCCAGTGGTCTCGAGGGAGGAATTTGCGTCGTGAACTAGAAGACATTGTTAAAATACGCAATACTAGCTGTTGCTTTCCACGTGTCAACTTACTCTCGTTCATGCAGCATTCGAAGCAGTCCAGTAACAAGTCCTTTGAAGTATTCGAGTGGAATTCCCGTCACCCCAGGGAGATTATTAGACTGGTTTTTGGTTTCCAAATCCTTAGTGCTGGGAAGTGGCTCTGAAGATGCATTGGTCGTGCTGCTGAAGTAGCTGCTGAGGCTTACTGCCGCTGGCCGAAGCGCAGGCTCACTCAAGTCGACCGCATTCCAGTAGAGGGTGAAAGCAAGATTCTTGAGAAAGACTGTCATATCCTGGACATCGCCCAGTGGCAATGCACTCTCTCTCGTCCATGAAGTCTTGGTGTTTTCGGAAGACGCAAATGAAGAGGCGCTAGAAAAGAACTCGTCATCATCCGTGACTTTTAAGACAAAGGTGTAGAGCTCCAGGAAAAGGAGGATTGTTGTCCATTCCTGGTCTCTCTGGTCTCGGGGCACGTCGACGGGCTCGTTTGCCTGCTCTGGCAGTTGCAACAGTGGGAGGACTTTAGTCGAGTCTCTGCTGATAATTTCAAAAACTCGGCTAGATCTGGATGCTTGCCAGAAATATTTGATCGCGGGTAGGCCAGACGCTTGGTCCCCTGAAGGTGCGGATCCGAGGTACAGCCACATTCGGATATCATCACCACGTCGGGGAAAGATTCGGAGCAAGTTCAAGGCATATGTAGCAAGAACTTTCGCCTCTTTTGAAGCATCAGAGTCGCTGGTGGTCAACTTCGCCTGAGGGATATGGGATGTTCGAATTCGAGAAAAAAGCCCAGTAACACTGCTCTGGTTAACAAGACCTGTTACCTGATCCTTGATAAATGGAGGCAAAGGGTAGGCGACCCTTGGTTCGTCCAGGCTGCTCGTTTCTTCTGCATCCAAGCCTCGCATTAGGTGAGTGGCTGTTGAGTTCAGCAAGTCTGAGACTACCGTCACGAATTCCAGTTCCGGGGCACGATGATTAGCTTGGCTGCCAAGAGCATATCGTTGAAAGAAAATCAGGTAAGAAAGAAGCCAAGCGCGAGACTGTGCATCGTCTAGTACGCCCTTGGTGTTCGACGCAAGACAACCTGATACCGCTAAAGCCAGCATCCTATAGTTGATCTCGCTAGCCAGTCCATCTAGCGTGCCCAGGTATGTCTCAAGGCTCGGGATTGTGAGGTACGAAGTAGCAAAAGCCTCGTAGGCTGCCATTGTCTCCGAGGTGATTGGACGCAAAAGTGCAAGAACACCTTCTGTGATATTGGCCGGACTGATCCCCTGGTCTCGTCGACTTGCATCTTCGTCAAAGTCTGGTAGACGGAAAGTTGAGAGAGTCGTCGTCAGGTGTGCCATAGCACGGTAATATGTATCCGCGATAGTGGCCATTTGTTTCGGAATTAAACTGGTCAAGAAGATCACCGCTTGGAGAAGAGGCTCGACTGCATGGAAAGGAACAATAGGCTTCGATGCTGAGCTAAGGACGCTCAAAATAGTTTTGCTCAGCCGTTTGAGCAGCGTCGTCCACTCGCCCTCAGTGGCGACAGTGGGCAGACTTCGGAAGGTCTGCTCAAAAGCATCAACAAAATATACGAGGCGGAGGATATCATCGCTTTTCCGTGCCGACACAAACTGTACCAGCAACCGGAGCTGGGAGAAGCACTGGTCTGCTGTAGCGTACGGTGCAGGACGCCGTGATGACAATGTCCAACCCTCGCCTACCGGCATGCCGGAGGTGACCTCCATAGCATCCGTCAGGTTCCGTTCGATTGTATCCCATTCTGAGCGCCATATCCCATATGTTGACTTCCTGCTAATGTAGCCCCGCCAGACTCTTTGGACAACACGGGCCGCACTCTGCTTCTCCCTATCTCGCTCTCTCTGGGCTCGCTCCTGACGCGCAATTGCGACAGCGAGCTGTGGATTCGATGCATGCGGGGTTTGCCGGCCGGGTGAGAATGTGGCAAAGGGGTCGTTGATGCGGCCGCTGAGGTTGACCTGCCGCGGGCGACGAGAGTTGCCGGTGAAAGTATGGTGCATCGTGATGCCCTCTCCGCCCTGGGGACTGGAGAGGATTCAAAAGGTATCGGTCTATACAAAATCTGGTCGCTGGAGATGCAAGAAACAAAAGAGATGCAAGCCCATATCGCACTGGGCCTTGAGAGCAAGTGTGAAGAGCTATGACATACGCCGACTCCGATTTAAGCGCGGCATGGCGAGCTTATCGGGCTTATGCACACGGTGCACGCACTTTTTAAAGTTACGGATCAATTATTGCCACGCTATGAGAACGCACTCGGCAAAGATCTTCCACGGGCGTATTACCACAGGGAAACAAAAGAACTGGAGAGATGCTAAATGTAGTTTTGGATATTATTCGAGATGGCCTTTTCTATATGCAAATGACAAAATGTTGCATTTTCCATTCCAAATCTTCCTGAGCAGCCCGGCGCTGCAGCGTCAATATGGGGTTAATCCATAAGCGCTTCATGCTGATGGGTCTCGTATAGGCCCAATTTCAATCAAGTATGCTGTACATATAATACACGAAGGATGCGATCGTCCAGCGAGCGGTAGAATGGTGGAGCGGCAGATCGGGGTGGTGGGTAGCGACGGGGTGGACAATAGGATGTTTGGAACCGTTCCCTAGAACGGTAGTCAGAGGCTATTCAGAGAGAAAATGGTGTTCCGGATGCACTCACACTGTGGTCAGCTGGCTGGTCCCTAAGGGCCAAGGCTCCTTAGCTAGAGAAAGTTTTCGGTCATTGGCTCTTTTTCGATTCCTCGTTTTGCCCGAGCAGCTCCTCGTTTTGCTTGGCCAGAATTTCAGGGTGCTCCATCAACTCGCGCTGGTAGACTTCTTCGCCATTGCGCTCATGCCACAGGTCGACAAAGTCCCTGCCCTTCATCTTGTCGATCACGGTGTATGTGCGCCCATTCCGCTCAATCTCCTTGTTGTACAGACTCCGCTTCGGTTCCGCGCGTTTGGTGACAAAGGGTGTAAGCTACGTCGGTGTCAGTATGCTGTAGGTTGTAAACGTTCCAATGGACTAACCTTGAAGCCCTTCATATCTTCCGGAACGACGTAGGTGCGGACTTTCTTCCAGTCGATCACGTAGTTGCCCTTGTGGTCGAAGCGACCCATGGATCCTGTCCGGTTACCTTTGTAGTAGCCGCCATTGACCTGCTTGGTTGTCAAGCGCAGGCGCGCCATCATCGGGTTCGATGGCTTGAACATGTTGGCAATGAATTGATGTTCACGGGGAAAGAAGAGCGGGAGAGAACGTAGTCGAGGTTCAGGGCAAAAGTTCGGGTGGTCGGACCGCGCTAATCGCCGCGCCGAGAACTTTTTTTCTGCAAAGCAAAAAAGTTGACCGACCGACACAACCCCTCCTCCACGCAACGATAGGGTCTTTTGAGTGCCCTCGTGGACGGAAATCTTTTCTATCTACTTGACCGATTGAATTTTTTTCTTCCTGCAGATATGCCTCGCGAGCAGACTCAGCAGCGCGCCCCAAAAGACCACTCTGCGCCGCAGAAATCGGCACCGAAGCACAAGAACAGACGAGGCCTCGATGCCCTCTCCATTGCAGAAAAACAAATCAAAACAAAACTCGGCGTGCGTCGCAACCGCCTAGGTTTCTACGACGACGGAACCAACTACAAAAAGCATTCGCGCCGCGATGAGGACGAGGATGAGGATGAAGAAGAGCGCCCAATCTACAAACGCCGCAGAACCGATGGTGACGACCTTGGAAGCCTTGACGGCGGAAGTGATAGTGATGGCCACGAATGGAAGCTTGGACAAGTGGACAGCGACGACGATGAAGAGCTGGACAGCGACGAAGCTCTAGGAGAAAGTGACGAGGAGCGATTTGAAGGCTTCACATTTCGTGGAAGCTCTACGACCAAGTCCAAGCCGAAGCCGAAGAAAGCCGTCAAGCCTAAAAGGATCACCTTATCCGAGGATGAAGTCGAGTCTGAAGAAGACGAGGCGGATGAAGAAGACGAGGACGACGACGACCTCGGAGAGGACGCTGTGGATCTTCTTACCGCTTGGGATATGAACACGAAGGAGGAAGAGGAGGACGCCAAGAAAGCGGCTGCAAAAACTAAGAAGGCTGCTGCAGGCGATGATAGCGAAGAGGATTTGGGCTCTCAGGGAGACAGTGAAGAAGGAGACAGCGAAGATGAAGCCAGTGATGACGATTCTGATCTATCCATGTCAGACGACGATGTGGATGCTCGAGAGGATGGGCTGGCCAAGCTGCAAGACTTCGTGAATTCAATGCAGACCAACAAAAACACTAAAAAGTCTGGCCAAAAGTCCCAGGAGCAGGGCAAGCCTTCCGAATACGGCTTGACATCCTCTCACAAACTGACTGTCGCCGATCTTTTGCCTTCGATCACGGATTCGCGCCTCAAGAGCTCTCTCAAGCACGTTGACGCTGCTCCTCAAACATCGAAATCGGGCATTCCGGGCAAGCTGGATGCTCCTCTCGCGAAGCGCCAGCAGGACAAGATCGACCGAGCTGCGGCTTATGATAAGAGCAAGGAAACTCTGGACCGGTGGCTCGATACCGTCAAGAATAACCGCCGCGCCGAACATCTCGTCTTCCCTCTTCCTGATCCCGACAATGAACAGGTCCACCGCATGGATGTGACTAAGCCATCTACAGACTTGGAAAGCACTATTCAAAACATCCTGCAGGAGAGTGGACTGGCCGAGACGAATGGCAAGTCTGCTGAAGAAGAGATTCAGGGCTTTGAGGAATTACAGTCCCGTACACTCCCCATTGAAGAGATCCAGGCCCGGCGAGCAGAGCTGCGCAAGCGACGTGATCTGCTTTTCCGGGAGGAGGTGCGTGCCAAGCGCATCAAGAAGATCAAGAGCAAGTCCTTCCGCCGCGTTCACCGCAAGGAGCGCGAGAAGCTCGAGCAACAGGAGCGCCAGGCGCTTTTGGAAGCCGGTGTGGATCTGGATGAGCAGGAGCGCGATGAGAACGAGCGGAAGAGGGCCGAGGCTCGCATGAGCTCTAAGCACCGCGAGAGCAAGTGGGCCAAGAGTCTGAAGGAAACCGGCCGCACTGCCTGGGATGAAGATGCTCGTAACAATGCGAACGATTTGGCCTTGCGGGAGGAAGAGTTGCGGAAGCGCATTGAAGGCAAGAGTGTCTCTCGCGGAGATGACGACTACCTCGGGTCTTCTAGCTCCGAGTCAGAAGAGGAGGACCCCTGGGCTGAGGATGCTTCTGATAACGAGAAGCGCAAGTTGCGGCAAAAGCTTGATGCTCTGGAAAAAGATGATGTTGAGGACGGTGACAAGGGACCTCATTCCAATCTCTTCGCTATGAAGTTCATGCAAAACGCCGAGGCCGCTCGCAAGGAGGAGAACGATGCCGAACTCCGACGGATCAACCGGGAGCTGCATGGCGAGGAATCCCAGTCTGAAGCCGAATCAGAGGTTGGTCGACGGAAGTTTGGCCAGTCAAAGAAGGCTGAGACCAAGTCCAAGGCTAAGTCCTTGCCGAGGAACGAGCTAGAGGATGCAGTTGATTCAGATGCCGCACCTGATTCAGACCAGGATGTCGACATCGTGGTCGACCGCCCTAGCAAGCAGAAGTTGGGCCTCTCCGGTCCAAAGTCTGCCCCTCGACCCAACACCAAGCACGCTGCCACGCAGAACGCTCCTGCGGAGGAAGAGAACCCCTGGCTGGTGCAGACAGAGCGCACCAACCGCCGACGAACCGGTGCAGATGCTTCGGAGACGATCGACATCTCACTCAATGACCCACAGCCTCAAGTCGCTGAGGCCAGCAGCTCGTCTAAGAAGAGCAAAGCAGCCAAGCCGACCAAACAGCGTGCTCATGAGAACGACAGCGACGATGAGGACAACGTGCCCGTCCTTCTGAAGAACCACGATCTAGTACAGCGAGCCTTCGCAGGTGACGATGTGGTGCAAGACTTCGAGCAAGAAAAGCTGGACACCATCGAAGACGAAGGCGACAAGATTGTGGACAACACGCTCGCAGGGTGGGGCAGCTGGACCGGTGACGGCGTCAGCAAGAAGCAGCAGAAGAAGCAAAAGCGCTTCCTGACCAAGGTGGAAGGAGTGAAGCCCGAGCAGCGCAAGGATGCCAAGCTTTCTCGAGTGATTATCAACGAGAAGCGAGTCAAGAAGGTAAGATCTCCGTTTCGATTGACTTGGATGAAAGCTAACTTATTCTCAACCCAGAACGCCAAGTACATGGCCAGTCAACTACCTCACGAGTTCGAGAACAGGACCCAATACGAGCGGTCTCTGCGCATGCCTCTGGGTCCGGAGTGGTCTACGAAGGAAACCTTCCAGAGTGGCACCAAGCCTCGCGTTATGGTCAAGCAAGGCATTATCAAACCGATGGAGAAGCCCATGTACTAAGCATGTTACGCGGGCAAGTTGGAAATGTGTACATGCAGTTAGTTGTCTATACCTACCATGGACCGAGAGATTATCTCCGCCATGAAAAATACCATTTTGAGATTGTGATCTACTTCCGCTTTGTGAGAGGGGCAAGACCATAGCAGTTCCTGATTTCCTATCAAAGTTCTTCAGATAAATGCCATTGCAATCTAATATATACCCATCGCCGCAAAATAGCTACTAGAATAATCGCGTTGCATAAACCGGGAAGCACAATCCACAGCCAAATTAAGAAAGAGATTCATCGGTGCGGACAATAAACGAGTGGAAATGGAAGCCCACAAACGCCTGAACACCTCAAGAGAAAGATAGCGTCGAGTTCTTCAAGAACCACCGCCAAGTGGACCACCACCAAGGCCAGCCGCGAACGCCATGTACCAGGTTCTCGTGGCACCGCCGTCGATAAAGGTGTAGTCGAAGTCATCCTGGGCGAAGAATTGCCAGGAGGCCTGTGGATCGATAAGTGCAAGGTTGGCGTATAAGACACCCTTCCAGCCGCCTTCGACTTCGCTGGCGGGGGTTGAAGCGTTCGCAGCGAACATGTCCTGCCACTCCTGGCGCACGAACTCTTTCTGGCGGGCGTAGGGAGAATGAGGGAGAAGAGGTAGCATGTGGATTCTGATACATGTTAGCAAGTTGTTCCAATGAGGGTCTCTGGGAGGGTTCACATACCCTTCTATGTATTCAAGATTGTTGCCGAAGTAAGTAGTGTGATCGACCTTGTTCTCGAAGAGCTGTGGGAGTTAGTTTTGAGTCCAATGAAGCAGTGGGTCAGAGGTTCTTACAATGCCAGTAACCCGGTTGGGAACGAAGTTCTCCGGTTGGTTTTCGTTGTTGTCTTGCATGAGGAAGTAGTTATTAAGGGAGCGACGCAGGATTCCCAGCATCATGTTTCCTCGAGCTTCCATGCTGGCATCCCCGGTGGTCTGACCCCACATTTTGATAGCGTAGGCGAACATAGTGTCCTCAGAGGTGGACTCTTGGTCCTTGCCATCGAATGATTCAAAGAGACCCTTAGCCCAGGAGTGGCCATTGTACCAGTCAAAGCCACGAGAGAAGGGGAAGTAGGCATCATAGTCGATGGAGTTGCCGGCATCACGGACCAGCATGTTCACATAGTCCTTGTTCTCAGCCAGCCAGTTTGGGTCGAGGGCTCCGATGATGGCAGCTGCGTGGATAAAGTAGCCGTAGTGGAAGTGGTGATCGTTGTAGGCGGTGTTTCCAAAATCCTGGTTCAGGTCGCCATCGTAACCGGCAGTGGAGACAGCGCCCTTCCAAACGGCATCGTAAGCCAGCGGGTATTGCTGCTGGTTCTTCACAAAGCGAGCAAAGGATTTTTTGAGATCCCGGAAGGCCTTGACGCCCATACCGACATTGTGACCGAGCTGGTTTACAGTGTAAATCAGGGTAGCAAATTTGCTCAGCGCCTTTCCACTGTAGTACATGCTGTTCAGGTTGGTCTGGCCTTCAATGTCCTGATTGAGTTCAGTGGGCGCTACCTTAAGAAGGGCGTGCTGGACAGCTGGAGAGAGTTCGTGAACGGTGCCATTGGTAGTACTCCACGGTGCAAAGCCCATATCGATGGGAAGGTTAGACTCAGTCATGGTCCAAGTCTCTCCAATCACGGCAGTTGCATTACCCTTGACGGTACTTCGAAGGTGGATATCAGTCTTGCGGCTACCGGTGCTAGGGTCGAACGACTCGATATGGTGAGGCAGGGCAAACATGATGAGAGGAGAGCCATTGGCGTGAGACCCAGCCTTGGTCCAGGACATGCTGTAAGTGCCGACGTCACCAGTGACGGTGCCAGTTACGTGGGCGTCAATCGCATAAACACCAGCGGAGTTGTCGTAGAACTTCTCTCCGGACTTGCCAGCAGGGTTCTTGGCAACCTGGATAGAACCGGTGAATCCATGGGGACCACGCAGACTGGTCGTCGAGACGAGCTTCATGTTTGGATCCTTGCCATTGGTGGGTGCGGCATACACGATCCACTGGGTGTCGTCCTCGAGAGTAGCGACATACTTGAAGATACCCGGCTTGGGGGACCCAGCATTAACGACCTTGCGGAAGAAGACACCGCTCTCGATAAGGGGCTGGAGGTCATTGTAAACACCAGTCACGTACCCCATACCCTGGACAACAGGAAACCTGATTTCCTGGGCCGATCCACCAGATCGTTTCAGTACTGCATGGGCAGAAAATGCCTTGGGCTCATCCACGACCATGGTGCTCGATTCATCCAGCTCGGTTGCTGACAGGATCATATGCTGCAGTCCAACGGGGTTGATATAGTACTCGACGGGTTCGCCGGGGATCTTAGGGTTTTCGGGGCCAAAGGCCAACATGTGTTCCTGGAGGTGGGAAACAGACATGCCCCAGCTCTTGAGAGTGCCACCGCCGCGAGACCAGGCGATAGAATAAGGCTGGGGGAAGCTAGCATTACTTTGCGTCCCAAGGAACAGTCCTGCGTAGAACTTGTTGGTTTCGATTGGACCCGTAGAATTGGCCTCGTTTGCGTGGTCAGCTAATTAAGTTATCAAGGAAGAAATATTGCTTACATGTTTGTTCTGAACTGGGTGGTCGTAGCGGACCTTGATGTTCGCCGGTGGAGCGCCAGTAGCAACCGGCTTAAAGATGTCTTGGCCGTTCATGCTGTGCGGATGACTTGCGATGGCTGAAGGGAGATCCGTGCCAGGTTGATCTGGCCAATGGTTAGCCCGCTAGATCTTTATTTGGTACTACCACGTCTTGAGTATTTTTCCAATGGCGACCTACCTTTTGCAGGACTAGTAGCCGGCTTAACAGCTGTGGTGGCAGGTTCAACAGCAGTGGTGGCAGGTTCAACAGCAGTGGTGGCGGGTTCAACAGAAGTGATGGCAGGTTTGACTGGAGTAGTGGCAGGTTCGACAGGGGTGACTGGCTCTACAGGAGCAGTGACAGGCTCTGTAGAGACCTCCGGTTTGCTGTTGGTGCTTGGCGTCGCCGGTACTGTAGCTTCTGGTGTTGGAGTAGCTGGTGGAGCTGGTACCGAAGGTGCAGGTGGAGGAGTTTCAGACTGCTGATCAGGAGTTGAATCAGAATCCCAGAAGTCGTCGATCCCGTCGAGGTAGCTGTCGATGTCAAAATCGGGGACCTCGGCCGATGGGGAGTCAAGCTCCGGGAAAGGAGGCTGTGATGAATGACCCTGGTTTTCCAACGCAGTACGGTAAATCTTTGTAACCAGTTAGTGTTTTCGCTCTTCCCAGCTAACTCAGTATGATAATACTTACCGGCTGCTCGGGAGGGATCGCTAGTCTCTCGTTACTGGGTGGATACTGAGTCTTAAATGCAGTTCTCGGCTGTGTCGCAGACTGCTCCAAGATCTCTGCGGCAGTGCCTTCACGCTTCGGCAGACCGTGCACTGAATCTGCAGCAAGAAGCCATGTTAGCATGGCCGTTGCCATCCATTTCGACCCCATGATGAAGGCGTAAACCCCAAATGCCAAATAAATGACCAATTGGGCTAGACAAGATAGGGTAGACAGCAAGCCTATTCTATGCTTCAAGAGACCAACGTGTACAATGGACCAGAAAGCACAGGGCAGCTGAGGCGTCGAAGGTCGAGACGTGTACAACCAAACGAAACGAGAGAGAAAAGCCTCATCGAGGGACACGGACTTACAAATATGCTATAAATTCCAGGAGGCAGAGTAAAGCCTCACCTAGCTTGGGGACTCTTCTCCAAATCGGGACGACACAAGGGCCGGATTGTTGTGAATGGCCTGTACAAAGAATTCCGGAGCTGCAGATCCTCATGGGAATCAGCCGCTTCGAGCTTCGCTAAAGCAATGAATAGCCAGATCCCCGCGGGATGGCGTGCGGTTCAGCAATGTAGGGCGTCCGCGACGATGTTCCAGAGAGGTGCCCGCTCCACCGTCGTCCCACTACACCTGGAATGTTCCCCGGTAAACAGAGAGTCCTACGATCGGGCCCTTGCTTGGAGTCGGGTTGTTTGGTGATTGGCGAAGGAATTGTAGAGTCCGGAAATATAGGGCCGTCGATGTAGTTGATGCAGTTGGTTCAATTGCAGGCAACTGTGTTGCGGGCGCCAAGGGTGTGGAGCTCCACGTCAACAGCGGTAAGTTTTCAATACTCTCCAGGGCCCAAGGTAGAGTTCACAATGAATCGAAAAAGTCGACATCATCAGCAATCCCATGGATTCGGCGAAACATGTCCTAATCAGCGGGCTGGTTCACCCAGCACGCGCATCTAGGCCTCTCAAACGGTCACATTCCAGTGCTCGGTTGAGGCTGGCCTCGTTGCCCTACGTCTCGCCGTCATCAGACACGGTACAGGTGACGACATCCGCGGCCATGCGAGCAGTGGCTGGGAGAAACGTGGATGGCGTCCATGTACAATTAGTTCTATGGGAATGGACGTACGCGATCTATCTTGCTACGCGTGCCCTGATGACGACATCGACACGAGAAAATATTCGAGGGAAAAGTAGACTATACTGATAATGCAGATAACTTCAAAGTCGGTGTTGCAGTCCCGGGCTCGGCATTTATTAGTACTCACCTATGTAGTACAATGCGGAAATATCGACGCTGGTAAAATGGCTTGCGGTGCACCCTCGTCCACAGAGGTCTTTCCAACCCATTGCTTCGAATTCTGGTGAAAGTAGCTATCCCCAGTGTAATAGCGATGTGTAGTAGCGATACGATGCTAAGCCCTATTTTAATAATTTTGGAAAATGCGAGATATATTTTGTTGGTGTTCCAGATTGCCCGGTTTGTGGTTTATGATAGCCGCTGTATATATAGTGGCTATCCCACCTGAGCAAAACTTAGCCACGGGAGTGATACACTGCGAACTGACTCGGGCTTCCCAGAAATCCGATTTTTATTTTCATTGCCCTTCAAATTCAATATTGGCTTTATTCGTCTCTTGTTCTTGTACCATGCTCAATAGGTAACGGGAGGTACTTAGTGTACAGAAAATACATCAAGTCATAACCACATTCAGCTAATTCACTACTCCCCAGCAAGAGGAAGATCCAAATCCACCACCCAAGGCGCATTCCTCGGCTCATAGCCAATAGTACAAATACTCGCGTTAACAAAAAGCGTCTCCTCCCCAACCCGTAACGGCCGCTGACTCTCCGTACTAACATCATAATATGCACCCCGTTTCTCAAGCATATCTTCCATATCACTCTGAACGGGCTCTTGCTTGATCCCATTAGACGCAAACGCATTCCACTCGCCGCGGATAGCGCCCCATCCTTCGTGGATATGCCCAAATAAATATACCCGTGGCCGGGCGCGTTCAGCTGCACGAAGGAGGTGCTTACATCCGACATGAGTTTCTGGCGGGACAAAATCGAGGACGTGTGCAGGTGGGCCATGTGTTAGCATGATATCGACGGCCGGGAAGTCCGGGACAGGGTTTTGCGGAGAAGGCTTATTGCTTCCCGGTAACGCAGGGTTGAATCGATCTGTGGAGCGTTTGTAGCCGAAGGCCCAGTTGCAGAATTCGGGTTGGTAAGGCGAGGCATAGACGGTCAATTTGGCACCGCTGGATAATGTGAATGTGTGGGTGCCTTCTTCCAGGTATCTTATCCCCGCTGCCACGGCAGATTCGTTTGTGTAGAGGTCTTTTGCGAGCTGGCAATAGGCTTTCATGTCTTCGAGTGGAGGAGTGTTGCTTGAGCGGATGCTCTGCATGAGGGGCTTTTCGTCATCCTCCAGATATGTGTCTTGGCCACCTAGCCGTTCGGGTCGGCGGTGTCGGAAGTAGCCAAAGCTTGTGAAGTGGTCTTCGTCTAGTGTCAGGTCGTGGTTTCCGGCGATGACTAGTTTGAGCTCTGCGTCGGCGGCTTTGAGCATCTCCACCGTCTCCTTGTGCTCGATGTGGTAGCCGACCTTTGTGAGGTCGCCCGCATGGAGGAGGACATCGGCTTTGGGGAGAGGGTAGCGGTATGGGTTATTGGTTTGTTGCGGAGGGTTCGGAGAGAAGGTGTGGGTGTCGGAGATCATACAGATGCGAGTTTTAATCCCCGCCGGCGGAGACATGTTGAGGGTACGTTATGAATGGGTAGGTAATTGAGAAAGTACTTGAGCATCGGCGATGGGGGATGTATATGATGAGTTAAACCTAGACCGAGGGTAGAGGGAGTGTTGAGGAAGTTGGAAGTTGGCAAGTTGGAAGCGGCCTACGGCGGGGAGAAGAGTCAACCCCGCAACAGAAAAGACTACACGAGACACATGAGACAAGTAACATAAACAGGAATCATTTCCTTGGAATTGACGGCTCAGAGCTCTACAGACATTCGCATCCGTGGATGCCCAGATCATGAAAGTTTTCTGGTAAACATAGCTGAAACTCCGATAATCACCCGTGCAACGACAATCCACGCGGCCTCCATACCGAATGGGTTTCCATTTTTGTTTTTCGTTTACTTGCGGATCGCCTTCTGGTAGAAAGCGAGCTCATCACCCTCAAGGATGTAGCCGTCGACACGGCCGGACTGGCCGGGGCGGGAAGCCACAACGGCGAACAGACGGCCGGACTCGAACTGGCGCTCGATGGCACCCTCAACCTTGCCCTGGTCGGCGAAGCGGGCAGCCTGCTTCTTAACAACGGACTTGCTCTTCTTCTCCTCAGCGACCTCGGACTTGCCACCCTGGCGTCTGCGGCCGACGGGCTGGCCGTAGTGGGCCTCGTACCATTGACGGAAAGGAGCGGCGTCAATCTGGACGACGGCGGACTTGGTCAGGGTGTTTGTGCGGACCAGCTCGTTGTTGGAGGGGTGGAAGGAGACACCGATGACACGGGTCTTGCGGGAGATACCCTCGGAGCCCCAGGAGAAGTTACCGGACTCGAGACGGAGAGCACGGAACTTCTGGTTGCCACCACGGGTGCGGACCAAGTGGATGCGCTTGGTGCCGATACGGGTGTTGGAGGGCTGGCGACCCTTCTCGAAGGCTCTGTTGGAAAGGAATCACCGGTCAGAACATGTTCGCCAAGGTAACGAGTTTATTTTCCATCCCAATAGCACACAATCGTCTCCCTTCGGGGGAAAAAAAATAACTTCAGGACTCAATTGACGGGAATTCCGTACCTCTTCTTGCGGTAGAAAGCACGCTTGGCACCAGTGGCGCTGCGCTTGTGGCGCGAATCACGAGAGATACCCATATTTGCGGTTGATGGAGGGGTCTGGTATAGGCACAGAAAAATTAGAACTTGATCGGTCGGTGTGATGCTCCTGCAGATTCTAAACACTTCTGAATCGTTCGAGCGAGAATGCGAGGCGTGATTCGGTTGTTGACGATGTTGACGATGTGTGGGAGAGGGTCGAAGACGAGTGAAGCAATATTGAATTGAATATTCCCCCAAAGTAATTTTTTCGCACGAACGGCCTCGATTGTCGACTCAAACGAAGCAGAAAGGAAGGATGCAGGAAACAGGGAGGTATGCGAGGGGAACTCACCTCTAGCCGTGCAGCCCTTCACCAAAAGCAGAACGGTTGTCGATGGGTGTCGTTGGAAGTTGCGGTCGTGGAGTCCGTTGAATTTCGCAGGGCGCACTGTGTCGCTCGCTTGTGCGGTTGCCCTAACTTGCACTAGTCCCAACGTGGTTTGGTGGGTAACAGTCGGATCACATGACTACGCTGCTGACTCATCTTATTTTCGCCACTTCGGGAAGGCACCCACCGGTGCTAGTTGCTCTTGGAAGTACCGTATGTACATGAGGTAGATTTCTATGTGCGCACACTTTCCGACATTTCATCTATCTTGAAAGTTCTGCTTCTACAGGTTCTTTCCGCCCTTCTTCGCCCTCTCCTCCTTGACGATCTGCGCGATCCGCTGGAATGTTCCGAATCCCTCGATGAAGCACGAACCCATCCAAGTGCACCACAGTCCCGACATGAAGGGCACACCGAGCGGCTTCAGTCGGAGGATAGCCAGCAGGGCCGACTCGAAAATGTGAATACCCAAGACGGCCGGGAAAAGGAGCGGCTGGATATTGTAGACAAAGTGTGCAAAGTCGGGAACATACTTGTATCCCAGGTTCTCGTAAACAAACGAGCCCGGCAGGAGGTTGCTGCGACGGAAGCAGCTGACATAGGTGAACAGACACAGGCCAAAGATGACGGTCTGTACACCTCGGGGTGCACGGTACTCGGCGAGTGTGACGTCGGAGCGACCCAGTCGCTTCAGACTGTCGTTGTGCAAAGCGACCAGGCGGCCGCGAGCCTCGGAGAAGTCCTTCATCGGCGGGACCACGGGGACCACGTAGCGTGTGCCCTGGGCACGCAGGATCAGGCTATCGAGACTGAGATCCTCGAGTGTGGCACCATTGGCTTCACGGGCGGTGATGTCGCAGAAAGCTTGCAGGTACAACTGGAGCGAGTCGCCGTGATCGGCGTTCATGTGTTTGATGACGAAGTCCTTGCCAGACATTGTTGCGATTGCGATTGCGGTTGCGGAGAAGAGAGACAGAAGGGATAGTGGTGTAGTTGCTCGAGTTGAAATTCAATTTCAAGATTGAGGGGTGTGATCTGGAGGGAGTAGAAAGTAGATTCATGGATCGGCGCCAAGCCCCGGACCTCGGCCCTCGATTCACGGTTCCCCTAAACGTACACATGTGCACGATCACGGTGATCGGGGCTGCACTCGGTCTGGATTGAAATGTATTGGGAATCTACGTGATTGGATCTTGCGGACTGTTCGTTGACATTCATGGATCACTTGATTGCTCGGGGACGGGGATATATACATTTAGTAGTACACCGGTGAATCGATTCTTGCCCGATCACGATCACGACAACGACCATACCACGCCAAGGCTCCGAGATATCCAGAAGAAAAACAACAAAGTTATTAAACGACCAAGAGAAGCGCTCTATAAAACGGACGCTGAGCGGAACAAGCGGAACGATGAGGCAATTGGGGGGGGGAAACGGAAAGGAATCGATCGTGATCATCGTAGCCGTTCGAGGGATGAGATACTGCGAAGATTGGAAACAAGGCGAAAGGACTGGTTGATTCAAAGGAAAAGGAGGCACCGGGGATCATGCACTGCAGCCGAGATCAACTCCTAATTCCGACATAAGTGGATGTGCAAGACAAGGAGAGAGGGTGCAACTTACATGAGAGCAATGGTCAGATCACCGTGGATATGTGCCTTCAGCTCAATCTCAATTTCCAGATTCAACTCCAGCTTCAGCTTCATGCCCTCCTCATCGAGGAGGCTTTTCTTTTTCTCGTCGATCACGTTCATGCCGCCCGACGGATCCGAGTCTTTGGAACGCTGCCCGCTGTAGGGCTGCATGGATTTGCCCTGGATCATGTCATCGTCGGAATATTCGTCGTCGTATTCGTCGGAGTAGTAGTCATCATCGTTGGAGTATTCCTCGAGTTCGTCTTGTTTCTGGGGCTGTTGTCGCCGGCGCTGGAGCTGCTGGTTCTTGTTCTTGTTTTTGGTCGGGACGGGCTGGTCCTCTTCCTCGTCGGTGTAGTCATCGGCGCTGTCGTAGTCGTCGTCGGAGTAGTCCGGCACCTGGAACTGCTTCTGCTTTTCCTGGGTCTTTTCGGCGGTCGCCATGATGAACGTGAATGTGAATGTGAATGTGAATGTGAATGTGAATGTGAGGACCCTAGAACCAGTATTATAAAGATAGGGCGAGGATGTATACGTCCAGGGACCGAGGGATCAAAAAATGGAGGAAGAAAAGATGGAAAGCGGTGATATGATATGATATGATTCGATCCGACTTGAGGTCAGGAGAAACTACGCAGTTCCTATGGCCGGCAAGATGATAGACCAGGACTATAATGACGTTGGGGGCGGTTGTGTCGCATCTCCACCCAGTTTGCTTCGTCACATTGAACTTGGGGGACCACCACCGGCGTCATGCGATACCGTTGTCATACCCGACCCTACGATACCTAACTTACCCGTGGAGCCACGCAGATTTCTATTCTCAGTAACGGGCTGGGTCAAGGATCCGTAACGCGTCAGTTCGGCTGAAATCCTGGCTGGACCGTGGAAAAGCGCGTGCCTCGTGGCCCGAACCAGGCAACATATGGCGCCGTTGTGGCAACTGTGGCTGATCCATGTATCTGGACTTCAGTAATTCAAGGATCCCTGGCAAAAGGACTGCTCCGTGTCGTCATAAGCATCGCTTCGTGCCGTGGAAAGACGGCTTACGTCTAATTAATATAAAAAGTGGATCTGGAGAAGACCGGTTGGACACATGCCATCTTGTCAAAATCCTCCGCGTGGCGCTGATTGGCTTCGTGCAACCCCGTTGTATTGGAGTTTTCCTTTCTCGACCACTCACCGTTGCCAAGGGTCCGACCGACGTGCCTTGTCCAGATTGCACCCGTATTTAGTGTGCCGATCGGACACGCCCGTTATTCTTTCGGCCTGTGCGCTGCGCCTTACGGAGCCCTTCCAGGTCTTGATCCTTGTCATCGACCAACGTCATATCACTCCACAAGAGCATCTTCCTCCACCCTTGCCATTGGACTCTGTGACCAGACGCTCTTCTCTGGGTGTACCGTTGTAATTATTCTGGGCAATTTTGTACCTGCCCTGAACAGCCGGTCAGACACAAATACCCGTCTGACGTCTGAGGCGGTCCTCCACGAGCCCGTCAGTGCAGGTTTTTTGAGTTGATCCGATGGTTCCATGATATAAACGGCACGGGCGTAGACGTGTCGTTGTCCTGCATACATCATATACCATACGGTGCAATTACATACCTTCTTCATAACCCCCCCCCCCTCCCTTCGCACCAGTAACGCTTTGTCCATCACCATCTGATCACTTCATATTGCCCCTCGTCCCCTCTCTCGATTTCTTCTTTTCCTTTCACCATGGCCGATCAGGAACCCTCTACCCCCAAACCGGAGTCAACTACCTCTACCCCCAACAAGCCTAAACGTGCCCCTCCCAAGCTAGGCAAGAAGTCTCCTGCCAAGCAGCAAGAACAGACCCCGCCGCCTTCAGACCAAGGTCAGGAACAAAGCTCGGAAGAGAACCAGCAACCCGAAAAAGGTGCTGAGAAGAAAGACCAAGACCAAGACCAAGACCAAGAGGACCAACCAGAAGAGCCGGAGACTCATAAGCAAGAGCCCGACTCCGAGAACGAGCAAGAGCCTGAACAGAACGACGAACCTGAACCCGAACCTGAGCCCCAACCTCAGCCGGAACGTCGTCGCAGACGCCCTCGTCGTCAACCAGAATCAGACGCCGAGTCTATCTCCCGCAGCATGGACGGTGAACCACAGCAACGTCAGCGCACCCGTCGCACGCGCCGGCCCCAACAACAACAGCAACAAGAGCAGGGCAGTGACGGAGGCCCTCTCGGCGGTCTCGGCGGTGTAGATCAAGCCGGCCAGCTCGTGCAGAACACAGCCGGCAATGCCCTGAACGGAGTGACCGGGTCTGCAGGCAAGGCCGTCGGCGGAGTTCTGGGCGGAGGCGACAAAGAAGAGAAGGATGATGGCGGCCGCGATGAGCAGCTGCGGCTGCGACTGGATCTGAATCTGGACATTGAGATCCAGCTCAAGGCTAAGATTCACGGTGACTTGACACTTGGTTTGCTGTCAGTATTACCCTTTCTTGAATTCGTCATCTTCCCCCTTCCGATTCTTTTTCAAGACCTTTATTTTTTTCTCTAATGTGCAGTTCCGCTGACTGACCTTTTAGTAATTGATTTGTCTGGCCTACAGTGGCTAGAAAGAGTTCTTCTGCCTATTTTTATGATGTCCGCAATGCTCTGTCCTATTAGCTACGCGCTGGTTATTCGTTCGTATTTCCGAACTTACGGTTACGGTCACGGTGATGCAAGATGCAAGATGCAGGAGCATGGCTTAGTTTAGTTTCGGTTATTTCTGTGTTGTCTAGGCTGTTCATTTCCCTAGACCTGCTTCGGCTGCTCTGGTGTCTGGTCTGTGTGTCCTAATGACCATTTGAAATGTACAGTACTTTAGTCTTTCTGCGTATAGCAGCTGGGATTGGTGAACGACATAATGAAGACTTGACGTGCTCTACTTTTCGACTTGTGATTGGATTAGCAATTTATCTGCTGGTTTGTTTGGTTTTACTTGGGCCGGTGAGAAAGAGTAAGATCGGGCACACTGCGTGAAGTGACACGTGTGACACTATCTATAGCCCGGGCTCCGAGAACTCCATATCAAGTAGAAACGTCTGCATCCAGAAAGAAAATGACCAATGTATCCATTACTTTCGGTAACCGAGATAGGTCTACCTAGGTATAATGCAGTGTGACGGACTGCCCTATCCGCCAGTCTACTCGTGCAACCAAAACGTCCACGTGAAGCAGTAGGCTCACTAGATAAATCAAACCAACCGGTGAAGAACCGAGCCAAATCGGAGGACGATTAAGTGGCGTATATGCCATCTTTTCTTTTCTACTATTCTCGGAAGTGAATTCGAGCTCTCCCAACCAGCTCCTTTATTGATGCAAGCAGAATAAATTACAGCCCCGCGATGTACATCAGCCCATATCCGAGGGTGACAATCACCACAAAGGCCATGAGACTTGATGGAATACCACGGGTTAGGAAGTGGCGGACCTGGAGGTACCGCTGGCCAGTTGTTGGCACTTCAGTCATGATGGCGGCTAATTTGTAAGAGTTAGTATAAAGACCTCGATACTGATTGCGAATTGGAGTAACTGACTCATGTTGGGGAAGCCACTCGTGGGCAGCGCCATCGCAACCGAGCACATCAGTGCACTTGCCATGACCAATAGATTCGGATGGGGGTTCTCCATGTTCACGCCGATTTGGCGAACCAGAGGCAACATGATCAGAGCCGCAACGGTATGAGAAATGAAGGTCGCAATGACGAGGATCAAAGCCGAGAAGACGAGAAGCACACTGTAGAGACTGAGATCCTCGACATGGGCCGTGATCCCGTTGGCGATGGTATGCAGCAAGCCGGATGAAGTGACGGCCTTACCCAGACACAGACCACCTGCAGCGAGGATGATTATTGTCCAGAGAAAGTTGTTAAAGTCTTCCTTGTTGAGGATACCTGTGCCGAAGAACAGCACGAGAGGGATAATGGCAATGACGCCCATGTCGCCGAATACATGCTCGAGCTGGTGACTGACACACCAGAGCGCAATGGTGACAAGAGTGACCGCGCTGATAAAGTACTGAATGCCTGTGAAGCGATCCTTTACTGGGCGCATGGGAATGATGGTTGTATTGCGGCCAGGCTTGAACGTCGCAAGCAGGAGTCCCCAGATCAAGAAGATTGAGATAATGCAGACGGGCAGCGAAACGAAGAACCAGGTGCCCCAGCTGATGCTCGGGTACATGTTCTGCAGCGCAATGATATTTTGTGGCGATGCAATCGGGGACGCTGCACCACCAACATTGGCCGCCAGCGCGATACCCAGCACGAGCGCCTTGGCGAAATTGGAATCCGGAGACAGATTGCGCAGCAGAGGCTGAATGATCGAGTAGCACAGCACGGGCGAAGCGACGTTGCTGATCCACATACTCAAGAACATGCTCACGAACATATTCGTCAGCAGCACGGCACTGGGCTTTGATCCGGCTTTGCTGAGCACGAGGATGGCCATCCGACGGGCAATATCGTACTTCGATAAGGCTGCCGCAATTGTGAAACCACCGAGGAGAAGCATGATCACAGGAGTCCACATTGATGCAAATACCACGCTCGTTGCCTCCTTAGGACCCAATCGCTTATGCGGTTTATCTTCAGACCGCATAATGCCCAAGACGACGACCAAGAACGGGATCAAAAGTGAAGTCACGAACAGAGGAATAGCCTGCGAAAATATCAGCAACTGGTTAGAAGTAAGGACCGTAAAAACTTACCTCGGTAGCCCAAAGAATACTAACCAGCACTAGCATTGCCAAACAGTTCTGTTGCTCGGGCGTTCCCATAATTTGCAGTGAGAGAAGAGCACCGAACACAGAAATACTAAAGATCAAGGTGCCAAAGCTCAAACTACAAAGCCACAACGGGAAGTGCATCCGACCAAGCGGAGTAGCGATCTCTCTCGTGCGAATTTCTTGCTTGTCGCCCTGGCGCCGCGCAGTAGCAGGGTCTTCGTCGCCTCCCAGAAGAGTCTGACGAATACCGACATTGGCAGCCTGAGCACGACGTTCAATCTCAATCATCTCGCGCCAAACTGTGTTTCGCTCCCAGACCACATGCTCACGCAGGTGGAGGCGCAATTCACGACTAGCCAAAGATCGATTGCCCTTAGTGACGATGTCGGCATAGACACCCTGCACGTCGCTGATGTGACTATCAACAGCAGCCATGGTATTTTCGGTAAAAGGCATCGCCGGGTGAACGACTGAGTTCAAGTAGTCCCGACGCAGACTACGGAACAGAGTCTTGTCGTACTTCTTCAATGCCTTTGCAAAGCCGGTCTTGTTGAGTTCGATGAACGATCTCAGCTCGCAGAGAGAGACGTAAGCCTCAATGAGACGCTTTTTCAGTGACACTCCGGTATTATAGAGAATAAGGAAATCCTCGTCAGTCAAGTCGGTATCCTGGGGCCCTCGGCTACTAGCCGGGCCAAAGAAAGCCGAGTCCACCATGTCATCTGGGTGAGCCTCCTCCGCTGTAGACTCTCCATCAGTCGTCATGTGAGCGTGGGACAGTTCGGGGGGTGTTCCTCATCGCTATCCCCATCGTCTTCACTGCCGCCACTGGACCGACGACGCTGATTGATTCCATAATTTTGAAATCCACCAGTAGTTGCGCGGCGGGAATTCGAACTCAACGTCCTGGCTTTGACGATCGTCTCGCTAACTGGATCCATGTTGAAGCCGTCCGTTTCGGAGATATAGACCAAAGCCTCCCGAACCAACTCATCTGTAAGTTGGAAAATTTCCTCCTGTTTCTGTTGATAGAAGGTACAGATCTTTTCTAGCTCCACATCAAGGGCACGCTTGAAGATGCTATCGGGGTTGGCGACTTGATGGGCGCCAAGCAGCGGAGCGGACTCGACATCGCCGCCATTTCGTCCCTCAGGTCGATTGTTGTGCTTCTCGAGGGTGTAGATCCTAGCCGTCGAAACACAGAATTAGCCGAATGAACGAAACTCGAGTCCCATACCCAGCTCATGCATCTACCCAACCCTGTGCAATGTGACACCCGCGCCAATGTGCATGTCAAGATGCCCACGAGACCACGACCACGGTACACCCCCAGAAAAGGAAAGTGGTCACTCCGATCAAAACATCAGATGAAGCAAGAGGTTAACTCACAGTTTCTTAAGATTGCTGTACGCAATGTAGTTAGAACTCCAATCCGGCACCGCATTGAACTGAATGCTGTGCGAGAACTTCATCTTGGCTGCGGTCTCGGGGTCACGGTCAGCCCGAGGCCGACTTGCGTTTTGAGCCCGGCGTCGAAGGGCCTCTGCCCAGAACCTAAGTCGAGTGAAGCGGGTGGCCCGTGGGCGCTGTTCGTCCGACGGAGCTGCCTTCTCCTGCTCCGCTTCTTGTCCAGATTCAAGTCCCGCAAGCGACTGTGAGCTAGTAGCAGGTGCAAAGGGCCGATCGGTGCTTCCTGGTCGTCGCGTGCGAGTCGATGCGGATTGGGGCGCGCTTGAGGCGGGCGGGTTGCTGGCAGGTCGGAAGTCGGCGAGCTCGAAGGATTCGTGACTGGGTGGAGGAGCCACCGTCGAGCTGGGGCCGGAGGGAGATCGACCGGGGCGAACAACTGTCCAACAGGGGAGAGGGGTCCAATTGTAAAAATGGGGAGGTTGTGCGGGGCGACCCAGGCAGATCAAGCGATGGTCGGCTGGGCCCAAATTATGTGGGTTGCACTGATGGTCAGGCTGGAACTGATCGTGCGCGGATGATCGGTTACTCGATTCTGGGTTCGGTGCTGCGTTTTATTCTCCGAGACAGGTAGGCCGTGAGCGCAAATACGGTAGCAATGGCAAGCTCCTGAGAAACGATATTGCCCGATCTGGAATGATTTTGAGTTACGCTGAGGTAAGCGTATAAGGGCCTTATTTACCTAGCGGGCGTGCGATACAGTTTACATCTATAACCTTTAGATTCTACTAGCATCGTTTCAGGGTTGTCGCTCAGCTATGAATATGAAATGATACAGATAATGCTAAGAGATGGTAAAATTGTTTAAATGGTAAATGACCTTGATATACTACATGTACAAATGCTGAAAAGAGTGCCTAGAGACCATGAACGAACCCCTCAACCCAAAAACATAATGAAACACCAAAAGGGATTAGATCATCTGCGACGAGGCGCAAGACCCAGGTTGGCACGGCCAGAAATACCCATCTTGTGCTGCCCGTCTCGGCGGTCCCACACACCACTTCGGCCCTCCGCAACCGCAACCAACTCATTTGCAACACGATGGGCCAGCTGCGCATCTCGTCGCTTCTCCGAAGCATCGATGATCCACTTGATAGCCGCACGGCGGCGCTGGCGCAGGTTCAACGGGTGAGGGACTTGCACGGCAGTACCACCACCGGCAATACCCTTCTGCTGACGAATACGGAAAAGAGGAGCCACCGAGTCAACGATCAGTGTCAGGTAGAGGACAGGATCGAGAGGAAGCTGAGGCGCGGGAGGTCCGCCAATAAGAGGGCGGCGGGGGTTGGGGTTGGGAGCGGAAGAGGTGCGAAGGTGGTCCAGAATGATAGACATGTTCTAAACAAATGTGTATTAGTCCAGGTATTCAGACAGAACAAAGTTGCGGGGTAGGACGAGGGTGCCATACGTTCTGTGCCCGGGCCAGCTTTCCGTCTTGCATCAACATCTTGGTGAACTGCTCCTGCAGCGAGTCGTAGCGCTTCCGGAAGTTCATGGTCTTGGTAGGGACCTCTGGTGCATCAAACTTCAGGCCTGGGTTCCGCTCGATGGCCTGCGAGTTCACCTGCTCGATCATATCGGCAAGAAACGCAGCAGACGCATCGTGATTAAGAGAACTCTCCACGTCAGGCTGGCGACTGCGGGCGGAGGTTGAGAAGGAGCGGGAGCCACCGGACTTCTTGAACTGCTCCTGCATGACCTTGGGCATGTGCTTCATCGCCTTCTCATCGCGCTGGAGAATCTGCTCGCCAAGGACAATTTGTTAATGACCATCCAATACAATCACAGCGAGGAATGCCGTGGCACTACTCACCTCCTCAACCGGGGTTCCTTGTTCCAATTCCGGGCTTGATGGCTGGCCGTCACAGCTCTTCTCCTTGTTCATAATTCGGTCGATCTCGGCTGCCTCTTCGCTGACATGAGGCAGTTGGTCCTGTGTTGGAAACACCTGCTCATCCGGATTGGGTTCCTTCTTGGACGAATTCCATCTTTTTTGGGCAGTTATCGACTGCTTGGCACGGAACCGAAGGGGGAGAGGGATACTGGGTGACGCAACAGAGGGGATAGTGGGCTGGCGGAGGGCCGAAACAGCCTTGCTTGCTGAGAAAAGGTTCAACCGGGGCGGCATTTTGTGAATAGTAACCCCTGCGACAATGGTACTGGGGTATAATTGAGATTGGATGTTGGCGGAGACTCGTCGGGATGCGGTCTGCAAGTTTTTGGGACGTGCTTAGTCATTATATCATCACCACGCATTGGATCTAAAACAAGATAAAGCCACAATCGCTGTGAGAACTTTGATCTACAGCCTCTCAATTAGCTTCCCCACATTGGTTGGTATCATGGTATCCTATTCCATGTCATTGTAATGACCATCAGCCGTATGGTCATGATTAATCAGTGAGAGGTCTCGGAAAGCCTCCTAAGGTTGAATTCTGACGTGCCGCACCGCCGCCGAAGTAAATCTGTGGCCATGAAATTGAAATTCCTATGACGATCCTCGCCCACCCCCCTCCAACTGGCTTCCATCATGCTCTCTGATCTTCCCTCGGAAATCATTCTCCATATTGCATTACATCTTCCGACTGCCAGCTCATTGACACATTTGGCACAATCCTGCCATCGATTATATAAAATTGTCTCGGCCGAAGAAGCAGCCTTCTTTCGAGCATTCGTGCAGAAAAAGTTCCCATCGACGAACACTTCACCGTTCTGGAAAGATGCAGCGTGTGCTCTCACATCTCGCTCGCGAGCCCTGGACAGACTGGGCATTATTGGCCGATTCGTCCTGCCGGCTGAGAACATGACCCGGATCGGCTATCATGAAGAAACGCGACATGATAACCCCACTCTTGGATTCCGACCTCCCATTGACTCTTACGAGAGCTGGAATGGCGAGTCCTGGGCGGAAAGGAAAGAAGTCCTCGCCTGGGGCGCTGGCCATCGGCTGCTAATGCGCACCAGGCAGTCTGGAAACAGACCACGGGAAAATTGGATTGTCTTCAATGACAAGCACCATGTCAGCAGTTATGATGATATCTGCGGCCTGCATCTTCTTGGGCCAGAATCTGGTGGCAAAAACGCCGATATAGAGCACCTGATTCTTGGTCGCATTCGCGGCGATATTATTCGCCTGGCTCTCTCCGCCAGTGACACGTCCTATGAGAAAAAGCAGAACTTCATGACAAATGGACTGAACCTCGACCGAACGGATCTAAGTGATGGTCCAGAGCCTATTCTCTCAGGTCATTTTGATAATGGGTCTATCGCATTGTACCATACAATTACCGATCGAGAGGAGGTTGAGCCGTTTGCGTGGATTGAACCAACTACTTTGTCACGAAGTCGATATTCAAAACTGCTGTCATCATCACGAATTGCCGTGGCCACGGGGAGAACGCAGGACACCCTGTCAATTTCAACCGTCTCTCCAGATGGCATATCCCCCGTCCGACAGATAGGCGTGGATTCACTGGACATTGAAAACCAAGTTGGTCATCCAGCGCATAGTACTGTGTCTGCCATTGCACCTCTCAATTCCCACCGACTCGCCGGTGACCCAGGCAATGTGTTCCTCTCAGCTTGGGGCGATCGAACCGTCAGGTAAGTTGTCCGCAGTTTGCTCAAGTTATACACATCTTCCAACACATCCTCTAACCCGCCTTTGCTATCAGACTTCACGATGTTCGCTCTCCGCACTCTTATGAAACAACCTACATCGACACCACGGACCCAAACCTCACATACTGTGTACATCCACTTGCCAATGACAGGTTTCTCGCCGGTTCTGGCGGCGATGCTTTAGTCAAAATATTTGACCTTCGCATGGAAAAAACATACGACTATCTCGACGCTCAAACTCCGCACACATCATCTCAAAGAGCCAGTGGCCCTCGCAAAGATTTTTCAATCTTCCTTTCCTCGCCACCACCACCACTGTTCCCACAACAGAATTCTCGTAATCGCAGAAGAGGCGCATACCGTGGCCCGATTTACACCATGTCTATACCGTCTGTATCTTCGCAAACAGTGTACACTGGCATCGTGGACGGCGTCGTGCGTCTAGACTTTGCATCAATGGACGACTTAGCGGGGCCAGCAAAGGAGTGGTACGATCGAAATCTTGATCTCAATCTTCCCTATCAGAACGAAACGAGCGTATTCCCAGCGCCCGATCAGGGGGAGTGCTCAGGCTAGCCGGGTTTGAGCGCCCAGATCCAGAAGATCTGACTACTACATCCAAGTTAAGAACGCAGAGTGAGGGGTTGAGTCTCAACGCCGAAGTCAATCTGAAGATGGATGATACGGGTTGGGATTGGCGATGGCAGCCGCTTAGTGAACCCGGTGCTTGGAGACGGAGAGATGGACAAGTACTCGGTGATTAAGTATGCTACTTCTTTACGCATCGCCAATGCATATATACCCAGGTGGCAGAGCTAGAACTCTGACCAATTGCGTGAAGTGAAAATGAAAAATAGATTTACAGAAGTGCAAATAGAGTCCCCATAACTTTTGTGATATTCTAGGAAGGTGAGCAAATATTAACAAGCAAATCATGTAGTGAGCAGATTTATCCAGAGCTCCTTAAGCGCCATGCTGAGTAAAATGGGTGTAAAGCGTTCACGGTTGGATCAGCAGCCTTGGGGGTAGACGCAAAAGACTGGTTGCAAAGAGCAATCCGAATAAGGAGCAATGCAAGGCAATGAATCTCGATTGCGCCGAAATGTAGCCTCATTCCCAGATCGAGATGTTGGGAAAGAACCGTGTAGCCTTTGTATTGTTGAACAATATGGAACGGGAGAGGAACAGCAATTGAAGCAAATTATATTGTTCCACCATATGAGATCGGAAGATTGATATCCTTTAGTCGTCGAACTTAAAGGACTTGCCGCCAGAGATATCAATGGGGCCACCGCGGTAGGAGCCGCGCTTCTTCTTGTTCTTTTCTTTGGTGAAGCCCTTGCCACGGGTGACCGAGAGGTCTGCAAAGGCACGATCGGCGTAGGCATAGGAAATGTAGTCGTTACGGGGGCCATCGAAGGGTTCGGCGCTCAGAGCAGCCAGGGGAGTGGGGCGAGCACCGACGTGCTTCTTCTTGGCCGGGCCGTTTCCAGGGACGGGGCTGGCGCTGGAGGAGGGAGTCTGAACATTCTCCACGGGCTTGTTCACAGCCACGGGTGAAGCAGACAGAGTAGCACTGGTGTCAGAGTCGTTGCGGGCAACGGACACGCCGCCGGTCTTCTCGTCATCCGAGCTGTCGGAGCTATCAGAAGAAGACGAAGAGTCCGAGCTGGCCGAGGAGGAGGGCGGCAGAGGAGTCTTCTTCGCTTCCTTAAGAGCCTTTGAATCGGCCTTCTTGGTAGATTCCTTCTCGGACTCGGAAGAATCGGAATCGGAATCGGAATCAGAGCTAGAGTCAGAGCCAGAGTCAGAGCCAGAGGAGTCGCTGGAGCTGCTAGAGCTGCTAGAGCTGGAAGAATCGGAAGAATCGGAATCAGACGAGGAGTCCGACGAAGAAGAGTCAGACTTAGTGCTGGAGACCTTGGCTTTCTTGGTCTTGGGAGCCTCGTCCTCTGAAGAGTCAGAGTCAGAGCTAGAGTCGGAGGATGACTCGCTGCTGGATTCAGCCTTGCGTTTCACACCGGTCTGCTTCTTCACAGCGGGGGAGGGAATCGGAGCCGCCTCTTCCTCGCTCTCATCGTCGGCGTCGCTGTCAGAGCTGGAGCTAGACGAAGAAGAGGAAGAGGGGGAGGACGCGCGCGCAGCCTTGTTGTCTTTCTTGGGGGCATCTTCCATCTCGACGTCAGAGTCGCTGGCATCGCTGTCCGAGCTAGAGCTGCTGTCGCTGTCGGAATCGCTGCTGTCACTGCCCGAGCTGGAGGATTCGGAGGAATCCTTCGCAGCAGACTTCTTCTCCCACGACTGGAAGATGTCCAGGAGAGACGGGACATTTTTCACCTCGGTCTGAGCCTGGCCGGCCTTCTTTAAGTCCTTTGCAAGGGAGGCGCTGGCACCGGCGAAGCCATTGTCGAACAGGAAGGAAGAAACAGCCGCAAGCAACTGAGGGGAAAGGGTACTGGGATCGCCCTGTAAATCAGAGAACCTGTTAATCACGTTTCTCTTTGATCAAGCGGCGCAAAAAGAGGGATCTGTAGTTACCTTCTCCACCGAAGCCTTCTTCTTGTCAGTTGAGATCTTGGCCATGGTTGCAATCGAGAATATTCCAGTATCTCAGGGCTAAGAGGGACCAGGGACTGGAACAACGAGGCAGAAAGAGCCAAAAATTGCAAATTTGTCTATTTAGAAAAGACCCTTCCAGGAACCGACAAAAAAAAAAGTATATACCGGGCGGTGAAGAGACTTGCGCGACGGTGATTGGCCTTTACAAAAGTGGACTAGCGCATCTCCCGTCCAGTCACATGACCAGAGCTGCTGTCATCTCAGGTATCAAAACAGCCAGATATCCAGAAGTAAACCACGGAAGAGGTGCAGACGGATATCAGATTAGAGCCAAAGCTGTAGTAGAATGCATGGACCTAGATGAGTAACGGTCAATTCACAGGCACGGGCCATCCCTAGCTCGGAGAATAGATGTAGCCGTAGCAGCCGGATCAACTCGATAACCCGCTCCCATGCGCTCTCCGCCCGCTGCCCGCAACCCCAAACAAAGTGATGAGCTAATTCAACGTCCATCCGGCATTGCATCAACCTCGCTCCCTCGTCGCTTCTGTGTTTCCTGCGATTGATCGCCGTGCCTGCCCTGTCAACCTACGTCAATTCGGACTTGGGGCACGGTGCGCGCGGGACTACTTGCTATATTTGAACTCGACCTCCCGGCCATGTCCCCTTGATCTTGCGGATTTAATAACGGATAGCGGTGTCACCCTATTTTGGGCAGCGACGCGATAATGAGCGGCAGAGATCGTCCTCGTCCACCTCCGCCGAGCGATGCACGGCGTGGGGGCGACATGCGTAGCGGCGCGAGCGATGGCTCTATGTCCAGAGCCGAGAAGTTTGAGGACGAGAAGAAACGCATTATGCAGAGTTGCTACTCGAAAAAAGATGCCGATGGAACTTGTACGTGAAAAAATCCCCTGCCCCTCGGTGCTTCCAAGGGATCATGCTCTCTCCCCTTTCTAGGAGATGGCTGCATGTTCCCTGTGACGTTTCGGACTATGCCTCGTGGCTGCTATCTCACCGTGGTCCACTGTGTCGCGCCACGTTTCTAAGCATTTTCCAACTCACCGATTCATCGCTAATGTCTTCGCAGTGGTTGAATCATATATCACGCATGTCCGCATCGTCGAGGATTCCGCCCATCCATCCGCCCCTGCCCCGCCGGATTCAGCACCCCAGAATAAGAAACCTCGTGTCATCATCATTTCGGTTCGAAGATCTGGCCGGGTACGAATGCACAAAGCCCGTGAAAACAACGACGGGTCGTTCTCCATTGGCAAAACTTGGATGCTTGACGATCTATCCGCAATCCAGTCCTACAACGCCTTTGTTCCGAAATCACCAATTGAGCAACAGCATAAGGAATGGGCAGGAAGTGTTGGGTTTGTCGTCACAGTGGGAAAGCCGTATTACTGGCATGCCCGGACGGTCAAGGAGAAGGAGTTCTTCATTGGCAGTCTAGTGAAGATCTTCAAGAAATACACTGGTGGCAAGATTCCAGAACTCGTTGGATTTGATGAGAGGGAACGGCAATTGCTTGCCGCGTCTGGATCCGCTGCACCTGTAGCGCCGCCAGGACGAGGCGTCGGTCTTGGTCCTCCACCGGAACCCTCAGCGTCTGCGCAGTCGACTTACAGCAGCCGCGAACCTAGCCGGGATGCATCACGAGAAATCAGACGAAAGGCTTCTGAGGACCCGACACTTCGAAGCCAGAAGAGTCGTGAACAGTTGTCCCGCCCGTCTACGGCATCCAAGCCCGCTCCACCTTCATTCGGCACGCCTCCTAATGCGACCCCTACTGTTCCTCTGCGGCCGGACCCCAGGAGCAAAGAACCTTCTAATACTTTCCTCCACACCTCAGATGAAAGTGCTAATCTCACAGCCCAAGTCCCCGAACCAAGCTCATTGGGTCCTAAGCGCAGTACTGATGGACTACGGCCTACCACCTCCGGTTCAATGACGAGTGAGAATCGTGGTATTCCTTCGAGCCCTGGAAGCAGCATCGGACCAAAGTCACCATATCGTGAAGGTGTCGAGAAGGCAGCTCCCTTGGACCAGACACCGCGTCCTTCTCAGGACAAGACTGCTTCGGACGCTCTTTCTCCCTTGGCAACGACAAATACTGCCATCCCGATTCCCCCACGAGAAGCAGATGCGCCTTCATCGCCGATTGCGGTGGAACCCGAAGTGGCAGCTGCCGTTGTGGCAGCCGAAGAGCCACCGAAACCAGCCGTGGAAGAATCGAAAACACAAGCACCAGCCATTCCTCCGGAGCCAACAGAGGAAGAGTATGATGCACATCGACCTGGACTCGGCCCGATGATCAAGAAAAAGACGTCCGCCAAGGATGTTGCAGGTGCTTTTCGAAAGGCGGCCAATGCTTATGGCGCATTCAAGCCGCGGCCTGGTGGAGCCGGAGAGAGACTCCTTGCAGCGGCAAAGAAACAGCAGGCAGAAGAAGCTGGATCGGATGGAATTACCGGCGTCTTTCCTGCTCCGTCTCTCACACGATCTAGCAACGAGCCTCCGAAGAGTCCCGTGGATGAACTACTCTCTAAAGACCTCTCCCAAGAGCCCCCCGCGGCTGCGCCGCCTCCCGCAGAACCTGGCACTCCAACGGTCGAAATTACTCAACCCGCAGTCGAAGAGACCCCATTATCTCCGGTTCTTCCCAAAGAAGAATCCAAAGATTCTTTGACAGACATCGTCAAGATAAAGGATCGTTCAAGAACGCCTTCTCCGGCAGCCCAGGCCCGTAACAGAAGACGCCGCGAAGACCATACTATTAAATACTGCCAAGCCCTTGGAATCGATCCCGGTGTCCTTGATGGACGCGGCATTGAATTTGATGATATCCTCACTGACCTGGGATGGAATGGACGATTGAGCGATGAGCAGAAGATTGAGGACCTGGAAGCCGATATTCGTCGTGAGATCGGCCGCGTTGAGGCGACTAGCTGGCTCGGCAATCTCGAACAACAGGAGGGGAAGGTGGAGCAACTGGCCGTGCTCATTGACAAGACGATGGAAGAGTGCGAAGAACTAGAAGGCCTGCTAACACTGTACTCCCACGAATTGAACGTAAGTGACAAAGTCCGAATACGCAAGGTTCCCCATGCTCACCACAATATGACAGACCCTTAACGAAGATGTGGCATACATCGAAACGCAATCTCAAGGTTTGCAAGTGCAAACTGCAAACCAGAAACTCCTTCAGACTGAGCTTCAGAATCTCCTGAAGACGTTGTCAATCTCCAGCAATGAGATGCGTCCTCTTAAGGAAGCTTCTCTGAGCAACCCCAATGCTCTAAGAGATACCGAGGCTGCCCTGTCGACGCTATATAAGGCTATGCTTATGATCGATGCTGATATCGGGCAGAATAAGAAGCGCCAGGCCGATGCTAGTGTGGGAGTTTATGCCAACACCGAATTCGGCCAAATGCGTGCCATCAAGGAAAAGAAAGAGGAGTACCGCTCTGCTGCCCTGGTATTCTTGCAAAGGGTTAAGCAACACATGGGACTGGCTTTCAAGATGGCAGAACAGAAGCGCGCTGATGCGATGGCATCGGCGCCTAGAGATCCAATGAAGCTGGACAGCTCCGCAAGACAACAATTCCGTGGGGAAGTCTGGATGTACAACCCCCTAATACTATTTGCCCGGGAGGTCAGCATGTCCGAATGGCACAGCCTCGTCAACCTCTACGAACAACAGTCCAAGCCATCTTACCAGAACGAGTTCCGGGATAATAGCACGGCTTGGAAGAAGACCGCCAAGAAGCCTACTGGAGATGAGCAGGAACTCCTTTTTACACATCAGGAGAAGGAGAAAGAGGGCGAAGGCATTACCATGGCGGCCCGCAAACTCACCGTTCGACGCGGCAAGACCATTCGCGCTGCAGCTGGCCTCCGGTTGGCTTCCAGTGAAAAGAAGCAAGGCAAGGTTGAGCCTTACGAGGCTTTCGCCGGAAACCTGCGTGAGACGTTGAGCATGGTTAGTGAAGAGCAAAACTTCGTGGTGGAATTCTTCCACCTCAACTCTCTTGCCACTGCCGACTTCTCAGACTTGGTGGCCGCTGCCACTCCCGATGTCCGCCAGTGCCCAAGCTTTTCCACACAACAATCCCATGACCCCGACCGACAAATGGCGAAGAGAGTTGAGCAGATCATGGATGAAGTCTTTTCTTTCTGGCCAAATGATCTGCAGAGCAGCGTGGACTGGGCGCTGCAGGCCGATCCCATGCAAGGAATCGGCATTCTGTTCGCTTTGGAGTCCGCCATGACCGAACTTGACGATACTAACCAAGAGTTCATCATCCACACCCTACAGAAGGTCCACTCTCGCCTTATGGGGCTGTTCAATCGATTCGTCGACGAACAGATCCGGGGCATTGAAGACACCAAAGTCAAGATTAACAAGAGAAAGGGGGTTATCTCCTTTATGCGGGTATTCCCCCACTTCTCTACGGCCGTCGAGAACATGCTGTCGCAACCCTCTAGCGAGTTTTGCGACATTCGTATCGGTGTGAACGAGGCATACGACCGTATTAACCGGGCCATGTGGGAGTCGCTCAAGTTCATCGCCAAGGAAGCGCCCGGCCAACCCCCGGGTGTGACTGCCAGTGCGGGCGACCCCGAAGACAAGGAGGTGCTGAACTACCACATTTTGTTGATCGAGAATATGAATCACTATACCGAGGAGGTGGACGTACATAACCTCCCGGTGCTCCAGCGGTGGATGGACCGAGCACACCAGGACTTCAATGAACACATGAAGCTTTATCTCGATGCAGTGATCCATCGACCCTTGGGCAAGCTGCTGGATTTTGTCCAGTCCATCGAAACCCTGCAGGCAAACGGCAATGCAGCCGACATTGAAACGCGCGCCAGCCACTCACGCATGGTCGCAAAGAAGGTTCTCTCTTCGTATGACTCAAAGGAGGTCAAGCGCGGCGTCGAGATGCTCAAGAAGCGTGTCGAGAAGCACTTCGGTGACGCCGATGACCCTGGACTCAGCCGCAGCCTGGTGATCAAGGTCATCCGGGAGTGCGAGATCCGGTATGAACAGGCCTATGACCGCACCCGGCGCATCATCGACACCGTGTACGACGGGCAATTGGATCTGGAATGGCGCAAGGAAGACGCCCTGGCAATGTTCCGGAAATGAGCGCATTGATTTTTCCCCTCCCTTTTTGTTGTTCTACCATGCGTGGGATTATGGAGCATTGGGTCATCAGCTGGGCGCAATTGGGTTCAACCGAGGCGGTTCATGTCACATACAAAGCCCTCGAATATAAGCAATTCACTCGCGACGGAGTTTCATAATGGTGTCATACCCTCGGGTAGTACCTTACATAAGTCTACCAAGTAATATTAAGCGCGGAGTTTGACAGCTGAAACAATTGCTTGTATAGAATAACCTTCTCCTTTAACCTTTTTATCGTTTCCAAGTTTCTTACCCAATACCTCTGAACATCTCTTCAGACAACTGTCAGAGTGACCAATCCTTGATAATCCTCGTTTATCGTGTTCTCACGATCTGCCCCGTCTAGAGGGCAATGATTGGCGTACGTGGGCGCCCGGGGATCCACCTGTTCGATGCCATCGTATCTCTCCAATTTCACAGCTCAGGGGCACGCTCTGGTCTGTGCTTCCAGGCCGATGCGATTGCAATTCCGCTGAACTTGACCTGTGACCGTATATGTGTGCTGGAGAATCATAGACGAGGAATCATAGAGCTCAAGCTATGCAATCCTGCCTATCTAGACGTTTAAATGTAATGTGTGGGCTTCCGCGATAGAGTACGTACAGTGGTGTAACATAAGTATTTGACCTCGAGTACTTCGGCCTAGGACCCACTTTTCTAATACTGCCAGGCAGAAACCTCTGAAATTCAATTCAGTCTAATAGCTAGTATGCCACCCCTCATACTTAATAACATCAGCTACCCTGTGAGGCATAGTTTCTGATAGATGCTTGAATAATTCAATATCTAGGCCTTCCCAGGCTTCCTGTGCAGCTTTTAGCAATAGATCTAACGTAGATTCGTTGTTCGGTAGGCGCATTAGCTCAGGATAACGCTTAAGAATTTCGGCTTTTAGCAGCGCCCAGAGGTTCTCGATCGGGTTTAAATCAGGTGAATAAGGAGGCCATTCCATAATCTCGCAGTTAAGCTCATTAAGAGCTTCCCGTACAATATATGCAGTATGAACGGGCGCGTTATCTTGCTGAAAAATAGCATTATTATCAATACTATTAAGTAGCGTAGGTAAGATACGCCGATAGAGCTCTTCAATCGTACGTGAAGAAACACCACCTCTTCTAGACGTAGGATCTCCGAATAATGGAATTAGGCCTGATCGACGCGGTAAGCCAGAGAAAGCAGCCCAAAACATCTGCTTAATTTGCTTCCCTCGCGCCGGAACTATCTGAACCTGAGAGCCTTCTTTTGAATGCTGAAAAAGCTGGTCTTTTGGACGTGTAAACGTCCATTCTTGCCGCTGGCCTATTCCACGTTCAACTGTACATTCGTCTGACTAGTAGACGCGGGCCTAGTCTTCAGGAGTGAAGTGTTGGTATTCGAGTGCCTATTGAAGCCGTTTCGTAGCATGTTCAGGCGTAAGTGCCGGACGCTGCATTTTCCTCCATTTTCGAAGACCCATTTCGTGGGTTAGACGCCAAATTGACTGGCGATGGACCTTAAAATCGACCTCTCTAAGTAGATCTTTAATCAATATCGATGGCTTTTCTTGTATAGTGTCGTAGATATAGTCACGATCCTCTTCAGTAAGCTTCCTTGGAGCGCCTAAGCGTGGAAGGCTTTCTTGTTTTTGACGCTTTGCCTCTTGGGTAAGGGTATATTGAATTGTTGAGCGTGGAATATCGGGAAAGCGCATCTTCTTAATGGTTGTTGCACCCCAGCCATTTGTAGCGTGTAATTCGCAGATCTTGGCCCTAGTAAGGCAGTCAAGCTCTGGGCCTCTCTTCCCACGTATAGGAGGCATAATAAGGTAAGAAAGACTGCTATAACGCGTTAACTGTAGCGTATATGTTAGCAAGCGCGTTGAAACGCGAGGTGTGGTGTACTAATAAAGTAGGCGGTATAATAAAGCGGTCAGGCTAAAAGTGGATCCTAAAGTACTCGAGGTCAAATACTTATGTTACACCACTGTAGCTCCCTCTATCTCGGGCTATGCTTCATCTTAACAGCAGATTGAAAAAAGAAGATATCGAGGCATTGTTCCAATCTCACCTGTAGCATCGTCCTGGTCGCGATCCAGCTCTAGCAGTAGCTATCCTCGTCGGTTGAAACCTGCATCGGTGGAGTGCCAATTGGGCTGTTTCCAAGGTTTGTTTGTACGGTGTGGGGAGAAACTTAAGATCGGTGTTTTTATTCCGTGATCTTCTCTCCTCCATTTCTCCTCCGCTCGTTTGTTTCCGAATTCCCTGTTCTTTTCGTATTTCTACATTTCTAATACTTTTCGACGGTGAGTCCTTTCTTCACCCCCTCTCTGCCTTCCCCACTGTTGCTGTCAAGGGGGGTCGGGGACGAGTCTCCACAACGCGAAAGGTTTCGCAAGGGGGGTGCGGATACCCAGTGCAACACTCTCGTCCATTTGAGAGGACACGACGATCTGCTGGATGTGAACAGATATCTTGCGCCTGCGTTGCACATTACCTCGGATGACTTTCGGCCCCCCAAGAGCCGTTGCACAACTTCCCCGATTGTCCAGCGCCTCCTAACCATGATCATGATTTTCTAGATCTTTTCCTATCTGTCGCATACCGAAACCGCAATCGCATTCTTGTCCTTTCTTCACCCCAGACCCGACGACTCGGAATATTGACTGCATGTCGCGTTCGTTTGAGTCCACGAACATTCTTCGACGTGAATCCCTGCCTCTTTTGCCTTAAATTCTTGCGATCGGAACGTCAACCACATTTTGCGGGGTGGAATTGACACATTTGAAGCTTATTTCTTGGGATCCCTGTTCGCGCTTGGTGAACAGAGCTCGCCGCTGCCATGCCCTGGAGGCCTCTGCCTCGAATTGCCTTTGCGGTAGCCATTTACCCGTTCCACCCCTCGTCCCCGGCAGACCTACCCCTCGAACTCGGCGATGAATTATACATTATAGAACAAGGCGGCTCAGATGGAGAATGGTGCCGTGGCTATCTCGTTGCGCCGCCGTCTCTATTGGCGGGTTTAACGAGTACCAAGGGTCAAACTCTGGAGGCCCGCGTTTTCTCCGGTATTTTCCCGCGGAACTGCGTTGAGATTCGAGAAGTACTGGGCGACGGCGATGGTTACAGGGCAATGCTCAATGGAGACCGGAAAAGTTTAGACCGATTGACCTTGGCCGGTTTCGATGTAGACTCCGTGTCCCGAAACAGCGTGGCCTACTCTATGGGAGAGTCAACCACCGTCGGCGAGGTGTCGGACGTGGTGGTCGCAAAGAAGGGAAAGCCAGCGCAGATCGTGATCAATAAGAACGATGAATCAGACCTGTCGAGTCCGCGATCTGTGCATACCTACCGGACGGGGTCGATCCCACACACACCGATGTCGTTTACGCCTCGAGATCCCGATGCGCCTAAACCCGCCGCGCCTGTGCCCATGTTGAAAATCGGAGACGAGACCCCAACTTCTCTTACGGAACCTCTGGTCGACGAAATTGCCTCCTGCCTCCGCGAGTGGCACTCTACCAACCTACACGAGCTGCTCCTTGCTCGGCAATATGATGTCCTGGAGGAGATGTCTACACTTGTTCAAGAGTTGGACTTTTCGCGACGCCAATTGCTTCATAATGTGTTGACGGGGAAAGAGAAGGAAACACTGCGCGATGCGACGGTCTGGAAACTTGTTCGAGCGAACAAAATGCTCAGTGGAGATATCATTGTGCGCGACCCCGAACAAAGAGGCCGATTGTTGACAGGCGAAGACTCCGCGGTTCAATTGGCCAAGTTGCAATCCGAAATGAGTATGCTTGATGACCGCCCCACGACCTCTTCCGACACAACGGCATTGAATCACCTTCTGCTGGAAATCAATGCTGTATCTGGGAACGTCCCGGGCCCAGTGACTCTTGGAATGCAGCTGTACTCTCGATCCGACCCTGGTACATTCAGTGCGCTGTCTGAGACATACAGCTTGGACATTCCGTCTCCCGACAAGTTTATCAGTTTGACTCAAAGTAACAAGTTGAAAACCTTGTTCACCGAGCTTGCTGCGACTGATATCGGTGATGGCAGTGCGAATGGGCGTCAACTTTATCTGGTTGCTTCTGTTCGGACAGCGGAAACTCGGTCTGCAGCCGAGCCAACCCCATCGAGGTCTTCAATGTCGAGGGAAGGCCCGATTACTACAAGGACAGCCAACGCAGGGGGTGTACAGCCGTCAGTCAAGGGAAGCCTGAGGACACGGCGCAGCATGATGTGGTCCCCCAAGCCACGAGGTAGTCCGACCCTCGACCAGCCAGTCAAGTCTGCAGCTCAAGCGGCTCCTCGGTCATCAAGCGGCTCGTCCAACGCTCAGGAGGCGCCCACTCCTCAACCGGCGCCCACCAAAGAGTCCTCGGCCATTCGCACCGTTGGTGTTGGCATCCTGGAGGTGTCGCCGATTCTCCGACAAGATAAGGAAGCTGAGCAGGTGATTAACATCTGGTCAGCTCCACGAGAGGGCGAAGAAGGCGAGCGTTATGCCGAGGGCTTCGACAAGTTACTTCACGTCTTGCTTCCCAGCCCCAACGGCCGGTATGTACGATCTGCCTCGGCCGGGCGCCTGCATCTCCACCTGCATCCATTCACCAGCATCGACCCCGAAGCCCTTGTTCGGCAAAACCCCACGATTCTGCACGATGTCGTGCAGACAAGGCGCATTGGGTTCTCAAAGGCACCTGCGAAGCCGAGATCTGACATCTATGTTACGCTCTCGCAGGCCGTGCTCCCTACCGATGCGTTGCTTTCTCATCCGTTCGCTGGCCAGATTCCTCTCCAGACGAATACTGGTCTCCGCAACCTCCAACTAACATTGGAAGTCCGCGATGCATCTGGAATACGCGTGGACAAATGTGTCTTCCCGTCCTCCGCCCCGACCTCCGCTACAGCATGGCGTACAACAATTGCCGATCGTGGCTGTCCTTGGAATCAGACAATCCGTCTAAATATTCCTACAGACCGGATTCCCGGATCGCATATTATTATGAGCGTTGCGGATGCGCCAGAGTTCCCCTTCGCTCTCGCGTGGATGCCCCTTTGGGACCAGAAAGCATTCATTCGAGATGGCCAGCACTCCTTACTGCTCTATGCATATGACAAACAGACCTCTAGCATTGAGAATGGGAAGGGTGCCTACCTGAGTCTTCCATGGAGTGCACTTGGCAAGAATGAATCTGCCAAGGATGAAGCCGTCACCGGCCCTCTAGCTACTTTGCGCCTCGAGACCCATCTGTGCAGCACTGAGTACTCGCAGGATCAGGTCATCTTGAGTCTGCTACACTGGAAGGAACGCTCGGTTGATGAGGTTCTCAGCACCTTGAAGCGTCTGCTTTTCGTCCCAGAGATCGAGATCGTCAAGCAACTTCGTGGAGTGTTTGATGCGCTATTCGGAATCCTCGTGGAGAACGCCGGTAACGAAGAATATGAAGATCTGATATTCAACAACCTGGTCACCGTCCTGGGAATCGTTCACGACCGAAGATTCAACCTAGGCCCCTTGGTCGACCACTACGCCGATGAACAATTTAACTTCCCATTCGTCACCCCATGCCTCATTCGCAGCTATTTGCGCCTTTTGAACGCGGCTACCGAGCTCCACCAGTCTCGCAATCTCCGCGCCGCCTTCAAGGTGGGACGCCACTTGCTCAAGTTCATCATCAAAGCCCGCGAGCAGCAAAAGGCGAAGGAGGAAGGTATTGGAATTACTACTGTGCAGTCTACTTTCAATCGAGACTTGCATACGATTTTCAAGTCCATGGAAACTTTGATGAAGGACACCTCCCCGAGTTTGGTGGGAAGCAAGACCTTGATCGTGCAGCACTTTCATTCATGGCTCCCTGAGCTGTCCAAGGTCCTCGGCCGGGATGAAATGATTATGATTGCTTTGAGTTTCATGGATTCATGCAAAGACGTGACGGGAATGTTGGTGCTCTACAAACTCGTGCTCATCCAGAACTACACCCAGTTCGAGATCTTTGATTCTGGCGAAGAAAGAAAGACCTTGATTTCTAGCTGTATCGGATGGCTGGCGCCTTACTGGGGTTCGATCGGAAGTGTCTCAGACCAATACCGAGACCAGGTCCGACTGAACAGTGCAATCGTTGCTCAATTGCTCACTCAGCCGGATCCTCAACTGTATGAGTTCATGCCGAGCATCGTCGCCTCTTACTGTGCCATCGCAACGGAGGGCGTGGAAGAGACAGAATATTTGTCTCTGCTCTTCAGCAAGTCCTTCCCCTTCCAGATCAAGACCTCCACGATCCCGCAGAAGTTCGATGAGTCTCTGTTGGAATTGTCTTCTATTATGGCTGCCCTGGCTAATATTACGACACCCAAGATGCCCGCTTTGAAAGACCTGGAGCTCGCGACTTTCGTCACTCAAGCATTTGAAGCTCACAACTCCATCATGGATTGTGAGGCGTATCCTGAAAACTGGTTCAGCATTCATGTATACAACCATCGGGCAGCCATCAAGAGTCTTGAACATCTTGCATTGCTCCTGATCGAAAAGTTCCTCCCGAATCCCGACGATGCTGATACCTTCGATACCAAACTTTGGGAATCTTTCTTCATGACACTGCTAAAGGTCATTTCCAGTGATGCTCTCGCGCTTGAGACTTTCCCTGAGCAAAAGCGTCGGGCTGTCTGGAAGATTGCCGGCGACGTTCGCGAGCAAGGTGCGGACCTGCTTCACTCCACCTGGGAAGCGATCGGTTGGGATACCTCGGATGAGGAGCACCAGCGGTTTGGGCTAAAGAAGTTGGGCGGTTATCAGGTTCAGTATGTTCCGAACCTGGTTCCCCCGATTATTGGCCTTTGTTTGAGCGTGCATGAAGGCCTGCGCCACGTTGCCGTTCACATTCTCCGAACAATGATCCTGAGCGAGTGGGATCTTAACCAAGACATTTCGATCGTCGAAACGGAGATCATCTCCAGCCTTGATTCTCTCTTCAAGTCCAAACAGATGAGCGAGAGTGTCAGTCAGAAGATCTTCGTTGGGGAGCTGCTGGACCTGTTTGAGGGTGATGCGGAATCTGACGAAGACCTTTTCAATGCTATGAAGGGTCTTATCGCGACTGTTGATGAGCTTCTTGACCTGCTCGTGGCCTCTCAGAGCAGCTCATCCATTCAGAGTCTCCACGCTCTGAAGCTTATGGAGTACATGAAAGACATGGGCCGGGAAGACATCTTTATTCGTTATGTCCATGAATTGGCAGATGCCCAAATTGCTGCTGGCAACTTCACCGAGGCTGGCCTTGCCCTGCAGTTCCACGCCGACCTCTACGACTGGGATCTCAACAAACCCGTTTCAGAGATTATGACGCCGCCTTTCGTTGCTCAAAGCGCATTCGAGCGGAAGGAAGCTCTGTACTTCTCAATCATCCAGCACTTTGAGAATGCGATGGCTTGGGCTCCTGCGCTTGCTTGCTATAAGGAACTTGCTGCCCACTATGAAGCTACAACTATGGACTTTGCGAAGCTCTCCCGGGCTCAGAGCTCCATGGCTCGGATCTACGACTTCGTCGCCAAGGGTGACAAGCAGTTCCCCCGGTACTTCCGTGTCGTCTACAAAGGTCTCGGATTCCCGTCCAGCCTGCGTGACAAGGAGTTCATCTTCGAGGGCTCACCCACAGAGCGCATGGCCTCGTTCGTGGATCGCATGCAGCGGGAACACCCCACTGCGCAGATCATGTCGTCTGGCGAGATCTCCGATTACGAGGGCCAGTTCCTCCAGATCAGCGGAGTCACTGCCCACCGCGATGTTTCTCATCCCGTCTTCCAGCGCTCCAAGGTGCCACACTCTGTTCGTGAGCATCTTTTGATCTCGCATCCGTCTCGTTTCTCAGCGACCTCTCGGAGGCATACCAGTAGCTCGGACGTGCGTGAGCAGTATGTTGAGAAGCTCATCTTCACTGTCGCGGAGCCATTCCCGAACATCCTTCGCCGCAGTGAGATTATTTCTGTCCAGGAGGTTGCCCTCTCTCCTCTTCAAACGGCCATTGAGCGTACGTGGCGCAAGACACAGGAGCTGCAGCTCCTGGGACGCCGGGCAGCATCGGGTGAAGACAACGGCTTGTCGAACTTGACCGAGGCTCTGGAGCAATTGCTTGAGATGCGTGGATCGTCCTCCAACTGTGTTGCTTTGTACCGTGCGTTCCTTGGCGGAGTACAGGGCACGAAGAACAGGCTTGAAGAGGAAGAGAACGAGGATGCCGATGACCAGGAGGACGAGGAGCCAGAGGAGCCAGAGACGGTGGATCCGATGGAGAATGCTCTTGCCGTTGCTCTCATCGACCATGCCTTGGCGATCAAGCATGGGCTGTCCCTGTACCAGCGCCCTGCACAACAAGCCACTCAGGCAGAGCTGCTGCACCGCTTTGAAAATGTCTTCAAGCCTGAACTGGCATCCCTCATGACATCCCCGCCAGAGTATCAGAGCCCGACACCGACCCAGCCACACCGATCTTTCACCTCGGAGTCGCGTCGAAACCAGGCTGTGCAGCGCTCCGTGAGCCCCGAGCAAGAGCTTATCCGAGCATCTCGGGGGAATAATACTCACACGCGTAAGCGCTCAGAACGGCAGTCGGTCAGCAATCGCATTAGCATCATCAACCCTTTCAAGCGATCCCACGGCCAATCAAACTCCATCTTCACCATCCAGCAGTCGGACGGCAAAGACAAGAATATTGATGAGCGCGAGGAAACGGATGATGACGCAGCCACCATCCACAGTCTGGCCACCAGCCATTCCCGGGGTGGTAAGAGTGACAAGAGGCGCAGCTGGTTCGGCGCCCAAGCCAAGCACGGCTCCTCCCCGTCCATCGGCGACGAGGCCATGAAAAAACGACTCTCCCGCAGTGCATCACGGGATACGGCCGCTCAATCTCATGATGATCGCAGTCGCGCAGGTTCCCAGCATCGGGGCCCCGCCGCCAGCGGTGCTATATGCAGTCCCTCTGAGCGACCGGCGCCCGCTTCGAGCGGCGGCTGGTCTACAATCCCTCCAACACGCGATTTCCCTCATCCGGTGACGCGTGAAAGCACGCACGGGAGCCGCGAAGTCCCCTCGAAGAGTGGTACGAACGGTATGAACGGTGGCTCTTCTCATCCGACGGCGACTGCCAACGACAACAATACTACCGGGGTGCGCGATTCGGTGTTCCGACGATTCAGTCTCCTCAAGGGGGTCGGCCGCAAGAGCAGCCGGATGGATTTCAAAGCGAACGGCGCGCTGCTGGAGGAGTAAACCATTTCTTTCTACATTGACCCTTTTATCCTCTGACCTCTGACCTTTCTTCCTTCCTTTATACCTCTTCTTGATGTGACTTACCTACTTACCTGATGTATTTTCTCCTTTTTCCTTTTGTGCTGGGAATATTGGTGTTACGAGATCGATACCATGTGCTATACTTCCTAATTCCACATAGTCTGTTATTGCAAACCGAATCAAAATCGACGGGTCGATATGCTAGGAGCTACAATAGGAAGTGCCGAGCTTCGTAGCGTAAGGACTGTGGCAGTGTAAGCCTTGGCTCCGCCGAGAGTTTCACACTCGCGAATGAAAGGTGGGGACCGTGGATCACCGCTGCAAGTTCCTGCACGCGAATCACTCGAAACGGGGCCCAGGAAGCCACGCGTGTCCACTCGGCCTGTGCGGTCGAGGCTGTGCTGCCCCCGATCCTCGAGAGGGCCCTAGCATTGCATCACGATCTTCCCCCTCGTAACCTTCGACCACGGTTCGTGTGGCTGGAATTCCCCGCCAATTTCCCTTTGCCAATCTCCTGGAAGCCAAGCTTTCGCTCGTACGAGATGTGTACGTAGAAAGCTCTTTCCCTCCCCTTTCACTTTTCAATGTTCCAACGCGCTTCCCACTAACCCCGCCGCCAGCTTCCGTCAACTTTCGTTCGCAGTTCCGAAGCCATAGCTTCGGCCCCGGAAGAAGAATGAGCGGCAATGGAACCGTTGATCCTGGCGAGCGAACTGCTTTGCTAAGTGAATCTCGTTCCTTCCAGGGTCTCTCACCCCATCCGCAGACTGAGCATGAAGGTCATCATCACCATCCCAAGGACAATCGTGTCTGGGTGCAATGGCCTGCACACGTCGTGCGTCTGGCCTGGTTGACCCTGGTCCGGGACTACGTTAATGTACTTCTGATCTTTGTGCCGTTGGGTATCATCGCGGGTGCTCTTCATTGGGACTCGACCGCGGTCTTCGTGTTGAACTTCTTCGCCATTATCCCGCTCGCCTCGATGCTGAGCTTTGCTACCGAGGAGCTGGCCGGTACCATGGGCCAGGCCCTCGGCGGTCTGATGAACGCGACGTTTGGCAATGCGGTGGAGCTGATTGTAAGGTCTTTGTGAAAGATATACGGAATTCATCGCTGACAATTGGGATCCATAGGTCAGCATCATCGCGCTCAAGGATAACCAGATCCGCGTGGTCCAGGCCAGTATGCTGGGCAGTATCCTCTCCAACATTCTCCTGGTTCTGGGCTGCTGTTTCTTCATCGGCGGCCTCCGATACTCCGAGCAGACCTTCAACAGCACCGTGGCATCCACCATGTCCTCGTTGATGGCGGTCGCATCTGCGTCCCTGATCATCCCCGCTACCCTCTACGCCGTCCTTTCGCAGTCCAAGCAAAATGCCCAAGCCAACATCCTCGTCCTGTCGCACGGTACAGCCATCATCCTGCTCGTGCTCTACGTCATGTACCTCTACTTCCAGCTGCGCTCCCACGCACAATTATTCGAGGAGACCAACGCTAGCGATACGGAGAACGCAAATGGTGCGGAGGAGGAAGAAGAAGAAGAAGAAGAGCGCCTCCTCAGCCCGTGGGCTGCCACTGTCGCATTGATCGTCGTCACCGTTCTGGTGGCCATTTGCGCCGATTACCTCGTGGGCAGCATTGACAGTATCGTGCAGAAGACCGGCATGAGCAAAACGTTTATAGGTCTGGTGCTGATCCCGATCGTCGGCAACGCCGCAGAGCATGTCACGGCCGTCGTGGTGGCCTACAAGGATAAGATGGACCTTGCGATCGGTGTTGCGATCGGTAGCAGCTTGCAGATCGCCCTTTTCGTCACTCCCTTCCTGGTCATCCTGGGCTGGATCATGGGTATCGAGATGACCCTGCACTTCCAGATTTTCGAGACGGTCGCGTTCTTTATTTCGGGACTGGTCGTCACCCTGCTGATCCAGGATGGCAAGTCGAACTACCTCGAGGGCGGCATGTGTCTTGGAATGTACGTTCTGCCTCATCTCATCCACCTTCTCCGATCTCTGTCTAATCTCTTCTCCTTAGGTACTTGATTCTCGCTCTTGCATTCTACGTCTACCCCGACGATGTCGGCGAGGGTGTCGGTGCCCTCAGCAAGCTCCTCAATTGATTTGAGGTCTACGAATAGCCATGTCGGATCAAGTGAATACCCCTTTCGCCCAACTTCCCACCAGCGGGTGTCGCGTCCATGGACTCATCCATGTTGCAATAGCTAGCTAGCCTGTCTGCTTGTGTTCTTGTCCGACTGGACGCGCATATTTCTTCTGGTGTCAAAATGCATGCGTGTATATTTCCTATGTTATTATCGCACAGATTCCCAATGCCACTTCCACTATCTTGATTGTGTCATCGTTCCGCTTATCGGCGTACTCGTATCGGCGCGGGGAAAGTCATCGGCAGCAACCTGGTTGGACAGTCCCCAGAGCCCCAGTCTCCTGCATGCTATCTCCTCGACTTACCGATTTGGATCTTCTCCAACCAGCCAAACCTCCCCAAGTGGGGACCTGCCGCCCAATTACCTAAACCGAAGTAAACCGTGGAAACCGAACGGAAGAATATAAGTGTGATCCCCGCCAACATCCAGAATGCGAACAACTTCAAGAATCCGACATGGCTCTCTCAATCACGACTATAGCCATCTCGGCCGTCGTGGGCCTAATTCTCTACAAGGGCATCATTTACCCGGCGTTTATCTCGCCGCTGGCCAAGATCCCCAATGCCCACTGGAGTGTCCCCATCTCTCCGGCCTGGATGCTCTGGAGACGGTTCAGCATGCAGAATAATCGCACGATCCAGGCTGCGCATGAGCGTCTCGGTCCGCTAGTTAGACTTGGACCGGAGGAGATTTCGATTAATTGCGTGGATGAGGGGATCAAGACGGTCTATACCGGCGGGTTCGAGAAGCATGAGTGGTATCCAAGGGTGTTTGGATCTCTCGGGTGAGTTGAATGTTTTGTCGATTTTGAAGAATTCTTTGAGGATTATCCTGGGGCTTTGAGATGCTGATTATATTATAGAACCGTGAGCATGTTCACCATGGTTGGGACCAAGCCTCACTCCGTCCGGAAGAGGATGCTATCCAATATCTATTCCAAGTCCACTTTGCAGACGTCACCCCATCTGCGATTGGTCTCTAATGCAGTCGTATTTGATCGCTTATTGCCCATTATTCATGAGTCTGTCGAGTCAAACAAACCTCTCGATGTGCATGACCTGGACATGGGTCTGACAATGGATTTCGTCTCATGCTACCTGTTCGGCCTGAACAATGGTACAAATCATCTCCAGGACCATGAATATCGCAAGCAGTGGCTTCACATGTATCTGTGCCGGAAACCATTCGAATTCTATCATCAAGAAACCCCGAAGTTACAGGGCTGGCTTAGCTGTGTCGGACTCCGAGTGATTCCCAGTTACTGCGACGACGCGAATGAAGTACTTGATGCGTGGGCATTGGATCTGTGTGGCAAGGCCGCGGACTGTCTGGACTCGACGGACCCGGCAGTGGAGCCTATTGTCTACAAGCAGTTGAAACAAAGCCTCGACAAACAGTCTATGAAAGATACCGGGTCTAAACAAGACCACAAGCAGCAGCAGATTGACATCGCCTGCGAAATGTACGATCAGCTTACCGCGGGCTTTGAGACAAGTGCTGTTGGTCTTACGTACCTGTTCTGGGAACTATCCAAGAACCCAGAGTGGCAGGAGAAGCTTCGCGAGGAACTAACGACCCTCGACCCTCCGATCAAATTCCCCAAGTCCGCGGACCTACCCCCGGCGAAGTCGATTGATAATCTGCCCGTGTTGGAAGCTATTGTCACGGAGACCCTGCGCCTTCATGCGCCAATCCCGGGTATCCAGCCCCGAGTCACGCCCTCTCCCTCTTGTTCACTGGCCGGATGTGACAACATCCCCGTCGGTACGCGAGTCAACGCGCAGGCCTATTCCCTGCACCGAAACCCTGACGTCTTCCCCGACCCGGAGAGCTGGCAGCCGAGCCGCTGGCTCAAGGAAGAGAACTCGCTGGCCGAGCTCGAGGAAAGACGCCGCTGGTTCTGGGCCTTTGGGAGTGGAGGGCGGATGTGCGTGGGTAGCAATCTGGCCTTGCAAGGTATGTTTCATCAAACCACGGAGTACGGTCCGGTACTGATCGAAAACCAGAGTCCAAACTCGTTGCGGCTGCGGTTTATACCAACTTCCGCACCACCATCGTCAACGACGAGGGTATCGAAGCCATCGATGCATACACCGTGCATCCCAAGGCAGAGAAACTGATACTGCAATTCCACGCAGTCTAGACGAGAGGCGCGCACGGAAATGTCAAGATAGTGATACAATCAATTCTTTTCAAAAGGCAATGATGCCGCGTAGGTATATACTGTACAGATGCAAAGACAAACTCCCATATCCAACATGCACGACTCATCAGGCAGTAGACCCGTAAGCGAAATCTGCATGGACTCGGTCGCAAGACGTGGATATCCCAAAACTCCCATGGACCCGGAATGCCGGATAATGCGACTTAGCCCAGCACACCGTCCTTCTTGCGCGGGCCCACCACCTTCGGGTACATTCTCATCAGGTGGTAGTTGACGGTGTTCTTCTTCTTTTCTTGGGATTTCTATTCGCAAAGACGGGTTAGTTGGGTTGTCGGTTGGGCGTCGGGAATCGGGATGAGGATGGGTGAAACGAACCGGTGCATCCATGCACTTGCGCAATTGTGCCTCGAGGCCGGCGCAGCCTTCGACGCCGTATCCCTGCGATGCCCAGCAGTCTATGGACGTTCGTTAGCTATGTAGTTCGAGGTCCTCCGAAAAGATTCACATCCGGTCACGCCCGAAACGCTGCGATTTGAATGGGTATAAAGTGGTGGGTATCGGAGTGGACGTACTCAGCATAGAGGACATGACAGTCACGCAGGGGTTCTGCTCATGCTGGTTGGGCCGGCGGACGCGAAGATGGTTGATGGTGTTCAACCGCAGCGGGTTGAGCCGGGTCGAGACGTTGCCCTTGGGGGCCATTGTGGGAGAGGTGGATAGTCGAAGGATGACGAGGGTATCGGTGCAACAGAAATCGAGATGTCGCGGGCTCCGTCGACAGTGATGGGGGGGTTGGCGCCTTCGAGATGGAGATGGGCAAAATCCCTGGAAGTTTTGCTCCGCGGAGGTGGATGACTAAGCGATCCGGTTTGGCTTCGTGATCATGTTGCTTGCCACTTACAAGCTCTTGTTCTTCACGGATTATGTGTTTTTGATACATTTGTAATCTTTCTATTGATTGTTGCTGCTTGCAAGAACCGGCGATGAATAGCACACAGCTCTGGCGCTCACAGTTTCGATGTGTGACTCTCCGGTCCTCGATACCTACGGTAGCTCCCGCATCACGACGGTTCTCGGCGGCTTGTCAACGGCGACAGAATACAAATTCTACTTCTACGAAGACGGATGAAGATGTAGAAGCCGATATAAAACAAGAAGAGAAGGAGGAGGGTGCCATGGCACGCCGTCTGTCACAGATGACCGAGGATGCGATGCTGGAAGGTGGACGGTCTGCGCAACGCAACATGGAGGCCGCGGGGTTCTCTGAAGACTTGAAGAAACAACTCGAGGAGCGGGTCAAGGCAGCTTCATTCAAGAGTGAATATGCTGCTGAACACTCTATCCTCGACATGCCGGTACGGATTGCCTCCATCTGAAGCTATCATGCAGCTGCTGACCCGTCTGCAGGCTAGTGCAGGCCAAGGAACACGCGAGACAGCCGCAGCTCCTGCATGGACAGGAACAGAGACTCTACATGACTCGGCTCTTCGCATGCTCGACGACGCCAGCAAACCTATTCGCACTCCATACAAGATACCCCAACCCGTGAACCTTAAGCCCGCCCCGAAACCCAAACGCTCCACCGGTCAGCGATTAGCCAACGCAAAAGACCGCACATCTACGTACGCATTAAGCCAAGCGCCAGGCTTATCCGAAGAAGAACGGGAAGCAATGCGCCGCGAGATGAGAGAGAAGTTGGCACCCGGCGCGCACTCGATGCCCATGTCCATACAAGGACTCTCATCCCTCGCGAACGAAAGAATAGAAGACGCAATTGCTCGCGGTCAGTTCCAAAAGATCAAGCGTGGAAAGGGCATCAACACAGAAACAGACCATAATGCCAATAGTGCATACATTGACACGACAGAATACTTTATGAACAAGATCATCCAGAAGCAGGAGATTGTTCCGCCGTGGATTGAGAAGCAGCAGGAATTTGCTTCGGAGATTAGCCGGTTCCGACAGCGTATTCGTGCTGAGTGGAGGAGACATGCGGCGAGGTTGATTGCCAGCCAGGGCGGGTCCCTGGATGAGCAGATGAAGCGGGCGAAAGGATATGCTGCTGCTGAAACACGGCTGGCCGAGAAAGCCAAGATGGAAGCTTCGTTCCGGAATAGCGACGCGTCAGTCAGTGAGATTGATACCGACGGCCGAATAGTGACCAAGGTAGAGTCACCGGAAGCTGCACTCGAGTCCGATGGAGGGAAAAATGCGTCAGGAGATATCCCGCATCTCCCTCCACTACGAGACGCGGCTTATCTTGGAATTGAGCGCTCCTACCATGAGTTGGCCGTGAAGCACATCAACAAAATTGCCCGGTCCTACAATCTCCAAGCACCCCGCTCGGCCCAAAAACCATATGTCAACCTCGACCGCGAGCTGAACTCGTGTTTCGCGGAGGTCGCACCACAGCTGGCCGAAGAGATTCGCCGCCGGGCGACTGAGCGAGCACGTCCATCGGTATCTGTCGGCGGGCCGTCGTCGAGTATGTTTGGGTCAATCGACACGGCGAAGAACGTGCGTGTGTACGAGGAGGATAAGGAGAAGACGTACGGTCTCAAGGAGATGTGGCGAGACATGTTCTCCAAAGATGGGCAGAAATAGGCTGTTCTTGATCACTTCGGGGTGACTGTAGATACGCGATTTGGTTGGATGGAGACCTCATGGCATTGTTGGAAATATTAAAACAGGATAAAGTTGATGGCCTTCATGATCAAAGCCCATCTCTTGGATGTAGTCAGTAAACCTCAATTTCCGTCTCATTTGATAAAAATAAAGCCTCTTCATTCATGAGATCCATCAAACCTGGAACTATTCCGTAGGACGAGGTCGAAACATCGGCGACCCACCGGGAGAATGGAAGTGTGTGCACTTTTCACATTGGGGGCAGGCCACGGCCACTGCGAGTGGGAATTGGAGCTCCTCGGACGTGTGAGTAGCGGGATTGAGAGGAGCGAGAGCTGTGTCATTGGATGTTTCTTGCTCATCCGATGTCCGTCGCTGTACCGCAAGAGTCCATCTCAAGTGCATATAGAGGAATATCGACGTTGGAAATGAAATGCCGGGAATCATTGCAACGATGCCGTTCAAGTGCGCGACAAAGAAAAGATTGGCGCTTATTCCTTCGATGCCACGGACCATACAAACCATCCCCACTCCAAAGATAAGGATTGCACAAGCCAGCTTCGAAAAGATGACAAACATTCGCTTCACGAAGTAGCTTTCCAGCTGGTAGGGAGTGTACTTCGAGGGGATAACCTGCATGGGATCTTGCCGCACCCGACGGAGGAACTTCCACGTCTTGTACAAATTCCCGAAAGCGTCACAGCATACCACACCGCCGATGAGGACTGCCAGAATGCCGATGATATATGCAGTCATTCGGTTCATTTTTCCCACATGGCCGATCAAACCCGTGCCAGACAAATGGTGCTCCCAAGGGAGCGCAGGACAGAGGCATGCTGTGTTGTTGCTCGACATTTTCGTATCGCTGATGGTGCCGAGTTCACGCTTCAACGGGATAATGAACTGATGCCATGGAATCTTCGGCCAGTCGCCAGCAGGCCAACCTGCCTGCTCGAGGTCCGAGTCACCGAACGGGAGGCGGGAGATGAGCTCGAAGTTGCCAAGCCAGATCTCGTTGATGGCGTTTCCCTGTTGGTAGAAGTTCTCAGATTTGACCCCGTGCACGACAGAGACTTTTTGACCCATGAAAGAGAAAAAGAGAAGAACAAGTTGATGATGGATATACAGATGGTGCGATGTAGGATAAGAGGTTGCGCGGAAAGAAGAGATACATGATGAAGGAGGAAGTGAGTAAAGTGAAGTCGGACGGTACAAGAGGGAAGGTGCTCGACCGAGAAATCAAGTCAACAAACATGACGATTCAACACCATGCATCTCTATACATGTCTATCCCGAATTTGTCGATGTATAGAGTGCACGGTGCCAAGAGGGGGCACATATCCACCTACGATCTCCACGACGTGAGTGGCCCGTGACGGGTGACGATTGTGCATGCGGGCGCTTAACGGCAACCAACGACAGGTCGAGATGGCCTCGACTTGCACACATCGTCCTGCTATTCACCTCGTCACACCCAGTGACTACAATTCTCTTATACACATCCCCTCCCCCCCCCTGCCGCCCCATCACTTGGGAACACGATGTGCCCTCCCCTCGAGATTCGTCTACTCCAACCGTTCGACATGTCGATCAGTCGTGATTGAGTGATTTCTCCTGCACATAAATCTGTTCCTCTCCCTGCTTGGTCCCAGTCACAGGTGCCGGCCATGAATCCTGCCCCGGTCGCCTTTACTTTTCCTCCTCTCTTTTCCATTATCTCCCTCTTGCTTGTGTATACTGTTCCAGTCTCCGCTTCGAGTGGGTCGCATATTGAACGCTCTGGAAGTGTCCATGTCCGCCCTCCACTAAACAGACCGCTGTTTGCAATCCAGATTGGCAGCATCGCTGGTGCTTACATCGTATTCGTTGCCGTTCTGCTCGGCCTTCTTCTCTTCGTCGGACGACGACTGCGTCAGACAGTTCAGTCTTCCAATTACTCGTTGCAGATGCAGATGCTGAGGCCTGTCAAGCCGACTCTTGATATGGACCCCAGCCCAATCTCTCCCACCTCGCAGAACCTTCCTAGTCCCACTAGATCGAATGGTTTCACCTCGTGGGGCACTGTCAATCGAGGAGGCAGGCCTTCTCAGACTTCTTTTAACGGCAGCATGGTGACCGTCGACGAGTCCGTGGTTGCTACAGACCGCCAGAGGGCCCAAGATGAAATGGAGATGCTCTATGCAGCGGTCATGGAGCACGATGCTCAAAAGGCTGCCGGGATCAATGTCTCCACGGGGGACTCGGATTCCCAGAGTCAATCCCCGGATAGCCAATACACCAACCCATTCACCGACCGCCATGCTTCGGGAAACCAGGAGTATCCTCCCGCGGCGCCATTGAAGTCCCCATTGAAGTCTCCCAAGCCGTCTCGTTTGACGAAGTTGTTCAGCTCCAATTCTCGATCAAATCCGGATGCAGGCAAGCTGCGGTCTCCGCGACTTACTCGAAAGCAACAGATGTCGATTTCATCTCCTCTTGCTTCTCCAGAAATCCGCTCACCCCAGCCCTATGTCCCTGAACAGCCACCTCTATCACCACGGATCTATAACCCCGGCCCACCTCCTTCGGTGCCCCGCCCAGGACCGGCGGCTGGTCAAATTATGCCTCCCACAGGGCGTGCACGCGTGCCCGCCCCATTGAACCTGTCTCCTGCCACCCAGGCGACATCGAACTTGCCATTCCGTGATGCATATCCCCTGCGCAGCGCTCCGGCAACTAAGACAACCATCCTGGAGAGACCCGTTAAGAATTCACGCGGGCCTGTGACAGGCATGCCGACGCCATACAGTGCGTACATGCCTTTTACTCCGGTGACACCGTTCACACCTGGCCGAACGGTGACGAAGCGCCAGCGGAAACGCGAAGACAAACAACACGGCCTTCGAGTCCTGAATGAAGACGATCTGGTCAAGGATGATAATGACATGTGGGGCTGATTAGTTGGAGGATCGGATATATGGCGTCAACGGCTGCTTCCTTTTGGAGTTGAGTTCCAGCAACTAAATACCTTGGATATATCGATTTCTTGTCATCTATCTTCTATAAATTTCGCATAAGATGTTGCACATCTATTTATTGGCCTTTTTCAAATGCTGCGTGCCGTTAATAATTGCCTCCGCATAGTCCGATCGACTCCCCTCTTTCTCAAGAGTCAAAAGAGCCTGGATAGTACAACCACGAGGCGACGAGATACTCTCCCGAAGGACAGCGGGATGAATCCCAGACTCCAGCGCAGCAGACAAACCCCGAAGGCCATGCAAGACCATCTCCATCGCATCGGGCCTCTTAAGTCCCTCAGCCACACACCCATCCAGAATCCCCTCAATGGGGACCGTCATAGCAGCCAATGCCGCACCCACAAGCACAGAACCAAGATCCATCAGGTTCTGAGGCAGATACTTGATCGCACCAACCCCGTTGAACATCCACTCCACGACCTCGGTCATATGGGCGGGTACTTCTTGCTCCGGAGTCTCGATAATAGTCATCGACTGGCGGAACTGCGCCCCCATATTCGGAATCACCTTCATAATCACCGGCTCTGCAAGGTCGCCTTCACTTCCCTCGCGGACTATCCGCGCTAGGTTTTGCGGCGTTTGCCCCGCCAATAGACTAATCACCAGCTTCCCAGCCAGCGCCTCGCGCACACCTTTCGCGCTGAGAACATCATCCGCCATGAAGGGTTTGAATCCCAACACGACAACATCTGCCTCCTGCATAATGTGCACCGGCACATCCTGCGACGAAACCACCCGGACATACGGTTCCTGGTCTGCGGGGAAAGAAGCTTTCATGCGCTCAGCCGAGGCAGCGCTTTTCGTGCACGCAACAAAGTTGGAAACGGGCCGCGATTGTGTCGAATTGCTAGAGAAAGCTGCATCGAGGACGCCGTGAAGGATTGCGCCGCCCATGTTTCCTGGAAAATGTGAGTCAATTGGCTTCCATTGTGGGGTTAGGTCATTTACCGCATCCGATGAATGCGACGCTGCGTTCTGGGGCCATTTTTTTTAGCGTCGTAGAGGTTGTTTAATGGAAATTGGATTTGGTTGGAGATGTGGTGGACATAGTGATCAATTGCGGATCTTGGAGCTCTTAAACACGTCGGAGCGGGAATCCGAGCTTCGGTTGATGGAGCCGAAGGACCTTTTTGAGTCTATATTGCGAGGTTGGACTTGATAGGGACCTTACATGACGAGAATCTCGAATACAGGTAGATTATCTCCAACTAGGTATGTTTGATACATTAATTCCGTCGTAGTTCTGTGAAGATTGGCTCGGTTCTCCGAGCTGTCAATACCCCGCGTTTGATAAGATAGCATCGGATCGATCATAGAAAGATAACGCCAACTACAGTCTGAAGAGGAACAGACTGTAATTAGATAAAGTCTCTCCTCTCACACGCTTAAACTATATCTCCGGATGCTCCCTTGACTTCTTATCCATCCCTTCAACTGGCAATTTTGCCAACGCCCGCTGTGAGTTAGGAACACCAGGCTCTTTCGGAACTCTAACGAGATGCGCGCGTTAGAGGTGAGCACTTCTGGGAGAGAAATCAGTATTCCTGTAATCATCTGCTTTCTGCAACTAGTCGATCGATAGTTTAATGCCCTGGTTATTGAATGGGATTCGGGATATTTGAGATCTTGCCGACTCTGTATTTTGCCGGAGATAACGCGGTGTTAAGGAAAACGGTGATTCACCAAGCTCTTGTCCGAGCTAGCTTGATGCCACTGAAGACAAATGCTGGCAAGACTATCATTCAGTGGAATAGCTTATGCTGGCCTGATGAATGCCAAAGTAGAAAGTAGACTTCCTATCCGAGCTTTACGAGAGGGTCCTGTCAATAACAATGACATTCGGCTGGGAACAAAGTGAGATTGGAAATGTCTCTATAAGGTAAGAGGTCGCTCGATCATAGTTTCCTTTGATTACTCGATTTGAAATCGAATTTAAGAGCTAGAACAGCCGTCAGCGATCGTAAACCCACAGCGCCGACAATCCGACGTAACCGTTTGGCTGGCGTCACTCCACCTTCAGCGCAGCTGACTTGCATGTATTCGGGTATTTGCCTCTACTAGTCTCGAGAGTTTTAATCCATGCGATGCATAAGTGCTCACATGTGGCACGATTCACGAACGGCCATGTCGTTATTGAGCCGTGGAACCGTTGATTGATAATCGTCACCATCCCCGGGGCCTCCCACGCCATGTAAGCCCGAGCAGGCACCTCAATAAATAAGAGGCTGCGACCTACGACTTGCAAGGCGATCTTCTGAAGTGAATCACTAACTCCAAAATGCCAACTCAAACCGCCCTTCTCGTTACGGAAATCGGGAAGCCAGTGATCAAGGCTTCCCGGCCCATCCCAGAGTTGAAGGAAGGGGAAGTACTCGTCCAGGTCACCATTGCAGGCCTGAATCCACACGACGCAAAGTCTCGTGACAACGGGCTCTTCATCAAGGATGTTCTACCAGCCGTTCTAGCCGCAGATGTCGCCGGCGTCGTGACGCGCGTGGGCCCCAATGTTTCCAGATTCAAGGAAGGGGACCATATCTTCGCACAGGGTTGGCCGCCCGATTCAAACACCCAAGGTCTTCAAGAATACGCCGTTCTTGACTCCAGATTCTCAGCCAAGGTTTCTTCAGGCTTCTCTGATGCTCAGTTGGCTTCTCTGCCCTGCAACTATGTGACTGCCGCAGTCGCATTGTTTGATTCATCCGCCTTGGGTATCCCAGCGCCGTGGGACCCAGCCGCGAGTAGCTTTGATTATAAGTCCACATCACTTCTTATTGTCGGAGGTGGCTCGAACACGGGTAAATACGGCATTCAGCTTGCTGCGTTGGCGGGCATTGGAAACATAATCGTCGTCGCTGGCTTGAAGGGCGCGGCGGATGCGAAAGCCCTGGGTGCAACTCATGTCGTCGACAGAACTAAGACGCCGACTGAAATTGCCGCAGAAGTGCGAGGTATTACTGGGGACGACTTGATTTACGCATTTGACACCATCAATCCACTTGAAACCCAAATTATTGGCGTTGAAGCTTTGTCGAACTCCAAAACTGGCAAATTTGCTCGATTGCTACCAATGGGACCGATTCTTGAGACGAAGCTCTCCTCGAAGAAGTCTGCTGGTTTTGAGACTCTGGATGTGTTAGGTGGATCGGCAGTCAAACCGAATACCGCGATTCCCCTGTGGCAAAAGGTCACTGACTGGCTTGAGGAAGGAAAGATCAAGCCTCTCAAATACCAGGTTATCAAGGGGTTAGATGTGGATGCGGTTAATAAGACACTGGATGGGTATTCGAATGGGACTTTGAGTGGTCAGTGGCAGGTTCATTTTTGAGAAGACCAAGGATTTGAGAGATGGATTTCGTCTTCTTATTCTTAGTACGAATAACGTAATCTATAGTCTGACCAAGAACCAAATTATCATCCCGTCTATTATCGAATACGCAACACTATTAGGCTATCCGGTAATGAACCGCATCTTTATCTAGAGCAACGCTTTGAACGCCCAGACGGGCCGTCACGCCTCTTATTAGTTCAACCGAGTTAAACCTTACAAAAAATAGAAGACTTGCAGTAATCAAGCCCATATTATACCACCCGTATGGCTTGGGAAGAAAAATGATAATGGACCTCGAACAAAGTTCAATTTTTGCCGAGCTTGCCTAAACAAGTCAAAAAAGGGTCTAGAGATGCTTTAGCTCACTTTTGTGGTTCGTCCTTTCTTAGGTTCTACAAGACGACTCCCACACCGACTGGTACAGCATTTCGACCACTCCACACCGGAACAAGTGGCTGCTTCAGAAAGCCCTCTCGCCTATCGCGTGTCCCGCCCAGGTGTGTAGATCAGCCCTGCGGGAGACATCTCATTGGCACCGATGGCCCCACTGGGCCGTTTCGCCAATGCAGAAGGAAACATTAGTCGTCCAAACATTGATAACAATGGATCTGTTGGCTGGAGTGCGGTGGTATAAAGGGTGGGGGTACTTTGGTTTCTCACAGCCTTGCTGCCTTTACGACTCCGTGTCAATTTCGCAGCGAGGCTGCGGCGACCTTTTCAACACAGGCCACTCAATATTCGATGCCCCGGCGTCATTATGGCTGATTCACACACAGATCAGGGCTATCAGCTGGGCGTGGACGTCGGTGGTACATTCACTGATGTTTACGTCCTCACCCCACATGGGAAGACCGTTCGAGCCAAAGTCCCGACCACCATCCCGGATCAAAGCATTGGAATTCGGAACGGTATCACAAAAGCCCGAAAGATACTTTACGATGAGACGGGCTGGTTAGGTGCCTTCCAATTTATCCACCATGGTACAACCACCGCGACAAATGCCGTCCTGGAAGGAAAGGGCGCCCGCACTGCGCTCGTCGTGACCGCGGGGCATAAGGACATCCTGGCGCTGCGTCGCTCGCAAATCCCAGGTGGCTTGGGGGCTTGGCTTCACTGGACGCCACCGGAACCTATTGTTCCTCTCGAGCGAGTCGTTCAGTGCAAAGAACGCATGTCAGTTCACGGTGAGCAGGTCACTCCCGTGGATATCGACGATCTGCGAAATGGGCTGCGTGAATTGGCAAAACAGAAACCAGAAGCGGTTGCCATTTCGCTGTTGAACTCGCACAGTAGCCATGATCATGAGCGAGTGGTCAGTCAAGTCGTGCGCGAAGAGCTGGGCTCAGATGTCGCCATCATTTGCTCGGCAGATGTTCTGCGTGAAGTGGGTGAGTATGAGCGGACGGTGACAACTTGCACCAATACTCTTGTGAAGCCTGTCGTGCAAACGTATCTCCGGAATTTATCAGAGACCCTTGCTGCAGAGAGCGAGACCATCCGAGTTTTGAAGAGTGACGGCGGCTTAACTAGCCTCAATCTTGCCTCTGAGCTGCCAGTGAACATTTTGATGTCGGGCCCTGCCGGTGGTGTCAAGGGAGTGGCAGATGTGGTTGCTCGAAACACTCCGTACAAGAATCTCATTACTCTGGATATGGGTGGAACGTCCACAGATTGTGCGCTGATCTACAATGGCCAGCCCCAGCTGCGACGAGAGACTGTGGTCGGGAATCTGTCCGTTCGCGCTCCAGCCGTGGATATCAAGACGGTTGGTGCAGGAGGCGGTTCCATCGCCACGTACATGGAGTTAACAGAGACTCTGCGGGTTGGACCCGAGAGCGCTGGTGCAGTTCCAGGGCCCGCATGTTATGGGAAAGGGGGACACCAGGCGACAGTGACCGATGCAAATTTGGTCCTGGGTTATTTGCCAAAGACGCTCCTTGGAGGTGCTTTTGCACTGGATGTGAATGCATCCATCTCCGCCGTGGAGGAAATCGCGTCACAAATGAAGCTCCCTGTCACCCAGACGGCCGAAGATATCATTACCATCATTAACGAGATCATGTATGGGGCTTTGCGTCTGGTGTCCGTGGAACAAGGATACGATCCTCGCGAGTTTGCCCTTGTGGCCTTTGGAGGGGCCGGTCCTTTACATGCCAACGCGGTGGGACAGCTCCTTGGGGCGTGGCCGGTCATTATCCCTCCCTCGCCTGGTATTCTCTGTGCGCAAGGTGATGTGACCACCAAACTTCGCCACGAACAATCGGCTACCTTCATCTATCTAGTTCCTGAGACCACTGCCAGTGAAGTCCGTGTGAAATATGAAGCGCTTGAAGAGCAATGCCGAGAGACTCTGCAGAAATCATCTGGTGAACATTGGCCGGTCACCTGGAAGGCCGCCTATCAGGCGGATCTTCGGTACAAGGGACAAGCTCTCACGATTACGGTCGATCTGACGGCCGATGACTTGGCCGCGGATACAGCTGGATGGCATGATGTCCTCCGACGAAAGTTTGATCAACAGCACGAAAAGCTGTTTACTTACTGTTTGCCCGACTTTGACCTCGAGCTAATGCGTCTCGGCGTGGTGCTTGAAGATGCTTCACCGGTCACTGATATTCCGCGAGTTGCCAAAGCAACAACTATTGAGCCACCCGTGGAGGCCAAGATTGGAGAGCAAAATATTACCGTTCAAGGGAAAGAGCAACTGGCCACTCTGTGGGACCGCCAGAAGATCAGCACTGAGGGCACTCGGGTTATGGGCCCATGCATCTTTTCCGAGATGGATAGCAACACTCTCATTCTACCGGGATACTATGGCGAGATTGACGGCATCGGAAACATCTTGATCAACCCGCAGAACAGGGAAGCGGCTGATGTCACTACTCATACGGCTGAATCAGCCCACAAGCTGGTCAAATCCAGTCCTTTAATCCCCACCTTGATATCTTCTACTCTTGGCTCTATCCGAGGTGAGATGGACCAAATGATGCTACGTTGCAGCATGTCGCCGGCGATCCGGGAACAGCAGGACGAATTCAATGTCATCACCGACGCCAATGGAAGGATGTTGGTTGGACAGTTCGGCAGCTTCATCACTGAGTTCCTCAAAGTATGGACAGGCACCATTGAGGAGGGCGATGTGTTTATCACCAACGATACCTACCAGGTGGAGGGGGCCATCAGCCATCTCAACGACGTGATCGTCTTTCTACCCATCTTCCACGAGCATCGTCTTATTGGGTATGCTTCTCAATTTGGACATTTGACCGACGTCGGCGGTATCGTTCCAGGTAGTATGTCGATCAATGCCACCTCGGTGTTTGACGACGGTGTTCAGATTCCTTGCATCAAGCTGTACGCAAAGGGAGCCATGAACTCGGACCTGGTCGAGCTTCTCTGCCGTAACTCTCGACAGCCGGCATGGTATCGCTCTGATCTGACTGCGATCGTTGCTGCATGCTCCATGGCTGCGACCCGAGTGCGCGAGCTGGTCAACCGCTTCGGCCAAGAAGTGTACCTGGCTTCTTGTGACGAGCTGCTCTACCGAAATCGCACTGGTCTATCAAAAATCGTGGAGAGGCAATTCGATACCAAGGAAAGCAAATTCACAGACTTTGTGGATGATGATGGCCATGGAGTAGGCCCTTGGGCACTCAGTTGCTCCATGAAGAAGGTGGATGGCAATCGCCTGAAATTTGATTGGAGTGGTACATCCCCACAGAGTCAACACAGCATCAACTTCTACTTGTCAGAGACCATGTTCAAGATGTTTATCGGATACTATCTCATTGCGGCGGCCGCCCCCGGCACAGTCATTAATGATGGATCCCATGATCTGATTGATGTGCATATCCCCAAGGGAAGTGTCCTCAAGCCTGTTCGCCCTGCGCCGATCTCATGCCGTACGCATCTTCTCGGCCGCACCTTGGATATCGTGCAGGCTCTCATCGGTCAGAAGGACGACGCATACCAAGCAGCAGCTGGATTCAGCGACTCGCCGCACTTCTTCTATTCTGGGTTCAAGCCCAACGGAGAGTGGTATCAGCTTTACCAAATTGGCTTTGGGGGTGTTCCGGCGCGTCAAGCAGGTGATGGCCCCGATTGTCACTGTCTCTTCCCGGCCATCAAATCCATTCCGACTGAAAGCATAGAACTAAATTACCCACTACGCATCGAGGCGAATGAAAGTGTTGCTGACAGTGGCGGTCCTGGATATTACCGTGGGGGCAACGCGCAACGCACACTCTACAGGTTCCTGGCTCGAGGAGAATTCAGCATCCACGACGACCGCTGGTTCACCAAGCCGTGGGGACTGAAGGGAGGCAAACCTGGCCAGCGATCTCGAAAGGTGCTCTATCGATACTCCAAATCAAAGGAAGCCCCACCAGCGGAAATTCTACCATCAAAGTGTGATCATGTCTGCGTGGAACCCGATGACCTTTTAGAGTGGGTGACATGGGGTGGTGGTGGTCTGGGCGATCCGTTGAGTCGTCCGGCCGAGAAGGTTGCCCTCGAAGTTCACCGCAAGCTCGTCACAGTGGACGGAGCCCGTGTTGGATACGGGGTGGTCGTCAGCGAGGACTTCACAGTGGATCAGGCCGAGACTGAGAAACTGAGGGCAGAGACGCGTCTTGAGCGCACTTCGCTTGGAGAGCTTTCCATCTACGATAGGGGTGGTAGTATTGACAGGTTGCGGGAGACATGTCTTGGTGAGACTGGATTGACAGCTCCTCGACCTCAGTGGGAAACAGACCCATATGGTCCACATGTAGGGTTGGAGTATGTGAAGGAATGGTATGCAGAGATGAAGGTTAGCAAAGGGTGGGAGGTCCAGTAGCGTACATAGAATGAGAGAGATGCCAATCTTTGCGGTGAGACATTTAGGAGCCTATACATATTAGTCGGAAAAACAAGGGAAAGTACAAAGGCCCAGAACGGTTTAGTCAACGCCCTACGGGATCCGCCTCAGGCCCGCGATCAACAGTGTTCCGCATCGGGCGGCGCCGAAAGCGGCAACGATCGCAGCGCCTCGCGGGGATCGCAGCAACCGAGCGCTGTTAAACGGCGGATCTTTCTCTTGTTACGACTGGATGTGTGACTCGGGAACTGAATTTCTGAACACCTGAGCAGCTGAACAGCTCTAGGGCCTCTCACTGGGTCCCCGATAGACCAGACACTTTTGCTGATCGCCCCGCTCCCCCGCCCTAAAAATATCACTGCTGTCGTCATCTTCGGGCATTTCACGTCGCGCCCGAGTTGACTTAAATTGGAGCGCTCCTACGGAGTGTATGCTCCGGGCTTCTTTGGCTATATTCTCCCTTGGCATTGCAGCGCAGTTTTAGTCCACGACGCCCTGGTGGATTCTCTTCCCTTCCGTTTGTTTCCCTTATCTTGGTATCTTGGCAACTGTGCCGCCGGTGGCGTGTGAACACTGTTGACAAAGGTCTCAGGCAGAAACCTTCTTTCCTTCATCATCACTCCTCCCTCTTTCAGCCGTCGAATCCCCTCCGAACCGTCCACATGCCCCTCACGATTCTCTCTGGGTCGCAGCTCCGCACTCTGCTGCATTCCCTCAAACGTGATGAGATCGTCAGTCTCCAGCGGAACCTCGCCGAGGCTTTGCGAGAATACTCGACCGGAACCCAAGAACAAGGCTGTTCGGCAACCTATCAGCCGCAGCGAACGGCGATCACCCGCCAGAATGGCTGCACCACCCTCTTCATGCCCGCCACCACGGGCCAGACCCTCGGTATCAAGATGGTTTCGCTGCAGGATGGAGCGGCGGCGGGGTGTGCAGTGGAACGCAGTGCCCTTGACAGAACCGACAGCGAGACATCATCAAAGCGATCGCGGGAATCTTCTCTTCGCGACTCGATGATTTCGATTTCCTCGGATATGAGTGACTTGTCCGTGGGGTCCTCACAGGAAGATAGCAACTCTACAACCACGGGAACTAGCGGGACGGGAGACAGCACCGACGACTCAACCCTCCTGTCGGGATGTGTCAATCAGCTGTCAGTCACCAGCCCGAGCGTATCGAATACGCTCGGGGCTTGGCCCGGTGTGGGCACGCGGGATACCTCGCCGAAGGGGAGTGTCACACTTTTAGATAGCCAGAGTCTACCATTCGGGCTCATTAATGCCCACGAGCTGACAGCCTTCCGCACTGCGCTGGCTTCGCTGATGATCTTCAACAAGCGCAAGAAGGTTCGCACGCTTTTGGTATTCGGTGCCGGCACTCAGGCTTACTGGCATATTCGCTTGGCGTTGACCCTGCGTGGTGAAGAAATTCGGCGGGTGTACATTGTCAATCGGTCCTTTGACCGTGCTGCGAAACTTCTACGAGATATCTACCAGGCCGAGAACTCGCACTGGCGTCGGGACGTCAAATTCTCCGCGATGAGCACCGACTTTGGCGAGTATGGCCGGATCTTGAAGGAGCATGTCCGCAAGGCAGATGTTATTTTCTGCTGCACTCCCTCCGTCGAGCCTCTGTTCCCGGCCGAGTTCCTGACCTCCCGTGATGGTCGTCAGAAGGGCCGGTTGATCAGTGCAGTCGGCTCCTACAAATCACACATGGCCGAGATACACCCCGACATTCTCCGAGACGAGGTCAATGTTTCACCACCTCACCGTCACTTCCACAAGCACACGCGACGAAGCGGAGTCGTGGTGGTCGACAGTCTGGATGCCGCGCTGAAGGAAGCAGGCGAGATCATCCAAGCTGGAATCAAGCCCACGCAGGTAGTCGAATTGGGTGAGCTGATGATGGTCCATCACGCAAGTCACAATTTGAGTGAAGAAGAAGCAGCGGAGGAGGAGAAGAGCCTGCACGACTGGGTGGAGCGAGGAAACGTTATCTACAAGAGTGTCGGACTAGGCCTGATGGATCTGGTCACCGGCGGAGATCTGGTGCGCTTGGCGCGCGATCGCAACTTGGGAACCACCGTGGAAGACTTTTAGTTGTGCATTTTGCACATGTATCGCATCATGGCTTTTTTGTAGTATACCCTGTGTTATATCTTCTTTACATCAACACGCCTTTGCTGAGAAAGACCCCTTTAATCATCCCTCGTTTCCTCTGAATTTCCCGTCCAAAAAAAAATTTAAAAAATCAAAGGTAGTTTCGGCCCACTTGCCCTTCAAATTCTACACAACTATACTCATATCCAATTAGAAATGGAGGTTGTTGCGCCGCTCACAAAGTGGTGGATGTATGTATGGCCATGGCATGATGTCGCGGGAAGCCTGCGTCATTGCTAACATCATCCGTAAGGTACCGCACCTTGGAGCAGCTCTTTAAAAAGGGAGGTCACCCCCGAGGGCATTTCACATTTACATCTGGCAAAGTGTCAATCGCGGTAGGATCTTCATCTGTGCCTTGGATACAACTCTATAATTTTCCCTGTCGAGCAGGCCATTGGCGCACCGTCACCCTCGTCCCCCGCATCAGTGAGGGGCAGCGCAGAGCCAACACGAGCTTTCGTTTATCTTTATGTTCAGTGAACGACTGTCCCTTTGACACCAGGAGCAGAGGTTGCACTCGACACCATGCGGAACACCACCTGTTACCTCCCCAATGGACTCACGTTCACCGTGTCGCCTGTTTTTGGCGGGGTCACGTTCAAGTCCAACGACGCGAGTTCTCACAACTCCACCTTCCCACCAGGTTGGACGATTATCATCCACAGCGAAAAACCTGGCGGGAAATCACCTGAAGAGCGAGGCAGGACTGGCTCTGAGAATGGGCTCCCCTCCGCCAGTGATGACGACAAAAACTTCACTCGCTTTACCACCCCTACCTTGAACCGCGATCACCTCTACATCTCCTACATCGTGAACCCGCCGTCCAGCGAATTCAAGCCGGCCACCTCGCCGACCCGCCAGATTGCGATGATGCTCTGGGCCACCATGTGCTGGTACTTCCACGAGCCGGAACCGGACCTGCACCTGCATACAGCAGCATCGAGCTCGACACCGCTGGCTGGAAAGCCGAAGGGAGATTGGCGGGTGAATATCAAGCGAGAGGGAATTTTCAAGGGCCGGAACCTGCTACAGAAGCTCGAACGCATGGGTCTGATTGCCACCGAGGACTCCTCCGTGGGACTACAGCCCGTCGAGACACGCGACTCGACCAGCTGGTCCAATATGTTCGTGAGCCGCCGAAGCTTCTGGCAGCTCGATCCGCGCCTTTTCCTGTTCACTCTCGCGCCTCGCGCTCCATTATCTCCCTCCTTGACCCCTATCCCATCTCGGCATGCTTCTCCGGCTCGGGATATCCTACCTAGCGCTGTCTTGCCGCCAACGGAAGCTGTCTTCCACACGGCGAATGTTCCCACCTTCAACTCGAATGGCCCCTTCACTTCGGCAAGTCACTTGCCTACGTATTATCCGCCGGCGCCTGCTCAGTATACATTCACCGACGGAGTGCGCCATCCGATTCGGTCGAAGCCGCCTCACCAAGGTGAGGTCTTTTACGTGCGCTATATCCCGAGTGTGGGCCAGTATCTTTCATTCCGCGTCCCTTTCCTCCCAATGAGCAAGGTCACACCGGCTCAAGGGGCCGGCAGCGGTAGTCGGCCGTCAACACCGAAGACTGTGTGTTCCCCGGTTACCAGCATCGAACAGCACCTCTTCCAGAATGTCTCGTCAGATCTTGATACCCTGCATCGATGGATGAACGACCCCCGAGTTGAAGCAATGTGGCAGGTCGGCGGAGACCGGTCTGTACAAGAGAAATTCCTACTCCAGAACTTGACGAGTCGGCACAGTTTCCCCGTGATCGGTTGCTGGGATGGCAAGCCCTTCGGATACTTTGAGATTTACTGGGTGAAGGAAGATGGTCTGGGGAGGTTATTGGACCGTGTGGACAACTACGATCGGGGCATTCATCTACTGATCGGTGAACAAGAGTTCCGTGGCGCGCACCGGGTTGCGATTTGGCTGAGTGCCTTGGTGCATCACTGCTTCTTGGAGGATATGAGAACCGAGACGGTTTATCTGGAGCCGCGGGTGGATAATACCAAGTAAGTGTGATGAGCATTCCAGTAAAACTCGTGTACTAACTGCTCTTCAGGATTATCGGTTACCTCCAGGATGCGGGCTTCTTCAAAGAGGGCGAGGTGAGCTTCCCGCACAAACGCTCCGCCGTGATGAAGATCAAGCGCGAGTTCTGGGAGGCTCCGGCTCTATAGAGCACCCGTCTGTTAAGAATATACATGACGAGTAACGAACAACCTACAGGTTCTTTCTCTGTTCTATCTAAGACACTTCAACCTCGAATGTTCTGTCGCGAATGGGCGGTCATTATCCTTGGTATTATCATGGATGGCTGGTTTAGACAGTGAATTGACTCTGGGTCTGATCTACAACGCAATTTAGCAATAAAACATAATTTCTCGGCTCCAAACTTAGTCTCCGCACCCTAGAGCTCTAGAACCAAGCTTAATAACCCCCGAACCACTTGCGGGGTGTTCCCCCCGTCCCGGGTCGGTGATTCTCGGTCCTCCCAATCCACATACAACCGGTATACTCTCCATGCCATCCCTCATCCCAAACAATCTGGGAATCCATCTTCAATCCACTCCAAAATGGCAACCCCAACCATCCTAACAAACATCACCCGCCGCACAGCAGGCACAATAGCCCACGTCACAATATCCCGTCCCGCCAAACTAAACGCCCTAAACACGCATCTCCTCACCACCCTCCCTTCGACCCTAAAATCCATAACATCCGCAAATGCAGACCTCCTCGCCGTGGTCCTCACAGGCGCAGGCCCCAAGGCATTTATCGGCGGCGCCGACATTGCCGAAATGGCCGCTTTAAACTCCCCGTCTTCGGCGCGTAGCTTCATTTCCAAGGTCTCGGCTGCCTGTAGAAGCGTGCGCGATTGTCCCGTCCCTGTTATCGGGCGGGTTAATGGGTATGCGCTCGGTGCTGGATTGGAACTTGCGGCGTCGTGTGATTTTAGGGTCGCAAGTAGGAATGCGGTTTTTGGGATGCCCGAGGTTTGTTCTTCTGTTCCTATCTAACTGTCTTTTCATATTGTCTTTTCGGTTCTAACGAATCAAGGTTCGAGTTGGTATTCCCAGTGTCGTTGAGGCGGCGCTACTTCCTGGATTGATTGGATGGGGGAGGACAAGGCAGCTTCTCATGCTTGGGGAGAATATTGGGGCTGACGAGGCGCTGAGATGGGGTCTTGTGGAGAATGTCGTTGAAGCTGAGGAGCTGGATGAAGCTGTTGAGGCGTGGTTGCGTCAGTTGGACATGAATGGGCCGTTGGCGGTGCGCAGACAGAAGGCTTTGATTCGGTCTTGGGAGAACGTTTCGCTGGATCAAGCCATTCAGGCGGGTGTGGCTGCTTTTGCGGAATCATTTGATGCAGGTGCGCATGGGGAATTGACGGAGCCGGCGAAGATGATGGGTGCTTTTTTCCAGGGGAAGGGGAAGATATCTTGATATCGGAGTAAGAAGGGTGTTGGCCATGTCTTGGATCACTTCACCGAATTCTTGATTCAACTGGTGACATGTCTTGCATTAAGAATTATTTATCCTTTTTTGATAATCTATGACATCAAACATCCACCATCCCAGTCCCCATTGTCGATGCCAATGGAATGTAACATACACACTTTCCCAATCCAAGTTCTATACATCCTCCGTTCTATACCATCCAATCATGATAAGCCACCTACAGCTTAAACTTGAGCAAGTTGGAAATCATCTCACGTCCGGTAATACGCGAGGTCGCCCAGAGAGTAGGGAAGTCCAGGGTGGACGAGAAGGTATCGGCGTAGCCGAAGAAGAGCATGGGAGGGATCCAACCACGGGCGTACTCGAGCGCGAAGCACGAGGAATCCATCTTGTACTGCTTGACCTCGCCGCGGCGCAGGTGGTGCACGGTGCCGGCGGGGTAAGACTCGGCTTCGTAGGAGCCCGGCACGTAGGCGAGCTGGGTGCCGTGCAGGATGTTGAAGTAATCGTCCGCGGTGTGACGGCCCGTGTGGCCCTCGGTTCCGACAGCGGTGCCGAAGATGATCAGATATTCGGTGATACCTGGATTGTCAGTCAATTGACGTGTCAGGGGGCAGGGCGGCAGGACATACTGGCATGGATGATGTACATGGCGCCCATCGCACCACCGGCATTGTTGAACACCCACTCCTGCTCGAGGTTCAGGTGCTCGGTGCCGACCTTGGTCTCGAGCTCGGAGACGATGAAGTTGACGACGGAGTGGGTGTCATCGCCATGGGCCTTGATGGCGCGCTGCGAAAGGTCGTGCAGGTGGTCCGGGTCGAAGATGTAGAATCGGTCCAGGCGCGCGTCGAGGAAGCTGTAGACGGCGGAGAAAAGGGCCAGGAACACGGCGAAGATACTGAGGTTGCGGAACGAGAAGCAGCGGCAGCCCGAGGACTGCTTGCCGGTGGAGGACTTGGAAGGCATTTTGAGGGTGGTGGTTGAAGAAAACACGAAATGAATTTATCGCCCCTGGCAAAACCCCGGAGTTCCACTTGTGGGGCTGTGATGAACTTCACGACTTCACGACTTCACGACTTCACGGATATATTGGAACGAAATGAGCCGATAATGGATTAAACCGAAGGAAAATGAAATGAAATGAATAGGACTGCTCTTTTTCTCTTATGCCGGTCTCTGCATTTTAAATCTACCATCTAGTCTCGAGTGAAGCTGCGATGAGCGGCGTCCGCGGAACATCTGCAGCCCACACGCCATGTCGGATCGCCCCAATCCGAATCACAGCCGTGGTGATTGGCCAAGGCCTGATGTCTGAGTTCGTAGAACCTCGGAAGATGATTCTCTGTTCTTGGGATTCCATTGCTAATGTTTACTGGATTATTTAAGGGTTTCCTGGACCCTGGATCTCACGGAGTCCAACCGACCGAGAGCCGATCGCCATGAACGAGAGCGAAACAAACACTAGTGAACCCTTTTTGAACTATATCTCTGGCAGTACAACCATAGAAGATCCGACGAGGTGTATGATGAGCTATTTAGAATATTTTGTCCCTAAACGATTAAAGGGGTGGAATATGAGGCGAAATTAAAATTGAAAGAAACTTTGCGTGCTACGTAGAGCGAATATATACTTCGAAAAATCATGCGTACATTTGGAACAGCTAGCATTTGCGATTTCCTCTCTCTCTTTTTTTATTTTTCCTTTGTCCAAATTTATTTCACATCATCGTATGGACTGAAGAAGAGAGAAGCCCCGAAACGGTTGAATAAGGATGCGACATTTCTTGATTCCCGGTGGAAACCCCGAGTTCGGTTGTGTTCCTCGACTCATGCGCTCAGGTGCCCAGGTGCATGCTGATCATCACCACTTCCAAAGAGGACCTCCCTCCGAGCTTACGCGGAGCATCAAATTATACCCCGGAGCCCTCGCATATAACTAAAAACCTGGGGTCCAACTCCTGCAAAACCAGGATGCGGGGTGCATAGGCCAAGAGTCCTAGGATGATTGCCCTATTAATGTGGCTGAAGCTTCACCGGTATTCCCGGCATTGGTGGAATTCATTGAAGCCATTGAAGTCTAACAGCCAAAAAGCTTTCAATAATATCCCATATATTGCATATGACATCAAATCACATGGCCATTTGCGGACGACACCACCTCTTTCGAGGTTCCATGAAGGGGTTCAAAATCTGACACCCTGACAGTATAGCCCCTGAGCACCTAGACAAACCGAAAGGATTCGAATGTACGTACTCTAAATTGAATCCCTGAAGAACCTCGGCAAGAGATCCAAAAAGAGATTACCGTTTTCTCGATCCAGCGGCTCCACTCCGCGGGCCGACGCCATGGAGTTTACACTCGGAGATCTTCCGCAAACCGCAAAGCAGCTCCGGAGTGAAGATACTACCATGGATAAACATCCAGTCGCGGAAAAATTCATTGCAGAGTTTAAGACATTGATACCAGGGCGATCATTTCCTCGCGCCGGGCTAGTTCATGGATAAATTGACCGATTACTTGACCCGTGCAGTCTGCTTCAGGGTGAATATCCGGTGGAATCCCGGTGATGAAGATGAGATAGGACTGCTCCGTACTCTATACGGAACAAGCATCCAGACCACCCCGGTGGGATGACCTCATGGGCAGGACTATATAATGTCTTCCAGAAGCCGTGGCACTGTCACTGTCCGACTGTAATCAACAGATTCTCTGGATTTCTTTCTTTCTCTACTGCTGGCCAGCCAAATTCACCCCCATACCATCACCATGAAGTCCTTCATCGCTCCTCTGTCGTTCCTCTCCCTCGGCCTTGCCTGCTTCGGTAACGCCGCGACCATCCCGACCAAGAGCCTGACCCGTCGCGCCGACTTCTGCGACCAGTGGGGATCTGTCACCACCGGCAGCTACATCCTCTACAATAACCTCTGGGGCCAGAGCTACGACACCTCCGGCACCCAATGCACCGGATTGACGTCCCTGAGCGGTAGCAACATCGCTTGGTACACCTCGTGGTCCTGGTCCGGCTCGGCCAGCCAGGTGAAGAGCTTCGCCAACGTTGCCCTGCAGTTCACGGCCAAGACCCTGAGCAGCATCGACAGCATCCAGTCCACCTGGGAGTGGAGGTAAGAAATTCCTCCTCGAAATGCCTCCGGGTTGATTTTCTAACCCCTAACAGCTACTCCAACACCAACATCGTCGCCGACGTCTCCTACGACATGTTCCTGAGCTCCAGCGCGTCCGGCTCGGCGGAGTACGAGATTATGGTCTGGCTCGCGGCCCTGGGCGGCGCAGGTCCCATCTCTTCCACCGGATCCCCCATCGCCACCACCGACATCAACGGCGTTACCTGGGAGCTGTACTCCGGCCCGAATGGCGACACGACTGTGTACAGCTTCGTGGCCGAGTCCACCACCACGAGCTTCTCCGGGGACATGAAGGAGTTCTTCAACTACCTCACCGAGAACGCAGGCGTGAGCACTAGCCTTTACCTGATTAATGTGCAGGCTGGTACTGAGCCTTTCACTGGCACAGCCGAGCTGACTGTCTCCGACTACTCTGTTGCTGTCGTTTAAGAGGCGGATCATGCGATCGAGAGGCGGACGGGGAATTTTGTTTCAAGTGAATAGTTTTCGAGTGAATAGTTGGATACGAAAAGATCTGGAATCGATTTCGTGACCGCATCAAAAAGTCCAAGATGAAGGCAGTGCAACGTGTAGTGCCGTAGCGGGTTCTGTTGGATCATGTAGAATCCACTTGGCTGGTTGTTTCAGCCCCACGACACCGGTCGGGCCACCGTCTTCGCTAACCGCTGGACCTGACGTGAAACAAAACACCATGTCACCCTGAAACAGAACCCTGTTTCAAGAGTGCTGTCGTTCGTCACCAGTGGAACCATTGGCCTATGCTGGCAATGGCTAGAACGACTAGAAGAGTCCCGACCCAGCAAGCCAAAGTCGAGCGAGACGCCCATCGCCTCAAAGAGAGTTAGTGCTTAGTGCATCAAAGAGAATCGCCAGAAAATCAAATCATTGCAATCTCTTTCCGTGGTAATGATTCAGGTAGGACATGGTCGGCATTGTAGCGCGGATGGGACCTTCAAAACGCGCCAGAATCGAGCGCGTAAGTCCTACCAATAACGAGCCATTCTATCAATAGAACTGTCTGACGTTGACTTCTCGAAGCGCCCGCCCCAAAGAACATGAACGGCAAGCGCTCGGCCGGCGGAGGTCAGTAAGCGTTAGGCAGGGCGCTTATATAGATGTAGCAGACGTCGGAGCCGAAAATAGCTCAGCGGTTCCTCTTTTTTTAGAACCAAATGCAGGTCGGCGCAGGTCGGAGCATTACGCAGTGTGCAGTACAATGCATCTGAAGAAAATGGAAGTGGGCAGGAAAAGGTGGCGGGAGCCGATACATCCACAGCCCTGACCTTCCCCCGCCCCTTCTCTCTCTGTTCAGGAGGGGTAAGTGAGTTTGACCTGGAAAAGATAATCGATCCCCCTCATGCGAGGTGGACAGACTATTCGCAACCCCTTCTGACATGTCGGATCGCGCAGTCATCAGGCATGTTCGGGCACGCGTGTGTGACAGGGGTCATTTGGCATGGAGGCAGGGATCCCGCACCCGCACAGACAAATCTGTCAGGTCGACCCGTTCGTCATTATTATTGGGGGCCCCCCATAGCGGGCGCCAAATTGAAACGCGACTTGCCACATTGTTGAAAGCTTTCTCTGGCCATGGACCCTTTCGTATCGGTGGTACCCTAGGGACCTTTTCAGCTGACTCGCAAATCACGTCGGGCCCCTTTTCCCTATTCGGGGTTTGGATTCATTCTCGAATCTTGAATCTCGTGTTTCGTGTTTTGTGCCCTGGATAGGGCGCGTTCTAGGGTTCTAGGAGGGTGAAGCCATTTCCATCAACGGGATGGAATCCTGCCCTGATTATCCCCGCGTCTCGCACAGGAGACTTGAGACGGTCGCCGGTTTCATCGATAGTCCATAGAAGATTGGTAGGAGGCTGACTCCAATTCTACCACAGGCACACCGGCCGGGGTCTCCACCGAGTGGGCCTAGCGTTGATCTCCTCGCAGCAGCGGTGGAGTCAGTGTCCATTCTGGCGCACTTGTTGATCGCCCCGGTCCCTCCAGCGCTTGTGGAAGAGATGTTTTCTATTATTGGGATTAGTTCAAGAGCGATGTCATTCAAAATGTAATTCTGACGATGTCTACACCGCGATTCCCGGTGTAGAGCGTGCTGTCGGGAGGCGGGTGAATCTAGGGATGACGAGCATGGGCAGGTTTGATAGACAGCAAAAAGTACATACCCAATGGTGCGGGAAGTCTTTGACTTTCTTCTGCATTTCGCCTCGAACGGTGTAATCGCTCCACTGCATTCCACGCCTGAGCAAATCAATTTTCCCCCCCCTCCTTTGGCCCAGGCTCCGCGCGCGAAAAGGTTCGAGCATCTCAGATCCAACTATGCAGGCTCACTCGCGCTCCTCCGCGACCCCCTTAGCCCCGGCCTGGCTGTACAGGGCTTCTGACTGGACCGTGTGAACCTTGCAGCTCCTGGGTGCCCCCTCCAGCCGCCCTCTGAATGGCGCATACCGGAGCTATATCTATCCAAGTATTTCCCACGCTCAGATTCTTCACGGGAGTCGTCCACATGCCCATCGTCGTCACCCATCATTTCCTTTCCTTTTAATACCGTCTTTCTGCTTTCCACCGGTCGCTCCCTCCAAGAGATTCAAATTCAATAGTTACTCCACGGTTCCAGTTTCATCGATCTATTGCCTAGTACTGCGGGCGTGTCTCTCGGTTGAAATTCTCCGCTTCGGCAGGTCTCACTCTTCTGGAGAAAGTCAGTTAGGGCTATCGGTCGATAACGGGTTGACACGACAACCTCAACTATCCTTACAGCAACATTCTTTTTTTCCACCAACTACTTGACATCGTCCATTCGTCCTGCTGGTTCAGGGATTTGACGTGCTATTTTATTTTCATTGTCTTCGTGCTTTGTTCTTTGTTTCAACCTCGTTGTCGATACCTCCGAACAAGGCAACAAAGGAGGCACATTGCCTTTTATAATTGTTCAACCGTCCTGAGCTTTCGAGACCGAGCTCGACATTTTCATCTGCTTTTAGTCCTCACCTGGGACCATTCCAGCAGTTACTCCTATACCCGACACCCCACACCCTCCACCCTATACACTATACACACTATACCTAGGTGGTCACCATGAACACAACCAGCACAGTCGACATGAATCTCCAAGCTTTGAATCGAGCGGCGCTCGACTCCTTCGTCACCCAGCGAGTCTCACGGGAGATGGTGACGTACCTGGCCCAGCAGGCATCGCAGGTCATCCGATGTGAGGCCCATGTGACCAACACCGTCAATCATCACGGTCAACCCACACCACCCTCTACTCCCCCCATCGACCCGACCGACCAGATGCCCCCCCTGCCGTCCATCGAAGCTTTTATCGCCTCCCTGGTTGTCCGCTCCCAGGTCCAGGTGCCCACCCTCATGAGCTCCCTCGTGTATCTCGGCCGTCTGCGTGCACGTCTTCCCCCGGTCGCCAAGGGTATGCGTTGCACTGTCCACCGAATCTTCCTCGCCTCGCTCATTCTCGCTGCAAAGAATCTGAATGATTCCAGCCCCAAGAACAAGCACTGGGCTCGGTATACTGTGGTGAAGGAATACGAAGGCTTCGGCTTCTCGCTCCCGGAGGTGAACTTGATGGAGCGCCAGTTACTCTTCCTGCTCGACTGGGAGACCCGTGTGACCGAGGAGGATCTCTTTACTTACCTGGAACCTTTCCTGGCTCCTGTTCGTCAGCGTCTGCAGGCCCAAGAACGCCAGCGCAAGGCCGAGGAGGAGGAACTTCAGCGCAAGCAACAACATCGTGAATGGTTAGTACCAACTCTATTATGCGTTTTATTCTGGTATTTTTCAAATACTAATTGATGACCAGGCGTCGACTTCATTACTCCGCAGATCTACTAGCCGGCCGCCTTCGTCGTCAGAAACTTGATGCTCGTGGTGACAACCGGAGGGCCGTGGACAACACCCTCCGTCGCCTTCCCAGCCACGTCTCCTGCCCTAGCATTCAGACAACCAACTCTCCCCAGTTCGCCGCCGAGCACGATCGCTACAACCCATACCCCCGTACTCGATCATCCCCTCATCGCCCAGGCCGCTCCATCTCGCCTCCATCCATCCGGGATGTCCCCGGTCTATCTCATGCAGAGACCTTTAACTCGCTGTGCTCCCGCTCATCCAGCACTGCCCCCAGTTCCCGTGGCACCCCCGCCAGCATCAGCACATGCTCATCCCACGGAAATGACGACGTAATGCTCACCGACGCGAGCTCCAGCCCCTCTGTCTCCTCCTTGACATATAGCTATGTCAACGTCGGCCCCATGGATTCCAAGCAAGCCTTTGAGCCAGTCCGCCAACCTTCCAAGAAGATGAAAGTCGGCGGCCACACCCACAGCGGCGGCTTCGTGGCCCGGTTCCTCGCGTCGGCAACTGGCTCATATATGGGAAGCCGCATCGGTCGTCCCCACGCATAAATCGAGCCGGTCTCGACCACTTCGTGACCGTTTCACTGATATCCTTCTTTCTACCCTATTTATTCACATTCATCCGACTACCCATTTATTCCCTGCTTCGTGGCCAAAAGCATTTAACCGTTGATACGCATCTTCTGTGATAATACCCTTCGTTTACGTTGCCGCCCATTTATTCATCCTTTGGTGCCTGCCATGTCCTCAATATAGGCATGTTTCCCATTCTCACACTCTTTACCACTGCATTAGTCCTCGGCGGCATCGGCGTTTTGATGGTCTTTTTGGTGTTTCTATTTCTGGCTGGTTCTTGGACTCATGTTGGGACTCTAGACGTTCGATGTATTTTGCGGATGTATTTATCCCTTATTCCATAGTCCCGGCGTTGGACGTACTGATAATGATACTTGGTAAATGTGAATTTTGAATTCTTCACCCGCTCCCTGCTTTAAATTCTCTGTACTGCTCAATAATCTGCATGTCTCGCCGATCGTCTCAGCCACCCGCATGTGTGGCAATTGCGTCGTGCTAATGAGATGCTTGGCGCGAGGCACAAGATTCGGTTGACCAAGCTGCTCAACCTAAACTTTGCTTTTATGATACGCAACCTGATACACAGTATGCCAAAGCCGTGGAAGAGGCCACCTATCGTTCTAATTTGTTGTAAGCGACCTCCCGTCTGTATCTTACCCACATTTTCAGAAGCGTCGAGGAATGCAGGGCGCACGCCTTAACCGGCAAAGCAAAGTAAACATAAAGGAAGCTCCATTTCTGGCTAGCCCACAAGCCTGCCATCGCAAATACCGAAGATAAAGAATGAATCCCGGTTAAAAGTGGTTGGAGTCGAGGCAGAAGGTGGTCCACCAATAAAGCGTCAGATTTGATTCGAAGTGGGGCAGATCGATCATCTCAACCAGGCTTAATAAACAAAACAATAGAATGATTTAGCGTGGTTTACTATTGGCTAGATTAGGAATCTTGGTTCGAATCTCGGTCGAGACGAGTCAAAAGCGAAGCCATTCCGAGTCCCGATTAGTAAACAAAGAGCTGAATTTCTAAGCGAACCCGTTTCGCGGAGGAGCCCACTCCGTATAGGGGGCGGTGCCGTGCTGCCTAGCAAGCCCTTCTATAAAACCACCTTCCCTCTTTCTATCGTCCTTCTTCACCATCCATTCACCTTTTATCATCATTTCAATCTACATACCCGTCAACCGTAATGTCGGGACTTTTTGGTTGCTGCGTTTTCGTGAACCATGAATGGCAGCATCTGCCTCAGGTCGCGCTGAAAGCGCACGCAACTATATTGTCTTCTGCTTCACAAACCACTCTCACTCAAACATTCACGAACCCATTAGGCTATGCTCTCTCGGAAGTCAACTACATTTTCCCTCTCTACGATGGTGTCAGTGTCGTCGGTTTCCAGTGTCGTGTTGGCAATCGCCTCCTCTACAGCAAAGTGAAATCGAAGGAGCAGGCCAATGCTGACTACGAGGAGGCCACGAGAAATAATGAGACGGCAGCTCTAATGGAGCACACAGCCGAGGAGAACGATGTGTTTATGATTCGAATCGGTAATGTGCAGGCCAAAGAGATAATCACCGTCGACACCACCTTTATCGGCGAGCTCAAGCAAGATGCTCAAACCGATGGAATTCGTTACACACTGCCAAATGCTATTGCACCCCGCTATGCAAGTGCTAGCGGCATCTTCCATGGTGATCATTTATTCTCGCCCTTCAGTTCTAGTTTTCCCGCAAAGTTTCAAGGAATCTCTATTACAGTCGATGTGCAGATGGGGAAAAACTCCATCATCCGGGAGTTGCAGTCTCCAAGCCATTCGATCAAAACTTTTCTTGGTCGGACTTCTTCCACCCAGGACAGCTCTTCATTTGAGCCATCTCAAGCATCTGCTGCGCTCCATCTCACCAAGGACAACCAGCCCTTGCTGGAACGCGACTTTGTCCTGCTTGTCAAAGCTGATGGACTTGATAACCCTGGTGCGCTGCTGGAGTCACATCCAACTATTCCTGGGCAACGCGCCCTGATGGCTACGCTTGTCCCAAAGTTCAACCTTCCCCCTGCCCAGCCTGAAATCGTCTTCGTGATTGACAGAAGTAGCAGCATGGGTGACAAAACAACTACCCTGCAGTCCGCTCTGAGAATCTTCTTGAAATCCTTGCCGCTTGGAATCTGCTTTAACATTTGCTCATTTGGGACCTGGCATTCATTCCTGTGGTCAACTAGCAAAGTTTACGACCAGTCAAGCTTGCAACAGGCCTTGCTATACATCGATCATATCCACGCTGATATGGGTGGCACAAACATGCAACCAGCGGTCGAGGCTGTTGTGAACAACCGCCTCAAGAACAAGGACCTGGAGGTTCTTCTGCTCACCGATGGAGCGATCTACAATCAACAGTCTCTGTTCAGTTTTGTCCGCGATGCTGCAGCCGATAACACCGCACGCTTCTTCTCCCTCGGTTTCGGCGATGCCGCTTCCCACTCCCTCGTCGAGGGAATTGCGAGATCTGGTAACGGGGTTTCACAGTCGGTATTAAGACATGAAGAACTCGATCGAAAGGTGGTAAGAATGCTGAAGGGAGCTCTGACGCCTCACATCTACGACTACAAGCTTCAGGTGGAGTATGATACCATGGTTGATGGCGACTTCGAAGTTGTGGAGAACGTCGATTACCCCATGCAAGGCTCTGAGACCGATATTGAGGACCAGGCTGCCGTTATACAAACCCCCCAGAAACCTATCTCTCTGTTTGATGAGAACTACAAGGAATCTAATGCAGAACTTGGAGCCACTCGGACTGTAGATGACAAGAACCTTCCCAAGCTAACAGCTCCCAAGGTTCTTCAAGCTCCGTATAAAATCCCCTCTCTCTACCCCTTCATCCGCAGCACGGTCTACCTTCTCCTGGATCCCAAGTCCACTCATCGCATCCCCCAATCACTCACATTCACCGCCACCTCCAAACAAGGCCCGTTGCAGCTACGCATTCCCATCAGTGACCTTGGTAAGGGCGAGACCATCCATCAGCTTGCATCGCGCAAGGCCATGATTGAACTCGAAGAACTGCATGGCTGGCTGGAGAAGACCAAGGATTCTAATGGCAATCCATTCACTCAACTCCACTCTGATACAAAGCAGCGACTTGCCACCCGTGAATGCCAGGCCCTGGGAATCAGATACCAGGTCACTGGCAAACATTGTTCTTTCGTTGCTTTGGAAGAAGACAGCTCTGCGTCTGGCAAGGATCAAGAGAAGGGACAACCAGGGGAGAATAAAGCCCAAACAATCTCTCGAGGAAGCGCTTCCCCGGTGGCTTCCCGCTTCATGTCGGCCTCGGGTAAGGGAGGTGTGAATGTCCTCTACTCTTCTGCACCGACACAGCAGATGTATTCAGGGCCCATAGGAGGATCCATGATGGGCCGAGCCCCGCCAGCGACATCTAGCGCAGGGCTTTTCGGGAACCGGACCCAACCAGCCTCTTCGCTATTTGGCGGTTCTCGTGGGTCTACACCTAACTCCCAATCAGGATTATTCGGCGGTCAACCATCCCCATCGTCTGGTCTCTTTGCCTGCTCTGCTGTAGCTGATGGGCCTAGCTCCGGTTCCCTTTTTGGATCTGTCCCAACTGGTGGATTTGGAGCCCCTACACCCCAGCGAGGACCACTGTTTGGAAGCGCGCAGAATGTTCAATTCCCCGTAAGACCAGCTTGCCTTGGACAATCTGCTACCTCGTCCTTTCCTGGGTCTGTCTCGACTGGTGGGTTTGGAGCATCCGCAGCCCAGCAAGGAACACTGTTTGGAAGTACGCAGAATAATCCATCCCCCGCAAGAACAGCTTGCTTTGGACAATCTACTACCGGATTCTCTCATGGATCTGTCTCAACTGGTGGGTTTGGAGCTCCTGCACCCCAGCGAGGACCACTGTTTGGAAGCGCGCAGAATGTTCAATTCCCCGTAAAACCAGCTTTCTTTGGACAATCTGCTACCGTGTCCCCCTTGGCCCAGACTGCACCACCCCCCTCTAGTGGCCAATCTGAAGTCCACTCACTGGTTGCTCTGCAATCTTTCAGCGGAAACTGGGAACTGAACCAGGAACTATGCACTCTTCTTGGCTGTGACCTGAACAAGGTGTACAACAGCTTCCTCGAACTCACCCAGACCACTAACATCTCCACTAATCTTACCAATGCTCTTGCTACTATAATGGCAATGGGATTCCTTGCTAACAAGCATGCTGATTCGAGAAGTGTCTGGGAGCTTGTTTTCGGTAAGGCTGAAGCTTGGCTGAATGACACTGTGCCAGGACTTGGTATCGCTGGTGCCATGATTGATGCAAAAAAGGCTCAGATCATGTCCCTGGAGTTTCTCAAATAATTCACAGTAAAGAAGATACAAAACATACAAAAAGAAAGGGAGAAAGAAAAAAACAGAGGAAGGTTGGAGGATTTCGAATGTGTTGCTTTTGCAAAATCGCTAACTTTATTTACTGAATTAAATCGATATTATCGTTTCAAAGTCCAAAAAATAATGAAGTAAGTGTAGTTTTGTAGTGTATATCTGCATATCCCAACTTTAATTGGCACTTGAAGGTAGAATTTTAACGTGAAGGTGTTCGTTATTGTCGTACATAAGTAGTGCTGTCTAACTAGCCTCAAATGCCGGGAAATATCGGTTCAAAACCCGATCCAGCTGCTTGATAATAACAGGCTTCACAAAGAATTCGTCCCCGCCAGCAGCTTTCGCAGCCGTTCTATCCGATGAACTATCTTGGCCAGTCATGACAAACAGGTAGCTCTTCGACCAGTTGTTCCTTTCCTCCAGGGATCGGATTTGCTCCATGGCTTCGATACCATCGCACACTGGCATTTGTAGATCCATGAAAACCAGTTCAATTGAGGGACCCTGACCAGTGGCGGATAACGCTTGCCGCTGGGAGAAAATTTTAACGGCTTGGAGGCCATCGGCTGCGGAGTAGGATGCTAGTCCTCGTTTGCGACAGTACATCTCCATTATGCGAAGGTTGACGGCATTGTCGTCGACAATCAGAGCTGTGGGTCTGGGGGAGGTTGTAAGAGCAGGGAAGATTCGAGTCGCCTTTCGTAATACAGCAGAAGCTGCTGCATCTGGCTGAGATATCGCCGGAACTGTGGCGTTTGAGCTGGGATTGATCGTGTCGCTAGTGGATGGATTGCACGTGGCCTTTTCGTCTGTGTTTGGGCCTTGGTACATGTTTGACAGCATGACTTGGGGTTCATTGGGGGGCAGCGGACATGAGGGGCCCCGAGATTTGATCTCCAGAAGAAGATTGTATGTTTTTTCGAGCGTCGAACGCAAAGTCGACATGGTAAAGAGCCCGGTAGCGTAAACAACATTATTCGTATTCTCTTCAAGGCGTGAGTCCTCTTCTGAAGTCCGCACAAGGCAAATGGCAACTTGATCCGATGGTATCCGAGACAGGTGCGTGCGGTGTTGTTCCAGGTCAGGCACAGCATCAAGTATGATGATGGAGTCTTCAATGGTGTCCGAAGAGGTAAAGCCATTGCGGCCGAGAAAAGGGATAAAATGTTCACATAAAGATAGACAATCAGAGCCAGTCGCTATGTGGAAGAATTTTGAGGGTAGGTCATTGAACTTGGAAGCCAGTGGCTGCGATGGAAAGGGAGAGCAAACACATGCAACGTCGCGGAATGTGGCTCTGAAATGGGACCCGCGGCCAATTTCTGACGAGATTAAATCGATGGTCCCGTTGAGAAGTGTTGCAAATTTAGATGCAAGAGTGAGACCCAATCCAGCGCCCGCCGTGTGTGGGTCAATCTTTTCATACGGTTCAAAGATGCGTTGCTGGTGATCGGGATGAATACCATGGCCGGTGTCCTCAATATCGACAGTAAGTTGCTTGCGATTCGGATGTATCGAGGCGGTTATTGATACAACCCCACGTGGGGTGTTTTGGATAGAATTGATGACAAGTGGAAGCAGGGTGTCTCGAAGCACACCGAGATCGGTCCGAAAACTGTCACCTCCGGGCGGAGTGTCGTGATTAAAGAATATAGAGGTTTGGTAACGGGTGTCGCCCGACGCTAGTCTGAGTATCTCGTTTTCTATCTCCCCCTCCAGCTCATCAAAAGTATGCATGGCATGATGCCGGTCTGTAATGGCAATGTCGGACCATCTATTCAGGGTGATCATGTTGTCGACGATGGAAGTTAGATCTCGACCCGCCATCTTAATCAGATTGAGGTACATGGAGGGTTCGCGCGTATCTCTCTCCGAGGCTTCTTCCATCAATGCTGACATCGGGAGGACGGATTCGCTCAAGTTCCGGGCCTGTAGTTCCTCGTCCAGGAGTTCCACGGATCCGAGAATACCATGGATCGGGGTGCGGAGCTGATGAGAAAACCCCCGAAGGAACTTTTCCTTTGCTTTCATTGCTTCCATCAGAAGGCGTTTGCGCCACATCTGGGAGAGCATGCCGGCGCAAGTCTGAACAAACCAGGAATCTACATCATCAAACACGTGATGGAAGGCATTGGATGCGACGACAAGTAACGATGATCCCGATATACTTTCGCAAGGGCGGCAATAATGCGTACTGTCCTGTTAGATGGAAGTTCAAGATGATTTGAATTCGCAATAAAGTCGTCAAGGTAGTCGGTGTCTTCCCATAAGCCGTCTTCGAAGTAGGAAATCGGTATCGGGTCTCGTCCATCAATCTCGACATGGGTTGCCTTGAACGGTTGCAGGCTGATTGCTGTATCGGGGTATGTGGTTCTCAGTATCCTGAGGATCGGCTCCTCGGAGACTGAGTCGTCGGTTTCCCTCTGCGCTGTGGAGAGGAGTTCAGACATCTGGCGCCGTTCCCGCTGGCGTCTTGCTCTTGCACATTGAACGAGATCAGAGACAACCCAGTCGGCTAGGCGAACGAGAGCCTGCTGCTGTGTTTTGGTCAAAGGCTCCTCCTTGGTGCTTGAGGCCACACAAAGGGATCCGAGGCCAACACAATCTCCGTACTCGTTTTGCAAGCGAAGTGGTGCACCAGCGTATGCTCGAAGACCGCCTTGCTCGATGTAAGGTGATTCTTGGAATCTCCAGTCCTCCATGAGGCTCGGTAACAGAAACACGCTCTATATTGAAGATTCAGCAAACCGTACCAAAGTAAAGGCCATATGACTCGCAACATACACCAGGAGGTTGAGTAACTGTGTGAGCGCAAATAGTTTCACCACGCGGAAGAATGCCTAGCTGAAGCCCTACTGTGGCTAACCGGATATAAAAGTTGACGTCAAGAATACCGATGACGGCAAACTCCCATCCAGTGGATTCTTGGGCAAGATGCGCTTTTTCCTGAAGCCCGGAGAGGAACTCATGCTCTTTGAGAATATCGCGGGTATAGTACCAAAGCATAGACAATCTGAGTCTTTCATTCTCGGCAAGAACGGCACGCAGATATCGATGAGGGGGTCTAAGCGGCTTTTCGGGAATGGATGCGGGCGCATAAGGCACCGTCTTGGGATAGAAGGCCGTTTCAACGTTTGAAGGCCATGGCCCAATCGGGTGATCGGCATTATGTCGATCGTAAACGGGCCCAACGGTTTGCGGACGAGTCGATGGGGGAGTGTGTTTCGACGTCAGAATCGCCGCATCTGCCTTCGGAAAGAAGGATGATGTCCGTTGCCCGCTAAGGATGGCCATCTTTATCTCAAAACCGTATGATTAAATCAACAGAAGTTGGGAACTGGACCCTTTTCAACCGCAAAACAAGTTTCCCCAGTCCCACCACACGTGACATGACAAGTGGCGGAGATTGCCTAGCGTCGGCTCACGTCACCGTATATCATGTTCGCGTGAGTGATCGAGAACGCTTCATACAAATGACCGACATAGCGCCGTTGACTCGTGAAAAGCCGATGGAAGAGTGAAGGTGGTCGAGTGGGTCTATATAAGCAGGAAGTGACCCGCGGATGGTTGCTAGTCGGTCCCTCCCGAGAGAACTTTCCAAGGTTCCCAATACTTCTTTTTTTGTGTATATATACAAAAGCAACCAATTCATTCACCTGGATTTTCGGTTGAAAACCTCGGGAGGCTACGTTGTGTTCCGCTGAAGATCGGAAAATAGAAAAATGACAGGCGACAACCTCCAATTTAACAAATTCATTTTATATGCAATTGATGAATATAATACTGTTATCTCTGATGGGTGTCACAGAAAAGAGCATCCTCCATGTCCACCTAGAAAGACAAGACCAAGTCCATCAACTTCTGGAAGTTAGGAGTACCCAGTCCAGTAACTGGATCCCAGCCCTCGGTAGCATTCCAGTGCGCACCGGGGATAACCAAAGCGCCAGGAACCGGCAAATCGCTCTGAGGGTCAATTCCACCACATCCGAAGGAGCCACCGGTAGTGATATCATTCAGTGCCGTGTATCCGCTGAAATACAGGAACGGGTTCAGGAAGCCGAGGGTAGGCAGGCCGGCACGCAGCCGGGCATCGTTAAGAAGACCAACAATAGCGGCGAAGGTGGGCGCGGCAGCAGATGTTCCTCCATCCCCGTAGATCTGGCCAGCTAAGACCACTTCGTGCCTGCAGTGCGTTAGTATCGTTTCCTTTTTTTTCCATTTAATGATGTACTTACAAGGGGTACAAGCTGTGGGAGGAGACATCGGGGAATCCACGGCCTCCAAAGTCGGTATACTGCGAGTAGTACTCCATGGTTTCATCGCTGACTTGGCCCAGGTACTCCTCAATGGCGGGCCATTGGTACCAGGCGCGCGGGAAGTAGTAGGAGAAACCACCGGATGAGGCATTCCAGGCAGATTCGGGGCTGATGTCTGCGGTTCCTCCCACAGCGGTGACGTAGGGGCAGGTAGCCGGGAAAATGGGGTTGAACTGGGGAGTCACACCATCGCTAGCCTGGCAGGCAGAGCCGACACCTGTTTCAAGTTAGATGGTACTATCTGGTGGGTGCGAGATTGAGGTTTTACCTTCGTCGCCGGAGGAGTGAATGATGGTCAGACCGCGGAGGGTGTTCAAGCCGATCAGGTCACAGACAAGCCTGGCATACCTCTCAGGGACCGTCTGCTGCAGTGTTAATAATTGATCGAAAGCGGCAGTATTCAAGAGATATTACCTGTTCATCATCACCATAAGAGTTGGAGATGACTTGAGGCAGCTCGGAGTTGGGCTTTGAGAGCAGGTACTCATAGTAGGGCATATACGGCTCGTTAGAGTCATCGGATGCAGTGGGCTCATCAGCATCGGGGAGGAAGGGGCTATGTATAATCAGCAGGTAGCCAAGAAAACATTAGGAACAAGTGGGTTCATACGCAACGCCTCCGGTGATGAATTCAACGACGGGAAGAGGGTGGGAAACACCGACGATCAGCTGCACATCCATGTTGGACTCGTCAATATCTGCCATTGGAGCTGACTGGTTGTTGACACCGCCGTTAATGAGCTCGACAGTGAAAGTCTGGCTAGGAATGTCGAAAATGGCTTCATATTTTGCCAGGTCCGAGTAGGAAGCAGACTGGTTGAGGAAGCTTCCGAAGCCAATACGACTGCCAGCCTCGGGCTGGGGCGTATAGTCACCGACGTTGTACATTTCTTTCAGGCATGAAGGGGTAAGCATTTTCGAGCATGAAGGCGAGACATCGACGGAGGATGCTTCGCGAGCCTCCTTCCGAGACAGCGAGGGTGCAGGAGCAGCTTTGCGGGTCTTGCCAAAGTAGACAGTGGGCGAGATCACGGCGATATGATCCTTCAGATGATCGGGAATGGAGTACTCCGTGGTACGAAGCTTCGTTGAGTCACCATTCTTATAGTAGGCGAAATCCGTGTCAAGCAGTTTGTTGACTGTCTCCACAGAACCGGAGAACTTGAGCAGAGCTCCTTCACGAGCAACGTTGGAGATACCCGCACTCTTCAACCATTCCACGACAGGAGCGTCGTCAACGACGGGGAATACCGAGTCAACGTCGCTCTTCTCCAGCCATTGGCCGTACTCGGCTTTGCCGGGGGTTGACACCTTGGCCAACTTGCTCTCTAGCTGATCCAGATTCTGACGGCTCAAGGCAATGGAAAGTGCCATTGTCGAGTCGGCAGAGGGCTTATCAACAAGGGACCAGGCACTAGGAACCCCGCCGGCCGCTTTTTCCCAGACGGCGCCCAGGGCAGGGGCGGCCAGGGTGCAAAGCAACCCAGTGTAGACGGAGGTGTGCATCTTGACTGGTTCACAGGGTCTTTGTGTTCAGATGGGAAGCTCTGAATATCCCTGAGGGATGTAGGGATCGGCAGTCTTATTTATATGCGTTGCCCTCGCAATTGAGCATTGCACTAATGCCTAATCATGCTACCAACCCCACCAGCCTCCGCAAGCGCTATTCCCAAGCTTGCCCAGCGCACGGAGCCCGGCAATTCAGGGGAACAGGGAACCAGCAACATGGCGGGGGTTACATTCTCTCCGGAGGCTGTTATCAGCGGGGTTGTTGCCTTGACGCGCATCGTGACTGTTGATTGAGGAAATGATCCCCGAGGCGCGCAACGTGTCAACCATGAAAAAGAATTCCTAGAACGTCAAGTCCGTCCTTTGCAACACTTCCATCCCTGTCTCCGTCGCCAATCTTGATTGTCAATCGCACCAAATTGGAATCGAGCCGGAGATGACGATCGCCGTGCTCGCTTGGCCTAATCGCGGAGCTCCGCCGGGGTCACACGAAGCTTGTCCTTTCCAAGCTTCCCCCCGGCCGAGTGCGCTTCTCAGGTGATTGGCATCTTCGGTGTGCCAATCGGACTGCAGAATAACGGCCGGGTACAATCGCTTTAATAAGCTCAATTAACAACGCGCTTGTCTAAGAGATACGGCAATGTTGCGTTGGATGCGTTGTTGATGTGGGTCTCCGGGTCTTCCGTACCCAATGCTTCCCTTGCCGCTGTAAATACCTTCTTCCTTCGCGCTGGGGTTATTTGCCCTGGGACGTGAAGACGTGAAGTTCAAATGTAAGAATAGGCTCAGCATTCACTGCATTTTCATTGAAGCGGACCAAGTTCAGGTTTCTGCATCTGAAGCCAGACGCCGTGACTTAGCGACGGATCTCCGATGGCCAATCCATGCTGCCTAGCGATCCAAAATACCTCAACACGCCACTCGGTCTAATCAGACGCCCACTCAATCTTAAAATCAAACTACCGCAATAATTGACGAGTGGGCTTTCCCATCCCCGCGATCGAGATATTCTTCCCGACGCAGGTCCTTGATCCATTTCCAGACTATTCTTCCATGTGGCGGCAATATTCCACTTTCAGTCACCAAATGACAATCCATGAGCTTGGCTCGCTCCTCAATTGATTATGTCCACTTTTCCCGCCCGAATGCCCCGGCGTAGTCCGCAAAGATTGTCGTCTCGTGGTGCACCGTGGCGGTATTAATTCCGAGGATACTACCCTCTTTCGAAGGTGACTCCACATGAGAGTCCTTCTTCAGGTGCAACTCATTCCAGCGGAAAGGAGGCCCAAGGATGGGCTCCCATCACCTCCTCAAGGCAGCTTGTCTACTTCCAGTCTGATCCAGACAGATTGCATTACAACGCTAATCATGTCACGCACGCGATGGGGAGTCGAGAGAAGTTGGTCTATTTACGCAGGAGAACGACAGGGGAGCTGGATGTCCCAAATTGTTGCTGAGATGGTTCGTCATGTCGCAATTAGACAAGCTTTGCCCTTGGTCTATTCACTTTTGAGCCAATCCAGAAAGTCAGGTCGGTCTCCACGTTCCTCTGACTGTCGATCATAATTATCGATACATTCTTGAGTAAACCATTACGAATTAGATACTGTATCTTGATTCCGCACGACCGTCACGACGAAAAAAATACTCACGTAACCCAATCTCAAGACCGTAAAACGGGGCGCGAGGAATGGTCGGAACAGAAATCCACAGTGATATGATATTTGGTATTATCGTTGCAGGCGAGAAAGCAATTGTTCCGCATTATCACGGAGAGCGCGCTTCTTAGTTTCAGCCCCAAAATTACTCTCTAATCCATCGTCCAGCCTCTTCGCTAAAGTTGCAGCCAGCGCTTTTGGGGTGTACGGATAGTCACTTCCATACAACAGTCTCGACGAGTCAACAAGTCTGAGCAACCCGTGAATCTGGTCTGGAAACGGCACTCCCGCCAAGTCGATGTAAAAGCGGCTATTGAGTAGCTCCTTGACATCATCACCGGAGAATGGGCTTCCATGTCTAACCAGAAAACTGGATAATTCCGCAATTCGTTGCATTATCGGCGGGAATGTCGCACCGCAGTGACAAACTAGGAACGTGATACCAGGGCATCTACTTACCGTTCCGGATGTGAAGAGACTTGCCAGCGATCGAGTTGTGTCAAACATGAATTCCATCACTGGATTGGGTACCCCTTCCATCGGCGTGACCTTTTCCACGGATCCAGTTTGTGGATTCCGGGCATGACAGGTGGTCGGATGAAAGAATACGATTGTTTCCCGCTCACTGAGCTTGTCAAAGACTCGGCTGAAGCGTGGATCTCCCGGGTAGATTCCGTGCGAGTTGGTCAAGATTTGAAATCCCACTGCACCCAAGTGGTCAAGTGCATAGTCAATCTCAGCGAGAGACCCTTCCACGTCTGGGAGAGGGAGCGATGCGAAAAACATGAAGTGTTCATTATTCTCGGCGCAGATGGCGGACATGTCTTCGTTTGCCCGGCGGGTGAGCGTCCGTGCCTCCTCGTCATTGCCGGGAGTCAAGTGTGTACCCGGCGATGACATGCTGAGAATGGACTTTGTGATGTTCAAATCCTTCATCATCTGGATATGCATATTGGCATCCCACTCCTGAGAGCTACTATTAGCATATGATCGTCAAATTCAGATCAGTTGGCACTCACGGGTATCGCCGGCATCCCGTCGTGGTGGCCTTTCCCCGCAAAATCATTCTGCAGACAATACTCCCGATAAGCGGGTGGAACGCAATGGGCATGCACATCGATCCTTTCCATTGTGAGTTGACAGTCAAGCAATGAAGGTGAGTAAAAATACGCAATGTTCTGAGTGGTTTTGCGCCCTTGAAATGCAATGAATGTGGGCGGTTGATAGTCCGTATGCGGTCATAGCCTTGGTTGGCGGGACCGGCGGGACCTATCTTTCTGCTGTCCGAACACCGACGGGCTAGCGGGACTGGCGGACCAATACTGATTAATATCTCATATTGTGATTCATGAATCCTAAATCGATTTACTGTGACATGCAAGACTGATGGTCACACTGACTCTTCGCAAGGGTTACTTCACTCCTGCCCCTAGCCCTCAAATTCTTATATAATCTCGTTTTCTGGGGCCGTTCTCACGAATAGCAAAGTTCTCTGTTGATATCTAGATAAAATCTGTCATCGGTATTTCTTTGGGCTCACGGATATACCCTTGCGCAGCTAACAAGCGGGCCAAAACCAGCTTTAGCATGCGGTACGTGTTATCCAGTATAGGAGTGTCGACGCTATTCTTCCTAGCCACACGTAGGGCATTCCCCAAAATAACCTCACTTTCAAGCGGATTTTCCTTATCCATATCAATCAACATACTAGGGCGAAAAGATAGTTCAATCGGTGTCACATCAACCATTTCGTCCACAATGCCCTCTCCTAGATCATACCCGTCCGACTTGGCGATGACTGCCATTTCTGCCATTCCGGGTCTTATCAGACTATTTCCGGCATTAAATTGCCTGATGGCAGCGCTGTCAAGCTGCGTGGTCGCACAGGTAGGATTGAAGACGCCATTCCATAATAATTTGCGCCAGCGGTAATGGAGGATATCACTCACTATCTCTGCTTCAACAGCTTTGCTGCTACTGTAAACTGCAGCAAAATCTTCTAGACGCTGTCTCTCATACGGAGGATCTAATTGCGGGTTGCGGAATGATCCAACGTGGAATCGGTCGGGGTCATCGGGGAGGATATGACCGTTGTGCTCATGAGCCCCAATGTAGCTCGCGCCGGAGAGGAGTGCGTTTGATGGTCTCACCTCGATGAAGGGTGGTTTGATGTAAATCCCATTTTGGATCAAGATGATAGTAGTGTGCCCAGGGGTCACTCTCGGGGAGATGATTTCAGGTTATTGTTGATCTCCGGGATGTTCATCATCGTGACCACGACTTAATCAAAAGGAGTCGTAGCATCAGCTATAGGGACGCCATTGATGACTGTCTTTATTAGATAAAATCGAGAATATGGGACGGATGAAAATATACCGCGGGTTGGCCACCAGGCAGACAATCTTCCATGGCTGACAGATCCCTTAAAACCATCTTGCAAGACTTTCTGGTAATTCCACCGGGGAACAGCCGTGGCGGATGCCATTCCAGATCTTTCCATGGCCACGCAAGCCATCGCGCCTACCCTTCCTGCACCTACCACCAAGACCTTGCGCTTCGAGGACATGGCATCTGTCGACATGTTCGAAACCCTGCGGCCGAAATAGATTGCACCTCTGTCTGGACTTGCGGGCTTGAAAACCATTCACAGCCATGGAAAACGATATGATTCACATCCCGACTTTCCCACAATGCGACCCACCGGCCCCAATCGAGCCTAGCATTATCCACTTCTGCTTCGCTTTCTTTAGGTAACCTACCGATCTGCTACTGTCTTTGGGAAATAGGAATATATTCGTGTATTTTTGTGATAAGCATACCGCTAGTTTAATGGGTTTAAAATATAACGAGTTATGTCGGCGACTAGACTCGCCGCACATAGCATCGCCTTCCCCGCCTCCGATTCCTTCGCAGCCCGGCTGCTACTATTTTGGGCTATGCGTGCCCTGCTGGCGGCCATTGCTTTTTTCTTTTCGACTCAACGCCTACATATTACCCATCTATTTTTTTCGGTTTCAGATTACACATCACTCCTCTGGAAGTGTCGACGTAGGGCCAGTCCTTTTTCTTAACCCTCCACCAGTTTTCTTGCCGCCCCCGAAAAGCCTAGAATAATCCTGCTGCATTCCCTGACTCGCTAGTCTGATACGGTATCTATTTTTATTTTGCTGGATATGCCGCTCTATCCGATGCCTGGTGGTAGGTTTATCAGTTAACCCGCACGGGTTTGAGACATGATATTGTTGATCTGATTATCACTTTGTTAGTTCCGACTACCGTGTTGAGCGCCCCCCCCCCCGGTCGAGATTAGGGGGCCACGCTTGGCGTCTGGCAAAAGATTCTCACTAAGAGTGTGGAAGAAACTTATATCCTTGCAAAGGACCGCAGCGCGTGGATGTTACTTACCTAGGTAGGTAAATGCTCGAGACCAATACCCAATCACCTCGTCACCACCCTTCTCTCCAGCCACCCGCTTGCCCCCGTCTCGTTCAGCCATGCTGCGTCCAGATTCGAAACATGTTTGACTGGGTGTGGAAAACATAGCAGTTTTATTTTGTTTATTGTCATTCAACTTCTATTCCCCCGGTCGAGGAGTATCCACCTAAACTTTAACTTTGGGTGGGACCCTCCGGGACCCTCAAGGGGTTACTTATGAACAACGTAACCCAGGCCCCAGACAACGTTAAACAGAAATGAACAATTTCTAGAGATATATACGTCAGCCCTTCAGAGCAAGCTCTTAGGTAATTGGGCAACGATTCACAAGCCACGGAGCACATTCCCCAAGTTAGTTAATGAGTGTGACGGGCCCGACATACAGGGCGGCTACCCGGACGAACCAAATTCATCGGGGTGGGGACCATGAATGCATCAGCTCTCAGTAATTTAGGAGGGTAGATAAGGAGAGCATGGGGTATGTGGGCCTTCAAAGCGGTTTTAGCACTTTGGTTTCGAATCATAAGAGCATTCGAATCCTTTGGACAGGGGTTCGAACTGATCGGCTCGCGCTGTGGGCTACCATCTCTACCCTTGGAATTACAACTACATATACCCTGACCGAAAAGTCCGTCATGACTTTATAAACGAATAGGCCACTGCCAGAGGTTATGTTGCTATGTTTGATGCTCATACCAACAGATTCGGTTATCTAGATTCTGCGAGATGCTGAAACTCGACCTGCAGCCCCCAAGCGGCTACCGTGGTGACCATGCATATCCCTGAACCTGAGCGTCAGCTTGACGCAGTGCTGGCAGACTAAATTCGCAGGCCAGCGCCATGTGGATACCTGAATCAACCATGACCTATCATTCTTTGATTAAGACCCCGACAACCAAACTGACCAGCTGATGATCTTATAATAGGTGATAGCCTTCCCATCCCATACACGTACTTGTGGTACCTTGAACTTGCTACATAAGAACATTAATGTTGCCAGTATCGAAAATTGTGGCCCCTGTTCCCATCATCTTAGACTATAGCTTTTCTTGCCGTGCTCGCGAGCTTGCTGATATCGGCCTGAAGGATCGGCGAGCTTCCTTCAAATGGGCAACTCTACCGATACGCCAGTATCGGGCTGGGTTGATTCGCCTAATGGAAGAGGTACTCAAGACATTCTTTGGTCTTGTGGCTTGACCATACTGCTGTGTTGTTGGGTGTCTGTTTACCCTAATGTTGGCTCCCCCAATGACAAATGGTTCCATCCGTTCCTCGACAAGCTGAAGCTCTTTTGCATTGGTCTTCTTGGTCCGGACTTTTTACTGGGAATTGCCTTTGGCCAGTGGTCAAAGGCAAGAGAAAGTGTCATTGTAAGCGCCCTGCTACAACCCATCAACCCACGCAAAGTCGAAGGCTCCGACTTTTAACTCACAATTTCTTCAATATTAGCAATTCAAATACCAGCCACCCAAGGGTAAATTTGAATGGAAATATATTCATGCATTCTTCGTCAATTCCGGCGGTATACATTTGAAATCCCCGGACTTCCCGAAAGGCTTTCCCATAAATGCACAGCAGCTTCACTATCTGATGCAATACGACATGGTTGAGCCCCTACACTTAGAAAGCCTGGACATATCTTTGCAGAATTCAGTTGATAATGTGGCTCGGTAAGCCCCGACAGTTCCTTGCTTTCCTATTAAACGTTAAGCTGACTCAAAAGCGTGATAACGGTACTTCAAGCTGCGTGGTTTTTTGTTGGTATCTGTGGAAGGTGGCACGCAGGCCTTCCTGTGACAACCCTAGAACTGACAACGATCTCCTTTGTTGTCATCATGTTCGCTACGTCCACCATTTGGTTTTTCAAACCCTCTTTCGATCGCCCCCTGTCAATCACTACAAAGGATTCAAAATCAATACAGAGCATACGGGATTTCTCGCAGCGGGAAGTATGTGATACCGTCGATGGAGTAAGAACGGCTGCTGACAGGCTATCGCTAGACCCACCCTATGTTGCCTACTGAATGGTATCAGACCCCCTGGAATATATCGGCCAAGAACAGTTTGGAATCAACATACACTGGAGCTATTATATGCGACTCAGCTATATGTCGTACCTGCGGATCTTTTCCAGGCCGGTTTTTGAGAGGCCATATGATCGGTACCCCTCTGACACGTGGCTGTGCCCAACACCGGGATTGGCCTTTCCCATTGTTGCACTTATAACGGTGCTTTTTAGTATTCTGCTCATCGGAGGGTGGAATTTCCAGTTTCCTACGCAAACGGAAAAAATCATGTGGCGGGTATGTAGCGTCTACCACGCTGTTTTCTCTCTATATGGCGCAGTGTACTACGCAATCGAGGTGAGGAGATGCAAGAAGCGAGCATCTCAGTTTTTCTCTTCTGCGCGGCATTTGCGTTCACTGGAGGACGACGTCTCTTTTCACATAAGAAGCTACCCTGGATATTGGACACGAATTCCACTTGTTGCAAAATTCCTCAGCAAGTGGAATGACACATTGCCAGACCAAGATCCCAAAGCAAAGATACCTCTCCCGCGCCTTTTCCTTATCACTATTTTATGTGCCCTCTATGTTGTCTGTCGGCTTTACATCTATGCTGAAGATTTTGCTTCCCTCCGAGAGCAACCGCAAGGTACATATGTCGGCACCGACCCTCTTACTTTGATATTTGGCAATTCTTAATTACTGAGTTTGAGGGCAATCTGATGTCTAGATTTTTTAATTTCATTGATGACCCAAGGAATGGTAAGCCAGCCGTAATATCTTGCAAGGTTGGAGAACCGTTCACCAGGCTATAGTTTAATCAAGAGAGTCCGTAAATCGACCCGGTGGGATTGATTTACCGATACTCTCAATCAAATGAGCAATTAAGCGGATATGCCAGACACTTAGCACGAATTACAAAACAAAGGGATTTGGAACCAGCCATTCTTAAGAGGGAATCAACTTGAGGCATGGCAAACAGGTCATCAACGGAGCTCATATATCATGGACTCATGCTCCGCCTTGATTCATAATCAAAAGCCCCATATAATCATGAAAGCTTATTGACTCTTTTTTGAATCAACGGTTGCGTTTGGTTTTGAAGCTGAGATAGCCACATACCGCCAATGTTGTCGGCCTCGATATGACTCAACTCCCGCAATAGTGTTGATGAAAAGGTGCTCCAAACCAAGCAAGGTGACAATCAAGAAAGGGATGTAAGCCAGTAGGTAGAAGAAGCGAGTCATTGGTTGAATGTTGGAAGAATAATCTCGGACAACGACGTCGATGAAACCAGCATCTTCGAGCATTTGTTTAAAAACCCCAGGCTGCGAGACGGTATTGGTCGGCATAGCAGCGATGTCATTGATCTTCTTCATGGAGAGAACCAGTGACTGTTCTTCAGGGTTGGATAACAATTCATGCTCGTATTCAAATAACGCAATACGTCCGCCGGGGCGTAGAACCCGATAGAAATTGCCTAGGACACTTTGAGGATCTGTCGCGTGAACGAAGGTTTCCATTGTGTAGACGCCGTCGAAAGTTCCATCTTTGAAGCTGTCTAGGTGGTGGTAATCCATTTTTCGCACAGAAATTTGATCCTCGGAGAAACCTGCGCGCGCAACATTTCTCTTCGATTTGATAATATGATGATCGACAATATCGATTCCTTGAATCTTTAATCCATGCGCAGATGCTAAGTGGATCGCAACGTGTGAAACACCACATCCAGCATCAAGAACATAGGAACCTCGTTCAAGCTCGAGGGATGCCGCCAGCTTGTCCTCCATGGCACGTAGCGAGCGGCCTAGGGGAAATGGCCACCAAGTGTCATGCTCATAGTAACCGAAGTGGCGCGTTCCACCAAGTACTAGGCGATAGCCCAGTCTTGACTCGAGAGAGTGGTAGTAAGACTGTAGCTGCGGGTTTTTGTCGATCAACGGCTGCTCGTCTTGGGCTGCCATTGTGTTGAAGGACGTAGATGACCCTATGTGGAGAATTCCTCCGAAATCGAGAATGACGATGAGGGTGAATGTGTGCGGAAGGAAATTTACTTGTTGGTTGTGAACGAATTGTGAATGAAAAGAGGCCACAGGGGCAACCCGACCTTTTGAAATAGCGGGTGGCTGGGGCGGTGCTACTGTGATGGCCAAACCACCGTCGGACAAGGATGATTTCATACCTTTTCATTGGTGGGATCCCCACTTGGGCCATGCACGATTTACGCGCCCGCCCGAGTCTAGTCCTCTCCATCACCCATCACCTTAGAGCCCCTCGATCGAGAGTACAGAGTCCCGACGAATAGGCAACCGCAAATGGGACGCTGATCACGCCATTGACCTATTATTATTACAGCCAAGATCAAATCTACCCGACATTCAATAGCCAAGCTAGCATCAACACGTACAAATTGACTATCATTTAAAATCAGCCTCCAGGGGACCAGAAACTGCCGTGGATCGCGTGCCACGTGTTCTGTCAGATCATACAAAAACGGCCAGCTAAGGAAGCCATCGCCTAAATTCAAGCCGGCCGATCCCAGGTGATTAACATCTGATTGATCAATGTATTTTGCTTTCTTACCCTTGGTGAACGAGGAGCTTCAAGGGACCAAAAATTGTCGCATATGCGCCTATTTTGCAAGCTTCGATTGGCGGCAATGGCCCTGGCGTAGCATGAACGAATGCACATGGATGGCTGAATATAGTTTGTACTCTGTCATCAACACGATCGGTAACCGCTAGGGTATCAAAGACCAGACGGACGAGAGATAATAATGATGCTACCTTCCGGAATGTTCCAGATTTCAAGCTTGGCGGACGTTCCTATGTAGTAGTGTCAGTTACTGTGGGCTAAGATTTATTGTCCATGGTATATACAGGTCGGGTCGGCCGTCATAATTTCCTGGAAGAAGATTGCCGTAAGAAAGATAGTCGCAATAGTCCCCTGTTCTATGATTAGCGCCATTCTCAATCATTGTGACAAGGGCGATTGAAGACTTACACACTTCCAAGTAGGAATACACCAGTCAACGCCACATTTCGCTGGATCTGGGTATAGAGCTTCTAGATATAATTCAATGGCGTAATCAGAATCAAAACGTCTGTCTCGATGCTAGGAGATGAGACATAACGGAAGAGAGTCTCCTGATTAAAGCACGATCTTCCGGCAATCCTCGTATCCCATGTGTATGGAATCGGTGAGCACTGAAGTATGGCTGCGAAGAAAACATCAATTCTATGGCCGAGAACAATCGCTCCAACGACATAGGCATAGGACTCGGAATATACGAATGGTGAAGATAGACATGAAGAAAAGCAAAATAGTAGTCTGTCGGGGTCATGGTGAAGAGGAAGTCGAGAATTTATTCGAGCAGGGACCCTGAGTAAATAGTCAGATATTGTTCAATGCTTGATAGCAGAGTACAGCCCTTCTCTAACATGACCGGCTTTTGTGGCATCTGCATCGTATGCTTGAATTGATAACCGGCTCCAAAGCATAGGTTGAAGAGATTCGCTCGCCAGCATCTTTCGCACCTGAGAACCAGAGAAGCAATGCTTGCACGACGCATGATAGCCCCAAACCCCGCCAGGATAGAAAAGGAAATGTTCATAGAGGATCCGTGAAGAAAATGGGGACTTTTTACTCTTGAACCAGGGCCACTCAGTGTGTGAGCCGGTCAGTGGCCGTTAGCTTCATCCAAGAACGAGTGATAAGCTCGTTCAATTTGAGAACATGTATCATTATGCTTCCACAAGCTTTAAGTCCTTAATTTGCCTTCATTCAACACTTGTCTCCTCTCAATCCTCTATATTGGATTTATAGGGCGTGGGAGGTTATTGATGGTACGAAGAGACTGCAAGGCGTAGGCGCAACCTCTTCCAGGTGACGAATACGATCCACGATATTGCCTCCCTGGTTTCTGATTGGGTTATAAAGAAGATAAATAAATCTATCGGCAGCATTTTCCAAGCCACAGGTGCTGGTGGCCAGAGTATAGAGGCAAACGATATGCCTAGCGGATCAAATTCCGCAAGTACTGATGAAACTACAAGATATGATGATTCCTGTTGGCCGTAAACCATTTACCGAATTGTCGGGCGAGATAAGCGGGGTTGGAGTTGCAGGAGTTGCGCGTGGTCACCGCGAGGAACAAGGGTTGGATCCCTGTCACCCTCGCTAAGCCGGCCTGTTTGTTATAACGCATCTGATTCGCTGTAACACTATCGCCTAGTATTTCCCCACACTGGTGCTTTTACGACCCGAGATAACGGCTGCGGTCGCGAGCTTCTCCGCATGACTGCGCAGAGAATGTAGGACCCTTAAAACATGGCTTCCGTCTGGAGATCCACTCACTGCCTTCCCGAGCGGCTCCTCTGTCTCTGACTGAATGGAGGTTCCTACTCAACCAGATATGGTGAGCTATCATCATGATGATGAAACATTCTGGGCACCGGGAACGGTCGCCCTAGAAGACGGTAAGCGCACTTGAGTCACCTCGTCGTGCTGAACTGACTGCCCCAGTCCACCGCTCCGGAGATCAGCTCGTTTTATTCCCTACTCCCACATCCGACCCCAATGATCCCCTCAACTGGTCCACTGCTCGCAAGGCCCTCAATTTCACCCTCGTGAGCTTCTTCGTGCTATGGACTTTCGTCCAGCTAGATATCGGCTTCACTGCATGGGGTCCTATGGAAACACAACTGGGCTTCTCCGTGGATGATCTCAATATAGGTGCCGCCGTCAACTATGGCGGCCTGGCCATTGGATGCTTCTTTTTCATTCCGCTAGTTCACAAGTATGGCCGCCGCCCGATCTACATTGTCAGTTCTGCGTTGCAACTTGCTTCTTGCATTTGGCAGGCTGAAGTTCAGACCGTTGGTGGTTTCATTACATCCAACATCATCTCGGGGTTGGGTGGTGCCATCAGTGAAATTGTCGTGCAGATTACCATTGCAGACATGTTCTTCGTCCACCAGCACGCGACCATGAACGGCTGGTACGTTATCTTCCAGGCTGCTGGTGCGTTCCTTGGCCCCGTCGCCTCGGGCTACATCGTGGACTCGCAAGGATGGCGGTGGATGTGGTGGTGGTGCGTGATCTTCTTTGGAATCACACTGGTCTGTGTTATATTCCTATTCGAAGAATCGAAATATGTGCCGGTCTTGGCTGGTGAAAGTGTACCACCGCAGCAAGCGACTGTGAACGAGCCGGAAGACAGCAGGAACAAAACCCCAGCAAATAACAAGACAGCTGGTCCCGAGGTGGTCGCCAGACAAATCGCAACGAACGCTGAAATCCCGCCCAAGACTTACTGGCAGCGTATGGCCTGGATCACCCCAACGAGCGAGTCTATCTGGCCGCATTTCTACATACCAATCGTAACCCTCTTCACCTTCCCAGCAGTCGCCTACGCCGCTCTTACATATGGCTCGACTTTGGCCTGGTTTGCCATCATGACTTCCCTCCAGGCGTCATACATGCTGGACCCCCCATACAATTTCGATGCAATTGGCATCGGTCTCATGAACCTCGCACCTTTTGTCGGGGCTGTTCTTGGCTTCCCCTGTGGTGGGTGGCTGAGCGATAAGTCCATTCTGTGGCTTTCGAAGAAGAATCGTGGTATCTATGAGCCGGAAATGCGACTTTGGCTTGCTATTCCTTTGGCTGTGCTTGGTCCTGCATCAATTTTGATGTTTGGTCTGGGATTGGCTTTTGTATGTTTTGTCTCCGGTTTCATTGCTCTTACATTGGCTAACATCTAACAGGGTGTTCACTGGTCTCTTATTGCCGTTGGTTTTGGTGTCTACGGCTTCACGTTGGCCGCCCTCGCTGGTATCTCGTTAACCTATCTGATGGACTGCTATCAAGATGTAAAATGCCCCAATCCTTTTTTCTTTCACCAATATTGAATGAGCTTGTCTAATTGATGACTTAGATTATTGGTGATGCCTTGGTCGGTGTCGTCTTCATGCGAAATATCATCTCCCTCGTTGTCCTCAGCGTCCTGACTCCCTGGGTCAATGGCATGGGCCTGCAGAACCTCCACATTCTCTGCGCACTTGTCGCATTTCTCATTTATATGATCGCAGTCCCTCTTCTCATGTGGGGGAAGAAGGCGCGGATTACCACAGCCGCGGCGTATAAGAAGATGGCAGCCACTCACGTCAGCCATCGGACAATTTAATTCTCTAAACGACAAACACTCACTCAAACAAATCAACCCTGATCTCGATAAGATATACGAGCGTATCTTGCACAGTAACGGCGAAAAGTATGTTGAGGAAGTCCGGCGGTTCCTTACCGTGGTTTGCGTCTCTATTCGACCGCTTGCTGTCAACGAGCTGATCGAAGCTCACGCTGTTGAACTTTTTCATCCGCTGCATATTGTCCGTGGTAGTCGTTCGTAAGAGAAAGATGGCCTTGTTGACATCTGCCTTCGTCTCATCGATTTTGCAGTTATGGAAGAAAAGAATAGCCAAAGTATCCCGACCGCTCGCATAGCAAGTTTCTTGGTTCAAGAGTATCTCCAATCAGGTCGCGTCCTACAACAAAACGCAAGGTGTGCCATTCGGAGTGCCTCTGCGAATACAGAATTAGCCCAGATCTGCCTTGTCTACCTCTAAGAGCCAAGTTTATCTAAGGGAGTATTAGATCAGACGACGGTCAGAAATTTCCCACATGCTCCTTTCGCCGCTAGGTATTGGCTCTACCATTATGCGAACTCCAGAGAAGACAAGCCAGAAACTAAGGAACAAGTGCTGAGGCTTTTCGAAGGCAAATCAAAATCTCTCGCGACATGGGTACCTTTTCACGACATGGCCTGTCCATAGAACACCAAAGTGGGTTATGGCCAACCTATCACTGATATGTTCAGGCCTTGCTACTCCGTACTTTTCATCAACTATCGCACAGACCTACGCGCCTCATTACCCAGCTGGGATCCCATTCGAGAGGTTACAGTAGACCCTCTGAAATTAGGCCCCCAAAAGTAAGCAAGCTGAGGCATTTCGGAAACCCTTGCTCCATAGTAAGCATCTTATTGGAGGAAAACTCGGTCTACAGCCTCAGCTGAATCCGATAAAACCTTCACCACGGCGGCGTCGTCATTGCGTAGTTATAAAAGGAATCCCAGCACCGGCAGGGTGCGCTGCGAGCATAATAAAACGTCAGGCATGAAGGTGGAAAGCATTACACCTATATAAACTGGGGACTGATATCCAACATGGCGTTGTCTTCTATGGTGACCCAGTACTGGCCCCCGCCACCGACCTTCACCGAGAAAGATGTCCCCAGTCAACAAGGACGGGTGTTTATCGTCACCGGCGGGAACCAGGGCGTTGGGTACGAGCTCATCAAGATGCTCTACTCTACCGGTGCCGTCATTTACATGGCCAGCCGCTCTGAAGAACGCGCTGAAAAGGCCATCAAGGACATCGTATCTGCGGACCCAGCCGGCTCTTCTCGCCTTCGGTTCCTCCATCTCGACCTAAACGATCTCAATGCCGTCCGGACTGCTGCCAAAACATTCTCCGACCAAGAGTCGCGCCTCGATATCATATGGAACAATGCCGGAGTAGGAGCTGTGAAGGTTGGCACCAAAACCAAGCAGGGAATCGAGGCCCACATGGGAATCAATGTTATCGCTCCTGTTCTTTTCACTCAGCTCCTCCTCCCGAAATTGCAGGCGGCAGCGGCAACCTCTCCAAAGAACAGCGTCCGCATAATTTGGACCAGCTCGTGCATGATGGAGCAGCGATCCCCAAAGGGTGGCTATAACCTCAAGGACATCGAGAATGGCGGGACCAATAGCACGTACATCAACTATGCCACGTCCAAGTCAGCAAACTGGATGGTTGCTGACGAGGCCGGGAAGCGCTATGGCAAGGACGGCATTATCAGCGTGGTCCAGAATCCGGGCAACCTGAATACCCAGATCTACAACACCCAGTCCAAATTGATGATGTTTTTTGTAAGAAGGCTGTTATATCCACCAAAGCTGGGCGGCTATACCGAACTATATGCGGGCTTCAGTCCAGAGATCACAGAGAAACAGCAGGGCGGGCTCATCATCCCGTGGGGGAGAGTCCAGGCCCGCAACCCGAGGGAGGATATTTACGAAGCACTAGAGGAAGGCAAGGGAAAGGAGTTGTGGGATTGGATCGAAGCCCAGATAAAGGCCCATGCTTGAGTAATGCGCTGCCTGGTTCCTGTAGCCAAGGTACAACGAAATCTAAATGGTTCCCCTTCTGCATGTGGTTTCCACTAGTTTCTGACGACGTCCTTTTTCTTTTCGATCGCAATCCCTTATGCCATTGGCCTAGTCACTTCCTTCTATACCTGCTTTTAGGTTAAAGATCTTTCTAGACATTCTTTTATCCTTTTTTCAAGGTGATTTTCAAATAGCCGGACAGACCACTGCCAATATCCCTTTGGACCATCATATTAACCATGTGGCGCGACAGATGACAGAAAAGAGCCGATGGCCTGCTTGTTCGATTGACCTTCTTTGTCCGAAAGAAAAACACCAGTAAGAAAAAGTAGAATCGAGACTCGAATGAAAGGAAAAAGATTGATTTGGCCGAGTTCAGAGACATCGTTGTAAATGCTTCTATTCTAATGTCCATATTAACCTCATGTCATAATCTTTTTACTTCAGTGATGTCTTGGAACTCATTAAAAAGGTAAAATCTAGTAGCCAAACCGTGGAAAGTACCCAATGAGAGTGTTGATAATCCGACTCACCAGTTGGTCTTGGCACGAGCCGCGGGGAAATAAATTCTTTTTTGCCCCTCCGCAAGAAACCCAACCACCAACACATCATGGCCCCGACGACGTGTTTCAACTGCAAGGAGGCCCGGGCAGTCATCATTCGACCCAAGAATCGCCACAAGCTATGCCGCGCATGCTTCCTCCAGATCTTCGAGACAGAAGTCCACGAAACCATCACGACCTCGAACCTTTTCTATCCCGGCGAGCGCGTGGCGATCGGTGCCAGTGGCGGCAAAGACAGCACTGTCCTCGCGGCCGTCTTGAAAACACTGAATGAGCGCTATGGATACGGGTTGGATTTGTGCCTGCTCTCAATCGATGAGGGTATTCGCGGATACCGCGATGACAGTCTGGAGACGGTTAAGCGCAATGCGGAGCAATACGATATGCCACTCATGATTGTGGGATACGGAGAGCTTTATGGCTGGACGATGGATCAGGTTGTCGAGCAGATTGGCAAGAAGGGCAACTGTACCTACTGCGGTGTGTTCCGGCGACAGGCGCTTGATCGGGGCGCGGCACGCTTGGATATTAAGCACGTTGTTACTGGACATAATGCCGATGATGTTGCTGAGACGGTGATGATGAATCTGCTGCGGGGTGATTTACCTCGACTGTCTCGTGGTACCAGTATCGTCACTGCGTCCGGCGCTTCAGAAATCAAGCGCAGCAAGCCGCTCAAGTACGCCTACGAAAAGGAAATTGTGCTCTATGCGCACCATCGCCAGCTTGACTACTTTAGCACGGAGTGTATCTACTCGCCTGAGGCATTCCGAGGCAGCGCCCGCACCCTGATTAAAGATCTGGAGAAGATCCGCCCCAGCTCGATTCTGGATATTGTCAAGAGTGGAGAGGATATGGCTGCCCTTGTGCCACAGGGGGGCAACGCAAATGGCAAGACGTGCCGTTCCAATGCGGCAGAAGATGAGTCGGCCGGTGGCTGTGGCAGTCAAAATGGTCGAACAAGTGGAGGTGAAATGGCCGCGATGGAGACCCAGCTGGCCGAGAACGAGGCTGCGGAATCGATGGAGACTGAGATTCGACTCCCAGCACAGCAACCCAAGCCTGGAAATTCGAGAACTCCCAAGCAGATCAAGAAACAGACCATGGGTCACTGTGAACGCTGCGGCTACATTTCAAGTCAGCGTGTCTGCAAGGCATGCACTCTTCTAGACGGTTTGAACCGTAATCGGCCCAAGACTGCTATCGAAGTTGGTGCTGGCATGGACGATGAAGAGATAAGCTCGACTCTGATGAGACAGATGGAGCATACTCAGTTGACTAACAGCTGAATGTTGTCTCGAGGGGGGCATTTGCTCAAATGCTCGCTACTTTCTACTCTTGGTCCTGAGATTTTCCTCAGAGATCAGTCCCAGCTGTCGCCGGCCAGTCTCCGTCCAAAGATATGGGTGCCCTCACCTTGGCCCACGCGACAAGCACGCTGCTCGACAGCTCCTGATCAGGCCTTGTCATTGAAGACCTTGGCAGGTGGTATCTTTGAGACCACGCCGGATGGCCCATATACCGCGCCGCATCTCGAACGACTGGGCATAAATATACCGGCGCTACGAACAATCATATCAGACATTAGAATAGAGAACCAAACACGTTCACAATGCATCTATGATAATTTGTACAAGTAACCAAAGTAGTATACAGCCCATAATCAGAAAACGCCCATCCTCCAAGTAAATGCATTTCCTCGGGGCCCGGTCTTTCGCGGAGAGTCCAGTTTCAAACGAGAGACGAGACCTCCGAAGCAATGTGATGGGTTGTGATAGTTTGACAGTCACAGTCGACAGAACCGACGGAACCTTGAAATGCACCATTTGGACATGACCCCGTAATGGAGAACCTCCATTACTCCTTCCCAGTCTTCCCCTCCTCCCCATAAAGCTCAGGCAAGTCCATTCCAACTCGTCTAGCAGTCAATCTAACCTTCTCCTCCTCATCAAGGCTCATGCCGGGGTTATACCGCTCCAGCAAAGCCGAATAAGTGCGCTGGGCGCGAGCATATTGCGCCAACTGATCAGCCTCTTGGATGCGGAGGGCGCGTTCTTCGTCCGTTTTGGGCAGGGAGAATGGCAGTGCTGTCGAGTCTGATGTGGTGGGTTCTTGTTCGGAGCGGAAGACGGCGCGGATGCGTTGGTGGAGGGGGAGGGAGTTGAGAGGCGCCGGTTGGGAAGTTCGCGGAGCAGGGCGCGGTAGGTGGAGCGCGCTTGGTGGGTAAGGTGGTTTGCCATTTCGGATTTGGTGGGATGTTTGGGATGGGATTTGGAGGTCTTGAATTTCCGGGTTGGCGGAGCGGAGGATAATCGGAGGTGCAGTCACGTGATGGGATGGGCTATGTAGATACCGGATTTCACTTGACGATTCTCGGCTTTTCTCTTCCGTGTTCAGTTCCTCTCATTTCGCATTTCTCATTCTTGCATCTACTCGTTCTTACATAGAGAAAGAATCATGCGCTCCGGAAATATAACCGGTTTTTTCCAGTTTCTTGCGGCGTTTCTCTTTGGCGATATCGTCTCGTTGAGCAAAAAAGTGTTTCCCATCCATGACTGAGCGAATACAAAAAAAACGCTAAGATGGAGTCGAAAATCCAAAGCAATGAATGAAGGGATAAAGCAAAGCTAAGTGGGTGGTCCATGAAAGGGGATATAGTTTCAATTTATACCTGAGCTTTTATGCACGGGCATCTCTGGATAAGTAACCACGGTACCTAAAGCTACCTATGTACAGTAATATCGTTGATGAGCCTTTCAGTATACCGCCGCTCAAAAAGGGATCGTATCTTTCATGTGGAGTTTATCCAACTGTGAACAAAATTCAGGCAATATGTATCAATCATAGAGGCGTAGCGACGTGAGATGGGGAGCTAAAAGAAGACGAGGAGGTGCGTGAATGATTCACGGAGGGAGGATGAGACTATGCTCTTTTCTGTCGGAAAGTAGGTTGAGAAGCCTATGCGCGTAGCCAGCCGAACTTCTTGCGTCCGGCTTCGCCACCGGTGGAGGGTTCGACTTGTAGACTGCGGGCATACAAGTCCTGTTCATTGTTAGTCATCCGGCCAGGAACCAACGGAAGAATCGGCTTACCTCTTCATCACCGGAGAGCTTGGAGTCCAAGATCAGGCGTTCCATGTCGTCGAATTTCTGGGCTTGAGGATGCGGTGACCTCTGGCTCCGTTGGATACCAAGAACCACTTCGCCCATGACCTCAAACTTCTTCCAGTTAATCCGAGATTTGTTTTCACCGAGGAAAGTTTTGTTGCCCTCTTCTGCTGACACTAGATCTCGACGGTGGAGAGGAAGGAATGGGATACGTTCGGAGAAGGAGTTCTCCCAGGCGAGGCGGTAGGCGAAATGACTTCGCTGGGTGCTCATCAAAATGACCAGCCGCATGAACTCCTTTTGGGTCTGCACGGGGATCAATTCCCGAGTCAGCGTCAATCGGTGGACAGGAGTTCCGTTGATAGCGGCAATCACGGCACCCAATCCGTTATAGTTATTCTGGCGTCGAAGTTTCTAGATAATACGTTAACATATTGGCCTTTGAAGAATGTGAACCAAGACTGACTACTGCGATGCCCATGAACTTCTCCATACACCTTGCTCGATGCTTGGGTTTGTCTCGAAGAAGAATCATGCTTGCCACGAAGAATGCCAGGTGGTTGAACTGTTTGATCATTCGGTTGACATTCCGCAGACTCCGGATCTTGTCTTTGTCCACGCCGGAGATGCTCACATGCCGAACGAGATCACGTGGCCGGAACGAGTTATACATAATCCAGTCAATGCGCGTCAGCTCTCGGGCAAACTCCTCTTCGGGAGTCTCCATAAAGTAACGCCATTGGATCTTGCTTAGCGAAGTCTTGCCAGTAAGTTCGAGGCGCAGGGCCTCTTTCTGCGCAGCTTCTAGGCTCAGGATGGTAAAGGATTGGTTGGAAGTGCTCGAGGGTTTATCGGTATTAGAGGAGATAGACAAGTTCCCCGAGAGGCGGGATGTCGAATCTTGCGGCCCGTCGCTGAGATCCAAGGCGTTCATGCTGTAGATGGGATCTTCTTCTTCTTCGTCATCATCGTCATATGTTCCAGTCAGGAAAGGCACCGGAGAGCTTCGCCCAGAGTTGTCAAAGAAAGTCTCCGTGAAACTAGCGTCATCGGCCTCCCCATCCTGGAATGCCCAGCCGACATCGTCGTCTTCGGCATTGGAGTCAAGATATGATCCAATTTCCTTGGCAGCAAACATGTAGAAATGGCTCTTTTCGAGCGTTGCAACGAAGTCATTGATTCGTTTGCGAGTTTTGGGGTATGCGAAGTCGCCTGGATAGTCAGAGGCCCACAGGGCGATGACATTTAGTAACCGCAGCTGATCTGCCATGCGGGCCAATTGATCGGCATTGCTGGTTTCGTTCTTGTCGAAGCGACTGATCAAGGCATTGAGGAGAGTTGAGGGGGCGGCAAATTTGCGGTATAGACAGAGGAAGATGGAGGAGAATTTCGAGTCCTGCTTCGACATGGGAAGAGCGACCAGGCGATCCACGAGCTCGTCAAAGGTCATGCCGGTCTCAGCATAGGAGCTGCTTTCGCTGCTCGGCTTAGGACGCACGACGGTGCCTGGACTCATCGGCCGTCCTTCGTCCATTTCTTCATCCATGTTTAAAAAGCTGTTGAAGGTGTCTGAACCCCCACTATTTCGCCAGGTACTTTGCACTCTCTGCTGGCGGGCGTGTTCCTGAACCGGAGAGTTGATTTCCCCTTGTGCAGACGGTCGACGGGCGTTCAAGCGTGCCTCAGGCGGAGGAGTTTGCGGTCGCACCGGTTGGGAATTGCTTCTGGCATTTCGAGAGGAACTTGAAGCATGCTGTTGCGCCAGGGTGGAGGAGTGGCTCCGGTCGGCGGGCAGACGGTTACCCCCGTTCCTATCAACACTTCGATCTTGACCCGACTTTGTTGAGCCGCCAGCGGCTCCGGTCAAGGGGGGGGGGTTTCTGAATTGGCACGGACGTGGTGCCAGTCGTGAGCAGGGGTGGAATGAAAAGACTTTGTCGTGGTCCGCGGGGGAGGGGGAGGAAGAGTATGGGAGAAGTCTGGGCGAATCAAAAAGGCATTAGCTCTGGACGCCACGAATTTCTCGTTGAGTCTCCTGGGGGCTCTGTCGATCGGTGGGCTCTGACAGAGGCAAAGGGTAGCGAAGACCTCCGCGACCCACTTGGTCCGCCCACAAGGGTCAAGGCTCACACAATCCGCACCCCAGCTCCATGGTCTCGTACAAAGACGGGATGTTCAGAAAAGGCATAGAGCACACATGACACACAATACATACCTCGATTAGAAATTACACTTCGCAACACCAGAGCAATACACATCTGCTGGGATCGCGGGGACTCGGGGGATGTTCGGTAGATCTCGTGTTGTTCGTGCACCGCGCTGAGTTGGCTGTCCTCCGGGCGGAGATCGCATTTGCAGGCAACCAGCAAGAATGGAAGTGGCGATACATCCAGAGCATCTAGAGAAGTCCGAGTGTCAGCAGATGGTGTCGGTTGCATGTGCGCGAGACGAGCTATCCAAGACATTCAAAGGCAACTCTGCGGAATTTCTAGCCGAGTCGAAACGTACCGAGCATTTCTGTGGTTTCCGAGAGCTTATTGGGTTGAGTCGAGTCATACAGGAGCAGGGCTCCATCGACGGTTGGCACCGAGGCATCTCTGCCTACGCGCGGCCAGCTGATTTTTTTGTCCCGGTCAATGGCGACCTGCTTGAGATCGATCTCCAGCAGACGCACGATGTAGACCGCTCCGTCTAATGACATCTTCTTCCTCGTCGAGGTGGAAGAGGGCGGGCTCTTCATATCCAGCGCACATTTGATAAAGCTGGTCTTCCCGGCATCGTCTTCCCCCACCACGGCAATGGTCACTTCAGGAAAGCTGGTCTTGGACGGTTCCTACAGAGTCGCAGCGAACAGCAGTTAGTAATCAGATGGTCCTTTTGTGCACTTCCCCAGCGGTCCTCTGCATGATAACCTTCAGGGATCTCCCGTACGTACCTCGTCATTTCGTCGGGAGTGAGATGGCCTCAATGCGCCGGTGTTCGCCTCCATTCCGGGGGCACTCTCGTCTTCCTCGACCAGCGTGTGGCCAACCTTGGTCCCCGCACTCGGTCTTCGCCCATTGTCCGGTTTGCATAGGACCTCCGCGGGAGCGGAAAGGGTGCGTTCCCTAATCCCGGGTAATTGCGAAGCTCCTACGGGCATGGATTGCGCTCTTTCGCTGAAGGCCCGCTCGCGGCGGGATTGTGAAGTCATGGGGGGGGGGGGGGAGGCGAGAATCAACGCCTCTAGGACGAACGGATCGAGCCGTCGGGATGCGAGTGGATCGTAGTTATTGCGACTGTCTGATCCCAACTTGCAGTTCATCCATTATTGCCTTGGAACGGATCAGACTCGAGATGTAGCCATCCGGGGAAAGGGGTGAAGGAATCACTGAAGCATCCCAAAGATCAGAGGTTAGTCCCGAGCTAGAAAGCGGAGGGGAAGGAGCAGCTCGTACCGGATCTCCAGGAGGTTTCACTCACGAGAGAACCGTGGAACGGGTGTGGGAACCGGGATTTGGCTGAAAGCAAACAATGAAATCACCAGCGGGCCAAGTCCATACTTAGATGTATTTAAAGGTCATGAATGTTTTTCGGCAAGCTGAGTGCTGCCCGATCATTGGAGTCGGTGGCCCGTTCTCCAGCTTTTGCCCGTCGACCTATCCATTCCGATGCACTCATTCGCTGATTCTGGAGCTGAGCTGAACTTGAAAAGTCGACACATGGCGCTGTCACGGCTGTAGCCTGTACGATCTACTTGCTCTACTTGGCCACAACGAGGCCCGGGGAGAAGGATACTCCGTACTCGCTTCGTATACATGTATCACTTCCCCCAGTGTGATTCCCCCCTGGCCAAAAGTTCCAATGATGCAGCGGAAACTGCGTGTCGTGGCATTCACCTATTTTGACAGCTCCTGCAGAATCCCTTTCCAGGGCTGCCCAGGGGCCAACTCTCCACTGCAGGCGGATCACCGATCAGCTCGTTCTGTACTCCCACCTACCTCCTATTCCAGGCAAGAGGAGCGAGGATCCTCTCCACGGTTCCCAACCCTGCACCCCGAACAAACCGGATAACCCTCCGAAACGGCAAGTTCTTTCCTCGTGCTCGAGAATGACCATTTTCGACTCGTCTACTCTCCATCCCGTGCGAGGTCACCGCTGCCTTCCGATTTTTACGGATCTTCCATGCCGCTCGTTGGTCTCTTGTGGTCTGGCCGCACTCGGTCTCCGCTCCAAGGGGCTTGGTTAACTAAAATGACTGATTCGATTGGGTACGCTAAATTAACCCACTGACCCGGTGCCTCGGTTGCGTAGGATTCAATTGTGGGTGCGAGATGTCAGTCAACACGCATCCATGGACGGATTACCCCATATTTGCATATCCGCGGAGTCGTGTCATTTTCATAATTGAAGCTGCTCCAGGGGCATCGCACTAAAAGCCTCAATGTAACGATATAATCATACATCTGGTCCCATCGTCCCGCGATGACACCGTGCAAATATCAAACCACTGCGCCAGTCCATATCTGGGTACTTTGACGGGCCCGATTATGTCGCGTGCTGTTGGTTTTCCGGCTGCTCTAGTTGGTGTTGTTCGCGGTTCACCAGGGCCAAAAATTGCATGAATGCCTCCGCGTTACTGCCCGTCTCCGTTCCTTCTTCGCAATCATGCCTAAGCTTCCGTACCCTGCCAAGGCCGCGGTTGAACCCTTTCTCGGATGTCCATGGGCCTCGACTGCGGCGAGTCGAAGCCCTACCACCTCGGCCATGGCCGCGCCCTCGAGTTGGCGGTGTATACCACTCTACCCACTGGTCTTCCTGTGTTCCTTGGTATATCTCGTGCAACTGACTGCGGAGCTGAGGGTGGCGGAGGAGCAGCTCCTTGAGCTCTGGGGACGCGGCTATAGACGCAGGAAAGCTCTGATCGCGCTTGCTCTCGGTGCAACCCACCGCTCCTTGAGTGCTATCTCCATTCTGCAGAGGTGGGTTGATATCGGCTGTTGCAGGTATTTCGGGAGTTTCGTTCGCCGGAGCTGCCTTGGGGGCACAGTAAATCTTATGGGACTGCGTGCAAGCGAGAGAGCAGCTATTTCGAGAATTATCAGCATTACAACACCGTGCCCGCAGTGTAGATTTGGAGAACATACCTCATAAGTGCGCATGTTGGACAGCGATATTTGGAGGGTTCCAAAGAACATACTTCGCAAGGACCGGGCATTTTTTTCAGATAGATGGGACCCTTGTGATTCGGACCGCATCCATCGCAACCGTTGAGTCAACGCTCCAGATTCGGAAAGTGAAGTGTTCAGCCCTGCAGCAAGATCCTAATTGAGCAACGCGGAAAAAACAGAGCTCGGGCGTGGCGGCCTCAGGCCTCACCGCGTGATATCCCGTTGAGCCTTCCGCGTGGCTGCACGTGACGGACTTCGATCATCTCGTTTTATGTACAATGGCTGCAGTTGCTACAGATGTTATGTGTTGAAGTTCAAGTACTCAACCAGGCTGTCCTATCTCAGCAAGGTCGGGTCAATAAAACACCATCCGTATCTCGCTGATTGATGGGTCTCCTGGGGTGGCTCTTAGCCCTGATCGGTTTACCTCGAGACGGGCGGCATACCACATCGTCAGAAATTCAAGGTAGATCACATCAAATTAGCAGCTGTGCTGGCAGCTCAGTTTACCGCATTGGCCTCTGGCCCCTGTCTAGTGTGATGAGACCAAGCCAAAGTGCATGCGTTGTCTGAAAAACGGCCACGTCTGCACCGGATATGAGAGGAGCCGTGCTTTCATCCACAACTTAACCGAAGACAACGAGATCCCGGTTCGGTGGCGAGAGCCGGGGAGACCAAAAACACGGAAATCTACATCTATATTTACTTTCGGAACAGTCTGCCCACGGAGAACTCTTGTCGCGAACCACGTGACGACATTCTCGTGTCAGAACTGAGATTGTGTGACTAGTAGGGTACTGAAAAGTGCCTTTGGCATTTTTAGTCCAGCGGTCAGATCTCCGACATCTCGATTTAACCGTCGAGTATTCGGCACTCATGGACAAGATCGATCATCTGATACAACAGGGGGCCCCAGCCTGTAATGTGTTAGGAGAACAGTAGAGCAACTACTTGATAGCTGTTTGTCTCCGGGGGTCTAGCTCGACAATGGCCTTGGTGAGATGTAAGAGAAGCCCTATTCTTGACGCCATTGGATACCCTTCAGTTGACTGTGCTGAGTCAGACCTGTGATACTGTGATACTGGACCGCCTTCATTCTCCTTTATCCCTTGATTGATGATTGGTTTCGTATTCCTTGGGCGATCCCGCAGTAACATCCTATTTACGCTGTGGAATGTTCCGACCTCTGACACGAAGACGCCCTCGTATGCGATATGGACGTTAGAACTTTCTGACAACCTCCTCAATGTGGCTGAGCATCATACAAGCGTAATATTCCGATCTGCTAAATTCCTAATGCAGCCGGAAACGAAGGCCATGGGTGCGCAGATTCGCTTGGCTCCATTCAGCCAAGCTACACAGTTCTATCCTAGTCAAGCTGCCACTGAGAAGCACGGATGATGTCAGACAGTATCCATGCTTCTACCCGTCTGGGCTTGGGCGTAGCTCCTTTTCTGAAAGATATGATCTGGCCCAAATACGAAGCAGCTACAGGAAAGAAACTTTGGTCGCCAGTCAGATAAGCCCCCGCCATCTTGACGCCCTATACCAAGCCCCTTTCGATATGTTTGACTTACCATCACGCCCTGATTCACCATCATCATCATATACACAAGCTTCACATAGATTTCCACTTGTGCAATAACAAATAACATCTCATTCATTTGCAGTTCTCAGTACTTCCGATTTTCGGCAAATGCCTCTGAAACCCTCTGCTCTCATTGGCTGCTGACAGGCGCATTGGTCATCCCCGATGATTTGCTCTCACGTGATTATGAAATTGCGTCAGAGTCCGGGCCCGGCGCCTCTTCAACTTTCATAAACATATCTGTACATATTGAACTCTTCATTTCATCCTCTGATCCTCGATTTTCAGAGATGTCTGTGGGCTCTACATCTACAATGATGCTTCGACGCGCGCTGCGTGCTGGCCGGTTGACACCCGTCTCCGAGTCCTCCGCCCGAACCGTGAGGCCCCGGCCCGCCACTTTCACACCCTCGAGGACTGTGGCCAGCGCCGCTCGTCTTCCTACGATCACAGCTTCAGAGACTCGCCGCCGACCGACGGTACGACCCTACCAACAACCCATCGCCCAGAGCGGTGTTGTCGGGTCGCCGTCCAGCAAGCGTACGATCTTCATCCAGACCGAGAATACCCCCAATCCCGATGTAAGTCCTTATCCTCGGGAAATGTGTGTTAGCGATTCTAATGATTCTCCCAGGCTTTAAAATTCATCCCCAACCACCGCGTCCTCCCCGAGGACTTCCCGACCTCCTTCCTCGAATACCTTTCCCCCCGCGCCACCCTCGCAGCTCCGTACCCTTCTCCCCTCGCCGCCAAGCTGCTTGATTCAGAAGGCGTCACATCGGTCTTCTACGGGCCGGAATTCATCACTGTGACCAAGGCCAGCGATGCGAACTGGGCCCACATCAAGCCCGAGGTGTTCAGCCTCATCACACAGGCTGTGACCTCGGGCGAGACCATCGTCAATGTTGTGGAGGGCTCCTCCGCTGACGGCGCCGAAGGTGGTGGCGAGGACTCTCTCGTCTATAACGAAGATGATGACGAGGTAGTTGGCATGATCAAGGAGCTTCTGGAAACGCGCATTCGTCCGGCTATCCAGGAGGATGGTGGAGATATCGAGCTGAGGGGCTTCGAGGATGGTATCGTTATGCTGAAGCTGCGTGGTGCTTGCCGTACCTGCGATTCCAGCACGGTCACCCTCAAGAATGGTATTGAGTCGATGTTGATGCACTATGTAAGTTGACCCCCGCTGTGCTGAGTATGGCACGGACTAATCTTGGTAATAGATCGAAGAGGTCAAGGGTGTTGAGCAGGTCATGGATGAGGAAGAGGTGGTCTCGATGCACGAGTTTGCCCGGTTTGAGGAGAAGCTGCGCCAGCAGAAGGGTGCTGCAGCTACTGCCGGTGCCCCGCTGGACAGTGCGCCGTGAATGTATTCATCGGTGGCGCGCAGTACATTATGGCTCATGCGAGGTTTCCTTTGTGCTTCCAAATCAAAATCTGTATAACATTTTCATCAAGTGATACCTCTCTTTAATTGACTTGACTTTGTCCAAAGCATCTAAAAGCATCTAAAGTATGAATTGTACCGAATTCGCAAGGTAACGAATGCGGCATTGTCGATCAATTATAGACCTCGACTGATCTCTATACTCCGGATGGACGACGATCTAGACGAGCGCCGACTTATCTAGTTCGTGTCAGTGCGGAGGGGAACCTGGACAGCACAAATTGCGGGGTTTTCATCAGGCGGGGAGCTTCCATTTCTGTCCCGAACCAGTGAGATGACTTCGACACCCCTCTTTTGTTCAATGGTCCACATGTGCAAGGAACACCCTCCTTGCAGGGTTTCTTTCCCACGTCCGAGGTCTGTCCAGGTGTGATTCAGAGGCGACATGAGACCGTGGTGGGGTGGCGGGGCAGACGGGCAGCAGTCTTTGCTCGACATCATACCACTTACGTCAACAACGAAACGTTCCAGAGCTGCAAGAATCTCATGGTCATCGGATGATGCAGAAAGACAGACCGGAGGCTCGGAGGGCTAGATGATTCACGAGTCCGTGGTAACAATGGATGTCATGGACTGTGGTGAAATTAGGTTGGTGCCGCGGGGGGGAAGGATGGCATCCTATCCTGTACCACGGATTCTGTGGCACCCAGACGTTTATCAGTTCTGGACCGATGAAACCAACCACTCCTTGGTCGTAGGGAAGAGTACTCCATAGGGGAGATCGACCCTGGACCCTCGACCACGGGCGGGGAAAAGACAGATGCAGATGCATGAGCTGTCTCCATAAAACACAAAAGTCCAAGCGGCACCAAACATGCAGAACACACCGAGGATCTGGGGACCCAGAGCAGGGCGCTTATTGGGCACATCCCCACGAGGACGACGATGCGGCAATCCGGGGTACGTGATCCAGGTGACCCGAAGTTGATGACTTCATGACACTTCGAGCCACCAGCCTACCCCGCAAGTGTGCGACCCGATGCATGGGCCGTGCAGAGTGTTAGGCTGACAGGGGCTGCATCGAACAAATGTTGTGGCCCTCGCTTCATAAACCAGTTAGAACCCCAGACGATCGTCGGCTTCGGCCTCCTCCAGAGACCCGCACGACCCAGACTAACGTTGTATGGGGGCGTAGTGGCACCCTACTAGGGGTCTTGGATTGAACGCGTAGCCAGTGATGAGCTCCGTAATGCTGTGAATAGTCCGTTGAACGATCCACTGGACCACTCTTAGTTCTAGCAAGTTCAAAGTTGAAGCAGAGTTGTACCACGCCGTGGAATCACCGTGTGGTCCGTGTCCCCTGAACATCAATTCGGGGCGACGTTGCCAGTTCCGTCTCTCCACCTTTTCCCCCGCCTTCTCCTCATTACTCTTCCTCTCACTCCCTCTCATCTTCTTTATCTCACTTATCCAACATGCGCCGCCCTTGAAGGGTTCCGGCTGCTTCACTACGTTCTGGTCACGCTACCAAGCTCCCGGCTTCCAAACGCATTCCCCCTCTAGAGTCAAAAGTGAAGAACTGAAGACGGAAAAGAGAGTCGCGTGCGATAGACAGAGAGACCTAAGAAACCGATTTACCCTTCCTCATTCTCTTCAGATTCGCGCACCTCTGAGCGAAAGTCGAAAGTCGAAAGTCGAAAGTCGAAAGTCGAAAGTCCCGTTTGCAATAGCCCCAAGCTGCGGTCGCTTCGCCTACGCTGACCTCGTGCAACGGAGTCGGCCCTTCTGACGAGACCCACGATCCCGCGCATCTGCTTCTGGATAGATTTCCTGCGATCTCTTAGAGTGGTGAGTCGCGCTCTGGGGTTTCCCCTCCTTGCGACACCTGCTCACATCCGGGGACTCCCTTGGCAGATACGATTACGATTACGATCTCCTTTCCCTTCTCCTTTGCTATTTTGCCCCGCTACAAGGCGTCGTGTGAGGCTCGGATCACGGTAGAATCCTAGATCATTGTCTCTACAAGGTACGTTGTGACACTCTTGAGCTCCGTTCCGTCTTGTCTTTGGTTTCAGGCCCGCATTCTGCGGGATATGCGACGGGAGAGCTCCACCCTTTGGGTTGGCAGCTTGTCGCGCGACACTGGTGGATTCTCTCGGTTTCTAGCCCTCTGCATCCCCCGAATACCCGCGAGACTCCGGACACTGTTTGGGCATTGCGCTACTGCAGCGCGTCGAAATACTCGGACGCTCCCCGCTTTGTCACGATGAGGCTCAGTCATGCCACCCACACGTGCTCGCGTCTTCAACACGCCAATATCCTGTCACTTTTTGCCTGCTCCTCACACTTGATTTACTTCCTATTTGCACGGCTGCTGACCCCGTTTCTAATCAGTGCTGCGCATCCGCGTTCCACCAGCCGTTCCTCGTGTCTTCAGAAGATCGAGATTGGCTATTAATCTCCCGCTTCAAGCGCGTGGAACAAAGACTGGTGCTTTGTCGCGTGTGTTCGACCTCTCCCGATAGGCTTATACAGAGCCTTTCTACACCTTGCTCCACAATACAGGTAGGTACGGACCGTACCTTGGCTACCCTCAATCTAGCTTCCATCCCCGCGCATTTTCTGGGTTTCCCAAGGTAATTTGCCTTTATACAGAATGTGATTCTCTGGGATATACTGGCTGCTGTCATCAATCATCGTTGTTTTACTTTCGCTGGACGCGCGCTAACCATACCAGTATTCATATCAGAAGTTCATGGCTGCGCCATCTAGCAAACATACATCCGCAATGCAGTCAAACGCCCCTCCTGGTGCCACCGCCAGACTCGAAAAGAGCCACCCGGGAGTACGCCGCTCGACGCCCGACTCAGAAGCACTCGCTTCGTCCGACGATGACGGAGAGCATGCGCAACTGGCCCATAACATTACTGCACCTCCACCTAAACCAACCCGTCGGACATCATGGCTAAATGAGGTACCGCTTGCAATCCAACGAAAGCATTCCCTGCCCGGAGGCCCCCTAACTGGCGGTCCATCGAACCCTGCAAGCCCGTCAAGTGATCAGGCACCTTGGGCAACAAACCCCAGCCCTGGGTTGAGCGGGTCCTTCAATTGGAATCAAGCCGGGGGCAACACTTTCCCTTGGAGCACGGGGATCTGGAACAATCCTGATCCTCGCAAGGAACCGCCGCCCCGCCTGTCTGAAATCGTGCCCTCTCCCACCATGACCAACCCTCCGCCTGCGCCTGGCTCTCTCGGCGATGAAATGCTGAGTCCAATCACTCGCACCATCTCCGGTGACTCGGCGATTCCATTCCAAATCCCTTTGCAACCAACTCCCAAGACGTACCGCTCCCAGTCTTACTCCGTTGGTCAAATGGATCCGGAGTACCTAGGCATGATGGCGAACAAGCCCGGTGCCGGTGCTGCGTACCCGGGTGGTCGATCTCGCGGTCCGGGGCAGATGTCTTCTGGCCAACCGAGAGCGTCGCGACCGAGTGTCCTTGGCGAGCTTGGACATGACCCTGCTATGCTCGGCCGTGTTCGCGAGGATGACGATGGAGACGAAAGTCCGAGCGGCTCCGACGGTGATATCAATTACTCAGCCAGCCAGGCTCGAACCATCGAGCAGCTTGCGCGTGAAAACGCACTTCTTCGTCAAGCTGCTGCAGCCGGCCAGGTAGATAATCGGTATCGTGATCGAGCGAATTCATCTGCCTCGGCCACCGGAGCCCACTCACTTCATCGTATCCGAGGTGGTGTTCCTGAGGAGCAGATGGGCGTCGAGGACTTGGACGAACTGCACGACATTCCTGGCTACAGCAACATGCGCAGCAATACAAGACGGCGGTTCTCCGAGCATTCGGCCAACCTCGAACAACAGTTCCAATCTTTTCCGTCTCCGTTGGAGAATCGTGCGCTTGAGAATGTCCGCAAGGCCCACTGGCAGACCTCGCTCGGCTTTGGAGGTGTCGGCGACATGCCCCAAAGTCGCCGCCATTCATTTGCCGATATCCCATTGCGCCATGGTTCTGTTAGTTCTGTTGATTCGCATTCCACGGCTACTCCCCGGGCTGGGCTCGGAGATCGCGATGACGGCTATGGAAACATCAACGACTACCCTAACCCTTCGATGCAGCGTAAGTCTTATTCTTTTCCCTGGCTATTGCTCGTTGCTGACTCCTCTTGCCCAGCATCTTATTACTCTAATGAGCAGACACTGCGCGGTGATGGATCATCTGGCCTCCCGGCTTCCCTCAACCAGTATTCGATGTCTGGAGCTTATATCCGTCAGCCTCCAGCCCTGTCCCATGCCCATCAAAATCAGCTTTTGTACATCGTGACATTCAAGTGCCACCGCGCCGATGTGTTCTACATTCAAGAGGACACCGGTCTGCAGGTGAAAGCAGGCGATCTCGTCATTGTTGAGGCTGATCGAGGCACGGACTTGGGTACTGTGGAGCATGCAAACGTGACGCTTCAGAAGGCCCGAGAGTTCAAACAGAAGTATGCCGATGAGCACTACAAATGGCTCATGATGTTCTCCCGTCAGGGGCAGATTGAAGGTTCGAATGTGGCTTCCGCGGGCCTCAGCAGCCGCAGCGCTACGGGTGGCATGGGTCCTCATGGTCATGGAGTGCAAGAGGCTGCTACAGAGATCAAGCCTAAGCTCATCAAGCGCCTGGCACAGAACCATGAGATCCTGACTCTGCGCGACAAGGAGGGCAATGAGGCCAAGGCCAAGAGAGTTTGCCAGCAAAAGGTCGCAGAACATCGGCTGAACATGGAGATTCTTGATGCCGAGTTCCAGATGTACGTTTTCACGTCCTCATTTGCACGAAATAATATCAAACTAACCGCTAAACAGGGACTGGAAGAAGCTTACCTTTTACTACTTCGCGGACTCTTACATCAACTTCAACTCGTTGGTCACGGATTTATTCAAGATTTACAAGACCAGGATCTGGATGTCTGCGATTAACCCGGCTTCCTTCGTGACGCCGCCGACAGCTGGCCTTCAAGGTTCGGGTGCCATGAGCAACCCGCTGTACAGCCAGGACGCTCCAAATGCCGAGCGCCGCCACCAACAAGACGGCCGATCCTACGGCGGACGAGACGGTGCTGATACTGGCCGTGATGGAATGTCCAACCCCGGCGGTATGCTTCGAGCCCCGTTCACAGACACCTACCCGCCATTCGCTCAGCCATCCCATCAAGACGCGCCGCCTGACCCCTTTGCCCCGTACTCGCCCACCAGCTACGGTACTCTGGAAACAGGTTTCTCCGACTTCTCCGGTGGTGCCGGCTCCAATGGCGCCCGCGTGCACCCAACTCAGAACGAGTGGGTTAGCCGGTTCCAGGGCCTATCGCTCAACTCCTGAAAACCTTTCTATGTACAATTCGAATACCTCTGATGCTCTTCCTCTGCTGCTTAACCCTGCAACGAAAGAGATAACCCTCTAGAACTGTTTCCTATTTATTTCCTTCGTTCCCTGTTTTCAGAGTCTGCTTATCTGCGAAAGAATGCTTTTGTTCTCTGGACCCTGCGAATCTGTTTCCTCATTTTTGACCACTTTTGCCTGCGCTGTGTGTCCGTGTACTACTCTCTGTCCAAGTTAGAATCCATACCCCGGGCCGTTTACACGCCCGCACATTCGTTACTGGTTTTGTCCTAATAGACTCGGGGTGGATCGCATCGAGTGAATAATGCATGATTGTGTTGCGCTGTGCGCTGGGCTTATTATCTACACAAAATTACGCTTTGAAGAGATCCTTTTCTTTCTGCTTTTGAACTTCAATGATATTTTTCTTTCTGTTACTTTGCTTGTTGTCCTTGGATTTTCCAAGTGTGGTCTTCTATTTCTTTGTAGCTTTTGGCTTTGTTAATTGTTCTGCGCTATACAAATTGTCCAAGGAGGCTGGGCTGGAGACAAAAGGAAATACAGGGTCAGACCAAAATGATATTTAAGATTTCTTTGCATGAACCTCGAAGCTACGTGTTATTTGTGGAAGTCGCAGAGCCATCCCGGTAGGTTTGGTTTACAAGACTGGATCCGTCGATATTGGTTTTACTTGAATGGCAGGGTTCCTTGTCCCAATTTTTAGGCAGCCCATGGACATAGCATTTGCGAATATCTCGCAACCATAGGAGCATTGTATGGATTCGAAACTGATTCAGTATTTTCCCAGGCATACCGAGGATTGGGAAACAGACATGGAGTATCTGATGCATTCGAATGTTGCAAGCACGGGCATATCCATGGCCCCGGCCAGTATGCTTCAATCATGGACAGAGAGGGTTGGGCCGAATACCCCAGGGCGCAGCCCAGATAGGTAATCGGGCCATAGATCAAGAGCCGACGAGCTTGGCTGATGAAGGTTGGGATGGTCTCATCTGGTGTATACCACACGTGATAAACCTTGAATCAAGACGACTCACTCATGCAAACTTATCATGCTTCCCTTTAACCTTCACATCAAGCACCTCCTCATGGAAATTGCCCTCTCTCCTCGCCCTCCGTAATCTCCGAACCTCATCCTCATTCAATGACCTCCCGACAATCTCCTCCAACTCCTTCTTACTAATCTTCTCATAAGCCTTCGACTCCTTGTTCGCCTTCAGCTTTGGCTTAAACCGGGCCTGCATCCGAACGCGCAAAGTCGTCTCAAACGAAATGGTACTCGCATCCCCGCGAATCTCCACGCCTCCGGACGCTTTCGCGCTCTCTTTAACACACAGGAAGGACTCTGCATCACCGCCACGCGTTTGTAGTGAGAATGTACCTGGGATATCTGGGGATGGGATCGCGAGGAAGGATTCGTAGTGGCTGACTGCGGCGGCAGTCGCGCTGAAGAGGCCGTGGTTGTCGCAGCTCAAGTACCTGGTTCGGATTAACCAATTGGTTCCAATAAGTAGAAGTCTGGGATATACGCACTTCCCATGATGTCCCTTGAAACTAAACGACTCCGTCCCTGCCACCTTCGTCGCAACCCACACCTGGCGCACATCGTGCGGCTCCGCTGTGCCGGGGTCCCCCTCGACCAGGTTCTCAAGGACACTGGCAAAAACTACTCCGTTCGCATCGCTTGCAATGCACGTCGGCTGGTCGGAGGGCAGGACGAGCACGACCGGACCGGCGATGTCAGTCGGAGCGTCGGCCGAGACCCAGCTATGGCCGTCGGGGTTGTCGTCGGTTTCGGGCGCTTCTGTTTTGCGGGTTTTGGGCGCCTTGTCGCTGTCTGGGTCGCGCTGCTTGCGCTTTTTGGGCTTGTCGCCCTTGAATGATAGGGGCTTGACCATTTTTAAGGGTGGACGTGGATTGGAGGTGGTGGGAGCTGCGGAGATTGAGATAGTTGGAGCGCTTATCTTTTATCAGCTTCCGGAGTGGGAATCTCCACCACCGAGTTTAATTCTTTCTAGATGCTACCTATATTATGTCTACTCTCTTGGCTGCACAGCTAGTACATCAGCCTTGTCCTGCTAGCCTAAATATACTACGGACAGGTCACACCAGCTCCACCGGTACCTTGGGGGAATGCAACAAGGTCCTCATTCGTTTCTCATGAAAAGCAGCAGAACCCGGCCGATTTGGTCTAATTATCCTATCTGCCACATAATCGGGTATGAACATGCTCGCATCTCGCATCGTGAATCATGACTCCCAGGCACATAATGTTAATCTATGGCACTCGTTTAGTCAAAGGTGATGGCAGCCTTGATGGCGGTCTTGTTACGCATCGACTCAAGACACTCCTCCCACTGCTCGATCTTGAACACCTTGTTAACAATGCCGTCGACCCTGACCTTGCCGGAATCCAGGTAGTCTACGGCAGCAGGGAACTTGTAGGTCTCAGAGAAGGAGCCGAGAATGGTAATTTCGTCGCCGACTAGCATTGATCAGCATTGAATGGAAGCACGAAAACTGCCTCGAGGTAGAGACTTACAGATCTTGGACGGGGGCCACGAGACACGTTCCGCGCTCGAGTACACACCGTACACGACCAACTTGCCGCCGCGACGGACATAATTGATCGAGTCCTCCAGGATTTTGACACTCCCGGTGGCCTCAACGACAATGTCGAAGCCGTATGGATTATCGGCCTTCAACTTGTTGTATTGAGGAGAAGCATCCGTGCGGGAGAGCTCAATGTATTCATCACCGGCACCGAGGTTCCTCGCAATGTCCATCTTCAAACCACCAGGGGCAGCAATGACGACCCGGCAACCACCGCACTGGCGAAGCATCTGAGCCAGCACAAGGCCGGTGGGACCAGCACCGAAGATGAGGACGGACGAGCCCATCTTGGGAGCGATCTTGTCCAGGCCATGAGCGGCGCAGGAGGCAGGCTCGAGGAGAGTTGCGTCGATATCGGACAGGTTCTTGATCTTGAAGACGCGGCCGGCCGGGTAGGCGCAGTACTCCGCGAAACCGCCGTTCATGGTAACACCGTGAGCCTGGAAGTCCTCGCAGAACAGCTCGTCGCCGCGGCGGCAGTAGAAGCAGACACCGCACAGCTCGGAGTTGTCTGCGACGACGCGCTCCCCGATCTGAAAGTCTTTGACTTTGGTCCCCACGGCGGCAACGACGCCGACTGTTTCGTGGCCGGGAACCAGAGGGAACTATTGAGCTTGGTAAGTTTGTGTTGGATGTTTCTAATGGTGTTTGGTCTTACCTTGGCGATGAATTCACCCTCGTGGATGTGCAGGTCCGTGCCGCAGACACCGCAGGCCTTGACCTTGATCAGGACATCGTTCTCGCGCACTTCGGGCAGAGGCAGCTCAACGAGGCCATACTTCAGTGGCTCGGAGTACTGGAGAGCCCTCATGGTCTTGGGGAGTTTGGTGACCGTCATCGTGATTGATGGTATTCTGTCGACGATGTTAGCTTGTCATGCCTGTTATGGCCATGGGCAACTATCATCATAAGGACAACACACACTTTGTCAAAAGAAAAGATGGGGTAAAGGTCAGAATATCTAGTGAAAGAGAAGGGAGAAGTGAAGTGAAAGAGAAGGGACAGTGGCATCCAAGAAGATTAAGTATCCCCCAACGAAACCAAAGACAGGGGCACGCCGAAAAGCCTCGACGCCCGCATTCCACCTATTTCCATTTGGTTATTTAAAAGTATGAATTTACAGAATGGACGGTGGGTCTCGGATCGGCGTCGTCAGTTCTTGCATCCGACGTTCACTGCTCCGCTCTTCTGATCAGTTCCAGCCTCAACAACAGTTCGCTTGAGTGCATTCAGTGGAAACGACGCATGATCCTCAGACACTACAGCAACTAGTAAGGAACGATCGGGCCCAACTAACGCCAAACCCAAGACAGTCGCTTTTATACGATCCAATAGCAACTGACCCCGTGCGGCACTGGCGCACAGAGGACGGCCACCCTTGCAAGACAAGCGTCAGGTCAAGGTCCAGGACATGTCCCAACGGGATGAAAACCATAGCATCAAGATACTATCTCGATTGCAATGTCGTCGGCCATGACTTCATCGTCCAACCTCCAGACCCGCCGAGGGTAGAGGAAAGCGAAAGGAACATAAGGCATCCAGCCAATTCGAACCCCGGGGTCAATTCCAGCAGTTCCTGCATCTGCATTGCTTTGAAAAGGTTTTCAAGACCTCCTGACAGAAGATGCGCCAAGTTACGCCCCCAGCCATGAAAACACGAATTGAAACGAGTCTAGATTACGTCTAGGTTGACCCCATCCTACTCGTCCAGGGCTTCACCGCTGAATCCCCAACGCCTCAAAATCCCAATATAAACATGAGTCCGAGGTCACGCGGACCTGCACTCCTATAGCTTAATTCCGAATCGAGTGGAACATTCGACGAGTCGAACTGTACTTTCTTGACCGCTTCGGCCGGGCAAGTCGGATTGGACCACGAACCGCAGGATGATCCTTTCCACTCCTATTGCAGTCCTATCGCTTTGTATTGCAATCCTTGCACGTTGAATCCGGGGTTCCGTGGGTTTCTCTCGTAACTAGAACTGACGAGTCAATTTTGACACTGCCCTTACGCCCCAAAGTCCCATTGACCGAGAAATCGCTGGGAACCAGGATGACGAGTGTACCTCTGGCCCATTGATCTATACAACCTTCATATAGCTCCTGATTAATTATAGACAAGAGATGAACATTAAACACTTCCTGCACTTCCAATGGCCATATAAACACTGTTCAAGACTCTATAGCCACTGGCTTTGAGGCATTACGTGAACTCTGTAAACAGGTGAGATTTTAGCTCAGCTCCGAGTGGGGCGAGGACTGTTACAAGGCAGGAAACCTCCCAGAAACCTCAACCACCAACTCCCTCTCCAATGTGTCCCATAAAATGAGCGCCCTTCTTACAAGCCTCGGCCTAAGCGGTGCATCCGCCACAAATATCCCAAACTACGCCCCCGCGTTCGTAGGCTTCCATTTCCTCTTCGCCTACGGCGTCCTGTCCTCACGCACCCTGAAACAATGGTACGGCATCGATCACAACGTTTCGCCACGCGAAGACCTCGCGAAATACGGCGAAGCTGCCGTGCGCGAGGGAAAGATTACTCGCAGGCAGCTTGATATGCTGAAGCGTAATGAGTCGGCTCATGCGAACTCGGTTGAGAATTTCCCTCTTTTGGTTGCGAGTTTGCTTTTTGCGAGCCATGCTGGTGTTTCTGCAAGCACGATTAATGTGGCTGGGTTGTCTTATACCGTGGCGAGGGTTTGTTACGGTGTGGTTTACATTCTCGTTGACCATCCGACGTGGAGTCAGGTTCGGGGGTTGACTTGGTGGTGGGGGAATTTGAGTTGTTTGGTTTTGTTGTGGAAGGCTGGGAAATTACTTGCTGCTTAAGCATTTTGGATGCAATTGTCATGAAGTCTCATATAATAGTTGGGTGGATATTTAGGCTCTTCTTAAAATCACCGTACAACGTTGGAGAGGGAGGGGAATTGTTCTTTCACGAGCTGGTGACAATCGTCAAGGTATCCATGAGAGGAAGCTCTCTGCTCGATGAGCCAACATAGATCTTGTACTCTCCATTCTGCAGCTGCCACTTCTGAGCAACGACATCCCAGCTGCTGAGATCACGACGAGTCAAGGGGAAAGAGACCTCGGCAGAGCCACCGGCCGGGATCTGAACCTTGTCGAATCCGCGGAGCTGCTTAACAGGCCTTCCGGGAATACCGACATAGACCTGGGCTACTTCGGCACCAGCTTTGTCTCCGGTGTTGCGCAAAGTGGCGGTGACGGTAGCTACAGTATCCCATAAGTCAACGGCACCACCTTGCTCGATAGCACCGGTAGGATAAGCGGAAATGCCATGTTTCACGGGGGAGACATGAAGATCTGAGAAACAGAAGGTGGTATATGAAAGACCGAAGCCGAACTCGTATCGAGGCGTGATGTCATGGAGGTCGAAGTAACGGTAGTCAGTATACACGCCTTCAGTGAAGTCGGACTGTGGGAAGAGTCCGTATGGGGTAACAGCCCCCGTGTGGAAGAAGGAATAGTAGTCGGACTGGCTCTTAGCGACAGTGTAGGGGAGCTTTCCGCTAAAGTTCTCGTCGCCGTAGAGTAGAGACACCAGCGCGCGACCAGAGTCCTGGCCTGGCAGGTGAGCAAAGACGATGGCGGTCACGTTGGGGTTCTCTGCAAATTGATCGACCAGACGAGTACCGGCGTTGTGAATGACAACGATGGTGTTGGAGCAGGTCTTGGCTACCTTGTTGACAAGCTCGTCCGAATAGTCATCGTAAGCACCAGCTCGATCCAGGCCCTCCGTGGCGAAAGCGTTGATGAAGACGAGGCAAGCGTCTGAAGCCTCCATCAATCCCATAAAACTCGGGTTGTTCGTAGTGTCCCACATAACAACGGTGTTGTCTTCGTAGGCTCGCTGCTGAAGAGCATCGAGAGGAGCACTCAGATAGGGACCAGAGTTGGCACCAGATCCACCACCAACACTGAGGGTGCCGTTGAATGCCACCTGAAAGTAATATGGCTCATTGATGACAGTCATAGAAAAGAGGTCGCCCATCTGGAAGATCGCTGGCGAATAGCCAATGCCCCACGGGTTATATAAGAGAGACTTTCCGTCGGGCATGTACTCGTCCGGAGCTTTAGCGTCATAGCCAAATACGGAGATGAGCTTTGGGGACTTGAGAGGCAGAGCATTCTTTGTATTCTTGACCAGAACATGGCCTTCGACGGCGCCGTCATAGAGAGTAGGCTTTGCGTCGCGGGTGAGGGAGTTGACAATAGTATGAGGCTCGCTCACATTGTACGGCATACCAACGCCGGGTGCAGGGTAGCTCGATTCGTCTTGGCCCATCTTGTACCAGGCTGCAATGATACTAATTCGATGTTAGTGGTCAATTCGCAATACAATACTCCTTATAGTACTCACCGAGTTGCCATATCGGTCAGACGAGACTCGGGAACACTGCCGTTCGCGATCGCATCGGTGAAGTTGTCGCCCCAGAACGATTGGCCATCCGGCATCGCCATGTCAAGACCGGCCTGGGCTGCGGCCACGCCGGAGTGCTGGGCATCCCAGTCCGTCACGACGAAGCCATTGAAGCCGAGCTCGGTCTTGAGGAGTCCGTTGAGGGTCTTGCTGTTCTGGCAGGCGTGCGAGTTGTTGACGCGGTTGTAGGAGCACCTAGAATCATGTCAGCACATGTTTTCCAAAAGGTCTTCGAGGGCATGTCCAACATCACGTTGCCAGATCCCGCCTTGAGCGCATCCTGGAAAGGCCAAAGGTACAGCTCATGCATTGTCTTGTCGTCGATATTGCTGGAAATCGACTCTACGGACTCATTTCTCGAGTTGATGGTGGGGTTGCGGTACAATTCTTGCTCGTTGGCGATGAAATGCTGTAAATAATTAGCATCATCGCCTTCTATATACCAGCGTATGTCACACACCTTGACACTGGTGATCACACCCTGGCCCTGCACGCCCTGCACGGTAGCAGCACCGAGTGCACCATCCAGATAAGGGTCGTTAGAGATACCTGCGATGGTCAGCAGGATTCTAAATGTGCGTCTGGGAATACCAGCCTTCCCAGTTTCGTCCACCGGTTACGGTTCTCCCCAGAGGCCCAACAACAGGCCCCAGAGCCACCTGAACACCCTTTTTCCTGAATTCACCACCCATGTACCAACCGCGGTCGTGGGCAAGAGATTTGTTCCAACTGTATATTACGATTCGTCAGCACTGTTATCTCACAGCGAGTCTCGTATCCCTTACCTGGCACCGACGTGAATGCCACTGGGATAACTGTTGACAAAGTCGGTGTTTCGAACACCATTTCCCGCATCTTGCAGACACATTCCCGTGAAACCAAGGCGAGGAATCGACGGCAGGATTCCAGAGCACCCATTCTCCGTAGTTGCAACTCCATAGGTAAGATTGTTCTGTAGTCTGTCAGCCTCCATATTACATCAGTGAACTCGCTCCATAGCAACCTTTTCTTCCAACGTCATCTTCGCAACCATAGCCGCAGCCTTCTCATATGCCTCAGCCCAATCGCCCGTCCCCTTTCCAGATGCTGCGAGATAATCAGCACCAAAGCATTCAAGCCGAAAGTTCAATAGACATACGCGACGGGTACACAGGCTCAGACTGGCCATAGAAGTACGTATCAGAGGTAATGTTACGTTCCGCATGGCCAAGTCCACAGATGGACAGGATGGCCGCTGCCAATCCGAGTTGCTTTACAGAAACCATGGTATCTTGCGATCAACCGCGCCGGGATCGGTATGCTTGAAGTCCGTGAGAGAGAAAGCGGTTCCGAGGCGCACCTTCCCACTCTATATACTCGTCTCCTCAGCGGGGAACACGGCAAGGCCGTTGGGATCAGTCACCGGCGATGCCATAGCCGACTGGACAGCAAGCTCCGAGGTAAATGGTCACTCTAGGTCATTTCCTCTACAGTTGAGGTATGGATATTCCGAGGTCGTCCAAGCGCAGTTCATCTCCAGGCCGAGTCAAGCGCACAAGTCTAACCCCACACTCGGCGTCACAGTAGCATGAAGCATTATAGTAGGCCCGCGCGCGTGGTCATGCCATAGAACTAAGCTCTCTCGGTGTTGTGGGGGGGGGGGGGGGGGGGGTCTCTGCCGCTGCTAGTCACCATTTGACTTTTGTGCTGGCTAAACTTCGGCTGAATACATTCGTTGGTCCAGGGGTCAGCCGCAATACTGGTAAAACGCTTGGGGGCCACTACCTCAGTAGATCACGGTAAACGTTAGTACTCTGCATTCTTCTTGCAGCAAGTAGGTAGATAGGTATGTTGGTTAAGTACTTAAAGTCACGTCTAACTATAGATCCTTATGCAGAGATTAATCACCCCCAAAAAGAGGAGAAGCATGAACACCGTGCATGAACGGGATGAAGGGACCGAGTGACCACCGTAGGTTCCACACGCTACCCTGATACACCACGGATCTTCCATGGCATTTCGGTCCAAAGCCGAAATGTCCGGATCTATGTGTGGGGGAAATGCGGGGCTGCAGCATGCAGAGACGGAATCTGGGGTTTCGGCAATAGACACCTATAGGTCAAAATTCATTGGCCATCTGTGCTGCTCGTATGAAGCCATGCGTTGTGTAGATTGGGATGTGCAGATGGGTTGATTCCATGGTTCAACGAATCGAATCAATTTTACCCATACGCTGGCCTCGCATGGACTTACCCTGGGAATCTTTCTGAGGCTGGACCCGATCTCATCGGTCTAGTTCGGTCTGTTATGCAGGTTTGGACTAGTTCGGAGGCTGCACGAGCCGTGTTGCGACCGAATTGATGCCCAGATCCGACGGGAGGAGAGTATGCCGGATACGCGAGATGAAATCAGGTGGGTTTGGGCAGATAACTCGGCATGGATGAGCCTCGGAAGACTCACTCGCTTGACATTATGGTCTGACGTCGGGTTTGTCAAGTCTGTCAAGTCTTCGTAATTGGAGTGGTGAGTCTACTTGGAAAAAGCCTAGAAAAGTGAGTCACATTGGGATGTTGTATCTTCCAGACACTAAGCAAGCTAGCGATACGCTCCAGTGCGTATATTCGGAGCAAAACAAAACTTCCAATGCATCGTAGTCAAAAAACAAGATACAAACCCCTTGAATCTGGACGGCCATCCAGAAGCCAACGACCAGCGTTGATGCAAACAACCATAGCACAAAAAACAACAAAATCATTTCAGGCCAAAGCCTTCACTATTCACAACTGCATCCCATAACAGCTGTTGGAACTTTACTTGCGAGCCATAACGGTACAGGCCCAGTGTGTTGAAACATGTTCGCGCGATCGGGTATCGCGTGCAATCATCTCCGAGACAGGCCAGCCGTATCGAAAGGCTTGTGGCTCCCATTGCGGGGATCCGATCACTGCCGGTGATGAATGAAAGAATTTTCCGCTGGGCCTGAGGCGGAGACGTTTCAAAGAAATCCCAAAACCATTGTACCACGGGGAGTGATTCGGGCCGAGGAGAAGACCAATTATCGTAGGTAGCTACGGCACGCAAAGATGTCACGTCTAATGCTTCATCCGAGCCGCGAATGAGTAGTTCAATTTCCTCGGGTCGGAATAGTGACAGCGCATTGCCTCCACAGACCGTAAAGAAGCCCCGTTTGAACGGTTCAAACTGTCGAGTAACGGATGATTCGAGGAAATAGTGAACATACAGGTCCACAAATTCGCGTCGATTTGAATTGGTCACCGGACGCTTCTCACCATCGGCGCAAAGCGGAACGTTCACAACTTCTCCGTAGCGGTCGACTTGGGCAACAAAGTCATAGCAAAAGGTTTCGGCAACATCGCCGTCGTAATCAAGTAGCATTCGAAGCCCTTTAGCGAGAGCCGGGCGATACTCCGCGAGATCCTCGAGAGTGCACTTGAACCTTGGACGGCAAGAGTTGGTCGACTGTGGTCCGGTGGTCTGCGGTGCTGCCGCCAGCAGCTTCTTGAAAGCAAAAGGTGGCAGATCAATGTCGAGAATAGTGGAGTTGTAGATGGCAAGGCCAAGCAATACTCCAACCAGGAAGAACTGCTCGGATGACTCGAAGCAATGGGGGTTGAAGTAGCAGTACTGCGAGTCATCGTCATAGATAAAGAGCCCTATGATTTGTGAGACACCGATTGTCAAGACAGAGTTTAAGTACTACTTACCATGATGCGGATCGAAGACCTCTCGGACGAGCAAGAGGAACCACTCCTTACGCAATCCACCGGCATCAATCCCCTCTTCTCCGATGAACTCGATGCGAAGGCCCTTCTTGATCTCTTCTTGCCCAGTACCGACGACCTCGCTCACGCTTCGAAGACTATCTTCAACCAAGCATTCACGCCGCACTTTCAGCACGAGATACTGACTGACGGCACGATGGTTCAAAATGCTGCTAAAGAACGCCTCGCGGGCTTTGACCTCCATCTGACGACGAGCATCATGCTCGAGAATATGAATCTTTGCCCAAATGCTGAGCAGGAATGGATACTGGCAAAACGAAAACTTCGTGCCTCGCGACTCCCACGTCTCGAAGTCAGCTAGTAGATCCGAATAGTCCAGCAAGGTGTTGTAGAATGAACTGATAGGGACCATGTACCCCTGGTGCCGTGCTGATTGGGTCACAGCGGAGTCAGCATGGCGCAGCCCTCGCGGTTCGACCGCAGCATCTTCCGGCTTGCGTGAGGCGTGAGTGTTGTTTGCCGCAAAGAGCAGAGACATCACTCTTGCCGCTCCTCGAATCTGCCAGTCTTCCGTGTACACCATGGGCTCTTCCTTTTTCTTGGGAGGTTGCTTTTGCCCTCGTCGATTGATAGCCGCATGTAACTCAGCAGGGGTGTTACCCGAGGCACTGGCAAAACTGGGAATCAAGTCATCCCCATCTTTGGTCGGCTGGCTGCGTTTGCGGCCGTGCTGGCGAGTCAACCGATAGGTAATAAACCCACCCACCAGGTTCACCAGTCGTTCAAATTGACCGTGCGAGAACCGAGAAAACCAGGACACGAAGTAATGATGGCTTTCATTGGGTAAATTAGACATCAGGCCCAGGATACGCTTGGTAATCCCGTGGTGATGGTTTGAGCTGCTGTAACGAGGGAGCGGAGGGGAAGGATCTTTCCTAGGAGTCTTGCCATCCTTGGCTGTTGACCGTGGGCTGTCTTTCGGGTTGGATGGACGCCGCTCATCACGGTGAGGTGCTTGTGCTGGCAAGGCTTGAGTAAAAGCAGTAGGTGATGTCAAAAGAGGGTTCGCCAATAATATGAACAGGAATCTGGTGTCTTCTGGCTTCTTCAGAACACGTCTTGGACGCTTCAAAAGATTTTCAACGGCTTTCATCAACGTGCGCTGAAGATGTACACGGGACTCGTATATCTCTTTTTCCAACAGCGATAAATCGATTGATTCCCATCTGCGGCTGCGAATCAAGTCGGTCTCCGAGCGTTCAGGGTTAGGCTTCTTGGCAGCCCATTTCTGAGACCAAGAGCTACCTGCAGTCAGAACCAGCTGGTACCATTGAGCAACTTCGGCCCAGTTGATTCGAGGGCTTCTGGATGATACCAAGCGAGACCGGTGTGAGGACTTGTCCTTGCCAGAAGCAGGAACCTGTCCCTCCCTCTGGGCCCACTCGGTCATCCACCAAGACGAGTTCTCAGCCAAGTCTCCTAGAAGTAGCGTTTTCGCATCAGGCTCAAACACATGCAAGTCATTTCCTTGCTCTGGCATTGAAGCCGGATCCATGTTCATCCTGGGAGGGTTACCACTGCTAGTAGACCGAATCGATGGCTGGTAGGTAGAGAAAGATGCATTGAGAACACTGGTGCCTTTGAAAGCAGCGATGATGTAATTTTCCAGTCGCTTGAAGATCGACGCCTGGTGCTCGCCATTCTTATTTTCCAAGTCCGTAGGCCGTGCGGGTTCCCGAGGATGGTGGTCTGTCTTTGGATCCGACTGTAAATCCGAATTGGCACGAGTTCGGACAGGTGTATCTTTAGCCTCCCATTGAGCTGTCTGCGGTTTCGAGCAAGCAGGACTGCCCTTCGTGGAAATGGGGCGTTCCCGCTCACTTGATGCAGACACGCTGCGATGGTGAGGGGGCCGTGGAACTGAGAGGTGGCTCGAGCCAGGACTGTGTGCAGGAGGGGATAAAAGACTTTCCATCTTTGGGCCACGGCATCGACCGGCGTGTCTTTCGTCCGGCGAAAGCTGCGATTTCGACTCTTCCAGGAGTCTATCGAAATATATGGAGAGACATCCATCAATCATGCGTCTAACATTGTTGGCCGTCAAAACAATATCTGGAAAGCAGTCAATAGACTGCTCTTTAGCAAGAAAAAACATCAAAATTGTGGGCCATCAAATACCTGGCTTTGTTTCATGGGGCGAGATTACTGATGAGTCCTGCTCAGCGGGGTCCCGAATCCGAGCCCCTTTTGCTCGATCTTCATGTTCAGGGCCTTCTGGACTCTTTACTTCTTTGGGTGGCTCGACTTCAAGATCGGTGACCATCAAGCAAGAGGTGCAGCGAAACACTTTCGAGTTCTGTGGCCATCGCACGGTCGAGTTACACGTCTGGCATTTCCCCTCTGTCATTTCATTGCCGTGTCCACCTTTTGGTTCTTTCCGAGGGCTCGATGAGGTAGGCTGCGCAGCATATGTGACGTCGTCGGAATCAGAATCAGAGTCCCACGCATTGTACTTAGGTCCTGCCTTCTCACGCTTCTTCCCTATTCCGGTGAATGGAGAGGTGAACGGGTGACTGATCGAGCGGTGGTGTCCGCGTCGCTGCGGGCCCGTGGGCAAGCTCGTACTCAGCGGAGCCATATTTGGAGCATCGTGAGTTTGTGACGGGCGTCTTCGAGAGTGATCCGAGGCAGGGACCGAGGGAGGGTCTGAGGTAAGGGCAGCGAAGCCAGGGCTCGAGATCGGAGGGATCGGTGGATTACGTCCAGACCAGGACGGCATAAGGGCGCATCTGATCAACCGGAGCTGAGAGTGTGACCAGAATGCAGGTTGGGGAGATCGGGACAAGAAGCAGGTTCGTGGAGCTTGGTCCTCGCGCTAAAAGCATGCGAGTCGATCGTGGGGAAGTTGACAATAACGGGCAAGCCGAGGAAGTGCTTCTTTGCTAGCCCTTCACTGAAAAGAACAGATCGTGCTTGCAAGGATGCACGCCATGAGCGATCCGATGCACAGTTAAAAGCAAAAAGCACCAGTAGCTGAGGGAGTTGTCGTTGTTGGATCTCATAGTCGCCCCGGACGGATTGGGAAAGCGGCTAACAGGGGGCAGGGGCAGGCCCACTCGACGCCTGAGGCAGCAACACGGCTATTTTTGGCCCTAGGTGCCTGATTTTGGTGGCCAAAGTCAGATTCTTCCTGCAGGTTGGATTCTAGAATTCTACAGGTCTGTCCATGCTCAGCTAGATTTCGCTAACTATTGCTGGCAATAAAAGGTGAGCATGTGTACACAAATTGCCAGGTTGAGGCACACACAAATACCCGAGTACGAACACGAAGCCACTCAGTGACATGAGACACGGGTGAGACTACAATTATATACGTAGCCAATGGCAGTTCTACAGGTCCGCAGTGCCGGCATGGAGTTGAACCAGTCATACTTCGTTAATAAGGGGGAATTCAACATAAAACAAGATGGCTTTTTGGCTAAAAACAGATCCTGTCGGTCTGCATTAAAATCGGGCCCAGCATGGATAACACAGTCTGGGAGAGCACTGTTCGAAGAGATAACCACATGCAGCCAATATCCAACCCAATCCACCGACTAAGTGCATTAGTGCACTTAACGGTAACGCCAGTAGCTCTGGGTGTTCTGGCGCTTCCAGGTGTGGCGGCGACCGGACTTGGTGTTGTTGTAGCGGTGGCCCTTGTTGATACCACGGGACTTCTTGCCAGTAGCGGTGAGACCACGGCTCTCACGGTGCTGTTGGAAAACTGTATCAGTATGGCTCTTTCACCCGTAGTGAAGAATTTTTTCCATATGTCAAAACTCACCTTGTGGACGGAGTTGCAGATCCAGTTGATGCGGGCATCACGGCGGATAGCCTTGTGCTGGGGGTCAACGAGGATGACCTCGAAGTACTTGTAGGTGGAGTCCTGGTTGATCCAGTAGGAGTTCAGGACACGCAGGTTGGCGCAGCGGCGGCCAACACGCTCCTCAGCAGTGGCGCGCAGAGCACGCTGGTACTTGAGCTGGTTGACACCCTGGTTAGTGGGCTTGCCGTAGGTGGCACCCTTGGGCACCGGGCGCTTGCGGCCACCGCGGCGGACACGGATGCGGTAGACAACGTAGCCCTGCTTGGCCTTGTAGCCGAGACGGCGAGCCTTGTCGGGGCGGGAGGGGCGCGAAGCACGGTGGATGGCGTTCAGCTGGCGGAGCTATATTGATGCACTCTCAGCAAAGTTCAACGAGTGTATAGCAAGACACATGAGGCCCAGAAAAGAGTCTCTTCAAGTGCCACATCCATTTCCGCCGAATCAAAATTCGTTCGAGCCATCTAGTCACACCAGAATTTCTCAGGCGTTTCCTATGGTTACACTCACGAGCGCTCGGCGGAGATGTTAGGCAATCGAGGGTCGGGGGATTTATCTCACCTCCCAGCAACGAACGCGGAGCAAGAACCGAATAACATCGGACTGCTTCTTCTTCTGGATCTCTTCGACGTACTTGAGGGCACCCATCTGGAACAATTGGGAGTCAGTGAATCTGTCAGGATGGTAGAGATCGTTGAAAATGGCGGATAGGCGTACCTTGTCGGCTTCACAGGGTTGTCGGTTGTCGTTGTCGCAACTGCAAAAAGTTCGAGGGAGAAAGATCAGAGACGAAGGTTGTGTGTGGGACGCTAGCGATTAGCCGAGTGTGCAGCAAGCCAATCACGGGACTGATCCACTTTTGGCCTTCTGGCCTCAGGTTTCTAAGTCACGTGTGTATCAGGCCCCAAAAAGGTGTCGATTTTGTGCTGCACTTTTGTTGATCCCGGTCACCGGACAACTAGACGACACCCAAGCATGAACACTTCCCATAACCAACCTAAGCCTTCATGGACAGTATTGGAACACCTGACTACAGTTCCACCGATCTGGCTTTCATCCATTACCCTGCGTTACATTCATGCACGCTACATCGTACGTAAGGAACTCCCTTAATCTTGAACTAATTAGCGTAAAAGCAAGTAGAAATGAGAGAAGATGTCACTGCGCATTCGCTTCACTATTATGCTGGCCACCGATGCCTATTTACATATGTCAATTCATCAGAATTATCTCATTCGTCTCTTCATCCCGCCCGTGCTGCGTGCTCTTGCCGAACCAGGGCGTTGGTCACCGGGATCTGGAGAGATCCAGCCGGCAAGACACTCTTCTTACACAACGGACACTGACTGCTCTGCTCGATCAAGTATTGATCGATGCAAGGTGGGTCGAAGACATGACCGCATGGCAGCTCACGGAGCTGGGATGAGCCGATCACAAAGTCCTCCAGGCAGATCGCACAGGACGTTTGCATGTCCCAGTGTCGTATGGCCGAGGGCGCAGCCACTTCCGTTGCCGAATTGATGGCTACCGGCTCTGGCCGCCGGATACCGGTAGGTTTGGACGGAGCGTTGATGGCGGGGGGTGGTGTACCGGCATCCAGCTCGGCCGCACTGGTTTGCGCCTCTTCTTTGGCCTCTTCTTTGGCCTCTTCTTTGACCTCCTTTTTAATCTCCTCTTTCGGGGCGATTGGCGCCGCATATGGTGCTTCACCCGTATATGTGTAGAGGGGCAACTTATCAACGAGCTCGCGAGGGACTCGAAGGACGGACATCGCCAGGCGTTCGACATCGACCTGGCCAGTCTCGATACGATGGATGAGGAGTTGGCGGCGGCGGCGCTGCAGGAAGCGGTAGAGGATGACAAGGACGAGGCTCAGGCCAACAATTGTGCCCAGGATCGCTAGCACAAAGTTCCACAGACCAGGCTCCTGACTGGACGAGGTTTCTATTCTTGATTAGCAACTGCTTGACACGCGAAAAAAAAAAAATATGCATCGATATTACTTACCGGTATCAATCATGGTGAAGAGTCGCTGACTTGTTTCCTTGCGTGAAGCGTCTGTTGAAGTCTCGTTGTCGTCGCTACTGTGGTTGGACTGTCCGTGTGAAAACCAAGCAAGCTCGTGCATGAGAGTCACGCCTGCTGGACCTGGAATTGCGTAGATTGGATATTCGTTTTGCGTCCTCCACTGGTCTCCGTCATGCAGATCCCAGCACTGGTCGCTATAGGGTGGTGGTATGGTGGTCTCGTTGCTTGATGGTTGGAAGAAAACGAGCGCCTCTGCATCTACCTCACGTGAAGCAGCGAGAAACGATTGCGTACACTCAGGAGTTACCCACGGAGCAAGACCGATAGCAGGGTATCCGTAATCTGAAACGTCTTTATGGCGAGTCACGTTGGATGGTACGTATTGAGAAATGATTGAGTTGCAGGGGTCTTGTGGTGAAAGGTTGGGAACGAACAAGAGACCCGAGAAGGATCCGGACTCAGGAAGACCGTTGCTTGAGAGGGTTTGGACTGTTCTGTCAAGAACAAAACGGAAGCCGATGTTCTCCTATATATACATTTGTTCGGTCAGCAAGCGAACTTTCACCTCCAAGGCATCGCTATACCAGGCTGCGGCTATACTTACACTAACCGACGATGTAGAGTTTGAGGCGCTTCCTGGACCCGCAAATAGCGTGGCAACCGTAGCCTGCGGATCGGGTGCTTTGGTGCGAGACATAATGTGATCGATCTAAAATATGCTGAATTCTCTGTCTGCCAGACCAAACGATGCACAGAGCCGGTGTATATTAGACCCTGAAAGGTATATACACATGATTATACCGGTAGAATTGGTGAAATGAAAAAGCGGGAGACGGGAGAAAACATCCTCGTTTTGGGTATAATGTATATCGTCGCACTTGTTCGATCCCGGCGAGTGAAACAACCTAAGACGGTCATTACGGCCAACTTCGCCTCAGCGGCAGCCGATGGAATGCGAGGGCAAATCGTGGGCGGCGCAAGAATGTGGGCAAGGCTCCGGCCACGCGGCAAAAGGGCCGCAAACCTTGATCTCAGTATTGGGAAAAGAGAAACATGGCAGCCGCGATCGATCGATGGCGCGTCATTGCATACAAATGCGTATAATGCGTATATAGAAGTCGAGTGGGTACGTCCGGCCGGATTGGGAATTTCCGTTTGCGGATACCGCTTGCGGGGGTGGTCGTGACCCTAGCAAGGAGATCTATGTTAGTGTTTCCAACTTATTGGAACCCATTGTGATGTTATAGTTGATTTTGACATTTTAATACACTCAGTATGAAAAGCATATCAGAAGGCCATAACTTATTATAAATGTTGATGGAAATCCGCCTTCATAGATATCGGAGTTAAGGCGAAGGTCCTCCGTGAACCCCCGGCATCCAAAGTTATGATTTCAATAGTGGATGAACTATATGAGATATCTTTAGGTCAAATGTTAGATCAATTCTCAAACAACATTTTTCAGAGCATGTATAAGGGTTGCAAAAGGCGATTTCAGCCGCCCATCTCGAGCTCGATGCTTACCGCTCTCTGTACCGCCTCGCGTTCTGGCAGAACAATTGACACATGTCACGTGTGTCAATGGCCGCCAGGTTGATCGGCTCCGCGCGACTTCTTGATCACCACAGCTCGGTCAACGCATCGCCGATATTCAGGAGCACGTTGGTTGTCGCTGTTTCACTTATGGTGAAGCAATCTGCCGGTCTTCTGCTCTCGTTGAATTGATTCTTGACTTGACGATCCGCGTCAGCATGCGGTACCCGACTTCGACTGGCGCCTCTTAGAAACCCCTCGACACCCCGATTGACAATCTCGTGAATCGCTCATTTCCCTCGATTTTACATTCATCTCTTTTTTCCCAACGATTACGGAAAGACAGATACAATGCCTTCAGCGTACAAGAGCAAGGGCAAAGGGCGCGATGCACGCCAGTCGCGCAGCCGCAATACCACCCCATCAACTGCAGGCAGTGTTCCTACGGCCATGCCTTCTCTCGCCAACTATCTTGAGAATGATGTTTCGAAGCTCATCGACCAGGCCAACGGTCAGTACACGGATATGCTCGACCTAATAGCTGGCCCGAACATTCCCGATTCCAGGACCCTCGAAACAATCGTGGAACATCTGAAGAGCCTCAGTGACATGGCTGATACTCGGGGGGATACTTGCAACGCTGGTATGCGAGAGATGTCACAGAAGCGTAAGGACGTGACAGAGGATCCTGAACTAAGCCACGAGGTTGGAGAACGTTCGAAGCTCAAACGCGAGACGGAGGAAGATGATGACCAGATACACAAAGGAAAGCTGAAGAAGCGCAAGGAGCGTGCGAGTGCAAAAGAGGAGCGGCCATTGAGTCACGGAGCACACGACGTCGCTCGTCAAGATGGCGCCGAGACAAAGGTCGAGGGAGGTAAGTGCAGCTCATGGCCCCGTCACACTCCACACCCGCCCACAACTCCACCTTCAATTTTCACTTTCGCAAAAATGGCTGACCATGTCCAGCGGCTTCTCCAGTCTCCAAGCATTCGAAGAACGCCGGCTCTGATGACAGTTCCTCCCTTTCGCCTCCATCCATGTTGTCCCCCAACGGTGCCGCTGCTACCGATGGCGCGGCCGCGCCTGGGTCTCCCGGGTCGGATTCCAGCGATGACTCGCACCAGCCTGAACCCCAGCCCGCTATACCTCATTTTCAAGTATTCGGAGACAACCCGCTCAAATTCGATGACCCAACCGTCTATCACATCCGAGATGTCATCCCGGACATGCCCGACGATGAGAAGAAGGAAATCTACAGTGTGGCCCGTTTCCCGAAGTCCGATCTCGCCCACATGATGGCCGGTGTAGCCCCAGACAAGGACTTTAGCAATGCCAAGCCATCCAACCAGGTCAGCGCCAACACCTTCCAGGCCTACATTGAACCGTACGTTCGCCCTCTTACGGAAGAAGACATTGCTTGGCTTCGGGAGAGAGGAGACCGTGTCACACCTTTCATCAATCCTCGTCGTGGAAAGAAATTCTACCGTCAGATCTGGGCTGAAGAGGATGGAATTTCTTACGACTCAAGTCAAGATGACAAAGACCAGCTCCCCTTGAACCAAGGACGAGGCAGCATCGACTCTTTGACCGATGACAAGGTTGAAACCAGCGAAGTTTCCATCGGGCCCCTGCTGAGCCGTCTGTGCTCTCTACTCCGCTACGAGCACCGCACTCTTCCAGAGGACAAGGAATCGGCGAACGGTGACACGGGATTGGGAGACGCAATGGATTTGGACCAACCAAACGGTGACATGGAGACCAAGTCCGAGGGCAAGCCCCTCCCACCCGCGACAGCCTTCCATGACGCCGATCCAAACGGGTTCAAGACCTCCGTCGCCAAACTCGACCACGCGCAGCTCGACGAGCGCGCCAAGGCCGAGCTGCGATACATTGGCTTCCTCGGGCCAGACGACAACCCCGACTACGACGCGCACTATGACGACGAAGTCGCCGAGCGACTTCGCCTCCTCCAAAACGAACTGAAGAAGCAGATCGTCACCAACAACGCGCGCAAGGCCCGCATCCTCAAGATCGCCCAGGAACACATGGCTCTCCTCGAATTTACCACCATCCAAGATGACCTCGACTCCCAAGTCCAGCAGGCCTATCTGAAGCGCACCCGTACCATGGGCAAGAGTAAGAAGGGCTCGCAGGCCAAGCACCGCCCCGGTGGTGCTGGTGGTGGCAGCCATGTTGCAGGCGCAGGGATTTCTCGTCCTGCTGTCGGTGATGCCGCTAAGATCGTCATGGACCGGCGTAAGCGCTGGAACGATGCCTTCTTGCCTATATTCGATGATATCAAGACCACCATTCCGTCCGAAGGTGAAACCATCTTCGATCCACAGGTGATGAGTGAATACGAGAAGGCCGAGCTGGAGGCTTGGGACGAGGAGTGATATCTCACACTCTTTGCCTTCTCACATGATACGATATGACTGGAACGACAGGCTGGGACGGCGTTATTGGATTTTTCTATCTCTCCAGGCTATAATCGAACACCTGTATCAGCAGTGGGCTCGAGTTCAACTTCCTGGAGATGATATTTTGTGCTTTTAAGTTTTCGCATTCTGGCAGGATGGAAGGGTCATTGGTTTTCCACGCATTTCCCGGTAGCTGCTATTAGATACCGGTGATAAACAATGGACAGAAACTGTATTCTACAAGCCACGTTCAACACTTTTGCACTTGATCAAACACTCAAATAATCCAGGGTATATATTAACTGACTCAAACCACCAACACTGTAATAATCACCGGTGGACGATCAACACCTCCCCTGGATATCGCTTCAATCTAGCCGTCAACTCACGCTCACTGATCTCCAACTCCGTACAGATCTGATCAAAACAATGCGTCCCATCAAGATACTTCGATAACGTCCGATCATCAATTTCATCCTCATCTTCCTCAAGTAGCCCCGACGGTACACTCCCTCCAATTCCACTCCGACTCCCGCTCTGAAGCGAAGGCGCACGCTCACGACTCGTCTCGCGTCTTGGCGCTGATGAAATAGGAGCTTCGTCGTCGACACTAGAGGCAGTGTAGGGCGTATTTGTACCGGTAGTACCGCGAGATGAGGGACCGGTCGAGGTATGAGCTGGGATAACAGATGAAGAGCGAGCCGCGGAGGCAGGCTGGCCAGTTGCGCAGGCGTATTTGTGCACGCGGTAAAGGAAGCCCTTGATCACGCCGAAGGTGATGAATCGACGGATATCGATATTGGCTAGCTCGCGGCTGTGCTGCGAGTACCATTGTTTGACGCTCTGGCCTTGTTTAAGGCTTGCGTAGAGCTCGATGATGCCCACGCCATCGACGACGCTGGGGAATCGTCCTGCATGAGGGATGTCATGTTCTGGCGTTTCGGGAGTGTATGGTAGATTGGTGCCGTTGGTTGTGTCTTCAGGATCACCTAGTAGAGGCCAAATCTCTTCTGCGTCGAAGCGTGACTCGCTGCGGGATATGCTCGCTGCTGGGTCTGTGAGGGAGCCTACTAATGGCCCGGCGGCGCCACTGCTGCTACCGCTGGTCCCTGCGACTGGGACTGGAGGTAGTGGTGAGCGGGGGCCGATGGCGGGGTGTGGTGCGAAGCGAGTGTTTACGTAGCGTGCACACTCGAGTTGCATTGCCTCGTCTTGCGCGATGGTGCAGCTGAACTGCGCTGTTGGTGCATAGATTGCAGAGAAGGAAAAAATGTCTAAGAGGAAGAGACAACCGTAGTACAGTAAGTGTCGAATTACGCGGCAGGTGAGGGAGAAGTCTGTGTCGGCCAAAATGGAGATAATGCGAACGCTGTTGATGCCGTTGACATGAGGTACAACCTGGAGAATTCTATCAGTCAATTGGTCTGGTAGAGTCATTGACAATGCCATTTCATACTCGCTGCAATGCCAGGTCCCAATTCTCGTCCATGAAAGCCTGGTATCGTACCGTAAATAGAGGAACCTGCCAGGCCTTGACATGCGGTGGAGAAGGATATATAGGGAAGAGCTTAATGTTCAATGTGTTGAGCTCATCTGTGTTCGAACCGTCAGTAACAGGGTATCTCGAGTTCCATCCAAACACATACCAATGGGTATCATGCACTCGCAGTAATTATTCAGATCCTCCATCAGCATCTCGCAAAGACTGTACACCTTGCCCTCGCCGCTCTTCGAGAAATCGCGCGACAAGAACCCGTTCTGTTCCTCCAGGGCATGCATCATGTCGGCCAGCTTCTGCACCACGCTCTTGTAAGTGCTGAAATCCTCCTCCTCGGCCAGCACCACACAAAAGTTGAAGATGAATTCATTGCGGTCGTAGCGAGGGGATTTCATGCAGGTCGGGTATCCCAGAATACGGTATCCATTGGTGCAGACCTGGAGAAGGTTGCCGCAGAGCTCCTGGCGCGGGATCACGAAGAATGAGATGTCCGAGAATGTTAAGAAGACGTGTTGCGCGGGAGCAGTGGAGGAGGGGACGATAGCTCCATCGGGGACCTGGTGAACGACCTTCGGGCCTGAAGAGATTGTTAGCGAGCTATTCAGTAATCTCAGGGGACTGCCCTCGTACCCTCCTGGGTGTCGAATTTGCTGTAGAAGATGGCTTTGATCATGGTGGAGCTGCGCGCATGGAAGCTAGGGATGAAGTCTGCAGCATGCGGGTAGGTGTCAGAGGATATGTGTCTGCGACGCTCTAACGATCAATATTTCAGCAATATCGAGTGACAACCGGAGGCATAGTGTCTGGTGTGAACCTTTCGAAGTGAGGAGATGCGGGAGAGGTGCTCTTATCGGTGGGTCCACAGTGCTCCGCATATTCTACTGCAATATATAGCTCGGCTTTAATTCATGTCAACCTTGCAAAGCAAGCCAGGAATGAATCCGGGTCTGCACAAATTATATATATAAAAAAAGGCAACTCGCTTGGATAAGCTAGGTGTTTACGAGATTAGCCAGGTATTGTGCCTTGTCCAGCCTTAGAGACAGTCTTGGAGCCGCAAGCCCAAGCTAGTTCCTCACCTTGGGGAACGATTGGCCAAACACATCAGCCCACTTTATCCCATCGAACTACGCGTTCTTTGATACTAAGATGGATGGTCTTCACAGAGCCTTGTTCTCTAGCTCTTAGCTCGACCCGGCGGGGTATTGAAACGGGGGGAAAATCCCGCTTCGTGAGGATTTGAAGTGCCTTGCCCTGTATGAGGTCCCGGTTTTTGCGTATGAAATGAATGTTGGGTTGTCTTAATGCCCTCATCCTATTTTATTTACTATACCGTTCTGTTCACGGGTAGATCGTATGTGGGCCGGAGGTTATATTGGGGGCATCTGGAGGTCTGGAGGAATGTAGTTGAGATAGTATGATGCTATTCTTTTGGTACTTTGAAGCAAAAGTGGATAACGAACAATTTAAATTTCACAGGTCCCCATTGGCACCCTACAAACAAGGGATTAGAAAACATTGGAAAAATATCGGCTATCATTTGAGTCAGCGATAAACTGCAGCAACAAGCCGAGGGTATTAAGTGAATCAGAACATCGTAAGTTGTCGCTGGGAGACTTTTCCGAGAGATCTATAGGTGAAAAGCTCCGTCCAAAGTCTCCCGCGAAAGATACTAAGACATGATATGGATGATTGCGAGCAATATTGATATGGTGAGCAGAGAAACACCCGAGAAGGAGCCAGTCCATGTCGGGGAGAATGCAAGGTAATTGCGCCGAGAAATGCAGGTTCGTAGGTGCGGTCGTAGGTGCGGTCGTATCGAGTCCATTTTTGCGTCAGTGCGAGAACCGCTGCTGATCGCCCCGTGCTGGACGTGTGCGGTTATAGGGTCATGGAAGGACGGGCCTGGGGGTGAATCGCGGGCCGGGGTTTGCGAGAAGCCATGCTTCTGCCGATAGTGTCGTGGCAGATAGGCCTCGGTCGTTGTGTTGCAGGTTGGCACTTGGGGGATCGGGGAAGATGTTCAGTGGTTGGTTTGAGCGAATGGCACGCATCACTTCGTTGTATCCTCCACGCTCACCAGCCTCCTTGAACCACTGTTCCCAGTCCTCGTCGAGAGGTACATCATCTCCCTGGTCGCGCGCGACCATGGCAGCGCGCAGGCGGTTGTTCAGTTCCACCCCGCAGCTCTCTACTTCTTCGTCACTGTATTCATCTTCAAACTCGTGCTGTCGATAGTCGGAAGCCACGCTGGAGCTGCGAGACTCGCTCGCACGGACGGTGTCGTCACTCCGGGCATCCATATTCAGATCTTGATCGTCGTCTGGCTGGCAGAGATCAAGATCGGCGTGTATCTCGACGGTGGGCGCGGGGGTTGGCATCGCAGGCTGAACATCATCGCCTGTGGAGTCCCGCACCGTTGTTCCCTCCTCCACCTCGTAGCGCTGACGGGCCGACTTGGTACCTTCCCAGCAGCATAGCTCGGAGATCTCTTCGTTGGTCAACTTGAGCGCGTCGAACACCCGGAACAGCCTGCGGTGCCAGGGGAAGCGTCCAAGCCGTAGGCGATGAGGGCCATGGGAGTAGTCCAGTCCGGGATACTGGGCTTCGATGCTGTCGAGAGGACCGTAAAAGACGCTGGTCTCGACACGTACCTCGGGCACGAGATGACGGGTGATGTGAGCAGCGAAGGTACCCGGGTCGCTAGGGCGCGGGTGAGGGAAAGTCGCGTTGTACACGGACTGTGCAAGTGACGGTTTGCGCATGGTGAATGAATATTAGGGCGGCAGCAGGAGGAGAGGAGAGACAGGAGTCAAGAGAAGCCCTTGACGGCCCTTGACGGCCCTCAGCCGCAGAATGAAACGAAGCGAATCGCCCCTCCGAAGGGAGAGGTCTGGGGGGGGCTCGGGTGTGGAGCGGGTCTAGACAGCGGTGGAGTAAGGACTCAAGATGGCATTGAGTTGCCCGGTAGAAAGGAAGGAAGATGAGAGAATGAAGTACGAAGTGTCAGCCGTGAACTAGGGAACTAGTGAACTAGTCTCGCGAAAGGCTGGGTGTCACAACCCCAACACGGCAACGTGGACGTGGAACTGCGTTGTCAACTGCACGGCCAACACAAACAAGTGTGGATTCCTTTCGCACCGCCAACTACACTACTACACCAACTGCTCCATGTCCACCTTTGACGGAGTTGTCTCCGGTAAGTCAGTTCCCTCCTCCAAGGGTGTCCCGCTGACTCTTCTAGAATTCCCCGGCATCCAAAGTAAGTATGACACCATGAAGTGAAAATCTCTCATCTAAGACATCATAGTTGATTACTTTCGCAAGAGCCCCGAACGGCCTCTGCCGCTGGCCTGCTTTCTCAGCCATGTCCATAGTGACCATCTGCAGGGCCTGGAGTCCTTTCGGGCTCCCTTTATCTACTGTTCTCCAGCCACGCGTGAAGTATGTCGATTCCGGCGCCTAAACACGACCCCAACTAATTCGGATACCCGCAGCTGCTGTTGCGCATTGAGAAGTACCCACATCGGATGAACTTCCACAAGGGCATTCTGGAATCTCGCCGCCTGCACTATAAGCATCTGGCCAAGTTACTGGTGGGTATCCTTTCCGCTCGTTGTGTCATGGAAGGCCCAGTGGCTCACGATCTACCAGCGACCAATCCCCTTGAATACCCCAACGGAGATTGAACTGACGCCCCGACGGCGTATTCGGGTCACCCTTTTCGATGCTAATCACTGCTCTGGAGCTGTCATGTTCCTGATTGAAGGGAATGACAAAGCCATCATCTACACTGGGGATATACGAGGTCAGCTCCCTCTCCTACTCTAGGGTGTTCCTATTGCTAACACCCTTTAGCTGAAAAATGGTGGGTTGACAGCTTGATGCGGCATCCTACGCTGATACCGTATACTCTGGGCCGTAAACGGCTGGATAAGTTGTATCTCGACACCACATTTGCTCAAAAGTCCAATCCTTTCCGAGAATTTCCATCCAAAGCCGAGGGGCTGGCAGAACTTCTTCGCAAGGTTGAGGCTTACTCGGATGATACTATCTTCTATTTCCGAGCATGGACTTTCGGCTACGAGGATGTCTGGCTGGCCCTCTCGACGGCACTAAGAACAAAGGTGGGTAGAGCTACCAAGTGACCAAAATGACGCTAACGACTGTTTTGTCATTAGATCCACGTGGACCGCTACCAGATGGGACTCTATCGGTCCCTTGCACATATTTCTGGCAGCAGAGGTGTCAGTGAGGGGCCGGCTCTCTGCGGCTTTGACCTGGGTAACAGAGCTGTTTCAGGATGCCTGAGTGACAACGGGTCCAGCAGGATTCACAGCTGCGAGCCTGGTGTATCGTGCCCCGCGGCTCGTGGCCCGAAAACAGTTTACATCACGCCGATCATCAATCGAACCAATGATGGTGCCGAAATGCCTGAAGTTGGGGCCGGCGGTGGTATCGGTGATCTGTATCAGACTCACGAGCTCGAGTTGCCGGACGAATCTACTCTTGCTCAAATCGAGAAGCTATGTCTCGAGCATATTCACGACAAACAACGTTCGTCACAGATGCAAAAGGCACTCTCGGAGGCGTTCCAGTCGAGAAAGAAAGCCTTGTCACTCGACAGTTACGGTGTCAAGGAGGAAGGCGAGATTTCTCTCGAGAAGCTCGTGGCTATGCTCAGTCAAGGAGTATCCAACCAAAGCTTCAAGCCGGATCTACCAAACACGATTGTAAGTTGCAGCCATCATTACAGTAAAGGACCAGCCTAATTATGACCAGCGGTTTCCGTATTCACGACACTCCTCATATTCCGAGCTCTGCGAGCTTGTGGCTGCATTCCGCCCGAAGGATATTCATCCTTGCACAGTGAACCCATCTACTTGGAGCCAAACCATCTCTATCCGCTCTCTTTTCGGTCACTTATGTTCGGGGAGCGAATTTGCACACGATGATTTTATGCGTCAAACTCTCGAGCAGACTGACGATTATAATGATCAATACCCTAAGAAGCGAGCCAGATATAAGGCAGACACTTCGACGGAGTCCTCGCAATCCAGTGATGCGGTGGAAGAAGGCCATGCGGTTATGGACGACACAAGACGCAAATCCCAACCCACGCAATTACCAAACACCGACCCAGAAAGAGCAAAACGCGACGAAATTCGAAGAGCACATCGCTATCTTCAACACTACGCCGACCCCGAGGCTCTCCAAGTCGGTCCACTCCCGTCTTCATGGCCAGCAGATGAAGTCAATGCCAGCCAAACGCCCTCCCCAAAGACACCCTCAAAAGGACCCCAAGAATCTAGCTTCGCATCATCCAGAGATGGCGCCTCGTCACCTCATCCACAAACCCCTCAACCATCCCAGGCCCAAGATAGCCAATACACAGATCTTGGCCTCTCGATCTCCGAATCGGATTCTGACGCCTCCCCTCCCCCAGAGATGGGACCGGATCGAGACCTTGGCCAGGCAACAGAGGAGAGAACCACCAAAGACCGCATTACACGCAAGCGCGCCCGGGTCGCAGCATACCTTGCTGCGCGAGAGGACAGCTGGGCTGAGGTCTCCCTGGTATCGGCGGGAGGTAACCATGCCGAGGAGGAGATAGAGTTATAGGGCGAGTTCCTGTAGACTCGTTTCATTTTACTTCGGCATGAACCGATTACGACGGCAATGAGCTATGAACTTACGCTTCTATGTATTATTTTTTCATACATAACTCACGATTCACTGATCATAATTTGCTGGGGTGGATCGTAGCTTGTAAATCACCGATGGGATAAAATTTCTCTTCGGTTTACGCGCCACACACATACAGGAACTACCTAGGAAGCTACCGATTCCTCCGATAATAACGGAACCTGGAGCCTCCCTAGCGTGGGGGTTTTAAATCGGCCATTTCCGACCCAGGCCGAGGCGATGGCCGAGGCGACCTGCGACGCCGTACACACGGCGAAGTCCGGTGGGTCCGAGTTGGCCGAAAGCAACTCTCCGCCGAGCTACAAAACCACAAAACTGGTATTGAACAGGAGGAATTGCAGGGGAAAAGCAAGTCATGACTTTCGTAGCTAGGTACATAATGTATAAGCACAAACTCCCAGAAATAGTAGACGCTCGAGATGGATATTGAGCCGGTAGAGGCAATGCTAGATGTCAAATGGGTCTAATGGTGAAATGGGATATAGAAGGCGAAAGAAAATGAAGAGGAAATGAGACTCCAAGAGGAGAGGAGAGGAAAGAATCAGGGCAGGAAGTTCAATGTGAGACAATCCAGGTGTCACATCGTACAAGGCCTTTAGAAGATGTAGTAGGCCTGCGTCAGTGGTAACTCGGTAGCGGGCTCGGCGTCGCACAGCATGCCGTCTGCTTCGACGGTCTGTCATATGGTGTTAGCGCGGTAAGGGAGATTGAACCAACAGAATGACTTACATAGCTCTCGGGGTCAACTTTCATCTTCGGCATTACATCGTTGAACTTCATGTCCTTTTTGCCGACGGTGCGGCAGCCCTTGACAGCTTCGATGCGTTTGCGTAGGCCGTAGGTCTGCACGATGCCTTCGTCGATAGAGGCCTGGGACACGAACATGATTGATGTGCTTGGAACGCGAGGCTAATCTGATCAGTATTTACTTTCGTGAAGGAGTGGTACAACGACATACCGCAAACATTGGTCGCATGATCATCGGTTCGATGGTTGGGATGGAAGCGTTGGCGTCACCCTATGCGAAAAGTTAGAAAGGCTGGGAATAGTATCATAGGAAAAAAGTACCATTTCTGCAACAGCAATCATACCGCTCTTCAGAACCTGCACCGGCTTTGTGCCAAAGGCGCTGGCGTTCCAAAGAACGAGATCGGCGACTTTGCCAATCTCAACACTACCGATGAGATGTCCCATACCCTGTGCCAGGGCCGGGTTGATGGTATACTTGCTAATATAACGCTTCACGCGGAAGTTGTCGTTGTTGGTGCCCTGGTCCTCGGGCAGCTGGCCACGCTGGGCCTTGTTCTTGTGTGCAGTATGCCAGGTACGCAGGATGACCTCTCCGCAACGGCCCATGGCCTGTGAGTCAGAGGACATCATACTAATAGCGCCCAGGTCGTGGAGCACGTCCTCGGCGGCAATAGTCTCCGCGCGAATACGGCTTTCGGCGAAGGCGACGTCCTCGGGAATGTTCTTGGATAGGTGATGGCACACCATCAACATGTCCAGGTGCTCATCAAGGGTGTTCAGGGTGAAGGGACGGGTTGGGTTCGTGCTGCTGGGAAGGACGTTGGGGTGCTCAACGACCGAAATAATATCTGGTGCGTGGCCACCACCAGCACCTTCCGTGTGGTATGTGTGGATCGTGCGGCCCTTGAAAGCCTCTATAGTCTGCTCGACGAAACCGGACTCGTTCAGGGTATCCGTATGAATCATGCACTGGACATCGTACTCGTCACAGACTCCCAAACAGTTGTCAATGGCCGCCGGTGTAGAGCCCCAGTCCTCGTGCAGCTTCAGGCCAGCTGCACCCGCTTTGATTTGCTCCACAATGCTAATCGGTCCACAGTCGTTGCCCTTGCCCGTGATTCCAATGTTGATAGGCAGACTGTCACAGGCCTGCATCATCTGGCGCAGATGGTTCGGACCAGGTGTACAGGTTGTAGCGTTCGATCCAGTGCTAGGACCTGTGCCACCACCGAGGAAGGTAGTGATACCAGAAGCAAGAGCTTCATCTACTTGCTGCGGGCAAATCAAATGGATGTGCGTGTCGAAACCGCCAGCTGTGATGATCTTGTTCTCGCCGGCAATCACGTCCGTGGACGCACCCACCACCATCTCGGGGTGCACGCCTTCCATAGTATCCGGATTTCCAGCTTTGCCAATTCCAGAAATGAGGCCGTCCTTGATACCAATATCGGCCTTGTAGATACCCGACCAATCAACGATCAGCGCATTCGTGATGACCGTATCCAAACACTCAGCAGCAGAGCGGCCAGATGCCTGCGCCATTCCATCACGGAGCGTCTTGCCTCCACCGAATGCACACTCGTCTCCGTAATGCGTCATATCCCTCTCCACCTCAATCCATAGGTTGGTCAAGCCCAAGCGCACCAAATCCCCGGTAGTCGGTCCAAACATGCGAGCGTAGGCCTCACGCTCCATCGAGAATCCAGTAGTCAAAACAGCGTCGGCAGTCGGCTCGGGCACATGCGCAAATCCTGCAGTTTGAAGCTTCGTCACGATCTCATCCACACGGCTCAGATCCACGGGACCATTGGCCAGCCAATTGCCTCCACGGATCACCTTTTTGCCGCCAATCTCAACCAGAGTCACGGTTTTGGTATCGCCCGGCTCGAAACGAATAGACGTGCCGGCTGCAATATCCAGTCTGTATCCATATGCCTGGATGCGATCAAAGTGCAATTGCGGGTTCGTCTCAATAAAATGGTAGTGTGATCCGACCTATTAATTCTCCGTCAGTACTTCTACCCTCTGGTACATTTCGTAGCCCACACGTACCTGAATCGGTCGGTCACCCTTACTCATGACCTTGAGACGAATACGTTTCCGTCCATCGTTCAGCGCGACGCGAGCATGTTTTACCGGAATGACGGCGCCGGGCATCTTCTCAGGCATGAAGTCCTCGGGATCGGGATCGGGGAACGCCTGGTGCGAAGGAACTGGCAGGAAGCTACCGTACAGTGCACGCTCGAGATCACCCTCATTACTACTAATGGGGTGATGCACTGTAACCAGGTATGTACCAGTCGGAAACGTACCCTCGACCTGCAATTCAATGAGAGTAGCAACAACCGACGGCAAGACATGCCGACGACCCAGCATAGTCTTGCCGATGGACATCAAATCGGCGACTGAGTAATGGCCATCACGAATAAGCTGTAGATTGGAACCAGCATTAGCACGAGGGCCGATCACACGGCATTTGCGAAAATACGAAGAAAAAGTGGGGAACGAACCTCGTGCAGAACAGATGAAATCAAGGCCTGTTGGCAATTAGCGGAACGAACTATGACCCCTGAGATATCAGATGAAACATACAACTGCTTCGGCATGGTTCAATCGGACACCCCGGGCCAGGCGACGCTGTGCCAGAAACCCGAGGTGTGCAATGGTGAGCTTGTCGAGCTACATACGATGAGTGACATTTGCGACAGGCTTGGCTGGCAGGACCTACCTCCTTCGGAACAAGCTGCATGCCGCAGGTGGAACCGGGTGGAATCTTGGCGTGCAGAGAATCTGGGTCGAGCCTTGCAAGAAGTCTCTTTTATAGGAAGACTCGCGCGATTTAGACGCCAGGGAGGATTTAAAGGAGGCGAGAATGTGAGGGGTTTGAACAGACGTAGTATTCAAGGTCCCGCGCAAAACTCCGAACGAAGATAAGGCGGTGCCGCGCCGATTGGACGCGCGGGGCGCCGCTCGGCGGTGTTAGTCATTCGGTTCGTCTGATTGATAACACTTTACCGATCTATACTCGGGTATAAAAGCTAAAGGCTAAAGGCTAGAAGATAGAAGCAATAAATATGTTCCCATTGAATACACTTTTCAAAGACGCCCTTGACAGCTCCTACACTAACTACTAACGGCAAATCTTCAACGCACGTTCGAACCATTTAAGCCTCGCTCTTGCGCTTCTTAGCTCGGCTGCGCTTCTCCGGGACCTTCTCCTTGGCCGGCGTGGGCTCTGCGGTCTTACCCTTACCCTTCTTTGCGGGCGTCGCCTCCTTCGCCTCCTTCACGACCTTGGCGTCGCTGCGACGGCGCTTGTTGGAGCTGCGCGGGGGAGTCTTCTCCTTGGGCGGAATAGGCGAGGGCGACTCTTCCGAGGAAGATTCTTCTTCATCGTCCGACGAATCCTCGGCTTCGGCGCCAGCAAAGTCCTGCTGCAACTGCGAGGCGGACGGGTCGTTGTCCTCCTCACCGGCCTTTTTGGCGGATTCTTTGGCGGCCTTGGCGGCATTGTACGCGGCCGAGTCAACCTTATACTTCTCATAGTTCTCGCCGTACATCGCCTTCCAGATCTGATGCTGCGCGTTAATATGGGTGGACCGATTATCAATTGGATGAGTTGCGGTGGGATTGACTGACCTCCTTCTCCTTCAGATCCATGTTCTGCCAGCGGCGGGTGCCCTCTTCGGCGACATTCTTGGGCTTCGCATCGGCGCCCAGGTCTTCGGCAATCCTGGGGCGGTTGTTGTGCATGTAGAGGAAGTACGGGGTGAGCGGACGCTTGGGCGCATTAGGGTCCACGGGCGCGCGCTTGCGCTTCTTGCGACCGCCGGCTTCAGACTTGGCACCGGGGCTACCGGCGCGCGGAGCGAAGTCAAGGTGGTTCATGCCGATGGGCATGGCCGGGAGGTCGATGGAGGCGGAGGTTCCGTTGATGACATTGTTGACGTGCTCAACATAGGCCTTGCTGAAATCAGCGATTTGGGACTGCAGCGACATGCTCCACATGATGATCTGTAACGCCGTTAGCTTCCGTGTGACACGCTCATGTTGCGATGCAATGGTTGAGTTGCGATAAATCGACGCGCTGAATGAGAGGGGGGGTGGGGTTGAGACCACTCGAAGCTTTTCGGCAGAGCGAAGAACGCGGAGGGTGCGACAATGACGTCCAGTAACGCGCAACGCAAAGAATATAGATAAAAAGCATTGTCGTACATCGACAAAGCACTGTTTAAGACCCTTGAAGCTTCGAGGTCTCAATGCGCGCCGGTGACATGGGTATCAAAGCTCTGTTTATATGCGACGCGTAGCGCGCGCACGAGCGAGTCCAGGAGGTAAAAGTCACGGCACCAACAAGAAACCCCCGAGAAAAGCTGAAGGGGAAGAACCAAAGGGAGCGATCTTACGGCATCTTTGGAGGCACGCAGCTCTTCAATATTAACGGCCACAGTGGCCTCGGAATCCTGCTTGGGAGCCATTATTCGGGGTATTCGGGGGGGGTTCGTGAAGAGATTTGCTAGGGGCGCCCGGGCGGAAAGTAGGAGGGCGGGAAGGGAGGGAACCCACTAAATACCACCGCCAGCCCCCGAAAGCTCCGGCATGTCTGAAGGGTCGCTGCTTTAGGCTTAGGCCCTGGGTGCTTCCCTAGGTCCTCGGTCATGGGGTCCCGGGCCTTGCGCAACGCTCTGCCCGGGTCCATGGGTGCTCGGGTGCCTCCCAGCTCCCCCTCCCAACCTCCCCGACCACTGCCCAGTGTGACATAATGACTTGCCCATCTGCCTGATTGCGCACGTTTTGGTCTTTGGCTCTTTTCCTTTTTGGCTTCTTCATGATTTTCTAGTTAAAGGGTAGTTTTTTTAGAATAACACATTATTTTTTATTACTCTCAATATCGACCAATTCCAAGTTAATCCTGCCGATCGGTGAGGATATATATTCGGTTCTTCGCGCCCGCGACATGGCTTATGCTCCCCAATATTGACAAAATTCTATGCAATTACAGTTCCAATAATAAGCCATAGTGATAAGGCGTGAAAATAAAAATAAACTGCATACTCAGGTGATATCTGATGTACCTACCTGTGAAAATGCTTATATGTAACCTCCGGGCGTGGAACAGCAATGGGCAAGTCCTATGCCCCTGGGGCGGTAGACTTAAGCTTGCCGTATGTTCGGGCACTTCCCGAGATCGGACCCAAGCCCTGGAGGTTACATATACATACCTCTAATTGTCGTGCTTGGTGGCAGCCAACAGATACCCACGTACGTAGTTATTCAGGTACAAGAACCAATCAATAGCTAATGTGACATATATATTGGGATCAGGTATTCTATGGCATACAGGCACCATGAGTTGCCGGCGAGAACGCGATTATAACAAATGCATCAATGTACTCAGCGGTCTCGCATCCCGCACCGGCTCTATATTCTAGTGCTCTAAAACTTGAAAACCTGCTCCTTGCTGTAGCCCAGCTCCTGCAGGACACCGGACAGCTCGCCCTGATCCTTGGGGCTGACCTTGCCGCCAGAGATGGCCTTGTACAGACCGGGCGGGCCACAAACGAAGAGCTTGATGTTCTCCTCCTTGGGCTCGGGCAGAACGGTCTTCAGCAGCTCCTTGTTGATGAAGCCCTTGCCGCCGGTCCACTCCTTGGGAGGGTTGTCCAGGACGTAGAAGGCGCGGAAGCGCTGGGGGTAGGTGTTCTCCAGATCCTGGAGCTCCTTCTTCAGCAGGATGTCGTCCTCGCTCACGTTACCGAACACCAGAGTCACCTTGGTGCGGTCGTCGGGGTTCTTGAAGATCTGGCGAGCCAGCTGGTACATCGGGGTGATACCAGTACCACCGGCAATCAGGGCAATGTGGTCGTGCTTGTTAGCCTCCCAGGGGTACTTGGGAAGAGGGCCCTTGAAGGACAGACGCTGGTCGACGTTCAGGGAGTGGATGTGCTGGGACATGGGGCCGTTGGGGTAGGCCTTGACCACGAGCTCGAGGTAGCCAGGAGTATCTAGTGTTTTCCCAATTAGCGTTGAACAGGACGCAAAGTGTGTTTTGATACTAACCCTCATCGCTGGTGGGAGTGTAGGGACGGAGGACGTTCTTCTCAGCACCCTCGGGCTTGAAACGGGTCAACAGAGCAGCTGTAATGAGATGTCAGTAGAGGGACCTAAAGCAATTTCTAGAGGTAAGCTGACAGGCAACTTGGAGACCAGAGACAGCCTCCTTGTCCTCAAACTCGAAGCGCAGCTTCTTGGTATTGTGGCTCAGGTTCTCAATGCTTGCAACCTTAAGGTCCACCCAGTCCTCGCCGTTGAAGACCTTGGGACGGTCCTTGGGCTCGATAGGACCGCTGCCGTAGTAACGGTACAGACCAGCACCGACACCGGCAAGACCAACACCGACGTAGATGGGGGTCAAGTTGGACTTCTTGGGAGGGGGAGGAGGGGGAGCAGCACCCCCAGCGGCCTTGGGCGCCTCCGTAGAGTACTTGCGGAAGCTCTATTACAAATTGCGCGTCAGTCCCCCGCAAATATTTCAGGCTTGGAGTTTGAACTTACCTGCTTCAGAGGCTGCGCATAGCGGAGAGTCTGACGAGCGAACATGATTGCAATTTAATGAATCGATGAGAGATAGAGTGGGAAGATGGGGGTGTTGGGGGAGGAGAGGGAAGAAATCGGATGCGAAAGCGGACAAGGGCGCTCGGCACGTCCCAATTTCGCATGACGCAATAGGTGTTCCTGGCAACGCACCTCTCGGATATACACTTCATTCGGTTATTGCCTTGACCAATTATAAAGGCCCCTATTTATTTCTAAGACTTGTTTGCTTATATCATGCCCCGTGGTTTCTCGGCTTACTATGGTGGCCTCCAGACAAGCTTCCCGGACTCGGGCTCGGACATTCCCAGATGATCAAACCCCGAGAGAATGACATTTTGATGTCAGGAGGGAGGTCGCTTGTAATTGATATTCCTCGTAAATAGGGCATGTCTTGCCAAGTAGATAACATCCATCGAGTAAGTAATTTACAGTGAAAACACTGCCAAGCGATAGACATTGGCCGGGGGAGACAACAACCTGTCATTGGCATGTCGTCGTCCCAAGTGCACTGCAGGCAAAGGTACATAGAATACTGATGTGCTACGTGGAACAATGTGAACCCGATAATTTTTTGCATTTAAACCTCAGATGCCCCTACACGGGATTAGAGACATCTAAACCATCTCCCATAACTGGGTACAAACAGGCCGAATCCTTGCGGCCAGTCTTTTCATGCATGCTATGGCCGTAACACAGTTATTCATCCACACACTCCATTCCCAGAACCCCAAAACAGCACATTTAAGCAAAGGTGGAGGGACGAGAGTAGGCGAACAGCTTCTTGCCAGGGTTGGCAGCGCGGTGGGGCAGAGGGAACTTGAGGTCCTTCTGGAGGAGCTGCTTGATGTAGGGGCGGCGGATGCTGTCGGCATCGGTAACCTCAACAACCTTCAGGATCTGTATAGATCAGTTAGAATATGTCTGAAGCGTAACGGTGAACGGGTCACATACGTGGACGGAACCGAAGCGGGCACGGTGGCGGGCAGCCATGTCCTGGTACAGAGCCTCGACGGCCTCGGTGCGGCTCATCTCACGGAACTCCTTGTACATGTTGTGGGTACCGGAGCGCGAGTCGTAGCGGATCCAGATACCGAAGTTCTTGACCTTCAGGGGACGCTTCTCGTTGATCTGGAGCGAAATCAGCAGTCGTTTCAAGGCCCTCGAATACATTCCACACATACCACGTTCAGGCTGACGATCTCGCCGTTGGCCTTCTTCAGCTTGCGAAGCTGAGCCAGGAAGTACCAGAACCGCGACTTGGCGACGACGGTGTTGGGCGCAAAGATACGCATACGGTACAGCTTGGGCGTGGGGTTCGCCTCGGAGGGCAGGTGACGCCCGATAACCTGGTACTCAGTAAGACGCCCTGTGATGAATCCGTCAGTCATTGCTCGGTTCGGTTGTCAAAATTGATCCGGCTCTGCTCAATTGACGGGAAACGGTGTGCGATTGCGGTTGGTGAACGTCCTGGCAGGCGAAAGGGGTGAAAGGCTTGAGATGAAAAATTCAAGGACTTGACATTATCGACCGACAGTGTTGTGCGAAACCGTCCTTCCACCTGCATTCAACTCTAGGAATTCGTCTCTCCTCCGCGTCCTTGAATCTTCGTGCCAGTGCCGTATGTTGTCGTGAAGTTATCGTTCGCATAAGATTTCGTTCAACCGTTCGCACACACCGTGACCGTATCGAGAAGAGCGCTGGATATCGAAAAAAAAGTGACACGTACCCATCTGAACACAAGTTAGTTAGCAATGGATTCGCAAGCGATGGTATAGAGGGGTCACGTACTATGATTGTCGCTGTGGTGGTTGAGTCGTTAGTGTGCCGTCGGGAGAGAAATCAAAGATTGTGTTGCAATGTGCTTAGGGCTGCCGCCCTTCGGTTAAGCGAGTGGGGCTATCTTATGTAAAGCGGACAGACACCTGAGGCAAAAGGAACGGGAAAATTCACCGCCACAGTTCTGCCCTTCACAATCACACCGCCTTGCCCCACTGCTGTTGCTTGCTCCAAAGTGTACCTGCTACTCATGGCTAGTTACGACTTTCGTGTACCCACATCAAGTACCTTCGTGAACGACGACTTTTAAACTATCTGTACTTCGGTTGATAACTCACCCCGCGGGGGCATCCTATAATGAGCACTCTTGCGGCCGAGTTCAAGAGCGCCTACGGTGCTGGCTCCGGCGACGGCCTTGCAGCAGTATTCACACCAATCGCAACCCAAAACAAACCTTACCGATTACAATCGTTCTACGACTTTACAAATGCTGCATCCCTGCAGAAAGACCTGTCATTCGCCCTCTTCCACGGCAAGAGCCTGAAAGTACCCAGAGCCGAACAAACTGCATGGGTGGATATCTTCGCCGCGTACTGGGAAGCAGTTGGGGAGGTGCTGAAGTGCGAGCAAGGTCGGCGTGATGCGAGCCTTGTCGCAGTATTCATTGCATGGAAGAAGGTTGCCAATGCACTCATTCGGGGCTATTCGTCATCGTCAGGTATCCCCGCCTGGACTCTGCCTTGCCTGTACACGGTAGGCAAGTACTTGCGCACTTTTGCGATCAAAGCCGACATCGAAGCAGCCGCTCAGGGAACGTCAGGCTTTGGATTCCAGGATGATGTAGCTGCCGATATTGAGAAGAATGCCAACTTGGAGGAGGCTGCCCGCATCATCAATCGAATGTTCACATTGTGTCTCAGTGATCGGTGAGTGACTCGTTCATCCGTGGATGGAACCCCGCTAACAATGCCAGTGCTCCAATTGAGGAATCACGCAAGTGGGGGATCTACAACACAACGAATCTTATCTTCAAAACTTACTTCAAGGTACTGACCACAATCTTGATCCCACTAGTACCTACTAAGTCATGTAGATCAACTCGGTCGGCCTCACCAAAAACCTTCTTCGCGCGATTAAAGCCCAATCAGCCGATCTGCCTCCGTTGGAAGCATTCCCAAAATCCCACATCGTCACGTTCGAATACTATGTTGGAGTCATCCACTTTTTGGATGAGAATTATGCCGAGGTTCGTAATGCGTCCTCTTTGAAGGTTACCAATCTAACTCGAATAATAAGGCCGAGCAACATTTGGCAACTGCCTGGAACATGTGCTACCGAGGAGCGTCCAGAAACAAAGAGTCAGTATATCTGTCCGACTTTTTGCGAAATCAGACTGACTGATACAGGCTGATTCTGACATACTTAATTCCCTGCCATTTGGTTACGACACATACCCTCCCCAGTGACCAACTCCTCGCTTCATTCCCTCGATTGGAGAAGCTCTTCCGCCCTCTGTCCAACTGCATCCGAAAAGGCGACCTCGTTGGATTCGACAAAGCCATGTCTGCCGGTGAAGAAGAGTTTGTCAAGAGACGCATCTACTTGCCGCTAGAGCGCGGCCGCGACATCGCCTTGCGTAACCTGTTCCGCAAAGTGTTTATTGCAGGAGGCGTCGAAGAGCCTAAAGAGGGTCAACCTCCCGTCCGGCGAACCCGTATCCCCGTGGTAGAATTTGCAGCTGCTCTAAGAATTGGCACCCATGCTACAAACCGGACACGAGTTGATATTGACGAAGTGGAGTGCCTCATATCCAACCTCATCTATAAGGTCAGTCCCCGGGTACAACTGATTCATGCCGATCCTTTACTGATGGATACAATCAACAGGGTCTTATGAAAGGTTATATTGCACGCGAACGAGGCATGGTCGTTTTGAGCAAGAACAACACCGCTTTCCCAGGCACTGGCGTCTAAAATTTCCCAGAGCATCTAGTGTTTGCATACCTCGAAAGCATAGGCTTGCCTCTGATGACGAGCATATATACAATTTGATACCCCATTCAAAGTCCCCGAATACGTACACTCAGAGTCCACCTAGCATACCCGAGGGTCCATAATCGCATAGCCAAATGGTCTGCACGGCCCATCGAGGCTCAGATGAACTGTACAGGGCCAACAGAGTTTCAATGAATAGAATAAAAAGTAAGAAATCACCATTCTGTTTACGTAGTCTTTCATCGAGTTCTTGTTGATTCGAAAGTCGAGTAAGGTCCATTGTACAGGAATCCCAAAGATTGAACCTAGTAATACAAGGGTATAGAAACCAAGCACAAACCAGAACACAGGAACCCGCCCCCTAACGCGCCGCCTGAGCCGCAGAACTACAAACCGACATACCCGTGGGAAAGACGTCATCCTATCAACGCGTTAGCTCCCAACCCAAATTCCAACCCATCTACCCAGGTCAGACAGGTACACATACCATATGGTTACACATAGCAACAAACAAATCAAAAAACAGCTTCCCACCCTTTTCCATCTCCATCTGCATCGTTCCACTCCGCTTAAACGTACCTCGGCATCGAATAATTAGCGCCAGGTAATGCGCGCGCAGCTTCGAGTCCGTATCCGGCGTATTCGCGTATGCGAACCGCGCGCTCGACAGGATCGTGTCGCATTGAATACCAGTGTGGAGGCCTTGTTTGCGGAGTGCGAGGCGTTGCAGGCTGGGGAGATTGTATTTCTCTGCGGCACAACTAGAATGGGTTAGCGAGACTTAAACCTAATGATACGGGCTTGGGGCTGATGTACTAGATGGCTGTATCGCGGAGAATCACTGCTCGCGCGGCATGGTGGTATACAGTTGCGCCGACGCTCTGGCCTTCTGCGTCCATTGCGCCGTCTTCAAGTTCCCATGTTTGGCGCTGTGGGTTGTGTTGGAGTCGTGGGTAGTAGTCGCCTTTGTAGAGGTACTCTAGTACACAGGACAGCACTTCTGGTTGTTCTTCTGAAAGCTCGATGTGTTTGCCCGGATGTTGGTTGAGGCGAGTTCTTATGGGCGCGCTGGGTGTTTGCTCCTGGCACTTGTCTGCGAAGAACGGTGATGCGCTGAGGACGGCTTCGTGTGCAGCGAACACGCGCTTTTCTGGGCCGACACGGAGGGTGACAACGGGGGAGGTGGAAGGTGATGGAGTGCTTTTTCATCGTTAGCTATGGACCTTGGAGCTCATGTTCAAATTTAGCTACGTACGATGCATCAGGGGGATTCACAGGCTTTCGGCGACGCTCCAATCGCCGAGAGGAGCTGGAGCTGGAGCTGGATCTGTCTCGAAGCCTGCGAGGTCTGGCCACTGCTTTTGTGGCGCGATACCTGGTAAAGTTAACAGAGGGAGTTTGAGGAGGTCTTTTGGACAGCATTGTGATTTCTATCTGGTGCGAAAAGGAGGGTAATGTACAAGTCGAGTGGAGGATGAGATTCAGGGGCTGGCGCTGCTATTTATAAGGGGGGTATGATCTGGGTGACATGGCAATGTTCCAGGTGGTAAAGTCATGACTGTAACCGGACAGTGACAGGCCTCTAATCTTGCCTGAAAGGGCAACAGAAGGAGTCCGACGCGTCACAAAGCAGTTTGAAACGCGTAAAGTGGGCGCCGACCGTCGCCAAATGAGCGCGTGGTCACGGGACCGTGGGCCCAATAGAAAGAGCTGGTCAAGACGCTATTTCTACTTAAGTGGAGACCGGGAAATGAAGGGAAATGAAAGAAAAACAGCTGAGCATGTACATGTGCCTTAACTACATACAACCTTTCCCCGGGTGAAACGCCCATTCCCAACGCCAGTCCATGTGTGTCCCAGGGATCCGAAATCCCCAAATGTCGTGAACGAAAGAGAGAAAGCAAGAATAGAACAGGTCGTCACAGAAAAACCTTTCGGGCATCCTTAGGGTGGCTCTCGTTAGGGCAGTACGGACACTTGAATCGGTTGCCCTTGCTGAGCCGACGCAGCGATTCCTCGGCTATGACGTGCCCACATGGCATCATCATCGGAGGGTTCTCGTCGGTTGCCTGCTCCTTGGAAACGGGGCAGACGAAGATCGAATGGAAGAGGTAGGAGGGCGGCAGCGAGATCTCGACCTGAGAGTGGGTTAGCATTGTAAGTTGTGTATTCTGTTGAGGTTAAACTTACCGGAAGCTCGTTCTCACTGGTCCACTCCGTGCGCTTGGCCTTCATGATCGTCTGCAACTTCAGCAGAGTAGGCAGAGCAATAGCACCGGCGGTCGCGGCAATGTAGAGAGGCGAGTCTGCAGACAGGCCCAGAAGTGAGCAAAACTCGCGGGTGAAAAAATGGGCAACATCGTCCCAGGCCGATGGGTTGTTAAAGATGCTCGCATAAGGCGAATCTCGCAAGTTAGGACAGAAGGCCATGGCGCCCATCAATTGTTGGACTTCTCGCAGATAGCGCGGAGCAAATCCCTGGAATTCTGTACGTGCATACTGCATCGCAGCTTTGACGTCACCCGGGGTATTGCCGTGCTCGTGCTCCTCGCCGTGGTAGAGCCAGACAAACTGCAAGCGGCATAGTTCAAACTCCAGGTTGCTGCCTCGTGCCTCCAGGGCTTCGCGATTCTCGCGCGACCATTCAATAGCGGGAAGCAGGTTCTTTTCTTCCTTCAGCTGGTGCAGGATGTAATACATCTGGCCGAACTGCTTGCGGATTTCGTCGGAGGGGACTTCGTCGATATCAAAGACGATCGCCGCCTGGTCTGTCGAGCGGGAGGTTGACTCGGAGGTTTGAACCATGGCTTTCTTGTCGAGAATCTCAGACAGGAAGGTGGCTGCGACGGAGAACTGTCCCTCACGGAGAAGGTGCATCGCGATTGCGCGGTCGATGAGGTGTTCTTGTTCGGAGAGCACATCATGTTCTGTGCTGGGAAGGGGTCGGTCTTTGAAGAGCTGATGGAGGCAATTTGTGAGCTGGGTAAGCCGAAACAGTAACTAGGAAAGTCAAATACCTTATCAAGAGACTTAGTGTACTTGTTGAACCTGCTATGGGTTTCTTTCAGGCTGTCGTTGATCAAGTCAAATGATGATTTGACAGGGTTCTGGAGTTTAGCAAGAGTGACGGCAGCCTGGTTCGGGTCTAAGCCATAAGAGAAGAGTCAGTGAGTGATACTTTGAGCCATTCACTAGGCGCGCTACGGACAATTCCGTAAAAGGGCTTTACTGACCTTGAGCAATGGCATCCCGAGCGTGCTGTAGTAGATCTATTGTAGACTGGACATTCTTAATGCCCTGAGAGGCCTTGAGCCTCTTCTGGAGCCTGTCATGCTCCTTCTGGACTAAATCCATGGTGGTTCAGGCAGCGGGGACTCAATGCGGAGTCGATGAGGTTACCGCCCGACCAGTCCGGGTGTCCATATGGAGGAGGATGGGGAAGGGGGCCGAATGTGGGCTCTCTAGTCAAAGTGCAGGAGCCCCAGCAAGACCAAATGGTACTGCATGGGTGTTGTGTAGGTTGCTGAGAGAGCTGTGTCGACTAAGACGTACAATGGCCGTGGTCACCCGGAGGTTGAGCTGTTCCGGCGGGTGATCCTACGCCATAGGCACGTGATCATGTAGATTACCCCTCTACGATGTGTAATATGTGCACAAAAGTGTGTAAACCAGGGGTGCAAGGACGACTACTCCGCATCACAGTAGCTGCACCAATACCACTTATTCCAAGGTTCAGCATTTCGCTGCATGGTCGAACACGGTCTGTAGCCATTGCGCGGAGAGCTCCAGAGTGTGCTAGTCTCGATTGGGACAGGAAATGAGACCTGACTCATCGGGGACATTTCACGTGACAAGAGCGGGTCTCGCTTACGCTAGCGTGGGTCCTTCGTATAAATATTCCCGTACCCGCTCCGCCTTTCCTCTTGTTTTTTCTTTTCTTCTTTATCCTAGTGCACGGGTTTTACACGTATCAGTGAGGAATTATCCGAGATCGTGTTTTTGCTAGTTGAAAACTACCAAACTGACCACTCCAGTTGGTCCTTCGGGATCGTCTGGGAATTTTTGAACAAACAAGTTGCCCTGCTCTCCTTGGCTTCGGTCATCGAGTCAGACTGATGCTCGCTGTGCCCCCAGGCCCGAGCATCGTCCTGGTCTTCTTTTCACTACTGTTGTCACCCAGGTTGGTGGCCTGTAGAGAAGAGCTCGGATCTATCTTTTCTCTACGTCCTCGCGTTATGTTAGATGCTGCGACTTCGCGTCATGTCTGTAGAACCTTTTGACAGTGAGACTCGGCAGGGTCTAGTGTTGATTCAAAAATTGAGTGCCTACCAAGGAGTGCATCACGTAGTCTCGTCCTCCCTGGTCAGACACCTGCGCTGACCCCCCTGCGCCTTGTAGCCGTGACTCTGCCCCTGGACTAGGTTTAACCAGTGGTGCCTGATGTAGATCTCCGAATTCCAACTCACCGCCCGCTTCCCTGTGACGTCGGCCATTCGGCAGGCTTCCGAGGGTTCAACAAGCTTGCATATGTTCGCATCTGGCCTGTAGAGACGTACTCACTGGTCTACCTGTGACTGGAATATGCCTCGACAGCCCTTTTCAGGGTATGCTCCTGTTGTCCCTACCTGACTCGCCGTACAGGAGGATCGAAGTTGGGTGGTTTGACTTGAAGCCGAGCGTGAGGTAGCGGGCTTGTGTGGCCCAAATGCTTTGCCGTGGATGAAACTGATTCATTGGGGCTACATTACTCCTGTTGTTAAAATACGCAGCTGTCATGCAGGCCAACACTCTGACTGCGCCTGCGCCCGATGAGCGCGACTCCACCATGTCCTCCGACAGCATCAGGGGAAACCCCGCCTCCCACACGAACGGCCCTGACCGCCAGATACCACATGGCCATCAGAGACTCGTCTTCACCGACCCGGTTGCCCTTCAATATCTCGAAGAAGATCCCTCCACCGACGTACTCCACCGCCGCTCGACCCTGCTGGGCTACGAGATCTACATCGTTGAACAATGGGCCTGTTCGCGCATTCATCCTACATTCATCATCTCGACCTACACGGGTGACCCGTCACATAAAGTGATCGTGGGTGTGCTTAGCGTTCCGACGGATGAGACAACATGGTCGCCTCGATTGCGAATGTACTTCGATGCCATGAAGCAATACCACGCCCGAAAGAAGGAGACTACGCTGGGCACGATTATGGTCACGGACCTGAACTCTTTCCCGTCTGCTCTGACAGTGATCCCGGTCCCAGAAGGCGACTTGAAAAAACACAGGGAGGACTTCATTGTAAATGAGAACCTGAAGCGGCTCGGCTGTGCTGGTCGCGCGGGCTTGAAACTACAACCGCCGACAGCAGCGACGGAAGCCAAGTTTCACCAGCTATATCGGACGAGCGAGAGAGTACCTTTCTATAACGCTGTCATTGAGCTGGTCAAGCAGTGCCAGATTGCCTTGATGGTATTCGACAAACTGGCTCCTGAGTTCGTGGATGGGCTGCTGTGTGATGTGACCGAGGCAGCCGTAAATGACTGGTGGACAGACATCGGCACCGATTTGTACAATATCGAACCGAGTGACGGTGCCTTGGGGCCCACAAGCGTGGCCGCTCTCCTGGGAACGCTTCTAGGCGCTCGAAATCGACTAAACACATATGGCGCGCCCGTCGGAAAGGATTCTTTTGACATCGATAATCTGAAGAGAGGGATTGGCGGGTTCCAAAAGTCCCAGAAGATGAACAAGTCACGAAGACTGGACCGGCGGACCCTGGAACGCTTACGCCGCGTTACGGCCAAGGCTGCGAATGCCGAGGGCTGGACCGACGCCGTCAAGTCAACCATGGCGGAGCTGAGTGGCCAAGGAGGGGAGATGGTCATGGGGATGGTGCGTGGACGCGAGAAGGGTGGCATTGCCGACGTCGAGACCCTCGATCTGGATAATTTTGTACAGTGCTGTTATGGATCGAGGGCAAAGTGGCTATGGCTTGGAAAACCGCGCAAGAGCGGCCCGCAAGCTGGTTTCAGAGGAACCGATGCAAATATGATGTTTACGACCAACGATCAAGGTGGCTATGTCTGGACGAGTCGGAAGAAACCATCGACAGAGGACTTGCATGCCGAGCGTGTTGCCACTGGCCTTGACAAACAATGGAAGGCTCCTGAATCATTGGTCGCAGAAGAGAGAGACCACCGCAAAAAAGGCGTCAGCGGAAGAGTCTCTGATGCTCGGGCTGGCCTTGGCCGTTTCAAGGACGCAGTCGGGCTGCCGGGCCTGCGTTCACATCACCATAAGCACTCTCGAGAAGGTTCGGAACTGACACACGATGCCGCCTACCATCCACATATCGACAGCGATACGGAGGTATCAGTTTCCAAAATAAAAACCAGCTCTAGCATTGAAGCGGATGGGAAGGCCGAAAAGCGTCCTGATGATGATCCGGATGATCAGCCCGCTGCCCCTACTGACGAGGGGGCTGATATCAAGGCCCCTGAAATTCACATCGATTCTGCCCCGGCAGAAATGGAGCCGAAACCACACCCAGAGGAGGCCGACCAGGTTGCGGAGCTGCAGCCCGTCCAAACAGTGGACGATGAGTCGTCGGACATAGAGCGCATGCGGTCTCGGTCAACCGCAGCTTCGAGTGAACCAGGTCAGGATCGAGATGAGCCGGTTTCGGGTCTAGCCTTGATGGCTCTCAGGCGACCACAAAGCTGCGAAGATCTCCGAAATCTGGAGAATGATAACGAGCGTCGAGATGATCGGTGTGCGCGTCACCTTTCCTTCAGTAATGTTGAAGAGGTGGTTCTCAACTGGAAACCACTGGGAGATCAACCGTTGGTGGAAGATACCACCAATCTTGAAGTGGCCCTTGGGCAAGAAGACATGCTTGCCTCTGACGCCCGCATTTTCAGCTCTCGGATCCTTGAATTAAGCGAGCGCACTGTTCCTTGGGTCGAGCGACAGGTGGATGCGGTCGACGGGCTTAATAAAAGGCTTTACGAGCGCCACGAGGAGCTCAATTCAGTCTATCTGGAACGCTTTGGTGATTACCAGAAACTACGCGAAAGATCCAGCGATCTTTTATCGGACGAGCAATCTCATCTTAGCGACGGCGTCAAACGCGTCGAGTTGCTGGGCGCCAAGCTGGATTACGAACTGCATGTCCTCGAATCAAAAGTGGAGGACATGGAAGAAGGGCTCACTGACTTTGAACGACACATCGTCAACGTGGAAACCAGAATCAAGGGTCTTCTGCAAGGCGAGGAAGAGCACAGCATTTCCTGGATGACATGGTTCCGACGATCGATTGGCTTCGCGGCGTAATGTGAACACGGTTGTACGATATGTCCTTTTTTATTTTCCCCTGTTCCTATTGTACATAAGATAGACGGCGTTCCTCGCTGCCCAGCTCGCGATGGTATTAAACATTGATCCATCACCAAACAAAACAAGAAAATTCGCAAGCGGTAACCCGAACAATCTGGAACGTGGCTAGCACGAACCGATCCGTTCAATTGGAGGAAGGCCGCCTGGTCAACCCGATCCAGCGCTTCATGTCGACGTTTACATGAAGCCCATACCGCCACCCTGCTTCTGGGCGGCATCACCCTGCATCTTCTCGCTGACCTTGATGTTGACGTCGAAGAACTTGGACACGCAGCGGTCGAGGCAGACGGACTCGCCCTTGTTGAGGTCACCTTCGCGGTAGTCGGTCGGGATGCACTTCTTGGCGCAGGACTCGTTCAAGCTGGGAGATCATGTTAGATTCTTGAGTGGCTAAAGTATAGGGATCCTAGTGATGGAAGCAATCGGACAAAGAATTCAGGAAGCGCTTACCGGTTGAACATGTCCGCGATCATGTCAACTTCGGTCTCGGCAGCAGCGAGCTTCTGCTCCGAGGACATCTTGGGCTGGCCGCCGAAAAGGAAAGACATTGTGAATGTGATGGAGTTTGTATCTATTACGATTAATATCAATCGCCAAGGGGACCGGGGAGGAAAAACGTACCAAAGGTGTTGATGGAAGTGCAGATGGACGATGACGGGACCGAAGTTGGCTGAGGTCGCCGAGCTTGGGCCTTCTCCGCCTACGCCGAGTTTTTCCACTTTCCCACTCGCTTTTTTCCCTTTTCCTTTTCATCCGCGCAATGTGAGTGTCTTTCACTCTCCATGCATTCAATTCGCCCCAGGGCTCTAGGCCTCGGCTTCAAAAGGTAAGCTATTGCTATTTCTTCTATCTTCATTGCTTGTCTCCCCCTTCTATGATGATTTCTCCCATCTGCTTCAGAACCGCTGCAGTTGATGCTCTCGGGCACATGAACGGACTTGGAATAATTTCTGATCTCTCCACACTTCTTCTTAATTGTGATTATGCAGTTATTGGGAGCAATTGCTAACCCGATGTTCAGTGCAGGACTACGTGTCACCCAAATACAGAGCCCCTTCACGGCCCGACTAATACAAGCAACGCGAGCTGCTAGCTCGGCCTCCCCAGGCAAGGCATTCCAGGAACGGGTGCAGGAAATCAAAAATGCCTGTGCAGAGCCCTATCCTCGCCTAGCCGTGGACCAGCGCACACTAAGTTGCGCTGAGTTCCGTGATCGGTACAATGGACTCGCCGACAATGAATCAGTAGAAGATACGGTGGTCGTCTCTGGTAGGTAGTCGCCCAGCCTGTCCAAAAGCTCTGTACTTAGATAGTATTAGGAAGAATTCGTACCTATAGACTTGCCGGAAGCAAATTGATCTTCTTCGATATCGTCCAAGATGGCCACAAGCTCCAGGTGATGTGCAACAAGCGCCAGCTGGAGGGCATCGAGCCTGCCCAGTTCAAGAAACTGTATCGTCTACTTCGCCGTGGTGATGTCTTTTGTATGTCTTGCTGTTCTCTGGCACGAGCCATTGCTGACCGATTCAGCTGTAACTGGTAAACCACACCGCACGGGTCGAGGCGAGCTCACCGTCGACGCAACAGAGCTACCGAAGCTGCTGGCACCCTGTCTGCACGATGTCCCTGTTTACGATGCCTCGCACGAAACCTCGCCGTACCCTCGCCATGTCCAGTTCCTGGCGGACCCGGTGACCAAGGATATTATTCGGGCGAGATCTGCCGTGGTCCAATATCTGCGCCAATTCTTTTTGGATCGGTCGTTCATGGAGGTCAGCACTCCTATCATCGGGTCTGTGGCCGGTGGTGCGATTGCACGCCCTTTCTACACTGCTGCCACCGAGTTTCCTGAGCGTCAGCTGTCTCTGCGAATTGCACCGGAGCTGTGGCTGAAGCGGCTGGTGGTGGGTGGATTCGACAAGATCTTTGAGATTGGACCATCTTTCCGAAATGAAGGTATGATGATATGCATCGCAGATGAAGAATCAAGCTCACGAGTTGTAGGGCTGGACAAAACGCACAACCCCGAATTCACCACCTGCGAGTTCTACCAGGCCTACGCTAACCTCGAGGACCTGATGACCACCACCGAGAACCTTCTGTCCGGAATGGCTGCACACATCGGAGAGTTTAACAAAGAAGGTACTCTCAATCCCACCTCTGTCAACTTCACCACTCCCTTCCGCCGTATCGACTTCATCACCGGCATCGAAGAACAAATTAACCGCAAACTGCCCGACCTCACATCCTCAGACGCCCTCTCCCAGATCCGCGACCTCTTCCATGAACTCTCCCTCCCACTCCCCGAGAACGCCACTCTCCCACGCCTCCTCGACGAACTATGCAGCGTCTACGTGGAACCCCAATGCATAGATCCCACCTTCATCACCAACCCACCCGAATGCCTCTCCCCACTCTCCAAATCCTTCGTCCACCCCATAACCAAACAAATCGTCGCCGCGCGCGGCGAGCTCTTCATCGAGGGTAAGGAAGTCGTCAACACCTACGAAGAAGAGAACTCGCCTTTCGAGCAGCGCCGCAAGTTCGAGGACCAGCTGCGCTTCTCCAAGGCTGCCGATGAGCCTAGCGAGATCGACGAAACCTACCTCGAGGCTTTGGAGTGGGGTCTTCCTGCTACCGGTGGCTGGGGATGCGGCATTGATCGTCTCGTCATGTTGTTTACGGGCGCGAAGCGCATTGGCGATGTTTTGCCGTTTGGTAATTTGAGGGCTGTTACGAGACGCCCTGGCGCGAGCGAGTAACTTGCATTTAGTCTTAGTGTACGATAGTAATAGCATGAGCCTAATAACGGTGCCTACTCTTGCATCTTCAATCAATCTTATTTATGTAATTCCAAGTACCGTTGACCGTCGGTACCCGTCGGCTTATCGGCGCGGTCCGATTTAAGGTGAAGCGGGGAAGAAAACATCTTCATCTTCAACCACCATGACTGTTCCCAAGATATCCGTGGGCCAGGCGGTCACTGTGAGTTTAAAAGAACTTGAGAATGGTACGAAAAAGTCTCGAATCTCTATAGTACCGCTCTAATTCATAAAAGGGACCGTCTCCTTCGACACACTGACCGAAGCCTTTGGTCCCTCTTCGCTGGGCATCATCGTCGTGAAAGACCTTCCAGAGAACTTTGTCCAGCTGCGTAAACAAGTCCTCTCCAATGCATCCTACCTCGCTGCCCTCCCCGAGTCCGAACTCGGTGCGTTAACCCCCATATCTCCCCAGTCAGCACTAAGACTAATCCACAATAGAATCCCTCGAGAGCCCAGAGTCCAAGTACCTAGTAGGCTGGTCCTGCGGCAAAGAAACCCTCAAATCAGGAACCTTCGACACCCTCAAGGGCTCCTACTACGTCAACTGTGCCTTCTATCAGGACCCCTCTCTGCAAAGCGCTCCAGCTGAGGGTTTCCCCGATCTACCCCAGTACACGGCGCCCAATATCTGGCCGTCCCCCTCACGCCTGCCGACATTCAGAAGCAGCATTGAGAGTCTATGCGGACTGATCATTGACACGGCGGGACTCGTCGCACAGGCTTGCGATCGTTACGCAGAAGCTAATATTGACGACTATAAACCCGGGTATTTGCAACGCGTCGTAAAGACCAGTCTCACGACCAAAGCACGGCTACTGCATTACTTCCCTTCGACCTCGGAGAACCAAGAGGATCAAGATGACGACGACTGGTGCGCAACGCACGTCGACCATGGCTGTCTTACCGGCCTCACTTCGGCAATGTTCCTCGACGAAGCTGCCTCCCCACCAATTCCCGACCCGTCCTCGCCTGACTTCGTTCTCACCGAACTTCCACAGTCTCCGGACCCAGGGGCGGGATTGTACATTAGCTCGCGCACGGGTGAGATCGTCAAGGTGAATATTCCTAAGGATTGTCTCGCTTTTCAGACTGGTGAGGCGTTGCAGCTTATTACCCGGGGCAAGTTCAGGGCCGTGCCGCATTTTGTCAAGGGGGCTAAGTGTCCGGCTGGGACGAAGATTGCCAGGAATACGTTGGCTGTGTTTACTCAGCCGAATCTTAGTGAAGAGGTTGAGGATGGGTTGACTTTTGCTGAGTTTGCGAGGGGGGTTGTGTCGAAGAATTATTAGGTATTAAAGTAAGGATAGGTTACAGTGATTACTACTGGTGTTTCAACGTAAATGTGTGGAAGGATATCGTAAATGTGTGAAATGATGGTAGCAATATCGAGATATTATACATGTGGAATCGTTATTCGTTAAGATGGCTTTGGCCACTGCACCAGCAGACTGCTTTTCGACCAGGTCGCGCCACCAGCGTCTGACTTCGAGGCTCATGTGCCTATTCGTCCGAGTCGTCGATCTCTTCCTCCGCTTTCTCACGGAATGGAATAGACGCAGTCAACTGTTCCCCGGAAAGTTCCATCTCCGAGACATTCCCACTTAGCCCCTCGGCATACTCCTCCGTCTCCTCATCAAGGCTCTCAGCCTTCTGGCCAAGTCCCGTGCTAACGAGTTTACCCGCTGCGAAATGCTTCTTCGGTGGACGACCAGGGCCTCGACTTTCATCTTCTCGGGGATCCTTGAACGCAAGCCTCAAATCGCCACCACGGGCACAGTCGTTCAGGATACGCAGAACTGCCTGCCACCTCGGCATGTTCTCACGTTGCTCGGCAGCAGGACCAACCTCCACGCCGTTCATCGTAGCCAATCCCAGCGTCTCGGCGCGGTAGTCGCCCCAGAACCAGTTTACTCCCTCTGGGATGCGCGTGTCTGCATGGGCTGAGAATCTTCGGCCGCTTAGCATACTATGCAGATCGTAGCCGAGATCTTTGAACGTGCCGAAATGAAGGTACGCCGCTTCGGGCTCGTAGCATCGACCCAGAAGCATGTTCTTCGTTACAGCGCAGAGCCGCCCGCCTGCCATGCGGTACCACGGACCGTAGCCTTGCATGCCGACGCACTGGAACGTCATGTCGACTTCACTGTCGGTCAACCGCTGCAGCTTATCCCGATCGAAGCCCATCGGACGGTCGAGTCGCTTTGGGTCCACTGTATACACTTTGCCTGCAACGTAGGGCTGATAGGATCTTGCATACTGGGGATCCTTGGGGTCGTCGATACAGCCTTCCAGTGAGAGCCAGATTTGTTCGATGACCATTACGTCTGTGACTTTTTCGTCTTTTGTCGTGTTGGTTATATCTTCCATTATGTCCGCGGTCAGCCCGAGCGGCTTCAGCCGCACAACGTCCTTGACGGCTAGTAGCTCGTGGCCGATCCAGATCCCCTTGCAGTAAAGATTGGCGTCGGGCCAAGTGCCCTTGAGCTTGGTGTAATGCAGCAAACTCCATGACGCCATTGTTGTCAAGGCGTATTCAATGGATGGGTGGAATTGTTCACGGGCCAGGGGCCACAGGAATTGCTCATAAGCACCGAACGGCTTGATGTTTTTCAGCGGAACGTATTTATACTGGTGTGAGTACACCTTCTCATCACTGAGTGGGTCAACCAGTGTCTCGACACGGAACCCAGAGTAGGTTATCAGATCGTTCTTCTTTTTGGTGAGCCGGAAGATGTCCATGAAGTTGCACTCTTCTTCCGGGACCTGGGTGACAATTCCGGCACGCCATTGAGGCCTTCCGATCCAGGAGCCATCTTCATGCTTGATTTGAAAACACTTGGCTTGGGCATTGTACTCCAGGGTGCCATCCAGGTCGGGAGTCCACAAGACAACCTCGCCTCGACGGGGAATGAAAGAGGCCTGGAGGGTCAGGCGGACGAAATAATCCGTGAGTTGCTCATGCGTCAGCGCCCAGTCCATATTGAGACGGTGATTTATTTCTTCGTCGACCGCACCCTTCTCCTTCATGTCCATGATGTGGATTCGCCAGTAGTCAGGGCCCTCTTCATCAGAAGGGTACTTGGGGTTGAGTTCGTGGATTGTCCGGACGGGTAGTCCCTTGGCCATCAACATTTCGGCCTTGGTGCGACCTGCATGCCTGTCAGAGAATGCATCGGGGTCTTTCGCGGCAAATATTCGGGACTTACGCTTTCGAGGCACCGCTGACCTTGCAGCTCTTGCGCAGTTTGCACATCCGCATGTGCCCTCGCGATTGGTCATCAGCCAGTAGAAATGTGGAAAGAAGGCGAGGCGTGACTGGAAGTAGAATCCGCTGGGGTGTCCAAAGAGAAACGAATCTCGCTGCGATGCTATATGAGTAAGGTAGCCTGGAGGCAAATATACACGAAACTCACCTCGCTGGGATTAGAACCACGAGGCCGATCAAAGAGACCATAGCCATCAGGAAGCTTTTCCAGGATATAAGTGACGCCTAGTATCAATGTTAACGTAATCCCCGTCACCGATGAGAAGACAAAGAAAAGGATGAAAGCAAAGAGGCCGTTTCAGTTTGGATCAAAGCCATACAAGTCAAGTGGGGCTGTATGGCTGACATGAAAGTGAATACAAATGCAGAGGTCGCAATCAACCGTGAAATAAGCGGCTGATAGAGAAGCTCTTTGCGGCTCACATATGTTTGGGATTCGATACACAGCATGCAAGCTGCAGGAAGCCAGACAACATAAATAGAGCAAAAGAGATCACTATGGCTTACCCTGCTCACTGGCACCGGTCCTCTCGACCCACATCTGGGCGAGATGCAGTCGCCATCTGGTGTCGTCGAGCTTGCGGTACTTGAACTGAGGATCGTCGAGTCTCCACGTGGCCTCATCCCCGTCACTCAAAGAGTCCGCCACGGGGATGACGACTAGATTCTCATCGTCACTGCTTGTCATCTTGTTGATATCGCGACTGAGTCTCGATTAAACGCGTCTAGTAGCGGGGCACTGGCGCCCCTGAAATGAGTATGACGCAGCCAGGTCGAAACCACGAAGCCAAATCGCAACAACACGTCTCAAATGATGATTTAGAAGTGATGAGAGCCAAGGTAAATATTGTGATGGAAGGACGGTGTTCATCCATTAGATGATCACGTGTGGTCGAGTTAACTGCTATTTCAGCAGGCGGTGAACCTAGTCGGCCTATAGTGTTTCTTAGGCGGTCAGTGAGATCCGGTAGAATTACGTTGTAGCATCTGGTCGAGCTTGCATTCGACAAATGGTTGGCAAATAAAACATAATCAACGCTCCTATACACAAGATGAAAAGAAGGGAAATCATAGCCACATCTAGGTTTCAGTTCAGTTCGCGGTTACTTCAACAGATGCCTCAGAAACCTCTTCTACTGACGCTTCCTCCGCTTCGTCTGCTTCCTCCTGATAAGGTGGGGGCGCAATCTCTCCCTCAGTAGCCCAAACCTTGCACAGTTCCTGCTCAATCTCCTCACGGCGCTGCTTCCATTCGTCGACCTTGTCGAGACGCTTGCGCAGCTCCTGCAGCTCCTTCTCAACTCCGAGCTTCTCCTTCTCAGTGCCGATTCTCTCAAACTCCCACTGTTCGCCCTCATCTCCCATCCCCAGAGTAAGGTTAAAGGTGTGGTATTTCTTCAAAGATGCACGAGTGGAGATGGTGATCAGAGTAATGCCACGCTCTTTAGCCCGCTCATACAGCAGACCTTCGACATCGGAAGAGACGGCCGAGGTACCTTCATCAATGAACGCGTACCGGGGCTCGTGGTAGAACAGCCGGGCCATTGCCATGCGCTGCTTCTCTCCGCCACTGAGAACATCCTTCCACTCTTTACGAGCATCCCATCCACCTTCACGCGATGGCAAGTAGCCCAGGTGCGCATCATCCAGGATCTTCTGCAAGCTAGCATCGGATTCTCCAGCTTCATGCATGTCAATCTCGGTATGAGGGTAGAGAACCTGATCCCGTAGAGTACCCACACTCAGATAGGGTCGCTGGGGAAGGAACATGATGCCGTCAAGGCCAAATCCTCGGGGCCGGCTGACAAGTCCGCGATAGACGGGCCACAGTCCGGCCACGATGCGGGGAATGGCAGACTTGCCGACACCATTGGGTCCGGAGATAAGAAGGTGGTCACCCGAGTGGACGATGAATGACAGCTGCTCGATGAGCTCGTCACCACCCATTGGGTAGATCGAAGGTGCCACGATAGGGACCTGCTCCAGGCGGACACCGTCAAATCCATTGTGGGTGGTGCCCTGGGCGTCGGCGAGAGAGTACAGCTCAGGGTGTGCGCCCGGTGGTGGATAGTAGGCGTTGGCATGAACGCGGTGAAGGGTGGAGATGAGAGTGTAGACGCGGGAAGTGTAGCCTGCAAGTTCCGAGATGTCCTTGATGCTGTACATCATGCGCCCACCTGCGTCGGCCAGCGAAAGCATGAGGCGCTTGTTGGTGATGAAGTCTTTCATACGGTCGCGCTCACGGCCCATTCCTTCCTCCGGTATGTCTGCCAGCTCCGAAGCACCTCCTGTGCCGCTCCAGGCGGGAAGGAAGATCGGCAAGGAGGTCACCAAGTAGCCAAAGGCGGACCACGAGTATTTCAAGATCATGTCTTCGAGCATGTTGTATCGGATCTTCAGGCTGTAGATACCTTCCATCCAACGCTGCAAGTCCTTGAAACTCCGGACCAGGAACAGTCGTTCGATATCGGCACCGCCATAGAACGAGATCTCCTCGGCATTGGCCAAAAGTCTAGAATGCAGGCCGCGGAAGTCACCTTCCTTCTTGCCCTCGACTGCCTTCAATTTTCCAAACGGCGGTGACAACTTCCGGAGCACCACAGCCGTACTGAAATAGCCAGTGAGGATTCCACTCAGAGCAAGAGGGCCAAGCGAGCGGTAAAGTTGATAGTTGAATACAAACAGATCCACCATAGGTTTGCCCATTGAAGAGTACAGCGATGCAGCTGCCGAGCAGAAAAGGGTGAGGTCTTGTGTAATGAACTGGTCTGGGCCTTGGCCAATACCACCGTCCGTGTTCATCAGCTTGTAGTAATTGTTATTATCGGTTAGATAGAGGTCATGAATGTATCTCGTCAGTCGGGTCCGGAAGGCGATTGAAACCTTTGACTGCAGGAATTTGATCATCGCGTTTGTGTAGGATGCGAGCGTGCCAATGCCACACCACTTGACGATGCCCCAGGAAAAAGCCTTTCCTTTACCGGCGACCAGATCTCTCACAATCTCACCGTCCAGCCGTGCAATCAGCAGCGAGAGATATGTCCTCAGCAGGAGAAAGACACCATGGCTCATAAGCAGGCCTGTTTCCTTGCTTCCCCATCGCGGAACCATGATACTACCCAAACTGAGGAACTGGTGCAAAAAGGCCAGATTCAAGCCGGGCTTTGTAGTCGGTGGGGGTATCTGGCTGGCCGCGCCCTCTTCCCTGCTTCGAGCGGAGACTGGCGGGTTCAGGAACAGTCGGCGATGGGCGTCAAAGGTGGTCGGCTTGGTCGGATGAATCAACACCTTCGAAGTGCGAGACCCCTTGTATGGTACATAGATGGTGCGAGACCCATCTTTCCCTCGGATGCCCGAGTTTCGACGCAGCAAACGGCGACCTTGCGCTCGGTCCTTTGCCCGCTCTCGGAGCCAGCTGTATCCTCCATATCCTGAGCCGACGATCGATAGAAGCAATAAAATCGTTGCAACGAGACGGGTGCTTTTCGAAGTTCGTTTAACCCGAGAGCGTATCAACTCTGAATAGTGCAGGTAAAGCGCAAGGAGAGGGTCCTCCGGGCGACGAAGTGTCGACTGGGCGGCCATGATGCCAGATCTAGGCTTCGTCTCACGAGTTGCCCAGGCGGCAGTTGGTTAACGATGGTTGTAGGCCATGAGCGGTACAAGGGACCGGCTTGTGGAGAGTAGTGAGTTGAAGGAAGAATGAAGAGCCCTGGGCAGCCAAGGGAGCGTTGCATCATTTCATGTGAACCTCGGGATTGCGGAGAAGGCACGTGCCCGGGGTAAGCTTACAAGGTATAGCCATCCGACTGATATAGTACCGCGACTATTTTTCCTTCTTATCCTCTACTATATGGACTTCTTGACGGCTACATGTTATTCTACTTACTAGAGTACTATTTGACCGGTCGCGATTAACCCCGAGGGAAGTGTTTAACGGAGTATCCGTTGGAAGCACGCCTGCAACAAATCTGGCAGCTATTGGATGCTTCAGCTGCGCAGAGTTTCGTTTCACTATTTATTGACAATTCGGTGTTTCAGTTGCCATTTGGTCTGAAATCGTCGATAATACTCCGTACGGTCTTGGAAATTCAGGTACATCGAGTAGCTGTCATGGTACCCCAGCGGAATATGTTTCTATCTATCTGCCGCAACGATCAGAACACCCAGCCACAAAACATGTGCTATCCATGTCCGTGAAAAATGCTCCGGAAAGGGTAAAAGGGGTATGAAAATTCAGCACCTGGGAATCTGTAGGTATATAGGAGCTGTCTGTGTACCCCAACCCAGGAGGCCCAGGAAAGCCTGCAATGTCTAGATCCGGGGAAATTTGACCAGGCAAAAGTGTGCTAAGTGTTGTCATATACTCCGCATAGACGTGCAATCATAGATTTAAGCTTTTCCCATGCATGCGAATTAGTCCAGAGTTTACTATTCGATATAGAACCGTGATCGGTCTTCGGTCGGAAATCCCGAGATCGCTATGATTGTTTACTTGAGATATCTCAAAAAGTAGTCCTACAAGGGCTTGTTCCCGAGAAACCCGAAAGGCAAGAGAAGGAGGCACCGAAAGGGTTCGCAAATTAAGCTGAGAGGTCCAGCCTGTCGCGAACAGCAAACAGGATATGGAAAGAGGGTGGCCCTAGCAAGATGTCGAGGACCAAGCGCATGCAGAACCAGACCCACTTCAGCTAACACCTCATTTCCACAGGGGAACATGGCAGATCACTGCAGAGTTACGGAAGAGCGGGAGTCCTAAGTACCTACGGCTCATGTGCTTGGTGGCTGACAGCACTGTACTGATTCCCCAGGACTATTCATCCCCCGAGTCATCGGGTCAAATCAACCCCCGAAGCTTCCCCGACTCATTGCTGACGATTGGCTCCCATTTGCATCTACTCCAATCACACCCTACACTAAGATTGGTCGGGCTCGCGTTCATTTTAATCCGCCAATGGTGGTACCAGCAGGGCCCAGGGCATACTGTAGTTCCCGTCCACGATGCAAAAAAGGGGCACACCTGCTGGATCGTCCGGTGGGGGGACGCTGATACCCTGATCCGATCTTGCGGTGATCACGAATGTGTTTTTTTACACGGTATTTGGTCCAGGCCCTGCGCTAGTCAAACCCTCGAAGTCCGTGACCCTCATACTACAGGACTTGCCTTGAGGTGGCCATGGCCCCGAGAATGGGAACAAAAATAAAACAAAGGGCCAGGAATTGATGGCAACACGTAGCACAAACCAGCACAACTCCGATGACGGAACCCAATGCAGTGAAAATGCGAGAATGCACGGTGAAAGCGTAGCCGCTGAGGGCGTGCGGTAGCGCGTGAAAGCAGGAAATCACAGCACGAGGAAAAGGCGTGAAATGGGCCCGGTCACATTAGCACCACGTGACATCCCCGACTCCTCTCTCGCCTCAGCTAAACATTCTCCCCTCCCCAAAAGCATCATTCGTGTCGCTTTCTGCTTCTCTGCTTGGGCTGGATCCGACTGCCTTGGTGTGTGGTGATTCTTGTTGGTACCTTTGGGGCCAAAGGTGGTATGTGCGACCTTTATCCAGGGCGCTTGCCGACCCAGGAGACGTATGTTGACATCGTTATTAGCCGCGCTCTCTGCTTTTGGAGGTTCCTTTGCCTTCTGAACGCTTCGCACCCCCTGCTCTTTGTCGTTGCATGTGCATATAGTTGCCTGTGAGCTGCCGCCAACGCCAATACCCTTGATGAGTGGAGAGACCACGGGGCGAGACCTCTCACCCTCGTCTGTTCCCGAGTCCGCGGGCAAAGCACCCATGCCTTCTCCAGAACCCGCCGATTCAACCGGTAAGTCTCTGCGCATGCTCATAGTTGCGTTCGGCTTCCAAAAATGTTCGGTCGCTAACTCTCCTGGTTCGGTAAATCCAGGCCCTGAGTCGCCTCCCGACCTGCCCACCACTGATGGGGCTGAGACTCAAGAAGCAAACGCCGGCGCATCTTCCCAGCAGGCTTCCTCGTCCGCTGCACCGGATTCGAAATCCCCAGAGGCCACTGGGGGCTCCGGTACACTTAAGAAACGCCATCTTTCGATCCCAATCCCGTCGCGAATGTCCTCGAAGGCGGATAAACAATCGACCATAGAGAAGACCGAAGAACCGACGCAGGGGACATCCTCTCGGAGAGGATCCAAAGTGAGCATGTTGAGAGGTAGAAAGGAGCGGAGTCGTGCGAGTAGTCAGCGGTCGCAGCGGACGCAGGATGTGGCAAATGTCGAGAAGGCACAGGACACGAACACGCCGAGCACAACTGAGATGAACGGGTCCTCAAAGCCTCAGCAGAAGAAGAGCTCCAAGCTTCTTTCTTTCCTCAGTTGCTGTTCTTCGTCGGATGTCGATACGGACGACTCGGCCCTGCCCCCTAAAAGGACCACCATGCGACCCCCCGCCTCAAACCGACTACCAACTTCCGATAAAGCAGAAGCCCATGCTGGTGACTCTAGCACGGCGGAATCCAGGGACCCGACTTACTTGGACGAGAAAGCGAACATGCCAGTGACCGCGGATCAGCCTCACCCTCAGGAAGAGGAGCGTACCGCTGCCGCCGAGGCGCAAGGCGAGGGGACTTCCGCAGCAGTTGGTTCCTCTGACGCCCCACCGACGAGCTCGAAAGAACGCGAAGGAGCAGGTGTGATTGCGAATGGTGTAATACCTGAATCGACGACGGAGGAGACCCACCGAACCGATGAGAAAGCCGCGGCGACAGAAGAATCCGCAGCAACTGAGCCGACTTCGGAGAAGGCCAAGGCTGTGGAGAGTCAAGAGACCTCACACCAAGAGGATGTCGTGCAAGCTCCGGCCGTGTTGCCTCCTCCCCCGCCGCCGCCTGCTCTTGAGATCCCCAGCGATGCGGGAGAACAGCAATGGCTGCTTCCGCCGCCTTTGCCTCACATGCAGGACCGGAAATGCTTGGTCCTGGATCTCGACGAAACACTCGTACACAGTAGCTTCAAGGTAAGTAGAGCTCGGTTCAAAAGTCCGAACGTGTCGACTCACTTTTGTCTCAGGTCCTTGAGCGTGCCGATTTCACCATCCCAGTGGAGATTGAAGGACAGTATCATAACATCTATGTCATCAAGCGGCCTGGTGTGGATCAGTTCATGAAGAGAGTTGGCGAGCTGTATGAGGTTGTGGTGTTTACCGCATCAGTTTCCAAGGTGGGACGCCCTGTTTTGATGAGCGCCAACATAACAATCGCTGACTCGTCGATTTGCAGTACGGTGACCCTTTGCTCGACCAACTGGATATTCATAACGTTGTCCATCACCGCTTATTCCGAGAGAGCTGTTACAACCACCAGGGGAACTACGTCAAGGTTGGTTTATTCCGTCACTCCCAACCCTACTCACCTCTAACCTTTATGTAGGACCTTTCGCAAGTTGGCCGTGACCTTCGGGAAACCATCATCATTGACAACTCCCCGACCTCCTACATCTTCCACCCTCAACACGCGATACCTATCAGCAGCTGGTTCTCTGACGCACACGACAACGAACTCTTGGACCTCATTCCTGTTCTCGAGGATCTTGCTGGGGCGCAAGTCCAAGATGTCAGCATGGTCCTAGACATCACATTGTGAATGTCTCCTCCGGATCTTCCTTACGCCTGAGATTCCCCCAGATTCCCCTTTGAGCGAGTCCTTTCTTTTGTGTTTTTGGTGCGAGAAAAAGCTTCTTCCTTTCCAGCATTTCCCCTACAGTGGGTATCCGCCTTCCTTTTTTTTCATTCTCCCATCCTTCGCCTTTTCTGACGCTCCCTTGGCCCAGAACGGAACTGGTTCCCCTCCGGGTCATGGCCCATATGTTGCATCTGTTGTCTTCTTCTTATGGGATAGTCCACATCCAGTTTGGCATCTTTTCTTCTCTGTTTCTTCGAGCCACCGGCATTTGTGATCTTACTTATCTGACTACGCTCCGAGCGAGCCTTGCCCTCACCATTTCCTATCACTGATTCCCTGCCGCGCCCTGGTTTCTCCTTGTTGTCATTGCCCCAGTCCGCATTCTCCGATGCATTACGCAGGCGTCTGTTGGTTATCATGTTCCCGCTGTATCCCTCCCCTTGTCTTTTGTCCCCCTGTTCTTTGTCTTGCTACCTTGCCAAGTCCGATCTCAGTTGGCCAGCGAGAAGATCGTGCGTTATTATTCGCACCGAGACTCCGTTCCATTGGAAGCGTACCTGCGTGCAGCGTTCTTAATACCGCTCTCTCGATGCTGCCGCGGGACGAACCTGAACCATATCGCTGGATTGACTCCCACCTGCAATATGTACATGACTTTTGATCGGCTACGGCACTTCTATGCTGTATATAGTCTTTGAGAAGAAATCTCATCAAGAATACACAGTAGCTTGGCGCGTGACTTTGATTCCTAGAATTCGTTTCGCAGATGGCCGTACTTTGGTTGAGATGGAGGCGGACGGAAACCGCATTGAGCTTTCTAGTCCACATTGGGATGATGTAGCCAGACTTCACGTTTCTACCCCTCTACCAGATGATATCACTTGAAGTTTTAAGTCACCGAATCAATCGAAACCGAGCAGCTTGCGACTTTACTGAATATTCAGGCATCGCGGATCCTCGGTCACCAAAGCTCCCCGCAGTAACATTCCACCGCCCGCCACTTTTAAACCAGCACCACCTCACGCCGCGCCATCATGAAGAACAAGGAAGGCTGGGACGGCAAGCTACGGGTAGAGCCTAAGGCTGTCATCACGAACCCCGAGGCCCTAGAGGACTCGGACTACTCCGACCCAGATGCGCCGCCCGTGGAAGAGATCGACGCGGACGAGGGTAAGGATTCGAGAGGCTCAGCGACCTTGACAGTAGGATACAGTTAGCTGATGGCTTGATAGACCTCTTGGAAGATGAGGATCTAGACACAGAGGTTCGTGTTGCGACGCTCTCCTCTTTTTTTTTTTTGCTTTACTCGGTGGCTGACATGTGCTGTTAATCTTGTAGGAGATCGACCTGGTTCACATGCGCATAAAGTCCCTTCCCGCGCTGCGCCTGGAACGTTTTTCGAAGCTTCAGGTATATTCATACCCCCGTCCCTCTCCGTGTCCCCGGTAGCTTGAATGTCGAACCGATGCGACTCGGCATCGAGGAATCGCGGAGGAACCACACATGAAGCCTTGAGCGCCGTCGCAGATGACTGACTGCCAGGATAGAGGTTATGTTTCCGCCAAAACGAAATAACTCGCATCGAGTTCCCCTCCAATGTCGCCGCGTCGCTGAAAGAACTCGATCTCTACGATAATCTCATCTCGCATATCAAGAACCTCGATGAATTCGACCTGACGACCTTGGACCTCAGCTTTAACAAGATTAAGCATATCAAGAATGTGTCACATCTTACCAAATTGACGGACCTGTTCTTCGTGCAGAATAAGATCTCCAAGATCGAAGGGTTAGAGGGGTTGACTGAGCTGCGGAATTTGGAGCTTGGGGCCAATCGTATTAGGGTGTGTTGTACCTGCACGGAGTCTCAAGATACGGGTGGTTGACATGGTGTATAGGAAATCGAGAACCTGGACACCCTCAAGTCGTTGGAGGAACTTTGGCTCGGCAAGAACAAGATTACAGAGATGAAGGTATGTTTTACACCCAAGATCGAAAGAGCAAGGAGAAGTCTAACAACCGGTAGAACCTCGACTCCCTAACCAACCTCCGCATCATCTCCATCCAATCCAACCGTCTCACCAACCTCACAGGGCTCTCCAACCTCCCCAACCTTGAAGAGCTCTACTTCTCCCATAACGCCGTGACCGACCTCTCCGGTTTGGAAAAGAACACCACTTTGCGCGTCCTGGACTTCTCCAACAACCAGGTCGAGCACCTCGAGCACCTATCCACTCTCAAGAACCTGGAAGAGGTCTGGGCATCGAACAATAAGCTTTCCAGCTTCGAGGAAGTTGAGCGCGAGCTGAAGGATAAGGAAAAGCTGCAAACCGTCTATTTTGAAGGCAACCCGTTGCAGATGAACGGGCCTGCTGTATATCGGAATAAGGTGCGGTTGACATTGCCGCAAGTTGCTCAGATTGACGCGAGTATGTTGAACCCTACCACCTGCTGTTGAGTTCCATTACTGACTTGCCTGTAGATTACGTACGTGTTTAAGGCGTTGGGGTTACCATGATGTTAGTATGATGACTGAGATTATGACGACGGTGTTTTCGATGTCTTATCATTCGCTACTGGGATGGATGTTCTATGAGAAACGAAATCAGTCATGCGTGCGCCAACTTTGCAGCCTGTATACACTTTCTTCGCGAGATATTCTTAGTACAAGATCAAGGATACAAGAAACCAAAGCCTTTCTAAGATTCGTAAATTCGGGTATATAGCATGAAACTTCTTAATAAATATATATAAAAAAAACGTTGACTGGCCATAGCCTTGCACTTGTGTAGGGTTCGCCGTGAGAAAGAGGCAGAGACAGAGCAGCCTCAATACCCACGCTCCCAAGGCATAGAGTCACTCTCATCTTCGCTTTCCTTCCTCTGCATCTGCCGAGATACCCTCTTCAATCCAGTTCTTGGTTTATCTTCCTCCTTCTCCCTCTCCGTCTCCGTCTCCGACTCCTTGTCTTCCTTCTTCGTCTCCGCACTCTGCATCCCCTCCTCCCAAAGCCCTATTAAACTGCTCACGTCATTGAACAACTCTGACTCCTCGCCCGACCGGCTCTCATGGTGAACAGAGTGTTTTCTAGACGACTGCAGCACATCCGCCAGTCCTCTGAGCGGCACGCGAGACTTCGGACCCATCATATCTTGCCAGATCGTTCCATGTTTCGAGACGGTGCCGTACGTCCCGTGAAACGGGTTGCGCTGAATCGACGCATCGTGGTCGTGCATGGATGCTTCGATCGTGCATGATATCGTCTGGGGTTGTGACTCGGCCTTGGTGGAAGAGGAATTCGCGGAGGAGTCGGGTTGAAGCGTGACGGTTATCGGCGAGGCGGCGCGCGCGCGGTCTGCCGCATCGCCGGAGTCGAAGATGGCGAGGATTGGGCGGTGGTTTTTGAGTTCTGTCCTGGAGGATTGGTACTGGGTCGGTTAGCGGTGTTTGTGATGCAGCTGTAGAGTGCCTCACTTTTAGGCTGAGGAAGGTCGTCACTTCGCCGAATTTCTGCAGCGATGCGAGAACCTGCCGGCGCTCGCTCAGGTTCTTGGGAGCGGGAAATGTCTTTATGTACACCTGCGACGCTACGCGCCCGAGGAGTTTGGCTGCGGTTCCGGGGGTCGCCATTGCGGGCATTCGAGGTGGTTTTGGAGGTTGGAGTTGCGGAAAGTGTCGATCGATGATCAATGGTCCACGGTCTACGGCTGCCGCAGGTCCGCTCCTCGCATTTGACCTTGTATACACCGGTCGCTTAACCTTGTTCTATGGTTACATGAAAAGCTAATGGATTGAAAATGTTCATTTGTTTCTATTCATTTCACACAAGTCGTGCGATATCGTCAAGTCAGGTTTCGTCAAAATACATGAGAGTTTCCCTGCCCCCGCGCTACTCCAAAGCAGACCAAGATCTAATGCAACATTTAGAAGATCGGGATAGGAAGGCCGTACTATCGAGAATGTCAGTATTTGAGTCCGTGTTATGAAAAAAAGGATCCAACTTACAGCAATGGGGTCATTGAAGCGCAGACCCTTGTCCAAAGCACTAATAGCCTCGAGCTCACTGCCCTCCAACTCAAAGTCGGTAACCTTCAAGTTCTGCGCCAAACGAGTAGGGTTATTACTCTTGGGGATAACGGCGACCTTACGCTGGGTAGCCCAGCGGAGCAGCACCTGCGCCGGAGTCCGGCCGTACTTCTGAGCAACACCCTTGATAACATCGTGCTCAAAGAGCGGCGGGGTGTCCTGCGCCTCCTTCAAGTTCAACTCCATGAAACTCAAGGGACCGAACGACGAGTACGCAGTCACGGCAAGACCCTCACGCTGGGCAAAGTCCACCAGACGGGTCTGAGTGAGGTAGGGGTGGTGCTCGATCTGGAGAGTCGAAGGACGCACGCGCGCATACCGCAGGAGATCCATCAGCAGCTGTGAGCTGAAGTTGCTAACGCCGATGCTGCGTGCCAGCTTCAGGTCCACCAGGGACTCCATCGCGGTCCAGGTCTCGTGGATCGGGGCTTTGCCCAGCTCCAGTTTGCCGGCCTCGTTCTCCCAGCTGGGCGGGTACCGCACGCTGGGGTCGACGTACTTCAGGGAGATGGGGAAGTGCACAATGTACAGGTCGAAGTAGTCCACGCCCCAGTCGGCCAGCTGCTTGCGGCAGATGGGCTCCACGCGATCTCCGTCGTGGAAGCTGTTCCACAGCTTCGAGACGATGAACAGCTCCTCGCGCTTCACGAGGCCGTCCTTGATGGCGCGGGCGACACCCTGACCGGCTTCGACTTCGTTGCCGTAGTCTGATTTTGGAATTGTTAGTTACCGACGGACTGCGTGAGTGACGAAACCGAAGAAGACATACCGCAGGCGCCGTCGAACAGGCGGTAGCCGGCCTTAATGGCCTCGTAGACCTGGTCCGCACAGGTGTCGTTGTTCACCTTCCACAGACCGAAGCCCACGAGGGGCATGTCGTAGCCGGAGCAGAGTTTAACGGTAGGAGCAGTCATTTTGTATGTGAATCGCTGGAGACCTGTCAGTACGTAGTTCCAAACTTGCGTGCCAGAGAGTCAGCCTGACCGAGTGCGGAGGATTTTGAGAAAACAAAGTAACAGCGGGCTTCCAATTCTTTAAAGACACATAGGAACCAGCGCTACGTACTGTTGCAGGCTAAAGTGCGCGGCTCGTTTCACCGTAGCATCAATGCAACCCCGCTGCCCCACAACGAAGCCGGCTAAAACGATCGGCGGCTAAAAGCATCATTTTATCCTGTTCAAAGTACTGTGGAATTGATTTGAAGAATCTCAATTGGACACGGAGCTCTGAAACACCTTGAACTCCGCCTCCGCCACTCCATGCCCCAAGGGTAAAAGTAGAATAGTAGAAAAAAAGAGACAAAGTCACAGGTATAAGGGTACATTGCTTCCAGAAATATGATTATCATTACCAATAATTTTCTTCTTTTTCTTCATTAAACAGTGTCCACCGGTCCATTATCCGCGTAGCCTGCATTCGCATGCTCGGGGCCCGCCCCATGCATGTTGGATCCGCTGGACATGCGTCCGACGATCTTGTCCATCAGATCCTCCGGCGGCATGAGGCCATCGAAGTGGTGCGGCTGCTGCGACTCGCGCGAGGCGGGCACTTGATGCTCGGTCGGGAAGGGCATATGGTGGTAGCCACCGGCACCGACGTCACCGGAAATGGATGTTGAATGGGCGCCCCATGATGCCTGGCCGTGGCTCAGCTCGTCCAGGGATTGCGTGCCCGGGAAAAAGCCGTTCAGGACACTGTTGCTGTCGTGGATATTGACGCCGTGCTGATGCGATGGCACGTACTGGCTTGTATCGTGGCTCATCTGATATCCCATGCTCGGGTGAGAGAGAGGCAGGTCGTGCATGTTCATCATCATCGGCCCGCTGCTCGAGACGTTGAGGCTGGTGGCTTGGGATGTCTCGTTGGGCAGGCTGGAGGAGAATGAATCCAGTACGGAGGTTACGGCTGTTTTGTCACCGAGGCCGTCCTCGGGTTTGGTGATGGAGGTCATGAAGTCGAGGTTACCCGACGAATTAAACATATTAGCCACGTTGTCGTGGGAGGATTGGTACATGGGCCATTGGGATTGAGCCTGGCCCTGGTGAATTAGGTCTTGGGGTTGTGGCGCCTGGTAGACGTTTTGAGAGGGCTTATTGAGGAGGATAGAGTCCAGGGAGAGAGGAGGAAGGTCAACTCCAGAGCTTTGCCGCGGGCTGTTGGTTATGGTGCGGTCCGGAGGCGGGACCAGACGGCGCCAGGTGGTCGTGCCAACCTCACCAGGGCGGGTCTGGCGGAATTTCCAGACCAATATGGCCATGCGCTCGCTCTCCTCGCCGTGGTGGCCCTGGAATTGGTTCGACAGGCGCCGAGAGCTGGGAGGCACAGCTCTGATCTCCTGTACTGCAGACAAGGAGCGGAAGAAGCGGCGAGTGCGCTCGTCAGTGGCATGGACGGATTCGGGTTGTCCCGAGTCTTCAGCGATGCGCTTGTCCTGGGTCAGCTCAGTGAAGAGCCGTGCCCACCAGGAAGATTCAAAGAGCGGCTTGACTTTGGTTGATTGGGGCTTGGGTAGGTCATGGTAGGTCTCCCACAGTTCCCGTCCATCTTCGTAGAGACGAGTGCTGCAGGTCCAGTTCTCCATCTGGTTCACCATAAGTACATCTCCCGCAGTGGGGTGGCCAAAATCAAGGTCGAGTTGGATGCCGAGTCGCGAGCCCGACGGAGGAAAGTCGGTCATCAATTGTAAGTTGACTTCAAGCATGATGATATCGCAATCGAGAGGGCCATTCAGGTCGTCAAGAAGTGAGGACACGTGAGGAAATGAGGTGCGCCACCCGCTGACGTTCTCCAGAGGCATTGGGGGCGCAATGGGGTGATGCAGATCACCCTGCAGCCGCGTATATGCATGAAGAGCCTTGTCAATGCGATTGGCCTGCTGAGGCGCGCTCACCCACATGTCAAAACTGAAGCCATGAATGTTCTTCGTTCCGGCATCTTGCAAGTTGGAGCCCAGGGTATAGTGAGGCGGAGGGATGTCTCCTCCATAGGATTGCATCGACGACCTCATGGGATCGTGGTAGGAGGGATGAGCGTGGGCTCCATAGTGACTAGAGGCAGTGGGGTGGTCCATCGACGTCCTCCACTTCGGGCCCGATGATGAAGAGTGGCTACTTGACCGCTCCGGTGACTGTTCTCGGACCAGTCGCTCCCCTGTACATCATCTGGATTAATAAATGATGCTACCGCTTCCCTGATTCACAGACTCACAGTCGGGGTCTCCCTTCAGAAACGAGTCAAGGACCTGGAGATGACTCGAGACCTGCTTCCGGGTCCTTCGCTTGCCGGTCAACTTGAAGATGTACTCGGCAATCAGCTCGTTCCGTCCATACGATTTTCCTCTCTCAGACCACTTTCGTCGGCCCATAGGAGGATTGGCTTCGAGAGCTGCACCATGTTGTCAATGTCATGTATAGATCAGTTGAAACCTGCATGACTTACCCTGCTGGAAAGCATCTTCCAATTCATCAGACCAAACAGGTTCACCATCCTTACCGGTGTCACGTCGAGGACGTGCCCGATATTCCAAATACTTTTGGGACTTGAGATAGCTTCGACCCCGTCTGGGAGCTACATTGGGCCCCACGGAGTGAAGCCGTCTCAGCTTGCGTGCATGAAGCCGCGCAGCCACGGCTTGCTGGTGCATGCTCGCAGTCGGGACATGGTGAGGGACAGGATGGGGATACTTGTAAGCCAACTGCTGGAGGTGTTCTTCACGGCCGGGATCGTGTGTCAAGGCATCAGAGTATGACTGGACATTGCCAGAGGTATTCTGCAAAGCCCGATCAGAATGAGCACCGACTGTGTCGAGGGACGGTTGGTTCTGAGGCACGAGGCACTCGGGTTGCCAGTCAGCCGCCATGGAGCGGACCAAGAACAGGCTTCTCGAAAAGAATGACAGATTCCAACGATTCAACGAGGAGGGGAAGTAGAGAAGCACCGCCGAATGCTTACTGCCCAAGAACGCAGCACCGTCACAGACGGAACCCAAGAACGCAGAGGACGGATGAGAATGTCAGAACCTGGGAAAGAGAATGTGAGAGCGAACTGGAAGGTGTTTATAGGGAATTCATATCTCCCTTTGGAGAGGGATGTTGCCGCAGTAGTAGCATTGCCCAGGCCTGCTTTGCCCGGCACCACGACCCTCGAACGCCATACTCCTACGCAGGTACCAGCTCGCGCCGCGTCCAGGCTGGGTGGAGAGCACAAGGACATCCGCCATCCTTGCCTGCAGCAAATCAGGAGTCCAGAAAGGGCATGATAATGAAGGAAAGGTTGCCGGATGCAAGGGATACTGGGGCAGCACGATCCAGTGACGAGGGCTTCGGAGATTTTGTGTTGCGCGAAGTCACCTTGGAGGGCACCCGCTCGGACCAGTGGTAACCCGTGTTGACATCCATCTGCCAGTGATGAGTGGCGATGGCAGGCTATGAGGAATGTTGGATGTTCAACGACGTCGATGATTGACCGGTTGACCAGGGTCCGGAATGCTTCTCATCTTGGGAAAACAAAGCTAACAAAGCTAGCGCTGGAATGTAGAGCGCGGACGGGGAAATGAAAAATAACTCGCCACCCTACAATCCAAGGTGTGTAAGGTCCTAAAGTCCCAAGGCCATGGTGTATAGGGTGTAAAGGGAAGGATATACAAGATCAGAGTGGATTAGGGCAAAAGACGGGAAGGGCGCAGGAAAATCTGCACCTCGGATCTTGAACTGCTTGACAGCCGCAGGAACGTGTTGGGGTATCTCTTGTGCTCTCGAGGGCTAAAACAGTAGAAAAAGTACATGCGTATCCACACCGTTGTCCACTTTCTTGCACTCCCATACGCAAGGGATATCGCGGCCCAATCATCTCGGTCCGTCGGTCGCCCTTCTCGCAGGGAGAAAGGAGACGGGCCTTCATGCTTCCTCCTCCTGGCCTCCTACAGTGAATTTCTTTCGCCCGGAGCCCGTAAGCTGTTGGAGCTTGACCCTGTCCACCTGCTCCCCTACCTTCTTTTCTAACCTCGCGATCTCCTCCTCGGGATCGACAGCCTCCTCGTTCGCGAATTCCAGAACCAGTCGTCGGCCCAGGAGATGCGTGTTTTTCAACGCGTCAATGGCATTCTCCGCCTCGCGAGCACTGATAAAGTCCGCAAAACCGAAACCACGCGCAGAGCGATCGAACTTCTGCGGCACACGGACGGACCGCAGCTGACCGTAGGCACCGAACAGTGACCGGATGTCTTTCTTGGTAACCTGGAAAGGCAAGTTCTTGATGATGATCTTGGTTCTTCTCGCCGCAATTTTCTTGGCGGTATCTTCCCGCCTCCGCTCTTCCGCGGCATCCATGCCCTTGTGAGACGCGCGGATCAACAGTTCGTGTCCGTCCAGCTTGTACCCATTCATGGCGGCGAGTGCCGACTGGGCTTGAGCCTTGGTCTTGAACTCTGCAAAGCCGAAGCCCATGCTGAGTGTCTGACCGGGTTTCTTGGGGTCGGGCTTGGTCTTGATACGACCGGTGACGAAGCCGTCCAGCGGCCGGAAAACCTCCAGAAACTTCTCGTTGTTGGTCGAAAAGGCCAGGTTCTTCACGAAAAGGGTGGTCGTAAATGCGCCTTCGGTTTCATCTGCCGCAAAGGTATCGGATGTGGAGAAGCCTTGGCCCTTGCCCTTTGTCTCAAGAGCGACGTTCTTCGGGGCCACGTTGGGATCGAACAAGTCCTTGGGTGCCTTTTCCAAGAAGAGAATGGAGTCACCCATCTTGCGGTAGGCTAGACCCCTGAACGCCTTCTGCGCCTCATCGGGTTTCGCAAACTCGACAATGGCGATTGTGCCACTTGGCGGCATCAACAATCGGATAACCTGACCGTAAGGATCAAACAGCTTCCGAAGCTCCTCGCTTTTAACACCGTAGGAAAAGTTCTTCACCAGCATTGCCGTGTTTCCGCGTTCCCGGTGCTTGAAAGCATCAATGTTTACTCCGTTGGCAGCGAAGTATGCCTTTGTCTCCTGAATAACATGTGTCTCAGCATGTGCCTGCTTCACAGCGGCGTCTGAAGATGTAGGATCTAGCAGGTCTGATTTGGAAACACCCAATCTTTGAGCTACGGATGACATGACGGCATCAGACTGGATATATATTAGCATTCAATTCTACCCTTCTTCAAGACGGAGTCATCTTACATTCATGTAGAGGGAGTTCCAGCTGAAAGTAGAAGATGTGGCATTCATCTTCCGCTTGATTTGGGTTTGCTTCTTCAAAGGAAGCTTCGACAGGTCATATTCGTCGATCTTGTATGTCTTCTTCTCGGAAGCTGGAAGGATGTGTAGGATTCGGCCCTGGAAGTGCTTGCCGTCAAGATCTCGATAGGCATCGACGGCCCCATCCGCATCTGCGTACTGCACGTAGGCGAAACCTTTGCTGGTTTCAGTGCGAGTATCAAAAGCCACATGAATCTGCATTCCAATTTCATTAGCGTCTGATCAAAAATATATTTGACGAGTTATTGTGCAAATGGAATGTTGAGTTGCTCTTCAGATAAACAAGAAGCATCTACTAAAATCTCTTGACCTGTTCACATCATCTGCATTTTGCATCGGATGTCCCTATCAGGAAATTCATCATGCGAGCACTCTGCCGGAGGACCGGCGTCTTTGGTTCGGGCAGTGGGGGCAAGGAAAAAAGGAGATAAAGGTACTAACCTCTTCGAGTTTTCCATATGGAGCAAAGAGTGGCTGGAGATCAGCCTCTTTAATGTCATAGGCCAAGTTCCTGAGGAACAGGCGCGCCGAAGCTCGAATCAAATCGATGTTTTGGTCATTGATCGGTTCCTGATCTTCCCGCTCGGGTATTTCTTGAGCTACATCGTCATCATTAGTTACGGGCTCAGACACGATCTTCTCGGACCCAATGTTCTCAATTGCCGCAGTGCGGGATTCAACATTGGACCGGCGTGGTGGCTCCGTCGGTTCCTCTGCTTTGTGTTGTTCGAAATCAACCTGCTCATCCTCGTCCAAGAGACCCAGGAGACGACTCGTCTTAGACCGGAGCCAGTCTGCATCTGATACAGGACCAGCCTCTTCAGGCTCCTCTGTCTCTTCCTGTGCAGGTGTGTCTTCACCCTCATCTGCCCCGCTGTCCACGGCCATGGGCTGAGGTTGTTCCTTACTAGCACCAGTAGAGGGTTCTTGCGTCCGAGCTTTCTTCGGATGTGAAGGCAGCTCCTCAGTTACACTGGTATCCTCAGTTGGTTGGTTAATAGCCGGCGTGGGTTGCTCTGATGGCGGGATCATGTCATCGTTTGCCCAGGTCCGGGTCTTGGAGTTATGCATCAAAGACATATACTCCTGCAGCTTGGGGTCCTGTGCCTTCTCGGCGTCCCTCTTGCGCTTGAGCGCATTCTCAGCGGTCTCAACTGCATCAAGTCTCCGTGTGGGGTGAGCCCTGTCTGACTTGGAATCAATCTACAAAGATACTGGTCAGTCTCGAGACCATCTGAACGGGTCAGCGGGGGACGCATAAAAGACAAAAAAGACTCGAACCAACGACACAACTCTCACATACCGGTCGAGCAAGATCTACCGAGATCTTGGACATCTTCATGTATGTCCTGTTGAAGTAGCTTGCAGCTTCCTTGGCTACTTCATTGCTTTTGAAGCCAACGAAGCCCATGCGGCGCTTGGGCAAGACATGGGCATCCGTGACCTGAAAGCGGCCTGCAAAATGACTGCGAAGCTGGTCATTAGAGCAGGATGGCGGAAGACCACTGACAAACACCCGAGTTGACTCCATTTTGGTGTGTTGTGGCTGAAAAGCCTTGAGGCAAGTTCAGTAGTAGAAAGTCTCGAGGAAAACTTTTTTTTTGCGTCTTGTATGGGCATAGGCGGTGAGATGTGCGGTCCACTGTGAATTGCAGGCAGAAAGTAAAAGGCGGTAAAGCGTGGGCCTCGACGCGCTCGATTGCCGCGCAGCTTGAATCGTCAACGGACACCCCTCACACGCCGAAAGGATCGCTATTCTCGAACGCACCGGATCACTGTGATACGCCCTGACTGCAATAATGGCTACCGAGAAGAAGGACAAGATGGAGGGTAAGATGGTCCCCTCTCCCGCGGCCGGTGACTGGTGACTAACCTTTGTGTACAGCGCAAATTAAGTCCGTGGACATGGTACGAGACGATGGCATTCGCATTTCCTGGTCAGGCTCTTACATAGTGATATAGACGGAGGATATGCAGCAGGAGGCCATTGCCCTTGGTAGGAATCCTGGATATCCCCGCAGGTGAATTGCGACTGATTTCTTAGCGATCGAGGCTATGGAGAAGTACCACATTGAGAAGGTAAGTGCACATTCAGTTTCCCGCAGAGACCTACTTCCCAGAATGCCTTACTAACAATTCACAGGACATCGCGCAGTATATCAAGAAAGAGGTCCGCGCTGACCCTCCCTGCACCTCCTCATATCTCTCGCTCATAACCGCTATAGTTTGACTCTCGGAAGGGTGCTACCTGGCACTGTGTCGTCGGCCGGAACTTTGGCAGCTTCGTCACTCATGGTCAGTGCTGAACAGTTGATCTCGATCGAGATCCACCGCTGACCATCCCCGCAGAGACAAAGCACTTCATCTACTTCTACCTCGGCCACTGCGCCATCCTCCTCTTCAAGACCCAGTAAGCTGGACATTGGTTTGGCAACAATGAGTTTGGGGGCTTTCAGGAAGAAGTCAGGCAAATTGCCCTTTACAGCGATCCTTTGTTGCGTGTCATGACTTTCAGCTATTTTACCGGAGCGCTTTCCATACGAGAGAATTGATGCATTCTGTACACAATTTCATTTCAAATACTGATGATATAACCCCTGAAATATCAGATGTAGAACAAAATACAAGAACTGGTGTATTTGTGTTTTCTACACGGGTCACATGGAATCACGTGCCTTCCTGCCAAGAAACCAAGCCATAGCGGCCGCTGCCTTGATGTTCGATGTTCATCTTTGGTACCTTTTGCACCTCCCGTCGACATTATGGCGATCTGTATCACATTCGGCACTCATGGTGAGTTGTGGCTCTGAGTCGGGGGCTATGGACCCTGGGGTGGACCCGACGCCTTATCTGGTGTCGCGTCTTTACTCTTGTGACTCCAACCATCTATATCGCGGGATACTGACTTGGTAACAGAGTTCACGAGCATGCTCGAGGGCTATGAGAATGTCCGTGCTTATTGTTACAACTGTATGTTCTGCCCTTGATGATTGTCTTTCCACGAGAGTTCAGACCTGGACGGCCCGCTGACGTATGTCCATAGGCCAGCACTGGAACGGCCACTGCCTCACTCGATGGTATGTATCTCCAGGTGTATCCGTACTCAAAATCTGGCTAACAATATAAAACAGGCCATTCTTCACCGTTTGCTTTGTTGTAAGCATATTGTCTTTCTTCGCGGGCATTGGATATGTATGACTGACGTGATCTTCCTAGCCTCTGATTCCACTTTCGACCCACAAGTATAAGGTAAATCTTCTTATTACTTAGATCTCAATCTCTCGAACTTCTGCCACAAGACCAGCGTCTATTTTACAACCACTAACAATCAAGTAGGAGGTTACATGCTACACCTGCCGCTTCACTCAAGACTTGCGGTAAGTTGGTACCCATAGCACCCAACAGGCCCCAAAACTGACAGTACCAAGCGACCGGCCTGATATCACACCAGACACTAGGCCGCCGCCGCATATGCAATGGGGGCCACAGCCACCCCCTCTGGCATCCGGAGGTTGGCAGCAACAGCAGGACCCTGGCAAACAGCAACCTCAGCAAGAGTCTATGGGATACAAGTAAAGCCCACCTCGTGGTGTTTGTGTACCCAGCTGCAGCGTTGACTTGTTTTCTTTGGGGAGTGGAGTGAGTGGCCGGGGAGGGATGAGAATGCGTTTCAGCCGTATTTCGGCAAATTGTTCCGTGGCGTTGGGATCTGTTTTCCACTAGCAAAAGACACTAAACCTGAAATACCGATCTATGAAATGGGAACTGAGTAATTCATGAAACCGTGGTATTATAGTAGAAACTCATAGCAGGGGTATAAAAAAGCCGCATAACCATCCCAACCCCCTATCCTAACAAAAAAGTAATACAATTGCGAAATCTCAAGAGGAAGTATTCAGCATCTCCTTCCCCTTCTCCTCGACCTGCTCAGCCGGCGTCGCAACACCCGAAGTGTGCGAATCATCAGTCTTCCGACCCTCATGAACCATAGGCTTCCTCCCCATAAGATCAAGACTCATCATCCGCACAACACGAACAATACTCTCACGACCTTCATAAAGCGGGAAAATAACAACACCGAAAAGTGTAAAGAACAACCACAGAATCCCAACAACAACCCAGCCAGTAAAGAACTTCTTACTGAAGACATACGAAGTACCGTACATCGGAATCGGCCAGAGGATCAGCAACGAGAAGGCCATGAAGACCGTCAAGGTGCGAGAGTAAAACGCGGCTTTGTTCAGTTTGCGAGTTTCTTCATCGGATTGGTCCTCTGATGGATCTGTTTCGCCGGGGACGAGCTCCAGGTCGACGTGGGCGGCCGCCGCGACATCGGTGTCGTCGACTAGGCGGATTGCGCGCATTGATTTGTAGTCGTAGTTCTGGGGCCCGAAGACGTAGGTGAAGAACGGGACGAAGACGAGCGGGCTGAGGAGGGCGGCCACGTTGCCGGCTAACATGGGGTAGTTGGCTCCGGTGGTGGTCACGTTCAGGACTCCAGATTCCTTCTTTGCGGTCACCAGCCAGGCGATGAGAGAGACGGCCAAGCCGAGCGGTGGTGACGCGCCTGCTGCGATCCAGTTCTGGCCCTTCCACAGTAGGGTCATGGCGCCGGGGAAGACGGCGGATGAGATGATGACTCCCATCAGGAGGTACAGGTATCCCATTCCGATACCGGCGTAGTAAAGGCCTGTGGCAAAGCCGGCCATGATGATGGAGTAAATGATGCAGGACATGTGAGAGATCCAAACGAGCTTCTTGCCCTTGGCAGAGGGGTCGATGTAGGCCTGGTAAATGTCGTAGGTCCAGATAGATGAGACGGCGATCAACTGGGCCGAGAAGGCAGAGGTAACAGCCATGAATATCATGAGTGTTGTCGCAACTGCCCCGCTATAGCCCAGTAGCTTGACTGCTGCAAAGGGGAGGACAAGTCCGGCTGTCACATCGTCGCTGCTGAGCCGCTGTGAGCCTTCGAGGGCCAGAGCTGAGATGCCCAATGTGCTGGCGCAGAGCCAGGGAATGGCGAACCAGCAAAGTCCGCCGATAACGTAGCCGGGGAAAGCGTGGACAGGGCTTGCGGCGATAGCTATTTCAATTAGTTTGCGCATTGGTGTTGTAGGGGCTGTGGCTATTTACCTTTGTTGTAGTAACCGTTGTCAAGGAAGACAGTTCCAAAGTTGCCTTTCACAATAGTTAGCAAAACTATACGAGACCAGAAGAAACTTCACAACTCACCAATCAGGTTGATAATCCAGAAGATACCACCCTCCTTAGACCGCATAGTCAAGTAACTGCCCTCGGCATTACCCTCAACAGGATGAGCCTTCGCAGCCAGAACCAGAGCATCATACATCTTGCCCGGCGAACCCAGCTGCGCATTGGTAGCGTATGCCGAAAAGGCAAACAGGAAGATAACCACCAAGATAACCACGGTATGCAAATAATCCGTGATGAACGTCGCCTTGATACCTCCAAAGAGAGTATACAGGACCACGCCGATGGGAAAAAGGAAACAGGCTGCTGGGGTAGGCACGCCAGTAAGGGAAGTCATAACGGCTGAACCGCCCGTGAGCAGCATGGCCGTGACGAGGATGTTGGTCATGAGACAGAAGACAATGAAGACAACGTGCACGGCGGTGCCGTAGCGGGCGTGGATAACTTCGAGGAAGGTGTGGGCATTTGGTGCGCGACGCTTGAGTTCAATGGCTAGGGTTGCGAAGAGCAAGATCTGGACCGTTGCGCCTGGTAATCGTTAGTTATGTTTTTGGTTTGGATGTCGATGTATAAGACTCACCCGATGCATAGAAGAAGGGTCCCGAGATGCCGTATTTGTATGCCACGGCTGACGACTGGAGCAGTGTTGCTGCCCACGTCCAACTACTAACCACTGCGGCAGCGACAAGACCGGACTTGACGGATCGTCCCGCCGTTGAGAACATTTCGGAGGTCTGGACTTCATTCTGGTATCTTGATTCGGAGATGTTGTCAGTTGATATGTCTGATACAGGGTAGTGACTGAAGCTCACCTCTTCAGGGCCCAGGTAATAAAGATCATCAATAGCGCAAAGGCGAATCCCAATCCCAGGATAATACCGTAGCCAAATCCTTGGGACAGGGGCGCTGTAAAGGTAACCGTTCCAGACGACATGGCTGGACGACGAGCTCTAACGTGCTTGAGCAACAGGCCAATTAAGGCGATATGCTATATAGGCAGGGCAAAGGAACGAAAAAAGAGAAGCGCGAGGTTCAAATATAAGTGGAGGTCCACAATAGCTTCAGTTGGAATGGAATGTAGCGGTGGAATGATCGTTCTAATTCTTCATTGCATATCATGCAAGACCCCCGCAACACATGCACCCATCTTATAAGAAGCCCAGTAAACCTGATTTCACCGTGACAAAGACTCAAAGCTCCGAACTCGCACGCTTAAACTCCGGGAAAAGAGAACATGCTGATCCCAGAGCTTAGATAGTCCACCCTCGCGGCCAAGATAAGGGCTACGCCTCTCGTAATGGCCTCGGGGCCGCGGACGGCCACAGGGCGTCGGCCCTAAGGAAACTAAGGAAGAGCAGGGAGTGCCCGGCCTCAAGTTCAAGACCAACCTATCGCTGCGTAAAACCAGTCGAAGTTGACTGCGTTATCAGGTCGTCGTCTTGGCATCAAGGATCGTGATTGGCTCTCGCGCGGGAGAGATAAGACATTCCGAGGCGGCTGCTGCGCGCCATTGAATTGTGCTTGGGGTCGAGCGGAGTCTGGGCGTGGAGAATCGGGAGAGTTCGCGGCGCTGATAAAGACTTGTCAGTAACTATCACGTCCTGCTTACTCGATCCTCGTTATCATTAGTGACTACCCAGGCCCCGGCTGCAGACCATGGTGCTGGTCCCAGTACTTAAGGTACTCGGCCGATTAAGCTTGAAATGACTGAATGACTGCTTAGATTATCGGTGGTTCGCTCGTCATCGCCCAGGCATACCGCGAGGTACTTTATACTCAAGTATACGCGGTCTCGTCTCCCGGTACTAAAGTCCGAACTCTACTCAGACACCATTCCACATCTGGACAACACGATCTCGGATACGAGCTGATGATGATCCAGGCCCAGATCCAGGACCTCATTAACGATTCAATGCAATTGACTCTGATATGATACAGACGCTTAGATATCCCACCACCATCTCGGTAACCGCCACTTTCGAAGGGTACTCTTATCCTCTCACTGCGCTCATGGACGGCGCAGATCAAGGCTTGAACCCCGGTCAGGACACCGAAACGACACCAGGACACCGACCTATACAGCAGATAGGTCTTCGGTGCTCATGCCCAGCACCGGAAAAGAACAACAAAACAAAAACACCACACATGTCAAAGAAAATGGGGGACCACGGCAGTAGCCAATGTTGGAGATCCCGCGCCACCTTCAACGGAAAGGACAAATGTCACGGGGTATAGGAGAGGAAGGTTGGTTGAGAGAAGTTGAGGTTGTCCCGCAATCTGAGTCGACAGCAGATGGCCGCGCCATCGATTGCGAGAGGGGTGTATTCGGTGGAAGCGCTTATGCGGAGAACTTGCGGGTGATCTTGGCGATGACTATTGCAACAATTAATATTCCGACCCATCCACATATATAGAAACTCGTAAACATACCGTGCAGGCCAACAACCGAGAAGATGAAGCCCAGACTCAGAACCAGGACAACAACGGGGTCCACGCGGAGACCGGGGCTCTCGTCAGTGTAGAGCTTGAGCATGGTGCCGGAGGAGCCGCCGGCACCAGCAGAGCGGGTGGAGCTAGGACGGGCATTGCGCAGAGTCTCCTTGTGGTCGGCAGTAGCACGGCGGCGCATGGCAGCGCGAGGACCGCCGGGGGCAGTGGGCGAGGAGGGACGGCTGACGGAGGAACCGGAGGCAGCAGCGGCTCCAGCGCCGGCGGACTTGGAGTCGGGGCCAGACTCAGCACCCGAGGTGAGAGGGGAGGTGGGACGGGGGGAGGCCTGTATGGAGATGGAGGATTAGATGGATGCTGGATTTCTTGAAAGGAGGTGCCCAGGTGGTGGGGATGAGAGGACCCGTGGGATCACTGGATTGGTACCGAAAGGTCAATTGGGTGTAGAAATAACTCACCATTGTGATTGAATGAGGATAAAAGATTGGAGTAGAAAGGGAAAGGAAAAGGAGTGGAAGGAAGTTCGGGGAAGGAGAGTTTGCGGAGGAGTTGCAGTTGAGGCCACGATCGCGGTTTCCCGTTTGGTTACAGGGTACGGTACCGGTGTTGTCATGTGGCCACCTGTACACGCAATAGTGTGGTAATTATGTTACAAAAGTTACATTGATCCACCAATCAGAGACATGTGACCAGTAGCTTCTATAAGAAGTCAGACTGGAGGCACACGACTGTATACATAGCAAGTAAAAAATATAAACAAAAATACATGTCATTTGATTTATAACCGAGGTATCTAAAGGACAAGTAGGAACGTAGGAACAAGATGTGTTTTTTCGTGGTAGAGGTCTCATGCTTCGGCAATCTTTGCTCTTACACATAAAATGCTTGGAAGGCTACGCAGCTGAAGAACTAGGTCATATATTTGAATTTGAGTTTTTAGATTTTGAAGTAAGTTGAGGTCATTGGAAATGCCGTCTGTCTCTGCACTGTCATAAATGACATGGGAATGGGGGAAATACCCCGGGAATCATATCCAAGTAAAACGCCACCGGTGCTCTCGTGAAGGATATGTAAAAGGCCAAAGGGAAAGTAAAGTCACAGAAGTTTTGGACCCGTGGCAGGGAAGCCAAGGTCAAGGAGGGAAAGGTCGCAGCTTCGACGCAGGTGAGATATCATGTAAAACAACACGCAGATGACAGGCTTAAAGAATCAGTGTCCGAAGACGATAATCACAAAGGAAAGAGAAACCGCTCCAAGTACAACGCCGGGAAGAGATCGTTTTATGAAATACACTGTACCCTTGATCCCGTGGAGATCAATCGATCATCATCCGAGACGGAACCTGACTGAGAACATTGGAGGAGAGCTCAGTTGTCTTCTCCTCGGGATTGCCCTTCTTCTTGTTAATGTGCGGCTTCAAGCCCCGGTCGAAGTTGTGCGCGCACATGCAGGCGTTGATGATGGTGATCACGATCAGGACGAGGGTGATGATGGCGAAGAAGGTCATCGAGGGCCGGGCGGGCAGATATTGAGGGAACGTGGCCGGCGCGTACATTCGGTACAGCTTGAAGCAGAAATAGGCCATGGCGGCGAAGAAGAGCATGATGATGACGATCATCCCGAACATGGATTCCCGTCGGACAAACCAGGCACCGCAGGCCAGGATAAGGATAGTCACGGGGACGGCGATGATGGTGAGGTAGAATTCAGCATCATGCTTGGAGGAAGAAACAACGACCAGGAACTGGACGGTGAAACCGAGGAAGAAGAAAAAATCGAACTTCAGCAGAGCGATGTAGATCTAAAAAAAAAAGGTCAGATGGTGAACGGAATGAAGGGCTGGGCGAAAGAAACCTACCTGATAAGTCAGATAGCGGCGCTTCATACGCAGGTCCGCGCTGATGTGCTTGTAGATTGTCCAGGCGAACTCGTCATACAATTTCCACGCAACGAAGGTCATGAGCAAGCTTCCAAGGCCCACTATGCAGGGAATAATAATCAGAAAGGGCTGCGATTCCGCCCAGACCAACGGGCTGATTTCCTTCATGTCGGCTAATACGGAGACAGCGTTTTGGATCTGCTGCACTTGGACAGCACCGTAAATGAGGAGTCCGAAATTGCACAGGCAAAGCCCAATGACTTGAATGGTGTTTTTCATGCGAAGGGCATCGTAGACCAGAACCAGCTCGTAGAGGAAACCGAAACTGTAGAGGGCGAGGAAGGTGGGGATGGTCTTCGAGGAGGGACTGTCGTTCGCCTGCTCTTGGATTTGAAAGTTCGCGAAGATATAACTAAAGGAAGGTCGCCCGTCAGCGTCCTATTTTCTCATCAGCCGGGCGTGAAACATACCATTCTAGACCGAGCGTCACCAGTGTTTGGATGAGCGTGACGATGGCGAAGGACCATGTCCACGTGGTGTTAGGGACATACACCCTGCTCGGAGTCGCGGGCGGCGCGACATTTGTGTACCCCTCGCGGGCGCGAAACGCCATTGTATCCTGGCGAAACGAGGGATCGAAAGATCCTCCTCCTAAGAGTGAGACCGAGGCGTTCGACCCATGGGAGGGGATTTTGCTTAAGTGCTCCGAGGCGAAGCTCGGGCCCGCAGAGTGCTTGGGGAAAGACACAGTGGCGGTATTGCCCACCTGGCGGTGGTGTTTCCTTATTTATTGAGGGGATGAGAGTCAGGTGTCGGGGGTGGCAGGGCCCTGATACGTGGGCGAGTCGAAACGTCGGAAGGCTCGTGTGCCAGGCGGGCTTGGCGAGTTCGCTGGACCAGGATCGGGATTCGTGAAGATCAAGGGGGTCGTAGAATTAGACTTGAGCGAGTCTTCGTCACATCAGACTGCAGGGCACAGCTCGAGCCAGTCGAGTTCGCGAACGAGTGACGGGAACAAAAACAATGGGAGTATTTTGTCCCGAGTCGTGTGGCCCCAGGCGATTTGCGGCTGAGAAGCGGCGAAAGATGGCGAGCGAGGGCTTATGGGGCCGTAAAGATCTCGAAAGAAGGAAAGCGAGTGAGTAGGACGGCAGAGGGAGAGAGAGTAAAGGAAGAAGTCAAGTGGTTAGACTCAACGGCTACCGGTTAAGGGGCGGACCCATCCGGGGTTCAACACAATTCTTCGGAACATACCAGCAGAGGGCGGGCCGCACAATTCCACTTCACTCGAACGCTAACTTCTACGAGTTCCTCCACTGACTTCTCGAAATTCTAGACACCTTTTTCCCCCCTTCATCTTCAAGGCCCCCTGAGATGTGGCTCAGGTGGGGCCAGGCCCATCGATTCGCAACAGGTACCCTAAATTCTGCCTCGACGAGTTTTTTACGTGGCTGCCTTGTCATCCCTGGGGAAAGCGATCGAGGGACTTGTTTTGCCCTATAGAATACCCTAATGTTTTGTTGACTGTTTTGTCTGCAAATCGCAACCGCCGGTACGCCAGACCAAGCCACTCCTTGGCCAAAACATGTGGGATTTCCCTCTTCTAGCAGGAATCCGACCGTGTGGCTTGTCTCAAACATGACCACTGGTGGTGGCTGGGGGGTGTGTACTGTACTTGACTGGAATGCTACGCTACCGTGGCTGAGGCTGAGGGGTAGGCTTCGGCCCTAGTGCCCGCGTGGGATCGTCTCTACTGTGCCCTCTGGTGATCTATAGTGATCGAGGATCGGGCGATCTCTTAGACCCGGATCTATGCCATTGTACCGAGTAACTAGGATACAGCGACCAACTGAAGCGGCTTTCGCATGTGAGACCCGTATCGGTGTAGAAGCGCATATGCAGGGATCAGCCCCAAGCTGCAGATTATTGCCTGCGCCGAAAAGGTCCAGGTCCATCCTAGATTTTTCCTATTTTCAGTGTTTACTCAGCGGGGAAACGTCAGGGTCAAGCTTACCTGATTCCTCCACCCAAAGACTGATGAACCACGGGTTGATAAACGCTGATAACTGGGGTGGGTTAGTCCACCGGCCCCGTCTAGAACACTTGCTGTGGAACTCACGTTGATCACCACCGAGTAGAACATGATTACCTGCATCGCATATTCGGGATAATTGTCGACTACATACGTGGATAGCACCGTGTTTCCGACCTGTGTACCCGCCGCATCTACTCAACGGTCAACGAGCGGTCTTTTCAGCAAACCCCGATCGGTACTCACAAAGGAAGAAAGCAACTTGACCGGTCATCCAGTGCCAATTCCTATCCACCGAATTCCCCCAAAGAATGAGACCCACCGATGACACCAGTGCAGCCGGGTACCCGAGCCACAGTCTCATCTCCGGAATGCGTTGCGAATCGTTCTTGCAAGCTAATCGAGTAACGAGCCAATCACTCAGTCGTCCGGAGCAGAACACCTCAGCGAAGACGAGCCCCACGAGGAGACCGATGAAAAGGAGGCCCTGCACTTGAACGGTCCGGGTCTCGTAGGCCAATGGCTCCATCGTCATGATGGAGCAAATCCTAATTGGGTCAGATGGATTGTCGATGCGGTCTGGGCCTCGGTTCCTTACCACCAGTATTGGAAAAAGACATAGCAACAGACGCTGATGGAGATTGTGGGATATGTCCACAGTTTGCAAAACTCTAGGACTGCATCCCAGAACTTGGGATGGCTGACTCCCGGAATCGGTCGGAAATGCTGTCGTCGTCAGAGAAGCAGATCATTCGTTCGGAAAACAGTCCTTACCAGATGTCCCAGCTGTTTCGTTCGTTTGATGTCGGAAATGACATCATACATTGTTTCCTTGCACATTTCCTGTCCCTCCAGACCCGCTTCATGCTCCAAGACCACTGCCCGTGGATACCGGGTCTCTGGGAGAAAGAGACATTCACATACAAGCAAGATCCCGAAGAGGATAGTAACATGATAGCTGATCCAGTATTGAGAAACAGAGGCTAAGAAGCCACCCACTGCACAAGGAGTCAGCATGGTCGGGTTGATACCGGTCCTTATACATACCCACAGCACCCAGCACAGTCCCAACGTTCGCAGACATCGCCCACAGACCCACGCGAAAACCCCTCTCATGCTCGAAAGACAGATCGTTAATGACCGTCAATCCAATATTGGCAGATGGGCCGGCACCCACTCCCTGGAAAAAGCGTGCAGCCATATAACCCGAAAGAGAGTTACCTTTGAGGGAGGTGCACCCGCTCGCCACAAGAGCAATGGCGGTGCTGGCAATAAGCACAATGCGCCGCCCATAGGTCTCTGCCAGAGACGAGGTAACGAGTGGGCCAATAGCTAGCCCAAGACATGGTACTGCGAATGACCAATTCACTTTTGTATATGTCGTGTCAAATTGGACCTCGAGCTCGGTGAAGGATGGAACTGGTGCTGTGGTGAAATAGGTGAGTAGGCAGTAGGCAAAGCATGCAATCACAATGCACGTGTATTTTTGAACAAAATTCCAGTTTAGAGGATCCATAGGATCTCTCGTCACTGCTGGGTATAGAGGATCTCCAGATGGACTCAGCCGAATCGGTTTGGTCTGGCCGGCCTTCGCGTTTGCCGGTGACTCTTCGATATCAGGGCATTTACCGAGTGACATGACTGTTGCATGCCCAGAAAAGAGAACTAAAAGTATACGATAAAGCTAGTGAAATAGGAGACTTGGATTCTTATTTAACCTAGATGGCCATCCGCTGCTGTGTATTATCCTGCTTATCTCTCCCGTGCCATACTACCCGGCAGTAAGAGCAGATAACGAGGAGACTGGGCTGATGAACAAGGCTTGTGACGGTTCTGTACTTGACACTAGTCGCTGCCATCTCCTCCGACTTCCTATTCCGTGCTAAGTGCCGAGCCTTATCGCCTAACCTCAAGCCAGTCGCCGCCTTCCCCGCACGCAACCCCCGTTTTTAGCGAGAGATATCGGCTAACCTTGGCGGATCGGCGGGTTTCCCATCGCCAAGGGATTACAATGCGATTATCTAATGGCGACTGAGGATCATTTAGGGCCGTGGTATAAATAATCGAAAACATGAATAGCCCTGGGTAGATTTGAGCACCTCCAAACACAGCCTGCTCCCAATCATCCGAGCACCGATTCAGTCACCAAACGCAACCATGCTGTCGGTTTGGGCAGGCATCATCCTTTTATTCGGATATGTCGTTGGTCAAAGGCTATTCTCACCTTTGTCGAAGGTGCCAGGCCCGTGGTTTACAAGGTTTACGAGTCTTTGGATCAAGTACCAAGAGTTCACGGTGAATCGACGGGAGGCCATTCATGAACTTCACAAGGAATACGGGCCGGTCGTCCGCCTTGGTCCAAATGAAGTATCATTTACAAGTCTCGAAGCCATCAAGGAGATTTATGCTTCTGGAGGCAGTGGCTATGACAAGACGGAATTCTATTCCCTTTTCAAGCAGTTCAAGACAAAGTGAGTCTCTACCAGGTTGTTTCCGGTCGGTTTTTTTGCTGACATGACGAAGGACTATGTTTTCTACACTACCCAAGGACGAGGTACGTTGATCCTAGTATGCTGCATTGGAATCTGTCTGACCACTCTACAGCACAGCAAGAGAAAGCGCATCTTCGCAGAGAGGTATGCTATGACCAATGTCATGAAAGCAAAGCCTCTGGCTGCTATCCATGAGCGTGCAATGGCCTTTGTGAACCAGTGTGCCGAAGCCGGCAAGAAAAGCGTCGATGTATATGTGGGTACTCTGGTTGTGCCAGGCCTTGAGCTTTGCTAATGTTCAAATGCAGGTGCTCCTGCACTGTTACGCTGTCGACTGCGTCACACACTTCATGTTCAGTCCGGGCGGACTGAAATCGCTCACCATTCAGAAGGACTTTGAGATCATGCGAGAGCTAACCTATCATCAAAGTCTACAGAGTGAGTCCCGCCTTTACTGACAATCATGGTGGAAGACAGTGAATACTAAACATAACTCAGAAAACCTTCTGGAGTACTATCTCCCTGCACTGGCCCCATACTTCCCCAAGATTCTTCATCCGCGAGCATCCCCCAAAACCAACCAATACGTACAAGACATGGTCGCACAGTCCGAAGTCGAAAGCCACACACTCGTGGAAAAGCTGAAGCGCAAGGATTCTAACCTGGAGCTCATCCAAGCCGCCGCAGAATGCAAAGACCACATGGCAGCAGGAATCGACACAACCGGCGACGGCCTTTGCTTCCTTATGTGGGAGCTTTCGCAATCTCACAACCTTGAATTTCAAACCAAACTTTACCGTGAATTGGCTGCTGCGCCGGCAGATGCATCCTTGGATAGCTTGGTTTACCTCGACGCGGTCATCAAGGAAGCACTGCGTTGCTCGCCGCCTATCCCGATGTCGCTGCCTCGCTATGTTCCACACGGTGGACGAATGATTGACAATTACTTTATCTCCGCGCATACGATTGTCAGCTGCCAGCCTTATACTGTGCACCGTTATCACGAGGAGGTATTCCCCGACCCGGATCGGTTCTATCCTGAGAGGTGGCTTGAGGAGAAGGGCGCTGCGGAAAGGAACAGATATTTCTTTTCCTTTGCTGTTGGAGGTAGGGGATGTACGGGCAAGAAGTAAGTCTCCCTGAACCAATATTGACCTGGGATGATGCTAATTTCGGAGTCTCGCCTTGGTGGAGATGAAGACCCTGCTACGAGAAGTGTACTCGCGCTTCCAGACTACTGTTGCTCCGGACATGACGGGGTCTATGGAGATAGACGACCAGATTATTTCGTCGAGGCCAAAGGACCAGACTTGCAAGTTGGTATTTACTCCTGTTTAGATGAGGTTTCGGTTGAATATTGTGGGATTCAGGACATGGGGAGGGAAATCGAAATGACCAATTGAATGACACTATTTCCAACTATACCCGCGGTCAAGATTATGTTGAAGTTAAAATAATTAGCACGGTTTTGTATTTCGTAAAAGGAACGAGGAGACGCTCAAAATAGTTGCTCGAGCCGATGTGCGGGGCGTGAGGGGGAACCCACGACCCGATAAGAGCGATCACCTCAATGGCTGGCCTTCTCCTCCAGATACCCGATTCGTATCCATCACAAGCTCATACTTCCGCTGCATCCTTTCTCCATTTTCCATACCCGGAGCCTGGTGTCCTCCGCGGTCCGCAGTTCACCCGTTGTTGCCAGTGCAAACCGGCATAGGCTTTTCCAACTAAACCCCGTTTCAATTGATCCAAGATAATCATACTCGCCATCTCAGCCATGGCCAACCCTAACCTATCCGTCCCAACAACCTGTCGCCTCTCCACGCGTCTCTCGCTACAATGGCTCCCAGAGCCCGCCGGCGAAGAAACAACCGACACAGTCGTCATGTCCGTGAACGGCTGGTACTTGGACCTCCGCATGAAGAAAACAGGCGGAATGGACTGGGCAATTGCAGGCCAGCGAATTGTCGAGAGCCAAGACCCAGGTTCGTGAGCCTGTAAAAAATGCTTCCCCGTTCCTGCCACTGACAAGTCTACAGTCAAAGTGTCTTTCACACACGAACTTGACTCCCACAATGCCTTTGAAAGTGTTGATTGTGGTACTTTCGAGCCACTTTCGCCGGGCGTTGATAAAGAGACTGGGTCTATGTCCAATTATGATCAGCCCGGGGCTCCTGTGATGGAGTATGTGGAGATCTGGAAGGAGCTTTCTTTCCGAGAGGGGCCTGAGGGGGCCTTGAAGGGCATCTCGTGGGTCCTTGAGTCGGATGACGGGGTTGTTAGCGAAGGAGAGCAGGAAGTCTCGGTGACCAAGACATTCTTGGGCAGGATCTGGGGGACTTATTTGGCCCTTCGGCAAACTCAACTCCATAAGCGCCACAAGGACTCCTCTGGAAATTGGACTGTGAGTAAGTCTGGACTCGATGTTAGTGCTAGGAGGGAAGAATGGGACTCGGGATGGATTGAGAAGGTTGTGTTCGGAGGAGCTGCGGAGCTCTTGCCATCAATTACTGATATTGAAGGCGAAGGAAAGGGATCTTGGAGAGTTCCAGGCGAGAAAGTGACGATCAAGGGAAAGTCGTATATTGTTCGAGCATTTGAGGAGATTCAGTGAAGTGTTTGAATCGCTGAAATAATCTACTTTTGGTATTCTCCGAGCCAATTGGCCCTGACGCAACATGTTATGGCCTCCTAGATGCAACAAGTCAATTCCAGCACTTAATAGCAGTAAATACTTTGCAATCAAATCCCTCATTCATCAACACGCGACTCCAACCAAACCGGCAGAATAACCCACCTAGTACCCAACCAAGAAAGCGGTGAATATATTCCCACAGCCTCATATTTCTTCGACTCATCATCTTTTCTTTTTCTTTTCCTCAAGCGCCATCCCCACCAATGCTGCGTTTCTTTGCTACACACGACAGCAGGCTCACCTCTGTCCTCGCCTGGTTCGTCCAGCGTGAGACCCTTTGCAAATGAGAAATTCGGAGAATTCTTCAACTACCCAACCCGCTCCCTCTTCTCTCGAGAAGAGCGGAGCCGGTGCTGCCCGTGAGGGCCTGGTGTGACCTTTCGACACACCTGCACTCGGCATCAGAAACTTCGGGGGACTCGGCTTGCCGTTTTCCCCATGGGAGAGTCGGTGCGGAGATTGTGTGTGAGAACACTTTAGTGCAATACGCAGCATACTTGTGTTCTTCTTTTCCTTCGGGATTTGAAGGCGCGGTATCATTCAATTCCGATCATTCTGGTGGGGATGGCGCTTCACTTCTTTTTTTCAGGTCGGTTTTTTGTTTACCCCCCCTCTGATGGCTGCTTTGTGCGGCGGGTGGGTCTGGAAAGGATTGTTTTTTTTTGGCGACCTTGCTGATTAGTGGGGTTGTGGCCATGTCCCTGAGGTCCTCTTTAGGTTCTTTTCTGGACGTGGTGGTGGTGGTGGTGTGGATGTGTCTGCTTGTGTGCGTGGGCTGGAGCCGGTCAATGTCTTCGGCGCCAGATGTTTTTCATCGCCCTTATGGTTACCACAGAATGCAATCATGGTCTGGGGATACATGGCCAGAGCCTGGCAATGAAATCAATTTTGCTAGCTTACTAGGCCCAATACTGCATGCAAAATCTCAAGAAAATTCTTTTACTAGTAAGCAGCATGGCTTTAGAGTAGCCTGGTAGGCCCAGCTGGACCACTCGAGATGTAATAGAAAAAAACATGATATTGCCGTCCCTTCTATTCTAGGGACATGTAGTAGAAATAATAAAGATTCATTGCCTCCGTCAGCTTCTCGCCATTATCATAGGGGCTTCGTTTTGGAAGACCCGTCATTTTACTCCTCGTCGCCGATCTACAGATATCCATTAGCACCGTCTCACAAAACAAAAGAGTGTGACATACCTTGGGGGCGAGGTAGAACCGCAAGTGACCGCTTCCCAGACCGTACTCAACGAGCAGAGGCACCTCCTGAGACAGGTGTAGCTTTACAGAGCTGGAAAGGTTGGAGGCCTTGCAGAAGTTGACGAGGTACTTGAGGGAGAAAGTCAGGGCGACGGGTTCGGAAAGGGAGATGGAGACGTTCTGGTCGGGCTTGTCGACGTTGGTGTGCTGGCGGATGGTGACGGAGCCATTGCCAATGTCACCGGAGCAGGAGAACTTAACGCCCTCCTTGCTGGCCTCGATGACGACTGAAAAATCCCAATTAGACATGATTCCAAAGCTTATGGCGCAGACGACTTACCAGACTCGGACAGGGCGTTCAAATCCCTGCAGATACGCTGGAATTCCATCGCGGGCATCTCGACGGTAGCGGCGTATTCAGTCTCGGGGATAGCCAGGTGCTCCTGGTCAATATCCATGAGCTTGAGATCGTACTCGCTGAGGCGGTCGGTCTCGGCGCTCTCGAACATCAGGTTGACCGCATCGGGCGAGTCCTCGGCCTTCAGGGTCAGGATGTCTTCATTTTGGGCGGCACGCAGGACCTTGGTCAGGGAGACCAGGTTGATGCCGAGAGCGATGTTGCGGTCGCAACGGTACGGGGAGAAGCCCTCCGCGCGGAGTAGCATGGAGACCAAGGCAACGTGTGAGTTGTCCATGGCCTGCAGCGCAATACCGGAGTCATTGCAGTCGAAGTTGCAGTCCTGCACCAGATCCTTGATGGCGTCGACGACCTAGGGATTCCAACATCAGTTTATGGATCGAGGGACGTGAGATCGTCATAGTGGCTAGACGTACGCGCTTCAAAAGGCTTGCCTGCTCGAGCCGTGCTTCCAACACTGTGTCGTTGAGTTAGTCGGGGGTTCACGCACCACGGTCGGGTTTAGTGTGCTCAAGACTTACTGTTGATGAGGGGTGTGTTTGTGGGTTATTAAAAAGAGGGGTAGGAGCGAGGAGAAGGCGGCGTCGAATTGACGTAGAATTGAGTGGATAGAGGAGGAGGAGGGCGTGGGTATTCTGGAAGTGGTATTGATGAAGGTAGAAAGGCCAGCGGTCTGATTATAAGGCGAAATCGCGTCCGAGGGTTAGTGGGGAAACGCGCTCGCGCGCGTTTGGCGATATGTCCTAATTGGGCTAGTCTTATGCCTTCACAGTAAGGTGTCTGCAGTATGCGGCCTGAGGCCAGACTTTTGCGTATGTTATATGGTAGGTACATTGAGTTCCATTTGAATTACAAAAGAAGCTGTACTGTACAAAATGCTGAGGGAGGCCAAGAAAGGCTCAAATTCCAGCCAAAAATAGCCACGGAAAGAGGATCAACCCCTACACAAATAATGGTACAAACGAAAGAGAAGTGCAGTGAAAGAAAACCGAAAAAAGTCCCAGTAAACGCCGTATTCGCCAGATGCTTGTATAGACGTCAGGGTATCGTATCAAAATTGTGCTCCTAACCACTCGAACCCATTGAACATTGAAGAAGCCGTGGGATATGTTGGAGCAGGAGAAAGCAAGGGAACGAGTGACCGGTAAATCCATTAGATACTAGTCACTCGTTTAGACTGGGTATTTCGAGGCCGCTGTTTGATGACCATCTCCAGTTCCTTGAGCATGTTCGTATTGGCGTCCACTTTCTCGCGGGCGGTGGCCTGTCTCACCCTTTCTTCTCGCACGCGAGCCAGACGTTCATCTCTGGTTAAAGATGCTCTCTTATTCCTGGACGCGGGGAGCACAACTGCCTCGAAGATCTCCTCATCATCAAAACTATGCGTCAAGTCGGGGCGAGAGTCGCCGTTCAGAGCTTTAAGGGCGTCAGTGGGGCTTCCTTCGACAGCTGTAGTACCCCCCAGGCTAGGGGTTGGTGACAATGGCAAGACTGTACTTGTGGGCCGGGAGCGGTCCAAAGTATTGAGACGGTGTTGGCTATTCACCATAGCAGCTTTCCCTGCTTCCCATTCATGAAGAAGAGCCCGAATGTCGCCGCCAATCGAGTCGTACTGCGAAAGAAGAGTTGCTTCGAAATCACTGGTGTCCGGCCGGTCCATGTTGGCATTGGTCTCCTCACTGACGATGTGCATTTTTGCATGCAAGGAACGCACTCCCTGGAATAGGGAGTTGAGTCGTCGGAATTGTGCACGCACATTCTCCTTGCTTGGGGAGGCGGTCGGCAGCGGAGACGGAGGAATGGCATCCCCTGCGGAAATTAGCCAGTGTTTCTTGTCGCAAAACAAGCGGAAATACTCACGATCTTCCTCATCCAGGATTCTAGTCATTTTAGTCATGCTCGCTCCAGTGACTGCGGCAAGCTCGCGCATCTCCTCCACGGCGGAGCTCCATCGCGCAATATCTGAGGCGCCTCCGTCGGCGCTCAGAGCCAACAGACAGCACAAGACGCTTTTTCTGACGGTGTATAGTTTCCCGAACAAGTCCCGTAGGGAACGGAGCGAGTATTGGTCTTCCAGAGACCGGTTTACCAAGGTCAATTCGATCGCTTCTAGGTCCTCGAGTCCAATGTCATATATGTCGTAATATTTAGCCAGGTTTCCTTCGTCGGTAAGAGGGCGTAGGGTATTTTGGGATTGAATATAGCGTTCGAGCATCGACCAGAAACATTCCGACACGGCCCGGCGAAGTCTCAGGCACCGTCTGGTCTGAACTTGGTCCTCCAGTCGACTAATCGGCGGTAAAGGTGTGCTTCTGTAAAGCAAAGTTAGCCCATATATCTCCCCCATTACACTTGTGGCGTCTCACATCCGATATCCTCTGGAAACCAGTTCCACCTCCTGGATGAAGACCACCGAAGCGGACGCAGCCGAGTCAAATCCTTGAGCATTTCCAATGAAGGTGCCAGCAGCTTCCACAGCCTGATGCCGCAAGTATTTAAGCCACTGCCTCTTTGCGAAAGCATAGAAAACAACGCCCAGCACCGGGACAAGAACCAAGAGCACTCCGATTCTTCGTGGGTTGAGCCCGGATCCCGTTTTAGACCGACACCAGTGTAGCAAGAAAGCAATCGAGAAAGACGTAGCGCCGGTAACAATGGCACCGTGCAGACCGAATGTTGTAGAAAGAGAGGGAAGCTCTACGGGTTGGAAAGTGGACGCAACGTCTGCGGCGGAGGTGTAGGAGGGGGCGCTATGCTCGTTCAACAACTGCGAGGCGACGATAACGTATCCGAACTGTTCCAGAAACCTCTCATTGTCACCTCGTCCGATGCGCGCATTTAAGGCGGACTAAAATCATTCCAGCTGTCAGAATATGGCTCCCACCATGGGTGACGGGGGCAAATACTGAGCAAGCACTATACAACTTCTCAGCCACCCTTCCGTGTCGCGTGTTTACCAAATGCAAGGGCTTCGGCAGTTTGTTGCGTACACGCTCCTGGAATTTGGAGGCTCCCCGTGGGGCAAAGTTGGTGGACGGAACGTCTGCTTCATCCTCACTGTGCATCTCCTGGACAAGCCAGTTCTCCTCACTCTCGCCTTCACCTGATGACGACACACGTGAGTATATAGTTTCTCTGCGTTCTGGCAGATGCGACGAACCTTGGAGGTAGTCGGCTAGCGGCGAATTCTCATATACGAGTGACTCCATGGCCGAAAATCATTCCGGAGCGAGTCGAGGAATAGAGCGGAGGCGGAGACGAAACGCGGAACGGGGGAGAGGATGAAACGGGGTTAGGCAAGCCGCGCGCCTAGGGACATGTCGCAGAAAGACCACTCTCCAGTCGTTGTATCGTGTGAGTCTTGTTAAGATTGAGAGACAACTCGGCCACGTTGAACATCCGGGGAAAGGAGAGGTCACGGGGGCTCAATTTAGGGCAGAGGACCCACTCGGCTCCTTTTTCGATTACTCGGGAACTCGGCTGATCAGAGGTTACATATTTGACTTCATAAATTGTCAACTATGATTAGCGTGTACTATTGAGGATAACCTAGGTCTGCAAGGAGCAGATTATCATCTGGGCTAACTTGCAGGGTGAGGGATCCGAGGAGTATGCCGCCGAACCAGAGATGACAGAAGTCAGATCAGGAAACTGCGCCGGTGCAGCCGCCAAGCACCTATGGACAAGGATGGATAAAGTTACCGTTGTAGACGTGCCGTGTACCAGATAAGCCTGTGAATGTTATCCATCGTGTTTCCATTTCGGGAAGGCGCGCCTTGAATGTCACGTGTATTTCCCCCGGTCGGTATTAGATAAGCTCAGTTGCCCTGGACAACGCGCGTGTCAACAGGCCCCAATGTACGCTCTATCGTTGACACGCGGGAGATGCGCGTGGTTGATTGCTTGAGTGGACGTGTCTTGCACATTTAGATCTTATTTCTCATTCTCGGCTCCCACCCTCGAGTGTTTGAATCATTCCACCATCCAACGATCTCACCGCTTCTTTGAGATCAACAACCTGCAAGGGTCAACTCTATTGACGATACAACCTCGAATCTCCATTTCGACGTATCCATCCGACCTATTGATGTTTCCATAGCTCTCCAACCTGCAGTCCAGACAACTCGATAGCATGTCTGGAATCTTGAACGAAGCTGTCACCCCTTGTCCGTCGAGGTCGAGATCCTCAGGCATCGGCGAAGACAGCGGCAGCGAGTGGGCCAGTTTGCTGGAGGGAGACTCATATCGTGAGCCCACTGGACAGATTGAATTTACTACGGAAGTACGAGCACCGACACTTACTGGGGTACGGCCTCGACGAGCCAACCGAGCTAGTTCTGCTTTTCAGATCCTGGAGGATGTGGTGGAGAAGCCCACTGGTCCAGCAGAGAAACGAAAAAGACCAAATGGAGTAACCAGGCTCCCCTCGGATCGCAAATCATCCTTGCTTGCTCAGCCGGCCCAACGATTTCGCCCGAAAGTCAACTTTGCCCCGAGTCCACCATCCCGACTTGTGAAACCAGAAACCGAGACACGACCGAAGACTCGAGGATTCGGAACAAAGGCCGGGGACGGACCCCTACCCGAACTACATCCAAGCTATGGAGAATCACACCAAGTTGGAAACGAAGATGAGCTGAAGAAGCACGTCCGGCGCAATACGGTGTATATCCCACCGGATGATACTACTGTGGCTAGCGTTTTCATGGGGCTGTTCAGTCCACTTTTGAAGCCACGTGGAGATTATCTGCAACAGATTGTGGAAGATACACAGGTCAACACTCTCGAGGCCCGAATCGCAAAGCGTCAAGCGAGAAAATCATCGACGGCGTACGCTCGCAAGGTTCCTCTACAGCCAAGTGCGAAGATTGCCCAGGAAGCCGCAGCAAGGGTCGATGTTGTCGGTAAAAATGGCGGCAAAGAAAATATCCCCCCAGGTACACTCATCGACATTGAAAAGAAGAGCACCACGAAGTTGGTCCCAGCATCAAATCCCAAGCTGGTCAGCACCGTATCGATAGCAAAGCCCGTTTATCGCAATACTGCAAACCAAGCATCGAAGCCAAAGACAGCAGATCTTGTTACTTCAGCACCGAAGAAGGAAGAATGGAAGCGCGATGTGCTGAGAGAAAAACAAGACAATGCGAGATCCCAGCCACCTCGTGTCCATCGTGAACAAGGCTTCTCTAGGGAATCAAAAGCTCCATTCAAAGCCTCCGCATCGCTCAATGCTAGGGCATCTGCTTTGTCGGATCGCCTTGGACATTCAACATCAAATCGCTCTTCAAGAGCTGGAAAAATATCGAAGTTGGAGGAGCTGAACCATCAATATCCCATGCTCATCGACAACATTTCAAAACCTGCACTATATGAAGAGAATTGGCTTTCTCATCAGGAAACAGTGATTACACAGCTAGTGAATGCGTTGTTCGAGTGCACAAATGGCGATTTGGACACCTACGACCCGAATGCTCTTCGCTTGGAATTGCTTGAACTCTACCACACCGAGTACTTCACCCAGCTCTATAGCCGACTGCAAGCGTCCTTGTCATGTGGAAACTTGAGCGTTCCCAAAGACATTCTCTCCCGCAACAGTCGTCTGAGGCACGATCTGGGTCTTCGACGCAGATACCTTGACATTTGGATTCAATCGTATGACCTCCGTGCCCTGACAGCAGCCTTGGAGACGGTTGTTGGTCGAAAGGTTTCAAGTGATGCGGGCTTTTTCGAGACTGGTGCTGAAGCTTTCCAAGAGTGCACTGCAAAGCACCAGAAAACGATACTCCGTAAATTGGAGGGCTTTCTTGAGGCATTCTTGCTGCGCAACGATGACGTTGATCTGTCCGTACCTGGAACCAAGGACAGTTCGACAGAGATTCAAGCGAAGGCTTATCGTCGGACAGTGCTTCGAAGCATCATGATGGTTGTTCTCCTCGACCAGGGACGACAGTCTCTTAGAACTGGTCTTCCATGTCGCCTTTTTGTGGCATCTTCGCCTTTCAAATCTTCTGTTGAAGTACTTCAGGGCTTGGCACGTTTGCTTCTTCCTTCTTGCGGTGATATTATGAAGCCGTTGAGCCATCTTGGTTGCCATCTATCTTACAAGCAGCACCAACTCCAGGAGTATAGCTACCAGATCGACAACATTGCTGTAGACCTGAGAGATGGTGTACGGCTGACCCGCATGGTCGAAATTCTTTTCTTCAATTCAGAACATGTACGGTCTGATGTGGAAGATCAGACGGAGGTCACCCTGTCTACTGGGCAGGCTCTTTCATTGCCAGGGGACGAAAGAGACCTTCCTCTTTCCAAGCACTTGAAATATCCGTGCGTCAGTCGTGCTGCCAAGGTCTTCAATGTACAAATCGCTCTCTCTGCGTTGAGCTCCGTGCGAGGATCTGGTGCGATTGTCCAAGGCCTGCTGGCTGAAGACATCGTTGATGGTTATCGCGAGAAGACCATCGCACTTCTTTGGGCCCTGGTGAGCAAATGGGGCTTGGCTGGTCTAGTCGACTGGGACGACGTTAGCAAGGAAGTCTCACGGCTGAAGCAAAAGGCTCTTTCGCTTGGCCACGAGAATATCCAGTATGAGACTTCGTGCATGGCCAGCAAGTCCAGCGAAGGTGATGAACATGCCCATCTACTTCAACAGTGGGCTGCAATCTTGGCGGCTCTGAGGGGCCTTTCCATCAACAATATGACAACCAAGTTTGCGGACGGAAAGGTTTACGAAAGTATCGTTGATGAATACGAGCCATACATCACTGGCAATCCCCGTCTAGTGACAGCCACGCAGCCCAGTCTATCATTGGAAACACGCCTGCGCTTGCTGGGATGTAGCTCCCAATTCGGTTAGTAGCCTGCAAGAGGAAGCCTACCCTCCATCTCAAGCATATGCTTATAAGTTACGAACAGCACATCTCGTCTCCCCCGGTACATTATCCTCGCACATTCTCGACCGCGATTTCACCCTTGGTGCCCTCGCATTCCTCTGTTCTCGATTGCTCTCGGCATCGAGGCGCTGCCGCGCAGCCACAGTGCTGCAGCGCGCTTGGCGAGCCCGCCTCGCAGTTCAACACAACTTTCGTCGCACCGTTGCCAAGAATCTTGCCACCCACTGCGCAGCCGTTGTTCAAACACGAGACGAGATCCTGTGGGCCAAGGGCGTGATTACTCGACATTGGAGACAGCACAAGGCTCGCCAGCAGTGCAAGGCACACGATTTGCGCAAATTTGACTATCCCCGCGTTAAGACCGCCGGTCGTCGTCTTTGAAACACATTCCACTCTACCAACGGCCCTTGCCGTTCTCGAGAAACCACCGTCACTGGTGCACAGTGACATCCTAACGATTACGAAAGCGACTCGTTCTTTTGAATTTTCATTGATAACCCCTCTTGTTTACGGAGTTTGCGATATCATTGAGCATGGAAGCGCGTTGGGATTTGGTTTTCGGATTCACTCATACCCTCATTAGACATCCCATGCATTCTGTTATGATATCCCATTCGAAATCGATCTTTCCTACTATGATGACAATGCACAGAAGTTACATATCCTGAAGTTCCAAGTTCAAACATGAAAAGCAGATGCCTTGATCTACGAAGCCACGACAGGGCAAAATTCATTTACAACAGCAATTCATGGGTCTGTGTTTTTGCCTCACGTGTCAAATGTCGAATTGTGAAGGCCCGAGAAGTGTCACTCCTTGTAGCACTTAGGTGAATGCAGGTGAGACTGAGCCACCGGAAGAGGACGGACGGTTCGAGTCTTCGCTCGTATAATACGAGGAGATAGGTGAAGTCGACATTGGATTGGATACAAGGTTCTCGGCCCATTCCACTCAGATCTACATAGCTTAAAAGCCAATCCACGAGGGCCAGGAATGACGGATGTGGCGTGTGTAACCACGTTGCGCTTGCACAAATGCGTGCCAACTGCATGCCAACTGCGTGGGCAGTGCAGTCATTATACCGTTCGCCACCTGGCACTCCAAAGGAACCGGATCCATGAAACCCCTCATCGCGGCGGTTGTAATTCGTGTACTCGCCGGGTATTCTGCAGAACGGGACGATCCGGCTCTGGGGTAAACTCAACACGGGAAAGGATCTCCGTGCCAGAAATGACGATGGACCCCAATTCGACCTCAGCTCTCTTTTCTTGCAGCGATTCTTAAGTGCTCGGACTAAACACCATGCCGGGGGCTCCTTGGAGATCCCAGGGCTGCAATACCTGCAGGAGGCGCAAGGTCAAGGTATGCAACCCCCACGATCGCCGTGTCTCGGCGTTATTAACCGCCCCAGTGCGACGGGGAACGACCCCACTGCGCTCGATGTCTTCGAGGTGGCCACCGCTGTGAAGGATACGACCGATCTCGAAAGTTCGTTCATGCCTTCTCTGCGCCCGAGGCCGCTTCGAAAAACCTTCCCGTGACAAAGCGACAACCCCGCAAACAAGATGCCGGCTTTTCGACGATCAACGTCAACACGCAGATCCGATCCCAGCTCTTTTCCCTATTCATCGATTCCTATATTCCCTCCCGACCGCTTGGCCAGATTAAATTCCGATGTCAGCCGGCTCCGAATTTATTCGAGGTATTCCCCGCCCTCATGAATGGCAGTAATAGCCAATTACTGGACCGGGCGATATCTGCGCTTGCCTCTGTCTTCGTGGGCAATAAAATCGGCAATGAGCAGTTGATTCGGCATGGGGTTGAGCTGTACAACAATGCCATTCAAGTGTTTGCACGTCTTATACCGCAATCGGGGCTCCCGGTTCAAGAGGTTCTCTGTGCAAACGTCGTGTTTCAATTATACGAGGTAATCCGTTTCCTACTTGGAAGCTTCCATGGAGATATCTAACACGTTCAGCTCATAAATTGCACCTCCGGGTTCTCTGGATGGACGGCGCACATGGAAGGCGCCAATGCCGTGCTTGCTCGACACGAGCAGTTCCTGGAAAGGGACGAACTGACCAGAATGTTACTTCGCCAATTGAGGCTATCCAATGTGAGTCCAGGCTTCTACCTTGATCCGTTGGAATGAAATCTGATCCAGACAGATCTTCCATGCCATAGGAAAATCCAAGTCAGCCATCGCTTTCTGTCCAATGTGGCGATTCTTATCACCCAAAGACTCGGATGACCCCATCGACGAAATCATCGATATTCTCATGGCCTGCACCAGTCTCCTCGAACAAATGAACGATGTGCGGTTTACATCTGACTCTGAGCAATTAATGCAACAGTGTTGGGATCTCAACATGCAAACCATGCTATGGTACGAGAAACTCGAGTCGATCCATGGAAAACCGCTCTACACCAAGATTCCGGACGATACCAGCATCCCTCGGAGCCAATCCAGCAAAAGCTTCTTACCAGAAAGATATGAATTCTCAGCCCTCGACGTCGCAGAGTCACATATGCTCTGTTGGACTGCAATGCTCATAATGTACTCTATTTTCCATCGACTGGAGGTGCAGAAAGAGCATCTTCACCCCGGTTATACCTCCGACAACGAAGTAGCCGAAACCTTCCTTGAAGGAGCGCAGCACTACGCCACTCAAATCTGTCTCGGCGTGGGTTACTTCCTCCAGCCACATATGCACATTCTTGGTGGGCATAACTTGCTCTTCCCGGTCAGCATGGCATCGCAGTTGTTCCATAGCAACGGACTGCTCGACCAGTACCAGTGGTGTCAGGAAGTCTTCGCTGCCCTTGAGGCCACTGGGCTTGGGCTAGCCAGTGTTTTGCAGGGAACACCGTGGTCCAGATATAAACAGATCAGCAGCCCAACGACGGTTGCTGTTGAAGCTGAAGATAGCCCTGGAGAGGGAGATGATATGTAGGTGCGCGACGAGCTGTATCATTTTACTGTGATTTTATATATATTCAGTGTATATTTTCATGAAAAGCGCATGCAATTTCATACCTGTGCTATGCTATTCCGATAATGCAGAGCTCATAAGAAGGCTTACATAACCGCTGCAATGCTCTCTGTTTCAATGACGGGCACTAGCAAAGTTATAAAGAACGCCTGTCGAATTAATCATAAAGGCTGCTATGTACCCACCCATTATTTCTGAGTGGGCTCGTTCTTTGTGTTGTGTTCTTCTGCCTTCTTGAGACTTCGGCCAATATCATCCTTTTCTGTCGTGCTTAACGGCTATGCAGAATCCATCTGTGAAACTTTTACATTGGTTTATTCCTCCATATATGGATTTGTTGTCAAATGGCCCTCAAGTCAAGCTTCGGCACTACCTTTCGGTACTTTCAAAAATGCGAAAAGATCGAAATGCCTATTGTCTACTTTTAAGAGGTAAGGCTCCGCCCTATAACCAAGTATGTAATAGTATAGTGACGACAGGCTTGACTTATATACTTCAATTGCCTCCCAATCTAAATTGAATGGGTTTTTGTGATGCAGATACTTGGCAGCTGTTGGTTTTCTCTAGTTAGCGGCGATCAATATCACATCAATGATTACTGTCTGGAGAGGAACGGATTGCATCTTTTGAATGAAATTATGCCGTTGCCATTAAAATGATAGATCTTTCAAGTTCTGAATTGTAGGAGAAAACCATCTATATTAGGCGTCTTTTCGATTTTCATAATTGCTAACACTAACACCAATGTAGATGTCGTCATGTAGTCTTTCAACCCAGATTTCGCACCTGTGCAATGCCTCTGTTGCTGACAAATGTGTCAAATATAAATTCTTTTGCTTTCTATATACTCCATCAAATTCACAACTTCAATCCTTCATTTCGAATTGTATAATTAGGGCATGATTGAAAGGATTTCTGGACAGAAAACCTCTTCACCAAGATGAACTTTCTTTCCTGCTTGTTTCGTTGGCAAAAGGTATCTTTCCATTATTGTTCCAACTCATATCAAATTTTGGAGAAGCAATCGACGTCTGAAAGCGCTGATCGCTCGCAAAAATCGTTTGCCGATTTCTGCAAAGAATGCGTCCCACCCTTTTGTAGCCTGAGCCCTGTCCTGTTCAATGGCCACCTTCAAACTGCATGGACTCAATTTGACATTGAGGATATTCCGGTCTATTACAAACGCAAATTGTTCGACTCCGATGATTCCTCTTACAGCGGACAGTTCTCGGTTGACTTTGTGGTACGCCCGTGCGTCGACAACCGTGTCGTTTCCCAGACCAAACCAGATGCAGAGCTTCCAGCTCGTACGACCTTCTTTGAACCCCAAGAAGAGATCGATTTCATATCTACAGAAGATTCCAGACCAATTCTCCTTGTCCCTCATGGGATGTCTGGGGGATCTCATGAAACGTATATACAGCACGCCCTTGCTCCTCTTGTGACACACGAAGGAGGATGGGAGGCCTGTGTCATCAACTCAAGGGGTTGCGCCGGGTCCAAATTGACCACTGGTCTTCTTTACAAGGCACGATCTACTTGGGATTTCCGGCAGGTCGTGAGTTGGTTCAAGGAGCAATTCCCAAATAGGCCACTTTTTGGAATGGGCTTCTCCATCGGGGCAGTCATGTTGACGAATGTATGTTCCGGTCTCTCCCTCCCGCCTCCAAAAAGAATTTAATTATGATTTTTCTGGCAAAGATGAAACTAAGTCTGATATGACAATGAGGCAGTATTTAGCCGAAGAGGGTTCAAATTGCCCGCTCAGAGCTGCTGTTATGGTCTCCAACCCATGGAAGTTGGACTTTGCATCACATGCTCTCCAGCGGTCTTGGATTGGATCGGAAATTTATTCCAAAATACTAGGTCACAATATGAAAAATATCATCAAAAGGTAAGCTATCACTTAGGACTATGAATATAGCGGTAAGAAATTGACTTTATACATAGAAACAAAGATATAATTACACAAACACTAAGAATTGACCCGGAAGCCGTCGAGAGAATAAATTATGTTCAAAATTTTGACCGGTAAGTGGTTCAAAAATTTGATCTCGGTTTGAAGGTTCTGCCTAGTTTCTCATTAAAGCAGCGAGATCCAGTGTCCAACATGGGGCTATCCGACAGAAGATGCGTACTACCGAGATGCTTCTTGTGTTGACACAATGCTTGCTATTCGAATCCCATTTTTAGCCATTCAAGCCCTGGATGATCCGGTAAGGGAAGTTGAAGCGGCAAGTAGAGAAAGAAACTGACTAAAAACTTCTCAAGATAGCTACCAAAGACGCAATACCATTTGCAGAGTTCAATAAAACCCCCTTTGGAGTACTATGTGTTACACCTGGTGGCGGTCACTTGGGTTGGTTTGAGGCCGGGGTGAGCGTTGGTTTGTGAAACCGGTACATACGATATGTTTGCTTTTCCCAAATCGTGACTAACACTACGCTTTTAATAAAGACTACCAATTTCCTCAACAAATTGGCAAAGGAAGTGGATCTGGATGAATCTATCAAGCTCAATAAAAACCTGGATATCGAGCCTCTGGTGAAAGGCGAGGCCTCAAAGGAACGTCTGCAATTATTCAATCCACAAAGGCTGCAGCCGGGAAATCTAAAATTGAGAGCAAAACTCTGAAATATGGTTGATGGTGATAACTGAAGGAGAGCCTAGTTAGCCTTAATTTAGAGAAAATAGACTGGTAATTCTGAAGAAGTTATCCCTTGGTATGTGTTGCAACTTTTTCAGGAGAGATCCATCCCTTATGCTAGGACCTCTATAAGAGAGTTTCCTAAGAACCTATATAGAAACTAACGCTATGTGATCGCACAAAGGAATAAAAAGCACTCTTCTATAATTAATAAACTCTCTTCCTTAAGGTAGTCACAATCGCATAGTTGAAGTTCCAGTTTATATACTTGCAGTTCCATCTAGTTCTTCACCTGGTCTAATCCCTAGCCCTAACACGGCGCTAAAGGGTAGAACGAGGGACTTAGAATCGGTTTACTGCGCTGCGTATAGAGCTGATTTCTTTATTTTTAATGGCCTGTATAGCTCATAAAAGGCGGCTCTCCTGTTCGATAGACTTTTGGGCTATTTGAGAGCGGTTTAGTGGCATAGTGGTACGCGAAAAAGTTGTTGGGTGGCCGACTCGGTGGTTTGGCCCACCGGTACTGAATTACGTTAACTACTAAGCACGCACTGAACACTCACTAACGTATTTCCCAAGCGAATTTCCCAAGCGAGTGGCCATCTTCAAAACACCATAGTAAACGCGATATTATACCATCTTATATCTCGACAACAATAGACTACGATAAAGTCTTCTTCTAGTACTATATTTGCTATAGCATATCTAGCCTATTTACAAGGCCTAGGGAGATTTAGTGGTACGATGATTCAGTAATATGTATTTGTAGTTAAAACATCTAAATTACAGCGTGTTTTATGGTAACATAATAAACCAATCATTGCACTAACTTAAAGTTAGTATATACTATTTCTTATGCCAAACAATGCTAGTATCAGGAGGATGAAGTAAAAATAATCATTGTTGTTGAGAAATGAGGGTGTAAAATATCGCGTTTACCATGATGTTTTGAAGATGGCCACTCGCTTAGGAAATAAGTTATGCATGACTAACCACGCAGAGCGTCACTGGTCACATGACAGTACCATGATCACTGAGCCTGAGCCCATGCTGAAGTCTACAGTACTCAGTGATCCTAAGCCTGAGCGCCATAAAAGTTGCGGCAGCCTAGATAGGAAAGGCCCCACCTGGCAGACTTTATCCCGTCTATATAGGTGCATATATCGCACATTTCGTAAACAAACAACGGTCAACGCAACCCCAAACCGCTTGACCGCTTGAAACGTCCGAGCCCAGCAACATAAATAGCTCACCACCTTGGCAAGGGCCTTAAATCAACCGGGGTGAATATACAGGGATGAACCGGGTACGCAGACAAATGAGGAAGAGAGCGAGGAAGAAACGCAGGAAGACGCGTGTTGATCGCCCGCGTAGTCGCCGTTCGCACTTCTTCCACCGCGAGTACATACATCTATGTATCCACGCTCTATCCGTGAACTGTACATATACAGTGGCTGGGATTCATCATCTCGAAAGATGATCCGGTGGCGTCGCTACGTGCTTTCAGCCCCATCTTATCATGATATCACAGCCCCCACCACTTCTATTTTCGTTGAGTCAAAGGCACCAGGTACTATTCCTAGTGAAGATCAGCTCCACCGTGCGTGGGATGACATCGTACTAAACACCCATGCCCGAACGCCTAAGCTGTGATGACGACATGAGACTCGGGATAAGGGCTGACGCCCCACGCGCGTTCACGGGCGCACATGACATTTCCTCGACCGACCGGAGAAGACAACAGGCTTGAAAACCATTCATTGCGCCGAGTGTGCTTGGACGCCGTGCGGGACGTTTCGGCACTCACTGGCGAGTGCTGTGATGCACTGAGCGCGGCCCGGTGACCTGTGTTCTCGGCCAACCAGGTTCGTGAGAGTTGCCGGTGCTTGTCGATCGGTGTTCTAACTTATAGTTTGGCGAGGGCTTTTGTTTTGCTGGTGTACTGTATCGGGAAACTACTGATACGGTGTTGTATTGGCCCCATGCGATTTGCAGTTCGTGTTGTACTGTATGTTCGGTGCAGGGAAGCTGATGGGCACTAGGCTTGTTCCATGACGGTGGCTTAGGTCCCCTAGGAGTCTCATTCGGTCTTAGTGTCAATCCTGTGCATTGGCAGACTTCTATATTTGCACCATAGGCAGATTCATTAAGGGGGCGCAGCATCGCAGACAGCCCGGGTGCCTTGCGTGTAGAGAAACTCCGTATACAATCTGACCACGGCGCGAAGGCAATCTCCCAGATCGGATCGATCCAATTCAAAACGAGAACCAAGCCAAGCCTGTAGCCGTCGACCTCGCTAGCGCTGCCACTGCCACTGCAAGGCTCCTGGACTGCATTGGTTGCACGACGCGACGACTTGGCGCCAAAACAATAGCTAAAACAATAGCCAAAGCTCTCCACAGATGATTGCCAAGACACCTCCTTGATGCTTCAGGGGCAGTGTGATCGCCATGATCGCCCTTGGCGTGGTTCATTTGCAATTGCATCGATTATGCAGTCCACTGTGTGACGATAAGGACTTGGCGCCGAGGCCATCAACCCCTGAGTATTGAACCTTCTCGAGCCAAGATCTTGAAGAAAGGGGGGTCTGCAGCCCTGGTCCACTCGCTCGGAGAGAGTGGAGTCTCCCTGCTCGTTGACAGCTTCCGCTCATGCTTCTCGCGTTGAGAGTAACACCGGTCGCATTCTGAAGACTCGCCCGGGTTCTTGGCAGTCTGAAGTATCGGGCGTTGTCGCCAAGCACCGCAGCGGAATGGACTGGACCCGTGTCTCCCGCAAATTGCCGTCTCCCTGTGTGCTGGACGATCTGGTCAAGACTGGTACATGATTAGGGGTGAAACTCAAGAGGAACTTCTTGGCGAGGGGTATTTGGGCGATCTGGTTTCATTAGTGGTTTCGAGTGGTCGACCTGATGCGATTGGTACGGTAGTATGTGTTGGACGAGACAGGGGGCACATGTCTTCTGATCTAGATACGGTTTGCACCGAGTCTCGTAGACTCGGTCATATAGCAGACCGGGCAACGTCCGGGAGGACTAGAGTCAGCACGGAGTATTGTAGCATTGCGAAAGCGACTTGGCCCTATGCACCAAACCGGGCACTCGGGACATGAAACGCTGCCTGCGGTCGCGACGTTGGGACAGAGCAGGTGGCTTGGGTGATCCAAGGTTCCCATGTGAACTTGCGAGTTTCACTGCAACATCGACGGTGAACACGACTTGTATTGTGCGCAGGGTACAATGCCGGGGATATCCGATGTATGAAATAGATTTCAAATTTCGTCTAGTGCACCAAATCAAGTGCCTGCCAGAGACACGAATTTTGGAACCCTAAGGAAGCCGAAACCCTACCTTAGGGTACGTTCCCAATTGATCATGGATAAATTGCAGGGGCAATTACGACAGCCGCTGTCAAAGCGATGAACTGTCGCAGCTTAACTGTTTCTGGGCGCAGTCGCAGGCGAGTGGAGAGAGCCGATAAAATGCCTCATACAATTGACTCCAGTTCCACGCGCTACTGCGCACTGCACTGTGCGCTTTCCTCTGTTAACTCAATTCTTCCCGCGTTTTCGTACTCGACCTACTTGCATATGCTAAAGGACTCCACTTCCCCGGTTGATGTTCCGGTCAACTCTTGTGCGTCTGTCTGGTGCCAGCCGCTGGCCCCAACCGAGACACCACTCGCACAGTTCGCACCTTATACTCCGTAGATGTACGGTGCTAAATGACCCCACGCTTCGAACAACGGTCCCGTCTGGTGCCAGCGCAGCGCTTAGCTTTGGGATGATTTTCGTAGATTTGGAGTTCTCGGGAGATGAGGGGGTTCTTCTTGGCCCGTTCCATAATCTTGGGCCACCCTCATTGACATCACTAGATGATTGGACATGCTGAGTCTTTGTGTGGAGATTTTTTGTCTCCGGCATTTACTAGGTACACGAGAGATTAACATTACTACGAATCTCGTATCGGTAACCATACCTAGGAAGTACCCAGTCGATCGACAGGATCTCGTGCCCATACATACGTGCTTCTCTTCCCCTCAGTCGGAGAAAATCCCTCGGAAATGCAAAACCTTGAGACCTTGTTGGAACATCCTGGACTGACGCGCAAGAAGCTTCGCGCTCGAGTTCAGTGAATTCTGACCGGTTCGTGCGCGAAATGGAGTGGTCTCCTAGGGGCATTGCCCAACGCAACCGGGGCCATGCCTGCTCACACAGATGAAGTATGGGGTGATCGCGAAGCTTGTCATGATCTCAGAGCCCTAGGGCTGCACCGAGCGGATTGGAGGATTGTATGATTCGTGCTCCAAGTACCTACCTGGGTACCTTTCCAACTCTCTTCGGGTACTCCCCATGTACACTGTACACTGCTTGCCAATGGGTCCGATCCCGTGGATGATCCGGATTGCGGCTGACCGCTTCTCTGTCCCGTCGCGGTAGCCCTCACCAGCAGAGGCGATTGGTGCCCGTAAGGTCATTTGATTCAGTAATGAAAATGCGATATTATCGGAGTTGCGGTGGGGTCGGCGGGTTTACAGTAGACACACGTTTCACCGCAGGAACACATCGTGGTATACCGATTCTTTTGTTTGGTCCACGCGACTACGATTTACTTTGAACTGTACTTCGCCACGGGCATGACGGAGATCAACGAGGAGACAAAAAGACGCCTGGCGTACTACTGGCATACTACGGGCTTACTGAATCTCTTGGCGTCATGTCGAAAGCGCCTGCTTCTGGGCTGGTGCATACCTGACAGGCTGATTGAGCTGCACGGGTGATCATTGGTCTGTATACCAAGACTGATCTGCCGGGCAGGTAGCCACCATCACCCTGGGGTGGATGAAGTGTCCGGTGAGAACAGATGCTTTCCACCCGGAGAGGCCCGATCGGTGCGTACGGGTAAATCTACGTCAGAGGAGTCCGCATCAGGGAACAAGGGAAAAGTCGGCCATTGAATACCAAGCATTCCAGCGCGGGCTGCCAATCCGAGGGGAGTAGTAGAATCCGACACATGAGGAGAAACATATGACGATGGAGGAAGCGCGCTGTGCGCACGACAAGAGGAACAGTGCTGAGGAATACTACAGTTTCCTACAGGTTACTTGGGGTCAAGGGCTCTCACTTTCCCACTAGTCATGACGGTACTAGTGTGGACCTCGAGAGTTGGCCCGGTGGGACTAGCGTCCAACCAAAGAGGGTTCAGGCACAGGAACAGGCCGCTTTGGGCTCCCCTTACGCTGCGTTACGCTGATTCAGCACCGTGGACGGGGGATGTCGGGTTGGATTACCGTACCAGTACCGTACCCCGCCCTCGTGGCGCTGCATTCATCCATTTTGTCGAGGACTGGAATGCGGGCAAAGAGCCAGATGGAGATTTCTAGGGTGGTCAAGGCGGCGGTATGTTAGATCTACTAGATATGATAGCATCTACCACGGAGTATTTCGCGAACGACGAAGAAACAACCGATCATTGTGCATGTAAGTAATTGCCCGGGTCGGCCTGAAGCGGTTTAGTCGACACAGAAATGCCTCATAGCTAGTAGCCGACCACCAACTCGACACACAATGGTCATCGCATCCACCGGGTTTCAGCGAAATTGATGATCTCTCTGCATGCGTCAGGATCGAGTGACTTTCGTGCACCGAACCGTTTTGGCCCTTCCGACACAAAGACAATGCAAAAAAATAAATAAAAATAAATAGCTCACTACTATTTTCGAGGCGCAGGAACCATATCCCCGTACTGCAAGCTGCAGGTGGGTCCTTGGAACAAGCGTGGAAGGGAGGTTGTGGCGGGAAAAAAAGAAAAATTCAAAAATCCAGAAAAAAAAAATATCCCCCGCTAAACCCAAAGCAGCGGCCCCGTCCTCCGGCGTATCGTCACTCACGCCTTGCCCTCTTCCCCCCCCCCATGAAGCGGGTTTATACTGTGACCTTCTTCCCTCTTCATCTTTTCCCCCCTTCCATATTTCTCTGCTTTAAAACATTCCTTTTATTTTTTTCAACTCTCCACTCTCCACTCGACAGCACAGACTCCTTGGCGCTAAGCCGAGAGGTATTCTGCGGACTCAAAGCCATTTTCTACGACTATTCCTCTTGGCGGCACCCTCCAGTCATTCTTCTTCTTTGGTCCTTTGCCCCCCAGTCATGCGCTTTATATCATGACAAGCGTCCTTTGCGGGACTGTGTTGTGCCCTCTGGGTCGATCGTGATCGATATTCGAGAGAGCGGCGAAGTATAACCATACCGTGACCTTCGCCACTTTTGATCTTGTCCAACCGCTTTGTTTGGAAACATGGCTCAATCCGATGGTCAAGGTCGACCGTTCTCGTTTCATAACCTCTTGAAGATGCTGCTTTCGACCAACTCGTCCACGCAGCCGGCTCACGACGACGCCGAGCTCGTGGACGACTTGGACGAGCCTCCTGATCAGCACATATTCCACGCCACCCCGATGCACACCGAAGATGCTATCACCTTCTCCCGACCCTCCATGGGAGATCGCAAAGAATCCCTCCTCACCCGCGCTCTCAAGACCAGTCCTGAAATGTCCCCTATCGATTCTCATTCCGCACTCCACGACTCTTCCTACAACTACCGCTCCTACCCTCACAGCAACATCAGTGGCATCTCCACGGCCGAGTTGACCAGTGATGGCGGCATGACCAGTCCGTCCATTGCCAACTCTCCGAGCCCGCCACTTCCTTCCCAGATGATGGGCAAGGCGCCCGCTCCCATGGCCGGCATGAAGGATCATACGCCGAAGGTCAAGGTTGTGGACTCCAACGAGACCTCTGTTGAAGCAAACCTTGGACGTAAGCGCTGTATCAGCTTCGCCTGCCGCCCCAAGGCCGACTCAAACGAACAAAAAGCCGCTGCGCCACCGGCTCGCCAACCAAGCCCCCAGAATGTCAAAGCCGCTCCGGAACCCCCGACACGCAAGTCCACTCTCACTTTCGTCTGCCCTGGACGCCAGGCGGCCATCTCAAGAGAACGTTCTCCGGCTCGCAAGTTTACCCTTCGATCAAAGAGCCGTGGCTCTCCCGCCCCTTTTGCTCGCAAGTCATCCTCCGATCATGCCGAAAGCTCCAAGCAGAAGGAGATCACTGCGATCACTATTCCCAAGGGCGTCCCCACCAGTGGTCTAGGCAAGTTCGAGGAATCAGAGGCCACTCGGTTCCATGAGTTCGCCAGCTCCATCGATGAGGATGATGAGTGGGTGACCAAGTCAACCGAGTACCCCGAAAAGATCACCTTGAGTGACTGCATGAAGAAGGAGAACGCCATTCGACGACTCGGTGAAGAGGCCGAGGAGGAAGCTCAGGATGAAGAAGATGAGGACGACGACATTGAAGACGTGGCCGACGACGGTTCCACCGTTCACGACTTTTCCTCGGATGATGGCAACGAGTCTGATAACGAGGCTGGCTTCGCGGACTCGGACGACAGTGATGACGATGGCTCAGACTACGAGTTCTGGGCCCCCTCGGTTGCTGTGCAAGAACCCAGTGTGCTCTCTATCGACATCATTTCCCCGACAATCGAACGTCGTGCCTCCAACACCTCCTTCGACTCTATGACCGATGACCACCAGAACTGGCTGCCGGCACCCGTTCAACGGATCCCTGGCCGTCACTCTCCCAAGGGTCTGCGCATGCGTCCGGGAACTCCCAACCTGCCTGATAGTACCGACTTTGTCTGTGGAACCCTAGATGAGGACCGTCCTCTCGAGGCTGCGTACAAGTCCTGCATGGAGCAACGACGTCTCGAGAAGCTCGTCCTCATCCCCCAAGACATTGATCCTAGCTTCCCGACAAGCGACCCAGAGGACGAGGAAGATCTGGAAGATCTTTCCGGTGATCTGGACTCCGTCGTGCTCGAGCCCCCTCGTGGCCGGGTCGAAGGCCAGTCCCGCAAGACTTCTCCAAAGCACTCGCCGAAGCGCATTGTTTCTCCACCGCCGCCTCGCCGTGCTGGCCGTACCTCTCCGAAGCGTCTCAAGTCTCCGCCTCCTCGAACCCGGGCCAAGTCTCCACCCCCTCGAGTCCGGGCCAAGTCCCCTTCTCCGGAGAAATGGACACTGTCAGAGAACATGCCCGTTATCCAGTCGCCGCAAGGCCTCAACATTAGCCATCTTGTTCAACGACCGCCTATCGTCCGCACCAAGTCGCTGCCTAGGACGCCGAACCCGTTCTTCACTGGCATGCAAAAGTCCCATCGCTGGCAGGGCATCCATACCTTGGCCGAATCACCGGAGCGTGAGCGCTCGCATACCCGCGAACCTGTTCATACAAGAGGACCCGTCGATATTGTCGAGGGCCTCGAAAAGAAGCGCCAGAAACGAAAGGAAAAGTTCTGGCGCCAACATTGCCGTAAAGCTGCCAAAGAGCAAGCTGTGCGGCGGCCGATTCCCGGCAAGGGAGCCGAACGGATGAAGGAGCTTGGCCTCGAAGTTGCTGAGAGGTGCAGAGCTTACGGTGTCGGTCAAGACGCCCAGCTCGTCCTATCCGTTTAGGTTACCCAAGGACCATTTTTGATGTCCTATAATTATCCCTGGAAAACTATTTTCTGTACATATCTACTTCTCTTCCCCATATTTGGCCCGCTACGACCCCGGGTTACCATTCGCTCTTACATACTTAGCCAACTTTGTGTCATCCACTTAGTTTTTCTTATACTTCTACCTCTACCTCTATTAATTCGAGGGAAAGCTGTCTTTTGCATCTTTCTTTTTTCCTGCCTATGTTCTCTGAGGAGGCTTCTTTCCCTTCGAGTTTGCATGGTTGCGGTTGCATATACCCCTTATCTGAATTTGCTGCATTTGTGGACACAGTCGGCGGGTCAGTCTCGGCCTGAATCAAATACTATATACTATACTGGATACCATATCAGCTCCATCTGTAGTAGTAGAACACATCTCTGGAGAGTACTGAGACTAAGGATTCGATGGAATTCGTCCACCGCCGATCCCTTGCTGCCTGAGGCCGTCAACCTCCCGAAAACAACATCCAACTCTGTCTTCTTGCCCTCTTTCCCCCTCCATCCACTCCGTCGCCTCCCTCTCGTCCGCGATTCCCAGCATCCGATTTCCTTTGTCCGGGCTTTCTATCCATCCTCTTAGCTCCTCGATTCCGCTATGTGGCTCGTCAACTGGTGTAAGTGCCCGATCCGGCCTTCTACCCAGCCCAGTCGCCGCACCCCAAGCAATCCAAACAAGGGCGCTGGATCTCAGTGATGCCTTCTGCGGACTTCACGGGTGATGCGTGTGACTCTGCTAGATAGTAGACACACGCCAATACCCCCCGGCGCCAAGGCTTTGGTCTGCGGCTTCACACCGGGATCCTTGAAAATCTGCGTTTTACTGATTACCTCTCATCACAGTCTACGATGTCCTGGCTTCGCTCGGCCTGCTGAACAAGCACGCCAAGCTGCTTTTCCTCGGTCTGGATAACGCCGGCAAGACTACGCTGCTGCACATGTTGAAGGTGAGTGGAGGAGTGTGAAGGCATCCAACGTGATCGGGGTCTGGACCGAGGTTCGACTCGGCGCTGCATGGCGGATGTACCCGCTCGTAGCATCGATCGATGTATGCTTTTGTGTCTTGATGAATGATGTGCTGACGATTGGTATCCGCATAGAACGACCGAGTCGCTGTCCTCTCGCCCACCGCCCACCCGACCTCCGAGGAGCTGGCTATCGGCAACAACCGCTTCACGACCTTCGATCTGGGTGGTCACCAGCAGGGTGAGTCAAGCCCCTAGGAAATGACACGGGGAAGGAAATAGCTAAATGAAGGATAATCACAGCCCGTCGTCTCTGGAAGGACTACTTCCCCGAAGTCAGCGGTATCGTCTTCCTCGTCGATGCCAAGGACTACGAGCGCTTCCCCGAGTCCAAGGCCGAGCTTGACGCTCTTCTGGCCATGGAGGACCTCGCCAAGGTTCCCTTCCTTGTCCTCGGAAACAAGATCGACCACCCCGACGCCGTGAGTGAGGACGAGCTGCGCCACCAGCTGGGTCTGTACCAGACCACCGGCAAGGGCAAGGTCCCGCTCGAGGGAATCCGGCCCATTGAGCTGTTCATGTGCAGTGTCGTCATGAGACAGGGTGAGTAGTGCATCTGCACTCTGCGTCCACGCAAATTGGCTAATAACTGATAGGCTACGGCGAGGGTATCCGCTGGCTGTCCCAGTACGTCTAAGCTACCGGCTTAGTCCTAAACACCACACCAGACCAAATTGGTATTCCACGTCTTGACCCAAGTTTGGAAATCGCTTTACCCCTTCACCCTCCCCTCTGCTTCTCTACCTTTTCCGGAGTTGCTGTTCTATATCCTATCCCCCATATTCACCCTCACGCTCGTCTCGATGTGTCCTCCACCTTCCATGCTGTACTCAACTTGCATGTCCCTTGATTTCGTTTCCCCCCCCCTTATTGTTTATTGTTTTAACCTGCAGCCTGTTAGCCGGTGACCCTTCCGAATACTATAGTTCTAAAATTTGGCTCTTATTCTTTCTCCGAACTGCCTGGGTGTAGATGTAGATGCAAATTGACTGCTATGTGCACCGAGTTGGGACTCGGTTCGGTTTGGTATACTCCATCCCGTAGCGTTGCTTTATGTTTAGGGCTACTGCAGTGAACCAAATCAGGTCTGAAGCACAGAGAAACCAATGATCACTGTCAAAGTCATTGATTGCATGAGAGACTTGAGTACAGTGGGGCCTTGGCTGGTTGGATACTTTCCGAGATTGCCACTACCTTGCAGACTCGAATGGATAACTCGAGCCTCAGCATATAGGAATGCTATTTTGCCTGTACACGGAACGAGCAACAGGTATTACACTCTACGAGTCCAAGAACAATTAAAGTGGACAACACATGCGTTCAATTCAAGACACAACCGATAAGCAGAAACAAGATAAAAATAAGATAACCAGGTTTCCCCCTTTCCAGGATGCCCCGAGAGTAAACATTCCGTCCAGATGGTAAGAAACAAAACAGGAACGTCAGGCGCGAAAAGGGAAGGAAAAAGAAGTTGTAAAAAGAATCAGTCGAAGGAAAAAAAGAGAAATTCCGATCCGGATGTTAACAGAGGTTGCAGTCGCGTGTCGGCCAGGAAATGATGGCGGGGGTCGCATTCCGCACGGGGAGCCCGGATAGAGAAGAAGGGATTAGCGGAGGGTGTGAGAGATATTCAAGGGAGGGTGTGGTGGTGGGCTGCCCCGGCTGGAGGGATTCCTCGGTCGTTCATCGCTTCGTCGGTCTGATGGGGGGTGGAACTCATGGAGGTTGGAGGAAAGAGTTGGATGTCATGGCGGGGATTGTTTAGCGTGACGACTTCGGGATTGTTGTGAAAAAAAAGGCTTATCTCCGCCCGAACCTGCTGCACATGGGAAAGCTCGTATTTGTTCCTTTATTTCTTCTTTTGCTTGCGCGGAGGAGTGGCGGCGGGCCCGCCGGAGCTCATGCTCCCGTAAACGTACTTTTGTTTCTTTTCCGCTGGTTTCAGAATCTAAAAAGAAGAAAATATTAGACTCGTATAAATCATGCGAGGATGATGAAATCCACTTACCTGGAAGGAGCAGAGCAGGCTCTCGTCGACGCTCATCATTGCACCCGCATTGTCGAATTCACCGCAGTAGTTGGGTGCGCTGAATAGCGTGACCAGCTGGCGCTTCGAGAAGAATTCGTAACCGTCCTCCACAACTTGATGAGCACGGCATATCAAGTCCATATCGTGTTTCTGGAGGAAGCGTGACACAACGTCGGGGCCGAATGTGAAGGAGACACCGCGGTCGTTTTCGCTCCAACCGGTGATATCCTTGTCCGGATCGGACCACAGCAGATCGCAGAGAAGACCGCAGTCGGGAATCTAGTGGAGTCAGCGATCATGGCCTTCAGCTGAAGACAGTCTGGCACAGTTTCTTTTTTTGCCACTTTCCTCGAGTCCAAGACAACCACTTGTGCCAGGGGCGATAAGCAAACACGAAAGTACTTACATCGGTGGGACGCATAACTCGGCGGATCTGCTCCATCGAGTTCAGGTCGGGGCTCAGACCACCGTGCATGGTGAAAATCTTCTCGTCAATGATGGCCGCAATGGGCAGGCAGTTGAAGCAGTCGGTGAAGGTCTTCCACAGCTTGATATTGTATCGGCGCTTGCACTCGTCGTAGAATCCATAGATACGGTTAATGGAGGCACACTCGTGGTTGCCACGGAGGATGAAGAAGTTCTCAGGGTATTTGATCTTGTAGGCGAGAAGCAGGCAGATGGTCTCAAGAGACTGCTTGCCACGGTCGACGTAGTCACCGAGGAACAGGTAGTTGGCCTCCGGGGGAAATCCACCGTATTCGAAAAGACGCAGAAGATCGTAGTATTGACCGTGGATATCACCGCAGATCTGGAGAGTGCACAAGTCGTTAGAACGCGCATCCCGAGCGGAATGCCGGGTGGGCGGTAAAATTACGAACCTTGATGGGAGCCTCAAGCTCGAGCAGAATGGGCTGGGAGATGAAGATTTCCCGGGCCTTGGTGCAGAGATAGCGGATCTCCGACTCAAGCAGCTGCACCTGCTTGCCAGGGCGGCTACCCCTCACTTCCAGGAGCCGATCGATGATCGAGTCCAGATCAACCTCTTGGTCGGCCATGATGTGCGGCCCTTAATGAAAAGAGAAAGGGGGAAACGGAGAAAGGAAAAAGAACGAGACGAAAAGCACACGCGCGGGGGGAAGGGGTGATGACTTCCGGGGCGGCGAAGAATTAATGACGCGGTGGTTGTCCTACAAGCGTTGACAGTCATTAGCAAATGGTTGAAAAGTAACAAAGGTGCCAGTCCGATTCCCAAATCTTGAGATCGGGATAGGAGACGAGGCAAAGACAGGCGCGTCCCGTGTGGATTTTTTTTGCCGCTTGGGATTTCCTCACGGCCTTCCTCGACCCTTCAGGATAGACAATAGATATCGGCGTAGTGATCGAGAGGAAGGCTTACCAATGGAAAAGAACTTCGATGAGGTCAAGGACTAAAATGTGAAGGCCTTGCGGCCGCGGCTTTTGAGGTGATCTGGCAGGGATGCCAGACGGGGTGGACGGGGGAACACTCTGAGAGAGATTTGACGGTGACTGGATGTCGAGATAGAGATATCGGCTGCTGAACAAGTTGGAAAGACCAAGTCCGAGGGGAGAAGGCTTCGGCTTCGGGCTTTGAGGGGACGAAGGGAGGGGTGGGCGAAGTTTTCCGACTGTCGGAGAAGCAGGAGGGAAAAGGGAAAAGAGGTCAATCAAGGGAGAAAAATACTTCTCGCACGGGCGAATGTCACAGAGATCCAAAATAACGGGGAAACGCGATGAAGCGGGCCTTTGAAGGATGGAGAGAGGAGAGAATCTTGCACAGGGAGAGGAAGCGGGAAGTTCCAGAGTTTGTGTTTGCGGTGTTTGGCTTCCGGTTATAGATCGGCCTGGCTATTTTTGTCACTTCATCTTGATGTGGGTTTTTCTTTGAATTTAGTTTATCTCTACTCGTTTTTGCTCTGCTAGATCCTATTTCTATTCTCTTGTTCATAAATATTGACGTGGCGTGGCCGAGGGGCTGCAGAAATGCACCTTTTGGAGCCGGTCGAGACCGAGCGCTTTGTGCCTCACTGAGACCTCGCGCTAGCAAAAACACAGTCTAGTTGCAGTCCAAATGGACAAACGAAAAGAGTGTATAGAATGTCATTGTCCAACCGTGTCTCACTTAATGTAAGTGCAAGTTGTGTAGCTCACTACGCTCATCCTGGACCTTAAGTGTCGTCTACTCTATCAACAGAGGTTGCGAAGGCTCTTATATCGAACAAGGCTGGTCTTATTGCCGAACTTGTGCTATGCACATTCATAGTTATTTATGACTCAGAATCACAGCGAGGCCCGTAAACGCAAAACAAGAGGGGAATAGAACAGTCAAACCGCCAACGCCAACGCGCCAAAATCATACAACACACGCGCTCTAAGGAATTTTCTTTCACAGTGCCTTCCAGAAAGATGACGCGAAAGAACCGCAGAAACATGCGTTTTGATGCGGGGATCAAAAAAAGACAGAACGCAACAGGCCATAAATGTTCATACATCCAACCCACCATATCTCATAAGTCATCCAAACGCCACGAACAATGCATGGGGAGCAGCTCACGGGGCTCGCTCAAAAAAAAAAAAAAAAAAAAAAAAAAAAAGGGATAATCCGAAAGGTGGTGCTTCCTATACGAGGAACGAAGAGCACAAGAAGATAATAGGAAGAGTGGTAGAGGAGAGCGTCGACACATGATGAACAGGGGGTTTTAGCCGCCCAACGCATGGCCTCCACTCAGAATCGCTTGGGTGTTGGCCCGCGCAAGTGGCGCAGTAGGCAGGGCAGAGTGGTCCAGGCCTGTCGCAGCCAGGTGTGCGGCCAGGTTCTGGGAATTGTCCCAGGAATGATCTCCCAGAACATTGAGCCAGTTATGGCCTACTTCCTGTCGGAGAACCTCGAGCTGCTGGCGACACAGCTGCTCGTCCAAGCCCCAATCTCTACCAGGAACAGGTTGCACCATGGTGGGCTGCAACGGAGGCGGACTAGGGGAGGTTGGCTGCTTCAGTGGGCTCTGAATGCTGGAAGAGCCGGAATGAGTGCTGCTATCCAGTCTCCATTGGTGCTCACACGGGGTCACTCCAGTGGGGTCAATCGGGGCGTGAGTCTGTTGAGTTGGAAGGACTGCATTCATCGTTGGCTCGTGAGTACCGAGGCCATCTGGGTTGAATGGGTTATCAATTGAGAGGTCGATGATTCTGCGGCGCTGGATCTTCTTGCGACCTTTAGTGCCCCCTTCAACATCGTTTCGCTGCGCAGTCTTGGGAGACTCACGCTCCTCAATCGGTGCCTTTGGAAGAGGCTTGTCCATGAGATTCGCATGGGCTCCGGCAGTGGGTTTCTGCACCATGACCGATTGATCAGCGGCACTCGAGCGCACCACAGGCGTAGCTTCAGGCTCGGCGACACGATCGGCCAGTTGCTTTCTCTCGGTATAACCTGGACCACGACCATCGATGATGATGTCCTCGGCATACCCGGGAGTTCGACGGAAGAGGTTCATGATGACAACACGGTAGCCGGAATGGGTCTTCACAAAAGGGTTTCCGGATACCCAGATCTCTCGTATCTCAGGGAGACTGGTAAGCCGTGCCATTTCCGTCGGGTCCATGACATTGTTGTCGCGAAGGTCCAATCGTTCCAGAGAGAGCAGTCGCTCGATGCCGGCCAGGGAACGGAGTCGGTTGCCCCGAAGGTTGAGCGCCGTGATGGCGGGAAGAGGATTTCGTGAGATCGAGTGGAGAGACTCGATCATGCAGTAGGATAGGTTCAGCGCGCGAAGGGCCATCAGACTTGCCAGACTGTCGGGAACCTCGGTGAGAAGGTTCGATGACAGGTCTAGCGAGTTCAGCGTGTTGGCTACGGGAGCAAGGCTTGCGGCAGAGATAGACGTAAGGGAGTTCTCCGGAAGGCCTAGGTGCCGCAGGAAGCGCCACTTCGAAGGCGGCAGGACACCCGGAAGAAGGGTCGACGAGCTCCCAGTGCGATAGCCACCTGAGGTATCGCTCGAGTTCGAACTTCCCGAGCCAGTACGTCGAATGCGTGCAGACCTGCTGTGACGGTGACCATGCTTGGTGGCCGGCCGGGTAGGAGAAATGCTTTCAGCTCGGGTACGAAGCTTCGCACCCTCCGAGGCACCTCGCAGCATTGGCGCCGCTCGGGGGCTGCTGCTGGTTCCAAGTGCTGTTTCTGCGACGGGGGAGCCAGGAGCAGAGAGAGAAGAATGGTCGGGGGTCTGAACAGGCTGGGAGCCGGCAGTGCTGCTCCATCCAAGCGGCGGGGACTGCTGGGACTTGGCCGATCGTCGCCGTCTCTTGTCGATATCGTCCAGGACGATGCGCGTCAACAAATCGGCCGGATCATCCAGATGAGCCCGCTTGATGGACAAGGTGCGCAACTGCTCGGATAGTCGGTCCCACCCGTAGAAAGAACGGTAGTCTATGTCAATGATCTCTAAAGCGCTCAAATTTTTGAATGAATGCAGCGGCACCGCCGTGTCGAATGGGAATTCTTCGTACCCGTGGATCAAGCGAGCTCGGTGGTCAGGGGCAAGTCGCAGACAGGGGATTTTGGTGAAAGCAGAGTAGAGATACTTCAGATCAGCTTCCAGGGCCAGTCTGGCCTTATCGGACTTGGTGGCCGAATCCTTGGATCCCATACCAAAGGAGGACCAGAGACCGCTCATGCCGGACATGACACTACGAACACTGGATACGGAGTGGATGGAGGCGCCATCACCCTTGGACCGCTGGGGCTTATTCAGAAAAGATACGTAGGACTGCGATACCTCGGTATGGATGTTCTCCAGTCGGACGTTCATAGGACCCACGGCAATGGACAGATCCTCGAAGCGAGAAAGCAGGTAGAAGAGGTGGTGAGGGGTGAGGGTGAGTTTGGCGGGCTTGATATTCTGCGAGGTGAACTTCAATGCCCCGAAGGACAGAGCAGACGCCAACGTCAGGGAGGAGGAGGAGAGGGAGGATGGCGATTGTGGGGTCCCGACATTCTTGAACTGGCGGCGAAGCTGGAGGGCATTGGCAAGCGCTTTCTCGTGCGTACGGACGAAGCTGGCCAAATTCTGGGTAGAAGAAAGAAATAATTAGCCATACCCCGCGGATACTCGACATCTCGCGTCGAGAGAGGTGGAAAGTGTCAAAAAAATCCAGGACTCACCTTGATGAAGAGTTGTCCATCTTCAGTGTTGAGCTTCTCCATGGCGAAAGCAAGAGACTCCAGCTAGGCAGAATCCCAGCCTGGAGAACTCCGAAGATGGAACACTCAGAAGATGCTGCCAGAGAGGGTCGACATTGTGCTGCGACCTTGAGATCGAAGGAGTGCCGGGCTGCGCGATGTGAGGAGTCAGCGCGATTGAGCAGGGTAAAGGATAGGGGGGCACCAGGGCAACAAACCTCGTGGGAAAGGAATGTGCGGAGTTGACAGGTCCAACTCACAGGGTTTCCAATGAAACCTCCAGACTGCAGATGAGGAAGGGTGAAGGGGGTAAAAAAGGGAAGCGTAAGAGATTTGGTGGCACGGGGTAACCGCTAAATAAGAACGGCGTCTGATGATCGCAAAGATAACAGTACCGAGTAAAATACTCTGCTACTAAGGTTTTTTGTTACCTTGGGAAGTTCGCATATCTCACGGGGTTTTTTTTATTTCAAGTAAATCATAAATCATAAATTAACGGTCTGATCGCTATTTCATTTCCTTTTACGTTTCGGGCCCCTCCTCACGTCGACCATAACAACCCCTCTACTCCCGTGCTCTTTTCCATTTCAATCCATGATGGGAACATCAATACCAGAACGAACCATCCCAGACCAAAAAAAGACTGCTAATGTCCTCTCCTGCAGCTAGTATTCCTACTAACCCGGGTTGGGGTGGCAAAGGCGCGGTGGAGGGGTCAATCTTTTAGCTTCACAGCGTCTATCAGACCCTTCGGTTGGATGAACCGATAAATTTAGAGGGGAATGTTTCCTCATGGCCCCTCCTATGATGGTTTGATCTACCTGCACGGCCAGAAACCGTGGTGGATGGAGCATTCTGAGTCGATCCTGGCGAGCAAGGATGCTTTGTCTATCACGCCGCGGTGGGGCCCCCCAAAGGTCTTTCCTCCCCGATCGACTGTGAAAAGGGATTGAAAAAAAATAAAATAAAATAAAAAAGAATAAAACCAAAAATAAAAAATACAAGCCAAGAGGAGTTGAAAACCCACCACCTCCATCATGCGAAACTTAGTGGCAGCTGCCAAGTTGTTGATCCTGAACTGCTCAGCCCACGGCAAATATGTTCGTTGCCCTGTGCTCTTCTACCTGGCCCGCTTTTTTTTGCCCTCCCTAGTGCAAAGGCCAGCTGCCGTGTTCCCGAAATGTCCATCCGAGGTCATCTGCATGAAGGCAGCAGATCACTTCAGCCGCGTTATTGGCAGAGAGGCACATGCACCGTGATCGGAATGGTCACTCTGGAAATGAAGAGGAAGACTAAACAGACGAAAAATAGCGAGCGCGGGCCATTTGGCGCTGGACGGGCGATTCAATGAGCCGTCGCGGGACCTATCAGAGCGGAGGAGCAGCACGGTAATTACGCTACGGAGTACTTGGGACCGAGTCATCCCGCACTGACATCTGACATTCCGGGCCAGTGGAGATTACCGATTTGCGAAGTTTTGGGATTAGGGGTGTATACGACTCCAACATTGAACATCAAACGCTCCATGCTCAAGTAGGTGGTATAGGAAGCATTCCATCGAATGATTCCCCCGCCCTCCGCCACACCGCTCCCTCATTCCCGGCCCGACTGGGGACGACGGAGTACACCGAGCCATGGTTCACTCATCCCTTTCCCGTTTCATCCATGTGTTTGATGCTCCGTGTATACTTGGACGCCTCGGTTCGCATCTATTTCAGATCGTCCTAGCGACCACATTTTCGAGCTTATTTGCCCATTGGCCTCGTTTCCCAGGGAATCCCTAGGATGCCAGGCGGGGTACGATGCGATTGTCCTCGCATTCCTGGCGCTCGGTTCAATCTCAGATCCCGGATACAAAGTAGACCTGCAGTTTCAAGGAGTTCGCAGCGACCTCGCTCCACACAAATCTTGTGTTCCCCGGTTTATCAACTCGCCATAAACACTAAAATCAATGGAAATTTTTCCTGCCACCACCGGAATGCTGCGCACGTGGCAATTGCGACGATAATCAAGGGCGTAGTACGGAGTACACATGACGGGCGTCGCTATCTGGGAATCGAGCATGTCCCCTCTCCCTGACTAGTACGTACGCAGTAGGAAAATCACGACGGGACAACACGAGTAACCGCCCTCGGGCGTTTGGTGGGACCCACTGATCCAGCACGAGTGTGTATACGATGATATCGCGGGCGGACTGCTTATTGGGTGAGACACGGCACGGTCATTTGCAGATGCGCCAAGCCTGCCCGTGGCTCGCTGAATTGCGTCGCTTTTCCTTCTTCTCTCTTTTGTCCTTCCGATCTCTTCCCCCCTCGGGGAGTATTCGCCTCGCCTGCGGGTCCGTTTACCGGCGACGCCACAATCTTAGTCCAGTGAGATTCGGACTCAGCGATCTGCATAGCACTAAATCGGGAAGTCCAAGTATCAAAAGAGGTACACCCGATGTGACATACGCCAAGGTTCATGACTCTGATGGGGTGGTTGGTTTCGTAGACGGGATCATAAAAAACAACTACGGCAACTCTAAAAAAGAAATGGGCGGCTGTCGCGCAACGCAAACAACCCGCACCTCCCAGCCCAGATCAAGCCTTGGGAGGATCTGACAAGTCTTTTGATAACCCCGTACGATCACGGATGGAAGCTCGAAGGGAAATACAAGCACGACGCGGTGGCAGTGGCAATGCTTGCTATTTCATCAATATGCATGGATGCATTATGACCCAGGAAGGGCTGATCAGCGTGATCAGCGTCCAGGGTCGCAGATGACCAACTGGAATGGGAGTCTGAGATGCGCCAGAAGAGCCTAATTAGTAACCAATGACGCCGTGCTGCACATCTTTTGTGAATCGTCCCAGTCATGTGACCGAGGAGATGCGTTTCCAATTTAAACACCGAGCTCATTCGCCTGCATCGTCCGATGTCGCGCCGACTCGGTCAACAATGTATGCATGCGGCTAGCGAAACGGCTGTTCTCCATCATCAGCCCATAGGCTGCTTTCCTGTACCACCATCTCAATTGCGGCAGAGCTAACAAACTCTCCTCGCCCACCAATCACCTAGCAAACCAGACTTTTTGCCTCAGAGATTCGAACGACTTCGCATCTAGCGGTGAAGCCCTGCCGTGCTCCCCTCCGGAGCTTTTGTGACGTTCGCTACCAGGATACCCTGAATTACCCCGCCGGTAGAGTTATCTAGCGCCTTGGGGTACATGTCGGAGAATTGGCTTTGGATGGTATTTCGTATGGTCTTGCATGATCGGGGCCACGGTTGTTACACGAAGTTGATCGGCGAGCAAACTCTGCGTAGCATGAGTTCATTATTCGTCGGGATGTCGAATCGGGATTCGACATGATAGCGGATCCTCATAATTGTGGTTTGGTAAAGGCATTGATAGATACTGGTAGGATACTGGTAGATACTGGAGATAGATCTTCACGGCTCCAATTTTCAAGGGACACCGCAGATGCCCACCGATGAAACGAACCCCTCTGTTTGCTTATCTGCGGGGCTTCCCAGGGTGATCCACATTGCACCAGCCACCGCCCCACAATGTGGCTGGTGCGGATGACCTGCACGTGATGCTGACGTCGTGAGCTTCCGGATTCGACATGCTTCCTGCCTTCAGCTCTTGTACAACATGCATTGAAACATGTCCGCCGAGAAGAAGGCCACACAGTACGGCCGCTTTGACCCGGCCGGTCTGCCGGACTACGATAACGACTTTATCGACCAGGACGACCTGGACCGTTTTGAGAAAGCGTTGAACGCCCCGGAAGCTTCTCCGTTGGTAGCCATCAACGACTGGCGTCCGATCAACCAGCGCGTCCGTAAGACAAGAGGTCGGCGCAAGGCCCCGAAACGAAGCAAGGATGAAACGAGAGAAGGCGTGCTATACACCGTCCTGAAATGGCCACTCCTGTTGACCGTGTTCGCCTGGATCTTAGTGCTGGGCTGTGGCTACCTCCTGGTGCGCGTGTACATCTTCCTATACGAGCAGTGGGTCACCTGGCGGGGGAAGAGGCAGCGGCTTCGTCTGAACCTGTCAGCTCAGACAAATTACCCGGACTGGTTGAAGGCGGCACAGAAGCTGGACACCCATCTCGGGAACGAGGAATGGAAGCAAACCGACGAATATGCTTACTACGACCATCTCACGATAACCAAGGTGGTAACACAACTGAAGAGCGCAAGGAAAGATGTCGAGAAGGAGATACAAGACGGCAGGGACGGTGTCAATGAGCTACCCGCCGTGGAAGAGCTTCGTTCTCTGCTGGAAGCTTGCGTCAAGAATAATTTTGCTGGTGTGGAGAATCCCCGCATGTATAGCGAAGCCTACTCGGGAACCAAGGATCTGGTTCAGGAGTACATCGACGAGGTACATGCGTGCATCCAGTTGATCTTGGATAGTAAGCAGATCGATCGGCAGACAAAGTACCAGCACTTCAAACACCTCGATACCAACTTCGGGCGCACGGCACTGTGTCTCTCGGGTGGAGCGACCTTTGCTTACTACCATTTCGGGGTGGTCAGGGCGTTGCTGGATAATGGCGTCTTACCGGAGATCATCACGGGAACGTCAGGCGGAGCCCTAGTGGCCGGCCTAGTGGCAACCCGAACCGACGAGGAGCTGAAGCAGCTGCTCGTTCCCGCTCTAGCGCACCGGATCCGCGCCTGTCGTGAAGGGTTCACGACGTGGATGCTCCGTTGGTGGAAAACGGGTGCTCGGTTCGATACACTAGACTGGGCTAAGCAGTGCAGCTGGTTCTGTAGGGGCTCAACTACGTTTCGAGAAGCCTATGAACGGACCGGCCGCATCTTGAATGTGTCCTGCGTGCCCTCGGATCCCCACTCACCCACCATTCTGGCCAACTACTTGACAAGCCCGGATTGCGTTATCTGGAGTGCGGTGCTTGCTTCCGCAGCCGTCCCTGGCATTCTGAACCCGGTCGTATTGATGACCAAAAATCGCGATGGCACGCTCAAGCCTTACTCCTTCGGCCACAAGTGGAAAGACGGTAGTCTCCGAACCGACATACCCGTCAAGGCCCTGAACCTGCACTTCAATGTGAATTTTACGATTGTGTCTCAGGTATGACCTTTCCGATTGTATGCGTTTTGATCTCCACTAACGCCTAATTAGGTCAACCCCCACGTGAATCTGTTCTTCTTCAACTCCCGAGGAACTGTGGGGCGACCGGTCACCCACCGCAAGGGACGTGGTTGGCGCGGCGGTTTCCTAGGCACTGCTATCGAACAATATATCAAGCTCGATCTGAACAAATGGCTCCGTGTTCTCCGACACTTGGAGCTTCTCCCTCGGCCACTTGGTCAAGATTGGAGCGAGATTTGGCTTCAGAAATTCAGTGGTACTATCACGATCTGGCCAAAAAGTGTTCCGTCTGATTTCTATCACATCTTGTCAGACCCAAGCCCAGAGCGGCTTGCCCGCATGATCCACATGGGTCAGCAGAGCACGTTCCCGAAAATTCAATTTATCAAGAACCGGCTGAACATTGAGAACGCCATCATGAGAGGACTCCAACAATGCTCCACCACCGGAGGGCGTTCTCTATCCCCGATCCTATCTCGTCGGCTCCACAACTCCGAAAACGAGGATATGATGGAGCGACGATTTGATGACGGCCTGCCAGAACGGGACGATTCCAGCTCCAAGCATGGGTCGCCTTACGTCGACTTTTCTGACAGCCTGTCCCAATCAACCTTCTCTACCGCTTCACGCCCTCAGACCCCTAGCTCTCGAAGGGGTAGCGTGCTGGAGGAGATACAACGCCAATCCGCCGTCTTTTTTGATGATTCTGACCTCTACGGTGACGAAGACGCCCTAGTCACCTGAGCCATTTGCGGCGGCTTAAGCGCCTCGGCGACCGAAATCAACGAACGACATGACGTCGACCATGACCCATCCTTGTCAGGTCACTTGCACCTGCATCCTCCGTCATGCCCCCTCCCGCCCGACATGACAGGCGGCTCTCGCAGATCCGTTTTACTCGAGCGAATACTCTCGGGTCCCGCTTGCCTTTGCAACCCCATCACAGCCCGCTCTTTGACTTTTTGCCTTTCGCCCCCCGCACTCTTTCAGATCCTACATTCGCATGCCAAGGAGCATTGTTTCTAGGTCTGGGTACATGGTTATCTCTTTGACTTTTGCGTTTCCCGCGTTTGCCTTATGACACTGACAACGGCTTTGTTGGCTACATGGCGTTGAAGAGTGTTTTGTACTATATATCATCTTGACGACTGTACGACTATAATATAATTTCGGGCGGGTTTTTGAATGCATTTCAAATCGTATTTTACAGCGTGTGCTTTCATCTGCGTAGTACATTCTTGTTCATCTATCGGGCGGGGTTGCGCCCCAAGATAACGCCGTTGACATCAGCTCCGGCGTCACGGAGGTCGACATCAGATTAAACTGGGGCCGCTAATGCAATCCATCGATGCAGAATGCCGTCATTCATAAATGGACAGCGATCTTAAGCGGGGCGTTATTGCAGGTTAATTTCCCTAGTCTGTACACGTTCACTCCAAGGCTGGCAAATACCAGCGTAGGTATTATTATTATCTTGCCTATACTAGTCATGCACGCCGGGGCTCACTTCCCATTTGCCACATCGGTAAAATAGTGTTCAAGTCGATCGTTCAAGTCGATCTTGAATCCCACTATCCCGAAGTAGAAAAAGGCCCCGGACTGAATCAAGGAAATATCTAGCCCATTGTGAAAGCCTGATTCTACAGTGAAGCAAAGTGCCTAAAAATAAATATGCCACCATAATGACCGGCTCAGTAAACTGCCTAAGTAAAGCATAATTTCGCCCTATACTGGCTTCAAACATGACCCCAACCACTGCGGCCAGCTTTCAGCATAGTTACCCCAACACGCAGCTCCAACACGCCCAGCAGAACTTTGAAAATTCAAGCTCTTCCCAGTGAGATTGGTCCGTAATGGAAATAACTCCTCGAGATAAGTTGACTCGGGGCTACTCCGACGAGATGGAGCATCGAAGCACTAGATACTGTCGCGAACGCCGCCCGGAAGTAGTTCGCAATCATTAGTCAACTCTTATTCATTTGTTCATTTAGTTAAAGTTGACTAGGTTGAATATCCTCCTAGAGATAAAAACCTCCACCCAGTCTTCTCAGTAACATCGGCGGATTTAGGAATTGAAGGACTCTGATTGAGAAGCGATTTGATATCACCGCAACAGTATAGTAAGGGATATAAGGACCGAGGGGAGGAGAACAACGCATGTTAAGTCTCCCGAGAATAAGACAAGACTTGGAATGCCCGGTAAAGATGAGAGAGGCTTCAAGAGAGATTGTGGGATGTCGAGCCTGATGAGCCTCAATGAGTAGGAGTTAGATTGAATCCGGGACCTGCAGAATATAAGCCAGCCAATCAGCGATCTGATTGACGGCGATCAGTAGCGTCATTGGTCTAGTGGTAGAATTCGTCGTTGCCATCGACGAGGCCCGTGTTCGATTCACGGATGATGCATTCCTTTTTGTCTTCCTTTTTTAAGAATCTGAGCCACGTTTACTTGGAGAATCGTACTGTTGACGGGGATTTGCATGCCGTGAATTTGCCGATGCCGGCGCATTGATGACAATCGGTAACGATAGTCCAACTTCGCTTTCGATGCCGATGCACAATCCTTACGTTGCTACCACGCGGCGTTCCTGCAGAGAATCACAATACCGTACCGCTATGAATGAGCACTCTAGACTTGGACTGTGCGAATCCATGGTTGTGTTTTTGTAGAAGGGAGGATGGGCAACCTGGCGCTCGATATGCTGGCAGAATTTATCATTGTCGACATGGAGTGGAATGCAAATGACTTGCTAAAAGCCCGAACTAAGAAGACTTGGTACGGAGGAAGTCGGGTCTAGAGATGCGCAGATAGCTCTCGCTAGAGCTTCATTAGAGAATGTATTCAATGTTAGCGCCGGCCCAGAAGGTACATCATCAGAGAATTGAAGAGCAGGCTGCCTCACACCAGTAATATGGGCTATCAGCCAGAACATGAAGTAGTTTTGCGAGGTGTGAATGCGAAGTATAGAAACAAAAAGGATATGCATCATCCGTGAATCGAACACGGGCCTCGTCGATGGCAACGACGAATTCTACCACTAGACCAATGATGCTACTGATCGCCGTCAATCAGATCGCTGATTGGCTGGCTTATATACAAATTGGTATAAAACCGTGATTTGCCCTCAGACAGCGGCTGGCCCGAACTCATCGATGATTTATGTCTGGGAAAGCGGTTGAAAAAAACTATTATTATTTCTTTTTCTTTCTTTTCCAACGTCAATTATCATACATATCAGCAAAAAACACAACTTAAGCATTCAGGGTTGGTTTCGTATCAAATGACAAGCCACCTGTCAGTGACAGCTTTCGCAAGCTTCGCATCGCCGGCGAGCACATGGAGAGTCTGAAGAGCAAAAGCAGCTTCATGTGAAAAGTCCTCAACCAATCCCTTGGAAGCAGAAGTCAAGGTCCCTGGAGCCTGATTTGCTTCGCCCATCACCACATCAATGCCATCTGTGTCTTGCTGGGCATTCCGCTGAATTTCATCGCCCAGTTTGAGCACCTTATTGTATGCTTCAACGGCCAGATGAGTCAGTCCAAGACCGTGGTAAACCCGCGCAAAGTTAAATTCCATTTCTTGACGCTCTTGCAGGAGCGTCCCGGGTTTCTCTCGGACACGGCGATATTCATCCATGAAGGAAAGACCTTGCATGATGAGGAAATGCCGGTTCTCAGATTGTCGCTTGAAGGAGTGGTTGATGTAGGAAAGTGCAATGGAGAGAAGAACAGCGGGGTTCTGATCGTCCAGGGCATATGCACGGAAGAAGTAATTCAGGGCAGGGTAGAAGCTGCCTCCAGAGTAAAGCATGTGGCCGTAAAGAACAAGCAGAGCCGTATCGAGTTTTTGTGCTGGATTGGGCTCGCCGTCTTCATCGCGGGTCGAGAGAGAGGCACGCTCCTTCCAGATAGACTGCCGGGCACGGTTGGGCCGGTCATTGAATTCTGGTAGAGTATAATCCATCGCCTTGATCTGGCGTAGCATGAACTTCATGCTGGCGGAAGAATTGAAGAGGGACTTCCGCGGGTTATTAGAAAAGTTACTCAGCATTGCAAAGATTCGATACGTGTCGGTAACGAATTGGTACTCCTTGACAAACCAACGAGCCTGGTCAACAAGAGCTTCTTCATCGCGGGCGCGAAGTGCACAAGCTGGCGAGGGATTAGCTATGGCCAGCCCAAATGACCGGGAAGTTACTCACTGAACCAACAAACATGAATCAACTGCTTTTTGGGCATGGCATTGTGCCAAATGTTGGCATTTCCAGCGGCATCGAGGGTTTCATATGCTTCTCCTTGCTCACCCTGTTCAGTCACAAGGAGAGCATACTGAAGGAAGATATCCAGCCATTCATCAAAGGGGATTCCGTGGTAGTCGGTCGGTACAACGTCCTGTAAAGGCTCCTCTGCTGGTTCACCTGCATAATGGTCAGTTCAAAGCCGATTCAGGACAGTCTGGTAAGGATGACCTACCACCCAGGGATTTCTGCAAACGCCCTGCCATCTCTTGCATTTCGTTCATCATTGTCATATCTTTGCCTTTTCCAGACTTTCGTTGCGCTTCGGTCAAATATCCTTGGAACTCCATTGTGCGTGCAATAGGATAGAAACTGCGATTGGACCGGAAGTCACGCAACAGCGCATCGGCAATGTCAAGCCAGTCCTCAATGGCTTCTGTGTCTCCTTCCTTGATAAGTGGCTCCAACTGTTGCATTTTGCTGTATAGAAACTGGATGTTTTCCGTTCGATTGGCTTCCCCGGTCAGTGACCGCCTCCGGCCGGTTGTTGTTGCTGTCCATGTCGCGAGTCCATCGGTGGGTTTGGGCGCAATCGGCCTCGGAGCTACAGTGCCAGTCCTGAATTCATCAGCCAACTGCTCAAGCCTGTTGTCCTTTCTCCGTCGCCGGGTCCTGGTTTCCTGGCGGCCAATCAGAACAGCCTCGTTAACGAATTTGAAGGCTTGTTCGCTCATTCCGAGGCTCTCGTAAAGCCTCGCGAGTTCCACCCGCGATTCCATGTTCTTTGGGTCATGCTCGGCAACTGTAAGATAGCAAGTCTCTGCATCCTCCACTTTGCCCAGCCGTGTGCAACAATCAGCCATGGCCATGAAAAAGCTGATGTCAGCATATTCCGTGGTTTCTTGAATTGGAGTATAGAAACGGAGCGCCTCGTCGAGCAATCCGATGTCCTTCAGGGCATCTGCAACCTCGCGGAAAAGGTCACCATAATCAAAGATTCGAGCGCCTTCCGCAGTATCGTCTGGGTTCAGCCATTCAAAATGGTGCTACAAAAGGGTCAGCACAAATGCCATCTAGTGTTGTTGATCAAACTTACCAATGCTTCATTGTGGTTTCTTTCACCCATCCTCAAGCGAAACAAACCCATTTTAATTCGAAGTTCGAGCGGAAGTCCAAGACCATAAGTATCCCGAGGCCATTGACCAGGGACGAACCCTTCAGTCTTGATACGGCGGGGGGAGTCTTCCGGATCCCATTCTCGGTCATCGTCCTCGAAATCATCCCACATTTCATCATCTTTGCGGCCAAGAAGCCACCTTCCCAGTGCTTTGAGAGCATGGAGTCCCTCGTCGGGTTGGCCCACGTATCCGAACAGCTCGGCGTAGATGTTGACATCGGACCAAGAGAAATCACGGACTGTTTCTGGGTCACGCAACAAATAGCGGTCAACACTTGCCGTCCAATGTTCTATTGCCTTCGGCACATCGTTGAGGTCAATGTAGATTTCTGCCAAATGTCGAAGAGCTCTGGGACTGTCTGGTTGGTCCTTTAGAATCCGCTCGTATTCGGCGGCAGCCCGGCCGTTGTACCCAAGCTCGCGATAAATTGCTGCCCTTTGGTATCGAACATTATAGCTCTTGGGGCTAATTTCAATCACACGACTGTAGCAATACATCACGTCGAGCAAAGCACTTTGTCGATCTTCGCCTGCACGTTCCAAGAGAAGCCGAGCGACCTTCATCCACACTGAAGGAACTTTTGGTCGAGTATGAGCACCATTCCAGAGAGCCGCCACGGCTTTGTCTTTTTGGCCTTGAGCAAGGAAAATCTCCGACAGCAATGAATGAGCTGTAAACATCTCAGGGTTTACCTGGATAGCTTGCATCACCAGCTCGGTAGCGCGCTCGTAGTCGCCATCAATGAAGGCTTCAGTGGCCCCGGAATGATACATCTTGAACTCCGGGCCGGGTTCCAGTGGTTTACGGGGCCCTCTTTTAATTCCCTTGCCACCGCGGGCGCCGTAGCGACCTGAGAAGCGACCTCCACCTCGGCGACGACGCCGCCGCGCCCCGGCTGAATCTTCATCGTCATCGTCTTCTGGAGACTCGTCGTCCTCTTCTTCATCGCTGGCCTCACTGTCAGTGTCGAACGTAACATTTATGTGGGCAGAAATCCCTACCTGCCACTCCCATCCTCTGTGTACACAAATTCAGAATCTTCATCCTCCCCATTGATATCTCTAGGCGGGGCTTGGCTTCCTTCAGATAGCTCATCGGCTGAGTAATCTTGCTGGCTTTCCGGATCGTTCTGAGGAAACAAATCTTGATACAAACGAGGGTCAATCACCGATGCAGCATGATGATCGGTGGTTGATTGCCGGGCTCCTTGCCACGGGTAGTGCAGAGTCTCATCGATATCCGGGTACGCAGGTCCCTCTGGCGGAGGGGACGTATCCATCGGAAAATCATAGTCTGCCATGGTGACAACCCGACGGGGAGGTTGGCAGGCCCATTCAAATCGAAAGTCCCAAAGTTCTGATAGCAGACGATAATTGCAACGGCCTATCAATCATCAATCGCGGATAATGTGCGTGGTGAACCAGCCCGCTGGGACCATGGCCCAGACCGTTTGCTAGGGCGAGAGTCTCGAAGCGCGTTTCAGATGCAGCAGCCCGGATTATTCATAGTAACAGCTCCACCAGAGCGTATCGCGGGAATTTGATAAATCGAATCTGAACTTCAGCGTGATCACGAGCAGAAGGAACAGAAAGAAGTTGACGGATGTCGTGGTCGAGTTCACTTTCATTCCCGGAACCCGTGACCCTGAAGCAGAAAAGCCTCTTTTTCGCGGCCGCACTTCTCTCTTCCCCTCCATCTTCCACCTTCACCCTCTCCTCCTCTCTCCCTCTTCCTTTCTTCTAGGGGACCCTCTCGGCTTGTTGTGTTTGACACACTATTGCCTTCAGGTCCTGACTCTCCTTCGTTCGGGTCTTGTACGCCGCCCTCCTCGTCCTCGAGTCTTTGTGTCGACCCAAAATTCGTGCAGCCACTGGACTGGTCTGTGCCATTGTTGTCGCCTAAACACGAGATTCCAGGCCTTGCTGTGTTTTCCGTCACCCTCGAATCTTGCCTGGGTCCTTTGATCAGGTTTTTTTTGCTTCTATTTTGTTACGCAAACTCAGCAGGTGCTGCAGGTGTTTTGCAGTAATCTTTCCCTCTACTGTATTTACTATTCACCTTTCACTTATCCCGCCTGTGAGCCATGGCCAGCCATATCATCGGCAACCGCAACAGCACTCCGGAAGCTGCCCCGAATTCCACGCTTCGTCCGCCCTCGTCCGCCCGCAATCTCGGTTCACACCAGCTGCGAGCGTCCGCTGACATGTCTGGATTCCCTTCCCCTCTGTCCTCTCGCAGTATGCGTCCGTCATCAGAGGTTTTCTTCAGCCAACAATCTCAGGGCCAGAACAGCACGGAGGATGCATTGGATCGAGCGGCCCAGCAGTGGCTGGCAGACATCGACCAGTACGAGACAACGCTAGAGGAGATGGCAGCCGCTACGCTTGATCAGGATTTCAAGGATGAACTCAGTGCCATCGAGCAATGGTTCCGTGTCCTGAGTGAAGCGGAGCGGACCGCAGCTCTCTATGCTCTGTTGCAGCAGACAACCCAGGTGCAAATCCGGTTCTTCATCCAGGTGCTGCAACAGATGTCCCAGGGCCACCCGATGTCCGGACTGCTTTCTCCGGCCAATTTTGGTGAAAAGGGTATGACATCCCTTTTCTTTAAAAAACCGACTGTAACTAATGTGCTTCCGATGAATAGATGCCATGTCTAGCCGCCTCAGCGATGCCATGTCGAAGCTCAACATGGACAGCTCACGGAGTTCTTTGGGCCGGCCCCCGCCATCCCCGGGCGCTAAGCGCAACTCGGGTCTCGATCCCTCTACAATTAATGCAATGTTCCCCGATGCCGCCGCCGCGATCGCGAAGAAGAAGGCGGAATTTACTCAACAGACCGGCAATGCTCCTCCGTCGAACCGCAACAGCGCGGTCTTCGGGGACCGTACCTCGTTCGTTGCACCCACCATCTCGGCTCCTGATAACAACGACAGCCTGGGCCAGCCTACGGCATCTCCATGGGCTCAGCGCGGTGGCCTTTCAGACACCCAGCCCCCCATTGCCCGGCCAAAGTCTTCCTCTGGTCATCAACCCATGGGTCAATTCAGCCAGATCCCCTCTGGAATGCGCTCTCCCCTTCCCCAAACTGCCACGATTCCGGCTGCCGATATTGAGCCTCCGCTGCTCTCGCCGTACAATGTTGGAAACCATAGCTGGGCTTCGATGACCAACACCCCCATGACCGCCACCTTTGGTCACCAGCAACAAAGCAATCAGAACACCCAGGCGGACATGGTTGCCAATGCGACCGCGATGAAGCTGGCGGCCTTGTCCACGGTGAACAACCGTATTGCGCTGGACGATGCCCGAAAGTACCGCCGTGCCCGCTCCAACGACGGCCAAGGGAAGAACTTGGCTGGCAACCCCACCTTCTCCCAAGGTCTGTCGAGCCCGGGCTTGTCCGGTTCCATGGCCGGCCAGCTGTTGAATGCTCAGCAACTTGCCGCTCTGCAGGCTCAGCAGCAGGCAGCCATAGCGGGTCGGCGGTCTCGCCCCACGTCCCCCGGCATTGCCATGCAGGGAGGCGGCGGACTCGGCCCCATGGGCTTCACTTCCCCGCAGAACAACGGTTTCCTCGCCGCGTACGACCCGAACAACCCTCTGATGGGCAACGGACTGAGTTCGCTGGGCATGGGCCAGTTTGGTCTTGGTGGTGAGGGCTACCTGTCCGACCACTCGGAGGTTACTCGTGGGCGCTCGCCGCGTGGTCGGCGTGGAAGCTCGAAGCCCCCGGAAGACCCCACCGACCCGGCTCTTCTGCAGGACATCCCCAGCTGGCTGCGATCCCTTCGGCTGCACAAGTACACCGACCACTTGAAGGATCTCCAGTGGACGGAACTGGTTGAGCTGGATGACAAGGCCCTGGAGGACCGCGGAGTCAATGCGCTGGGTGCACGGAACAAGATGCTGAAAGTGAGTTAATCCAATTCTGTCACGTTATTCTGATTATTAACAGATATATCGCCAGGTCTTTGAACAGGTTAGAGAAGCCCGTGCCGACGGCAAGCTCGAGAACCTTCCGTGACTCTGATCCCTTGTGCATGCGAGCATAGCATGGCGAACTGTCCACTGCCCAAGCGATTTCATGGAATTGAATTGGCCCCTTCCACTTCAATATCCGCCATGTGTGATTTTCAAGTTTTCTCTTCTTCTTTTTTTTTCATTTTCATTTTGTCCTCATTCGTTCTGTGATCTTTCTTCACCTTAATACGATGGATGATGTGGGATTCGACATGTATCAAACGCAGTGATGTCAAACGGATTCATGAGGAGGCGACTTCGGGCTACTGAACATTGAAAATGGCTGGGTTAATCGTAGATATGAACATGATTTTGTTCAATTGCAATCTATAATTTCATCTGGACTCCGTACAATTCTATATGTTTAGTTTAGCTTAAGTGGCACCGGCGCGAATGTGTCTCCAATGTGCCAAGTGGCCCGTGCACTTCTAGAAACCCGCGCCCGAACCTCCCGACCTCGTCTCGTCCACTCCGCCTACTCACTTCGACAGCTGTCCTCCTCGACCTTCAATTGCAGATTGCAAGAGGTCTTTTGGGAGAATCGATAATCTACTCGTTGTGAATCCCATCTTCCTGTCCGGTGCACAGCCCCTGAAAGCGCAACACCTCGAATCTGAGAACGGCGACAGCAACACCGAACACAACCTCAAAAGCAAGAGCCCAGTGCCTTGAATCAGTCGTTCAAGATGGCACCAACGAAGCAGGAGCTATCCCTGCTCATAAACCCCCTCGTCCCCGAGGCCGTCCAGCACAACTACCGCGTACGTCTCCAACCTCCATCAACACCTCGAATAACCACCCCTCCAAACACCTACTTACCGAATCTCTCCTTCTAACACCAAAACTAACTTCTCAAAAGGTCCTCTCCTCCCTCCACAGTCTAACAGCCTTCCTCCTCGGCCTGTCAGCAGGCATCCTCGCCCTCCAATCAACAGCCGGCTTCGCCTTCTACTTCGGCGGCACAGTCCTGGTCTCCGGTCTCTTTCACCTATTCCTAATCCAGCGCTCCGGCGGCGCCGGTGCAGGTGCTTTCTTCCCCGGTAATGGCGGCGAGATCGAGGGATCCGTTACGATGGCGAAGAATGGTATTGTCAGTATGCAGTTGGATGGGAAGAAGGGCGGGTATATCCTGAGGAACGGCGCTTGGAGGGATGTGTGGTTTGGGGGTGGTGTTGTTAGTGAGGCGCTGAGTGGGTTTGTGCTTGGGTGGGCCGGTGTTGGTGGTGTTTTGCGGTGATCGAGCCTGCGTGGTCTGGTATGGGTTTTGGTCTTTAGTGGGCTCTGGGTTTTGGATGGAGGGCGTGGCATGACTTTGTTGTGTAGATTGTGCAGATGGACGACTTTACTGTATTTTATGCTTCACTGTCACTATCAATACCAGGGCTACACTACACTAGGCTTTGTCTGGAGTATCACGGCGGTAAATAACTAGATTCACTCAGGTTTCTACGGATTTGAAAAGAATACGGAATCAGTATGGTTCGAAATCAGTATGGTTGGAAAATGAGTCAATGCGATCTATATAGCTTTGAGGGTATCCCTAGTAAGAATTCAAACAGGCCAGTAGCCCGAAGCACAGGACGCCAAAGAGAGAGATACGTGATAAAACTTCCCGAAAACAAATGGGAAGAGATCGGCAAAATATTAACAGGTCATATCAGGTCATATCAAGTGGCCTCCACACCGGGGAAGGTCCACAATGGATGGAAACGTATGCATATGCTAGAGAAAAAAATGCTTCACATGTGCGGGATCTCGTCGGACGAGTTGGCCACTGCACTTTGCAGCGCGCTCGTCAGATCGATGTGGAAGAACGGCCGGTTCATGCCCTGCACGAGTGCCACCTTGCGTCGGCTGCGGTATGCCTTGCTGTCTGTCAGGTCACGAGACAGCTTATTCTTGCGAATGTAGTCGCTCTCCTCGGACGAGGCGGTCTCGACACCGTGTGTCTCGTGTTCTGTGGAGGAGGAGTCGGTGGTCTTAATGCCGCTCTCCAGATCCTTGGGGGGATCGTGGTGGTGCAGGCCCTGCTCGCGCTGGTTGTTGAGCATCTCGGCGAGGGCCGCGGCGGAGGAGCTGCCTTCGATCTCGGCCACGCTGAAGATCGGCTTCCAGCGGTGGAAGCCATCGCTGGAGGTGGGCGTTGGGTATCCGAATCCGGCGGCCGCCAGACCACGCTTCGTCCAGCGGTTGTTGATGTGGGCAAAGTGCCACTGCACTGACCGAGGCGAGGCGTACAGGTCCAGCTGGTTCCGCACGTCGATCAGGTTCTGGATCGATGTAACGTCCACGTTGTTGACGGAGGAGAAGTCAAGAATGACGGCCTGCAGCAGCGGGCGGTCGTCTTGGGTCTCATCCTCGCCCTTGACACCAGCGTCGTTCCAAGGGCGGTCACCAGGTCTCTTGAACGCGTGAGGGTTGGTACGGCGAGTGGACCGGAAGATGGTCTGCACCAGAAAGTCGGTGTAGTGATTGGCATTGGGATAGTTGAAGCCCTCAGAGAAGCGGTAGATGAAGATACCGGGAAGAGGTTGCTCAACTTCAATGTCGGGATTGGAACCATCGGTGTGGTTGATTGGCACGAAGATGGACCGGTGGGCGTGGTCCTCGTGCTGAGAGGGATCCTTGTGGTTTCCGGGAGACCCGTACTTTCCATCGCCGTCCAGGAGGTGGTCTCCCACCACCGAGTGGATGGTAACACGGCCGAGGAACTGACCGCGGGCCTTGGCCACACGGAAGAGCAGAACTGCCACGGACACACAGATTGTGCAGTAGATGCCGTCCTCGATAGAAGAAAAGACGGTAACAACGACACCGATGAAGAATATCATGGCATCGAAGGGAGAAACTCGCCAGAACTGGTACACGGTGTTGGGAGGGGTAATCAAATCACCTACAGCGTGGATGATGACACCAGAGAGAGAGGCCTGAGGAATGTAGAAGAACAGGGCGGGCAGGGCGTAGATGGCTAACAGCACCACAACCGCGGTGATACAACCTCCCAGAGGAGTTCGCACGCCAGCCTTGGACTTGATGGCAGTACGCGAGAAAGATCCAGTCGCCGGGTAACCACCGAGGAAGGGACCGAGCAGATTGGTCACACCGATACCAACGAATTCCTGGGAAGGATCGATGGTGTAGTTGTTCACACGACCAAAGGACTTGGAAATGGCAATGTGCTCGATCAGAAGAACGATGACGGCAGCTGGCAGTTGACCGAGGAAAGCCTTGATGATGTTGGGATCCATAGTCGGCACGGCGGCCGCCTGGAATCCTCGAGGCACGGTTCCCAGCAGAGAGAACAACGGGTTATCCTTTCGGTGCAGATTGACGGCCGCACTGACCATGGTGTAGAACAGAATGACGAAAACGGTGCGCAGGGTCGAGGCAAAGAACCAGATCTTGGCGCGGTGCGGTTGCTTCTTCGCGGCATAGGTGCAGCTGAAACGGATAATATACAACATCGCACAGGCCGTGACACCCATTGCCGCATCGATAGACGAGGAAGGCAGGTACTTCAGAGTATTGATAATGACCTTGTAAGTCGCACCACGAGTAGAGAATTTGGCTGTTTCACCCAGCATGGTAGAAACCTGGCCGGAACAGATGTTGATGGCAGAGCCGGTCATGAAGGCAGATATAGCGGGCAGCGGGATGAAATCGACGATGAAACCCAGTCGGAGCAGGCCCATCGTAGTGACGATACCACCCAAGATGACTGCGAGGCAGGACGCAATAACATGGCCGGGGGTATCGGGATACTGCTCTTGGACCTGCAGGACGATTGAACCAGTCAAGGTCGACATCACAGCCACGGGCTGCACAAAACAGTTAGCACATCCTTCCACAAAAGCTCGATTGATGGGGCAAAGCTCACCCCGATGGTAATGTCCTTGGAGGTAGCAAAGAACCAGTAAACCAAGACACCCATAAAGGACGAGTAGAGACCGTACTGCACGGGCAGCTCAGCCAGCCTGGCATAGGCCATACCCTGGGGCACGACGACGGCACCGACGGTGATGCCCGCAACCAGGTCGCCGAAGAGCCATTGCAAGTTATATCGGCCAATCCAGTTCAGGAAAGGGAACAGACTGATGAGGTAGTTGATTAATTGACGGCCGGACGGAGCGGTCTCACGGATCCATTCGATGCTCGTCGGTTCGGGCTCGTTGTAAGAGTAGGTGTCGACGGTGCCAACGGAGAAAGCCGATTCGCCCCGAGTGACAGGGTCGGCGGTGGCGCCCAGAGGATCTCTGTATGCAACCTTGACACCAAGGCCTTTGGCAATGGCATTGCCAACCTTGGAGACCTTATCTCCAGCCATGATCAGGCACGGGAAGTGTCTGAAGAAGTCGAGTGCCAACTATCGAAAGGCAACAGGTCAAGACCCAAATTTTGAGGGTCAACGGGTATCCAAAACGTGGCGAAGATCCACAGATATCAGAGTCGAAGAAACTCAGTACACACGGCCCATGATGCCGGCCAAAGGAAAATAGAAGTAAAAGGGGGAGTGAAAGGCGTGCGTGATCCGGGAGGATACGGCGTAATATCAATCTCCCCAGATTTCACTTAACTTCGAACGCACAGGACACTGAGCAGGGATCACACGGAAGGTTTAAGAAAAGGAAAGTTCGACGTGGACAGAGCAAGGCATAAAAATGAAACGGATACATCTGGTGTCTCACCGATGATCGCACTTCCAGGTACTGTAGAAGGCCCGGGTCCACTCGGTTCTTCAGACGGTCTGGATGATGACGGAGCGCTAGGCGGAGTTAATTTTACGGCATTCGAATCAGACAAGAGCGTTGTATGGGTTCAGGAATACCCTCGGGCCCCCAGTTCAGTTACACCGTGTCGATTTCCCTTGACTACGGCAACTTTCTAACCCATTGAGGCGATGGCCAAGCTCGTGCAACTCGTGCATCGGGAGAAAAGCAGGCATTGAAAATGACATAAGCCAGCGCCAAGCCCGGGGCATGACGAATCATCGCATCCACGCGGGTGCAAACGATCGGCCGCGCTCCACTTTTATCCCCGCTCCTCCAATCATGTTCCTTCCTGATGGTGAAATCAACCGCCCCGATGGTGACAGACCTTAGCAAAATTCGCCCTGTTCCACGTTTCGTCTTGTACCTTGGCCTATGGAACCCCCTCGACTCTCACTTACCCACCACAGAGTTTTGCCTCCTCAATCCTGCTCGGTGGACCTCGGACGGCAGTATGTTTCCCATTCCGGAGCACCATCCACCACTGGGGGTCTTGGGTGAGTTGCCGCGTCTCCAGTTTGTGTGGGCTCCCAAGCCCTCTCCAACCTGGTCCGCGCTTGGCAGAAGCTCTGTGCCTTGCTCCCTACTCTATTTGTTAGATTGTTAGGGTTGGTCCCTACCCCGTTCTCTACAGTACTGTACATGAAGAATCGACCTGCGCGATCGGGCCTACTGTCCTTTCTCGGAACTCCGATCGGCGCGTCTGTTAACTCCGTACGGAGTGCACATTCTCGTTTCTGACAGAGCCATGCTCCGAATCCGATGGTTCCTAAGCAACGGACGTTGCATATGGGGCGTTTCTTGCATGCACGTCCTCAGTTCACGCCATCCAGATCCAAATCACGTCATGGAGCTTATCACGGCCCATAACCCTATGTACTGTAAACTCGGACTCGGAGTGGGCCAGTACCTATCAGCTTAGCCCCGAGTCGGTCCACCGTTCTTTCGAGAAGGCCGCTTTTCTTAGTAACGTATAATTCTGCATCGAACTGTCACGCGTGGGTGAGTATATCGGGTACCTACGGCCATAACGTATAGACATCCCCAGTATATCCGGGCTGCCATTCACGTGGCCCAATTGATCATCCCGCGACGCAATTGTCTTTTCTTTTTCAGGGGTCTTTGGCGCAAGTCACGCGGGTAATCTGAGCTGATCCCCGACAACCCCGTTCGTATCATGTTGCAACTACATACCACCTTTCTCTGTGGTGTAGCCTGATGCTATTACAGCCGCTTGATGCGCTCCCCGGATCAGAATGCAGGGGAAGAGAACCGTTCGCTCTCCTCAGTTCTATGAGCTCATGATGTCAGACGTAGTGTGCTCCGATCAAGGTGCATATGCAGGGCAGGTACAACATGCTTGGTGGGGAACCCAATCATCGTCCCTCCGTGTCGTCATAATATCTCCTAAGCTCCGACAGCGTTACACCACAGCTTTATCTACGAGGCTCCGCATGTAGAAAGTCGTCTGTTGACGTTCTGCTGGTCTCGAACCTGATGCTGCGATGCTTGGCGTGCGTGGGTATGAGCGAATGCGATGGACGAGAATCTTCCCGATGATAGCCGTCTTGAAATGAAGTACATAGTATATCTACCTCTCAATGGCATGGATTTAGTACAGTACATAAGAACATATTTTAGCTCCGCACTAGATTCTACTACTGTAGGGAAGATTGACTGCTACTGACTCATGGACAGGTTCCAACGGCTCGGGAAATCAATTAGTTCTGTACTTGTCAACCCCGTTAGCCAGATTAGACCCGAGGCATCCCATGCCCCGGTGTCGATCAATAGTCGTCTGGGAATTGCACAGCCAGAATGAACCTAGCCAACAGCGGCAGTTTATGTAGTCTGTCCCTAGCCGGAGAGGTGGAGCGGGATGAACACCTTGGGTATGTCCCACAAGGTACTCCGCATCCAGTATAAAGCATCTTGCCGATATTATACATTTCCAAGTTCTTACATATCCTACAACCTACAAGTACGGTCTCAGAAGATCGGTTATGCCAATGAAGAATGCATTCAAACGAAAAATCACGCAATGTCTATCCAGAGTCGTCATCAGTGCAGGCTAGAAAAAAAAAGCAGAAAAAAAAGAAACCCATCATGATCACCCCACGATCCTCCGTCCCATTGACGGAGAGAACGGATCGATTCTTTTTGATTCCCTCGCAGGGCTGCATCGTGAGCTCATCGTTTCATCACGGCTTCTCTTCATCGCAACTCCTGCCGTCACCCAGATTCCCAAAGCGAAAATCAAATATAATTTGGAAAACGCATGAGAACAGTGAGCTGAAGCGTCAGGTGAAAAAAAGGGAGTTACAGGGGGTAAAAAGAAACGGAAAGAATCGAGAAGATATGAACCTTCCTAATACTTCGAGCGAACGCCATCGCAAAGCAAGTGTTTCACAGGACCAGAAAAGAAACAGAACTTCGTTCCCGTCATGCCGGCTGGCCCCCTTCACATGGTATCATAAGCGAAGTTTCATCAGCGGCCCCGGCACTCCGGGCCTTTCCCTCACGGTGTCTATTGTGCTCTCGCGCTTACTGAGAGGCGCACTGCACGCGCTCAGCACCCGCGGGAACGTCATCGTCGTCCTCATCCATGGCGGAGCCGGCGCCGTGGGCGCGGGCCTGCGAACCCTCGCTGGCATCAGGGTCCTCCAGCTCGAAGTCCTCGACCATGGCATCGGGCGGGGGCTGGTGCTGCTGGATGCGGGGCGGGAGAACCTTCTCGAGGAGCTCGAGGTTTTGAAGCTCATCCTTCTTGGGGAACTTGACGTCGAACTTGATGTAGAGGTTGCCGTGATCGTGGTGGCGGAACGAGGGCATACCCTGGCCCGGGATAACCTTGATGGCATCTGAAAGAGAAAAAAAAAAGTCAGTAAAAGCCATTCTCAGCGATTTATAGGAGATGGAATGAAACATACCGGGAACAATGACCTCGCCGGCGGCAATGTTGACGGTCATCCATCGGTCGTCGAGGTGCTCAATGTGGATGGTACCACCGCCAAGCGCGGTGAGCAGGTCGATCTCGGCCTGGTAGAACAGGTCGTCGCCCTTGCGCTGGAAACGGGGGTGGGGCTTCTGCTCGATCTCGAAGACAACATCTCCGGGCATAACACCGGGCATCTGGTCACCCTCGCCGCGGAACTCAATCTTGTGGCCGTCGCGCACACCCTTGTCGACGTGAACGTGCAGCACCTTGCGCTCCACGATGGTCTTCTTACCGCCGCACTTCTTGCAGCGGTCCTTGTCGCGGATGATCTCGCCCTCACCGTTACAGTCGGGGCAGACGGTCTGGAAGCGCTGGATCATGGGACCCATCTGGCGCATCATGGTCTTCATACCGCTACCGTTGCAGCCTGTGCACTCCTTGACAGCGCCCTCCTTACCACCGCGGCCATCACAGCCAGGGCAGATAACGGACTTCTGGAGCGCCAATTTCGACACCTTGCCGCGGTAGATGTCCTCCAGGTTAACCTTGTGCACATGGTGGATAGTACGGGCCTTCTTGGGGCCGGTATCGCGCATTCCGCCACCGAACATGCCGCCGAAGCCACCACCGCCGCCGCCGAAGAACTGCGAGAAGAGGTCCTCGGCGTTCATGCCACCACCACCGGCGCCGCCCTCCAGGCCCTCCTCACCATATTGGTCGTAGATGCCACGCTTCTGGTCATCGGACAGGATCTCGTAGGCGTGCGACAGCTCCTTGAACTTCTCGGCGGCCTCGGGGTTGTCGGCGTTCTTGTCTATACAAAGCGAGTTGAAGTCAGCAAAAATCCCGGGAGTAGCGGCGAGTTTAGCATTGGGGACGTACCAGGGTGGTATCGAAGGGCACCCTTCTTATAAGCAGACTTCAGCTGGGCCTCACTAGCCGTGGGGGGAACCTATACAAAGCGAAGAAGCGAAATGTTAGTTGATGCTCGGATGCTCCTATCCTGGGATCTCTGGAGAATTGCCCAAACTTACCCCCAAGAGGTCGTAGTACTTGGTCTCCTTGACCATTGCGACGAGGCAAAAGAACGTGGAAGATTAAGAGAACAAAAAGAAGCGACGAGAAGGGCGAAGTAGAAGAAGATGCCCAAAGTGGTGGGGTTGGATGGGTGTGAAAGGTTGAATATCTTAGGATAAGACGAGCCGAGAAGGCTGAGTAACTTTTTTCCAGGTACTGTACGGGACCCGTCACGATAAATTACCCGAACATTCGGGATTCCTCTCTTTGAGCCAACTCGCTTTTTTACTAATTCTATACAAAGAAAGGGTCAAAGAGGCCTGCTTTTACCCTCGTGGCTTCACCTTCTGGCGCTTTCTCTGCCTCATTCGGCGTGAAGTTTGGCCCGAGCGTCGATTCCACGGGATTCTGCGGCCTTCGATGATTTTCTCCGCGCTTCCATGTACCACACGGGTGTAAATCCTGTAACGAAAGGGGTCTTGTCTTGTATTGATGAGTAAGGGCGATCAGCGATCATTGATTGATTCTGCTTATTCAGATGCAGGTTCTGTAAGGCGGTGTCCCAAGGTTGAGTCGAAGTATGATTGGGTTTGATTTGATCGCCTCCCAGTACGGACGTATCGTTTGGTCTTAAAGGATTACTGGAAAAGGAATGAGTTTTCCTTTTCCGCCACGCTCTCCGCCACAGCTTCTTATCGATAAGCGGAAAAGTTCTGCAATCGTCGAGCGGGACTCGCCGACGTCGATAAGGCATTGATAATGGACCCGGTTCCCCTCATTCGTACATTGTAGAAATCATCTCCCACCTGTTAAACACCTTAATTGACCCTCAATTTCATCATGAGCCAGGAACCCGGATTCATCGCAGCTGTGGAGGAAGCAAAGCAGGGTTACGCCGAGGGGGGAGTTCCGATTGGCGCCTGTCTGGTGTCCAAGGACGGCAAGATCCTGGGCCGAGGCCATAACATGCGCGTGCAGAAGGGTAGCCCTGTGCTGCACGTCAGTGGTCATATTGGGTATTATATTAGCAACGCGACTAACCATATACCAGGCCGAGATGTCCGCTCTCGAAAACTCCGGTCGTCTCCCCGCCTCCGCCTACGAGGGCGCCACTATGTATACCACTCTGTCGCCCTGTGATATGTGCACCGGCGCCTGCATTCTCTACAAGGTGAACCGTGTGGTCATTGGCGAGAACGAGAACTTTATGGGTGGAGAGGAGCTCCTCAAAAACCGCGGCAAGGAGGTTGTCGTGGTGGATAACCAGGAGTGCAAGGACCTGATGGCCAAGTTTATGAAGGAGAAGCCGGAGCTTTGGTAGGTCATGCTTGTTTTTGATTTCTTTGACAGCAAGTGGCATCTGTGCTGCCCGGTCTTGCTGGGATCTTCTTTGAGCCGTGCTGATTGTGACGCCGTACAGGAACGAGGACATCGCCGTCTAAGTCCATAGAAAATTTGCATATAATAGCCCAAACAATGCTGAAGGGTGCTTCATATTCCACCCGATTCATGTTCATTTCTCAATTGCTGATTATCTCGTGTATCGTCATAACTTTTGGGCTCTTGGCCAAGAGTCATTTTCTGTTAGGCGAAGGTACTGACTATACCGTGAGACGGTGAATCTCCTCAAAGAAGAACTTGAGATGTTCCGGGTCCACGAACGGAGTGACGCCTATTTTTTGAGTCAGTGTGAAAAGGTAGAGAGGTGACGGTATGCACGTACCGTGTCCCAAGTTGCAAATCCAACCCTGCTTGCCCTTCTTGAAGCCCTCGACCATCTTCTCCACGGTGGCAGTGATAGCAGGACGGCCTCCATAGAGCATGCCGGGGTCGGCATTGCCCTGAATTGTCACCCGGCCGTTGGCAATACGCATCGCCTCGGCGGGGTCATGCAGCCAATCCAGACCCACAACGTTATAGCCCGACTCGCAAAGGTCATCCAGAGCGTACCATGCACCCTTGGCAAAGACAGTCATGGGGACGGGCTCCAGGCCCATCTCCTTCAATCGCTTGGGCAGGTTGGTGGAAATGTGACGCAGGTACGGGAGCGAGTGCGAGGCGAACGTAGCAGGCGACAGCTCACCGGCCCACGAGTCGAAGACTTGCACCAGCTGGGCACCGGCGGCAACCTGGAGTGCCAGGTATTCCACACAGATCTCGGCAATCTTCTGAAGCAGTGCCTGAGACTCCTTCGCGTACTTGTAAACCCAGGTCTTGGACTGGACGAAGAGCTTGCTGCCACCGCCCTCGACCATGTAGCACAGCAGCGTCCACGGCGCACCACAGAAACCAATGAGCGGAACGCGGCCTTTGAGCTTGAAGCGTGTGAGCGAAATAGCCTTGTATACGTAGTCCAGCTCTGCCTTCACGTCCACATCCTTCGCCATCACCTTCTCGTACTGTCCGTCCGTCGGCGACTGAAGCGGCTCGGGGAAATGCGGGCCCTTCTTATCCACCATTTCCACCTTCATTCCCATGGCCTGCGGGATGACCAGGATATCGGAGAAGATGATGGCTGCATCGATGAGGCCATCGTATCGGTCAATGGGCTGAAGAGTCAAAGTCGACGCGATCTCGGGCGAGCGGCAGCATTCGAAGAAGTCACGGCCGCCTTTGGCTTCGTGGTACTCGGGAAGGTAGCGACCAGCTGTTTCACGGAGGTCAGACACTCAAACACGGAATTGTAAGTCGAGAAATGTAGAGTTGAACTTACCCTGTCGCATAACCCAAATCGGGGGACGCTCCACCTTCTCACCTGCGATTGTCAGCGGAAATTGCTCGAGATAGACTTGAAGCACTTACCCCGTGCAGCCCTCAGCAGCAGGTCGTTCTTCAAAGGCTCGAATTGTTCTTGCATGATTGCTGGTTTAAATGCAAGTCTGAGGAGGGGAAGTGGTGGAATTTCTCGGGGTGCCACGGGCCAACATTGGGTTGATCCGTTCCCCACCAAAGGACCTTGTGAGGACTGTACCTCGGATCTTCCCCGCCGCTTCTTTGCTGTCTATCTTGCACCCAGGTGAAATTCTCTCTACGACTTTCTATTTGTATGGTGTTTCATACGATTTAATTTAGACGTCTCTTATTTCTTCTATATTGAGCCGGTAGAATGCCTCATAAAATGTTATGAACTCTTGATGTCGTTGCAAAAGCCCCATCGATCCCAACCCTAATAACCTTAAACCACGTTCCACGAATAATCAAGTCTATACTATGAAGAATCGGCATTTTCTTCTCTTTACTGCCAGCAAGAGTAAAACGGACTAAAATCATGTCAGTCTCTGAAAACATATTAAGCAGCACCGGGGAAAGACTCACTCTTCCTCGCCTCTCCATCCAACACACTTGTAACAATCAAAGATGTGAGTAGGGTCGTACTGACTCTTCACCTCCAGAAGTTTGGCATAGTGTGAGCCAAAGTAGGTTTGCTGCCATTCTGGCTCCAAATAGTGCGCTTCGTTGAGGTACGCTCCACCGCCAGGGCTCAATTTCTTCAGGGGATCCAACAATTTTAGGAATCCATCAGCGACCTTCTGCAGTACGTCGTCCTCCAGTGGTTCCAACCATTCTCCAACATGAATCACATGCCAGAGGGCATCGCGCCAGGCTGGATTGACGGAGGATGCTTGGTTGCTATCGAGATTGGTGACGGGTGTTTCTGGGACAATTTGGGCTCCCGTCAGATTGAGAAGACTTCTCGACGTTGCAATGCCCTGCAAAATACCATCAACCAACTCATCAATACTGTCAGGGGCAGTGAAGACTTTGCGAGGAATGAGTCGGGAGCCCAATAGAGAGAAAATGCCAGACGGCTCCGTGACCTTGGCAACGGCGGCAGCGACGGACAGATAGCCTGCATAATTGGTGTAGGTGTTGTAGCCATTTTCAGAAACGGAGAGGTCGGTTCGGTTGTTCAAGAATTTGGCAAAAGATGCGGTGGCGGATTTCAACTTGGAGCCGTCGTCGCCGTAGGGCAAGACGAGGCCGATAGAGAATCGCTCGGGAAAGTAGTCAATCTGCCCTGTCACCAGCTGGGCCGACCAGTCGATTTGGTTCTCTGCATGGGCGGTCATGATCTCGCGGAGAGCGACATTTTTTGTCGCATTGGAGTTGTAATCGGCGCCTGTGAAATTGGCACTAAAAGTGTAGGTATGAATCGGCAGCGAAGGATACGTTTGGACGCGATACTTGGTGAGGACGGCAAAGGTGCCGCCTCCTCCGCCACGCATGGCCCAGAAAAGCTCTGGATCATTGCACTGGTTGATAATGCGCAATTCTCCGTCGGCAGTCACCACTTCGAATTCAACCGCATTGTCGGCCATCAAGCCGTAGGTTGTTGTAAAGGATCCGATACCTCCTCCCTGACCAAACCCACCGGCGAGGCCGACAGATTGCTCATAACCTCCGGTGATATCCATGCCATGACCGTTGAAGAAACGGTAGGCATCACCGGCGATGACACCGGCTCCAAGTTCTCCAACATTCTGCCCATTCGCTGAAGGACAATTGTTGGCGGTGAAATTGGAGTAAAGCTTGAGTGTGTTGAGATTGTGAGTCCAAATGGCAAGAGTGTTTGGCACCGATGATCGTCCATAAAAATCATGACCCGTGTTCTTTATACTGATGCGAATGTTGTGGGTTTTCGCAAATCGAAGTGCGGCAGAGATATGGGACGAGTTGCGAACGTCAACATAGTAAGACGCCAGTCTCCCAAGGGAGCATTTAGGGTACATAGTCTCTTGCGGGTTGGTCTCGAGAAGCGTACAGCCAGAATTATGACAGGTCTCCCAGTTTAACCAGTAGGTTTGTCCAAAATGCTCACCACGAAGGACACTACCACCGTAGTAGTCTTCGATGACCTTGCAGGCAGCTTCATCATAGTAAGGGGAGTTTTTATAACAGGGAGCGGCAATTGGAACGGTTTCATAAAGATGCCCATCGATACTGGTGTTGAATTGTTGCCATTCGCGCATAGATGGCCAGCAATTTTGACCAGGTCGACAGTCGTAACCAGGGTCAGTGGCTGCATACGTCTGGCCGAGAGAAAAAAAGAAAATAAAAGAGGTCAAATTGATCATCTTGCCCTGCCTTGAAGATCTATTTTGAAACCTGAATAACGAGAATGAAACGGGAGTGTGTGATGAGACGCCCTTTCACCGTACCACTGCACTAACTTATATATCGTCTCTCTTCTGCATTTGAACTGCTTACAACCTACAGGTCTTGCTATAAGAGGTATACTCATCGAACCTTGGAAGCATCAGCACGTTGTGTTCTATGATCGGCATGACTTGTTCTCACCGCAACGGGCCAGGCAAGGGTCATTAGACACCGAGAACAGTACCAATTGCGTGGATTCGCTTGACATTGGCAAGGCGCAGCCAAAAATAAGAGACTCGCCTCAACCAAAAAGCACCAGATGCTCCAGTTCTGCGGGCCGATCGTATCTGCCAAACATCGAAACACTTTCCCTTTTGGGACATCTCATGGGACCCACTTGACTGCCCAATCAACATCCACGCCACCGCCTCGTCCCCGTCCGTTCAGACCGAAGATGGCCATTCGTCAATCGAGAACGTAATTATCAGCGACCCTTTCCGGTATTTGGTATATACCTCGACCTGAAAATTTAAGTGACACGCTAGACTATAATCGGCGCGGGAATCGGGGCCCTACAGAGCTCCATTAACCTTACTTGCGATCCTCTCTAACTTCGGAATGCAGTGAGCTTAACTTAGGATTGAGGCGTTTGGAGGGCTGAGAGTTGTTGCGTTTCCCTTGCCTTATCAGTCACTTCACGAAATGAGAAAATTCTGCAGCCGTGAGATATAAATATAAGGCTTCCTCGTCGTTACAAGTCAACATAATTCCAATAAGATCCAGATCACTCAAGACCCAGCAAGACAACCTTCATACAAACATTAACCTTATTCTTCCTAAATCTCGACTCATTTCTCAAATCAACGAAATCAACAATGGGCGCCGTCACTGCAGAGGGCATTGCAATTGCCGAGTTGGTAGTATACATCCCAATAGCACTACTTGCAATTTTTGTGGTTTTTCGCCATGGGTTCCACAGGCAGCTGGGATGGATCTATCTCTGCATATTCGGTGGCATTCGGATCGGCGGCTCCATCATGGAGATTCTTAGCAGCAAGCATCCCGACAATGTCAACGATAAGGAGTGGGCTACCATTCTTCAATCAGTCGGCCTTTCTCCTCTGCTTCTCTCCACCTTGGGCCTCCTGAAAAGAATGTTCGTTCAACTTTATCCCCAAATGCAAGAAGGCCCGGCGCTAATCGGTCTATAGTATCGATGAGACATCCGAACGTGTCCCCTCGGATCCAAACTCCAGCAAAAATCTTATGATGCAAGGTTTAGCTGCTTGCCCCGGGATCATTGGTAAACTGTGAGTTTATTCCAGTTCGGTCAATTCAAAAAAGGAAGATCTCCTGACCGTTTCTCTTTTATAGCTTTTCAATCTACACCAAAAAAGCAACCGCCACTTCCCACCGCAGCAAGATCATCCAGCTCATCCAAATACCGGCCCTCATTGCCCTGATCCTGGCCATCAGTGGCGGCACAGACCAAGCCTCATCCAACGTCTCCGAGCACTCCGGCGGCAAAACCAAGACCCGCGTTGCCATGATACTTTTCCTAGTGATCTACGTCGCAGCCTGCCTCTTCTGGGTCATCACGGTGCGAGACCTGAGCAGGATGGCGTCCAGTCAGAAGCGCCTCTTCCTCGGCATCTTCGTGGCTTTGCCTTTGATTGCCGTCCGCCTGGTCTACAGTCTGATCACCGAATTCGGCAACAACCCCAAGTTCTCGCTGATTGATGGCGACGCCGCGGTCCAGCTCGGCATGGCTACGATTGAGGAGTTTATTGTGGTCTGCATGTACACGATTCTGGGCTTGATTACACCCCGTTCCAGTATCGATCCTGCTGTTGGAGGTGGCGTCATTTCACAAGATGCACATGATCTCGCTATGGAGGCCGGCAATGGCCGTCATGCTGGTGCTGCCAGTTCTCCATACGATAATTTCCCATATGCTCAGGCTGGGGCTCAACATGCTTATGTTCAAGAATATGCAGTGAAAGGTTATTAATTGCAAAGACTGAGGGCTTGCGACTCCGCCCATGGACGTGCCGCCAAAACACTCGAGTCTAGCACAAAGAAGGGTGACTCGAAATCAACCCCTGACTAGACTATCTGATTCTTTTTGTTTTTGCTTTCAAAGATTCTGAATGGTTATTTATGATGAGCGAACGGAACTTTTGGGTTGCGATTATAGACTTGCTATTTATTGTACGACATTTCACGATAGTCCAAACTAAAACATCGATATTCTCGTTCTCTCTTTCACCAGAACTAGGTTTAGACTTCGACGGATGAATGTTTTCTCTGATTATCAGAGCTCGGAGACCCTTGCTCGGGTGATAACCAGGCTCGCGAATGCATCCCCTTTCGCAACAGCTGGGCCATAGCCAGCGCTTGGTTGATGCCCATAGAATGTCCAATCTTATCGAGGCAGAGAACTATCCATTTACGAAGATCGTTCGACGCAAGGCCTGAGTTTGCGGCAATCAACAGCGGCCAGACCAGGGTGACACCTCCTGCCCCTGTTGCCTCAAAAGGACTAGAAGGGGACTTCCAACCGGATCCTGAGCTGGGGCTCGTCGGGCATATCGTAAAGGAGTTTTGCAGAGGACTTGTACTAGAGAATGACGCTCCCGTAGATTCCATCGATGACAATGATGATGGCGTGACTGGAAGCAATTCAGGCCAGAGATCCCAAGTCGAGAGATCTGCTACGTCCCTGGCTGCTGGACTGGAATCTTCAAATTCATAGCTGTCCTCAATGCCTGCACCAAGATGGAATGGAACGCTGGCACAGATGTCTTCCACGAGTTGGTGCGCGATCTGACGACTTTGACCGGCCAAGTTGGACCGTTGTTGACGACCATTCTCATCGTACCCCGAGGACTCGAGGTCATTCACGGTGTCAATAATCAGTTCATGAATGATAATTCGGGCGGATCGGTAATTGTTCCAGATGCTGCTTGCGGTCAGACTGTGGTATACGTGGTAACTGTCCCCCCAAACAGCTTTGGTGAGTGGTTCCCCATCAAACATTGGAATCTTGACAGTTTTGTAATTCCATGGATGGGGAACATTGATAAACAGTGACATAAGTTCCGCATCGATGGTCAAGGCGGTACGGAGGATCTCGCTAGGTTCCGTGATGCTTTTGTTCTTCAGGGATGCGCAGAAATTGCTGAGCCGGATAACCAAAAGCCCTAATTCATCCTGGATTTGGTCCTGAGGGTTCCGGTATTGCTTTGCATCCTCCGTGAGCTGGGCAATTATTGGCGAGCTGTACTTTTCTTGGTAAATTTTGCTGACGGTCTGAGCAAATCAGGGTTAGTACAATCTCTCTCTTGGACCAATGGTCTGTCTGTTCCCCACCGCCTGTTCCTTGCATTTACATTATGCCATCAGGCCCTAGGGATGACTTACAATCTGTGTACGTAACTGGGTGAACATATCCAACCCCTCCCGTCGAGTCAGTTGTTCCGGGCCCCGAAACTCGATCAGCTTTGCAGCACCTTCCATATGCTTCATCCAGCGGTCGATAAATAAGTCGTCGGTGCAGGTCATCACCTCGGTACGATTAGAAACCAAAATAAAAGAGTAGCAGATCGTCTGCCGGATTCACTCACTTCAAACATGCCCAGTAATACCACTGCTGCCAAGATGTCATCTCTCGTTGACATGACAGAATCTTTCAGGGCATGATTAGTCTGTGATAAGGCGGTGGTATATTCGCGCCTCGCTTTCAACATCATCTGTGGGGCCAGACGAATGTTGGATAAGGCAGCCAGCCCAACGGCATTTAGGGCAGCATTAACCGCCGAATTTCGCGGGTCATTGATCAGAGGCACCAAATATGGCATATGGCCCCCACGTGGTCCTCCGGCCATGTAATTAGAAAAGACATAGCCCTTTGCTAGCTCCTGCATTGGGTAAGCAGGGCTGCGTCGAGGCCAAGGTACGCCACTTTCATCATCGGCTGATGCAGCAGTGCTGGTAACACTGGGCACTGTGTGCTTGCGTGTGAGGCGTTGAGACTTGCGGATTACTTCCTCGCTTTGGTCACGGAAGCCTAAGTCGACTAGATTTCGATACCCAGGGCAGTCAACCTTGGCCCGCATACACTGGGTGCATGCTGGGGACCCTCGATCGCACTGGGGAAATGGTCAAGACATCATTCTCCCATCCCCCTCCCCACATGGACTGGAACTTACCTTCAAGCGACGAGTGCGACAGCGCTCACAGGCACTGCTTGGCTTACCACGATACACCATTGGAGATATCGTGAATGGGAAGCGTTGCGCAGGCTTACCGAAAAAAGCAGTCGATGCGTTCAGTCACTGTAGTCTATGTGGATTTGAGGGAGGGAGATCAAAGAGGGGCTGACGTTTATAAGTCAGTTTTGGGCAATCAGTTCGACGTGGTGCAGGCGCATATCATTCCCCACCCAAAGATCCCGCGGGGTTGGTACGACTGCCGGATGTGGCAAATGGTACGTGTTAGCCAAAGCTTATGGAGATCGGCGCTCCTGCAGTCACATATTCTCGTAGTTTTTGCCCTACTTCGATACATGACTCGTCTAGCACGTTCCTCCGAGATTAAGCAATGAAACAAGGTTGTCCCGCTGATCTACATCTCAACCACCTGAATTCGTTATCGGGGACCCCGAATCAGTCCTCGTATCCTCTTTAGCCACCATTTTAGCAGCTCGTCTCCAATATGCATAATATTATCTTTTATTCAATGTTGTTGAGGTTCACCCAAATGGAAAGCCAGGTTCATAATATATGTAGTCATCGTATTCATTCGCTCTCAGATGTGGCGGTTGAAGCTCATTGGGATATATTCGTACATTTCAAGGACGACGTGGCTCAATCATAAAACTTCATCTTCCGAAGATTTACCAGGGTGTACAAGGAATCATCGAATACTTTCTTCTGATTCGGCTCCAGGTTCACTGGAAGGTCAGTTGTGCCCGCCAAATTGATTTCAGTCACCATTGAATCGTCTGCCGGGCTCCAGCTAAGACTGCCTTCGGAGGAGCTGACTTGGAAAGTTTCAATAAGAGTTTGCGGTGTTCCGGGGCTTGACTTCCACATATTTGTCGAGTTAGGCTCCCGGATCGTATCCACGCAGACGGCAACGGTGTTCTTCGAAGGAATGCCAGTCACATCGAAGACATTTCCGGAAAGCTGAATGGTACCCTGAAACTTGAGGGTGTGATCATCCTCAAGAGTGAAGGAGAGAAGCTGTGAGAGCCTGATTGTGGAATTAGCTGGGTTCTTTCACCGGCGTAGAATAATACGTACCCTTCCAACCCAACCAGGATTGCATTTACAGGACCGGCAGGTTGTTGGAGAGACACTTCCCAAATTCCCCGAACAATGACGTCCTGGGTTTGCACAACCTCATCCAGCGAAATCTTTTGCATAATCTGCCCTTCTGTCCAGTTCCACACAATCAAGTAACCATCACCGCCACCGGAGACAAGCACCTTGGGTGCCCACGAAGGAATGCAGAGCTTGCTAACAAAAGAGGTATGCCCCAAGCAGTACTGCTCAATGACGTGTGCTTGAGGGAGCCCGCGTGAGACACGAATGTGCTCATCACGATCTGCAGTGAGGATGTAGCTTCGTGCGCGACTGTCAGGAGATTCTCCAGACACCGATGCGGAGATCAAATCTAGAAGGACCGAAACATGGCCGATAATAAGCTGATGCTCGAAGTTAAGAGCCTCCTTCTCCCCAGCGGCAGCCTTTTTTTCGGCTGACAGCTGTTGCCGCTGCTGTTCCAAGGACAACAGGTTGCGCTTGGTGTGCACGGTGAGCGATGTCGCAGCTGGCCCCAAGGGCTTGTAATGTTGCACCTCGGCACGCTTCACATAATCTCCGGGAATCAAAGGTAAAGAATAGGCATCTCCAAACTTGTCACCGCACAGGAGAGTTTGGCCATCGGGGTTCAGTGTCAAAGCACTTGGACGCTTTGGCATTGTTCTGCAACCAGATTAGTATCTGTATGATACTGGAGGTATGTTTATATCACTTACCGAGAACTGAGCTCTTGCAGCTTGCCTTCTTCACTCAAGGTGAAGACCCGAATACACTTGTCCTCAGCGGTGACGGCTGCTACATATTTGCCGTCGAGAGAAACAACCACGAGGGGAATATTGGACCAAGCTGGGCCCTTGTCTTTTGAGCCCTTCTTTGGTGCCGGCTGCTGCTCAGCCTGTTCCTTAGAAACCGAAGAGGGATTTTGTTCCTTTTCCAGGTGTGCCTGGGCCTCTGTAGAATCTGCACCAGCAGACTCCGAGGTGTCTACGTCCTGGGGCCATACATCGAGGCGCTGGCCAGTCGCTGCATCATAGGTGTAGAGGTGTCGACCTGCTGAGGCAACCAGTACATCTTGCTGGCCATCTGCCAGTCGATTGACATACTGCAGACACTGAAAAGGGTGTTGAAAGCTGGCCATGACAAACTCTTTGAATGGACTCGGCAAAAATTTCAACACCGTGGAAGGCCGATGAGAAGTGCACCAACCTCAATGAGAGGTAGACCCGATCCAATTGGAAAAGGAAAATGGGTCAAGAAAGTTGAATTACCTGGAAAGTAATTCAAAAAGAGCTCAACAACTTGAGGCAATTCGACCTCAAGCTCTCAATCGCTTACTCACCACGTATATCACGTGACCCACTAGCGAACCGAAAAAAGAATTTCCCACAATTCCGCACCCGCGAACTCTTTCTCCAAACCACCACCAAACACCCTTAAACAACCTATCTTCATTACAACAAGAAGAAATGGGGGGCAGATCCGCTACCAAGGCCGCTTACTTCGATAAGCTCAAGGCCCTTCTCGATGAGTACCGCACCGTCTTCATTGTCGGTGTCGACAATGTCTCTTCCCAGCAGATGCACGAGATCCGTATCTCCCTCCGTGGAGAGGGTGTCGTCCTGATGGGAAAGAACACCATGGTTCGCCGTGCTCTCAAGGGTTTCATCACTGAGAACCCTGAGTTCGAGCGCCTGATGCCCCACGTCAAGGGTGAGTTCTCCGGCTCGATTTTTACAAGTCTTCACTGGAAATCAATTGAGCATTGAGCTAACATAACATCTTCCTTACAGGTAACGTTGGTTTCATCTTCACCAACGGTGACTTGTCGGCTATCAAGGAGAAGATCCTTGCCAACCGTGTCGCTGCCCCCGCCCGTGCCGGTGCCTATGCTCCCGGTGACGTCTGGGTTCCCGCCGGTAACACCGGTATGGAGCCCGGTAAGACCTCGTTCTTCCAGGCCCTTGGTGTCCCCACCAAGATTGCTCGTGGTACCATTGAAATTGTTTCCGACCTCAAGCTCATTGAGGCCGGCAGCAAGGTCGGTGCCTCCGAGGCCTCCCTGCTCAACCTGCTGAACATCTCTCCCTTCACCTACGGTATGACCATTCAGCAGGTCTACGATGGCGGCCAGTGCTTCAGCGCCGATGTCCTCGACATCAGCGACGAGCAGCTGCTCAAGACCTTCACCTCGGCTATCCAGACCATCACCGCTATCTCTCTGGCCGCCAACTACCCCACTCTCCCCGCCGCCATGCACTCCCTCATCAACGGCTACAAGAAGGTTCTTGCCGTCGCTGTCGAGACCGACTACTCGTGGCCCGAGATTGAGGACCTCAAGGACCGCATCGCTAACCCCGATGCGTACGCCGCTGCTGCTCCTGCCGCCGCCGCCGCCCCTGCTGCTGGTGACGCTCCCGCCGCCGCTGCTCCCGCTGAGGAGGCTGAGGAGTCCGATGAGGACATGGGCTTCGGTCTGTTCGACTAAGCGTCTTATCATCGGATGGGATACGAATGCCATGAATTAGATCTACTTAACCCAACCCTGAAAAGGGGTGGTGAATGAAATGACTATGAATTGGCCACGGATTTTTACCCAGACTTGTTCAATGGACGTAGAAAGTACGCTCCATTACCTGTCCCGACTGAAAATGGTGAGTTTACCCTCTTTCCTTGCTACTTCACACCCTCTCCTTATCACATATTGCTCTGCACCCGGCGAATGATTATACATTTTTAACCCCGAGCTACGGCTCTGACGATTAAAACGCAACAACAACACTCTAATTTTTTAATGACGCCTTGCCTTGTTTTGCATCTGCTCTTCACATCATCATTTCTTGATTCTTGAAGCAATTGCTAACTATTTTGAAGTCGATAGGTTTTCTCTACCATCAGCTCGTAGTTCTGATGTCTTCGTAGCCGGTTGTAGGGAGAGGGCGGGCTGGAATTGACCGTGCGGTATGGGTAGGATTTGTGGACTGAGTGTCCTTGTTTTCTATTGTATGAAATATAAGGGCACTTTGCAAATGAGAAATCCCAGTGACGTGTTCCAATATCTATCCACGCTTATCTTCACCCTAAGATACCAGAACCCTTTACCTTCGTAGTACATCTCTTTTCCCCCTTACACCTTTCTGATCATCTCACTGGTCCTACATTCGTTGATATATATCGATCTCCATCTATGTTGCATCATCACAAGTCTACATATGGATGTTTGGGTCCGGTGATGATGCAATATCGATAAATGCCGATGACTATAGGGTCAATTAGTCAGATGTAAGAAGACGGTAAAGAGTAGGGATTGGTAGCTGGTCATGAACATTTAGGAGCCGGTTCATAATGACGTCGTCAAGTAGCGCTTGTCAAGTAGCGAGAGCCTAATGTCCAAATTTCAGTTCCGCTCTTGATAGAGGCTTAATTGTATACGGTCTCAAGTGATCAAATACCCAGAGAACCCACAAGATCTATTCATGGGATCTGTAAAGTGAAGATTTAATTAATTACAATGGATCCCGACCTCGGAATGCGATGAACATGAAAGCTTCTCAGCGAAAACAAGCTAGGCATCATCACTACCTCGCCCAAACCGACCCCCAAAGCCACCGAGATCCCGACGGAAGAACTTGCCGATATTCTTCAGGTTCTCATTCAAGTTGCCTGCAGCCGTGGACTCTGATGGAGTATGCGTGTGGCTGATCTGCTGAGCGGAGGTCCCAGGGGCAGGCGACGAAGGCGAGGAATCTCGAGCAAGGCTGTTGTTCGAGGTGCTGCCTGTGATGCCCGCGACACCAGATGACAAGCTGGGGTTTCCGAAACGGTCGACGCCGTCTTTAGCCGCGGAAATGATGGCCGATCCGAGCATGGAGGCGTCGAAGCGTGAGGGCATGGACGGGCCGCTGCCCAGGCCTAGGCCTTGCGAGACGGAGCCGGTGGTTGTGGCTATGGGACCCTGTAGAGCTGTGAGGATAGGGTTGCTTTGTTGTAGGCCGGAGGCGTAACGGTCTGATGCTTTGTGCAGCTGGAATAGCTCGACAAGGTGGTTTTGTTCTTGGCGGCTACGGATGCCTTTGACGTCGAGGATCTTGCGGAAGTTGTTGTTGTTGCGGTCCGCGATGTGAATCAGGTATGCTTGTACGAGTGCCTCAGCTGGCGACGGTCGGACCTGCAGAGTTTTCAAGAGGGTCTCGATCCTGAAGAAGCTACTATTGACACGTTTAACGAAGCCTGCCGGTGCTGGACTGGGAAGGAGAGATGAGAGTCCGCTCTTGAGCGTGTAGGAGTCAAGGAGCATCTAGAGAGGTGTGAGTTTGGAAACGTGGTCATTGATGGAAGACATACCTGCTCGGCGCCTGTTTCCGAGACAGGCTTGCATTGAAAGACGTTACTGATAAACAGGTTCGACATCAACTCGACCAGATGATCGGAGAAGGCTCGTGCATACTGCTGCTTGTGCAACAATTGAAGAATCTCGGATGCTTTTTCTTTGGTACGAGAGAGTAGCTCAGCAACGTAGGAGCTCTGGTCGCTGACAGCTTCAATCTTACTCCACGGCGTGTTACGCATCTCTCGCCAGCAAGGCTCCAAGTCGACTTCCACCTGCCGGACGAGGCCTCGCACGGCAGCAGATGCAATGCCCATGAAAGAGTCCGCTTGACTTTGCAGGTCGACGGTTTGCTTGAGAGCCTCATCCAATCGACCCTTGATCTTCTCCTCTAACTGGTTGCACGTGGTGTAGCAGTAATCGGCCGTGTTAAGAACCGACACCAGGTCTTCTATCGACGGAACCTTTGATGGTGTGTGGGCTGAAGGACGTTCGCTGATGTAGTTGAGAAGGACTTGCTGTGCATATTGATCCAAGTATTTCGCGAACACCTTTGCCAGTTCTGCCAGACTGCCACCCGTCGACAGCTTGGCACATTGCTGCAAAGAGTGTCGGTAGAACGTAAAGAGCTCGGTCGATGATGAGATGACAGTATGAGAGTTGAATTCCTCGTCCGGGGGTTTCAAGGGCTGTTGACGGTACTTCGGCAGGAGCGCAGCCAGCTGCTTGTCCTGTGCTTCCACCCAGACGCTAAGATATGGCTCGAAGGCTTCGGAGATGGATTGGCTGAACGCAGGAATCTCGGTCGAGGCGAAGGTGTCTGTAGACGTGCGAGAAGAGGGTGCAAAGCGTCGTTCAAGAGAATGCTCAAACTCCAATGTTTCTTGCAAACACGACAGCAGCAGGTTGACATCAATTGCCTGACCGCTGCGCACCGACCGGGCCAAGATGCCCTTGTAATCGTCTCGTGTGCCCTCACAGAAAACATTGGCCAAGATTTCATTCACCCTCCAAGAGGCCGGGAAGATAGCCGCGTTCTCTTCGTCGTAAATCTTCAATATCCGCCGGAACCACGAATACCTGCGAGAGATATTGTCCAAGGATCCAGCCTCTTCGTTGTTTCTAAAGACCTGACGATACTCGCGAAGCTGGGTATTGCAGTACCAAGTCACGATGCGGGATCGAGCATGCTCGCCCAGCGCATCCGCGACCAAACATGCCTCTGAAAGCACTCCCCGTTTCTGAGCGACCTCGTTCTTGGCAAAGGCTATTTCAAAGTCCTCGCACACTTGTTCCAATAGGTCGCGCTGGATATCCGCCACATTTCGGCTTAAAATGGCGATCTGGTCGATCGATCGGTACGACTTGAAATGGGCCATGAGCTGGATCACCGCCTGGAGAAGCTGCGCGCATTCGCCGTACTGTCGAGTGCGACTAAGCGCTTGCAGCTGATCGTACGCGGTTGTCAGCATCTGCAGACGCTTGAGTGCTGTCATCGACAGTGTCAGGTTCTTCTTCGCGTTGTCCAATTGCTTGATGTCGGCGGTCATGTCCGTAATCGCCTGCTCGGTCGTCAATGCGCGCTCCCGCACATCGTCGATTTTCTTGAACAGCTCCGATAGATCGGCTTTGGCTGTCTGAATTCGTTCTACGCTCTCGGCATTGGAGGTGACCTGCTCCTCCACCAGCGTGCCAATGTCGTAGTCCAATTCATCTTCGTAGGCATGAAGCGCGTCGGAGATCTGGGAGACGGAGGAGAGGGTGGAGGGGTGCGAGAAGATGGCATTTAAGTGATCGACAGGATCATAATCCACTGGAAATCTATAGGTCAGTACACTGGTGCGCGCACGGTATAGGAGCTGTCCGCACCTGCATCCAAGGCGTCGAGGGTGGGCTCCTCGTTGGGTGGCATTGAGCCAGTGGTCGGGACAGTAATAGCAGTCATTCCATTAGATTGCCAGATTCATCCTGCACTCGGCCAAAACGAAAAAAAACAATGCTGTGCCGAGGCAATGCAGTTGAGTGCAAGGTAGGAATCGGACGGTGAGGTCAGGCGAGTCGCGCGGGCCGCATCCTTGGGGCGGCCGGGGCCACTTGGCGACTTACGCAACCTCGCCTCTACAAACATCGGGGACTACAACTACAAATGTATGAAAAGACAAAGGAAAATTGATGTAGAATATGTTTACGAGCTTGTTATTTTTGTTTCGTGGCCATATCTTAACCATTATTTGGTCATTTGTAAAGTACAGAGTTGAAAGATACACGAAACCGTTGCCGTTCGCCTGAGCCATGCAAAATAGAGAAGAAACTTCAGATAAATCATACCCCCGGCATACTGTTCTCCGTACACTTCCCATTCTTTGCACAGTAGTGAATAAAGCCGATTGATAGCGAGTAGAGTAGGGAGTAAGGTAGGGCTGAGCCGGTGATCAGGTTAGAGACCGTTCATGCCGTAGGGAGAAAAGCGTCGGCGGGAAGGGTGCCCTGTGCCTATTTGTAACATGTTAGCATTGATCTCTCATCACAAAGAGTATCACGAAGTTTACCTTCAATTCTTCGAAGTTCTTCCACGCGGCCTCAGGGTTCCAGCCATTGCCCGAAAGGGCCATTTCCGAGAACTGTAGGGTCATGCCAGACTTGGCGCTCATATGGGCAACTAGCTGTTCTTGCTGGACTTGAGTATCGGTTTTGCCAGGGGCGGGGGAACCGTAACCCGCAGGAAGGCCGAGTTGAGCCACGGGGGGAGTAGAGACGGGAGCTGGAGCAGCGGCGGCGGCGGCGGCGGCGGGAGGAGCAGCTGCCGGATGGATAGCCTGAGGAATAGCCTGACTCTCTGGGCTCCACGCCTCATTACCGCCGTATGCCCGGAGACACAGGATATCGCTGACAACTCGGATACCACCGATGCCACCTCCGGGACCGATGATGAAGGTTCTGTCGAAACTGCGCGTTTCCACTTTGCCTCCAACACTCTCCTCAAACTTTCCATGCACCATGATTATGAGACCGCCCACTCCAGTGGGGCTCTGGCCGGTTGGGTCAGGAAGTCCCGGCATTTGGTGGCATTCAATGAGATAGTCGTCTGCTTGGGTGGCCATGTCGGGATGGCGGGTTTGAGGGAGATCGTTCCACAATTCAAGGATCTTTTCAGCACCAGTGTAGATACGCGACATGCGTGCAGGGAGATGGCTGATTTTGAGAAGGTTCCGGCTCCTCTTGATGTAAGCATCCCAGCCTGCGGTTTCGATTTGCTGGGCTTTGGGAGCCTGGGTGTTGACGTTCATGGAGAAGGTGGACTCATTGTCGTAAACGCCCTTGATGAGTTCAGCGCGGTTGTTATCGTAGCTGACGAAAAAGGCGCGAATGAAGTTCTCGGCGATCTGAGACTCATCATGGAAGTATGGTGCTTGGACAGGAATGGGGGTCTTCTTCTGAGCCGCAATTTCCTCTGCAGTTCGAACCTCGACATTATTCAAAATGCGTAGCTTCGGATACCACTTCAACATGGTGTCCTTGAAAGTCGGGACGGCGCTGATGGGGTTCCCACTCAGATCCAGAAACTCCAGGTTCCGGAACTTCCACCGCCACCCACTCATTGAAGACGGGTCCTTGAAGTTGTTGTTCGTGAGATCAAGGTTTTTCAGATCGGGGACGGTCTGAGCCAGGGTTGTGACGACTGTGATATTGGCAAGTTGGTTGTCTGCCAGACTGACACTCTCCACCGCCTCACGTCGCTGGGTGGAGCTGGTGAACTGCATCTCCCAGACTTTCATCAATGCCGGGAAGAACTTGGACTCCGTAGAAGTGCTGTTGAAAATTCCCATGGCCTGCAGACCCTCATCGGTCACGAGCTTCGAAAGGTCGAGGAGTTTGGTATCCGGGTAGTAGCGTTTGCCGAGAATAGCCGTCATCTTAGATTTCGTATCTGCAGTTGCGGCCGAAGTGCCATTGCTGGTAGCCAGGTCGCGATCAAGGGCAGAAGTTCCATCGTAAGGTTCGATGGTGATATGGACACCTGCAAACAGATTGTCATTAAGTCGAATCATCCGTTCCGCCAGTTCTGGCTTGACGAATACCACAAGTGTGTCGCCTTCGACTCGCGACTAGTCGAACGTTAGCAAGGTGCCAAAGACCTTGAAAACCGCCCGTCACCCAAAGGAGAAATTGCCAGGAAGCCCAGGAAGTGTCGACCGTCGTCGTGCGAAAAAGGCCGTCCGTGCGAGCAAACACCGGTACGGGTGACGTTGGCGTTGATATATATAGACCGATTCTCCGAATGTTGAACATACCTTGGTAATTTTGGCGCGTGGACCCGATTTGGTGGATGCGTTCAGTCGTCTCTCGAGAAATGCGGTAAGGCTTTCGACGCCGCCGTCGCGGTTGGATGCCGCCTTGCTGTCCTTCCAGTTGCGAACACTGAACTGTTCAAGGTTGCTTCCGCCGGAGCCTTTGCCTTGCCGAATATTGGCCTGGGAGTCCTTGCCGCCGGAGACTGCTTTCTGAAGCAGATCCAGGTTCCTCTCACGCGCCTGGGGTCGGCCAGATGCACTTGATCGTCCGGTATCGCCTCGACCACGCTTTCCTCCCCGTACACCAGGTCGATCCATATCCATGTCACCGTCTCGGTCGGTGCGCGTCGGACCCCGCTTGCGGATGCCCCCGCCACTTGTGCCGCCGGAGCGACGAGACTTCATGGTCTTCATGTTGTGTTTTTGAAGGTGAGGTGGAGCGGGGGGTGCAAAACACGATCGACAAGAGAAAACGGAGGGCGATGGTTGACCTTGGAACCCTCGTGAAGTCGACTGCGCGCTGCGCGCCTCAAATCAGGCAGGAAGGTGTTGTTCGCATACAATGGAGGGATTCCGGAGAAATCCACAAAACGAGAAGAAAGAAGAGAGACGCTGAAGAGGGAAGAAATAAAACAAGGCACCTGCCTACACGCAAAGAATAGGCAGCCGCAAGTACAATGCGATCTGAGAATAATCACCGATGCGAAAAAAGTGACGTGAAGATCACGTGGGCGGTGACTGAAGAGCTGAGTCATGGATACCCCACCAATCAGCAGCTGTGATCTGTCCTCACTATCAGCGGGTCCATCTATACACGCTCTCAAGCCTCGAACACTTCTGGCCAGCTTGCACCAGGCCTCATTCTTGGGTGGCTCAGCTGGGAAAGTCAGGGCCGACAAAGTCAATTGCATTGACTCAAACTTTTGTGGGTGAGTGTGTCTTCCAATGCCCCATCCCATCTCTGTTGTGCCTGCGTTCCCTCCGAGGTCGATTGACCACCAGGGCGGCTTGCGCGTTCAACGAGAGCTCTGCTAATGTCTCCGACTTTGACCTTCAGACAATTTCACTGCGTCCGCTATCCTTGATTCTCTACTCGCGTTCACGGTTCGCCCTATGACCGTCAATTGTCTGGCGAGATGCCCGCAAAGTCGCGATTCACGAGGCTAGACGCCTTCGCCAAGACCGTTGAAGATGCCCGTATTCGCACGAACTCCGGCGGTATCATCACCATTGTCTCGCTAGTAGTTGTCATGTGGCTCGTGTGGGGAGAATGGGCTGACTACCGGCGCGTGGTGGTGGAGCCGGAGCTCATTGTTGACAAGTCGAGAGGTACGCATTCGAGTTCAATCAACACATATATACGCTCGGGGGATTCCATCCTAATGCCTTGGTAATGGTCCAAACAGGAGAAAGAATGGAAATTCATTTGAACATGACTTTCCCGCGACTACCGTGTGAGCTTCTGACCTTGGATGTCATGGATATTTCGGGTGAGCAGCAAGTGGGTGTTGCGCATGGCATGAACAAGGTTCGCCTGTCTTCTGCTGCAGAAGGAAGTCGAGTCATCGACGTTCAGTCTCTGGACCTGTGAGTTTCCTATGAATATTGGACTGAATCTACCGAAACCCGATCTTGAGCTTAACCCCCACCTCCCTTCCAGGCACTCCCCCGCAGACGCCGCTACACACCTTGACCCGGACTACTGTGGTGATTGCTATGGAGCACCGGCGCCAGAGACTGCCATCAAGGCCGGATGCTGCAGCACTTGCGATGAAGTCCGGGAAGCATATGCCGGAAAGCAATGGGCCTTTGGTGTCGGAACCAATGTCGAGCAGTGTGAACGAGAAGGCTACGGAGAGAAACTCCGGGCGCAGCGCCGGGAAGGCTGCCGAATTGAGGGTGTCCTTCGTGTGAACAAGGTTGTGGGCAACTTCCACATCGCCCCGGGTCGCAGTTTCACCAACATGAACATGCATGCCCACGATCTCGAGAACTACCTCATGCCTGGTACCGCCCCGGAGGACCAGCACACCATGACCCACGAGATCCATGAGCTCCGCTTCGGTCCTCAGCTCCCCGCTGAGCTCGCCGGCCGCTGGCAGTGGACCGACCACCACCACACCAACCCGCTAGACGACACCAAGCAGGCTACCGACGAGCCCGCCTACAACTTCATGTACTTCATCAAGGTTGTCTCGACATCCTACCTCCCTCTGGGCTGGGACCCAACATTCTCGTCTGCGATCCACAGCGCCTACGACAAGGCACCTCTTGGCTCTCACGGCCTGGCATATGGCGCCCAGGGAAGCATTGAGGCCCACCAGTACTCGGTGACCTCGCACAAGCGTTCCCTCATGGGTGGCGACGATGCTGCCGAGGGTCACAAGGAGCGCATGCACGCCGCAGGCGGTATTCCCGGTGTCTTTTTCAACTACGATATCTCGCCCATGAAGGTCATCAACAAAGAGACTCGCCCCAAGACCTTCACCAGCTTCCTGACCGGTGTTTGCGCCATCATTGGTGGTACTCTGACTGTTGCTGCGGCTCTGGACCGTGGTCTGTATGAAGGAGGCATGCGTATCAAGAAGCTGCACTCTAGCTAGATTTACTCTACTGCTGTTCCGTAGTTGAGCGTGAAAGACTAGCATGTGGGGGACTGGGGTTGAAAGCAAAGTGGGGGCACTCGTGGCGTTTTTGGGATACCTCAATACATTGAATTTGTTTTAGTTTTATGCTCTGGGGCCATTATGTATCTTTCATTAACTAGCATTGAATACTCTGCAGCTCCTTATATCTACTTCGTCGACCTCAGCTTTTGTACAATTAGTGAAGATGGTAAAGATCTCATGGCTCATTGATTGACGCTGCCTGCATAGATTTACACCGATATCTTCTTCTTCCAGGTCGGTGTTTATTACCACTGGCTCTCGCTCGAGTGAGAGTCAAGTGAACGCCTGCGAGCTTGAAGTGTAAGTGCGGAGATGCCTGTACTTACGAAGTAGCTAGTAGCTCATGATAGAACGATATAGTTAGAACGACTATATCGTTATGCCATTGTGACAGGAATGACGGGAAGCGCAAAAGCCATCTTGCAACGCTATCTGCGGTTGAGAGTTTATGGCCTAAGTCATCTCTATATCAGGCCGTGGCAAAGACCAGTTTTGTAAGTTGGAGTTAATGACAGGGCTTAGTTCATGGACGTATTTGACGAGATCATTCGTTTATCCTCGGCCAAAATAGACTTTATCAAGACAAGACTGGGCACATTGAACATCCTGCGAGTTTCTAGCTAGTATTGAGACTCAGGACGGTGACTCGTGGCATTGAGAATCTCGCAACAATCCCAGAGCCCTGGGAATTGATATCCATTCTTCATGCCCGGCTGTGCGTTGGGAAAACCTAGCATTTCTCATGGTAATGTGAAAATTAAAGGAGTAGCATGCCTCGGGGAAAAGCAGGTCTGTATTCACGTGCAAAATCTTGGGAGATTATCCAAGTTGCTGTTGAGGCTTTTGCACTTTCAGTATCTGTTTAAAGGGCTTCGGGTCCGGCAACGAAACAGGTGTATCCGTACGCTTGGAACTCTGAATCAAATGATCAAATGAAGCAGAGCCACCAACACGCGGTGTAAACGGCTCAAAGTCCCAGAGATACCCTAGTGTCCTGAGCAGCGAAGAAGCAGAGTACGAAACCGTCTCTCCATCCGAGTTAGTCCCTTTCTGCTCAACCACACCCTTAGCGACCCACGGCGAAATCAGGAGCGTCGGGACACGGCCACCTAGCCGATCAAAGGAGAAAGTATAATCCTCGCCATTCGGGGCCTCCTCGGTGTAGGTCAGTTCATCCGGGCGCGGGGCTAGAGGCGGCGGGACGTGGTCATGGAAACCGCCCGTTTCGTCGAAGGTCAGGATGAAAAGGGTCTGGTTCCAATGAGGACTGGCGCGGAGCGCGGCGTACACATTTTTGATGAGAGTTTCGCCCTGGGAGATTAGGCCCGTCGGGTGCATTGAGGTCGTGCCCAGGCCACAGCAGGATGGCTCGATGAAGCTGAAATCGAGCAGCGTGCCAGCTGCCGCGTCGGTGTAGAAGTTATCTAATGGCACGGCTAGCCCTTGGTTACCGCTGGTAAAGGTCCAATTAAAGAACCAGGCGTCAACCATCTGTTCAGCTGGGTCGGTGTAGTAGTTTTTCCAGGTGCGGTTGGTTTCAGACAGCTGTTGAAAGATGCTGCGCTGGGTGAGACCGTGCTTGTCAGCGTCAAAATCCTCGTCGTTGGTGCCATGGCCAGCAGAGGTCCCAGAGAGCACGAAGGCGCGGTTTGGGGCCGTAGGCTGTAGCGATTATTTAGTCTCGAGTTAGTCATGGGAATAGGTATGCATGATGACTTACGCCAGGGAAATCTGAGTGCCAATGATTGAAAGTGAGGTAGTTCTGCACCAGGCTCGTCAACACTGGTACCTGCTCTTCGGTGTAATAGTTGAGGACCTGCTTCGCGAGCACAGTCTTGTTGGCATCGTCCCCATAATAGCGCAGCTGCTCGTACACGAAGCCCTTCTGTGCAGGAGTCAACTTGCCGCTAGCGATGTCGGCATTGTTGGGAGTGAAGGTACCGTAGAATTCGATGTTGTTGCCAGTCACCGAGTGGTCAGGGTCATCTAGAATGGAATCCATGTTCTTTGCACTGCTGCAGACCGTGCCTTGCGAGGGCTCGGTTAGATTGTAAGGGTTGCAGAAGGGACCGTTGTTGATGGGGTTCTCAAGACCCTTGATCGTCTGGCCGCCCAGTAAGTTATCCAAGGAGCGGTTCTCCATCTCCAGAACGACAACATTCTTGATATGTCTCTTCAGATTCTCGATAGAGCTTGACGAGTGCGCGGTGTAGGAACGCTTGGGCGGCACAGCAGAGGCCGCGGCCGCGAAGGCCAGGAGTCTGAGGAGGGAGCTAGCGTACATGAGCGGCCCAGTGGGTATAAAGTATTGATGCAGGCAACTGGTGTGCTGGAGATGGGTTCTTTCTGCAAGTAACCCTTCTGATCTTTATAACTAACATAGGGCAGCATCGTCTGCAACGCAGGCCTTCGCTCGGAAATGGCCGTCTGCTCCTTCGCATCCTACATGTGACTTTCCTGGTCATGGTCTCGCTTGAGTCGGAGTGCAGGACAGGCTGATGGTCCACTGTTGCTGCGGGGTATGTATCGAGCCTCTCAGCTGATGCCCATTCGGGATGATCCATATGGAAACGTAGCCCATCTGATTGGCCGCTCTGATCCATGCCCCGGGCAACAAGATAGCAAGATTTGCGGAGATAGACAGGCACCGGGTCCGACGACGCAAAGCCGCTAGCGCCGTGGTCCCTACCCATTCAAGATGAAGAAGTGGGGATGCGAAGCGCGCATAATCTTCGGGGGGTGGAGAGTCGATCATGTAACGATGCCTTTCGTTTGGAGTAAGTCGCGAATGGCGAGGTGTCTTCTGATGGTAAATTGGTGGATGTGAAAGTAAAAGTGGAAGGTTGATGCGGATTGAGGGGTTCTTGCGTAGTCCTGAAGCGCGGAGAGCTGCATCATAGTGATATCCAATAGTTCCGAATAGGCTTTGAAAACTGGTCATGAATGTATAATGTACCCAGGCTCACGTTTTGTTTCTTGGGAGTGAGAGTCCAGTGGTAATCAATAGATAATCAACATATCGAGAGTTTTCGAAGAAAGTTCATAGTGGGAAACTAACCGGAGAGGTCTTGAAATAGAGCAAACAGTATAGCTTGCCAACCCATCAGAAGCGCATTAATACGCCTGGGCTTGGGCAGGGCCAGCAATATATCATCTAGGTACTCGCTATCTATGAAAATGAAAATACTTGCATTTCAGAACCCAACCACCCCAGTTTCAGGGACCTACTTTGAGAAACGGCGATCTTGGACCCCCATTGTACGGTTCTAAAAGTCGACTCACAGCAATAATACGATACTAGATTTCACAAGATCTCACTGAAACAGATATATCTATCTTAAGATGAAGGAACACTAAAGCCTTCATTCAAGCAACTCTCTATACAAATTGCAAGAAAACCTGATCAGCACCCAGGACAGCAAACGAAAATAACAAGGGTGGAAAGCACATGGCATGCAAGAGATGAAGTAAGACCCCTTCGCGCCAGACCGATCTGGAACTCCATACCGATGCGTAATGCAAGCAAATGATGAAAACAAGGAATGTGTAGACAAGGAAAAATAAAAAGCGGGATCAGCCGTGAAGTCTAGGTCTATGCAGGGATGCAGACGTGGCGTTTTGGACATGAAGGAAATGGAAGGACAAGGATTGTTGATGGACGGTTTAGAATGAGACAATGAAAAGAGGCCATGATGGCTTAATAACGCATGGCGTTGTAGTTGTTGGGGTAATCTCCGGGCTGAGCATATTGTTGGCTTTGCTGGTAGCTCGGCGGAACCTGTGCGGCAGTCTGGGGAAGCTGCCCATACCAAGAGCGCCGGCGTGGCTCATCGGGGCGGCTCATTTGGTTCAGAGCATCCCAAGTGTGGTTGGCTCCCGGGAGGTTGTACATGGATTGGTGGGGAGCTTCCTGGGACGGGTAAATCGTGGGAGCTTGCTGGGGCGGGTAAATCGTGCCAGCATGTTGGGGAACATATGGTGGCTGGTGCATGACCTGTTGTCGATGGGCAATCGCATGCTGAACCATCCGATTCGACATTCCCTCCCTCATCTCACGTTTCTCACGTTCACGGGCATCGATTGACGAAACAAGGCCGCTACCCTGAAGCTGCGGTTGGGGGTTCCGGTTGGCTTGATTCATGTTAAAGAAGGAAGAACCAGTCACGCGGGCAACATGCTCCTGCTCACGAGCGGAAAGATGGGTCGAAACATCGTTATAGTTGTTCAACATCGTTCCGGTGCCGCGCGATGAGGGACGATAGTTGGGATCTTGATGGGCGGTCATGCGAGAACTGGAACGGACTTGATTGGCCCAGTCACCAGATACTGGTCGGGGCTGCGGCGGAGGAGTGTTGTCAGACGGGGAACGGAGATGCATATGTATCGGGGGGCTAGGTGCTGCTCGCTGCTGGACATACTGTTCCGGGGTGAGACCTCCAGCAGGGGTAACAGGGCGATTGGTAGCCATTCCAGGCTGCCACAAGACACTCCGTCGGTATTCTTCCTGGCTAGGAGTCCCCTGGTGTACCCGGTCCATTTGGCTCGTTGGAACGGACAGCCGATATCGCTCTGCAGCATCCAAGTCATTCCGCTGGTTCGACGTCTTGCGCAAAGTGTCTCCCGTAGTCGGGCGTCCGGTGGTGGGCATATATGCCAATGTCGGACCGAAGTCGACTGTAGGAATATCTGGGTTGATGGCCTCGGCGGGCCTTTCCGTGGAATAGTGAGCGTCGCCAATTACGAGGTCTTGCCTAGATGGCATTCCGACTGTCTTCATGACACCCATTCTGGGCCTGGTAATGGACTTCTCGGACTTCTTGCTGTAGACAGACTCATGTGTGCTCGCATAATCCGGGGAAACAGTCGAAGCATCGTCATAGATACTCTCTTCCTCATTTTTGTAGGAAGAGACCGGCGAGGGGAGATGGGGGGCAATTCGGTTCAGCGCGTCTTCATCCAGGGTATGCCGGAGGTCGTCATAACTTGGCTCTCCATCAGGTGAGAGGGGTTCCTGTCCAAAGAGTTGTCTCCGAGGAAGAGGCTTGCGCTTCACGGTCCTTTCAACATGGAGACGTCGTTGGGGCGATGGAGTGCCGCCAGTACTGGGCGTTGCCGGAAGTTGCTCCGTGGCCGGCGGTGCTCGCACGGGGATTTCAATGCCAAATCCTTCACCACTCGAAGAGTGTGCGAGAGCGGGGTTCATGTATGCTGCCTGCGCTGGAGAAGAGCCATTGTGAGAAAAATAGCCTTGTGACCGTTGATCGATGCTGGTATCGGAAGGATGGTCATGGAAAGCGACCGCAGAACCGGCCATGCTCATTTTGCCAACAGATGTAAGTTGTGACAGAGTTGCATGAGACATCCTGTTATTGGCCAATCTCTGTTCCGAAGTCGCTTCGGGTCGGTTGGCGGGCATCGATCGAGGTCCGTGTACAAAGGACGGCGGGGTTGCAACTGGAGATGGTGGGGTACGAGGTGGAATGGGTTCTCCGTTCAGGTCAGATTGCGCAAATCCGGCAAGGGGTCGGTCATTTTCAGAACTGGTGCGCTCAGCAATAGGCGCTACGAGACCCTGTGCCCTGCCACGTCCCACCAGATCCTGGGCGGACGAGTGAGGTGAATCGTCATTGATTGAACTGTAGCCGGGCCTAAGCCCGTTCTGCATGCCCGTGATGTCTGAAATTCCACGAGAGTGATAGACTGGGGGCTCGTTCTTTGGGATTTCGTGAATGACAGCTTCTGCAGATTGGTTGAACTCAGGCTTGCTCTCAGGAGGAGAGAAGGGTTGGCGAAGAGGGTTGATCGGGGTATCACTGTTGCGCATGGAGATGCTGGAGCGATAGCGCGGTTTGCTGCTGTTGACGCTGTTTGTTCGACTCCGGCCGGTGGATATCCGCTTCTGTGTCGCCTCCTTAAGCTGTTTCCTCCATTCCGCTTCACTCCATTCCTGACTCCCGGCAATCTGGAGAAGGTTGGTAATATCCAACACATCCAGGTAGCCATAACGACGCTGCTTGGGAAAAGCAAACATGATGCTTTTGATGTGGTTTGTGTCAGCGACAAGGCGGGTCGGGCGGCCATAAAGATTGAACGTATCGAACGTCGGGAATAAGAATCGAAGCATCGTCTCAAACCCAGAAACCGCAGCATGCAGTTCGGGCATGACAAACACCAACCCTTCCGAGGAAGACTGAGGTTGCTGGTGCATATGAACTCGGCCCTCCAGCTTCACCAAGGTCGATTGATCGATAAGGGCTTTGGACTGGGGGTAAATTGCGTAGGCGGAGTACACATTGGTGACGGTGGCGATCGGCTGCACCTTCTTGGTCTTCTTGGTCTCGAAGAACTGAATGTTTCCAAGGACCGGGATCGACAAGCGGTCGTAGGCAGACTTCTTCATCACCTTCCGGGCTTTCTGAATTTCCTTCTCGTTTGGCGGGTTGATCACGAACCAGCATCGTCTCCATGGCGTTCCCGCGCCAAATCGCACACGCGCCCAGTCCTCATGCTTGAACTTCGTAGGCATCAAGATAGACTGGATTCCCGGGAGGTGCTTGCCTTTGGCAGCGATGAGAGAGCCGGTGTAAGCTTCATATAAAGAGGTGTGTTCGTACATGGAGAGGCGAATTGCCGCCGTCCACTGGGTCATTGAATGAAATGAGCTGAAATGTAGCAAGTACCGATTCTTGCCGGCCGAGGAAAGACTGAGGACATTCTTCAAAGGTGCCACGGCTCCGTTGCGAATAGGCAATGTCTCGATCTGCGTGCGCGGCAATTAGTTTTGAGTCACAAGCTGCGCAATGGAAGAAAGAACGTACCATCTTGATCGACGCATCAGCTAAGTTGATGAATGTCGCAGGGGGCTCTTGACCATCCGCCGCGTCCAGCGCAGCAGCTTCCCACAGAGAAAGGACCGTTCCGACCAGTTGAGCGTAACATTCTGTCCACTGGCGATCGGCAGTCTGCCGTCCGTCTGCGCATTGCATTAGTCCACATGGTTGCCCCGCATATGAAGAATGCCCTTGATTACGGGAGAGAGAGAGATCACTCACATGTATCCTGGTCATTTAGCTTCAAGAAATAACCTTCCTGGTAGACCTTGTTGGTGTGGATATTAAGAAAGGAGAAGATAGGCGACAGCTCCGGTGGAGTATCCTCGGCGTGCTCCATCAGAGGCGGATTGCGCGAAAAGATCACTGAGGGAGGTCGCGAGCCCATTCCGTCATTTCGTGGGGTCGCACCATTGACGAGCGACAGTTCAGAGGGAGGTGAGGGCGTTTCGGGAGAAGGTGAATGCCAGCGGGGCGGAGTTTGCGACGGAGTCACGTTGGACGAAGACCTTTTGCTTTCCCTCCCAGAGTCATTGTTCTTGGGACCGCTAAAGGTTGATATAAACGAGAGAACTAGAGTAAGACGCAAGGGCGAAATCAATGATGGGGTTCCTGACATGCTCCCGGGCCGCTGATCAACTTACCACGCGAACGACCCATGATGATGGATGGGTCACCAGACCAAAAACCCCGCCTTCGACCAGCGCTGGACGAGTTGTGAAAAGTCGAGTGTTATAGAAGGACACAGGGAAGGAGGCCTCAAAAGGAGACGATAGCGCACGGTCTCGTAGGTGGAGCTAGGATAAAGGAGTCCGCTGGGACCGAATTCTCGCCGGAGCAGGCTAATCCATCGAGGTCCCTTGTGAGGAAGTAGGGGGTCTCCGGGAGATGTCAAGCGAAGGCAAAAGCAAATACCGGGCACGAGGGGAATTTCCGCTAGACAGTCGCTGCCAAGCGAGAGGATGACGTTGCGGGTTCCCAAGACGGTCTCTAGTCACCGGGACTAGTTCACTTCGGATCGGGGGTAGAAGGGAAAGTGAGAGCGAAAGGCAAAAGAGAGAGGTTGGGAAGGAACGAAACTTGACAGATTGAGGTTGCGGAAGAGGCGAGACAGGCTGGACCGTGGAAGAGAAAAAGTTGGCGACAGCAACACGCTTGGCAGGTGGGACAGGACGTGCGAGGCCCAGAGACGCGTTTGAACCCGAGACGATCGATGCTAGATACGATAAATCTGACATTAAATCTGACATTAAATTTTACAATACACCAACCAGGTCCTAGGGTATATTCTACAGTACATACACATCCTACAAAGCCGTGCAGAGTACGGAGACATCCAAAAGTGTCGTCATCCAGCGAGATCGGCGGTGGAGAGTGGCTACCCAAATTTAGCACAGCTAACTGTGCATGTCTTGGCCGAGTCGAACTATACTCGGCTTTGTTCTTTTTCCATTTTTCCTCGGGTACGGATTCAGGCACCACTGTTTTCTTTGTCAACTCTTTCAAATTGTCTAAGCCCACGCCCTGAAACGATCATCGGCAAACTTTTACTTAAAACCAAGTGGCAATGACGAGCGGGTCAGCGCGGCCCAGCTGAAGACTGCGCTTCTCCGGTTCTGCCGTGGACGCGCACTTCATTCACACCGCCCTGTATTTTTACTTTGTAGGCCCGTCTTTGCCTCCTGGTTGGCCACATTGCGCACGATGTTGTGGCCCGATGAAACTGTTCACTGGTTGCCTCTTGAAAACTAGGAACACGCAGGAACGTACAGGTCCTTACATGGCACCCGGACCTTTTCTTTAGGCTCCCCCAGGCACAAACCTGGTACCGGATCCCGCCCTCATTTCTATGGTCGCAAAGGCGTCATTTTGGCAAGTGGTCCACAAATGTCGGCATTTGCTTCATTGTGGTCCCCTGTCTCCTGGTGATTGGCCTCGAGCACCTGAGATCGGATTGATCACCGCCTCTGCCCCAGAGATCCCCGGTGCAGCTGTGGCTAGGTCTTGTACCCGGGACCTTTCCTGTACACGGAGTAGGAGGTTCATGTTTAGGATCAGGGCCAGGCTCAGGGCCATATCTGTATGTTGCACCTATAATTAACCCCTTGGCGGCCCGTCAGACCGATTTCAGTTAGGCGCCTGAGAATAATTGCCTTTGTTGATTCCTCGCGACTGAGACACCGTGGCCTTGGGTGCCAACCGGTGGGTCATGGCGTGTCATCCTTTCCGGTTAGGGCTCGGACACTGGACACATGGTGCCTCCGCGTGTCTCACGGCAAAATGGCAGCATGGTAGCGTGACCCCGTGGTCTTCTGGGAAAGGGGTTAGAAGGGGTGGGTTTGCCCCTATCCTAGTGATCACTTGGAATACCTCCGTGCCATGTGACCTCATGGCGAATGAGCCACAAACTAGAGACACTAATCAACGCTAACGGGCTATGGTCTACAACCTTAGTACCCCACATGCTTAAGCAAATATAGTATTCAATTAGCAAATAATATATCCGTGTCCGTTCAGGGAGAACTCTGCAGTCATTTGACAAAGGGGACGCCCCTGTCGATCTGGGGAAAGCTGATGCCTGCTTGTAAGGCTGATGCATGTAGAATAGACTATCACTGCAAGGAGTATGGAGTATGGAGTATAGAGCGATGTATTCTTCTTCCAGTCCTGTTACTAATCGCCTGGCACCTGGGCAACGTGGATTGTATTATCTGTCACTCATACGCTTGAATTATCTTAGCCTGCGGTGTGCGACTCCTTAGCAGACTCAGAAGTGGGTCAACCATACTAGCAACACTGACCTCGGGAAGTTACCGTAAATGAACCATCACGGGAGATCTACCAGTTGACGCAAAGTTAATAGTGCTTTGATCTCTAAGCATCCAGGTCTTCTACAGTTATCACCGTCATTAATCTCCTATTCTATGTCTGCAGTGCTGCACTCAACAGCCTGACGAAAACCCATCGTAACACCCTGGGACAATACCAATATATCTCAACCATACCGTTTTCTAAAGAGATCTCAATATACGACCCCCGCCAGGAGCTTCTCTAGGGTATAGGGCACGAAACCGATGCCTCAGAGAGCCTTCACAAATAAAGCCTGGCGTCCAGCCATTCACGCTCAAAAGTTTTTCAAAAATATATTAGTCTCACTGCTATATAAAAACTTTCTCATGTTGCTCGATGTTTGAATGATGCCGGGGCAGCTTTAACGGACCTTTATGCCGTCGCTGACTATTCTGATAAGTGAACACAAGTCGGGATACTCTTCATATGGAATTGGTATTCATGGTTCAAAAAATGAATTCCATGCAGTATGCTCACCGGCGACTCATACATCGCATCGTTGTTGTCGCTTAGTCGTAATGCGCTCGACCAAGTTGAGACTGTCTGCGTTGGGTAAACCGTGGACGTGTAGCGTTTCGTCTTTTTCTTCGTTTACCGTCTCATCCCTCCGATTCTCTACAGTCCTCCGTATCTTGTCCAGTTCTTGGTACGACCTCAACCTGCACTTATCAGTCACTCTTTATGTGTCCCTCGGGTACACATGAGAGTGAACTGCACATTTGCTCCCAGGCAGTTCCAATCACCCCGTCTTCATTTTACATCGCAATCTTCCCCTTCTTAAGTCTCGTCCTCGGGCGTGTCCTTCACATCTATCACGCACCTAGCAACGTCACGTTTGCATCTCGTCGGTGAAATGGAGCATCATACGGGATTGGTGGACACTCACCAGAAAGAAAACGTGAAACGCCAAGTCACCGAGGCAATGAAGGAGGGCTTCAGCCCGCCAAAGATGCCATGGTCACTTCCTGACTCTGACAGTGCTGACACTGACACGGACAATGTGCCTGAAGACGATGTGCCCGAGGACGATCGTGCGCAGACTGTCTCCACCGTTGATGAAAATGAGAAGGATTGCTTCTGGACTGAAAGTGATCCTACTCCCCCGGTTCCCATCCCAGGAGCTGTTTATCGGGACAGAAGCCTCGAGAATATGAAGAAAGCCAGTCTCGAATACCTGAACGACATCGTCGAGGAATACATCATCGGCTTCGACCTCACTACCTTTCCCCAGGTAATCGCAAATTGGATACCTACACTGAGAGCTACGGCTCTACCAGGCTCGTACGAACATCTGCTGCTGCTCATGTTTGACCAGGTTCTGGAATTCAACAAGTTCCAGAGCACCCTGAGAGAGTTGGGTGTTGCAGGTTCTCTCGACCCCCGTCGAGATGGTACCTTAACCATAAATCCACGGCGTGACCGCAGGGAGATTGGTAGAGGTAGAGGCAAACGCAGAGGCAAGGCTGTCTTGTTCCCCAAGGGCCGAATCGTCCAGAATATCCAAACCACCGACGAGGTGTACTTCTCGAGAGAACTGCACATACTCAGATTGATGGTTACTCCTCTTCGGGATGAGAAGGAGGAAATCATCTGGATAACCAGCCGAGAGGAGCAGCCGGATGACATGATCCAGCAGTTCGATGCAGCCAAGTTGGTGATCAATGACTTCAAGAAGCGCCTGATAAAGGCACTGCATGAAGGCCCTGAGAACAGTAAGTAACTCGTTTCCCTATCTCTTCAACAATGCTAACGTAAACCCTTCAGAGGCCATCAATCTTCCTGCCGCCAAAGGCCTCGAGTCCCCTTCATACCGCGAGAGACGTCTCCGAAACTCCAGTCTCCACCAATTTCGCATGGACGCTTGCAAAGCAAGCACTGAATGGGCACGATTCCCACCCAGCGAAACCGAACTGCGCAGACGGTACGGCCACTTCGGCACCTGGTATGGTCCTCACAAGGAAGCAGTCAAGCCGCCAATTAAGAACACCCTGCCTCCCGTACGGGTTTCCTCTAACCTGGGCTGTGAATTCGACAACATAGATACCATCCATCCCATCCTGCGTCGCGAGGGAAGGATCCTCACCCTGCTCGTCCAAATCACCCAATGGCTCGCTCTAGCCCGCGGCTTCTCCGCTGTCCACTTGTTCTGCGACATCACACGCCTGTTCAGCGTCCACGGCGTCGACCTTGGCAACAAGGCACAGGTGGAAATCTGCAAGCAGCTGACCAAGTTCCAGCTGATGTGCGATGCCCTGGTCAGCCCGGTCCTTCTTCATTTCCCAGTCAGTTCCAGTGTCACTAAGCAGTTCTCGCCCACGTTCATTCAGGGCGTAATTCAGGCAAATAGAAAGATGGAGGATGCTCTTGTCGACCTCGATACACTGTACCACAGTGTTAAGGATATCTCGAGTGATTCGCCTCCCCAGCTGCTGGAATGGGTAACTTGGAAGGGCCAAAAACTCCTGGCGCTCAAGATGCCTCGTCTGTTTGTTTCGCATACGAAGATCCAATTGCCTTTCGCCCCTGCTGAGATCTTCTCGGAGGAGGAGCTGGCTGCCCATCTGGATGCGATGGATGTTTAGACATGCACATTAAAAGTCTTGCTTACCTCTCGAGCCCGCTCTTTTCGCTTTAAGCTTCGATTCGTCTCGTTGCTTATTTTGATGCTGCATGGAAGGAGGGTGATTTCGAGATCTAAACAATGAAAATTAATTTAAGAATAGCAAATCAAATGAGTAACAAAGTTCGTGATTTTCGTAAGGCCACCTAAAACTCCTAATAAAGTACATGCATGAGCCTGAATAAATGCTTTCAAGAACTCCCATCATTCCGTGCGTACTACATCTTCATCTCTCCATTAAGTGGTAAGCAAGGACAGGGTCTATCAGCGCCATCTCATCATGGTTGGGTATCATAGAATCAACATTGCGCTCAACATCCGCAGAAAAGGTATCCTGCATAAGGAAATCAGGGTCCGGGCCATTGTGCTCAGGAAAACTGGACAAGTCGTTTTGCTGTGGGAAGAAAGGATTCTCGTCCGATACACCGTTGGCAGGTGTGCACTCATGTGAGTAAGAAGGCTCGGAGTGATCGAACTCGAGACCGTAGATGCCAAGTGCATTGCCACCGGGGCCGGACTTGTCGGACAGCAAGGCACGCTGCATGAACAGGCCCTGAACTTCGTCCTCGGAACACCCATGCTTGGCTGTCATGTGCACCCACAGATCATAATCGCGGTGGAATCGGTGCTCGCACGAGTCGTAGAAGCAGGGGATGTGTCGGCCTGTTTCCTCGGCGTAGCCCTGGCCAGTCAAGGCTGCCAGTGTAGAGATATGGCCACCACTGGACGAAGTATCGATGCCCAGTCGCTGGCGCCGCTCGGCCTTGGCATTCTGGTATCCCAGATGGGCGGTGCGGACGTGCTCTTCTAGTGCGAGCTTGCTGCCATACCGCTTCCCGCAACCAATGCCGTCCCATCCTTCAACTTTCTTGGAGGCGGATAGGTCTGTCTCGCCGCATCCAAACCGTTTCTCCCCCTGGTGGACGGTACGGATGTGGACCGTCAGGTTTCCTTTCTTGGTAAAGCTGCGGTCACAACCATCCATGGTGCAGGGAAAGACCTTCCTCTCCTCGAGGCTGACGTCTCCGTGAGCTACCTCAAGATGGCGACGCAATTCTCGGGATGTCGAGCAGACGATGGGGCAGTTGGGGCATTTTGGAGGATGAACAGTTCGAATGTGCTCTTGAAGAATGGTGTACGTAGGAAATGTGACCGAATAGTCGTGGTCAGGGTCGAAAGTACCCATGCCGGATGCTTGCTCTTGCAGGTGTTGGGAGCACTCCTCACAGCTAAATCTCTTCTCCGTATGGACCCGGCTCTCGTGAGCTCGAAGATGGCCCGCCGTATCGAATGCCATTTGGCATTTCTTCCCAGTTTCCGGGTCGACAAAAGCACACGGAAACGGCTTCTTGTTCAGATGCACTGTCGTAATGTGTTTCTGGAGAGTGGAATGCTTTCGGAAGGTCTCTTCGCATGGCGGATACTCCGTACAGCGGTACTTGTCTCTTCCGTCGTGCGCCGCAATATGACGACGGAGTCTCGAGCCTGTCACAAAGCTCTTACCGCAACCTGGGCGGTCACAGACGTAGTCCCTAACTCCTGTGTGGGCACTCTTCACATGGTGAGTGAGATGCGAAGCCCGCAAGAAGGTCTTGTCACAGCCCTTGAAGGTGCATTGAAATAGCCGCTCATTATTGTGCGATCTAATGTGCTCTTGAAGTCGAGCAGGGCGATTGAAGGCCTTGTCACAGCCCTCGAATGGACAGCGATGGGTTTTGAGTTCTGATGGGTATCGGGAGGAGGAAGTCGAGAATGGCGTCGCCGGTGTATCAAGCATGTCATCGTCCGCTGCACTGGGTGTCCCCGGTGCCGAGTACTCAGCATCTGAATGGGCTTCCTCGTAGATCCGGTCTTTGGCGTTGATCGTTAGCAGCTCGTTCAGTCCCTATCGAGATTCCAATGTTGCCGCTTACCGTCGTTATCCATCGCGGCCTGGTGTAGCCTTTTGGCCTGCGAAACCCATTCATGGGAGGCCTTACGCTTTGAGGCCATGCTTAAGGATGCCCCCGAGCAAGGAGGAGTTCACATTGAAGCAAAAAAGGAAGATGGGGGTGCTGCGTCTGACGAAAACTAAAATTATTTTGCCGGTGCGAAAGGGCGGTGAGCCCGAACACGGACTAGCGTGGTGGAAGATTTTCCGCCTTTTTTGCATCGCGATTCCTCACTTCGGTCCCGCGCTCAGGGTTTCTCTCTCTTTGATCCCCTCGACTCCGTTCCTTGCAATCCAACATGTCTGACTACGGCGACGACGCTGGCGGCGAGAAGTAAGAGTTTCCCATGGAGGCTAGAGCGGCGCGATCCTTGCAGATTGGTGTCCCTGTTGGAGCTTTCGACCACGCCTCGAGATTGAAGCGCATGCTAACTGGATCTGCCCTGAAGCTACGACTATGAGCCTCATGAGGATGTTTTCGAGGAAAACGAGCCGGAGGACTTCCTCGATCAGGAGGGTTTCGAGGATCACGATGGCGCCGAAGGCGATGATTCCTACCAGCCGGCCATCAACGGAGATAACGTCGTTGTCTCGGGCGATCCCAACTCTGGATATTCGGGCAAATTGATGGAGCAATCGCGCGAGAAGAAGGTTCCCAATGACCAGCGCACGACTACCCCATACTTGACCAAGTACGAGCGCGCGCGCGTGCTTGGTACCCGAGCTCTGCAGATTAGGTGCGTTGCGATTACTCAATGGCTTTGTTCGGCCTGAGATTGCCCTGGCTGACATTGATCCCATACAGCATGAACGCTCCCGTACTCGTCGATCTCGAGGGTGAAACCGATCCCCTGCAGATTGCCATGAAGGAATTGAACCAGAAGAAGATCCCTCTGATCGTGCGCCGGTATCTGCCCGATGGATGGTAAGTGGTATTGGGATTGCTATGAGGGTGAACAATTGGCTGACACGGTATATAGGTACGAGGACTGGACTTGCGAGGAGTTGCTGTAATGTGGGCACATATGCTGCCGCTCGTGGGGATTCTCTGATATTTTTTTTGGGTGGGTTCAGCATAGCGTTCGGAGTTTGGGAGTCTCGAAACCGTGGCTCAAAAAGAAAAAAAAGGCACCGTCCTTGGAACTGGGCAATACTGTACATGAACTAGAAAGAACAAAAAAATAATAACGGTTTCTAGTAGCTCTGTTCAACCAAGGTGTACCTAGGTACACAAGCCAAAACTACACTATAGAAACAAGGTAGAAGTCAAAATAATATTACCTAGACATATCTTCTAAACCGATCTAGATCTAGATCTTGTATTTGCCGCAGCAGGGCACCCATCCGCACGTGAGGCGTGCTGTTATCTCCCCGAGAAACCTTCAAGTCCCACTTTTCCACTTTGCTCTCTGCAAGTTATCCGTCTTATACCGCGATCCCGCAGATTATCATTCGCCTATGTCAGGCACAGCATGCACAAGGTCGTACTCGAACCCCTCTCGCCTGGGTAAATCGGCACGCTTTCCGTAAATCACTGGACACGCCCTATACTAGACAATTTACCCCGAGGATGGATCCCGCCCATCGTCCCCTATGGTCCAGGCAAGTGGAGGCCAGTGGGCCACGACTACCCAAAAACCACTTCTATTCGGGTCCTTCCGCCCCCCAACCCTGAAGTGCGCCCCGCTTGCGGTGCGTGGTTGGTTTATAATCAATCCTGGTGAATTTTTTTAATCTGGGACACCGTGACTCAACCTTGGGGTCACTGTTCGCACCGCTGCTCTTGAGAAACCTTTCTCGCCAGAGCGTTCTTCCCATGTCCGTCTATCACGAACTCGCCGCTGGAAAGATGGGTTCGACTAATCTGGAAATAGAGCAAAAGGTTCTTGCCGAGCCGATATCCGATGCTCCGATCGCCAAAGATGAAGAAAAGGCAAACGTCTCGGCCTCAGACCCCGACAAGGAGGACGAGCCGACCTTCGATACTGGTCTTTTTTCCTGGCTGCAGGTCCTAGGCTCATTCTTTCTCTTTTTCAATTCATGGTATGTACTTCCTTGTTCACGCTAGCAGTTATAACAAAGAATGCGCTAATATAATCAACGCATAGGGGAGTAATCAATACGTGGGGTGCATATCAAACCTACTATGAGCAGAACTTACTGTCTGATATTTCGTCGTCCTCAATCGCCTGGATCGGCTCCCTGCAGTCTTTCCTTTTGATGCTCATCGGTGTCATCACCGGCCCTCTCTTCGATGCGGGGTATTTCCGTAGCCTCATCGGCTTCGCAGGTTGCATGCTACCGTTCGGGTTGATGATGACCAGTCTCGCAACGAAGTACTGGCAGCTGATCCTCGCACAGGGAATCTGTGTTGGTTTGGCAGCCGGTTGCCTCTTCGTGCCTTCGGTTGCTCTCCTGCCGCAATACTTCCGACGCAAGAGAGGTTTTGCCAACGGCCTTGCCGCTAGCGGTAGCAGCATTGGCGGTGTTGTCTATCCCATCATGTTCAACCAATTGCAGAAGAAGGTCGGCTTCCCCTGGGCCACCCGAGCTATCGGCTTCCTCTGCTTCGGCACTGTCTGTATCTCATTTAGTATCATGCGGATTCGGTTTCCGCCAAAGGAAAAACGAAAGCTCTATCAGCTCTCTGCTTTCAAGGATCCCGGCTATTGTATTTTCTGCGCAGCCATGTTCTTCGGCTTCTTGGGCTTCTATAATTTCCTCTTCTACGTGCAGTCCTACGCAATTGACACCGGAATTGTGGACGGCAATCTAGGATTCTACCTACTTTCTATGCTCAACGCCGCTTCGACCTTTGGCCGCATCCTGCCCAACTTCCTCGCCGACCATACCGGCCCGCTCAACATGCTCACCCCGGCCGTGACCATCACCTCCGTCCTGGCCTTTGTGTGGATCAGCGTTCACACCGTTCCGGGTATTATCACCTTGTCCGTTTTCTATGGTTTCTTCTCAGGTGGATTTGTGTCACTGCCGCCAGTTGTCATGGCCAGCATGACACCCGACGTGCGCGACTTGGGCACCCGTCTCGGTATGGTCTTTGCCATCACTTCAATCGGCCTGCTGATCGGTACACCCATTGGTGGTGCCATTCTGAGCGACACCAACAAATATCTCGGTGTGCAGTTGTTCACTGCCTGCTGCCTCGTCACATCTGCAGTTCTCATGGGCACCCTCCGATTCGTTCGCTCGGGGCCCGTCCTAAAGTCTAGAACTTGAGAGTGATTTGGAGTGGTCCACGGACTATTGAGTTATATGTGAGATGCAGGCATCTCATGCCGCTCATCAAGTGTCAAAGGCCCAGTTCCAGGGGCCACTGTTACACCAAACTTTGCTTCATAGACGGGGCATTATGCGGGCAAGCGTACAATCTTACCACGCTTCTTTAATCACGAAACACCGCCGTCATCGTGGGCCTATCAACCGGTCCGAGAAGGCGGCCCATTATGTACAACCGGGTACCTTGCATCCCTCGGATCATGCATTTGCGAGCGTCGTGAAATAGGTTGGATAGGCTTATCATTACCGGTATATAAAGGATCGAAATATCTATAGATACAAGCCGAAATCCGTTCACTTAGAAATAAAATCATAATATTCTCTTGCCGATTGCAAGTATGCACGAACAGTCCGGAACTCCACCTTGCAAGCTATGCAGAAAATAACCAGAAACTCCGCCCCGATGTAAGAAACGTGGAATGCCGTCCCTCATCACACCTAGGAAACATCCTCAGGGCTCACAAGGAAGTCTTCGCCCTTATCTCGAATGTGTTCAAGCTTCGTGTCCCGGCTACACGGTTTGCGCATGTCGAATGCATCTTCACCGGAATCTGACATTCCCGTTGGGTCGTCGCTGTAGTAATTAACCACTCGCCTGAAGACTGAATATCTGTCGTTCATGTTAGCATGTAGCGCAATCCCATGAAGTGTAGTGAAGCTTACCCCATTCCCTTGTACATATCTACGGCAACCTTATTCCCAGATCGGACATACAGGTCAACAAACCACGCGTCGTTGATATCAGACCCATGCTCCAGCTCCTCAGTCAGCTGGCTGGCATAGCCAAGTCGGCGCCAGGCGGGGGCAACGGTCAACACCGTGATATGCCCGTGCCACGGGGTGTAGTGCTCGGACTGACGCATGGAGGGATGCTGCTCTTCGAGCTTGCCCATGACTATAATAGTTAGCCCGGTGTTCAATTTATCTGACCTAATCAAGATTCTTACTGTAGCCCACCACGCCGGCATCGCGGTCCTTCACCGTGCTGAAGAGCGACGGCCACTTGGTGAGGTAGTTGAGATAGAAGCCGAGGTCGTAGTTCTCAGTAAGCGGATCGAGGTTGGTCGCATTGAGCTTAAGCAGGTCCAGCGGGGACATGCGAGTGATTGAACTCATTTTGGCGAACGAAAGATTGGATGAGGATCAATTCATGAAGAGTGAGGAATGTGGGGTTCTATCGTGGGACATTATTCTGCCCGGGCGGTGGCGGCCTACTGCATTTGTTGTGCCGTCGTCGTTCAACTTGACTTTCGCAAAGATCACCTTTTCCTTTCTCTCATGATATTTATTTCTTTTGCTGCTTTTGTCTTGTTTCCTACTCGGACGATGCAGGATTAGACTCAGGAGACTTCCCCGTTCGGGCATCCCGCAATTGGCCGTTATCACTATCATTACCGTTTTGGCAGTCCAATAACACTGCGTGCTGAGGGTCTTGTTACCTCCTCTTGGACCTTGAGTTGCTATTTACTGTCTTATCCTTTACCTCAAGCTACTCTTATCCGGAGACCGAGTGCTCCCCTCTCTATCCGATGCCGCCCCTCCCTCCGTCTCCCCTGAAACTTGCTCACCGCCACCCCTCAATCATGGACGACTCACCTATCTCACCGGGAACACAAGGAGTCAATGGGTTCCCTCCTTTAAGTCCCGGCTCACCGCGAACTCCCCGTTTGTCCGCTCCGCCATCGCCAATCATGCCCCGCCAGAACCTACAAGGTATGAACGGGTCACAGCGAGAGTCTATAGACTTCTCCGCTGATACAGGAGGCGGGGGTGGCCTGGGAAACCTTGCCGATGAGTTGGCGGATGCCTGGGAACAGGAAGAAGAGGGATACGGGTACGCCTCGGGACAGGAGAATGTCCGGACAGGGTCCCAACAAATGGATCACAGCGACGGGGAGGATACATACATGCAATCTGTCCACGATATGCGTTCCGGATCGCCTGGGGTAGACTCGCCTGCCAGAAACCGTCTACGGGCTCCTCATCTGCGGCAACACCGGCGGGCAGAATCACACTATGATGGCTCAGACTATGGAAACGACTCCGATCTCGACGAGACCTCGGATATCTCCCCCGCTTTGGAGAGTCAGATGGCAGATATCGAAAGCCTCGCGCGGCGGGGCATTGAGAATAACGGGAGTGAAAATGACCATGTCATCCAGCGGACTGTCGAGGCACTCCGGGATCTTGGTGGACAGAGTGGGATCGAGAACAGTGCCATGCGGTAAATTGGAAATAAACAGGCGTTGTCTTTTGGCAGATATCTAACTTCTGGTTGCAGACTCATTACTGCCCACTCCTCTATTACATCGCACCTCACCCACCAAACCCGCACCCTCCAGTCTCTCATCCACCCACTCCTCTTCTCGCCATTCCCCCTCCTCTCCGAAGACGCCGTTGACTCTCTTATGCCCCTGATTGACGAAGGCCTCTTGCCAAATCTCCCATATCCATTCATGGAACAGACTCGCCGCGACTCTAGGCCATCTACACCCTCCCAACCTTCGACCAATCCACTTGTCTCCTTGCAGGCTCTCATCTCCCAAACCTCCGACATCACCCATTCTCTCCGCGGTCTGAGCGACACTCTCTACGAGTCCCGCCAGCTGACCTCCACTGCATCACGACGTCTCCGATCTGCCCGCGAACTCGTTGCCGATCTTCGACGCGAGGAAGAAAGTCGCGAGGAGGGCTCACGTTGGATCGAAATCGGCGACTGGGACCGCCGGTTGAAGGACCGCGAAGCAGGCAAGGAGTGCGCAGATGTTGTCGGTGGTTTCGAGGCCGTGTGCGGTGAATGGCGGGAAAAGCTGTTCGGGGCTGGCGCCGAAGTAGCTGCGGCATAATTTGCATGAGTCATATTCCTGTTGAGTTTCTGGAAAGCCCGCGCGTTTCCGGGACACCACTAGACTGTTATGAGCTTTTCTTGGGTTTCCCCTGTCTGATATCCACCTTTTTATTCTTTGTCCTTCCCTTTTTTGGCCCCAGCTGGTCTGTTTATATCCCAATTCCGCGATGTTGTAACTTAGATCGTTATGTATACAGCTATACACTATTGAATACCACTCATTTGACTCGCACGTATCTTTCATCTTACCTTTCGGATTTTAAGCGGATCTGTTATTGGTATTTCTAGGCTCTTTTCCCTATCATGGGAAGGTATAGATGCCAACTTGACTGCTAATGATCAGTATCAGGTAGTTGGGTAGGGTGCTGGCCGGATAGTGAGGTTTGTCCCGGCTTCGTTTTGCCAGGCTGCGCGACTGGAGGGTATTTTGGTGAGATCAAAACGGCTATGGGTTGTAATTATATCCAATTGTATGATTGGGTCGATATACTCCGGTCATTTGAATCAGGGTGTGCTTTTTATAGGGGAAGTATATGCGTTATGTTTAAGCTTCGGGAAGATTGGTACCGGCTATGAACAGGGTTCTTGTCTGGGAAATTGTCCAATTGGAGCCTACTGCGGGATTAAGAAAGGCAAATGGTGTTATCAGTCAGAACTGAGTGGGTGGACTCCATTTATGAACATAAGTGAACTATACGGGGGCCAGGCTAAGTCCGCCTAACTCCGACACGATATAATCTGATAATCTCCGCTACATAGAAAATTGAACACCAGGTTGAGATATGAATCAAACAGTTTTGAAGGTCTAAAATGATCCTATTCACTGAATCCCACCCAAATTGGGATCAAAACAATGGGGTTGAACAAGATATTGGCATCACTTGGCATCACGGATGACCACAGCCCATCCGGAAACAAGGAAATTAAAAGACAAGACAAGAAAAACGCAGGGCGAAACGATAGACCATGAGGCTCGCTCGAGCCTATGATACAGTCATTGCAGAGGGGGTCATGAAAACACGCGCCGGATAGGAAAAAGGGTCACTTTTTGCTCGTTCCCTAATATGAGATGTGAAGAAAATATAGTAATCCACCTATGGAGACGCTTAGCTTTGCTGCTGCTTCCAGCGGGGAACCCACTTGCCGCCGGCGGCAGCCTTGGGCTCCTCGGGCTTGGGGGCGGAGGGCTCGCGAGTTTGACGGGGCACAAAGCGCTCGCTAGGTCCGTTGGAGGGGGCTTCGCGGGGAGCAGGGGGCGGCGGGGCGGAACCAGAGCCGGCAGAAGCACCAGCACGCAGGTGGGGCGGCACGTAGCCACCACCGGCCCTACGGGCAGGAGCCTCCTCGCGAACGGGCTCGCGAACGGGCTCACGAGTGGGCTCACGAGTGGGCTCACGAGTGGGCTCACGAGCGGACTCGCGAGCGGACTCGGGGGCATCTCCGCCAGAGGTCTCCCTGGAGGCCAGACGGTCACGCCAGCCGCCACCAGCACCAGCAGTTCGTGGGGCGATATTGAGACGGGGAGCTGAGCGTTCGGCGGGCTCGAAGCCACCACCAGTTTTGCGGGTAGAGCGACGGGCTTCCGCCTCTTCTTCGCGCTGCTTCTGGCGAGCAGCAATCTCGTCGAGTTTTCTGCGAAAAGTAAGTTAGCCATGTGTTTCCCCAGCCATAGAAAACCAAAACATACCCTCGCTCCTCCTCGCGCTTCGCCTTCTCCTCGGCCAAAGCGCGACGGCGCTCCTCTTCGCGGGCAATGCGCTCCTCCTCTTCGCGCTGGGCACGCTCCTCCTCCTCCTTGCGGCGGAGCTCCTCTTCCTCGCGCTCCTGCTTCTCGCGACGGCGGCGCTCCTGGACCTCCTTGACACGCTGCTTCTTCTTGGCCTCGAGCTCGCGCTCGGCAGCCTTGCGGCGCTTCTCGAACTCTTCGTGGCGCTTCTCCGAGATCTCCTTGCGGAAGCTGGAGAATTGAGGGACCAGGCGGCTCAGACGGTGCTTGAGGGCAAGGGCCTCGGCGTGCTTCTGCTTGGCCTCCTTGAGGGTCTCGGCCTTCTGGATCTCGTAAAGCTCCATGTCGTGCTTCTTCTGGTTCTCGTAGTCGGTAGGGATGTGCTTTAGCTCCTCGCGACGGAAAGCACGCTCCAAGTGGTCGATACGCTTGGCAGTGGTGCGCACCCGGTCGTTGAGCTCGTTCTTCTCCTTCTCAAGCTGAGCCAGCTTGATAGCACGCAGGCGGTTGGCATCCAGCTCATCCATGTCGAACTCGCTGATGTCAATACCCTTGACGCCGGTCTTGAGCTCCTCGAGCTGCTTCTTGAGCTCCTCCTGGCGGATGCGGTCCTGCTCATCCTTGATGCGCTTGAGCTCACGGTCACGCTGCTCATCGGCGAGACGCTGCTTCTCAGCCTCCTGGAGCTGCTGGGTGCGGATGCGCTTGCGGGTCTCCTCCTCACGCTGCTTGCGCTGCAGAGCGTCGGTGGCAGCCTCCTTCTTCTTGTCGATGACAACACGACGAGCGAGGGTCTCCTCGTGCTCCTGGGCGGCGCCCTCCAAAGCACGGGCCTGAGCAGACTGCTTGGCCTGGAGGCGGAGCTCATTGTATGAGGGATCCACGTACATGGAGGTGATGTGGAGGGTCTTGGCCAGACGCGCCAGCTGGAAGCGGGCAATCTCGGCCGGGGTGTGCTGGAGGCGCTGGACAGAGCCAAACTCACTCTCGGCAGATCCGGCACCACTGCCGGCATGCATGGCCTTGGAGGAAGAGAAAACGTCCGAGTCGAAGGAAAGGGTACCGGAGATGTGGTCCACGCGGATGGCAAGATCGCCCTTCTTGCAACCGTTCATGATGAACTTCTCAATCATGGCGGGGGTAATCTGGAAGGGGTCGGGGAACTGGGCAAGCTCGTATACGAACTGGAGCTTAACGGAGTCGTAAACCTGCGACAGCTGCTGGAACAGACGGGTGAGGATGACCTGCTGCAGGGGCACGACGTACTTCTCCATCTCGGGATCGGCACCGATCTGCTTCAGGATGGGAGTGATCTTCTTGCAGATCGAGAGCGGGTGGAAGTCGACCTCAAGAATGTTGTACAGATCACGGATCTCGGGGCGGACGCGCTTCAGGAGGCCCTTGTTAAGAGCATCCCGGAAAAGAACGGAGCGGGATGGGGCAGAGGCCATACCCAGCAGGTTGGTGAGACGGGTGTTCTTGTTCTTGCGGGCCTCGTCCACGTCGACCAGAGCGCCGCGCGAGCGGTCAGTGCTGATGACAGGAATGGACAGAGCAGACAGGAGAACGAAAGAGGCGGCCTTGGTGATCTCGGCGTCGGTGACAGAAGGGTTTTCCTTCTTGGTGCTCTGGCCGGAAGCTAGGGCCACGGTGGAGAGACGGAGCAGGTTGTAGTACCGGTTCCAGGCGGCGGCGTGGAAGAGATAGTTCTCGCTGACAAGGAAGATACGGGCGAGCTTCTCGTAGTAGTTGGCCATCATGACGTTCTTGGCAGGGCGCTTGCTCAAGTTCAGAAGGGTGTGAATATCCTCAATGCTGCGGAAGGCCTCCTGCCACAGCTCCAGCTCAACGGCAACGTTCAACTGCTGGAAGCGGGTGTCCAAGTGGCGCTGCTGGGTATCCGCGTCGCTCAGGTTGATGGCGTGCATCTGGGAAGAGTACTTGGCGGCATTCTGGACATGGTTGCGGAGCAGCTCGCAAAGACGGCGGAACTCGGTCTTGCGGGTGTACTTGAGGCAGAACTGGAAGGCCTGCAGAGCGGTCGACTGGTACATGATCTCGAGGCGGGCATTGTTCTTCAAGATTTCGAGAACGGTACGGTAGGTCTCCCACAGGAACTTGAGCCAGGGAGTGACGACGGCGCGGTCGGTGCGGTCACGAGACTGTTCACCGGATACGGTGGCCAGCAGGATGGTCTCGGGGGTCTCGATAGCCTCCAAATCGTCGATGTTGGAGGAGGGAGCAGCGGACTCGAGGGAGGACTGAATCTCATCGGCCTTGGTCTGGGCCTCGGTGACCTTCTGCTCAGCGAGCTCGATGAACTTCTTCAGGACGATCTCGATGGTGCCGACATTGGTGTTCTGGGCGATGTTCTTGTACTGGTACAGACCATCCTTGGCGGCCTTGCCCTTGCGCAGGTCGACACAGAGTTCCACGAAGAGGAGCATGACGGGCTCGAGCGAAGCGATCGGGCTGCTGCGGGTACGCTTGGAGGTGACATGTTCGTGGAGGACGGTCAGGGCGGCGGGGGCCTGACCGACGGCGATGAGTTCCTGAGCCCTCTACACAGGCATTGTTAGTGGATGTTCGGGTCGATGAGACCGTAGAGATCGGATAGATGGACGCACCTTGAGGACATTCTCAGGCTTGATATGCGGTGGTGGCGGCATGGTAGATAATCAAACCCCTTCGAGAGGATTTTTTTTTTTTTTTCGTGGGAAGATGTGGAGGGATCGAGAAAAGCAAGCAGGCGTCTTGCACACGGGCAGTGGTCCTAGACCGACGTTAAAAATGCTGCCACGCGAAGTACCTATACCTGGAGGGGAAGATAGGCCTGTTGTGCGTGAACCAGCAAAAATTGCCCGATTCCCACTTTGGCTTCAGGCTAAGCGATGGGGCTGTCACGTGTGACGCTTCTGCCTCAGGCCGTGTATTTACCCCCGTATCGCGATTACCGGGGCACCGCGTGATGGGGAATCACGATTCCTAGTAACTAGAAAAAATGTACGAAAATTATATAACGGTGATGGATCGGGCTTACGCCGTACAAAACTAAAAACAGTTCCATTTCAAACATTCGACTTGGACGGGTCAGATTTTAATGATATGCCCAAGTCCCAGCTACCGAGTTCAACATTATGGCACTATTGATCCCCGGGTGCCCGGTACCAGCAACGGGAGACGTGTAATCAAAGGCACACGGGCCTCCCTGTACCACAAGGGCAAACGGGGAAAATCCCTCTTCAAACTTGTCAACTTTCACATCCCTTCCTTTTAAACCTTTCCACTCTCTTTATCTTTATTCGACAACCCGTCGAACTCGCTGGGCAAAAACCCCCCTGCGACTCGTCACCTCCCCCCTCCCCCCTTTAATCCGGTCTTCCGCCTTACCCCCTCTCTCCTGAATAACCCCCCTTTCTCGCGATCGCGCGCCGAACTCAATTCGCCGACCACAATGCCTGCGTACGAACTTCGCTCCGGTGGTGATGTCAAGAACAAGAAGCAGAGTGTCGCCGACCTCAAGTATCGCCGTCTGACCGAGCTCAATGCCCGCCTGAAGGAGGATCTCGACCGCCCGCGGGTCAAGGTGTCCGAGGCTGCGCTCTCGTACGGTTCCCCTTTTATGATGGAGCCGCCCCAGCAACTAACCAGGTCTTTGTGTCTCCAGTCTCATCAGCTACTGCAACAACACTCGCGACTTCATGGTTCCCTCCGTTTGGGGCCAGGTACGTAGCGCTTGTTTCATCCGGGCGGGCGCAAGACTAATATCTGTCGCAGGTCGACAAGCGGGAGGACCCCTACGCCCCCCAGCAGCAGGGCGGCTGCTGCACCGTCATGTAATGCAACTCATGACACTAATTACTCTCGATCGCCCGTGACACGATGTCTTGATTTCCCTTCTCCTAATTCCGGATCCCGATGATCGTTTTCTCTGCCCCCTCTGGACCCGACCACGAACAACCACCGCTCGCCTGCCGGGCGCGGCGCGAGATGTGGACCCTGAAGAATCGTCTTGCTGGCCCTGCACGACCCTTCCACGTCTATACGGGACCATGCGGGTATCTTACCTTTTTGATATGTCGTTATTCCTTGTCAACCTCGGCAGTTGTGTCCCGGACGCTGCGTGATGTCGAGTTTGCTCTGTCTTTTCTATTTTGCCGGATGTTCTTCTACTACTACTTCTTCTTCTTCTCTTCCATTGCCACATTCCCCCTTTGTCGTCCTGTGTTTGAAGCCAATTTCCTTTGTTCTCTGGGTTCCTCAAAAACCTCTCTGTCTCTGCCGGAGAGTCGGGTTGCCATTCGTGTATCATAGATTCGATTTGCATCCAATGACCAATACAATACCGATCTAATCTACTAGTGGACCACGTAGCTCCTGCCTAGCGTCATACTTTCCATATCAAATCATATCCAGCCGATCCCCGGGTACATGCAGCGCACACGACCTGACCGAATCAGGAAATCACCCCGCTGACATCATCCCACCGCAAATTCATCCTCCATCAACATCAACAACATTCTCGCCTTAGCTTTCCGGCGTCAACGTCCAACCATCTTCAGTCACCTTCTCGGATATTTTCAACCTAAACACCAGGCACATACTGCAAGTTCTCAGCGGGCGAGACTCTCTCAACGTCACACATCATACCTCCATCACGCCACCTCGATAAAAGACCAACCACTCACCATGACGGAGCCCATTGCTCCAATTGAGAAGAGCGTCGCAGGTGAGACCACGGGCCCTGCAGACAATATGGCTCTGGAGCGCGTTCGCCTCCCACGGATCGCAATCCAATTCTGTACGCAGTGCAGGTGGATGCTGCGCGCTGCATATGTACGTCTGATCTATAGCTTCCTGCCTTGATATGTCCACGGGTCCCATGCTACTGGTTTCTCATATGCAATTCAAACCCCCCTCCGTACCACGCACACAGAGGGTATTGCGAAGACTTGGATACACATACTTACTCGAGTCCAGTTCGCCCAGGAACTCCTGTCGACATTTAGCACGGATCTCGGTGAGGTAGCCCTGGTACCAGTGACGGGCGGCGTGTTCACGGTGACTATCTGGCATGCCGGACCCTCGGCTTCGGGAGAGGCCGCTGCACAAGAGACACTCCTCTGGGATCGGAAGCGAGATGGTGGATTCCCTGGTACGTTGTCGTTCCATTCTCCCATTTTATTTTCTGTGTATTCTGCGGCCCTCTTGCATCTCGGGCTTTTCCTTTGTTCGATATCTTATCGGCTTGAACTTACGTGTTTTCCTGTTGCAGAGGTAAAGGCGCTCAAGTCAATGGTGAGGAATATTATTGCACCGGAGAGGGACTTGGGGCATACGGATCGGGCGTTGAAGAAGGCAGGAGAGGATAAGAAGAAGCAAGAGACTGCGGAGGCAAAGAAGGATTGTGAGGATTGTCAGTGACTTTGGTAGTTTAGAGCATCTGAGATGATATCATACCTAGGGAGGTACATAGAGCCTTCAAGAGGAATATATGAACGTGATGATACCCACGAGCACTACTTGACGGCCCTGGAAGTGTCTTATCTAGATACCTCAAGTCGGCGGATTAACCATGCTACAGTCACTGGAAATCTTGACAGAAAGATTTAATATGTATATTGGAGAGAAAGTAAAAAGCAACTCAGTCTCACCAAGCTTCAAATCCCACAGGACTAAATAATAGTCGACGCCACCGCCCCCAATCCGGATTCTAAGATGACCGTCCCAAAAAAATCCAAATACAGATTCCAACAGAAAAGAGAAAAGAAAAAAAAAAAAAAAAAAAAAAGCAAAGAACGTCGAACATGTCCATGATCATCACACAATAGGGCGCGTGGCCCAATGCAGTACTACTCTGACCCGAGAAGCGAAGACACGCCCGTCTCGTATAGACGGGGGAGTACGTGCTCATTTGGAGAGCGTGGTAGACATACACCTTATTTGTGGTTGGAATTATATTCGCTTCGTGTCCGAGACAAGAGTCTAGCTCCGTTCGTCAACGCCGTTGGGATCGTAGGATCACAACCCAGAACCAATTTTTGAGAAAATTTGGAGCACGCTTGAGCCAAGTCGTGAAATCGTGCTGCTCCCTTCGGCACCTCAACGCTCATCAAAATGCACCGTTAACCATGATCGCATAATATACAGCCGGCAAGAGTATCATATCAATACGCCAGCTAGGGAAGGGTGAGTATCAAAGTCTCAGCTTTCGCCGTGGACTTCGTGTTGGTGGTTACGACGCTTCCAGAAAGCAAGCCGAATGCGACTCCGGCGCTTTGTGAGCCTGTGCAGACCACCACGCTCCCCGTTGTGGTGTGTTTCCTGCGGGGCGTCATTCTTGATACTCTCGCCGGTCGTGGTAGATTGAGTCGGGCTCCGAGTGCCGTTGATGTCTGTCCGAGTAAAGTCTTTGTGGTGCCCATTCTCGGGCTGGGGTTGAGCTGCATCCACGCCGGAACTATGGCCACGGCTGTAGCTGCTCTCCTGATCACCAATATTCGAAGCATATGATGTGCTAGGGCGCGTGCTATTGTCGTCTGGCCCACCGATCTCGCTCTGAGGCGCACTATCATCTGACACACGCTTCTCATCCCCGCTATCCACGGCCAAAAAGCTCGAGGCATTGGTTGCGGGTGAGATCGGTGTCATGTTGTTGCTATACGCGCTGATACTCTGAGTTCGCGTGCAGCTGTTGCGGTTCGATCCCGACAGGGCAGAAGTGCGAACAGAGGAACTGTGATGCGCGTGGTGACGCGGAGGACCCGGCGGGGCCCCTTGACGGGAGCTGCTCGGTCTCTCGGAAATAGATTCAGGGATAGATTCATGCCCTGCGGTGCTCATCATGGCATTGCCACCATTGGTAGCTGAGTTAGCATATAGAGCAGCGGCTAAGACGGCCGGGTCTCCAGAAGAGTGGGCCGAATCAGCCAGAGAGGTATGATATTTTGTTCCAACGGATCCTCGGGCGGTTTGTGGGGCACCGGGGATAGAAAAGTATGAAAGATCCGGCATGGCGCCCGCCACAGCGCTTGCCGACTTTCTTGACGAGACATCGGAAACAAAAGGCGTGCCGGTAATCTCGATTTGAGGACCCGGTGTATCAGGTGACACGACTGGCTCGATCGTGTTCTCGTTGTAGGCACCATCAGGCGAGTCCGTGCTTTCATCGGGCTCCGGTGATGAAACGTCCTCTTGGTCGTCATCCACAGGTTGCAGGGCGGCCCTTGGGGTGCTCTCTTCGTCATTTGCCTTAGTATGAGGGCTTTGAGAACGAGGAGAAACCGCGCTCTCTGCCCGATCTTCAACGGGCAGCCCCTGTCTCCGCAGCTCATCATTGGCATGCTGCTGCCACTGCGCTTGGTTGCAGCGAATATGATCGGCAGTAAATTGCAACTGGGGAAGAAGGTCGGAAACACCCTCGAATAGCGGAAGGGCGAAGATGGACATGAATCCAATTTGGCCCGTGGCCAGCTTGTAGATATTGCCCAACTCAGGCGGTCCGCCAAAAAGCGCGGTCTCCATCCCGACCTCCTTCTCCATCTCACCTTGGTTGGCGAATTCTTCCTGCAGAATTTGGGTCCACTTCTCTGCAATCATCCAGGGCCGAGCCACATTGCTGATATCGGCGCACTTGATCAACAAACCGCAGACAAGGGTCTTATACATTTCGACATCCTGAGGTTTCCAGCCATCGACCGACTTGTTGTTCTCGTGGTATTTCTCCTGCAGAGATCCCATTCGCTGCATGAACTTCTGGTGAACACCCATGTCAGTGGCCAAGATAGAGCTAATGAGGAGCTTGCGAAGCTGCTTGTCCTTGAAGGCTGCAGGCCAGTGACGGCGAAGGATCTGGGAGAAGGCGGCGCAATGGAACGCCTCAAGGACGGAGTTATCGTTATATAGTTGCGCCAAAGGGGCGTTGAGTTTGACGAGGAAGAAGTTGTTGACTCCCGGGTGGCCGACATCGTGGCCAATTGCGGAAATGAGTAGAGTGAGGGCGTCGAATGGGGAGAGAAGAGAGGCAATGGGAGCCTTTGACGTAGAGATTTGGCCAATCGGTTCGTAAGGAGGAAGGGCGCCGATGTGAAGCAGGAAGCAAAATACTGACTGCAACACATCGATCGCATGGCGGAAATTGTGGTAGAGGACGAAGTTATTATAGGCAGCACGACAAGCGAGCAAGAACGTTTGCAATTCACCGGGCGTCAATCGCCACTGTTCTAATCCGGGCAAGTTGAAAGCGTGCTGAATGATCTCGCAAGCTGCCAAAACCAGCTCATCTTCGGAGAAATCGTGTCCAGAAAACTTCCAGCTTCCAACCTGCTCTTTGATGAAAGCTTCGCGGTCGGGTCCGACGCGGATTTCCCTGAAAAAAAAAAAAAAAATGAATGAATACTCGGATCCAGGTTCTGGATGCAAAAATGAGACATACCGTTCTTGAAACTCATCAATGATCTCCTCCGGATTGCATATTCCTTTCATGAGTTTCGACACCATTGCCTCTCTCAGATACGCATACGGCTGTTCATCGTGAACACCAACCCAGGAGAGTTTCCGATTCTTTTTGTGCGCCAGAAATCGCGACATCTCCCTTTGGGCTGACCGATGATATCGGTATGCATGGACCACAAGGCCCTGAATCCTAGAGCGATCAAGAGGTGTCGTCAAGACATCGATAGCACCGGCATCGAGGCACCGCACAATCTGCTTGTGTTCTAGAGTGACCGGGGTCTTACTCTGCGGCTCACTCGTCGGCTCGGGCGCATCCGAGCGAGGAACGCGCAGAATGGCGATGGGAATGACGAGTTTCGGGCCACCTTGCACTTGAATATCGTTTGAGACGCCTGATAAAAGGCCCACGCCGGGTGCTTCGTCCGAATGCGAGGAAAAGGTGAAGGTGCGCTGAATGGAACCGGGTGACGGGGGACCGTTGTCTGCCCACGACGCTCGACTAGCCTTGCGGCGGGCGACGCTCGATTCGTCGCTATTAAAATCGATACCGAAGAAGGCGAATATCGGGGTACAGTCGCTGCCGGATCGATCGCTCAGCTCGGCGAGTTTTGTAGCAAAGGACGCTCCACTCTGGCACAGGTATATCTTTTTACACACGTCCAACAGTTGGTCCAGGTCGGCCTGCAGTGCGTCTGGCTCCTCGGGTAGGGTGAAGGAGCCGGCGGATGACACGGTCGAGGCGTCAATGGAGCTTCTGCGCACCCATCTCTCCGACCGAACCCGGTCGTCGATGTAGACGCCCGAGCATTCCACGCGGTCCACCATCATGACACAGGGTGTTTCACACGCCGATCCACGCCGCCGCTATCACAGTAACCACCGAGAGATATCGAAAGATGAGAGAAGCGAGGCGGTTCGACGCTGGTTTGCATATGGCCCAAACCCGGAAGGAGAGCGCGGGGAGATGGAGATGAGGCGTATGAGGGGCGTGAGGTGTGAAAGGTCAAGGAGGGCAGTCCGGGGAACAGGTAGAGAAACGAGCGGCGAGTCCGTACAAAGCGAGCCGAGATGGAAGAATCCGGTAAGGAAGGACTATCGTCGCCCAACGGCGAACAGTGCGGTTGTCCTGCAGCAATCCAGCCGTCGCGTTGCAGACTGGAAGATCCGAGACAAACCCAACGGGTCGCAGTCGAGAATGCGCGCGGGTTCTCAGCGCTGGACGTTGAACGCCACAGATGACGGCACGTGAGGGGAGACGGGAAGGGGGTCTTTTTTTTTCCCCCTTTGGTGACGGGGTAGTTAGAGGGTGGATGGTATGAAGAACAAAGGAAAGTGGGAAAGGGTCACGACGTGGACGACATAGTGGATCGAGGCTATCTCAGATCTCGAAGGAAGAAAGAGAAAACAAGTGGAGGGGGACACGGGGAAGGGGCTTCGGTCCTCCTTCCAGAAGCCCTTGAGGGGGGCGGGACGGGATGATCCTCGATTACTTGGTTCTTCCTCTCTGGACGGTACTCGGTACTCGGTACTCTTGGACGGTTTGTACACCCTCACCCTGTACGCCGTGACTGTTTCGGTCTCTTGATTCGGCCGCTAAAAAAAACTTCCCGGTCTTCTATACTTCCTTCTCTTCATGATCACCCCCTTCTAGAGCCTCGATCCCGGTCGGTGGACCCATGACGCCTCCTCTCATTTGCGCACGCACAATTTTTTCTAGAAGGCCCACCTTACCTAAGCACGCCTGTCAATTGCCTCGTCATTGGCCGGCTGCAGGATCGAGGCTCCGGGGAGTCCGCCGGGCGTAAATTGGCGGGCGTAGGAACGTAGGAACCCCATCCCGGCCTGCAAGTTGCATGATCTCATCACTTGTCGACCCCGGCCCACGAAAAGTAAACACCTCCTTCGAGTCCCAGGTCTAACCCTAGACGTGTTCCCCGCTTTCACCGTTCCTGATGCATCCTCCGTGGTTCTGCGGCGATCACGACGTACGGGGGGGTGGCCAGCCAATCATAATGCCACCGTTTCCTAATCCCTACATCGGGTATATGTGAGGAATCAATTTCATTTCTTCATTGGATCGAGTCCGGGTACCCCGGTCCCGAGCCCATGCCGCTCGTCCCTTTTACGTTTCTGCGTTAGACCGTGCAGATGATCTTCCCCTTGGTCGTGTTGCTCTCCAGTAACTGGTGCGCCTCCACGATCTGCTCAAAGGGGAATACCTTCTCCACGAATATTTTGAAAGTCCCGTCGCAGAACTTCGGCAGCGCATGCGAAACGAGCGTATCTCTCAGTTTACGCTGGTATTCTTCGTCCCGACTGCGTAGTGTACTGCCTTCCACCCGAATCCGCTTCATCAACAGAGGTGCGATGTTCACTCCCTCGGGCAGCTGCACACCACCCATCAAACCCAACAGCACCACACGCCCGTCTTTGGCGGCCACGTTCAGGTTACCTTGGAAGTAAGGAGCGCCGATAAAGTCAACGGTCAGATTCACGCCGGCACCGCCGGTGGCCTTCTGGATCTCGGCGGCCCAGTCCTGAGTCTTGTAGTTGAAGGCGGCCGTCACGCCAAGCTCCTTCACGAGGAAATCGATCTTCTCCTGCGATCCCGCCGTTGCGTAGATGGCCTTGGCACCCTCTGCTTTGGCGAGCTGAATACCCGAGATAGAGACGGATGAGGCGCCTGCGTGGAACAGGACGGACTGTCCGGCCTGGAAGTCGCCGATCAGGAAGAGAGCCTGCGAAGCGGTGATCCAGGTCTATACGTGGAGCATTAGTCCGTTGCTTTCCTTTGTAATTATAGATGGAGCTTACCTCCGGCGCGCCGGCAGCCTCTTCCCACGAGAGGTGCTTGGGCTTGTGGATAAGCATCTTGGTCGAAACGGCAATGTACTCCGCGTAAGCACCTATTGCATCATCAGTATAACGGTCCCTGAAAAAAAAGATACCGAGAAAGAACCAGAAAGAACATACCGCCATAAGCAAGGCCAAACACCTCGTCTCCGACCTTGAAATCGTCAGTCGTCTCGGCGCCCAGGCTCTCCACCACGCCGGAGAACTCGACTCCGATGGTCTCGGGAGCCTGCGGCGGAACCGGGTACCGGCCCTCACGCTGCAGCAAGTCCATGCGGTTCAGACCGAACGCGTGGATCTTAACAATGGCTTGGCCGGCAGCGGCGCTGGGCTTGGCGATCTGGTCGACGAAGAGGGAGGTCGCGGGGCCTTTGCCGCCCTTGACGGCTGTGTTGAATTGTAAGCATCGAGATTACTTGGAGCTACATAGATTGTGCAAAATTGCGATGAACTGAGCTCTTTTCGAGCCGTGCATGTTTTGACATCCTGCACGCAATGTAGATGACAGGGATGGCGGGGATGGCGGGGTGGGAAGCTTACCAATGGCACGCATCGTGGAACTCATTTTGATCAGAGAGAGGGTTTCAAGTGAGCTTCAAACCTAGTTGGAGCGGATGCAGTAGCTGGAATCTAGATTTTGTTTTATATCCTGCGCCTGGTGGATGGAATTCGTCCGAAGTCGAGTGAATAAGGTGCGCTGACAAATGGTGCAGTGAGGATCCATGTGTGTGCAGCGGTTAGCCGGCACGAACATCTGAGATGATCTACGATTCAAAAAGTTCCGACTTCAATATAGCGAATGGAATTCAATTCTTCTAATCGCGCAAACAATGGAATATGGTAGTAATCATCAGAAGTCGCCCACCCTACTCCATGCAATCCACGAATCCGTTTCCATGGACCACCCCAATCCTCCTCGAGACTCCGCGTGGTTTTTGGTTGCCGTAATCGAAGACGCCGAGAAAATGACACAAAGGAAAAGATGAAACAGATAGGTACGGGCACCAGACAGATGCCCAGGGGGGGGGGGAGGAAAAAAAGACCCCGTCACTTTTTTTCTTTCGAGGTACCACGCATATGCAATAAAAGAGAATCCAAAACAGCTATCATACAATCGAAGAGGCTCAGAACATTGACTGTCTGAGAGACGGTGAACAATATTAAGAAAGAAGGTTCTTGAGAGATGGGCTCGCGCTCGCCCCGGAATTGGCGCCGGTGCCGTTGACGCCTGAGTGTCGATTGGCGCTGGAGGTCCCTCCCATGAGAGAAGGTGGTGTGTCCTCCGGCCGAGTTGGAGGGGTAGGTCCACGCGGGTCTAGGCGCGCCTGCGTCACCGGTGGCGAGTGTGAAGGCGCTCCCAATCCACGATCAACCGAGTACATCCGCGGGGGAGGGCCGCCGTTCAGCGCACTGAGAGAGGTTTGAGGGGATCGGTTGACTGTCGCGGACACAATCGGCGGAGACGCGGAAGCTGGATACGGTCGGGGCGGAGGTTGAGAAAGATGCGGTGACCGCGCAGTCACGGGGCCATAGGGGCTTTGATGGGTCGGATATCCTTGTGATGGCGGCGGAGGGCCTGCACTCGGATAGGGAGACGGCGACATCCCCGGATGGGTTGGCGGATAGTTGCCTAGGCGATGAGCAGGCGGAGGCGGAGGCGCCGCGGCGTAGACAGGCGGTGACATGCCATTGCGCAGGCTGGCATCAGTTGGAGGCCGCTGCTCATAGCCCCCAGGGTATCCCGGAGGAAGAGCACCGTGCGAATGAGAATGAGCAGGCGGCATTGGCCGCCCGATGGGCACACCAACTGGAGCAGGATGGGGGGGGAGGATGCGAGTGCGACACAAAGGTATGCCCCGGCATGTGCGGTGGATTCGCCGGCATCGGGCGTTGAGTGGTATAAGGTGAGGGTCGAGGATCGGGCACAGGATCGGCAGGGGGGTTCTTGATGTGGCACTTGTGGCATTCATACTCCCCAATGTCCCCATTAAGATGCCTGAATGAGTTTTGTGATGGATGGCGCGAGTGGAAAGAGGGACTAGCGGAGTTGAGTCCAACTCCATTAGCCAAAGGCGCCCGACGTCCGCTAGGCCACCATCTGGGGCTGAAATCGGACGCACACCGCACGCATTTCCGGGGCGTCACAGCAGAAATAGGTCGCGTTGCTACTGGACGCTCCTCTGTATCAATGTCCATTTCATCCGGTGCATCCTCGGTAGGGATTGGTAGAGGCTTGTGGGTATCTTTGACAACCAGGCCATTGCTTGTTGAAGGGCGTCGGGGTCCTGTGATGATTCCATGGAGCTGCGGAGCGACGACGGACTGTTGCACGTAGGCTGCCTTTCGCGAGGTCCCGGTAAGGGTAAGGTCGGCCTGTTTGTAAGTTTGAGCGAACAGCTGCAGGGCATTGAGACCATTCTGGCCAATCTTTTCGCCAACGTCATGAAGATTCGACACAGAGTGGCTGGGGCAATAGATCACAGGCGTAGCGGTGCCAACCTCATCACCAAGGCGAATGGTCTGTACGCTGTCTCTCCGAGAACTCTTCACCGGTGTGACATCGATACCAAACCGGTAATTTGCTTGGAACGCACAGCCGATGTGGAAGTGGGCATTGCATCCAGGTGAATGGCAGGAGACACATGCGCCCTTGTTAGATTTACAGATCTTGCACACTTCACGCCACCGTTCCTTGGGGATGGATCCAAATCCCTCGGCAGGCTCCAGCTCCTCGGCATCCCCGTACTTGATCTCGGGCGTCCATAATGAGCACATCACGTGTGCCCAGTTGTTGCCAGCGGTGCGCTTCAGGGGCTCCCGGGGACCAACGGGCTTGCCGACAGCTTCCTGGCGTTGGCGGTAGAGCTTGATGGCTTCGGAGACCATCTCCTTCTCCAACCTTTCCTTCTCCTTGTCTCGCTCTGACTTCTTGCGGCTGTTATTCTTGGTCGTCTCCATGAGGTCATGCTCAGTCCACGTCACAGGGCATAAAACACATTCGTAGGTCGTAGAGATCGAAGGGCTGCGATCATTCGAGCACATATCGCACAGCCACTTGCTGTTGGGCCGCGATCCCTGCACCCCATAGCAATTGCGGTGAACAGTCAGGCGACAATCTCTGCAGGATAGATGTTCTTCACCGGTAGGGTCAACCTTCCTGCAAATTGCACACGGAAGAGTCTTCGCCTTGGGCGGATCAGGGACAATCGGAGGCGCATCACCCTTCTCAACACCCACCTTCTTCTTCAACACAGGCTCAACCGATGTTGCAGTGGAGGTTGCAGTGCTAGGGTTGTCGGAGCGAATCTTTTTCCTGTCCTTGTCCAACTTGCTTTCGTGCTGGAGTTGAGGGTTGCTGTCGACCGAGATTCCCATGGCGATCGCAGTCGCAGCCGTGGTACTATTGATCGTAAAGGGCGTCTCGGTGGCCAGGATCAGCTGTGCCAGCATTTCCTCGTCGATGCGCCGCCTCCAAGATTTGTTGCCGGTGGTCGCAATTCGCTTGCCAACTTCATCCACGTCCTCGTACAGGATAGCATACTTACGCCACAGCAAGGCACAGCGGAGACAAAGAGCGACAGTGAGCAAAGAGCTCTTATCCTTCTTCGCGGAGGGATCGGAAGGAATCGTGGTGCCCGGCGGAACAAGGGGAGCCCGTCGCCATTGTCGCGAGTGACGGGTTTCGCAGAACTTACACTGGAAGCCACGCTTTTGAATCGCTGCCTTCTCATTGTCGAAGGCAGAATCATCGTGATCGTCAGCGACGTCGTCAAGCAACTTCGAAGAAGTGATGCTCTGTCGTCGAATCTCCTTCTTGCCTCGCCTCCCTTCGTAGCTGCCCCAGACCTGTCGACCACGAGGGGTTTTCTTCCACATATAGTAAAACCGTACAATCTGATAAATCGGGACGGTTTTGACATGCTTCATGATGAGGCGCCACTCTGAACCATGTTTGGCGACTCCCTGTTCGAATAGCTTGACTTCCTCCGGCCGAAGATGGGGCTCCTTGAGGTCCTTGTACTTGTTGACCTTCTTCAATTTGGCGAGAGCTGCCTGAACATTGAAGCTCTCAGAATACAGGAGTTGGAGGGCCTTGTCCAGGAAATTTGTACAATACTTCTCCACTCCAAGGTCGGGCGCGAGTCCCTTCGCCTGGCGCATGTAGTCGTCGATGAACTTGAACCGGTCCGCATCGCTCAAGTGAGATCCTGGTGTATCATCTTCACCCCTTGAGGGAATCTGATCTGATGTTGGCATCTTGAACAACAGCTCGGCGGTGCGTGCTTGCTTTCCATTATTCATCGTGACCGGCTCATCCTCGCCGCGCTGAATGTAGCCCGGAGGCTCATCCTGGACCCATTTAGGGCGGTTGGCCTTTTCTAGTTTTGCAGCTTCAAGCGCAGCTGCGGAGGGCTTTCCAACCGTCTTCGGGCCCCCTGCTGCCTTGGCAATCTTCTTTTTGGCATCGAGAGACTTCACATACTCCACCGGCCGGCCTGGCCAAGGAGGTACGATCGCTTGATGCCGCGGTCCGAGTCGAGAACTTGCGCGAGGGTAAATCCGGTCATCGTAGTCGAGAGCATCCTCCACTCTACAGTGCATGCCCAGGTAGCGGTAAGGCCACATCTTCACCTGTGCCATCTGCTCTATCGTTTCTGGGAGCGGCATCGATTCTTCCGCTCCTGCCGGGGTGCTAGCGGAAGTTCCATTGGCAACTCCATTGAGAGGATGATCTTCCTCTTCCTCCTCCATGACCTCATCCTCGCCATCCCCTCGGGCCTCGCCGATTAGAGGCGTGTTTCGAGCCTCGAGTTTGCGTTCCTGCGCACGACTACAAGGGGCACAGGCCCAGGCGAATCCTCGGGCGGGTTTCTTTGTCAAAACCGGTCGGACACAGTGCATGTGATAGGTAGAGCGGCAAACGGCGCAATCCACAGACTCCGCATTAGCAGCGAACAGGTGACACCGCTTGCAGGTCTTGACGGCACCCGTCAACTCTTTCCCTTTGCCGATTTCAACCAGGATGAACTTCCAGCGATCATCGAGAACTCGCTTGACGTTCGGAGGGACGTTGACAACATCCTTCGTTGGAATGACATCGTATAGGCGATGAATATAGCGATCAAACATCTTGTCGTACCAGAAACTGTCGCGAGTCTTCTTATAGACATTCAAATCGGCGATCTCGGTCACATGGCGAATCTGGCACTTTCCTCGTAACGAAGACAGCGGGCATGTATCGGAATGCATCGATGCATAGAGATAACGCGTGTCTGCACTGTGACGCTGGATGTCGCGTGGCCGGTAGTACCAATTGACACGCAACGCTTCAATGACACCAGACTCTTTCGTCTTGGATGGCAAAAGCTCCATAATCCGAGCCAAGTAATACGGCTCACCAGGAGGCTCGCAAATTAAATAGACATGATCTGGAAAATCGATGTTAGACATTGTCGGCCGCGATAATAAAAAGTCAAAAACCAACCATTCACAGCGAACGTGGTGCCATCATCAGCTGTAATTTGACCATCTTTGAGAAATGGCTCCGAGGCCTCGAAGCTGACCATATTAGTGAAATAACCCCCCTCGGAATCCCCCGGTGCGGAAGTGAAGATCTTCTTTGCAGCACTGCCGGCGCCGGGACCAGAAGTCGGATTGCTGATCGTAGCCTTCCGTTTCCTGAGCGAGCCGGATCCATTCACGTCATCTGGCCGGGCAGAAAATGACGAGGTTCCAGGAATTGAATCTTTGGGCACTGCGTTTGCGCCGGCGCCGTTGGTCAGACTCTTCCGTGATTGCGTGGGTGATGACTTCTCACTGTCAGGGTTGGTGCCGTTGACGATGGAATTGAGGGCTTCGCCGCTGTTGCGCTTGGCAACCTTTGCGGAAGCGGCATCTAACTCCATATCGATGTCACGGTCCTCAGCGTAGTTGGGCCGAGGGGCATTGCGGCCTCTGGAGCGCGTCCCATAGGGGGCGGCGGAGGAGCCGGCCGGATCGGCCACAGGCTCCGGCGAATTACTCGCGGTCATCGAGCGTGACTCTTATTCATGCACTCTTATACTAACAGGCAGGCATGGACACAAAGTGTTGGAACAGACGAGCAAGGTGCCCGCGAGAATGCTGCGGATGAGTGGTCAGTCAACGGGCAAACACCAAGGCGTGGCGCGATACATGTAGGTGGACAGTGCAGATGTTGGTATGTGGAAACACTAGAGAGAGGGGGCGAAAATCTGAAAAAGCGGGTAAACGGAAAATGGATACCAAGGGATGTGGGTTTGGGGATGCGAACATCAGAGATGGCGGGAAGGGGAAGGAAAAAAAGGAAGGAGAGATGTGGGAACAAGAAGAAATGGCACCGGAAGTGGACCAGACACACCCGTCAGATCTAACTGCAGGGGTGAAGGGTGGACGGGGACAGATATCAAGGTGGACACGGTCCCAACTTCAATGATAGGGGAGGCGCCAACGGCGGCCGCCTTGGGAGGAAATACAAATAACTTACCGTAGACAGCACGTAGATTGGGCGGGAGTGGGAGTGGAATATGCTATGGCGAAGGGGGGGGGCAGAAGTGGGAGAAGGATAGAAATATGGGAAGATAGAAAGGTGGGAAGATGGAAAGATGGAAAGATGGAAAGATGGAAAGATGGAGGGAGGCGAAAGATGGACAGACGCGATGGGCGAAGGGGAAATAATAAGAGTTAGGTTAGCGAGTGGTGCGAAACAAAACAAGCGCGCAGCCACCCGGGGAGAGGAAGAGAGGAAGAGGAAAAGAGATGGCCGAATCGGGAGAAGGAAACGGGCCGTTAAGTAGAGACGTTATACACCAAAAGATGGGAGAGAAAAGAGAAAGAGGGAAAAAAGCGTCGAGGATCCCGGGCGTGCCCCTAGTCCCGATATGTTAATATGACGGATCCTCAGGACATTCGAACCAAGGGAAAAAGGCGCGAATTCCCAAGTTGGTCGTCCCAGATCCGATTGTCTCTGTCATTGGGCCTAAGCCCTGGTATCCCCTTGCTCGTTGATCTTCCGATGCTAAGCCCGGGCTACGGGTTGAATCGATGATTGCGAAAGTGCTGTGTTTGATACTCAAGGCAACTTAGAGAGTACGAGAGTAAGTTACGAATCAAAGAGAACGGGTTAGTCAGGCCCGTAAATGACGAGCCGGAATGCTGTCACGTAGGATGCTGCGGGTTGGATGTAGCCCCAGGAGGGGGGGGGAACCCGCGTGTGCATCTTCATGTCGGGCCTCACGATCTCTGCATTCTAAAGTTCGGACAAATATTGCGAGAGGTCTCCTTCCAAGGTTGGAACTTCCATCTACCCCGGGGAGTGGACCGATCCGAATGGGACAGAAAGTGCTTCAAATGGCCAAGCGGAAACCGTGTATTTCTACCGGAATGCCAGACCATTCGTGACGACTGATGTCGGCGTCAGGTTGTGGTAAAGGTAGCGTGGAAAATGGCACTAAGCAGCCGGACTCCACAGGTCCATCCACAATCCCTGCGGAAAAAATACGGGACGGTACGGAGTATGTACACTTCCTCTTTTCCCTAACCCGCAGTGGGTTCTAGAGCCCTTTTGATTTGTCTTGTGCCACCCTTTCCACACTTGGGCAAGCGAGACCGGTCTCTGGGATCGCTTATTTCATACGGTCATCTGGGATAGGCACGATGCTATAAAGACACGGGTATTCCTCAATCAATACAAATATATACCTATGTCAAGACTACGGATACCTAGGTAACTAGTGATTCATGATGTCCAGGGGTAGAATCACACGAAAGAGGCGAGTGCAACACCCGATCCCGGCGTTCGCATTATTAGGGGGACCCCTGGGATATATGTCCCTGGGTCGGCACTATTGAATCATACTTATCGTGCAAGTCGGAGATACATGCGGGAGGAAACCTTGGAAAATGAAAATGGAAACAAAGAAAGAGGATAAGATGGAAGCAAGGGAAGGGATGGTTCGTGCCGGTCACTATCGAAAGGTGAACAGGACAGCGACATCCGACCACCCTAGACACCAATCTCCCTAGGTAATTTAAACTTCTACCGCCCACTCGGTCCAATGACGATCCAAGCCGCCGAGAACTGCCCGTTGTTCGCCGAGGATGATTTGCTCCCGGCGGCTGTTTCGTATCGCCACCTTGCATTAGGCCAAAGCTCCAGAACGTGTAGCCTCGATGCCCACATATGAAGTACCTAGGTAACATTTTCATCCCGAATGTGCCTACAGTATATACCGAGTCCTCTCCCCTCCTTCCTATTCAGTTCCTGGGAAATGGCGGAAGGCGCCCATCTTGTGATATGGGGCGATCAGACCTCCGCGGAGTACCTTTTAACTCTGCAAACCCGGGTAAGTGTGCACACACGACATTTGCAGAGACCATCATATGGTTCGTCCACGTTGCCCGGGTACTCGGCTGGGCTGATGCGTAAGTACCGCAGGGCGGTTTGTCGGCAATGGAGGGGATATATACACCTGGGCGGTACAATGCCTCACATTCCACGACGGCGATGCAGCAAATTCCCGGTTGTCGATCTGCATGTCGCAAGATTGGCTCTGCATCCGCTCGCCTCTAGCTTTTTCAAAGATATGCGTAGGTCTGTATTGGTAATTGCCATCGAGCTCCATATCTACGGACCCGTGTTCACCGACGCGACTGGGTCTCGGATCGAAGCGCAATCCACCCGGGAATGAAACAGCCTTGCTAGAAATAGGCAGCAGTCTGCGGGAGCCAAGCCGATCTTGATCATGCAGGTAATTGCGCTATTACGCCTTAAGAGTACTATGTAGAGAGATTATCCACGAGAACCCGGGGTAGCGCAGAGAGGGATTTTGTCGGCATGTAAAACCATGCCCCATGTTATGCTCTCGTGCAAGGGGACCTCTCATGGGCCATGGGTGCTTTGATTTTCATGCAAATCCCGCAGATTGAGGCAAGGCTAGGCACTCTTTTCCATGCGTGGCTCCGATCCAGGAACCGATTACTTAAGGCGGATCGTGGCCTGAGGCCCGTCACCAACGCCGAACGCGTTGCTTTGCATCAGCAAAGATAAAAGCAAAATGAGAACAACTTATTGAAAAGAATGGCCGGGGTACCAGGCACGTCGGAATCGGCCCAAACCTTTCAGTACCGTGGATTTGAGACCTCCATTGATATCGCCCGCCGCCAGGACTACCAAGTAGCCCCGGTGGCCGGGTACAAAAGACCATCAAGCGAGCAGCCTACCGAGACTTTGAAGTCCCTCGCCCCGCACGGGCCAAGTGAAGGTGATGAACTTCTAGAGCCTCCTCCGTTGGAGTTCGCTCGAGCCACGTTGACCCCTCTCGCCAACCGATTTACCGCCAGTAGGATCCATCCTGGGTCGGGGGCGACAGCCCCAGATGATGCACAACAAAGGGGCGTGTCAGCCGTCCCAGGGTCCAGCCAAAACCCTCTGCTGTCACTCACGAACCCCAAGTATGGTCTGCCTGATATGCTGACGGCCAACTTTGGTGCCTTGGGTGTCAACACGATTTATCCTTGGCAGGCATCCTGCTTGTTGGCTCGTGGTCTTCTGTCGGGGGAGCGGCACCTGGTCTACACAGCACCCACCGGCGGAGGGAAATCTTTGGTAGCCGATGTTTTACTGCTCAAACGGATCATCGATAATCCCACCCGTAAGGCTATTCTGGTCTTGCCTTATGTTGCCTTGGTCCAAGAGAAACTGAAATGGATGCGTCGAATCGTCCAAGACGTGGAGAAGAATGTCCCGGATGACGAAGAAGATGATCATGAATCACAGTTCCCACGCAAGCGATTGAGAAGGGTACAGAAAAACATCCGCGTCGCTGGGTTCTTCGGTGGGAGCCGGACGACGACCACCTGGGCTGATACCGATATCGCTGTTTGTACAATAGAGAAGGTCTGCTATCAAAATCTTGATATTGTATGCGCGGCTCTGATTGTTCCTTAGGCCAACTCGTTAATCAACAGTGCAATCGAGGAGTGTAGCATTGGAGACTTGGGAGTCGTGGTGCTCGATGAGCTGCATATGCTTGACGATGAGCACCGAGGATATCTCTTGGAACTGATGGTCACCAAGCTGCTTTTGCTGCAGCAGGATATTCAGATCGTTGGCATGAGTGCCACACTTTCTGTAAGCCTCCTTTGGCTACTTGCACGTGGAAAACAACCGCTCACAACGCTCTAGAATACAGAGATGCTAGCACAGTGGATGAATGCGAAGTTTTATGTCTCTACGTACCGGCCGGTTCCCATTGACGAATATCTGGTCTATGAGAACTCAATTTATCCAGCTGCCACTTCGAGACAACTGTTCCAGACAGCTTCCAAGCTGACTGGGTCATCTTCCTTACACGATACTATACCTCCTGATCGGATCATTGAATCCTCACCTTTCAAGCAGCTAGGCAATTCTGCTACCAATTCCATGGTAGCATTGGCAGTTGAAACGGCGGCAGCAGGTTTTGGGGCTTTGGTATTCTGTGGCAGCCGGGGAGCGTGTCAAATACATGCTGCTACCATTAGCGAAGCTATGACTCTACCTTCGGCAGATACGGACGAAATGAGCAAGCGACTTGACCTTCTTGCTGAGCTGCGGAGTCTCGCATGTGGTTTGGACCCAGTGCTCCAGAATACTGTCATCAAAGGCGCAGGGTTTCACCGTGAGATACTCATCGTTTGTTGCTCTGGGTGTTTCACTGACTGCTGTTTCAGATGCCGGCATGACGACAGAAGAGCGGGAGCTGATTGCGCAAGCTTATGATCAAGGAGTGCTGAGAGTGCTTGTGGCTACTTGTAGTCTTGCCGCAGGAGTCAATCTCCCTGCCCGGCGAGTCATCATCAACGGTGCCCGAATGGGCCGAGAACTGGTCGGTCCAGCGATGCTGTAAGGCATTTTTATCCCAAGCCTACATAAATACCGCGCTAACTGAAGCAGACGCCAGATGTGCGGGCGTGCAGGACGGAAAGGCAAGGACGAGGCTGGAGAGACATATCTGATATGCATCAAAGCCGACATGGAAGCCGTGTGTGACCTATTAGATGCTGATATGCCTGCAATCGAGAGCTGTTTGGCCCCCGAGAAGAGAGGCCTGAAAAGGTATTTAAATCTCTTCGGGATATTGCTCTTTGTAACAACTGACACTACAAGGGCACTACTCGAAGCCATAGCGACAGGGCTAGTATCAGGTTGCGAGGCGATCAAAGAGTATGTCCGGTGCACACTTTTGTACCGTACGCTCGACAAGAAGATTGCCTACAGTATTATGAAATCGGCCCTACAGGAACTCGTCGACGAAGATCTATTGAACTACAGAAACGACGAGTCTTACGAAGCAACGCTGATAGGGCAAGCGGTCGTGGCTTCGGCCTTCTCTCCCGAGGATGGTCTCTTCGTACACGAGGAGCTCAAGCAAGCATTAAAGGCATTCGTCATGGACGGCGATATGCACATCTTCTACATGTTCACCCCTCTGCAGGTGGCTATGAGCATACCGATTGATTGGCAAATTTTTCGCAATCAACTGGACCATATGGATGATAGCGGTCTGCGAGCGCTACAATTCGTCGGGGTTCAGCCAGGATTCGTCAACACAATGTGAGTATCCCAGACCCTAAAATGAGAGTCAATCAAGCTAACCAAGTGCACCTGACAGGGTCCAGTCTGGTGCATCAATGAAAGAAACAACACCAGCCCAACTCAAGCAAGCTCGCATTTACCGGCGCGCATACACAGCTTTCCAGCTCCGCGATTTGAGTAACGAAGTCCCGCTCTCGACAATTGCTCGGCGGTACAAGATCCCCCGAGGCACAGTCCAGACACTAGCGCAACAGTGCCACGGGTTCGCAGCAGGCATCGTCAAGTTTTGCCAACGCATGAACTGGGGAATGCTGGCGGCTGTGCTAGACCACATGCGCGATCGTCTCGAAGCCGGGGCCCGCGCAGATCTTCTTGAAATGGCCCAGGTTACTTTTGTCAAGAGCTGGACTGCTCGGCTGCTTCGTGAAAATGGCTTCAAGAACCTACGTGCCCTGGCTGAGGCTGACCCCAAGGATCTGGTGCCCGTGCTCATGATGGTATGGTATTTTTCTTCGGGGTCACAAAAGCGATGTTAACGCAAATTCCATACGTAGGTAAACCCTCGCAAAACACAAAAGAGCCAGCTCTATCCCGGAGAAGCAGAACGATACGCGGCGAAATTGTTGACCAAGGCAGAAACTATCATTGCCTCTGCAAATAAGATATGGGGTACGTGCTGATTATTATTTCCATGGTCGAAAAACTTGCTAACACCACAGCAATACCTAGATCGAGAACTGCAGGTTGAACTGGAGGAATGAAGCCATACAGCTTGGCATTAGCGCTGATGTGACGAGAGAGCGTTGATCTTGAATAGAGATCCCCAGGCATCACAGGGGCTAAATTTGCCCTATCAGTTGCTATCATTGATATCGTTCATTATGTGTACTAGTACCCAACCCCTGCATATCACCTAAAATCCATTCTGTGCGTTCTGTGCGGCAATCACATCGCCCTTGTCAACAAAATCTGCCAGCATTGCGTTCGGAGCGTGGTTATATAGCGCCTCGCATTCAGCTGCTTGCGCCCCAAGACTACCAACACCAGTTGCTGCATTGGTTATGGAGGCATGGTCGCGGTCCGGGATCAGGATACCCAGAATATCTACATCCAGAAAGTGGTTGACGATGTACATGCGGCCTGATGCAGAGGCACCGGGGGGACGGTTAATGCTGCAGTTCGAGAAGGAGGGGTCGGTCACGTCGTACGGCGTCTCAAAGTAATAGTCAAACTCATTGAGAATATAGTCAACCTTTGTAGCGTCGGCACCATAGTCTTCAACAGGAGTCATGATTAGTTTGAATCTTTGTTTACCGCGACGGACAACTCACCCAGAAATACTACAAGTCTCTTCCCGCTCGAGATCAAATCACCAATAGTGGGCCAGCTATCGAACGGAAGTGTATTCGGGCTGGAGGATGGGACAAACGCATAGGAATCAATGCCACTGCTGGAGAACGTATCTCCGAACTCGGAGATAGCAACCGAGTCCCCGTTTGTCAGAAGCAGGGTAACCACTTCGTTTACGTTGTCGTCCAACCAGCCCTTGACAGTCCCTAGGAATGACTTGAGGGTTCCTGCATCCTCGAGCCAGCAGGAAGTATGGCACAGTTCCAGGACTTTGTCATCTGTGATAGAATGGTGGGTTTGTGCCTGCAGGAACCTGATCCCCATGTCCAGCTGCGCCTTGATATCGATGTTCTGGTTCTGCTGGGGCAGCTCCCCGACAAACGCCGAGTCGTGCGAGCCCATAAAAGTCACATTTGAATAAGAGCGCGTACAGTATTCCGCGCGGCCGTTGCAGATAGTCGCGGCGGTGGCTGCTGTTCTAGCCGTCGGCGCGGATGAAGTAGAGGATGCACATGCTTGTGGAAGCACCTTGGCAACACCCGGAACGCCGAGTACAGGCTGGCAAAGCAGAAGCGCGCCGAGCAGAGCTCGCGTCAGTCCGATCCGGATGGGGCTCATCGTGTCTGGTTTGCACGCTAGGGGGGGGACAGAGCGGTATTGAAGCAGAGATAAATGCAAATAGCGGACTTTTCACGCCTTCTTCAAGTACCATTCATAGAATGAACGTGACCACCGTCCTGCCACACGAGAGGGCATGGTGACTATATAGGTGTAGCTGGCGGTCATGCAGCCCGCAGGAGGTGACCAAGTCCCAGCATTCCACATGTCGGCGATCCCTAGCCAGAAAGGAAAACACACAGCGTGATTCGGGTGACGAAGATCATGTCATGGCCTCATGCTTGCTTCGGCCATGATGATAGGACACGTTGGGCGCGTCCAGCGTGATCGCGCCCCTGTGACTCGATGCAACGGCAGCCCCGCACTAGATCAGGAACAGCAAGAAGTCCTTATCGAGGTCGTGGCCGGGGCTGGGGCTGGAGCTGAGGATTTGAATTTTATTAACGGAGTAAGCGATTCAGCTGGGTGCTCCGTGGTCGCATTCGGGCCAGGAGGTGGGCCAATGACGGATCTTTCTGCGCCAGGATTCACTAGGGCGGAACGGGCGAGGTAACTAAGGACGCATATGCTTTGACGATCAGTAAGGTATCCTCGAATCCCATAAGTTTGTGAGGATTCTATTGCAGTGGATCTTGTGGAACTGCATGATCTATAAGACAGGACGATGCTTAGGGTGAACCGGCCGTGGGGAAAGCACTGGCTGACATTGACAAGTCGCGGACCTACACAGGTACCCCTATTCGAATTGCTTCCAGAGAGCCTTACTGACGAAAGTATTCCTAGGTGTACCTGGGATGTCAAGACTTGTATCAGGTAAATTGGTTCTTTAACCTGAATTACTTCTCAGGCTTTGAAGGTATTTTTTCGACTGCACTTTATATTTCCAGTATCTTACCCTGCAGACAAAAAAAAAGACATTTGGATAGACCACCAGTTAAGCCCCATCAGATAGCCAAACAAAATTAAAAAGTCAATAGAAAGTACCACTTAAATGCGATAGGCCGGCTATAAACAATTCTCCCGGGTCGGAAACCTGGCAGATGGATATTCTGCCAGGTACAGCAGCAGGTACCCCACTCCTCGGACTGAAGTATAAGATCCAAATTTTTGACGAGACCTTTAACCTCGATTGAGGACAAATACCTGAATACTAGGAAAAGAGAAATCATCTTGTACCTGTCGTGGACTGAGCCGGGCGGTGAATCCCCGCTCCAAGACGAGGCTCCGCCCCAGGCAATGCGCAGTTTACGTTAGTTCAACGTCCGAGCTTGAATCGACCTCCGCTCTCATCCCACACCACTTTCCTTGAGAAAAGATCCCACGAGCTGCACAGTTTCTTCTATCGGCCCGGCCTGGACCCTTCACTTCCCTAATCCGGCTCCAGCAATGATCATTCGGAGACCTCGCTCATGAGCTCGATGGCTGAGGGCAGTGAGGTCAAGGAAGGAGAGGATGAGCTTGATCTGGGCGAAGAGGACGGGCTTCCCCAACAGCCCGACCATGGCGCTCTCGCTTCCGACCGCCAGCACTCCCCGCAGGAACTAGCCGACCGGGAATTGGACGCAGTAGACTATGCGGAGATCCACGATCAGGCGTCCGAGGAGACCGTCGCACCCGAAGGCCCCGAACTCCCCCAGACTCCTCCGGCGCAATACGCGCAGTTCCACGCCACCTCGGGAAGTGTAGATGAGACGGCATCGACTCCCGATGACACCCCGTCTTTGCATGTCAGTGGTGCCCTGAGCGCGCAGTCGGGGGACCTTTCTAATTGTCAATAGGGATCCGTTCCGTCCTCCCAGAGCAGCAGTGCGCTAGCATTGCGAAGCTCTCCACGAGTCAGCCCCAGTCCATCCCACCGTCCGTTTGACCTCCGCTTCCAATCCCGACTATCGTCGTCACCTCTAAGTCCCTCGAGACAAGGCTCGCCATTTCTTGCCCACCTCCACTCTCGGCAATCATCAATTACGAGCCAGCTCTCGCCGACACCGGAATCAGACAACGAACCGCCGCAGAGTCCGTGGGATGTCGTGCGATGGACAAAGCTGCGAAAGATAACTGGGCAAGCCTTTTCGGAGATCGGCAAGCGCAACTTTGGGCGGCCAACATGCCTGGCAGTTTCTACGTCCATCGTGATTGGCACATCGAAAGGAATCATCCTTGTATTCGATTATCAGCAGAGCCTGAAAACTATCATTGGAACAGGCACAAAAGGTATGTTATAGATCCCCGCTGTCTGGGATCATGCTAACAATATGCCAGCTGTTGAATGCGGGCCCATTACTTCTCTAGCCCTGTCTGCAGACCACTCCACCGTGGCTGGAGGCCATGAAACGGGTGACATCTACACGTGGGAAATCTCTCGATCGGCGCGACCTTTTCTCCATATTCCTCCAATCCCAGCAAACCACGTTGATACTCGAACATCTGATGGTCACATTTCCGGATCCGCGGTCATTCATATCGGTTTCCTCGGCACCCGGCGAACCGCAATTGTATCAGCCGATACAAGAGGAATGGCATTCTCGCACTTGGCAACACGAGGCATGGGAGCAGTAGCTCGAACGGTCAAGACCACTCGAATCTTGGGCCGATATCCGCAAACTGCACCGGAAGAACGTCGGCGAAAGCCCAGCTCTGTTCTAGCTTTCTCGCCTCTACCTCTCGGCAACGTGGAGCAGCCGTACGACTCATTAGGACTCGTTGCTATGTTAACTCCATACCTTCTGGTGATTGTCTCCACGACACCAGTGGCGCAAACTCAACATAAAGCCCCGCGGCCCAAGGAAGTGCCGGCACACAGTGCCATGACCGGAGCTTTGGCTTGGTTCCCTGCAATTCGATTGAAGGGCAAAGATAGCCAGACGTCTAATACCAAGCTCGTCTATTGCTGGTCAAACGTTTTGACCGTGCTGGAAGTGACCGAAGCGGAGACGGACGAGCCCTTGGACCGCGATAGACCACCAAATCTTGTTTTCAGGGCGCGCAGTAGATGGAAGGCCGACGAGGCTATCGTGGCCGTTCAATGGCTCAGTCGATCCGTACTGGCGGTGCTCACAATCACACAGCGACTGCTGATTCTTGAGGATTACACCATGCATGCCACGGATTCCATTGACCTTGTCCACCGACATATCTACCATACCGACCTTTTCTCTTCACAACTCCATAATCTCGTCGAACAGCTTGACGAAGAAGACACTTCGATGCATGGCGTTGTGGCTGATGCCTTTTATATGAGCTTCCGCGCCTACAAAGGCCGGCTGTTTTTGCTTGGCTACAATGAAGCGCAGGTCGGCAACCTTTCAAATTGGGCTGACCGACTCCTTGCTCTCATGGAAGCGGGTGATTTCATTGGAGCTATCCGACTGGCGACCTTGTATTACACAGGAGCCGCAGAGAAGCTCACAGTTGGCCTTCCGGAAGAGGATGTTCTAAGACAACCAATTGTCCAAGAAAAGCTTCTCGAGATGATCTCTGCGTCGCTGAAATATGCCTTCGGTCGCAATGATGAAGCAAGCATTGGACGTCTGGAGAGTAAGCAGCTCGAGGACTTAGCAGGGGTTTCCATTGCCGCCTGCATCCATATGGATGATGTGGAGTTTCTGTGGGAGGAAGTGTTCACTTGGTACGAGGAGCAGGAATCCGCAGGCATCTTCCTCGACGTCCTCGAGCCGCGTATCGTCGACGGGACCATTCGCTCGCTGCCTCCAACTGCCGTCAAAGCTCTGATCAATCACTTCATCAAAACTCACTCGGCTGGCCGTTTGGAGGAGATCATCTGTTTGCTAGACAGTACGACGATGGATATCGATCAGGTTACAACGTTATGCAAACAACATAACCTATATGATGCGTATATATATGTGTGGAACCGCTGTTTAGCGGATTACATTGGGCCGCTGGAGGAGCTCTTGCATTTGATCCCCACGCAGACCGAGCCTTTAGTCAATGGTGATCATGCCATTGAAATCAAAAGGCACATGAACGCGATGAAAATGTTTCCTTATTTGTCCTTCGTTTTCACCGGCCGTATCTATCCCACCGGGGATGAGATGGATGAAATCGAGGCATCGCGGGCCAAACTCGCTCTGTACCAATACCTCTTTTCGGGCCAACTCTCCGGGACAGAATCCGCCAACGGTTCTAACAAGACGGACTCGTTCTCGCAACTCCGGGCTATGCTCAAGCTCGATGCTTCCAGCTTCATGAGCATGCTCAATGAAGCTTTCGAAGACAGCTTTCTTAACGAACCCGACTCCGACGAGGGCCCTTCTCCAGGTGTGTCGATCAATCGCCAGTACCTGATCAGCATTTTACTTCAAGTTATGGACGCATCTTCATTTGCACCTTCCGATACCATTTACTTGGACATGTTTGTTGCGCGCAATCTTCCCAAATACCCCCAGTACATTCTTCTTTCTGGCACAACCCTGCATCAGGTCCTTACCCGTCTATGTCAATACCCGGATGAGAGCATGGCCGGCGACTGCGAATTGAGTGCCGAATACCTGCTGTCATTCTACCACCCGCCAGACATCCAGAGCATGGTGCCCCTGTTTAAAGAAGCTCGCTTTTTCCGGATTTTGAAGTCGACCTACCGTTCCGAGAAGCAATACCCGCAATGGATCATGACATATCTCGAGGATCCGAACGACAAGGAAGCCATCTTCACCGCCCTGCATGACAGTCTCCGCTCAGGATCCGGGCTCGGCAAAAAGCAGAGGAAGGATGTGGTGGATGTGGTGAAGGAGCATGCCAGAGAGATTGCTGATATTGACGTAATGCGTGCTGCTCAGACAATGCAGGGTCTGGCCCCTGAAGCCCACTCCTCGTTCCTGCAGGTGCTGGAAAAGGAAAGCTACAAACAGTACCAGTATCTTCTCATCCTGGTCGAGCCTCAAGAGCAGAACGGCGAAAAGTATCCTTCCGTCGAGAACTGGATGATTGAACGTTACGTGCAGCTTCTCTGCAAATACAACCCAGCTCACGTGGCAGACTTCGTCGAAGGCCTACGAGTTGGTGAGATTCATCTGGAGGAATTGCTTCCGTCTATCGAGGAGAGTGGAGCCATCGATGCTGCAGTGATCCTCCTTGCCCGGCAGGGCCAGGTACGAGCGGCCTTGGATCGTCTCGTTGCACACTTGGGCACGCTGGAGTCCGGATTGGTGGGAATTCTTCAGAGCGTGGGCCAGACCCCTGACACGGCTACTACAGCAGAGGCGATCGACGATCTCCTTGAATCTCTGAACAAGTATGCCGGGGTCGGGACGTGGCTCTGCCAGGGCCAGTCCAAAACAGCCAAGCAGAGTCGACCGAGCATGAATGGGCAACGTGGTGTGTCACCACTTGAGCAGCCCCTGGCATTTGACGAAGCTCTCTGGCTCGACCTCATCGAGGCGGTGGTGCGCATTGCGAGCAACGTGTTTGCACTCCTGGAACACCAATTCAGAGACTCGGAGACGCATCAGCCGGCATCCCGGAGCGGAGAGACCGGACGGTTGACTACATCATTCCGCACACTGGTTCAACAGGCCTTCACCACGTTGCTTGCCAGCACCGTGAAAGGTGGCAGTCCATCAAGCAGCGAACGCAACGACATGTCCTTCCTCCGCATTCTCCGCGCGTTTCTGACGCGGGCTGCAAGCTGGTCACCGTCTCTACTCGAGCTGCGCGCCGTGCTAGCGTCCATCTTTTCCGCCTACTCGTACGAGAGATCCCTCCTGACCCTCGCCAATGGCATGCTAGACCGCGACCTGTTCGTGCACGTGGACGAGGTCACGCGGCTCCGGCAGCAAGGATGGCGACCCCGAGGCCAGGTGTGCGAGATCTGCCGGCGGAGGATCTGGGGACCCGGCGTGGGCTCATCAAGCTGGACCGCGTGGGAAACCCGACAAAGTGACGGTCGCCAGCGTCGAATGGCCAGGAGACTCGAGGAGGGCCGTGATCCGGCCGAGCGGGGCAAAGGCAAAGCAGCTGCTATGGGCGCGGGTCAGCCTCAGCTGATGGAACATGCCCATGATGCCGCGGAGGAGGAGGCAGGGACCGAGACCGGATCGGTCGGCGAGCTTCCCCTGGAGCCGGTGGTGGTCTTCTCGTGCCGGCATCTGTACCACAGGCAGTGCGTTCTAGATGCCTGCGTTCATGGTCGACCCACGGATGGGCATTCGTTCCGGCGAGATGTAGCATGGCCAGAGGCCGAGCTGTTCTGTCCGGCGTGTACATAGTGCCCCTTTTTTCTTTCCTCATTTCTTATTTCTTATTTCTATTTCCTTTATCTGTGTAGTTCAGCAGGAGATCCGATAGGTGGCATTTTGCGGTACGAATAGGATGTGTCATATACTCCTTTCATTTCATTTCCTCATTTCACTTCATTTCCTCCTTTCATTTCATTTCATCCAGTGCTTCAGTCCTTCAGTAAAGCGGGTACGGGTGTACGCGTGCAGCCCCGTTCTCGACACGTCCGCAATTCGCCACGTCTTTCCTTTTGTCGCTCGGGAACCAAAGCATGAGTCGCGACGGGGATTAGACGATGATCTCATAGCGAGTGTGGCCGAGTGGTTAAGGCGGAGGAGTACGTTGCACCTCTTCTCTCCTTCCCCGTCAACTCTCATACTAACATCCTCATCAGTTTAAGCAAATTAAATACAAAACCCCTCTTTCGAAAGAAATCTAGGGTTCGAATCCCTACGCTCGCAAATCTTTTTTTGGTTTGCAGCGAGGATCCAACCGGCGGTCAGCGCGGTCGTCCCGGTTTTTGGCATCGGAGGCAGGTCAAGAAGAAGGTCGAAGGATGCTTCATAGTCGGGACCGGGTCCAGGTCTGGGACCCGGCTCCCGGCAGAGTAAACGGGCCCCGAGCAGGGCCTATCTATCTGCGACGGGGGCCACGAAGGATCTCCCGTCCGTCTGATCGGGACCCGCCATGGCGGATGTCACTTGAATTTACGGTAGAGATAAGAGTAGAGATGAAACTGCGATCGTCCGTGAGCACGTCTGAACTAGATTCGAAGGGAGAGCAGAGTATTCCCGACCTTGTCGACTCTCGATTTTCCGATTTTTGGAGCTATCGCCATTTCCATACATCTGCCGAGTAGAACCAAGGGCGAGGCACTGAAAGACCCTTGGAAAAAGGACCGAATGGGACTGCGTCGAAGGAAGAAAAAAGGGAAAAGGAAAAGCAAAGCTTAATTGATAGACACGACGACCACGATTCGTCGATCGCGCTCGCCACCAGCACAATTCCACGGCGATTGGACCGGCCGTCCAGCCGGGCGTCAAGGCCGTGGCCAGTGATCGATGCGCACGCCGGTTTTCCAGCCAAAACAGCCGGCGACTCGCTGGTCGCACCGACTTTTGGCTTTTCCCCGACCATCGTCCAGCGAGTCAGCGGTCTCGCCGCCGTGATCAACCTACGGTTCCGAAACAACCAGCCCTTCTCGCAGCGTCTGAAGTTCCAGACTGCCCTACTCCGTACTCGACTGCTGAAACATGGGGAGTCTGCACCTAACCACATCGGTCCAGTCGTGGCTCCGCATCTACGAGATCGGGAGAGTGTTATGTGCCGGATCATCGCCGGCTCTTCTCTTCTCAGCGGTACAGTGTGCCATCTCCATCTGATGGGCGGTCGTGTCGGATGATCCACTCGCGTCACCCTCTTCTGTCCTCGATGTTTGGATTTGACCCAAGTTGTTCGCACGGAAGGTCTGGCCAGAGAAGATGTTTGGGTCCGGCAATCACGGCCTTTGGTTCCGTTGGTCAAGGATCCAGGGCAGCCTGCTCGTCCAGAGAAGGTGATGGGTAGATCAAGCCACCCTCAGGGCATTTCAGCGATCGGGACCCGCCGTTCGGTCTAGCGAACCCCGGCCACTTGCCGCAACGGGAATATTCCTCCGCATTTCGTATCTCTCACATGGCCCACTTGGGCCCTGTCATGCATGTCCCACAGGCGTCTCAAGATCGGGTCTGGTGGATGCAGGTGTTCCACGCGTCGTGCCTTTCTTTCCCCCTGTTTAAAAGTTGGCATCGTTTCCCCTCTTTCATCCTTTTTTTCCTTCATCCGATCCTTTGTTCGTGTGCTGTTCACATTCCTTTCTGAAGGTATATACTCCTACCCAACTACGGGTTGTATATCACCTCACTCTTTCTCTTCTTCATTCTTTTTTTTTTTTTAAACAGTGACCTCTGCGAGGCACATTCCCCGGTCTTTGACAGACTATACCTTTCTCTTGAATTTATAGCACGCGAACAAAATGCCCTTCACGACCACTCTCCTTACGGGTCTGGGCCTGCTTGCTCAATTGAGTGCTGCCGGCTACACGTTGCAGGACGATTACGGCACCGACAATTCCTTTTTCAACCAGTTCGACTTCTATACCGTGCGTTTACACGGGTAGCTGAATAGCCTGAATCACCTGCTGACCTTAATTTTAGGGACAAGACCCTACCGACGGCTTCGTGAGCTACGTCGATCAATCGACCGCCAGTAGCAACGGCCTCATCAGCACCGGTGGCGGCTCCGTGTACATTGGCGTGGACCACTCCAACACCGCCACCACCGGCCGCCAGAGCGTGCGGCTGCAAAGTACCAATACCTACACCCACGGTCTGGTGATTCTGGATCTGGAGCACATGCCCGGTAACGTCTGCGGCACCTGGCCCGCCTTGTAAGTTCTCTCGCCCGTCGTATTTCGATATTTGGAAACTAATCCCTTCATAGCTGGATGGTTGGCAGCAATTGGCCCAACAACGGCGAGATTGACATCATCGAGGGTGCCAACACCCAGTCCGTCAACCAGATGACCCTGCATACCAGCGACGGCTGCTCCGTCGGCAACTCTGGCTTCACCGGCTCCGTCTACACCAGCAACTGCTACGCCGAGGCCTCGGGCCAGACTCCCAACGCGGGCTGTGCCGTCCTGGACAGCAGCACCCAGTCCTACGGTGACGGCTTCAACCAGGCCGGCGGCGGTGTCTACGCTACCGAGTGGAACAGCGATAACATCAACATCTGGTTCTTCCCCAACTCCAGCGTCCCTTCCGACATCACCAGCGGCAGCCCTGACCCTTCGGGCTGGGGTACCCCCGCCGCCAGCTTCGGTGGTAGCAGCTGTGACATCGACTCGCACTTCAGCGAGCTGCAAATCGTTTTCGACATCACCTTCTGCGGCGTCTGGGCCGGTGACGTCTGGTCCTCCGGCAGCTGTGCCTCCAAGGCCAGCACCTGCAACGATTACGTGTCGGACAACCCCTCCGAGTTCCAGCAAACCTACTGGGAAATCAACTCTCTCAAGGTCTACCAGGACAGCAGCTCCTCCAAGCGCGACTCCATCCCCCAACCCCACGCCAAGGCACACGTCCGTGCCGACGTCAACGAGCCCATCGAGGAGCCCAAGTCTACGATCGAGCGCTCGGCGCCGTACATTCGCCCTGGTCCTCGCCCTGCCTGGAAGCACCGCCGTGATGCCTTCAAGCACGGCCACAGCCACGGGCAATAAATAACCTCGAAACTGATAAATGGATTATGACAAAGACGACTTGAAGTCGGGAACTCTGCCAAGGGATCTGTGATCTCTGTTTGACGATTGAATGTATACACTCTTTTTCTTCTTCTTGTGCTGGGCATTTACTTTTTTTTTTTTTTCTTTTTTCTGTATCATGTTCATGTTTACATGAACCTGCACTTTCTTTTGGTTGGATGATTTCCACGGGTTTCTCGGCGCGATGTTTGAATACCCGTTCTCACTCGTTCACTAAGCATATATTGGCATTTTGACTGAACATTTCAATGAATTCATTAAAAAAGTATTGTTTATAAAAATATTTCCCACCGACATTCAACTCCAAGCCCGGACCAGCAAACATCCCATGAACCCAATCTACCTCGGCTGTAGATTACACCAAATCCGACTACCTACCTACTGTTACCAAGTTTGGGGAGAACCTTGGAACGGAGATCAGGTACAAGGCACAAACACACCCAACCTGGGGTGATACTTCATCAGAATCATTCATTACAGTATATACAGCCAACTACAAAAGCTCGAATAGAGTATGCAAAATCTAGATCAGAGCGGAACGCGGGAGAACGCAAGAGCGTCCCTGTTGTCATCCGTCAGACGACCCCATTCAAGAAGAAGCCGGAAGAAATAGATTTCCATATCCTCCTTGCGCAGCGCAAGCTCCGTCCACTGGCGCCCCTGCTCGGCAATCCACGAGCCCTGGTTGGTATGCGCATCCATGCGCATCGGGTGGTTGACATCGGCACCGTTGGGGTTCGGCACGCCGGCAAAATAAGCCAGCGTGCTCCAAAGGCCGTGGAGCCGGATATCGATGGGCACGAAGTGGAACCATGATACGACGCGCGAGTCGAACCATTGCCGGAAGAGACCCGTCTTCATGGGAAGACTGTGGCTCTTCAGGAAGGGTAGGAATCGGCCGCTGAACCCGGCGCCGTCGAGGTCGAAGAGGAATCGATGCGCCCAGTGCGATTGGAAATCGACGTGGGAGATTGTTCCCATTTCCTCGTGCTGGACGTCGCAGTCTCCGCAGCGGGTGATCGGGTCTGCGAGATGGACGTTTGTTTGCAGTTGTAATTGTTCCGAGGGCGCGGTGCCATCCATGACCTCGTACTCATAGAGGCCTGGACCGGCTGGTAAGAGCACAGAGACTTGGCTCTGGGTGTTGTTGTTCATGAGGTGGGCGAATCGTTGTCGTGGCATGCCCTTCCATTCGTTGAAGCGGCTGTATCCTTCCGAGGTGCTCCCAATCCAGTAGAGCGAATTTTCCTTTTTCTCGTATGCGGGATCGGGGTACTCTCCAGACGGTTTGTACTGGACTTTGTCCATGTAGTTCCACGGGCTGGGGTATAGAATGTCGTTGAACCCAGTGAGAGCGCTTTGACTGAAGACGGGTATTAACTCCTGGGACACCTTGAACGAGGAGGGAGAGATCAAGAGGCCGTGAAGGAAAGCCAGGTCGGGCTGGTGGCAGATTTCAGAAGCTAGATTGAAATCCAAGGGGAATTGTCCCATGGTATGGGGCTCTGTGCAGCCCAGGCAGATGTCACGACGGTTCCAAATTCGTCGAGTGCGTGCCCTAGACGAAGGCGGGCAAACCGCGCTCACATACGGATCCCACACACCTCGCCATGCACCATCCGTGAAAATAGTCTCGTTCGTTTGGTCTGCAGGCTCTATGGGGCCCCAACCTTGCCCTCTGTCTGCAGAATAACTTCCTACCACATTTTCCGGGGGGATGGATAGATGTGTTTTTGCTTCTCGCTTTAGCTGGAAAGCCTTTTCCCAAGGCACGGCGACCCGAGGCTCGTCATTCAGATTGAACACGAGATCCATGTCTGGAAGATGCTCGGAGAAGTTTTCGATCATATCTGCAGCTCCTTTGACCATCCATGCATGCGTTGGCTTAATACCTTCTTGGATATGGGGTTTGCCATTTCGAATGCTGATAGCTCCGAGATCATTAAAAGGATTCGTCGCCAACTTTTGTGTCATGTCCCGAATCTGCGCTGGGGGGATGGCTCGGAAAGGAAGCAGATTCTTGTAGATCTGATCAAACTCGTCGATGACCAATGAGGATCGCTTTGTTGCATATTCCCACCATTTGTCAAATCCAGGAGGCGGAAGCTGCTCATAACGTCTTTGATATTCCAAAACAGCATCTGCGAGAGTCTTGCTGGCGCCAGCCTGGGTGATGTATTTGTCGAAATGAATGGTTCCTTTGTGAATAAGGATGTCAATTGGATGCGTATGAGAGAATTGGTGTTTGCCAATTGCGAAGATCACGGCGATTCCGCATAGGATGGTGAACACTATCTGGAGCGAAATATTCGCGCGGTATAGTGACTTTGACTCTTCCTCGGAAATGATGCGTGCAAGAAGAAAGAGGACGGCTCCGGTAGATGATGCAACAACAGTAAGAACGGCCTGAGTCGTCGAGATGAAAGGGAACGGCATTTGTTGAAAGAGCAAGGTCGATGTGGAGGAAAAGTAGATGAATATGAAACCGCCAAAGATCGACAGCCCTAGAACGCCATAATGGGGCAACTGGGAAAAAAAAAAAAAAAAAAAAAGTCAGCTTCCGTGGTTTACAGTATGAAAATAGAGATATCCTCACCATCTGCCACGCCGATGTCAATAAGAACACGATTAGTAGCGCCTCGCCAAGAGCACTGCGTGAGTATTTCACATCCAGGAAGGGCTGGCCGCTGTGTTCAGGACGACTGTTCGTTATGAAATTCGAAATAATGCTCCAGATGAGAGCAATGCCCTAAGTTCGCCGTTAGATATACGTGCCCAAGAGTCCTCGATATCGCCACTTACCAGGAGACCAGCTCCCAGTGACACCAATGCTCGCTTTCTCCGCTTGCCCTCATGCCCAGCTCCGGTATGGCATAAATCGGCGACCCCAATCAAAAGGACTGAGTCTACCAATGTGTTGGTGACCCTGATGATTTGAAGGCGAGCCGCTGCGTTGATGACAATCGGGCACACGTAGGTGGACTGGCTACCAGCCGTGAACGACGCGGCCATGTAGCCAGCTACTGAAAGGAAGGCAGCTGCAATTATACCTCGAACGCGGCTTCGAGTCAGGAAATGGAAGCTTCGTCGGCAGGTCGAGTACGCTAATTGGATAGGCAGTCCTTGGGACCGTTGCAAGGGAACATACTCCTCCCTTGGCTGTGATCGTTGGTTGCGCCAATAGTCGTAAAGCGACACAACGAACGGAATGGCATACTATTTCACAAGAGACACGGTCAGAAATCTTGCTATCGAATCACGGAAGAGCATCCAAGCCTTACAGCATATCCATCAGGCACGCACTCGGAATGAAGAGTGACTCGGCGAAACAACTCTACTCGCAAGCAACAGAGGACCAACAACAGGCCGACCTTCCACCAAAACCGGGACAGCCAGAACGGAGATTGGGGTAGAATAGGCTCATTAAAACCCAGAATTGGAGATGACGCAGTCGAGATTCGCGGCGATGACAGTTCAAATTGGTCGGAGAGCGGAACGGCGGTCCATTTACCTTTTGGCGAGGAGGGTCGAGATGCTGCCGGAACGAATCGGCCCAAACTTATGAAGACTGCTCCTGTGAGGAGGCAGACCAAGACGGCCGTATGGACCGGGCGGTCTTCAGAGTGTGTCAGTTTACGCGCATCCACTAGCTCGGTCGCGACTCACCAAAAGCAAATGTGGCATTATAGGATGCCGCAAGGAAGAAAGAGCTCAAAAAGAAGATCCTAAAGAGAATGCGACCATCAGGAATCGCCTTTTTTCCGCTGGAATGATCTCGCTAGCTGTTGACTTACCCCACACAGACCTTGAGCCCAGTGTCGGCGGAGAGTAGCACCATCGTGCGCCCAAGCTTTAACGTCCTGAATGGATGGTATCGCAGTCCATTGCGCTTCCTCACAAGAGGGTCAAATGTCCGATGGGAGACCGTACCGTGCGCGTGTGCGAGGTCGCAAGAATTGGAGATAACCGGAACATGGCGAAAGGGACAAGGTCCGTTTCGAGTGGAGACCTCAGGGGATTGACATTGGGCTGGATGGACCAGCCACTGAGACGAAGCATGCGGCTAATCAGAGACCAGCATAGCAGGGTTCACTGGTGATCGAGTTGCGTCAACAGTGGGCGCTTTGGATATGCTGGAGTACGAAACCATGGGCCCTGCCTTTGCCTGATGTGGATTCCGGCCAATGAGGCCGGCGGTAATCCAGATAGTATCCACTGCGGCGTCTTCCTTAGCCTAATTCCTCCCTGGCAGGAATGCGTTTTGCCCAACAAGATATGCCGAAAGCGATCAGCGTCCAGAATCAAGAGTTGGCTCCCGCGCGCTCCACTTGGGGCAGTCTGAGTGTCAGAGCGCACGAGATCGGCACAGGCACCACGATCACTTTTTATCTGTCTCAGCGCTTCCCCAGAAGGCTGGCAAAGAGAGCTGTGTAACGTCCGAGCACCCATCACCGCGTCATTCAAGGGAGGTGGAGCAACGTGCTTCTCGAATCGGCGGGTCCAGTTCCCAATTGGGAAAACCATATTGAGACCCTCCCCGAGCGCTGGTCATGTGATGCGATAATGTAATCACCATAGGCGGTGAGACAGTTCCATGGGAAATGGCAGGCGGTGTACGATAGCAGTATGATTTTTTTTCGTTGGCCCATTTTGGAACGCTGGAGATTCGGCGGGATTCTCTTTGATCAGCGACCTTGAATTTACGGCGATTCAATCGAGGACCGGAATTTGCTAGTGCCTGTCTTGCACAGCAATCTCGAATCTTTCCCCTCGACAATTCGACAGCGAGCGTAAAGGCCCGGCGTTACTCGTGGCCAGCTCCCCAACTTCATCATGCCGCGCAAAGCGATTGACTCGCGCATCCCCGCCCTCATTCGAAATGGCGTGCAGGAGAAGAAGCGCAGTTTCTTCGTTGTGGTGGGCGACCGCGCCAAGGATGTCATCGTGCATCTTCACTACATTATGTCCAGCGTGGACGTGAAGCAGAACAAGTCCGTGTTGTGGGCATACAAGAAGGATCTGCTGGGCTTCACGAGTCACCGGAAGAAGCGCGAAGCAAAGATCAAGAAGGAAGTCAAGCGTGGTATCCGCGAGCCGAACCAGGAGGACCCCTTCGAACTATTCATCACCCTCAACCAGATTCGCTATGTGTACTACAAGGAGACGGAGAAGATTTTGGGTAACACCTACGGCATGTGTATTTTGCAGGACTTCGAGGCCATGACTCCGAACCTGTTGGCGCGCACTATCGAGACGGTCGAGGGAGGCGGTATGGTGGTTCTGCTGCTGAAGAGCATGAACAGCTTGAAGCAGCTGTACACCATGTCCATGGATATTCACTCGCGATACCGGACGGAGGCCCACGAAGATGTGGTGGCCCGTTTCAATGAGCGCTTCATCCTGTCTTTGGGAAGCTGTGATTCTTGTTTGGTTGTCGACGATGAGTTGAACGTGCTGCCCATCTCCGGCGGCAAGGATGTCAAGCCGCTTCCTCCCCCGGAATCCACCGATGAGTCAAAGTCCGGCCCCAAGAAGGAGTTAAAGGAAATCAAGGAGAGCTTAGCAGAGGCGCAGCCTATCGGACCGTTGGTGAACCTAGCTCGCACTGTGGACCAGGCAAAGGCTCTTCTGACTTTCGCCGATGCAATTGCGGAGAAAACCCTGAAGAGCACGGTTACTCTGACCGCAGGCCGTGGACGAGGAAAGTCAGCCGCCCTGGGTGTTGCCATTACTGCAGCTATTGCACACGGATACAGCAATATCTTCATCACCTCCCCGAGTCCCGAGAACTTGAAGACACTCTTCGAGTTCGTGTTCAAGGGCTTCGATGCGCTCGGTTACCTCGACCATGTCGACTACACAATCCTGCAGTCGACCAACCCTGACTTCAATAAGGCCATTGTGAGAGTCAACATTCACCGCCAGCACCGTCAAACTATTCAGTACATCCAGCCCCAAGATGCGCACGTCCTGGGACAGGCAGAGCTCTTGGTCATTGATGAGGCGGCCGCTATCCCTCTTCCGCTGGTGCGGAAGCTGTTGGGCCCTTACCTGGTGTTCATGGCATCCACCATCAATGGTTACGAAGGAACCGGTCGATCCTTGTCTTTGAAGCTCATCCAGCAGCTTCGGGAACAGTCTCGAGGTGGTGTAAAGACCGATGACACTGACGTTGCAGACCGCAGCACTGGTAAGGCCGCCAAAAGTACAGACAAGAATCTCGGTGGTCGATCCCTCCGCGAGATCACCCTCGCAGAGCCTATTCGTTATGCCCCTGGTGATTCCGTTGAGAAGTGGTTGAACAAGGTCCTCTGTCTCGATGCCACACTACCCAAGTCTCGCATGAACACCCAGGGTTGCCCGCACCCCTCGAAGTGCCAGCTGCTCCAGGTCAACCGTGACACTCTTTTCTCTTTCCACCCAGTTTCGGAGAAGTTCTTGCAGCAGATGATGGCGCTTTATGTTGCCAGTCACTACAAGAACACTCCTAACGACCTCCAGCTCATGAGCGATGCCCCCGCACACCAGCTTTACGTGCTTGTTCCTCCAATTGACGAAGAGGCCACCAAGCTGCCGGAGCCCCTCTGTGTAATTCAAGTTGCTCTGGAGGGTCGCATCAGCAAACAAAGTGTTCTCAACAGCCTGAGCCGTGGTCAGCGAGCTGGTGGTGACCTGATCCCCTGGCTGGTCAGCCAGCAGTTCCAGGATGAGGACTTTGCCGGTCTCTCGGGCGCTCGAGTCGTCCGCATCGCGACCAATCCTGAGTACGTGGGTATGGGCTACGGTTCGCGTGCTTTGGAGCTTCTGGTCGACTTCTTCGAGGGCAAGTTCACCAGCCTGGATGAGGATATGATTGCTCCCCAGGACGAGATGGTTCGTGTGACAGACGAGGAGCTTACGAACTCGAATCTTCTGGATGACAATGTCCACGTTCGTGACATTCGCACCATGCCTCCGCTGTTCGGTAAATTGACCGAGCGTCGTCCGGATGCCCTCGACTACGTTGGTGTCAGCTATGGCTTGACCCCGCCCCTCCACAAGTTCTGGAAGCGCTCTTTTTTCGTCCCGGTCTACCTTCGTCAGACTCCCAACGAATTGACCGGCGAGCACTCCTGCGTGATGCTTCGCACCCTGGCTGCTGGTTCCAACGATGCCGCCTGGCTGGGCGCTTTCGCACGGGACTTCCACCGCCGATTCCTTTCTTTGCTGTCCTACCAGTTCCGCGAATTCCCCTCGGTTCTTTCTCTGAGCATCTGCGAGTCCGCCAACGCTGGTGCCAAGCTGGATTCGTCCGTTGCGCCGCGCGTCCTCAAGAAGGCCGATCTTGACGCTACATTCTCGCCCTTCGACTTGAAGCGTCTAGACAGCTACGCCAACAACCTGCTGGATTACCACGTTATCCTGGATATGGTTCCCATCATCTCTGAATACTACTTTGCCAACCGTCTCGCTGGCAAGGTGAGCCTCTCTGGTGTCCAGCAGTCCATTCTCCTCGCCATCGGCTCCCAGCGCAAGAGTCTGGACGCCCTGGAGAAGGAGCTGAGCTTGCCATCTTCCCAGCTTCTCGCCATGTTCCTCAAGATCATCCGCAAGGTCTCCACCCACTTCCGTGGCCTTGTCGAGGGTGCCGTGGCGGACACCATGCCTGCAGAGCAGATTCCTTCTGGCCCCTCTGGCGGTGCTCACGATGACGTGACCGAGGACCGCTTCAAGCCTCTTGATACTGGCTTGGAGGAGGAACTTCGCGAGGGAGGCCAACAGGTCGACGAGGAGATGCGCGAGAAGCAGCGCGCCCTGATCGATGCTCTTCCCCTGGACAAGTGAGTGAATCCTCTCGTTCCCATCTCGGATCACTTGAATGAACAATAACTGATTTCTAGCCTCCAGATACGCAATTGACAACGGTTCCGCATCCTGGGAGGATGCTGAGAAACAGATCCGTGGCGGTGGAGCTAACACCGTCAGCGTGAAGACGAAGTCATCGAAGCGCAAGAAGGGTGAGACTGCGCGCGAGATCTTCGACAAGGAGGTCGACTCCAAGAGACAGAAGATGATCAAGAAGGGCACTGAGGGCCGCAAAAAATAGAGTTGTGTTGGATAATCCCGGCGTTGCTTTGCATTTTCTCACGGTGTTTTTGTGGCTTTTTTCTATGTATTCTGAGAGGAGTGTGAGATCTGATACCTAGGTACCTCGCCTCTTGTATATATGAATGACTTGATACGTCTTTTTCTACCGAGCATCTACGTAGGCATGGGTAAAGCGTAGGTTAAGAAATGGGACATTGGATGAGAATTTCTTCATTTCTTAGTGCTGTATAAGATTTTCGTCGCCTTGTCCAACATCACAATCTTTATTCCCGGCAGTGGCAATTATAATACGCGTAAGATGAGGAAGAGGCTGCAATCCAACCGTGAACTCGCCTCGTTAAATCTCTAGGAGCTGTCGGGCGCTTTTAAGCTGTGTAACAGTATCTACAAAAAGACACAGGATATTCATCCAGGCCAGCATCGTGCGAGTAATAATATGTTAATAGTTGTTTATGCGGAAAAGGTCTCACTTCTGTTTTGACGGTAAAATGGCTGTTGATAATGCAATGGCTTTCAAAAACATATGAGCCGAGCTAGACTCCGCACATGTTCGTACATCTTCATACCAATCTTTTACAGTTCATCGTGCTCGGCCTCCTTCGCCTTCTCAGCCGCGCCAACAAGACCCTCGGGCAGCTTCTCCTTCTTTCCCTCGCCGAGACGAATGGCATCCACCCAACGCTCAATAGCGACGGCGGAGTAAACGTCTTGGGCTTCATACCGACGCCACCATCCACGACGGGCATTGACAGCGATGATTTCCACCCCTTGCTTATCCTCCAGGCCCAATGCATTGCGCAGGGTCTGAGAGCCAGAGTTGATCTCCGGGACGGCGTACAGCGGGAAGAGGTGTGTCCCGCGCTGCGCGTGCTTGTGGGCAATCTCTGCCAGACTGGCAAGCGCATCTGTGGCGGCTGCTGGGAGTGCCTCGCCTTGCTCTGGGAGAAGGGCAAGTACACATGTCCCCGACTTTGGTGCCAGGCAAGACGACTCCAGTGACTCTGGGGTTGCAAGGGTAGGGAGTGGGGGCACAGGGATAGGAACCTGAGCTGGCTTGGCTTCTGATTCATCATTTGCGTCCACAATTGGCTCGTCGTCAGGGACAAACGTGGGCTTCGAGGTAGACTTGGAGGATTTGGATTTGGACTTGGACTTGGGCTTGGAGTTCGTAGACGATGCCGCCTTCCCGGAGGCATCAGGGTTCGGGGTCGCGAACTTGCTGAGGAATTCGACCATGGCCTGCTTTTTCAGCTCACCCTCGTACAGCTGGTGCTCCGCACCGCCACCGGGGACAACGACGAGCGTCGGGAACTCAGAGACACCAAACTTCTCCACGGAGGCGAGCTCCTTGTTGCGCACTTGGGCGACATCAACTGCACCGAGGAAGTCGACCGCCAGCGCGCGGATCAAAGGACTGGTCGTGCCCTTCTCTGTAAATAGGATGGCCTTGGGCCGCTCCTCGTTCTGACCCAACCACTTGTCCAAGTCCTTATCCGTTGCACGCTTCACGTGGTTCGGAATGCGGTCCACCACCGCGTCGACGATGGCTTTGGCGGTGCGCGCACCTTGATAGTCCTCCACGCGCGGCTTTCCGGGTTTCTTGGAGGGTGTCACGATCTTCAGGGTCGGGAAGCCCTGCACCCCCATCTGGCCGCAAAAGGGCTTGTTGTCGTCATCGTCGCAGTTGATCGCGGCGACTTTTGCGAGGCCGTTCAGGTTCTGGGCGGCTTTCTCGTATGCGGGCTTCAGACTTTGGCAGTGGCCACACCAAGGCGCGTAGAATCTGGGGAAGCGAAAGTGTCAGTAGGAAGAAGATCGGGGAAACCGTGCGGGGAGAGCTCACTCGACAATCTATACCAGCTATAAGTTAGCCCGCTAGTTCAATCTACAATAGCAAAGCTATAGAGCTTACCGAAGTGTAGTTTGAGTTTGCAATCAGCGAATTGTAGTCCTTTCCAGTGACTTGGAGCACCGGTGACTTTTTCGTGTAGATGCCATCGGCGTTGACGGGTAAAGCTGCTAGCAGCGAAGCAGCGAGCAAGAACGAGCTTGGAGGTAGCATCGTGGTAGACAGTTGTTGGGAGAGCCAAGAGCTCAGAAGAGCATCGCTTTAAAGTAGAAGAAAGAAGCCACCTTAGCTGGGCCAAAAGGAAGATTACGCAAGGTGTCCTGAAGCTCTTGGCATGCGGAGAGAAAAAAGCTTCTCCAATGAGAAGCTTCATCCTTTTGTTATTCGATGCCGAACAGCGATGGCCACCCAGACCCGTCTGGACACCTGTCATGATCTGGCATATCTACCTCGGGACATTTTCTGGCTTCTACTGGGTTACATAGACCCTGTCGATTTAGTCCGTTGCCGACGTGTCTCGCGCGCGTGGAATGAGGCCTTCGGTAACCCGCCGGTGTTGGCCCGAATCTTGAAAATGCGCTTTCCATGGACGAAGGAAGCGCAGGCCATTGAATGGGACAATGAGGACCCCGAAAGCCGGAATGTCTTCGACCAGGTTGTCTCGCGATATGACCATCTGGAAAGAGGAAAGCCCCGCTCCGTACAAAAATACCGCCTGTGCGACGATTTCGGCAGTTCAGGCGACCGTGAATGGTTCCAGGTTCAGCCGTGGGAGTCACACGCGAGCCACATGAGGCAGGTCGTGGACCGCCAATTCTCGGAGGCCCTGTGGACGTACGAGGAAGGGCTGCTGGTATACCCTAGTGCGGATCACCAGAGTTTGGTGCTGATGGACCTGAGCTCTGACCGGCAGTTCATGGTGCCCTTCATTATCCGCGGAAAGGTGGTCCGTAGAGTTCGACTCCAGAAGCGATTACTGGTGGTTGAGTGGGCAGAGCCCAAAGCCTTCCATTGGCTCAACGACAGCGACGGTGTGCATCGCCATTTCGCCTCATCGTTCGATGTGAAGCCCGGAGCTCAGGGTGGATGGAGTGTCATCCCTCGCAATGAATGGAAGATTATGTTCCTGGGTCATCCGCTAAGTGAACGAGACCGTTTCTTCTCCTCGCATAGCAATACGCACTACGTGATCTACATCTGGCAGCCAAACCGCAGCCTATACACGGCAGATGAGGATGCGCCCATTGAGTCTTTGTTTGTGTGGAATATCTCGAAACCATCTTCCTACAGACCATCGCTCGATCCATTTAGCCATCAAAGTGGGCCCGAGGTCGACCAATCTCCCTTTATCATGTCTCGTTTTGGCTTCCGGGATCTCGAATTCTTTTCTGTTCGACAGCGAGGCCTGCCGGCTTTACTAAAGCTCGGCATCACAGATGACTGCCACGCTGTTGAATTTACGGAAATGGCCTGCCTTGGCGACGAGGACGAGATCACGCCTTTCGGTTACCCCCAAACCATCACCACCGTCATACCCCTGCAGGGAAATGGACCCCATGGCAAGCGCTTTGAAGGGATCCTACCTGCTTATCGTGGCAATTGCAATCTGCAAATACCAATTTTGAGAGACTATATGGGCCTGGCAGAGTCTTGGTTTGGCATTCTCACAGAGTTAACCGACGACAATGCCGACTTGAGCTTCAGTCTCCATTTTGATCCAATCAACTGGACCCAAGACCAGACAATATACTTGACCATTGAAACAAGGAAAAGTCAAGTTTCCCATGAGAACCTGGACTTTACCGGCTGCGGGTTGATTTGTGGTGGCGAACACTATCTAGTCGGCGAGAACTGTAACCGTGAGCTGGTGATATATCGATTTGATCGATGAGACGTCAGCCGCAACAAGTCACTTAATTTTCGAATGTTTCCGTGAAGGCGGTCTTGTCTTGCTGTTATGCAGGTTGAGCAAAAGGTTTCTGACCGTCGGAGGCGTCGACATTAGGAGAAAGATAGATCTCCACGATGACGGACTCGGGTTCCACTAACAACAGGCAACTGGCTCCAATGCCCTTATACATCTGCGCGGCTCGCCAAAGTATTACTGACTCGATACACACGAAGGACCATGAGCATTTCCCTATCATGAAAATGATACCATACTTGCCAGAAGATATTAGATACCTTGACAAATGAACTTCATACCCAATAACCATCAACCTTCATTTTCAGTCGTAAATGTGGCCTGGGGCATAATTTCTACCGAAAACCTGATAGAACCCCTACACAGCTCTACAGCCTAGGAAAATTGAGTTCAAACACTGGAAACCCTTGAAAAAAGATTCAAAAAATAACAGATAAACGCATAACGTAGCTCTTGGATGGCATTTTAACCCCTTCCACAAAAGAGAGGAGATCAAAACTTTGTCGAGCTCTTGCTAGGCCGATGATAAATCAGAAAGGATAAAGAGAACTAAAATAGTAAGGATTCCGTAAGAGCATTTTCAACGTCTCAACCTGCCATGGCCATTCGATCAGGTCGCAAGGCTATTTACCCACTATGCAGCATTCTGGAATTTACACCCAACACATGCCATTGCACCACAGCCCGAGCAGGTTAGGACGTAGAGGGGTCTCCAGAGACGGCAAATCTTACACTCGGCATGATCAAGATGCTTCACCCACAGACCGAGGTGGTAGCACTTCTCCGTATCGTTCGGGGTAGTCGTTGGTGTATCTTTCGGGCATGAGGAACGCTGATTCCCGAGCCATCTAGCATAGGCCTCCAAGACAAGACCCTTGATCTCTTTGTGGAGATCATCAAATGTATAGGAACCGCTTGGATCCTTCAATTTGGCCTGGAAGAATGGAATGAAAGGGTGAATTGTATTGTAGACACCAGAGCGTTCATGGGGCAGTAGAACTCCGTCATCAGAGTCCTCGTCCGTCAGGCTGGCCGAGTCATCTTGTTGAGCAGACTGCGGAGACTCGGTGAATTTAGAATAAATTGTGTCGTCATTAGAAGACCGGATCTTGTCATCAGACAGGTGCAGCCCTCCATCCTCAGAAATTCCATCGTATGAGGGGGTAGACCAGGAGGGAACATGGCATTTATCGGACAGGCGGACTTCTCCGTCCACGAAGTTGTCATCGTATGTAGGCGAAGAACAGGAGTGAATGTGACACTTGCAGTCAGAGCCATGGGGAAAGGCCGCATCGCTTTTGTGCTTCTTAACCTCGTCGATATCGGAGACTGGATCACCGTGGTCAAACCCCTCGAGCCCGGTCGACAAGGCATCTTTCAGGCCATATTCCTCATTCTCCATCTCTGCTGCTTCATCGCCCACAACACGAGCTTCCATTCCCATCATACATCTCTCAAAGACTTCTTTCTGCGCCTCGGGATTGGTTCCAGCACATTCGCCGGCCCACCGGTCTATGTCGGCAGGCTGCAATGGAGGTTCAGCATCTGGAGGCTCGACATTTGTCACTTCGATCTTTGGAACCACAATATCCGGCACCTCAAAGTTTGACTCTTTGAACCGCAGAGGCACGATAGGTCGCTTGGAGAATGCTGGCTTCAGGATGTCCGAAGCATGATGAGCGTAGTTCGACTCTAGATCATAGCTCATTCCACCTTGCCTGTAACCGTTCAAATATGCCTCCCAGTGATCATTTTACTTTTTACAAGGCTTCTCAGGAGACTTCTCGCGAGGTTTTCCAGTCCGGTTGGTCTCATTTCGACGGCATGTCCAGTACTCATTATCCTGGGGAGTAGGCCACCTACGGCTCGGCCTGGCTCCGAATAAGTCGTAAAGTTTCTGAAGACGTGGGTCGTTTCCAAATGGTCTATCCAGAAGCTCGTCATGCTTTCGACGGCGGCCTTCGTCACGGAGCACATCTACTGCCTCTGAAGCCTGTATGTAGGTGGTCAGTTCATCCTCTTTCTGTCTGCCTTAATAACAAATTGGGCCATCAAAGAGGCCAAGCATCACTCACATTGCGAAACTGCTCAATTAATTCCTCATTATTACCACATTTGTCAGGGTGAAGCTTCAGTGCAAGCTTTTTAAAAGCGGCATTGATTTCCTGTTTGGATGCATCACGAGCCACGCCCAGCACAACGTAGTAGTTGACAGACGAGTTAGCTGGCATCTTGACTGTCCAGGAAAGTAGGTATTGAGTCACGGTCTGTGCTGTAAAATAGCACATAGAGTCAATAACCTGCAAAAGAGAACGAGGAACAAGCCCTCCGAGTGATAGAGAGATGTATAGCATGGGGTTGGAAAAAATACCTTATAAGAAAGGACCCTGACCCAGCTCAGCATGACCAGTACTACGTCCAGTGTGCGCAATCAACGTGTGGAGCAGAGTGTTGGTATGTTCGATGTAAGTGACGACCTTGCGTGAATGGATGCGAGAGCGAGGGGTGTTTGAGAGCTTCACTAAACGGGCAATGTCCTAAAAGACAACCAAGGTCGAGACAGGAAGCAAAACTAAGAGAGATCCAAAACGTGGACGAAGATGGCGGTCAAGGACGGATAGCGAGAATATTCCTAGACGTGGAAGCTACGAAGCGGCTGAATACGGTTGCCAGTAGCTACAGCCAGTCCCAAGGCCTCACTGGGCCTTTCAACCAGTAGTAGCAACGGGCGATGACCGTGACAACCGGCTCTATCAAGTACAAATGAAATCTGAATGGATTGACACTGATTTTACATAAACAGAGAGTCGATCTAAATATCAACAAGTCTACACTGAAGGTGACTTCGTCATGTAGATGTAAAGCCCAAGGAAGGCTTTTACATATCCTCGGAGGCGGTGGCACCGGTGATAATCTCGACCAGCTCACCGGTAATGGCGGCTTGACGCTGACGGTTGTAGAGAATCTGGAACCTGTCGGGCTGTTAGATCGGCACTGTCTCGGAAATTTTGGGTTTGAAACATACTTGTTGATCATCTCACCAGCGTTCTTGGAGGCGTTCTCCATGGCGTTGCGACGAGCAGAAATCTCGCAGGCGTGGCCCTCAGCCATCGCCCAGAAGAGGTTGTTGGCAAGAGAGTACTCGCGGAGGCTAGCCAGAGCCTCGTCGTCAATCTCGAAAGCGGAGATGTTGGCTAGTGGACAGTCAGTATCAGTGGACAGAAGTCGCCATAGAGAAATAACCTACCAGACTGGGTAATAGCCTCCTCGGAGTAGGCCTCAAGGGTGGTGGCCTCGTAGCTCTGAGCGTTGATGAACGAGTTGTAGATGACCTTGACGCTGCTGTAGTCGGTGGGCAGCAGTGAGATCTGGTCGGCAACAGCCTGGGCGTCGGCAAAGGTGGGGATGTCCTTGCAGACGTTGGCGAAGCTCAGGAGGATCTTGTCGGAGGCGAAACGGGAGAGCTGGGCCTTGGCCTTCTCGCCGAGGATGACGATATCGGCGTTGGGGTATTCGGCCAGGAGACGGCGAGTGGCCTTAGTCAGACCGGAGTGAATACCACCGCAAAGACCCTTGTCGGAGCTAGCAACGACGAAAAGGGTCTTCGAGTCCTCCAGAGGCTTGGTCTCGGCCTGCTCGAAGACGGTGTTGGAAGTCTTACCGTAGGCGCGAGACTCGTCCATGGCCTTCTGAGCGCGGGTCAGACGAGTGGAGGCGACGATCTTCATGGTGTTGGTAATCTTCTCGATGTTCTTGATGGACTTGAGGCGGCCCTCAATCTCACGCAGAGTCGCGAAGTTGGCGGCATTGGGAGGAGCAGTGCTTAGTTTGGAGTCAGTAATCGATCGAACTTCCTTCAATTTCGCTTTTTCGATTCATTCGGGGGGCGCAGTTGGCCGTGATGACAGTGGTGGTGGTCGACAGATGTCGGGGTGAAGAACCGGCCACGAGCGGGCATCGGAAGGAGACTTACCGGGTGACGGCAGCACTGCCGGCTCGGACAGCCGGGCGAACGGCACGGGAGAACATTGCGATGGAGGTGGCGAGAGGATAGACGGCAGATTAGGACTGCGGAGGAGAAGGAGGGGAGAGCAGGTCAGGGTGCAGAAGCCTCTCTTTGCTGGTTGCTAGACGGTCGGGAAGTGCGAAGTTCAACCTCCTGGGCTCCCGTGCGGCGCTAAACCCGAAGTGGCAGGCATCTACGGCGCGGCATTCCGGCTTCCGGCGCATTTCGCTGCCTGGGAAGACAGGCATGCATCAGCAAGAGTTGACTAGTTAACTAGCTACTTATAGGTATATAATTTTTACTGCTACTCTGAGCTACGAGGACTCTTCGCGTGTATATATAGAGTGACCTTCGTTGCCGAAAGACTAAAAGCTGTGAAAGAAATGTTGACTGGCAAGCCTGCTGCTTATGTCACCGCCTAGGTCGTCTATGGCTGCCTGAGTTTCCGGGAAATAGAGCAACAAAGCACTAACCAATTCGGGTCTAGTTATGTAATTTGTTGCCTCAGGCCAACAGCCCGTGAGTTCAAGGCCTCGCTTTCCATTCCATTCCCTCTTTTCCCCCATACTCAACCTCTTTTCCTCTCGTTCTCGGGTCTTTCATCCCTCTCTTTCCCACCCGAGTACCTCCTCCCCCTCACACATCTTTCTCCCCGCGCATCATTGATGTCTCGTCTTCTTTCTTGACCTCTACACTCTCTTCATTGGTCAGGATTCCCTTGACTTTCTCATTCTATCAGGCGGCTCGTCTTGCCCGAACCCGCGCACGAGTGCCCTTCCCTGTGATCAACACTCGGTTCTTTCACTCTCGCCCAGTTCACCTACTCTCAGGTCTTCGAACCACCACCATGAGCTCTTCCGAGGAAGATGTTCCCCTCGTGCGCGCAAATGGCCGCGCCAATCGTAAGTCTCCCCCGGGTGACTCGGCTGGCATATGTACCCCCTCGGCTCTTATTCTCTTTCGAGGACACCTTTTATTGAATCTTCCCTTCTGTCACTTCTCTTGTCATTTCCTTCCTTCGTCTCTTTCTCGGACTTGCTAACATGCGACCATCTGCGCTTCTAGCTACTCCACCCTTGGTTAAGTCGAACGGAAAGTCCCCAATAAACGGTGATCTTGACCCCGGCGTGTCCGTACGGTTCGGCGCCGTGCAAGACGACGACGTGAAGATGGGGGATGCACATGGGGATGCACATAGCGTGAGCAAGCGCAAGTCCCGGGCCAGTATCGACCAGAAGAAGTCATATGCGGAGCAGGAAAGCAGTGATGAGGATGATCAACCATTGGTACGCCCCGTTTAGCCCTGATACGGCCCTATTTTTGCGGCCCTACGTTTTCCCTTGCGACAGTAGTCGCAGTTGGTTTCAGCGACTGACCATTCGACAGAGCAAACGCCGACGAACTTCGGTAAAGCACGAGGATCCCGAAACCGACGACGACGTTCCCTTGGCCCTTAACGGACGGAAGCTCCCAAAGGCCTCGGAAACAGCCATTGGGGAGGAGTCTGACTCCGACGTTCCGATTGAGAGGAAGCTTTCTGCCCAAAAGAAAAAGATTGAGGCCAAGGCCAAGGCGGATGCTCCAGCTGCGCGCAAAGCAGCAGCTTCGAAGAAGGAAGCCAAGTCTGCCACGACCAAGAAGCAAACCAATGGCGTCAAGAAGGAACAGGTTGGCGACAAATCTGCCCTCAAGAAGGCGAAGGCCGTCCCGGATACCCTGAAGAAGGGCACGAGCAAGGTCAAAGCCGAGAGTGCGGATGTCGACGAGAAAGACGAGGATGAGGAAGAATATCGGTGGTGGGATGATCCGACGAAGGGCGACGGGACCAAGAAGTGGATGACCCTGGAGCACAATGGTGTGGTCTTCCCTCCGCCATATGAACCTCTCCCCAAGAACGTCAAGTTGAAGTATGATGGTGTTCCCGTTACACTGCACCCGGAGGCTGAAGAGGTTGCTGGATTCTTCGGCAGCATGCTCAACTCGACTCACAACGTGGAAAACCCTGTTTTCCAAAAGAACTTCTTCGCCGATTTCAAGGACATCCTCAAGAAAACTGGTGGTGCTAAGGACGCGCAGGGAAACAAAATCGAAATCAAGGAGTTTGCCAAGTGTGATTTCAAGCCCATCTTCGAATTCTACGATGCGCAGCGTGAAGAGAAGCGAAATCTACCTGCGGCCGAGAAGAAGGCTATCAAGGCCAAAAAGGACGAAGATGAAGCTCCTTACCAGTTCTGCATGTGGGATGGCCGCAAGCAGAAAGTGGGCAACTTCCGTGTTGAACCCCCCTCCCTATTCCGAGGCCGTGGCGAGCACCCAAAGACTGGTCATGTCAAAACTCGGGTGCAGCCAGAACAGATCACCATCAACATCGGAAAAGAGGCTACAGTGCCGCCCCCTCCCCCTGGCCATAACTGGAAGGAGGTCAAGCATGACCAGGAAGGCACTTGGCTTGCCATGTGGCAGGAAAATATCAACGGCAACTATAAATATGTTATGCTTGCTGCGAATTCCGATGTCAAGGGGCAGAGTGACTTCAAGAAGTTCGAGAAGGCCCGAGAGCTCAAGAAATACATCGATAAGATTCGGAAGGATTACCAGAAGAACCTCAAGAATGATCTGATGGTGGAGCGTCAGAAGGCGACAGCTGTGTATCTCATTGATCAGTTCGCCCTGCGTGCTGGTAATGAGAAAGGTGAGGACGAGGCCGAGACTGTCGGCTGCTGCTCGCTGAAGTATGAGAACATTTCTCTCAAGCCGCCAAGCACGGTCGTCTTCGATTTCTTGGGAAAAGATTCCATCCGGTTCTACGATGAGGTCCAGGTTGACCCTCAGGTTTTCAAGAATTTGAAAATTTTCAAGAAGGCCCCCAAGAAAAACGGTGATGAGGTGTTCGATCGGCTGACGGTAAGCGGCAATCCTCTGTTTGGGTCATTGACGTTTTTCACTGACATTGATAGACCTCTGCCCTCAACAAGCATTTGCAAAACTACATGCCGGGTCTGACCGCCAAGGTTTTCCGTACCTACAACGCCTCTTTCACCATGAGCAACTTGCTCCAGGAGATGAAGGCGACGGGCACCATTCCAGAAAAGGTCAAGGCCTATAATGATGCGAACCGCAGGGTTGCCATCTTGTGTAATCATAAGCGGACAGTCACGGCGGGTCATGCCAATGCGATGGAGAAGATGAGCGAACGGGTAAGTTCGGCTGAAAGCTCGGGTTTTTACAGTACTAACAGGATTTGCCTCCAATAGATCAAGGGTCTTCGGTACCAAAAGTGGCGGTTGAAGATGCAGATGCTTGATCTCGAGCCCAACCTCAAGAAGAAGAAGGGCGCTGCATTCTTCGAACGGGACGAGGATCTTGACATGGAATGGATCAAGGAACACCAGACCTTCTTGATCGAGGAGCAGACCCAGAAGATCAAGAAGAAGTTCGAGAAAGATAATGAGAAGCGGGTTGCCGACGGCGAGAAGGAGATGAAGGTTTCTGAGTTGAACGAGCGCCTGGAAGTTGTCAAAGAGATGGAAAAGAAGTTCACCAAGGAAAACAAGTCCGGCAAGGTGGAGGCTGAGGGCCGAGGCCCAACAGTCGAGAAGCTCGAGGCTAACATCACCAAGCTGGACCATCGCATTGACACGATGTCTGTCCAAGCCCAAGATAAAGAGGACAACAAGGAGGTCGCCCTGGGCACATCGAAGATCGTGAGTGATTCCCGCCATATACAAATCCGACCCCATCAGCTAACATATCCCAGAACTACATTGATCCTCGCCTCACGGTCGTCTTCAGCAAGAAATTTAACGTACCCATTGAGAAGTTCTTCTCCAAGGCACTGCGCGAGAAGTTCGAGTGGGCCATCAAGTCTGTCGACGAGGACTGGGAGTTCTAAACAACCAGCTCTCTGATGTTTGCAGCTCTACTTCACACTATATCTTGCTTTGTCGTTTTTCTCTTTTTGAACAGTGGAGAGGTGGCGTCCCGCGTTTTACCCTTTCCTATCTACAAGCATGAGATTGGGTGGATCCCAATCTCAATTTTCTTCTCAGGTGATGCGCCCAATTGGACCCGCATCGGATGCTATACGATAAGTGGCACGGTATATGCCTCGGTGGAACGGATCGACGAAAACACACAAAACCCCATACAAAAAAAAGACCAGAAAAGACGCATCACATTGCATTGCAGCTTGGTGACATTTGACCTGCATCGCGACTTCATTCGCCTTTCCTTGCATCGGTATTGACTTGGGTCCGCTGGTCAGTACGTAGAATTCTATAAAGGAAGATCTAGGATCGCAATGTATTTCTACCTTTGTCTGAAATTCTCCTATTAGACCTCGGGATTTGTGTAAAAAATCCAAAGTCCGCGTCTAGTTCCCTCAACTGAATGAGCGGACTTTTTGTCGGACCCGACCTGCGCGAAATGCATACATCGTCATCGTGCATGGCCAGTGGGGCCGTCTCGAACCAAGGAAATATGCCCGTGTTTTTCTCCACTTCTACAATACGACGCCAACCATGAGTTAGTCAAATTCGAAACTCTAAACTACTCCGTGCAGCACGTGGCCAAGCTGTCATGTTCGGGTTTAGGAATTGAGTTGTAGAATGTATTGATATGGAGGGCTCAATATGCAAATGATGTGTGGAACGAATGGTGAGACCGTGAGATGGGCAAAAATGAAAAGGCCAAGATATATGCATGAAGAATAATCAAAAGTCCCGACCAGTAGAGAGGTATTACAGTACAATCATCCAGGGTGCTGGACTGCCCGGCCCAGAGCATTGACGGATGGGGGAGAGTGTGAGGTCTGGTATCTGGTATCTGGTGGGAACGTGGTAGAAGGTGAAAAGTGTATAGCGAGGCGGGAATCATCAAGGGGTCGTGTCGGAGGGACGAAGCAATGCTTTCTTTGCGGACACAATGCGATGCGATGCGATAAACCGATCCAAGGAGACCGAAAACAATCATGTGAGAAGAAAGGAAGGGGTATTTTGTCGGGCTCCGCTCAGGGCCACCAGCCCATGCGCTTGTAACTCTCGACCATCTCGCGGATGCTGTCGGCATTAAGGTGCTCGTACTTGGGCTTCCATCCCGTCGTCCTCTCGAAGAGCGAGCCGTCGATCGACATGTCCTGGTCTTTGAGCACGTCAAGCTCCACGAACGGGCCAATCGGGCCGGGCCGCTCGATGTTGCTCTTCTCGACCAGCTCCGCCCACGTCTGCAGGCTGACCTCGTTCATATCGTCGACGACGTCGTCCAAGTTCATCTTGGCAAGTTGAGAGACGAGAGTACCAGTGAAGGTGACCTTGAGACCAAAGACCTCGGACAGGGCTTTGGCGACGTGTTCTTGCCTTGTGTCGTTGTGGTCGACCACGTTAAAGGCAATGTGCATTTTCGGGTCTATGGCCATATCTGACACATAAGTGTCACCCTTTTCCAGCTTTCCCCTACCGGCGCGCCACTCGGCCGCAGTCCACAGCGCGCTGGCAGCGTCCTTGACGTGCAGAGTGTTCACCTTGACCTCCTTGGTGTAGAGAAGTTCGAGGTCCTGCTTCAGCTCAAGGTGCACGCGTGCCAGGCAGATACCCATGGCGAAGTAACCAGGGTTATATTCGCCGTAGACGTGGGGTAGGCGGAGCGCACAGTACTGGAGATCGGGGATGGTATGCAGCTCGTCCGCGGCCTTCAGCTTCCACTTGGCCAACTTGTGCCACGGCTGGAGCTTATCATTTTCCTTGCGCGGCGAGGAGCCGCTCTTGTAAACGTGCGCGGTCGAGCATTCGATATAGGCCGGAATGCCGCGCTTGGCGACTTCCTTGCCGAGGGTGATGCTGAGTCCGCAGCTGCGCGCTTCGTAGACGTCGTCGGGCTGGGAGTGCCGTGTTTCGCCGCCGCAGTTGATCACGTAGTCGAATTGTTCGCCATTGGCTCGGTCGAAAATGCGCGGGAGATGCTCTGCAAAAAATGAGTCACTAGTCTGAGTGGCTGTCCATCAAGCGCCGGGCAAAATGGGCGCCACTTACGTTCGCGGCTGGCGTCCGCTTGGACGAATTTCTCCTTGGAGCAGGCTTCTTGGAACTCGGGGGCCAGCCAAGCTAGTTGCGGCAGGACCTTGTCGACCAAACGGACGTCAGAGGCAAGGTTGTTCTCGTGGATGTAGAGAGCCAGATGGCGGCCGATAAAGCCTTGGGGAGGGTTAGCGGGACCGGCAAAAACGGAATAAAAGGGGGACGCACCAAGGCCGCCGATAATGAGAACGGCAGGTTTTTTGTCGGCCATCATGAAAAACAAAAGCAATTGCCCCGCGGACACAAGCGAAGAGGGGACGGAGAGATTATAAAAGGGGTGTGAAGAGGGGAACGTTAGGAAAGGGCAGAGGCGGGCGAACAATAATGGGTCTCCACACTACGGGAGTAGAAAATTCGGGAAGATCACTGCGAATTCCTCCAAACTTCCCTCCCGGGGAGCAGGCGCCCCTTAACGACGCCGTTGATCTATAGTCGCTCGGGCTAAGGGGATTACAGTGGGCTCCGGTGGACTACAGTGGACTACAGTGGACACCACAGTGGAGCCGCGGCGAAACAACTCGTTGCCCGTGTGTCCATGGTTCCGGGTTTCCATTCGATCTGGGGTTCTTTAACTACATAGCAACCGAGGAAATGACCTTCTTCAGACCTCGGGCTTCAGGGTCACGCCGATCTCAAACTCGATCATGGTCAATTCACCATCATCCTTCGCTTTCCACGCACAAAAGACTCGATGGTCAAGCGCTTGCAGATCCGGCTTTCCTCGGCGAATTAGAAAGCTAACTCCGGACCAGTGCAAACGGACCACCGCGTACCGTCGTGACAGGCTGGGCATCTCGTTGTAAAGCTGGCGCGAAGCTTCGTCGCCGAACTTCTCTTCCATCTTATCGAGGAAGTCGTCCGAGTCACGGTAGAACTCGAAAGGTATGCACACGGGCTCTCGAGGGCTGGGGCTTTCCGATGAGGTCACCAAGAAGTAGGTGGCCAGCATGTTCGATCCGGGAAGCTTTCGCTGGCGCTGGATGACGTCCATAGTTGAAGGCGCTATTCATTAGTTAGCGATGGTCACATACTTGAGATGCTCCGTTTTACCATCGTTCAGGCAAAGCCCTACTAAGGCGCTCGGACGACCAGGCTTGGCCGGCGGATGTTTAGCAGTCATATCCATCATAACAGGCCGAGGGGCCAGAGCTTCAGTCATAGCACGCCGAGGGGCCATCAGACTTCCTTCCGTTCCTTCATGGGGAGTCAATGACCCTTTCATGGCCTCGGTACTCGAAATCGTCGGAGAAACACGCGTGTTGACATGGTTGACATTGAGACTAGTCTCAACGGCGTTATTGCCAGTGACAGGACCAGCGGCGTTTGACTCGTCCGGGTGAGAGCCGGTTACCTGAATACAATCAACAAAATTAAACCACAAAGGTGAATTCAGCAGAACCGTCAAATTGGGGAAGCTCACATCCTGCGCAACGGAAGCGCGTCGAGTCTTGGATGATTTCTCGAGGAGCAATACCAGAGCACTGGTCATGCTATGACCCATTATTAGCGATTGATTTGATACTTGCTCCTCTGAAGCAGACAAATAACTCACGGTTTCTTGTCTTGGGGAAATCTGCAAGCATCATTCCCGTCGAGACGATCTTCAATCAGATTCTTTTCTCGGTTTTCTTCTCCCCAATACTTGATTCCATATTCATCAAGAAACTCCATAGCGCACAGGCGACGTTGAGTCTCGTTATTCCGGAGATCGGCCCAAGAGTAGACGGACTGAACGTGGGTATTGAGCTGCCCACGGAGTTTATCCCAGGGCCCGGTTTTCATGTCAAAGAAGAGTCTGAATTCATCAAGCTTGCTCTTGCTGGAGAGCTCAGCTACCAAGTCTGCCAAAGCTGAGGGAGTCTGCTGGATCCCTTTGCCACTAGTCTGCATGCGTGCACTGGGGATGCTTGGTGGTGCCATCGCTCAATAATCTGGATTTAACGAAGCTGAAACAATAATTCAAGGGTGATAGATTAATCAGGTGCCAATTTGACCAGAAGAACAATGAAGGTGATAAAAGTTGAAAGTGGTGAGGATAAAAGAGAATGGAAAAGTAAAGGAAGGGTTGAGGGGAAGGTTGGGCGCAGGGTCGAGAAGTGAGAGAAGTGAGATGGACATCACTCACGACGATGAGCAAGTTTGTATCTACACTAAGAGGACAGGATACCCTCAGGCCTTATGAAGCGCCCTGCAACACATTTGGATAGGCTAAAGGATAAAACGTTTGACTGCGAGATTAAGACATGGTATACGCGGATTCAGAGCTGATACTACGCGGAAAAAGTAACTAAACATCGATACAATCACTCTGCGCCGAGGTATCTCAGAGAGTTTTTCAGCTCCTTAATAGCTGTATCAACATCGTCAAAGGTCAGGGCTGATACCGCCCACCGAGCATGTTTTTGCGCCAGAGTGATAGAGTTATCATCCACGCCATGCGAGGGCTGGCTCGGTGCAGCAGGTGGAGGAGCAATAGGAGCACGGGCAGGTGAAGCTGCGGGAGGTGGGATGTAGGCACTGGCACTAGTTGGATCGTAGAATGAAGCTGGGTTCGACGCTGGCACTGACGGACTCGCGGCCGGCGGTGGGAAGGACTGGAAGCTATTGGAAGGCTTTGAGGTGTGAGGTGCGTGGAATCCAGGCGTATCTGGTAGATTGGGGACTCCGCTCGACCCTCCAATGGTGCTCGGTGTCGAAGGCAGCTCCAGGCCACCCGAATGCTGGTCATCAATATCCATTCGTCCAGGAGAACCAGGCGCATTCTGCGGAACAGAGGGAATCTCCGGGGTCGAGGAAGCAGGCGGTCTTGGAAGTGAAGATGCGCGAGACGGGTGAAGAGACTCGTCGAGAGATGACTGACGGGCCATCTGTCGGCCTATGCGATCGGCTTCGTCTTGAATCTCCTCGACGGACGCCTGTCTTGGCTTGGATGCTTGCTCCGCCACGGATTCATCGAACGCTTGGATATCTGGATCGGCGACCTGGGCTTCCTCTTCCTCCTTTGGTGCGGGATTCGTCGCATTAGGATCCTCTCCGGCTTTGATTGCCTTCACAATTCGAACAGCATGGTATTTGGCGAACTTGATCCTTCCAGCAATCTCGGGGTCGATGTCGCCCCAGATCTGACATAGCTCGAGAAATGTAGCTGCTGCTTGGAAGGTGTCTGCTGTTTGCCTGCAAAAAAAAGAAAATCAGTCACGATGGCTTGATAACTACCCAACATGAATGCTCACTTAGTGACCTTGTTGGCTGTCATAGCCGCCTCGGCGCGACCGAACACCTCCAGTCCAAATTGCTCAACATAGGCACTTGCCGCGACGTTATCCGTTACTGTCTCGTTGTCGGGGTTCTCGGTTTTGAACTGTTTCCGTCGATGTCAGTCGAGCCCTTGAGGCCACGCGGAAGCGGAGTGGAGTTGCGACGAACCTGCTCCAGCCTATCAACCAGGTTAGTCGTGTAGAGCTTGATCTCGTCATCCGAGCTGTGAAGCCCTCTCTCGATTATCTGGTTCACGATATGGAAATTGCCTGTCGCATTGGCTGATCAGCTCCCATGTCCTAGTGCGGGGGATTGCGCACACTCACACCAGTAGGCCACCACCGGTTTCGCTTTTTCTATTTGCGCTGCACGTAGGGCGAAGCGCCCAATGTCGGCCGTTCTTAGCCCTGCGGGAATGCTGCTTGCCATATTCGAGTAGCTGAGGGTGTTTGGGGAGGAGACCTTTGGCAGATGACGTTTGGAGCTCGGTGCGATTCCACCGCCCGTGAGGGGAACGATAAAGGCCGCCTTATCTACAACTGCCGGTGATTGTAGCCTGAGGATTGTACTCATATTTCATCACTTAAATAGTTATTGTATTCGCTAGATGATGCAAAATGGGTCGCTCTTATACGTCTTCAATAATCCATTCCCCAATCTCCACCCGCTCCTCTGCCAGGGCCTCGACCTCGAAATGGTCTTCTACTTGTCCTCCAGGACCTCCGATGCGCTCAATAACAATCCAAATTTGGCCCCGCGAGTCCAGACTCGGTGACAAGTCGAAATCATCCACTCGAACTCCCGATGGAGAATCACAATGAGATCCGTCTTCCGAGACGGCGAGAGTCTTCTTATACGGTCCCTGTCCCAACTCCACAGTCATCAACACGGGCGACGAAGCTACTGATCGAGAGCCGATCATAGAGGATTTGTTCCGGGCAATGAGCTTTATGCGGGTCAGGCGAGATATTTGTAAAGGCGCCAACATTCGGTCTTTTCCGGGTGGCAGAATACCCACTCCAGACAGTGTGACTCGACGGCCTGCCGACTCGGAAGCTAATGGCTGCACCACGCACGGGATCTTGGATGAGATCCAGAGCGTGAAACGCCCAAGTTGATCCGGTGCAAATGTGGAGCAGACAATAGTGTACGTCCCCCTGTCGAGAGATCGTGTCTCTGCCAGAGCACATCCACGACGATAATCGCCGCTGTCTGCGATGATATCTCTGCTTCGAACTCTGGCGATTCGTTGACCGGTAGACCAGAAGAGCTTCACATGGGTTGCAAGCTCGGCTTCTGTGGATTCAAGTAAAATAGCAACGTCGGTTGTTTCAGAAACCTGAAGGCTGAATTGTGGATTGGAGGAATAGCGGGCTGACTCGGCGTTGCCGCCGGCGGTCAAGGCTGTCCAGGAGCCACTTGCTTTGTTCAAACACAAGTACTTGTCGAGCGAAGGGGCAAGTGAGACAGGAGAAGTCGAGAAGGCGGAGAGGGTGAAGTTTTGACTGGACGGTGGGAGAGATTGTTCCGAGATCACGGCCGTGTAGGTTGTCCGGGGGGCATCTCAAGTCTCATGAGAGTGTTAGGGGAGTCCACGTACGGTCCACGATGGAGGGCGCCATCACTCAAGGAGACTCGTTTGCCGTCCGCTTGGAATATGTAGATGCTGATGAATCCGAGCTCTCCGCCTTCTGGGCCATGATTCTTCAAGTAATAATGGTGATCCGTCTTAAAGTGCTTACCCAGCAACAGCCAGACCGTACCTCCCGACTCACTGTAAACAGAGAACTGCGGGTTCTTGACAAAGCACCCAGCAAGAACGCGCCCGTGAGACAAATCCCATGTGAAATGAACATCCTCTCGATACTTAAACAGCCCGGGGTTCCAATTGAGATAGAGATGTTGGAAGTTCTGCAAGACCTGTTCACAATCCATCCAAAAAGTCCCTGGCGAAAGAGACGGTGCGTCGGCCTTATGCCCACTGACGCGGTTCTGCATGATTTTGGGCTCTGCGCCAGCCCAGGGATTCTTTAGGAGGCATTGGCGACGTCCGTCGACCTCCTTCAGATCCAGAATCGCGTAGTCGTGCTCACTCACCAAGCCCAGACCTTGTTGTTCGAGCTCGGTTAACTTGCCGGTTCCAATCGTTAGAACCACATCGCCATATGAGAAGGCTCTGAATATCCGCCCCCAAATCTCGTCGGATGTGGCATCCTCATTATGTAGGAACACTTGCTCGGGAATCCAGCCAGTGAGCACCCATAGGTCAGTCCCCGAGTTGCTTCCCGGGAAGTCATAGCCGCCGCGAACTTTCAGGTAGGCCTTCTCGACTAGAGCAGGCCATAGAAAGTTGGGATTATTCCGGTCAATCACATGAAGTGAACGGGTTGTCCTGGAAGACGGCAGCCGGTCGTCTATAACCACTTTCCGAAAGCATCCGTTGAAATAGAAAGAGAAAATGTATTTCCCTGAGGGCGATAGAGTCGGTTCTTCGGTACTACCCTCACAAGGGTACATTACCGGCGAGGCGTGCTGCTCGGGTTAGTTTCGATCGCACCTAATCCGCGGGCGGAAGCAGGACAATGTTTCGGGCCATACCTTTCCCAGACCACGTTCTGATCTTGAGGTCGTCGCACAAAGGCTAGCAACTACCGAGCAGTCGGTCAACACATCTTGCACAAGATCGGTTGACCCGGTCACCGAGACAAATGCCTCAACATCTGGGGCCTGGTCCAATTTTCTTGCCCGCAGCAAGTCAGAGGGGCGTCTCCATCCCGCAAAGATATCACGCTGGCATTCAGATATGCGCAGATCTGGCGCATCCCTAAAACCAGTTAGAATGGTTGTATGGGTTGATCGTCGCCACTATATGAATGCAACACATACGTGAAAGGATCGCCGTCGCCGGTGACGAACTCCGATGGAAGCGGTGCGCGATCCCACGGGGGAAAAATGAAGCCGTTTAATTTGGCTCCCTCGAGGATGATGATCTCCTCACGGGTGGTGAGCTTCCGCTTGGATGTGGGGGGCCGCAAGCTGGGAACTGTTTGCCGAGCAACCGATTGCCAGTCGGCAGCAGCCTTGATCTTCTCGGCTCGGGTCAAGAGTTCCTTGCACTTGGAATCGAGTTCTTTCTTGTCATCTGCAGGTGCCAGGCGCAAGGCTCTCATATAGTGTTCGGTCGCATCGATGGCGGCATCCAGAGCCGCTTTCTGGGAGGTCGCGGTGGCTATGGCCCCCTCGGCTTGCTAACTGCCGGTCAGCTCACCGATAATCCGGCATTGATGGATCGGTATCGACGCATACCAGTGCTTTAGAAATGTTCGACTGTGGCCCGTGGGGTCTAGACATGGCGCGCTTGTTTCTAACGATCGCGTAGACCAGTGAAAGTTGACTACGGGATGTGGTTGGAGCCGACACGCCCCGCAAAAGAAAGCCCTGCGTTCATCTACTTCTGAGACCACACGCCGAATTGAACTCGGATTAGCTATAGCTTCTCGGGATAGACAAAATCAGCCAATTGTACCATATCCTCCGACCATTACCCTTCTCCTGTACACGTCGTGATCAGCGCCGATTCGCGGGTGCAGCAGGGGGACGCGGCGGACCTCGGCTTGTTTTGTCACCGCCGCGCCGAGGCCGATCTCTCATGCTTGTGGCCGGTTATCAGCTTCCTTCTCGGGTGACATCGGTGGCTATGACTTGAATTGTCGTGCTTGACTCCTTCACTTGTCGAGTCTCCTGGATCTTCCTGCTCGTCCTTTTTTCTCCTCCATCCACAGCTCTTCCGTCTTCGGAGCAAGTGTCGTTTAGAGGCCCCGCTCCGATTTCCCTTCCGCCCGCCTTTCTTTTGATCCGTCGCTCGTCGGGTCTGAACTGGTATTCGGTCGATATACACCATGACCGGTCAATCGAAACCTGTCCGCCTGTCTCCTTGGGGCAGCGCGGTTGCAGGCGCAACGGGCGCAGTCCTCGCCAACGCGATTGTATACCCGCTGGACCTGTAAGACCTTGATCCGATAAATTCCACATTTGAGAATCCGACCCGCTAACGCTTTTCTGTTTCACGCCAGGGTCAAGACGAAGTTGCAGGTCCAAGTCAAGCAGGTCAAGGGAGACGTTGGAACAGAAGAAGTCGAGCACTATGAATCGACCATGGACGCCATCAAGAAAATCGTCGAGAAGGAGGGTCCCACTGGTCTATACTCTGGAATCACGGGAGGTCTGCTGGGTGTTGCTTCCACCAACTTCGCCTATTTCTACTGGTACAGCATAGTCCGAACCCTCTACATGGCTTCAAACAAGAGCCCCAAGCCCCCCGGGACCGCGATCGAGTTGGGCCTCGGTGCGGTGGCCGGCGCGGTGGCCCAGATCTTCACCATCCCGGTTTCGGTCATCACAACCCGCCAGCAGACACAACCGAAGGAAGAGAAGAAGGGCCTGATTGAGACGGGTCGCGAGGTGGTCGAGAGCGAGGACGGCTGGACCGGCCTCTGGCGCGGCCTCAAGGCCAGTTTGATCCTCGTTGTCAACCCGGCCATTACCTACGGCGCATATCAGCGTCTGAAGGATATCTTTTTCCCGGGAAAGAACAGCCTCAAGCCTTGGGAGGCATTCTGTGAGTTAACCGGCTTTTGTCTTCGAATCCATATCCACTAACGCCGATTTAGTCCTTGGTGCCATGTCCAAGGCTCTGGCAACCATTGCGACTCAGCCTTTGATCGTTGCCAAGGTTGGCCTGCAATCCCGTCCGCCCCCAAGCCGAAAGGGCAAGCCCTTTAAGACCTTCGGGGAGGTCATGAAGTATATTATCGAAAACGAAGGACCGCTCTCTTTGTTCAAGGGCATCGGCCCGCAGATCACGAAGGGTCTGTTGGTGCAGGGTCTGCTGATGATGACCAAGGAGAGGTATGTTTTTCAGTCATGCTCTCTTTCTAGTATCCGTTTTCTAACATCTTCTTAGGATGGAACTCCTCTTCATTGTTCTGTTTGCCTATCTCCAGAAGATCAGGAAGGAGAAGCTTCAGAAGGCAGTTGACGCTGCTGCATCAACGGCCAAGACGAGCCTGCCTGCTACTCTGAAATAAGCAGTCTTTCTATGCCAATACTTCTTCGGAACCCATGGAATTTACTTCCAGACATTATTTGTGTTATTTTACGGCGTGTTGGTACTCCCTGTTACTGTACTCCTTTCGCGGTACTCCTGAACAGTCTAGACATTTCCGGCTCTGTCATTTGGAGAAAGTCGCACGATGTATCCTGCCATATTCAGAAATAGATTCCCTTTATTTACTAACGATGCTAAATACACCAGTCTATATAAAGTTATTTTCTCGATCTTGCAGTTATAACCGTACACTCTTACCTACAGCATTCCGTAAAATCCCTTTGGCAAGTATGTACCTACGTAGGTAGCCTTGACATAGTCAGATGACTGATCAGATCTTGTTGAGGGTAGTTCAGGTATGCAATACCCGTGGTTATTGAGATTAAAGACCCGAGGCTGTAAATTTCAAGCCTTAAAGCACTCCTACCAAAAGAATATATGTCATGCCACGACGTTTCTATACCCACTTTGACGTTTAATGTTGTAATTTGGCCCTGCTTCGGAATTTCTTAGACACAATGTCCAATCCTGGCAAAAATACTGAAACTGCACGTCAGGTTAACTGTCTAGCTCCAGAGATGGCCGAAAAAGCCGCGTAGTTGACCCTGGTCTACGGTCGCGTATCTTCGGCAACGATCGACAAGCCGTCTCCGACGTCCCAAGCGGTGATCACTTCTCCGCGACACCTCCCCAGCTCACCACGAAATCTGCCAGCAAGGGCATGGGACAGCATGAGATGGCCACCATGGAGCTCCGAGTCAAGCGATGACCAGAAGAAACAGCAGGAGTCTAGCTCCGCAAACTGGTCCTCCCACCCCACATCAACAAACAACTCCAGCTCTCCTCTCGACTGGACTGCTTTCACCGAACCCAGAACAATCTTCCCAACCCTTCTCTTGACTAGCGGTATACTACTCGCAGTACGCTTCCACCGCCGCTACCTGCGCCGCTTCCCCGATGCCCCCAGCATCTCGCCTTCGTTTCTCCGCCGCCGAACGGTCTTCGGTAAAGTGACTAGCGTTGGCGATGGCGACAATTTCAGAATATTCCACACACCAGGTGGCCGACTCGCCGGATGGGGCTGGTTACCATGGAAAAAGGTCCCTACCGCAAAGAAGGAACTCAAAGATAATACCGTTAGTCTCTCAACCAACCCGTTCTTTACACCCGCCCATGAGCCGCTCTTCCACGCTTTGCATAGCTAACACAAATTAGATCCATATCCGTTTAGCTGGAATAGACGCCCCCGAACTCGCACACTTCGGTCGGCCCGAGCAACCCTTCGCCCGCGACGCCCACGCCTGGCTCACATCTTACCTACTTAACCGCCGCATACGAGCCTTCATCTGGCGACAAGACCAATACCACCGCGTTGTGGGGAGTGTATACGTACGGCGAGCGTTCGATTTCCCACCATTTCGTCGTCGCGATGTCTCTTACGAGATGTTGAAGCGCGGGCTGGCAACGGTGTACGAAGCTAAAGTAGGCGCGGAGTTCGGAGGTGAAGCCATGGAAAAAAAGTATCGTCGTGCAGAATGGTGGGCGAAGAAAAGGTCTAAAGGTCTTTGGAAAGATTATCGTCGTATTGGGTCAGACTGGGAAAGTCCTAGGGATTACAAGAACCGCATGGGAATGGGCGATACCTCGGAGAATGGAGGGAAATCGAAATCTTGATCATGATTGTACATTTTACGATCACGGAACGAAGTCAACTGAATCAAATATTCAAGCATTTCTAGACATTGCGTTCACCTTTTCCTCTGTACCACCTTTTTCGCTTCGACTTTCTATACCCCCAGTGTTATGGTACGGCGCATGCGCTTGGTTATTGGGATACGTAACCGAGGAGACCATTGTAAATGATGTGCAAAAAAGCATGGGAAGGTTGCGACAGTAAGGTAAGGTAAGGTAAATTCCGCGTGTATCAATATAGTACACTAGGTTGAGTATAGCTGTACAAAGGTGCCGAAGCACTCCGATATCCTCCGGCCCTGAATCATGATCATAACACAGGGATAATAAAACCTAGGCAATCACCGCTAAGCATGTGCCCAATTTATCGGAGCGCAATTAAGAATATGTATACATGTAGACATTAGCCCTAGCAGAATCTTCGTTCAATTTCCGCGAACAGCTTGGGAGATATCTCGTCACTCGAGTTGCCCTCGACGCGCCAAAGGCACCCGCGCCGGTCGTAATGCTCAAGAAGAGCTTTGCTGGTCTCCTCGAATTTCCGCAGCCGCTGCTTCCATGTGTCGATAGAGTCGTCTTCTCTCTGTGTCAATGTTTCGCCCGTGACATCGTCCTTGCCGGGAACCTTGGGAGCATGGAAGTCTGTATTGTACACTCGCCCTGATGGCTCATGCACCCAGCGCGAGGCAATGCGTGCGAGAATCACGGATGGTGGCGTGAGGAGATGCACGACGAAGTTGACAGGGACTAAGGTATCAAGGCTTGTTGCTTGAGCGGCAGTGCGGGGAAATCCGTCGAGAATGAAGGAGGCTGTGGGGGAGATCTGGGGAAGTGAAGCGGTGGACTGCGAGGAGGATGTGGATGAGGAGTATGCAGAATTGGTAGACGAAGTTTCAGATGGCGAAGACCGTTGGAGCCAACCCTTGGATGCCAATTCGGAAGAGATGAGGCCGAGTATCATTGAGTCCGGGACCAGGTTGCCGGACTGCATTGTGGCCTCGGCTTGGACGCCTGTTGTTCAATTAGACTATAGATCCTTGATAGTGCATTCACATGGGTTCGAAGGCCTGTGCGACTTACCGAGCTGTGTTCTGCGACGCACATTCTCTCGCAAAAGATCACCCGAGCTGATGGAGGCCAGCTGCGGGAAGCGCATGAGCAGTCGCTCAGACTGCGTTCCCTTTCCTACACCAGGAGCACCGACGAGGATGATCCGCGCAGCCTTCTTCAGCTGCTTGGTTGTGTGCGACATACTGAGCGATGCCCTGCCAGTGGTGGCGCGGAGTGCTGTGCAGATGCTCCGCTATAAAACTCCCCCGGGTAATCCGTTCCTGGAAATGTTGTGGGGCGGTAGTGCTGGGGCCGGAGGTGTAAAGCAGAAGTAAAACGCGATGCTATCGCTGATGCATGGCAGAGAAAGGAACCGAGATAGCAGACATAAGCGATATAAGCAACAATGTCTAGCGCATATTACCAATTCGTGATTTTGTGGGGTTGGATGCGATTGCTTGCTTAGGCCTCCGGTGAGGAGCTCCGAGGGAATGTTAAATATCCGAGGGAAAGCAAAGAGAAATAGCCCAACAAGATCAGCTACAATACCCGGACAGACTATCGCAGTTATCAGCGAGGAGTATGATGGAGATGATCAGAAGAATGGGGATTCGGCAATCGAGGAAGCACGGGCGGCTCTTCACATGCGTCAATACTCTATTGTGGCCTGATTCCCAAGGCGTATAAGTCACATGACCAAGACCGGTCGCGCGGCGCGTGTCGCGTCGCCCAATTTGATAACGGGGGATCTTCTTAGGTAGCCCAGCGCTCGAGATCGGACTCTGGCCACACATTCACAACTCAGACTCGACACCATGATTCGACAGGACGCCCACCGCATCGACCCCAAACGCAGGGCAACTATCGACCACAAAAAAAGGCAATTCGCTGTACCAATCTACAAGCAGCAGGACTACCCGCACCGTCTGAACCTGTACGACACGCCGCCGACGGCTGAGATCACCCTCGAGCAGTTTGAGCAATGGGCCATTGATCGGTTAAGGAGTATGCATCATGCAAGCACATTTTTGTATGGCTAGCCACTAACACTTCACACAGTCCTGGCCGAGATCGAAGCATGCTCCTACCGCAATAAATCCCCCGGGGAGACCGACACTCAAATCACGCCCCTTCTCCAGAAATATCTCCCTCTCTCCTCCAATACCTCCTCTTCCAATGGTGCTGCCGACCTGCGTTTGAGAAATGAACGCCAAAAGGATCACTACTCACACTTTATTCTCCGCCTGGCCTTCTCCGCCACGGAGGACCTCCGCCGACGATTTGCACGCGCCGAGACCATGCTCTTCCGCTTTCGTTTCCAGAAGGATGACTCTCGAGAAAGACGTGCTTTCATTGACAGTTTGAATCTCGACTGGGAACCCGTGGGCGAAGAGGAACGAAACGAAATCGCCGAGCACCTGGCTAACTCGACGCCCGGTTTGCACCGGGTGAATGATGAGACATGGTACAAAGTCGACTGGGAGAAGGTCCCCGAGCTCGTCGAAAGACGGTCTGCGTATATGAGGAGGGGTAAGGCCTATGTTCCTGGAAGGGAACAGTTGAGTATGATCATGGCGGAGTTCACTGCCCGCCTGGAACGTTCGCTTGAGGTATCTCTTGATCATTTGTTCGCTACTCGAGGATTCTTAGCTAACAAAGTATAGCTCACTAGCCGAGCGCTTCCCCGTCTAGACGAGGATGACCGTCTCACTCCCATCCTCAACCACCTCTCCAAGAACTTCGGCAGTGCCGAATCTGTATACACCGAGAGCGAGGGACATGTCGATGGAGCGGAGATCAGAGCAAGCTCTATCGACTCCCTTTCTCAACATTTCCCACTGTGCATGCGCAGTCTACACATGAATCTGCGCAAGAACCACCACTTGAAGCATTTTGGGCGGCTGCAGTACACACTGTTCTTGAAGGGCATCGGTCTGTCTTTGGAGGAATGTATCCTCTTTTGGCGCCAATCCTTTAAGGGCAAAACCGACGACGAATTCAACTCTCAATACAAATACAACATCCGCCATGCTTACGGTGACGTCGGTGGTGATGTGAACCGTCGTGGCCGAGGATACCCTCCTTACTCGTGCCAGAAGATCCTGGGGGATAGCAACCCCGGCATTGGTCAAACCCATGGGTGCCCGTACCGCCACTACTCCGTTGACAACCTTGTCGGGCTACTGCAGGCAACGGGCGTAAGCGACAAGGAAGTTTTGCGGGGAGTGCGTGAGGATGTGGGCAAGCAACGGTATCACATTGCGTGCAACCGAGTCTTCGAGTCAACGCACAAGAACGAGATCAAGAAGGTCAAGGAGGACGGGACGTGGAGCCAGGCCGACCTGGACACCATCGTCCACCCGAACACCTACTTTAAGCGCAGCTACTTACTGAAGCAGTTGGCCAAAGCCCCGAGCCGAGACGCTTGAGCATGTGAATTTTTCATGAAGTTATGTCGGCCCATCACGTGCGATGGCTGTTCAATTGGCGTTGGGAAGGGATTGTACACAGAAGAACATGTAGGAAGTTTCAATTGCAATAGCATATTCATTATAGTCATAGTCATAGTCATAATCGATAAGGTTACAGAAGGTCTGTGACCACAGCTGATTCCCAGTGAATCCGAAAGGATCGGAACGACCTTTCAAAACCAGGTGCCCAGCAACGGGTCAAGTCGATCTTCGCTCGACGCGAAAACAACTCCATCATGGGAAAGAGTGAAGTTGTCGACAATAAATATTATATTTGGGTCGGCGTGGAAGAAATTGAAGAAAGAAGAGAAAGTGAAAAGCGCCGAGATTTTAACGATGTTTGGATACGGCGGGCGGCAGAGACCAGGAGCGCTGCAACCTGGCCTTAATGGGGGCATCTCCTCACACAACTGCCTCAACTCCACCTTGTGTTCGATCCTCTTTAGTCATTCGGGGCTGTCTTCCTGGGAACTGGGTTATGCTCCGTGTTTCTTTTGTCTGTGCCTTGGAGTAGTCCGATTCCCACTTGCCTGCGACTCGACTCGCTCCGTCTAACCGACCCCCTCCTCCCCTTGTCAACACCGGTCCAAGACCTCCACCGCCACCCGCTACAATGGATTTCGAGGCCCTGAAGGATCAATGGAGTGATGTGGAAGACCGTGATGGCATCCGGCTGAGCTGGAATACTTTCCCGAGCTCTCGCATGGTTCGATAATCCCATATGGCTGCTATACTGCAGTCGAGTGTCGCGTCATCCCTAACTTTGTATCTATAGGAAGCTTCTCGCTTGGTCGTCCCCATTGCTGCCGTCTACACCCCCCTGAAGGAGAAGCCGGATTCCCCATTGCTTCAATATGAGCCGGTGACTTGCAAGCAGCCCTGCCGGGCGGTGCTCAACCCGTATGCGTATGTGCCGTTGACTCTCTCTCCCCGCCTTGCGGTGAACTGACATCCCCTGTCTAGCACCGTCGACATCCGCGCCCGGATCTGGATCTGTCCCTTCTGTTTGATGCGCAACCCTCTTCCGCCTCACTATAAGGATATTACGGAGAACACGATACCCCCCGAGCTCCACCCCTCCAGCACCACGATTGAGTACCAATTGGCACGGCCCGCCCCCGCTCCTCCGATCTTCCTGTATGTGGTCGATACTTGCCAGGAGGATGACAGCCTGCAGGCGCTCAAGGACTCGCTCGTCATGAGCTTGTCTCTGCTACCGCCGAATGCGCTGGTTGGTCTAATTACCTATGGCACAATGGTAGGAACAGCAACCCCTGTCTAGGATATCAACACTCAAATGCTGACTCTTGTCAACAGGCCCAAGTGCACGAGCTCGGCTACACTGAATGCGCCAAGTCCTATGTGTTCCGAGGCAACAAGGACTACACCGCCAAGCAGGTGCAGGAGATGCTAGGCCTTGTTCAAGGTGTGCGACCCGGCATGCCCCCTCAGCAACAACCGCAGCGTCCTCCCCTCCCTCCGGCTGCGCGCTTCCTCCTGCCCGTTCAACAGGCCGAGTTTCAGATCACCAACGTCCTCGAGCAATTGCAGCGTGACCCCTGGCCCGTGGCCAACGATAAGCGTGCCCTTCGTTGCACCGGTGTGGCCTTGAGCGTAGCTGTTGGCTTGCTGGAGACCTCCTTCCAAAATGCTGGAGGCCGCATCATGAACTTTGTCAGTGGTCCCGCCACCGAGGGACCTGGTAATGTCGTTTCTCCTGAGTTGAAGGAGCCGATTCGATCGCACCACGACATCGATCGCGACAACATCAAGTACTACAAGAAGGCTGTTAAGGTAAATCTTCACAGAATACCAAATTTGTGTGTTCCAGCTGATCGTGATTAGTTCTATGACAACCTTGCCAAGCGCGCCGCAAACAACGGTCACATTGTCGACATCTTCGCCGGATGTCTGGATCAGGTCGGTCTTCTGGAAATGAAGAACCTCTCCAACTACACCGGAGGTCATATGCTTCTTACGGACAGCTTCACCTCCTCTCAGTTCAAGCAATCCTTTGTTCGTGTGTTCGACAAGGACGTCAATGACAACCTTCTTATGGGCTTCAACGCCTCTCTTGAGGTCCTTACAACCAAGGAGCTCAAGGTCACAGGTCTTATTGGTCATGCTATCTCACTGAACAAGAAGTCGAGCTCTGTGGGTGAGACGGAATGCGGTATTGGTAACACATGTGCCTGGAAGATGTGCGGTATCGACCCGTCTTCCAGCTATGGTGTATACTTCGAGATCGCCAACCAGGGTGGCCCCGCCGCTGTGCAGCCCGGCCCTCAAAGAGGCATGATGCAGTTCTTGACATACTACCAGCATTCCTCCGGACATTACCATCTCCGGGTGACCACAACAGCACGTCCCCTCAGTGGACCTGCAGGTGACCCGACGCTGGCACAGTCCTTTGACCAGGAGGCCGCTGCCGTACTCATGGCCCGTATCGCCGTCTTCAAGGCCGAGGTTGATGATGGCCCGGATGTCCTGCGCTGGGTGGACCGCATGCTGATTCGACTGTGCTCGCGGTTCGCCGACTACCGCAAGGACGACCCGACATCATTCCGTCTGGAGAAGAACTTTACTCTCTACCCACAGTTCATGTTCCACTTGCGACGAAGCCAGTTCTTGCAGGTATTTAACAATTCCCCCGACGAGACTGCTTTCTACCGCCATGTTCTGAACCACGAGGATGCTGGCGACTCCCTGGTCATGATCCAGCCTACGCTCGATTCCTACTCTCTGGAGGTTGAGGGTAGCCAGCCCGTGCTGTTGGACTCTGCTTCCATCCAGCCCGCGCACATTCTTCTTCTCGACACCTTCTTCCACATTCTTATTTTCCACGGCGAGACCATTGCCGAATGGCGGAAAGCTGGTTATCAGGATCAGGAGGGCTACGAGAACCTCAAGGTGCTTTTGGAGCAGCCTAAGGAGGATGCTAGGGTTCGTGTCTACAACTTTCCCTCCTTTATTTTGGGTTTCCTTACTGATAGCTTTACAGGAACTGATTGCCGATCGTTTCCCTCTGCCCCGTTTCATTGTCTGTGACGCCGGTGGCTCCCAGGCCCGTTTCCTGCTGTCCAAGCTGAACCCGTCAACCACCCACACCACCGGTGGTTATGGCGGCGGCGTATCGGCACAAACCATCTTCACTGATGACGTGTCGCTCCAAACGTTTATGGATCACTTGATGAAGTGGGTATTATCTTTTCCGATCAAGCAAGCTCCTCTTACTAACTGCTTTTAGACTTGCGGTGTCCGGTACCAGCTAGTTTTGTAATGAAACGATAGCCATGAGAGCAAAGGGCGGTCCTACATCAACCCCTTCGGGTCTTGTGTATCTTTAGCGGTGATTAAGCTCTTTTTTTGCAATATAGTAGTAGATTGAATGGATTGATACCAAGGCAACCTTGAAAGCATGCTACCCGATCGGGTCATTCTAGGTCATGTGATTGGGGCTGTGCCCTAACTCCTTTAACGGGGCCAACTTTCGCTTAGAGAGCAGCAAGTGGGTCCCCAAGAGAACTTCCATTAATTCCGCCGCGAGTTTTCTTTCCTTCTCTTCCATCCATCCCCTTCGACAATCCAAGGCAGATCGACTACCTCTCGCACTCGCCATGCGTGAGTATCATCCCCTTGGTCAGCCTTTCAATGGCGGCGGCTAATCTTCCTTCTGTAATTAGCTCCCAAGTTCGACCCCAATGAGGTGAAGATCATTCACCTGCGTGTGACTGGTGGTGAGGTCGGTGCCCAGTCCGCTCTGGCTCCCAAGATCGGTCCCCTTGGTCTGTCTCCCAAGAAGATTGGTGAAGACATCGCCAAGAACACTGGTGACTGGAAGGGTCTCCGTGTGACTGTCCGTCTCACCATCCAGAACCGTCAGGCCGCCGTCTCGGTTGTTCCCTCCGCCTCTTCCCTTGTCATCAAGGCCCTCAAGGAGCCCCCGCGCGACCGCAAGAAGGAGAAGAACATCAAGCACAACAAGTCCGTCCCCTTCGATGAGATTGTTGAGATTGCCCGTATCATGCGCCACCGCTCCATGGCCAAGTCTCTCCAGGGTACCGTCCTCGAGATCCTCGGTACTGCCTTCTCCGTCGGCTGCCAGGTCGACGGCCGCAGCCCCAAGGACGTCTCCGATGACATCCACGCTGGCGAGGTCGATGGTAAGTTTTTGATTTATTTCCCCCCATATCCGACCAACATCTAACAGTTGGCACAGTTCCTGAGGAGTAAATCACTCCCTTGAATGGAAAAGAGGTGGCTATCTGCTTTCGTAACGACATTGTCTCCATGATGCGGAGCTAGTTGCAGAATACGACTGTTGCCTCAAAAAAGAAAAGCAAACCATGTTCATGAGTCATGACCTTGATACCTTTTTCCTTCGCGTTTCCTGCGAATGTTGGAATGAACCAATTCATCATTCGCATTTCCTTTCCGGTTGTATACTTCTTTCTTCCCATTTCCTGATCCTTCCAGTATTCCCTCTCGCTCTAGCCTCCATGGCGACGAGGATACTGGAAGCCGTACTGCCCCGATGCAGCCCAACCCCCATCTCCCTCGAGGAACCTTCACAACACTCTGGCCCTTACCGTTCTCTCCTTGCGAGGTTTGAACTTTACCATATGTGGTATAGGCTTATTTTAAGTGAAGGAGAGCAACCCCGACCCATTACTCACCGCGGTAGCCTTGGAGTCCGGCCTTCTGGTTGGGCTTTGTGGCTACAGTGGTCCATATACGGGTCTACATCTCGAGTCTCGGATTTATCTGATCTCTTGTAGATTGTAAAGCACATTTAGTTCATGCTGGATTAGTTGATTAATTTTTCATTCGCGGGGCTGTCGGCCAATTGACATATTCTGCGAATCAAAAATAATCCAGTCAATCAACCACTCAGTCATGCCTAATTTAATTTGAAAGTTTAATTTTCCATCTCAGTCCACGGTTCTTCGATACCTACTCTATCTTGTCCACTTGCATATACTTACCGCCTTATCAAGGCCTCCGAACCTTGGAAGGTTCCAGGCTGGACGTCCCAAGGTTGCGAGCGCTACATGTACTCAGTACCTATGTAGATACCTATCACTTCGTACTTCTACAGCGCTTTCTGCGAGGATAGATATATATAGGTCACAACGATATAGCCCAAGGTTGCATGACTCGAATGCACGCTTCAAAGCTGGAATATATATTCGGTCATTCGCACCGGTGTTTCAACTGTGATCGCTCACGCAGCAGTCCTCCGTATATTTTATATGGGTATCTCCACGCGCCCCGAACCCCCACCGCCATATGGCGATGAGCTTGTTTGCGCCATCTTGGGTTCGGCCAATGCTGCCAGGATTATCTGAAACCACCAAACGGCTGTTGAGGACTTGCGTACAAAGCAAAAGAACCATGCATGACAAATAAGGCTCAAGCAATCCGGCGCATGACTAGGGGCCACGACGATTGGACCACTGTCTTGCACTGTGTACATGAAGCGGGCTGTGCCCGCAATACCTGGTCCTTCCTACAGAAAAATAAAATATAAAAGTGTACTCCGTAGCGTCAGCAAGACCACGCACACAGCTGGCCCCAGGAGAAGGGACTCCACACACCCGACGATCATTGCTCGGATCCCCCTGGCTGCTTGTGCGTGGGCTATCCACCCATCCACCGGGGGGTGGTGGGCCGGGTGCTGCATATTCGGTGGCCCATGATGTGCACGGTGACTGCTACAGTTTTAGTGCGCGCCGGTACTGGGTAGTGTCACTGGTCTTTGGTCATCGAGGGCCGGGCAATATCGAAGTTGGACAAATGAGCGCTCGACCACAGGAACTTTCTTTCATTGCCTTGTTTCATGGTACCTGTTTCCCCCTCGGCGCCTGTATCACCCGACTTGCATGCCATGCAGACGTTAGGACCCAGGATACCTACAGTGGGGTGTGTCGAGTTGAGTTTGCCGATCTTCTGGGAGAAAAAGTCGCGGTATGGAAGAGACCATTCTTTCCCGCTACGACCGTGGAGAGCTATGCTCATTACATAGCTGCCGAGCCACGCTCTGGGGATACGAGATGGCCCAGAGCGAAGTGGCGCTCGTCAGAAAGAAAAAAAGAAAAAGAAAACCTTTAATAATACAGAACAGGGATCGGGGCATCCTTGCAACCCCAGAATCCACCCGGATAGGAAAGGATGCGCTGCGGCGGACTAGCTAACAGGGGGCTGCGTCTGTCACCGAAATTATGGAATTGGCGGTGGCTGCAGGGCGCCTAAACCGATATACCAGGGTTTGGTACGGGGTGTCTTGAGTACATTTGTTTTGGTGAAGGGAAAATGGTCGAGTATCAAAGGCGCATAATATGAAAAGAAAGGTAGAGAAAGGACTGGCCAGCCAAAGACGGAAACGGGCTCGACTCGATCATCGTACTGTAGCGGGGCGACACCGATCCTTGACTAGTCGACCGGGCGGAACCTGTGGACCACTGACGTTGGCCGCAGGATGGAGACTCCAGCCAGAGGATGGTTCAGCCGTTGGATCGAGTGGGTCGGTGGAGCAGCGAGGTGAGTGAGAGAAGAGGGTGAGGGAAGGAGATAGAAAGAATAGGGGTTGAAGGGAGATGCAGAGATAGAACACGAGAATAAAACCAAGAAAATAGAAAGATGGAGAGAGAGAGGGGGGATGCGTTTTTATGTAGTTGATCGGAGGAAGATCAACCAAGTGATGTGCAATCCTTCATCTGGCGGACTCCTCCACTCGGCTTGGCTGGAGGCCCGCTCCAACTAGCACTTTCTACTCTATTCCCCCTCTCGACCCATTCTCTTCCCCCTCTATCTCTTCTCTCTTTGTAACTATTCTCCTTCCTTTCGCGCCCTCGCCCAATTCCTGCCAAGGTCTCGCCTGCATATCACTGCCCCCCTCCGTTTCGGCCGCTGGCAGATCACCGCGCCACTCCCCTTCTCCCTTGCGTCCTCCGTGAATATCGAATCTGCTCGACTTGGGCTTCTCCTATCTTTATCAACCTTCCCCTCGATCGCGTGGACGACCACCTTGCGATCCCTCGATGACGATACTGTGAGCCGGTCGCTTTACTCACGTCTCCAAGACTAGCTGTGTGGCCGTGGTCATACCCATAATGAGGTGTCGAAAACGCTTCAAGGAGGATGCTTGTTGATTACCCATCAATCTCGACTGATTCTTAGTTGATATTCTCGACTGTCGCCTCTGCGACCTCGGCCTCTCGCCAAGGAAACGGACCGTGGTGGTCGAGGAGGTGAACGAGACAAAAAAAAGATGTTTCCGACCGTCGCGCCTTTCCCTTCGGTTCAGCCGCATCACCACATCCACCACTATCCCGCCCACGATGCCATGCATCAGCCTTATGATGTGAACGACCCCGCTTATTACTCTCATAATGACCCATTCATGCATTCCTTTAATCCAACATCCCGCTTACGTTTTCAAATGCCGCATCCTGTCCAACGCCTCGATCCTCGCGACGCCACGGGCTCGAGTTCGAACGCAAACGCCGCGGGGGAACATGCGCTTAGGAGGAAGACCCCAAACGGAACCCTGGCAGCCGGTTACGATGGAACCCCAGGCGACACCACGATCCAGCCCGCACCAAAGCATATCTTGGTCTCGCCGCTAGAGTCCGGGCAATTTCTTCCTGCGCAGGCGGGCCTGCAGCCGGAAAACTGGCAACCGCTTCCCCTCGATCAAGCCATATCCACACATATGAACTTCCCGCCCGTCTTCAAAAACGAGGCGGGCGACCCGATTGCCGCAGGAGAGGTGATCCAGGATGCGAATGGGGCAAGCTGGGTTCGTCCCGTCAACTATCCTCCGGGGGTCGACTCGGTGCTTAATCAAAGCTTGCCCCTCCAGGCGACCCAGCGCTTCCTTCTGCACAATGGGGCCTATATTCCGACCGTTCTTCCTGCAACTTTGCAGCAGTGTGTTGGACCGACGGCGTCTGCTGGGGCCGGCCCATTTGGTCCATATTGGCCGGACGGTGCATACATTCCCTACCGCCCTGTAGCATTCCGCGATTCACGTTTCGGCTCTCCTAATCCCAACGGACAGCCTCAGTCCCTCTTCGATATCAACCAGCAGGCCTTCAACCATGCACAGATCCCGTTGGACACTCGCTCGGACTCGGGATTTGCATGGGGGCAATCTGCAACCGGTGTTCCTCCCCAAAATCCTCTCATGAAAGCACGTTTCCCTCCACGCCATTCGGATCTGTTACCATTCCATGTCCGCGCCAATCGATCCGTATCATCCTACCCTAATCCTCTCAACAATGAACCTATGTCCTGGACTGGCCGCCCACCAGTCCACGGCTTCCAACCCCCAGGGCCAGCAGTGGTTGCCAACACTGAATTCAAGGAAAAGGTTATGTCCTGGGCACATGGTGTCTACGTCGACCTTCTCGCAACTATCCACCAGGCTCGCCGCAACAGCATCTCCAACGGTGGCGCGGACGGTCAGAACCCTCGTTTCCTAAAACCGAACATATACCCGAAGCCTCCTCGCCAACCAGGTCTCGATTTCTCGCAAAGTAATGCCCCCGAAATCCACCGTCACAATAGCTACCCGTGCAGTCAATATGATGTACAAAGGCAGAAATCGGGTCTTATGGCAAACCTGCGAAAGGGAGATCCTCAAATGAACGTTCAGGGCCGACGTCCATCATTGAACCAATTTTCTCAAGCCCACCGCGCGTCAGACTCGCAAATGCGTGATGTCGGGCGCTTTCCAGGTGCATCGGCCCACCGATCCTCCAGCACTCTTTTCAACGACGGCTCTCCAGTTACCAATGCAGCATCTGCCTTGGAAATGCTATCTCATCTATGCATGGAAAGTCATTGGGAATGGACTGATGGGATACTTCTTGGCGGCTGTTTGGCTTATGGTTTAGGTGACTACAACAAAGCCATGCGCTGGTATTCTAGGATTATCGCACGCGATTCAACGTGAGTATATTTTTTTCAAAACTTTTGGTTTTGATGCTAACTTTGTCAATATAGACATGTGGAGGCCATCTCTAACCTTGCTGCCACCTTGTTGGCCCTTGATCGGCGAGAGGAGGCCTTGCAGAATTGGCTTCGTGCCGTGAAGTTGCGCCCGAGTTTCTTTGAAGCTGTTGAGCATTTGATTGGTCTTTTGTGCAGCAGCCACCGGGGCAAAGAGGCTGTCAACATCATTGATTTTGTCCAAACCTCTCTTCGTCATCCAAAGGATGGAGATTGTTTCAAGACGGATGAGCATGCTAGCGAGCCCGAGAGTGATGCCGAGAGCAACGTGTCCGATGTGTGCATGTATGACAATGCATCCTTTGATTATGATGACGATATGGGACGAGGGCCGACTTTGAACCCGGGCTCGCCTGAAACGACGCCTGTCGGCTTCGCCACGAGTGGATATGCCATCCCGGGCTCGGACAATGGGAGAATGCTCGCTCTGATTCACGCCAAGGGCAACATGCTCTATGCACTTGGTGACAATGCTGCCGCTGCGACCGCGTTTGAAGATGCCGTCTTGATTGCCGCTGGAAGAAGACGGCACGGTGTTCAGAGTCTTATCAAACAGATTTTCGCTGCCTTTGCCCCCGGATCGAGTAACGGATATCACCAACCGGAGCCAGGTTCCGGGGAGAGCGTTCTTCTGTATCCGGACAGAGCTCTGCAAACTGCGAAGCTCGTGTTCCGGGCTAGCAGTGGCACGCCGCCGGGACTTAAGTACGTGGCCGAGGGAATTTCCAGGAAAGCTGCCATCTCAACTACCAGTAACTCTCTGCTCTCCCTGGCAAAGATCTATCAGGACGGCATGTCGACTGTCTCGTCCAGCGCACCGAGATCTGCACCCGGCGTGCGGGATATTCTGGCCCTGTACTACCTTTCCCTTTCCCTACAGCCAAGTCCATCCACTGCGAACAACGTTGGTATCTTGCTCGCCGGAATCCAGAACAATCCGCCGGCTCGAGGGCTGGTCCGTCCCAATGGCGAAAGCCAACATCCGGAGATCCCTGGTGTGGTGCCTGGAAGCGGGATTTCCCTCGCACTGGCGTACTACAACTATGGGTTGCATCTCGACTCCCGTCATGCCCACCTCTACACAAACCTGGGCAGTTTGTTAAAGGACATTGGACAGCTTCAGGCTGCCATCAAAATGTACGAGCAAGCTGTCCAGTGCGATGGCAATTTCGATATCGCTCTTGCCAATCTGGCCAACGCTGTTAAGGATGCCGGTCGGGTTAACGATGCCATTTCATACTACAAGCGCGCTGTCAAAGTGAATCCTGAATTTGCTGAAGCTGTGTGTGGGCTGGCCAACGCGCTAAACTCAATTTGCAACTGGGTCGGCCGTGGTGGCATTGTCAACGGGCATGGCTTCCGTGATCGCTGGCATGTGGATGACAAGGGGATGCTTCGAGATGCTCAGAGCAACGACACCGGTACTGGCTGGATTAAGCGTGTCGTGGACATTGTCGACCGACAACTCCGTGAAGGCGAATACTGGGGTCGTGGACTCCTGACATCTCACACGGCTGAACAACTGTGTTCTCAGTTGGCTACCGCATTGGACTCGGGCCGCTTTGCCTCCAGCCGACGATCATCCCTGGTCAAGGTCCTTCAATCATGGGCCGGACAGAAATGGGAAGGGTCGCGCATCGTCCGACTCATTGAGCGTGCCATCCGGTCAATTACATGGCAATGGTACCAGGACCGCTATGTCTATGGCAAAGACTACCCTACCTCCAAATACCGCCGGCCTCAACTCCCAGCAGCGCTCACTGCGCCAAACGCGCCGACGGTCCTGCCTTTCCACACCTTCACCTGTCCGTTATCTGCGAAGCAGATTCGCCAGATCTCACAGCGCAACGGACTTAGAATCTCATCATCTACTCTACGATTACCCTGGCTCCCGAGCACCGTGTTCCCACCCCCGTCGCCCCCAAATCCTTTCCTCAAAGTTGGCTATGTTTCGTCGGACTTCAACAATCACCCTCTGGCGCATTTGATGCAATCGGTGTTTGGATTGCACAACACGAAAAAAGTAAGAGCATATTGCTATGCTACTACCGCCAGCGACAAGTCCGTCCATCGCCAACAGATCGAGAAAGAGGCTCCCGTCTTCCGTGACGCGAGTGGATGGTCGGTTGACCGGTTGGTCCGGCAGATTGTTGACGATGGAATTCACATCCTCATCAATTTGAACGGTTACACCCGTGGAGCCCGCAACGAGGTCTTTGCCGCTCGGCCTGCGCCCATTCACATGTCTTTCATGGGATTTGCCGGCACTCTTGGTGCCGAGTGGTGCGATTATATCCTCGCCGATCAAATTTCAATCCCACCCGAGACTCTGAGCCCTGGTCGGCGAACCGCGCGCATCGAGGACCGTATCCTTGAGGAGGACAATGGCGAAGATCTCGATGACTGGGTTTATGGCGAGAAGATCGTGTATACTCGTGATACATTTTTCTGTTGTGATCACCGACAGAGTGCACCGGATGCAGGAGAACGACTGCTCACATGGGATGAGGAGCAGGTTCGGCGCTGGAGAATGCGGAAAGAGCTGTTTCCCAAGCTCAGCGATGACACCATCATCCTGGGAAACTTCAACCAGTTGTACAAGGTGAGCCTTCTCTTCGATTGATCGGTCTCAATTTCACCAGTTACTGACATTGTGCTAGATTGAGCCCACGACATTTAGGACGTGGTTGCGCATTTTGGCGCGAATCCCCAATGCCGTGCTCTGGCTGCTGCGGTTCCCAGAGACTGGCGAACAGAACCTTCGGGACACTGCCAAGGCGTGGGCGGGCGATGAGACGGCTTCGAGGATCATCTTCACCGACGTCGCGCCGAAGAACACGCACATTGCGCGAGCGAAAGTCCTGGATCTGTTCCTCGATACACCCGAGTGTAATGCACACACGACGGCCACCGACGTCCTCTGGAGTGGAACGCCGCTGCTGACCTTGCCACGATACAATTACAAGATGTGCTCACGCATGGCGAGTAGCATCCTGAGCAGTGCGCTCCCCAAAACCGAAGCGGGGCGGCAAGCACGCAAGGAGCTGATTGCCTCGTCGGACGACGATTACGAGAACAAGGCCATCCGGCTTTGCATCGACTTGCAGTACGTCCCGGGCGGCGAGGGCCGATCCCGCGGCCGTCTGGCGGATATGCGACAGATGCTGTTTATGCAGCGACATAAGAACAAGCTCTTCGACACGGCCCGCTGGGTGCGTGATCTGGAAGAAGCTTACGAAGCAGTGTGGGCGCAATGGGTGAACGGCGAAGAAGGCGATATCTTGTTATGATATGCACAGCGAAATTATACCCCTTGAGCGATTTTGATTATGATTATGATTTTTTTTTTTCTTGTGGTTTTCATCTGGGTCGTCAAATGTTGGGGACTTTTGGTAGTTGGGGTTTGATGTATACGCAAGGAGCTGGAACTCATGGAAACGCAGGAGTTTTGTCATTTCCACTGCCCAGATAGATGGGTTTATACACTCTTCACATGCCGGTTCTCTCGAGCTGGCCATACATTCGTTTCTACTTGGCATACCCTGCATCTGTCCCGTTGAACTTGTAGTGAAACTTCGTATACAAGGGTATCAAAAAGGCCCCAGGTAAGGAAGGGCGCACACCGGCCCAAGTGTACGTACCCGCCCCAGTCGCACAAGCCAGCCGGTGGTCGATTCGATTCGATGTCTCACAGATGGTCCCGGTTACAGTCATTCTCGAAATCGCCTTGACCAATGTACACTGAGAAACTCTTTCCCAGCCCCACCGCGAAGACCTTAGCGCAGATCATTTATTGAGCGGGCCACATAAAGTTAGGGGCTCACTAAAATGCGCTGTGTATGTTACCGTAATATGTGACAGAAGATGACATTAGGCGTACGAAAAGACAACATAGAATTCCACGGAATTCTATGGTGGATCTCTGCAAATCATGTGGGGAAGGCCCTTCGCGCTAAGTAACTTGAAGATCTGCTGGGAGACCTCTTTTCTACTTCTTCTCCGCCTCCTATTGTGCAGGATGTGTTACAGTGTGTCCCGAAACTGTTGCAACCGCCTACACTCTTCGAATGATTATCTAGCCCCGCGAGTAACCCTTGAATTGAATGTTCCTGTAACAATTCTTGATGGCCATAGCCCCCTGTTCTAGTCTATCAGAGAAAGTTACTTGAACTTTCATTTATATAAGTTCAATCTCTTCTGCGCACAATCCTTTAAGGTCAACAAACTCTCCTCGCATGATTCCGTGTACATAAGCAATGTCGATTTTCTTTAAATGCTTCTCACTTCCTGTCTTTCGCAACACAACCGGTGTTGGCATTCCAGCGATGAGCCACACCTCATCACCTTTTCGCACATTTTCGGTTCCCTTGCCTAGAAGGCCTTCTCGTGTACGGAAAAGTACTGGGCGGATCGTACTCGTCCGTTCTTCCACAATATTACGGAATTTCTCACGGGCAAGGATTACATCCTTCTGTGGCGTACGCACTTTCGGAAATTCCAGAAGCATAGTGAGGTTAGGAAAGAAGTCCATGTCACTCTCAGCTAATGTCCCAATCGTCCTCTGAAGGTCCGTCAGAATACGGAAGTATGTGCTTAGGTCATTTGCTGCAAGAGTCAGAAGACACTCGCCCACCCAAAGTGCGAATATAGGGTGGTACATTTCCAGAGCCGATATCGTTGATAAGTCCGCCTTGATTACTCCCGACGCGAGAGTAAGCCATAATGCCTGGCTTCGTGGTTGGCCATCAAAATACGTTGGTTTAAAGGCGCAAAGAAACTCAAGTATATCTGGTAGTGCCCTAGCGATCCAGGAGCCCTCGCACATGCCTTTGTAGATAACAACCCTATCTTCAATAACGTCAACCTTCTGTGCATTGAGTACTAACCCATCGGGTCGTCGCACTATCCAGGGCGAGGAAAGTAGCGATTTTGCTGCATCATTTGAAGGTTTGAATGCGAAGTCTCCATGAGCCAAGTTCAGCCCATTGGCATAGTTCGGAACCCAGGATGGGAGCTCCAGTCGGATGTTTGCATATCCTTGTAAGCGAGGATCATGATTCTGGAAACATAATAATCGTGGATCTTCTGAGAGGAGGAGTCTTGTGAATCTGGTATATGTTTCGGCGGTGGAAACTCGATAGCTCACTTCCAAATTCCGAAGAGGACTTGCATCCGAGAGACCTCTCTTTATCATTCCGAGAACTCCATACACCAAGTCCTTTGGGTCCGTCGCAGTGGAATTGGATGAATATAGTAATATATTGAAGAGATTTCCAGGCGACCTTTCCTTCATTCCTTTTCTCAGTGCAAGTATATCCACCATTTTGGCGCCAGGAGAATTCATTTTGCCTGCTCGGGATGTTGGGAAGCTAACAGCGAGAGATGCAGCTTTGATAATTTTGTCGATGCTTACTTCAAACTGACCACAAAGTAGTGAAAAGTGGGTAGCAAGACAAAATTCTTGTAGAACCCACGTTCTCGAGAACCACGAGCGGTCCAAAATCAGCTTCAATGCATTCCAGTGGTCATTTGAATCCGCGAGTGGTCCCAGAAACGTTTTCAAGGACTGGGGATTCTCCACTCGGGCGTCGATTAAGGGAATCTTGGCGCTCTCGATTATGGTCATAAAATCCAATGCCAGGCAAGTGGTTTCTTCAGCCCTGCCAAGCCATATAACCACAGACTTTGCCTGGGCGTATACATCTCCCATCATTTCAACTTGTACTGCACGCTCATCGAGATTATCTTGATCGATACAGAGGGCGTCTATCCAGATGTATTCTTTGAGAAGGTGGCGATGAAATTGTCGTACGTCTCTGAGGAAATCAAAAAGGTTTTGGGTGACGGGGATAGTACCAGTTTCGCAGAATATCTGCATACATCGTTCTGATGTGACGCCCCGATCTGTCGCCTCCTTCCCTGGACTTCCCCAGGTATAAGACAGTGCTATATAGCTTTCCTGAGTATCTAGCTCGACTTCTGTCAGGGTGCAGCAAGGCAAATCACTGAGCTCTTGGTCAAGTATCTTTAACACACGAATAGCCTTTGAGCTGGTGAGGGATTGGTATTGGTAGCTAGTGAAGGCCTCCGAGGCCATAGCGATAGATGTAGTAAAGGGATGGAAACGGATACTATGCGATGGGTAGTGAAATGCAATGGAGTCGGGGTGCCTTACAAGATAAGTTAATGGTGATCAACTTCATTTCAAGGATCTAGCGGATCTAACGTCAGAAGACACCCGAATATAGTCTAGTGTCTTGGCGAAAGGGGCAAAGAAATTTGATTGAAGAGTAACTTACAGATTCCATGGCATTCTATTGTAGCCTTGTACGATTGTGTAAAGTGACGTAGCAACATACGATACCATACGCTTACGGCGCCTCAATTTAACGAGGGCCGCTCAATAATAGATCTGCGCTAAGGTCTTGGCAGTGGGGCCATGAAAGAGTGATTGAGTGTGCATTGGTCAAACCGATTTCGAGAACAACTGTAAAGGCTCAGCCATTATCACGGGGAGTCTCCACGACGTGATGACCGTGGGTCCCCGAACGGCCCCAATGCCTATATTGGAAAATGCTGTGACGAGTGTCAGATCTAGCGGATCGATCGAGGCCCTTGAAACCGAGAGCAGACACATCCCGACAGCCGGGTACCTTTTGGCGCTAGGCTGGGAGTGGGCCAAGTGCAGACGGCTCCGAGATCCTCCGTGGTCCAATCAGAGGCAGTGGATGGAAACGGTTGAAAATCTCGATGGACGGGGCTTCGCCTGCTTCGGGAAGCTCGTTGATACTTGGATAGAGCATTCCCTTTTCGAGTCGCCCGTAGGGTGACATATGGTGGTCGATACGGGACACCGATCCCACCGAGCTCCGATTCCCCGAGTGCCCGATTCTCCAGGGCTATACTGTAGAATCGCACCGTAACGACGGCCCAGGAACCGGGAGGCCAATCAGACGGTGAACGTAGCGAGTCCGAAAATTGGGGGCGTCAAAGTTACTGAGTCGGGCGAGGGGAAGTGTCGATCGTATCCGACGGACTGGGACGCAACGGGCGAAACTGAGAACTGACCCCGCTGCAACGGAGTATCTCGTATAGCTGCGTATAGTTTCCCGTTTCTCGAAGGTCGACGGTCCCCGTTGCACCCAATTTAAGCCAAAAGATCGGATCACCCCCTGATCCGGTCGTGGGCGGCCCATGGATCCAGCCCTCAACGGCCCGTGTGTATACTGTACATGTACATAATTTTTCCTACCGTACTCCGTACATGGGGTACATATGTACATAGGTACATGCCGAGGTACGATACATAGTTCGTATCCCTCCGAGTAGATCGAGTTTGGCACCGCCTGTCATCACGGAGATAGGCTCTGGCGACGCTAGTGAACCGCCGGCAAACTCAGACCAACTTTTCCCTTCTTTGTCGGCTTCTTTCACCTCTCCTTCGGGTTTCGCTGTGGGAGTTGTGGGCATCTTTCTGGGATCTTTCTGGATTTTCTCATCGCTGGGCGGAACAAAGCGAAGGTCCCCTGGTCCACCCCTCGACCACGCTGTTTCACCAGGGTTTGATCCATTCCTTCGACCCGTTCTCACCTTGTGGCCCCGTAATAGATTACCGGACAATTACCCCATTCCAAATATTCGAAAACCGATTTGCCCGCTATTGATTGTGCGATGATCAGGGGGTGCCCGGTTATGTATGCTGATTCGACCGCACCGCATTTCCATATCACCCGGCTGTGCGCCGTGTGCGCCGCGCCATTTTGTAAATGATTTTGGTTGACGGGTGCAGCGGCCCGAGGACTGAGAACCAGGAGAGATAGAAGAGGTAGATGCGCAGTAACCCGCGGTACAAGAAATGGTCCAGACGAAAAAAAGTACTTTGCATGACAAGTAGCACGAACTACTCGATCACACGGGCAAAGTGGAGATCTTTCTCCTCGCCACCACAGCGAAGCAACATCGGCAACGGCCACAACCGGGGCAGGCGGACAAGCGAGTCCGTGGCATGCACGAACTGCCCCGCCGTTCATTCCGTCAAGAGGTGACCAGTGCGATCGATGCATCAGGCCATTGGCTCACCGATGCCTCCCAGGGCGGGAACGGGATCGAGGGCCACATCTGACTCGCTGACTCGCTGGCTTGCTTGCCTCGCGCAGCGATCGCGCACAACTGGTTGGTGGCTGCCCGTTGGAGGTTGGGCCCGATGCATCTGCGGACGAACCCCGTTTAAACTTTGCCGTTCTCGTCACTATGTGCGTGCAGATTGAGAAATGGGCGTTGTGCATGGACCCCGGTGAGTACGTTGGTTAGGGCCGTATCCTTGCCTTTGCGTCCTCGTGAGCGTGCATTCCTCATGTGGGAGAGTGACCGTGTACTGTGTGCATCGTGTATCGTGTATCGTGTACCGTTCATCGGTCTCGGGGGTGGTGATTTGTGGACCGAGACGAATCGGTGGCGGGCGTACCCCATTGGAACCCAACCGGGGTTCCAGAGCGGTCTGGTCTTCATAGTCATAGTACTCAGTACTCCGTACCTGATAAACAACTAGACTACCGGTAAGGTTTATTGAATGCCCATGTTCAAGGCGAAACAGTTGATTCTCTGCGCAGGGGTATTATGCTAGCAATCCCAAAAAAGAACATCCCGGGCGTAACCTCGAAATCTCTCGACAAAACTCCAATGATGATCCCCAAATTATAGACCCCGCTTTGACCGAAAACGAAAAAACACCCGTATTTTGAAGTTCCGAACCGTGGTAATACACATTAAGAGTACAAAGGAGAGGGAGGTGACCAAAGGGGAAAAAAGAGTGAGCGTGAGGGTTTTTGGCACATGTACAAAACGGCCGGGCTCGATCCATGTCGACCCTGGAGGGGGGCATAAAATATGTAACGGTGAAAAAAAAAGGAAAGTCGTAAATATCATCAGAACAGCCCGCCCTAGTTGAGCAGGTTGTTCACTCCCATCCGCGTATCACGGGCGAGCCCCGGCTCCGGCTCCGGCCTTGACCAGGGCTTGGACAGATCCGTGGACTGGTGCCATGAAGCCAAAGTCGGCTGATGCTCCATCCATCGCCGCTTGGAGGCAATGTCGGAGAAGGACTCGAGCGAGCGAGCCGGGTAGCTGGGGGAATCATCCACTACTTGGACGGATGTACTCGGGCGCCGGGCCTCGTACTGTGAGACCACGGGCAGAGGAAGCATCTGCGGTGACGGGAGCGTGCGGGGAGAAGAGGAGCAGACGGAGTTGTGGTCGGAGACCATGGAGGGCGGTTCGATCGAGGTGGCATTGGAGACCTCCGAGAAGGCGGGAGAAGTCAAGGGTGCTTCGATGGGGCGGTTGATAGAAGGCAGAGTATAGATGGGAGAGAGTTGGCGGGTGGTGGAAACGGACTCGCGGCGCGAGTGGGAAAAGGTCTTGGAGCTGGACTCGGAGTCGGCCCAAGGGCGAGTGCTGAATCGTGGCCGGGAGGGGCTCACGACGGAGGCGCGCGCATAGGGTGCTTCGATGCGGCCGCCGAAGGTGCGAGAGGCGGTTGGCGTGGAGAGACCGCGGCGTTTGCGGTTCATGCTGCCGTTCCACCAGTTCTTGACGGCGTTGTCGCTGCGGTTCCCCAGCCGGCGGGCAATTTCAGCCCAGCGCTTGCCCATTTCGTTCACCATGCGTTCGATCATCATCCCCTCGTCGGAGGAGATGGGCTCCCGGTTGAGCGAGGGCTTCAGGTTTTGGTGGAAGCGTTCTCGACATTGCTTGGGCGAACGGTAGTGCATGTGCTGGGAGATGCGAACCCAGTTGTTGGGGCCCTGTTCACGAACGAGTTGAAGCAGCAGCTGGTCTTCTTCGGGGACCCAAGGTCCACGACGGTGAGAGGGAGCCATGTGGAGAGAGTTGGCGAGAGGGAGGAGAAGCAAGGACGGATCAGGGAAGTACAGAGTCAAAATTCAAGCCACCAAGAGCAGCGGGTGATGATTATATCTGCAATCTGCAACCCAGGGGGACGGGTCCAAGAAAAATGGCCAGCTCCACTCGCACACGCTATGGGAAGAAGATCACGATCCAAGATCTCGGAGCTGACAGTTCGGAACAATACGCGTATTGACGTGGTGTAATCTTCGTTGGTACGCAGCTCCACCTGTCCCGGTCCCATCGCATCCATGGCTCGCAGGAGATCATAATAAACACGCCCTACTTTTTGGACATTCACATGATTCCTAGATTTCTTGACCATGCGCTTTCTTTCTTTCTTTCTTATTTTGTTTTTTTCCCCCTTGACGACTCGATCCACCACTCACCCGAAGAGTCGTATGAAGAAAGGAAGAAAACAAAATAAGAAAACAAAATAAGAATAAAAATAAAAATAAAAATCATAAAAAAACAAATGCCCCGGGGATCGTCATCGCGACCCGGGAATCCGGGCTGAGGAATCCCGTAATGATCGTAGGGATCGACCCTGAGCCCCGTCGTTGGAATTCCAAATCACTGCCCGCGCTAGAGGAAGCTATTTTTTAAAAACGTCCGAGCGCAAATAAATCGAAATAAAGCCCAAAAGGGACAGTGCGGTCACCGCACTAGGCCGTTTCGGGGAAGATCCAACGGGCCGGCACAAAGCAACTTTGACCGGGTCCAGGTCTTGGAGCAGCTTCCCTCGTGTGGCTTGGTGTAGCTCGGGTAGTTCAGGGAGCTTATGTTACCGATCGTGTCGAGCATAACTACGGAGGAGGCGAAAGTAGGTCTATCCCCGGTATTCAACACTGAGCATCGAGCCAGGGGCGAACTGGCGACACGGACGAGCGTTTAGGAGGCCCAGTCCTGACTTGCTCAGCCAGCCCATGCACGACACTCCGTCCGACGGTGTTCGATCCATACGCAATCGAATCCATCTCGAACTGTGATTGGTTTCATCGGCGGTTCCAGGAGCTCACACGGCGGTCCACCGTGGATCCCGAGCTCGGATCGTATTGACAAATTCCCCTCTTAAGACAATTGGAATATGGGGAAATCGTACATACAGGATCACGCCCCCCGTCAGTGACATGTCCCCCCCGAGCAAGTCCGACAGGAATGTGGAGCGCTGCACGTCTCCTTTTTTCCTTTTGGCCCTGTGTATGTGCCTTGCAGGCACACCTCTGGTCCAATCATGCCGTCGTCGCCGTGATGCCCGTGATGGCTTCCCGTCTCTTTCGCAGGGACTCGAGGCCTTCGCTAATGCAACGAGCATGGAGAGAAGTGCATGGACCACCTGCCACCTGTCACGACCTTTTGGACCGGTGGCGATCCCCGTGACGTGACGTGTTTGACTGCAGGACGATCTGATCGTCTCTCGGCTGCACTGCGTGCAATGCCCCCCCCTGGTAACCAATCTATTTCCCGTCCCTCTTTTCCCACTATGTATTTCCCACACCAAGCCCTGGTGTACCGGACTTGATACATCACCGGATCGGAGCTAGAGAGATCGCCGTTCTGTGGAATTACCCTTTCGGGTCCCTCGCATCGGGGGCCCCTCCACTTCCCTCCACCCCGGTGGAAACCGTTGAGAAATGCTGTCGCCAGCCACACCTTTTTTTGCTTTTTCTGGACCGGAGGTGTTTTACATCTATTCCTAGTCCTTTTTCTGCCAAGGCCTCCCTCTGTTTCTTCTCGTTCTATTCTTTGCCCGAACCCCCCTACCTATATCCACCCCCACCGTAACGAACTTCTTTCCCCCACCGTCACTCATTGGACTGGGTATTTGTCACTCTGGACCCATGTCCCGGTTCGGGCAGGGATGTACGGGAAGAGACAGACTCTGTAGAACACAATTAATGAATTCCAGACGGGATTCTCCCGCTCGGTTAAATTAAGGAGACGTTCGTGTCAGATATTTTTGGACGCTATCAAATGGATACGGGATACGGAATACGAAGCGGAGTCGATGCTTCCAAATCTTTTGATTGATTCTTGATTTCCAAGTTCCAGCTCCTTTCCAGTTCGGACGGTTCCAAGGCCAAGTCTGCATGAATGACGGAAACCCCCATGTGGATGAGATCAAGAACGTTGTGGACCTATCGGATTTCCATACCTGTGGGAAGAAAAAGCTGTTGTGTCAACAGGATGAACCCGACCTCCTGGGATGCAACATCGACTAGGGTGTTCCCGAGATGTGACAGGTCACCACTTCTGCACCAATCAGCGGTCCGGAGGCTATTTGAGATAAATCCCTGTCGCGCGATGCAGGGATCCCCGCCGATCGCACCCGTGCACGTCGAGACTGGAATGTGGTGGCTCCCCTGGACCCTCCACGAGTGGTCGAAGGAATCAAACACTCTATCAGTTCCTGGGGGACGGGACCCGTCTCAGCCCGAGACTACCTCAAACAAAGAAGCGAAGCGGCTGGGAAAAAGGAAAGGATGCAAAATTCAAAATAAGTTATTGAGTAACTGGAAACCAGTGGAGCGAACGGCCTCGCAGCCGTTTCCCGGCTGTCGGGTTCTCCCACGCTGCGTGGCGCGGGCCCCATGTGTCACGTGGTTTGGGCCGTGAGGGCAACCAGGGGGGAGGAATGGAGTGGATGATTATTTCAGAGTCCGAGGGTGCCTCTATGTACAGTACAAACTACAAACAAACGGACCTTTGTTTGGAAACTGCCGTTCTGGGTAAATGGGGGAGTTTGATTGGCCGGTGACCGTCGGGGTTTAGACCTCGGGGACCACACGTTATATGGTGCCCGGGCTGTGGGAAACCGTTATACGCACCACGCCTCTTTGGGTGACCTGCCTACACCTGCAGCCATCGATCCGTCCTGAAACCTCCATGGGGCTGTCTGTACCGAGCGCTTTGGGTAGGGGGGGGGGATGTGTTACGACGAACCCGTGCACCGGAACCGTTCCTGTCAATACTTCATGGGCATACCCTACTCCATTCTCGGGACATCACCGAGTAGTCGTACTGGAAGGGAGACGGTGCCCCGAAGAGCGGGCAGCCCTGGACTCAGCAGAGAAACGGCCGATGCCCCGCCTCTACACCATGACTGGCTAAATCTCCGCTTAAAATGGGGGTTTGACAACGGTCTCTCGAACCAGTTCGTTTTGCCCCTCAAATCCCGTAACAGCCGCCACAGCCGAAAGGAGGGGCACAGACAAGGTTCACCGAACAAGATACCTACAATGCCCGTGAAATGGCCACCCAAGTGACCACCACGCCAAGCGCCCAAATGAAGCGAGTTCTGAATGCACCCGTGGCCCCTTCTGGGAACCGGACCGTCAATCTATGGGGTTGCAACTGTTGCGTCAACCACCCAGGTCAACTTCCCGCTCCCGGCTTAACCCTATCTACCCGGTCCAAACTCAATCGGACTTCCCAGACGAACTTCCCAGCACAAAGGTACCCGTGACAACTGCGTCTTGGCGTCCTGCCGGGAATGTTCTGTGGTAAACTCTATGCTCTGGGGACAGGACCTGAGACCTCCGACCGTTGAGTAACTTTCTCGCCGGCTCCCCGTTAGAAAGCTAGAAAGCTACAAAGCCGGGGTTAGAGGGGAGGCACCGGTTTTTTTTTTTTTTTTTATTTTTTTTTTAATTTTTAATTTTTTTTTACCGTTTTCCTCTACCCCTTTTCCTCTTTTCTCGCCCTTGGTACCAGGGTCGAAGGGTTGTGGAAGGACCGAGTGGAGTTGGTGCAGAGGGGGCGGCACATGCCATGACGATTCCAGCGGGACATTCCAAATAATGATTCATGTTGTCGGTTTTCTCCAGCCCGTTCTCATACATACGAGACGCCCGGTGGGCCTCGTTTGAGCCGCAGTCAGGGGGGAGGGGGGGGGGGGGGGGGGGGGCGGCGGTAAGCTAGCATCCGTTGATTTGTATTTCTGGACCTTTTCGTGCCTCCTACCGGTTTAGGTGCTTCAACGCGAGCTCCGTCCCCCACCTGACTCGTGAGACTGGCTTGGCTTTGGTGGGACCTCGCCCCTATGGTACGAAATAGCCGCTCTCGGTGGAGAGCGCCATGATGCAATGACTCTTGGACAAGCCTAGACCACGTCTAGTTCCAAACGGTGGTTTAGCGGTCTACACGTGTCTGCCATGCCCTGAACTGTGGGGCGTAGGGCATCACGAAAGTTGAATTAGTTAGTTATTGAACCTTGGTGGCAACAACCAACGACCTTAGAACGTACAATACTGCCAAGATCATAGTACAGTACATCTTACCTACCTAGTTTGAAAACGATAGTACAATCCGAATTTCTACTGCCCTCGACCCTGTTATTTCCTGGCCCATGTCTTATTCACCCGCTTCGTGAAACTAACGGGATATATATCTCACCTGAACAGGGTGCCCAAGTCTAGAACGGCGACCTGAGGCAGATAATGCCCCAGGGAAACTCAAAACAGCACAGGAACCTGTTAGCAAGCCCACTTGCCCCCTGCCCCCCCCCTCATTCACCCCACCGGGTTCTCGATCGATCCAACGACAACCATTCCAGATGGCATCCATCACTGCAAGCCACACCAGTTAGATCGCAGCCCAACCGAACTCTTCATGCTGCCATCCACAATCGGTCACGCAGTGGCAAAACAAGGAACCTGGGATGACACCGCACATGGGGAAGACAAACTAGGTAATCGACCGGGGCTCGTGGTGGTGGCTTCCGGCAAAACAGCTGGACCTGAGACCAGCGGATGCAAGGGATACAAGGCAGGAAGGTTGGAAGATCAGGCGATCAGAAGATCAGTGGATATGCAAGGTTGGGCCGTTTAGCTTTCATGGCTTGACGTTATTGTTTTTCTTGCGTTGCGGCGTCGTGCGCCTAAAGTTTACGCTGTCGTACACCGAGGTTGTCCGGCCTTGGTTCTGGCTGGGTCTTTTTACACTTTTTCCCTTCGTATTCTCTTTTTTGTTTTTTGTTTTTTGTTTTTATTTTACTTTGAACCGGGATATTGAATTTAAATGTACAATGGATTTATTGGAAGTCAAATGCCGGGCCCAAATCCGTGGGTAGCACCATGTGGTCCGCAACTGGGAACCTGCAGAATGAGACGGGAAATCGCATGTCTCGGGCACTCCACGCAGAGTTGATCCCCCCCCGTGCGGTCCCGGAATTCCCTCGTTTTCCCATGCCTCGTTTCTTGATCCCCCTAGCCTCGACTCCAAAACGTGCCAGGAGGTGTCTCAGCTCGGCTCGCTGCTCTGATTTCATCATTCGACCGACCGTCTCGGGTCAGACGGCGGAAGGGGTCTCTCATTGGACCGCTGCTCTCTATATGGCGTTGTTCCTGTGTGTCTCGATGCCGATGCGGCGCTAGATGCGTAGATTTACAGGCTGCGCTGAGCTGCATGTATTCAAACTTTTGATATGAGCTAGCTGTATGGAACTGGTCCTTGTACGTGTATGGCTTTGAATTTGTATGACGTCTGACAGAAACTTGAATTACGCTTATATATGTAGAGTGCTGCATTACGCTGTCAACACCGGGATAAGGTAGCAGAGAGCAGCCCGATAGCTGTCTGCTTTTGAGACCAAGTCTGATTCAGCTCTATGGCCATAGAAATCACGCATGTATACGACCCTATCGTCAATGACGTCATCGCTTCTAGACCGAAGACTTCACTCGGTATGAGGCTACTCTCCACCACATTCGACTTTCAGTGCCTGAAATAAACCCCCGGTACTAAGTCCAACATGTCTCTACTGGCCCTACGCAACGCAAGTATTATAACGGATGAGAATACAGACCCACGGGAATCTGCTCACTGGAGTGCGAAGAACACTCTAGCCATCGCCATTGTTTTCATGGTAGTAGCCACGATTGCATTTCTCCTTCGACTTTACAGCCGACAGAAGACGGTCTGGAGGGTGGCCCTCGAAGACGTGCTGATCGGCATCGGCCTAACTTTTTCGTATCTGCTCAGCGCATGCGTAATAATTGGTAATTCTTTGACCCTCGCGTCCCATTTAGCAGCGGTCTACTGACCATGACAAGCCGCCTGTAATGGGGTAGGATACAATATTTTTGCATTGCCACGGCAGACTCGAGAACGAGTCGGGCTTGTAATATCCCATATCTACAGCGAGCTTGAGAATGCAATATCACTAATCCTACTTCATTTAGGTGTTCTGGATCGGGTAAAAGTTTTGGGTCCTCTCTCATTTGTTCGTGAAGCTATCTATTATCTTCCTGAACGTCGCTTGCTGCATGTTTCTGGAAACTGGCAGAAGGTAACGACGGGGCTGATGGTCTTTACAACAGCGTGGGGCATCACGAGCATCATCGGCAATGCTTTGCAATACTTGCCTCCGCGCTATTTCTGGCCGAGAGATATCGACGGCCATTGTCCCGATGATCAAGAGGCCTTTACAGTTGTAATCGGGTCCCTTGCTCTCGCGGAAGATGTGATTCTTCTGATTATACCGATCATCGTCGTCTGGCAATTGAAACTTGTGCGGGCAGAAAAGATTCGAATCACGATACTCTTCTCATTTGGCCGTCTGTATGTGCTCCTTTTTTACCTCTGGCTATCTTCGGGCTTTACTTATAGGAGTAAAGTGTGTATATTTGGTATCTTGCGGGTTTCAGAATTGGTTAATTATCACGCCGAAAATTTGACTGGTAAGTCGTTTACAATCTTCGAGTCTTTGGTTTCTAATAAATGAGGTAGCCAGCGGCGCATTTGAAGTTACCTGGGCGGTGCTTGAGATCAATTTAGGCATAGTATGTGCGTGTCTAGTGCTGATGCGGCCATTACTACATTCTTGCGTGACCTATCTCAAGCGGCGGTTGAGCCAGGGTAAGGCATCTCTATATTCAGGGAGCTGAGTCTTAATAAAGGTATCCATCCATGTATTTGTAGAAATTTAGAGCTTTCAATAAAAGATCGTGTCCTTAAAACAGATGAAGAAATGAGGCTAGCCTTCATCCCTATTTTAGTTCCCTACTGAAGCATCCGTTGCCTCGTGCAGGCGGACCGTCACTACCTCCGCCGGGGAGCTTGTCAGCGCCAAACCGCAGCGGATCTGCCAGTCCGGATTGACGTCCTCGATTTGATCAAAGCGCTGCAATAGACGAACAAGGACGTAGCCAGCCTCCGTAAGTGCGAACTGCTGACCAATACAGATGCGAGGCCCGCCGTTGAAGGGGATGTACTCCCAGCCCGCCCTGCGGTTAGCCCAGCGCCCGGGCTTGAACTCATCGGCATCCGGGCCCCAGAGGTCCTTGCGGCGGTGCATGACGTGCGTGCTGTACATGATGTGTTGTCCCTTCCGGATGAAGATAGGGGAAAGACCGTCGCGGCCACCGCCGCGCGGGAGGGAGGTGTCACGGATGGCAGAGCGCCGGTTAAAGGGGACGACCGGATAGAGACGCAGGGTTTCGTTCATGCAATACTGCAGGTCCTGGCAGGATTTGAGGGTGGCGAAGGTGATATTCCGGGGCGCAGAGTAGGTGCCAAACTCGGAGATGATCGTTTCACGTAGCTTGCGGAAGACAACAGGGTGGCGCGCCAACATCAGGATGGTCCAGCTAAGTAGGGAAGCGGTGGTATCGCGACCAGCCAGGAGAATGTTCAAGAGTTGCGAGCGAACCTCGAGCGGGTCCTGTGTCATGGAGACTAGGGCATCTAGGAAGACGTAGCCCGTGGGCTTCTCCTTGTCCACGGAGGCCTTCTTTCCAGTTTTTACGGCAGCCAGCGCATTATTAACAAATTTGTCCACAAACTCATGCACCTGCTTGTCCGAATGGCGGGTTTTCTTATTGTCGACAATCCAGGAGAGCTTCTCGAATCGGGCCCGCTGGGCCGCAACCCACTGAGAGTGGTCAAAGAATGAAGCGAACTCATCCTCGGGCCGGTTGAGGCCGTGCAACGCACCCATCTGGCTTTCCACACTTTCGCCAAACAGAAACTCCGTAGCGGAGTCGATGGTTAGTCGGAAGAAGATCGTCTGGATATCGGTGCTGGCGGTCCACCCATTCGCCGCCACGGGCAGTGCCTTCATCGCCTTCTGAACATGGTCTTCCTCTAGATCCAGCTGGCTGATCTGCTCGCGGGTAAACTGGGGGCGTAGCAACGAGCGAGACCGCGACCATTCCTCGCCGTCAGCCGTGAACTATACCTTGTCAAATACATGTCACTTTAGCGTTAGGGTAGCAAAAGCTTACGATTCCGGTGCCCAGCAGTGGGTGCAGGCTCACGCGTCGAGCCGCCCCAAGCTCGAAATCTTTAAACTGAGTCGCCAGCAGTGCCTGAATGTTCTGCGGATCGATGGTGAAGATATTGTTGCGGCCAAGATTGCGTAGGACGAAGGTTGTGACGTAACGGTTTTCCTTTTTGCTAATGACCGTCACACGATCCTCAGCCAGCTCCGGGAGGGTGTTCTCGCGGTCGGCGGCGAGCGACGCCTTAAGGTTGCCGATTCCCAGCGGGTCCTTACATGGGTACAGCGGCACGGCCCCACAACCCAAGCTCTTGGCCTTGCGCAGCTGCTGCCACGAGACGAACAGCAGCCGGATGATATGCAGCACGAGCGCCGCGGCCGCAAAGCCGAGGACGAAAGAGGTAGCCATTGCGGATATTGCTGCTCAGGGACATGAGCGACATGAGCGTTGCTTTATCTCTTACATGAACCGAGCGAGTCTCGGCAAAACCTCGGCTGTGCCGAAGTGGCCGAGTCCAGACTAGTCGCCATCAGGAAAAATCTATGTGCAGTCATCTTAGTGCGTAATAGAAACGGAGGTGGACGTTAGAGACGATTGGAGGCCTCGGAGCAAGTGCGTCTCGGCTGAAGTGGTCGCGAATCCTGTTGGTCGCTTCAGTGTGGATTGAGGTAGGTGGCACTCATTACATTCAGCCGTCTGAGTGGGAGTCGTGTGTTAACCGTGCGTTAGTGTGACTTGATGTCCTCAGTGACAGCCAACGGAAACATACTCTCCAATCAACGCAGATGCAACCGGACGGTCGACGGTGTGAGATGTTATACCTCGGGCGAGGCGCAACTACTTGCTACGCTAAAGTGTGGTCGGGCTATCTCGACAAGATCCTGACACTCTTCCCGGAGGAGAGGGGGGGGGGGGGGGGGGGCGTTAGCAGGCTATTCTACTGGCTAGACAGGACCACTCTCTAAGAAGCGAGAAGTATATGATTTTATGCATGATCAAAGAGTGCGCGCCCACCCCCGCACCGAGCCTGCCGAGCACTGCCGACGGATCTTCATTATACTACCAGCCGTGTACAACGCTGGATGTGGATAAGATACCAACCAACATTCGATGACCCCGGGGTCAGCTGCAATAACTATAGTTGCTTTTACGAATAAGCAAATCGTAATGGATTGGATCCTAGAATACCAGGTACGTGGTCGAGTGTCGAGTGTGGGGAAGCTAGACGTGGGGTACAGCCTCGGTTCCACATATGGCGTGCTCTTATTTGGTTAACAACCCCTCGGTGTCATCGGTCTCTTTGGTTCTTTCCCCAAATATCCGATCCCCAGCTGCATGATGGTCGCGAATCCAGCACCCCGAAATGGGCGAGTGCTCCGAAGCCGTTCAAGACTCGTATGCCAGCGGTGTCACTCTCGGAAAGTAAAGTGCGACTTGATAATGCGACTCCACAATAATGGCACTTGCACTAATTGCGAAAAACGTGCCGAGCCCTGTCAAAGGAGGGAGCATAAGACGTCACACAGGGAATATATTCCGCCATCCCAAGTCCCTTCACAATTCGATCTGTCACCACTCGGCAATCTCGGTACGACACCGCCAGATCCTTCGTTCATCGACGAATCGGTCGGGACCGGAGCTGCTAGGCGCAGTCTGCCCCCGAACGCATCTGCAAACTTAACCTCTGCTGTATCGGATAATCTAGCATACGTCGGAGAGTTCGCGGTCCTGCCAAATCATAGGCCGCTGCCTTCCGAGGCCTCGATCGTTGTCGGGTCCTTCTCTAGGACAGTCGAGGAACAAACGGTGGCTACCACAGAAGCTGACTATTTACCACCCCAATCGATGATCGTCGCCCTCACTGGGACCTATTTCAAATATCTCTACCATAGGATGCCTGTTGTGGATCGTCAGGACGTTGTTCCCACGTGCCACTCCACGCTTCTGCTACAGTCTCTATGCCTAGCGGGGTCTATTCTCCGTCATCCAAAGTCAACGACAAGTCTTGTGGAGAGCGAAAAATACTACTCAAGAGCAAAAGCACTATTCTACACAAACCACGAACGCGATCCCATTACCATACTCAAGGCGTTGTGTCTCCTCGCATTGTGGAATGTCACTCCTCCTGCTGTGATAACGATCGACAACAGCTGGAATTGGCTAGGTCTTGCTATCCGTCTTTCCTTTCAAATGGGCCTTCATCGGGAATCAACGTACTCGCAAAGATCTACCCCAGGCTGTGCTCGCAGAATAGGGTGGTTTCTCTATGCGCATGACAAATTGCAAGCGGCTTGCTTTGGCCGGCCCCAAATGATCAAGTCACAAGACTTTGATTTAGATCCACCGCGTGTCACAGACTTTGAAGACGCTCAAATGGAACAAGCCCGTTTGTTCATCCTCTACGCAAAGTTGACGACCATTTTAGAGAAGATGTTGCCCCTTCACCACCGGGGAGTTTCTACCGGTCCAGACGAAGCTTTATCTGTTCTCTCAGATTTAAAGAATTGGGTGGCAATCATCCCACCGGATATTCGACTATTTGATGAACGAGGCAATAGAATCTACGAACGTGGCTTCTATGAAATTCTTACTTGGTATTTTACTTGTATCATTACATTTTTCCATGTCCATGGACGACTTTTCCACCCTTCAGCCACATTCACGATAACCTTGGTGGCGTCTTCATGCATGATCCGCCTCTATCAAGAGATGGACTACCGAGACGACATTAACTATCTCATGTCCATTAACAATTGGTCCATGATGGTAGCTGCGCTTCCTCAACTCAGCAGCATCCGCAACGAGAACATCACCATTAACCCCGGAGACGAAAATCGGCGTCGTGATCCACTAGAATTGGAAGAGCTAGATATTCTTTTGGGGGTCCTTGCTCAAAGAACACTAAAGTTCCCCGGTGCGAGGGCAATAGTTGAAAGAATTCTGCGCTGCAAAGCCGAGATATTGTCACATGGTGGTTCACTAAATCAATTACCAGGGCTTGAAGACACAAGGAGAGCGTCGTGGGACCCGATTTGGAGAGAATACACTCCCATGCCGAGAGTACACGAGTTATTTCCATTCGATCAGCAATTGAGCCCGAGAATAGAGCTACTGTCCACGATGGAAACGGAAAACTCTACAAACGGACTTTTCGAAGGTTTCACGGACTGGTCAATAGAGAGTCTTTTAAATCTAGATACACTCAACTCATTTGTCTCTTAGGGTATGGCTCTCGTCAGGATAATACAGGATAATAATAAATTGGGGCAGTCACTCGGTCCTAGTCAGGAAATCCCACGTAGAGTAGCACGGGTCAAATAAACACAGTAATACTAATGTAAGCAAAAGTGAAATTACTTATGTGGATGAACATAGTGAGCTAGATTTCCACCTCGCCTCGAAGTTCCCACAGTCTAATTTTTTTTTTTCGAAGACTACACCCGCTCCGTTCTCTTACACACGGAATTTAAGCGCTAATATTGATTTAAGGTATAACATAACTTCAAGGGAAGTGACAAGTAAAAACTATTCTCACAGCAATGACTTGGGCGAATCAGTGATTGCTTTAATGTACTCGAGTCTCGGAAACTCGTAGGATTTGAGCATCACCTCCTCCTTGATGCCATAAAATCTCAACGTTATTGACATCTTTCCACCCCCTGCTGGCGAGGGTAGCCAGTTATTTTTCCATTGGGCTGGCGGTGGAACGTCCGCGGGTTGCAACAGAATAAAGAACTCGCCATCCTTGGTTTCGTCATCGAGTGGGGACCCATCCGGAAAGGTCATATTAGCTCGATCTCCGAGAACATACCTATTCATGTCATTCTTGACGAGATACTGGTCTGCATCATAGGTGGTCAGACTCCAGAACCCGGTCTTGAGGAGAACAGGTCGGCGAGAGAAGCGTAATAAAACAGCTTCGTCATTTTTAAACCTGAGAGCCTCTGGTCGAGATGGGTAGATTGCCTGATCGCTCGTGACGCCCAGATAGCCGAACTTGGCTATGTAATATCTTGCAACATAGTTTGATCCAAAATTTCCCATAACTTCGGGATAAACGGAAATCCATCCATTACCAAAGTCCATCATGCCACCAGGAGCCTGTCGACCATCACGAGCTTGAGTGTCTGCAAATTCGGAGACTTGTGAGATGTCAACTCCTTCAGGACAAGTGAAAGCACCATCTTTCATTCCGCTTCGAAGGAGTATGTCAGAAATCCACTGTCTGTCCTCCAAGATAGAGGAAGGGTTGAAATGAGCTAGTGATGCAGTCAAGTTCAAGACGACTTGTTCGGGAGAAACCTTCTGTGACGGCTGATGCTCAGGGGCAGTAAAAATGGAGAGCTGAAACTGAGGAGCCAAAGGTCCAGCAAACCGGGGGACAGAGCACAGTTGAATCTGATCCTGATATGTACAAACTGCTTCTTGGTCCTGGACAGCTTGTGTCGTGGCAAATCGCGCAACGCATATTCCGTAGGGGGTGGGCAGATTGACATGACCCATAACAACGCGATCGCCTTTGTAATCTGGCGGGGGACCGACAAAGAAACCAAAATTTTCACTGGTATATCGGATGAGGTAATTTCCCGCCTGGTGACCTTGAAGACTGCCGATGTTGCCAATGTCGTTTCCATAACTAGTGGAAAGCCAAGAGTAAGCTGACTGGTTCCTAACGGGAAACTAAATGGCCGCTTACAGATCGTAGAAGGGATAAACCCAGTAACGGTCTGGGATTTCTGGTATAGAAATTTGCAGGTCGTTTGAGGACAGATCCACAAAGATAGTGGAATACAGCGTGTCCGAGTTGGGCCGAATTATTTTGAGGTCATCTGAAGTCGAAAGTCGTCGGTCATGGTAGAGAGTGTTGGTGCAGGCATTGGGAAATTGTGCGACATATTTGCCGTACTCCAGGAGAGGGTAGCCATACTATATAGCAACAAGTTAGACTTGACCACAGGATTCATCCATCTTCGTCTTACCATGTATGCAAAATTAAGCGCATGCTGCTTTTTTTTGGGACTGTCAAATGGCGAAGAAGTCATCTTTCTTTGCCTAATCAGCAAAACCGTTGGTATCTATGCGATGGCTAGGAAAAAATATATTTATGTTGTTGACAGGGGTATTTATAGAGTATCCCTGTTAGTTTAAAGTGAAAGTCACCGAGCTGTCTACCCCGCTGCCTATCCCGCTGCCGAAGTATTTCGGGATCTGCACAATATAGCCGAGCAATACCTATGGAAGGCTAAGATCACTCGCCCTAAACGCCACAGAATATTGAATTTGTCTCAGAGGTAACGGTGGGGGGAGAAGAGTGACTAGTAAATTTACTGAATGCAAATATGCACACAGAGGATCACGCGGCTTCAATCACACCTAATATGGGCCCTCTAGTAGTAAGATATTACCGTTATGATCACTTATAGCATGCAGTAACATTCGTGGGCTTTAGAGATGACTATTTGACACAATTCTCACTCCAGTAATTCCCGCAAATGAAAGCAATTTATTGAGAGCCTGAACATCGCCGCCGAGCACTTGTGCTTCACATGCATCCCTGCCAGTCAGGATCTGCTGCAGCTCATGCTTGTTTAGAGATAGAGATAAATCTATCTGGGATTCCACGCCCGTCATACTGTCATTTTGTTGTCTGTAAGTCAAAGCGCCGTTGCTGAGGATCAGCCTCCACGTTTCCTGTACGTCCGTAACGCGAATATCAATGCATGTGCACTTTTCATCTTTTCCAGCTTCCTCTCCATCAATTCGAAGGGCCAAACCACCAAGCCACTGTTCAATTGACAAAGTCACTGGAAAATTCCCTAGCCCGGATGGATATCTGTTCCGAGGTCGGTCTCCTCTCCTCAGATCCAATGCTTGGCCCAAGTAAAAGTTTCTCCATGTTGCATTTTCACTCCCAAATCCAAGGCGCTCAAAGACGTCTGCCAGCATTGCTTTTCCTTCAGCTCGCGAGGCAGGAGTACCCCCAGCTTGGTCTCCTGCTACGACAAGGTGACCTAGCAAAGTAGCGGCGAATCGTAAATCCTTCTCCTCGATGAAGAGCTCAGCCTTGACCAAAACTTCATTCACACCTCCAATGCATTTGATGTACCTGCAACCCTCTTCATGTGGTGGCCACTTCCAGAGATTCTCTGCATATCCATCAAACCATGTCATATAACGTTGGTATATGCCTTTCACGTTATGGCTCACACTGCCGTAGAATCCTTGTGTATGCCATGCCCGCCTCAGTAAACCATTGCCTCTGCAATCTCGGTGCCATTCCAGCCGTCATTCATCCGCCTCACTGTTTGGTCATGCAGGTAGGCATACAGATCCCTTTGCTCTTCTAACAAGCTCTTTACCTCCTCTTTTCCCCATGTTGACCAACTGTGACTACCGAACAAAACATCCGTTCTGTTGTTTCCACAGTATAGAATTAGAGTTTCGTCCAGATACCTGCTCCACGCCCTCGCATCCCTGACCAAAGTACCTCGAAGCGTAGTAATATTGTGCATAGAGTGGGCTGCACATTCTGGGATCAGAAGAGCCCGCTCATCGGGGAAGTACATGTTTACTTCAGCCGGTGCCTCGGTATCTGGCACCATCTGAAAAATAATCCGAACATCGTCAATAGTTAAAGTCTGTCCAGTGTGCCCAATGTCGATGGTAGGCGGGATAAGGCTGGTCTTGCCCTGTGAAATTCCCATCCCTAGTCCGACACCAACCTGCCCGACAGGAGATCTGGGGAGAGTGGAGCCATACATGTATACGGCACGGTGGCGCATGATAGGTCCCGCAATAACATTCTCCGAGGTGACCTCCTTCATGAAACCCTCAGGAGCAATGATGTGGATATCGTTCATCGCAGGACCTATCTTGGATTCCGGCAATAGTCCAGCCGCTCCGCCATAGTGATCAATATGCGAGTGAGAGAATATAATTGCTTTTATCGGGCGAACACCTCGCTCGGACTGGTAAAGCTCCAGTGCTGCCTTGGCACATTCACACGAGACTAGAGGATCAATGACAATAATGCCTGTTTTGCCCTCAACAAAGGTGATGTGGGAGATGTCAAAGCCACGAACTTGATAGATGGATGGGCTTATGCGATATAGCCCTTGCTTTGATAGCAGTTGAGTCTGGCGCCACAGCCTGGAGTTGACAATTGCTGGGCACGGCTGTTCGTTGACGAAATTGTACTGGTCGTTGTCCCAGACTATCTTTCCCTTGTCGTTTTTGATCAAACATTGCTTTCGTGATACTATGAATCCGCGGTCGGCACTTTCAAAGTCTGCAATATCGTCAAAAGAGGGTGAAGTGTCGCTAAGTCGGTTTTTATTTGCCATCTTATCGGGTGTCTTCGTCTTTGAATGCTGATAGGCGTGCTCAGTTCACCAGATTGACTTTAGTTGTAGTTACGTAGTTACCAGTGCGGGGTGTAGCACCTCTAGTATTTATTCCCAGCGCTAATGCTGTGGTACCAAATGGCAAATTATACTCTCGGCAGTCATGATCTCGGCGAGTCCACATACCCTAAGCAGGTGAGAAGAAGCTGATCAACCGAGCTTGCCGAGATTTATATCTAAACAGCTTTGAACAGGCCAAGGCTCCCTGCCCTTCTTTAAATATAATAAAACATCCTTAGTTCATTTAAAACTACCTTATGTCGAAAATAATATCATGTTTGCAAAACTCCGAGAAGATTATGATGGAATATCTCGAAACAACAGATCAGCATCCGCATGAGCCAATTATAGACGACCTACTGCTAAATATCTCAAAGCAAGTACTATAGGGCGCCCAAAAATACCGTACGTAGCTACGTCTCCACCTTAAGTTCAGGCGCAGTCACGGCTGAATTTAATAGCACTCTGTTTAACACCGACTTCATCGCCTCCTCTCAAGAACGCACAGTATCTCTTTCACCTATTACCGCAACAGTTTCGTTTAACAGGAATTCCTGGGAAGACTTTTGGGAACGGTAGGACCTATAGAAGCTCATCACTCCCCACTTCGCCGAGTTTACCGAAACATTCGGTAGACTCGGGGCAAACCTTGATAGCCCAATCGTTCAATGCCGACATATTAATAAAAGACCATATAAATTTGTCCGAATAGTAAATCAATTAGCTTTATTGCAACCCTCTTAATTCTAACTGTGCTGATTTTGAAACATGGCGACCGACAACAACGAACCGGAAATCGTATGGCGTCCGTCGGAGCGGCAAACCATAATTTCCATGGACGAGTACCGCGAACACATCAATAAAAGCTTTGACTTGAGACACAGCAACACAAAAGACCTTCAGAAATGGTCTGTGGAATATCCGCATGATTTCTGGATTGATCTATACAAATACTTGGATCTTGCGCCTCCCCTGCCATCTGCCATCAACAAAGCCTACGATGACACCCTTCCAATGAGCAGCATTCCACCGTTTTTCTTGGGACATGAGATCAACTATGCGGAGAATGGGCTTTTTGCCAACCCAGATCCTGACGCAGTGGCATTGATCGGTATTAGAGAAGGGCAGGGCATCTACAAGGACGAAGGAGAATTTGTTACTTGGCACGATTTTCGAGAACGTGTCAGACAGATTGCAAGTGCACTGAAGCGTAGTGGTGTTAACAAAGGAGATCGGGTTGCTGCTGTGGTTGCTACGTCAACTTGGGCTATACTCATTTTCCATGCGGCGGCCTCCATCGGGGCCATCTTTACATCGATCAGTCCAGAGCTTGGAGTCGATGGATGTATATCAAGACTACAGCAGGTCACTCCGAGCTTTGTTTTTGTCGATAGCCACGCAATCTACAAAGGCAAGGCAGTACCTACGAAACAGAAGATCGAAAAAATATTTCTGCAGCTCAAACCACGACCCCAGGTGTATGTTATACCGGTAGCCGCTGCTGGACTCGGTGGATTCCCGCCCATGGACGAGTTTCTAGGGAGGTCACTTCCTTCGGACAAACTCTCATTTACAAGGGTGCCATTTCATTACCCCTGATGATATGTTATTCCTCTGGAACCACCGGAGCCCCAAAATGCATCGTCCACCACCATGGTGTTATTATTCAGTTCAAAAAGATATCGAAAATCCACAACTGCTTGACTCCAGGAGACGTGGTCATGCAATACAGCAGCACATCTTGGGTTGTGTTTTATGGAATGTGCGGTCATCTAACGGTTGGAGCAACAATCGTGGTATACAATGGCAGTCCCTTGTTTCCAGATGCAAAACAACTACTGCGTATTTGTGAAAAGTATAGGGTGACACTTCTAGGTGCATCTCCACGTCTGCTATTGGAAATGCAAATGTCTGGAAGTGTCCCGAAGATTGACTTCGATCTCTCACCATTGAAGACGGTCCACACTACCGGCGCTCCACTATCTGTAGAGCAGTACAGATGGTTTTATCAAGCTTTTCCACCTGCAGTACAAATATGCAACATTGCTGGAGGGACCGAGACGGGCACTGCTCTTATTGCCATGGATCCATCTGGGCCAATCCATGCAGGAGAAATGCAAGTTCTCGGACTTGGAATTGATGTCGATATTCTGGACCCAGTGACTGGGAAATCGATTGCCCATACAGGAGAAGCTGGGGAAATGGTAGTCAAGAAGCCATACCCGAGTATGCCGTGTTTCTTCTGGGGTGACTCTGATGGCAAGTTATACAAGTCAGCCTACTTTGAGCGCTTTGAAAATATCGACGTCTGGGCGCAGCACGATTGGTTGAGGAAAAATCCAGATACAGGAGGCTTTATCATGGAGGGAAGAAGCGATAATGTCCTCAGTGAGCTAGATCGACCTTGCCTTCAATCTATCAATTGCTAATCAAATTTTAGATCCATCCGGTATCCGTTTTGGCAGCGGTGAAATTTATGCTATCATTGAAAAACGGCCATTCACCGATTACTTCAGTAACTGCCTCTGTGTTGGTCGTAGAAGGGAAATTGACACGGATGAGCAGGTTTTCCTCTTTCTTGTGATGAAGCCTGGGGTTTACCTTACACAAGACTTTCGCAACAAAGTTGAAACAGCGATCCGAAACGGACTATCGCCGCGCCATGTGCCCAGGTTCGTGTTAGCTGTTCCGGATATCCCAATGACAATCAACGGAAAGCGGGTCGAAATAGCTGTCAAACAGATGATAAGTGGCAAAGATGCGAAATTGAGCGCGACAGTCCAAAATTGAGAGGCCATAGAATTCTTCCGGCAATTTCGAGACCTGGAGAGCAATACAATGGGCCGAGCTAAGCTATAGATGGAGGCACTGATATCAACAATTGAATCAATATCGCGACGGAGACGGCGGGTACATTCATCGTGATAACTTACATAAGCTTTTGTATTCTTGTTTCTGACTGATTGTAAGATGGAAATCCTCGACCGCGGAGCTCTTCTTCGTATAACGCCGACTTGCCACGGGAACAGAGAAAGCGCCGGTGTCTTTCTCGCAGACTAATAACTCGATTCTACAAGCTCCTCCAGCCCGCCGTATGACTTACGAGGATTCTATCGACTACTAGCGCATACAAAGAAAACCGGTCCTTTGAGTTACAAAAGACTTGCCGGTGCGGCGAGAAAAAAGGAGAAAGCGGTCGAAAAGGGTTAAAAAATATGAGCAAGACCGACAACGCTCCTGCGTCCACTAGTAGCGTGATAGCTAGGGCAATTAATAAACTGTCCCAGATGATAAGTTGTTATTGCTACATATACTAGGAGGGATCATTGCCCATTAATGACACAATCATTCAGACTCAATCCATCGATGCTTTACGTTTAACAAGTCCTTTCCCAGCTCTCTACCACCCTTAAGTACTTACACGGTAGAACACTGGGAGTGTTTCGATCGGACAATCCACTTCAACCTCGCTGCCACCCTTATAAATTCTCGGGATGCCTTCCTGAGGTACGTTAACCTTACCCCAGAGAGTCCAGAATGCCCCAGCAGGGAGATAGACCGTGATGGTGCGTTGTCCAGGCTCCAAGACCGGCACCACCATATATCGGGATCCAAACATATACTGCGTTTCCACCTCCCAAGCCCGCGGGTCCTGAGGGAACTCATAAAATAGGGTCCGTATCACTGGCGATCCCTTCTCGTGAGCCTCCTGCATCAAACTGCGAGTATAATCGCGCAGCTCCTCTCGAATCCCTATAAACTTCTTGCAGATCTCGTAAACCTCCTCCCCGTACGACCAGATCTCATTACCTGCTCCACTGGCAGTTGGCTGGCCCTCGGGCTTCGGCTCACAGTCTCCATGAAGACGCATCACCGGACAGAATGCACCCCATTGAAACCACCGTGTGAACAACTCCCGGAACGCTGGGTCGTCCGGGTTGCCACCGTGAAACCCGCCGATATCAGTCGTCCACCAGGGGATACCGGCGAGTCCCATATTCAAGCCCGCTGCCAGCTGGTTCCGGAACGAGCTCCATGACGAGGCAATGTCGCCACTCCAGACCAGGGTGCCGTATCGCTGGCTCCCAGCCCATGCACACCGAAGCAGGTTGATTATGTTCGTCTGGCCTTCTGCTTGCATCCCCTCGTAGAACCCGCGTGCATACTCTTTTGGAAAGATATTACCAATCTGCATGTTGCTCCCTGCATGGTAGCGGTAGATATCAAAGTCGTAGATGGAGTACTCGGGCTCTGCCTCGTCCAACCAGAAGACCTTGATACCGCGATCGTAGTAGTTCTTCTTAGCCTTGCTCCATACAAACTCGCGTGCTTCTGGATTCGTAGCATCAAAGTGTGTAATGTCCCCGTCGCACTGCATTGCAACACGCATGCCGCGGTCGTGCCGTATAAGCAACCCACGCTCTAGCATCTCAGGATAATTCTCGGAGGCGGTTTCAACGGTTGGCCAGATGGAAACCATGAGTTCAATCTTGAGTTCTTTCAGTTCCTTCACCATGGCATCTGCAGCTACTCGTTAGCAACCCAGACTGGGCATTGAAACAGGACTAGTGCACCCTTACCCGGATCTGGCCAGAACTCGGGGTCGAAGCTCCATTCTCCCTGGTGTTTCCAGTGAAAGAAATCAATGACAATTAGATCAAGAGGAACTTCTCGAGATCGGTACTCTCGGGCTACATTGAGCAATTGCTCTTGATTCCAATAGCGCAGCTTACACTGCCAGAAACCAAGACCATATTCGGGCATCATAGGGACGTATCCCGTCACGCTGGCATAAGCCTCTTCAATTTCAGCTGGCGAATCACCCGCCACGATCCAATAGTCAAGTGCCCTGGTTGAATATGCCTCGAAACTCATCACGTTGGTGCCCAGCACGGCTCTCCCGATCCCTGGGTTATTCCAAAGAAACCCATACCCGAGTGATGAAACGGCAAACGGCACGCTTGCCTGAGAGTTGCGTTGTGCCAGTTCGAGATCTGCCCCTTTGAGATTCAAGTACGGCTGCTGGTACTGACCCATCCCGAAGATCTTCTCCTTGGGATCCAAGGACTCGAACCGCATGGTGAGATGGTAGTCACCACCAAGAATGGGCCGTAGCTCGCGTGCTTCTATCTCTAATGCACTGCATTTGGGGTCACGAGGGTCCCGTCGGTGGCGGGCGTATTCTTCGAGGATCTTGGTCCCGTTCGAGCTGTAGATTATGATCTTGCCTCGTGGCGAGACGGTGGCTTTGATCTTTCCATTCGTGATGCTTGCTTCTCCGTCAATAGGGATATCGATTATAGAGCGATGACCGCCGGGTTTGGATAAAAGAGCCCAGTCCTCTACGGGCATGGATGCGAGCTTGGTTGCTCGTATGCGAACGGCATTATCGCCCCAGGGTTGAATCCAGAGAAGATGATCATCGAAGCGAAAAACAAGCTTGTCGTCTTCGGAGAAGATCATCTTGGTTGTTAATAGGTTGTGTTCAGATGGGAAGTCTTTGGGAGGGGAGCTGAGAGGAGGGGCGCCGCTGACGCAGAAACGGCCGATTCAAAAGACCCGCCTTCGAACCCTTGTAAGACAAGACTGCGCTCCCTCGTTGGCTAGGGTAATAGGTAGCTGTCCACTGACCAGCGCCACTAACATTGTGGGAGATAAAGGCGCGAGTCCAACGGTCGTCGCCTGATTTGCGGGGCGCGGAGACTCGAGCCGGATTAGCCTGAATTGACTTTGATCAAACACGGAAGACATTCAAGAACGCGTCTCTCTCGTCATTTCGTTTGCCAATTTTGCCAACTGTCTGAACTGTGTACTACAAATAGTAGCACAGGGAGGGTTTCAACGGGAGAAAATCAAGCCTAGGAACCCCTAATTGTCTTTGTCGAATGTGGTCTTTATCCCGCGACGAGGTACACAACGTCTTGCTTGTTTTCGCTTGGGGAACTGGACCAAACAGATATTGTAAGTGGGCCTCATCACATTATTCTCTTAGTGCTACTGAGTTTCGCCTTAGACATTTCCTCAAAGTTTTTCTAGATGTCTTTGTATTTTTTTATATTTTTTTTGCAGCACCTAGCCAGAACAGGCAGAATAGAAAGATGTGTCATTTTGTAGCAGAATGAGAAAACTAAAAATAGGGCAAGGAAGAAGAGAAACAAAGAGAGAGAGAGAGAGACAGATAGATCTGAAGATGTATGCACATCAATGCCAATCTAGGCCCATTCAAAATAGGCGTTCTCACAACCCAGGGCATCGCAACTCGGAGACGCGCTGACTTGACGAAACTCGGGGATTTGTTACCCCAGTACCCAAATCCAGAGACCAACACGGCCTGCAGCATAAGATGCAAAGTGTGCTCCTAAGATGAACGGAATGAAGCCGCCGAGTTCTCCAGTGAATCAAGCTCATTCCGTTGATGTTCGTCCCCCACACGCTAAACCCAAACGGGAACGCGGGAAGGTCGCGGTTTTTGGCCTCCAAGTTCTCCCCTCGCTCACTTTACTCTTAAGTCATTCTTCTCTTCTCTCCCTATCACTCCCGAACACACCATGGCGGCTGTCACTGCGCCCACGGGATATCAGCACCCTGTCGCTGACGCTTCAATGGATATTGAGATGGATCTTGACTTGGGCCCGGAGCCCGAGCCCGAGGCTGAACCGATTCAGACCGTAAGTGCTCCCGTGTGATGCAACTCCGTTACCATTGAGCAAGGCTAATATGCGCTGGTAATTAATCTGTATAGGATGCGGCCACTCAAGAAGCCGCCTTTGACCCACTCGCCGAGGAGGCGTTGTACGAAAAGGTTCACGTTCGCGGCGTCGACGATTTGACCACCGATAACATCAAGCAATTCGCCAGCAGTCATTTCCCGACAGAGACACCTTCGCGCGTCGAATGGATTGATGACACCTCCGCCAATCTCATCTATTCGTCTCCCGAGATCGGCCTCCAGGCGCTGGCAGCCCTCACGCAGGTCGCCGAAGAGGAAGATGCCACGGCCCTGCCACCACTACGTCTACGGTCGGCCAAGCTCCTCGCGACACATCCCGATTCCGTCCTCCAAGTACGGTCTGCAGTCAAGACCGACCGCAAACAAGCGCGTGCGTACGAAAAGAGTCGCTTCTACCTGATGCACCCGGAGCATGATCCCCGAGAGCGCCTGCGCGATGAACTTTCACAGCGAAGACGAGGCGATGATGACGAAGGCTACCGGCGGCGCCGGTTCGATGATCGCGAACTGCGCCGGCGTAAAGACCGCGACCAGGATGACAACTTCGATGCCAACATGTATGATGATCAACCCGCCAGCTATTCCGACTCGGAACGTGGCCGTGGCAGCCGGAGGGGCCGTGGCCAGAGGGAACTATTCCCTGATGACGACCGCGCGTCTGGACGGCTTCGAAACCGCAGTGCGTCCCCGGGTCGGGACACTCTTGAAGATGCAGACCGTGTCGATCGATCCCACGATACTCGCAGGCGATTCCGTGAGCGATCCCCACCGCTGGGTCGTCGAAATCTCGGCAAGGAACTTTTCCCTGGTTCCGGAAACGGGGATTCAGGTGCACGCGAGTTATTCCCCAACAAGCCCACCTCCAGCTACATCCAAAAGGAGCTTTTGCCCAGCAAAGCTAGCAACCACCGTCGATCGGACGCCTTTGACGCTTCAGACGAGGCAACAGATCTGGGACGCAGGATCACCGTTCCCGGAAATCGCGGGGTGGAACTCTTCCCAGACTCCAGCTCTGGTCGTGGAGAGGACCAAGGCTTTGCAATTCGAGGCGCATCTCACGGCATGTCTATTAAGGGCCGGGGTGCTTCCGTCCGTGAACTGTTCCCAGACAAGTATAATCAGAACAGCAATGCAGGAAAGGAGTTGTTCGATGAAACGCTGGAGGGCCGCGGTGGCCGCCGGCGGAGAGCAGAAGACATGTTCGGCTGAGAATGATCATATGATAAGTGGATTGGAAGCCGGGCGTTATTCGATTGTCTCATAGAGGAGGTTCCTTGGCAGCATGATTCAACATGGCGTTATGCAAGTGAGACTTGGAGAAGGATTTTGGATAAAGAATCGCACATTGATAAATACCCTGCTCTATAATCAAAACACAGTCAAGATAATATAAAATATTCTGAAGCTCCCCACCATTCGTCGTCCATCTCCCAATGTTATCGGTCGAAGAGTAGAGCGAGCCAGCATGGGAAGTCGGGCTTTAAGCGACGTTCTCGTTTTCGCGGATATATGCTTCCGAGGCAGGACACGATTAAATCCTATTATGGATAATTATCTCCGATCCCAAGGTTTGTCAGACTCATGAAATAGTCACCTGTTTATTCTGCTTTCGTTCAATCAAGCTGAACGTGAGTCGATGTCTTGGAGCTAGTAGTGTTTTGCATATCTGATGCCCATCGGCGATAATGGGGGTTGCGCAACAAGTAAACGGAAGACCGTTTCTAATTTAAGCCCGCCAGCTATACGAAGTCCAACTTGATCAAAAAGTTCGTACAAATATCAGCGATATCACCTGCATTGTTTGTGTGCAGTCAGTATCGGGGTTAGACCTTATCAAAGCAACAGCGAATCGGAAAGTCGCGACCGCGGCCGAACTTCACCCACAGCTTCCTATATCTCTCGACTCGTGAGAACATGGCGCCCTCTGCAACAATAGATGCGCTAACGGGGGCTTTGGTTGCTCGTTTCCTGCGGACGAATAACTACTTGGAGTCACTTGAAGCTTTTATTCGCGAGGCGGATCTCCCTGTGGACGCAGGGCAGTCTTCGGGCGACGACACCAACAACTGGACCATTCAGGGCTTGCTGGAGGAGAAGAAGGCATTTGACCATACCGCAAACTTCGAAAGATATGGCAAGAGTAATAAGGATACAGAGTCTTGGAGTGTACCAGGTAAGCCGTCTACTTGGTTGGCACTGTCTGCCCTGAGTATCAACCTATTCTTTGCTTTGAAGAAACTGCCCAATCCCATGCATAATTTTAGACTGACAAGCTCTCAGCACCATCAAAGGCAACCATAGTGAACACACCGACATCATCGAATCTTCTTGCCGCCTCAGTTGAGCCGTGGCAGTTCCCTGAGGATGATACAGAGACCCCCACCACAGCGTCGGTCATCGTTTCGACAGGTGCCGATAGACAGGTACATCTGTCTCGAACTTCGAAGAATCATAATTTTATCACATCCTTCTCGAGTATATCGGACTCGCCGGTACTCGCGTACGTCTCCATCCTCAAGGGACGATATATCCTGATGACCAACATGTCCGGGCGCTTGACTCTTCTGCACGGGTCACGCGTCCTGGATAGTCGAAAAGATCACTCAAAATATGCTGTGAAGATTGTTGCCTATGAAGAACAAGGAGAGGTTGACTCATCACCGCACTTTTGGGTTGCCACCGCCGGCTGGGATGCGACGGTCTACCTATACCGTATCGACATCCTAAATGGAGAAGAAGCACCGGTGATCGGAGAGCCCGTCGCAAGCATCAAGTTGAAGACAAACCCAGAATCGCTGGCATTCGTGCGCCATGCCTATACCAACGAGTTGATCCTCCTGGTTTCGCGCCGTGACTCTACTTATATTTACTACTACCAAGTGGCACCATCGCCCAAAGAGATCGGCGACCTGAATCAAAGCGAAAACAATGCCAACCGAATCTTACCCACCGCCGAATGCCACCTTCTTGGACAGCAGAATCTGGCGCCTCATTCAAACGCCTGGATTGCTTTCTCCCCAGCGCACATGGCTCTCAGCCCGCACGATCCCGGCCTCCTGGCGGTAGCTACATCTTCGCTTCCACACATGAAGGTGATCATCGTCCGGCTCTTGTTCCCATCAACCGGCTCTCTGGTTGCGCCTAATGTATCCGAAGATGTACCTGTGACCCAAGCTTCTCAAGCACTAGAGGCTCTGGCGCTGCAGAACCGTGAGGACGCAGCTATCTTGGTCCAGGCCAATACATTTGCACCCCAGACGGCGTATTCGACGCCCCAGGTGGTCTGGCGGCCTGACGGTTCGGGCGTGTGGGTTAATGGAGATGACGGTGTCATTCGTGGCGTTGAGACAAAGACAGGGAAGGTGGTTGCGACGCTCAAGAATGGCCACGAGCCTGGCTGTAAGGTGCGTACTATCTGGGCGGGATACGTTGATGTGCAGATTGAAGGCGAGAATACAGGACAAGAGGAATGGGTCATCAGTGGTGGATTTGATAAGCGATTGATTTTGTGGAAAGTTTGACCTTGAATGTATAGAAAAGACTTGATTGTGATTCTAATTCTTAAATAATATTGGATGGTTTTTAAAATAAATAGGATCAAATCCAAGTACGGAATGCTACTGCTTACGGAGATGTAGCCGTTCATAGATCAACCCTTTCGCCACGAGGCGCGAGCGGGCAGTAGATAGACACGGTGGACATCGTTCTTGGCACGTAATAGAAAATCCTTCAGCAGGCGCGCATGAAAAAAGCACGTTGCTGTACACACATATGCCGGGAGTATGGGGGAAAGGGATGGGATCGAAACAATGCTGGGGGTAGCGAATTGTCTCGGGAGTTGCGACTAGAGAAGCCGCGAACGGCCATGCAGAAGAGATGAGAAACGCGGAGAAGATGGCTTCCCGAAGTGGGAATGGACCCGCTGCGTGGATATCGAATTTAAGCCTGTTGATTTCTGTATCTCAAACAACACCAGACGCGCCGCGCAAGGACACTAGCAGAAACCAGGCCTATTCGAAGCAGCAGATCGTTCGTTGATCATCGCACGTTATGTTCCCGGTCCTTGCGCGGATTCCCCTAATTTTTCCTTTTCAATTGCGTCCACATTTAAGCGGACTCACGCTTGCCCTGGTTGCGCTCCTTCTGTGTGGTTGTTAGTTATTTCGTTGATGATGACGAATTTCGACCGAGGGTGGACAGCCGGAACGGTTCAACGTACCAGGGCCTTCATGGTGCCGTGAAGAGCGTGACGGTGGTTGCGGCGGAACTTGGGGTCAACACCCTTGAGGGAGGGGTAACGGTTGGTCTTGGGCTTCTTGATACTGTGCAGAGAAATCGCGTCAGCATTTCGGTCATATAACCAGTTGGCACGATGGGCTGAAGTAGAGAAAAATCGAAAGCCTTGGGTTGTTTCAAACAGCTGCCCCAGTGTGTTCCACTTTGAGATGCAATATTCAAATCCAACCGTTCAACTTTGCTCTTCTCCCCTTCGCCGGACGATTGTCGTCTTGCAATAGAAATATTCGGACGTCGCAAGGAGTTCTCGTGTTCAAAGGGGGGTACGCACCCGTTACGGTGAGCCTTCTGGCTGTTGTGGTGCTGGGAGGCGTTCTTGGACTCTATAAAGCGCAGGCGAGGTCAGTGACCGGGATTTCTCGACAAGGAACTCGGCTGAGGCAAGGCAGTCGTAGAGGGTGAGACGTACTGGCCATCTTGACGGATGTGGTCGGTGATTGACGTTGACGGGATGGTGAGAGAAGAGGAGGTGCTTTCCGCACTCGACCCAAATGGAGGCTCGGCTAGGGCTCGCTTTGTGTGGGATCTCGCTTACCGCCGCGGTGCACGGACTCTATCAGCGACCCCTACGTCAACTCTAGTCTGGCATCTTGCTTTGAATAGATTTGTCTGATGCATTTTCAATATTTATTTTGTCTACCGGAAATAATTGGTCTGTTTTGGAAGTCGAGTGTCGGCATTTCTTCTTTCTTTCTCTGCGCTTGAAGAAAATTCACCCATCACGTGATGTTACCCGTATTCAATATCACGTGATCATATCGAAGTACAGGCAAAAGTGTCTACAATGTGCATGACTTTTTATGAGATCGGATGCGAAGAAAATTGATATACGGCACAAGATGAATAACCTCTAGGCAAATTTGGAGTAGAATTGCCTGGAATGACCATTCAACCCAGCACCCGAACGGTTCCAAGCCCGGCTCGTCTGATTTAAGTACTATGAGATAACGGCGAGAAGATGACATGAAAGAAATATGATAATTATGATGTCTTATATCCAATATAATCGCAAATTCATTACAACACCGAACAATCCAGTTGCAAAATCGAGTTTGTACACACAGCACATACCGGGTGGGTTCACCACGTGACTGAGCCACTAGGGAACAACCGGCTCCGACTTCGACCTTTGCACCGCAACCTTCAAGAGGGATCCTCCAGCCTTTGCACACCCATCAATTGCACAATGAGCTCCTTCCGCTTCGCTCGCTCTGCCCTGAGGGCTCGCCCCTCCCTCTTCAGCGCTCCCGTCCAGCGCCGTGGATATGCCGAGGCCGTCGCCGACAAGATCAAGCTGTCCCTGACCCTTCCTCACCAGGTACGTTGAACCCATCCGATATGACCTACCCGTCTTCATGGCTCCCGGACTAACATTCCTCTTCTTCATAGACTATCTACCGTTCCACCGGCGTGTTCGTTTACCCTCTTTTCGCGCGCTTCCACGACGCTCCCTGAGTACTGACGAACCTTTGCGACCACAGGACCCAGGTCAACATCCCCGCCGCCTCCGGTGACATGGGTGTCCTTGCCAACCACGTTCCTTCCATTGAGCAGCTCAGGCCCGGCCTTGTTGAGATTGTTGAGGAGGGTGGCGCTACCAAGCAGTACTTCCGTACGTTCGATCCTTGCGCCCGGCCCGTACCGTGACGGTCAACACTCAAGTCGAGCAAAACAGCTAACGGTTTCACAACGACAGTCTCTGGTGGCTTTGCCGTGGTTCAGCCCGACTCCCAGCTGAGCATCAACGCCGTCGAGGGTTACCCCCTGGAGGACTTCAGCGCCGACGTAGGTTCCGCCCGTCTTTGCGACAGCACGATTGATACTGATGGGAATTACAGGCTATCCGCAACCAGGTCGCCGAGGCCCAGAAGATTGCCAGCGGCAGCGGCAGCGAGCAGGATATTGCTGAGGCTAAGATTGAGCTGGAGGTACGAATCTCTTATTTTTTCTCGACACGACCATTGACTGACTTCTCGAATAGGTTCTGGAGACCCTGCAGGCTCTTGTCAAATAGATGTACATATCCACTTGCGCACTCCTCATTTGAACGTGTAGAATTATAGCAATTCTCTTTGTTGATCCTATTCTCGTGTTTTTCTCTTCCCTGGTAGAACGGGGATGCACCTTCCCTCGGTGCACGTCTCTCTTTTTGCGCATTTTCTCTCCTTTCTCTCACTTTCCCTCCCCCTTCCACTTTGCCTGTGATCCAACAATGCGATTGATGAGAAAACCTCTGGGCTGCATCGATAATCGTGTGACAATGACTGACACTCCCCCGGAAGGCTTTCTCTCCCCATCCTTCGCGTCTGTCATCGCGTTTGGTGACCTGCCGCAGCATGAAAATGCCGCACTCGATGAACTGCCCCCCCGCAATCGTGAAATGAATCCAACGGGGCGAATTATGACTGAACAACTCGGCGAGGCGCTGGACGGACGGGATGGGAAGCGATACCCTCGACTGGAGTTGGATCCCACCATGGACAAGTATCATACCCTGGACGGCCTCGCAGAGCCGAAGAACCCGCAGAATACTCCAGCCTCTAACAGTGGTTGCGATAGCCCACGCGATGCCCCTCGACGCGATAACGGAGAGGGTCTGCGCACCAGCTCCGCTCCTGCTACCCCGGCCTTGACTATCAACTGGTTTGAAGACCCGCCGGATGAGGACTCGATTTATCTACCTGGAGATGAAGAAGATAGTACCAAGAACCAGACGCGTCGTTTCTCTGCAGATGACAAGCCGCGCTCGAACTCTCCCATCACTGTGCCAAAGGGAGCCCACCTCCAAGCGGCTGTAGATGCCAGCCTCGTGGGCGAGGACATCGGGACGGCCATCGCAACTCTGAGATGTGTTCGATTTACCCCACCTCTGTACTCATCTCCAGCACGTTCTCCACCACGCTCACCTCGCCCAGTCAATCGCCCACTTCCCTCCGTGGAACGAAAACAAGACTACATCTCCACCTATCGGCAGCAAAAGCAGAATGCGAAATGGAAAGGTTTGAACCGTGCTCGTGCTCAGCGAGTATCGCCAAACCGCAGCCCTGTGAGAGCTTCTCAGCCTTCGTCTAACCCTGTGAGTGGGCAGCCAGGAATCCGCTTTTTGTCACCATCGAAATCGGCGTTCGGGGATGATCGATCGCGCTTGACGGGCCTGTTTCAAAGCAGCTCGGATCAAGAAGCTCCAGAGATGCCTGGTGCTCTGACGGATGAATCGACAGTTACCAACGGATTTGCTCCATCAAGACAGGCGTGTGATCTCGCTGTGATTTCATTCTCTCTGTACCGCTTCCGATACCCGGGATCATCGCGTGCAGGTGTGTTGCAGGTGCGAATGAACTCTACAATCATCCCGCTGAAGCCTTCGCTGCAAGAGGGGAAGACAAATAAGACGGTAGTAACTCGCATGGCGGTTGATGATTTGCTCTTGCATACCTATGTCGTCGTGCCAGCCTTGATGCTGCGCCTCCCTCTCCTCGGTGTCTCAGCAGCTAAACAATTCAAGCATTCACGACTCGGTCTTGCTGCAATTCAACTTTGGAAGATGTTCTGGGTCCTGGCACTCAGAGCTCTCTATTTCGTGATGCTCAAGCTGGGTCAAGATGTTTACTATCACTCGGAGCCGCGTCCCCCGCGCCAGAAGAAAAAATGCTCTGCTTGATGACGGAATTCGAGGGAATTCGGGGATGCGTGTACCAACCGAGATGGCTGCCGACTATAATACCAACTTCCAAGACTCCACGGTCATGTTTCTTTATGTTTTAAACATACCAATGACTGCTCAACTGCCACTCTTGTTTTTCAATTTTCTGATGAATGTCTTATCTGAGGTATGATGGGTTCTGCCTGGACGCTTGTTATGCACTGGCATTCTTGTTTCCCATGTTATGACTGAGCATGTCTTTGCCTGTTTAGTCAGTATCACCCGAGTATGTCTATTTTTATGATTCATGAGGCTTATGATATTCAATTCACTCCATTTACATGAAGGATATGAGTACCTGTCAATGACGCCGAAGCCTTGGAGGCCACAAATGGCCTCCTTGACACCCTTAACTTCGGACAGCGACATCTCGAGCCATTGAATGGCCTCCTCGCTAGCGATTCATGCTCATGCTCATGCTCATGCTCAGTATATCCGACATTCATCTTACGTAGCAAATTATGCCACTCAATTTCCTATGCTATCGCCATGGAAAATGAAACCTCCGCCGCGTCCTGACTCCTCAGCCAATTCCACACGTACATTATTCAACTCCTTGCGCATTGACTCCGGGCTAGCATTTTCCAGAAGGGACTCGAAGTCGACTAATTTTACCCCTCCTTCCGTGACGAGAAAATTGTATCGGTTCACGTCCCCATGTACAAGTCCCAATCCGTGTAGTTTCTCTAGAGCTGCTTGGCATATGCTCAAATCTTGAAAGGAAGCAGGACGTCCCTCGATCTTCTCTAACAGAAGCCCCATAATGCGCCCATTCTCGTGGATATGGCCGAGGAAGCGTGGGGTCAGCCCGGAACCTTCAAGCAACTGATATGCTCTTGTTTCCTGTTCGATACGAGGAATCTCCCATTCGAACCGTGCTATTTTGGCGATTATAGTTGCTGGTGATAGCAAGGTGATTGGAAGAAGCGAATGTGAGACGGCTTCTAAAGCCATTGCCGTGAGCTGTCTGGTCTTTTCCAACTCTAGACAATTAACTAGAGTGTGATGCCATTGACACTTGACGCCAGCTAGTGTTCGGTTCGAGAAAGAGGTTTCAATATTGCCGCTAGATTCGTCTCGCGAGATACGAGCCACAGTCCATTCCTCGTTGTAAGGAAGATTCGGCAGGGACTGAATAGGGAATGAAAGCGTATCTCTATCAAAGGTTCCGGGAGATATGATGAGATATTTGACTTGGTTTTCAATGCGCAGTCTGTATTCACTTTCAAAAGAATCATCATCGTCCACTTCCATGGACAAAATGACCGGCTGCATTGTCGAGTTTGAAGTTTGAAGGTCAGACATTTTCGCCATTGGACTGCTGACTATGATTGTTAGCTGGGTATTTATGCTTTTGAGGTTCCCTCTACCGTCGCTATGCCTCCTTCCCCTTTTTATTTTTAGAAGACCACTGTCATTGAAATACTCTGTTGCCTAAGGGATTAACCATTACTGTTCACAGGATATGTCGGGAATGCAGATCAGGGATTCCTGACAGCTGATTGGCTTAGGACTAGCCGTTAATGAAGGCCTTCTACCTATTTATAGACCCCCACACCCTTTACCGCGGCCTAACCCCAGCTTAGCGGCAAGGGTTCAACGCAATTTGCCCAATCAATTCCGCCACATAAGTCATGTTAGCGGTTGGAACGACTTATGTATGATCCAACCTGCAGCTGGAGAACTCGATAGGTGACCAGCTTTGCAGAGTCCCCTACAGTAGTTATTTTAGCGCAGCGGTTACTTGAAACACCCAAAATCTACGAAGCACACTTCCGACAGATTATTTATTGGTCCAGCTGTCTTTGCTCCCTCAAATTTGGAGAACGTAGAGTTAAATGGCGACAAATGACAGCCATGATAGGCTAAGCCCGATGGCAGCCACCAAGCCCGAAGACCCCCAAACGCTTCCAGAGCCAACGGCACCTGGGGCAAGATCTGGCTCGGAAGCTATAAATTGTTCGTCTTGGGGCGTCATCTACACAGTAACATTATCGTATTCTACAATCAATCTGTTATTATTATCTTTCATTGCATCAAGGAGAAGCAAACGTTCAGAACAGAACCCCCGTCCCCCAACCAAACAACAACAACAACAACAACAACAACAACAACAACAACAACAACAACAACAACGCTATACAAGTTTCTCGATAGTGCAAGTGAAGCTCAACTTTCAGCACTAGTCGCTTGTATTCATCAGAAGCGAACGAATACAACTCATTTGACGATATAACACTGTAAGGAGACAGTTATTTCTCATATCTAAACTCCTTTTAAGTTGAAATATTGAAATATCCTTTTAGGTTAATTATGTGCACTTCAAAGTTTATCAAATATACATGCGGCTGTAAGAAGGAGATGGAGTTTATTCAGTGCCCGGAGCGGCAGGGGACCAACGCAAAATGTCATCCAGTTATCAAGCAATGGGGCAAGGATTCGGCCAACTACTGTCCGAAGCATCTCGTCAAGCCAGACGCGCCAGTGAAATACACGAGTTAAGGTGGAGGTCTGGAAGAAAGCACAGTGTTTGAACTGTGGGGCTGCATTTACGTTGGGATGTCTAGAAATTTGTCCGGTTTGTAGGTTCTCCTTGGTCACTTAAAATGTAGTCTGGTTGCAATACATTAGCAAAACAGATTTCACATCATTGTCATTCTCTCCTATTAAAATATCCCCCTCTTCGAGCAGCCTCCGGCAGCTCAGCTGGCCGGATTTTACCTTCGTCACTCGATCTCCACAGAAGCTGTGCCTGTTCACACCATCGAAAATGTTCCAAAAAGCGATCTCGCGCATACACTTTGTCTCGAGCCTCAAATGCCCATTTCTCGCCCCTAGCGCCGATGATGTCTTTTTCAAGAGCAAGTTGACACCCGGCACACGAACATCCGTATTCAATTTTGCCAGTTTGTTTATCGTAATAGGGAAGTGCACACGACCCCATATAGTTGAATTTTTTACTTCGTTCTGAAGTGGCTAGCTGGGCTTGCGCGAGGGTATGCGGCTGCCGTCTACAGGCTAAAATAGCCTGATGAACAGAAACAATCGCAATGCGAGATTTGTATACAAATTCCTCCATTGAATATATTCCAGGCAAGGTCTTGAATGACGTCAATTGGTCCAGTTCGGCTTGAGTTAGCTTGAATTGCTTTCGGACAGCGGCAAGAGTCTGCACTTGGGTTTCTGGAGCCACCTGGAGGCATTTGAAACAGCATCGCCTCCAGGTTAGGAGGGATATGAATCCGCCGAATTCGCCGCAAAGAGTACAAGCCTTTATACATAGTGCATTGTAAAAGTCGAAAAGAGATATGCCGATGGCAAGTCGTGTCCGTAACAAAGCGCAGAAAAGGTTCAGTCCATGCGAGACTACCATCTGATACTGGCGGAGAGAGTCTACCATCTGTCGTGATATGTGATTTATTTGTCGAAACTTGAATAGAGAATGCATATCCAGACGGAACAACGTGTCATGCAAGAGCTCGAGGGGTAGCCGATCGAGGGAGCCTAGTCCAGCATTCGAAGTTCGCTGGAAGGGTGTTGCTATTGACAGACGAATATCAACGTGTTCCCGAGGCGGGTACCAGATCACGGACAGACAATAGTCTTTGCGATGGTAAGCGGTGGTTCGAACAATAGCGTCGGACTGTTCTTCATCAAAATGGTATTCGGTGGCGGAACGATATCCATGGGGTATAAAGATAGCCATTCTCGATTTTTCTGGACGCTTGGAAGAGGTCGACCTAGGAAGGAATCGCGACTCCCCTGTGTACCGGAAATGTTTCTGCCGGTAGCCGGGCTTTGCTGATATAAGCGGGTCGGTGGAAACCACACTCTTGGCTTTGTTCAAGGCCGCAAATCTACACTAAACCAACGTATCCAATACGTGTGAATCCTTTTACTTACAGTCACTTCACAACTTACTAAAACTCATCTACTGTTTGGCCCGGCATAAATTGGATGGCCAACGAGACTGAGAAGCTCGAATATAAGCTTTGACCCCGGATAAAAAGAGACGGAACCCTCTTCGACGTTCACTCACCGAGATGGCCGCTCAAAAAATAAGCAGACGGGTCGTCTGGGTGCGTTGGTGAAACTGCAGGGGCTAAGCGACGATTTTAAAAAGAGGGGATAGGGAAGGGAAAAGCATGAGGTCGAACATTTGGGGGTTGTCTATTGTTATTTAAACATTGTATAAGTTATATGACAGTTCCATATTACGGAGATATTGTACTATTGAGGCAAGTGTGGCCGAGTGGTTAAGGCGCTGTGTTTAGGTTATCTCTGATAACGTCCGCAGTGGGAAACCTCGCGCGTTCGAATCGCGTCGCTTGCAAAACTTTTTATAAAATTTTTTGAATCTTCCTCATACTAAATAAAACCCCCGTTTTTCGTCAATGAATAGAACCAGTCAGTCCATGGGCCTATGATGCAGTGATATAGGCAGTTAAGTGAAAAGAATGGAAATGCGAGATAAATAGAGCTGTTGAGACTGCCCGGAGAATGACTAAACTGATCGGGACCAGCAATGCCCTTATCTGCATTGCATGGTATGAGACCGTATATGTATATAATTAAAAATAATATTCTGGTGAAAGGACAATTCTACCAGCGACCAGGAGCACTTGCCTTTGAAGAATCGTGATCCTGGGGCAGGGGTATCGGAAGTGGAGCGACAAGGGCTCGGCATGGCGAAGAGCAAAACTAACCAGAACGAGTAATTCCCATGTCCAGCGTTTACAAAGGTGAATTTTCCCTTCGACTCCCTTGATCCTCAGATATCTCCATATCATCTACAAGTGACCCAGCAGTTTTGTGATCCACATCCTCACACCTGATGCTCCATGCATCCGTCCTGTGAATAGCCATGGCAGAATTGGTCCCATTCGCCGGTCTTACAGGCGCCGTGACAGCGAACGCAGCTGCCGAAGTTCCCAGTCCCTCGATCTCATCTTCCGTATATTGGGAGCGTATATTAGACTCCTTTGGGCCTCGATTCATACTAGCGAGCGCATACGAGTTTTCGTGTGCAGCACCGTATGAACTGCCATATCCTCCACCAACGCGTTTATGCAGGGAAACGCTGAGCATTCCGCTGTCGAAGGCGTCAAGGAAGGGTTTTAAACAAGGGATGCATGCAGTCATGAGGCTGACGCAAAGATTGAGTTGAGTTGTGATGCTGGTTGCGAAGGCGTCCGTATTCATGTCTGCGAGTGAGTTGGCTCTCTTCATGAAGATGAGGCGCGCGATGGTTATGATTATAACACTGGGTTTGGAGTTAGGCCAAGCAGCGGAGGAGTTTAGGAGTTAGAGTTTGAGACATACAAGATGCGGAAGACGAATGCGACTATAACTGTGACCTTTTTGCCGAATGATACTTGAACCGGCTTGATGACGTACATTGGAAGGATGCAGATGACTAGCTCGGTAGCGATGTCGACTGGACATATGGCGGCCCAGAAATCAAACTAAACGGATGGTTGCATCAGTACGTATGGTTATATGGTGTGTATTTGGGTGAAAATCCAAACTCACGATATTGATACAATGTCCATTATCCACATCCCAGGGCCTGGATGCCCCACACTTGAAAGCCAGAGTAAAGAAAACTGGAACAGTCCACACGGCTATCAAAATCGATGACCAGCGACATATAGTTTTGTGACGCTTGTTCACACAGAGCTTTTCCAGGAACTGCAAGATGGACACTTTGGCAAGACTCAAACAGAGGACGTATAAGAGATCCGATGAGTAGAGGGCCTGGCAGGCATACAGTGTTAATTACCTTTGAGTAGAAAGGTAGATTGAGAGCGGGTTACCTTTTCCACTGTGGTAAAGTGGGCTGCGGACATCTCGGACTGGAGCTTTCCAAGTCCATGTACAGTACCATTGAGAATAACTGCAGATTGAGCGATAGCCAAAGCCTTTTTAAATAAATGTTAATATTACTTCCAACAAGCACCTCATATTTCAGGATATGTAAAAGCAATAAGTGGTCAAGTACCTACCAAAGCAAGAGATACCATTCCATCATCCCATTGCAGCGACCGAAGCATATAGTATCGAAATACCAGTCGTGTCCACACAGCCATGATCATCATAACCAAGAGATATAGGGTTGCAATAGCAATTTCGTCCGCATGGTCAATGGCGGTCGGCGCCCGCGAGAGTCGTATAGGCAATGCCATAGCGATGCTTCACATTAATTCACATTCAGGCTTGAGGGTGGATTGTATAGTTTTGGGGGGATCGATGGGTAGCGATAATCTACAAGAACCACCAGTACCGTAGTATTGACCATCGGCGCTCCTGGTATATTGGACTGCGAACCGGCGCAGAAGATGGCCCCGATGGCCCCGATGGCCAGATCTAGGTAGATCTGGGCATTCCTGGCGTTATTTTGGGTCCATGCAATCTATATTCTATCCACAAAATCCCTCAAACTTGGAACCTTATTATACTTGTCACTAAGTCTCATGCACCATCGGAGCCTACGGCTACAAAACGGAAGGAAACACGGGCTAAGTGGACCGGGGCCTCGTATGGATCGGCCATCCAGGGGCATCCATGATCCTTCAGGATCGGTCAAACTTTAGGCAGCGCATTTTAGCCGAGTTGAAGTAGCATTGTTTGAGTCGGTCTACCATTTACAAATAACATTCCTTATTCTATAAGGAAATTGGTGGCGTAAGTAGGTTTCAACCCGATTATTCTCAGGTTATCCTTTGTTGACAATCGTGGCACGACTTAGTGTTCCTTTTTATACTCATGTGCATAATTTGTATCTGTAGTCACTTCGATACTTCAAATCTATGGATGTAAGAAACGTACATTTTTGTTTTACGTACTACATGGAGATGGGAAATCGGGAGGTTCGTTGTCGCTTCTGCGAGGAAATCAACAAAGTGCATTGGCTAAATCTGTCCCACACGATCTGCTTGGGATCCACCAAACAAATTTAATGATGTACTATGATACTCATCGGCTACGGAGGTACTCGTCAACTCCGGAGGTACTCCTACGTTGCATATGGGAGGATGTGTGGAGCCTACACTCATTAACTTGATTGGAGCACTCGTTAGCCCATTCGTCCGCCGTCGGACTCGCGGACACAGATCCATGTCAGTTCCAGGAGTGGATATGCGCGGCCCCATCCGCTCCCAATCTGGCATCGCGTATGTACCTAGAGTTATATTTGATTAGGATGACTCACTGCAACTAGCCTAGTAGCCTTCGCTACCATCTGAGAATAGTAAAGGGGAAGGGCATGAAGAAAACAAGGTAAAAAGACGTTGAATTTATGTGCAAACATAGACAGGCTAGGACATTTAGAGAATCTCCGAAAAAGTGCGGCGGATACTATCTCTATCGGCTGGACCAATATGGATATTAAACATTTTGCCCAATGCAGACACGCGCTCCTCATCGGAGCTGAATATCTGTATCACCTCCGATGTGGCACCCATCCGCTTTTTTAACGAATTATTAAACAGCGTTAGGTCACCCACAAAATTGTCACCCGCCTCATCCAGGAGCATCCGAACACACACAACATGATAAGTAAACCAGCTGTCTCGGCTGGTGCTCATATAGTAATTCACCATGGTGAAATCGTCGGGAATGAACTCGGTCTCTGTGAAGCAATAAGCGGGGATCCAGTCTCCGCCCCCATTCCGAAACTCGTATTGCCAAAGAGCTTGGGTCTTGTTGGTATGTTGGGTGATTGGTCCATAGCGCAGGCATCCGGACTGGTCACCCACGTTGTGGAACTCGAAATCCCGAGTTAATGGTACAGGCTGGTGTGGTCCATTTGATCCAAATCCCACGTCTATCAGGTACTTTTGTTCGCCGATAGTAACGAGGTTGACCATGTGGTTCCTGGGAGGAGACTTATTAGTGATGATTCTCCAGGGGGCAATTGATATTCCCTGCTAGCATAGGTCGCAGGGAAGGGTTCGAAGATCACTCCCTCGAGGCTTCCATGTTTCATGCGGGGAATGGGTGATCGTCAACCGTACCATCCATCGTATTTAGGGCCCTTCCAGTTCTTCGAGGCCGACATTGGCTGTGCAGCTTCATTAACCCTTCCCCCGACCGAGGTAACCTGGTAGCCCAAGCTTCGCAAGACAGTTCCGAAAAGCGTACTGTTCTCCATGCAGTACCCTCCCCGCTCGGACTTGTCCCCCACGATCTTCTCGAAAACCTTTTGCGTATCTATGGAAATGTGGCGTTGCACCGAGTAATGCAAATCGAGGTTTTCAAATGGCACTGCTGCCACCTGATATCGCTCTAGTACCTTCAAGAAGGTTAAAGCGGTCTCATTGTCACTAATTGCACCAGTCTGAACGACTGGAGATTGCCGATACTTCGCAGGAAGTTTTATTCTATCGAAGTATTTGTCCAATTGCTCCGGGGAGTAAGTGGGACGCTGAGACCAATCAACTGTCGAGCCCATGTTGAAATTGCTGGAAGCACCGGTGCAGATTGGAAGAAAGAAACGTGGCAAAAACAGTTTCAAGCGGAAGAAAGGAGAATGTCCAAACGCACGGATCGTGACGAGTGCGAACTATAGGTCAAAAATTGATTGAGTGACTCTGATCAAAGGGAAAAGAGTCGGAAGGAGTCAAAAAAAACCCTGGAAAAAGGAGATTTCCCAAAGATGTGGGATAAATATGTCTCCGTCTCCCTTCAGTGGACGGGCCTTCGGCTTTCGGCCCCAGTGGATCTGACATCGCTGGGACATATCGACAGTTGGCCCGCCGGTGGACCCTTCTGCTTGCCCAATCGGGTGAGAATTAATCCAGAAATCATTTTCGGGGGGTGGGACAATGTAACAATCCCAAGGAATCCCTGCAAATTAATACATTAGTGTGAAAGTTTGAAGAGAAAAGCCGTCTTCACATGGCCGGTAATAGCCCCACGTCGCATTGCTTAGCGCAATGAACCGTCTCTTCGCCCCCTTTTCTTCTCATATTGCACCGTCCATTTCAAGATTTAGGTAGTAGTCTGGTCTCCACTTAATTAGTCAGTACGTTTTGTCTCGGCCAGGCTTGGGGTCCAGAATCTCTTTCCATGCGCTAACCTGGTTTAACTTCGCAAGTGCAACACATATTGCCACGAGGCTAAGCGACCACCTCAATCTTCCAATGGGGTATTGGATCCATCTGCGGCCGGCCTGATAAGCGCAGCCTTGGTTCTTTTTCTTTTTTTTTGTTCTTGGAACCCTGGCTTCTCTATTCTTACTCTCTCTTCACTCTTATGCTGCCATAGATTTGGGTGTGATATACCTCCCCCTTTGAAAAAGATGGTTTTCAAGGATGGCAATCTAGCGGTTCGGGAGCTAAGCTCCCAGCGCTACAAGGACCGCGATGACGAGGATATGGCCAGGGCGGGCAAGAAGCAGCGTTTCGAGGTGAGTTACTTCCGACAAATATTGAACCGGGTTGGAAGTTAACCAGTACAGCGAAACTTTGGCTTCTTGTCGATGTTGGGGTTTACCACAACGATGATGTGTACTTGGGAGGCGGTGCTCTTGTAAGTTCGAGTATGAACCCCTCACGTGTTCAGAAAGCTCATCGATTATGATAGTTGTAATACAATGGCAATGGCTGATGGAGGTCCCGCAACTCTCGTCTATGGATTTATCTTTTGTTGGATGGGTGCACTGGTAACAGCGGCCTCCCTGGCCGAGATGGCCTCGATGTACGATGACCCGTATCCTTAATCCAGAGGCTCCATTATACTAACGCAATCCAGGGCTCCTACTTCCTCCGGTCAATATCACTGGGTATCAATGCTAGCTCCCAAAAGTCAGGCTGTATTCCTGAGCTGGGTGACTGGCTGGCTGGACTTGATCGGATGGTGGGCGAACACTGCCGTGGGTGTTTACTTCGGTGCAACCGTTACCCAGGGTCTTCTTGTTTTGAACTATCCCAGCTACGACTTGCAGAGGTGGCACGGAACCTTGCTGTGTTTTGCCGGGCTGGTTGTCTGCGTGCTCGTCAATTCAGTTGGGGCAAAGCTTCTTCCTAAGGTGGAAGGTCTCATTTTGATCCTTCACGTCATGGGCTTCTTTGCCGTTCTGATCCCTCTTGCCTATCTGGCACCTCACAAAGATGCTTCGTATGTATTCGGTACATTCACAAATGATTCCGGGTGGTCAAGCTCCGGATTGACTTGGTTGATTGGGCTGATGGGAACCAATCTCCCCTTTATCGGTACGATACTCTCCCATATCTCCCAATAACCCGTGTAATTTTATCTAACAATACCTGTCAGGTTATGATGGCCCCTGTCACATGGGTAAGAATGAATATGACAGCCCAACAAAATTATCTCGTACTAACGCACTCTTATAGCTGAGGAAGTCATCAACGCGTCTGTCACTGTACCCTGGTGTATGATCGGCACAATCTTGCTAAACGGTACCCTTGGATTTGCCATCGTCGTCACCTTCCTATTTTGTATCGGTGATGTCGACAAAGCCCTGACCTCCGATACTGGGTACAGTTATATCGAAGTCTTTTACGCCGCCACCAACTCTCGCGTTGGAGCCTCCGTGATGGCCGCCATCCCCGCGGCGCTCGTTATCTGTGCATCTTTCGGTTTCCTGGCTTCATCTTCCCGTCTCACCTGGGCATTTGCGCGAGACAAGGGTGTTCCGTTCTCGGACTTCCTCTCTCACGTCTCTCACGTATGAATTATCCCACCTCCGCGCCCAAATAATATAATAGCAGTCACTAACGAAAATCCATTATCCAGCTGAAAATGACCGGGTCATCCCTCCCCATCCGTGCCATCATTCTCTGCGCTGTCATTACAGGCATTATATGCATCATCAACATTCCCTCCAGTGCTGCGTTCAACGCCATGATTTCATTGACTACAGCTGGCCTTTTTGCCTCCTACGAAATTGCTATCGTGCTCATGTTCTTGAAGAAAATCAAGGGAGAGCATGTCAATTACGGCCCCTGGACTCTCGGCCGATGGGGGATCCCTATCAATATGGCATCAATTATCTTCCTTACTATCGCCATAGTCTTCTCCTTCTTCCCCCAGGGTCTGCCCGTCACTCCAGTTAACATGAACTGGTCGATTGTCGTCTTCTCTGGCGAGTTTTTCCTTGGTCTTGGCTGGTATCTAATCTATGGAAGAAAGATCTATAATGGGCCTATTATTGAGGCCGGTGTGGTGGTAAGCACGGAGGAACAGTATACTGTATCCTCTCAGGAATAAATATCTGGGGGCTGAGTGAGTGCCACTCATTTGTATCTAACATAGTATATACGCCTATCTCGCAATATTTTGTACACTTGAATATACGCTTCGTTTTAGACTATAGGTGGTATGAGCCTTGTTCCGTCCTGGTTTTCCGACGACTGTTCTCTGGTACACTTGGTTGCACCTGAGCTTCTTCCCGGATACCGATCCGAAAATAATTTCGTCAGTTGTGACCACGGTCGCTGCTCGTCCCTTCTTTACTTCAGCAGAAATTGGCTCCGGGCAGGTCGCCTACTCCAACTTAAGCCTCAATGCCTGAGGCTCCAATTTCCTGCCATAGTTAGCTCCCGGCTCCCCGACGACAGACATCCGCACCTTGAAATATGGCTTCTAGGGGCGTCCATCATCTGATCACCGCCACAACTGGCTCTGCAACATGCAACATGGGGTATTACATGAGAAATGCGCGATTAGACATTATTCTCATTCCATCAACGGAATCCACCACCATTCCTGGACTCTGTGTGTGTGTGGACCCACTTCCTGAGGTTCCAAGAATTCATACCGCGGCCCGTCGATGGAACCGGGCCGATCCGATCTAGCCCGATCTGACCCGATCTTGTTTCCCAATCTTTCTCATCAGACGGGGGAAAAATGTACCGCCAAATTTGGGGAGCGTCGGGGTATTCGGATATGCACTTGATTCTAATACCCAACTAATTGATAACAGTTTCTAGTAATACGTTGATCAGATTAGACGAATTGGTCCTGAGACGTACTGTAAAAGACCGCCTAGTGGTGAGTTCAACGACGGTATGAGGGAAAATGAGGGAGGTGGTGAAAGGGCAATTAAGATACTGTTTACAATTTTACACAGGACGCAAAAAGAAGTGCCGGTTTGAACACTGTCCTCAGGGAGGTACGGTTGATTGAGTGATTGGCCAAACAACAACATATTCTCCACAAAAAATAGAATAGAGAAAAACGAAACAAATTTTCATCCCAAAGTTGCCTTCCCATTTCAAATCATTTCGCTCGCAAACATGTCCATTATCCAAGAAAAATCATTTCACGCACCAGAGCATTCATATCGACAAGAAGTTGAAACACAACTCATTTATACAGGTCGTGGCAGTGTCCATCCTGGACAGAAACAATCAGATAACAAAAAAGAAAACCTGCCGAGTTCTTTACTCAAATTCCACGCCGGGCCGTTGTTGCCTGTCCTGTCGCGCGCGAGCTCTCTCAGCTCTTCTGCGTCGTCGGTTGTTAGCGTAGGACCCGCTGGCTTCGGTGCCGGTCCATGTACCGGGTGACGTGACACTCCCAGGGCCGTATGGCATACTCGAAGGTGCAGGATGCGGGACAGGAGGTGGCGGCGGCATGACACTGCTTTGAGACTGAGACTGGGGAAAGGGAGAGGGAGGCATGCTGCCTGATGGAGCGGCAGGTGCTGCCATTGCGGCCTGCTGCTCTCGTCGTATCTGCTCGGCCTGTAGGCGCTCCTTCGCCTCAACACGGCGCCAGCGATCAGATTCATGTTCTCCCCCGGACAGGGATCCTGCACTGCTACCGCGACGACGAGATTTTCGGTCCTCTCTGCGGCGTGCTTCACGTTGCGCAGCGGCTTCTTCTTCTGTCAGTCGGCGCAGCGTGACATGTCGACCGTCATTGTGCATCTTCACCTTGACGGAGACTGGCGGTGACTCACCATGGTCGTCTCGTCGGCTCACGTCGCTGCGGCGATGGCTGGATGCGGCGCCCATTGCAGCTCCGGCAGCAGCTCCTGCTGCCATCTCCTCCGCGTGGTGAGAATGGGAGTAATGGGAAGGTGGCGGTGGGCCTAGGTCACCGGACAGCTCATGGTGTACTGGAGGAAGGGGAGGAATGTCGGAGTGTGTAGGGTAGGCAGCGCCGGTTGCGACTGGTCCTGCCGAGAGGGGAGAGCCGTGTGATGATTGTCGAGGTGGTCCAGGTGGCCGAGGAGTAAGATCGGTTGGTGTGAGATCACTTTCAGTGTAGGAGCTTGGGCGTCGTCGCTGCGGATAGAATCCTTCACCTTGCTGTCGTCGCTTGCTGTTCGCTCGTTGCAGTTGCTCGTCTTCCTCTTCTCGGCGGCGAATGTCGTCGAGTCGGCGTTTTTCATCGTCATCCTTGCCTTTGCGGCTGAACATTCTCTTCACCGCAGCAAAGGCGCCAGCGCCAAGGATTGCATCACGAACCCCATGCGAGGGACGCCTCTGCTGAGGCTCAGTGAGATATGTACTATTGTAGTAGTATGATGAACCGGGACTCTGAGGCCTACTAGGTGGACGGCTGGGGGGTCGATTGAGAGGTGCTTGATGACTAGGCTCCGGTCGTCCCTCTTCCAGTCGACCGAGAGAGTCTTCTGAATAGCTGTCGACGCGCGAGTGGGCGGGTCTGTATCGTCCTGATTCGGTGTCCTCTTCACGGCCTCGTCGACGATCCCACCACTTCTTCGCCAACATACCCGCGCCTGCTAATGCACCGAGTTCAAGGATCTTTTTGCCCCAGCCACCACCGCCATGGTGACGAGAAGACTCATCAGAGTACTTCTCGTCCGAAATAGACGTGCGTGACTCCTCATAAGCCTGGCTTGTAGGGCGGTTTCGTTGGCGCCGCTGGAATATTGAAGCCAGCCCTGCTCCAAGAGCACCTCCGGCCAAGGCCTCCCCTAAACCACCACCGCCACCACCATGGTGTGACTCTTCGACAACCGATGGTCCCGTGTATCGACTACCGTGTTCACTTGCCATATGATACCCCTCGTCATCGTAGAGGTAGGACAGAACGAAGTAAGCCATCAAATATGCAAAAGCCGCAAGCGCAAAGAGGATAAAAAGAACCTTGGGGGATCCGTAGAGCGTCAGCCCCAGAGGAATCTGAATTATTCCTAAGAGAGCCAGAGCACGACCAAACCATCGGTGAATCTAAATTCAGGAATTAATCGGGACCAACGTGGTTTAATCAGGGCTGACTTACCACCAACTTCAAAGGAACATGGTGTCGCGTCCTTTTGCTCTCTTTCTTGTGTACAAACCAGCCCCAAAGCATCTGGAAGATGACCATGACATAGATTGCCAAGCCAATCCCATGGTGCGGGTTGGTTAAGCTCCTCTCCGGGCCAACGGCAAACCAGCCCAGCACGAACACCACCGTTGTCAACAGTAATGTCAGCACTTGGAACCAAGCATGAAGCTTGAATGCCCAATATGGATTCCATCGGGAGTAGTAACGGATGATAAATGTTGAAATCGGGACGAGACCCAAGAAGACAATGGTCGCAATCACACCGTGGGCAATAATTATGGAATGGTACCCGGCCATATCCTTGAATCGGTTTCCCATGCCTGAAATATGTCAGTTCGACAGTAATTGATCATTCGGGTCGCAAACACCAACCGTTGTATCGCATTGTCTCAAAGTTCACACCCATCAGGTTGGGCAGCAGGAACGTGTCACGCCCCAGTTCCCATGTCCCATCGCCAACATGAAGTGTATTCGACGAGTACGTACTGCTCCCGGGAGCAGTAAGTGAGTCTGTCATTTTGATGATGATTGCCCCAGTTCTGCGCGGTATCGAATCTCTGGAATGTCGGATTTACCGAAGGAGATCTATCGAGATCTCCCGATCCGAAGAATGCACCATGCGACGTGATCGGCGACTCGATGAGAATTCTGGTTCACCGGCGACCTGACGAATGGAACTTTATATCAAAACTGCTCGACTATGGTTCTCCGTGGATGAGGGTTCGTTCGGTCTTCGCCGAGCGGGGAACGTAAGCGTACCGTTAACGTTGATGTTGACGGCTCGAAGAAGGGAGGAAGTCGCACAAGTCCAGGGAGTTTCGAAGTGATTAGAAAGGGAGAGACTGGGAAGAGATTGGGAAGACGGCCAGGAGTCACGGAATCGATGAGAACGAAAGGGTAGTACAGGATCAACAACGGGCTGAGCGAGTCCCTTGTCAACTGTCTACCGCGTTGGGTTTAGTGCGCCAGCGCATAACCGGAGCAACGGGCTGACCGCCTTCCACCTCAAGATACGATCAGATAATATCACGTGATCCTACCGATTGCGGATCACCTGACTCTTATCACCACGAGAGCCGTCATTCCCATTCTTTCATTCTCCAGGTTCAAAAACCCAAAGGGCGACCTTGAATCCCGCGCGGGGCTCGGTCCAAACATGGCTCAGCCTCAGATGGAACTTTTTGTTCGGGCCCTGTCTCGGTAAGTGCCCCTTGCAGCTCACATCCGAGTTTCCGTCAACAATACTGATAAGCCGTGATAGCCTCTTAGGATGGATATAGTATGTTTAATGCGAGCCAAGTTATCTCTTTCTGAATAGCAGGCCGACTCTTTTTGGGAGAAGGACATACTGACCCTCTTGATAGCATGCTGAGCTGGTCGGCATCCTTCTATCCTCAGATTATAATCAATTACAGACGCAAATCCACCTCGGGGCTCTCGATTGACACCCCCACCATCAATACTTTGGGGTTCGCGTGTTACACAATCTACACGGGTGTCTTCCTCTATGCGCCCATGATCCGCGCGCAGTATGCGGCCCGGCATCCCTCATCGGAGGAACCCACCGTTCGCTTCAACGATTTGGCATTCGCTGTCCATGCCGTGGTCTTGTGCTTCATCATGTACACGCAATTTTGGCCTTCAATATGGGGGTTGCATGTGTCTCGCTTCCAACGTATCAGCAAGACCATGCTCGGCCTGTTCTGGGGGTCCGTCTTTGCGCCTCTGGTGGTTATCTGCATAGTGCTGGTGCGAAGCCCGGATGGGGGTTACGACCCATCGACATGGGCGTGGATTGACGTGGTGAGTGATCCCGATCATCCAGAGAACGGCGGATTCTAATACAGTCGACATTGCCTCAAGATCTATGCAATTTCGTATATCAAGCTGGTGATCACCGTTCTCAAGTACGTGCCGCAGGCGTGGTTGAATTATAAGCGGAAGTCGACCTACGGCTGGAGTATTGTTCCGATGTTTTTGGATTTGAACGGCGGGGTTTTATCACTGGTGCAGTTGGTGCTTGACTCCAGCCTTCAGAGCGACTGGAGCGGCATCACGGGAAACCCCGTGAAGCTTCTTTTGGGTAATGTCACTATCTTCTTCGATCTGATCTTCATCTTTCAGCACTACATCCTCTATCCGGATGCACCGGATACCAAGAAGAGGTCTCACGACGGAGACACCAGGCCCTTGCTGGCCGACTCGGAGGGCCAACGTGACGTATGATGACGGCGTCGCCAACGAAGCAATCGAACATAGGGGCCAAATGAGAGACATTATGTGGGGACGTCGCTATAATTGTAGAATCTAGGTTGGAACCTCGATTGGTTTGAGACAGTGGGGGCCGAAGCCGGGATGCGACGATACCTAGAATATTAGAGAACCATCATGCTTTTGCAGCCCCATCGACTATTCAATCACCTGCCGAGGTAATGAGTGGAGACCGGTGCCGTGGTTTGTAGGCTGTCGTCATTAGAACAAGGCCCCGCAATCAGGGTCTTTTTTGGATTTTACGGATTAGAAATCGAAGTTCATCTATCTGAGCTACAGTAGCTTACGGTAGGCGAAACCGGCGAGAAGATCCGTCAGCAGGAGGGAGGGGAAAGCCACCTTTGCGGCTTGGAATGCACGATGCGGCCCTCGCTGCACGAGACACCGCTTCTCGCGTTTGCTGGAGACCGACCCGCCCGTCCCCAACCTCTCTCGTGAATGGCCGGCCCCCGGGCTAAGCACTAAAAAAGGGTGAACGGGCCAATCGGTGCCCCCAGCAAGTCTCTGACGGAGGTCAGAGCTCGGTTCTAATCGTCGGTGTCGGGCTCGTCGAGGACTCTTTATGGATTTCGAGCTGAAGGAAATATGCCAGTCCATTTTCCAACCTGAGGGTCTCACGTATCCCGCCTTGTTTCAGGAAGGATCAACGTACCATGCGGAAAGGCTCGAACGGGAGCCTCTCCGCCAACGCTCCAGCTGGACTGGCCCGTACTACCCTCTAAGCACGGCCACGCCTTCGATGCTACCTTTACGTCCGCGTTACGATCAGGTGTCCGGAGGAAGATCTGTACGTGAGACCTGAGCATTCGGCATTCGAGGGAACGCTGTAAAATCTCCCGGGGACTTCACGCGGGTGACCCCCGACGACACATCTCGTCCCTTAGGGTGCTCTGCAGAAATGAGGCTCGGGCGTTCTCCACGCGCCCTCCACCGGATGCCAAAAATTAGCTCCACCGGGACGACGGACGTCGGACGTCATGGGCATCATGGACATTGATGGACATTAACCCTCTCCACGACCAAAGCCACACTGGCTTTGGGACCGGTAAACCCCCGCAGCCAATAAGCCGGGGATACGCGAGGCTGGAACTGGCTTAACGCCGGGCAGCATACCTACTCAGTCATGCTCGTCGCGAATCACCGGAAATACCCTGGGTACTCGTACTCCAGGCCTATCAACGGCCTTCGTAGCCCCCACGCATTTTCGGCCCCCCTGCACTTCTGCTCAATTCGGATTTCGCTTTTCAGCCCTACCCACAGTGATCCATGCACTTACGCTCATTACATGACTCGATCTTCACTTGCTATCCCCGATCCCGGGTCTGAATCATCATGATTCACCGCGGTTCTAGCGTCCCAGGTGCCCCCCCCCCCCCAACTCTGGTCCCTTGACGAACGGCCCGGGATGCATGTTTTGTTTTCTTTACCATTCTGAGTCAAATGCGCAGATCTACTCTGTTTTCTCCGTTTGGTACGGAACGCCTAGACTTCATCAGAAGCACTGCCTCATTGACCTTATATGCGGTACAGATCGGACTTACCGTGACGGACCGATGACCCCTGGGCTGTGGATTCCCGTTACGTTCGACTCGACTCGAGCTTATAATTCCCCCTCTTGCTCATCATCTTGACCCCATTTTTCTTTCCCCCCCGAACGTCATCTTCTTGAGCCCAACTCCAAGCACATGGCCGTCTGCTTTCTAATTAGCTCGGGGTTAAGACACACAGGTATTCCAAGTACTGGTTGACATGAGAGTTCACTATTCTCCACCGAACACATTGTTGGGCTTTGACAAGAAGGTCGGCGCTCCGCCTGTGTTTTCCAAAACGGCCGTCTCCAGCAAGATCGTATACTCTCCGTCGGATATGCCCAGAATGAGGAAGAACGAGTGGGAAGCCAGAATGAATGGCGAGGTGGCTGTCAGCGCTGGACGCGACACATTGAACCACAGCCAGCTGGAAGGCCTGATCGACGTCCCTGTCAGCTCCTCGACCGGTACTCATCTACCCGTTGTTCAGTCACATCTGGGGGTTGTGCCGGCCCAGCCTGAACACATGTCGTCTTCCATGGCCCCGGACAGTTATCTATCTGACCGGAGAGCCTCGCCCGTCGGCGATGCTGTGGGCTCTCTATGTGCCTGGTCCAGCGCATCGGATGCCGACATGCTGGGACTCGGTGTGTCATCTATGGATCCCGCCGTGTCGAGGTCACCCTTCATGGAGCCGTATTACAACTATGGGGCTTCTCAGCCCGTGACCAACTCACAGTTTCAAGGCATCTCGCGACACACCTCGGAGGAAATCAACAGATGGTGCATGGAGAGTGATCCAGCCTCGAGCTTCTACCAGTCGAGTGCACCCTACCCGGCCATGAACTCGCTGGCATTCCCTTCTCCGGAGATCCCATCGAACGTGTATCCGCTTCTGGGTGAGCACATGAGCACTGATGCCGAACAGTGGTTTACTCCACCCCTATGTCCCGGTCCTTCTGCCATCACACGCCCAACTTCAGAGAGATTCCTCTCTCCAACCTCTGCACCAGCGGCCTCCATCGACTCCTCCTCCGTAATGAGCACGTCGCCAGCCCCCACTCTATCTGACTTTGAATCACCATCGTCTCGCCACCGACCGGCTTCGCCTCCTTCGAATCCCGCCGATCTCACGAGATACGGAATTCCGGCCGGAGACGGTGTTTGGCGCTGTGGGTACCCGACATGTACCTCGCAGGCCCTTTTCCGTCGAGGCTGTGATCTGAGAAAGCATTTCAACCGGCACCGAAAGCATCTCTTCTGTCGGCATGAAGGCTGCCCGCAGTCGAGGCAGGGCGGCTTCTCCAGCAAGAAGGATCGTACCCGCCACGAGGCAAAGCACAACCCTGGCATCGTCTGCGAGTGGGATGGTTGTGAGCGGGTGTTCAGTCGGGTCGACAATATGAAGGATCATGTGCGGCGGATTCATCGCCGAGGTGACAGTTGATGATGCCATCGATTTGAGACGTGGCCACGGTTTATGGTTTATGGATGCACGAAGACCGGGTTATACGGGGTTTGATTTGATTTTCTTTCACATTTTCTTTGGCTGTACAATTACAAGTGGGAAAAGATACGGTGAACAAGGCGAACAGGGAATAAATTGACTCCTGGCGAGCAAGTGATAGACTTTTGGCGAACTGGAAATCTTCAAAAACGACAAAAACCCGAAGCGAAAGGGAGGGCCGATGCATGGGAATCGGGTTTCTTTGTCATATGATAACACTACTCCATATACAATTAACGGCTGGACCGTTACCGGATGAATTACTGCATTCAGTTTATTACAACCCCTCCATTACCCCTCCGTGAAGAAAATGACAGATCAAAATGTCAAAAATAGCTTTCAACACAGCCGTAAGGATCTCTGCGGTAGAACCACCAACGGCCCCCAAACCCAATTCCCAATCCAGCGCGTACACCGAAATGACTCTCTATTTTTAATGCTGACGCAGAGAACCCAAAAAAAGGCCTCGCTTTCAACTAATCCATCTGAATACTACCTCATGTTTCTATCGAGTAGAGCTGAGGTTAGTGCAGATACAACGCCACCCTAATCCAGGCACCAAGTGGCCTCGATTGCGATCGCATCACTTGCCCGAAACAAAAAGCTTGCCTAATGGGGCTTAGAGCCCGCCCCACTGTTTTGCAGAGTCGAATGGACTACCGTTTTTAGTCATTGAGTTGTCCTCACTATGGATTCACAAGTGACCCTTGTTCTTTTCTTGATTTGGGGGTGTCTTACGAGGTGGAATTTGCCATTTAGTTCTCATGCAATGACACAACGTACACTATACATTTTACTGCTTAATTGAACCTAGGAAGCAACACCCATTCCAAATCTTGACTATATCCCTTATTGAACTTGCAACGCCCGACATATTTCCTTCAACCGTGCACTATAGCACTATCCAGCCCGGATTGCGCCCGGCGTTTCAGATGGGGTTGGGGCTCTGTCGAAAAATAGAGGTACTCGCGACCGAACCACCCCGACGCCCTGCACATGGGGCCGTCCCACGTGGCGGATCCTTCGCGCCGGGTCTGCCTAGCTTTTTTTCGATGAAGTATATTAGTAATTTCCTCGAGAAAAAAGTACCACTTACGGCGGTCAGAATGTTGTCTGTTGTGCGACGGAGACGGCAAGGATTCGTGGCCAGTATGGGGCCTGGTTCAGCATACGTTAAGTCGTATTATGTTGAAACTCTGGATTTACGACCTCGTTCCGAATCCTCGTCTGATCTAGCGCGGACCACCTCGGTGTCGCGTTGCTTTTCATACTTGGTGCAGGCTGCCCTCCCTCTCTAGATTCTTGAAAAGGCTTCATTGAAACGTGAATCTTGTTCCGCCCTCTTTATCCAGATCAGTCCCTTTGAATGTACGTGTGAAGGCTAGGCTTGTCAACCGAACCAAAAAAAAGCCTCTACCACACTAAGGAACCGTGGGTATTCTACAAACCAGTAGCCTTTGGAATAAGATAAGAGATAATTGGAAGAATTTCAGAGCTTCAGAATACGAAGACAGATCAAACACCTCGTTTTCTGCTCTCGGCCTTTTGTAGCTCGTGGCCCAAAATCAAATACAAGAAGAGAAGGACGAAATATCTGACATGGAAGGGAAGGAAAACGAGTGGACCATTTCCAAAGACACGCTGTTTGAGGCAATCCACAGAAATTAGATAAATAACGAATGGCCCCGTGTATCATCATGCTTCTAACAGGTTGACATGTGGTATCATCGAAAAACAGAAACGGGAATGGGAACGCGAACGCGAATGGGAAAAGAGCTGGACAGGACAGAAAGGTATCACGGATGGGAAATTCGTTAACGCGTAAGTTGAAGGCTTTGAGAGGGTAAGAGGACCATGGATGCTGCATGGGTATACTTCTCCCATCGCCGGAAATCGCTTGCAAATCAATGAAGGCAGCGGGCAACGACCCGACGGTAGTTCATGAAATTATGCTGAATTCATCCTCCGCCGTCGACCTCGTGAGCTGCCAACGGGCCGCTGTGCGAGGACTTGTCGGAGGATAGGATCGTCTTTGTTTTTATCGACGTGGTGGACTCGGACATGTCTATCCAAGCAACCAATCAGTCAGTCGGGTCTCGAAAGGCTTCTTATCAAGAGTTACATACCGTTGAAGATTATCAGGTCGAGGGTATTTATGCTGTTGGTCGGGGCAGAAAGGACAGACATAGCCGGGCGAATTATGTACCAGGCCATGGCGCATCATCTCATTCTTGCGCTTGAATCCTTTCCCGCCTACGCCACGGGGACAGCCGTCTACGGGACAAAAATGAGGTCGATCTTGAGAATGCACGTTGGCATGGGAGCTGTTGTTGCGTGCACGTTAGGGCAAGAGCTTTATCTATGTGATGTTATACTTACTTGAGAAGATATTGGGTTTGGAAGGGCGCCGCCGTGCACCCGGGATGTGTGCACTTGTAACTACCTGTAGCGGGGACCCCATTGGCGGATGGTTGGGAGCTAAACGAGGCTCGTTCCCCCGACCCCAGGCCGGAGCCAACCTGCTCTGTGGGAGTGGGATAGCCCGTCGCGGGACTCTTCGCGGTCATAGGTGACATGTCGTAGGGAGTCGCCGTATGAATTGGCTCAGAGAGAGGCGGAGGCGGAGGCGGTGGTCCTCGCCAGAACGGTGCAGTCGATGCAGGAGACGGATTGTTGGAAGCATCCTTGATGCTGACGGGAGACAAGTGCGAGAACGGACTGGGTGGGATTTGTTGTGGTAGGAATTGAGGTAATTGCCGATCGTGGGGCGAGTCATTTCGTGATGATGCAGACCCGGGGTAGGAGCATAGAGGAGGTAACCCGTTAAGTCGGGGGTGAGGAAACTCGTTAGGTGAGAGTCCGTCGAGGGCGGATCGGATAGGTGGAAGAACTCGACTGTTGCCACTACCAGACTCTGGAGAAGTTGCCGCGCATGATGATGGAGGTGACTGTAAGGAGAGAAGGGAGGGAAGGCATATGATTTTCTCGGGAGATCGTTTAGTTGAGTCGTTGAGAGAGGAGAGGCCGGGGCGGTCTTCGGAGGGTCTTCGGTCTGGAGCTTGGATCGAAGGCAGTACGCGATACCCTCCAGGCGACACTGAGGTAGGTGTAATGCCGACAGGTCGTGGCGGCGGGGGCAGAGGTTCTTTGCTCGGCGGCGGCGGGTTTGTCTTATGACGTTCACCCTCAGCTGCATCGCCATCTCCATCTGCACCACCTTCACGTTTCAGGTCCGACGCCTGCTCCTTCACCTGCGGCGAATGCACCTGGGTCTTCTCCGCTGAACATCCACCTCCACGTTTCTCGGGCAGTTCCTGCTTCAGGGGCGAGTCCGCCAATGGAAAGTAGTAGGCATGGGCCGCGATATCCGGACGTTCTGGCGCTAGATACCTGATCAGCACGGAGTCGCCGTGACACGTTTGAGTCTGGGATTCCGGCAAGTGCGGCTTACGGGAACGCGGCGTTCCCTTGGCGCTTGCGACGTCGTTGCCGGGCACGAACGGCGGGAGGGGGTCGTCATCTCGGTACTTGACGGTCTGCGGCTTCGGGGGCGGGGACCGGTTCATGGCATCGTCCGAGTCATAGTTGTCGGACGTCATGAAGGCAGGACCGGGAGCATAGAGCTACCCGTCTGCCTTGCCGGTGAGGTCGTTATGGTTTATGCGGACGAGACTCGATCGAACACCATGTGAAGAGCGTTGACAACACGTTCGCCCTGTACCCGTTAGCGGACGTCCCGGAGTGCTATAGCTGTGAAGAGCCGCATGTCCCCCGAAACGGACCGACGGCCACAAAAGGAAGGAAGGCTAGGAGTAAGAAGCAAGGAGCATGGAGCAAAAGAAAGCAGAAGAAGCAAAAGGTAGGAAAGATAACCCGTGCAGGGCTGGACTTACCGCGGGAGGGCCTGAGGGAGGGGAAACGAAGGTAAGGTTAGGACGAGTGAGGCTCAAAATCGAGAACACCCAGTCATATGATACCAGCAGAAACCGAAAAACTAGGGGGCTAAAAAAAGAGAAGAAAAATGAACATGAAGAAAGAGGGGGGGGGAATTAGAGAGCAGAACGGGGGACGGGTTGAATGAGGCTCTTGAAGGTTGAGTGGAACCCGAGGCTCTTTCCGTTTTTCCCTTTCCTTTTTCCCGTTCGTCCTTTTCCATTTGCTGTCCTCCCTACGCGATGTATTCTTTCTCCTCGATATCACCGGCGTTGTATAGGTTGCTACAATCTACAGTCCCCGGACTGGACGCAGATGACAGTCGGAGGATTTTAGAGGCCCGGTCGCACATCCCAAGATTCTCTTTTCCCTCGCAAGGCTCCACTATTTCGCACTTCGGAGTCTTCTACCGGGGTTCATTCGAGTGGCACCGCACCGCCCTTTTTCCTCCACTACTCCGGAAGGGAACCTGCACGCCTCCACTATGATATCGATGGTCGTGGTCATGGTCATGGTCGTGGCCGTGGCCGTGGCCGTGGTCGTGGTCGTGATCATGATCGATGAGATTCACACTTCATTCTCCGACCACCGTGATCAACGGAAGCAGTCACATACCCCTCTCGAAGGATTGACAACGCAACGTGATCCACGTTAGCCCGCGTTTCAGGGAGAAAGCCGGTCAGCCCCCTCCTTTCAACCAGGCAATACGCGGCCCGCGCCGAGATTTCATTGCGACACTGCACCTCCTCTTCGCGGCCTAGCGACTATGACTAGCGCTGTCGGGGCCTCTTGGGTGTGGGTTCTCTGGATTCCTGGGTTCTTCACACCCCCTCAGCCTCACTTTACCCGGAGCCGCAGGCCAACGTAGCCTCATTCCTGCCCCCCTCTTTCCTTTCTGACCCGCCAATTATAATCCTCCCGGGGGGGAACACGTACCCCCTCCCCTGAGAGTCCCCGAGAGCGGGAACGAGCGTACAGGAGAGCAAATGGCCCAAATCCGGAAGACGGTGGGTGGCGCGTTGACGTAACGAGGTGGTGCGCACGCAGAAAATAGACTGGGTTCTCGACCCCCAACGTGGACCGAATGAGCGTCGCTGACAGGACGTACGGAAGTCCGGAGTACCTTTTCTGGGATCGTTGGTACGGAGTACGGAGTACTTCCCCTAAAAACAAGTCCCCCCGATCCCCCCGGTCTCTACGGAACCTCCTACCAAGCTAGGCAAGTAAATAGATTACCCCTTCTCGATCGGACTCGAGAAACTTTTCTGAAGGTTTTTATTCGTTCGATGTATGTACAGCCCATTCCCCGATTGGGTAGCCCAGAACGAGAGTTCGAGATTTCCTGTCGACTCGAAAATAAATTCACCGAAATGTCTGCCGCTTCAGCCCCTACAATTTGCCCTTCTGCTGGGACTGCCGTTGTACCTGTTTGACCTGCTCCCACGCATACAGTGCAAATGGCTTGGCCCGCTTGCCGTAGTCGCTCGCCCGCGCACTGCTCGCCTGGCGGCCTGCAAACCGGGCCGCAATGCCCTGCATGATTACGGAGCCTCGGAAGGCGAAGAACGCATCGCCCCAGAGGATGTCCTCCGCCGGATTGTATCCGGCCACCGCACTGTACCAGCGCACGCAGTCCTCGCGCGACGGTAGCCCCTGCACTCGTCCGGGCTGGAACATTTCCGTCTGGCTGTCCGCCCCGTCCATGATGTACGGGCTCGTCAGGTTGCAAAAGTCCGATAGCGGATGGCCCACGGTCGCCATTTCCCAGTCGAGAATCCCGATCACTCGCGGCTCCGTCCGGTGGAAGATCATGTTATCGATCTTGTAGTCGCCGTGTACTAGCGTGCCCCGATCGCGCGGCTGCGTCGCCTTTTGCGCGAAGAATGTCACCATGTCGTTAAAGTGCGGCAGCTCACCCACCGGTTCCTTAGTGTCGGCGTCGACCACCTGTGCCTGTGCCTTGGACACCGTCGTGAAGGTTGCAATCTGTCGGTCGTAGAATCCCGTCGGCTTGCCGAACTTCTCGAGCCCAACCGTCTTGGGTACCACCCGGTGGAATTTGGCGAGCGTTTCCACTGCGGATTTCCATCTATAAAAGAGTGAGTCTCTTTTTGATTCTTGGCCTTCAAGGATATCTCCACATACAGTGCATTTCTCTCCTCTCCGCTCACGCCAGGCATCGCCGGGTCGGTAAAGTGCCGCCCATCCAGGAACTCCATGATGTAAAACGGCGTGCCGATCACGCTGTTGTCCTCGCATAGACAAAGAGCCTCGGGCACTGGCACATCGGTCTGGCCTAGTGCCTGAATGATCTGGAATTCTCGTTCCACTCGGTGTGCCGTTTTGGACAGTAGCTTGCCCGGAGGCTTCTTGCGCAGGACGTACTTATTGCCATCGGCGCTAATAAGCTGGTACGTAGGGTTGGATTGACCGAAGCCGAACTATATATAATGAGTCATCTGTACATTCGACCTAGACATGGTGCTGAACAGTCTCACCTGTTTCAGTCCCAGCGGAGTCTTGAGATTAGGCACATGTTGGTCAATATACCGCTCCAGCGATGGGAGATCTATAGGCTGGCGCACTTCTCCAGCCATGATGCAAATTGGACGAAACGTGAAAACTGAAGACTCAAGATTTCATTCGGGATATATACAGAAGTGGAAATGAAGTCAAACCCCAGAACAACCGGGGTACCTCGGCCCCAGAGGACCCTCGGCCGCCTTTGAGCGGGGAGAGCAAACGTGCAAACCGTGCAAATCCATTTCCCTTTCACCGCCCGGACGCGCGCCGCGTCTCGCACGCGCAAGGGGACTGCGAAAGCTCACCGCGAGCCACACCGCAATTCCGTGGGTCTCTTTTTGTTTTTAATCCGTTGACCTTTTCGTTCCTTTCTTCCTACCCAATTCGAAATCTCTTTCTGGCCATGACCAAAGAGACCACCCCGCCGGCCGAATCCATCCCTACTCGAGAGCCCCCTCCCTCCCCGCCTCCCCGCTACATAAACGCACCAAGACCGACGCCATGACTGTCCCTACCGCCCCTGCTGTTACCTTGATCCAGCAGCATCTGCCCCCGCTGCTTGTCAAGAAGCTCGTAGCTTCTGCTAAGGCCCCCACCCGGGGTTCGGCTTTCGCTGCGGGGTACGATATGTACAGTGCGAAGGAGACGGTCATCCCCGCCAAGGGGAAAGCCATGGTTGACACTGGCATTGCTATTGCTGTACCTGAGGGGACGTGTATGTTTATCCGGTGCCTGGAAGCTTTTGGGATCATTTCCGATGGACAATGGCAGCAATTGGACTAAATGGAGGCTAATATTCGATTTCTGGATTAGACGGCCGCGTGGCTCCCCGCAGCGGTCTTGCTTCTAAACACTTCATTGACACCGGTGCCGGTGTCATTGATGCCGACTACCGTGGTGAAGTGAAGGTGCTTCTGTTCAACCACTCTGACGTCGACTTTCCCGGTATGTAGGCATGACTCGTGGGTCGCGGTTTATCTGCTGATGCGTTGGAATACAGTCAAGGAGGGTGATCGTATTGCCCAGCTGGTTCTGGAGAGGGTAAGTTCACTCGGTCGGTTATTCAGGGATAATTATTCTGACGGCTTTTATAGATCTACACCCCTGAAGTCACCGTCGTCGAGGAGCTGGAAGAGAGTGTCCGTGGCGCGGGTGGATTCGGCAGCACCGGCGTTTAGAAAAAGATGAGAGATATTTGCAACCAGAATCTCTGGAGACTTAATGAATTTACATGTCGAGAACGACTCAAACCCAAAACATATGAATTTACTTTGTCTGGATCTAATGATGAATCTATATACAAACCGAAAGCCCGTTTTGGTCGTGATAAAATGATGCTTCCCAATTTATCCCTCTTGCTCCGCCTCATTTGTAATCTAGTCGTATCTCGTCTTGTTTACTTTCTCTAGACCTCTATTGCAATTGTGCCGGGAGATCTTCCTTGCGCCACTGTTGCACCTTGAACTGCACGAGAGGATCCCGCAGGAATCGCGTATTCCGGACCAGCCGCACCTCGGCAGCCTTGGTTCGACGCAAATGGTCGCGCTTCTGCTGCTCTTCGGGGCTCAGGTCTCCATTCTGTTCGGGCAAGGCAAGCGCCAGCTCTGCATTGCGGGCCTCCATGGTCCGCTCGAGGATGCTGTGCATGCTAGAGAGCACCTTGACGGTCGCTTGTGCCAGCGGCAGATTAGTGGCCGGAACGCTGTCGGGGGAGACCCACGACTGGGTGGTGCGAAGATCATCACCAGCAGCCACGACGGCTTCGCGGAGTCGGGCAACCATCAGGGCGGCGAACATGTCGCCCGTGCCGCTGAAGAAACAGTCGAGGGCGGGGACGTCGATCCGGAAAAGGCGCGGAGATCCGTCGGATTGCGTGGTGGAGCCGATGACGGTTAGGAAGTTCTCGGGCGGGCTGGGGGTTTTGCCCGACTGGGATAGTTTGAAGAGCTGAACGGAGGTGATGATGACATGCGGGACGGAGTAGATGCGGTGAATGGCGGTGATGGCCTCGGCTAGAGTGGCGAGGGAGGTGATCTTGATGCCGGAGAGGACTCTGCGGTTTGGGTTAGATGTGAAAATTCAGTTTTTCGAGATAACGGCCAATATGTAACCCACTCTGCTTCAAATTGGTTCGGCAGAATTAGGTCTGCGTGATGGATGATCTTCTTATAAGCGGGGACGACATCGTCATTGACGTATAGCCGGCCCTGGTCACCCATGACAGGGTCCAATACTAAGACACAATCGTCAGAGGGTGCATCACCGGAAGAATTGGGATTGACTCACCCCAGAAAAATGAACCAGGTTTCTGCTCGGCCTTCCGCCTCAGGTCAATGGCAATGTTGCCCACGGCTTCTACAGCGGCGGCACTGGGGGCATAGCCGGACAGCATCACATCAAAGTCAGTCAAGTTACTCTGGCAGAGACCCTGGTAGAGATCCGTAATTTCCGGGGCGGTTGCGCGAGTGCCCTTGAACTGCCGGTATCCGGTGTGGTTGCCTATCTCATGGGTTAATTGAGGATATCCGGGAGCCGTGGACTCGTCCGAGTCAAGTCGTTCAAGGTCAGACGTACTGAAATGCACGGTATTCAATGCGGCGACCTCACAGCCCATGGACTGCATGACAAAAGTGGCCATGGTGTTTCCCACATGGCTGGTGGGCTGTTAGCCGTGATGACTCCACGGTCGAGATGATCACGTACCCATAAACCACCTAGGAACACGTTAGAGCTGCGAGTGCACAGACAGAGAAACACTTACATGACTGGCCACTGCCAGTACCCTCGTCTCGGGTACAAGCGATTCGGACATGATTGTTGTAGTCAAGTAGAAAGGTCGCGGGGGAAGAAATGACTCCGCCCCGAGTTCTCCCTTACCTAATTGGTTCCCGTTACACCGCGGGCAACATCGATATTTCGATGACTGTTTATCATCGTCAATTGCGCGAGATGATCATCGTAGATCATAGGATTGACTGGTTTAAGAGAGGTCTGTTTGATCGACACGAGCTGCCCCTCGTGCTCATGCGAGCTCCTTGCCTCCCGGCGTCCTTTCATTTCACGGAAGCGAAATGCAAATTGCGAAACGAGACACGAGACACGAAACCAGTCGCATCGAGTGACACGAGAACAATGGAAATACCGAGTATAGCGAGCTTAGCTGCTCCGTATGGGAAGCACAGCAGAAGAAGGCAACCCGAGCCTACCGGATATCCGTCTCACCACCGAGCAACCCCAAACTCTCTCCCCTGAGCGATGCCGACTCCACCGAACGATCTAGTCCTGCATCGGCCCCTGCTATTTCGGGCTCTAGCGCACTTCGGCCAAGTTTACTTTCGGTGTGCTCAACACTAAAATCTCAACTTCCCCCCGGGGCCTCGTCTCTACACATTCGCTCATTCCCTTCGCTCGGATGTCGAGCTGAACTTCCTTCTCTTGGAGGGCTTACGAGTGCCATGTCGCTCAATTCATAGCTCTATCGCCTCGTTCTCTTTCAGCCTTCGTGGCTACGTCGTTCGTTACATTGATCTCATCGTGGATCCCTTGTCCAACAACGGTTCAGTCTGCCGCAGCAGTCGAACCGCGTCGCTCTCTTCAATGCCAACCCACTCTCGTTTATCGCGATGTCGCCGGTCGCATCCCGGCCGGCGCCTATCCATAACCATCAGCTCCCTTTACCAGAGCCTATTAATTCTAATGCTTATTCTGTGCCTTTTGCCCGCGTCCACACTGGCTCAGCCTACAACCGTATCAGATGTCGTGAACATTCCGCGATCGGCTGCGGCTCCGAGTGGAGAGATCCCCGACGATCACCACGGGGGATCTTCATTCCTCGAGACCACGCAGTTCCGCCGCGAGGTTGAGATCGATTCGACCGAGACAGGACCCAATGGTAGTCTTCTACTACCCCGAACCACGACTTCGGATATGCCCACGCCATTCGACTCCATGTCCAGCAACTTTGCCAACGCCACCTGTGTATCATTCTTCAAGAAATTCCTGTCCAACACGACTGTGACGGACTGCCACGCGGTGTCTTTACTGCTGGAAAATTCCAACTCGTTCTTCCATACGTTGACCTCCGCCGCGGCTACCACGCACGTCCTCAGCATCGCGTGCTCGCAACCTCTCTCCAAATGCGCGTCCATATTAACTAATCTGGCCGAGGAAATGCTCCTCGAGGATAATTGCGGCCGGGACTATCAATCGAACAACTCGGTTGTCCAGGGCGCGTATCAGGACTTGATGGCGTATCAGCCCATGTACCTCGCGACCTGTCTCACCAATTCCGCGACTCAGAACTACTGTTTTGTTGACGCTGCGAAGAACACCACCTCCCCAAATGACTACAATGTTTATTTTATGCCCTTGGGCGGCACAATCGGTTCCGGTGGTCTGACCTGTGGTCAGTGTCTGCAGGACACAATGAATATCTTCGCCCATTGGGCCACGGTCAACGGCCAGACTCTCGACACCACATATCTCCCCTCGGCCAGGAGTGTTAATAATATCTGCGGTGCTGGCTTTGTCAACGCCAATGTCACCGTCGGCACCGATGTCACGTCCGGTGCCGGGTTGACAGTCCCGTTGCTCGACGCTCGGCTCGTTGTCTCGGTAATATTACTCACACTTGGGGCGATATCGTCGGGAATACTTTAAATTCAGTCACTACCTTTGTGATGGTACCAAATGCCTCTTTCCCTCTCTCTTGTTTGTGGAAGTACGGTCATGTGTGATGTCAGCGAATAGCGTGTCCTTCTTTGTTTATACCTAATTCTTGTCAAGTACTTAGCTCGATCTGTACAATCTGCCGAAGTACCTACCAATTTTCATATCACCGTGTGCATTACTAGTTGCATCTACGAATGGAAACGTGAGCGGTCAATCAGGGGTTTGGGGGCGGAAAACACAGCCCTGAGACGATCGCGGCTCAGCCTCGAATCCTCACCAGGTCGCATGCCAGACCCCTTTCAATAAAGCCTGCGGCCTTGGCCCTTGGCGTGAGGCATCTCCATTCATTACTTTGCTCTCGTCATGATGGTCCTACCCCAGGTTCCAGGCACCCAGCCTGCACATCAAATCGCTGTGCTCCGACCGTTGGCCGACTCGCTCTACGACTCCACCCGCGAGTCGACCGACCTTATCAATCAGGCGCACAATGAGCTCGGCTTACTCTTGACGGTGCTTGGCACCGCTGAGACACAGTCCTCATTCCTGGGCGATCGCGAGAATCCGGAACTAGAAAAGACGCTAGAACGCTGTCACACCACGCTCCTGGATTTGGAAAAGCTTCAGAGTTGCTCCGAAGAGGTGGGGCCGCAGAGCCAAATCTCGGACATTCGCGCGCGATTCTCGGACTTGATCTTCGAGCTTAGTATTGCGAATGCTAATATGATGATGTTTGTATACTCGCTGGCGGCCGAGATGGTGAGGATACTGATTTTGTCTTCAGATCGTCGCAAATTAATGTGAGTCGTATCGTGCGGGGCTTCATCGACGATGTAAAGTCTGGCAAGCGGGAGGCAAAAATTGTCGCGAGTGCTCTGGACGATACCTCTTCAAGCGGTGATCAAGAAAGTGCGTGGGAAAAGCTGCAGCATGAGTTGCAAGATGCTGGCATCGCCCCTCAATTGACATCCCAGAATCGTGACATTATCATGTCGACTCTTCGAAAGGCTGCGGATCAAGAGGAACTATTGAAGAATATCACGTCAACAGCACAAGCTTCTGATCCAGTGGATCTGATACAACCACCATCAGATCAGGTGGTTGAACCTCAAGCTGCGTCCCAAGAAAAGGGCATTTCCGACAAGGAGGTGATACCGAAGAAAGAAGAGAACTTCCCCATCCCCGTCGCATTCGAGATTCAGGACACGGATGACTCCTCCAAACACGCGTGGGCCACTATAACCTCGCCCATGGAAGACTTTCCGATTCCCGTTTTGTCTGAGCCAAGCCTTATGGCCCAAGACACCGACAAGCAGGTGGTACCGCTGGCATGGCAGCCCGACACACTCCCAATTCCCGTGGAAACAGAGAACAGGAGACACAGCAGGGCCAGTATAACCAGCTCTTCAGCATTCAAATCCCAGCAAGCTATGCCTACAATTGCACGGGGTAAGAAACCCAGTCTGATGAGCCGAATGAAGTTTAAATGGAACAACTCCAAAGATGAATTTGTTGCATTGATTCAAATGGGCGAGGTCTGCTCGGTCAAATACGCGCTAGATAAAGGTGCCGACGTGAACACGATGAATTCGCAGGGCCAGACTGCCCTGATGGTTGCCGTCTCCTACGGCCATGAAGACGTTATCTCGCTGCTTTTGGAATACGGTGCCAAAATGGACAAGATAGGCACCCACGGCGAGACTGCTTTAGGAGTTGCTGCACTACGAGGATTCGATGACATTGCCCAACTGCTTCTGGTCCATGGTACCAATCCCAACTGTGGGAAAAACATGGGCAAAACGGCCCTTTCTCAAGCTGCTATCAGCGGGAGCTTGACCGTAGCCACGTTACTACTGGACTGTGGTGCCGACCCCAACGCAGTGAGTTCGAATGGTGCCACGGCACTGGTTTGCGCGGCCGACAGCGGCCGCATGCAAATTTCCCAGCTTCTACTCGAGCGCGGAGCTTTGGTGGATAAGTGTGGTTATCCTCGCCGAACGCCGCTTTTCAAGGCTGTGCAGAGAGGCAATATCGGAATGGTGGAGTTGCTCTTGTCGTCTGGCGCAGATGCTCATCTTCAGGATGTTCATAAGCAGACACCCATGTCGCTTGCCATCTCGCTTGGCAGGGACGAGATTGTCAGCATCTTCTACCAACATGGGCTTGAAAACGAGAGCCACACTACTGGTGCTACTGGTGTCCTTCATCAGCCTGCCGGGCCTGGTGATGTGAAGAGTTCTGCTATTTATCAATATTATTGAAATCCAGAGCTCTATAGCCTGGAGATAACCATACTTCATAGCTAGCGCACTGTACCTGCCACCCACGAAACCGCATAACTATCCATATCTTGCACATATCCACTCAACCATAGAAGTTTCAGTCCTAGCGGCTTCGAAAACAGCCTTTCCCATCTCAAATCTCTACATCACTTGCTCTTCGGGTGCTGTATTGGGCTCGGCGCCTACAATGTCGAGGTCGGTCACAGGTTCACGCCTCAGATCGTCTACCCAGGTCCCAGAACAGTAGACTTTTATTATTGAGTGGTTCGGGGTATAGGTCTACCAGGATGGTGCGGAGTTTGTATACGAGTGTCCTGATTGCCATTCATGTCTCCTCCAGAGCTTAGATCCGAGGCAAATCCAACGTTCGGGGTAGTTGTATAACAAGAGAAAACCTGACGTATTTTGATGAGTACTCGGGAATAGGAAATGCAAGTTACTGGGATGCGGTCAAAGACCAAGCTTATTTTCCTAAACGCCGCCGACGAAGAATATCTCCAGGAGCCCTCACGGCAGGAAGCAAGACAAAATATCGGAAGACGCAGAACAAGATATGGATAAAGCAAATGCAATCAAAGATGAGCATCATGAATGGATACAGGTATAGGCGCTTGTCGTTCGTGAAAATTGAACAGGGGAAAAAAGGTATATGCGTTAATGGGGAGTGTATAAAAAGGAAGCGCTCAAAAGCAAAGATGGAATCCGCAGACATTCAGCTTCTCCGAGACATGCTGGCCCCGAGTGCAACACCGACCAGGCTCTGTGGCTCGCCGCCGAAACTGGTACCAAGGTTGGTCATTGTGGGAGAAGCGGGACCCGAGATCGGGCTTTGGGCTGCATCGCGATCACGCTTCACCCGGAAATAACCCAGCTTCGCGAAGCGGCTTAGGTGGGTCCAGAAATGACGGCCGGCCGGATGTGAAGCGATACGGTCCAGCAAGTCGACCGTCGCTTCACGTACAACCTGATCAGGATGGAAGAGCCCCATGCTGAGATAGAACAGACCCGCCTGGTTCTCGGGTGCCACTGTCAACAGTTGGCAGATACCGGCATAGTCTTTGACGGCATGAGAAAGAGCCATGTAGATAGCGGCAGAGTCGGCATGGGATAACTTCAAGGTCCGCAGCCTGTCATGATGATGGTGCAGGTCGGGTCGCTGAATGGGACGAGCAGGGAAGTACATTGCGGCGATGTCTTGAATGTACGAGTAGTATGACCGAGTGTTCCGCCAGCCCTCGATTCGTGAAACCGACGCAGAGAGTTCACGCTGCTTGGCAATTTCATCGGGCCACACGTAGCCATGCCCCCGAAGCGATGAAGGGTCTGCTGCATCAGCCTGTTGACCAGTGGGGCTATCAGGTGAAAGCTCCTCCCCAGGGCCAATGATGTAGAGGTTTGAAGCACCATAGACAGTCTCCTCAAAGGCGGCGGCAACTCGGGTGAACTTGGTGATGTATGCCCGCCATTTTGCACGGATCGCATTCTCACCGTAACGATTGGCAATGCTACGCAGGATATCCTGCATGAATAGGTTGTCTCCCGTCGGATCCGAGTTCACATTCGATGTATGATTTGGCGAAAGTGCATTCTGCTGCTGGAAAAACAAGAGCCCTTCTGTTACCGGAGCCGACTCAACATGGCTCGAGATCTTCATACGACCCGTCGGGAGATCGCATAAAACGTCCCACCATTCCGGGTGATTGTCGAAGGTGGGATTGGTCACACCCGCAATGAAACCAGGGACTTTGAGTAGATCATCGACCTTGGTCAAATCGGTGTAGGGGAAAGCATGGCGGGTGAAGCCGCGCAATATTCCACCAGACGCCAGTGCGCAGGCCGCAAGGACTGCCTCGGCCACCTCTCCAGATGGACGATTGTGCCCGAGGAAAACGACACGCTTCTGTGTGAGAATTGCATTGACAAGAACGATGATCGGGTGCGTGAATGGGCCACTTGTGGTCAAATGAGGATGGCTCGGGAAAGGTTGAGGGGAGGTGGCATGAGGCCCAGAAAACGTCTGGATAAGCTTGACCAGGGAAAAGTCACCCACCGTCTCCGGCCAGATCACGGTGGGAATTTTGACCGGTATGGGAATGTCGTGGTAGACCACTTTCGATTCGAACTCGTGCGTGTCTCTCGGCAACAGGTATCGACTGATTTTCTTCGGTGAGTATTCGCCGTCCTCTGACTCTTCTTCCTCGCGCTGACGGATGATCTGCTCGAATTTCTCGATGAACATCTCCTTGGTGTTGCTGGACTGTAGGATATGGCGCTCTAGTATGGACATCTTGGGCATCAACGAGAGGTCCATGTTATTCACGGCGTCGTAGAGGGATGCGAGGGTTTCGGGGTAGGGTGACTTGAAGTAATCTTCTAGCGCGAGGAGAAGGAGTGGCTATAGTTGTGAGTTCGTGCTGTCGGTAAAAGTACCAGACGAGGACTAACCTTGTAGATGTGGAGGAATGAATGCCTTGTACAGATGGCCATGGCTTTGACAACAGCACCGCTGTCCGTGTATTAGTTCCAGTTCTCCGCGATCGCCATAAGGATAGACATACCGCCGGACTGTGTTATCCTGCTTCGTGTTCACCAGGTTCAACACATACATCAAGGGCGGGCCTTCTCCACCCTCTTCCTCGTCGTCACTACTTTCTCCATCGGAGCCTTCATCTGGGTCCTCATTCTGAATGTCGGCGCCTTCCTCGTTCCCACGATATTTTGACTTGCGCTTTTTCTTCGTCTTTCCAGCCTCCGTTTCCTCCTCATCGTCACCGCTTGTGTCCTTGTGCAGGAAGAAAATGGTCCAATCCTGACTCCGCACATGGGTTTGATCTGGAAGCATCAGCTCCGCCAGCATGCTCTCATCGCCACTGATCGCAGCCGGATACTGGTGCTCCATGATCGGACCCCGGTCGATGTGGAAGGAGGCCACTAGAATGTATTCCACATGGCGCTCCGGCGAATCCACCGGGTATTGCGATTTGCATCGCCGAGGCTTATGGCCGGCCACATTGTCGGCGGAAATGCGTCGGGTCGAGGAGTGCGAGCCGCTGGGCGAGCGCCCTACGAAGGAGGGTGCGGGGGACAGTCGAGGGAGGCCGTTCGTCTTAGGATTTGTCGACAGAGTTTCATTCGACGGTCGATATGGCAGCGTCGACGCCATGTTTGAGAGACGAGAGGGATGCTCCGAGTCAGGAGGGGAAAGGCATGTCTTGACCTTGAAGATGTGTCTGGAAGCGTACCGCACGCCGATCACCGACCCAAGAGTCAAAAGGCGGTTCAGGGGTCAAAAAAAGGGAATCTCCACAGCGGGGGCGATTGCCGATAACAGTGCCGCAGTGTACTTCTCTAATAAAAGTAACGTATGCGAATCTTTAGGCCGAGGACACGGTGCACCAGGTAGGCAGAATCTTCGCATACTAAATCTTCATATGAAAGGTCATAGCTACTAGTGCAATTGACAGCTCCAATCGATACATACAAAGATCCACCGCAACTCAACAGCTCCGAACACCGATCGCGGCACGTGCCCGATCGGGCCGACTTGTTGCCGGGGCATTGTTTACTTGCTTTCAACTACGCAATGGGAGACTCCAACCTCAACCCCCACACCATGGTACGATCTGAAATGACACCCGATAGAGCCAGTCGCTGATTATGATGCAGTCAAGCAATCCTACTTTCAAACCGTCCCCTCTATCGTTTGGGTCCCCGAGGCCATCGCCCTTCCGGCGGCCCTCGACACCGAACTCCCCACCCACCAATCGGCCTGGCACGCCTGGAAGCTCTCCAAGCAGAAGTGGCTATACACCGATGGTATCACCCAGCAAGCTCAATCAGTCGTATACCGCCGCCGAGGATAATTCCGTATCCCCGAGGTCCGATCCCATCCCGCAGCCCAAGTTCACCAGAGAGCTGCCTCCCTCCCCGACTAAAGGCGCACGTTCGCCCGGACATTCATCACCGATTGTGGGAAACCGCTCGAGTGGGATGGGGGGTGCCGGTACTGATGCTGCTGCAAAACTTCCGCCCAATGTGGCGCGGGAGATCCGAGAGGCATTCCAGGTTCTCGATCGCGACAACGATGGTTTAGTCAACAAGGATGACGTTGCAGATGTGCTTATGAACCTAGGTAAGTGGATCGATTTTCCCTTCGAACTCAAGCAAGTCATGCTAACTAACCATCCCTGCAGGCCAAGATTCCTCGCCGTCAACACTATCGCGCTTCTTCCCATCGAGTTCTAGCCAAACCATCAACTTCCCGACGTTCTTGAACACATTGTCCGAATTGATGGCACCCATGTCTTCTTCTCAAGACTTAATTAATGCGTTGGCCGCGTTTGATGACGACGATAATGGCCAGATCGATGCGGCTGAACTACGTGATGCGCTTTTACACACAGTCCCCGAGGATGGAGGGAGACCATTGACAGAACAACAGATCGACGAAGTCTTCAGCGGCTTTACAGGGCGGCGGGCATTCGGTGGTCGGGCAGCGAAGACCGGAGGTGCAGCCAAGAGAGGCGAGGTGTTTCAATATCACGACTTCGTCCGCAGTGTTGTTGGTGGAGAGAACGGAAATAGTGGTCAGCGCGAGCCAGGAACTGCCCGGGTTTGAAATTGTATAAATGATCGTCTTGGTTGGCGTTGGGATGTGGGCTTTTAATCTGCTTATTTTGTTCAGGCGATGCAGATAGGATGTAACAGTCACGACAATACAATCCGTTAGAGATGATCCCAAGTAACGAGTGGTGGGCGCTTGCTCCGCATTCTCCAACGGCAGAAAACCAGCTCCAGCCACCGCAGCCTCAAAAGACACCAACTTTCCTCTCAACCTCTGAAACTTACCAGAGAATGCCTTTCCAAAGCATTCCAATGCGACACTAATCCTGACATGGCCAAATATCAGCCGTCCTGGGGCCTCCCTGGCCCTGAGGTCCCGGCCTCACCACGAACGATGCGAACACTACGGAAGATCCAGTCCCACCAGGTCCTGACTACCTCCAACGCCCTCATTGCTCAAACTCAATCTTCCCGGCCAGGATCTCGCGCTGCTGATCTTGGATCAACGATATCAACGGCAAACAACACGGCTCGGGCGCCCGTACATCGACGGGCGCGTTCCAACAGTGACGCGGCAACTCGTGAAGCGGCGCAAGCGGCGCTCGTGCCAGTTCCCACCCAGAGGCGGCCTGCACGGAAGACAGGCTCAGGCGTAGGGCTCAAGAGATCTCTTCTCGAAAATCTGCTTCGTGATGGTCCACAGAATGGGAGAACTCCGGAGGCACTGCAGGAGTTGAAGTATCTCGTTCTATCGACCAGGGTGGATGCGGATGGAGATGGCATGGTAACTTTTGACTGTCTGATTGAGGTATCCATGGCAATACTAATTTCTTCTTGTCTCTAGTCACCCTATCGGATCTACCTTTGGCTCATTCTTCTTCATGTTCCTCCGTTCCCGACTGATGATTACCTCGCTCTTGTCCACCGCGGCGGCTCCCCCGCCTACACCAAGATCCGCAATGATACCTTTCGCACTCTCGCTACCGATCCTCTTTTCAAGCGTCGCGTAACAGAGGCAAGTCTGATCCGGCTGCTGAACGCGGTGGCATGGAAGTTGCACGACTCCAAAGTGAAGACTCGCTCCCGCCCTTCCTCGTCCCGAAGACGGGAGATGGAGCTTCTGGTAAACACACCTCCTAGTATTGCAGAAGAGCCCGAACCAGGCTCCGCCGGTGGTGCCGTGGGAGATACCGCGATCTATGTTCAGGGCATGAACGTCCTCTGTGCGCCATTCTTGTATGCGGCTCGCAGCGAGGTCGAGGCATTTGCTCTCTTCCACCACTTTGTCACCGTGGAATGCCCAGGCTACGTTCGTAGCACCATGGATGGAGTCCACAGAGGCCTTCGGCTGGTTGACCGATGCTTGGAGATCGTGGAGCCTAAACTGGCCGCTTATCTCTTTTCCAAGGGCATGCATGCTGAGCTATATGCCTTCCCTTCTGTGCTGACTCTTTGCGCTTGCACACCACCGTTGCCAGAGGTTTTGCATCTATGGGACTTCCTATTTGCATATGGCCCACATTTGAATATCCTGTGCATTGTTGCCCAGCTAATCCGTATGCGAGATGAGATTCTTGAGAGTCCGAGGTAAGTTCGATTCCTATCCATGGCTATGTGACATCTGACAAATTGATTAGTCCCAACAAACTTCTTCGATCTTTCCCACCTCTGCAAGCCAAAGACATCATCGCTTTGACTGTTCTTCTGGTTCGAAAGATCCCGGATGAGGTCTATGCAGAGATGGTCAATCATGCAAAATGATTTTCTCTCAATATCCTCTTCAACTGCTTTGCATTCTGATATATTTTTTCTTTCATCACGGGCTTTTCATCGAAACGGCGTTCTGGGCATATACTTGGTTGTTTGCAGGTTTGATTTTGACGGTTATGACATGGGTCATGAAAATGGTTTCGCACGAACTCAAGCAACGATAGTCTGAAATGAACTGATGATTTTTCGATTCAAGACTGAGGCAAACGCCTGGGCAGCTGCCAAATACTCCTTTATGCGTAACGGTGTCCGTTTGTTCTCAAGTCGGCGCTGATGTCGACAGTAGCTCTAATGACCGTTTCTGCATTCCTGACCCGTCTACAACCAACGGGTTATGAGGGTCAACTCTCTTCCTTCCGGGAAATTCCTGGCCACATCTGCCACCCTCTGAACTCTTGTCGCTGACTTCCAGGTCGGGTAGATCCTCTTCCAGGGCAGCCATTGCTCCGTCCCAGCTTCCGCTACGTACTGTGCCGGGCCCCATCGTTACGCGGATCTGCGCACCCATGAATGTCGTGTTGTTGAGTGTAGCCACGGCTCGCTTGGCCTCTTCAATGGTGCGCATGATGGCTGAGCCTAGGGGCTGGTGCTGTGTTTGTGTTTGGTTGTCAAAGGCTTTGGTCACTGTTACATTGCACCGCTCGACGGTTCCTGCACCCTGTAGAAGGCCTTGCAGGTCTGCTGCTGTGGTGGCCGCATTTAGGTTCTGAATGTAGACTGCACGTTGAGTCGAGTCGCCTGTCGGGCTGCTGCGTTCGGTATAGTTAGCCCAGGGCTTGCGTGGTTGGTGATGAGGATAGCCATCGCTCGTATCGTGGAGGGGTTGGATGGGTGAGACCGGGTACATTGGCATCACGTTCCAGCCTTGGCCGTCACATATGGAAGAATGCATCAGTGGGGATGGCGGAAAGCACTGCATCGGTTGCATTCTGGAATCGGGCATCATGGACATGTAATGGTGGGGTGACATCGCCATTGGGCCCGCTATGGATGCATATTCTGGGTATGGGTATGTAGGGGTTGTCGATTGGATGGATCTGTTTCATGGTTAGAGGCTTTGAATCCCCCATAGAGCCAGGGCTGCGGATCTTACTCTGGCGAGATGGGTGATGGAGGCATGACCACGTTGCCCTGGGATTGTGGGGGTGTGGAATGGCCGGATGCATAGCTCTGTATCACTGCTACTGCTTGTGGGCTTCTGGTAGGCCCGGCGATGGGCTTTGTAGGCGCGTTCGTGCGTGCCAGCGTCACAACCAAGCTGTGACCGTCCCATCCATTGGTTGACAGCCGGTCTATATACCCTGTTAAAACCACGACACCAATATATAGGTTGAAAGCGGACACATACGATAAGTGCGCCACGCTTCATCTTCATTTTTCACAATGATCTGCCCTAGGCCAGTGGGAAACCCATGGTTGTCATCGTATACCACGGCCTGCCGAATATGCAGAGCCGTCTGACGCACGAGGTCCTTCAGTTCTTGCCAGCGACAGTGGGCGGGAATCTGCCCTCACAGTCAGAAAAGTCGCGATTGGAAATATCCTGGATAAAAAGTGCTTACTCCCTGGAGGAACACGACGAATTCATCATCCGATCTGCGAGATCTTGGACTGCGTCCCTTTTCCCGGCCAAGAAACGGCATTTCTGCAGACAAATCTCCAAATCTCTCGTTCCAATGATGGGCTCGGGCTGTTGCTGTTTTCCCGACAGGCGGTGCAGCTTGATCCGAGATACAGACGGAAGTGGGATGTTTGTCGTTCGGTAGACGATCACAGTGTTCAGTATCTTGAAAGGCCACCGGCGTTGCGAAACAGTCGGAGTTCAACTTGTCCGACCGGGCTGTGGCCGGTTGGGTCTTCAACTGGAACAACTGCTTTGTTCACGATTAAAGAACAGATGCTGGAGCTTTACAGTTAGCGCAGGCCATTCAAGACATCAATGTGGGCGGATCGATCCCTATTGTCTGGGACGAGGGGTAACGCGACATTGTAGACATCACCCCAAGCGTGAAAGAAGCATCTCTTTTTGGATACAGAAGACCAAGGAAACCGGGCTTACCTTGCTTCTCCTCAATCAATGCAGGTCAACGGATTGGTCTGACCGACACATGCACGAAGAAGCAGAACCCTCCTCGAGCCAGAGGAGCGTTCGGACTGTTATAGGGAAAGTGGCAAGAAAAGAGCGAGCAGTGAAGTGTCTCTTGTGAATGTATCACTAACCATTTCCATATCATGGACAAGCTGGCTCGACACTAGTAATAATAATTCACGTCGGCCTAGAAGCGGGCCCTTAGGAGCAGACCCAGCTCGAAGGCGAGACCCAGGAGATGCAGGTAACGCATAGAGAGGCCTTGGCCATCAGCCAGTCATGTAGGGGATCCATCGTCTCCTCCTGTCGGCCATGCTGAGATATGTCATTTTCGGTCGCGAAACCTGAGCTCAGCTTCCACCGTCCGCTGCCAAATGCAATAAACCCTCTGGCCGTACCACTCTACTGGGAATAGTCTCAGCCCTCCAGAAACACCAGGGTCATCCGTCCGCTTTTGCTTTTTTTTATTCTTCCCCCTATCTTTTCTTTCCCTCAATCTGGAGCCAAGCCAATTCCCTATTGACAGGTTCGTCTCGATCCTGGATATACCGGTTCCCACTGAACACAGAAGTGAGGGCAAGCGAGGTGATTGATGGAAGGCAAATCGCGAAATCTTTGCATAATGGAGTTATCTTGCTCGGGGTTACACCGCCAGATCCGGATCGGAGGTGCTCTGAGGCGTCACCCAGGGAGGAAGGTATGTTGGAAAGTGGAGCTGGGCGGCACGGCCCATATCGATCACATTGGCCTCTTGTACATATGCTGCAGTTACTCTCTAGCGTGCAGATGCCGTGGAGCTCTCTAATGGATATCATTGAACCAGATCGGACCCGCTCACAGAACCTAGAGATCGGCGATCGGGGGCCCGAGAGAACCCTGCAACATGATCAATCAGACGAAGATGTCTTCAGTGGCGTGGATGGTTGGATGTTGCCCCGGCGATCTGCCATTATTGATTTATAACGCCATAGATAAACAGGTACCTGCAGTGGCAGCTCGATATCGTCGTGGCTGGCTGCTGGCTGCGAGTGCGTCGGGAAGGATTCGAGTCCCAACATGTTTCTGTTCTGCTTCTGCTTCTGCTTCTGCTTGTTCAATCTGTCTGATGCTGTATGTATCTCACCCCGCGCAGACGTAGTAACGTGGTTACACGGCAGCTTCCCCTCGAGGAACCATGAGGGGTTTCCGAGTTTGGTAATAGTAACACGAGCTCGCGTAATGAGAAAAGCCGGATCGTTGTATCCCGTGCCGACCGGACGGTCCTCGGTGTTATCCGGCGTGATCACGGCCAGGGCATGTGCGACGCCGTCAAATGACACGTGGGAATTTCTGGCCTTCCGACCATGGGATGGAAAGCTGAGGATGATGTGAATTCTTTTCCAATGTCCCTCGTGACCCTAAATCATGGAGCCGCGGTGATCAACATAGGCTAGGAATCGACTAGAAGAAGTAGTCGATACTGGCCTCCCAAGATCGGTCGCCTCGCGATACTAAGATCTCTACGGGTTATGGTTCACGGTACGTGGGATCGGGTAGGCTTCTGAAGGTTTATAGATTCATTTTCAGGGTTTCTAGGTTCTTTTTAGAAAACTTCGAGGAAATGAATATGGAGACATGAAAATGTATGGCTCAGGACAAGACATCAATACCATGTTAATGATATGCCAGAAATATTGCTCAACCGATCAGATATCGTGTATGTTCTGACCTTGCAGGTGAATAAAGGCGTCTGGGGGATGACCTGTAGCCTGGGTACAGGACAAAGCACCTATTATCAAGTCGAGGTCCTCGCAACAAGTCGACCTCACTATCTTCCCAGCTTCTTTCAACTTCGAGATTTTGGACCGGGACGCATCCGCCTTCCCGTCTGGTGATGGCGAGTAGAGATTGGTAGTGGCTCGGAGTCCGACATAGTACTTCTGGATTCCGGAGCGAGGTGATGTTGGATATTTATAGAGAAGCGAGAGAGAAAAAAAGACATTCGCTCAGGGAGGAGAGTTTGTTGAGCTCTTGTGGTTTTGCTGAGGATGTTTTTGTTTCGATCGGGGTCCGGCAAGGTCCTCATCGTACGAATCCGACCTTGGCGGCGCACCGGTGACAGTAGTAGGAGTTCATGCCGAACTGAACAGCCCCAGAGGCGGTGTGGTTACCTAGGCCGAGAGATTGCTGGCAGCGCGAACATCGGACGAGGTCGAAGGCCGGGGGTGAGGATGAGCCGGGATGGGAAATGGGGTGCGGTTGCGGCGTAATCTGAACCGCGGGCGAACTCATGGTGATGCGATGTGGTGGAAGAGTTCCCAAGGTTGAAGAGAAGAGCTGAAGAGCTGAAGAGCTGGAAGAAAACAAAGGAAGGAGAGGGGGCAAGAATGCTCAATAAATCGAGTGCTTTGGGCGACAATCCCTTTGGGCCCCAGTAGTTTATTTCGCGTGAACCCAAAATTCCTCAATTTCCAGTTTTTGCCGTCTGCTGTCACACGCGTCTCGGGTGTCATTGGCGTCATGACACCAAGGCACCCTCGTTAAGACTGTCTTGATTGACTCGTTTTCTAGATCGAGGACGTGTCTACTCCCCACGCATGTTAGGCCTCCTATCGGAGGTCTACTCGAATATGCTTCGCTCCATGAGGAATATTCCCAATCTGTCAGACTTCCTTAAAGGAGTTTCCCGGAGAAACCGCGGCAACTTGGATCCGGTCGTTTTCCTTCTGCAAGTTGCCGACATGCCGGATGCTGCACGAGGCCCAAACAAGCAACGTGATGACTATAGGTTAACGGGTGACAAACGTGGGAATGTGCCGATCATAAACCGGTTAATCGGATCTCATTGTTGGCAGCAGATAACGACATACGCGATAAAGTGCTATCCCCAGGGCCCTATAGGTTACCATGGGCCACGGGAAGGCCCGACGACGGTCAGTGTAGGTGACGGTAGATCGCTATAGGCGGAATGATAATGGTTCTCCGAGGACGACGTCATACACCTCGAGTGCGGTTTCTTTACTGCGGCATTGCCCCGCCCAGACCCCGCTGCTTTTCTTCCCTGTGAACCATCCATCTCCTCCACCGCTGAGACACAGATCGAGAGACCATGGCTACTGCTCAACCCAATCTCCTCAGCTTCCCCAGCACCGATGCTCTGGCGGAGCAATTGCGGCCCTACGTCCTCCGCTGCCAGGCTGCTGCTTTAGCCCGCCACGATACCTTCCGCATTGCCGTCTCTGGTGGCTCCCTGCCCACCGTACTGGCGCGCGCCCTGCTGGCTCCCGGCAATGGCTCCCCCGATGATACTCCGCAGTTCGACAAATGGCACATCTTCTTCGCCGATGAGCGCGCCGTGCCCCTCGACCACAAGGACAGCAACTATCTCCTGCTCAAGGACGAGTTGCTGAGCAAGATCCCCGCGGAGCTCGGAGCCCCGACCGTCCACCCTATCGACGAGAAGCACGTCCACGATGATGACCCCCAGGAGTTGGCCGACCTCTACCAGGAGGATCTGATGCGATCTTTCGCTGCCAAGGACAGCGTCAAGCTGCCCTTCTTCGACCTCATCCTCTTGGGCTGCGGCCCGGACGGTCACACCTGCAGTCTGTTCCCAGGCCACGACCTGCTGCGCGAGAAGGACGCCTGGGTGGCTGCCGAGAGCCACTCTCCCAAGCCCCCGCCCAAGCGTATCACTCTTACTCTCCCCGTCGTCACCTCCGCCATCAACATTGCTTTCGTCGCTACCGGTGCCGGCAAGAAGGATATCATGAAGGCGATTTTCGATACGGAGGAAGGACGTAGCCTTCCCTCCGCTCTGGTGAACCAGGGTGGTGGTGAGAAGGTGTGCTGGTTCACCGACCACGCGGCAGTGGATGGCGTCTCTTTCCCTCGCCGCGGCAACCTTTGAAGCCTTGTTTGTCTTTTTAAGCTTCTACTTGAAGGAGCCGTGATCCTGAAAGGAACTTTGAAAAAAGTCACCGGGGACTTGGCCGGACTGGTTGAAGATCCTGGCCGATGTCTGAGTAATGTGCACAGATGGGTCGGCTTCTCTGCAAATTGAATTCGGGCTGAGATCTCAATGTTCAAAAGTGGGATCCCCTTTTTTTCGCACCCTGGCCCCTGTTCAGGGCGACCAGGGTGCGCCTTGCGCTATAGACCGCAGTGATGAAAATAGAGTTTCCATGCCAACGAGCTGTTTCGTGAATCAAGTGTTCATCAAAATATAATGGGAAGTGTTAGTAAATTTTAGAAAATGTATAGCAGAATTGCGAGAGAAATGATAGATCATCCATGTTCAGGCGAGGCGAGGCGCAAGCTCCACCCTTTGTTTTGCCGCGATCGTCGCGACCCGAAGAACCGTTCGTGATCGACTTCCTAAACTCGGTCGACCTCGGGTTTTGGTGCGATGCTGCTCGTCCATGTATGACAATTGACGCCTCGCAATCATGCCCATTCCTACCCGCTCCGCTTCACTGCGCGACCCCCGGAAACCTGTCAGTCCCCTTCAGGAGATCCCCGCGATCTCCCCCAGCATTCCAGTCCCCTAACATGAAAGCTGCAGACCTCCAACATAGCACGCCTCGCGACAAATAGTGCGACGTCTAGCGGAATTCCCACGTCTTCGCGACCGACAAAAAATAGTATTCATCCTCCCTCTAATTCTTCGCCGGCCGAGGGCCTCTCGAAAGACCATGGGGCTTCCAACCAGGCCCGGGGACCGACACAGTCAATTAGGACCTTCTCCAAGATGGCCAGCAGGGACTCAGCAACGGCCCCGTCACCGTCTTCAGAGGTCCTGAATACTAAATCCACCTCTACTCCGAGACCTCCCTCTCCCAAAAAGACCAATATGCCACCGCCATCGCGTCCGATGCGGTCAGCTTCACTGCGACAACCTCCGGCAATTGGGGCCGGGCCACCAGCAGCTGTCCGAGGCCATGCGCGACATCGCAGTCAGATGGTTCCATCCCGTACGCAACCCATTCAACCAGACTCGACGCCAACAGCACAGAAATCCCGACCACACTTTTCATCATATCAACAGCACTATTCCCCTAAGAAGCCAACCAAGCCGCCCACCCCCACCCGCGGGGTTGACGCTGAGCCCAGTGGCCTGCTTATCCCTACATCTTGGCCGGATATCGCAGCCTTGCAGACAGAGCTCCTCCAACTCAGCCTGTTCCATTCAAAGTCACTTCAAAAGCATAATGATTGGAAAGCTGAATCGGAGACTTGCCTGCGCAGCAAATACGACGGTGTTGCTGGGCAATATCACTCCGTGCTGGAAGACGAGAAGATGCGCCAATCCCAGCTGAACGCGCAGGCATTGAGCGGTTGGCTCCAGAATTGTCATGACCATCGTGGCCCTCACGACTTCCCTCAGCAAATCCAGATACTCTCCCAGGTATTACAAGAAACCTCAGATCTTGTGACCACTGGAATGAGCGGGCGGTATAACCAGGTCGTCGAGACCTTTGAGCTATGGTTTGAGCAAGCGGAGTTGGTCCGGCACGACCGCGAATACTCGGGGCATGGCATTTCATTTGTTGATCCGCTCGATCAAGCCTGGAAGGAGGAGTTGCACGCTCTACATGTAAAGTTGGAGTTATGCCAGCGACAGCTTCAGAGTCTTGACATTTTAGGCTTTGGAGAGGTGGAGCGCTTGGGGCAATCGGCTCTCACTCGAGTCGCCCAGAGCCTTGCCGAGTCAATTCAGCTCATGATCCAGGAGATTAGTGCGATGCGCACTCTCGAGGCTGAGGTGATTCGTTCGGAAAGAGAGGCCGTCAGTCAACTCGTAGAGGGGCTGGCTAGCCCGCGAGACGTGAGGGCACCGCGGGTTGGGATATGGAATAATGTATGATTATATGGACGTGATAGCGATTCTCTGTATTTTATGATAGTGCACGGATAGCAAGGAGGACCTAATCTTTAACTTGAGAAGTCCGGCTGTACCGGTTCCTGGCAATGGCGGAGAAGTATATAGGAAAACACAGCCAAGTACACCACGTACACTGAACAAACCTCGGAATAGCTAATACCCAAAATTCACCTGCTACCACCCTACGACTCAATCTAAATGCGAATGGTGACCAAATCCAGGTGAATCCCCACATGCAACCCTAACGTTCACTCGAATCTATACAAGCCAATCTCAACCCGAGGCAAATCGGCTGAGTCAGCCCAACGAGTCTCGATTGCTCAAGGCCAAACCGGTTCTTTCGGGCTTATGCGACTTGCTTCTTCGGTCACTTCCCCGGCATCCAGACCGACTGGATTTCTCATCGCTTTTCTATCACTTTGACTTGTCCGACTTCCATCCGACCGGTCATCCATCTGCTAGGACGACCCGCTTGACCTTTCCGTTCCTGACGTCATCTACACTACTCATTTGGCCATCAACGCCAGAGAAAAAAAAAAAAAAAAAAGAGAAAGCGCAGTGAGGCTTGAAGCAGTCGCAGCCCGCCATGATCACCACTTACATATAGTCGAAGCTTTATCGCCGGCGACTACACCGAGATCACCATCATGAAGGACTCACTGTACGATCGTCTCTGGCGCCGAGAATGCGGGGAGCTATCGCCGACTACCGGGCTCCGAGAGCTTTACGGCTCTAACGAGTGGATTGACGACCTGGACATCGTAAATGAGCTTGGAGGACACACAGGATGTGTGAATGCTCTCAGGTATGTGTAATGCCCCCGCACCACAATTTTTGCGCTCCAACTGGCCGGGCTCGCTGCGAGATAAGTTGTCAGACCTTGCTAATGCCGTCTCAGTTGGTCCCATTCAGGTCGTCTCTTGGCTTCAGGCTCGGATGACCAGCATTTGAACGTATACTCATACCAACCCGAATCCTCAAATGCCCCCTTCTCGCTCAGCACCACCGTGGCCACGGGTCACAAGGCCAACATCTTCTCCGTCAAGTTCATGCCACATTCCAACGATCGCACCCTGATCACCTGTGCCGGTGACTCCCAGGTGCGCGTCTTCGACATCGAACACTCCACCAGCAACAGCAATACGAACGCCAATGCGACTTCGGCATTTGCGGCTTCGGCTCGGAGCCGACGCTTCAACAACTTCTTTGAAGGGACACGTTATTTGAGTGAAGGTAATACCAATGCTAGGGTCTACCGGAGCCATGCCGATCGCGTGAAACGGATCGTCACCGAGTCGTCGCCGTACCTCTTCCTCACATGTTCCGAAGATGGCGAGGTCCGACAGTGGGACTTGCGCCAGCCGTCGTCTGCGTACCCCTCGCCCCGGGGTGGCCAGGGCTTCATGGCCTACCGACCGGGCTTGGACCATGATGACTCAAACGTTCCTCCGCCACTTATCTCCTACAAAAAGTTCAGTCTTGATCTCAACACGATCTCATGTTCCCCTACTCAACCGCATTACATCGCCCTGGGCGGTGCCCATATGCACTGCTTTCTGCATGACCGGCGCATGCTTGGGCGAGATATCTCGGCCGAAAAAGGCACCCCCGACGTGGCCACCCCGATCGCTGGCAGTGTTGATGATGAGTTGATGGGTAAGGCGACTCGATGCGTGCGACGATTTGCACCCAGAGGCAAACGTCGTATGCGCCACCTTGACGATGGGCACATCACTGCATGCAAGATCAGCGATGCAAATCCGGATGAAATGGTAGTCAGCTGGTCTGGAGACCACATCTATAGTTTTGACCTGATCCGCAGTCCAGATGCCCGTGATACTTCATCTGAAGAGAGTTCGAAGTCAAAGGGCACAGGCGCGCGTCGCAAGAATGGTTCGCGAAACCGGAAGCGCAAGCGCGCGAAGCCCACATCAATGTCATCACAGGAGAGCGGCGACCGGCATCATTCTCGACGTCGGTCGGAAGATCCTGATACGTTGCACGTACAGTACGAAAATGGAGAGTCTTCCGATATCCCGTTCCGGGAAATTTCTGAGGGGGCTGAGACACCGGAGGGCATGCTCGAGCGTGCTAGGTACTCGGTGCTGAACGATGCTCAGCGTTTGAGCATGGATATTGCGAAAGGGCTTGTGAAGCTTCGACAGGCACTGTTCTCTCTTAGGGCGACTGCCAGGGAGGCTACGGAGTCTGAACAGTCAGACATAACGCCGTATTCCGATTCGTTCCGGACTGCTTTAGGCCTGGCATCCACGTACCTGCCCTTGATGGATAAAGTCATGCGGGAATGGACGTACCCGTTGAATCCATCTCAGGACACCGTTCGTTTTGAGCGATCTCTTCGCGAGAATCGTCAGGCCTCTTGGAGATTCGTGCAAGCTGCTGGAACTCTCGCGCGAGTGTTACTGCGCCCTACAGACCATTCAATGGCCCCGATAGACTTCGCGCAGATTTTCCCTGCACCAAATGAGGATGGTCATATTGACCGGGAGGCGCAGTTTGGATACGACTTCCTCAAGGCAATTCTTCTATGGCTGCAGGGGGGTCGACAAGAACTTCTTCGAGGTTTCAGACGCGGCTCTTGTGGTCCCAGAGTGTCTGGAAGATTTCCTCTGGATGCGGATGCTGACGAGGAGGCGATCGACAGCGTGCTTCTTCCTTACCTTCAGGACTTGGCTGGAGATAACTCCATCGTGAACGTGGATGCCTCGCGGTTTGAACAGGACTCTACGCGAATCGTCTTTCAGACCCAGAAAGCTGCCGTGACTGCATTCGGGAACGCCGTGAAGTTGCCTCTGGAGAACCTCGGAACCTCGGCTGCTCGCGTTGATAAGCGCCGCGTATCCAATCCCTCTTCCCAGGTTCGATCTCTTGACCGAGCCTCTGCAACTAGGTTCTGGATTCTGCGCGTAGGTCGAGGGATTTTGATGCAAGCTGGCAACGGTGTCAACTACTCGTTCGTCAACCGTGCTTTCGGCGGACTTCATACATCAGCTGTGGAATCCGACAGTGACATTGACGTGGAAAGATCCCAGAATGATGCCGAGGCCAACGAGGAGGAACAGGCAATTCGGACCATCAATCTCGTGAGATCTGGTGGCTCTGCGCGGGCAGCGGCTGACGCAACCTCGACACCTTCGGACGGTGACGAGGGCGAATCCTCCTCCGATGACGTCTTTGATCGCTTACCTGTGACCCATGAAAGCGACAGTGATAACGGTGAAGAAGGCGAAGAAGGCGCAGATATCAGCGACGTCGAGAGCGATGGGCACGACGGTGATGGCTGGCAGATGGACTTGGTCGGCTCGGATTCAGACGATTCAGAGGATTCAGAGTCCGACGAGCCTCTCTATCTACGGGGTGCGACTCGGAAATCACGAAGAGGCGATGTTGAACTGGACACACCCTGTTTCGCTCATACACGGGTGTATCGGGGTCACTGCAACATCAAGACTGTCAAGGACGTCAACTTCTTCGGACTAAATGACGAGTACGTGGTGAGTGGCAGTGACTCGGGCCATGTGTTCATTTGGAACCGCGAAACTGCCGAACTGGTCAATATCTTGGAAGGCGATAGCGAGGTCGTCAATGTCGTTCAAGGCGAGTCTTTGAGATCCCAGTTTTAATTATGGGCTTCTAACATGAGTTTATATAGGCCACCCTTATGAGCCGACCCTTGCGGTGTCGGGTATCGATAACACGATCAAGGTCTTCTCTCCAGACCGACACGCGCAAGAACAGGCTCGCCGAGGCCGCCATATTCTTGACCCGGACAACCCGGTCAATGCCCTCGGATCTACCGAGCTCAACCTGGGTGGCCTTCAAAGCCGCAAACGTCTCTCGGACAGCTATCGCATCATGAGCCAGAATGATGTCGACCGCCGCGGCGGTATGAGCGAAGCCTATATCACGGTAGAGTCTCCCAGTCCCCCATCAGGTGTCTCGGACATCCCAGAGGAATCCAGCTACTGACTTGCGAAAAGAGAAGTATGCTTGCTCGCCTTGCTGCTACCCTTCGGGGTCGGCAAGGAGGTGCCGGCGCTGTCGGTGGTCTCGGTGCTGGGCCCGGCGAAGGTGCCAGTGTCGTTCTCGACGATAATTGCCTGGTTAGTTATGCGATTTCATACCCATATCTGAAAGAAAACTGACTGGTCTGTAGGTGATGTGATCATGGGTCTGGAACAAAACCGGAGTAACTACATATTTTATTCATTCATAGTCAGATTGTTTCTTGGGGTGGGGCATTAGGGCGTTCTCTGGTGAAATCATTGGGACAAGCATCGAGAATGGCATTAACACTAGGAATGAGCTCATAATTTCGAATCTTCTTACCACGTCTATAGTTGCAAAATGTATAGGGCGCCCCGCTTCCCAAAGCGGAAAGCCCCACATCGAAAAATCCAAAGCGGGACTTTTATCGAAATGTCAACCGACGACTAGACAGCGCGCAAGTAAAATGGCCTCTGAATTGCTGCTGGCTCGCGCGCAGACAACTGCCCAGCTCTACGCCGACCCGCACAACCCACACCTGTACCTCGACCGAGCCCGTCTCTACGAAAAGCTCGGCTTCCCCGATCTCGCCGCCGCCGATGCCTACCGCGCACTCTCCCTGCTCGAATCTGTGGTGGATCCAGACGGATTCGAGTTTCACGCCAAGAAAGTGGTCAGTAAGCCCGCTAGCCAGAAGGACAATGGCGACGGGGGTGAGAACAAGGACGAGGACGAGGACGAGGACGAGAATGATGGGACGGTTCCCGTCACGCAGGAGGAATACAACGCGCTCATCGGCGAGGTTTATGCCGTGTTAGTGCGCAGTCTCGTACGTTGTGGATGTTATCGCGACGCCTACGAGTTTGGCGTGCGTGGTCTTGGTTTATTGCGCGATCTAGAGCAGGGTGGCTCATCGGCAACAACGGTCTTGAACGAGCAGATGGATCAAATCAAGACGATCTACAAGTTCCGCACGGATGCGCAGGGTGATATTGACCTGGATTCAATTGACTCTGCTGCCCTTCCGGCACAGGGCAGAGCCCGTCGAGTCCTCTATCCCTGGAACGAGCACGAGCCGGACCGTCGCGCTCCAGAGGAATTGCGTTTTTTGAACGAGCGACTCGCGGATATTGCGCCCAAGTGCGAGGTGCGCGCTGTCGCTCTGCCGGCGTTACATGACACCACAACCGACGAGGAAGAGGTCTCTGTGCAGCTCGGTCTCTTCGCGAAAGAAGATATCGCCGCGGACGAGATCATCCTGCGCGAGTCTTCGCTCCTGACGGCCACGAACCGCCTTCACGATGATCTGTGCGACGCTTGCAATGCGCCCCTCCCTGAACTGTCTGCCGCTGAACCGCCTGTCGGTTGCGAGGGGGGCTGCGCAGATACAGTCTTCTGCAGCCAGGCGTGCCACGACAAGGCGCAGAGTATCTACCATGGGGCCATTTGCGGCCTGGAAGATGGACTTGAGTCTATTGGAAAGGATATTCCCGACCCCAAGGATAAAGCAGATTATCTGTACCTGCTGCTCCTCGGTCGTGCCCTGGCTATGTCCGCCACGCAGGACGTGGATGCACTAGAACTGCCGGAAGTGAAGTATATTTGGGGTGATTTCCACGATTTCGATCTTCAAACTGCGAGCGCAGGCGACGCCGCTACTCTGCCATTCTCTTTCCAACTCAATATTCTTCAACCGACTCGTTTCCTTGAGGAAATGGAAATTGATCCCTACGCCTCGCTCCCCCGCTACGACACTTGGGTGTTGAATACCCTTTACGCCAAGTTCCGTGGCACTGCCTCTGGTCGTCTGTCAACGTGGGATGGAGGTCCAGAACTATGTGCAGTGCACCCGCTCTGGTGCCTGGCGAATCACTCCTGCGATCCGAACGTGTGCTGGGAATGGGGTGGAGAAATTACTTTCCGAGTTCGGGGCAACGAGGAGACAGCGGTTTGGTCAAGAAAGAAGAGTGATGGGACCATCGAGATGAAGCCTCTTAAGGCTGGTGGTATTGCCAAGGACCAGGAGATTCTGAATCACTATTGTGATATTGCGTTGCCAGTCAAGGAGCGCAGGGAGTGGGCTTCTGGTGCATTGGGTGGGACGTGTCGCTGTGACCGATGCGCATGGGAAGCTGGTGAGACTGAATAGGCGGTTCATTGGGATAGTGCATTACATAGACGTGTTGGTGCGGAAGATACCCAATAGACTTGGCTTTGGTTAACTATCAATGGCATATGCATGATATCTGGGGATTGCCTCAGAAAAGGCGAAAAGACTTTGACTAAAATACACCGATTGAGTTCGTTCCTTGTTCCTAGCACCAGATAAAACCCCCGAAGGAAAATGAAAGCACAGCCTCGACATGACCATATGCAGCCAACGTAATCATTCTTACATGCCAAAGCCCCAAATTATATTGCCGTCGACGCAAGGTTTACCTTCGGCGAGGTGGTGTTCGCGAATAGCTTCGTCCCCGTGAAACATCCCTGCGCGGTGGGCTGCGGGAGCGGGAGACAGACTGATCGCGGCCTCGACGAGGCGGAGGGGATACCGACTTCGACGAGTGCCGCCTGGAACTCTTGGATGCAGGTACACGAGGAGGCGTGACAGATCGAGAGACCGATCTTGAGCCGCTGCGATTGCGCCGGCTGGCGGGAGCTCCGCGGCGCGGCGGGGTGACGGATCGAGAAGCCGAGCGGCGAGACCTATACGGACTGCGGCTAGGAGTCCGGCTAGGGGTGCGGCTGGGACTGCGAGGGTCGTAGGAGCGCGCGCGACCACGTCTTGGGGGTGTGCGCGACCTGGATACGGGTCGATCCGCTGGCGTTCGGGATCGAGATCGACTGTGAGATGCGTCGCGTCGACTGCGGCGAGGGGACCGCGAACGCGATGGCGTGTAGCTCCGACCCCGCGAAGAGGGCGTGATGGAGCGAGAGTAAGAGCGACCACGGTCCCTGGAAGGAGAACGGGAGTAGGAATAGGAGCGGGAGCGAGACCGGGATCGAGAGGAGTATGAGGAGTAAGAGGAGCGCGATGGCGAGCGCGACGCGGCTGCTGGCAAGGCGGGCACAGTGGGCCGGGGTAGGTTCTTGAGATGCTCGCGCATGTCTTCGGTCAATATACCCATGCCAATACTGGTGAAGTAGTTGACCGAGAAGCGGGTGTGTCGCGGATTCTCCGTAGGGAAGAGACCCTCGAAACTTGGTCGCAGAATCTCGTCTCGGAACCGGGACTGCAAAGCCGGCAGGCCCATGTGCTCCGCAAGATCCTGGAACAAGATCTTGATGAAGATACGGCTGCTGGAGGTGGTTTCCTCTTCGTTGAGATGAATTACCGAGAGGACATGCCAGCCAATGGCATCGTTGCTAATCATGTGTCCGAAGAAGCGTGCGATGTTGCGTAGACGGTTCGTTTCGTATCGGTGAATGGTGTCGTAGTATTTGGCAAATGCAGCCTCGAACAAGTCCGACCAGAGCCGGTTGATCTTTGCGAATCGCTCTCCGATCAGACCGTAGAACTTGGAGTATGTTCGTTCCTGGGAGCAACACTCGATAATCATCGACGGCAGTTCTGGCTCGAGACCGGCCGGCAGATTGATCTTCATCAATTTGTGACAGCATTCTTCGAAGTCGATGCTAGACATGATCGTCAGGTAGATCGTCCGGCGCAAATTAACCAGGTCAGTGTTGCTCTGGTCCTTGATGTCCATCTTTTGCTCCTCCTCGTCTGTTTCTTCGTCTGAGCTCTCGTCCTCACCATCCTCGTCGTCCTCGTCACTGTCCTCGCCTAGGATTTCGGCCTTGAGCTTTTTGTAGGCTTCCTCGTGTTGTTCCCACTCCGGATCAAATTTGAAGATGTTGAGTGTGTCCTGAGTCTCAATCTCATCGTCCAAGCCGAGGCGATGAGTAATCTGATCTTCTTCCTCCACCAGATCGAGCTCCTCCTTAACCGCTGGGTTGTCCTTGTACCGATCCTTGCGCACCTGGAAAAGAACCTCAATCATGTATTGGATGCGCTTGTCGATATCGGCCTCGTGAAGGATGTTTCGGAACTGGTCGAATACCGCTAGCGCAATCGGAGGGTTCATTTCCTCCAAATGCTGGCCAACTTCTCGGGTGAGCCCGACGGCGATTTCCACGCTGTCATCCGTGGGCTTGTGGAGAAGAAGTAACAAAATCTGAGCGGCCAACATCTCATGGGCAACCTGCTGGTTGCACAGATGAGCGATGAAAGTCGTGGACGAAATGCAGACGGCTTTGTCGTTTCGCTTGAATGCCTTGCGGAATTGAATGATCAGTCGGGACAGCAACAAGTCTCCGACCTGCGGAAGTTTGGTGTTGACAATTGCCGCCATCGCAGCATAGATAGGTGTAAAGGGCAAACTGGCCGCCTGTGCCTTCATGATGGAACGGCAAAACAAGCCCCGTCCTCGAACCAGGTTTTCTCCAAACAGTTCGGGAACGATGAACTTGATGTTGGAGACGTTGACCTTGTTGATCAAACCATTGATCGACTTTTTCAAAGCCTCCCATGCCATGCGCTGGTACTCTTTGCTCGTCTTATCCGTGATCTGCGCCTGTAGGGCGCGGAGTCGGGCCGGGGGGATGTATGTTCCACCTGAGCGCATATTCAGAAGTTTTTCGTATTCTGCCTTTGCAGAAGCCTGTTTCTCCTCGTCGGTCATCGGCTTTCGAGCCTTTTCCTTCCTTTCATGTTCGCGAACACGCTCTGCAAGCTGTCGCTCTCGCTCGATCGCGCGCTCATCATCAAGGGGAGGGACCTCGCCATCTTCCCGATGAGAACCACCCGGTGGCGAGCGACGTCGGTTTGGCGACGGAGACCGCGACGGGGGCGAACGTTTTCGAGAGGCTGCGCCTGGCGAAAATGCGGCGCCCGGGGGAGGAGTGGGCACACGGACCGCCGACTGCAGAACGACCGGATCCGACATGATGCAGAGTCAGAGTCTCCGGTAATTCGGATGGGGAGAAGGAGGAGAGGTAACACCGGGGGCGCGGTGGATGCGAGTCTCACGCAGATCCGTGAAAGCTCTAGTGCGAGTCACGTGACGGGAGGCCAGGTAGGAACAATAAACGGGACGGGAGCTCCTGACCGTTCGCCCTTGGCTGTTCGCATCGTCTTCTCCGGGAATTCGCGTGTGTTTTCTGCTACTTTGAATTCATCAATAATGGTACTGTGCTCGTTCCGATTGTCGTGTGTCTCGTATACTGATTGTTGTTCAGCTGGGCCAACTTGTCGGTTCCGCCATGCTCTTGGCCGCAACCGCAATCTTCCTTTACTACACAGCCTGGACGCTGTTGATGGTATGCATTCTGGAACTCGTTACTTCTCAATCGCTTCTAACTCATCTCATATGATAGCCCTTTGTCGACCCCGGCCACCCTCTCCACGACCTCTTTCCTCCGCGTGTTTGGGCCATTCGCATCCCCGTCATCCTGGCCCTCCTGGGGTCCGCCGTGGTGGGCACTTTCATAGGCATTGTGATGATCAACAGCAACAAGAAGAAGGCCGCCAAGGCCAAGGCTGCGGCAAAGAAGAAGACTTGAAGGGGATCAGGAGAATCGACGCGACTACTGGCCCTCGGGCACTGTACCATCACTTGTGCATACCCGGAGAAAGAGCAGACCGACACCGAGACTCGTCTCGTCTAATAGGCAAAATAATCAAGTTGAAACAAGTTCGAGTTCCAGTTCAACGGGGTCCTTACCCCGTGCTTCCAAGTATGCGTTAGGACGAGCCCTCGGCAAATGATCGGACATCGTTCATCTGGAGCTGATTCGCGTCATGGTTCCCGGATGCCCCGTGACCTACCACGGTCCCCACATGGGCAACTCTGCCTAAATGAGTAAATGAGGAAATCAAGGCGGCTACGTTCGGACTCCTATTTGGGCGAAGTGGCCCACGGATGTAAGGTGGCCATGCGTGCTTAGATAAGGGGTGCACAATACCGTGATACAGTGGCCAAAGAGAGTGTGTCATAGGCAGGTAGAACCCCGAAAAGCAAGTAAGCATAGCTAGCTAGGTATGATGCATGGAGGTGACCTGCCCGTGTGTTCAGCCGGGGAATGACGGGGTCAGCCCCTCGCCCTCTCTGACTCAGGTACCGCGTTACCCCCCTCTTTCTTATCGGAGATCGGCCTCTTCTTCCCCTCATCATCTACTCTTTCTCTCTCCGACTCTACTATACAATATATCTGGCTTCTCGGCACCCGCTGGATTACCGTGTCCAGTGTAGTGCTGTGTGACGCCTATCGCTCTTATCAAAGCTTCCCCCGCGTATCCCAAGAGCGACTCCGCTCTAGACCGCCGTCTACCCGAACCGCGATCAGCACTGCGACAAGGGTTCGCGCTGCAATAGGTAGGTGGCTACAGAACCTTGCAAATCTGATCAAGGATTTGTTCTTCGTGAAAGAGCCGTTGAGTAATGAGATAGCTCGTGTCAGGTTCCCACCTTTGTACTTCCCCCGCTTGGTCTCCCCCCACGCGAACAGACCGGTTCGCCCCCCGTTCTCAGACCTCACCACAGGTTCTGAGAGCGGTTCTCAGTGCTCTGATATTTGCCTTTCTGAGGCATCCTCCAGTTGAATGCCCCCGGCCGCACCTGACGACCTCATCCGCCAGCACAGCCGGTCCCTAGAAGACGACCACTCTTTCTCCCCGGATCAGAACACCGTCGTTCAGGAGCATGAACCAAGTGGAAAGAGTAAAAAGAAGAAGGCTAAAAAGGCCGCTAAAGCGGCCAAAGCAGCAACGGCATCCCCGCCAGATGATGTGTATGTGTTCACGATGCATTCTCGATCGGTTTCATCGGTACCTAAATATCAGCTCGCTGATTTGACGTTTAGGACGAATACGTCGGTACCTGCATCGGTACCTACGTCGGTGCCTGCCCAGGAAGAGCCGTCCTCATGCCCTGACCAAGCTCTGGATCTTGATGGTTCCCTGGACGAGCACCATGATTATCCCGACGAACGTCGAGCTCATCCCAACGTAACCTCGCCCGTCCTCGACGCCCTGGGATCAACCGAGGAAACCGCGGACCACGACCTTAACAGCCGCACCGACACCTGGGCTCAGTCCATACCATATGGCAAGAGTCCTCCTACTGATTTGATTGATGGAGATCTTCCCCAGGAATCACCAATCAGCTTTCCTACAATTCAGGAAAGAGGGGGCTTCAGCCAACCTTCCTCGGCTTCTCCTCCAACTCGAATCCGACCTTTTAGTTACGGAAGCGGTTACCGAAGCAGTATGCACTCCAGACAGCAATCGGTAGATAGGCGAAAGAGCCATTCTTATGGAAGTCCCATGAGTAATCTGGCTCCACCACCTCATATGCCCCAGGCCCATTTCTACGGAGCGCCAGACATCGATCTTCCAACCCAGAAACTTCCTGCCACGGATGGGGCCCACTCATTCTGCGCCTTCGATACTCTCCCAAGTGCGTCGTCCAAGGCACCACGAGCGTGTATGAATGTACTTCTGGTGGGAACCGATGGCGGTGTGGAAGTACACGCCATCGAAGACCGTCGAACTCGTCTTGTCGGGCAGATAACAGGCCTCAATGGTCGAATTCTCGAGGCAAAGATTTTACCGGGTCACATATCCAATGATCTACTTGCTTCGCCCCAACCCCACGTGGCTGTGATCATTCATGGACCACTCCCACCGAACGAAGAAGAAGGTCGCGTTTCGTCTGCTGCGTCTGAGATGAACGATGTTCCACCTTCGATGGCACGTGGTCCCTCCAATGATAGACGCTCAGCCAGAGACGACAAGTCATTTTACCAGACCAGAGTTGAGGTCTACTCCCTGCGATCGGGTGATCACCTTGCAACATTATTTGCAGGCAAACCGGTCCCGTCATTGGAGAATCTTCCGGGTCTCCCGTCCTTGGCACCTTCGCCTGTGGGGAGCCTGAAACTCTTCAGCAGCAGAAACTATGTAATTGTTGCCTCCGGAATCAGTGGGGAGGTCTACATCTTCAAGCATTCCTCTTCTGGGACATATCAGTGCTTGGGCAAGACTTGGACCAACGTTCAGACCGGAGAAGCTCGTCGTTACTCCACCTCCTCGAGCTCTACTGATCCTGATGGGTCTCACCATGACCTGCCTCGTACCTCCATCTCCGAGAGACCAATTCTGGCCGTGCAGGGAAGATGGCTGGCGATGGTACCTCCGTCCTCCTCTTACCGTGCATCGATTCAGGGGATCGTCCCTCCGAGTTTGCTGCATGGCAAAGTTCACGGAATGGAGACTCGCAGTCCACCAACTGTGCCATCGGTCAACTGTGCGACGGATGTAGGCGATGGAGAGAGCATCTTCGATAAATTTGCCAGGGGTGTTACACAGGAGCTGGTGAAAGGCGCCCGTTGGATGGGTGATCAAGGCCTTCAAGCGTGGAACAATTACTGGAACAATCAGCAAGGTACTGGCACGCCTCCGCCACGGCCCATACGAACCACGGACGCCCAAGCTCAGGGTTATGGTCTCTTTCCACCTACCCATGCACAGGATACCCAGACCATTTCATCGTCTGAGCCCGATGCAGTCTCCATCCTCGACCTGAAGAGATTCGATGACGGAATGGATGCGAAGGCTGTTCCCTTCCACCCTGTGGCGACTTTCCAGGTTCCCAATGGTTGCAGTTTCCTTTCGCTCTCTCCTAATGGCTTGATGCTGTTCACAGCCAGCAAGAAAGGTGATGTTCAATACGTTTGGGACTTGATGCAACTCAGACATTGCCGAGCTATGGCTTTCATGGCTGAAGATCAGGCTGGCCAAAGCCCCAATGTGCGACAGGTCGCACGATACGCCCGGTTGACCACGTCTAGTATCGTTGATGTCATTTGGACTGCTCCTCTCGGGGATCGACTGGCCATAATCACTCGTAAAGGCACCATTCATGTGTTTGATCTGCCTCGAAGCGCCTTCCAGTGGCCTCCTTTCCGGCGAGCTCGACCTGCGGGGAAGAAGTCGCCTAAAGTTGACCCGATCGGTGATGATCCTGTAGGACAGGGGCCCGCTGGAAACCCGTTGTCGGCAGCAATGAATTTTGTCGGTGGCAAGACACAGCCATTTTTCTCTGTCGTCAAAGGTCGTGTGCCGTCAACTGGTACTGCATTCCCTAAAGTAAGTGGGTTCGCACTACCGACTGCCGCGAGTATCAAGGGTGGTAAGGTTGTTGCGGCTGGCCTCAGCAAGTCCATGGGTGCAGCAGCGTCAGGTACCGTCCATTCACTTCGGCATGTGGGAGAAAATCGACTTCACTTGTCTGGCCTCGCCCGTCACCCGGCCCCTTCTCGCGTCATTTGGATTTGCAGCAAAGGACACATTTTCCTGGGCATGGTTGATGATGGGCACTTCAAATTGTACCGTCTAAAGCAAGCCGCAAATGCCCACAAGAGTCGCCAATTCCATTCCGTTGTCGGTGGGAAAGAGAGTCAATTCAAGCTTCCTGCCATTTTTCAAAGTGTCTGTGGGCCGGCACCTCTCCTCGCACACGACCCGGGACAGGTAGTCCAGGCGTCTCTGCTCTTGCCATCTGTCAGTTCGCAGCCATCCAATGCTGGGAAGGCTTTTTGCCAGCCGCTCTCACAGGCAGAGATTGAGACGAACACACCGTACCAGCCTTTCCATACGGACCAGCGAGTTGGTCTCCACGTTTTTACCTCTGAAGCAACTGACCCAACCATGTTGGCCCCTGTTGACCAATGGGTCTTTGGCAATGATATTTCGACAACCAAGGTGCACGTGAGATCGTACAGCAACAGTGGTGATGATCAGGGTGATGATGAGGACGAAATGGGCGCCATCCACGGCCACTCCTTTGGCGCAGGCGGCGACATGGAGAACCTCATCTCTCTCGGGAACAGCACCGGCAACGTCGAGGAAGTGGTCATCACCACCCGACGCAAGAAGAAGCATAGCACTCCACTCAAGGCGGACGACGGTTTCTTCGAGGACGATTGCGAGGTTCTCGACTTTGCACGAGACCGAGTTTGATCCCTTCCCTTGTTTATTTTTTTCTTTTCTTGACATTTCGGTGATTTAGATACAGTGCTCGCGCGGCGTTGGAGAATTGCAAGTGGCGTTTGTGGTTTGCGTCTTTCCCTCGAATTATAACTCCCAAATTGCATCAGACATCCTGAACTCTGGATTATCTGCTGGTTTGTGCGTTTTGCGTTTTGCGTTCTGCTCTCTGCTCTCTGCTCATGCTCTCATGCGTTCTTGACGATTCGACGCTGCTCACAGAAACCCAAATACCCAAACCTGTACTTTTGATTTACTCGCATTTCGATAGATGGAGGCTCCTCGACATTTCTTTTCTCTGCGTTCTCTTTTCTTCGCTGTGAGGATCCTTTCCTCGGACGGTCTCTACCGAGGCACGGCGCTTGAATCTCACGGGGATATTCATTCTCTCCACTACGTTCATAGGTTGAACATGCAACTCACTCGGGCCGAGAACGGTCCGTGCACATCAATACAGGGGTCTCAAGCTCCCATGATATTCAACATAGATCATTTTCGAATATTCTCGAGTGCTTTAGACAGTAGAATAAGATACCTCCATCTCCTCCTCCCACCAACCCCTAAACACTCTCAATCTCTCCGTCCGCACACCAGCCATCTTTTTTCCCGTCTCCGTCTTCATCATTCCCTCCAATTTCTCCAGCTTATCCCCGAAATGTTCAATCGAGTTGTTCATATCCCATTTCCCACCATCCCGGACAAATTTCCGCCCCTGTGCCCCGAGGAACGTGAACGTCCGTCCGATGCCAATGGCCCCAATTGCATCCAGCCGGTCTGCATCCTGCACGACCGCCAGCTCCGGATATCCCTCGTCGATGAGGTGCAAGATCACACTCGGGTCCTTGCATTCCGTTGTATAGGATACGTGCGAGACAACCGTCTGCACTTTGGAGGCGAGATCCGCCGGAGCTCCGTGTTTGAGAAGCGCGACTTCGACCATTGTCTTGGGGTCGAGTGAGTCGGCATCGGACGCTGTCGCAGACGACAGCTTGGGCAGATATTTCCTGTCTCCGATATCGTGCAGTAGAGCCGCCAGCTTGACGACCGCCGCATCGAGTTTCTTGGTCGGGTGCAGGGCCTGCTCGCCCTGGAGAATGACCAAGGCCATGTTCACCACGCGGTGGACGTGGGCTGGGTTGTGAGACGGGTCGTGGCCAGACATACAGGAATCGACGAAGGCGGACATGGAGCTGTATAATGTCTGGAATTGCTCGCTGGTTGCTTCCATGGCTGGTAACGCCATGTTTGCGGCGTTCTATATAGAGGATGGTCTAGAAACGGGGTTTTATGGCGTTGTAGATTTTATAGTAGCTTCACAGAGAGTTCGACAAGAATCGTGCCCGACAACTCGATATGCCAATGTTGTTGAGTGGGGTGCCCAGGTGGTGGGAGGTGGATATATACACAGAGCAGTTAAAACTCGTACACATCTTGGCGGTGAGTCAACTCTAACCTTCCCGCGTCTAGCTTACTCCCTGCAAGCAACTGCAGTTCGCGCTGTCGACTCGGTGCACATTCAAATGTCAGGGAGGACAATGCCGCTCCCCACCTTGGGAGCCAAACTCCAAAAGCCCGGCAGCACTGCACATATCCTATCTTAACGTGGGGAACACGGTGGGGCAGGATCTACACGTCGTAAAGTGATCTACGCCAAAAATTGGCCATGGAATGCGTCTACAACGTTGAAAATGTCCTGATGTAGATGGAAAGCCCTCCTCCGGGGTAAATTATTGTCAAGTCATTCACAGGTATCAAAGGTTATTGCACATGCAGAAAGAAAATTAAATGGGCCGCAGACGAATTGCAAGACCCGAATACATCACTCCACGGCATAGGTACGAAAAGACTCATCGTTTGTTATGAAGCAGCTTACAGAGCGAAAGCAGCAACGACGAGGCCGAAGAGACCGGCGCTCGAGGCACCCAGCTTGACATTGGCGGCAGCGTTGGTGGACTTGACGACGCCAGTGTTGGTGCTGGTGCCGGAGCCGGAGCCGAAGGTGCTGGAGGCATCGTTGTTGGAAGCTATAGATGGAATTAGCTTGAAGTAATTCTGTGGAGATGATTGGAACATACAATCAGAGTCAGAAGTCGTAGTGGCGGTAGCCCAGGTGCTAGTGGTAGTGGCAGTGGCAGTGCCGGTGGTAGTGTCAGTGAAGGTAGTGGAGCCGGTCTCGGTAGCCGCAGTGCCCGTGGCGAGGAAGTGGGAGTTGAAACAGTTCTGCTGGCACTCGGTGTACCTCTTGGTGTCGGCGGGGGTACCGGTACCCTGGGGGCAGGCAGCAACACATTTGTTGGTGTCGTTGGCCTGGCTCTCGCTGGGGCAAGGAACCTTGTAGCAATCAGCGACGCAGCAACGCTCAGTAGTGCGACCTATACCAAGAAACAGGTTAGACCAGAAAACGAAGAATGCGGGGAAGCTGGTACTTACACTTGTTGGCACACGACTGCTCGGGAGTGAGGGTCACAGTGGCAGTCTGCGCGGTGGTGGTGGTCTCCGCTGCGGCGAGAGCCAGCAAGGTGGAGATGGCAAGGATGTTGAACTTCATGATGAAAGTGTAGAAAGATTGAATGAGAGTACAGAATGTAGGGTCTTTTCAAAGAGTAACGAGTGACTGGGATGGAGGAAGAAAGATGAGGGACGAGGGAAGAGGGCAGAAGGAAAGTGAGCTTTTAAGTAGATACTGAGGACAGAGCATGAAAGCCGCAACCTGCAACCTTCAACCTTCAACCTGCAAACCTGCAAACCTGCAACCCTGCAACCCTGCAACCCTGCGTCGGTATGTTGGACTTGGTTTCCCTCGATCCAATTACAAGGCACCAATCGACCCCAGTAGCCCCAAACCAGGAGACCAAAAAGAAAGTGGCGTGGGCTCCTCATTCGCCGTGTCTGGGATTGAGCTCCGCGACCCGGCTTGTTTCTCTCTCGCGTTTCGCTGTCTACCATGGTCTCAGGCCTAGGGGTAAGTGGGTACAGCCCGACTACCTTGCTTCCCGTGAAGGGCTACAGGATCCGATGCATAAAAACAATAGTAGGGGGAAAATGGAATTTGGTCGCCCCTTGACAAGGATCTGCGCTAGACAGGGAATCAAGGAACTTTAAAGACCCTAAAGACCGCGAAGTGGACCTGTCAAATCTGGAGGGCTCGGCCGTGTCCGTGATTCGCCCGTTGGCCACCGAAGGCACCTTACACAAGCCCCTTATAGTTACTAGCTGTTCATGATAACCGACTCGGGACGCGCTATGTAGAGCGCCTCCCCAGGGCGCAAGGGACTATGTATATAGCATCGCATGCATTTTAAAAAAAAGGTCGGGGCCTATCTCGGCTTCGATGAAAATTTGGCGCGATTTCACTTCGATGAATGGCACGAAATAAGAATCATGCTCGGATCCTCACACCAATTGCTATTGAGATTCAACCGTAGAAGGGAACAAGGTCACTATGGTAAAATAGTCGGACGTATCTGCGGTGGACAAATGGAGCGCAAACACACCAAACAGCTGATTTGAGTCACCTGACCGCGCGACTGTCGCGACGCGTCAATCGATGATTTCGTGAGGAAGCGCAGGATCAGCATTTCGCCGCTCTCGGCGCAATGCCTTCGTCAGACTCCGAGTCCGACTACTTCGACAATGACTTTGTAGTGCCCAGCACTCCCGACGGTGATGTGTCTACGCGCCCAGTCAAACGGCGTCGCGTACAATCGCCCTCGCGCGGGGAAGACCGTGATAATGACGAGGGTGTCTCCGAGACCGATTCATTCTCCGATTTCGATGAGGATCTCCCGCACTACCGCGAGACTTCGGAAGCCTACGAGGAGCGGCAAGCACGATCGAAGTCTCGGAGCTTCGTGCCCAAAAAAAGCAACTTCCAAGAGAACATGTTTGTTACGCAACTCACACAACCCGACTCCAGCCCCGAACGAATTCGCGGCCCCCGGTGGAAGAAGCCAGATCCTGATCCGCCATCTCACCCACCCATGGCTCCTCCCGCGCCTCCAGTCCCCCCGGCGAATGCGACGAGGCGACCATCTAATAACTACTACGACGACGAGGAAGAGCTGAGAGCGGCGTTGGCAGCATCACTGGACGCATTTGAGGAAGAGAAGTCATTCAGAGTCGCACCGAACCCCAGTGGATCAAAAAACACTGGCACGCCTCAAACCATGTGTTCACATGAGCAGAAGAACAATTCGATGGATGTCTCGTTCGAGTTGGAGGACATACCGGAGGACGCGTTCGACTCTTCGCCGGCTCTCTCGCCGGTGTCATGCCCAGCCCAGCCAGCTACCTTTCACTCCAGCGCTTCGAGACGGCCGAACCGACCGCAGAGTCTCCGACAAACAACTCTCTTCGGCATGACTGCCCAGAGCGAACCACCAATGCCGCGAGAAGAAGATTTCGCTCCACCCCAGAAAGTTGAGCCCCCAACGCAGCATAAATTGATACAAGATGCGCTCGGCACGTGGTGGTATCCGACAAATCTGGGCAACATCCGAGACTACCAATTCAATATCACCCAAAAAGGCCTATATCACAATCTACTGGTAGCCTTGCCAACAGGTTTGGGAAAGACTTTCATTGCGGCAACGATTATGCTCAACTGGTTCCGATGGACTACGGATTCCCAAATCATTTTCGTGGCTCCCACAAAGCCACTGGTTTCACAGCAGGTATCAGCGTGTTTGGACATTGCTGGCATCCCACGGTCCCAGACAACCATGCTTACTGGAGGTGCACCACCTGGACTTCGGGCAGAAGAGTGGCAATCTAAGCGAGTTTTTTTCATGACACCTCAGACATTAATAAACGATTTGAAGACCGGCATCGCAGATCCAAAGCGCATTGTCTTGCTGGTTGTGGACGAAGCTCATCGTGCTACTGGAGGCTACGCCTACGTCGAAGTGGTCAAGTTTCTGCGACGCTACAACAAGAGCTTCCGTGTCCTCGCGCTGACCGCTACGCCTGGCTCTACTGTGGAATCAGTACAGGCGGTAATTGATGGCCTTGACATTTCACGAGTGGAAATTCGCACGGAAAATTCAATTGATATTCGGGACTACGTTCATTCTCGGAATATCGAAATCGAGACGTTCGAAAACTCGGATGAGATGCTCTTCTGCATGGATCTCTTATCTACAACCTTGCGACCTCTGGTGGAACAGCTTCGAACGATGAATGCGTATTGGGGCAGGGACCCGATGGGCCTGACGGCATATGGTCTTACGAAAGCGAGACAGCAGTGGATGATGTCCGATGCAGGCCGAAATGCCAACTTTGGACTCAAGGGCAAGGTGAATGCTATTTTCACCGTGCTTGCTAGCTTGGCTCATGCCATTGACTTGTTGAAATTTCACGGGATCGTCCCTTTCTATCGACACATTCAGCATTTCAAGTCGAATACCGACGGACAGAAGGGCGGAAAGTGGCAAAAGCAGGTTGTCCAAGACGAGAGTTTCAAGAAGCTCATTAGCCATCTCGAACCCTGGTCCAAAAACCCGGAATTTATTGGCCATCCTAAATTGGAGTATCTCAAATCCGTCATCTTAAATCACTTCATGGATGCAGGCGAAGGGAAAGAAAATGTCGACGGCAACGGTCAGCCTGCCACACGTGCCATGATTTTCGTGCATTTCCGCGACAGCGCCGAAGAGGTGACCAGAGTGCTGAAGAGATACGAACCCATGGTTCGGCCACATGTTTTCGTGGGCCAAAGTAGCGCCAAGGGCTCCGAGGGAATGGACCAGAAAACCCAGCTTAAGATCATTCAAGACTTCAAAAAAGGGACGTACAACACCATCGTCGCCACATCCATTGGTGAAGAAGGATTGGATATTGGTGAAGTGGATCTTATCGTATGTTACGACTCTTCAGCATCGCCAATTCGCATGCTGCAACGAATGGGCCGAACGGGCCGTAAGAGAGCCGGAAATATCACCTTGCTCCTTATGAAGGGCAAGGAGGAAGACTCGTACACCAAGGCCAAGGACAACTACGAGAAGATGCAGCAGATGATCGCCAGTGGCTCTCGCTTTACGTTCCATGACGATCGATCCGCTCGCATCTTACCTGCAGGAGTACGCCCAGTCGCCGACAAGCGGATCATCGACATCCCTCTAGAGAACTCCCAAAGAGAGCTCCCCGAGCCGAAGCGCAAAGGACGCGCGCCCAAACGACCACCGAAGAAGTTTCACATGCCAGACGATGTGGAGACTGGATTTACACGAGCATCGACCCTGGAAGCCAGTTTCAATAAGGCCAATCGGAAGAAAGCTGCCCCCAAGAAGCGAGCCCGCACTCCTACACCGGAACCAGTCGATGTCCCGCCTCTGGATGAAGTGATTCTCAATCCTAAGGAGCAGCGAGAGCTCGAGCATCACTATCAAAACATCGGAGACACCTCGCCGCAGTTCATTAGTGTTCCGCGGAATGATGCATTTCCGCATCTACAGCTTGTTTCGAGACCGACCAAGACTGTTCAACATGGCTCCCTCACCCGCCGAATGATTGAAGCCCTGCAAAAGATGAACCAGGCCCGTCCTGAGTGCGAGGATCATTACAAGCGGATCCTGGCCCGCAAACCCATCAAACCTAAAAAGAGTTCAACGACGGAGCGTCGACGCAGCAATAAATTAACAAAGTCATCGAAGAACTCTTCTCACCGGCTCTCAGCCCCAGCAGGCATTGATTCTGAGGCAGAGATCTCCTTGCTATCCCCCAAACCTTCAGATTTCACATCTAAACGGAGACAGTCATCTCCCCTCTTTGTCAGCGATTTCGACGATGATGGAACCGACTCTAGCCTACCGGATCTTAGCCTGCTCTTGAGTAGCTCATCAAAAGCCAAGGCTCGCAATGAAAGCAGGGATATTATGGATGATGACGATTTATGGACATTTTGATGTACAGCCACGCCTTGGACCTTTTGGTAGGAATCTGCCGTGGCTTTGGAGCCTGTTGCATTTTGCTTCACGACCAAGGAAATAGAAAGATCATTGTAAAGTCTTCAGATGCCGTAGACCGTAGATTGTTCGCATAATATGGTTCTTGGTGGATGGTCGACCGCTGTTGCCACCCGCCGCCCACAACACACACGCACCTCCGTCAACACCGCCGTCCGGAGATCTGAACAGTATACAAACCCAACTCCTCCACCACCACCATGGCCGATGCACAGTTCGATAGCGCGCTGTAAGTACCTGGCCTTGATGCCCACCATCTGCAGCTTCGCCCGCCCGACAGCCGGGACAAGCAGCCCGGCAATCCCAGACCCTGTCGTGACCCCGCCTCAGCTCCTCAGTTGCATGGAGAGAGAGACCCCCGAGCTGACCACCTCACGCCTAGCGATCTCCTTCGGCGCCTGAACCCCCGCGATACCAAGAAGAACCTCCAATCCATTACCTCCATTGTCCCTGACCTCACCGAAGATCTCCTTTCCTCTGTTGACCAACCCCTGGAGATTCGTCGATGCCCGCAGACCAGCCGCGACTACCTGCTCTGTGACTACAACCGCGACGGTGATAGCTACCGGTCACCATGGAGCAACGAATTTGACCCGCCGCTCGAAGACGGGACAGTGCCCAGTGAGCGGGTGCGCAAGCTCGAAGTCGCGGCCAACGAGTCCTTTGACGTATACCGCGAGCTGTACTACGAGGGGGGTGTTGGCAGCGTATACTTTTGGGATTTGGACGATGGATTTGCCGGTGTGATTTTGTTGAAGAAGGGTATGTCTTTTCTTGCTCCCCGGAGGAATTGTTCCCGAGAATCGATCGATGGCTGATACTCTTCTCCAGGGGTGACACCCGGCTCCCAGAGTTCCGGGGAATGGGACAGTATCCATGTCTTTGAAGCCACCGATCGGGCACGCATGTCCCACTATAAGCTTACCAGCACCGTGATTCTGCACCTGGCCAACGAGAACAAGGCGCTCGGCGAAATGGACCTGAGCGGCAACATGACCCGCCAAGTTGAGGCTGACTTGCCCGTTGAGTCGGATGCAAGCCACATCGCCAATGTGGGCAGATTGGTTGAGGATATGGAATTGAAGATGCGCAACTTGCTACGTATGTCTTTTGGCCCGGTATAGTGGTGCAATGGACTCACTGACCCTTTCACAGAGGAGGTTTACTTTGGCAAGGCCAAGGACGTTGTGGGTGAGCTTCGCAGTAAGTCACTGCCTTTCTATCGGTCGTCGTTTCAATTTGCTAATCGCACCACCAGGCCTGGCACCGTTGTCCGAGACAAATCGGGACCGCGCGACGCAGCTGGAGATGATCAAGTCCATGCAGAAGTAGTTTTCTTGTTACAGAGCTGTCATTTCCGAGGTCGATTGGGTCAGAAAGTCCAATCTAGACGGCCGTCGTTGCGTTCTTCCTTGCATAGCTTTATTTCCGTGAACATGCGAATGCTCGTCCACATACAATCGAGACCGAGTCAACGTTGAACGCCCACCACACTCGTGGATAGAGAATACTAGACGAAAGCAATCGAAGTATATTGCCATCAAGACCAGCCTATGCCAGTCTGTGGGGGTATCATAGGTGCAAAGTTATATGCCTTGCTGTCAATCAAGTGGCCACCCAGCCGGTGAATTTCCATCAATCGACCTGCATCTCAGAATCGCTATTCGACTTGGTAGTGTCCTTTTGCCTACTCGCCGACTTATCCAGCTGCTCCACAAAACCACGAGCGGCGGCCCATAATTCGGCTTCCTTGTCCTTTCCAACCGTATCCTTTCGGCTGTTAAGCCAGCTAATATCCAGCGGATTTGACGCAGCCCCGGCGCCCGCTCCACCTGCGGCACCGGCGCCTGTCGCATCGCCCGTTCGCGAAACCGGATCTGGTGCCAGGACAGAAGCTTCCTCTAGAGCATAGACCTGACGACGTAATCGAACGTCAATAGACGATAGGAGAGCGAAGTATTGTTGTGTTGCGTCTTTAAACTGTGCCTTGTGGGATTCGAGGGAGCCATCTGGGACTTCGGAGGACGGGGTGCTCGGCTTTGCGTTGGTCAGGGCCTGGATGGCCAGACCGGCGGAATGAATGAGTTTTGAAACGTCCTGCGCCATGGGTTAGCCTGCTCCCAGAGTAATTCCTGTTTGGGTATCTATCGCCCTACCTGGTCGATCTCATTGAGCTGGCGAATGCGTTCCGCGGAGGTGAAGCTCGTCGCCTGTGAGGATTCCTCACTCATGACGCCGTGGTTAAAAGGCGCTGAGACTTGTAAGGGAAAAGGGTAGCGTATCGAGAACGTATTCTACTCGAGTGGAGAGGATCAGTAAATGTTGAAGCTCATCACGTGTAGATTCCGGGGAGCTGAGCTGAATAAGCTCCGCGCGAACTTCCCAGTATCAAACCCATCGCCGACTTAGCGACCCCTCGCTCCTCCAGCGCCATTCACCTCCCGGTCCTCCTTTCTCTCGCAACCACCCACCCCTCCACCCGACACCTACTGACACCCGCATCGGAACCAATCGCTATGTCCGCGCCTGGCGGCGCTCCGAGCCCTGGACCGCGTAGCGGTAGCATGGGCCCCGGCGCAAATGGAGGCGGCATGCCCATGTCGTCGCAACCACCTCTCTCGGGCACTCCGGTACCCCAGCCACCCACTCCGGGCCAAAGTGGCCCTATGTCACAGCAGAACTTGAACCAGATTGTGAGTTACGTCCTGTGAGGATCCGGCAATTGCACACATTTCGGCTGCGGCCGTAGCACTCTTTTGTACGATGTCTCCGCGTTGGAATTGGCTATGGGTCACTTTGCATTTTGCTTTTTTGGGGGGCCCGCTTCCTTGCTGGGTGGGAGCTTCAATGGCTCATTTCGTGAACATGGGCACGGGACCCCGCGTACCTGGCAGTGAGATGAGATGGCCTGGAGGTGAGCTGGCTGAGATGGACAAAGCCCGAGGCCGCTCATCGGAGAAAGCGACGGTCTGAAAAGAAACGAAGCCCAGGCAGGCGCGAGGAGAGGTGCTTTCCTAATTAAGAAGTCCTCGCTTCTTCGTTGTTCTGGCGCGCGTGGCTTTCCCATTCATTCCCTTTTGTGTTTTCTGCTCAGCGCTTTCCCTTCACATCTCACTCTGCTTCCCCCTGCTCTTTTCGCAACATGACGAAGAAGAGCCGAAGAAGTTCCGGAATGAAGAGATCTCGCCGGGTCTTACCGGCCCTGGTCGAGTCACCTTCCTCTCCGTCGCCCGAGCCAAATCCTTCAGCAAGAAGCACTGGACAGTTGCCCAGTAATCTGCCTGAACTTCCCGCAGGACCAGCAGATCCTTCGTTGCAAAGTCCTCTCGCTCGATGCATGTTGCAGACCCATAATCAAACCGTCCGTTCGAAGGCGTTGAAGACCAGCGAGCAATGGCTGACCGGTCTATATTAATTAGGTTATCGACTATCTGGCCAAGAAGGGTTACAGCCGCACCGAGGCCATGCTTCGCATGGAGTCTGCCAATCAAGAGATTGACGGACGTCCTCTGCCGCCTCTGGGCGAAGATGCTCGTCCAAAGTTTAAGCAGGGCTTTGGTAAGCAATTTATGCAGATACCCTCGCAGAAAAAGAAGTATTTCTAACATCCGATCTAGACCTACTGAAGACCTGGGTCGAAGAAAACCTCGATTTGTACAAGGTAAGAGGACATCCCACTGTCATCAACAGGGCCTCGCGCTGATCAAATCACAGCCTGAGCTCCGCCGCGTTCTTTGGCCGCTTTTCGTTTACTCATTCTTGAACATGATTACTTCGTTGTACACCAATGAAGCCAAGCAGTTCTTTGAGGCCAACAAGAACATGTTCCTTCCGGAGCACACGGACGACATTCGTATCCTGGAGCCCATCAGCTTACCGGAGCATGTCCAGGATAACTCCACGGCTAAGCTGTACCGCGGAAACAAGTATCGTGTCGTTTTGAGTAACCCTGCCTACACGAATCTCCTTCAATTCCTCGAAAGCAAGGAAAAGGAGGGAGGTTCCGTGATGAATGCCATCCTGAGCAGTTATTGCACCGTCAAAACGATGGACCGAGCTGCGGACGACCGTTTCAGCTTTGCTGCAATGCTAGGCCAGATCGGTGCCGGCCAGTCGTTCCCTGCAGAGGATGAAGGTATCCCCGGTCACCATCCCGGTTCGGCTTACACCGGCGACAACCCAGCTATGGCTGGAACACTGCCCCGACTTCGACTGGGCAAGATGCCTATGGAGGAAACGCTGGAAGGTGATGTCCGCGCCGAACTCGCAGAAGAAGACGAGAAGGAGTCTCCCCTCCAGGGTCGTAACACTCTGGTACAGGAGTTCGACCAGATGATCAAGAAGGAGGAGGATGATGAAGCGCCTACCCGTAACGACATCCCTTTCCCACCCTCTACCGCTCGTGATGTTGCGGTTGAAGTCATGAAGGTCAAGGAGAATCGGGATCGATACCGGCTCGAAGGCCGCACTGGTGGTGTAGGCCCCGGTGTCAGCGTTTGCATGTTTACGTTCCACAACACCTATGACAGGTAGGTTCTACTGTCCGGATCAACTTGACAACCCCCCGCTGACCAACCGATAGTATTAACTGCCTTGACTTCTCGGATGATAACATGCTTGTGGCCGCTGGATTCTCGCAGTCGTACATTCGTGTCTGGAGCCTCGATGGCAAAAACATCGAAGAGGCTCACGCCGACCTGGAAAAGCTGCATGACCTGCCGCCATCAAACTCTCGCCGTCTCATCGGGCATTCTGGCCCCGTTTACGCGGTTTCGTTCGCACCTTCGGCCAGCAAGGCAGAGAATGTCTCCGACCAGGACCGCGTGCCTACCAACGCTCGCTGGTTGCTCTCTTCGTCTGCCGACAAGACCGTCCGACTATGGTCTCTTGATATGTGGCAGTGCATGGTAATCTACAGGGGCCATGATCGCCCGGTCTGGGATTTATCCTGGGGACCCTTCGGTCACTACTTCGCCTCGGCGGGTGCAGACAAGACCGCACGCCTCTGGGTGACTGATCACCCTCGTCAGCAGCGCATCTTTGTCGGGCATGATCAGGATGTGGATTGCATTTGCTTCCATCCTAATTCTGCCTATGTTTTCACTGCCAGCTGCGACCACACTGTCCGCATGTGGGCCGTGACCACCGGAAATGCCGTCCGCATGTTCACTGGTCACACCGGCAACGTCACTGCAATGGAGTGCAGCCGGGATGGCAAGATTCTGGCCTCGGCGGATGACCAGGGATCCATTTTCTTGTGGGATTTGGCCCCCGGTCGCCTTCTGAAGCGCATGCGTGGCCACGGAAAAGGCGGGATCTGGTCTCTCAGCTGGAGCGTCGAGTCTACCGTGCTGGTCTCCGGAGGCGCCGACGGCACCGTCCGCGTCTGGGATGTTTCCGCTCCTCAAGATGCCACCCAGGGCCGCGTGATCAGCGAGGGAGGCGCCGGTACCAAACTCGATGCTGCCAACGCCCCCGCGGCGGGCCAGAGTAAGAAGAAGAAGGGCAAGGACGTCGTGGTCTCCCCCGACCAGATCAGTGCTTTCCCAACCAAGAAGAGCCCGGTCTACAAGGTCAAGTTCACCAACATGAACCTGGTCGTTGCGGGTGGTGCCTATCTTCCCTAGGTGCTTCGTTCCTTCTATTCTGGCGCAGATACCCCAGGTTTTTCTTTACAATTGCATGTTCAGAATCTTCACGTCCATTCGAGATGTGGAATCTGAACTCTAATGATAGGTGTTCGGAGGGTGGCGCACGGTTGTTTACACAAAAAAGCCATGTATTCTTATCTTACATTCTCCCTGGTTGATTGACTACACGCTGGCCCCGATCTGCGAGTGTCGATTTGCGGACGGGATATAGCGCGCGTCAGTGGACGGGTATTCAGGAACCTCGATGAAATATGGACCTGAATGATCCACGTAGTTCTCCTGTGTACATAGTACTGTGTACATTATGTAGTGCGCCAGTGGATCCGATCCACCGTATCCGTGCGCCATGTGCGGCATCTCCCCCGCTTCAGTTGGCCTCGGTTCCCTCGCGATCGACAGTGTGCGAAACCCAACGAATCAGTGGAACCCAAATGTCCGCTGTCACTGCCGAGTGAGCAAGCCATGCTCGCGTAAACCGGAGCCTTGCCCGTGGATTTGTGAGTTTTGCGAAATTTGGGTTCCTGGTGCAGACCTTATCCCCCGGGTGTCAATATACCATGGCTATAACTCAGAGACCGCTGGAGGTGGACGCCGTGATTGTCGGCGCTGGATTCTCCGGAATTTATGTTTTGCATCGTCTGAGAGACCAGCTGGGCCTGAATGTCAAGATTCTCGAAGCTGGCACCGATCTCGGTGGCGTGTGGAATAACAACGTTTACCCCGGTGCCCGCGTCGACTCGCCTGCGCCGGTTTATGGCTTTGCAATGGCAAAGGTCTACAAGACGTGGAAATGGAGTCAGGCCTATCCGGATCAGAAGGAGCTGCAGGCGTATTTCCACCACGTCGATCAAGTTCTCTCCATCAAGAAAGACTGCATCTTCAACTCACGCGTCAATGCAGCCTCTTTCGACCCGGATCAGGCGAGATGGACTATCCAGACCGAAGATGGAAAGACGGTTCGAGCCAAGTACTTCATCCCCGCAATCGGCTTTGCCGAGCAGCAATACGTTCCACCCTGGAAGGGGTTCGATTCCTTCAAGGGTACGATCCATCATTCCTCCCAATGGCCCCGAGAAGGAGTCGACGTGAAGGGGAAACGGGTCGCGGTAGTTGGCACCGGAGCAACGGGAATCCAGCTCATCCAGGAATGGGCGAAAGAGGCCGCCGAGCTGGTTGTTTTTCAACGAACACCCAACTTAGCCCTGCCGATGCGTCAAAGGAAGTTCGACTCGGAGGCACGGCGCCAGATGCAGGATGACACCACGGAGCTGTTTGCGCGCTCCTGGGAGACTGGATCCGGGATGCCTGATCCCGCTCCATCGAAGGTGTTCGCGGACTATACGCCCGAGGAAGCCGAGACGGTTCTCAATCGCCTCTACGAGGAAGGCGGCTTCAAGCTCTGGTCCAGTGGATATATTGATCTCCTCATGAGCCCCGAAGGCAACCGGTTCACATACGATCTGTGGGCCAAACGGACTCGTGCACGAATCCACGATCCAGTCAAGCGCGACTTGCTGGCGCCCCTCGAGCCACCGCATCCATTCGGCACCAAACGTCCCTCTCTGGAGCAAGATTATTACGAGCAGTTCAACAGAGTGAATGTTCACCTCGTTGATACCAAGGCACATCCGATCGTGGAGATCACACCCCAGGGCATCGTGACTGACGACGGGAAGCTGCACGAGGTAGATATCATTGGCATGGCGACCGGTTTCAACTCGAATACGGGCGGGTTGTCCAAGATGGGCATCAAAGATCTGAACGGCGTGGATCTGGGACAGCGGTGGAAAGACGGCGTTCGGACACACCTGGGGCTGACGGTGCCTGGATTTCCCAATATGTTCCTGCCGTACTGTGTTCAGGCCCCGACTCCATTCACCAACGGGCCCGTGTTCATCGAGTTCCAGGCCAACTTCATTCGCGACATTGTGAAAAAGATGGAGAGAGGCGGCACCCGATCGATAGATCCCATGGAAGCAGCCGCAGAAGCCTGGAGAGCGGAGGTCCATGCAATCGGGGACATGACTCTGTTCCCGCAAGCCAAATCGTGGTACATGGGTGCGAATATCCCCGGCAAACCGGTGGAGATGCTCTACTATTTCGGTGGAGTTCCGCGCTATCGCGAGACGTGCGGAGAAGCCCTCGACAAGTGGGATAAAGTGTTCATCTGTCATTGATTTCATCTAGATATGGCTCGATTCCCGTGTATTTACTCCATATTCCATATCACATCGGCTTCTCGGCTTGTTTCTTTGTTTTTCCCGTATTGATCAGCGCTATGACGTTCCTGATTCCCCTTAATTTTCACCCCGCACAACTTGCTGTTGACCACCTCTCCACGTCTCATCGAATATGGCTGAATCGGCACCAACTGACTCGCCTCCCACGGAGTCGCCTGTGGCGACCGAGGCAAAGTCCGAGTCCAAGGAGCTCGCACCAGAACAACCACCGTCTGCAGAGACCCTTCGCAAGGTCGAAAACTACACCGTGCTGGATAAAGAGGGCAATAAACACCCTTTCAAGAGTCTTTATGCCGGCCCTGACTCGACCAGCCGCGTGCTGGTGATCTTTATCCGTCACTTCTTTTGTGGGGTGAGTTGCTTCTTCGCCCGTGCTTGACCGTGCTTGACTGACGCTTGCCATGACAGAGCTGCCAAGAGTTCATTCACGCCCTCAGCGAATCAATCAAACCGGACGATTTGCTCCGTCTGCCGGTCAGCACATCCGTCGTCATCGTTGGCTGCGGTGATCCAGGTCTCATCGACCACTATCATAAGGAAACGGGCTGCCCGTTCCCCATCTACGCCGACCCTACACGCAAACTATACGCTGATCTAGACATGGTCACCTCGTACGCCTTGGGAGAGCGCCCGCAATACTTCCGCAAGAGCATGGTGCGCCTCATCGGGGAGTCTGTGGTTCAGGGATTCAAGCACATCTCCACTGGACTGATGACCAAGGCCGGCGACTCCAGCCAGAACGGTGGTGAATTCCTATTCGAGTCGAATGACGGAGATGAGAAGCAGGTTACCTGGTGCCACCGCATGACCAACACGCGCGACCACACTTTGATTCCCGCATTGGCACACGTTCTTGACTCCGAGGGCAAGGTGCTGCCGCTGAACAACTAGATACCCGATACCCGATACCCGTTATTGTGCTCTATGGAAGGTTGAAGGATATTTATTACTGATAATGCTAGTCTAGTCATGGGCCTACAGAAGACCAAGATCCATGCAAGTTAATGCACATGTGCTTCATTTATCATTCCCGGCGAGATGAAAGATGCGAGCTATTTTAACTGATTATTCTTGTCAGCTGCGCCCGTTCCTTTCTTCATAGCAGCTGCAGCCTGCATGTCCGCCACCTTCGGTGGCAGCACCAATGCGCTGCGATCGTTGCGTCTGTAGAAGTCGACCAGTACCTGGGCTGTTTTGGTAGGCTGGTCTTCCTGGACGAAGTGACCTGCTTCGGGGAAGACCTGAAGTTGATATTTTCCTGCGGAGACATGCATTAGAGTTACACTCGGGAATACAATTAGAGGTGGAGAAACATGTACCTTGCATCTGCCCGATCATCAGCTCTTTGTCCAATCGATCCGTCCCAGCCAAAAGCAACAGCTTTCCACCTCGTGCGTCGAGGAATTTTCGGCTGAGACCGATGAACCAGTTCTCCCAAAATGGCTTCGTGACTGAAAGGTCTGTGCGCCACACCCAAGGGCGAGACCCGTCAGAAGGTTCGCTTTCTTCATAGAGTAGAGAAGGAACAGATACGCGAGCTGACGTTGTGTTTCGGATTGTGCGAGACCGAGTGCTGTACGCGTGGATCAGTAATTTGAATGTAACGGGATCAGGGAAACCCATGTTCGAGGACGATTACATACTGCCATTCTATTCCCGATGCCAATGAAGGGAATCGCGTTGGTCGTGTAGACAGATATTTCTCCATGTTCTGAAGAGCATCCATGGCAGAACCTGACAGGCTGTTAATTGAAAGCCCTTCTGTAGAATGAAAAGGGGATCCTTGCCTTCAACGACATCCAACACCGCATACGCCAGTAGCTTTGGTCCAAGCTCGCCGTTCTTCGCCACATCTGTGATGACTGCACCGCCCAGACTGTGACCAACGAGCACAATATCTGGCAAGTTCTCCCAGCCCAGTTTGGACTTCGCCTGCCCGATCACGTAGACCAAGTCCCGACTGAGGGTCTCTAGACGCAAGTCAAGCTCGACCTGACAGGTAGCTTCAGTCTGCGCAACGGCAGCGGTAGAAGGGCTATCCTGGTCGAGCTTTTCAGATATCGGGACCGTGACCGTTCGACCGTGACCTCTGGCATCGATGGACAAGAAGCCCGCTTTCGGTAGGATCTTCCGGATCTCATCGGCGCACGTTGCGAAAGACAGACCGGACGAACCCGCACCGTGGTGCATTACAAAGAGTGGACCTGAATCGGTCGGTGGAGTCACGTAGATATGATGAATGATGTGGAGGTCGTCAACTTCCTCGGACAGGAACAATTCTTGGGCAAAGAAATCCGTCCATGCTAGTGATTGCGAGGTTCTGAGATGTTGTTAATTGGAGAGCTCAACCCGGATCACCTTACGATTGGAGTATATGACACAAGATGCTCCACGATCGGGATGAGATAAAAGGAAGAAACTGACCCTTGGCTTCTTCGGGCAAACAGATGATGAGTCGGTGAAGGAACCAGAGTTCCCGTAGACGAGACCGAAGACGCCGAAGAGCCCTCTTCGTCCCGGGCCTCGTCGAGGGTCTCGTCATACATGGGGACGTCCGGGGGGAGCTTGGCCAATTTAGACTTGGCGAAGGTCTTGTGGAGCTCGCTCATGAGATGATTGAAGGAGAGGTCAACAGAGTCCGACGTATTGGAGCAAATTTGATCTACTCGTTCGCAATTCGATTGCCAGGGAAGATTCAACCTCTGTGTTTGATACGGGAATCACATACATCGCATGGGGGACAATTCGGGATGCGACGTCTGGAGCTCGACGTGCTGACTAAGATAATGTCAACGAACGGTGAACCAGACATCAATCAATTTTACTCTATTCAGCGATGAGATCCATTCGAGATCTGAACTGCAAGCCTGGTCATTTCAATTTATTGTGACGGTGCAGGTCCTTCTGGCGCACCTCCGAGGAAAGAAAGTCGGGACGGTGTCACTGGCAATCACCCCCAGGTGCCAGATCTATACATTCCTGACCCTTGGGGATTATTGTGATCTCTTGATATCGAATCAGGTAGTAGGACATGTCGTATATTGTACTGCGAATACTCATTACACACACAAATTGCCAGCCTTCCTTGGTACCCTCCAGATTCAAGTAGACAGTGTAAATAAACGCCCAAAACATGAACGCCCGGCTCGCAATTCTCAGTCAAAAGATCAATAGCTCAGTAGCCAAAGCCCTAAAGAGCGCACTCGGTCACCTCATCACTAGAACATGTTCCATCAACCTTAATCCGACCGACGGGCCTGGCTCTCCTGCATAATTTCTCGCAATCGCTTCTCTAATACTTGCCGACCCTCTCCAACGGCCCAGACTTCGTGCGGTGCGTCCCGGACAACATCCCAAGAGAGTAGATTATTTGTGATAGTTGAAAGGTCCTCCTGCCGCTTAGCCCACTCGGGGTCCTTTCGCATCTCCTGGCCAGAGCTTACAACAACCAGGGGAGTCTGGCCCATCTGGATGTGCCGAGCAGACTGTACCTCCGCCGCCGTCATGGTAACGGCAACTAGGTTCTCCTGCAGCTTGGCCTTGATGAACTTTCCAGACTGATAGGCCGAGCGGCCGACAACTCGATCTTCTCTGGCGCGTCCACGCACAATGGCCCCGACCAGGCGATCCAAACCCAGCGGCGAAATGACACCGCGAAGCCACAGCATAAATCCACGTCCCGGATTGCCGATATCTTTGAGGTATGACTCATGGAGTGGGTCAATAAGGAAGATGCCGACGACTTCGAGAAGACGGCGGCTGGCAAAGAGCCGCGAGTAAAGACTGCCGACTCCAGCCGAGACAACGACCCAGGGTCCTGATTCTTCGGCCAGAGCGAGGGCCTCCGATAGCACGTCTGCAGACATTCCTGCGGAATGGGGAGATGGTGCATTGTCCGACCATCCCAGCCCCGGTCTGTCCCAGTAACAGTACCGATTGATGGCACCCTGACGGTATGCATCATCGATAAAAGGCTGCAAGTTATGCTCAACGGGGCCCCAGTCTCCTTCAAGAAGGACGGTAGGCTCATTCGAATTCTCAGTGCGATTTCCAACACAGGCAAGATGGACCTGGTAGGTATCGCCGTGAACAGAGTACCGATGGCCGGGAGCTTCAAGCGACAGATCCCGAGCACGGAGGATCAGAGTCGCCGTGAACAAAAGAGCAGCGATAGTCATAATAGCCAACACGATGGTCTCGAACAGAACAACCACCCATTCTCCTAGCGTGCGACGAGTCTCCTCTCGGCCCGTGAGTCGTTCTTCTTCCTCACGCTTACCCCAAGTCACAGCCCGGTTCTGGATGATCTGGTAGATAGATATGACCGCTGCCCAGACGACTGAAGCAATGCCAACCCATCCTTCTTCAAAACGGATAGGTGGTACCGCCACGATGATAATCATGTCCACCAGGAGCAGAATGGAGAGAACGATGCCCAGAATAGTCATCGCCTTGGAGGGAACGGCGAAGAAAAGCAGTCCGAGCACGAGATACGCGGTCGCCAGCGTCGTGTATGCAAACTCAAAGAAGCCCGAGCCACGAGAATGCATCAACGGTGGACTGACAAAGACGGATACCAGCAGGAAGGTCCACCACACAAAGCTCACTGCCAGCGCGAAGAGGGAGAGGCCGCGCACGGCGCGCACGCTCCATAAATTGTATGGCGAAACCTGGGCGTCGATGTTAATTTGCTTGTCACCATCACATCTTATATACGAGGCTAACTTACAGCCGGATCATCTGGACTCAAGTATTCCTGACGATTGTCGCGAGGAAGAAGACTTGTGCGTTCCGTGGGTTCCTGGTGTGGAGTAGGCGCATTCTCATTCTCGTCCCGCTCCTGGGACGTCTCATCCGGCCTGTCCGTATTGTCCTTCTTTCGATTCCAGAAAGAGGCCATGTTGTCTGTAAAATGGACCCGGGCCAAATATGTGAAACGTGAAATGTTCACGTTGCAGGCGTTCGCCGCAACATTGGAGATCGCCGCCCTGTTTGATAAGATCCATATGACGTCATGATCTCCGTGGCCCAAAACTATATTTTCCTTGAAAACAAACCCGACTGATAGTAGCAAGCTCGTCCCCGTGTGATTAATAGAATAAATGATCAATTTGGCCGTACATAGCACGATTTCGAGATACGAGGCCTTGTACCCGACATCGAATACCCATTCTATCTGATGAAGCTTCATGACTAAAGTGGCTGAACTACAAGCTACCTAGATGAACCGAAAACACATTTTCTATGTCATGGGAGCTGTCATGATAGCAGGTTGGATGCAAAGGCGTTGGGAATCATGTAGCCGTAAATGAAGAGCCATGTCCATGCTCGAAAGACCGTCGCCCAGTAACATCACCTCACCGCACCCGAGTTCACCGCTGACCATCAGCCCACCCAACACCATCGAAAAAGGCCCGGAGTAGACGGGGAGACCGAGGTGCCTGCAAAAGAAAAACTGTAATCCGAAAAAGTGGTGCATGTGGCACGGCCGCCATGATTTGGATGATGGAAGACGACACGAGCGGGGATCGGGCGGCGATTCAGATAGTAACGTAACGGTCGCATAGAACCAAGTCACTCTAGACTAGTTCCCTTGAACCTTTTAGCTAGTTGTTCACCGTCGGACTTGGGAGAGATGGAGCGGGGAAGATGGGCAGTGGGTGAATCGAGTCGCCGCTTCCCGGGTTGGGAATTGAGACGAGACGGCTCAACCGCAGAGGGCCAGGGGCGCTTAGGGGGGCGCTCACCACTCTCCTGAAGAATTGTCATCAAGGTTGCCCATCCAGGGGTATTCAACAGCTGCATTCCATCGGCGGGGGCGTGGGTTGTAGCGACTCGGCAGAGCAGGGCTTCTTCATCCTGTTATTGGGTCGATGTTAGTACTGAAGATAGCGACTCCCCTGGGGGCTAAAAGCAAATGAAGCTGACCTTGCTAAACGTGGAGAGACCATGCAGGAAGTTCAGGAGGTGGAAGTCTGAAACGCCCTGAATGGCCTTGTCGGGATCTCCATGCGACATGAGCTGTTGGGCCACATGGCGCAGCTCCTGGCTTTCGCCGATGACTTCACGGTTTTCGATGGGGAAGCGGCTGTTGGTGAAAAGGGGCGTCGATTCTGTGGGGAAACCATGGGTGAGGGTCACCAACAGAAAGTCAACGGGGAAACTCGGTTTGGCATTCTCCTGGACACTGGCACCATGCTCGTTGATTCGGCGGAAGAAAACCTCGGGGATGTAGCGGGTCTTGCTGCCTACATCGTCGTCATCCTCGGATTGAACCAGCATCACAGTGGGATCTGCCGATGGTTCGACGATATCGGCTCGAACCATCTCCACTGCGGAAACGGTCGCTTGGTACGAGCTCACGGCAATGGCCCCGGTCTCATCACCGCTGAGCACGCACGTTACAAAGTCGGAGCCGAAGCGCCCCGTACGGCTCCACTTGGTTGCCTTGGGGTTCTGGGCCTGGAGACGCGAAGCAAAAGCAATCTCAAGAGATGACAGGTAGTATGAGTCGATGTGTCGTTTGCATATTACGGAGCCATCCCCACGACCTGCGTCAAGGAGATCTGTGAAAATGACTCCGACCTTTTGCAATCCGCAAAGACACGCCACCTCGTCTACTTCCTTCTCGTTATGCCAATCGTGAAGCGTGACGCCATCTACCTCACCCATCTGCGGAGGTTCGTAGATTGCCTGGACGACTGCCTTGACACCCAGCGGCACTTCCTTGTATTCTTCGTATGTTCCGTAAAGGAATCCCAGTCGTTGGGCCCCCGATTTGCGCCAGAAATCCAGGAGCGAGTTGATGAGATCGGGCGTGGAAAACTCGACATGGTCCACCATGCGGAAGTCCTGAGGTTGTAAACTGATGGCGCTGGGCTGGCATTTAGTGCAGATGCCCTCTGGCCACTGGGGGTGTCCGGATGGGCAGTCACGCCGCACTCGGTAGAATGGTTCTTGAAGGGGTGGTAGATATGAGCTCCCCGCCTCGGGTTTGTTGGTAGCTGCATTGATTTTCCGCAGGTAGGAATGGAAGGAAAGGTGTTTGATCTTCTTCTCGGAGAGATAATTTGCGTCGTAGGGTTCCAGCGGCATACAGTAGTCACACATACCTCGAGGGCCGTGCTTGCACATCCGTTGGTCCTGTTTCCGTTTGATCTTGCCGTCCCTCTTGTCCAGCAGGTTGTCTAGCGGCGACTGCTGCACTACGTCCCATGGATTCTTGATGTTGACCGAGGGGGATGTGGGTTGTGGGCGGATGGGGACGGTTTGTTCCTGTGGAACCGCGGTTCCATTCAGTCGGCGCTCGACGGTGGTGGGTGTGAAGCCGTTGGAGGTGCCATTTTGCTGCGTCGGGTGCACTTGATACCCAAGGAAGAGCTTATCCCCATGCCTTGCAAGCCATGCCATTTAGCGACGCGGTCTCTCCGGACGCGTTGTATTCGCACTTACTTAAGACCAACTTGCTCGATCGTGACTCCATCCAGAGCCTGCAACTCTCTCTCCTCACCACCGGTGCCTATCGGGCGATTGGACAGGGTAATGGATGACGGCTCGACATCTGACGGTAGGTGTTCCCGGATCTAGAACCAGACAATTGTAAGTCTTCTGTCAGGCGCAACTAAGCTCCCGAGAGCTTGGATTGGGAACTACCTTTTCTTGAAGGGAGGGAAAGAGGTCTTGCGGGTTGACTGTGAGTCGGAACTGGCCGTTCCGACTCTCGAACCGCAGGAGAATCGGCCGGGATGCCATGGCAAGCGGATGAGGCCTTGATGGATGCAGCTATGGAAGGGTATAGAAAAGGGGATGGGGTATTTCAAGTATAAGGCGGAAGACACATGGCGAGAAGTTGTTGAAGTTGGAGCTGCCGGAGCTTCTTCCTGTGACGTGACTTTCCGGCGGGCGGTACGGTCACGGAATGACAGTACCTGATGGTTTGCGCCACCGCGATTGGAGGGTAAGATTGGTAATCTTATTACGTGTAGAAGCGTATGGAATTATGCGATGGTGAACAGCGCAACATGTGAGAGATGGTTCAATGAGCGAGTGACATTATTGCGAGCTGTCCCGAAAGACAAATGGCCGCGCCCTGCCGCAAGGGTTACATCTGTACACTACGGATATCTAGTTTTTGGGCAAGTTGTGTGTATAGAGTTTTTGATTGAATTATGTAAAATTCCCTCACGAAAAGGCCATGTATCCATGTCATCATCAAAAGCCGAAGGGTCCAGGGATGCCCCAGGAAGAGGAATAAAAGGAAGCGAGTCGAGGGTGTGCAGTCACAATTACATGATAGCACACTTCTTGGGAAGACCGCACGGTCCCTCACTATTCTTCTTCTCCTTCGCTGCTTCCTGGGTGTCCCGCGGTTGCTGGGCAGGCTGCTCAGTCTCCTTCGCAGTCTGACCCGCTCCAGCTGCCGAATCCGCAGGCTTGGATCCGGCACTGCCATGCAGTCACTGGCTGCTCCTGGAGACGATCTCGTAGAAGCTCTTGCCCTGGATCTCGGCCATCTGAATTTCGAGGGCGGTGGGCTGGCGAGAACCGTCGGGGCCGGCGAAGGAGCCTGCACCCCAGGGGCTACCACCGTGAACCTCATCGAGGTTGGCCAAGAGGCTGAAGGCATTCTTGTAGCCCAGAGGGACGTAAACGAAGCCGTGGTGGGTAAGGGTGCTCATGGAGGACAGAGCAGTGGACTCCTGACCACCACCGGGGGTACCGGTGGAGATGAAGAGACCGGCGTACTTGCCATAGTAGCCACCGGTGGCCCAGATGGAGCCGGTCTGGTCCCAGAAAGTCTTCCACTGAGCGGGGAAGTTACCGTAACGAGTGGGGATACCAAAGAGGATGGCATCGTACTCCAGGAGGTCGTTGGGCTTAGCAATGGGGTAGGAAGACTTGGCCGGGGCGTGCATCTTGGCCAGAACCTCATCGGAGAGAGTCTCGGCGATCTGGAAGACGTCGGCCTGGCCGCCGGCGGCCTCAATGCCCTTCTTTTCAGCCTCGGCCAGCTTCTGGATGTGGCCGTACATCGAGTACTGCAAAACACTTAGTGGGGGAAGTGAGGGAAAAGGTCAATGGCAGACATACGAAGACGATAGCAACCTTGGGAGCCATTGTAAATGTATGAGGTATGATTTGGATGATTTGGATGATTTGGATGAATTGGATGAAGTGTTGTGAGCAAGGGCAGGGGACCGGATCTTATATGGTAGAACACTCGCCACCGAGTGACCTTTTTGCCCGCCATAGAGCCCAGTATGCAACCGTATGCAACCTTAGATATTGCCTAAGAATTATCAAAGCACAGCCAAGCTCATCAGATAGCAAATCAGTCATCGATGACCGAGCAGTTGGAGCTGATCATTGGCCATCCTGGATCCGCCCGGCTCCACCCGTTCGTACGTGGGGATTTGTCGAGTCTGACCGAGATCTGACAAATGGCTCCCTCCACCTTGCCCTGGCCTTTGGCGTCAACGTTTGGTTGTGATCTGATTCTCAGTCTACAGTAATTACGTGCTCTGGTCATTTCATGTGGTTATCCGACTCGGATGTACGATCTGGTGTCTAATCACTCCGCCGACATGATGTCATAGACTCCATGCAGAAATTGTTGGATCCAATCTTGGGAATTTGGATGGGATATGTAATAAATAATATAACGATGCAATGCCATCCAAGGAGGGGTATGCAGGGTCTGGCCAGTCCATTTTGCGGCCGGTTATCCTGCCCTGGATTGCTCTACACACCGTCGCTACATTTAGAAACACAGAATGCATGTACTAGCGCCACCTGGGCCGCAGGGGGTATGAGGGGTTCAAATGGTATGATTTGCTTGTATTTTGCGATAAAATACATGGGTATCGTGAGGGCTGGCCACTCGGGACCGCCAATATAAAGGAATTCAGTATGCTCGCGCCAGTAAAAGGACAAACACCCCCTTGCACCGTGAAAATGCAAGGCCACACCCGTCGTGGCCATTCGTAGACGCAAATCACCCTCTTCCTCGCCCGCGATAGCGTCCGCGCATGAAGCCGCCACCACGTCCACGCTCATTCCGCCATTCGCGCTCTCGCTCCTTCTCCCGCTCTTGCTCCTCGCGAATGAGTGCTCGCTCGTGCTCCAGCTCCTCTTCGGTCTTCTCGGTCCGCATTGTCGGTCGCGGTAGGTTCTCTGTCCACCGCGGATGGGCATCGGCGCACGCCTTGCCCTCGGGACAAAATCCTGCCAGGTAAAACTTGCAGAGTCGACGACGCACATGCCGCTTGGCACAAAGAGGACCCAATTCGCAGAACCCTCGATCGTAGTGCTCACATGGCGGGAGGCGAGCCTCTTCGCGGACATGTTGGTATAGGCAGTCATCGCCGTTAGGGCAGTATCCCGACCGAGAGAAGGATTGGCATTCCGGCATGCGACGCAGGTTGTACTCGTGCAGGTATTCGCATTTCAACCCCTTTTTGCACAATCCCTTGAGGAAATGCTTGCAGACTAGAGAGCCGTGCGTGGTGGAGGGTGCCAATCCGGAGGCAGTGGTGGTGGATGTGGTTACGCGCGAAGGTGTTGGATGTCGGTCAGGGCAGGCAGGTCCCAGCGGGCAGTGGCCTTCGCTGTAGGCCTTGCAGACGGGAACATCGGTGGCAAGGCCGAAACCGAAGCTTCTGCGGAGGAAGGGAGCGAAGGAAAAGTCGTTGTAGCTGGGATCTCGTATGGGTTCAGCATCCAAAATGCGCGCGGCCGCGCTTTGCACGTCGGCTGACATGGCGATCTGGAATCGAAGGAGACAGGTTCGGAGTCTTGAGACTCGGGCGGAAAGAATCTGTTCCAGAGGTTAGGTCCCTAGCAAGATATAAATCTGCGAAAGAAGATAATTTGTAGTCCCGAATCCCGAGTTTAAATGTGGTTGTGGATGCACAAGGTCTGGGTCGCGAAATGGAAGCTCGAAGGTTCTTCGCCGCCTTAGAAATCAGGAGTTTATTTGTCATGTTTGCACTTCCATTACATAAGAGACCGACTATCCTACAAAAGCGTCGATCTACCTGCCCTATATGTGGCGAGATAGGGCATAAGTCAAATAAATGTTCAGTTAGGTAGTTTTATTAATATAGAGGCGTTTCGGTTGATAAATATATTATAAAATAGAAAGAGGGCGGGTGAGCGGTCAGCTCGGTGGTGAATCACCTTAACTACTTGAGGTTTGTCTGCCTTTATAACTGGATGCGCCATATTTTTTGTGACTAGACTTGCTTATTCAGTGCTTCAAATCATACTGGACTATACATCGCAGTCCTTCAAATTGCCCAAATTCAGTTCTTGACAAAGCCCAGTTGCTGATCCACCACCTCCCGCACCATCTGTTCCAAAGAGCGCCATTGTATCTTGAGATCTTTCTCGGCCTTGGTCGTATCAGTTGGCCACGATTCACCCTCTACATCTGCCGTAATTCTTGCACCAATATTGGGGTAATACTTCTGTACAATTTGCGCCACCTCGGCCCATGTCGCCTTATTCCCCGAAATCAAATACTTCGAGCCGTCGCTGACTTCCGGGTCCAGAGCTTTGACATGTGCATCGGCGACATCCTGAATGTGCACACCAGTCACCGACCCAACTGGGACGCCGGTCATAATGGACTTCCAGAGTAATCCGTTCGAGGAAGCACTGATTTCCTCCGCGGACGTCTGCACTAGATTATGGCCGAATACGAACGATGGGTGAATTGTGACCAAATCATAATGAGGCTTAGTGGTCTTCCAAAACTCCCAAGTAGCATTATTTGCAAGCTGTTTGGATGCGAGGTAGAGTCTCATGGGTGTTCCGGCAGGGTTGTTGTGATCGGTAAAATCAGCGGCTTCGTTCACGCTAAAGTCCCAGTCATTGTCCTCTAGAATTAATATTCAGCATTGCGGTCTACCAGTAATCAAATGAGATGTTTGTGAAAGCTTACCTTTGAGAACACCACCCTCCGGAATCCCATTCAGTGGGATCAGGGCCGCAATGGATGAAGTGACAACGACCTTCTTGATGCTTGCCACCTTGGCGGCCTCATTCAGCACGGCGATAGTCCCTTTCACCGCTGGGCGGAAATATGACTCCTTGTCCGTGCCTTGAGTAAGGGGGGAGGCAAGATGCAAGACATAGTCTGCACCGTCGAGCTTGCCCTTGAATGCGGCTTCGTCTGTGATGTCTGGGACGATGACATATTCAACTTGCTGGCTATACTCTGAGAGAGCAGCCTTGAGCTTTTCCAATGGCTTTCGAAGACAAACTCGCAGCCTGTATCCAGCTTTCAACGCTGTCAGGGTGGTGGCGCTGCCAATGAAGCCAGTTGCGCCGGTAATGAAGATCAATTCAGTTGCCATGATGTGCGTTGGCGATGTCTGGAAATTAGAACAGCGTGGCTACACTTGTTTGGTTTTATAGGGCCCGTGTGCACTTCAACCAGACTCATTCTCGCGCCATTGGCTCAGTATCGGCCTGATGAAAATATCAAGAAACGATCGTGACTCTAGAGTTCATGGTTCGATTACAGATAACGCTGACAGATGAGGGTAACCTCGTCGGCGAATTCATCCCGGCTTAATGCCGAAGCTTATTGATCCTTGCAAATTGTGCACACTTGGCTTTTTCCAAGAGCAATAACTCTTACCAACCTTTGGGAAAGTTCCCAGGTGATAGGGTGATCAAGATTTCGTAGAGTGGGAGCGTGGCGGTTGCTTGGCGGTCTGATTTTTGGATTACGCTGTCTTCCCGAGCATGGATCCACAGACACCGCAACAGCTATGGCGGAATGGAGTGCACGCATCATTTGCAATCAGACCAAGGGACAAGATTATTGATCGTAATTTTTGTCAGCCGAGGCTCCTTCAATGTAGTGGGCATTTGCAGACCGGGGTGCTGCTGCGTAAGAATATTTGAAGCAGTATCATCATCCCGACTACTACAGATGTACTTTGCACAAAACCAGAGCTAGAACGTTACATAATTTCCGCAAAGAAACCAGATAGACACTCTTAATGCCGACGTATTAGACCTAACGTAGTTCCGAAGTGTTTTTGCCGTCCGAGAAAGGACATTAGTCAAGTCGGTCACTAACATCGACGTGCTCCGCGACCTGCCCGCGTTCAATATCCAAGTTTACTTCCAGGATATCCCGGAGACGCCTTTGTCGAGGGTGAAAAAAGCCCCAAATTTGCACCATGACAATACATCATGCTTTTAGCGCACAAAGGACGTCATTCCTGCAATGACTTGTATACTTGGAATATGATTAATGGTCAGAATCAATGAGCCCCTTACGTACATTAATTTTGAATTAGCATCACACCCACAGGTATACAGAGGTGTCTCGTGATTAGTATTGCCCTGCCTCCAATTCGTCAACGCACACAAGCCTCGATGAACCTGCCTGGCCCTTGGATGATGCATCGCGAGGGAGAAAGGGGCAGGAAGGCCGTTGCACCGCCTCACGATGAAGAGCCTCAACCAATCAAGTCATCCATGGTGAGATTTGACCGGGAGAGAAAAAGCAAACATCCAGCAAATTTTGCGAATGTTGTCTAGCCTGGCCGGTGTCTCCACGAGTATCCATCATAGCTCCAATCGAGGTCATCTCCACGAGCTTGACGCAGTATGCGCTGACGTCCGTCTCGATCTCGCAGGGGGCGATGACCCGTGATCTTCCTGCGCGTGAATCTCCAGACTTGGGGTGTATTCGTCCCCCACAAGGCCGTCGGGCGGCGAACGGCATATGGCCCAATCGAGTTGACTGCAGGTCTTAATCCAATCTCACTGCTCGTTATATGGGGCGTTGGAGTGGTCCCTCCTAGCCTCATAACGGACCCGGCGATACGCTGAGGATGCCCCGAGATCTTGAGCGAGTCGTGGCCACAATTGCATGACGCAGGCCGCACATTGGTCGCGATACAGAGATCACCCACCAAACCAGCCACCTTCCATGTCTCGTCGGCACTAAAACCCCTCAGCCCCGCACCATCAAAGCGGTCCCGTGGTAGTTAGGAACGATCGTTCGTGACAGAAGGGAGCGCCGCCACAGTCCCCCGATGTGCAATGCGACTCTCAATCTCGTATTCGAAAAGGACCAAGTACCAAGTCCCATCAATCGTGTGAAGTGCGAAAGCAATCCATAACACGTGACGCATTGCCAGAAAAGGAAAGACACTCTTTGGTCATTTGTTTTCTCGCAGTTTAGTTTCCGTGTCGCTTTATTAACCAGAACTGCGCATGCTTTCTTGGATGATACTTTGACATCGGTTTCCTGTAATTCTCGCCTTTCCTTTCTCTCTTTCCTTCTCCGATATCCCCATGTTTTCTGCTGCCAGGGACATCTTTCGCCGGCGGCCCGCAGTTGGCCCCGCCACTGCCGCCGGCTCATACGAGGTGCCTCTGTACACGAACGCGGCGTACTATCCGAACTGGAGGGTCTACCGCAAGCAGCCACCTTCGTCCCTGCGTTTGGGTTTTATATCCCACGTGTTCTACGCATTTGCTTGGTACGTAGCCAATCATCGTCCTTCAAATCCGTCATATACATCGATAAAGGAGGCGCTAATCTCGATCTGGGATCCTTGCAGGGTGAAGGAAGATGGCACGGTCTATGTGAGTGAAGAAGTGCCGTACGTTGTTGAGCGGAGATCTGTGCTAATCGAGGTAGTAGCTGAGTGACGAGTGGGCTGATACCCAGATGCCGGTGGATGGCACCGAGGGCTGTCTACGCGCCTTTGTTCAACTCAAGCAGCAGTATTGCAAAATGAAGGTCATTCTATCCATTGGCGGCGGCGGTAAAGGCAGTGAGAACTTTGCTGGCGTGGCCTGTAGTCGCTCCAGTTTGGATACCTTCGCACGGACCGCACGAGCGTTGGTCGATCAATACGGCCTGGATGGGATTGATGGTGAGATGGTATCCATGGAAATTAGACCTTGGCTGATTGTGCTATGTAGTCGATTGGGAACATCCCGCGGACCCGAAGCAGGGTAAAGACTACGTCCGTCTTCTCGCCAAGCTGCGAGAAGTTCTGCCTGCTCCTCAATACGTTTTGGCGACCTGTCTGCCCGCCGGCCAATGGGCGTTGCGCAATATCGACCTGTCTGCAGCACAGAAGCATCTAGACATGATCAATCTGATGGCGTACGACTTTGCGGGCCCTTGGGGATCCGAGACTGGCCACCAGGCCCAGCTCTACGGCACACCCACCTCCGGCTACTCGGCGGTGGATTACGTGTTGATGCAGGGAGTGTCTCCACGAAAGCTCATTCTCGGGGTCCCAGTTTATGGCCGGTCGTTCCTGGGGAGCACCGGGCCCGGTCAGCGGTACACCGGCACTGGAGGCGAGGATGGTGTCTTCGATTACAGCGATCTGCCGCGTCCGGGTGCCCAAGAAATGCTCGATCCACAGGCCGGTGCTGCTGCCTGTGTGGGCGCGGACGGCGGATTTGTCACTTACGATATCCCGGCTACAGTGAAGCAGAAGGCAGAGTTTGTGACTTCCTCGAAGCTGGGAGGTTTGTTTTACTGGCACATCTGCTCCGATGCCCGAGGCCCTCGCAGCTTGATTGAAACGGGTTACAACACATTACATGAGATGTAACTCGGTTGGTGTGGTGGGTTCAAAAGCAACAATAACCAAAAGTGATATCTTAAATTGGGACCCTCGTCTCCTGCCTAGGTAAATGTAGAATACTCCGTGGTAATTCTAAGCGCACGCTGTGAAACTACGAGCCTCCATACCTCATTCTATCTGGTGTCCAGCAAAAGCGACCGTCCAGAACTCTGCGGATACAAGACTTGACCTCTAATAAGTTTCACTCCTAATGGAAATTCAATAACCTCCAGACAAGATCCTTGGGACAATAAGTATCTCCATGTCGTATTTCTAATTCTCCCTCTCGGTGCTTTTGCGGCGAAACGTGGGACACGCATTCACAGTACAGCGCCGAACCGAACGCCGAGGTCCAAGTACACGAATGTGATGTGCCACCGCGGCAAAGAAACTTCGACGGCGCCCCTCACTTTGACATAAATCACATACAGTTCGCTTAGTGCTATAAACGTTCAGAGTACCCCATATTTTCCACACCGGTCCTCCCCGCGTTTAGCTCTTTAACAATGTCGTCGCCACCGCAGCCCGCGACTGCGGATACCGGGTACATCACGGAACCGGCTCCCTTGGAAAACACGTACACGTCAGACACGAGTCTTCAACGGGCCTTGCAATGTTAGCTCGTTTCCCTATTAATCTTCATCCTTGATATCTGTTTTAACACTATTCAGGGTATCTCCCACCTGCAACACTCCAGTCCGTAGAGCCGCACCTGACCCAACTCGGTGCCGAGGCGGTCTCCGAACAGATCCGCGAATGGAGTGCTGATGCGGAACGAAACCAACCTCGCGTCAAGAGTCATAACGTCTGGGGAAAGCGATATGACTATGACCGACTGGTCACCGCCGAGGGTTGGAAGCAGCTGGGGCACTGGGGAGCTCGCAATAAGGTCGTTTCGGCAGGATACAACCCTGCTCTGGGCTTGGAGCGGAGAACGGTTCAATATGCACTGTAAGAAATGATCCGCTTTGGACCCTTGACGGCGTTGCCAACATAAATTGACCACGGCTCCAGGAACTATCTCTATTCGGCGTCTTCGGGCCTGTACTCCTGTCCGATTAGCATGACGGACGGTGCCGCTTTCATTCTCGCATCGAGACTCCCCAAATTGCCATCTACCCATCCGTTCCATGCTGTTTTCAAGCACTTAACTTCGGAAAAGGACGATCATTGGACTTCAGGTCAGTGGATGACGGAAAGAGCGGGAGGAAGCGATGTTCAAAACACCGAAACCTGGGCAACATACTCTCCTCTGTCCAACCACTCGAAAACGGATCCTCTCGGGGAAGGGGACTACCTGATCAATGGATTCAAATTCTTCTCGTCTGCCACCGATGCCAATGTGGCTCTGCTTCTAGCCAAAACTCCATCCGGAAAGCTTAGCACGTTCCTGGCACCTCTACGAAAGACCGTGGTCGGGAGCGATGGAATTCCTCGTCAGGTTTCAAATGGCGTGAGAATCCATCGGTTGAAGAATAAGCTCGGAACAAAGGAACTGCCGACCGCTGAGTTGGAACTCAAGGACATGCGCGCTCACCTGGTGGGGGAGGTTGACCACGGCATTGTCACCATTGCGCCCCTCCTAAACGTTACTCGCATACACACTTTTGTCGGCACTCTGGCTGGCTGGCGTCGCGCCCTGAGTATCACGAAGAGCTTTGCAAAGGTCAGATCGACTGTTGGAGAGCCTCTGTGGCTCATCCCTATGCATCTGCGCCTTCTCGCAGACCTGGAGGTCAGGCACCGCGGTGGCATGAACCTCGGTTTCTTCACAATCGCCGTAATGGCACTCGTTGAGAACAAGGTCTCCGAGCCTTCGAAGCATGCACACATACCTCGTCCTGGCCAAGAGGCCAGCGTTGTTTTCCGGACCTTGACAGCCACTGCAAAGGCCGTAGTCAGCAAGATGTCCGTTGCGGGTATTCAGGAGTGCCAGGAAGCGATGGGTGGCGTTGGATATATGGATGAAGCGGACGAGCCCGAGTTCAACATCTCGCGAATCCTTCGCAATACCTCAGTCAACTCGATCTGGGAGGGAACTACGAACGTCTTGGCCAGCGAGACGGTTCGTTTCCTTCTGAAGCCGGGCAACATGGATATTTTCGCGGGATGGTTGAACCGTACCTTGGCTTCAATTAGCACTCCAAGCTTCCGCAATGCCTTGACTGCTGCATGGTCATCCTTGCGGGCTCGCTTCTCCACGAACAACAAAGCCCCCACTGCAATTCTTGCCGATGCCCGCCGTTATATGTTTACCCTCGCCTGGATAATGTGTGGTGCACTCTTGGCCCTCGATGCGCAGAGAGATCAGGATCGCGTGAGCATGGAGATCGCCCGCCGTTGGGTTATCAGCGCCGAGGGAGGTGTCGGAGATTTGGTTTTCCATGACATTGTCACAGTCAGAGAACAAGGGGCCTCCGATGCCGATGGTGAAGATCATCTTCAATGGGATTGCCGTATTGCTTGGGGCATCGAACTGCCCGCGAATCGGGCATCAGGCCACCGGTCTCTGCAAAAGACCATCTCGAAGCTGTAAGCATCGTACCTGCACGGTTGAAACAGTATATAGCAAATTGTGAATAGTCAAATCAGGTTAGTAGCGCAAGCCCTGTGATCATAATTCTCCAAGATTCTGCAAGTTATGTACCGTAGATGATTATAACTGGTGACATTCACAGTCCTTATGTACCGAGGTCACTGATCATACCTGGGCACACCAAGGTATCGGCAATCGAGCATCTCGGTCACAATAAGCGTCCCTCTATAAGATAGAACCCGATCGTTACGCAAGCTCGTACCTTCAAGATTTTCATTCAAAGTTGGATGTGTGTCGAAGCGGTTCTTGACAAACGGAGATTGGCGAGTGGGAGACTGGGGACTGAACTTCCCTCCGGTTTCTTCCATTCTCATTGCAATCTAGGCTAAAACTGGTCTCGGCACTCTATCGCCAGGTACAATAATCCTTGAGCTAAAGAATCCAAGGACTCGAAATATCTGAGCCATGTTTAGTGATCTACCACGATAGAAATATTTGGATCCTTTTCGCAAGATGCGAATCATACTAATCTCTTGTCGGTTACTCTTTGAATCGGGGTACAAACCCTAGAAGATTTCATTAGACCGTATTATTTGCTGCTAATAAATTCTACTCGATGTACAATATGCTACATCATTCTTCACCGTGGCGTGTGTTGCTGTACGTACCAGGTCTTAGACCAACCAGCATTATACGACGGGAGGTAGCAGGGTCAGGACTCGGGCCCGATCCCCAACTTAGATTTTGGCAGCCCGATAACCTGCGGAAGAATTCGAAGGTAAATCGGTTCCCCAGACGATGCGACAATCCCACTCGGTCCGTTCATGATCAGTTGGCTTTCGGTCCTGTGCGGTGGCCGATCGCTGGTAGATGATATCGGTGAACCCGAATTCTCCAGGTATTCCTTGTCCATCCAGGACCCATCTCCGAGCAACTTCGCGAGCCACTTCGTCGTTGTCTCGTTGGGCATCTAATGAGAGCAAGACGCCGCTCACCAGCCAGGCAAGTGTAAATATGATCTGGCGAGCAACACCTAGCACAGCTATCAGTCCCTGGCCGTCTTGACCAGGAGCCAGCTTTGCTTTCAGAAGGTTCCAGACGTTCTGCAACGTTGCCCTGAAAGCACCGGTGGAGATCCGAGCAATGGCAGTGGTGATCCACTCGTCAAACAGCTCCAAATTCTGACCCTTGGTAAGATGTCGCACCGTCTCGCTCGCCAGGACATTGGTGGTACCCTCCCAAACACTGTTACTGGCAGTGTCGCGCCACAGTCGACTCACATTGAATTCTGGCTCTTCCGGTTCATCTGATTTTCAAGTCAGATCAAAGGTTGCCTGTAGGAAGAGAGAAGGACTTACCGATATAACCCACACCACCCATGGCTTCTTGGCACTCCTGGAAAGCTAGGGTGGCAGACTTGCAAATGACCGCCTTGGAAGTCGAAGTGAAAGCCCGCAGGACAACAGTCGATGTGGCGGGGGACTTGGCCAACACAGCAAAGGCCTCTGGCACGCCATCTGGGAATCCGTTGTCCACATAACTCAACAGCGACGAGGTGAAAAAAGCAAGCTGCATCCAGCCCCGATGTTTGACTTCCAACTGGGCTAGTACATTCAAATGCATTGGGAAGGTCCAGAGTGGCTGATCGATGGTTGTGCGAGCCCGGGCAAAGGCCTTTGCGATATCCAAAGCCCGACGAAGGCACGACAGTGCGGTGATAAAGTTGTGAGTGCGCGTCACATTCAGCAGCAGGGCAATGGTTGCAATGCCACGGTCTTTCGGCCCTATGAGATGTGCGCGCACATTCCGAAGCTCGACCTCGGCCGTGGGAAGTTCCTTCGTCCCCATTTTGGTTTTGAGTCGGTGAATGCGAATTCCATTAGATACTCGCTTGATCTTTCCTTGACCATCCACGGCGGCTTTGACGGTCGGCGCAACGAAGAGAGACAGTTCTCCGGATTCAGTCTTTGCCAATAGCAGGACAATATTGCAATCGGTGGCACTGCAGAAGAACTTGAACCCGGATAGCAGATAGTCACCCTCTTCGATGTTGCCGAATCGGCCAGTCTTGGATGCGAGCGGGGAGTACGTCGCGACGGTTTCGCTATTTCGAACATCGCTGCCACCCGGGCGCTCGGTCATCCACTGTGCAGAAATCCAATTGTTTTCACGGGCGATAAGACGAGCGTAAAGCTCATGGAACGGATGGTCTGGAGGAACACCGGAGAGCTGGTGTCGCACCAATCTTGCTGCTCCCGAGGTCATAGAGACAGGACAGGAGTATGCAGCAGATGATGCAGAGAACAAATAGTTGCTTTACCACTGTTAGTTGTTTGGACGGTAAAATATAGAGAGAACGTGGAGGATTCACAATGCATGCTGCACAATGCGACGATACGGGCCGAATTCCTCTTCGTATCCAAGGCCGACAACACTATCATGGGTATTTGTCAGTATTTGAAAGAATGTTCTATCGGTTCTGGAATAAAGGTCTTTACCCATGCTTGATACCCCATTTTCCCAGCTCTTTCCAACCGGTGCTAGTCACTAGACGGTCTGCCTCATATCGGGCACCCCAAACGTTGTGGGCCTTCACATAGGGTTCTTGACTTTCCGCGTTACCAATGAGGACATTTGTTTTGTCTGAAATTGCATCCGACCCAAAGTCGTGAAGGGCCGGGGCAATCTTGGCCAGTATATCTTGAGGAAGATGCCCTATAGTTGCGCGGTCAGTACCTGCATATCCTAGAGACTACACGACCCAGAAAGTCATTCAAAGATATCTAGATGAAAAGGTACATACATTGCAAAATGCGTTCAAAGATCCGGTCTGCCGTTGCTGGGTTCTGCAGAGTCGGGGGCGAGAGGATGAAACCCTCGTCAATGGTAGAAGGTGACAACGGCTTAGGCATGCTGACGAGAACGATAAAAGGCTAGACGAGAGTATACCTGCCGTATGACGGCCTTCCACTCTGTTTTGCACTTTGTCTTATAATGATTGCCGGTTCGACATGCGGGGTCCGTTCTCCACGTCACTCGTCAAACCACTTAGTGACATCGACCTTTGCCGAGCAGTTACACCGACGAGGACCGACGACCACCGAAAATGGCCGTGAGCAGCTATGAAGATCACTATGGCTCTGGCGAATGGCCGGCTATCGAAATGCGGGGGAGCCTGGTTGGCGAGAGCCGATCTCCGAGGGGTTATCCATGCAGCTTGGGAGGTATTGATATTCGCCGGCCGATACTATATTATTTCCTTGCTTGCCACGGACAAAGTTTCCTATCTCAAACGCCAGGATAACTTTCTTATTTTGATTGTCGGATTTCCTCTTTTTTTGAGAACCAACAATGCCCGACTCTGGACCCAAGGGCGACGGCCTGCAACCGCGTCCTATTTGGACGCCCACCGTGCCGCAAGACCGGATCCCCATGAACATCTACCGTCAGCATATCAATCGGAAATTCAGTCAGAACTTGCATTCGTCTCAAGAACTACACCAATGGACGGTGGAAAATCTGCAGGACTTTTGGATCGATCTTCATCAGTATACCGGGATCATCCCGCCGTTGCCCCCGACGGTGACGACTTCATTTGATGCACACACACCGATGGAGAAAATACCCGAATTCTTCCGTGGCGCCACCGTGAACTATGCAGAGAATGTCGTTTCGGGTCGTGATCTGAACAAAACCGCACTTGTCGGTGTTCGTGAGGGCCAGGACTTGGACGGAGAAGTATGGACGTGGGGATTGCTGCGAGAGAACATCCGAAAAGCCCGAAGTGCATTGTTGCAACTTGGTGTCCAGGAAGGGGATCGAGTGGCCGCAATCATCTCGACCAGTTTATGGTCCGTCGGCTTATTCCTGGCCACAGCCAGCATTGGCGCCATTTGGACCAGCATCGCACCCGATTTGGGCGAAGAGGTAGGAGACCCTCCATACAAGAAACCCGGCAGCCTCTGATCCATCCAGGGATGTGTTTCACGACTGCAACAAGTCACTCCCAAAGTTCTTTTTGCCGACGGCGAGTCGACATACAAGGGCAAAATGCAGTCCAACGTGCCCAAGATCCAGAACATCTTCCACGCAATGAAGGTCAAGCCCGAAGTATTCTTGGTTCCAATCACTGGAACACATGAACAAGCTTTCCCTGGCCTCGACAGCTTCTTGTCAACATCGCGGTCTGAGGATGAACTGGAATTCAAGAGGCTACCCTTTTCGCACCCGCTATATATCCTCTACACCAGCGGCACGACGGGTCAGCCCAAATGTCTGGTCCACAGTCACAGCGTGATTCTGCAGCACAAGAAAACATCCGTACTCCACAACTCGCTCAGTTCCGACGATATCGTCTTCCAGTACAGTAGTACCTCATGGGTCCTGTGGAATATCATGATCGGCCATCTATCAGTGGGTCCGACTCTGATTCTATACGACGGATCGCCGCTGTGGCCGACCGCAAGGGCAATGGCAAAGATTGCGGAGTATCATCGTGTGACGTACTGGGGCTGCTCGCCTCGGTATTTGCAGGAGCTGGAGATGACTCGATGCATCCCAAAGGAGTTTGACCTTTCATCCTTGCGAATGGTACAGACGGGCGGTTCCCACTTGGGCGCCGACCAGTATCACTGGTTCTATCGTGCCTTCCCAGCGGACGTCCATCTCACCAGTGTCACCGGTGGCACGGACTTGGTGACCTCTTGGATCGGTACTGACCCCGCTGGCCCGCTGTATCCTGGCGAAATTCAGTTGCCAATGCTGGGACAGGATGTTGATGTGGCGGACCCCATGACGGGCGAGTCGGTCAAACATACTGGCAGACATGGTGAGTTTGTCTGTCGCCAGCCTTTCCCGTCCATGCCCGTGTTCTTCTGGGGCGACAAAGACGGATCCAAGTACAGGAGCACGTATTTCGACAAGTTCGAGAACTGCTGGGCTCAGCATGACTGGGCGAGCTACAACCCCCATACCAAGGGATGGCAGATCCACGGAAGAAGGTATATGCTTGTTAAAAAGCCCTGTATGTGCCAAGAGGTGATACTGACATTCTGGACAGTGACGGAGTTTTGAACCCTCAGGGCATCCGATTCGGATCCTCTGATATCTATTCGATCACGGAATCGGCACCATTCAACGGGGTCATTTCGACGACTTTGTGTATTGGTCGACGCAGACCCCATGATTCCGACGAGTCGGTTTTCTTGTTTGTGGTGATGCAGCCCGGCAATTCCTTCAGCGACCGGCTCGCCCTCGAGATGAAGGATGCAATTCGTAAGGGACTGAGCAGCAAGCACGTCCCTCGGTTCATCATCGGAGTCACAGAAGTCCCAATGACGGTAAATGGCAAAAAGATCGAGACATTGGTTAAGGAAGTGGTGTCCACTGGTGAATTGCCCAAAACCATCAGCAGCACCGTGGCCAACCCGGAATGTTTGGAGCATTTCAGACAGTACTACGCGCTGGAAACAAAAGATAGAGCCAAGCTATAGAATTCGGGAAGTGTATTATAAAGACCTCGGCTCGCTGAAAGCCGACTGAACCCTGGATTCTTGTGTAGTTGTGTAGTTGTAAGTTGCAAGTTGTATACTTACATTCTCCCCCGCCCATCCATCCACCGAGGCAGGCGCAAATTCTGCTGAGTCAACCGTCCGTCAACTCGCCGACTTTCTTGCGCATCCAATCCAACACTTGCATCGAATCAGTTTTCACCATCTTTGATGCTGGGCAGATGGGCTCTGCGGCGCGTCCAACGCGGTCCTAGAACCGTCAGTGCCGCCATCCGTCCAGGTGCGCGGGATCCGCGTTACGCCCCCTCAAACGGCATCCATGGCCGTGCAGTAAAACGAACAAATGTCGCTCAACATGCGCGATCAAATCCGCATATGCGATCGCGGGGCTTATTGACTGCGGCTATTCCCACCGTGCTTGTGCCGCCGCTCATTTTTGTCGCACTGCTGCTCTCCCTTTGGGTCTGGAAATGTTTCTGGATTGTCGTCATGCAGGACAAACTCTTGTACCTCACTTGGCTTCCGCCTTTCACGCGCTCTGAAAAGATTGCCGATTACGAGGTCGAGTGTAGACCTGTTCGATGGGAGGAAAAGCAAATCCGCAGCCTGGACGGCGTCAAGTTAGCTGTTTGCGAGGGTCGCATCATAAATCCTCGCGATGGGTCACACGCCACACGAAAAACACACGATCGACCACTTCCCAAGTCTGCACGAAAGCGATCTGTGGTGATATGCTATTTCCAGGGGAATGGTGGTTCGATGCCCATGCGACTGCCGCTCCTTTCTCAGGTTCTACGCACAATTATAGAAATGTCAGAAACAACTCTGGCATCAAACGAGGCGCGGCATATGGAAACCGAATATACCATCGTTGCTCTATCCTATCGCGGCTACTGGACATCTTCGGGCCGCGCTACCCAGTCTGGAATTGAGAAGGACGCCCAGGCTTTTTTAAACTGGGTATCAGAGACCTATAAATCACCGGGAACTGATCTTGAGATTGTTCTTTGGGGCCACAGCCTGGGCTCTGCCGTTGCAACTGCAGCAACTGCAGCGTATCTTCCTCGTCGAGATTCGGAGCAGACATTGGCCGATGGAAGCCATAATATCTCAATGGCACCCCTTGTTGGGCTGATCTTGGAGGCGCCCACGTCCAGCATCAAAGACATGTTGATCAGCCTGTATCCCCAAAAATGGCTGCCGTATCGGTATCTATGGCCTCTTTCCTGGAATACTTGGGATATCACCAGGTCCATGAGCCAAATGGCTCGCTGGAGAGAAGAATCCAGCAGCGAAGCCGCAAGCCCTGCCTCTCGCTTGCCCCCCATTCTTCTCCTCTCTGCCGAGAAAGATGAAATTATTCCCTCTTACGTCCCTGGCCAATTGGAGAGATGTGCGAGGTCACTCAATTTAGACCTTCAGATCAAGGAGGTGGCAGGGGCAATGCATACAGAGGCGCCTCTCAAGCTCGATGGCAGAAAAGCCATGGTGCAATTCATCCTGAACAATACCTCCCGATAGTAATTTCATCTATCCACCATTCAGTAATAATATCCGACGACTTTCAATTATTTCTGAAGGAGCTCAAAACAATATAGGTGTCAAAATTGATGTACATAATGTGGTATAATTGCCGTAAACACATATCAAACGTTGAGGAGCCAGGAGCCACTCCAGTCAAAGCCCGAGCCTTCCCAATTGGTGCCGAAAGGCTCCATGTTGGTATCAAAAGGAGGGAAGCCGAGGGCGTCGACCGGCTCGTCCGGCCGAGGATCAAAGGCTGGCAGTGCATTGTCGGAGTCTTGAAGATCAGCCAGTGAGCAGGTCGCCGCGGTGCGTAGACTAGAGCTCGCCGGCTCGGCAGATTGCCCAATCAAACGCCACTGCTTGCACAGCTTGACGTCGAAACCCTCGAAAAAGGAGGCGGTGTCGAGGTCGAGAGTTGGTGGGGGCCCGTCAAAGGGCCCTTGGTCTCGGACTTTCTCGGTTAATTTGTTGAGGGCCCGGAGGGGTCCAACTGCCGAAAGCCAGCGTTCTGACAGTTTCTGAAGAGAGAGTTTGATCACCGTCAGCTCATGTTCGGCTGTGCTCTGGAGCTGTGGATAACGACAGCTGGAAAGCAAGGAGAGCCCGGCGCATAGTGGATAGAAGGCAAAGACAGGTCCCAGGTAGCGGAGCTCATCACGGAGAAGGAATTCTTCGTAAATTCCCGCAATAAAGGAGGATGCCACGAGAGCTCCTGCGGGTGGAACGGTGCCCGGCGTAGGTGACCGATGAAGCATGGTCAGTACGACAAAGTACATGACCAGGAGTTGCTGTACCTCCAGGTTGGAGGTTGTGATATCTTCCTGAACTGCAGCAGATGAGCGCAACTTTGGGAAGACCTGTTTCGCCCATCGGTACACGGCATTCTCCAGATCAACACGGCGTTGTCGGGATATTTCCCGTCGTAGATAGTACTCGACGGTATCTCCCAGGTGACAAGAGATCGTGCAATATGCCAAAAAAACCTGCGCTCGGAAGTCTTTCACTGGAAAATCACTCATCGAGGGCGGGAGCACGTCGCTATCTCGGAGATTAATCGTCCTCGGTCGCCCGACTCCCACTGAGATGACATTGTCTCGAATCTGTATATGTTAGATCGAGCGTGAGGGCAGTATAGCTAGATACATACCACCAAAGACCACCATAACCGCCGACGAAGGGCACGGTATTTGGCGTTTGGCGGAGGCTCCTTGTGAAGACCTATTTGAAAGGCCATCGCCCCCGCAGTTCGAATCCAAAAGCCGCTGGTGTCCGTTGATACATCCTCCGGCCCCACCGGGTTGTACCAGTGCAGGAGACAGGCAGCCACGATCGAGATCAGGGAATTATTGCCACCACCGAAAAAGAATAAGAGCTTTGCGCGTCGGTAGAAGACCTCGCTAGACCCATAGTCCAGATGAGCCTTGGATACCCTGCTTCCAGCCAGGAAAATCGACTGTAGTAGGAGCATCGATGGCGGTGTCGTTTCATCGAGCCATTTGGGGTCGATAACGGGTGTCCAAGTGACACAATACTTGTTGAAGCTGTCCATCAGCTGTTTTTGGACGGCGACTGGGGGTAATTCAAACGCGCCCTGCTCTCGTAGCATTTGCAGGTCTGCGGCCGATGCCTGAGGGTTGGTGTAAGTTGTTTCATGGCCGGGTTTCACCATATTTTCATCAAACGGAACGCTGCCGCCCAAGTACTCGCCACGCCCGCGGTAGCTTTCCTCCTTGATGAAAGGCTCGCCATCATTCACGGGGACCGCCAAGGGCACGGGCTCAAGCTGATTAGGCCCGTTGGGGATGGCATTATCTCCCCACGAGCCGGCTGAAGACAGGCGCGGCGCCGTGACTCGGCCCTCAACGGGAGGGTCAGGCAGTTGTGAGCTGCGACGGCTCACGGACTCGGTTGCGGCGCTCCGCCTTGGAGACAGGCTGTTGGTAAACCTTTTGCGCTTTCGTGTATAGGGTCTGCATAGATCAGCCATGTACGCGTCACCGAGACGGGGTTATTCACCTGCAATCCACATCGGATTTGGTGCAGTTGGTGCAAGGGTTGTGGGTCGCCAGATCGCACCGCACCTGGTAGCCGTCAGCAACGGGTCAATGCGAAATGACATAGTAACAGAGTAGCACTACCTTTCTCTTATGACATATGATGCACGCGCTGGACATGGCGTGGCATGGATCCGGGAGGTTGGAGAATCCAAACGCGGGGACGAACCGAGGCATCTCGGGTTTCCCCATAAACCTTCTTTCTCCTCTTGTTACAACGCCGTGCTTCCCATGCCACCGCAACCTGTCCAACATGGCGGATTCAGACATAGTGTTGGTTGATACTGCATCACAACCAGGAATCACGATTCTTACCATCAACCGTCCCCATCGAAAGAATGCAGTGGATCCCTTGACCGCGAAATGCCTCTACGAAGCCGTCCTCGCCTTCGAGGCGGATGCTACACAGAAAGTGTGTATCCTCACAGGCACCGCAACATTTTGCGCGGGCGCAGATCTTCATAAAGTTGCACAGGAGAAGAATAACACTCCGGGCGAGAATCTGCAACCAGTCAACGGCCGCAACTTGGGTCCTATGGGACCCTCCAGGCTGGTCATTCAGAAACCGGTCATTGCTGCGGTCGCTGGATACGCCGTTGCAGGTGGCCTGGAGCTCAGTCTGCTGGCAGATCTACGAGTCGTTGAAGAGGATGCTGTCTTCGGCGTCTTCTGTCGGCGATGGGGGGTGCCTCTCATCGATGGAGGCACCATCCGGCTGCAAGCGATTGTTGGACTAAGCCGGGCCCTTGACATGATCCTGACTGGTCGGCCAGTAGGGGCTGAAGAGGCTCTTGCCATGGGACTTGCCAATCGCGTGGTGCCCAAGGGCGAATCATTGAAGCAAGCTCTCGACCTGGCCCGGCAGCTCATTGCATTCCCCGAGCTTTGTCTCAATACCGACCGTCGATCTTGTTACTATAGCGCTTACGATGCCTCTTCTTTTCAGGATGCCATGTCCCAGGAATTCCAGGCCGGAAGCAAGGTTATTTCAGCAGAGGCGATTGCAGGTGCAGCCAAGTTCAGCCGCGGATCTGGTCGACACGGCAGTTTCAAAGAATTCAGCAAGCTGTAGATACTCTTCGATGGGACCGCTCGGTATTTTCTGATCTATCCTCTATTATAGTAAATCAGATCAAGACATACTGTGAATAGTATACATTAATCGATGAGCTCGTGGATATCGACTATATTCAATAACCAAATCTTCAAATGGTCACATCTTGCCATAGCAAAAAAAAAAAAAAGAAACCGAAAAAAGAAAAAGGAACAAAGGGACAGGTATTCTGACACATCCGCGGGTTCCTTAATTTGTCTTCTTCTCTGTCTCTTCGGTCTCCGTGGGCACAAATTGAATCCGCTTGCCATACAGCAACGGCGTGCGTGAAATCAACGATCCCAGCGCATATCCGATATATGCTCCGACGAGGATGGTAATGGGGAAGGCTTGCCATGGACGGTCCCTAAATTGAGCGTGATAAGTCAAATATCCATACATTTGTTCTTGCAGTGCCGTTCGATACTCACCAGTCCAGTGGTATAGGAATGGCGCCAAACCAAGCGCCCAGTCCCGTACCAAGGGCGCTACCCCAGACTGGGTCAACAGGCCGAGCAATTCCCCAGACCTCTTTCCACACATACCCGTCCACGCCATGGACGTAGACCAAGGCAGTCGCGGACAGCAGGGCCATATGGGCTGCGCAAAGCACGGTCTCGGGATTGTGTGTCGTCAGTGGAGCGCCGAACAGGACGAGCAGGACGGCCAGAATCGGCGTTGCAAGCAGGGAGGTAAGGGTGAGAGAAAGGAAAGCGGGCTAAGGGACGCTATCAGCGATTGCATTGAAGCTTGAAGTCGACCATAATATCCATACCATGAGTTTGGCCCAGGCCCCAGACCAATCGTGCTTCCCGGTGTGCTGCTTTCGCCGATATCCAGGCTTACCCGGCCGCAGGGCCACGGCGGGACTGGAAGGCGAGCGTGGCGCAGCCTTCTTCTTCTCTTCGCCGTCAGAGCCGGCCTCAATGGCTTGTGTAGATCCGGCTGGTGGAAGACAGAGCACCACATAGGAAATCTGAAGCAGAGCTAACCATGGAAGGTCCCTGAGAAGCTCTTGCACCGTGTCTTGAACCAGTGCCTGGAACCGAGCAGCACATAGAGTAAGGAGAAGCACCGGGTGCACATATGAATAAACCTTTGCCAGCTGCGAGGGAAGGATGTTGACGGGCGGCGCGGACGGTTTCTCGGCGGGGGCCTGACTCGGCGAACTCGGCGGATTCACAGCTGAAAGGGGGGTTGCTGAGGCCATGGCGAGCACATTGAAGCTCGTACACGTTTTCTTCTTTTCTCCCCTGTGCCTATGGAGCTCCGGCACGCTCGGGACGCGAAAGGGACGTGGATCTGGATGCGTTTGTCATGTTTGCAATTTACTGGTGCCTTGAAGTTCAGGCATGTATTGGAGCCTCATATATCAGGCCACAACATTGGAGGGCCACGATCGTTCTGCTCCCAGACGTGTTTCTAGAGCATGGGTACACATCCTACTATTTGTACATGGCAAGAAGGCCATTCAAGACAAAACGAGCATCATTCTTCCAATTCCGATTTTAAAGATCGCACCAACACCCAACCATCTGCCCGGGACAAGGAAGAGAAAAAGGCTGTAACAGACCGGCTGCAATCACAAGAGACATACATTCGTACCACATAGCAACGTGACCAACGTGGAACCGGAAGTTTTCCACGTGGAAGGTAACAAGAGGAGAGGGCTGAAGGGTTGAAAAGGACGCAAGGCACAAGATATGCAAATAAAGGCACATGACGGGTATGAGAATCCCCAGGGCTCAAGAATACCGGAAATAATGAATACAAGACAGGTTCCAGGACTGAAAGGACTGCTACCAGGGAGAGAGAAATCACCGACTCCCACGAACGTCACAAGGCGAAACCAGTAAAGGGGTCTAAAAAGAAGCCTAGACGTCTTATCATCCTGTGATCCATGGCCTATAGATAGGAAATGAGCAGGTGCCCAAGAGCAGTATGGGACGAATTCCATAACTCAAGGAAAATGAATGCTGGATAAAGCAAATACAGGAGTCTCCGGCAAGAGACTCTAAACAGAGGAGTAAGGGAGAACAAATCCGAAGAATAACACCCCACTCTAAGCAGACGCTTCCTTCTCGGTGGCCTCCTTCAGCGCCTCAGATACGGGGGCTTCGGGAACGGGAGCTGCCTCCGAGGTGGACGTGGGCTCATCTTTCGTAGTCTCTTTCGATTCAACTGCGGGGATATTGGTCGGTGCCTCGGGGCTGTGTGGCTCCTCTGGTATTGATGGGTGCATACCTGGTCCAGGGAAAGGCGAGATAGGCGACCGAACAGGTTCCTCCTTTGGAGGATCTGTGGGTATGTCGATTGCGGGCTTGCCATTGGTCTGACTCGGCATGGTGGGAGAAAGCGGCTGGGTGGAGGATGGGTCGGTGTCCAACTGATTGGGGCTTTTGGCTCGCTCCCGTTCATCTTTGACGCCATCACGGACCTGGGCCACCTTGGCTTTGAACTTGCCAAACAGACTCTTCTTCTCCGGCTCGCTCGGGGCAGAGTTGCTTTGGACTCCGGCGTCTAGGCTGAGAGGCTGGCTGGAAGGATCGGTGCTGTGTTGGCCGCTACCGATCGAGCTGGTGCTCTGGTCTGCTCCTGGATTCGTTACAGCCAAGGGCGGAGACGAAAGGCCGAGCCCGACCTGCTCACTGCTTCGTTTTGATGAGCGGTGGAACCGCCAGCTGCGCCGATTATCTCGGCGCTCAGACCGCACGGGATCTTCGGGCTGGTCATAATCCGACTGGTCGGTGAAAGAGGATCGAGAGTTCATGGAGGGTGTGCGGGATCTATGCGGCTTGAGGGAGGTGTCATGACATGACTGAGCTGCACCCTCTCCGATAGCGTGTGAATCCGAGGGAGCATCAAGATTGCTCATGTTCGTTGTGGTGGGAGGTTTCGGGGTAATGTCGCCCATGGCAGCATCCGTTGACTGTCGGTCACGTTTCGCATCCAAGGACGTATCCGCAACATTCAACTCGGAGGGTGTTCCATGTAGGGAGTTAGACGAGCTCTGGGCGCTCATACTTGCACTGCCAGGTATCCGCTTCTTCTTCAAGCGGTTTGGCTGACGTGGTTCCTTCTGCTCGCCTTCTGGCGGTGGAGATTTGCTGAAGAGCGTGGAGAGTTTGCGTTCCCGGGTCGGGGTTACAACTGGAAGGGGTGATGATACAGGGGTTTGCAGGTTCTCTTGAGGCCGAGGAGGATCAATGACACTACGATGTTCTGCTGCCGCAACTGGTATCGGGCCGTGAGTGGAGGTGTGTACATAGGTACTTCCCGCGGTGGGCGTGGACGGAGTCAAGCTTGGATTGCGTTGCTCGGGTTCCTCACGCACAGACGGTGTTCGACTGGCCGACCGAGAGCTTTGATGGGAGACGGAAAGACCGGACGGGTTATTCGAGGCCGGCTCGCCAGACCGTGTAAACCGGGCAGATGCCACGACGGGACCCATCTTGGAGGGAAGAGTATTGCTCCGGTGGACGCCACCACCAGAGGAGGTGGGAGTTCCCGGGCTGGGAGCATTGTTCGAAGTCCGTGAGTTGCGGGATGAAACGGAAACATTGCGCCGAATAGTGTCCAGCTTGCGTTGGCTTTCCGTTCCGGCACTCGCACTCGACACGGATCGTCGAACATTTGGTTGAGTCATGGTGGGACGCGAAGGGAAACCGGCCCCGACCTCTTTCATTTGCTGTTCATCGGCGCAGGTGCCGCTCATGCCTACCAGGAAATGATCCTGGTTCTCAATGAGAAAGATCAACACGTCCTGGCTCAGCTTGTACTCTGCCGGTGCCATGTCGTGTTGGGGGTGGGACAACATGCCGGGCTGGAAAATGGCCGACAGGTTCCCCGATGTCATGCGATTCTGGTCGGACTTGGATGCGAATACAGCGAGGAGATCGAGAATGTACAGAAGCAACTGCTTGTTCAGCGGGGGAGCTCAATAATCAAGCGCTGGTAGGTCTCAACAGCCCTGGCATGGTCGAACTTGTCAGCATCCATCGCCTGATTCTCATCGAGCACCTGCTCCTGATAGATGCGTAGCGGCTCGCGGAAGCGCTCGTAGAATTCTAACGGGACGATGGGTTCAGGCAACTGATTCAAGTATCGGCGAAGGACGTTGGCAGCGTCGTGCACCGTGTATCCGGACCAGTCCAGGCCCTTTCCGTATCGTTCAGGGGAATCAAAGATTTCCTGAAGATCTTTGATACGCTTGGCGGACCCATTGAGGCGGAAGATACCCTCGACATCAGTTGCTGTGCAATGGAGTTAGCGAAGATCGTTCGGGGTTGGGGAGTTGGAGGATCCGCGAACCTTTTTCCTTCAGAAACACGCCACACTTGGCGACAACTATGGGGACGTATCCATAGATGAAGCTTTCGCCGTGTTCGTTGCTAAGAGAAATCGCTACATTCGCATATTTGATGCTGACGTTGAGCGGCACGCCGAAAATACCTCGAGGGGCTTCTGTTATGAGGAATCGTCAGCACACTGGTTCCAGGCTGGACTTTGACCGAGGCAAGCTGTCGATGCGCAACCACAACGGGCGTTCTGACCGGGCGCTCAGGGGCGCTTTCCGCGTCCCAAGGTCGGCGGCGGCGGATTGCAGAAGAGCAAGGGTAACCTTGGTGCCGGTGTCACGCTCACGAGACCGTATATCGGGACGTACCTTTCAGATCATCCTTTCTCGTGTTCCGTTTGAACTGTCTCCACCACGAGGCGAGATCTCGCCTGGACGGCGGAGAGTTTGAGGGGTCCGGGTCGGACGAGGCAGCGGGGAAGTGCACCGGCTCGATGCCAGGCTGCGATTTACCGGTCACCATGGTAAATCCGGGCGGGCGCGACGAAGACAGCTGCACTGTAAGTCGAAAGTCGAGGATGAGAGGGGATCGCGGTAACCACCTGCGTCACCGCCCTCGTGTAAACCCTGGGGCTGGGGCCAAAAATCGCGGTGGCGAACGAGGGGAGAACCCGTGAAATCTTGGGGGCCTCAAGCGAAGGAGGGAGGAAGAACAGGGAGGATAGGGGAGATGGGAGGGAAGAAAGGAGGGCAGAAGGGATGGTGTATGTGAGTGTGTGTGTGTGTGTGTCAAGGGTCTGGGGGAGTGGGATTCCGTCTACCGGGGGAGGGGGGTGTTAGGCACGAGCCAACCGCGGAGTGAAGCTCCCTCGGTGCGATAGAGGAGTCAAAGGAGAAGCAAGGGAAATCAAAGAGGAAGAGAAAAAGGTACAGAAAGTGTGCTATGAATAGACGGTAATTTCGCAGAGCCAAGGTTCCCGGGGATGGAAGAACGAATGGATCAGGGTCGCATGTCACTGTACGAAGTAGATTAAGTCGATGTACATGGAGCCACCAGTTGACCCCGGTGCGTTATGCCATCTTCCGCTCGAACTATCCCTCTTGTCTCGTTTTCTCTCTCTCTCTCTCTCTCTCTCTCTCTCTCTCGTCCATTTCCAATGTACGTCTCCGGTCTGGAGAGTATTTTTGGGGTAAGACATTCGCGTTCTGGACCGTGTCTGGACCCGGTTTAGGGGTCTTCGAGGCTGCATCCGGGCCACTCCTCAGGTACCAGATCCATCCGTTTCATTCTGCACAAAGTGGAGCCGTCCAGGACCGATGGGCTATGGAGGCAATTTGATGAAGCGTAGCCTTCTTGTTTTATTTTTTATACGGTCTACCTCGCAGACAGGTCACAGACAACCTGTAGATTGACGGCTAAGTATAGGAGTCGTGGTTCAGCCGGGGTGAAGGGATACAAGTCACATCGAAAACCTCCCCGCCGAACATCGACTAGCGTCCGGCCGCGGTTCGACTCGAATTCAGGGAATATCACGTCACGTGAACGTGGTTTGTTGGCCTGGGAAATCAGGACCGCCGCGCCGGAGGTTATCACGTGGTGCGCGGAAGAACGTAGTTGCGGATGCAGAGAAACAGCTCTTACGGGAGCTCAACGCCGTCCAACCACCGCAATCCCCATCACCCATTTTTATCGGAAACTTTTGTTTTTCTCGGTTTCCACTTCACACACAATGGACGGGTATGTTTCCTCTTCTCACTTTTCCAGCGATCTCCATTGTGAGATTTTCCTCGGGATCCGGTATTGATTGCACGTCGCAGCCTTTCCGCATCAGAGCAGCGCGAGTTCGCCTCTCGCATGGAGCGCAAGCAGATGAAGGAGTTTATGACTGTATGTGTCACCGTCCTGCCCTATCTAGTATCGATCGCGTCGACTCTCGACAACCCCGGTCGTTCGATGCTCTACGGTGTTACTCCCGACCTCCGTCCGATCTGACGCCCTTTTCCCTTTCATTACAGATGTACTCCAAGATGGTTCAGCGCTGCTTCGATGACTGTGTCAATGACTTCACCACCAAGTCCCTCATCAACCGCGAGGAGCAGTGCATCATGCGCTGTGTGGACAAGCACCTGAAGGGCTCCGCCCGGTTGCAGGAGCGCTTCCAGGAGCAGAACGCCGCCATGATGCAGGGCGGTCAGCCTGGCCGTTAAATATGATACGCGAACGCTCGGGATACCGAGGGTGCATTGGCGTAAAGGAGGGAATGAAGTATCCGCGCCACCGAGACGGCCAGGGGTGTACGCCTGACCGTTTGGGGAAGACCCCTATGGAAGCCGGCCGGGCCTCAGGGAAGCGTGTTACGGAATGATTGTCATGTCATGTCTGACCGACTGGACATATCGAAGAACCAGGGAATAGCAGATCTAGCGAGAGTTCGGCTTCTATTCATGTACCATAGTGACTCGGGCGGGAACGGAAAAGCTCCTTTCGATTCCCGATCCTCAAATACAAAAGCGGCATCGCCCATTTGATGTTGAACGGAATTTCCATTCCCTACCTAGCTTGTTCGTTGATGAAGAGCGGCTGGACTTTTATATCTTACAGTTTGGATCATTATTCCAGACACGGAAACCGATTGGGCTGCCCCCACCGGAAGGACCGGAAAACTTGGCCGTTTCGGGAGCCCGCGCAGAGATAGTGGCATCGATAGGGCAAATCTATCGAGATAACCTTTCTCACCTGCCAACGGGTTCGCTCCCCGCGATGCCGTCATTAGTAGGCGGGGCATCGGAGTATAATGTAGTGTAGACGCGGGAGACACGGCGCGACGATAGGTTCCAGAGACTGGAACTGCACGGCAGTCGGGCCAGACTCCCGTTGTCCGCGCCCCCAAAGCAATAACACCCCTCATCCTCCTCATCTTCTCCTCTCTTCTTCCCCCCCCCCCCACTCCCCTCATTGCACCTTCCGGCTCCACTCGACCGTCCCCTTCAAAAGCCCGCCGTCTTCCTCTTCTTTCCCGTCGTCGCTGTATCAACTCGTATGTGCCACCCCTCCCTTCCCGAAACCCCCGTTTACTAGACTACCTTGCTAACGGCCCCTAGCTGCGTGGGATTATAATACATTTCACCTCATACACCATGGCTAGCACAGTGGGACAGGTAAATCTCAATTCACCCTTCAAATTCCGCGTTCAAGAGATTGACACCGTGTTCGCAGACCATCACTTGCAAGGTAAGCTCATATCCGACCCCTCAGAGCGATGACGTCGGCGACCCGGACAAGGTTGGTCGGTACTAAATCATGCACAGGCTGCAATTGCCTGGGCTGCCGGTGAGCCCCTGTCCGTCGAGGACGTTGAGGTTGCTCCTCCCAGAGCGCACGAGGTGCGCATCCAGATTCACCACACCGGTGTCTGCCACACCGGTAAGCCCCGCTGTAGACCCCGCCATGCAGCTCGAGAATTTGCAGGATTGACACCAATTAGATGCCTACACGCTCTCCGGCAAGGATCCCGAGGGTGCTTTCCCCATCGTCCTGGGTCACGAGGGTGCCGGTATCGTCGAGTCCGTCGGCGAAGGTGTAACTTCGGTCAAGCCCGGCGACTACGTCGTCGCTCTCTAGTATGTTTGTTCGGACGGTGTGACCACGAAAGATCATCGGCTGACCTTCCGCAGCACCCCGGAATGCCGTGAGTGCAAGTTCTGCAAGTCCGGCAAGACCAACCTGTGCGGCAAGATCCGAGCTACCCAGGGTAAGGGCGTGATGCCCGACGGCACCTCGCGTTTCAAGGCCCGCGGCAAGGACATCCTGCACTTCATGGGTACCTCCACCTTCTCCCAGTACACCGTCGTCGCCGATATTTCCGTAGTCGCCGTCACCCCCAAGATCTCCACCGACCGGTCCTGCCTGCTCGGCTGTGGTATCACCACCGGCTACGGTGCCGCCGTAGTGACCGCCAAGGTGGAGCAGGGCTCCAACGTGGCTGTCTTCGGTGCCGGCTGTGTCGGTCTGTCCGTCATGCAGGGTGCCGTTAAGAACAAGGCCGGCATGATCATTGCCGTCGATGTCAACGACAGCAAGGAGGCCTGGGCCCGCAAGTTCGGTGCCACCCACTTCGTCAACCCCACCAAGCTCTCCGGCAAGACCATCCAGGAGCACCTGATCGAGATGACCGATGGCGGTTGTGACTACACCTTCGACTGCACCGGCAACGTCGGTGTCATGCGTGCCGCTCTCGAGGCCTGCCACAAGGGCTGGGGTGAGAGCATCGTGATCGGTGTGGCCGCTGCTGGCCAGGAGATTTCCACTCGGCGTAAGTTGCTCTCGTCCTCATATGTCTTTTCCATCCTCGTACTGACTCTACTGTACAGCATTCCAGCTGGTCACCGGTCGTGTGTGGAAGGGATGTGCCTTCGGTGGCATCAAGGGCCGCACTCAGCTGCCCGGTCTCGTGGACGACTACCTGAACGGCGAGCTCAAGGTGGACGAGTTCATCACACACCGCGAGCCCCTATCGGCCATTAACACTGCCTTCGACCAGATGAAGCTGGGCGACTGCATCCGCTGCGTCGTGGACATGAAATAGATTTTGTGAAATAGTTTTGACGACCCCCAAAAGGCTCGATGTGAAATACGACTTTCTTTGCTGTGTCGTGATACGAGATTCCCAGTGAACTGGAAAATATGGACGGGCTTTGTAGGGCTACAGGGGCAGAACCAAGGTCCTCACCCCGCAGTACCTTGCGGGTGGTCCCTCTGCTCAAGGTTGCGCGAGCCTATCTGTCCCAATTGCAATGATGCTTGAGACCCCAAATTGAAACGGTCCCCCCGAGACCTATTCATCACGATATGACGAGAACCCTTTACTACGTAGCACGGGCGATATCAAATATCAACGTCGAACCCAGGCGTAGATTACTGCCGGGAGACGGCGGGCTTAGTCCGAGATTAGTCCGAGATTATTCCTCTTTCTCCTCACCAAAAATAACCCCGCCCTTCTCCTATCGATTTCGGGCCTACAGGTGCCAAAGAAACAAACGTTATTTTTCTCATCGCCTTATCGGTACTAACGCTTGTTTCTTTGGCACCCAGTCCTTCTGTACCTAGGAGGATCGTCAGCTAGCGCCAGCCCGATCAGGTTATCTGAAGGGCGTAGAGGAGGGGGAAGTCTTGATCAGGCATGACAGATGATAGAAAGAGAGGCATATAAAGAAGCATGCTGCGCTCGCCCAAGTTATTTCGTTTCTACTGTATACTTTGATCGGCTCTATCTCTTCCAATACCCCGACGCCATCATGGCCAACGTTACCCTGCCGGAGCCCTTCTCCTCCATTGCTCGCACTCACCTCCTTCTCGGCCCCTCGCCGATCCACGCCCTTCCCCGCATCAGCGCCGATCTCGCTCGCGACAGCCCTCGCCGTGTCAACATCTACGCCAAGCGCGATGACTTGAACTCCGCCTATGCATACGGCGGCAACAAGACTCGTAAGCTCGAGTATCTCCTCGCCGATGCTCAAGCCCAAGGCTGCGACACCCTGGTCTCCATCGGCGGCGTACAGAGTAACCACACGCGCCAGGTCGCCGCGGTGGCCGCGCGGTCCGGTCTCAAGGCCCGTTTGGTCCAGGAACATTGGGTTGACTGGGTCGATCCGGGATATGACACCGTTGGCAACATCCAATTGTCGCGGCTGATGGGCGCTGATGTGAGGTTGGATCCCTCGGTGTTTGGTATTGAGCACAAGAAGACCGCACAAGCTGTTGTGGAAGAGTGCCGGTCCCGTGGTGAGAAGCCCTACTATATCCCCGCCGGTGCGTCAGACCACCCCCTCGGTGGGTTGGGATTTGCTCGCTGGGCGTTTGAGGTTCGGAAGCAGGAGCAGGAGCGGGGCATCTTCTTTAACACCGTGCTTGTCTGCGCCGTTACGGGCTCGACGTTTGCCGGTATGATCGCCGGCTTCAAGCTGCTGGAGCGCCTTCATCCGGAAGACCCGAAGCGCAAGATCATCGGCATTGACGCCTCGGCTACCGTGGATGCCACCCGTGCGCAGGTGCTTCGCATTGCCAGAAACACCGCCTCTCGCATTGGGCTGAGCGAGGATGATATCACCGACGCCGACGTGATTCTCGATGACCGTTACCATGCAGGCATCTACGGCGTTCCAGACAAGCAAACCTGGGAGGCCATCGAGTACGCGGCCCGAATGGAGGCGTTCATTACTGACCCGGTCTACGAGGGGAAGAGCTTTGCGGGGATGGCGGATATGATCAAGCGTGGTGAGATCGACGAGGGCAATATCCTGTACGCGCACTTGGGTGGACAATTGGCCTTGAACGCATACTCAGATCTGGGCCGGACAAAGGAGTAGCAGGGAAAGAATGCGGATAGCAACCCGTGAAGATTAAATCCATTCCGTTCGATTTACATTTGCTATACAACTACGTGAAAGCAGTCCACGTGTGGAAGAAAGTTTCAAGTTTCGCATTGGTTCAAGGAGTGACTCTAGTTGAAATAAGATTCAGACATTAAAGGTCTGCACGGAGTCAATGCATGACTCGCATTTAGAACAGCTTGTGCTCGAGGGTCATCTCCGACTCGGGCTGGAGGCCAACGCAGGCACGGAAGATGTTGATCAAAGCCGAGCGCTGCTTGCCGAGGGCGTTGACAACGGGAGTACCGGGAGGGGTCAGGGGAGCCTTGAGCATGTAGCTGAGAACGCTCAGTACGCTGTGGAAGCCCTTGTAATCGGCGCCATCGCTGTCGGCCTTCCAGGTGACACGGGTCATCATCTCCGCAAGCACGACCAGATCGATAATCAGGGGCGACGCCAGGAGCGAGTCCTCACAGATGTTGAACAGACTGATGGTCTGGTGGCCACCCATGAAGATTTCGGCATAGTACTCGTCAAGGGCGCGCTTGTTGTCACCAACAGCGGGCATGTACTTGATGACGACGGTGTGGTCGGGGTGCTCATCCTTCTCGTACAGAATGTGGTTGGCAGCGACCATGTCATCGACGACGTTGGACTTGGAGATCTCCTTGGAGCGGAACTGCTTCTGGGAGCTCAGATTCTTGCCGTCGTTGTTACCCAGGTGGTTGTAACTGGCGATGGAGGTGATCTTGATACCGGCATTGATCAGGAAGTCCACCAGCGCTGACTTCATCTTGGTCTGGCCCGACTTGAAGTCGTCACCGCCGATAAAGGCTCCGCGCTGCTCCGCGAGCTGGAGGGCACCGGACACGAAGGTGTTCTGGGGCGAGCCGTTGATGAACGGGGTGTTCTCCAGGATCGAGGCCACGGCAAAGACGGTGGACGGGGAAACCTCCGCGTGGCCGGCCTTGATCGAGTTGATCAGGTTGTCGGCGGTGTCGTTGACGCCCGGGATGATGTCGGCGTACCGCTCGGTGTTGGCGGTCCACATGACGATCACCTTGTCCAGGCCGTTCTGAGCCTTGAAGTCACGGATATCCTTCTGGATTTGCTCCACGTGGGCCCAGCAGGCCTTGTCTCCCTCGATCACGTTGTCCGCACGATCCTCCTGGTTGGAGGCGATGAAATCGGGGTAGTAGATACTCGGCAGCGGGGTCATCTCCGCCATCTCCTTGCGAACCTGACTCTTGAGGCTGGGCTCCAGCACCTGGGCACGGTCCATGGCCGCAGCCAGGTTCATGGCGCTGATGTCCCAACCTCCGATGGCCATATCGTTGGGGTGAACCATGGGAAGCAGGTCACGGAAGGGGATATTGATCTCCTCGCCGGTCTGAGCATCAGTGCCCAGCTTGACGGTGGAGCTCATGATGATGGAGCCGTAGTAGTTGGCGCTCTGCTGACCCTCGCGGGTCTCCCAGGACAGGCCACGGCGGTTGGCAAGAATACCAGCGGTGACGGTGGAACCGTTGTTTCCACCCCAGCCGACCAGCATCATACCGACTTTGCCCACCTTGCGGTCGACCTTGAAGTGGTAGTTGGTGGCCTTGGGGGTGGCCACCAGCTTGTTGTCCGCAGTGCGGGTCACCTCGGTGGTCTGGTAGGCATACTGACTCTTGATTTCATCGGGAGTGTAGACGACGTTGGGCGACTGAACAGTAAACAGAGGCGAGGGTTCTGGGCGAGCGGACCCGTTCGCAGTGCCATTGGCGGCATCCGAGGAAGCGTGGGGAGCCATTGTTCACGGCGAGATTGGAAAAGTGAACTGAAGTTGGACTCTTGAAATGCTTTACTGGAAGTATAATGCGTGTTCCGGTGCTCCGCCTCGGTTAGATGAGCGCCGGCCGTTGAACGGGTGATGCCGCCTAGAGACATATTAGACGGATGTGTATCGAAGGGCAGCGGATAGACTCACGAGTTAAGCTGTGTGGCGAAAATGGTGACGGCTGTACGTGATCACGTCTCGAGGAGATGTGATCGAACCTGCTGATAAGGCTTATACGAACCTAAGAGGAATTGGAAGGAACAGAGGTGGTGGAAAGGAAAGAAAACGAAAATGTGGAGGGGAAATCGAATTAAATAGCGGTCACACGTGCCCCTCCGTCTGTCTCCGGGCCCTTCCAGCTTCCTCCCCTTTTCTTTTTCCCCTCCCCCTTTTCTTTTTTTTTCATTTCCATTGACTGGATTGCGGTTTGACTTTTCGTTTGTTTTAACAGCTCCACACCAATCATAATACGATGTGACTTGCGGGATCTTCGACCGACTTCCAAGATGAGGATTGTTGGGCACTAGCTTCCCCCGAGCCGAGAATGCGGGCGAGTGTCATCCGGTGCCTGCGTCTACTGTGTACAGCTCTGCATTTCCCAAGGCTCGGCGCGGAAGACACGCCAGAAAAAGCGGGCAACCACGGTAAACCGGAAACTGAATGCGCCAATTCCGTCTTTGGTTGATGAGGGAGCCACTGCCGACACCATCCGCATCCGGACCTGATTCTCCGGTGCCTGGCCTCGCTTCGGAGGATTCTATTCATTGCCGATTGTACCATTTGCCCGGGTGCTACCTCGCTTCTTTTCTGCGATTGACAGTCTCCCTCTACAGTACTCCGTACCCCAGCGGGGATGGGGTCGGTCTCCATCCCCCGAACCGGAGAGTGATCCGTGCGAGCCCAAAAGAAAGGCCGGAACGAGGGGCACGACGCGGCGGGGCTCTCAACTGGCGGTCTGCATCTATGAGCCATGATTGGCCGTGCCCCTGAAGCCCCTGATCGTCCAAGCACAATGTACTGTAAAACCTACGGAGTACCGTGCCTCGCGACCATAAATTGCCAGGTCTGTCGGTCAACGTAGAAATGACTATGTAGCGGAATTGACCGCAACGCCTTGGTCAATAAAATTGAGTAGCCTTTATCGGTCAGACGCCCCCGCGTTCATCGCCCTCTCCAAGTCTCTCGAGAAGTTCCCTGGCATTGGAGCTGGCGAGCCAGGTGAGGACGGACGCCCCGGAGGTGATAAGGCTGTTCAGGTCGTGGTCCGGGCCATTGATGCTCACTATCAGGTGTGGTACGTGGAGGAGTGCTGTCGATATCCGGCTTGATGGGCTTAATGGCCCCGCTGTTCGAAGAACAGAACTTTGCCGCTGATAGTAACTAGCTCGAGCTACAGTCAATTTCCTGGCAGAATATGGCTCCGCTCTCACTATCATCCATAGTAGAATATGGGTCATGTTCTGTCGCAGAGCATTCTCAGCCTATTCACTATGGTCATCTAACCTTCCCTTTGCGATCAATTATTTAAGGCACTTGGCAATGAATGAATCATCCATATTAAACATAGTTTTCACTGAATGAGAATTGATTGTTTGATACCGAGAACTTGATAGACTGAGCATAGTTGCGATCCCTTGACAGTAAAGCTCCGAGACGTAAGAACGGCAACATATATACCTTTATTAGAGGTGCTCATGATTAAGTCTGAGTTGACATACTTGAACTCTAGTTTTACCTCATGTGCAAAGATACTATAAAAGATCTAAAACTTTGCCTAACCCCGGATCGCCTATTCATCCCGTTGCCGCCGCGTTCATTGGCGACATCTTTAGCCCGTCGAAAATTTCCGATGGAACAGTTGCACCAGTAAGGGCAGAATCTAAACATAATAGTCGGACGTAGAGGCAATGTCCGAGCAGCTTGGGCATCAAATGTATATGCGAGGCGGTCGTTAAGGAGTTTCTTAGCCGACTCTAGAGACTCCCTGTGGAAGTCTTGCCTTATAATAATGTATCCGTTAGGTTTAGAATCGCATTTCTCTGCAAAATCGAAAAAAGCATCTAGTCTTGTCTTGTCGGATACATCGACAAGCTAAATATAGGCATCACCGAGAAGTCTAAATAATCCCGTTTTCGCCGCATTCTCGAATATAGTATACACTACGATAACACGTATTATAATAACTCTATATTGTAATTTCCTAAGTGCCCTAATCCTTTCTTCTATATAGACATCGCTATCGTACATATTATTAAGATAATTAAATATAAAAGATCCCCTACGAGCCTTAGCCGCACTCTAAGCTAAATAGTCGAGAGCACTTCCGTTACCCTAGTATCTAGCACTATAGGCTAGTGTCTAATTTAAGTATATCGTGTCACGAGAGGGGGTCGATCTATATTTTATTAACACGGATATTAGAATTCCACGGCACCTCTTCTAGGGTCGAACACTTCTTACGAAAATGCCTAGCTTCAAAGGCGATAAGACGCGACTCACGGTATACACAGCTAATCATTAGTGCGCGTCGGTTAAGATTAGTCGTTTGTTGTAGCTTATATAGCGGCGGATCAAGACCGAAGACGCCGCCACTATCCTATAAATAGTCTATTTCAACGACTCGGTTTAGGAGACATTCACGCTATATAGCAAGTCTTAGTTCCACGGGCAGCCGGGAGAAGTAATAAAAGTCTTGAGTGTCGTTTTTCATCGAGTCAAGATAGTTAGTGGGATATTGGAGGGCAAGTTTGAGAAACTCAAGATTTATAGGGCGCGGCATAGCACCCTTTATTTAGCGCCGAATCTCGCCACGCTTGCGCCAGGGAAATGGTTAATAGAATCCGCTAGTGGGAGGGTCCCTTATATGTAATAAAAAGCCGTCCTACGATCCTACCCTATTAAACACCAGTCGCCGAATATATAGGATTCTCCCCTTTTGCGATCCGTTAAGCAGCCAGAGGGGTATCCAAGCCGATGGATCATTTTTATCTCACAGTCTTAGGCCCCTGGTTGACCGCTTTTTCTGCCATCACTGCTGTCGCTTCAGGCAGACCTTAGCTGTCGGAACGAACAGCCTATGGAGACCGAATTCGTGGATAATCCGGAGTAATATTTCTTATGTAATCAGAAATCCCCTCACAGAAGCCTAGTTATTGCGTTGTGACTGCGCTCGGACATGAATAACGGGCTAATAATTTAGACGATTCGATCGGAATTCAAATATACAGGCTTAATAGGGTGGTAGAGACTCTTTGAAGAACAGAGTAATTTCCCCTGAAGTTCAAGGGACGCTAGTATGTTTACAGTTTAGCGCTGGGAACCTTTTGTTAGTAGGGGTCTTTGAAGTACGCTGTACTTCAACGTAGACTAATTTTAGGACACCAACGAGCCTGGCTCGTCACCGAGTATGAAGCTGGAGACGTGTCTTCCATAAACCGTACACTGTAGGAGAGACTCGCCTCCCGTGACAAGCTGATAAGATGACTTTCTCAGGCCCACGCCTCCACTATCAACGATCCTCCGAATCGAGTCATACGCCTGGCCGCAGACCTGCAATGTGTCGATTCCTCGAAACCCTATCATACAGTAATTTCGATGACCATCTGCGTTGCCATAAGGACAATTGCACTGACTAGAGCAACAAAGATGGAATAAGTTCTACGAAGTTGGGAATCGAGTCTAGCCGGGAAACTCGACACATAAACCTGCGAATGGATATGCAATGCTTAAATCAAACATGATATTTCAGTCACCGGGCTTTGTTCGAAATTGTATCATTCTGTTCAGCAAAGTGAATTTCCGGCTCCGATATTCCAACGGTTTAACGATAACTCTTGCGCCTATGACGTGATACGTTGCAGAAAGAGAGAGAATGCTTCGGGGCAACAGTGTCCTCGAGTGCCCCAGCCACACCCACTTGTATCTACAGTAGTAAAAGCTTTACATTGTTTCAGACTGTGGCGGCGATCTGCGAAGAACGCCCTTCTTTCACCCTTCCGCCCTTGAACCCTTGAACCTGCACATCGCCGGCAGCGCTGCAAGGCTCACGCTATAAGGTGTCTTATTGAGAAGTTTCACCAGTAGGATTCAGCATATATTTTGGCCGGCAACTGACCTACTGACGTCAAATCTCGTTCCTGAGCATGGGATGGTGGAGCGTCGAATCTGCAAAGAGGGCGGCGAAACACGTCGGGGTGGAATGCGGGAATAACAACGCAACGCTCCGGCACCCCTCTACCCCTTGGAGGTCAACTCCTTCAAGGAGGGATGATCAGTTGTAGAAATGCCAACCATTTCAATTTAAGTGCGATTGCGCGGACGGGTGCTGGTCTGTACCGTCGGACCTGGATTTTTCAACCTAGACGATGCGGCCATATCTGGGCCTGCGAGGCAATAGCCTCAACATGATGGCCCTCATCAGCGTGACGATGCCGGCAATTATGTCCTTCGGATACAACCAGTCGATGCTGGGAGGAGTCTTGACTCTGGATAGTTTCGAGAGACAATTCCCCGAGATTGATTTGACCGATGCGGCGCCCGAAGAGAAGACGTACAAGTCGACCATCCAAGGCACCGTGGTCGCTCTATACGCAGTCGGGGGCCTTTTCGGTGCGCTGTCATGCATGGGGTTGGGCGACATCCTCGGTCGCAAAAAGGTCATCATGCTGGCATCCGCCATACAAATCGTAGGCGCGATTCTCATGACGACTGCCTTTGAATTTACACAACTCGTCGTTTCTCGCCTAGTCATTGGCCTTGGAACCGGAGGCGTTCTAGCAACCGTTCCCCTTTGGCAGTCCGAACTATCAACGACCTCGAATCGCGGAGCCCATGTGGTCACGATTGGCCCCTTTGCCGGTTTGGGAGCCACTCTCGTTCTCTTTATCGATTTTGGAATGTCATTCGCCCCTGAAAGTGAGGGATGGCGAGTACCGTTTGCACTGCAAATCCTGCTTTCATTAACGGTGATCGGGTTCATCGCCATCCTGCCGGAGTCTCCTCGGTGGCTGGTCCGGCAAGGCCGCATCGTCGACGCTCGCGAGATTTTAGCTGCTTTGGAAGATGTTGATGCCAACGATCTGAAAGTGGAAGCGAAGATCTTGGAGGTGGAATCTTCCCTGAAGCTGGCCGGGGAGGCGTCTTTCAAACAGGTGTTCCATATGGGATCTCAGCGCATTTTCCACCGAGCCATGCTAGCTGCCACCGTGATGATGTGTCTTCAGCTGACTGGCGTTAACTGTGTCACATTTTACACCAATACTATCTTCGAGACCTATCTTTCACTGGATTCGGTGAAGTCCAGAATTCTGGCCGCAATATATCAGCTAATTACCCTGATTGCCGGCGCGGTATGCGTCTACACCATCGAAGGCTTTGGTCGACGTGGCTTGATGCTTGCCAGTGCCGCTGGCAATGCAGTATGCTTGGCTCTGGTGGCCGCACTGGGATCTCAACCCAATAACCCGAGAGCCATGGATGGGGCGGTCGTTTTTATATTCCTCTTCCATTTCAGCTATGTCATCGGCTACGGTGGTATCCCTTTCCTCTACGCGGCGGAATTAAGCCCTTTGAAAATGCGTGCCACGATCAATGGCATCAGTATGGGAACCTACTGGATATTCTGCATCCTGATCACCGAGATCACTCCATATCTATTTCAGTCCCTGGAGTGGCGATTCTTCATCATCTTCGCCGGACTGAACGTCGTCATGATGGGAGTCGTGTATTTCTTGTTCCCGGAGACTGCCGGGCGCACTTTGGAAGAAATCGATCGGATCTTCATGACTTCTGACAGTATTTGGGATACCGTGAAAGCGGCTAGGCAGTTGCCCCGTTCCGTCCCTGATCGGTCGCGACACGGAAAGGAAACAACTCTCGATCATCCAGCATAAAGATCAATCGCAGCTGCAACGAAATATATGATTGAGTGGGCAAGGACGTTCGTGGTTGATCCATGAAGTCTGTTCCTATGGCACCAGGTCAGGAATAGAGGTGGTTGCTGGACAACATCCCAAGGTTACGTATAGAATAACGGAGAATAGTATACATATTTTGTACTCGAGTGCTATATGAACATTTGAATATTGCAATTTATCTACCATTCAATGCGTCTTTTTATGTACGCAATGCTTCGGACACAAAACATCTCTTATAACATATATTTTGGCGTTATCAAGGAACGCGATACAGTATTAATGTATGCAGTTTGAAAATCGATCAAGTCGAAAGTAATTCCATCCAGTTATCGAGCCTTGGAATGCGACGTGATACATCAGAATATAGTCGAATGCTTGTAGAACAGACCGAATATGAATGCCAATGGCTACAATAACTACATAGTCGGCTGACTACACCGCGTCCCTAACCCCGCAATCCCCGCAAAGCCGCAACTCTTCCCCGTTCCAATTGGGAAACATCGACGACCATGGGGACAGCAACCAAGAGTTTCTGCTGGTGAGTCATTGATCCGTGTGCTTTCTCGGGCTATCTCTGACGCCATACAGTGATCCATGCCGCTTACTACACCATAAATGTGAGAGACCCGCCCCTTGCGTGGCATCGCGACACTACCTTAACACCCGCTCGAGGCGACGGAGACCTACCACAGTGCGGCCGATGCGCTCGGACTGGACGCACGTGTACACGGAGACACAGAGGGACACAGTTTCGACAGGCGAAGGGTCGAGAATCTCGCACCCGGTTCCCTCGCAATCAGGTCTGGCTAAAGCCGCCACCACGAGGTTAGGTTCGCGATGCAATCCGCAAATCACGCTTCCTGACACAATGGTTTCCAGTGGACTTTGTGCTCGAGTCAGGCAGTGGTGACGATGGCCTGGTAATAGAGTCAACGGCTGACCGGCATCTGGAGGGGGGTTGGCCTTGCTCGAGAACACTGCGACGACCCCAGAGTTACCGTCCTTTGCTCAGACACAGCACAGTATACAAGAGGAGTACCTTGCACCATCGCATCGATCCAAGACAGAGGGAAATAGGATTGAGAAATATCAGCCAGTGGGCAAGAGGCGAAGTGCGCGTACAGTACAGCGTACCTGGCCCTTGAGAAACCCGCAAGAAGCTTCTCTCCTGAAGCAGTTTGTGGACCGCATATCACCCTTTGTGAGCATGATATTTGCGCGTAACGGAATTTTCCTCTAACTGGGGGAATTTCAGTTTGACTGTACAGACCACCAACGGCATTTCGCGGTCCGCATACCCCAACGTGCTCGTTACTGCAACACGTTATTTAACGCGATCATGGCCATGTCGGCTCGCCATCTGAGCCGCACGAGCACTTTTGACCCGTACGTGTCCGACCATTACTATCAAGCTTGTCTCGAAACACTCATCCCGGCCTTGGATGACGACGGGGTCACCATGGACGATGATCTGTTGGCGGCCACCGTGATTCTTCGCCTGCTGGAGGAATATGATGGTGAGGCAATGGAACCCCCACCCGAGACGTCGCATACCGGAGTCCACGTTAATGGCGATCGCAGTCCCACTGGCGGGGTCTGATCTTCGGGGTCATTCCTTTGGAACCAAGGCCTTCATTCAAGGACCGCCGCCGTCGGTGACGACGACGCCGAGTTTACGACAAGCGGTTTACTGGAGTGGCCTGCGCCAGGAAATCTACAATGCCATGAGCCTGCGGCAAGCCCCCGATATTGACCTCAGCTCGCTTCACTCGCTCTTTACCGCGCTCAGTCCGGATGCCGTGGACTGCGACTGGGCAAACCAAGCGATCGCGCATTGTGCAGATGTCTTATTGTTTTGCTTCGGTGCGGGCCCACGCTCTGCGGCGGTGCATGCCGATCTCCGGAAGAGAAACGAGCAATGGAGCGAGAACCGTCCGGCGTCATTTGACCCCTATTTCGTCGGCAGCGACGAGGTGCAGATCGGGGCCACGTTTCCCGACATTCGTTTCAGTTCTGCATGGCACGGTAAGGTCACCGCAGGGATCAGGGACATGCGATGAAAACTGATCATTGCGGTAGCCATCGGCAACCAATATAACGAACTCGCGGGAATCTTGCTTGCGGTGCATGATCCGGAACTGCCCACCGTCGGGCCTTTGCGAAGACGATTCGTACAGGGAGCCGAAGTAAGTGAGCGTGTGGTGTCACCAATGCTACCTCATGATTGACCGAAGCGCATATATGAACCAGCAACAAATCCGCCAGGGCGTCTGGACCGTGTGCGGCGTGGCTCTTTCGAACTCCTCCGTGCCTCCAGCGATGGTGGTAGCCTGCATGGCCATTCACGCCGTAAGAAGAGCACCGCGATCGCGAAAACGTCAGCTAACGGGCGTTGGAAGGTTGGCGATCGGTTCACGGATCGACGGGAACAGGAGCAGCTAATCCAAATCCTCGTCCGCACGGACTCCCTGCACGGATGGCCGACACATGCGCTGCAGCGCCAGCTCCGCGAAACCTGGGGCATGGACTGAATTCCCCATTGACGATAGAAACGACGATCAGGGTGCACTCGGGGTCTCTGGGGTTGAGGCCGGATTCCGTATTGCCACAGCGAGTCACCATCTGGGTCCGCCGGGCCCCATGGGAAGCCCCGTGATTGGAGTCTATCTTTACCGTCACATCGCCGAGCATCACCGCGGGCCAGAACTGTCGCAGGCGAGAAAGAACAGAGAAAGGATCGCCGTAATAAACAGCCGATCGGGGGCCACGTCGGGGTCGTACATGAATGATTCTACGTAGACGCGACGAGAACGGGTCAGTACGGACAGGAAGCGGGTGGCGAGATGCGGGAATCCTGAGGTGAATCCTGAGGGCGAGGGAAGGGTTGACGGGGGGCACTTAGCAATGACATTGACCCCGTACAGATCGGGATCCACCGAGCACAGTTTCCCCTGCGTCCCATTCGCATTGGCAAGTGGACGGCTTGTCCAGGCACCAGTGAACGAGTGGACCCGTCCATCGCACGGGAAGACGGGACCCTAGCGATGGGGATGGAGATGTAAATGTGGGCCCGAGAGTACAGTCCTGTACTGTACCCTTCGCCAGGGGTACGTGAGCCCGCATCAACAGAAAGATCGAAGATCAAGAACCCAACCACGCACTGAAACGAAAAACGAGACACGAGAAACGAGACACGAGAAACGACGGATTGCACCCGCAAGTGGAGCCAACGGCCATTCCGTCTCGCGACTCTGTGAATGGCCGGCGGTTTACCCCTGAACCTCAACTGTTGGACTTACGAATCCTCCTCCGTTCTGGAGACGCTACGCTGCTAGCGCGCTTGCACGGGGTTTAATCCTCGGGTCCACCTTCAATCCATCTTCTTGTCCAGAATTGTTTATCTATTTCTCCCGAAACACTACAACAACCCCCCCGCAATCCATGGTGATGCAGTCTGGGCAGCCTGCCCACTGAGACACCCCTCGATGACCCCCCGGCGCTTCCCCGGACATTAACACGAGAATGGCGACTATGAACCCGGGCTTCTTGCCCACCATCAAATGCTCCAACTGTGGCCACAATGTCGAGATCTCGGCCATGGGCGACCATGTGTGCTCTGCCGTCGACCACAGTACGCATCCATTTCCGCATACAATCCACCGGCCCGCTAATGTCGAATAGCCCCTGTCGCACCCATCCCGTCTCCTCCTCCCTCCGCGGGGCTCGAGGCTACCGATAGACTGAAGCCTGGCCGAATGCCCCCTCGCATCGATCCTTCAATCGCAAGTACGTATCGAATGGTGAATGCAGGGGATGCGCCGCTAACCGTCTCCAGACCGCGCATTCCTCCAGCCCAATGTACCGACGCCGGCGAGTAGCGTAGGCTCACATTTGTCATCGCCGCTCTCCGCGAGGTCGGCACCTCGGTCTCCGATGAAGGCATCCCCGGAAGATGATTCGGTGCTCGATCTGGATTCCGTCTTCTCCTTCCCGATGCCCGGGAATCGGCCACCGGCCCGCGTGGGAACCCCGGGCAGGACGGCCGATTCGACGGCACGATCGGCGGCCCTCACGCCATCACCGCAACTCGGTGTCAACCTCATGCCGGAGGAGATACAGCTTCCCGCCAGCCCACTTCCGCCCTCCCGAGAAACCGCAGAGATGGCTCACCAGCGGGGAGATTCGTCGGTGAGCCACAGTAGCTACCGCACCTCGTTGGAAAGCACTCGCCACGGAACGTCGACCGCTCGATCTTCAACGAACAGTTTCTCGCGTGGGCTCCGCACATTCATGGACGATACCCCGCCGATGCCACCGCCCCTTCGAACTCCGAACAAAGGTTCCTTTTCTCGAGACTCGAACCATTCCGTCAGCTCCTCCTATCGGAATGACCGCGAAGAAACCTACAGTGGATTTGATTTCGGCATCCAGGACCACCATCCTTCGGGCCTGCATGATTTGCCCGAGGAACGCTCACCGGAAGAGGCTGCATCCAACCTCGACGAAGCCTTCCCACCACCTACACAAACACACCTTCACCCGGCCGATGCCGAGTTCGGCAGTGATGGTTTGAGAAAGCGAAACTCCGACGCTACGAGTGAGAGCAATCTATCCGTCACGAGCTTTGCGCAGGCCTTGGGCCTGGAGAGCCATTCACAGCAACCGGAGGGCTCGACTTCCTCGGACTCGTCACCACCATCAGATACTCGCAGTGGCAGTTCCATGTCCAGCCTGCCCTCCGATGTGAGCTTGAACCGCCATAAACCATCCGATCCCCTCAATCTCGGCCCGCTCGTCAAGGAACTACCCCCACGAACGCGTCAGACGATTCTGGAACTGCCAGGTCGGATACCGGGTTCCATGGACGAGGTCCCCCCGATACCAGCAGCATTTTTCAGCCCGGACTCGCCCACTGATCCGGCGATCGGCCAAGGCAGTCTGTCATTGATCGTCGAGAAGCGCGAGGAGCACCAAAAGCGCGAGGAGGCCTCGAGAGAACATCAACCCGAAGAACCTCAGTTTCCTCCTCGAGCTCTGGAGCGGTCAGTCACCGAGCCAATCCTTCCACCACCAAGTCGATCTGCGACACGATCAAAAGGTAAATGCAAAGGATGTGGTGAGAATATCATGGGGAAATCGATATCATCCTCCGATGGTCGTCTTACAGGGCGATACCACCGTGGCTGCTTCGTCTGTTTCGAATGCCATTCTCCTTTCCAAACGGCCGATTTCTACGTCCTCAGCAATCGTCCTTACTGCGCACAACACTACCACGAGCGCAATGGGTCTCTGTGCTCCACCTGTCATAATGGAATCGAGGGCCACTATCTCGAGACCGTCGAACGAAACCCCAACCGACCAGATCGTCGTCGATTCCACCCCGAATGCCTGCAATGTCGAACCTGTCATGTTTTGCTCCAGGGTGATTATTTCGAATGGAACGGTGAAGTCTATTGCGAACGTGACGCTCGTCGGGCTGCAGCCGCTCTCTATCCACCTCCTCCTGGCCGTCGGCGACCCACCCCCGGATCCTCTCCGTTAGGTTCTTCTCCCTTGTCTCACGGATATCCTCCCCCAACTGGATATCCTCCTCCCCGGTCCCCGGGGCCGGGTCAGGGACTTCGTCCCGGGCCACGGTTCCCCTCCGGCGGCGCTCGACGTTTCCCGGAGAGACGAACCACCAAGCTCATGATGATCTGAGATTGATGAGCTCATCAACACTTCCGCACCCGTGGCTTGCAGAATGTTGTCATTTTACATTCCTCTACCCGTCGAACGTCACCAAATCGTCCGGATTTATCATTCGTTTCAAATTGCGTTATACCCTCCATGTCCTCGGTGTTGAATTCATTCGGCCGATGCCGACTGGCGTTGATCATTCATTACTCTGCATTTTTGGGCTTTCCCTTCTCTTGTATCCATTGTATCTCATATCCTTCGCATGTTTTCTTGTGTTGTTGGGCGGTGGCATCTTTTCGGCCGGTGTTTCATTATCCTCGTTTCTTCGCCTTTATGTAGATATGGTTTCCTTGTACATCTTCATCGGCTCGGTGTTTTTCGTTGGCGGCGGCGGTATCTGTGCTTGTACAGGATGAAATGAACATAATGTTTACTGCTAGGAACCGGAAATCGTATTCTATCGTTGTCTCATATGTGACCGGGCTTGGCACCCAGGTGTTCTCGTCGGCAATCAATTAATCTTGCGTTGCTCGAACTGCACGCGCTCCACGGAGGGGAGGTACTTGAGCTTGAGGAACCAACCGAAGAGCAGGAGATACACGGCCACGGCCATGATTCGAAGCCGCTCACCCACGGTGAGCCGATCCAACTGCGGATCATGGAAGGCACCTGTTTCGTTCCTCTCTTCCTTCTCCCACTCCTCACAGACTTGCCGGAATCGAGCTGGCTCATCCGTAATGACTCCATCCACTTCATGACGAATGGCCCAGCGCATCAGGCTTGGAGAGTTCACCGTCCATAAATACACGCAGCGACGTGCAGCCCGCGCTTCTTCCAAAAAGCCACGGCCGAGCGGGCCCATAAGAACAATCTGGTTGACGTTGAAAGAGATCCGCGGCACCTGCAGGAATTGGCGGGCGTAACCTAGATCGAAGCAGATCAAGGTCATCGAATAGCGGGGCAAATATCGTGCGCGCAGAGGTACATATAGCGATGACCAGCATCCCAGGACGACCCGCCGATGCCAGTCCGGTCCTATAGCCGGGATGGGCACTGATTCAATCGTTTCGGCGATTCGTCGCATGACGATATCCGGGTCGTCACTACGCTTTGGATAGTCAGTCACGATTGTCAAGCCCGAGCCTACATGCACGGTAATTTTTACCTTGATGTCAAGCAAGATCCAGATATGTTCGCGCCCGGGTTGACGCATAAAGTCCAAGACGTCGACTAGCCTCGCCATCGGCTCGTGTGGAGCCTTCAGGGTGCGAATTGTTTTTAAATAGTCCCAATCGCATTCCTCTACCTTCTTCTTGATGCCGAAGCATCGCTGCAGAGTCGCATCCTGTATGGTGAGTATTATCTCGTAAGTGAAAGGGAACACATCGCTTACATGCGATAACACCACGACTCCATCCTGAGAGAGACGCAGGTCGAGCTCTAGTGCATGAGTCCCTGCCTGAATGGCTCCATCAATCGCGCATATTGTGTTCTCTGGGAACTGTCCCTTGTAGCCCCGATGGGCGATCGTCTGGGGTAGACGTGTGGATTCATTATCAACCGATGAGTGCAAGTAATGTGCTAGAGAAATCAGTGACCCTGGCTTTTCGGCTCAAGGGTGTCACCAACCTGGAGTATCGGGGGAATGCTCCTCAAGGAGATGTTCTCGGTCAACACTCATCTTTGCAGATTGAAAAACCGGATTGGACATGGGAGGCGTATTTATCTCATCGGAGTTTGGCGGAGTTAGCGAACGCCCCGCAGTCCGCTGCACGTCTCTGGGTTTGGACAATGTCCGGCTCTGCAGTCAGCGTATGATCCACGTCCAAGCGCAGAGCAGGGAGGGTCCGGAGCACTCCAACACGACTTTAGTTGATACTGTGGGGGTGTCGTGGAGGCAGAAAGCAGAAAGCAGAACGTGGTGGAGGAGCGTCGTGGATTACTCAGCCTGGAGCTGTCTCCAAGTCTCGAGCTTCCCCAAGTCGGCGTGTTGTACCACGATCGTTTGGTCTAAGTTCTGCCATTCGGACTCCTTTCAACTATTCGGCCATGTCTGTTCAACAGTGGGTGACGCCCCTCGAGGGCCTCAACAGTCTTCGCCGAAGCGAGGCGCCAATGCCGACGCCAGGAAAGGGCCAGGTGTTGGTGGAGGTCCATGCCGTGTCTCTAAACTACCGGGACGTGGAAGGTGGGTGCTCGTCCCTCAGTTCGATTCCGTGGAAGATTAGGAGCTTACGAGGTCAAAGTTACCAAGGGTGAATATAAGCATCACAAAACCGCCGAGCAGAATGCTACCATCGTGCCCTGCTCGGATATGTGCGGCGTGGTTACCCAGGTGGGATCCGACGTGTCTCAATGGACCGTAGGCGATCGTGTGCTTTCGACTTTCCTGCCCGAGCATCAGACAGGCCAAGTCACCGAGAAAGAGCTCGCGGGCAGCCTCGGCCTCCCGCTGAACGGCGTCCTCACCACGCACCGAGTATTCCCCGCACACGGTCTTGTCCCAGCTCCCAGCTATATGTCAGATGAAGAGGCATGCACGCTACCGATCGCCGCGGTCACGGCCTGGATGTCCGTCAATGGAATGCGGCCGATGGGCCGGAGCGGTGGAAAGGACGAGTATATCCTTCTTCAGGGTACGGGTGGCGTGGCGATTGCAGGACTGCAGATTGCAAAAGCGGCAGGCGCAAAGGGTGAGTTGAACCGTCTACTGTTGGGAATGTATCTCGTTAAGTCCCATGTCCAGCCATTATCACCTCCTCGTCCGATGTCAAACTCGACCGGGCCAAACAGCTCGGGGCCGATTTGACCATCAACTACCGCACTAATCCCGACTGGGAAACCGAGGTGATGCAATGGACCGGCAACCACGGCGCCGATATCATTCTCGAGACTGGTGGGGCCCAGACTCTGAGGAAGAGCTTCGACTGTATCGCCTTTGGAGGCTTGATTGACTGCATTGGCTACGTCTCGGGTAAGGTGGATGCGCCGGAAGACCGACTGAACGTCAACCTGTTGGCACTACGCCGCACGGTGACCCTCAAGGGCATTATCAACGGCCCCAAGGATCGGTTCGAGGAGATGATCCAGTTCTACGAAACACATCAGATCCACCCGGTGGTCAGCCGCATCTTCACCTTCACCGAAGCCAAGGAGGCGTTCGAGTTTCTGGAAAGCGGCAGCCACTTTGGGAAAGTAGTGATTCAAGTCAAATCGTAGATGCGTCCTTCTGTCGATACTAGGTACTTGAGGTAAATTGGAAATTGAGTCTCACCCCTACTGGTCGTTCCCACTCGGCCTCAAAAAGCCGGCCGCGGTGCCCAATTCCTCCTTCATCGCACTGCCGCCCACCGTCAACGGCTGGCAGTCCTGCAGAACGAACGCCATCCGCGCCCACTCCGTTTCGCTGGGGTTTCGCCAACCGTGCATCGTAGCGCGCTGCACCGCGACATCTCCCCGCTGCATCAGAACGGGTTCTCCCTTCTCCATAACCATCTCAATTTCGCCCTCCAGCACGATTCCATAGTCCAGACTCTGCGTACGGTGGATGAAACACTTATTGTTGGGGCCAAAGTCCACGATACGACAGACGGTGCCTCGAGGATTGACCAGGCCGAGCTGGTCGGATTGGACGATCTTTTCGTGAGCCTTGACGTCGGCGTCATCGTTCAGATCGGCCGGGAACTGAGAGGTGGTGTACATGACGGCGAAGGCCATGTCATCGGTTTTGAATGGCTTCCACTGGCCCGGAGAGGAGGACTGGATGATGGCCTTGCCGGCGGCGTCGTGGCCGGTGACATGGCGGGTGACGGGGCGAAGAGGTGAGATTTGACCGGCATTCGACATGATGAAGAGGTTTGTTCTCTTTCGAGCCGGATTCACATCTGATTTAACTTAACGCATCGGCCGCATCTTGTCTCACCTTGATGCACGAGGAGCGGTGTGAAAACACCTGGGTTGACAAGAGGTCTGTTCCCTGCAGCGCAGAATATCTGTTGACCCGGTGCAGGCATCCACGTCATCATTCCCCGAATCGGTCGTGTTTGCAAAGACGCCGTCCCCGGTCCGCGACGCATTTCGCGTTACTTAGTGCGTGTTTTTGATTCGGTGGATGCCAATATCACTCCGAAACCCGCTTCTATCGGGTTTACTCCGGACAAATAAAACCCCCACGCTCGTCCGGTCCGCGGAGACGCGGGGAATCTCCACACAAGCTGGTCTGAGGGGCTTGTCCGTGTTGCAGACAGCGGATTCGACTATATACAATGGACATGGGCGTTCGGATTTCTCGTCACTATGTACAAACACACGTTACAGGAACCAGCGGAATTGTGGCGACGAAGGGCCCTCGCGCATGCGGTCCGTGGGGATATCCCGCGCATGGAGGGTCACCCCGTCGCGCCGGTCACGGCGCTTATTGTCAAGCAACATGTACAGCCCGAGCAGACCCGCCAGACAGGCTCCGGTAGCCCCAAAGGCCCCGACGGTGATCAGGGCGGGCATGTACTTGGGGGCATCCTGCTCCCGAAACACGTTGCTGCCGACCAGGCCCATCAGGTTGGCCAGGGGCACACCAATACTGGTAAGAAGCACACGGCGGCCCTCGTGCGCAATGTTGTTGTTATACCAGGTGCTCAGAATCACCGAGGGCGCAGACGTGCCCCACGTCATCATGAAGGTCGCAAAGTAGGCCACCTGCAGCTCCCTGTGGACGTCGTCAATTGAGGCATAGATCATGAAGCCAGTGAAGGTGAGCAGGAAGCCCAACACGAGGAAAGGCGACCGTAGCCGACTGTAATCCGAGCAGAAGGCGAGAATTAGCAACACTACCGCGCCAGTCACGTTCGGGGCCACGGTGTAGAGATTGGTTTTGACAGTGGAATAGCCCAGTCGCGCCACGATCTGAGGCATGAACAGAGCCACGCCCTGGAGCGGAACACCCAGGCAGATTTCAATGCAGAGGAAAACATAGGTTGTGGGTTGTTTGAAAATACCGATCGCATCGCGCAGGCTGAACTTCTCGTTTACCACGGCACTCGAGTCTACCTGGATCCGATGGAAGGCTAGCGCCTTCTCCTCCTCGGACAGGAATGAGGCCTCGGCCGCGCTCCTGGGAAGGTAGAACCAGGCGAACACGGCAAAGACGACCGTCGCTCCACCCTCGATAATAAACAGGTAGCGCCAGTTCGGTAGACGCGATCCCTCAATCTGGAAGACGCCGAACGAAATGAGGCCCGAGAAGGCATACGCAATGTTCGAAGCAGCGTAGAAAAACGCCAGTCGGCGGGCCAGCTCGCCGCGGCGATAGAACGTGGTCAGGTAGTAAATGACCAGGGGAAAGAACGGGGCTTCGGCCATGCCCAGGAACCAGCGCAGCGCAAAGATACCCCCGAAGTTATGGGCGGCCGAGGACAGCAATGTGAAAGAGCCGAACGAAAGCATCAAGATGGGCAGCACGCGAGCGGGACTAAACTTCTTTCCGAGCATGGCTAACGGCGGGGCGAAGATCACAAAGGGCACGAAGAAAATGGATAGCAACAGGTTATACTGATTGGGCTTGAAATGGAGATCTGTGAGGTGGTCAGTATATCGGAGCGTCATGAAGTCAATTGGCGTACCATCCGTCATTCCGTCCGTCTTTGCATTTCCCAGGTTGCCCTTGTCCAAGGCCACGAAAAGGTCTAAAGGTCGAGAGTCAGAAATGAGCACACGAGCACGAGCACAATCCACTGCAGACATACACATCACAGCCAGGATCGGGAGCAGACGCAGGTCGAACCGTCGGCAAAGACGTCGCTCGGCCTTGTGGTCGACCACGCGCGTTGCCTCATCGACGATATCGGGAGCGGATCCATAGCCCTGAAGCTTGTTGGGCTCGTCGACGGTGCCCATGGCAGCCTTGTCCGTGTCGTCCAGCTTCGGGTGTGCGGGATCCATTGTGAAGGGGATGGTGTCGACCGGTTCAGCGGTATGGATAATTGAGACAAGCTCGTGTCTCAACTGCAGCGAGACATCCCTTGCTCATGAACTCCTGGGAATGTTGCATCACAGCCCATGTCACCCCCACGCTTCTCCGCATATTGGACCCATGAGAGGGGACATGACAGGCAAGAGCGGACGGAAAAGGTTTGGGGTGGTTGCAGATCACCGGTACCAGGCGCACGGTTGCATCCGATCGGGGTAGTAGGGCCAAGTTATCTGCGGAGGGGGCCTATCGCGGAGTGCCTATCGCGGACTTTTGCCGAGGGTTGAGATAAGTGATGCCTGTTCCTGTCCCCCTGATCTCCCCGGCACGCGTCAGAGTAGGCTTTCTAGGGCCCGATATGCTTTATACTTTATACTTTATGCTTTATGCTTTTACAGGTCATATCCCGGCGCTGATCCCGGTGGCTCTCGTTAAGCGGGAGCTTCCTATCCCGGTTCTAGGGTTGCATCTGACCTCAGGATCCCTTCCGCAAAGATACACGTCTACATCAGACGGTGCATACACAGCAAACAACATCACCTTCTTCTATTAATCGATACATACACGTCTAGGTAGCTGGGGGATCGCTGGTTCCCTGCTTCCATGGTCTGGTGTCCACCACCTCTCCCCGGCGGGTTCTATCAAGGATACATCATCAGCGTAGTCTTTACAGTCGGGTCTAAACGGGAATGAATATCTGGATCAGAGCCAAATCGAATCATTTTCTCACCAGTCTTAAGCAATCCGGCAAGATCAGTTCGGCGAGTGATAGGTATCATCATGCATGAGAATCATACGGAAGGATAGACGCGCAGTGAGATAGAGAACTTACCGTTTGAGATACCTCGGAACTCTATCCTCGAGTTATCAAAGTGGAAAGGAATGGCGAATTTGATGAGAATGACAGAATTCCTGCCACGGCTTGGTATGTCCTTTATACAGGTGCCTCGGAGAGTGAACAAGATCTGCGTCCGACCCTGTCCTGAGGCGATGGCTCCTCGAGACCCGCTACGCGAAGATGTGAATATGAATCACCGTCGTGACTCACCCGCTTGATTCTTCTAGACTGCCTCGTGTTTGCCGTCACCGCAGGAAGAATCACCGCGCGCGGGCCTCATCGACTTCCCGATCGGCTGCCCGCTCGTTGGAAAGTTTCACCAACTCTTCATTACGTTATGATCATCGAATTGAACTTCGTTTCAATGTACCTCTTATGCGTCAGTATCCTGGAACATATATCACATGGCAATTACGCTCGCCGAGCTCCGGCATCCGCCTGGATCGCTTCTTCGGCATTGATCTTCCAGTTCTCTTCCTACCGCGACAGAGCCGGCCGACCTGCCACGAGGTCTTCGCTGGCCCATTTCATGCGCGCTTGATCCAAAGCTCGGTCGGTCTCCCCATCCGGGCAGACAATATAGAAGGATCTCATCTCCAGATCCTTCATCAGTTCCTCGGCGACCTGGCTCGGGTACCAGGACCCCGCGGGCTTCTTGACGTCTTTCTCGTTGGTAGGACCCACGTTCCCCATCAGCGCGGTCCAGGTCCACCCGGGCATCATCAAATCTGTATCCTCAATTGACCTTGTATCGATCACGACCGAACCTGAAACCCAGTACTCGGTGAACCAGCAGTATAAGTCTGGTGAAGGTATTCCAAGAATGAATTTCGAAATGCGAAGCACAACGGCTTTGGTTTTTGAGGCCTTTATGTTGCCTGAAAGACCGAGAATGATGATTCTTCTATCCTTTCCCTCAGTTTTAAGTTTATATCAAGCGATCTCGATCCACACGTCGAAAAGTGGGAGCGGATTTCGAAGAAACAGCAAAATATTTCGTACATTAAGACCCCAGTCGACGCCCGAACTGTTCCTCGAATGGAGAAAAAGAAGGAATACTGAGTTTTCAATCTTTGTTTCTATCACTTCAATGATCAAGACGCTACGGGTATTTTGAAGAGCACAATCCAGTCCGCAGATTCGTTTATATAAGTTAAATAAACATTATTTTAGCAAAACAGAGTTATCTATCTAGAATATTCGAATTCACTATACGTGACGTTGGCACTTACGTAGACTCCCTATTGGTCTTTTTTGGGCTTGCTTTGTAACCCCTATTTAGTTTTAGAACTCGCCTGTTTTATCTCTTCTTTACGTTTTTTCTACCCGTCGCGCCTTTAAATATTAAGATTAGTAGCTTTATATACTGCTTTAGGATACGTACGAATAAGGAAATGCGAATTCTCTTAGATGAAATAGGCCTAGATTTTAATAAATAGACCTTCTATAGCGGAAAAAGAACGATACAATAGCCTTTACTTAGCTTAAACTATCATATTAGTGCGAAGTATAAGTAGGAGCCTTCTTTGGCTTTATTATAATAATTTAGATTAGATTAGTCAAACGGCTGAAAGAAAGGATATAAAATGGTTAAAGCCGCGTAGGTATGCTTGTCACAAGTAGTTCTACTTTCTCTACCTGTTGTATCCGGGAGAAATAGGGTTTGTGCTAGGGAACTACTATACGGGCGAGATGATCCAAGAGCCCATTTTACTTTCGTAGGCATTTGGGACTTAGGCAAGAGTTAGAATAAGAGAGACCCCTCTAAATTCAATGTAGGGTTAGGGCTTTCCGGTGCATTCTGATATTCAGGAGGTATCGACTACAGTGGGCGATTCCTTTCTAGTGTGTAGATCTCTTGAGATAGATAACGTAATACAAAGTGAGATATTGCAAGCTAATTGGATGAAATAGGACTCATAGTGCGAAAACGACGAGAACCGCAGTGGTGATAACAACCGACCAGCTCGTTACACGAGATCCTGCGCACGACGCGGCGCTGGCATGATTGCTGTAACCAATATTCAACGAGTTATTCCCGAACCCCACAGTCCTTATCCAGGTAGGACTCGCACTATTGTTCACCAATATGTCTGAATGGTAGGTGTCAATAAATCCTAGAAAGGAGATTGTAATTTGACCCCTAGTATTATCCGATCCGGAATCAGAGTTGCTAGAATCCGCCGCATAGTATCCAGAAAGGGTGACGTTTGCTGTTTCGCTATCGAATTGTAGATTCACCAACGGGTCCGTCCATTTCCAACCATCAATTCCCGGCCATTCGTTTGAAATGATGGTGATGAAAAACTGATCATTTTCGCCGGGCTTGCAGGAAGGCAAAGTCACTTCAAAATTACCAAGCCTGTATCCAGAAGGCTCAGAGCCAGGGCCTGATATGTTATCGGTAACTTTCGCCGTTAGGTTGAATGGCGCATGTTTCGTTGGCGCTAAGGTGTAATTTAGACCGTCTGGGAGAAACGCTTCGCCCAAATACTGATAGGTATGGTTCACCGGGTCCTGGTACATTCCTCTGGTAAACAAACTATAGTTAACTAAAGCGATCATTATGTCTCTGATAATGGAAGCGGCACTACTTACCTAGTAGACTCTAGGAACCACTCAATGGAAGGTCGCAAAGATGGGGTCTCGGCAGACAACCAAGATGAGAAATTTGTATCTTGTTGCCAAACAGTAAGAAGAGAATCCACTGCATTTTGGCTAGTATTCAAAAGCTTTTCGGTGACTCCAAGTAACGATTCAAATTCCACGGCGAGTTCTTTGTCGTGTTGGTTATCGCAAACAGAATTGTTGACGGTTTCTCCTATTAGAGGTTTGAATTCAATGCGAGTTGTTCCGTTGTAGTATCTAGGGAAATGAGTTGACGACCAAATTGTGGTTGGGTATGAACGTACGATCCAACCCAGCTATACAAATCAACGAGGCCCGTTACGTTGTTCGGGCGGAAAGGAAGAGAAGGATTGTAAGTCGGGTCTGGGGCAGCCAGAATGGTGGTGGGAGCTAAGCTCCAAGAAACGAGGTGTAATAATATGCGCCTTGGGGAGAACATGTTTAGATCTAACATTCGAAAAACTGGGTCTTCTCAGTTTATGGACTTGGAAGCTAGAACATAATCAAAGACCTGGCCACCGACCGACTATTATTTTTCTTTTTGAAGGGAGGAAGGAGGCCCCGTGACTTCAGGGGTGATTTAATTTTAGGCGATGTAACGTATCCCAGTTCCGCTGGCATTTCATGAAAAATTAGTATCTAGTCTGTTTTAGTATATTCAATACCGCCTTAAAGGAGAAAATTGGATATGTCACGTAAAGTAATTTCGGCGGGCGGTATGTAAGGAAATGGATCCCGAGGTTAGAAAAATAACGTGTATTTCTTTGGCACCCTGTAAGAGGTATAGGACGCTTTACTACGGAGCTAATATACAGTGGCGTTCCATGAGTTTGAAACACCCCCCTTAATTACATAATATTCTGCCATCTTTTCTGCTATCTTTTCTGCCAGCTAAAACATCGCCCGTTGAATAGCTAATAACTAGTATACCACCTATCATTATCAATTACCTGCTTTACTCGGTTAGGCATAGTGACGGCTAACTTTTTAAGCATATCTGTATCTATCTCCGACTAAGCTTCTTGTGCAGTAGCTGTTAAAATTTGTAATGTCTCCTCGTTATCAGGCATTCCCTTGATTTCTGGGTGCAGTTCATAGATCTTGGCTTTTAAAAGCGCCCAAAGGTTCTCAATGGGGTTGAGGTCTGGTGAATATAGTGGCCAAGCTATCACTGCAAAGTCTTGATCTGCTAGCCAGTCCCGTATAACATGAGCTATATGAATAGGGGCATTATCCTGTTGAAAAATTGCACCTTCGGTACTATTCATTAAAGTTGGTAGCATACGTTGGTAAAGTTCGAGGATTACCTATCGATTTACACCTCCACGGGGTGAATTTGAATCTCCAAAGAGCGGGATAAGTCCTGTTCGTCGACTAGAGCTAGAGAAAGTAGCCTAAAATATCTATTTAATACCCTTATGATAAGAGACTTCTTCAATATCTTAGGCTGCTATTTGAGCCGCTGGTCTAGTAAAAGTATACTCGCGACGAGCTCCTTTTCCTCTCTCGACAGTTGATTTATTAGACTAAAAAATCTTTCTCCATTTATTAGAGTTATACCCTTAAACTCGATCAGCCTAAGCACTAGACATTGACATGGGACTCCCATGGGACTAAGGTCCGTCCCAAGTCCCACCCATGGGAATACCCATTTGGGTATGCTAAGGGAATACCCACCCATAGGAATACCCATAGGTCCCATGGGTACCCATAGACACCTGATTATGCCTGAATTCGCCTGAATTCGCCTGAATTTTGTGTATAAGATCACTGACTAATCTTTGTTATTTACGTCTGTTTCGGTTGGAACAAGTAATATCACTACTTTTTAACCTACCTACTAGGTAATTATAAGAAATAAAGTTATTTATATATATAAAAGGGTCCGTTTCATCGGTCGCATTAATGTTTTAGGCCTATCGAAGTAAAGGTAAAAAAGCGGTGGTAGAAATTATGGTTTATCCTCTAAGATATATATTTATTATATACAACCAACCACTCTGCTATTATTTCCTTTGATTTTATTATATTATAATACTAGGTTATTATGGCTTATTTTACTAGTTAATTTAATTACTATAGCTTCTTTTATATATATTTATCTTGCAAACACCTAATTGCTAGTGTAGGGTGTGTGGTTGAGAGAAAAAGGTCAGAGTTGAGAGCAAAAGTTAAGAAATTTCTAGGGGGCATGGCTCTTACTGAATTCTATGGGACTATGGGACTCCCATAGGACTACCCACATAAATATAGAGAGTTAGGCCAATAGGATAGGCTAGGTAGACCCACCCAGTACTGATTGGCTTATAAAGAACCAATAATATTAGGCTATATGCTTAAAGCCCTTAATATGCCTTACCTTCTATCTAAGCTTTTTCTCTTTACCTTGGTCTTAGTTTCTCTTCACTTTCGCTAGTATGGCACACCTCTCGGACCCTATAAGCTAATCTATATATAGCGATAGTATTGATCCTATCCTTCTATCTGATTCTTTCTCTTTTGAACCAAACGAACCAACTAAAAGCCAAATAACTAAGCTTACACCACCACCACTACTACCACCCTCTATTCAACGTGTTGGAGACCGGACGAAACAGTGGGCACTTTAGACGGAAATGACTAAGACTGAATTTATTGAATGGTTTACCACTCTATATGGGACAAAACCCAAAGCAAAATATATCCATTAGGATAGAAAGGGCCATCAATCTGATGTATAGACGCATTTTGACCAAGTTGCATATATTAATACAGGAAAACTAATAGTTGCTTGCAAAAGGTGTGGTATAATAATAAAGCATCCAGTAAAAGATAGGACATCTAGGATGCGACGATATCTAAAAAATGGTGCCTATCAGATAAAAAGCAAGCAAACAAGTATTAAGCACTTAATACAGAAAGTGGTATGTTTACTAAAAAGTGAGAGAAAAGTGAGAGCAAAATAAGAGAAAACTAACCTATTATTCTCTCACTAGGCAGTCAACTCCAATCTATCCCAACCTTGGTCTAAAGAGCTCTAGCAGCAATAGCTTTTAACCACTATCACTAGCCTACGCCTACCCTTCCAAATCATCGAGAGCGAGCACTTCCAGAAGCTTCTACGCCTAACCTAGTTAGCCCCTTTAATCCCAACCTTTCCTACCGGTCGCACGATATAGCGCCGACTACGAAATATAGTCGAAGACCGATAGAAAGATACCCTTCAGATGCTTCCACCCTATTCAAAGCTCTCAATTAGTCTAGATTGCTGGACATCACCCTTTCAGCAAGCATTTATGGCTATTACTGGTTATTTCCTAGACTAGAATTAGGATTACTAAGAGGTGCTTCTAGGATTTGAACCCCTAGAAGGAACACACACTAGGACGAATCTTAGGTTAGTCCTAACTGATACCCTTCAAAAGTATTAGATTCTAGACCGGATTATAGCTATTACTACGGATAATGCGTCAAATAACTAGACGATGATTATAAGCATCCAAGCTAGTTATCCTGGTCTACCTTTGATCCGCATTCCTTGCCTTGCGTATGTGATTTAGCTTAGTCTGAAATAGCTTCTTGGTTAGATAAAGGCAAACCCCCAGAATGACATAGTGGAAATGGTTTAGACAGAAGAGCATAGTCGGGCTACTACTCGGGCTCAGCAGAGGTCTAGAAAGCTAGATATTACGAATACCCTTCGTAAGGCTCGCAGTCTTGCTATCTATATTAATGCAAGCCCACAGAGACGGGATAACTTCCTAAAGCTTCAGACTAATCAGCCTACATTAGTCCCAATCCAGGACGTCCGTACGCGTTGGAATTCGATATATCTAATGCTTTACTGGGCTAAAAGGCTTTAATCTGATTTAAATCAGTACTATATCACCTACCGGGTTAAACAGTTAATGATTAATTCAGAGGAATGGCGTTAGATTGATTATCTTCTTTGTTTAACCAAGCCTTTCTTCCAATTTACCACTGCCCTATCTAAGACTAAGGATATTACTATCCACAGTGTTTTTAGTATCTATAATAAGCTTTTTGACCACCTTAAAGCTTCGATTTAGCAGTTGAGGCGGAAAAAGGTTAGTCTCCTATATTCTCTCCCTTTTCCGCTAATTATAACTCTGATTTTTCGCACTTCAACCTATATAACAAGGGTTAAAGTGCGAAAAATCAGAGTCATAATTAGCGGAAAAGGGATTTATTTAAGTCTCACTTACTTACTTTTCCTTCACTTCTAGGCTAGGTGGAAACGGCAGATACTTGAAGCTCTTGAATCAGCTAAAAATAAGCTTCGAGAGTACTATACAAAAACAGATAATCTAGAACTTAGTGATATCTATGCGCATAGCACAATCCTCGCCCCTCAGCATAAGTTGCAGTTCTTTTCTGGCCCTAACTGGATAGATAAAGACTATACTTCTTTATATCGAGCGAGCTTTCAAGAGTGAATAAAAGTATATCAAACAGAGAGTGATTCAATCCCAAAACCTCAGGCTTCTATCCAAGCTTCTAAGCTTGATTAATTGCTTGCTTCTGAGCCTAAATCCACCAAGGATCAGGATGAATTAACCTAATATCTCTAAGGAGGTAAGCTTACTTTTTCCTCTCACTTTCCTCTCACTTTCCTCTCACTTTCCTCTCACTTTTCTCTCACTTCTAGTCTTACCTCTCATTTTACCTCTCGTCTAATTTCTTTGGTTTTACTTAGGTTTGGTCCCAATTAGCCCTCGTCTATTCTGGAAAGATCATACGCATCAGTTCCCTACACTAGTATATATAGCATAGGATATTTTCTCTATCCCTGCTATTGGTGCTGGTGTAGAAAGGTTATTTAATTCAGCCTGGGATATCTATTATTATCGGAGGGGTCGTCTGAATTCTTCAACTATCTAAGACCTAATAATGTTTATATATACGACTAGGTTCGAGATGGAAGATCAGCAGCTAGCTTTTATCCGATCTCTATCTATCCACGAGGACGGTGAAACAGATGAACCTTCTCAGCAAATAGAAGGTTTTAAGCTAATTAGTGATACTGAGGCGGATAGGGTGGATAAGCTAGATAAGCTAGATGAGCTAGATAGGATAGATGTTTCTAGGCTATCTTCTGTTCGGGCTAGTAAGAGAAGAAAGAGTGTTTTATCTAATAAGAGTGATGATGATTTAGTCTCTTTGCCTATAATTCCAGAAAGCTAGATTTGGGCCTCTGGTCGGGTGAAAAGACGTCCTCGGGGGCCTGAGGGCTTTGAAATTCTATAGAATAATATAGGTGCTATTCTCTCATTCAAACCTCACTTTGTTTTTCTTATTTTATTACCTTTCGACTATAATTTTACCACCTAAATACCAAAGATTCCTACATAATATGCATTAATTATACCTCCTTGTATTATGGGTACTCATAGGAGTATAGGAGTCCCATAGATGGGTAGGGAAAAGGCCGTCCCACCCATAGGACTAAGGGTCGGTCCCATATCCCACCCATGGGCGGGACGGGACTGTCCCAAATGGGAATACCCATGGGAGTGTCAATGTCTACTAAGCACGTCGTGCGTGGGCTTGGGCCTCGGTAAGCTCTGGTCGTTGAAGAATGAGCTATTTTCGCTTATTCTGTTCCTAAAAGAATCTCCAAAGTGTCTACCAGGAAACACTATGATCAAGGCGAGAAAGGAGATGATTATATTTAATCTATAGGTCTTAATCAATAGTATTAAGAAGTATTGTTCTCTCTTCTTCATTAAGTTTCTTTAGGCCACCAGATCGAGGACGAGTTACTTACGTAAGACCTCTCTAGTTGGATCTAGCGATTGTAGTCTTGATTGTACCTATTGGAATAGAGGGATAACGCTCGTGGATCTCCTTATATGACTAGCCAATTGATTTGAGCTCAATGAGCTTTATTCGTTTATATAGGGCTAGCTGGCGACGTCGGGAGCCTTGGGCAACGTTTAGAGCCTGTGAAGGGTAATTATATTATATTTGCTCCTGAGAAAAGCGCTAGCCTGAGCGGGCTAAAGGCATATTTAGTGTCTAAATAGCTTTGAATCCATTCGATGTGGCACGCGTGTTTAGGGGGAGCGGTAAGCTGGCTATGGTAGGCGGTAAAAAAGAGCGGTCAGGGGGGTGTTTCAAACTCATGGAACGCCACTATACTAGAAGCGCTAGTACAGTGGTGTAACATAAGTATTTGACCTCGAGTACTTTAGGATCCACTTTTAGCCTGACCGCTTTATTATACCGCCTACTTTATTAGTACACCACACCTCGCGTTTCAACGCGCTTACTAATATATACGCTATAGTTAACGCGTTATAGCAGTCTTTCTTACCTTATTATGCCTCCTATACGTGGGAAGAGAGGCCTAGAGCTTGACTGCCTTACTAAGGCTAAGATCTGCGAATTACACGCTATAAATAGCTGGGGTGCAACAACTATTAAGAAGATGCGCTTTCCCAATATTCCACGCTCAACAATTTAATATACCCTTACCTAAGAGGCAAAGCGTCAAAAACAAGAAAGCCTTCCACGCTTAGGCGCTCCAAGGAAGCTTACTGAAGAGGATCGTGACTATATCTACGACACTATACAAGAAAAGCCATCGATATTAATTAAAGATCTACTTAGAGAGGTCGATTTTAAGGTCCATCGCCAGTCAATTTAGCGTCTAACCCACAAAATAGGTCTTCGAAAATGGAGGAAAATGCAGCGTCCGGCACTTACGCCTAAACATACTACGAAACGGCTTCAATGGGCACTCGAATACCAACACTTCACTCCTGAAGACTGGGCCCGCGTCTACTGGTCAGACGAATATACAGTTGAACGTGGAATAGGCTAGCGGCAAGAATGGACGTTTACACGTCTAAAAGACCAGCTTTTTCAGCATTCAAAAGAAGGCTCTTAGGTTCAGATAGTTCCGGCGCGAGGGAAGCAAATTAAGCAGATGTTTTGGGCTACTTTCTCTGGCTTACCGCGTCGATTAGGCCTAATTCCATTATTCGGAGATCCTACGTCTAGAAGAGGTGGTGTTTCTTTACGTACGATTAAAGAGCTCTATCGGCGTATCTTACCTACGCTACTTAATAGTATTGATAATAATGCTATTTTTCAGCAAGATAACGCGCCCGTTCATACTACATATATTGTACGGGAAGCTCTTAATGAGCTTAACTGCGAGATTATGGAATGGCCTTCTTATTCACCTGATTTAAACCCGATCGAGAACCTCTGGGCGCTGCTAAAAGCCGAAATTCTTAAGCGTTATCCTAAGCTAATGCGCCTACCGAACAACGAATCTACGTTAGATCTATTGCTAAAAGCTGCACAGGAAGCCTGGGAAGGCCTAGATATTGAATTATTCAAGCATCTATCAGAAACTATGCCTCACAGGGTAGCTGATGTTATTAAGTATAAGGGGTGGCATACTAGCTATTAGACTGAATTGAATTTCAGAGGTTTCTGCCTGGCAGTATTAGAAAAGTGGGTCCTAGGCCGAAGTACTCGAGGTCAAATACTTACGTTACACCACTGTATGTTCAATACCACGTACGACCTGGCACTCACCCATGGGTGACCTTCCGGGGTCCGGACCGTCCACCCGCCCCTCCTCTGGCGGGCGGAGGGTCTAACATCCCGACCTTCCGAAGGTCACCCACGTGACTAATTTTAGGAAAAAAGTCATATTTTAGGAGTCAATCCACTTAGGCATCTGTCCTAAATAGTAAGGCGTGTCTTATGGGGGTCGGTTGGACCCGCGGGGCGGGTGAGTGCTACTGTACTGTAGGTCTAGTTGCATTCGCTTATAGATTTCGGGTGGTCCCGCCGGTGAATGGACCGGATAAGCTTTTAAGTAAGAGGCACTATCTGCTTGGCAAAAAGGCTTAGTGCTATACTGTATTTTGCGAGAAGCGGTCTATGCACCCCACGTATTAATCTAGACAAATCCATACTTGCGTTTTTCCATGTTGATCTCTGGTTCTCTCGATACCGACGGTTTACGTGGTAGCGAAGAAGAAATGAGACCTCGGTCAGATTGCCAGATTTGGTACCCTTCTCCGCTAGAAGACCTCTTACCCTGACTAGACCCATCAGCAAGTGGCGAAGTAAAATATTATGTCTTCTAGGTCCTATGATCCCTATGGAGTATGCGATCTCCAAATCTCCGGAGGATATCAGCAAGATCAACCCAAGAACAACACGAAAGCCACCAGCATCATTTCATGGAGTATCTCACTTCTTAATCTTAGCTCGATAATCCTACTATACTGTCTTAGTCTAGTGCTAGTTTGGAGGCTTGCTGGCCAAGACTGATTGAGGCGCTTCCTGGATGGGTAGAAGCATTACAACCACACTAGCTATAAAAATTTACAGAACGGGAATGGTATTAACAATTGGGCATTCTTTCCGCTAGCTTACTCTCTATCCGGAAATGGCCGAAAGACACTCTTCTGACTAGGAACTGGCCCGGGGTTACAGCGGGAAGGGAATTTGGACAGCAAACTAAAGTCTACAAATACTATAAATACGCCCATCTTACAACTGGCAGACTAAAAGTAACACCGACAGAGCTTTTGCTAATATCCGTGTCTCATATCATTTTTTTGTCATTATGTTTTCGAACTGGATTGTGGCCTCTCTATATGTGCCTCTAGTGGCCGGTTACTTGGTTTCACCCCCGGGCACGCCTTATCCCGAGGCTTCCTCCGACTGCAGTGGCTGGGCTGAGTATGCATCTGGCCTAACATGTGCGAGCGTTGAGGATACCTACTTTATCAGCGCTGCCGATTTTGAATCTTGGGTAGGTCATCCTAGAAATTCCTTTCCTCTTCTGAGAACTCTCACCCATTAATTGATTAGAACCCCCTCGTTACCGCTTCAGGTTCCTGCTCTTTGCAATCTGGGTTCTGCTACTGCGTGCAAATCAATTTTGAGAGCACCTCTCCTAGCCCAACCTCTTCCGCATTAGAAGTGCCAACGACCACTGGCAATACTAGCTCTTCCTCTACTACTACTACATCCGGCAATAGCATCGCCACACCTACTCCTATTGAATCTGGCATGGTTAATAACTGTGATGTATTCCATCAAGTGGTCTCTGGAGATTCTTGTCAGGGCATCGCTGCCGCTGCAGGAATTACTCTCACGGACTTCTACACCTGGAATCCTACTGTTGGAAGCGGCTGCTCTAGTCTCTGGCTTGGATACTACGTCTGCACTGGTATAACCGATGACTTAACCACCGCCACTATTCCAGCAATCACCACTACCGCTGGTAATGGGATTCCCACCCCATCTCCTATCCAGAGCGGTATGGTCACCGACTGCGACCAATTCCACCTTGTCGTCTCCGATGATTCTTGCGCTGCCATCGCATCTAGAGCAGGAATCTCCATCGCTGATTTCTACACCTGGAATCCTACTGTTGGGAGCCGCTGCTCTAGTCTCTGGCTTGGATACTACGTTTGTATTGATGTCGTTGGATACACACCCAGCAAGACGACTACTACTACTTTGAAGACTACTACCATATCTAAGGGGAATGGTATCACCACTCCCACTCCTACTCAGGTTGGTATGGTTGCCGATTGCAATAAGTTTTACTTGGTGGGCACTGGAGCTAGCTGTGCCGCCGTTGCATCGGAGGAGGGTGTTACTCTTTCTCAAATTGAAAGCTGGAACTCTGGGGTGGGTAGTGCGTGTACAGATCTGTGGCTTGGCTACTACATCTGCGTTGGTGTTGTGTAAATAAAGAGAGCTTTTGGAGTGGGCAGGTAGGAGATAAAATTCTATTTACTACCATAGTAGGAGGAATTTGATGACCGTTGAAGCTATTCCAATGTATTGAGTCGCGTTTTCATATAGATTCTTCGATACAAAAGGAAAGGCGATCGCTTCCCATTGAGAGAATGAAGCTTTTGGTGTTGGGGCCGGGGGGGGGGGAAGGGGGTGGAGGAAACCGGGATAAAGCGCATTACAGTCAGTTCGGAGTATCTGAACCTTCATGGCGTCAAAGAGATAGTAACTCATTCCATCACATTGGGGGATAAAAGGCAAGTGATGCGTTATAAGGGGCATATGACATTTCCAAGCCAATGGGATGGGCAAGACCGCAGAAGAAATTGCAGTCGTCAGCTTCCCATTGTGCTTATCATTAGCTAATAGATTGAAATTACCGGAGATGCAAACGTTTTTAGGGGCAGAGATGTACGCAAAAAGTGGATACTGTTTTCATTTTCTGCGGTGTGGGAGTCGGCTACACAAAGGCCTCGGAAAGAAAAACCTTATCCTCTCGCGGATTATTGGACTTGATGTAATATGCGTAGGAAAGCTATATTTTTCATGGGTCACATGCAGGACGCTTATGTACAGGCTTGAACTTTTGACAGCGCTAGTATATCAGGCAAATCGGGCGATGCGGGACCTCCAACATGTGCCTCGTGCTAGTGGGTTTAGTCACGGGATAGAGGGCATCTGTCAGACGTGCTAGCTCTGGTGGAAAGCGGTGAATTGGTAATAACTAGTAATAACTAAAGGAGAAACTAAATACAAAACATGAGCGCCGTAAGCCCTAAAACCCAAACTAGGTAATGCTCTGACCTGCATCCGACTTGCGGCATTATTGAAGGCCTTCAGCACAAACTAGAGTGATGGGTCCGTGCGCGGCTTGGAACTTCTGGATTAGCGAGGTTACAACCGCAACAATAGAAGTAATAGAAATTTCAATTAGTGATGCGGGAAATTTCTGTGGTGAGGTTCTCTACTTAACGACAGCCGACTTCTTTTTGCAGATCATCAAGTTCTCTCCGGCCTCAATAAAGACAAGAGGGATGAAAGTTCTTAAGAGTGCACGAATAAGGGTATGATTATTTCAAATGCAGAGCAAGGCACATTACTAGCAGATGTGGACTAATGGCGTAGCTATTGAGATGACTAACTGGGATACAGAGACACAGGGGCGCAGGGACACGCTAGTTGGGTTACAGCCTGGAAAGAAAGTTAGCCTAGTGGTTAGCCAATCCAGACATCGGGAGTTCGCGGAGCTTCGGACAAAGCGATGATTGACACACTTCGAGGGACAACAATCTAGATGACAAATTGCGGTATTTCAGTTAGGATGCGCTGCTTATCTTTGCTAGAATTTCAGGTGCCACTTGACCTAAAATAAGGGCAATTCCTGAGTCTTGACCGTTCTGAGTGGGAGACCGAAACTACAGTGGTGGGAGGCGCTTTGATTGACTTGAAGGCCCAGAAAACATGAATGGACAAGTTACGCACTACGCTTGTAATAGGGTATCATGAATGCATTGTTGCACTCTATAAGAGCATCATTCTCTCGCAGGTGCACTTGGCATAGTAGCACCTGTAGATGAGTGACGAGAGATAAACGGAGACAGACCTAAAAGTAGTAGCAAATGAACCAGGCAATACTACGTCGTTGATATGGCTTTCCGCGAACTCAATTCTGTTAGAGGTACTGTATCGTTGGTCAACCTGAACCACGCCACAGCTGCTTTGAGATAAAATACTGTACATAAATTCTGGGTCTGTGACCCACATCGATTTGTGACAATACATCTCTCTGAACCACGTCAGAAATGTAATGGGCCCCTGGCTAGTAAGAATACAAAACTTATTTTCCTCAACTGAGTCTTGACCATTATTTCTGTTCCTAAGTGGGACCACCGAGCTGTTTTGAAGTCATAACCTTAGCGACCGGCTATTCAAGTGCACTGGAAGAGATAGTTTCTAACGTAATATCACCTGCTATCTAGAAGTAGTGAAATCATGCTCCACCTGGAGGATAAAACAGGACAGACACCAAGTCAAATTTTGGTACGATAGATTATGTTATTTTTCTTTTCCTGCCCGCCATCGGAATCGCGAACACAGACATTATAATATTCCTACCCGGCTCTCAGAAAACAGTGAGTGTAACTTAATCAATATTAGCTGAGCACCGCTTTAATCTTCGCCTAAACGTAAAATTCAGGTACAAAGTGAGGTCAGCCGCCCCTATTACGCGAGGATGCGGTCGCCATGGACTGGTTCAGAGTGGGGGCGTTGAGAGAACTGCTTTATTGGACAACGATGCGTATTGTAGCAGTTCATCTATAGTACACGCGTGCTGCATATTACGAAGGCGCTATTTACCTACAGTGGCGTTCCATGAGTTTGAAACACCCCCCTGACCGCTCTTTTTTACCGCCTACCATAGCCAGCTTACCGCTCCCCCTAAACACGCGTGCCACATCGAATGGATTCAAAGCTATTTAGACACCAAATATGCCTTCAGCCCGCTTAGGCCAGCGCTTTTCTCAGGAGCAAATACAATATGATTACCCTTCACAGGCTCCAAACGTTGCCCAAGGCTCCCGACGTCGCTAGCTAGCCCTATATGAACGAATAAAGCTCATTGAGCTCAAATCAATCGGCTAGTTATATAAGGAGATCCACGAGCGTTATCCCTCTATTCCAATAGGTATAATCAAGACTACAATCGCTAGATCCAACCAGAGAGGTCTTACGTAAGTAACTCGTCCTCGATCTAGTGGCCCAAAGAAACTTAATGAAGAAGAGAGAATAATGCTTCTTAATACTATTGATTAAGACCCACGAATCAAATATAATCATCTCCTTTCTCGCCTTGATTATAGTGTTTCCCGGTAGACACTTTAGAGATTCTTTCGGGAACAGAATAAGCGAAAATAGCTCGTTCTTCAACGACTAGAGCTTACCGAGGCCCAAGCCCACGCACGACGTGCTTAGGCTGATCGAGTTTAAGGGTATAACTCTAATAAATAGAGAAAGATTTTTTGGTCCGATGAATTAACTGTCGAGAGAGGAAAAGGAGCTCGTCGCGAGTATACTTTTACTAGACTAGCGGCTTAAATAGCAGCCCGAGATATTAAAGAAGTCTCTTATTATAAGGGTATTAAATAGATGTTTTGGGCTGCTTTCTCTAGCTCTAGTCGACGAACAGGACTTATCCCGCTCTTTGGAGATTTAAATTCACCCCGTGGAGGTGTAAATCGATGGGTAATCCTCGAACTTTACCAACGTATGCTACCAACTTTAATGAATGGTACCGAAGGTGCAATTTTTCAACAGGATAATGCCCCTGTTCATACAGCTTATGTTATACGGGACTGGCTAGCAGATCAAGACTTTGCAGTGATGGCTTGGCCACTATATTCACCAGACCTCAACCCCATTGAGAACCTTTGGGCGCTTTTAAAAGCCAAGATCTATGAACTGCACCCAGAAATCAAGGGAATGCCTGATAACGAGGAGACATTACAAATTTTAACAGCTGCTGCACAAGAAGCTTGGTCGGAGATAGATACAGATATGCTTGAAAAGTTGGCCGTCACTATGCCTAACCGAGTAAAGCAGGTAATTGATAATGATGGGTGGTATACTAGTTATTAGCTATTCAACGGGCGATGTTTTAGCTGGCAGAAAAGATGGCAGAAAAGATGGCAGAATATTATGTAATTAAGGGGGGTGTTTCAAACTCATGGAACGCCACTGTAGTCCGTGACAATACATGGGCCTAAGCGGGCGTCCCAACGACTAGGGTCCCGCTAATAATATACTGGCCACATATACTGGCTATCCTATGTACGGTCTTCGCCGCTTTTAATTAAACGGGAAGAAAGCGCCGTCCGGATCACACCGTATGGTAACTGGGATATGACACCCCTTGAAGCGAAAGGGCCGAGGCCCTTTATGAGCTATATAAGTAGACAATTTCCGTCTCTTCGCCTTTTCTCGGCGATAGACAAAACTTTGTGTTTCTCTCTTTTTCTCCTTTTCTGCTCTACAATGCAAATGACATTCAATTTCCTGGCCATTGCGACCAGCTTTGCGTGGCTAGTCACAGCGTTGCCTCCGGAGCTAAACGAATTTTTTGCCCATAATCCTCTCTCAATTGTTACCCGTGCCTCTCAAACTTCTGGCAGTCCAACTCTCTCACGCAATGGTGTCTTGCAGACCAATCCAGCCCTCGTTCGTGCTGCTAATGCCCGATGTCCGGTTGGCTGCTTTCAGAGTGGAAGCAATCCCGGCAACTGGACCGTTTACCACAGTGTCGATCGTTTGTCTTGGTGCAATGAGACAATGTTGCTTGATTTTGCCCTTTTCAACCCCCTGGATGACCCTGAAACGCAAAAGAGCATTCGAGCATGTACTGCGGGTGATAGTCCTCAAGAAGTAGCTTTGACAGATACTTCATGTGCTAAACTCCATGATTCAACGGAGGAATTATCAGCTAGTCTGCATATTGCTTTCGTGAAGTCGAGCTCCTCGGCCTCTGCATCAAGTCTCGTCTCTGTCACAGGACAGCTCCAGAGCTATGTGGCTCAAAAATCCGGCTGCGATCAGACAATCGCATTCGCTACTACTACAAAGGGAATTGTTGGTCTCTATGCTGGCTCAGAAATACAGCGGCAAGGCCTGGTCAGCACAGTACTGACAGATTTCGCCACCGTGTTGAAGGACATGACCACTTCTGACACCGTCCTCGTTCAGCTTTGCGGAGAGAGTCTTAACAATCGGTATATGTTTGGCGTCATTGCCAGCGCACAGGGCGACCTTTCTGCGATTCAGAATGTAGTCCAGACGTGGAGCAAGAATGAGTGTGTTACATCCTATGGAGAGACATCTGTCTGGCAAAACATCACTGTCAGGGTTCCAACCGCACAACATGTTTCCAAAAGCAGTGGCAGGACCACGACAAAAAGGGCTACCGCAAGCAGAGTTGCAAGAGGACTGCATCCTAGGTCCACATGCTCTACCGTGCAAGTGCACTCAGGAGACGACTGTGTCTCTGTAGCAGCCGAGTGTGGTATTACGGTTACAGAGTTTAAAGAATACAATCCTGGCTCTGATATTTGTTCACCCCTACCTTCTGGTCGGCATGTGTGCTGCTCATCAGGGACACTTCCTAATTTTGCCCGATCGCCAGACGCCAACGGCACTTGTGCCGCCCATACGGTCAATGGTCATGACACATGTAGTGCCATCGCCGCTAGCTACGACATTACAGTCGCTGACCTTGAGAACTGGAACAAAAATACCTGGGGTTGGATGGGCTGTTCCGATTTGCAAGTCGGGAGCTATATGTGTATCAGTACCGGCTCAGCTCCAATGCCCGCACCACTCGCGAATGCTGTCTGTGGTCCGCAGGTACCCGGTACAGCAATTGCAACAGCAGGTACGAACTTGTCGACTTTAAATGAGTGTCCCCTCAACGCCTGCTGTGACATCTGGGGCCAATGCGGGACTACTGATGAGTTCTGTGTCATCACCGAATCCACCACAGGAGCACCAGGCACAGCTGCAGCGCGTACAAATGGCTGCATTTCAAACTGTGGTACAGCAATTGTCCAGTCTGATGCCCCGGCTGAGTTCATGAAAGTAGCCTACTGGGAGGCATTTGATCAGTCGCGTCCGTGTCTAAACAGTCCAGTCTCGACACTGGCTGACAGTGACTACACGCACGTGCATCTCGCTTTTGCTGAAGTCACCTCTGATTTCAAGGTCAATGTCTCCGGTATTTCTGACCAGTTTAATACATTCATGAGTCTGGGGGTTGGCTGGAAGAAGATTCTTTCCTTTGAAGGTTGGGACTTTTCTACCAATCCTGACACTTACAATATTTTCCGCCAGGCGGTGACAGAGGACAACCGTGCGACGTTTGCCTCCAATATTGTCGAGTTTGTGCGAGAGACTGGCCTTGATGGAGTAGATTTTGATTGGGAATATCCCGGAGAGCCCGATATTCGAGGAATCCCCGCTGGAAGCGAGGAAGATGGATTCAATTATTTCATGTTCTTGGATGAGCTGGCCAACCAGTTCTTGAAAACAGTGCCAGGGACTACAATATCTGTCGCTGCACCGGCTTCCTTCTGGTATTTGCAAAATTTCCCTATTGAGGCAATCGGGATGATTACCTCCTATATCATCTTCATGACATATGATCTCCACGGGCAATGGGACTATTCAAAGACAAGCGCACAGAGTGGCTGCCCCTTTGGAGACTGCCTGCGATCAGATGTGAACTTGACAGAGACCATCAACGCCCTGTCCATGATCACCAAAGCCGGTGTTCCCTCGAATAAGGTTGTTGTCGGCGTAACTAGCTATGGGCGTTCCTTCCAAATGACCGAAGCAGGCTGCTCTGGCCCCATGTGTACCTATACCGGTCCCGCATCGGGAGCCTATAAGGGACCTTGCACTGGAACTGCTGGCTATCTGGCAAATGCGGAGATCGCCTATGCCAATGCGACGCTGGCGAATCCTGCATACACTTTTGATACTGCGAGTTATTCGGACATCCTTGTTTTTGATGAAACTCAATGGGTTGCCTGGATGGAAGACGCTAATAAGGCGGTGCGAAGATCCCTTTACATGGGCATGAATTTCGGCGGTACCACCGATTGGGCTGTTGATCTCCAAGGGGATGCCAGCACAATTACGAGTGAGTGCGATGTGCTGATCGCATCGGATGGAACGTCATTCCCAATTTGTGCCTCTCCCACTCCCCAAATTGGCTGCATCGAGGGCACCGGGAGTGGTAATTATCAGGACTTGTGTGAATTCAGTTGCCAATACGATTACTGTCCTTCGCCATTTTGCAATTGCACCGCGACTGGGACAGTCAATCCTGTGCCACTGGAGACCTCGCTCACTGTTTGTCCAGTTTCCGATTTGGATGCTAGCTTCATCAGCCTTTGTGACTTCGATTGCAAATACGGTCATTGTCCCAGTAAATATTGCGCTACCGCTACTGGAAATGAACTCTACGGCTGTGGCAACGCACCGTCTCTGATAGAGTTGTCTGCTAATATTTCAACAAGCAATCCATCTTGCCAAGATGTGGGGGCCGGTATGTACTGATCCAATCACTATCTGCCGTGTTCTCTATCAAGGCCATTTTGCAGTGACATGCAAAGACTAATCATAATTTTTGGGCAGCTGGAGAGATACAACAGTCAACTTGGGACGCAATTGGTGCCACAGACTGGTTTAGACAAAATCTCACCAATTACGACCATTACAGAGCCAATTACCCCATGGACTTGGCCAATCCCATAGGAATCGGGCAAAGCAGCAAGTATTGCGACCTAATCGACACTGGGGCATGTCACCCTGGTGATTGTACAGGGGACCAGCCAGGTTCGGGGCTTGTATACTGCGCAATCCTGTCTATGGCCAACCTCGATAACGTCAGTATCCATGAATTCTCCTTAATTGAAAACAAGAAGAGCTTCCCATCTCACTCAACTCATATCGACTTTTAGATGATGCGTCAAGTGTATACGGCAATCGGACATATCCCCCAAAATTTCACTGGGAGAGCCGGTGAAATGCTCACGACCTTCAGCTGGCCTCCCCCACCAGATATGGACTTTTTCTGGACGGAATTTTTGACTGCAATTAGTACGATGCTTGTGGTGGTCACTACCCTCACTGGAAACATTGAAGTGACGGCAGCGGGCGCATTTTTTGGTGGGCTGGTCACGGAAGGCCTTAATGCACTTCTTAATGATGATAATTCGGATAATTCTTTGGCACGAGAATATTTGAGCATGTGAGTCTTTCATTTGTGTGGCAACTTCTCTGCTGAGCTAGATTCGGGGCTAACGAAACGGCTGAACAGTGAATCCGATGATTGGGCAGATGCTCTTCAAGCAAACATCGCAACTTCCTTTTCGGATTTCGTGGGAAAGGGAAATGTGAAAATGGCTGATATGTTTGAACATGGAGCCTTCCTAGATTCACTACAGATCCCTATCATCTCCAATGCCTCAACGCATGTACCGCTCACCACCGTTGAATCACAGGTCATGCAAATTTGGGACGCAACGGTGATCAATTCAATTTGGAATGCGGAGAGTGTCTTCCTTTACTGTTATCCTATGTCTGAAGCTGAGTGTATGCTGTTCCACTTCCCTCCCAGACTTATTGTCAGCGGCTAAATAAATGGACAACCAGTCACGAAAAAAAGTGGGAAGTATAACTCCGACCTACAGGCGTGGGTCGATCAGGACGACGGGTACGGATGTTACTTGCAAGGGTAAGAGTTGATGTTGAGTCTTTTCTACTCTTGCTCCCGAGATACTGACAACTGTCTGTTTAGAATAAGTGACTTTAGCGAAGTCTATGTCTACGGCACGCCACCTGGATATAAGGTACGTTTTAATTGTTTGGTCTCAACCATAATGTTACGCAGGAGAGTAGAATATAGAAATTAACTTGGTTTCATGGCAGAACTTGGCCACTAGCACTTACCCTTTCTCCATTCCAGATGTCATCAAGGGAAGCTATGCGAGCTTTGTCCAAGGGGGCTTCAATTACACTCCCTCCGTGGAAGTGAACGTCGATACGGTTGCATCTTTGACAGCAGGGGATATTAACGACGGGAATTTGTGGACCATGCCTGGAATGTGGAATCTCTGGATTTGTGATCCGCATTCTAAGTGGAGCATCGATGAGTTCTACGATAATATGAATGACGAAGGGTATGGCTGGACTGCAAGGTAAGAAGTTGTTTCTTCTATCTACTCTGTTCAGAGCAGTTCCCAAAGCCAGGCGCTGACTTTACTACCATCTTAGTATCTGCGGTTGCCAGGATTACACTGACAAGAATGGGATTAAATTTTCTCATTATATCGATCTTGGCGAAGGCTGTTCTTGCGGTGATGCATCTTCATGTTGTGTGGATACTGGAAGCGTGGATTCATGCCCATAAGCCTTGGAGAAAGCAGCAAATTATGCGGCGACCGACACTGTAAAACTTCGCCAGCACTATTTTAAATACTCCTGAGGAGCTCTGCTATGCCAATAGTCTGACCACTGGAGGACTCGTCTTCTATTTGCCCTACTAGAGCATGGAATGGAACAAATTGACTCGCTCTAGTTGAAACTAATTGATGTAAAGGAAGTCATGAAATAAACCAATTGTAGTCATCGCTCTCAAATTTTTGAATCACTCTTCGATTTAGTACAAAAAGTCCACTGCTCTTCGATGTTCGAAGCTCAAAGTAACTTGGTAACAGAGTCACGCTAATCCGGTGGTTAGACCTCACGCAGGGTGAGATAGCGTAAATAAGGCAGTGCACAAATGATTGGAACTTATGTAAGAGCAAGAGTGGCTCGTGGAAGGAACTAGCCGTGGTAAAAGCTGTAAAAATAGTGAGATACCGTTGAATCTTGTCACTAAGAATATATAACTTAAGATTATAATGATACTTAGAATCAAAGTTTATGCTAGATTAGAATACTTAGTGCAGTTAGGCCTAGTTCGGAGAATACTCCAACCTGCCATCACGGATATATATCATTATTACAACGCAGCGTATAAAGGGACATATACTCACATTACCACTAAAGGTGCCCGCGACGATCAGGAGGCCTGTTGTAAAGCAGTATGGCGCGCTACGCCGCGTAGTAGTGTCAGGGGACCAACGAAAGATAGAAATGAGGCAACGCAGGCTAGCAGATGCGTATTTCACCGCGCACGGGAAGGTCAAAGGCGAATTGTCTAGCGAGGAGCGGAAGCGCTGGCGAGATAGGGCCGCGGAGAGAAGAGCAGCGCAAAAGATGCGGCGGGTGGAAGCATCAAGTGAAGGAGAGAAAGGGGAGAAGTCCTAGAAGTATTAATATAAGAACCAAGCTCGAAGCTCTATTTATTTACCAATCGTAGAATATGTATATATCATTAGCTATAGTAGAGAGACCACCCATGTACACGCAACGGTCGAGATCTCTTAAATTCAAAATTTTGGACGCAGGCAACGATTAGCTGCGTCTTCCGAGGCCGGCTCCAGCGTTCCTCTTCTTGAAGGCGCCACTGCCAGCCAGCGATTGAGTCCGTCCGGGGCCAAAGTCGGGCTCCCCACCTAAGGTTCCAAAAATATCACCGATATAGTTGCGAGGCTTCACGCCAGAGGCAAAAGTGGAATCCCACCCCTTCAAGATACCTTCAACGACAAGGATGCCGGCACGGTAGATGTTTTCCACGGCCGGCTCAAAGCCGCCCGCGTCAGCATAGAGTAGGTTTTCGGTAGTGGCCTCTCCGGGGTGGGGACGGTCAAAGTCGGACGCAGTGCGCATCACAATAATGCGGGAGAAGTCGGTCAGCTTCTTGGCCGATGACCGAAGAAGGGCTTCGAGCGTGGCGCTGTCTTCCTGAGCACTGGCACAGTAGTCACCAGTGCCGTTGGTGAACAACTTGGTGGTGTTCTCGAAAGCATTGCCCAGGATGTTGCCGCTGTAGTAGACATCAGAAGTAGCAACGTCGCACTCGACGACTCCCGGAGCCAACGTAGCCGCCTTGTACTCCCCACTCTCGGTTGCGTAGTGGGCACGATAGGCCTTGGCAGCCGACGAGTCAGAAAGATTAGCTTGGAGAGCAAAGCCTGCGGCGATGCTACGAAGGTCTGCGTTGACCTCAAAGACCTCCGTGCCGTAGATGCTGGTGGGGTACTGATCGGGGTAATCGGAGCCCAGAGGAATATATCCAGTGGAGTAAGAGGATGGAAGCTCTCGTATGTCAATTTCATACTGAAGAGCCACTTGAACAGCATATCGCGCAAAAGTCACCGATCCGAGAGTGACTCGCTTGGGATTGACACCTGCAATGCCGGCAATGAAGACGTAGGTCTGCGAGAGGTCGAAAAGAGGCGAGAAAGCAACGGAGGTGACGGTCGTGGCGGCATTAATCTCAGATTCGCCGGTGATCAGCTGGCAAATCTCGTGGTTCTCGGTACAGTGCACCTCTGGATAGAGGGGCGAAAGACCGGGGACGCTGATGTTGTGGGCCAGGAGATTGAATTCGGGAATGTTCCACCACGCTTCCGCTTCGGGTTGGAACTGCGACGGCCATGAGTACGGGAGTGATGAATATACGTTCCAATCATCATTCATGGGCATACCATTGACACGATAAACACCTTCGGAGCGATCTTCTCATGAGGCGTGCGGACAGAAGCCGCACATAGCGTGCTTCCACCCAAGAAGAGCGGGATTAGGGTTCGCAAGGACACCATGGTGTTGGAAATATTGGCTGCTCCGGTAGCTCGGAAGGACGGGGAGCACCGCTTTTTCAACCTTACCAGAGCTCCAGGATGCAAATTTTCAATTCCGTCGCGTCTTCCATGGAGATCTCTGAATTCTCGGAGTGGATCATTGCGCGAACTCGAGATAGAAACGATCAGCCATATTCCGTTGACGAGTGCCCGGTTCGGAATGGCGATAGCTTCTTTGATTGGCCTCGAGCAGTCAAGCTCCATAGTCTCCGCCAGCAACGATAAAGATTTTGTCTTTCAACTCGACCCGTGACTGGTCCCTGGTCCACAATCTCAATCTCCGCGGGACGTTGCTTATCCTTATCACTGCGGCCGCCCGTGAAGCGTCTTATCGCGGATGCCTTGCACGTTCAACCGTCGGAATAGGCCGGTGGATTCACCAGGAATTATCATAGACCGCGGGCGTTGACTATAGATGGAACGAGATAACCTCTAGCCTGTGGAATCATGTCGACTCCGCCGAGGAACTGTACTGTATGCTACGACCGCATCATACGACTCGACTCTGTTTCTGTAATCGAATTTATAAAAGCAACTATGAAAGTGCAGATAATAAGGTACTTATCACTTGAATTTTGGCTCTCCGAGTAAGTCGGTAGCGAAGTGGAGCATGGGGGTTGAACCAAGGTATCGACGAAGTGTGCCTGGTGGACTCCATGGAACGAGGAAAAAAAGAAAAACTCGTTTCGTGAACAATTAGAGTGCGCCTTTGTGTGGCTCACGCTCATGCGAATCAGTCTATGGATCGAATCACAAGTACCTGATGAGCTCAGGCAAGATGGGGATTGTGTGGTGATGGAATCCAGTGCCTAGTTTCAGTGTCTCAGTGCCTCAGTTGAAGTCCAGTCAACCCTCCACCGACAGTACGGACGACATCGTTCGAATCGGATACACTTCAAAGAGCCTCGAGAATGTGTACGAGCATAGCCTATGTCCTCCCGAGATACCGATTTCACCAGGGACGTACGCAAAGACTGGGCAGCCAAGGGGCAGTATGACGCGCGGGGCTCAAGCCACCGTGGAACAACATCGGTCGGCGTGGGGCATGACGCATGTCAAATAGCCTTAAATAGAAAAACCGTGACGGGATTGACAACCTCGTGTTGCTGATCAGACATCGAAATTGGTTGGCTCTCAACGTCATCCCCACTGACGTCATTTTTAATATATCGAACGTTGGACAGGGAAAGCAAATAAATCCGTCGGTCCCCACGCCGGGAAACCACGTTTACTATCCTAGCGTGTTCATTTCGGTCTATCCGGTATGCTGTTCTTTGAGTCCTGCCGTTTACCTTCTCGAGCTGACTGAAATAGCACATTCAGCACACTTCTCCGCCTCCGCCATGCCTTCAATGCACGATCGTATCCGCGAGGATATCCTCAACAAGGAGCGTGCCCTGTGGACAGCCCTCACTTCGGCTGACCCTGCGCCCGCCGTGCAGAAGCTTTGCAACCCGGAAGCGAACATGATATTTCCCCAGATGGAGGTTCTGACGCTTGAGGACCCATCCCAGTTGAAGGCCGCCTTGAAGCCACCATTCCACCGGTTTGATGGATACCAACTCGACGATGTCCGAACAATAGTTATTGATCTCATGGCCGGGACCGTGACTTACAAAGTCCGTGCGGTTCGCGGCAAGAATGAGTATCGCGCAACGGGGTGCACCACGTGGAGCCAAGCGTCAGACGGCGAGTGGCGAATCGTTTGTCACCAGGAAACACTGTTGTAGAGTGATTTGGAACGACTTGCTTGTAAATGCACAGCTGGGAGCAAGATATATGTGTGAACGGGTCATGCTGGTCATGCGTTATGAATCGATGAAGCTATTAATGTCACAACCTTTTGACTTCGTACACTCAATTTTGATATCCAATATGAAGTACAAGCTAGATGCATCTCTTTCTCCCTCGATGAATAACGCACCAACAAGCACATCCTTTGTATTCCTCAAGTCAAATCCATGGTCAAGGCGAAGATCCCCGGACGGATCAGGAAGGGCCATAACCTCGTGAACATTCCCATTACGTGGGGACAACCCGTGGGCCTATTCTGGCGGTTGAATCAACAGCATGTAGAACCACTTGGTACTGTGAAATTAGTTCAAGTCACCATTTGGGTTATTTTGCAGGCTCCTGTGCTGGAACAGCGGCCCCGCGGTATGGTGACTTACTGGGAACCGTGAACTGATACGATAAGAAGTCTCAAGTGAGCTTTTCAGCGGTTGCCGGTCAGTTCCTCTTCAACCCACTCATCATCACGCCCCTGGTCTCCCTAAACAGACCATCCCCCCTTGTTCGAACTGTCGAATGCGAAGTTCGGGAATGAACAAAGTCAAAGCGGTATCTGGTTAAACCTTACAGGATGGGGCAGCCAAGCAATCGCAGTAAGCAGTGGCAAGGAAAGTTATTCACATCCAAATATATACATGTTCTATTCCTTGCTAGTGATTAGTTACCGCGTTCAAACTCAAACTCAGACTGACTGGATCGCAGGTGATATGGCTATTCGCTGGCCAGTCCTTCTGATGTATCTACCTCAATGCCCTGTGGATTGCGGGGATGGCAACCATGACTGAGTGTCTTGGAATAGAGCACATGGGCATGATCTGCCTACAGGCCCACTACTAATATCAGCTTTTATGTCTCCACATTATTGACAGGATTGAGATGAGTTGGAAAGCCGAGGTTTGCGCGTCGCGTCGTTCTTAAGGCTCCTTGGCGGCCCAGGCGCGACAGTTCACGAACGGGTTTCAGATAGATGATTTCGGATTGTCGCTTGCTCAACCTTACGATCTGGTGAGCTCGGTATGGAATTAATCTGAAGATTGGGCAAATGTTTAGTTTATTCCTCTTGAGCGGGGCCTGATCGTGATGCTCACATTCTTTCAGACTTTTCACTTTCAGGGTCACACTGCCCCGAGTCTATTGAGATTGTGCAATTGCTCAGTTCTCCTTTTTACCGTATCTCTTTATCGGGCTTCCCAAATACCAATTGGGTACCAAAAATCACTAGACATGCCGTGGTGGGGTAATTCGTCATCTTTTGTCCCGCTAGGTTCCAACTTTTTTATTAGATCTTATGCCACATTGGAAGATTTTCATAGCGAGCAATTCCACACGAGAACCCGGACAGTTGTGATTTGATCATATCAAACCGGCACCTTGGGAACCTCACATCTTGGGCCAAATATATACATATTGACACAGCCTCATCGCCTCCCCGTGCGATAAGCTCGGGATCACCCACCTCATTCAACCAGCGCCATGGAATGCGAACGGATTTAACTTCCAGGGTTCCATTTAGAACATTATGGCTTACAGCTCATGCTTGTCCCCAATAGAGAGTGGGCCCATCTTCACCATCATCGTGAGGACCTCATACAAAACATCGGCAGCGGCCCTTTAAGGAGGTTAGCCAAGCTCCACCGCATTCCAAGCTTTGCTTAGAGGCAACTTACATAGTCGAGAGCTCAGCATTTGTGTCGTATGCTGGTGCGACCTCGACAATATCCGCGCCAATGAAGTTCAATCCGTCTAGGCCGCGGATGATGGTTCGTAACTCGCGTGTAGACCAACCGCCGGTCTCGGGGGTGCCAGTGCCAGGTGCGACTGTTGTATCATTCCATTAGCAATGAGAGTAGTGCCAAAAAGTGTTGCATGTGGAAGACTTACAAGCTGGGTCCAAAGTATCGATATCGATGGAAAGGTAGATCGGGTGCTCGGTTCCGACACGCTCTCGAATCTTTTTGATGATGCCGTCCGTGCCTATACAACCCCATTAGCACGTTGGAAAGAAGAAAATTGAAAGTTAAAAAATACCAATTGTGTCAATCTCACGAGCCTCAACAATCTCAAATCCACAATATCCGTCATTCTCATAGTCCGAAAGACCGGACAAAGTCGTGCGAATACCAGCGTGGATGTTGGTGTCGTTCCTCAACAAGCCTTCCATAGCCGCATGGTAGAAGTAAGTACCGTGATTGATAGCAGCAACCTGACTAGGAGAGCCACCGAACACCTTTGGCTTCCACGAGTCTCTGTAAGAGTACAATAATCAGTGACATCTCACACTATTTGTGTAAATGGTAACTGACAAGTGGCTATCGAAATGAATCACTGTCACCGGGCCGTAGGCCTTGTTGATGCTTCGCAGCAGAGGCAACGTGATGGTATGATCTCCTCCCAAGGTAATGACACGAGGCAGTGTCTTGCCGGTCCGCGAGAGCCCAGCATTGTCGGCGTTGGTAAAAGGTTTGCGCATCAGAATGCTGTTGTGTCCTTCCTCAATTTGTTGAATCGCCCATGCGTTGTCGTAGGATGTCACGGGGATATCGCCGCAGTCCATAATTCTCAAGTCGCTGGTGAAAGGGTTTGACTTGAGGGGAACATTGTATCCGCCGCTGATCATAGTTCAATCTTTAGCCATGACAGCCAATGTACGCGCGCTATAAATGGAGACCTTGTTTGGGACGTACTAAAGGTTGAGACGGCGAGAGCCTTGTCTGATACCACTGGGCCCGAAACGTGCACCCGGTCGGTAAGAAGTACCGGTGTCGAAGGGAGCACCTGTAGCAAATGAGTTTCATGGTTAACAAGTAGGCCAGGAATTTCATGTGTTTACCTAGGAATGCAATGTCATATTTCTCGGATTCACTCGAGAGGCACGGGAAGTAGGGAAGGCGACCAAAAGTTGAGATACCGGAGAAGACTGAGTCGGCCTGGAAAGATTGAAGAAATAATCAGCCATTTTACGTGAAGAAAAAGCGAATTGCTTCCTACTTGAGCGCCTCCATCTCCTGGCAGCGTATTATACCACAGCCCTTGGTGTGGTCCGGCCAAAGGGGTCTGGCTGTGATCCCTATGTGCCGCTACCAGGCTCAAAATTGCGAGGAATACTATAGTGCAAGCAATCATTGTGGTCGGTCCAGGACTTGAAGAGTTGAAAGGGTCTTGAATGGGCAGATGAAGATAGACTGCCGGGATGCTTTGAGCTAGATATATTACTTATGAATTGGAAAAAATCATGGCCTGAGAAGGTTTACTCCGTAACATGGGGATTTATTGTCCCTGTGCACGACCTTAGGCAACCAGGATTGCATCACCCTCCAATGCCCAGGTATCTCCCCACTCCCCTCAACATCCAAACTAGGCGACCGACTGATGATCACGGATCAAGATGTATCTATCAAAAGCCTGAAATACCCCAATACGCATGTTCTGCAAATTTACACAGCCTATATTGTGGGGTTCATGTGCTACTCTATCTTACTTCCCAATTGAGCAACCCCGCGAGGATTGCACATGGAGGGGAATAAGCGATAGGTTGTACATCATATACAAGGATATCCTGGAACTCAATTCAACTTACCAAAAGGGGAAAAAACGAGGAGAGGGCATCGGGGATAAGATAACGTGTGTTTTGGTGTGTTGTTCGTGGCTTATCTGAGGTTGCGGGTGACGAACCATCTGTGAGCGTGTTATCAGTGCACTAAATCCCCGAAACCGGAGTAGTTGTTGTAAATTTCAACAAAATTGTCTATACATTGCTTTGCACAGAAAATACATACAAAAGACACCATGTGTCGGCAATTGTAATGGTGCAAATTGGCTGAGGAGCTTACTGATTCGGACTTGGTTGATGAAACTCTTCCAACCAATTAAATGGTCATTTGGATATTTCTTCACCGTGCATTTTCCACTTCATTCAGGTTCTTGCTACTGGGAAAATTAAAGAAACAAATGATAGACGGCAAACAGCAAAGCAAAAAAGAAATTTGAGTAAGAGAAGATGAAAGTTTGGACTTAAATACAGCAGACAAGATGAATGCCAAATGTAAGAGATGATGAGAAAGATGCAGATGGGCACTTTTTTGTCTCTTCTATATAGGAAACTAAGCCCCTGTATCATACTCCGGGTTGACCCATGATGGCTGTGGTGCGTTCGTTCGCATAGATGCACCATACTTATGCAGAATACCAAAAACCAGACCCCCGCCTACAAGAACAATCAAGGCCTGCGTGGTAAACGTCCAGGTCCAGCCAACAGATGCTTCCCAGGAAGCAATAAAAAACTATTAATTGATTCCGTGTTAACAATGCTGTTCAGCCCTCGAAACCTTCAGCCGAAGACAACATACCGGGTTGATGAAGGCACCTAAGTTCAGAAACACGGCGTAAAAAGTGATCACGCTCGTTGACTGCAAAGGATAACAATCGACAATATAACTGCTGATGACGGTATTTCCGACCTGGACCCCAGCAGCAACTAAACCTTTTGTTAGCCGACACCATGCTTTCCTCCCGATTGAGATCATACTCACATAGGAAAAATGCAACCTGACCAACCATCCAATGATAGTTCTTGTCGAGACTGACGCCCCAAAGAATTGATCCGACTATTTAGTTGTCAGAATTGGTGAGTAAGACCTTGTCAGTGCACCCACCTGCTGTAACCAAGATAGCAGGATATGCCAGCCATAGTCGCATTTCCGCGACACGAACGCCGCCATTTTTCTTTGCCAGCGTTTCCACAATGAAGTCACTAAGCCGTCCCGAACAACAAAGCTCCGAGGTAATTGTCCCAAGGAGTAGACCAAGGAAAAGCAACCCTTGAATGAGTGGGGAGTAGCTTTCGTAGGCTGCAGGTACCATAGTGATAATAGAGAGAATCCACCAGTACCAAACGAATGAATACCCGAGAACTCCGATCACGATCACTGGGAATTGGAAAGTAAGCACAAAACGAGTTAGTGAGTCCCAAGGACTAGGATGGCGCATCCCAGGGACAGGTAAAAAATTCACAAATGGAAGTTTCTTTGTTCTAGGTAACTTCTTAGGGGGAGTCCCTCCGGGGAGTGCCTGCTTAGGCGTAGAATTTTGATCTACCGCCTGCTTCTCAATATCCGTTGGAATACGTGGCATGCCTTCCACAACATAGGGCTGGAGTAGCATTGTTTGTCGAGGGTATAGCGTCTCCGGCATGAAGAATATCTCCAGAACTAACAGAGCAGCGAACAGAACGGCATTGAACCAGTTGATCCACGCAGCACTCACGAGATTCAAAAAGGCACCGACTGAAATATCACAGCGATTAGCGCTTTTGAGTACTCATGATTATTGCTTGGGTTTCAACTCACAAGTCGGCCCCAGTAGAAGTCCAGAGTCGATTGCCAACACCCACAAGCCAAGCTTCTGTCCGCGCTCATATTCGAAAAATAGGTCATTCACTATTATTTTATTAGACGTGCGCAAGAACCAAATAACAAGTGAAACATACCAACGGCCATGCCGACAGTTGAAGCAGGGCTCACACCAAATCCTTGGAAGAACCGAGCAGCCATGTAGCCTGCGTATGTATCGGCCACTGCCGCTCCGATTGTCGAGACCAAAGCAATAGTAGTCCCAATCAAGAAGATAACCCGGCGACCGTAAATATCACAGAGAGAAGTCCAAACTAAAGGACCAACAGATAAGCCTAGGGCTGGGACAGCGACGCTCCAATTGACTTGTGAGTAGTTGATGGAATATTTAGTTTGGATCTCTGAGAAGGATGGGACCGTAGTTGTGGTCAGGTACGTAAACAGGAAATATCTAGATGCGCCAAGTAAGTATTTGGAATCGGGCGATAAAATCAATCCCTGAATCTCACTTGAGCATCACAATAGATAAAATTCCGTGTTTTTGAAGGCTCGACCAGTTCAAAGGGTCCAATGGATCAGAGGTAGGTTGCGGATGAAGTCTGATCCCATTTTTGTCGACGGCATCGCTGATAAGTTTTGTTCCATTTCCAATTGATGATGGAACAGCATCGATTGAGTTGTTGGTACTATGACCTTGACAGTCTTTGTGAATCTGTTTTTCATTCATGGCTGATTGACACGCGATCTCAAAATACAACGGTCGGGGCTGAACGTGAATAATAATGGGAGATGTTACAGAACCGGATTCGCATATTATAATTATCTAATCCTATTTAGCCTCAATTATAGCTCTTATCTCGAGTCTCCGTCTGACGGCTTGTAGAAGTGGAACACCTGGTCCGGGGGTCGAGAAGGTTAAAGGATAGGCGACCCTTATCAGTGACGTCTGCTAGCTGCACGTTTCATGCTAAACATTAAACAGATTTAAATGAATCACGGGGCACACGCTAATCAACAAGCCATGTGAAATTTGCAGTTTATAGTACCGCCTTTCCCAAATCGGGTGAGAACATGATCTAAACCATCAAAAGCCCCACTACTTCTAAATTCCTTTTCGGGTTAGTTCAGTCTCTCTCCTGGTCGCCCTATTCGACCTGCTGTCTATTTTCTTGTTAGACCCTCCTCGATGATTCGACTGACACTATTAAACACTTATTGGTGAAATGTCTGTGCATTCGGAAGGAATATTATGGAACCCTAGAGAGGGCCGAGCGTAGTTGGAGGCCTGCGTCAACCTTTGTATATGGAGAGATTGTGTGTATAGTGTGCTGATTTTACCGAATTCGCCCTAACAATTGGATACCTTGTTTTTGTTGAGATGCGGTAGCTCTTCGTGTTCTGAAATGCGCACAGATAGCCGAAGTAGTGGCACTAGAGAATAAAGACTTGTCTTCGTGCTTGGTTTTCGTTTGGATTGGTACATGTGTCATCTCTTTGCAAAATTTGAAGATTTTATTTTGAAAAAACCGAGAATTCATCTCAGGAGCTAGTGGCATCTTGAGTGAAAGGAGGGAAATATTAGAGGCCGGCCAACCGAGATGTGTCCTTGGAGGTTGAGGAGTTTATCACATTTGGATATATTCGAAGAATGATTTGCGTTGGTGCTGGGAATTGGTTATGCAAAAAGCATTTCTTCAATTTCTTGCATGAAGATGATCAAAGGCAGCATATGAGCACCCGGAAGGTTAAGAGACTATTTTAAGGCACCGAGCAGGCCAAGGCGACGTTACCAGAAAACAGGCAAATATGAATAAACTATAGCTAGGGAGAATTCATAGTTGACCTCTTATAGTGTAACAATCGGCTTTAGTTTCACCAAGCGTACTCACGCACATGTGATAGGGAAAACGTGTGTTGAATGGATAGATCGTGTTTATTGGTAGAACATTCACTCAACGGGACAAACTAAAATTGATTGGGAATATGCTCACCATCTCACATCAACCGATAGTTACACAAGGACCAGATGTATAACTCCGATGCGGACAAAGCCTGGATGGTCCCTCCACCTTCTGTGTTGGGAAAGTCTGGAGAATCACCAGCCCCGACACGCCCCAGCCCTTGGATAATGCCTATTATTTTCTCTAGTGATGAGATCTTCGAAATTATTTTCCGTAGTGCCTAGACTGCTCTTTTTCTACTTCCTTATCTTCCTGATCCGCCCGGATGTCGGTAAGTAAGATTGGCCTCGTGCGCCGAGGTCGGGATCATCCACATGCGCTTGTTGACGTGTCCGAAGTGACTAGTATTGAACTTGCGTGCACGCAGTTCCACTGCGGCACCCGATCTGTCGTCATGAATTTGGTACTTTCATCGTGTATATCGATTTGATGCAGATCCCTGCCGCCAACTCCATGAATTACCCTTGAAATTTTCAGCTCTCAGTTCAGCCCGATACCTACGGGTTCTGACGTCGGCTCAAGTTTGCTCGAAAGCATTACCGTGGCAATTTAATCCACCATAATGCATGAGGGCCCTATAATGATAAGCCCCCCATATATCCCTAAATATGTCTCTTTCCTCTCGGACAAATACCGACATCCTTATTTCATTTTTTGCTTCGATCCCGTCGCGAAAATGTCAGAGTATGTCAGTAGTAACGTGAATAGAAACGTGACAAGCAACGAAATCACTTTCTCCTACTCGAACACCTCGACGCCAAATGAGTATACCAGACTCCTTCCTGAGACTAGAGAAGATAACCTCCCCATAGAGGAGGACTTCCCTTGGAATCACGAGGTTGACAAGAATGCCGAGGGGCTTTCGCATAGTCAGCGCATTCTGCGTGAGTTCTGGGAGCTGTTCAAGGCTTCCTTTCCTGTAATTCTGGCATATGCGCTGCAGATGAGCCTGCAGACGATTCCCGTGATTATCGTTGGTCACTTATCATCAATGCACCTGGCTGTCAGTGCATTCTCTTTGATGTTTGCCTTGGTCACCGGCTGGATGATTGCACTTGGAGGAACAACGGCCCTGGATACCCTGGCTTCGTCAACCTTCACCGGGAGTGGAAATAAGCACGACCTAGGCATCCTTCTTCAGCGCGCGTTCTTGGTTCTCGGACTTTTTTATATCCCCGTCGCTGTCATCTGGGCTTGTTCCAATACCATTTTCCAGGCTCTTGGCCAAGATCCAGAGCTATCCTACTGGAGCTCCAAGTTTTTGACGGCATTGATTCCCGGGGGTCTTGGGTATATCTACTTTGAGGCCATGAAGAAGTATTTGCAGGCGCAAGGTCAGAGAGTCCATGTGTTTGTGTGATCATGCATAGTTGCTAATCCTTTAACTTACAGGAATCATGCAAGCTGGAACATACGTTCTACTTATCACTTCGCCCCTCAATGCTGGATTATGTTATCTCTTCTGCTATACATTGGACATGGGGCTACTCGGTGCTCCCCTAGCAGCCAATATCTCATACTGGACCTCCTTTATTCTGCTAGTCCTATATTCCAAATTCATCACCGGTTCCGAATGCTGGGGTGGCTGGTCTCGTTTAGCGCTCTCGAACCTATGGACCTTCGCCCGTCTAGCAATACTCGGAATCTTGCATATCGGAACTGAATGGTGGGCCTTTGAGATCGTGGCATTGGTGGCAGGTCGCCTGGGCACCATTCCTCTCGCAGCCCAGAGCGTTATTATGACAGCCGATGGAACTATGAATACTATTCCCTTCGGACTTGGTGTTGCAACTTCCTCTCGTGTCGGGAACTTGCTCGGGTCGCGAAATGCCAAAGGTGGTGCACGTGCTGCGCACTCATCTGCGATTCTTTCTGTTGCTTTTGGTGCTGTTGTGCTGGCTATCCTCATGGGCACAAGAAACCACTTCGCGAAGATCTTCAATAATGACCTGCAGGTCGTTGAACTCACTGCTGAGATCATGCCATTGGTCGCACTATTCCAGATCGCGGATGGTTTGAATGGAAGCTGCGGTGGAAGTCTTCGAGGAATGGGCCGACAGCATGTAGGTGCCGCTATCAACATTGTGAGCTACTATTGCTTTGCTTTGCCACTGGGTGTTTATCTTGCTTTCCATGGGTGGGGACTCAAAGGACTTTGGGTCGGTCAGTGTGTTGCCCTCTACTGTGCGGGTATTTTGGAGTGGGTGCTCGTCACTTTCACTCATTGGGACAACGAAGTTCGCAAGGCGTTTAAGCGGATGGACGGTCATGGTAGTTTGGAGTCAGGTGTAGGAACCAAGATTGTTGGTGATGATTAAGAAAATGTTGATAGATTATACTTATATATTGACTGTATAGATGCCAAGACAGATAGTCATGATCGCCTATACAGACTCGCAGTATCTTGTTAGTGCGGCTGCACAGTGCCTAGACATTTTGTGATTCAAATTTGGAAGATGAAATTTGTAGTCTACCAGCCAAATGTCTACGTATGCCGGTTCGTTCTATCAACAAATTTGTAAAGCGAGCGAGCGGTATTAAACTACGCCAAATCCTACCCAGAGGAGGTGATGCGCGCGAGCAGGGGTGGTGTATATACGAGCCGAAATGCTAGAAAAAAAGGCAGTGGAAATATGAACGTTGCCAAAGAAAGATCCGACCAGTAATTTGAAGATAATTCTGCTCAGTGGTATATCCCTGGTTTGTGACACACTAGGAACCGACGGGCACGTGAGTGCGTATGGTAGCTTGTGCGCGAGATAGCAGCGATGAAGGAAATTCTTGATTTCTTAATCAGCAGTAACCAGTTAAACCTTGCGTGTCACGGAAAAGAAATTTCTGCAAGAGCGCTGAGCTAAATGTTCGCCCTCCTTGCTCGTCGGCGGTACAGTATCATGGACACTGATTATTATGCCATGAATTCCCCTAACTTCGATATGACGCTCCCATTCGTCCCGAACACTCTCCATTTGGGTAATTCCTGAATAAAACAAAGTTTGCTATTGTTCAATTTCTTAAGTTTATCTCATTTCCCCGTCGGCTGGCTGAAAGAGCGAACTGCATCCAATTGTCCGAAAAAGATCTGCATCGTTGCTCTCTCATGCAATTGAGCGGGGTGGAAGGCTGGAGGCTACGCTTATAGCAAGTGCAGCAGCATTGATTGCCTTAATGTGTACAATTATCATTACAGAGGCGGGTCATGAGTTCTAAGAACAGCGACCAGGGTGCTTGGACCGAATGGAGACAACCTGGGCAATATTTCTGGAGGACCTGTCTAGGCCCGATCCTGTTCGGGGTTCCCGGAAAATGACTCGGGAATTTTAGGATGAGTCATGTACTACAGATCGTCTAGGAGCCCTGTCAAAACTCTTCAAAAAGCCTGCAGACTTGTGTTTTGTCTATGCTCTCATCGCGTTCTGAAACTTGACAGCGACCGTGCCCCCTCATCCGGCGAGCAGTGTGGTTGTGTGATGTCGAGGTGAAGAATGAGCGTTGCAATCCGTGCCATGTCTGATATTAAAGTGAATCTCTTGAGGCTTTGGACCAGAGAATTGAATGTAATGAGGAAATTACTCCGGGCGGTTTGAACAATCACGTCTGCTCCTTTAATCCACCGTGTGTAATTAACCAGCCGAACGAGGAAAAAGGATATCTTTCAAATTCAGAACCGCATGAGTCTGAGAATGGAATAGGAATGGGACCAGATGTGAGAACCGAAAGTCCCGGGTTCATGTAACATCAGCGGAACGCAGGTCAGGCTCCGCCAAAAATGACAGGGAACTGGGAAAACGGTGAAAAACCAAATCTGGGCGTGGCAATGGCATCAGCGTGCTCGCTTGATCTGATTATTACCCCACCGAGACATTCTAGCGCTTCAAAAAACTGCATCTGTGCGCCAAACATGCTGCCGAACATGCAGCTTTATCCACAATCACGGGCATGGATACTCAGTCGGGCAAGAGAGAGGTGGAATGGGATCCACGTCCAAGGCAGGACACGGATCGAGTGAGCCACCACTGTACAGTAGTTTTGGAGTTGCGGGCCTCGGAGGACCTGGCCGGTTGGTCTCTTCTAAGCTAAGCCTTTCTTGACAGTGGCAAATTCGGATCTCTTTTTCTCTCCTTTTGTTCCTGGGTCACCCCCGTGAGATATCTTAAGTGGTCAATCGTGTTCTTTCAACTGTATCAAGGTCTAAACATATCTAGCTTACTGCCATTTGTCGGGAACTTGTAATCTGTCGCTTTTAACATTGCTAAGGCGCCATGGAAACCGCTATGTGTTGAGTCCGATCCAATCATCCATTCGCAGAGAGCCCCACCAACGGTGCCGTGGATGGACTCGCTCCAACGTCCAAATGCCGAGCGATCGCCTATCCCGGCCGAACAAATCTCGACCTTTTTTCTGGGGATGAACAATTTGCTGTTTATTCAGGGATATTCCTTAATCTTAATAACGTCTGACGAAGGGGCTTCGGCGCGTCGATAGTTAGTCATGAAACGCTTCGGTCTCGAGGTAGATGCTTTATATTCAACGCTCAACCCGTGCCTAACCCGAATGAAGATGCATATTGAGAACGCCAGATGCAAGTATTAGCCGTGCAACAACAAAAATTTTACCATTGCAGCTTCTGTCGATCGATATGGATTCCCTACGCCCGGTACGACACATCATCATCATTGGTGCGGGCATCGGGGGCCTCGCCTGCGCACTCGCCCTGTCCCGAGAACTCACACCCTTTGTGCCCGACCTGAAAATTACGGTATACGAACGACATGATATACTGTCCACATCAGGCGGTGCCATCAACTTGACACCCGTGGCACAACGGCACCTTGCGCAGCTTGGGGTTTTGGATGAACTGAACCGAATGGGGCCCGAAGGCGGAGCGGAGGTGGATGCAATCGAGCTCTATTCTATGCGTTCCGGTCGCTCAATTGGCTCGATTGACTTTGTCGACCACCGGGGCAATGGTTATGGGGGATTCAAGGGTCGACGTGTGATGCGCATCGTGTTGTCGATGGCAATGATGACCATCGTGGAGCGGTCACCCACCGTCGACATTGTTTTCGGCAAAAAAGTTGTCAACGGAGAGGAAATAAACAACAAAGCCGTGGTACATTTTGAAGATGGCACCAAAGCTATTGGTGACCTCGTTGTCGGCTGCGACGGCGTTCACTCAGTAGTTCGCAGCCGATGGGTTGATCCCGACACTCCTTCTCAATATACGGGGATGTCATTCCTGCAAGCCAATATACCGTCCGAGGATATCTCGTCTCCTATTCACTTCCGCTCGTCTGCATTAAATGTTTCCAGGCATGGGTCAATGTTGACAAGTTTCTGCGATAGTGATTGCAAACAGATCTTTGCCGCCGCAGTCGTTCAGTTCAGTCAGGAGGACCTGAACTTCTATCGGCTTGAAGCCGGACAGGACTGGGCAACGCAACATCAAATCAGGGCCGCTCTACGTAATGAAATGCGAGATCGCTTTGGAAAATGCGCGATGCCTTGTATTCGAGAGATGGTGAATAGCAAGGCTGATTGGATGCTTTACCCCGTCTATCAAGTCCGACCCGGAGGACCCTGGTGCACTGACCGCGTCATCTTGCTAGGCGATGCAGCTCATGCAGTATGTCCCCCTCAATGCCTTATCTGACAAATTACCAAAGCTTCTTTAGATGCCCCCACGAGACGAGTCCGCCGCATACGCCCTGGATGACGCAATTATCTTTGCTCGAATCCTAGCCAAACATCGGTCGGAGCCGCTGACCGAAGTCTTTGACACATATGAGCGTCTTCGTCGGGATAAAATCAACTATGCATTCAGGGAGTCTCACCGGATGTGGGACCGAAACCGGGACATGGGTATACTGGAAGGCCGGCTCAAGGAGTGGATGATGCCCCTTTATCTCCGCAGTTATCGAGATCAGCGAGAGGCTGCATGGGAGTTTGATGCAAGCAAAATCACCATCCCATCTCCTGCGCCTAGTGAAGACTTGGTATCTTTGCATTCGTTTCTGAAAGAACAAACTCTGTAAGGGCGCCGGAATGTGCACAGGCGGGTTCTTTTTATAGGTTGGTAATGGTGTTCAGCGACGGTTGCATGGGTTGGTGTACTGGAAATGATCTGTGATTTGATACCAAAGGCCCCAGGAGAGAGACATATTTGACTTCTGCGGACAGAGGTTACGCCGTGTGATTGCTCACGACGGGCCTCCAGTCATGGTCAGATCGTAGAATTGCGGGGAGATAGCTGCGTATTGAGCATTATGTTACAGCTCAAATCATGCTACATTCCCCCCCCCGCCTCCCCTCCCCAAGATAGCAGTACTAGCGTCTTGTTCCCCTATTGTTTTCGTTTCACTCGTGCACCACTTGGACATCCAAAAAACAGGTTGTCATTGGACTACCCTTTTTGGGAAAGACAAGCAAGCTCAATGCCCCTGGTATAGTAAGGGGAAATATTGAAGCATTGCCTTTTCTATACTTCTTCAGCTATAGCGCCGAGCTTGGGTTGTGATAGCGTCGCGAGGTCACGGCTGGGTTTGGTATGGAAATAGACGAGAGGTCTTTATACACCGGATAACAAACAACGTCTTTGTTAGCTGAGACGCAAGGTCATCCACAATAAGGCCAGAAAACAAGAAGAGAATGAAATAACTTCGTCCCTATCTTATATGTGTATTAGGAGGACCCAAAAGGTTGCAGAAAATGGGAAGGTGGTTTAACTATACCTCACGGTACCTTATTGGTTTGGGATGATGGAAGCTGAGTAATCTGTGCTGATGACGGATCTGAAAGTGAGGCAACCTCGGCCCCCGCAGGGAAGAGGAGTTAGTCACTGTCCACGGGTGCTTCAACTAGGACGAGTTCTTTGCCACGAGGAGCCAGCTCGAACAGAAACCAGATACCTACTTATTTGCAGTCTATCCAATCAAGTTGAGCTCGGCTTCATACTCTCAAGAGAATGACACAAGGACAATCTGGTGGCATACATTGCGACGAGTTCACAATGGAGGAGACCTTTTCGTCGGTTCCCACGGTCAACTTTTCAAGACTGAACAACCCAGCTACAAAGAATACTGAGCTCTTAAAGCTAAGAGAGGCTATCTTTGTGGTGGGGTTTCTTTATCTGACTAACACCGGTCTGGAGGTGCGACAATTGACTTTTGTGCGGCTTTCGAGCGGGTGGGCTGATCGGGTTGTTAGGATCTTATGCGCCGAACCCACGAGGCACTGCCAAGTCTTTTTGCTCTGTCTACAGAGGTAAAGGAAAACTGTAACATGATAAACTCTCCGTCATTCCTTGGATATACGCGGCTTGGTGCTGAGACTACGGCATCCAAGACTGATATCCGTGAGGTAATTCCCCCGCCATCCTCAAGTGAACTGCAGTGAATTAAAACATACGGTCAAAGCAATTTGACTTTGGCACTCCAGGCATGAAGCCATGGACCAGCCAGGATCCATTCTGGCAGAGACTTGAAGGGTCAAACCAGGTACGCCCTTCTGTCCGCTCCAACTCCATGTCTCTGACAATGGAACACAGTATCCAAACCATCCGGGAGCACAATCTCTCGTTGAGAAATACCTCAAAAGCGTGGACGAGCTGGCACAGAGCTTTGTGCATCTGGTCGCGCAATGCCTGTCCCTTCCTGCCGACACCTTTGACGAGTTCAAAGGTAAAATGAGTCGACTGAAATTTGTGAAGTATCCGCAATCCGCGCCCGAATCCCAAGGGGTTGGCCCGCACAAGGATTCCGCTGGCCTGTTCACTTTTCTCTCACAGGACGACTCCGGTGGGCTACAGGTCCTGAACAAGAACGGCGAATGGATCGACGTCCCTCCAGTTGACGGTAGCCTGGTGATCAACATCCAACAGGGATTTGAGGCTATTACAGGAGGTATCTGCGCAGCCACAACGCATCGTGTGATCGTAAGTAGAGTTGATACACGTCGGTATCGTGAGTAGTCACTGATACCAGTATTCCAGGCGCCCACTTCCAGGACTCGATACAGCATTCCCTATTTCCTTGGGGTCAGGTTAGACCTGACTCTGGAAAAATTGAAGGAGTCAGCCGCTCATATTGTGGGCCGCATTCCTACCTCGGACGACCGCAAGAAACGTGCAGTTGATGTCCCAAGTGAATTCTTGTCTCCTCTCTATTCCTGTGTAAGTCACAGTCCGTGTGATGTGGTCGGTTCTAACAAGTCACTAGTTTGGGGAGGCGCATCTGAGAAATCGCATCTTGAGCCACCCCGATGTGGGACAGCGGTGGTATCCAGAGCTGTATTCGAAATATTCTCAACAGAATTTTAAGTAGGGCTCGGCTTCTATCGTGGTGTGTATGCAACAGAGGTCCCTGGGGAACCCCAGGATATAACGTACAGCATAGACATTATAGAGTCCGCATCAACGCGTCGTATTCACCTATTTCTGTCGTAGCCCAAGAAACGATGTGGGTCCATTCTCTGGAAACTGCATTGTTGCACGTGGAGTTGAATGCGTCCAGGTATTGGAGCAAGGTCATGGAGGTGCTAGACAATGTGTCGCCGGCCACTCCAACTTATCCGATCGCGGCGTCGAGTGCGGGTCAAGGCCGCCACATCCCCCCAATAACAAACCGAGGGGTAGCTGGGTAACACCCAGCTCCACCTTGAACCCTAGACCACAATTTCCTGTATAAGCTCTACTGCCCTTGACGCCCTTCGCGGCCAGCTGGCGACCGCGACAGTTTATACTCCCGACTCCGAAGGATACAAAGAGAGCCTTGTCAGATGGTCGGACACCGGGATGAAACGTGCGGTAGGGAAGAGAAATTATAAAGCAGAGTTCATCGACTGATAACAGCTGCAGGGAGTCGTGGTCTAACCAGTAGACCCTGCTGATATTCGGTCTGCTTTGCTGTGGGCACAATAACACGGCATCGAAATCGCCGTAAAAGGTGGGGGACACTCGACCACCGGCATCAGTTCCAGCGAGGGTGGCTGGTGATTGATCTTTCACGCTTAAATCAGGTTACGATTGATACCAAGCGCAAAACTATTACCGCCCAAGGTGGTGCAACCTGGAAAGAAGTCGACGAAGCTGGTGCTGCTCATGGGCTAGTGACGGTGGGAGGAACCGTCAACCACACGGGTGTTGGAGGTTTGACGTTGAGAGGTGGATACGGCTGGTTGAGTGGACAATACGGTTTGATCATCGACAATTTACTGTCTGCTATGGTGGTTCTGGCTGATGGAAACCTTGTGACGGGTCCTGCACCTGAGCATCCAGACTTGTTTTGGGGACTGAGAGGCGCAGGATACAACTTCGGCATTGTAGTGGACTATACCTACCAGGCATACGACCAAAAGGGACCAGTTTATACATGCATTCTGGGGTTCCCAGTCGGCAAGCTGGAGTCTGTTTTATAGCAGCTCAATGCCACTTTGACAAATCCGGATCCACGCTCGGCGGCGATGTGCATTTTCGCCCACGCACCTGATGGCGCCGGCCCGATGATCGTTGCCATCTGCTTCTATAATGGCACTCGCAAAGAAGGCGAGGAGCGCTTTTCTGCGAAGTGTTGACCATTTTAGCCGGCGATTCGGTGGTGACAAACATCTACGGAGAGAATCTATCACGCCTGCAGTTCGTCAAAGCCAAGTATGATTCAAAGAACGTGTTCCACAAGATGCATCCTGTCGCGCCGTTTACGAGTCAACTCCCAATATAAATGAAATATTACTCAGTTTAGGCTGTGATTAATTTCCACGGTTCTAGCAAAAATGTCTGCCAGGCTACTACTGCGAAAGGTCGTACTGGAAATGTAGGCATTATGTGCCACTTGACACGCCGTACTTATATTGTTTTGCGCTAGTTGATTACCGTACGGAGGCCGGAGGTGATTGCTTTGCCGATGGCGTTTGACGAAGTGCCCAATAACTTAATGCGCGGTAGCTACTGAAAAACTTATCCTAGTTTCAAGCAAAAACCACCTGTCATGATTTCGGTTTCTAGGTACCATACACGAAGCTCTATCCCCAAGGAAAATTTCCTTCATTCATACTCCCACGCGGAATTCTAGGGCGCGTTCTCACAAGCTCTTTCTCCACTACCAAGTCCCCTCCCAATCCAGCTTTAAACAGCATTGGCCACAGACTCGCATGTGAGGGTTTTCATGTGCTCCTCGCGAAATTGCCTTCCTGGAGAGCTCCACCAAAAGAAGTAGAAATCGCCTTGACGTTCCAGCTTCTTTTTAAAGTCGATAAATTGCCACAGAAGAGCTTTCAGTTGCACCATCCGCCTGGTTGTACTGGTAACAGAGTAATGAGAGAATCTTTCCTCAACACTTTGTGCGATTAGATTACAATCGGCGTCGATATCGGACTTTGCAAGGGATGCGGATGCTCTACTCATGGAATAGCGCTAATGCTGCCAAATATAAGGCGGACCTGGTCTCTCTATTAGTTAGAATCCCGGATGGCCGTCTACATATCTTAGTCTTTTTTATCTCGTTGTCAATGTGATAGAGATTGTCGCCAAAACTTTCCTTCAAGCCGACTATGAAGCGTGCAAGAATTGATTGAAATATATGCAGCGACAGATCTGCACGGACCTTGGAGAGTATCTTCATCGGATCGAAAGGCTGGCCATTCAGTTTGGATGAGAGATGTTCGATATCCGACTGGATTGAACATTTTTCAGCTAGGCCGCGACTGTAATGTTCATTAACCCAGTAATCAGGGTCTTGATAAAGGTTTTGATTCGTGAGCGCTGCTTCTCCTTTTTTAAAGCAATCCTTCAATTTCGAGCACGCCGAGTTTGGCCACAAGCTCACGATTTTCTTTGAGCGCAGCCTCTGCCATTTTCTGAGCCTCGTTGGTCTGTTCACTTTGCCAACGTACTCTATCGAGACTCATAATTTGACCTTTCCGCAATTTGATGGCGTTTTCATCGATATTATCAAGTTTTCCTTGGGGATTTTTACAAATCCGTTGCACACTTTCCAGCTCAGATAGAATAGAAGTTTGGTCCTCGGCGTTCATCGAGCTGCTTCCATCCGGCAATGCTTTGATTTCTTCATAGGGGGTGTATGCTGGTGGAGCAGTGGCCATTTCGGGTTTGGTACTCTTCAAGACGCTCATCCTAACTGAGTCGAGAAAAAACATTTCATGTCGAGCGGTATCAAGAGTCCTTTTTTAAAGAAGCAATGAAGAGGAGTATTGGATACCTCCCTACATTTAGAAATGCAATTAAGATCCAATCCACGGAGATCCAATGGGTCTTTCTCAGACGTGTAGTCTCCGATACCCGTTGTCGCGTCGGGCAGTGGTCAATAACACAAACCACCGATAACCGATTTCATGTGTTAGGAGAACATACATCCAGCCCTAGAGAGCTACTGTGCTCGGTATTTGCTGTTATTTGACAAGTCTACCAAAGCCTGAGTAGCCCTAATAAAATTCGAACAGGTGTAAACGGAACACAGCAGGAGCATAATGACATGTATTACTATCAACAAAATCGCTCATAGAGCCTAGCTCTAAGCATACCGACTAGTTAAGGAATCTTGGCGCGATGATACCATCCATCAAGAGGATCCGTAAACTGCCATCCTTTGGAGACCCTGCCCATGAATAACTTCCAGAGGGGCAACGAAAGCCATCTGGCTCCATGAAAAGACCTCGTTATGCCCACCATACACAAATACTTCAAAGCGACCCACGAAATGACCGTCCACCCACACGCGACTGCCAGAAATTTCATCTGTGGTAATTGTAATTTGGGCCTTCATAGGGATGTTGACAATTTTATGAGTCGAGCTAGTCGTGTTGGCCCAAATTCTTCCAGGCTCAGCAGGATCGAATCCATCAGTTTCCGCGACCGAGCGAAGTGGGTATGGCCAACCATCGGCAAAAAAGTTAACTGGCCATCTTCTGACAACGCAAGGGTTGCGTCTTTTGATTCAATAGTAAAGATGCCGTTCGTATCCAGCCGCATGGTATAGTTCATTCCCTTACTGCCCAGTCCAATCTGATGACCCTGCTGGGAGGGGTCCGAATGAGGTTTTGTCCATGAGAAAAGCGGACCCGGAAGATGATCAGAAACGTGTGAGAGCTTTCGGTCCAAGTTTTGCCCAATCGCGTGCCTAGTCAGTCGCTCGATCGACTCGTCCAAGGTTAGCGCAATGAGTCTAGGTCCCACATTTCCCGACCATGCGCGAGATCCAACGACCGGAATCCCATTGCGAATGGCATAATAAGCTTCGAGTTGTGTAGTCGCATCTGGCCCATTGTCATTCCAGGCTGCCATAATGGCACCCCGAACCGCGTTTGAATCGGGTTGTTCCGTTTTGTTAACTGGATTGAAGAGCTGTGGAGTCCACTGCCATCCTTCGACGTCGGCAAAATTCAAAACGCGTGCGGTGTTGAAGAACTGAGGATAAGGCGCCGGTGTAATGGGCACATGGTCATTTTTCAGCGAAAGATAAGCCCACCAGTCCTCGGAATTGATGATCTGGTATCCATTTTGAGCCAGCATCATGGGATCTGATTGTCCGTATTGCCAATGCTGAATAGTGATGTTTTTGTGGATTGACTGTGTTTCGGATGGCTCGTATGTGCCCCAGATGCGAATTCTCTTCTGGTGGGTTTGGTGGATGAATTGAGACATCTCATTCACGAAGCTAATGTAGTCATCAGCCAAAGTAGAATCGTATTCATCAGCGCCAATGTGAATCTCCTTGGTGCAGAACCAAGGGAGAAACTCCGTCCAGATAGACTTGACCAGAGGAATGGTTTCCGGGTGGGACAGGTTGAGTAAATCCTGTTGGTCCAGAGCCAATTCCGGCTTCCACTTAGTCACTGATAAGCAATGTCCTGGGGCTTCAATTTCCGGTATCACCGTGACTCCTCGTTGGGCACAATGGTTTTGGAAGTCGTCAAATTCGGAGCGGGACAGTGTTTCATTTAATCGCTGGACAAGTGGCATCAGCTCCGGATTCTCAGGCCGCAGAGCAAATTGCGAGTACACTTGGTCCCAAGTTACATTAGGCCCTCGGGAGAGAGGGTAGTTGTCCGTTGCATGGTAGTGGAATTCGGAGAGTTTGAAGAAGGAGGCGTAGGTGCAAAGGTCCTTAAGGTAGTCCAGGGTATACCATTTCCGACCGGCATCCAGCATGAAGCCTCGCGTAGCGTACGCTGGCGCATCTTCCACGCGACCAGCCGGGATCGAATGTGAATTTAGAACGAGCTGTTGTAGGATAGTTCGAGTGCCCCACCACATTCCTCGCGCTCCCGAACCAAGGATGGAAACACGGTCCATCCCGACGACGACTTCGTATCCTTCTTCCGTTGCCGTGCCATCCTCATAGGTGAAGTAATTCTGGGGTTTCAAGCGACCGAGGAATATTCCCGATGCGTGCTCTGGAAGTTCCTTCACGGTTCGAATGTTCCAGCTACTATTGGTGAGTTGCTGGAGATCGTCACGAAATGTTCCAGCAAACTGAGATGTCGAAGGCGGAATCAGTGTCAGGCCATCTTGGTCCTTCCATTCCGAGAAGTCCTCCTCGAGATAGATCACACGGTCCGTGGATGCAAGAGAAAATTCTTCTAAGTGAGAATGCCGAGCAAACTGCACCGGTGGAAGGGTCTGCAGGGCCGAAGCCAGGACAGAAGTAGTTAGAATGAAGAGGTGCCACTTCATCGCGATACATCCTGGCAAGAGAGAGATCTTCCCTTTTTATCATATTTTATGCAAGGGGTGTGGATGGCAGCGTTACATAGCGATCGGCAATATTTGTTTAGACAGGGAACGAGGAACGTGGGATGACACGCGATTGAGCGGGGAGTCCTGGACTGTGGGGGTAGATAAACAACGTTACAGAGAGCTGATTTTTAGCCCCCATCTTTCGCTGGATATTATTTCCATTTCTCTCCCATTTTAACCCATAACGGCTGCGAATACCTCGGCTTGCGTTGCGGTATTTGGAAACCTGCCCCCTCAGACCCAACGTATCGTGACCAGCAAGCCGTTACCCGTTGAATCTTGAGCGACATCTTGCGCAGATACTTATATCTGGCACAGGTTTAGTTCCTTTGCTGCGGACTTCCGGTTGAACTTCTCTGCAGGGTCGATCACTGGCGGATTGTGGATGTAAAACCCAAATCGATACCAACGGGAGCTCTGATCAAAAACTAGCGGTCATCCGTCAGCATAAACTGTGGACTCTTGATATGTGGCTTGGATATTTCCAAAGCTATGATAACACCATAAATCAGCTTGGCTATATCACCATCGTCTTCATAGTGACGGAATGCCCCTGCAAAGCACTGCAATGTCTTGGTGGAGCAGCCCAAAAGCCCATTCTTGGGATAGTGGTAGGAGTCGCGCGGTCCGCTCCCTTGATACCCATACCAAAGAACATCGAGTTTCTCGCCCCTTTACTTTGCCTATATCTGGGAATTTTTCGTCGGGTCTACAATACAAGTGACATCCTTCAGCATCGTGGAGAGTCAATACTGTTAGACTTTCCCTGACAGAAGCGCTGTTCTGTGGTTGAAATATGAGCTCCAACCCTTCAGCGGTTTGTCAACATCATAAGATCAACGTATGAGATAAGGGATATTGCACAGACCTTCATTCTTTGAAATCACGTATTGTGACAAATTTACACTACTGGTCTGTGATCGTTCGCATTAGCCGTCACTTCTTGCACATGCGGGGGGAGAACGAAGGTTTCCGCTAGTCCTGCCCACTGCAAAGCATCAAGACGAGCCAAGCCAAGCTTAACGAGCGGGAAACTTTGACTCTGACACCGCAAGACCTGCAGCCATGACTCTACCAACTGTTTTCCTCGGATTGCATGGGTCGCATTGGGGGCTTGCACGAGCAACAACATCAAAAAATTTGAAACAATCGCAAAGCCAATGCGTGACCCTAGAGTGGGGTGAGCAAAGACAAGTGTATTTGAAGTCGCATTATTGAACTCACAAGAATACCAAAAACCGGCGAAGTCACTGGGTGTTAGTCTTCGAGTAAAGTGGACCAAAATCGTGGCGCACTTTTCGGCCGCATGCAAAGTTATTTCACAGTTGCAATATACATCCGGCATGGATACCTCAGGCAACGATTCGAGCATTGGTGTGTCCGTAAAATCCAGTATGGAATCATCCACCGGCAACGGCGAGGTCGCCATTTCCTCCAGATCAAATATCATTGGAGGGCTAGATGAGCGTGCCATTGGTCGAAGCATGGCACGGTACACGTAAACGACGAGTAACAAATACGCGAAATGGATGGAAGTGGGATACGGTGCTAATCCGTGCACCGACTTGTTCCAATTTGGCAAACGAAAGTTTTCCGGCAGAGACGAATACCACAAATTCAGCTTCGCTAAGAGCTCCCGGCCCAGTTCGCTCGAAGATTCAAAGTTTGCATTTAGAATCTGAGAAGCTCTCAGTGTGCTAGAGACGGCAATTAGTAGTCCGTTCAATTCAAGACGTGATATTGACACTCACTAGAATGTTTCATGGATTTCCTCGGCAATCCTCGCCAAGTTCACAAGGTACCGGAAAGGGATATCGGTGTCACAAGAGGATGTTGAAAATCCTTGCCTAGGGCCGACCAAAAAATCACCTTCGTCGAGTTCACTTACGTCCCATTCGGCCGAGTGTATATAGGGAGGGCGCCCCATTAGTAAACTGCGCCATTTATCTTCGGCATAGACCGCCCACCACAGCCGACGCCGCAGGCGTTTCTCCCATGCCGGGATCCCCCACATGCGGCATTCGATGTGAATGCCGAGGGAGCATGCTAGGCCGACAATCTGACCTACAAAGGACCACATAAATGGAGTATCAGCGGTCGTAAATCGTGCGTCACCCGTGGGTTGTTGGTGAATGTAAAGCAAAGCAGCTTGTAACACTGCCAGGCGAGGACTGTGGATCTCCTCCGATATAATCTCATAGACCATGCGCCACAGTCTTTGCACTGGAGATGCGCGATATGTGCTCAACACACAGAGATAGTCGTCATGGGCAGCGAATGGTAATGCGGATGCATATACGGCCGCCAGGAGATGCACGGGTACCTTTCCCAAAGCTTCTAGCTCTGGGAGCTGATGCGACGCTGTGGTCAACCCAAGCTGGGAGCGTGAAATGACTGGCAGTGCAGGAAACACATACTTGACAAACCTGGGCGCTGATTTAGTGATTCGATGAACATTTGGAACGTGGGGATTTCCGATGCAATACTTACAGTGCAACTAGCCTTCTTCCATACTCCCGAGGGACAAGACAATCAAGATGTTCTTTTGTCACTTCGCCTATGCCTGCCCGAGTTTCCTGTTTCATTGCAGTCGAGAGATCGTCGGATGTAATCATAAAGTGAACCGGTATCCGTTGTGCAGTAGGGACTCCCCCGGCATTGCGATAATGTACTTTGTAGAAATATTTCATGCCAGAATCATCGAAACGGCAATGTCTGAGTAGCCAGGGATCGGACTCTGCCGATGCCCCAAACAACTGTGCATGGCCGTGATCAAGCTGATCGATACTTTGCACGAACTGAGTTGGTGGCCGGTTGGCTAAAAATATTCCAGATTCTGGCGACGGCCCACGGAATTGGCCAAGATCAAGCGACGGAAAGGCGGATTCAACGCTTCCAGAGGCACTTCGGACTTGGGAAGGGTCACCGGAAAAAATGCTGCCTTCGCCGTGAATGGGCAACGGCAAATTATCGATGGTCGCTGGGGAAAGCGCAAGCGACTCTGAAAGACGCGCCCGCTTCGGCGGTGGGTTATCGAACGTACAATCTAGCTTGGCAGCTCGGCATCGCTGGCAAGGGAGGCCTGTGTCTGTTTGGCATCCTAGTTTTCGGGACCGGCATTGATCGCAAGGTCGGTGACGCTTTGACCGGTAGGGCCGGGCGGAAAGGGGTGATGACATTTGTTCACTGAGGTCGGCGTCCAGGTGATCGGCGGGTGTGGGAACGATTTACAGGCAGACACGCATTTTTAACATAATATCAGAGTGGAGAAATACTCGACAGTTCGGCGAACTTCATAGTGAACGATGGCCGACGTGCGAAATGGCGCGGCGAAGTCCGAGTTCACTGGATCCGGCGGATCGCCAATAGCGGAGCCGATTATCAAGGTGAAAGTATTGCATATCCGAGTCCTTGTTTCATCCGCTTTCGGAGATGCGCAGAGTAACATGCGGGACCCAATATCACATGAACGAGTTGATCGTAATCATGAGTGGAAACTCTCGGCGAAGTCGAGCGATCGGCCATCGGTGAACATTGCCGACTTCAAGACCTCCTGATCCATCCATTCAAGGTAGGACCAGAGAGTAGGGTAAATCAAATGAAGGATTATGGTCTCCATCGGCGAAAAGGAGAAGAGATATGCTGTCATCGTTATGGAAAAATAGAAAGAGAAAGGACCGCCGAGAGATTCATCATTTATAAGACAGCTGTAGCAGAACCATCGCCTAAGTCCAGTCATACCATCATCAATTTTCTCGTGATCAAAAGTCACTCATCATAAGATATCACTACATTGGCATGATGACATCCCACCTTGGGCGATCGTCAATGTGCGGGGAGATCAAAAGCCTCTTTTCCCGAAATGACAAAAGCAGGCAGACCGCAGACGAGGCCCAGTCCGATATTACGTTGGCTCCAAGGTTAGCCTCTACGTGCTCTTCCTTGAATTCCAGAATTCATGTCGCTAATTTGGAGGTAGAGAAAATCATAAGTTTAGGCCCAAGGGACTTGCACGAGTTGAAAAGTTCAACGGTAAGTTCCCAAGTCCGACGGCTATCTAGAGCTTCACAATAAAACTTTTCTAAGCCCTTAAGTATAGCCGCAGATATGTGTTTTGGATCGTGTTGCAGGAATGCATAGATGAAATCGCAGGAGGGAGTATTCGACAACCAGCCGCTGTTCGGACTTTACGAAAAAAAACTTGGGATGCGAACCCGACCAATTGTTACTGCAACGTTTGAAATGATACACATTCGTATCCACGACCATGCAAGAATTACAGATTGAAAGTCTCTGTGGAGGATAAGTCTATGACGATCCAGAGCACCTATATGTAGGGTTTCTTTGGCGTAGCGGGATTCTCCAGCAGTTTTAAACATCGAGCCATACCCATGAATATACACAATCAGCTTTTCTTGAATTTTTTTTTGAGGATATTTATAACCCGTTCGAATTTTATCCATTTGCGACCGTAGGAAACTACTCGGGCGCGGATACATATCGTGCCCTCTGTTGGAAATTGGAGCCCTCATCCTAAGGCGCCAATATCGGTCGGCATCTCTCTGCCCCGATGGCTGCTGATTGGCCAGCTAGGCCCATGAGGTTATTGGAAATGGGCGCCCGTATATGCAGGTTCCTCATCTATATCGCCTTCTTTGCTTCTTTTCAGGGGGTTTCCCCATGGACACCGGGCAGCGGTGTAGGAGAACATTTTTGTATGCATTTCTCTTAGAAAACAGTTCTCAGGGGTAGGATATAAATATCCCCCTGAGAACGAGTAGAAAAGACAATCAGAATTTACCATCAATTACCTGTCTATCTTCTTTTCGTCTGATTATCTACCCCCTAATTCTCAACACCCTCAATCGGTAGACTACCAATTGACCGAAAACCGCTCAGCATCCATCAATGGGTCCGCTGCCATAGCTGACATGGCCCAACCAGGAAAATGTTGTCCACTAGATTTGTATCCACTTCACTGTAGACCAAAATGCGCGCGAGCTGGCATTTTGGATGTTACTCGCCATCCCTTGCAACGTGCCAACTCGAACAAAAAACTATATCTTCTCACGATCGATACTTCGACCAGTTGACCACTATTGGCCCGACGCCGAGAAGGTACAGATGACATGATCGGATCCTAAACCCAAAGTGAATCTTATGGCGATGGTGTTCCTCCATCTCCACCCATTCCACTCGAGGTGAACGGGGGCGGGGCCGGATGAGCGGAGACGCTCGAACACGTGTCAAAAGGATTTCGACTATTAGGCAAGCGCCGCAGAGCAAGGAAGAGGCGAAACGCCGAGGACGTTCATAGCATAACTTTTTCAGCTGGGTACAAATGTTTTCCAGCTCCTGTAAAGTTCTGTAGCGACAGCTGATCATGGTCATTTCGGCCTACCCCCCCCCACTCTAACCGAGTTCCGAGCTCTGTACGATGAGGGGTAGAGCTGACATCACGGACCTCTTCGATACATCACACCGCTCGAGGCTGACACCTCTCGGAGACTAACTTGACCGATGATTTGTACTTAAAAGTACAGGTCAGCGGCTGCTTTTTCTAACACCCTTGCTTCATCGCAGCCGTACACGACACTTGCGAGCTACGATGATTTTCGAACCGGCTGAGCGGATCTTGCTCCCTAACAAGGATCTTTTGTCCTACATTTTTGATGATCCACCCTATGACCAAGATCAGCCAGTAAGTCTTGAAGCGACACGTCCTATGCTACATCATTTCGTCTTACATACCCTTGCAATTAGATTTACATCGACGTTCGAGACCAGTCACGCTCAATCTCATGCAATCAGGCTCGAAAGTTGATACGTCTCCTCATTGCGGGCTTGCGCGCTTCAGGTCTTCGCAGTGGAGACTGTGTTCTTATCCACTCTTTCAATGATGTAGGTGCATTCCTTGCCCAACACTAGGTCCTGCATCAAAAAAAACTAAAGATACCCAAATCAGATCAACTATAGCATACTTGTGCTAGCGATTATCGGCGCCGGTGGAGTATTCACGGGATCAAACCCGGCATACACACCGAATGAGCTGGCACACCATATCAAAGCTTCCGAGAGCAAATTTATTATATCCGAGCCGGAGATATTGAAGTCCCTACTTGGTGCTGCAGAACAGACAGGAATCCCGAAGCAAAATGTCTGGGTCTTTGACAACTTGAAACAAACCATACCAAACGGCATGAAATCCTGGAAGGAACTTTTGAACTTTGGCGAGGATGACTGGGTCCGATTTGATGACTTCAACAAGGCTCAGACGACGACTGCCGCAAGGCTATTTAGCAGTGGAACCACCGGCCTTCCTAAAGCAGTGACAATCACGCACTACAATTTAATTGCGCAGCATGAGCTTGTTTTTAGTGCCAATCCACGGCCATACTCTGTTTGTCTCACCCCAATCCTCGCCCATTCTCCGCGTCCGTTATTAATTGCAAGGAACAACATCTGATCAAAAATCCGTGATAGATTTCCCGTCTCATTGCTGTTCCAGTGTTCCATGCTTCCGCCGCGCCAGTCACTCATATATCTACTTTGAAAGCTGGGTCTGTGGCATACATGATGCGACGATTTAATTTGGAGGACTTTTTGACAGCAATAGAGAAGTATGGTATTACCGATCTGACTTTGGTGCCACCAATTGTGATTGCAATTGTGATGTCACCTATCTCTCAAAAACGTCCTTTCTTAAAGAAGGTCAGGCTCGCCGGCTGTGGTGCTGCGCCTTTGGATAAAGACGTTCAAGCGCGTTTCCGATTACTTATGGGTGAAGAAGGCCCGTTCACCCAGGTATGGGGTATGACGGAGACCTCGTGTATTGCCACGATGTTCCCATTCCCCGAGCATGATGATACTGGATCCGTGGGACGGCTTATCCCAAATCTGGAAGCCAAGTGAGACTCCAACTCTTTCCCCCAAAAATAAGGAACGAATAGTCTGGAGAAAAATGCTAAGTCTATGGTGCCAGACTGATCGATGATGACGGAATGAACATCTCGGCTTACAATGTTCGCGGAGAGCTATGTGTTCGCGGACCCACCGTCACGCCAGGGTATTACAAAAACCCCGAAGCCAACGCACTGGCGTTTGATTCAGACGGATGGTTCAAGACAGGCGACATAGCGTATTGCGACCAATCCACGAGGAAGTGGTATATAGTTGATCGAAAGAAGGAGCTGATCAAAGTGCGTGGGTTCCAGGTTGCACCGCCTGAACTTGAGGCTGTTCTGCTGTCTCATCCGCAGATTGTCGATGCAGCCGTGATTGGTATCAGTATCCCGGGTGCAAACACCGAGTTCCCTCGTGCGTACGTCGTGCGTCGCCAGGGGGGTGGAGGAACTGTACCAACTGAGGCAGAGGTTCAGCAATATTTATTGGAGCGTCTTGCTCGCTACAAAGCATTGACTGGTGGTGTCAAATTTGTTGGCGCAATCGCAAAAAACCCGAGTGGTAAAATCCTGAAGCGGGTTCTCAGAGAAGACGCTAGAAAAGAGATTGAGGCTGGCCTGATTAAGCCTCGCCTTTGAATTTTGGGACTCTCGGATGATAGTTAGGTGAATGCAAAGGATATTGTGATTGAGTGTTGGATCAAAGTAGCCACCGCATTGATCAGAACGAGAACGAAGTAAAAGAAATGACAGTAAGGACTGTACAATTACTTGAAACTTGATAGAAGTCCAAGATAAAGTGAATTTCCGTGTTTCTCGCATCTCCTTCCGCTGAATCAATTCGCCCAATTTGCAGTCGCTCGTACCGATTTAAGACAGCAAGAAAATGATATTCTCCAAAAGTATTGGATGCGTCCCGTCCCGCCATATCTACGATAATTGTTCCCGGTCTTAAGGACCGGAACTTTAACTCCCTAGTCAAACTTGCAATTTTGGACCGAGAGATTCTTGAATACACCTTGCTATTTCACCCTCAAACCAGAGGTTACCAGCCGACTCGACTCAAACCGCATAGGATGGGAGTTCATTACTGCATGGCCTCTGCCGATTTAGTGATACAATAATGCATTTCCCAGAGGTCATCTCTTCACCTTGACAGTGAAATCTGCCACGGGAAGACCTGGGCCTCTGTCAAAAGGCCTAAGTGTGGGGGTGATACGACGCTAAAGAATTTTATCAAGAATAGTCGATGAATTAACAAATATATATGTAAAGTGCGTTTGTGAGGTTTTATCCATCAATATCAATATTTCTTCATGCTTCTTTCTCTTACAACAAATATGTAGGGTTTTGTGCTAAATTCTGCATTGGGAAGATGATGGAAGAAGCCAAAAATCAGACATAGAGATATCCATTGGGCGGTATTCAATAGAAACGCGCGGCAATAATCAGATCTTATGCGCTGTACTTTTTCACAAACTGAATCAATGCCTGGTCCACTTCTTTAGGGTGTGACGCACTCAAGAAATGGGCACCATTTTGAACAGTCACAAGGCGCGCGTCAGGAGAATTCACAAATAGCTTGATCTCACGCTCAGCGTTGGGCACGGAGTAGACTACATCTTTGGTTCCCTGCACGAATGGTAAGTTAGTGACGAATTTCTATGTTTCTATACTCGGATATAAAAGCGAGACTTCAGCGAATGGAACAATAGATATGATAACTTACATGCAACCACATCACGGGACATTGCACATCAAAAAGCCTCGGGTGTAGCCCATCCCGATCTCTCAAGTTTATAGCTGCCATGCGAAGGCGACGCCGGCCATCGTCGCCTAAGTAATTTTGGCGGATGGTATTGCGCCAGAAATTGCGAACATCGGAAGGACAATCATCTTTACCGAAGCCGATGTCGATCAAGAAATCGCAGTATTCTTGGTCGGCCTCAAACTGAGGTGTGGGCTGTTGAGAAGTCCACTTCTCAATAGAGGGAGTTAACAGGGTAGGCGCGTCCCAGCAATTGAGACTACGCGTTATGTCCGTTTCAGAATCCATTGACGTGCCTAGGGGTATGATGCCAGAGATCTCAATTCTCATGTGTCAGCATAATGATTTCTAGAATGATTCAACGTTGGAAGGGTTTTGTCCACCTTGTCCGGCCGCATCAACGCCATCCGCACTGTGATCCAGCCACCTTGACTTGTGCCGAGTACAAAAGCCTTCCTGATGTTCAGGGCATCAAGGACTTGCAGATTCATCTCAGCCGTATCCCAATACGTCCAATTTTCGCGCTCAGTGCGTGTCTGGCCATGACCAAGAAGCTCGATGGCAAGCAGATTCATTGTGTCATTCAGCTCCTTGTTCGCGTACTGCTGGCGGTAAAGCTCCGACGACGTGGTAAACGAATTGACAAGAACCAAAGTTGGCTTTTTCGGATCGTAAGGTCGAGGCATCTGGTAAGATGCCTCGATACCACCCAGGTGGGGGACATGCACGATTTTGGTGTTAGACATGACGGTGGAGAAGTACAGAGCAAGTATTATGACGAATAGCAGATCAAGTTGCAGATAGAAAGTGGCAGTTCTGGAAATTGCGCCAGAGAGCGTTGAATACGAAATGCCATCGGATAAGCTCGACCACAAGGTTATTTAAGCTACCGTCCACGATTAATGATCTCATGCTTAAGTCATGGGTATGACTATTCCGTAACCCCGCATAAACAACCGTGGCCCACAATAGATTGACGAATTTTGTTTTCCAAATACCGAGGACCAGAAAGACTTGAGTTACTTGCGACTAGCAATTATGACTTGTGGGCTGTTCCTTATCCCAATTATGTACTTCTTTGAGTCTTACGATCTCCCACGATAGACTAACCATGATCATGGTTTTGTCGCGAACGGAGCAACGGTTTAAAATAGTCGGGCATATAAGCAGAGTGATCAACCAACTCCGCGTTGTGTTGGGTCAAACCTTTTGTTTGTAATCCACGGCGGGGGCTCTCCTATGTAGCTCGACGCATTGGATCTGCGGAGTATATTGGTCAAACCCGCTTCAGTGGCTCATGTCTCCACTCCACTTGCTTATCTCCCCGCCCTAGTTGCCTATATCCCCGCTCCAGTTGCTTATTCCGCTTTAGTTGTCAGAAGACAGGCTAGCTCACCGGTCACCTCGGAGGTCGCCTCCCCGATGTCTCCACCTCGATCATATGATATATAGGTTGACTCACTCACTAGGACCTATAATAATTAATTTCACCCTATTTTGGTTTTCTTCAAAACTCGTACTGTTTTACTCCTATAAGACCACGTAGTAATCTCCAGGTTTAGTGGGTAAGCGAGGTAGAGCCCCAATCGTGCATGTAATAACTTAACCGATAAGCGAGCCGCCCATAAAAGCCAGCCGCCGATTTGACTATCTACTCTCCACTTTACGCCAATTTTTACTAGTTAACCAAACCATCTTATTATTAACTAATCTCTTTAAATCTGTCCGCTCTATATAACCCCAACCCAGTTCAACCAGTTTAAACTTCAGCAGCACCCCTACAAAAACAGACTGCGACTGCCCAGGGGAGGAAGATAACGCAGTAGCTCAATTTGCGACAGAATTCGGATACGGATTGCTCGATCGATAATAATCGCTCAGGTGGGCCCCGTAAAAACCCATTCGTATCACGCGAGCGTGGCTGCTGCTGGAATCGGATGTTGCGGATAGACTTGCGGGTCGCAGATGTGTGATGCTGCATTAGTGTCGGTATGCAAGCGATGTGGAGTAATGTGTGTCTGCATGCGGTTGTATCTGCTATATCGAGAGAGATGGCTCTTTCGACGCGTCGAAGAGCCTGTAGCGAATGTGCTGTAGCCACGTGCAGCACATAGACAGGGAGGTAGGGTGCTCGAGCGTTAAAATCGATTTGGGGATTTTATACCAGGATATCGTATGCTGTCTCCTTCCAGGGCTCGCTGTCCAGAAAGGTTGCCATAAGTGGACTGGTGCTGATGTGAACGTCTCCCAGTGGAGGGACATTTGGATTAAACCCTGCTTTGAAGAGATGGAGGATAATTTTGGTATTCCCACTTGCGATAGCTTCATGCACTGGGGAGGAGAGTGCGAGAGACGAGGGTGTCAGCAGTTTCGGTATAGCAGGTATAGCAGGCAGAGCAGGAACCGCCGTCCAAATCAGCGATCCGAGTTTGAAGTGAGAAGACAATCCATGATCTCCGTTGAAGGCAGACCCGTCGCGACAACGAGCTGGCGGGCAGGTTCATGAAACCGATCGCGAGTGTATTGACTTGCGATATCCCCTTTCCAGAATTTCAGCGCTACGCGCGCCCAGCCTCGTTCTCCGTAATACAGACTGTCTGCGGCGCATCGATGTTGGCCAAGATATAGGCTCTTATTGGGTCCTCCCATAACTGAATAAGATCAACTTCCGGCCGGAATCGAAGAAATAATGCCCGCCACGCTTCAAAAGACTTAAGGTCGTACCCATCTAGGTCGGCTTCTAGTTCGAGGAGGAGATCAACATTTCCCGCTAATTGGGCTTAAGTCGCAGCTATTAAGGCGTTCGGGTAGTCTGGTTCAGAATTCGAAAAAGTGTAAACTTAGGACCGTAGATACACTCCGTCTGCCTACGGAGCTTTTATCTAACTCCCAACCAAAGGACGTTTTTTGTGCATTTTGTAGGCTCGGTATCGCCTCTGCGGGGACCAGAACGTTTTTCTTCTGCTTCTTTTGGACGAAATGCTGCCAGCCAGTCTCAATATATTTGCGAAGGTCGTCTATGTTGGCTTTGGCGGCGACATTAAAGATTGTTTCTTTGCTTTGCACGCCTTGTCGACCGCATTTACAGTTGACTACCCGGGATAAGACATCAATGGATAATCCACACTGGGCGAATTCGTGGTTGTTAGCCTCCATTTTGCATATATATGAATTGTGTATCAAGTGGGGGTTTCTGAGCTAGAATTTCAAGGGAAAACCACTGCATTATATGTAGTCCACTACCTACTTACAGTGGGGTTTCACAAGTTTGACACTATGATATTACCGCCTATTTTCTCCTGCGTGTTCTGCCGTCAAAACCCCTCGAATTTGCTTTATTTACTAGATCTGGCACTCACCCGTAGGTGACCTTCCAGAACCTTCGCCTATATCGCCCCACAGTGGGTGGAGGCTTCCGACATTTCGACCCTGGGAGTTCATGACCTCTAGCACTGGAGCTACGTAATGGCTTCCTCTACCTAGAAGGACCTCAATCATACGACCTCGCTTAGCATAGCACCTGGTGTAAGAAACTTGCTGTTATCTAAATAGGTAGTTAGCCATTAATTGAATATACACCTCTAGCACCTAGTGCTATACCTAACTAATCGACGCCATGAGTAGGTACAGAGTTGTAAGTGGATCGCACTATGGATCTGATTTCATACAGTCAGCATGCAATATCTCACTTTGTATTACGTTGTCTATCTCAAGAGATCTACACACTAGAAAGGAATTGCCCACTGTAGCCGATACCTCCTGAATATCAAAATGCGACTAGATTTCATCTCCACAACCACTTCCAAACTAGGAAACACTTAGTTTTCATTATCTCTATCATCTCTATCAATATCATATCACAGAGATGGCTTAAGTCAAGAAGAATATAAGTTACTCGCAAGACCGGACCGGACCGCAGTGGTGCGGTCCTAAGAAAGTTAGGACCCGGCCCTGCATAGTACGGTCCGGTCTGCGGTCTGGTCCGGTCCCTTGCGGTCCTTGCCGAGGTCTAGTTCGGACTAACTTCGACGCGCTAATCGCTTAGGAGTTTGCTATAAAAAATTGCTTACGGACGCAAATAGAAAAAAAGCCACATAGAACACGGATATAATCACATTAGCTTGGTAGCTCTATTAAAGGATATATGCTAGGAACACTACGCCAGGATAGCGTCCGCAATCTTATTGAGAAAGCCAAATTAGGTCATTAGAGGGAGTTCTCCGAAGACATGCTATATTATACATCAAGAGCCAAACATAGATATCTGGTTCTTAATCATTATAGGGCAATAGAAAGTGTCAACCACTATGTCGAAATCTGCTGCTGGAGGCTGCATCACCCAAACACCTTAATGCATCTCCCACAACTCCAACTGGACTCACACGACCATCTCAACTCCCAATTTGGCCAATTGTAGCGATATTCTCAATGGCCTCGACCATCTCGTGCCCTTTTTTCTTCTCAGAGATTGTCAGTGAATCTAAAGATGCGAAAGGGTCGACCACGGTGGAGGCGAAATTCCGGGCGGGAACCTTGCGCTCGAAGAGGAGATCTATCTCGGCGTAGGTGCGACCTTTAGGCTCAGGGAGACGGAAGTACGTCCACACTAGACAGAGGAAGCAGCTGCCGGCCCAGAAGAAACCGGCCCTAGCACCCCAATCCCACGCGGATGGGTTTAGCATACGCGGGGTCAGGATATTAGTGATGATGCCGGTGATATTATATAGATTCCGTGCTAGGATGATCGTCTTAGTACGTAGGCGAGATGAGCTTAACTCGGAGACGAGGGCGTAGCAGACGGGACCGACGGTGGCATCATAGCAGAAGGTGTAGACCAAAAGCATACTACCGATAGCCCAGTGCACGCCCGAGCCGCTGTTTGGGATACAGCCCAGAGCGCCTGTGATAAGCAGCAGAACTGTCTGGGCGGCCTGACCACTCATGTAGAGGGTCCGGCGACCGAACCAGTTTACGAGGCACCAGGAGCTCATGGTGCCGATGGCACCCAGCGCGTACTGGACCATGGACATAGTGAAGGCGTTGCTCGAGGCTAATCCGGCCTGCTCGTAGAAGTAGGTCGAGTATCCCATGAAGGTGCTGCCGCACAGGGTCTGGATAGCCCAGACCATGCAGACGACTTCGGAGCGACGAAGATTCACGCCCTTGAAGCAGTCGGTGTAGGAAGTGCCCTGGGTGATTTGCCTTTCGAGTTCGTTGGTGCGTTCTATCATGGCGATGGTTTCGTCCACGTCGAAGGAGGAATTCTGTCGCGAAGTCAAGCGCAGGAGAGCCTTTTTGGCATCCCCCAGGCGTCCTTTACGGACCAGCCACCAGGGTGACTCTGGGGCCAGGGAAACGCCCAGCATGATAGGCAGAGGCCACATCCATTGGCAGGCAAACGGAATCTTGTATGCCCACTTGCTGTCAAGGGGTTGCACTCCCTTCAGCACGATCTTTGCACCGGTGGTTTGTCAGCCGTGATTCGCGGGGACCTCGGTGGGGTGGGTCAACCGGGGTTCAAAATCCTTACCGAAGCAATAAACTGGCCCAACACCCAGCACAGGTTGACGTAGGTCGTCAGATACGGGCGCAGGACGACGGGGCAGACCTCGGAGGCATATGCGGTGGTGAGCGTCTGGAACACACCCCACGGGATGCCGAGCAAGATCTCGCCAACGAGGAGAACGACAAGGCTGTTCGCGAAAAAGACGATGAAGATGAAGCAGATGACGAGAGCCAGTGCTCCGAAGATGGTTTTCCGGTAGCCGAATCGGTCACAGATGATACCATTGAGGAACAGGCCGAGGATTTCACCGACGAGGGCTCCGTTCGATAGACCGGCTTGCCAGGCCACCGTCAATTGGTAGGTGCCGTTCGGCAACTCCTTGCCGAAAGCCTTCTGGAAAGGGCCTAGAGCGTAGAGGTTGCCGATCAAGACCACATCGAACCCTTCCATGATAATGGCGGTCGAAAATAGAATCGACCAGCCCACGGCATGGGGATAGGTTCGGAGACCCTGCCAAAAGCTCATCTTGTGCTCAGTTTCGACACCGCGATGCGCCTCGTGGGCGAGGATCGCATCGCGGGCCTCGTTCGTGGTCGTCCTCCGGGCTTGACCGCTCTCCGTGGAGTGAACGTCCGTCATCCTGGTAAGGGATGATGAACTCAGATGGGTTGAGAAGCCGATTGCGATGGAGATTGCGATGTGATTTCAATATTACCAATCGTTGCTATGGTAAAGTGATGTGTAGACTAGCAGAGATCACCAGCTTTATATGTATTGTGGTCGTAAGCATCGCGTTCGATTGATCCTGTCACTCAGTCCATTTTACCCCGGATCGTCGGTCTTGGATTGGATTTCTCCAGATTCTCCAGCTTGCTCCGGACTGGTGGCAATCTGTCGTGGATCCGCAGAACATTTAGAGAAGAAGATAAACTATAACGCGTCGGGCCGACATTAGGCCAATCATGGAGGCCCTAGGGATGAGGCCATAAGGTTTGGTGCAACACCTCTTCGCTGCAAAAACACACCCCAACGGAGGCTTTGGACATCACAATCTTGAAGAATTTGGGCACGGGCCCTAGCGCTAGCGAGGCTTCGATCGACCGTATCACCTTTCCGTTTCCCGGTGAACACTAAACCTCTGGAACGGACGATGTTAGGTGCTGGGGCCAAGGTCACCTGACAGTAACCTGACCGTTTCACGGTAAGCTGACTCCTGAATTGACTGGACACTGAGAAGCTTTTCGGTCAACGGGTTCTCCGATATTTCACCCCGTCGACTGGCTCGGGTGAGCATCGGGGAAACTTGAACGACAATGAGGCCGGGGAAGCGTCGGGCACCCCAACTAAACGCGTCCGCATGTCTGGTGGCTTGAGCTTAGACGGACACAGCGACTGCTGCGTGTTTTTCTGTCATCTCGGACCGACATAGCACAAATGATCTCTAGTTGCGGGGTTTGTTTGGAGAGGGGTCGTCACTGTTGTGTTCTAGTTGTGCCTCTTAAGCATGGTGTCCCCATGCGATCTGCGTTTCCTGCGGTGGTTGCGGGGTTGAGGGCCCCAAAACTGGCAAGAAGGGTATAAGAAGGCTCAACAAGGAGCGACGGAAACTGGTTTCATTCCCTTGACTACCTCCTCATCCCTCCGTTTTGCCCTTGTTCAGTTGTGTTGCGATAACACCTCCCCCCAAAATGCCGTTATCTCAGGTTCCCTGGTGGAAGAACTCGGTCATCTATCAGATCTATCCAGCGAGTTACAAAGACTCCAATGGTGATGGGATTGGTGATATCCAGGGAATTATCTCCCAGCTCGACTATATCAAGTCTCTAGGGGTAGATGCCATTTGGGTCTGTCCCTTCTACGACAGCCCCCAATACGACATGGGATATGACGTCGCGGACTACGAGTCCGTCTATCCCCCTTACGGGACCGTGGCCGATGTGGAAGCTCTCATCGCCGGCTGTCATGCGCGGGGCCTGCGCATTCTCTTTGATCTGGTAGTCAATCACACATCTTCTCTTCACGCTTGGTTCAAAGAGTCTCGCGCCTCTAAGACCAGTCCGAAGCGCGACTGGTACATCTGGAGACCGGCCAAGTACGATGAGCACGGAAACCGCCACCCACCCAACAACTGGCGCAGCTGCTTCGGCGGCAGCGCGTGGGAGTGGGACGAGCCGACGCAGGAGTACTATCTCCATGTCTTTTGCATGGAGCAGCCGGACCTGAACTGGGAAAACCCAGCCACCCTAAACATAGAATCGCCCGGTAGGGGGGGGGGTACCCATAGTTAAAAAGTCTTGGCAAGGGGGGGGGGTACCGAGTCAACACGGTACCCCCCCCCCTAAGTAGGTCAAATCTTAGTATTTTTCGATCGGGTCTTTTAAATCTTTTAATATTAAAGCCTTTCTAATCTTTTGGCTTCTTTACATTTTTAGATTTCGACCTAGAATAGTGAGGGCTAAGGGGGTCTGGTTTTCGTGAATTATTTTTGATGGGGGATGCCAAGACCTTTTCGCGCGGGTAGCCTATCCCTATTTAAGCTAGACATCCCTTATGTAAGTACTAGGCTTAGCTATTAGGCTAACTTCTAGACCCTATAAAGTCCTTAAGGCTAGTATCAGGGCTAATAGTAATCCTTTAATATCTCGCGAACGAGGTAAGCTATTAGAATAAGGGAAGAAGTTCTAGATACTATAGCCCTCTCGCTACTAGGCTAGAGGATTTATATTACGTAAGCAAGCCTTATACTAGGATAATTAGTAGGGAAAGGGAGTTTGAAACTTTTTACTAGATGACTAATCCTAGGTAGGCTCGTTTAATAGAGGGAGTCTCGGCGGTTAGATTAATATTAGTAGTATCTTAATTAGGCTAGTATCCACGAAGTTATTAAGCGATGAAATCTATTAAGCTTAGTGGTTATAAATATATATCCTAATAATATATTATACTAATATATAAGAGGAATTAATAGAGTGATATATTCTTAATACTAGTAGGATATATATATTAATTCTACTATAGGTATAGCGTAAAGGGGTCTATAAGAGAGATATAGGTAGATAGAATAATAGAGAGGATAGTATAGAGGATAGAATATAGGGCGGAAGGGGTTAGTTAGTAGGCTAGGTAGAGGCCTAGGGGTAGGCTAGATAGTAGGCTAGATAGAAAGGCTAGGTGAAAGGCCTATTAGAAGGCCAGTTGGAAGGTATAATAGTTAAAGGCCCGCAAGTCTGCTAGGTGGAGGCCCGTGGGTATAATAGGTGGAGGCCCGCGGGTCTTACTAGTTGGTAGGCTAGATGAAGACCCGCGGGTCTGCTAGATAGAGGCCCGCTAGTCTAATAGACAGAGGCGCGTGGGTCTGCTAGATGGAGGCCTGTCGGTCTGATAGTTGAAGGCCCGCGGGTCTTACCAGTTGGTAGGCTAGATAGAGGCCCGCTGGTCTGCTGGGTGAAGGCCCGTCGGTCTGATAGTTGAAGGCCCGCGCGTCTGCTGGATAGAGGCCCGCTAGTCTGCTGGGTGGAGGCCTATCGGTCTGATAGTTGAAGGCCCGCGCGTCTGCTGGATGGAGGCCCGCTGGTCTGCTGGGTGGAGGCCTATCGGTCTGATAGTTGAAGGCCCGCAGGTCTTACCAGTTGGTAGGCTAGGTGGAAGGCCTATGGGTCTGATAGATAGATCCTAGGTGAAGGCCCGCGCGTCTGCTGGATGGAGGTCCGTTAGTCTACTGGGTGGATGCTAGGTGGAAGGCCCGCGGGTCTAATGGCTGGAGGCCCGCGGGTCTGCCAGTTGGTTGGCTAGATAAAGGCCCGCGAGTCTGATGGATGGATGCTAGGTGGAAGGCCCGCGGGTCTGCCAGTTGGTTGGCTAGATAAAGGCCCGCGAGTCTGATGGATGGATGCTAGGTGGAGGCCCGTCGGTCTGATAGTTGTAGGCCCGCGGGTCGTACCAGTTGGTAGGCTAGATAGAGGGCAGCGGGCCTACTAGATAGATGCTAGGTGGAAGGCCCTCGGGTCTGCTGGATGGAGGCCTGTCGGTCTGATAGTTGAAGGCCCGTGGGTCTGCTACGTGGATGCTAGGTGGAAGGCCGGCGGGTCTTACCAGTTGGTAGGCTAGGCGGATGGCCCGCGGGTCTGCTAGGTGGAGGCCCGTCGGTCTGCTAGGTGGAGGCCCGTCGGTCTGATAGTTGAAGACCCGCGTGTCTCCTAGGTGGATGCTAGATGGAGGCCCTCGGGTCTGATGGCTGGAGGCCCGTCGGTCTGATAGTTGAAGGCCCGCGGGGCTGCCAGTTGAAGGCCCGCGGCTCTTACCAGTTGGTAGGCTAGGCGGATGGCCCGCGGGTCTGCTAGGTGGATGCTAGATGGAGGCCCGCGGGTCTGCCAGTTGGTAGGCTAGATAGAGGGCCGCGAGTCTAATGGATGGAGGCCCGCCGGTCTGCCAGTTGGTAGGGTATGTTGACGGTCCTAGTTGGTAGGCTAGATGGTAGGCGACTATAGGTTTACTACTTCTATATAAGCTGAATGGCTAGTATCCTTTATCCTGCCTAACCTAGGCTAATATGATCGATTACTAATGAAAGCCCTACTATCTAATCCTACCTACTAATTCCATCCATGCTTACTATAATACTGGCGGGCAAAGTAATAGAAGACTACTACTACCCTAATAACCTCTGTGTCCCAGCTCCACCCTGCCTCATAGAACGTATTAGGCTCCCATTCACTAGGCACCCACTCCTTATTAAAGTAGGGACTATTCCCTAAGCCCCTACCCTTGAAGGCCATATTACAAACCGTCCAAAAGCTAACTAGTAGCTTATCTGAGAAGCACCCTTTACCCTCATTCGTCACCAAAGGGCCCTTACAGACCCTAGTAGGTAGGAAGCACCTATAACAGCAGGTTTCCTCCTTAGGGTTTACCCGTGTCACTAACTCCTTAGCCGACCTAATAAAGATTGGCGACTGGAAGGTCTCACAGGTAGTAAGCCCATGGCCTAAGGGCCTAGGCGGCCTAGGTTCTTCTAATGCTATATATTATATTAGTAAGATAGAATAGACTAGGGCCTAGGGCTATGGCTATAGCTATAGCTAGGGCTAGGGCTAGGGCTAGGGCTAGGGCTAGGGCTAGGATAGTAGGGTAATAAGCTTACCTGACCAATTAATACAGCAGATAGGGCACTGCTCATTTGTCCAGAATCTCACAGCCCTTGCGATGAATTCTATACCTTCTAGGTCTTTCTGGGTCTGGTTTCGGACCCTAGAGGTAATTATAGAATGGCTGGATAAGCGGTGAGCACAGAGGTCGCATTGGGCCCAGATAGGGTCACATCTCTCTATAGCTTCTGCATCGAAGACCCTAGAGATTACCCTACGACGGCAGATCTGGTCAAGTAGGTATTGTTGGAAATAGACCTTCTCTGCAGCCTGAGGCACTGAATGACTAGGCACCTGCTTTAGCTGCCAGGATTGCACTAGGCAGTAGGACCACGCTAGCGAATCAGGTGACCTACCAGCCCTACCAGATTCCTGCATAAAATTGGTCATCTCATAAACACCAGGCATAAAGTGGATAACGAGATTAACATCAGGGAAATCGTAGCCAGCACCAATCCCACTAGTGGCTAGTAGGATAGGGGTCTCTACCCTAAAGCGCCCTAGCTGAAGCAGCTTTTCATCATCAGATAGGCCAGAGTGAAATCTCGCTGCCTGAGGCTGCAAGGCATTAAATAGGCTATCAACCAAGGCCTTTGTTCGGCAGAAGATAATCACCTTTGGGTTAGCCCTAGCACTAGCCTTAGTACTAACACTAGAACCAAAGGGGCCATGCTTAAGGGCGAATCCTTTGATAAACTGGCTAATATAGCTAGGATAGCCACTCTCTCCGAGCGTAGGAGGTAGGGCCTCAACCCTATAGGCTATGTGCTTTAGCGTTAGGCTAGCCCGTAGGCTATAGGGCTGGGTGCCTAGGTGAAGCATCTCACTAAGCTCGCTCTGTAGATGCCTAGGTAGGGTAGCCGAAGCAAATACCATTGGGACCCCTAGGGCTAGGGCATGCCATGCGCGATTCATAATAGGCCGATAGGTCTTTGAGAGAGGAATTAGATGGCATTCGTCCCAAATGACTCTTGCTAGTCTCTTCTGACTAATCAGGGTATTCGCCATCTCTAGGAATTCAGGATAGACCACGTGCTCAATTTGCACTAGGATTAGCCTAGACTCCGAGGGAAGAGATTCTTGCGAAGGGTCCCATGTAGTAGGCCTTAGCCCTAGGGCCTTAGCCTTACCTAGTAGGTCAAGCTTTAATGAAATGAGAGGAATCACCATAATAGTCACGTGGCTATTAAAGAGGCTAGCCCCTAGTAGGAATAGCGTAGTCTTCCCAGCAGCAGTAGGTAGGATAAGAAAGAGATAGGGTATATGCTTCATCATTAGGTAGAAGGCCTCTCGCTGATCAGGGCTACGAAAGGTAGCCTGATTATCATTGAGGAATTCCCTAAGTAGCTGGGTTAGGAGACCTATCCCAATCTGGCCACTCGCTATTAAGGGTGAATAGGCTAACTGGCGAATCTCTTGGCTAGCATCAAGACTAGGTGGTTGGTCTATCTGCCCTCTAGCTGCCTGGGGTACCCCATATAGGCCCATAAACTCATTAAATTGGCCTATCGAGACCCTATAGGTAGGGGTAGGGACCCCAGGCCTAGTAGGATATCGACATTGAACAACTGGCCAATTTAGTGGTAGCCCAAGGGCTAAGGGTGCCTTAGGCTGCTGAGGTAGGCTAGGCTCTGCTTCTGCCTTAGGCACTAAGAAGGCCCTATTATAGAAGAGAGACCCTAGCACGAGCTGGTCAGGTGATACACCGAGATAGGTATGCCACCGCTGGCTAAAGCTAATAAGGGCAGTTTGGATATCAGCCCTAATACCCTGGAGCTTAGGGTTTAGGGTAGCCAGCCTGTGCTCTGGATGCAAAATAGGAACAAGCAGGGCATTAGTAGGCAGTACTTTAGACAAGGTAAAAGTAACAGAGAAAAGAACAGAGCATGGACTCAAAAGGGCATTTGCAAAAGACGGGAGAACAACTCTGGAAGAACCAGAATTGGATCATAGGAGAAACGGGGGCATATTCATTCGTTGCTTGTTCGAATAATTCATGACCGTGGGGTTCTTTTTGTTTTTTTTTCTTGGAAGGCCCCTTTGCTCTGATCCCCAGTACCGATCACTCCTTGCATTAACCGCGTCACGACAGGAAGAAGCAAAAGTCGGTGTACACCATCAAGCAAGAAAGCTCGAGCAAAAGATAGAAGAAGGGCATGGGGGACTAATAGACCGGGACACGGCGTGACCAGCACCAACCGGGCTCGTGGGCGTAAAAGACTCGGGCCGCATGACTCAGTCTCAAGAATGCATGAAGTTTCCAAGGTAGCATGACATAATGGAGAGGAAAGTCAATCTAGTACAGAGGAGACTTGACATCCTGGACTCCGCGTCGGATCACATCCTCAACGCGCCACCGGGGAGGAATGAGGTTAGCAGTGCGCTTGCGGTGCCACTCCTTCTCCATCTCGGGCGGGGGAGCCGGTTCTTCCGAGGCAGGCAGAGCGCCGCCCGCAATACCAGTAGAGAACTTCAGTTGCAGAACGTTGCCAATCTCGTCGCACGCAGACAGAACCCGGTCAAGATCTTCCTTGGTGTGAGCGGCTGAAACGCAGAAACGAGCACGCGAAGAGACCAGAGGTGTGGCGGGATACCCGACGACGACCACGGAGATCTTACGCCGGAGCATCTCATGTGAAAAAGCGGGCATCTTGGCTGGGTTGAAGAGGAGAACGGGAATGATCGGCGAGTCGTCGTGGCCGTATACTATAAAGCCAAGACGCTTCAGGCCGAGACGGAGGTATCGGGAGTTGAACGCCAATCGTTGCAGCCGCTCCTCACCTTGGCCAGGGACGAGGTCACCCTTGATAATACGAAGGGCGGAGGCAATCTGAGAAAGAACAGCGGGAGCAGGAGACTCTCCGTAGAAGATACCGGAGTTGGTGGCACGGAGTTTATCGACCATGGCCTTGTCTGCGGCGATGTATCCACCATTGGCACCGAAGGACTTGGTAAGCGTACCCATCAAAACGTCCACTTCCGCGGTGTCGATACTGAAGTAATCACATACACCCCGGCCCATGGGACCAATGGCCCCGATGGAATGAGCCTCGTCAACGAAGAGGTGGAACTTGTACCGTTGCTTCAGCGCGACAAGGCCGGGAAGGTTACACATGGATCCTTCCATCGAGTAAAGACCTTCCACGACCACCAAGATCTTCTTCCAGGGTCGGTGAGTGCGGGGCTGTCCTTGAGAGATGGCTTCACGGAGCTTGATCTCCAGATCTCTCATGTCATTGTGCTTGAACATGGCAATCGAGGCCCCGGAAAGACGAGCACCGAAACGAATGGACGCGTGATTCAGTTCATCAGAGATGATGAGGCAGCCCTTGGAAACGAGAGCGGGGAAAATGGTTGCGTTGGTGCCGAATCCCATGGAGAACACCATCGACGCTTCTTTGCCCACGAACTTGGCAACCAAATCCTCGACTTCGACATGGAGGTCTTGCGTACCGGCCTCCGCGCGAGTGCTAGGAGTAGCAATGCCGTACTTCCGAACTGATTCCTCTGCAATATCTGCACAGGGTCCTTCGGACTGAGCGAATCCGAGATAGTTGTAGGAGCTCAGGTTCAGCGTATCCGTGGTAGTACCCGTCAGGTAGAAGTGGTGGTTGTGATCATCCGTGGCACGGTCGATGAGGGTGATGGTCCGGCCGGGAACGCCGGTGACGGGACGCTCGAAGCAATCGTTGATGCGCAGCTTGAGACGGCGCACATAGAAGTTATCGAAATCGCTGTTGAGCGCACCGTATCCGTTGCGGGGCTTCAGGTGCCGATAGTTCTCTTCGCGGAAACGCTTGCCAAAGAAATCACGAACGTGTCCAAAAGCAATTAGAATTAGGTAGCTGATGTACGTAGTAAGCAAGTAATAATACGGCGGCTCGTCCATCACCGGCTCCGGGAAGACACCGCCAGGGTGTCGACTGGAGTACCGATGGCTCGGATGACCGATGGGACCGAATTGAGCATGCTGCTTGGCCAGTCGGCGAGCCTCCTCTGGGGACGGGGGCTGGAACAGCGTGGTCGGCATTTCGTCCATGTTGAGGTTGTCAGCCGTGGCGGTGGAAAAAGAGATCGTCGGTAAGGACAGTGATGCCGAGCTAATCGGCGGAGAAGATGAGGTATTAGGATTTGCACCGGTCGACGGGGGAGTCGCCTGTGCAGGCTGAGGCTCAGCCTTGGACTTGGGCGAGACCGAGAAGAGCTGGGCCAGGCGATGAGACTTGACCGAGGGCGCCTTGATGGCGATTCCGCCCTTACCCGAGGAAGGCGAAAAGGAGGGGGAGTTGGAAGAGGTGTCGTTGGAGGAGTTGTTGCTGAACCGACGAGGCATCGCAAGGAGGAAGCGGCGAACGGGGGGTTCGGGACGGTTCGGCAGGATTTTACCGTCGGAGAGGGAGAGGAGCGCGTTGATCTGTTCACGCGTCCAGGACCGACGATTCACACAGAGTACCTCCAAAAGAGATAACAAGACGATTGGCGGTTGGCGGTGTATCCTCTATCGAGTTTCCCAAGTATGTCGAAGCTAACAGCAACCGGAGGTGGTCTGCGGAGGGCACGGCCGGGTATGTCAGTTGATAATCCTCAGGAGGACAAGTGCGGAGCAAGTCAATGGCAGATTGGACAACAGAGGTGCACCAGAAGCAAAAGGGAAAAGAGGCACAAGAACCCTTGGAGCGAAGGATTCTACGATCAGACGTACTCGGGGCTGATGGCGTCGCAGTTGGATCCGAAGACCTCCGGTGAGGCTTTGCGGGCTTGTGGCTTTGCACACGTGAGATGGGGCGGCAGAGTCAAGGACAAGGGGCCGGTAGCCCAAGAATCCAAGGAAAAGCGAAGCACCGGTATCCCTCAGCAACGGAGGTTTTGCGATGGTGAAGGAGGAAGAAGGAGAAGGGGCGTAAATAACGGCGTTCCTAGTTGAATCATCATGCACGAGTCCGCCTCCTGGTAATCTATGGTAATATATGGTAACATGTGTATTCCTCGTAATCAATGCCTGGTCTCGATGGTCACAGTGGTAATCCCCATCCTGCGGGAGGAGATGGCTGGGACGCCGATTCTGGAATTTGATTCGATAATAGGGAGCGGGACGTGTTATTTACCAGCTGTAATACCACCCACCGAGCCGTTTTTTTCTCTTTTCTCCTTTTCCCTTCTTTTCCGCAGTTACAGTCGTTACCACTGCGAGTTACTAAGAGGCCCACTGTCCAACCTGAAACTGGGAACTGGGAACTTGGAACCAGAGCTCTGCATAAATTTTCCGTCCGTATAGAGCATGGCCTGTGTATTCCGATGCACCTCTAGGTCTGCGTCTGCATCTGCATCTGTAGTTGCCGTCACCTTTACCCACTCACCTTCGGCAAGCTAAGCTGCCCCTGACTGCATAACCGTGGATGTCACCCCCGCCTGCACTCAAATGATGAAGCGCCCTAGCTGTACTCTTTCGGTCCGGAGGTCCGTGGTGGCGTTTAAGTATATTTGCCATCCAAATGTCCTGGAGACGTGGTGTTCTAAGTGCGAGTATTCGTTACCTACTGACTCGCCTCTCCGGCTGGGGTATAGTCAGTTATGTAGTTATAGTGGTTAGTTAACTAGTTAACTAGTTATCAATTGGGCGATGATGTCGACAGTGATTCTTCCCCACCCAGCAGAGTCTCGTTACCTCGCTGACTCGTCGAGATGCTACATGAACTGCTGTGAACGGTCGAGGTCGCGACCATGTGGTGGCCTCAGGCAGCGCATGTCACTTCCGCATTCCGCATAGCATCTCCATTCGGAGCCGAATGGCGCCTAAGAAAAGTGACGTGGTATAAGGTGAAGTGGAGACGATTCGAGACGAGAACGAGCTCTTATTTAGACCCAAGTCGAGCCTGATTGCGATCCTGATATCATCCCCACTGCTCTCTCTATATACCCGCAGCCGCGGAATCAGCGGCAAACTACCCGCCCTCTATTCCGCCCCGCGATCCCTTGTTGGGGTGAATTGCATTGTGTGACTTGCCTCTTGCATGTGCAAGTGACATCCCAACATCTGCAAATTTGCCCTTCGTCAAGCGACCGCCCAGCTATCGTCAAAAATCGTGGCAAAACTGCTTCAACCGCGACACCGTTCCATACATCGGTCACTCTAGACGCCCCTGCCATAGGTTGCACTGGCGCACGTTGCTTCGCTCTTCTTCTTTTCTCCTTTTGGACTTTGCTGCGATCAGCGCCGGCATTGCAAGTCGGAGTGCCAATTGAACTAGGTCGCTCAGACCATGCCGCACATTGACGAAAGTGTGACTACGGAGGCGAAGGAGCTCTGGCGTCCTTCGTCTCCCGAGACAACGCAGATCCACGACTTCATGACCAAGGTAAACAACAAGTACGGTCAGTCATTAAGCGATTATAATGCTCTGTGGGAATGGAGTGTCTCGCAGCCAGCCCAGTTCTGGGAGGAGATCTGGCACTATACACACATCAAGGCCCACCAGCCGTACAAGCAAGTAGGTCTGCCTAATCTTCAGACTGAGGTGAGGTGCGCATGTTGATAGATTGGCCCAGGTTCTCGAGTCTGACAAGGTGATGTTTCCACGTCCGCCATTCTTCCAAGGCAGCACTCTGAACTTTGCCGAGAATCTCCTGTACCCGGCCAATGCGCCAGATGAGAATGCTATTGCAGTGATCGGGGTCACAGAAGCGGACCGCGAGTTCATCTCATGGAAGGAGTTGCGAGAACGCGTGCGAAAATCTGCCAATGCCCTGAAGGAGGCTGGTCTCCAGGCTGGCGATCGCGTAGCGGGCTTTGTCGGCAACCATGCCAATGCTGTCGTGGCGATGCTGGCTGCAGCCTTCGATCGGCGCCTACTGGACGGGTGTCTCCCCTGATACCGGTGTCCATGCAGTCCTCGAGCGTCTCAAGCAGATCGAACCAAAAATCCTCTTTGCAGACAGCGCTTCGCTCTACAACGGCAAAGTCGCATGGCTCCCACGCCAAGGTGCGTGAGATTGTTTCGGAGCTCTCTCACCTGCAGTACTTGGTGGTGTTTGAAACTGCCAAGCCTCTTGACTTTGATTTTGATCAGGTTCGTCCAAAAAATGGGAAAGCAGTCGCCTATGCTGAATTCCAGGCCGCCGTTCGTGATGAAGCCGCACCTTTGGAATTTGCAAGTTTGGGACCTGACCACCCGGTGTATATTCTCTACTCGTCGGGTACAACGGGAGCACCGAAGCCTATCGTGCATGGGTCTTTGGGTACGTTGCTGCAACACAAGAAGGAGCATTTGCTTCACTGCGAGATCCGGCCTGGTGATCGGTTATTCTACTTCACAACGGTTACCTGGATGATGTGGCACTGGCTTGTTTCCGGACTAGCGAGCGGTGCTACAATCATCTTGTACGATGGTTCGCCATTTCGACCATTTGATGCCGAAGGCGGAAAGGGGGAGATGGCGATGCCACGACTAATTGAGGAGCTGCAAATTACTCACTTTGGTACCTCGGCGAAGTATCTCTCCATGCTGGAGCAAGCGGCCTTGAACCCGCGCAAGCATTTGCACCGGCCAGTTTCTCTCAATACTTTAAAGGCCATTTTCAGCACCGGCTCCCCGCTGGCTCCCTCGACATTTGAGTATATCTACAACTCTATTCACCCCGACATCATGTTGGGTTCAATTACTGGCGGAACGGATATTTTGTCTTTGTTCTGCTCCGGGTGCCCAGTACTGCCTGTTTACAAGGGTGAGATTCAATGTCGCTCTCTGGGAATGGCTGTTTCGGTGTTCAACTATGCCGGGAAAGATATCAGTGCTTCCGGAGAACCCGGAGATCTTGTCTGTACAGCCCCGTTCCCCGCACAGCCAGTCATGTTCTGGCCTCCCGGCCCGGAAGGTCTGGAGAAATATTGCAAGAGCTACTTTGACATGTTCGGCCCATCAATCTGGCATCACGGAGACTTCGTACGCCTGAACCCGCAAACTGGCGGTGTGATCATGTTGGGCCGCAGCGACGGCGTTCTCAAACCATCCGGTGTCCGTTTCGGCAGTGCTGAGATTTACAACGTGCTGCTCAAACACTTTGCCGATGAAGTTGAAGATTCTTTGTGTGTTGGCCGCCGGCGCGAAGGCGTCGATTCTGATGAGACTGTCGTCCTGTTTGTGAAGCTTGTTCCTGGTTGCCCTTCGAACATATCCGACCTTGCGGCTCGTATCCAGGCTATCATTCGCAAGGAGCTCAGCCCCCGTCATGTTCCTGGAATTATCGATGCCTGTCCAGAGATTCCGGTGACATCCAATGGCAAGAAAGTGGAGAATGCAGTCAAGCAGATCCTGTGTGGGCTCAACATTAAGATCGGTACGAGTGTTGCTAATGCTTCTTGTCTCGATTGGTATCGCAACTGGGCTTCTGAGCACTCGTGAAAGCACTTTTCAGATAGACGAACGAAGGAGTAATTTCAAGTTGAAAATGGACGATTTCTTTCTTTTAAACCTATCGTCATGATCCTAGGTTGTTCGATCTGCTCTTTTTCCTCTTCTTCACCCATCATTTGAAGTATATGGAAAGCATGGAAATATAGTTTCATTTTGCGATCCTAAGGGGGTTACAAGCCGACGGAGGTCAAGAACCCCCCTCGTGGGTAGTATCATGTTCATTGCGGGACAGACGAGGGAGAAGAGAGGAAGAAAGGACTACGGACTGAAACTATCTACACTGAGCACAATTGGGGCTGCCTAGCCACTCAGGCATCCCCGTCAAGTTTCACTTGTATACGACCTTCAGAAAACAGAGTCGATACTCGAAAGGTGTTTCTTGATGGCAGTGTAGTGCCCTGGGTGGCTCTCTGCCCTTAGCTTAGCTGCGCAGTCCTTTGTTGGTTCTTGGTCAGCAATCTAGGGGACAGCGCATCCCATGTGCACTTGTATGCGAAAGCTTCCCATAGGCTCATACTTGCAGAATATTACGAATAAGAACGGACCAGAAGATCTAGCTAGTCACCATTTGGTCGAAATTCCCAGCGGGCTCGACTGAGGTCGGTCACCCAACCGCTTAAGTAAGCACATCGGCGCAGGTCTCCGAAATGAATCTTCGCCGTTGTTCTGATTCCCGACTCTCTCGGATTTCCTGGATAGCGAGTTCAGCACGCATTCTCGAATCCCAGGATCGCTACGCGTGTCTAGAATAAAATAAACATGCGTCGCTCTGCATTGCGGGCTGTCGAGTCCGCAAAGCCGCTCGCGCGAGCTCCTCGCTCAGTGTCGAGAAGCTTTGCTACTCTCAATGACGCGGCCAAGGTATCCCATCGTGAATCTCTCCCATCTTACGAACGTATCTAACCAAAATTCCTGTCTTATGTAGGACCCGGCGGAATTAGATCAAATTACCACTCTTCCGAATGGCGTTCGCGTCGCTACCGAATCATTACCGGGACCCTTCGCGGGTGTCGGAGTTTACGTCGATGCCGGATCTCGTTACGAAGACGCTAGCCTGCGCGGAGTCAGTCATATCATGGACCGGTTGGCCTTCAAATCGACCAAGGCACGCTCAGGGGATGAGATGTTGGAGGTTCTAGAGTCGCTGGGCGGCAACATCCAATGCGCTTCCTCGCGAGAATCGTTGATGTACCAGTCCGCCAGCTTTAACTCAGCGGTGCCTACTACTCTCGGTCTCCTGGCAGAGACGATCCGGGATCCCCTCATCACCGAGGAGGAAGTTCTTGACCAACTGGCGACAGCGGAGTACGAGATTGGCGAGATTTGGGCGAAGCCGGAGCTCATCCTGCCCGGAGCTGGTCCACATGACTGCATACCAGGGTAACACGCTAGGAAACCCTCTGCTCTGCCCCGAAGAGAGGCTGGGAGAGATCAACAAGGCCGTTGTCGAGCGTTACCGCGAGGTCTTTTTCAACCCAGACCGGATGGTGGTTGCTTTTGCCGGCGTGCCGCATGCGGAGGCTGTTAAGCTCACCGAGCAATACTTTGGCGACATGAAAAGCCGCGATATTCCCAGCAAGGGACCTGTCTTGTCGGGATCTGGAATTGATACGACTCTGTCCGACTCCCCCGGTGCTGCTACTGAGGGTCAAGTACCCACCGTCCCTCAGTTCACGCCCTCCTCGACCGTGAGCAGCCCAGCCGCTTCTCAAAAAACACATTCGTCGCTTCTGTCGAAACTACCATTCCTTAAGAAACTCACCGATTCCTCGCCAAATGCCGTCGAACCCCTTGATCCCTCTCTCATCGAGCCCTCCACATTGGATCTGCGTCGGCCGGCCCACTACACGGGCGGTTTCATTGCTCTTCCTCCCATTCCGCCTCCCGCCAACCCGATGTTGCCTCGCCTAAGCCATATCCACCTTGCCTTTCGAGGCACTCCCCATCTCTTCGCCCGATATTTATGCCCTGGCTACTCTCCAGACCCTTCTGGGTGGCGGCGGTTCCTTTCTCCGCTGGTGGTCCCGGTAAGGGCATGTACTCCCGACTGTACACCAATGTCCTCAACCAGCACGGATGGGTTGAGAGCTGCATTGCCTTCAACCACAGCTACACTGATAGCGGTATCTTTGGTATCTCCGCCTCGTGCAGCCCCGACCCGGACGACAGAGATGCTTGAAGTGATGTGCCGTGAGCTGCAATCACTGACCCTGGACACTGGCTACACTGCTCTGCAAACACAGGAGGTCAACCGTGCGAAGAACCAGCTCCGCTCGTCCCTGCTCATGAACCTCGAGTCTCGCATGGTTGAACTCGAGGATCTCGGTCGCCAGGTGCAGGTTCACGGCCGCAAGGTGAGCGTGAAGGAGATGTGCGATCAGATCGAGGCTTTGACCGTTGAAGATCTGCGCCGTGTGGCGCGTCAGGTCTTTGGCGGCCACGTCCAGAACCATGGCCAGGGAACCGGCAAGCCGACAGTCGTGCTGCAGGAGGGTGAGCTGGAAGGATTCAAAGCTTCGGTCCTTTCCCCTTGGGAGGAAATTCAAGAGCGCATTGCGCGCTGGAAACTTGGTCGCCGGTAAATAGAATCTCAAGGGTGTGGTCAGAGATGCTCCGGTATTGGGATGGCGGTGTCTCCGTAATAGCCAAAGAGACCGGAGGTGTATGGCTGTTGGGATGAAGTGAGTGCATTGGGAGGAAGATGTGTATTCTAGATAGACATTTTGGCCAACACGACTCTGTAAAATAGCTTCACACCTGTCTTCTAGTGAGCCTCTGATCACTTGCCGATTCCTCTATAGTGACTGCCGCGATGAAGCGCAAGATCGAATTACGTCGTGTTGTTCGGGTCCCGGCGGGTCCAAGCTCCTCGCCGCTTTTGCCCGGCAAAAAAGTCGGAGCGCCCGAACTCGCGCTCCGTTCCTCCATCATCATCACTCTCCATCTCCATTAACTCCCATCTACTCCCTACCCTCCAACTCCACCAAAATGGTCAAGCTTACCGAGGTCGAGGACGAGCACTTCACGGACAAGCCCACCCCCAGCAAGCACGATGCTCTGCTGGTGTCCGATGACGAGGAAGGACTACACCGACACTGGTAAGTGTTTGACAGCCCCTGCTCTGTCTGCCTCCGGGTCTCGCGAGTCGCATCGCGTCATGAACGAGATTGCATTTGTTTTGTCCAAACGAAGACTGGCGACTCGATGGTGTCTTGCCTATCCGATCCAGGCCTAGCCGGCAAGATTCGCGGTAGTCGAACATCACCCCAAGAATCCAGAATGAATATCCATTATCAACCATCAATGAATCGGAATCATGTCTGACATCGTGCCTTTTGGATCATCATTTAGAATCAGAGATCTCCAACGAGTCCGATGATGAGGTCGAGGAGGAATCCATCTACGACCGTCTCTCCGCCTTGAAAGACATTGTTCCCCCCTCCGCCCGCCGTACCGTCACCAGCTCCGTCTCCACGCTCACAAACTTCAGCAAGGCCAGTCTGTCCTTCAGTGGCAAGGCTCTGTGGATTATTAGCACCAGTGCCTTCCTGATCGGTGTCCCGTGGGCGCTGGCATATGCCGAGGAGGAGCAGTACATTCAGATGGAGCGTGAGCAGGGCATGATTAAGGGTGCCAATGAGGTATGATTCTCCTTTTTCCTTACTTCCTCTTGCCAGAGTATTTACAGCTACCGGGATGGGGTGGTTGGGGTCGCACTGTGGATGACCCGCTCGAAAAAATGGTTGCTCAAGGTGTTCTCCGCCAAGTTGAGACTTAAAAGCCCCTTCTGGCTTAATGGCATCATGACCAGCGTGACCCAGCGAGATGTTCTCTCAAGATATCCGAACTTGAACCGTTTAGCTGACCGTGATTCCTCCCACAGATGCTCACCCCCGGCGGCGAAGCCGAGAAGCAGGGGGCCCAGCCCACCCTGTAAATTAATATTGCCTCGAGAAACAGAGAAATTGGCCGAGAGCCGAGCGATTCGAACATCGGTCGCAAATGACGATACAAAATCCGACTCAACAGAATGACCTGTTGAAGACTGGCATAAAAGGGGTCGAGTAAACATCGGCCCGATCCATTGGTCTTCTATGGACCCCGTGCCATCTCGGCGAGTATGGCGAATTCCGAGCACGACCCTCAAGGATACGCTTTTGACATCGCTCGTTGGCCTTCTGGGTCGTTTGCTTCTTGGTCATTGGCCACCTGTTTCGGGTTCTTCCTTGCTTCCTTGATGTCTTTTTCCAGAATCTTTGGCTCCGGCAGCTCATGCATGCATGTATTTGTACAACCACACATTATTTCCCTTTACCCATGTCCTCCCTATACTCTTTTGTTCCTTGTTTTCATTGTTATGTCATTGTGATATGTGATGTCTAGGTGATGAACTCTGGTGATCCCAGTCCGGATCACGCTATTAGGCATGCACGTTTAGTCTAGGTAAATATCTTGGGGTCTTGATGAAAAGAGCTTGATTTTTGTTCCTTCTCTCAAACTGCAGAAGTTGAGATCTGGTTTTAGGAGACCAGCCAGTTATTCGCCTCCCTGTCCATCATAATGTGGTCCTGTATAATAAGGGATCTGATATGTAAAGAATGGCAGTCCATTCAGGTAAAAATTTAGTAAAAAGGGGTAGCAAAGTGCCGCGAAAACAGCAGGAATAAGGAAAATTATGGTTTTCATCGATGTGGATGCAGGCAACGAGACTACCTTCAACAAATGCTACGTCGATCATCATAGTAAAGACTAATAAGGTTGGAGCTATTAGTTGTACAAGTCTTGCATCTCGGTAAAGACCACGTACCGTTTGCTCCCGAGCAGCCTTGAGATTCATATGGAAATCGCGCCAGAGCTTGTCGATTTCACCAGCGGCGACCATGCGGTCAATGACTTTGATTGCGTTCCGTGTCTTACGCTTCTGGCTCAGGTTGTTTCGGCGCAGGAACTCTCGGCGTCGGCCATGTGGCCCATGCGATCGAGATAGTCAACGACCCATTCATTGAGGTGAAAGCGCCAGTGGGTGAGGGTGTGGGCCAGCTGGGCCTTGTTCTTGCAATGTCTGGTGAAATGTAAGCTCGAGATTGACCAATGATTGGTAGTGTTAAAAAGCACCTTCCCAAAAAAAAGCGGATATTCTCATCCGGCAAGACACGGCCATCTCTGTCACGATCCGGCCCTTGTCCATCTTCTGCGTCGGAATCACCAATCTGTTCGGGCTGAGTCCTCGTCACTGTCGTCGATGAGGGGCTCTAAGGGTTTCGAGGGAATAGGGTTTGCCATATAATTTCATGTCAGTAGATGCCGGATGCCCTGACCGATTGCACGCGTCACACGGATGGTTTGCATCCGTGGGAAACGCAGTGATCTCCATGTGTGGCCGGGCCAGGAGGGAGTAGCGGAACTTGGGTCCCCCAAACGGAAGAGATTAGCTGGGAGCCAGCACGGCCCTTGACCTCGTCTTCCAATTTCATGAATGCCATTTCATACATGGCGTCGGAACGTGGGAAGGCTGGGTCAAGACGGTTATGGACCATCCACCCGACCACGTCGCGGAAGTATTCTTTTAGCTGTTTATATGCGTGCCGTGTAAACTCCAGAGGAATCTCTTCAGTAGGCACGCCCAGCATCGCACTATCATCTTCAAGCACAAAGTCATCCTCGTAGCGGTCGAGGTCTTCGTTGCTAGCGATGGCCGATTCAACATCGCTGTCCACATCTTCGTCCCGCAATTCGGCGATTTGTTCGCGCGAACTATCATTGTCATCGTCGCTTAGGGTCTTGTGCTGGCTCAGCCTCGCTCTCTGCTTTCAAGCCAGCACGTCTTCGACGGAGAGTTTCAACATGCCTGAGCCTTTTGTCCCTTGCCGATTCAGCGATGCGACCCCGGGTGCGGTTCTTCTTGACCACTTGGGGGAATATTAGCTAGTCTGATCATACTGGAAGGAATATGTTGACGCTGTACCTGAGTCCTGCAAATCCTCGCACGTCCTCCTCAATGTCCAATTCGTCTTGATTGGCGCCTGTCGCGGGGTGTCCCGGGTGACTCTGGGTCCGGAGCCCATCGCCGTCGCTTAACAGGCGATGAAACCACCGGCTCCTCCGAGTCGTCGGAATCACTCAGCACGATCGGAGAGCTCTCTGCCTTTCGCTTCAATGTGCCCCGTGGACGAGGTATCTCCACAGAATCACTGATGCTTGGGGCATCATGCTCGGTCGTATTCAACGGCCGTCGCAGATTTCCTTTTCTTCTTCAGGCTGTCTGTTTTAGGAGGGACTCATGGATAGGTGAGTCTCCATCGGGGGCACTCGTCGGTTTCTTCTCTGAGAGCTAGGCACAATGATCTCGTCGTCGGATGATGAGTCGTTTAGGTCTTGTGGCACAGCTTGTGCTTCTCGGCTGTTAGCTAGTCCGGAGACACATGTAATGGCGGGGACTGATGTCCCAACAAATGCTCTTCTCGTCTGTCAGGTATCTTGTGGGCCTTCATTGCTGCACCAGGTGGGCTTTCCTTCTGTGGGAGACGCTGGAGATTTATCCCGCTTTGGGTGATTTGGAAGATCGCTTCTTTTTCTTGGGAGTTGCGGCCTTGCTTGTCTCTGACTTCTCTGGGCGCACTGAGGCCAGACTTGGGTGACCATAAGCCAGTGTACGAAAGCGTTCGTCGGTGTTGGCGTCCTCATCGGCAATCGCTGCCGCGGGGGCGAAAGGCGAGCCGCGTTTGCTTCTTGTGAGACTTTCGGGGCATGGCGGATGAAGGCAATGGATTGAGAATAGGCTAGTTGACGGATTTTGGTTGAAGATAAAGCATCTCCAGACGTAGGAGTCAAGCTCTCCAAGGTACCCCTGGTCAAAGAGGAAAGGTCATTGCTAGCTGGTTCGACGTGAACTTTCGACCTTTTCGAGGTCGCGTGGGACCGCGTGGGGGGCGCGAGAGCACGTGATAGACACCATTAGCGGCGTCTTGTCCTTTCTTTTCTCTTTCCTTTTACTGTTGGCGGCCGATCTATAATCTGCGTCAGTACTAGAATCAAGGTTCAGAGTTCTACGCTGAAAATAGCAGAGTGTGGAAGAGTGCAGTCGTCACAAGTATGGTATAGGTTTTGGTGAAAGGAGTCTGCAAATCTAGTCGATCCATAGAGCTGATTTGCTCAAGTTCTAGGTCTACAATCAATGGATCTCACAAGAATGCCACATATATGTAGCATAGATATGTATTTCAAAGAGTTATTTCCGTGAATCTGCAGTCATGTACGTTGGCTTTGATATCCGGGGAGAATAAGGTCGCCTGTCCCAAGGTCTCGCGATCATTTGAATCTTGACCAAGTCACCAAAAGCTACATGTGATAATGGATTTACTTATGTACCCGAGATCTTTCTTACTTTCCCATCACCAAGTGCCTCTCGAACCACTGCCCGCAGGCACTTTTGCTATAACCGCTGTGGTCCGGTGAATGCTTACCGGCCGGGGAAAAAAGAATGGTCACTCAACCTATCTCAAGTCTCGCTTCCCTTTGCTTCTTCTCCCCCTCAATCTCTCCCCGCAACCTGAAATTTGCTCTGTGCAATCCTGCCATTGGTGGAGTCAACTTTCTCCCAGTCTCCGGATTGAAGCCCCTCTGATTCGTGGAATCAACACCAACGTATCCGCAGGACTAGATATCCTTGAACCTCAGATTACAGTTACCCCAGGTTCGCTTTATGCGCTCCAGGGAGTCCAAGGCCAATAAGCAGTCGACCGGGCGCATCGCGGCTCTTTCCATATGTGGCGACTCTCCGGATACCCCACCACTCAGCGATCCGGATTGGACAGGACTCCCCTTAGCAAAATGCACGGTGAGCTTGGCACGTCCGGGGGCTTTTCTGCGCCAGCATGGTCTGACTAGTGCCGTGATGCTTTCTGCTTGGGTCGATGGAGACCTATGGCTCCCCCAAGGGAGCATGTGAAGCCCCAGGATTATTATATATCTGGGGAACTCCACTCGCTCTTTCTCTTCCCCGCACAAGCTGTGGATCGTTTCCCCAGATTATCTCTACGGACTTGGTGTGTGGTTAGACCGGTAACCATCCAAGTTATCCTGTTGACTGTTATATCGGGGAACTCTTTGGCAGCTCTTACCTCTAGTCTCTTCAAAATCTAGGAGCGAACCCCCCCCCCCTTCCGCCGTCGGCAAAATGATTGGAGGCATTAGCCTCCAAGAGGGCTTATAACTGGTATGGTGCATCGTCCATTACATACTTTTAGGGCTATTTCATCGGACGCGTTTGACAAGAAGATATAGGTTTATCTCGCTCGTCGCAGCGTCCTGCATGGTGTTGTACGGCTACGATGCATCGGTCTTCAATTCCGTTCAAGGCTCGGATAACTGGATGGCGTGGTTCAACGAGCCCAGCGCGCCGACCATCGGGTCAATCAATACAGCGTACACAGTCGGTGCCATCTTTGGTGGTTTTTTCCTTGGAGGGCCAACGGCCGATTTCCTTGGGCGCAAGGTCTGGAATGGCGATTGGTTGTGCCTTTGTCATCATTGCTACATTCATGCAGACCTTTTCGCCGCACTGGCAACCTGGGGTGCTTCCTGGCTGGCCGGTGCCATCATTGGTATTGGCCAGGGTATTGCACTGAGTACGTTTGTTACTCTTACCCTTCGGGGCCATCGTTTTCTATGACAGGAACTAACCCAATAACATCACAGCGGCTGGCCCCATCTACATTGGTGAACTGGCACCCTCCGAGATTCGCGGCAAAATCATGACTTTCTGGCAGATGTTCTACTCCGTTGGCTCTTTTCATTTGCTTCTGGATCAACTACGCCTGCACCAAGAATGTTACCAAACTGGGTCAATGGGACTGGAAGTTGGTTATCATCTTCCAGCTTCTGGTGCCCGTTCTGATTCTCATCTTGCTACCTACTATTCCGGGTAGCCCTCGTTGGTGAGGTTCACTCACTCCAGCCACTGTGTGAGAAAAGGCTCTAGAGCACTGACAACACTCAGGTTCATCAAGAATGGTAACCACATCGAGAAGGCACGTGCTGCACTTCGAAGAGTGCGAGACACCGAGGAGGAGGTCGAGGGAGAACTGATGCAAATCCGGGAGGCGATTGAGTATGAGAAAGAAGCCATTTCAGGCAACTACAGCGCCTTGTGGAAGGACAGGTCTCTTCGCAAGCGCATGTATCTTGCCTTGGTTCTCAATGCTGGTCAACAGATCACTGGACAAGGGCTCTCTCAACACTTACTCGACCAAGATCTATGAGAAGGTGTTTACCAGCGACAGCCAGATTGCACTCATCAACGCCCTGAATGCCACCTTTGGTATTCTCTTCACTTTGAATGCTGTGTGGCTCATCGACCGATTTGGACGACGGTTCCTCTTGATCCTTGGAGGCATCGGGATGGGCCTCTGCATGATCATTGCCGCCGCCGTCGAGACCGAAACGCCAAACCTTCCAAACGGAGCCAAATCCGAGTCCGTTGGCATCGCAATTGTGTTTCTCATGTTCTTATTTATCTTCTTCTGTGAGTTCCCTGCCACCATATGCTGCATGAAAAACAATTAGCTCACAACTCTTTCAGACAAGCCTTCTTGGGGCGCGACCGTCTGGATCTGGACCTCCGAGATCTTCTCCATGAACGTCCGCGCGCAAGCCGTGGGGATGGCTTCGCAGACACAGAATGTGGCAAATACGATCTTCCAGCAGTTCTTCCCCATCTTTCTCGAGCATGACGGCTTCTATGCTTTCTACTTGTTTGCGGGTATCAATTTCTTGCTGGCCATCTTCGTCTTTTTCTTGGTGCCGGAGACCAAGAAAGTCCCTCTTGAAGAAATCGACATATTGTTCGGCGGCGCCAACCACGTTGCGCAAGGCGAGGAAGTCCTTGCAAACCAGAAGGCTGCTAATGCTCGTGAGGTTCAGGAGGTTCATGAAGCTCATGAGAAGCCCGGAACTGTTAACGTTGAGAATGTGGAATCTCGTTGATTGAAGCGATATCTGGGAATACATAAAGCAGCGGATTCGACTGGGTCTGGATATCAAAAATTACCAAATTACTAGTATGGTCATTCCATAAAATTGTTAGTTAATGTAGGCGAACTCGCCAGATTTATGGGAAATCGGTTTTGCATGCCCGTTTCCTAATTCGATCTCATGGAAACAGTGTCTGCACATAAGCAACGAGTTGAAGTCAGCATACTGCGTATCAATTAGGCGGTAAACTATATATTAAGCGGTCTCAAAGGCTGGTTTCACTCTCATGGACCACCACTATAATGCACTTACAAGGAAGTTGGAGCGTTGAACTTCATAAACATCACAGATTAATGTAATATTACCACGGGATACAGAAAGCATCATGTGACTAGTGTATCGGTGAATCCTTCTTCCGCTCGGCTGAACCGAAAGTGGGTCATAATAAGAATGTAGTCCAACCACCCACATTCTCGCTTCCAGGACGGAAGAAAAACAAAAGAAAAGGAACGGCCGTGGATCGAACACGGGACCTATAGATGATCGCTAGGTAATTGCAATCTATCGCTCTACCCGCTGAGCTACCAATCCTTTTTACGATGAGTGGAGCTTATAAAGGATTCATTTCCCCTTAAAAAAAATAAAATTGGGTTTTTAGACTTTCCGGGCACGGAATTTCCAAGGGTTGCAGGCTCCCCGTTTTCCCCTCCTCTTCCCCAAATTTTTTACCTCCCCGGGATTTCCCCAAGTATTTCCATTTCTTTTTTAAAAAGTTATTATGCCAATTCTTTACCGTACTTTCATATTTATGCCAAGATTGTTAGCATCTCCCAAAATCAATATAATAAATGCTCTTGGATTACGGGGAATATATATGGAGCGGTCAACAGAGATTCTCGATGTCATCAAATGGATAATGGCAACCATTAGCCTCTCTAATTCAACTTAAATATCAAAATATCATGTAAATGACATGCGAAGTTTGAATCCATGCATACCTACTATCAAAACAAACCAAATCTTATCAATGGGTTTCTATTTTGAACGTAGTCGATGGGAACCCAGAAATCGCACCAGCATGAACATCAAAATTCCCCAAATGCTCTTTTCTTAAAATCGGATAATGCCCACATTACTCGCTTCATTGCTCGTTTCATATTTTCCTAGCTCTACCGTACCATCTTCTTCTCTCAAGAATGTATTGAGTTGATCGGACTTCTATTGTGGCTCTTATTGGTGATGACAATCTTTCGCCAGGTTTCACACTGACCGTCGACGGTGTATCTACTGAAACTCATCTAACTTAAGAGCTATTGACTGGAATGCCAGGAAGCTCCTAGAAATGCAGCTAGCAAAGGGAATTGAGCGCGAGCATCAAAATGTTTCTATAAATCCAAAAAATATCAAATAAAGCAACCTTGGAGTCGAGTTACCCAAAAGACAACGAACAGGAAAGAAATCTATAATGCATCGCTATTTCCAAACAAAGGTCAATCTTCCGATCTACCGGTTGACACAAGTACCGCTGTTCCACTGGGTGTAGCCAACACATTGAAAGTTGTCGCAGCAAGTATCGCTAGGAGTGCAAGCGTGGTAGTCTATCGAGAGCATATTATTAGTGAGGATAGTTGAGACTGTTTGTTTCGATGGTCTGAACCCACGGGCAATGCAAGATCCATCAGAGTCGCCAGTAGGGGCTGGAATCATCGCTGGAGAGCGTGCTAGTGGTAGTGCTCCAGGCGCTGCTGGAAGCAGTAGTCTTGAAGGTGCTCCGGGTAATGTAATCGGTTCTTGTCACTGTAACAGTTTTTGTCACGGTGACAGTGTTGTCATCGTCATCATCGTGATCGTGATCGTGATCATGACTGGCAAAGACGAGGCGCTGAGCGCAGTGAAAGGAGGATGGAGCTTGTGAACTTCATTTTTGAAAGTAATCTTGGAAATAGAGAATTGAACTAATGGATCGGAATAAAGTGCTTATGGCTGTTGAGGTGAGTGATGAAGTGGAATAAACTGGGGGAATCTTGAATTATATAGCTACTTGTGTCCACACCTAGTGCAACATTTCCAAGGTTGGTAACATGTATTTTCCTCACATCTGAGGCCTGCGTGGTGGTAGATCCTTCCATTGCTCGCCTCGATCAAATTTGGTTTTTTTCCTTCTTTCAGGTGTTTCCCCATAAGGCCCATACATGCTCAAGGACCGCCCCCACTTGCCATATGAAGAGAGGCACAATTTCAAAGATACTTAGTATTCTGCTCAACAGGAACAGAGTAAATAGATGTGCATATTGGCATTAAATACATCTTGAGAAAATAAATATGTATGTAAGATCAAGCCCTAGTAATAGAAAATCAAGCTGAGGCCACTTTTTCTTTAGCTTGGTATGCGTCCACGGGCATATGGTAGGTACACTACGATGCCGGAGGAGTACCTTATTTTTCGGCTATTATCCACAACTGGAATTCTAATGATAGTAACCATTATGGATCTACGAATCATAGAGGACATAAACATATGAGTGGTCAGTGCTAAGAATGAAGAAGATTGAATTTCTCGATCTAGAAAAATTACCTAAACAGGCAACCCCACTCTGCACATCGATCTCTCTGGTCTGCCATCTCCACCGCTACCATTTCAATGTTTGACAACCGTCGATTACAATTAATATTTCCACTACCCAGGGCAATTATCCGGCTGTGGAGCAAGCATATGGATGGTTTAAGTTCCTCCGCTATTTGTATCAATCCTGATAATGTTAGAGCCGAGTATTGGCAGAAATGACCTCTGCAAAATAGAACATGGCCAAAATTGTTTGAAAAAAATCATTGGACAAATGCGGCTGGAGAGGCTGAGAAAAGTCTCCGGACCACCTGAAATCAGTGCGGAGATTAAAAATTTCCGCTAGCCAGTAATCCGTTAGAGCCAGTTGATCCCTCACCAATAATAAACCTTCCATAAAGTCCCGCATCGTCCGCAATACGAGGATTACTCATCTCAGTGATGACATCTTGCAAGTTGACTTGAGAACTCCTTTTGAGAATGCTACGCTCCTACTTTATTTGTTTGCCAAGAATCAACCAATATGGCAGTTAGTGAGAACCGCTCCATCGCTATCGTGGGCGTTGGCCCATCCATGTCGCGCTCTCTTGCCCTATGGCTGGCGAGCTTAGGGTGGAACATTGCCCTGATCTCTCGATCGGAAGAACCTCTTTCAAAAATCGCGACCGAAATCAAAAATGCACAGAAAAATCCTGACGCTAAAGTAGTCTACAAGACTGGTGATACAAGTGATCCCAGTAGTTTGAAAACTGCCCTCGACTGGTGTGTTGAGCAATTCCAGTGCAAGTTGGACGTTTTGAATTAAAACGCCGCCCATGTTTCCGAAATAAACATAATGGATCTAACCCCTGAGGCTTTGGAATCCGACCTAAAGGTCTCAGCTGTTGGGACACTCGTTGCGGGGCAATGGTTTGCGCAAAATGCCCGGGTTGATCGAGTTGCCCAGGGGGAATATCCTGTCTTCCTAGTTACGGGTGGTCTCCTTGACAAGAACCCGGTGCCATTCTTTTCGGCACTCTCTATCTCCAAATCTGCCTCTCAGAATGTGAGCCGATTGTTTGCCCAGTGGCTTCCAGAACGATACAGCATTCTTGTGGGCATGCCCTTGGTGCGGGGAACAGTCATTGGCTCAGCAACAGGAAAATTCGAGGGCGGTGTTCATCCGGACGATATCATTCAGGAGCTATTCAAACCATTTTTTGAGGATCGAGAGAATCTACAAGATGGAATTGAGAGCTGGACCGTCGAACGAATCATGTGATATTGGCGTAATTCGGAAATGGAAATATTTGCGGCTGATGATTAAACGGCACGAAATTAAATGGACACCTCACTAGCTCGTCTCTGAGCTAGTACGGTATACGTAATTCAGAAAAGCTACGATTGAATCTGAGTCTCCAGGTATTGAGGAGTGTATGACCTCACTTGATCCAAGTCAACATACAATCTATCGCTTCATTTGAGCCGGAATATAGTTAAGAAAAGTCGCCAGTAAAAACCACTCCTCCATTACGTTCACATTGCCCGGTAGCCTGATATGAACAAGTAGGTACCTGTGTTGTACTCGATAATATTACTATTTGAAAGTACAACTACTGCACTAGTTCATACATGGGCTAGTGAGGCGTCAACTAATATTTTGGTGATCAATCATAAATCTCCATATTTGCCTTCCTGAATATGAACAGATGATATGCGGAGTAGAATGAAGACCCGACTTACTGATCGCTTCTAAGCCAATTCCTTGGCATCGGCTGGAATATCCTCACAAAGCTCGGTCTTTAATTGGTTCTTCGAGCCCCATCGAGATTTACTCGATCTTTTACTTTCCACACAAAATTTGATATACCTGAAATGTAACAAAAATACCTTGAAGGATCCCCATACCACCTAAAATTCAATAAGTGTGGGATTTCATGCGAAGGGTTATTTTGTTAGGTGAATTGAATACCGCCGTGATTGTGGCTTCTCGATCGGAAATACTTGCCTAAGTGATGCTTACTGTGCTTATTGTCTTACTTTCCACACTCTGCATAATCTGCATTAGTGAATTAATAACCCTGTGTCTTAGCATCATTCTTTCATATTTTACACTGACATAGGCCTCATTTGCCATGAGATTATGGAGTTTCCACTCCGCTTTGTAAGAGTAGCTATACCGCTTCGGCAAAGGCTAGATCCTCTTCACCGCATATGTTTATTCGGTTAATTTAATAGGAGGTTTGCTGTCGTATGGAAAGGCTGTAGCGGGGTATAAATATGCTTAACGCACCCCCAGCTCTCGTAACACGGAGTTCAAAACCGGGGAAAAGTTGAAGTGGGCATTGACAGACAGATATCGCAAAGTCCTAAAATGTCATCATCGTGGATCCACACGCTGGCTTCCAGCCTTCTTTTGACTATGATGGTCATAAGGACTGCTATTGCCAAAGAGAATTTCAAGTTGCGGCCCTTCGAAATCGACCTCTCCGACAGAGTACCTCGAATGATCCGTCAGATTCAGGAATCTCACCTTCCCCAGACGCCTGTGTATACAGATACCGGGACATCTGCAGGCATCACCCTAAGTGACTTGAAGTCTTTCAAACAACAATGGTTGACAAGCTTTGATTGGAATCAAGAGCAAACCTCTTTGAACAAGTATGTTTGACCACGATGCATATGCCTCGGCTTTGAATACTTTAACGCATACTAAAAGCTGTTGCTGGAGTAGGTTTAGCCACTATACAGCAGAGATCGAGGGTTTGACCGTGCATTTCATCCATAAAAAGTCCGGCGCAGCAGATGCTATCCCTCTGCTCCTGATTCATGGTTGGCCGGGTTCCTTTCTTGAATTCATTCCGTTGATCAACGATCTTACCAAGACTGCACAAGATCAAGTCTGGAAAGCTTGTTTCATTTGATGTTATTGTACCATCCCTGCCAGGCTTCGCTTTCTCTTCTCCCCCTCCAATAGATTGGACAATTCCAGACACAGCTCGAGTTTTCAATACTCTGATGGCGCAGGTACTGGACTATGAGGAACTACGCCACCTTTGGCACGGATTGGGGCAGTGGCGTTGCATATACCCTGTACGATCAGTGGAATACGACTGTCAGGGCAGCACATCTAGACTTCCTCCCATTCTACCCATTGAGCGCTATCGAGTTGGCCGCCGAGAACATCACTCTCACAGGGCTGGAGGATTTTGAAGAGGATGTGACTATTACATGGAGTAACTCAGGGACTGGATATTTCAGTGAGCAGACCACAAAGGTATCGGAAATCTTGCCCTCTTATCCTAAGGTGCACATGGGAGGAAATGACTAACAAAGACGGATCCTCCTAGCCAAATACCATCGGTCTGGCTCTTTATGATAACCCAATTGGGCAGCTCGCGTGGATCGGGGAAAAATTCATGAACTGTATGTATTCATCCCAATATTGAATCGCCCAATTCTAAGTGCGAGATTCAGGGTCCGATCCCGATGCTGGGCATGCACCTTCAGTTCTTACCAGGAACGAAATTCTACGCAGTGTTTCTCTATACTACCTTGACGGAAAGCTTTGCATCCTCAGTGGTGATCTATGCACAGAACCCCAACGGATTCAGCACGGTGTATAGCAAGGCTTCGAATGATGCCCCGTTGCTTTTTAGCGCTTTTAAGTATAACCCCGGATTTTGGCCACCGGCGCTAGTGGCCAAGGTTGGAAACCTAGTTTATTACAAAAGTGAGTACTCTTCTATGTCTCATATTGTGGAGGATGTAGGCTGACTAAGTATTTATTCAGATCATGGATTTGGGGGCCACTTCCCGGGGCTGGATAATCCCCCTGCTTTGCTACAAGATTTGCGAGAAATTGGCAGCTACTGGGAAGCCTAAACTTGAACATTTGTAGCTACCGATGAAAGATTACCCGGAACTGCGACGATTTCGGGCGCTCTCAACCATTGAATTAGTGAAGTGACTTTCCCGGGTTGCTATGGAAATGTTCAAAATATATCCATTATGAAGCTTGATTTGAATGCATTAGATGCCAACGCAGATCAGACATTTGTGCGGTAAGATGCTACGTGACACATATCTACTTGAATATCAACTTGCAAAATGCACCAACCCTAGTAACCTTGCATCGGTCCAAAATTTATAAGTCTATGTATAGATACCTCTGAACTTGGGTATCTTGGATGAGTAGACGATATCCAGTGTTTAGGAGTAAGAAGGTTTCAAATATTCACTGCTACCCTTCAAAAACAAAAGAGTTCACCCTCCATGGAACATGCAGCCAGTGGCTATAGGACACACAAAATGTAACACAGCACTTCAAGTATTTCAGTCATCATACCTATGGGCCTCGATAGGAATGGAGCAGCCAGCAGGTGAACGTTCATTGACATAGTCATCAATCCAAGGACCCTCCGCTTTGCCATTCCACCAATCAGGCCCCCCCCGATGGTCCACAATAGTAGTCAACCTTTCTGTCAGAGTCTCCAACACACTGCTGTACACCATGCTTCACCACATTGATTCCTCTTCCAGCGATGCTGCCAATCTGGTTTGAATTGGGCGCGTAAACAACAGCTTCGCCACGATCTACAGTATTGGTGCCTCCGCAGGCGCAAGAGTTGACTTCCCTTCACAGTCACCGTGAAGGCTGTGACGGCTTGATAGAAAAGAACACATATGTCTCCATCTTCATCGGCAACACCAGCGCAGGTGAATATGTTTGAAACCGAATAAGTCTCGGAATCGGAGATACTAAATCCAGCAGATTCGAACGGCGTGTTGACGCCCAGGCTCAAACTCCAGCCAAGAGTAGTTGAGTATCCAGTGCCTGTAGATGTAGTCGATGTGTCACAGGCAACAAGTGTTCCTCCTTTCTGGGTGATCACAAAGTTCTGGTGCGGATCTCCATCTCCAATCTTGGTATAGCTGTATGAAGCTTGGCACCCCCCACAGACCATATCGATCGAAACTGGCTGATTGATTTGGGTACCGTTCTCCAAAACGTGGATATCCCTCATCTGAATAAAATCCTCTGCCCTAACATCGATGACCTTGGGGAGCGAGAGCCCTACTGCAGATAAAGCCAAGAGGCTGAAGAGTCTTGTAAAGGGAGGTTCATGGTAGATTTGATGTTGGCTGAGGGATAAATTTGTAATGTATCCTAACAGATTGCCGAATACGTTAGTGATACAAAGCATATAGCTAAATGCAGATATATAAGAGTAAATAATCACCTTATTCTATCATTGACAGTAGATTGACAGAGGATCAAGTCAGGAGAGCAGTGCTTAGGATTCCTGCTGCAAGAGGGAGCAATCCTCTTATATGAAAAAATTCTATGCAACCCCTTCTATACCGACGCTTCGGACCTGATCAGGGGCTCGGTTAGAAACTACATGGGCATGAAAATAGATACATGCACAAGGGGCCATTCCTACGAGCCAGACCAAAAAAGAGGGACTAATACAGACGACGTCACGCTACTGTCCAGGTCATAACATGTTTGATCCACATCGAAGGTGTTGGGATTCGTGGGGGCTGACATAACATAGTCAATGTTTCCATCATTTTACAATGAGTCAATTGAATGCCTCATAAGCCATAGAAAGTATATTGACCACAGTAAGATTGATACTGTGTTGAGATGAAATTAGCATATTAAGCCTTCGTAAACGGCTTGCGAAGGTAGCAGCGAAGGTTGATCTAGCTAAGACGTAACCCACTGACTATTTCTAAAGGATTTCGCATTGGTCTTGTCACAGAATCTTCCTGAACGGTCCTTTTCATCCTCTCTTGTAATTTAATCTAGTATCTATTAACATCACCAGACTGGCTAACTAATCCTTTGCCTTAAGGGCCGACTTCGAATTACCATTTCGGCAGGGTAAGGATGTTTTTATTTTCCTTTAGATATTGGGATGCCCGACAGGCCTGAGTTATCTATTTATCAAGAGGGAATATTATTAAAGCACTCAGTAGTTGGTCTGTAGCAATGGGGTGCTGTTGATGTTGGTTTTAGCCTAGATCTTGCTTGATGCCATAGATTAGTGAATCGTGATAGCCGAAAGGCCCGAGATCAACTAGAGCCTGCGTAGGGCTTAGAGGCTGTCACGCGTGTCTCTTTCTCGATTTGTAGACTGAAAAAGAAATACCAATCCGGTCCCCGCATATCAGAGCTTTAGTGGTCAATACTTGAGCCTCACTTGCATTACATCGTGTATGGCCGTGGAAATGCTACAATGACCCATGTCCTGTAACTTTCTAATCTATGGAAAGTGCTATTTCTAGACCAACAGATCCCTGTAATTTTGGGCTCACTTGCCATTATTGTGGTCTTTTTGAGCGTATCGTTCAATTCGGCAAATTGTTCAACGTACAACGGGCCATGGCATCCACCTCGCTTAGACAGCATAGTAATCTTAGTTGACTGCCGGAGAGCTGGTATGATGAAATTTAAACACTTTTTTGTGTGGTCTTGACCGCCTTAGTTACTGTTTTCTAACTAGATTGGCAGGGCGACTACTTAGAAATCCCAGGATGAAATCAGGCGATGCAGGCAACCTCACTGGGGTCTTCCCAGGAGGTCTATGTTACGAATCAGGTTATTATGCTGAAAGGTGCACTCAATACATAGATTAAGGGCATGATCAAACAGAACAAAGAATCAAGAAAAATCATATAAATGAGAAAAAACGAGAAGTATCGGGGGACCGGCAAAACTGAGGGGAAACAGAGATAACGGCATCGAAAAAAAAGCCCCACACAAAGATAAAGATCCACAGAATGTGGCTCAGCGTAACAGTTGGCGGTTTTGTTGTTTACTTGTAGGCTGTCGCGCCCTGCCCAGCCAACCCTAATTGGATCAAGCAACGGAGTTGCCGTCGGTTCCGATGTAGACCGGGCTTGGCCCCAGATGCCACGAGCCCCGCAACGGTAGGCCCTGCAGGGGCCAAGATATCCCGCGGCCCCCACTTCGTTGAGCCTAGTTGAGATGCGAAACAGAAGTGCTAAGATTAAACCTACTTATCTTTACTGGCTCCTTCTGTTGGAAAAATCATTGGACCAAGAAAACAGGGAGAAACGGGTGGCGTAATACACTGTGTATTGACCATGAATTCAGTGATCCGTGCCCGATCGTTCTTTCAGTCAGATAGCGCCCCATAATTTTGATTTGCAAGCATTCCCTAAAATAACTAAAATGTATGGAGCTAAAAACGAGCCGGCCATTGCTACCTTTAAATATTGTCTGGCTCTTTGGCCTGCTTTCCTCCCCAATTTTTCCAATTCCTTCTTCTCAACATCAGTCCTCTTATTTCGGTTAGAAGATTCTCTTTCAAGTTCCTTGCGCTTTTGTTGTGTCCATCCTTGATTCCCCCAGTCACACCTTACGCTGTCTAATCATGGTCGAGCCTATGACCCCTGGAGAGAGACGCCCCACTTCCCCCAAATACTCAAAGTCATCTTTATACTGGACTTCATTCTTCAACGCGTATCTCATCTTCTCCTCTTTCTGCGCAATCGCCGGTCTCATTATCAGCGCAGTCTCGCTCCATAAAGCGAACGAGGTCAAAGCCTTTCAGTCCTCCCGATCTATCACGGACTTGGACCGTACCTTCAACAGCACCATCTACGCCATCGCAAGCAATGGCACGTCAATCCAGATTGTGATGAGGCTCCCATTGAGCTGATCACAGGTCAAACTTCGATTCCAGGTCAATGTGTCACTGTCACTGCAAGCTATACAATGTGGGTGACGAGGCTGGCCGCCAATTGTGTTCCTATTGCCTATGAGGAGCGCAAACTGCACAGGAACGGATAGAGAAATCGGTGGCATTAGTGCTCCATCTTGCGTTGTTGCAGCTGGGGCATCTGTGTTGGGTGGAGGTGCTGGTGATTTATTCGAGAGTTTCAAAGTTCTTTTGCTCTTGAATATTGAAGATTTGATTTCTGGGCGCCGAGAGAATATGCATATTATACACTCCGATCTCCAAACTGCAGCATGGGCACCAAATTGTGCTAGAATCCGGGTAGAAAGCGGATATGAGATCACTAGCATAATAACGCTTTGTATAAACGTGATAAATTCTGATTAGGGAACGATTGGAAATGAGCGCTGAGAACCTGAGGCCAAAGTCTACAGGGATATGAATACCTCAAATGTTTGGATTCCTGGGATTACTTTAGGGATATCTTATTTGATGAAAAAAGTACTCCAACTTCACCATCACTAGAGCGCTCTACGTGATACTTAAAGCTCCCATTGGGCAGCCTTCGGAGTGATTTACACTAGGCTCATGGTCTAATCAAAGCCTTAAAGTCGTATTAGCGCTCTCAGGAATAGGAAAACACAGCTGAAAATATTTAAAAGCCCACAGATATTATGATTAGTACACAAATTTAACGGTACTCGATTGTTAAATAAATAGACCATTAGCGATCCTTGCAACATTTAGCTTCCAAAATTGCTCCTTGCAACAACACAACTGATCAAAGATAGGGTACTTATATACGAAAGGCTCCCTGACTAATCATCTAGGAGCGGTAGCTCAGTGGTAGAGCGATAGATTGCAATTACCTAGCGATCATCTATAGGTCCCGTGTTCGATCCACGGCCGTTCCTTTCTTTTTGCCCCATTATTGGCCGTTCGAGCGACACTGTGGACTGGCGGCCCGCTTTCAGTCCAAGTGGAGAAAGGTTCTGCCGCTAGTCACATGACCTATCTGTCCGTGTACTAATAGTTTCCTCTTTGTTTTTGTTGCTTGGCCTTCGAAAGGTTGGTATCTCAGGGCTTTTGATATTATTGTACTATAAGTATTTCGTTTAATATTCCCAGTGTGACCAAAAATTTCATGTCGTGTTGGTGACCAGGCCCCCTTAGAAAGTCAGTGGAGAGGTATTAATTGAAATTCCAGATTATATCACTCAAAATGGAGGGCGGAGGATATCTCCTTCCTCAAATGAAAGTATCTAGATCGGAGTTGTACTTCAAACAGGAAGCAGAATCCCTCTTTTGACATAAATTTGGACCGCGTCATCTATCGCGAATGTTACGTGCTGGAGTACAGGGCCAAACCCCGCTTTTGCAGAAGGACGAACTGCCCATATATCAGCCATTGACCCGAGGTGATAATTTGCTGCCTGCTCCTTAGTCCCCCTTATTCCTCTCGCCATGTCTTCAACTGAAACTATCGCTCGCCCCCGTCAGCCCGATATCCAATACCATCCTGACTGGGCGAAGTATCAAGCACGATCCCGCCAACGTAAGAAGATTGAAACACTTCAGACTAGCTTGCCAGCAGGATTTCCTCAACATCTTGTCTCACCACTTGTTTGGGATGGAAAAGATATTGAAAAGCGTGATGACTGGATCTATCAGCTCAGCGATGCTCAGCTTGATGAGATTGACGCCGCCTTGATGAGCTTCAAAGGTAAGAACGTATTACTTCTGGCTGAATTATTTTACTAACAGCGGTAGCTCTCAGGAAGCCCTTGGGTCATTTGAACGAGTTAAATTTCCCTCTTCCAACCTTTCGACCCATCCTGAGAGGTCTTTCAAATGAGCTTCACAACGGCCGAGGATTTTTTCGTCCTCCGAGGTCTACGCATTGACAGTTATTCTCGAGAAGATAATGTCATCATCTACACAGGCGTTTCATCTCATATTGGCAGTATTAGGGGACGTCAGCAAGACACAAGACTGCAAGATGGAACATCTCCAATGATTTCGCATATCAAGGATATCACCGGCATTACTGAGGAAGGAAAGATCGGGGCACCATCCAACACAGCGGATAAGCAGGTGTTTCATACAGATGCGTGGGGATATTATCTCACTTCTCTGCTTGAGTCCCGCCGCAGATGCGGGTGAAAGCTATCTTTCAAGCAGTTGGAACGTATACCACATTCTTGCAAAGGAGCGTCCTGATCTGATTCATACCTCTCGCAAGACTGGCCGGTTGATGGGTAGGTCCCCCAAGGCCAAGTTAATATTAATACTCATCGGCTATAGGTTCAACAATCCTCAGAAGCCATACACACTTCGCCCCCCTTCTATACCACCAACCAGCTACAGAAAACACGCCCGAGCGAGTTTTGATTCAGTATGCGCGGAGATACTTCACCGGATTTCTCGCTCAACCCAGATCGCGGACATCCCTCCCATTACCGAGGCCCAAGCAGAAGCATTAGATGCGTTGCATTTCCTAGCAGAGGAGCACAGCGCTGCCTTAGATTTCCAAAAGGGAGATGTCCAATATGTCAACAACCTCAGCATATTCCACGCCCGTAACGGCTTCAAAGATGCACCGGGAAAAAGGTAAGTGTCCTTGAATAATGCCCGAGTCTTGGCTAATCATGACAGACGACATCTTTTACGACTCTGGCTGCGCGACCCTGAGAATGCTTGGAAGACGCCTGAGCCACTTCAGCATCGCTGGGATATATTGTTCAAAAACGTCACCGAGGACGAACAGGCATTTCCTCTTAATCCTGGTAGTCTGCGTAAGACAGTGGGGTCTTAGTGCTCAAGGATGTATTGCCTTCGAGTGGCGAATCGCGTCGCATCGCGTGCCGTCTTCATCGGGCTCAAAATGAAATATCGCACAGGCATTATTCTATTTTCTAACACCCTGGCATTCCTCATGGGGTTGAAGCCAACAAACAGATGATGTCGTTGTGGGGTACCCTGCATGATCATCATTGCCTATCTATTGCGGTGAGCGACTGAGCAACATAATAAATCCTGGGCAAGACTTGAGATTTAATTGATTATCCAGTAATGGAGTTTCTATAGTATTCTACTATCTCTATTCAAATAGTCTTCTGTTCTCACCGTTTTTAAAATTCTCCGTCGTGCTCTTATACTTGAACTGGCATGGGCTAGTCTAGACGGCGCTCGGATAACGTTCCGACTGACCGGGAAATTAGAGAAGGGCTGATCAGGACGTTTGGTCTTGGAACCTACTGTACTAGCCAGGGTCATGGTGGCGATTTGAAAGTGAACAGCTAATTGGCTACTGTATAGTTGCATACTGACAAGTCAAATCTCTACCCTATACAGAAAGAAACTCTCTGCTGCCCAAAGAATCCCCGGTTGGAGCCAGTGAGATTAAGAAAAGCCTTCTATTGTTCCATATACGAGGATGATCCATGGATCATCCATAGTTTAACAAATAATGGCCGTCCTTGATCGGCATCTCTCTGCCGAGATGACGTAACTGGCTTAATGCAGACCTTCCACGCACGCTCTATGAGCAGTTGACTTCGCGACCAAAGTCTGTCTTCGCCAAGAGCGGACAGAATTATTCCAAGGTTGAATTGCCTTTGCCCGCATGCCGCAACCCGGCAAGGCTGACCCGTGGGAAGCCCTGGCCACGATACTTCAATAAGACTTGACCCTCCCGCGCGTCCCGCGGAGTTATTTCAAGAGCTGGATCGGCGAGCCCCAATTTCAACTCTCTGTATTTAATAATCCCTTCCCCCAGGCTAATCTACAATTCTGACTCTGTCAAGCACAATTCGAGCTCCCTCTTAAGCCTCAAAATGTCCCGCACCCGGGAATCCCCCAACCAATCCCCTTCTACCTCTGATGGTCCATGGAAGGTCGACACACCCTTCGGACCTCCAGAATTTCCACGTTCATTCCCCGGTGGAATCCGACGCCTACGAAACACATTATCAAAACTGTCACCATCCGCCATGGCTGAGAAAGAAATCCTCCGCAAAAAGAATCAATATAAGATTCCCCTGACGCATAGGAATGTGGACACCTTCGTTACAAACCAAGAAATGCAACGACATAGCTCGACCCAATCAACGCACGCCAGAAATCCCGGGTGGTCGAATGGCTTGAACGTGCTTCTTGATCGGGCGAGGTGCATGTCTCCACCTTTCACCTTGGTCGACAGACTTCGACTAGGCTTTTTCTCGACCTTTCTCGAACCCCGCACGCGATCCGCGAGTTTCTCGGGGAACCGAACCTCGGTACTTTGTTATCCATGTCGTTCGTATTGCCTTCAAGGGGGAGGGGGGTAAATAGGGATCTTGGCTTGGCAAGGCATTTTGCTCCTTGGCATTTGCGCAACATGATTCAGTCAATTATGTATGCCGAGATGGGCTCGAGCGCATCGTGGAACTTTGTCTCGGCATAATTGCCGGATAGCTACATATCAAGTGAGTGTGTCAGCTGCGTTCCTATCTTTATGCATGGGGCTAATTAAGCAATAGCCGATGTTCCCGCCGTGATAGTGCGCTGTGATCGACGTATAAGTGGACCGCATGGTTGGCTTTGCAAGGCATTCTCAAATTGAGGGAATGCCAAAAGAATTTCTTTCCTAACATCCACTGATATTCTTTTAGATTAATAATATTAATAATATACTGACCTGGATTTAATACATAATAATATGGAATGGGCATATTAATGCACAGTAAGATGAAATATTGAAGGAACTGACAACACTGCGGTGGAAGCCTCAGCGTTTGGCCACAGTTGGGCCGAAACATCAGAATGACAAACCGCGATGCCGCTTTATCCGGATTTTCGCTTTTCATGCGCAGCGATTCACAAGAACAGAATCGCCTATTATTTGCTCTTCGCTCCACCAGTAGGCGACTAAGCACATCCCGTCCTCAATCACGTCGCCCATATCCATCATAGTCATGCCCGGCGAAATCAAGTTCCACTCCTTGCGTGAGGATTAGACGATTGGGATCCGGAACAGTATATGGAGGAATCAAGTTCAGTTTAAATATTGCTTTGCATAAATGAGCTGACTGTCACTGCGTTCCTTGTGGATGAAGGTGGAAAGCTAAATTGAAATAACCCCATATGCACCTATTTCGGCTCACCCAGTAAAATCACGGTTTTCACTACTTTATCTCATATCCCTTAGTTAGTTATTAACTGCATTAGTCTATAACTAAATGATAGCCTAATATGCCATAAGCTGGCATCACTCTAACACTCGATTAGTCCTAACTAAGAGAGGAACCTAACCAGGCTCTTGCTTGACGATGTCAATGACATGACGGCATCAATGTATGCTAATAAACCAAACCCTACACTATAACCAAGTTGCGATATAGACTGCTTTCTTGACCTAGAAGTCGAAGCGCCCCTGCACTGTTCAAACAGGTCCGTTGCTTTGGAAATTTGGGTGGTTTACTGAAAACTTTAACCAAATGTCTCTTCTCCCACATAATATTGCCCTATATTTATAGTAGATAATGCGACCCCTTCATTATTAGGACCTTGCGCTTATGAGATGAGAGCTATCATTAGAATGGTAGTTATTAGACCTTATAGCTTTCGCCGAAATGACTTATCTACCCAGCAAGTGCTTTCAACGTCCAAAATTTACCTCCACACTCTTACTTTTATTGCCGAGCCCTATCTCAAAACACGCTAGCCAATTTAGCCATTCCCCAGTAATTCCTGTCAGGCAGTCTGTGATTCCTTGGTAACGATCATGAGCCATCTTTATGGTTCTGTAGATTTAACTTGGAACTTGACAGAATCTCTCATGCATGGAGAACCCAAAAAAGGGAATATCCCTCGCTATAATGTAATGTATCTATAACCTTGGAACCTGATTCTTCGATTCAGCTTCAATGATTTGGCCGTTTTTTTTGGAGGGCTTCTGGGGATAAGAGATAACCCTCTCATTAATCAGTCAGAACTTTTGTATTGCCCTATTGGAAAAGGTTGATTATGATCAACAATTAACGACTAACTCGACTAGCGTTTCAATTCTGTATGCTACTTGAATCATCCATCGTAAAGTATCAGTACGTAACGGCTTCGATAAGTCCTTGCTATGAGCATTTTAAAACACTTAATACGTGCAAAGCGAATGGTGGTAAACTATCGCATGTTGCGGTTCTTGGCTTAGGGCGGTTATCCCCGCACTAAGGCCAAGAAGGTAAGCTGAGATTCTGTGGCCTATCTCAACATCTGACTCAGCTGGGACCCATGTGGTTGACTAAATAGGCATAAATATGACTCATTACTATTAATTGCTTCAGAACTTACTCTTAAATTATGGAGGTGGCTATAATGCGCTGTTCGTCACTTATCTAACGTTAGGCTTTTTTTCAGAAGGATTTTCTCATGAGTTTGTGAGTCATTCGGGCATCGGAAATAGATAAGACGGAGGTCCGCCGGAGCTTTTAAGGGTAAATAACATATATAAGCAGACATTGAGTGTGATCAGATTTTGAACTTATCCGTTGAAACTACCAACATTTAACCCAAACACAAAGCCGCTTCTAAAAATGTCTTCAGAAGTCATTGATATTGCAAGGATTTCCGGACGGTCATCTAACCTCAAATCCAAGCGAGGGTCGACCTTTTCAAAAATTGGAATATTCCAATTGGGTCAAAGATAATTGAAATCGGCTGCGGGCAAGGAGATTGCACCCTAGTGATGGCCTATCTAGTGGGAGAGCAGGGCCACGTCAACAGGAATTGATCCGGCACCCTTGGACTACGGTTCGTTTGTCAAAAAGCAAAAGCAATCACATACGGCAAGCATGGTAACAATCCAAGCAGGAGCGCCCACAACACTAGGCCAAGCACAAGACAAGCTAAAGCAGAGTGTGGTCGGTAATCGGATCACATTCCACCAGTTCAGATCTTAAAAGCTTTCTCGATTCCAGCGCCTCAGAACCACTTTATGACTATGCCGTGTTCGCGCGTTGCACCTTGCCTTATCATCCGCTGACGAAACTCGCTGATGCTGGTGGCTCTTGCGGAATAACGAACATCTCTGCATTGCAGAGTACTCAACTGATATCCAAGGGGATATTGCCGCTCTACACACCTACTGGCGGCAATTTCACAAGCGGAATTCGACTCCGGGATAACAACTTAGGCCATCCGATGATAATATCCAGTCAATCATACCCCCGCAGAAGTTTCGTGAGCTGTCGTTAGAGGAGGGTATGGGTGATTGGATAAAGAAGATCTTATCAGGATCCCCTGATGGATCAGGAGTATGCGGATGGGAGGTTGCTCGCGTCCTCGCGGTAAGTTATCGTGATCACAATCAACTAGTGGTGCTAGTCGTCAAGAGTACGCAGATGCGTTGATTGGTGCTGTTGGGAGAGCAAGAATGCACTTGGCCCGAATCCTAAGCTCAGAACTTTGCCTACGTGGCTGGCCTCGTGGGCGTGAGTCAAGCAGCTTGTAAGGATGGAGATGAGGAAAATAATTAAAGATCTCGAACGTTCTGCTTGGTTTGCAATCAGCCTCCTTTTTAGCTGTATAGGCCTTTTGCCTTGAGTCTAGTATTCATACAGATAATACATCGTTTGGCAATCTCCCTGTGTACATACAAGACTTGGAGGTGGCTTTACGCAAAACTTTTAATTCCAGAATTAAAAGGAAATACCGGCAGCGGGGTTCCAGTTTCCCGCGGCGGGGGGGAACTTGGTTGAGATCAGCCCAATAAATCCACCATCTCACCTCCAAGGGCAGCAACAGCGATAGGGAAAGACCAAATGGGACTAAAAGTCGCAATTATCGGTAAGTGACAATCTTGGAAGCTTGAAACAACCTCCACTCAGACCAGTGGTCGCAGGAGCCGGACCTTCCGGTCTTGTCACTGCAAAAACACTCTTGCACAACTTTCCTCATGGTACATTCTCTCCTATCATTTTTGATACTCGCCATGAGGTTGGTGGTCTTTGGACTCAGGGGGACCTTGGACCCTTCCATGAGGACTAATCTGAGCATGTTCACGGTCGCTTTCTCTGATCTGTCATGGGAGTCAGTAATGGGAAATTCTGGGATCCCAATGTTCCCACAAGCGAGGCAAGTAGGGCAGTACTTGGCTGCATATAGAAAGCGATACATTCCGGATGATGTGCTGAGACTCGGGCATCGGGTTTTGAAGACTGAACGAACAGCCGAGTCTGCATCTCCATGGATGATACAGTGGAGGAGAGAGGTTCGCGCCCTTTTGAGGTAAAATCTGTGAAGCATTAATAACATGAGAACAGTTCCGATGGGAGTTCTCCACATGAAGGAATCGAATCAGAAGAATTCGATATGCTCGTTGTGGCAACTGGCTATTTCGCTCAAAAACATATCCGTCGATCCCAGGATTGAAGAACTTGCACTCGCTGGTCGGGTTGTCCACAGTTCGGATCTGCAGAACAGAAAGGGATTCCTTCGCGAAAACGTACTTCTTAGCTCAAGGAAATATCGCTATTATCGGCGGAAGTATGTCTGGAGTGGAAGCTGCGTCTGCAGTGGCGCTCCACCAATCTTCATGGAAGTCTCACAACGAAGCTCAGGCTGACAAGCACGTCGTACACCATGTTCATTCGCGCCCTTTCTGGACCTTGCCGACTCATCTACCACACGAAACCTCAATCAGAAACCGTTTCCTTCTTGCCATTGGACTTGGCAATGTATGATCTTGGCCGTCGACCTCCAGGCCCAATTGAGTATGCATTGGGAGTCATATCCGAAGAGAAAGTTGCGAAAACCAATGAATATTTCAGCTCGCTACTGGGAACCGAATACAAAAAAATATGGACATATGTCAGGAAATTCAAGCCAAAGCATGAATTCTCGGCCCCCGTGGGTGGCGATAGGGAACAGCTACGCGGAGTTTGTTAGATCCGGAGCCATACAATCCACATTGGGACGCGCAATGTCTGTGGAGACGAATCAAGAAACACATCTGTCTACTATCGAGATAGCCTCGGATGGACAAACACATACCTTGGACAACATTGCAGCTGTTGTACTGGCCACAGGATTTACTCCATTCGACTCACTATCCCTTCTACCCAAGGACGTCTTAGCTGCTCTAGAATACAGCGAAGACGGATCCATTTCTGCCACTTGTGCTGGACAAGGGTGGTACAATTCGGTCTGAAATCCCAGACCTTGGCTTTGTCGGGTTCTACCGAGGTCCATATTGGGGAGTAATGGAGATGCAAGCCAGATTCCTCGGTGCGGAATGGGTCAAGAAAAACCGGCAAGTCTCGACAACAGAAGACCAGAGACAAAGCCTACGAGTCTTGAGATGTTCGGATACAAATTCCCAGCGCGGCCAGTTTCCGATGGGGGACTATGTAGGGTTGATGGAGTCATTTACCAAGGATCTGGGAATTGACCGTGCGGGGCTGTCAGAAGATGATAGTCGGTCTGGCCCAGCCATTCCTGCTCGCTATACTTATAGTCACCCATCCACTACTGCACAAGAAGACATGGACAATGAGAAAGAACGCACGCTGGGTGCGTTGAAGGCTCTGTCCGATCCAAAGCATCAAAAGCTGCAAGAAGCTGCTGCATTGGCCATCTTCCGAGCCCTGCATGGAGCCTGGATATTCTCCCGGGAATACATAACAGGAGAGAAAGAGTCTGGAACCACCACATTTTCTCCACGGTACCCATCGAGTCCGGCATATGACCGGGAATATGTTTGCGATGAACGTTTAAATTTAGACCCAAACGAAATTACTATCGTCATCTTCTACGATCCGCTCAATCTTTCGGTTGTCGGAATCTGGAGCTCAGGATGAAAACACAGAGATCGAAGTTTTGGAAAATGATACTTTGGTCGCGGTTGGTGGAAATCCCAAGCGACTGCACCTCACACCTTTCTACCTCAAAAGGGTTGATGGACAATACATCCCGGGAGAATATGTGATTCGTGCCAAGAGCTCTGGAACTTCCCTGGGGAATTGAGCGTGAAGCTAAAGATATTACTCTAAGCGAATACGAGTATATTTTCAATTTCAAAGGTGTCTCGATTGCTAGTTGGGAGCGGCTTGAGCCGACATATGACACCACGGGGGCCGAAGGCCAAGCATTTACACAAATTCGAACCATATACAAGAGATAGACTCATTTGTTGAGCAAATTAATCAGCCTTACGAATGTAGCTAATATATTACATTCTCGATTTGGAAGGTGTTAAGAGACTGGGTATGGCCCGAGTCGGGAACTCAGGTCCAGAACCTAAAACTATAACCTCAAAATAGCTAGATATAGGCAATTTGGCTTCGATAAGAATTCAATTAGCTAGTCTATTACGTCTAGATCGAGCTCCAAGAGCCGTTTTCGATCCCAAATCTCTGTTCTGATGAGCCTCGGTAGTCGAGCTATTCGCCACTCGACGTTGCATCGAATATGACAACCTTGATAATCAACGACAAACACCACCGTAAGGTCTGAATAATCTCGATCTTACTTTTGATTACATGCAGATCAATAATTATGCTACTTCGCTTATCAACTGAATATTCATCGATAAAGCAATACGTCGGAAGTTCCGTATAATCGGCTCCGAGCGAGTGGCGCTGCTCCGAACCAAGGTTACAACAACGAAAATAGATACCCGAGCGAATGAAAGCACGCAAAAAGGAGAAGCAGGAAATCTTAACCATGAGATTGATCCAATTAACGCCAATCTTCAAAGTTTTCTTCAGCCTTGGCCCAATCGGTACCAGCAGAAAAGGGCTCCGGACGGGGTACTGCAGTCCGGGGTCGAGTAGGGCCTGCGAACGGATCAACTCCGGCCCAATTACCTTGAGCCTCAACATTATTTTGGTTTGACTTCGGCCGAAACTGTATTTTGCTTCCTCGGCCCCTGAACATATCTCATCTATATAAGAATGATCCCCAGGGCTGATCTGAGATGAAAAATGGAACCAAACAAAGCCCCTCCACCATCGGAGTCATCCGTACAACAGCTCCGGGCTGCAACTATAAAGCCCTCCCCTCCCAACCCAACATTCCGATATCATATATCACCAACTCAAGCCTCACGTCAAGCCTTGAGGTCAGCACAATGGGAGCTACACCAGAACTACCCAACCTCAACCTAGACCCGGCATCTGAATACCGCGCCTGGCAAGCACTCTCAGTCTACTTCACCGTCCTCCTCAATCGTCAAATCCGTCGCCGCTGGCAACTCGAGCACGAATGCATGCAGGACAGGCCCTGTCGCTCAATGGTTCAGACCAGTCATCTTCCTTGAGCCAGTTCCACAACTACACAGACCACAGCTACCAACCGTCTGCCCGTTGACGATGGCGAACCTCAAAACCAAAGTGCATCTTCTTCGCGGGCGGGTTGAGAAGGGGAAAGAACTTGCTTCTCAGATTGAGCGGAGGATGCTGAATCCGAAAAGTCGATTTTCCCGACACATTTCTGCCATACTTGTGTTGTTGGGTGTGAGTCGGAGTCGGAGATTTTGCTTACGAAGTGTGGGCATCGGGTCTGCAGGACTTGTCTCTCTTTTGGTGTTGATGATTGTGGAGTTTATGAGTGCAGTATTTGTTTTGTGCCGACTTCCTTTGTGGCTAAGTCTCCTTTGTCGATCCCACGCCGGGCTAAGTCGGAGGAGTGGGCTCCTGTTGGGGATAAAGATGGTCAGAAGAGGGCTTCTTTTGGGACATTTCTATAGACTGATTTGTTTTGCTTCTACTTGTAATGTTTGCATGTCTGGAGTTCTGGTTTCGTTATTATTTCAGCGGCATTGCATACGATATACACCTGGGCACCTAATGGTCTTTGCATATAAGATACACCTAATAAGATCACATTATAGTATTTGATTCCTTCGTGACTCCCAGAGGGAATTAGAGCTATACAAGACATGAGTCTCAACAATAATATGTACCGAATCTTCCAGGTCTGCTGACAACATCTAGGTTGGTAATAAAGAAGAACCCGGAAGAAAAAAAAGCAAAACAGGACATCAAATGATTCATGAGCCACGGCCTGTCCAACCAGACCACCACATCAATAAACGCCTTTGCCAAACAGCAAATACCAAGGAGAGTGAGAACAGTATAACGCTGGGACCAAGACATTATACAGGAAGAATATGCAACCCTGCCAGCTGATCATCAGCTATCCAATGCACTAGGCAGATCGTAGATATGAAAGACAAAAAACAAGACGAAGGTCTACGTGGGTATATGTAGGAAAGCAACAAGAAAAGACCCCCGACATCCAAGTTTGTCAGGGTAGATGAAAAAGATGAGCCGACTGGGTCGTTCACCGATCCTCTGCATGTTCGCCATCGTCAATCACCATCTGTACATCCTTGACGGGATGTAAAAGCATGGGAGGAAGACACATGCGGCCTTCACCAGCTAATTCCTGTTGCTCACCGCCGTCATTGTCAATACGCATGCCGAGCCAGCGGCGCCAGAGGTTAGGGAGAGAATCCGGCGGAGTAGAACCAGGTTGTACCCTTGAAATTGTGTTCCCTGTCTCCAAAGACAGAGGTACGAGCACCACCCGAGGCACCGTTGCGGCCGGCGTTGAAGACAGTCTCGAGGTACTTTGTCGGCCAGCGGCGGTCGATGTAGACAGCGTGAGGTACATAGACAGCCTTGAAGCCGTGGTGCAGCGCTGTGGTCGCAGGCCACATCTCCGAGAACATGCTGTGATGGCGAAGAGCGGTTTCCTTGTGCATAGTTGTGAGGAGCTTGCGAGACAGACGGGAGGCGGTGATGATTGCAGTTCGGCGGGGAGGCATGCCATTCTCCTTGTTGTAACCGGTCACGTCATCACGAAGAAGCCAAGTCGTGCCTTCGGGGTCGTACAGTGGGTTGAAGACAATCAAATCCGCATCTTCGCCCCACACCCCATTGATACTGGATCTTTTTCCATGGTTGTGGGTGGGATGCCTTCACCTTCCACCTCGAAGATATCTGGCTCGGAGGGGCGTACCGGACCCCAGACAAACTTGTCACCCTGCTGATGTAATCCGTTCATATCACGATCCTTTTCGGTTCCATCGGGCTTAACCACGGACCACATGTTATTAGGACTGTTCGTGCCACTTTCAGTCTGTACGCGAACCATCTGGCGGAAGTCATCCCACGAGCCGTGAACTGACGGAACGTAAAAGCGAGAGTTGCGCTCCCAGAGACCCTTTCGAGGCTGCGCTCTCGCCCAGTCGCTAACCTTGTCGAAGAGATGGTACCAGTGACCAGTGTAACGAGCATCCATCTCCCAATTCCAGAAGTAGTCGTATTCCGGGTGCTGGAAGGCGAAGTACTGCAGGGGCATGTAGGTACTGCGGTAGACGCCGTGGATGGGCAGACCACGCATGAAAGTTTCCTCCAGAGCAGGGTACATCAAAGCCATCTGCGCCTCTGACCAAAGGGTTCCCATTCCTCGGAATTCCTCCGGTAGCGCATCGTGAAGCACGCGCTGGTAGGTTTCATCATCAGACCAGATCTGGAGGTCGTTGTTTTTGACATGGATGAGGAAGTGAATGGTGTACTCGCCACCAGACATCAAAGAGAGCTCCGAGATCACGGATCGCATGTACATGATATCCTCTGGGGTGTAATTGAAGTCGTGCCAGGTCCGGATGACCACAGCGGTTCTCGGTAGACGATCGGAACCGACCTTGGGCTTCGATTTGTAGGTATCCTCCGACTCCTGCACGGTCACACCAGGATTCCCCACGGGCATGGAGACGAATCGGTTCAAACGCGGCTCGGGCAGCTCGTTGAAACGATGGCGATTTGCTGCGCGACACTGCTGTTGCGCATCGGCCCAATTCACCTGTCGGAAGTCTACCGGGGGAATGTCTTCCCAAACCCGCTCCTGCACCATCGCGGTGGCCCTCTAGACCGGCGCCAATGCCTCCCTTCTTGGCCCCATATCCAAGTCCGTACGGTCCCAAACGTCCAAATCGATCAAAGCACACATCGTCGCGGATACCAAGCATGGCGTTCGAGCCCATCACCGGCTCCGGGAACCCTTTGGGAACTCCAGGGTAGCTCTGCAGAGGTGGAACTCGGACCGTACGATCCTTATCCAAGAAGCACTCGCGTTTCTCACCATATTTCTTGATGTATTCCGATGAGGCGATATTCCGGATATGGGTTAAAACCGAGCTGGACATGGAGGGCGTCATGTCCCGCTTGTTGAGTTGCTTGTCTTCCACTTTCTCTTCCATGGGATCGGGCATTCCCTCCATACCGCTGCCAGGGTATTCGGGTACATTATCTTGGCGAGAGACCAGGTTTGTAATTCCACCATTGTAGCGATTGAGGAACGGGAACCCCCTCCCAAGTGGGCGGTTTTGGCGAGACGACCTTTGGGTAGCTCAACCGCGACTTTTGACACGGAGGAGGAAATGGTGAATCGGAAGAGAGTGAGAATAAATATGATGAGCGATACAAAAAGCGTTAAGCAGAGCCATCGCATAATCCGTTGGGGGACACGAAAGCCCACAGCTGGGTGGCCGTGTCGGAGACTCCCGCCGCTTGCGGGTGGGTAAGAAGTTGAGGAGTGACCAGGGCCTTTGTCGGTATCGGACTCGGACTCAGAGTCATCGCTGCGATTGAAATGGTGAAGTTGGGGGCGGCATTAAGATGTTGTTTTTCGATGTCGGTGTCGTGTGCTCTGTATGGTGACGGTTTGCTGTAGGCCGCGGAGGATCTCCTCGCCTGGACGGTCATAGTGGCGGGCAAAGCATTAACCTGAAACCAAAAAAGATAGAGAGAACCCAAGACCAAGATGGTCTAAGCACAGATTGAATCTCCAGAAGAATAATTAGAAAGGAATTGGTATGTGCAGGTTGTTGAAAAAGGGGGTCTTGGTCTAGCACGCGATGACGATGTTCGTTTGGTGTTTGGGGGTTCGAGATCGTCGGCCAGGCAATCGGGCGCGGGCCACACCACCTAGACTAAAGAGTCTAATAATGCCCAGACTAAAAGTCTGAGAAATTTAACCGAGTAAAAAAACAGTAAGGAAATTAAACAATAGCCAGGTACAAAGCCAGGTACGAGGGGTGAAAGGGAGAAACAAATACGAACGTCAACTGCGGAAGATGGCCACAAACGTAAGTCTCGGCGCTGCCAAGCCTTCGGAACTGGGAAATGAGCGATTACGCATTAGGTGCTAAATTTGGAGAACAAACCTATTGTACTCCGTGCACGGCTTGATCATAGATCATAGATCATAGATTATATCATATCATTCTTTGCCCTATATCACTTTTTTTTCTTTACTGATACCCAATTCCAGGATTGTTTACAATAGAAAGAAACGTAAAGGAACAGCAATTTTGACGTGGCGCCAGGAATAAAAAAAAAAGAACAAATGAGGCTAATAGCATAGCGAAGAGAAATAGAGTGGAGGGAACACACAACCGGTTGAATCGTCCTTCTAATTGAAGGTTCATTCATTGTTCCCATGGCCTCGCGAAAGAACTCCATAGTCATCATCCATCATTTGCAGATTTCCCGTGGTATTTCTCTTGCCCTGCTACATACACACACACACACATACTACTCCCCTTGGTATTATACCCGCTTAATCGCGGTTGGTTTTCCGGAGAGTGTCGGCGAGCCACTCAAGACCCTCGTAGAGACCGTCACCGGTGGTGGCGCAGGTAGATTGAATGAACTAGGAATCGTCAGTAATAAGTTCGGGATGGTATTTGGTATAGAACTGGACAGGGGGCATACCCAAGCGCGGCGGGTCAGGCTCTGGAGACCAAGCTGCTGTGTGATCTCAGCGGGGCTCATGGCGTTCTAGAATCGCAATCAGTAATCAGGTCGAAAAAATCTCAGGTTCATGTCCCTACAGGCAAATCTTGCTTGTTGGCGAAAACAAGCAGCAGAGCATCCCGGAGCTCATCCTCGTTCAACATGCGCTGCAACTCCTCACGGGCCTCGACAACACGGTCGCGATCGTTGCTATCCACCACGAAGATAATACCCTGGGTGTTCTGGAAGTAGTGGCGCCACAGAGGACGAATCTTGTCCTGACCACCGACATCCCACACGGTGAACTGAATGTTCTTGTATTCGACGGTCTCAACGTTGAAGCCTGGAGCCTAGTCAGCACCTCCCTGTTTTGCGTTTTGCGAGTTTCCGGCTTATCAATTTTGCGACGAGTCGGATAGATGGACCGGGGCGAACTGACCGATGGTGGGGATGGTAGTGACGATTTCACCGAGCTTCAGCTTGTACAGGATGGTGGTCTTTCCGGCGGCGTCAAGACCGACCATCAGAATACGCATCTCCTTCTTCCCCATAGTCGATCGAACAGCTTAGAAACAGTGAGACCCATATTGGCGGTACCTCGAAACCTTGAGTGGGAATTAGTGGATGTTGTCGGAGGAAGAGTTGTAAGGAGGGGGAAGATGGGTGCGGATAGGGAAACGTGTTGTGGACGGATTGGGAATCTCAGGGGTGTGGGTTTGGCGAAAGCAATGCGGAAGGGGTGATCGACAAGGCAGTGCTTACCGGTAGAAAGGTATGGATGGGGTTTCGTAAAGTGGATAAAAGGGGAAAACAGATGAAGAAGACAAAGTGACTCCGGGAGAGAAAGAAGAGGGAAGGAGAGGGAGTTGGTGTTTTTTTGTTTGGGATTACGAGAAATACGCTGAACGGCGGCGGTGGGCGTAGTCTCGGTCACCCAAGATTCAGGAAACTACCAGACAGGTCCTCGAATTATGATCTGATCACTATAGACCAAAATCTGGTTGAGGTTTCTATAAATTCAATGTTACCTAGAAATCTAGAACCAACAGTGTGGCTTGATCTCTCTAACGCACGAAAAGAAAGGACACGGTGTCGTACGTACTGAAAATACCGGTCGGAGGCGAAAGGGGCCCCAGAACCAAGGGACCCAGATCAAAGCCCCGCTGATAGGTTGATGACTTATCGCCGCGCCCCAGTCTCGTGCCTTGCACACCTGGATTTCTGGGAAACGCCGTCCACTGGGGCAGAGCCCACTGCCGCGTCATGACATCGCGGCTCGTTTGCTATACTTCTGCAGATCGGTATAGTCTGTTCTACCTTTGAAATTGCATTTTTACAAGCAAAACCTTTCTACCACCGTCAATTGACCCTGAACCTCGCTTACCGCACATTAGGCGATAGCACGGCAATGGACTCAACCCCTTCAACCGTGCCAAGTCCCCACTGGGTCTCCGCTCTGACCAGGTAGAGATGGGCGATGGATCTGATCTATTTCAACGCCATCAATGGTATGGGCCCGTGCAGTGAAGACCTCTAGGGCTGCGGAATTAGGCCGATACGTAAACTTCCAGAGGTTCATGGCATAAAATAATCATTTTTATTCGTCATTCGTCGGAACATAAGTGATATTTGACCTGTAAGTCATACTAGGGGCATTGAGAATACTGCGAACATGACCAGATAACTCTAAAATGAACATAGAATACCTAACGCACGACCGGGGACTGAGGTCTTCTTCGATGCTGTTTGGAAAAAGAAATTCAAGCTCCAAAACCACTATGTACAAGAACGGCCGAGAGAACACTTAATTGCTCCATCTATTCCTTCCGAATCGGCTAACAATTGAGATATAAATCTGGCGCTCACAGCTGCCGAGCTATAGGTTATTTAGAGCCGCTTGTGACACCATCCATGGATAGATAAAGTTTGACCGGTCTTAACCTTAGGAAACCCGTACAACAGGCGGGATCATTTCGAGGTACAATTACATGTGTTCTTTAGGCCACCCGTTACAAGGTTCCTAAAAGCCATGCATTATGACTCAATAGTCTCCTTTCAAAACCGAGGTCTTCTGCTTGAGTCGACCTTACACGTGTCAACCTTGTCATGTCTGCTCTGTCTAAGCCATGGATGCCACCTATCTTCTTTGACCACGTACGCATCGCTTCGGTTCAAGCTGACCACAGCTGAATCTTACAATTATACAGCGGTCTGATATCTTACCCATTGATAACCTGGGAGCCTCGTGACAGGTATCGTGGTTGCGCTTTATACTTGACAGCAACCAATCAGACCCTACAGATGCGCTTGACCATATCAGGCAAAGCGTGGGTTGTTTCTCACAAAAGGGTTGAGGGCGAATATTCTCACTCCGACTTATTATGCTTCATACTTGGGTACGATTTGGACATTTAGTAACTAACGATCTGTTATCGCCTACTTGACTACATAGGGTATTACAATTAATAGACGCCATGTCCAGGTAGTGACTGCCAGTTGGGTACTAGGGACTTCGGATGGAGACTTTAGGGCCCAAGGTTGGATCCAATAATACAGTATCCAGGAGAACGCTTATATTTGAAAGTACTTTTCCAACTTGATTTTTTTTTTTGAACCTCTCAAAATTTTTTGTTACCTCTGCATGTTTCTTTATTAATGCACCTGTGTTCATTTTTCAGACTAGCCTCATTACAGACTTCATTCTGCATTGATAAGAACCTAAGACTACCAGCCACGGGCGCAGTGAGTCACCTGGACTTAGACCACGAGTAGAATTGCCCATGCATACCGAGGTTCTTGAAACTTCCCTCCAACAAGTAAATTGAGGCCATGTATAAACTAAAGAGGAGTTAAATCCCCATTGTGGACCTTTGACGCTGTGAGGAGTTCAGTCCTTGAAACCTCAAGCATCCGGCTTCACCATGACGGCCCCACACACTATAGGGGAGGCCCTCCTCATCCCCAAGACCTTTCAGTCGCAACAGAGCCTGGACGAGATAGTGGAGAGGTACAAGAACCTTCGACTGCACGGCCTTCAAGTTGACCCGAAATCGTTCAGCTCAACATATGAGGTAGAGTCCCAATTTTCCCCTGCGATATGGCGATCTCGGCTTCAGAACCCGGCGGGCCAGACATTCGTCTCAGTCGCCGATTCTGACAAACAATGATATCCACATCGATACTGTGGTATCTACAGAGCTCAGAGACTCAGATACATCGCTCCAACGGCTACTGAGAAAAGACTGGGTCGGCATTGTCACACTGCTAGGCCCAGTCCTATTTAAGTCAGACGCCGATGGAGGGACACTCACCCAAGCCATGGGATGTTTTTATTGAGGGATCGAAAACTATGATCATTCCTCAGTCTGCTCTGAACGGAGATGCCAAAAAAGAGGACATTGCTTACTTGGTTGTTGCGATGTTTGTGTTGCCCGATGAACGGCGAAAGAGGCATGCTTCTCGGTTGCTGGAAACTCTGATCCAGACTGTTCGGGAAGATGCTAGTGCTCGTGAGGTATCCAAGGCGAGCATAACAATTCAGGTTGAACCTGATAATGGTGCTGCGCAGGGACTGTATGAAAAGTTGGGGTTTGAGGTGTGGGATAAGGCGCTTCCGCTGGAAAATAAGCGTGGAGAGACAAATCACGTGGTCTCATTGGTGATGGAGATTGATCTGGCCTAGTTCAATGGCATTTGCCTACCTGCTTATCTTTGGTGCAATAGAAAATGTCATAGTTCATAAGGTTGCAGTATCTCTAGGTTGATTCTTATTCGCTGTGCTGGTCAACACGTGATTTACGAAGACCGCTGAGTCATCAGCCTCGTTTGAGGGCAAGGCTAGTCCCAATTAAGTTTAGCGCCTCCTCGTGCCCACAAGCGGAGAAATTTGCGGTAACCTTTTTCTTCTCTCTCAAGACACTTGCGCTGAGCCACACCTTAAGTATTCTTTTTGGAAGACTGTCGCCATCATGTCCAAGATCACAGTCGGTATGTTTTGGTCCAATACATCTTTACATTGACATTGAACAATCTCTAACACCCTCTCAGCCGGAGTGCGCGAGAATGTCCAGTCTCTGCTCGACTACTCGCTCAACGAGAAGAAGCGTAACTTCCTCCGAGACCGTTGAGCTTCAGATCGGCCTGAAGAACTACGACCCCCAGCGTGACAAGCGTTTCTCTGGTACCATCAAGCTGCCCGTTGTTCCCCGTCCCAACATGGCCATCTGGTGCGTTCCCCCTGCGCGTGCCACATCCCCACGAAGGCCGGTGTAAGAAAAAACTTTGAACAATGACTGACGGATTACAGTGTTATTGGTGACCAGCACGATCTCGACCGTGCTAAGCACCACGGTATTGATGCTATGTCCACCGACGACTTGAAGAAGCTCAACAAGAACAAGAAGCTCATCAAGAAGCTTGCTCGCAAGTACGATGCCTTCCTTGCTTCCGAGGCTCTGATCAAGCAGATTCCCCGTCTGCTCGGTCCCGGTCTGTCCAAGGCCGGCAAGTTCCCCACCCCCATCTCCCACAACGAGGACATGGCCAACAAGGTCAACGACGTCAAGTCCACCATCAAGTTCCAGCTTAAGAAGGTTCTGTGTCTCGGTGTTGCCGTCGGCAACGTTGGTATGGGCACCGAGGAGCTCGTTGGTAACCTCATGTTGTCCATCAACTACCTTGTCTCCCTCCTCAAGAAGGGCTGGCAGAACGTTGGAAGCCTTGTCATCAAGGCTTCCATGTCTCCCCCCAAGCGCATCTACTAGATTCTCATCACTTCACTGTGCTGAGATCTGGATGCGTCCGAGAAGTGAGGGTGTCATAGTTTAGTGACCCGAAAAATAAAATGAAGCTCACGACTTGGTCTCAATCTTTTCCAAAATACTGTAACTGCAGATGTAGAAATGTGTTGTGTGTTATGAATTGCTACATTGGACACTATAGTACATGTATATTGAACTCTTATTGCATGCCCGCCATCAACTCTGTCTTATCCAAAACCATGCCGCGCATGCCAATGAACTCGCGAAGACTCTCCCACTCTTCACCAACTTCTTCTCGCCACGCATATACGGGTCCTTAAAACCCCAAGCCACGGCAACCCTATCCATGGCCGCACGCTCTTCTTCCCGCAGCCATCGCTGTCTCAAAGGAATGCCAGACAACCAGACCACACGCTCCATCTGATCATTGGCTGTGGTGATAGCCATAATTCCGAGAGACGATGTACCACCAACATAAGCCAAGGAAGCAGCAAAGGCAATACCAGTCGCGGTGCTAGGATCCATAGTATTCTGGAAAGTGGCTGCCCATGTAGCAAGGGCATAGCATGCAGCAGGGGCCACAGCCAATCCAATCAACGGAACACTGGCCTTCTTGAAGACCTTCGCACGGTGGAAAGCAGGTGCGCAGAAGGTGTTATCAATGATAGCCAGGACCAGGGAGAGGTTCTTCTGCGCAATAGCCACGTCCAACGCCATATTGGCCAGCTCAGCGGGGACAGCACTGTTAATGCTCTTGGGTTTCGCCTTGAGGAACTTGACTGGTGAGCTACCTTCCTCTGGAACTGGTTTATTGGCGTACATGTGGAAGATCTCGGAAAGTGCTCTGCTCGCTCCAAGAGGGTCTGTGTTTTGGTGTAGCTTTCCAGGGCTTCCGGGGTGATGAACACCTTCTCGTCCTTCAGGAGATCGGTTATGATACTGGAGATCTTGTCGGCCAGTCGGGGATTCAGATTGGGTGTCGATTTGGTTTGCTGCGTGGGCTTGGTGCTTTTCTCCTCCATATCAAGTAGCGATGAAGTCGCATTTCCTTCATCATGTGCGGAACCTTCGGAATTGTCGTTCTCTTGCGATACTAAGGACTCGGCGATCTTCCGGCATTTCTCAAGTAGTCCCACCACGGCTTCGTTGGAGGGGACTTGGTCTGAATGTTGCAAAGCCGATGCATCCTGTTCAATTTGTTTGATGGCTGACCCGAAATTGGCGGACTCCGATGCAAAGCTACGCGAGTTTAGAAGTGGGTAGGACAATGGGGATCGAGCATTTGCTCTTCGCAACTGTAGCGCAGGGATATTGTTCGAAGATCGACTTTGGGTCGTTGTAGGAAGCCGAGGGAAGGGGAAGGCGTTGCGGTGTCGCGGACGAAAATTGACAGAACTGGCAGACAGGGCCTTGCGACCTTGAGCCGCGTTGGGCTCTCAAGGCTACTCTTTTCATGGTGAGTTGAATTGGGCGTTGGGATAAATTGGGCGGACGTGGACCGAGCTGCGGATTTTTAGGAGAGAGGCTCTCAAGGCGGAGGCGGCGCCCCAGCGCTCTGACGTCTACTTCTGCCTTACACACCTTCTGGTCACAGGTCAAGGCAAACCTCTTTCCCCCTCTTGAAAAGCGATTAAGAGTCCCATGCCGCATAACATTGACTCCTCTTGTCAAGTCTAACGCTCTCTTTTGACATGCCTCCTCCTCCACCCCCTCCGCCGCCGCCGCCTGGAGGACTTGGTGGCCCTCCCCACCACCTCCTGCAGCTTTACCGACCAGGCCTTCGAAAGGTGAAGTAAAAGGCAGAGTACGTACACTGATCCTGACGTATGTACTTAGACCAACCATAATTTAGTTACCAGTCCAGTCATCGGAAAAGCAGTCAACTAACGTTGTGAATAGGGCGCTCTACTACTCTGATATTCACAAAGGCACTCGATTGAAGAAAGCCACCACCAATGACCGATCAGCGCCTATTATTCGAAATTCTGGAGGCGGCTCAGCTGCGCCGCCCATGGGAGCTGCACCTCCAGTTCCAGGCATAAGACCCCCTCCCACAGGACTTGCACCCCGGTCCCGTCTGGACCGGCCGCCAACAGATTACGAAGCAACAGTGAAGGAGTATCTGGCTCGGATGCAGCGGCCAGTGCTGCAGCGCCACAATTAGGTGGTCTCTTTGCGGGCGGGATGCCCAAGCTGCGTAGTCGCGGCGGTGTCAACACGGGTGCCAACCGGTCAGACTCTCCATATTTATCTGACTCTGAAGCGTCTCGCCCGGCGCCTGCTGCAGTACCTCCAAAACCTCCAGGCGCCCTAGGCTGCCTGGTGCACGACCACCACCACCTCCGTCTACAGAGTCGTCACCTGCGCCACCTATAAACCCTTTAGTCGCAAGCTTGAAGAAAGTCCCCCCTCGACCTGGTTCCAGGCCATCCTCTACTATCTCTTCAGCAACTGCTCCCGAGATCCCTCCTCCACGTGCTCCTCCGCCACCTCCTGGGGTAGGCCGGGCACCACCACCTCCGGTGTCTAGAAACCATCTGCACCCCCTCCCCCTCCTCCTACAGCTAGTCCAGCGGTGCCACCTCCTCCCCCCCAACTACAACAAGCCCGCCCCCCCCTCCCGCTACTCCGGGCGGTCATTGCTCCTCCTCCTCCACCTGGAGCACCTCCATCACTCGCCGCGCAGGCTGCCCGCAGTGCTCTGGGACACCCACCACCGGCACCACCAGCTGCAGCACCAGCAGCTCCCCCTCCACCTCCACCAGTTTCTCCTCCAAGCGCTCCTCCCCCGCCCCCAGTGAGCCATCGCCATCACCATTCCGTCCATCGCCTGTCGCTTCCCCGGCACCAATGAATCCCAGTGCTTATACTCTCACTAATGGCGGCTCATCCCATGCACCAGCCCAGACTCCATCCACCAATGGCCACATCAACATCGTGGATCCTCGCTTCAAGTTCCCCGGTGATGCGATGCTTCCGGCTCCTCGAAGGTTCACCAAGACCCTTCCTGTCAAGTATCGTGCCGGGAAAAATTAGCAGCGTGCCGTACCATCTTAAGTGAATTACGGATTGATTTGAGTGCATGGGACATTGCGGGCGATAGATATGCACAGTAGTAAATGCTACATTATATACACTTTCCGTTCACTTTTTAGGACCTTAAACCTTTTTACTATACATTCCAGTGATCTTGAAAGGCTCAAGTGACTTATTGCTTAGGTGGCGGTACCGGCGTTGGCGGATCCCGTGGAGTTCAATATGAAATGACCAATTATTGATTTTTCACTCCAATAAATTGGGTTACTTCGTGCCAATTGATCAGCTGGTTTTACCACCTGGCAAGACCATTAATATTATCCAAGGTCTGAAATTGACCTATGTGTCACTCTATTTCTAGATGGAGAATTATTATCTGGCTAAGTATGTACTATGTGATCTTTCCTGTCTATGGATATGGCTACTAAATATTAGTACAGAAGGTATTGTATCACTCGCGTATGTAAGAATCAATTCAGATGCACAATTCCCAAATTCCAAGATAACATTATCTTAACAATATCTCTTAAGTACAATTATATCATTAAAATTTGGGCCGAAGACTTAGTATACCAGAGTGAAGCTTACCGTTCACAGAGCACAAAGCTGCGTATCACGTGACCACATACAAACAATGCAAATATTCAAAGGTTGTCGTTCATCTCACGACGAGTGCCTCTCGATTAGCAACTTCTGCGACTCTTTCTTCGATTCTGTGTGGCCTCATTTAGCGCTCAAGACCTTCAGCTTTCACCCGTCTCTGAAAAATTGAAGAGGACCCTGGGAACCTAGGTTGCGCACTCGTCTTGAAGCCTCGACCAAAGCTTAGCTTCGCGAACACCATCTTGCGGCGAAAAGCTCCAATTACACCACGACATCGGCAAGGCGTAGCATTACCTAGCTGCCAGCTGATTTATCACATCCTAAATCCACCATGTCTCTCCAACCCTACATCAATAGTAAGCAACCTGTCAAAGCTGTTTCCGAAGCTGTCTGCAACCTGATCTTCATGCTAATATACTGTTGCTCCTGTAGAGAAAGTCCTCATCCTGACTGTGGATGGCCGAACACTACTTGGAAATCTCCTCTCCACTGATCAACTTACGAATCTCGTTCTCACTGATACCGTCGAGCGCATCATCCGCACCCCCGACGATGATGAGCCCTCATCACAAATCGAGCACGGTCTCTATTTAATTCGAGGCGATAATGTGGTAGCATGCGGTGAAGTGGACGAGAAGATTGATGCCGATATTGACTGGACCAAAGTGAAGGGCGAGGTGATTCGGGATACGAAAAATGCATGAACGGATCACGATGATTTGATTTTTACACATATTGGGCGTTGGTGGCTATGGGGATTATTTGCATACAAACAGAGACTTGACTCCAGCAGATGTCACTAATAAAATAAGTCTCGCTATCCTTACTCACCTATACTCTAAACATGAACAATTGCACTTGTGGCTGTAGTTTAGGCAAGTGAAATGTCAACGCAGAGTGCGAAGAGTGTTCTGGCATACATGATCAGGACTGGCTTTGATGACATCGATTGGTGCAATATTGGGAATACACGTGGATTCTCTTATGAGATGGAAGTAGTGACCATTGACCCTGAAATGTCTCCAAAACGGACTATATCTATGCGTGTCTCAGAGCAGGGGCCCAAAGGTTGCCTCGTATCTCTCCACGTTTAGCTGACCATCTCAAATCTGTCCAATTAGGGCCTGGGAGAGACCCTCCAAGTAAAGCAGATGAAAAGGAGAACGTACCGCTGCATCGATACTATACCTACTGCTAATTAAGTATTAGCGGGCATAGGTCTCAGGAACCCATCCAATCTCTTCTATGGCCCATCTAATCCATAGACGATGCTCTCCATCCAGTAGCATATAAATATCTTGAATGAGATGAACCGCCCAGCCCTCTACCCACCAGTACCTCTCTAAGTCTTTCACCAAACAGCATAAAAAGCAAGTACACATAAAGCCCCATTATCGCCGTTCCTCAAGAGTTCCAGATAACCATCATCTATCTCGAAGAGCCATTGAAAGAAACCCCGCAACTTATCTTGATCTTTCATGTTCTGACTGTATAGAAACGAGTAACTTCGTCTCAGCGCCAAAATCGCTTTCTGTAAAACAGGCAGTCTTCCTTCACCATCCTTCGCTTCAGCACACACCTGTTCCTCCAACTCCACCAGAACTTGGCATTCCTCAGGCGTATGAGTCTTCCAATAATCCATACTTCCCCACGTACTCCGGAAGATCAAAGAGACAGGTGAAGAAAAGATTGAAGTCTCTGCCATGACAACTGTATCGATGCCTCTCAGAAGGTATAGCCATTCGGGGATGACTCCATTTCCTAGAATAAGCATATCGTCTTCTTGTATCGGGCGTGCTAGACTAAAATAGAGCATTAACACCCCAAAGACAAAAAAGAGCGCTACAGGTTTGGGGCGTCACCCCGGGTATTAGCGGGAGTGCCTTGGATAGGGATGCTGATTGACGTTCGATGGCGTAAGCCAGGAGGAAATGTCTCCGTCCGCTGTTATAGCGTGCGATGTGGAGAGCTGCAAGGGCGAGAATGCCGTCTAGAAGATAATCGGTGGTAAATGCCATTTGAGGGATAACGACTCGCCAAAGATCTCGAATCTGTGGATCGGGAGATAGCGTCATGGCGGTGGAAATAGTAAAGTGATGAAGGAGCTCGAGCTTAAGTGTATCTGGATTTGGAGCTGTCGATACTGGACTTTCGACAGTTTGGATGAAGTCGCAATGGAGTCCCTTCTTGATGCAATTGAGGCATGATGGGCGTCGCTCATCGCACTAAGATCGATTAATGCCAATACTAGGGTGGCGGAGGTAGTAATCAGAAGATTGCTGGAGTGAAGCATACCTTGATCTTTCTAGAGCGGCAAATTTGACAGCCCGTGCGGGATTTAGTGTGCCACTTACGACGACTGCCCGTAGCACCAATAGACTGCGGCATTCCAGAAGAATGTATTATTCAAAACTTCAAGAACCGTACGCAGTTTTCGAGTACTTGCAACATGCGACGATTAATGATGATACGCTGTGGAGATTCCGGGAACGAGGGGAACGAGCGAGCGTGAGCGAGCGAGGATTTCAGATCGATTGATTGGTTGAATGCGGGACCAAGGCCCACTATGGTGAAGGATAGTGGGCCATGATGGCTCGCTCTCATCAAGCTTGGTCATGTCCACCTTTTCCTACATAGACCACACATCAAACACTACTGGAAGGTAAAAAAGACCGAATTGGTTAGTCTTATCAAAAATAAAAATAAAACAAGCATTTTATTGATACAATCTCTCTAATTCTAGCAACATGCTGAGCCTTAAACATTTTGTCCAATTCCCACCAATCTTCTTTCTCGATTTTCTTTTTCTTTTTTTTTTTTTCTCCTTTCGAAGTTTTGTTCTCTGCACTCCTTTTCTTCCTCCATGTCAGCCGGTGTCAAACCTTGTAAGCTGATGTAGTCCATCTGATCACGGGAGTTGAATGACCAACACAATTAATTCGATGAAACAATGAGCTTTCTGATGCTGTTCACTCACTGCTTCATGAGAGCGTTGGCCTCAGTCTCGTTGTCAAAATCGACAAGATGAGTCGAGTGGCACCAGGGCTTGATGGTCTCCTCCTTGCGAATGACCCCAGCAAAAAGGCACACCATTTGATTCGTGGGTAGGTTTCGTTGATCTGAGTGCGAGTCGTTTTGTGAATCAGTTCACCGAAATCTTTCACATGAGAGAGTGGACACCGGTATTGTCGTAGGTCGTGGCCAGCTGGATGAGTTGACCAATGTACGTGATCGTTCCATCAACACCCATGTCCTCATGGCGGATGATCGTCTCTGCAGCTGCCTCTGCTTGATCCGTAGTGGCTCCAAAATCCTTGAGGACGTGGAGTGCCTTGATTCCGCCGTAGATGTCAAAAGAAATTCGGGTGGCTGTCAGGTTCTCCTCGGCCGTACCAAGGTCGTGCAGCAGGCATGTCAAAGCCCAAGTCACCGGGTTAAGGGCAGCATATCGCCCCGGGAATTGCTGCTTGGTAATAGCCATTCCTGTAAAGAAGTCAGATGCGAAGCTCGTATTGCTAGTATTTGAACAAGATATAGACATACCGTAGAAAAAGACCCTCATTGAATGATTGAAGGTTTCCGGATGGAGGACTTCTTTGGCGTATTTCAATGTCTTCGAGACCACAGGATCATCAAATGGAAATTTGATGTCGTTGAGGGAGAGCTCATCGGGCTTGTTGATGAAAGGTTGGTCGGCGAATATAGCACCCGCATTAGCCGGCGTGCTAGTCCAGCCATTGGTAGCGACTTCGTGTTGGCACATGATGAAGTGGAAAGAGTTGGAAGAAGGGGAATATTCCTGTTGAGTGCGGAAGAAGACAGACGATAGTAGTCTAAAATGTTTGTTGGATGAAACCAAAAAAACCATGAAGAATGGATGGGATGAGGCTGTTAAATATTCTCAACATTACACTTCGACTATACATTTGAGTTGATTAAGCATGCATACCGGATTAGGAAGTTACGGCATGTGGGGCTTTGGTGTCAACTCGCGGCTAATCACAGTTGCGCGCGATGATCTCCATCCATCGCCTTTTCGCTCTTCCCGGAGTGAGCGTCAAAGCCTGGACGAGCACATTTATCAGCACTACACGCCCTTTTAGGAAGTTAGAGCATGTGGAATAGAGTTTATAGAAATTTGTTATGTCACAGATGACAATATAATCAGGCTGAAAAATCATTTTTAAAATCCCTCTTGTAGTTAATCAAATATATTAGCAACAACCTTGAAAGTAACCCAAAAGACGATCGATCGACAAGCCTAGCAGAACAACATTATATTTGTAAACACTCCAAGGAGGCTTTCATACTTCAATGGCTCTAACACATCTCGCCAACCCAGTGAGTACTGCTTAGCTAGTACCTCACCCATCATTTCAAGACGAATATACTGATCTTTATTCCAAGAGTCCGCTAGGATTTGGCGCATTTGCAACTACCTTGATGACCCTCTCGCTTTCTATGATGGGGCTCCGTGGCGTTTCAAACCAGACAGTGTTCATTGGAAATCTCTGTTTTCTCGCGGGGATAGGGCTCTTGATATCTGCACAATGGGAGATGGTGAAGGGGAAACACTTTTGCCTATACCGTACTCGCTGCATTTGGTAAGTTACCACCCATTGACACATTATATAAGGTGGCTTATAACGCGTTATAGGATTTTACTACGGTGGTTACGGTGTAATGTTAATGCCCTCGCTGGGTATTGTACAAGCTTATGGCGGGGAAACGGCCGAATACCATAACGCTTTTGCATTCTATCAATTGAGTAGGTCCCTGATACAATCCATATATCACTGGTATGGGCTGACATCCAATCGCAGTTTGGTGTGTACTGATTTTCTTTTTCCTCCTTGCCGCTTTACCAACGTAAGTACATATCCATATCTGAGTTGGCGGTGGGAGGTTTGCTGAGGTTTCTATAGAAACATTCCAAATATCGTCATTTATGCTGCTTTAGAGATGTGCTACATCTTCAATTGTACAGCTCACTTTTTGTATGCTGACGGTATGTCAGCATTGGCCGACGCTTTCACAAAGTCGGCTGGTGCCTTTGGCTTCCTATCAGCGCTGGCTGGATTCTATTTGCTAGCACATGGATTATGTCAAGATGCAGTTCCGTTTCAGATTCCCTTGTGTGTAACAAGTGGTCGATTTCGACGAGCATCTTCTGTGGGTGGGAAACCTGATGAGATAAGCCCCGTTTGAAGACTTGCTGAGGTGCACAGTTCAAGCAGGCAACGAAGGCATAAAAGCGTTGTGACCAAATCGATTGCATTCTCACTAGTTAGCATTGCCTTAATGAGTATAAATGTTGACGTCCATTCTGGGACTAGTGCCTTCCTCTGACTACTTAAGCTTCATTTCCGTAGACTCCTTCTTCCTTCCTCGTCGCTCTCAATCAAGTTCTTTCGTACTCAATTGTTTCAGCTTCAATTCTCTCTTTTCTCTCCTTCACCAATAACCCTAGCAGCAAAATAGTCGATTCACCTTACAGTAACCTGACGCGCCTAGTGGCTTTATATTGCTTTGAAAGGAGCCCATTGCTGCTGCGACCTAGAAAACCCCAGGCGTATTATAGCATCATTGTGTGGCCCAAAGGCTGCAATATCCAAGAAGTATACCCGGAGAAAATGGGATAACGGTTTCAAAACGTAGACCATCGAGAAGATACCATGGATCAAATGAGCAACCACCCCTCTTCTATCACGTAAAGCTCCGATTCATGCGGCACCAAATTGCCATCTGAATTCTTTCGCTTCCAATGTTCATGCGAATCCTTGAAGCACTTATCACATTCAAACAGCAGGTCACATCCCAAAGCAATCTTAGAGACCCGATGACCAGCATTTGCTCGCCATCAGTCTGGCACTCAAGACCTGCAATGAAAATAGGCCACAGCAGGCATTTGAATAAACCCTCGTCAAATTTGAGAGACTCGATCACGTCAAGTAATTGCGACACCAAGGTCTCACTGTCGAGCTTTTTGGTCAATGTCGGTGTTACAGCACAAAGTACCCGGTTTCCGTAGAGTATGGTGGCAGTTTTATATGCTTGAGATAACAAAGAAAGCTTCTGAATCTCCACTGTTGAGGTAGCTGTTGACTGCACAAAATACGATGCCCATTTCAGACAATCAAAGTCCATAGTCAGCTCAAGCATGCGTAGTATGTTGTCATGTGCTCGTGAATCGAGGTGTCGTCGTGCACGCCTGTCTCAATAGCGTGTCTTTGGTTCGAAAAATAACTAATAGCCCCTAGTAGAAAAACAGGGCAACCCAGAAAGCTTCGAATAATGAACTCTTGATACTTGCTCTCTTCAAGGTTGGCACATAACTCAGGACTAGACTTTAGACCTGAAAGTGTACCTCCCATGGTTGAGACGCTAATAAGGCCAGCGGCAAATCATCATGTCAGTTGTTTAATGCGATAATGATTTAAAATAGGGAGAGAAGCATACAGCGCAAATAGACGGGCAATGAAGCGCCTCGTCTCATCTATTGCTTGTGAAGGGCCGGTGATGGAATGTTCACCGGCACCAGAATCCAGCAGTGCGCGCGAAAGGTCAAGGAGACCTTCTGCACCACGGAGATGATGCTTCCAACCATCGATACCCGACTCGAGAAGATCAAGAAAATTAAAAGAAGAATACTTGCCATGACCTCATCTTTCTGAGAACTGTCTGGATGAGACAATGACGATGACAATGCTTGAATAGTTTGCCTCTTGAAATGGAGCGCATCCAAATTAGCATTGACATATCGAGGGGATAAAGCGTCCTCGGTTCGATCGAATGAATGGCCTGCATTCGCGTAATGCCGTGCGGCCACAGCTATGATACTCTATTGTAGGGTTAGGCTCCCCGCAGCATGCGTGAGTAAATTCCTAAACGGATTGCTATCGCTTTCATATAGAATGAACAATTTGGCGATGCGCACATTGCCTTTCTTTTGGAGTAGCATGTCTACACTCAAGTGAATATGATCGTTATCATACAATAGTCAAGATAGAACCTCGATGACCAATCGAGATCGTGGACGCAGGGGTCTTGCAACGCGAACCGAGGAGTAGGATTGATTGCTAGAGACGTCGCGCTTGGATGTGAGGTTTGTTTCGGCTTGGAGTCCGCACATGGATATTCATCTGAGGCTTTGGGACCCATTCCGAGGACTTGACCGCGCATTTTCCCCCGGATTGCCACGCCTTTGACCCATCGAAGGGGTCTTTTATCAAAGCATTCCAGCCCCGCCTTCTTGCACTTGGCGCAAGGTGTGCTGGTTTGGTCGCATTGGATCGTACGACTGCGGCATGCCCAGCATGCTGCGTGCATTCTTCAAAGTACCGATTGGAGCTGAGCAAAGGAACGATGGATAAAAGGAGCTAGAATTTAAGCTTGGAATGATGACTCTATGAGCACTCGGAAGGTTTGCCGCAAGTACCTGGCTAGATATTTAATTCTCAGCTCGGCGTGGGTACATGTTATCTAGGGGTCTTGTGAATTGACGCTTCAAATCCAAAAGCAACAAATTTCTTATTCTTATACCTATTACTCTCCTTTGATTCTGGAGACAGAAGTGAAGTAGATTTTTTGTAAGTATAAATAGGCATTACTCAGCAAGAATCTTTGACCACATTCGGCATTTTAATGCCTTTTTTTAATTGAATAGTTACTTACTATCCTAAGAGATCTTGTTTTCTATATCTTATCTACCATTGCATAATTCTTGAATTTCTAGAATTACCAAGAGCTAACCCTGGGCTGCGACTAATATGCTTTACGGTTTTTATTGTTTAAAAGATGTTATGCTCTAAGGAGCTCGCTGTAAGTTACAAGGAGACTGTGATGGTTCACTATGATATTTAATCAATGGCAATCAATATCATCCCATTGCGATAATACTCCAGTATCTGGAATGCAGCAAGTGGTGATCTATTCTATTGTCATTGACATCGAACCTGCTTTTCGCCCACATGTGCATGTAATCTATCCAATGTTGGTTGTTGGCTTCGTATTTGGGCAATGTAGCAATACATCTGTACCATCACAGCTGCATACTCCATCCCTTCCAAAAGTGGGGGTAGGCGGTTTTCAGGCCAATCATCTTCTGCGGATTTCTCGGTCTCGACTTCAATAGGCCGATGCACCGCTGCTTATTACTCAGGGCCTTAAATAATGTTAAACAATCCTCAGGGAATTATGTCGGCATGACCATCACTGCTTCCAAGAGTGGGGAAACAGTTTAAGTTGCTTATCGCGGCTACGATTTCCGAAACATGAGTTCCATCTCAGCACAATATGACCTCAACGGACCGAGTTACCAAGCGAAGACGACCATCGCGATCATCCGAGCCGGTAAAGCCCAGTAAAGCGCGCTCATGCGAGGCTTGTCGCCGGTTAAAAACACGGTGCGAGATCAATTCTAGCACTTTAGATGGATGCCATCGTTGTGAGATACTTGGGTATTCAGCCTCGTAAAAGATAGTCGTATGCAGGTGCTGATGTCGTTTTAGGATAAAATGCTCGTTTCCCGTAGTGGTTCAGAACACTGGTGCGCATATACCAACGGGGAGTGAAACTGAAATTGAGCTTCGGCATGACTATCACAATAGGTGTGTTCTGATCCTTTCACGTTACAAACAACTCTTCTTTACTAAGAAAGAAAGTAAAACATTGGAAAAAAGACTTCGTGCCGTTGAGACTTCTTTGGCAGATATTCAAGCTTCATTATCTGCACAGCCTGTCGGCCTAAACCTCAGTATACCGGAGGTGAGAATATCGGACCACTGAATGACACTAAACATGGAGCCAATTTTGTTAATCTATTATCAGACAGCGCAGTCTAGCGCGGAGAGAACTGCCCGCGATGCTCCCATGAGCCTTATCCAAGAAATCCGAGAGAATATCACCTTACATCGACAGCCACGGCAGATCCAAGATCTCTTAGAGGATGTCATCGTAAATGGGATCGTCTCGGAGAACACAGCCTTTTCACTCCTAAAAGGGTAGGGCATCTGTACTAGAAGTACCATACAAACAAAGCTCATCCGTCTTCTAGATTTTCAAAGCTATCGAGTCGCTGGCTATTTTTGAACACCGACTTAACAGATCTACGAACCAAATCCCCCCTTCTATTTGGTACTTGTATCCTTGCCGGTCTTCACATAACCCCATCATTGCACGGTTCGCCAACACATCACGCATTATACCGCCACGTTCATGGACTGTTAGGCCGGTCCCAATGTGCATCTGCTGTTTCCCTGGATACGATTCAAGCAATGCTGGTTTGCTCCATGTGGGACTTAAGGCCGACCAGAGATCATGACCATGGCAATTCATGGCTTTTGAGCGGTACAGCGGCGATGCAGGTTATGATCACGACTTCTTTTGGGCAGCTACTGCAGACGAGAAATATTCAGGAACAGGCACGCGCGCGGGAGATCTTGCGTACCTGGAACTTGATTTGCTTGTGTCAGCTACAGTATGTCAGCAAGATAGTGAGGTCTGTTTTGAAGAAGCTAATATGGCCCAGATTCTCCGTTGGCTCTGGTCGACCACCTGTTATTTCTGGACAATACTTTGATCAATGTGCAAAGATTCTCGAATTCCCATCTTATAACTCCCGAGATGAGCTAGTGCTAGCTGGCGTGTATCTTTATCGAAAACTATGGGAATTGGTTAGTTCGAACGTGATTCAGAAGGAGGTTCCAGCCTGGCCTGAGATCGAACAACTATGCAAGTCGCAAGAACATATCTACAGTATGTCCTCAAGGCTCTTTCAAAACACATTCAAACTAAATCGGAGCTCTGGCATCTAGATCTTGACTCATCCGAGCCTTTGCGTTTTGCCTATTCCTGCACTTACCTGATCCTCGCTCGCCGCACACTGCAGCACATCCACGAATCTCAACCAGGAAACTCCAGCAGCACACGAATCAGGCCGGAAGCAGATAATGCTCTTGCATTTATCAGATTTGCGATTCATCACTCAAACCAGATTTTGGTCCTTTTTCTCTCCATGTCTGATCTCACAACCTGCATCCATCCAGCATACGAGAATCTCCTGTGCTCATTTGCGATGGTCACTTTGGCCGAGTTTGTTAGCCATGTGGTCAATATCGGCGAGACTATTGGGCTCATGGAGCGGGCTATATCTCACATCCAGCGTGGAGGGAAGGCTGAGCCTGTGAGTCGGTGGTCTTTGAATGTCATCAAGCAGCATGTCAATGGGAGTGAGTTGGACTCTTTCATAGATGGAGCTGATAGTACCGAGACTTTCGCTCCACCCACAGCAGAGAATCCAAGATCGTGGATGGAAAGTGACTGGAGTATGAATCTCGAGCAGGAGTTTCCATCTCTTGAAGATATGTTCTTTGGCAATGCGGCTTGATATATATAATTCGTTTGCTAAATTTCCTAATGATATGCCGTTTACCTTGTATCATGCTATCTTATAAACACGCTGCCCTAAACCCTGCTCCTCAATCTAATCCCAGAGAGACATTCCTTGGGCTTCTTCGAAAATCCCTCATGAGACTCTATCGTCGACTGGTACAAGGTAAACTCATACCGGTGGAACAATGTCCCAATAATTAACTGCAACTCCATGATCGCGACATTCTGCCCAACACAAGCACGCGGACCATAAGAGAAAGGATTAAACCCGATCTTCTGTCTCGGTGTCAGATTCAACCAACGATCAGGCCTGAATTCCTCCACATCATCTCCCCCAAATTTCCGCCATATGATGTATAGTATAAGAAGGAACAGAAAGCACAGTTCCAGGCGGGAAAAAATATCCATCAAATTCCACGCCAGACCCATTATCAGTGACAAGACGAGGAAGGCCAATAGCAGAAGTAGAGTGTAACCGCATCCCCTCATCAATACAGCGACGTAAGAATGGTAGATCTCTCACTTGGCTGTATGAGGCAATTTCCGGCTGGTCACCAATGGCTTGATCAAGCTCTTCTCGTAGTCGGGGAACAATAGTCCCGGGGGCACAACGCTCGCCATGAAGAATCCAATAAAACACCGCACAAGAGGTATTGGAGATCGTGTCGGAACCAGCAATTAGTTGTGTAAGTGCTTCAGACGTAAGTTCCTCCCGGCCCATCGGGTTCCCATTAGCATCCTTGGCCTGCAACAATCGAGACAGGATGTCATTTCGTGTATCGATTTGCCCCTTCTCCGCTGCATCTAACCGCGAAGCAACGGCCGCAACCGCAATTCCAGTCAGGTTCTCAACGGCCGCAATACCCTTCGTGAAGAAGGGATCCGGTAGATACTTTGCCCAAGGACGCAAAGCTGGGAGAAGGCCAAGAGTAGACGAGACCTCTCCACGTCTATTCAGGACTTCGACGGCTGGAGCGGTGGACATGGGGCCCCCGGGTACAAGCTGCACCTCTGTCTCATCCTTGCCTTTATTCACCATCCCGAATGGAGATCCAAATGCCAGGTCCCCAATAATGTCGAAGGCGAGGTAGCTGAACCAGGGCATAGCGTTGAATCTGGCGAAGGTACCTGGGCTACCGTCAAGGGACGTTGATTTCGGTCCCATACCTGCAATGCGGTCTAGCTGTATAACCCATCGCTGTAGATTGGCGGCCATGTGAGGCTCGAAAGCAGCCACGGATTTCGGTGAGAATGCATGCGAGATGATTTTGCGTTTGCGTGTATGTTCTGCCCGGTCGCGAACATTGAACATACCGGGAGTACGGGCGATGAAAGCTTCATAGTAGTGGCTTGATGCACCTCGTTAATAAGGTCTTAATCCAGTATAGGTTACTATCAGAGTTCATTTCTCACTCTTTCAGAAACCCATTTCCATGCCCATATACCACATTGAGGGCCCGTTCATCTGCGATGGAAACATGATTGAATCCGATTCGTACAACCTTGCCGTATTTTCGGTGCGCGCTGTCAACGGCTGCGAACTTTTTTCCTCGTCGAGCACTGTATCCAACCCATAGATTGCTGAATTTGGCCAGGAATGGGCCCGGAACCCGGGAAAGGGTTTTGTAGCTTGTGAAGTATGGGATTGTGTAGTATAGGATGAACCATATCGGTACTGTACAGGCTATCCATGGGGAGATGAAAAGTTTTAGAACGCCCATTTTACGTATCGAAGGTGAACGATAGCAGAGATCTTTGATTTTGGGATTTACCTGAACATCAACGATTTAAGTAACCTTCTGCTCTTCGTAGCTAGGATGTCCTCGATTGATCTCCGGCGGAGTTGATGGGCAACACCGTCGGAGATGGGGTGCACGACAGCTAAGTTCAAGATACGAGGTCAAGAGTGGGGGGCAACGCTGGGGTAGAGTACTCTCATCGGAAGGTTTGAATCGAACCAATGTAAATGAGCAAATGATAAATCCTTTCTTTTATTGGAATATATAATCGTATGGACCGAAACAGATATCCATTCAATTTATAAATTCTTCAAATCTCAGTCAACTAAAGTCCAAAATGAACATACGAGGTCACAATGAAACCACTCAGAAGAGCTTCTTGGCCCAGTCTAAACCTAGTCGGAAGCCGAAACCATAGCGGCTGTCACCTTAAGAACGGTATCAGCGGACTTATAGTCAACAGTGTTGGTCAAATACGCAGCACCAAGACCCATATCCTTCGCTTCCTTGATAACAGTCTCGTAGTTTGCATCAGTGGGCGCACTGTACAAGAGAACCGCATCCTTGGAATAGTCCTCCGTAGAAGAAAACTCGTCAGCAGGCACAGCATCGATCCAAGCATCATAGGAGTTTTCAAATTCAACGATCAAGTCTGCAGCATCAAAGTATCCGTTTACCGCGCCCTCCTCCAGCTTGGTACCAGGGTTGAAGACGATAAAGTCTAGGTTAGAGGATCTGGCATTGTCTGCGACCTCGGTCATGTATGAAATCAAGGAGGTATCGTCGGTTCTTGGTGCTTCGTCGAAGAAAATGCCGGAGACGGTGATGTTCTTCGCCGTGTATGCAGACCAGCCGCTGTAAGTGGAGATGTCACTCTCAACATCCGAGGCAGAACGGGTACCATATTCTGTTGGGATGTATCCGAGGACCACGACATTGTCATAGCTGTTCAACTGCGCAATACCCGCAATGTATGCCGCTTCTGGGTAGGCTGGAGTGATTCATGTTAGCAAATATAGTAGGGCAAATGAGTTTTCAGTGCTTTCTTACTAGTATCGCCTGGGCCGCTGTCGGGGTTGACAATGACCTTGAACTCGATATCGGGGTGTCCAGCTGCGGCTTCGTAGACGGGGGCCCAGGTGGTGTTATCAGTGGGCCAGATATAAAGCGGCAGTAGGATAGAAGTGGATGGGGAAGCCGTGGATGAAGCGGTCGCAGAAGAAGCCGCAGAAGATGCGGTAGATGAAGATGCAGTAGAGGAAGAGGCGATTGTAGAAGTTGCCGTGGAGAAAGAGGAAGCAACCTCGGAGGTGAAAGACCAGTGCAGAGGTAGAGGTCGTAGAGAGATACACCGTGGAGAAAGTAGAAGAAGGTGCCGCGGTGAAGATAGCAGAAGATTCAGAAGTGAAGGAAGCCACTGTATAGAAGGTGGATTCAGCCACTGGTGAGAAAGTAGATTCGGCCGCCGATGAGATGGTAGATTCGGCCGCTGGTGAAAAGGTAGATTCGGCCACTGGTGTGATGGTCGAGAGTCACCGTAATGATGTATGTCTCATAAACCGTGGCGACAGAAGTCTCGAACACTGTGGCGTAGGTCGTCCAGGCAGCCTCAGGGAGAGACATCTTGAGAGGCCACCGGAGAGGGCTTATGAGAGTGTCCATGTCCATGAGAATGCCCATGAGAGTGCGCAATTGGCAAATCGTCAGAAGAGTCATCTGATACCGCCGACACCGCCGACAACGACACCGGGGCGGCACAAGCAGCGGATAAGGCAACGGAGGCCATAGTCAGGGCACTGCCCACAACGAAAGAAAAACGCATCTTGAAGATGAAAAAAAGGAGGGTAAGAATGTAAAAAAAGGAGCGTAATGATCAACTAACCACCAGGGCTGTATGATCTGGAAAAATAAGGAGCGACGATAGCGTGGAAAGGCTCGATGCCAATCTCAAGATCGGGGACGGAGAGCATGTTTATACTTAAAGCCCTGGGAGGACCCAGATCCGAAGATCCATTCCAGACCCTCAACAGTCCATTGTGGAAAAACCCACAGTCCACAAAATCCACATCATACAAAGAGAAACGGCGTTAGCAGCCACCAGGAGCGAATGGCGTAACAGGAATCACCAATTAATCTGCCAGAACACATGGTATCGAATGAAATGGCCAGCCACTTGTTTCAGGATCCAGTCAAGATTAGAGGTAAATCAGGGCGGAAATGGCCGAGCACAAGGCCGAGCATCCGTTTTGTCGAGCTAATGATTCGATCGATCCAACGAACCATTGCGGACGATGTGGAACCGACGCTAAGGGGAGATTCGCCTAATGAATCTCACTCAGAAATCTCAGCGTCAATGCCACCGGCGCGTGCTGAGACGTTTCCGATTCTTCTTGGCTCTGCAGTAGAATGTCGTCAGAGAGGGTTCTCGGACATTTCTTTTGACATTTGACAGGTCATAGGGTTCAGGGGAATTGATTGACCGCATTTTGGGTGCTAAGCGCCACCAAGTTGGTGCAGGTTCGGGCGGATCACAAACAAAATGCACGCCACGTAAAAGTAGCCCCCGCTTTAATCTTATCTCGTTTCACATTGCACATTCCACATCTGACCTTTTTTTCCTCATCTATCAATTGCCTGCGTGGATCCTGATCCTGATAGCCCTGATTACTTCCAAGGTCAAGGAGCATCTGTCGACGTGTCCCATGGGCCAAGCTTTGCTCTCCAAGGTCCACGGGGTGATGTACTCATTGACATTGGGGCTAAAACTCGGAGATTACGGGCAATCAACGGGATTACAAAGAGACAGACTTGTAAAAATTTTAATAAATTCATTCTTGGTTAAACATACATCGCAAAAATGGATCAAGGCTGCTACCACAGGCGGCGAGGGGCGAGAACCATGAGGGATAATATCTTATCCTACCCTGTCCGCGGAGAAGCCCTAGTTCATGCACTCTGCTTCGGCTTCGCGGACTCAGTGAGAGCCAGAGCCTGCTGTTGAAGCTTCTTGTTGCGGCGCAGCAGGCCGGCGAACTTCTTATCCAGCAAGTCCATTTCCTTGCGCGTAGTCTCTAGGTCCTTCTGTGTCTTGCTGGAAAGACTCTTCAGCTCCTCGTCCGTCATCGCCGCTACATCTTCGAGGGTAGGGTTGCTGCCAGGGATGGCAGCGGAGCCGAGCAGCTGTTTGGCGGTAGCAGCGGCGAAGGAGCGTACGGCGGCCGTGGTGGTCTGGAGAAGCTCGGCAGAGTGGGCGACGGCCCAGTCGTGACTGCGGGTGCTATCTGCCTCCATGGCGGAAAGAACGTTGGGCGGAATAATGGCATCGGTGGGCTCCAGGACGGGAGAGGAGGATCCCATCTGGGCCATAGCGTCGTCCACCCAGAAAATGTTGTATTTCTCAGGGTTCACGAAAAGGGCATCAAGGCCACCGTTGATGTTGCTCGAATCGTCGCCGACCGGGAAGACATCAATGATTCCATTCCGACTCTTCTCCAGTTCGAGGTATCGCTCTTCCTCTTCGGGTTCGAGATGTCGAAGCACGCAACCCCGAGGAGTGATAAGACAACGGGTCTTGAGGGCCTGAGTACCCACTCGGACGGGCTCACCACGCAGGAGGGCCTTGCGATGTTCTTCGTTAAGTTCAGTAGGTTGCTTCAAGTCCTCATAGTCATCGGCAGTGCACTTCATGTCACCGCGTTGGCTGAGGTTGGCAGGGTTGAACAAGGAGCTTTTGTTCAGATCAATGTTCCCCGTCTCGGTGCATCTCGGCAAGCAGGGCATGTAGGGGCTTGGTGCGTTCCATGAACAAGTCTTTGATCGAACGGTTACTTTCCTCGGCATCTTTGAGTAGCTGCCCCATAGTGTTGTGAGAGTGCCAAGCCTCAGGGGGGGGTCTTGGGCTCAGCGGGCTCGTCGCCCACAGAGGGTGCCTCGGAGGGTGCCTTGTTCTCTTCCACCATTGGCTCCTTGACCTTCACCTTCTTGATAGATTCAGCTTTGGGTTCCACGCGTGAGGGCTCCGCCTTTTTGGGCGATTCAGCACGGTTTTTGGCGGGGGTTGAGGTCTCAGCAGAGAGCGGAGCGGCATCCCCTGTCTCAAGGGCAGTGGCGGGTGCCTTCTTGGTCTTGCGCTTTCGGCCCATGATTGGAGCTTGAACGGGTTCTTCGGCTACGGAAGTAGACTTCGACCTTTTTGGCTTCTGCCTCTTTCGCTTTCTGTCTCCGCTCTTTCTTGGCCTGACTCTTAGTGACCGCACGCACCGGAGCAGAGCCAATGCGACCGGAAGCAGGAGGGGAGTTTGAGCGAGATACAGAGCCGGAGGGATAAAGCTCTGCCTCAGAGCCGAATTCACCAGGAGTATCTGGTCTGCTGATGGAAGAAACACTATGTCTTGGAGACCCTAACTTGCCGGTGCCAGCAGCTGAGGCGGTTCCAACGTGGCGAGATGCTTCAGATTTGGGGGTGTCAACGACACGGAGGATGCGTGTCTGGCGAGGGGCAGAAGAATCAGAAACACGAGAGGTTGTTGTAAGAGGAGTGTTTGGTCGTGAACCAATAGCAGAGACAGCAGAAACTGAGCCAGGTCGAGCCGTAAATGCAGAAGCAAACGTCCCAGATAGGGCAGATGTAAACGTTCCAGATAGGGCTCGCTCTGAATGCACAGAAGAGGTCTCTTGCGATGACAACGGCACGCTCACGCTAGCAGGGCTGGCCTTTGCACCCACAGGACTATCTAATCCACCGGTCTCTCTATCATCGCTAGAAGCAGGAACGTCTATTTTGTTCTGAATTCGAGGCTTACGAATTGGTTTCGCGACGGGTGATCCCAGAGAGATTTGAGATGCATCCTTAGTGCGCACCGATGAGTTCCCTGTGCGAATGCCAAACTCAGGACTAATTGGACGAGAGTGAGATGGAGTGGCCCCCCAGTCCAGGAGGCACGATGGGGGCCGGGGACGATGGTTTAGACGAGCCGCTCTGTTCTTGGAATATAGCAGATGCCGGGTGAGAGTGGGGCAAAGGAAGACCTGGCGGAAGGGTGGGTGTGCCTGCACGGCCAGCAGAATCACCGGGAAGTTGAGATTTCAGGAAACCAAATGTGTCGATAGGCTGGCTATCCTTCAATTGGCTGCTGAGAGGAGGGAAGTCATCATCCACTATTGGTTGCTAGTTAGCATCCAGTCCCGTAGCAAAGCAACGTGTGAGAGGTGCAGGTAATAGTAATGAGCAGGCAGGGTCATGAGGGGTCAAGCGAAGGGCAACGACTATGCGAAACGATTATCCGGGCAATTATGCAAGGTCCAAGAGTGCCAACAGATAATTACACGAGGTGCACCGACCATTCTGGTCGGTTACAGTCTAAGGCAGGAGCGTCTATGTAAACGGACAGTGAGACAAGTGGTTTCGAATAAGACCCTGATCCATCTGGTGGTGATTCAGGGTAGGGAGGTCTTAACGTACATTAATCAATGAGATCATCCACGGTCTTCAAGACGCTGGGATGACTATGAAGAGCCGAATGCAAGAAATGGATAGAAGGGAAAGACCAGCCGCCAGAATAAAAAGGAGACCCCAGGGGACATGCAGATATGTCCACGAAATGCAAGAAACACCTTGAGCCGGTAGACAAGGACCGGGGTAAAGCATGCATAAAAACAAGAGAATTCAAGGTCATCACAATACGCCATGGGTATGTCCACCCCTCGTATTGATCCAGGGCACCAAGCCCGATTGGCTGAAAAAAAGACATGATGCAATTCCGGCCCATTGTAGCGAGAAAAGGAAAGGAAAAAGATATCGTGTCATCAAGGGATACAGGCCCGTTAAAAGCACAGTAAAAGATATCATGGACCAGGAAGGCGCAAATAGAGAATGCACTGGAGTCAGGAACGTAAGTAGAGTAAGCAAGGGAAACGGGGAAAGGAAGTGACCACGGCGTTTCACCAGCGGCTGAACCCACCGCCGTACATCATCGAGGGGTTGTACCCACCTTGACCCTGACTCCCGTACAGCGCTTGTCCAGCAGTACCGTTGGCACCGATCTGATGCATTCTCGCCTGCAAAATGCTCGGGTCCGCAAGATCTACTACACCGCCTCCACCGGAGGAAGTGTTAGCGTGTCTGTGCTTCTTCCCCTTCTTCTTCTGCTTCTGTGAGCCGCCAGAGTCAGGTGCAGTGCCTGTCTGGGACCCATAGAAAGAGCTGAGAAGGCCATTGACGGGAGTCAGGGGAGGTGGGGTTTGGTGCTGTTGAAGGAAAGGGAACATAAACTCACGCTTTGCGGCCTCCTGGCCCTGTACACCACCCACATTCGTGCCGCTGCGGCCACGCAGTAGTTCACGCATCAACTCGGGCGTCTGCGTCCTTTCCCACGTTGGATCCAAGACCAAGGTTGGCATTTGAAGTAAATCCGTGTCCTTGGGCAAACATTCCGCCGCCGCTGATAGGAGGGGTTCCCGCTGTCTTCAGCCCAGGAGGGGGGCCCTGCACACCACTCGCGTAAAACCCGCTGGCAAGGGCGTGCTGAGGACTGGGAGCAGTCAGGGGATTGGGTGTGGCAGACTGCATCTGGCTCAGCATGCGTGCGTTGCTGATATTCTTTGTTCCAACCTCGTTGGCGAAGGCGAAGCGAGAGGACTGCCGGTTTTGAGCCTGAAGAGCAATTGAACTGAGCCAGTTGGGATTGGAATAGCCCTTGACGGGTCTGGTTGGTCGAGGGGAGTAGAGCTAAGAGGATCGGAAAGACCAGCTTGCTGGTTGCCTGCCGACTTCAGGAGCATCAACTGTTGTTGCTGAAGTGGCGTCAAGCTTCGACCAGCCAGGTTCAATCCTTGGAATTGATGACTGGTAGCCGAGACAGGAGAGCCAACGGTAGAGTTGTCGGCCGTGCCTTGCTGAGATGGCGGTTGGATAGCGCCATGCGACTCGCGCCCCTGGCGACCGCGCGGAGGGTTGACTTCTTCTGGCTCGCCACCAAGCTGGAGACTCCCGGCCTCGCGACTATCTTCTTCCGCTACTGCAGTTTGGGTAGCAGCTCACTCTCACGCTTGACACGCTCCTGCTCGGCCTTCTCACGCATTGCTCGGCGTTTGACGCCACCGTATGGATCAATGAAAGAGGGGTAATTTTGGATACGCTTGACTTCCTCCAAAGGGAGGTCAGTGGGGGAAAAGACAAATCGGAATTCGGGAGAGAGTATATCCTTGACCAGACTGTCAAACGGTGTTTCGGATTCCGGCTTATTGGGAAGGCTTGACGGGTTGGGAATAGGTGACCGTGCACTGGACTGAGAAGCTATTCGCTGCGCTTCCTGAACAACAGACGGCGGTTTCTCGATCCGCTTTGATTCTTCAGGGGCCATGGCAACAGTTACACCAGCAGGTCGGGGGCTCTGAGACGCTTGGCTGCCAGTCAAACTAGCACGGCGAGTCCTGATCGCAGCCGCATCCTTATTTGCCCAGCTGGCAGAAGAAGGTAATGCAGGTCCATCCGGAACAACCTGGCGGCCACTAACAGAATCATCCTTACTTGGCTGCCGTCGCATCGTGTGTGAGATCGGTTGAACGGGACGGACATTGCGGGGTACTGGACGGATGGTGCTGACGTTGACTGGACAGTGTGTTCAGCGAAGAGAGATCGGAACGACTATAGCTTTCACTATCTTCGCCAGTCTCGTGCAAAAATGTGCAGTTGCGGTTGTTGCATTGCTCATTGCGAAGGAACGACGAGCAATACTTGGTCGTTCCATACTGGGCCCTTAGAACACGATCGCCATTGACAGACCCGTCGACAGAAGTGATGCAAGTCGCGGCATCGGCCTTCCGAGAGAAGGTGACATAAACGCCAATTCCCTGATGCGGGTTGCCACCAGGCTTGGCCTTGCTGACCACAATTTTCTCAATATCACCGTATTGACCGAAATATTCCCTCCCGCGAAGAGTTTGAAGCAGTTGGTTCTCGTCACGGATGGTGGGGTTGAGACCGATAACATAAACCAAGTTCTTCTGGACGACACGAACTCCAGCTAGATTCTTCCGACTAGACGCTTCTATTTCCCGCTTTTCAGCCTCCTTCTTCTTCGCTGCAGCCGCTTTGCGATGCTTAAGTGCAAGATCTGCTTTGAACCTAAAGTGCAAGATCAGGTCAGCGGCCCTGCACAAGTGTAGGTACAGTTCCTTGCCAAACTCACTCTTCTGCATCTGGAATCTTGTATTGAATCGTGCTGTCATCGTACGGACGGCGGCAGTTGGGGCAACGACCCTCCTCGCTGTGGGTTTTAATATTGTTGTAGCAGAATTGGCAAATCTATAAAACATATGTCAGTGCGACCGTCAACACACATAAGCAGTATCGGCGGAGGTCGTCGGGGAGCAGGCCAAGACGCACCTGATACCCACAGGGGCACGGCTTGAAGTTCTTGTCTGAGAGGTCGAACTCTTCGATGCAAAGGGGGCTTAAAGGTACATGTCACGTAGCGAAGTCGCGTCATCATCTCGACGACCAATACATACCAGAATTCATCATCATCGTCGATGACGGAGTCGATCTGTTGGCGACTAGACATGGTCGCGACGAAAACTGTTCTAATGTGGAAAGGCGACACGGAAATCTCAACGCCGGTACCCAAACGAAAGGTCGGGTACACAATAGACAAAGGAGACAGAAGACGCTACTTCAGAGCCAGGATGAAAGAAAAAGAACGAGGAATTAGTAAGAGGAGAAGAGGAGAAGGGAAGGGAGGGGGAGAGATGATCGTATGAGGATGGACGGCGAGGGAGAAGGAAAGGAAGGAAATTGAAGCGCGGCTTCATTTTGCTGGCATTACCTGGTTGGGTTTAGCGCCACGCGGTGGTTTAGGTCATCTGCACGTGACTCCGCAGGTTCGACCAACCTCGATCCTCACAATCCGCCTTACGTGCCCTTCGTTCCCCCCTCCTGCCGCAGCCATTGTCCCCTCACCACAATGGCCTCTGCACGCTCCTTGATGCGCCTGGGTGCCGGCCGCTCGATGGCTTCGGCCTCCCGGTCTATGGCCCCTCGCGCTTTTTCGTCGTCCTCGCTGCAGTATGCCGCCAAGGCGTCAACACAACCGGGCGCCCCGGAGCCTGAGAACATGCGCCAGGCGCAACGGCCTCGTGCGTGACAACCCTGGTCAATTGGCTAACGGCGTCTTAATAGAGCTGACTGTCTTGTTTAATCTAGCCCAGGGACCCCTCCGTGCCCCCGTTGTCAACCCTACCGACAAGTACCAGGACAAGGCTGACAGCCTGCACACGTACGGACAGTACATCATGTCTTGCCTTCCGAAATATATCCAGCAATTCACCGTCTGGAAGGATGAACTCACCGTGTACACTGCGCCCGCTGGTATCGTCCCCGTCATGAGCTTCCTGAAGAACCACACCGCGGCCGAGTTCACCCAAATCTCCGATATTACTGGTGTCGATTTCCCCACCCGTGACCAGCGCTTTGAGGTCGTCTACAATCTTCTTAGCGTCCGCTATAACTCTCGTATTCGGGTAAAGACCTATGCCGACGAGGCCACCCCTGTTCCCAGTGTGACTGGTCTGTTTGAGGGAGCTCTGTGGTACGAACGCGAGGTCTACGACATGTTCGGTGTCTTCTTCACCGGCCACCCCGATCTGCGCCGTATCATGACCGACTACGGATTTGATGGCCACCCACTGCGCAAGGATTTCCCCTTGACTGGTTACACCGAGCTCCGCTACGATGAGGAGAAGAAGCGCATCGTCATTGAGCCCCTTGAGCTCACTCAAGCTTTCCGCAACTTCGAGAGCGGCTCTACCGCATGGGAGCCCGTCGGTCCTGGCCAGAACCGGACGCCCGGCTCAGTAAGCGAAACAATTTGCGATCATTTAGCTTCAACTGTCACTGACTCTTGCATTTATAGTTCACCCTCCCCACCCCCAAGCCCGAACCGAAGGAGGAGGAAAAGAAATAGAAAGGGAATGTACGCGTATTACCTATCTTTGCCATGTCTGTATGTACATATCGTTAATTGATGGCATTTCGCCTCTCCAACCAAACCTTCCGATCCACATGAAGATGTATGTATGTAGCTGGCGAGCCTCGGTCGGGTAGATATATCTTGACATCACCAAGTTGCGCTGCTAATTTTGCGGGTTTGCGATGGACCAATGTATCACCCTGATTTTGATGGAATAGTGTCTCTTGATGGCGCCTTTTTTTACGGATTGCCTTGAACAAGCGGACGTGCCAGACCTGTATCTATTTTATCGAGGTAAGTACCCACAGCTATGCATAGTGGGATCGAACACCGCGAGGCGGAGAGGAGAGCCTTGGCAAATGATCCGCGGCAGAAAAAAAAAAAGTCCGCGACCACCTCCGAGTTAATCCCCAGTCGCAGCCATACGCCTGAGTCCTCCATCTTCAAAAGCCATTTTATCTTCCTTCATACGTGCAGTCTCTGTTCGCATCTAGCACACTAAACATGCCCAAGCGCAAGCTCTCCGAGCTCAACGGCGCCGGGCGGACCGACGACAGCAAGACCCGCAAGCTTTCGATAAAGGCCGTCCGACTGACGAATAAATTTGACCAAGGCGTGCAACTCATATCGCGCGGGCTCAAGACCGCGCGTGGATTTGAACGACAGAAGCTGAGCCGTCGCGAAAAGACGGCGAAGTCGCAGGAGAATAACTCGACGACATTGGCGCGACTGCACGAAGAAGTGGAAGCATTGAAGGTACGGCTTGCAACGGCATTACGGGAACAATGTGTTATGATTGGACAGGAAGAGTGCCGACTGACTTGCCTCTAGGGACTTGACTATCAGGTCACCGCTGAGCGATACCTGTTCAAACAACTATCCAAGACTAAGCGGATTGCGGAGTCGCCGACGTTCAAGGAATTCCAAGAGTCGAAGAATGTCTCCACTGAGGGACCCAAGAGTACCGCAGAGGCCAATATCCTCGCGCGATTGTTCAAATCCAACCCGGTCAAGAATGTGATGCCTAATATTCTGGCAGAGATTCGAAAGTTACTGGGGATCGAAGAAACACCAACTGGGAAACAAGGCAATGCGGGGACCAGGAAGGATGTGCCAGCAAAAGAGAAGCCGAGCGCCTCGGCAAGCTCAACAGAAGCTGGATCTGAGTCCGAATCTGCATCGGAAGAAGGATAACGGGCAAGGTCTCCGTTCTGGAGACGATATGGGCGTTTCAGGTGACGATGAGTCCGGAATCGAAGAATTCTCGCATTTGGACGCGCGATTAGCTCGGGGCTCAGGCTCTGAAGGGAGGAATCCGATGATCAGGACGAAGATGTCCCCCGTGCAGGTAGCAATGAAATCACCGATGATATCTCCGATTCAGGCTCCCGTTCGCCGTCTCCTGCTTCTCTCAGCCGCCGATTCGCCACCATCGAAGAAGACCAAGGGAAGCAAGGCCTCAGCTACACCAGCCACCAATACTACATTCCTTCCATCCCTGATGATGGGTGGCTACTGGTCTGGATCGGAAGAAGCCACTGATGACGAAGCGCGAGGCTGCTGGGCCACCAAAGCGCAAGAACCGAATGGGCCAGCAAGCGCGGCGCGCACTGTGGGAGAAGAAATATGGCACCAAGGCGAATCACGTACTAGCAGGAACAGAAGAAGCACAAGAATAATCGAGACAGCGGATGGGATCCTCGGCGGGGAGCAAAGTGCCGATGATCGGGGGTGCCAGAGGTTACCGCGGTGGGAGAGGTGGATATTGGAGCTGGTGCCGGCCGCCCGCCAAACAGACAAGATGGCCGTACAGGCCCCGCTCGAACTCAGCATCAGGACAAAGGGGTAAGCCTCAGGGTCCGCCGAAAGATTCGGGACCACTTCACCCTTCTTGGGAGGCAAAGCGGCGGCAGAAAGAGCAGGCATCTACGGCCGTCTTTTCAGGGAACGAAGGTGGTGTTCGATTAGCGAGACTTCCCTACAGTTGCATGGCGTATTTTAGAAGCCAGGCATATTTGGGAGTATTGCGAATTCTGGAACTTGGCGCTTTCATGCCAACCAACTTATGGGTTAAAGCAGAGATTCTTGCCTTGTTTGGGAATAACCACAATGCTGTGCATATTGCGTCTCAAGAGAGAATCGGCTGCAAAGATTGAAGAAACTGTAGATGACAAGACTTTGCGAGATATGGTATATGGAAAGGGAAAAGGCAAAGAGAGACCAGATCAATCCAAAAATCGAACTCGCCCGCTAATAACGCATAGTAGAAACCCAAAGAGCAGAAGCGCATGACTCCTCCATGAATTAGAACAATTGTGAAATCGTTTCACCACCCGAGGAGGCTTCATATCAGTGCCAGCCATGCCTTGCGAATTCCCTTGCGTGTCCGTCTCAAAACATGGGATGGCAGTAAATTCGCCCAACTCCTGTGGGAAGTTCGAGACGAAGTGATCGAAGCCCCAATGGGCCAGCTGTGGGGGGGGGGAAGGGATCGGCATCCAGAAGCTCTTCATCCAGGCCGCCCAAGGGAGGCATCAGAGCCATTGGAGTTGTTAGGCATGAAGGCTGTTGGAGGCGTGATAGGTACGCCAGGGATGACATGATCTGCCGCGGACGGAGGATCAGAAGCATGAGAGGGCACACCCTGCCGGGCAGGCGAGTTGTTCACCGCATCAGCCTCTTGTTGTTTCCAGTGTGCCATTGTTAACGGCGAAACGGGGCCGGTTTTCCAAAGCATCTCCCAGTTCTTGAAGCGGTCATAGGCAGACTCGGGGCTGCCACCATTACTTTGAGATTGGTGGGATTCGCTCCAGACCTCCAATCGACGAATGGCACGTTCCAGCGCTTCGATCACACTGACGGCTGAGCGTGCAGAGCCAACACCCATCGACATGATCTTGATAAGGAAATACCCTGCTCCAAAGCCGCACCCAAACGTTCTGTACGTTTTGTCAGCCCCTGTGCTAGTATGACTAAGAGTGCTGCACGGCACGAGCTGAATTCGGTAAAGGATGCTCGAGCGAGACCGGCCTCATCCCGAAGCAGCCGACAGAGGTCAATAATCTCTAAGGCCGCCTCAACACAATCCGTCACAAGGCTCACTCGATTCTTTGAAAGCCCTGATGGGCCCTTTAGTGCAGATGTTTGGGAGTAGGCGTTTGAAGACCTTTGATATTGCTGAAAAGGAAAGGGCGGCCAATGAAGATTCGCGTTAGACAGTAGTCAAGTTTTAGGTGCACATTGGACCGGAACAGTGGACCCGCTCGGATGCAGATCTCGACAATTCGTCTCTTCCGGCAGTGTAGACCACCATTCAATCAGCTGTTTCCGTATGTTGAGCAACCGCTCGAGACAGTCCTGCTGTTGACCCTTTCGGCATGTTCGTAGAAATGAACTTGTTGATTTGTTAGCGTGGGAGCTTTATTGTTCGCCTTTACCTACCAAACTTACATCTCATTTGACACTTCTCCGAGTTTCAGAGTGAGAGTGATCAAAGCAATCATATTCGTATGATTCGAGGGTTGTGTGGCTGGCATCAATCCGGGGAAGTCAACAGGGAACGGGGCATCCACATCCGCATCTGACAAGGATGCCGGTCTTCCATGAAGAATACTGATTCGTCTGCAGACTTGTGAGCAGCCGATATATAGTGGGTTGGACGGGAATCACATACTTTTCGATTGTATAGGCTGTCCAGAACACGCGATTCCGGGCTTCTACCATTCGAGGAGAGAGCCCTTCCCCATGGTATCGGCGATGCATACCATTCTGGATCGCTAGTTTGAGTGCCAGACCAAAGTATGTGTAACACAAGCCAGATGTATCGAGAGGCAATAAATACGTCCCAATCAAGAGACAAGCCTGTACACTCCGCACCGACGCTGTAGCAATGATGTCTGGTAACAGCTTCGATGCAAATTGGTAAAATGTCAAACCAACCTCATCCTCGGAAAAGTGGTGGTCCTGATTGGCTGCAGAGTCCAAAGGCAGGCAATTTACTGGAGTTGGCGACTCCATATGGGCAAATTGAGTACCCACAGCTAGCACCATCAGAATTGAACAGACTGCACCGGCATCATCCGAGGACAAGCTGGAGGGGTTAGTATAGCATATATTTAGCTTTTCGCAAAGCCAGTCTTCTTCGACATAGAAGTTATTTGTCTGTGCATATTTGAAAAAGATCTGGACCAAGAATTCTGCCACATAGCGTGGAGGAAGACAGGTGATAGAGGCGGACACCAGAGAAGATCCAGATTGAAGTTGGGTGGCTCGCCATCGCTCCTCGAATGGTTCTACTTCAGTCGTAGCCTTGAAATCATTGAATCAGTGGATTTAGTTCCAGAGTAATGCACGTATGGATTGCACCTACATCTGGAGCGGCAGTCTTCATCCACTCATCGATCTTTTGGCGGATCTTCATCGAGAAAGTTCAGGTAAGAAAACTCCCCCGAGTACTCTGTCATCAAAACGCTATGTAAGTGACTGTTGCAACCGCATCCACAGGAGAAGATGACTTACGGGTTGTATTACCCGGGAGGGCTTTGATAGTAAAATCCTCCTCATCAATGGCTAGATCCTCCAGCTCATTGGCGTCCATCCTAGTCGAGCCAGCATCCGACTCGGAGTCACGGCGTTTACTCTTTAGGTCCTCGGCAGCCTTCCGCAGCGACTGGATATCAAATGTGATGTTGGGAACATAAAAGGACAATATACGCTCCATATAGTGGACACGCTCTGCCTCGGCAATCTCATGGCGGTTGATGGAAGCAGCCCGCTCAAGTAATCTGTGGGCACAATTGAGACTCAGTCAGCCTCCGGATGGTGTGCTTCAAAATCATATTCCGAGATGAGCAGAACTCACGAGACAGAAGACGCGCGGCCCTTCTCATCGGGATCAATATGGGTGAAGTTGCACTGGCGGCGATAGCGGAGACATCGGCGACAAGGTACACCTCCTTCACATTTCTCTTTTACTCTGCGACAGCCGTCACAGCTGCACCAGACCGAACATGTTAGCTCGAGCTCTGCAACGCACCACAGGGTGTAAGGAACGCAAGGAACAGCTTACGCTCGGACTGCTCGTTTGCGATTCTCCTCGGCTACACGGGGGCGCTTCTGCGGCGGTGCAGGTGTTGAAGTCGGATCATCCATTGCGGGTGGTGTCAACGAGGGCGAGGTCGAAGTCGGCCGGGCATCGTTTGCGGAGATGTTGCGGAGAAGGCGGAGCCGGATCACGGATCACGTCCGGAGACCTTGAGCCACCTGAGTGGTTATGGGGAAGTGACTCAATTCGAGAAATAAAGTTATGGGGGAAAGAGAGGAAGAGGAAAGTCGGGAAAGGGAATGGGTGGCACTTATCGGTCTGATAACAATTCCCACGGTTTGCGGCCCCGCATCCTGGCAGACTTTGCCCAGGGTCACTGATCCCGGCTGAATGCCGGTCTGCTTAACGTCAATTATTGGAGGTTTCAAGCCATACACCCTATCAAGACTACCACATATACACTTATAGTTCTATGAAGTTCCTCTAACGATCACAATGATCACCACAGTTCATGTAACATCAGACTAACTTTCTTAGCATCGCGTGTGATCCACATGTACGACGAACCAAGTTCGGATAGTGCATGCATAACTAGCACTGAAAGTGGCCTATTTTAAAGACTAGTCGCAAACCAACAACCCCAGATAACTTATGTAGTACAAGAAAGACTTAAAATCCATCGACACTTGTTCCGAGACCTTGCTCGCTTCCAATCTCAAGCAGCTTCCTCCCAACCACGAGATCCATCAGCCCCATTCCCACACACTTAAAGATAACATTGCAGCCATTTCGGAATCTCAATATTCGCCTGATAAGCCCTGTTCTCTCTAGCATATCCCCCATCTCCACCAATTGGCTTTCCGTCATCTGGGCCGTAATCAGTTCACCCGACTCCTCTAAACAAGCTGATTTGGAATCAACGTAGACCTTGCCCCACCAGAGAGCAAAGTCTCAGTATCAATTTCATGCATATGAGGCTTATACGATCCAATGAGAGAAATGAAGCGTTGTTTAGGAGCAGACTGCAGCGCCTCAAACTTGAAGTTCGGCTCTGAAGACGGTGTACAGCTGAAGATGGCATCAGCAGCCTGCAGCTCACTCAAAAGCCTCCCGTCATAGTCCGCTGCACCCTCCTTGGCAAAAGTGCCAATAGAAACATTAGGATAGCGCTTTCGCAATTCACCTAGAACATCGCGCTCCATCTCATCAAGTCGTTGACGACCCCGGTTAATGAAAGTCACCCGTCGGATCAAAGTCCGGGTAAAGCAGTAGTGCAAGTCGGGCATGCCACTCAGCTTGACGACCAGATCCCATCACAAGAATGTTCTCTTTGTGGAGCTTACTACATCTCACGAAGAGTGCTCATGGATGCAAGGGCTGTGCGGAATGCTGTTACCTCTGCGGCAGCAAGAAGACCCTGTAGTCGTCCTTCGGGTGAGAATATGTTGATTGTCCCTTGGATACCGCTGTTGCCGACCGTGACAACTTTCACGGCGGACGTAGTGGTATCCGAGACCGGCATGAAAATACATGAATTGTTCGCTTTTGTTGTAAAGACGGTCCGCAATGGCTGATGGATCAGTTTCTCGGATTCAGGGACTGTTGGCTTGGATTCAGCACTGTACCCCACAAGTGCGGAGCCTAGGACCCCGATGAAGGCGTGGCATTGCTTCTGTGTTAAGCTGCGGAAAATGCGCGATACGTCCGGTTCTGAGAGGATATGCATTGTTTGAATTGATGAATTGTGATGAAAGTATTTGATGTAGACGTTTAATGATTATTTTGAGTAGTTGTTGGAGTAAGGAAGAAAAGCCAACAAGATCCGGTGAGGGGTGAAAAGTGGATAGTATCCCTGATGAATACGCGCCTAATTTATGCTTCTCCACAATTGGAAGGACATTCCGGATACTTCGTTATTTGCAAATCCAAATTATCAGGATAAGACTTGTCTATTTTAGCAACCACCTTTATGAACAAGAAGCATGACTCATTAAACGCTAACGCCCATCATAAATGCATCCCAGCCTGCGCAAGGGCAGTGAACAAAATCCTGGGGCCAAAGGGCATAAAAAAGGAAAGGAAAAGGAAAAGCTAAGCAGATGGCCCGCTAATCAAGAAAGAATGAGAATGGAACCATGCAAAACGGAAGCGAAGGGGGTATCTCTATTTGCTGCCTCCAATCATCCGGCGCTTCAATTCAGCGAACATCGCCACCTGGGAGTCTTTGGTACGTCCGACAGCCTCGGTGTTCTCAATGGCACGGCGCAAAAGGAAACCCATGCACTCCTTGACGGATCCCCAAGTCAAAAGCTTGAAAACGTTGGGGGCCGCCATGGGCGTGGCACCGACACTGGCCTCGGCACTCTCGAAGCCCTGAAGAAGCTCAAGGCTCACCTCATCAGCCATGCCCTGAAGC